GTCGGGGGGGGTGGGGGGGGGGGGGGGGTGGGGGAGGGGGGAGGGGGGGGGGGGGGGGGGGGGCGGGGGGGGGGGGGGGGGGGGCGCGGGGGGGGGGGGGGGGGGGGGGGGGGGGGGGGGGGGGGGGGGCGGAAAAAGACTCCGGAGTTCCTCTTGGAAGTCTACTAGTCCGGATGCTTCCGGCTCAGAGACCTCGGGAGCATGAAATGCTGGGAGAAACTGGAAAATTGAAATATTTTACCATGAAGTTCTACTAGGTATGTATGTTCATTCATGTAGAGAAATATATACGAGTCTTGGAAGTCATACTTTGGTATCCATCAAGTACGCAGGGCCTCGGAGCCAGAATAAATTTGGGAGCAGTGGGCACACCACTGGAGTCAGAAAGCAGACTGCACTATCCAATCGATTATTTGAACCCTGGAATGACACCCGTGACGGATACAGGCGACTATTCGTTCCATGGCTTAAGAGATTTCGGATGAACCACAAGCACACCGTACTTGGGTAACTATGGCGAAAATATGTAAATAGCAACCGAGAGAGGCAAGGAGATTGCTGCCGATAATTAGTTTCCCCGGGTACCCAAGTGAAGTGATGTGCCCTGGAACCTCGATCACACCGCTCCATGACGAGCGAGGGTTTCAATTACGTGCGAGTGGATCTTCAGAATGTTGGCGCCAACATTTGTTAGTCTACTGCAAATGATCGTAACCCCGAGGTTTGATCTGTTCGACCCAGAAATCCCCCAGAACTCGGAGTATAAGCCTAAAGCGGAATTGAACGCCATAAACTTCTACCGAAGCCGGTAAATCTCGGGAAGACCGAGAGATGCGATGGAAACGTGGGATCCCTTCGATCTCAAAATTGGGCGACTAAGAATAGCATGGAAAGCGAATACCCCGAACTTCCCCCAAAAGCCTGAAGATCGACAGTGGCTTCCCGGAATGGCGTCAGATCCACCGGGCTAAACTGCCCTTAGTTTAACCGAGTCAGGGGCTTCGGGTGGCGCTGACCGTTGAAATGATTTTCGAGCCCTTTGATCTACAGTACAAGGACTGATCTCGTCATTCACAATACTAGCACGTAGAGAAGCTGCCCGTTTGACGACATCTGTCGTGCAAAGCATGCGTTTTCCCGTCAAGAGGGGGTTGCAAGACATGTTTTACTCTGGCGACATGATCGGCCAATAGTATGGAATAATCGATTTAAGGTAGCCACTTTAATGCGAAAGTGGGATCGCGCCCCGTTTGGGGGACCTCCACAGTCCTCATAGTGCAGGGTCTCAACATTGCATCAGGACTCGTATCCGGTTTGCCGGGGAAACACCCTGGAGGTATATAAACCCATCTGGCACCCGTGTTTTTCAGTCACTCATTCACAACCACATCTCACAATCACAATGAAGTTCTCTCTCGCTGCTCTCACTGGTTTCATTGGCGCCATCAGCGCTGCCAGCCTCCCCAACGCCTTCACCCTCGTCGCCGAGGGAGGCAAGACCGTCCTCACTGACGGCCAGAACCTCTACGTCGGTGCTAACACCACCACCCACGAGATTCTCATCCGTAAGCTTCCCCTCCCCAGATCGACTTCTTGAAACCATCTAACCCATCTACAGTCCGTGGTGGCAGCCCCAACGGCCTCGTCTCCTTCACCTCCAAGGACGGTGTGCCCACTGCTTTCCAGAACCTCTACGTTGTGGAGAACCAAGCCGCCCCTGTTGGCCTGACTATCCCTCACTCTGGTGCTGTCCCCGAGGGCGGTAACACCACCGCTTTCGGTGTCAACGAGAAGGGTCTGTTCACCCAAGGCGGCAAGGACTGGTTCGCTGTCTCTGGATACGGTGACAACCCCGTCAAGGAGGTCTTCTGGTCTGCCGCCCACCAGGCCGAGCTGCGCGTTGAGAACCTCTACGTCAAGGAGCTCAAGAACTACTCCAACTAAGCGTTTACTCGGATTGCGAGGACTCTTAGGTATGATGTGGCTTCAAAGGGACTGTGTCTTTTGATCACCTATCACAAGTTTCCCTCATCTGTACTTAATTTTTGCGACTGTACATCGAATCTACCAATTAGCGAAATCAAGGCTCCTGGGAGTCGAAACTGAAGTTGTTATTCACCAAATCGTGCCGACCTGCCAGTAAATATACATTGCCATTAAATTCCTCATCCAATCAACTCCTTAATAGTCTTCTCATACGGCTCCGGAGCGCGTCCCAATATTTCCCCAAGAACCGGTGACACCACAGCAGTCTCGCCATTCTTAAAAGCCTGCCAAGCAGTAGTAGCCCACTCTCTGGAATAATCGACCCCCTTATATGTATGCTTATCGCCGATCTGAGGAAGTCGGACATATTCATCGACCGAGATTTCACGAATAGTAAGAGATTTGCCGATCGCCCGCCCGATGATATCAACCGTCTCCGCTAGCGAAATCTCCCGCGGACCGGATAGCAAAACCACCTGGTTCCGATACTGGAAGTTCGCGGGATCATTCACATGTGAGACAATGAGGTTCGCGGTCGCTTCGCCCAGCTCGTCGCGTTTCACCCACGCAACGCCTGGTCCGTGGCCTGAGTGAGGGATTGTGATTTCATCGGCTGGGTTCTGGGGGTCGAACCATGCGGTGTAGATTGGGAACGATTCGGAGTAGAGTCCTTCGCGGATAGAGGTGTATGAGATTTTGTTTTGTTGTAGGGAGAGATATTTCTCTGTTGCGATATGAGCGCCCATGACATGTGCGACGGTCTTGTCGCTTAGTCCGCTGGCGAATCCGAGGGAGGAGTAAAAGATGTGCTTCACGCCGCTTTTGATAGCAGCGTCGATGGCTAGACGATGGGACTTTGGGATTTGGTTAGATTGTGCTTTTGCGGTAAGGTGTTTCTCTTACTTTGACGCGATATTCGATTTCGATGGATGCGTATGAAACCAGCATCAGAACATCGACGCCGTTGAATGCTGCGTCTAGAGTTGATGGTTGGTCATAATCTGCGTGGCGGACGGTTGCTCCGCTTTCTTGAAGCTTTGCTAGATTCTCCGGCTTCCTTGCTATCAGGACAAGCTGTGAGGCGGGGACTTGCTTAGACAAGTGGTTCACGATGCTGGTCCCGAGACCGCCAGCTGCAGGGAAAACACCGATTTTGGCTACCATGCTGTTGGAGTGATACCGTATGAAGGTTTGAAAGGGAAGTACTGGGAAAGTGAAAATACCTAGGTACATTGAACGCAGCCCTGAAATACCTAGGTATAGATGAGGTCCACAGGTGGGGTTTCGCCCGGATTCTACATTGGTAATCTTCTGCTTAGAAATAGCTCCTTGGCTTCGGTCTGCGGTCGCAACTAAGACCGAATATTCGAGCCAGCGAGTAGAAGTTATTGTCGAAATCGTCAATCGTGATATGAGAGGTGAGATATCTGCTGTCTAACGCCGAGAAAATATAGTACACACATAGGTCCGTGTCTAGTGAGGAATGCCTCCAGTGCCGAACAGCTCCATCTTGATACGGTCGGCGGCAACACCCTTGGCCTTGAGACTGGATTCGATATCCGTCATGAACCGTTCCGGTCCACAAATGTAGTACTCAGTCTGGTTATCGTCGAGGAACAAATCCTTGTCATCAAGCTTGTTGAGGTCAACACGTCCAACATGGTGGTAATCGGTGCCCTGCTTATCGTCCTCGGTGGGGATGCTGGTGAAGAAAGTCGCTTGAATGGGAGAAGAGATGGTAAGCTGATCGATGTGGTCTTTGAAAGCGCGACCGGCGGATGTACGCGCACCGTGAATGAAATGAAGCTTGCGGTTTCCGGGCGCCTGAGAAGTCAAAGTGTTCACCATTGACGTGAGCGGTGTCAGACCGACGCCGGCGGAAATCAAAACAATCGGTGTGCTAGTCTCGGTCTTGCTGGTAGGGAGGAAGAAGTCGCCGTACGGGTGGGAGACTTGCAGTGTGTCGCCGATGTTGAATGTATCGTGTAGCAGATTCGAGATGTACCCGGGCTGTGTCACGGCGGGAGCAGGATCGGCCGAATTGATGCCGGACTCCTTCTTGACGCTGATGCGGTAGTAGTCTGGCTTGGGCTGGTCGCTGAGCGAGTACTGGCGGGCCTGTGCATAATGCAGAGCTGGCACGTAGGCCTGCACGGAGATATATTGACCAGGCTGGAAAGTGGGAAGAGGCTTTCCGTCCACGGGGGCGAGGTAGAAGGACGTGATTTCCTCCGATTCCTTGACCTTGTTGGCGATTTTGAAATCACGCCAATCGGTCCAGCCTTCGCTCTGCTCATAGAGTTGCTTCTCGCGGCCGATCATGAGGTCGGCGAGCTGCCAATAAGCGGTTGCCCATGCGTCGAGGATTTCCGGAGTCAAAGCCGCGCCGAGAACCTCGCCCATTGCTTCGAGGAGATACTTTCCCACGATCTTGTAGTGATCGGGCTGGATGTATAGAGAGGCATGCTTGTTGCAGATCAACTCGACGGCGGAGCTGAGGGCGCCGAGGTCATCGATATGCGAGGCATAGGCGTATAGTGCCCCGGCGAGTGCCCGGGGCTGGTGACCGTTGACCTGGTTTGGGGTGTTGAAGATGGTGTTCAACTCGGGATGGGCTTCGAGCATGTTGCGGTAGAAGACCGTTGTGATGGTGTTGCCATGCTGGGCTAGCACAGGGACCGTCGCCTTGATGACGGCGATCTGGTCTGATGTCATTCCTGGATTTGAGCTCATGTTGAAGTCTGTGGTAAGTGTTTGTTGAGAAATCTCAAGGTATGAGCTTCAGGGGAGTCTGTTGTCTTATATAGTGCGGCGTAGAAAGGCGCCATTAATAATGACATTGTAGCCATCTCCATTCGCCGCGTCAGATACCCATTGCAGAGAGAGAGAGCAAAGCCCGAAACGAGACTCCGCGGAGATGAGGGTATTGCGGGTGTTGCGCAGGATTTTCCTTTTCGGCCGCCGGGTAAATTTCGCCAATTCGAAGGTTCGAATGTTCGTGCCGTTAAAGTATATTTGCATTTAGGTACAAACCACAATAGTGCAGAGCTCTAATTAGAAAGGTTGCGGGGATCCGATCGTCACTTGCAATGTCCTACCCTAGGCTATCTGCGACGCAAGTTCCAATTCCACACAAAATTCTGAATGAATTAGCGTCTACGAATGCTCTATTCAATTGTACTCCCTAATTCCTCGGAGAAAGCAGCCAGCGCTTGAGATGTGCCCAGCCCTGGAGGTGAGGTCTCAAGATGAGTCACGCCACCCACGAGAATTCCTAGGGTGACAATCCCGGAATCTTCCAATCAGCCATCGCCCATTACTGTGCATCGGCATTTTGTCGGACTTCCTGTTTCTTGCAAATTATGCACGGCTTTACGGATATTGAATTGCGAGTCCCCAGCTTCTGAATAGGCGAATCTCTCGTCCTAGAAACACCCATTGAGAATGAATACGAGCCCATCTGACCAAAGTCCAAAACGGGCTCACAGAGTCAGGCAATCCCCGCGCTAACACCGAAAGAAGGCAATCGTCAATTCACTGATGCCACAAGGTAGATTAACAACAATGTCAAGTACTATATGTGCTTAAGCGGGGTAAGAGGAAAAGAGGAAAAGAGGAAAAGAGAGAAAGAGATGTTCTCGGGAAAACGGTCTGGATCCTCGAACCCATGGACATGTCAAGGTCATTGTCCCTCGGCCCCGTCTCGGAATACCCGCATCGCATCTATGTCTATTGCCCCCGATATTCTGTCATGGATTTGGGATATTGATTCCGCATCCAATGATTTACTCATGTCTCTTCCAGTGGCCTCCAGTGGAGTCTCTTTCATTCGAGCATCTAGATCGACGAACGGTCGACACAACATGGGCCCAGGCTACCTCCACGTGAAGGGTCGCTTAAACTGCAATACGATCAACCTGTGGCGGCATCCATACTTCCAGAATGCGGTTCCCTGGCTCCCGGGAGATTAAGCCAGACAGCATTGAGATGAAGCGAGACTTCAATCTTGGACCGGTGGCGTTGAACCATCCTCCTGTTCAGACAGGCCCATCCATTCCGAAGATGGCGCTCAGAGAATACGCAGCTTCGACAAATAGTTTTGCACGGTCAACCTTTGATCGCAATGGTGACGGCATTCGTGGCTTTGATCTCTAGGGCGATGCGTCCCGCGACTGCGATTGGCTGGCTTCGGGAACAACACCGATATGTCCACGGTGCCGCCGACAGTTGTTCCAATCTCGACAGGGCAGTCTCGGCTTGTTCTTCAACGAACGCATTGCCTGAAACGGCCATGGAATAATTGAGGTTCATCAAAGACGGTCAAGTCCGGTGGTTCACCAGAGATGCCGGCTCGGCGCCCAGCCGAGTCAACGGTAGTGATGATGCTTCTGTCACCAGATCCGCTCTAGTCAACGATAGCTACACAGGGAGTGACGTCTACAATATTCAGGATATCGAGTGCTCATGGAGGTTAGCTGGGCCGCCAGTAGAGCCCTCAAGGGCTCATTGAAGGTCTAGAGCCCTAGGGTGGACAAAGCATCGGTTTCATGACGAAAGAACAAAGCAGACTTGACATGCTCTCATTCTGACGATATAAGTACACAGTCATATCCTCGTTCTGCTTCTCGTGGTCACTCATAATCAACATTTTTGATCACAATGCTATTCAAAAAACGCCAATCGTCTGATGTTTCGACGCTGGCTGGGCCGCCGGGTCCAGGCGGCCGCGGCCAGCTACCCATGCTTCAGATGCCCGACAAGTTGCGGTTCAATCTGCTGTGTGTGATGGGTGAGTTTGTCGGTACATTCTTGTTCCTCTTCTTCTCGTTTGCCGGCACACAGGTGTCGAATACCCCAATGCCCCCACCGGGATCGTATCCGAATACTTCAAACCTGATGTATTCGGCCCTTTCTTTTGGTTTCTCTTTGACTGTCAATGTCTGGGCGTTCTTCCGTGTGACAGGGGGTCTCTTCAATCCGGCGGTAAGAGACACAACTGCGAGCATCGTCGTCGCTTTTGACTAACACCCGCTAGGTAACTCTTGCTCTCTGTCTGAGCGGCGGGATGCCGCCGCTGCGAGGGCTGTTCGTATTTCCAGCTCAGCTGGTAGCAGGCATTGCCGCAGCAGGTGTGGTAAGTGCCCTGTTCCCAGGGCCACTGAACTGTGCAACAAGACTGGGCGGCGGGGCATCCATTGTACAGGGTCTGTTCATTGAGATGTTCCTGACTGCACAATTGGTGCTCGTCATCATCATGTTGGCGGTGGTCAAGCACAAGTCAACCTACTTGGCACCAGTGGGGATCGGACTGGCCTTCTTTGTGGCAGAGTTAATCGGTATGTCGTGTCCTGTTCTCGATCTTTTTGGCTCCTGAAAACTTGAGCTCACACAACTCTTCTCCCAGGCGATTATTATACCGGTGGTTCTCTCAATCCTGCTCGCTCCCTCGGACCGGACGTGATTAACCGTAGTTTCCCCGGATATCACTGGATATACTGGGTTGGTCCGTTGCTTGGCTCTTTGTTGGCAACTGGGTTCTATCACATCCTTTGCTTTGTCCGATGGGAGAAGATTAACCCCGGTCAGGACTTTAACGAATGGGAAGCCAGTGGCACAAAGGAATCTATTTATTCCGATCACACGGTGACCAATGGGGAGAACCACAATGGAGAAAGCCACAACGGAGGAAGCCTCAGCGAGCCACGAAGAGACGTCCCGGCCGGGGACCAGGTTTAGGGCTGTGATGATATTGGCCGGCGGCTCTGTCCGATCTCATGTCAGGTTGTGGCTGTTCATTGAAAGGCGGAGGCACATGCTACCACACCCTAATAGGCCGATGGGGATATAGCCGATGTACCTAGGTAATGAGTACTCTGGCCCCATGACCTTATCCATTTCAGGTTCATCGATAGTGAGGATTTCTTGATTTCACCAGCCTATGCGAGATGACTTCCATCGCAGAACAATCCTGCAGCACCGAGGAATCCATAGATTTAAGTTGAATTGCAAGCCCCCTTTTCTCAAATCATGGCAGCAAGGCTGAGAGGTCTCCATTAATTGATCATCCCGCTTTCAATAGTGGCGAGTCAATCATGCAGCAGTGCGCTAGCCCGCAAATCACAGATGATTCAGACACTCAAGCATTTCCCGCCGATCCGCGCTGCACAATCAATCACGCAGATCATGCAGCATTCTCAGCTCTGAGCTGAGGAAGCCAGATCTCACTTGCCGGTTGGCACTGCAAGGGGGCTTCCCCGATCCACACATGTATTCCCTTCTACCGAGCACGATCCGCCATTTAAACTGGCTCGGGTCCACGTTGGTTTTCAACTTGTCACTGCAGACATGAAGATGGAATCTGACCCGGAGCCCGTTGCGTCAGGCGCAACTGACGCGATCGGAGATCCCGACGATGTGCGGCTGCTCGGTGAGATGCGATCGGACGTGTGAAGAGACCCTAGTTAATCGCTGTTTAGCTCGTATGGGGTATAAGCAGGAGCTGCGGCGCCAGTATTCCACGCGCCAGGTGTTTGCTGTCGCGTTTAGCATCATGGGCCTGGTGCCTTCGATTGCTTCGACGCTTTCATTCTCACTTCCCGCGGGTCCGGTGGGAATGATTTGGGTATGCGACCGGCTGATTTCGCCTTGTACGTCTCGTTGACTTTGACGTTTGTGGAATAGGGATGGTTTGCTGCGGGAATTTTCATCGTGTTGGTTGCGTTGGCGATGGTAGGCTCAACCAGCGGGAAATCGGGATCTTTGAACTCCGTACTAATCCCTACATCTAGGCTGATCTGGCGTCTGCCATGCCCACTGCCGGAGGTCTTTATTGGTGGACACATTACCTCGCTGGGGAAAAGTGGAAGAGCCCCCTGAGCTTCTTGGTCGGGTATAGCAATACCCTGGGTCTCCTTGGTGGCATCTGTTCGGTGGACTGTGAGTCCACGCGTCTCCGAGGGGCCCCTGGTCAAAGCTGACTCGAATAGATACACTTGCGCTGATGATCCTGTCCTGTGTCTCTATATCACGATCAGACGACTGGACCGCCTCGAACGGCGTGGTGTACGCCGTGTTTGTTGGGCTGATATGCTTGCATGGATTATGTGTCTCCATGGGTGGCCGCATGATGCCTAGAGTCCAGAGCCTTTCGCTGTATCTGAATGTTGCTCTCATGATAGCGACTGTTATTGCACTTCCAGTCGGCAAGGTGGCGCGAGGTGGCTCCCTCAGTTCCGGTCGCTTTGTATACGGCCACATCGACAATAAGACAACTTGGCCGATCGGATGGGTATTTATGCTCGCTTGGCTTGCTCCGATCTGGTCCATTGCATCGTTTGACTCGTGTGTCCATATGAGCGAAGAGGCGCTGCATGCAGCGAGAGCTGTACCGATTGGAATCGTTGGAACAGCCAGCTCAGCATTTGTCCTGGGCTTCATGGTCTTGTCTGTCATCGTGTCTACGATGGATCCAGATGTCAGTAACACCATCAACACCAAATTCGGTCAGCCGATGGCGCAGATATACTATGACGCACTAGGAAGAGAGGGTGCCTTAGCCTTCATGGCTGTGATGTGCCTTGTTCAATTCTTGAATGGCCTCGGTCTGACTCTGGCCGCATCTCGCCAGGCATGGGCATTCTCCCGTGACGGCGCACTACCCTTCTCTAGGTTCTTTTCTCACATCAGTAAGCGCATCCGGTATCAACCAGTGCGCATGATATGTGGAATCGTCGTTGCATGCATTATACTTGGATTGCTGTGTCTCATCGACTCTGCTGCTGCCAATGCCCTTTTCTCATTGTTCGTGGCCAGCAATTACCTTTCATGGGGCACCCCTATTTTCTGCCGGTTAGTCTGGGGTCATGACCGGTTTCAGCCAGGCGAGTTCTATACAGGATGTTTCAGCAAGGCAATTTCCACTGTGGCTGTCGTATACCTTTCTTTCGGAATTGTCCTATCCGTATTTCCCACTGAAGGCCCACATCCCACCCGTATGTTACAGCCCCTGAAACGCCGAGGATCATGATACTAAAGGCTTTCCCAATATAGCATCTAACATGAATTACACTGTGGTCATCAACGGTTTTGTTTGGGTGGGTTGTATGGGATATTACTTCCTGTTTGCTCGACGATGGTATACCGGTCCGCAGACGACTATTGATGAAGGTGCTTCCGCTTTGTCTAGTGACACGATCAGCAACACGATCTGGCCCGGCCCCCATGCCGGTGGCACGTCAGAAGCGGTCGCAGATAAAAATGACTAGGACCCCACCACGCTATGACTGTAGAGCTGGCAAGGCGAAGCTACTACAGGGCCAGGCCTTTCCACGGTTCCAACTTGGAAGCGCCCTGATATCTACGCTAGATATAATTTACGATCACTGCAAAAGATGTGTTTCAAGATTCCAAGGTTGGAATGTAAAGTCGATTGAATATCGTACTAAGTGTACGTGATTGGTATATATACACTTTCAAACGCCGGGGTAAAGCCTCTTTTCCAAGATGCAATAGAAATAGGTATGGACAAATTTTTAAGGAAAGTCGTGAGAGAAAAAGATAATCGATATCATTTCTGATATCATATCCAAGGTATGATCAACCCCTTAGAGGGCAACCATGATGCCGAGAACACCGGCCATACCGGCAGCGGCGGCACCAACAGCAGTAGGGCGAGCGAAGGCGCCGTTGTCAGTGGTGCTAGCAGAGCCGGATGCAGAGGCGCTAGCGGAGTCGGTAGCAGAGCCGGTGACCTGGCTGGTGAGGGTGGTGGATTCGGTGGCAGTGGCAGAGCCGGCAGAGTCGGTCAGGGTGGTGTGGGCGGAGGCCCAGGTGGCAGCGCGGCTAGTGGCCTCGGAGGCGATAGAGTCACCCTTGCTGGTGGCCTCGGAGGCAATGGAATCAGCCTTGCTGGTGATGGACGAGACGGCGGAAGCGGCATCGCCGGTGAGGGTGGAGGCGGCCTCTGAGGCGTCGCTGCGGAGAGAGGAGACAGCGGCGGCGCCTCCGGTGCTGGCGGCTTCGTAGATGGAGGTGGCCTTGTCGGCGACGTCGGAGCCGATGGATTCACCGCCGTTGACGGCGGTTGAGGCGATACCCTCAGCCTCAGAGACGATGGAGTTGACATCAACACCGTCAGGGGCGGCCATGGCAGCGGTGGCCAGGAAGAGGGCGGAGGTGACAAGAGTGAACTTCATTTTGATAGAGATTGGTCTTGGTGATGAGTTGAAGGTGTGTGGTGTGTGTGTACTAGTAGTAGCTCAGGAGAGTTGTGTATGGATCTTGAAAAAAGTGACAGGATCTGGGGCGAACCACTCCTTATATCCTCTGGTTCACCCAAAATTTCCCCCTATAGATAGTAACATCGGAGTTTAATTGCGCCTCCCGTTGTTAGGCACCCGACAACCAGTGGCGACATGACCTCAGCCTTGTGAAGAGAAATGCGCATGTCGATCAAAGGGTCCGCCTAGGGATAGGGGGTCCAGTCCCACCGCAGCAGCCCGTGTGAATGGCCCGCCATGCGGGTGGGAACAATGAATCGTCATCTGTGGCTCCACTATGTAATGAGGGCGCAGCATTGGGGCTGATTTTGCGTCGTAGGCTTTTCCCCGGGCAAAGGATCAAGCACCTGCGAGATCTACCTACTAGCCCAGGTGCAGGTACTCCGTACATGCATAAGCTTGAGTTCGTTTGCTTATACGAAGCATATTGCACAGCCTTCAACAAATTTAGCAATCCGCTGCGATGTCCTCTCCTGACCGCCCCAACTTGAGATGCATCGGAAACACCGGCAGTTCACCGCGCGAAATTGGACCCCCTGAGGGTATCTCGCTCCGTGTCCACCGATCGGCTCTCCGTATGTGACGTGAGTGGTGGATGTCAGCGTGCTCCGATTCGGGAGGGTCAATCTCTTTGTCAAATTGACCAGTCTCGGCACGCGTCATTATAAACATGGTCGCAGGCCTCGCAACTTTGAATTTTCGATGCCCTTGTTTGTGGTAGAAGAGCCAAGAAACATGATGACGCGTTAGAAGTTTCGAATGTGATACTTGACGGGAGGCAGCGAGATTTCCAACCTTGAAACTCTGGGAGAAATGATGATTGGGTGTCGGGCGAGGACCGGAAGGCGTCGGAGGCGCCTGAGGCAGTAATCACGTGCAGTGATAAAAACAGAAACATGACGTCATTGTATAGATCTATTCGTCGATGTGGGACATATGTACACTGTATGTATCAATCTTGGAAGTCCCTGGAACCCTGCAGCTACATTGACCTTCCAAGGCTGGATAGGTGGAATACCTGTTCGTAAAATACGAGTCATTATGGATTATTCTGGTGTCTATACTTCGTTATGGTTATGTCCAAATGATGATGCAAATAAAAACATGAATCAAGCCGTGAACTCCCCGTAAACCTGGATGATACCCTCCCAGCCGCCCTTGTGGTTGGACTCACGGGGGTTGGTCTTCCCATCGAGCACCATGACGTCCGTCATGCGGGTACTAATAGAGTACCACACAAGGTTGACCGGGTTATTCGTCACCCGCATCATATTCGTTTGACACTCGCCTTCGCAGGGCTCATTATACAAGCCATTCCAATATCCATCAAAGAAGGCCCAAGCGGCGGAGTTGTAAAGAGCAAGGTCGGAACCACCGTCAATGTTGGTAGCAAGGGAGCTGCGGCACTTCTCGTCGTCTGCCCCACACCATGAGAAGTCGGGGTCGCCATACTTGTCGATGGCGGTCCAAGGCGCAGGAGCAGCCTGGTACTCACCCTTGCCCTGCATGTAGGGGGACTCCGTTTGAAGCAGACCGGCGAATACATTCTGGGCGTGGTGGAAGTTGTAGTTGTAAAGCCAGTGATGCTCGGACCCAGTACCAGTCAACCAGGTGCCCTTAGTGGCTTCGATGAGAATACCTCGACCGGTGGAAATAATGGTGAGGAGTGACTCGCTGTCGAGATTGTGATCCGCTGTCCATCCCCAGAAGTTCTCAATGTATGCGGATGAGCTCTCGGTAAGATGCATGACCATGAAGGCTGCCATGCAGTTCTTGGGGTCTTGGGAAGTGCAGGTGGTAGTGACGCTTGTATCGGCGGTTCCTCCAACAAGCGCCATAGTATTCCACATACCGACATCACCAGGCTGACTGCCAGCAGCATTGACTTCGATGATCTTGGCACCGGGGAGAATCTCACCAACTGAGAAACGCATGTCCTGAATCTCAATGAGACCAACATCTCCAGGGTTACCGAGTTGAACCACTGGTCTTGGCTGGTCGGAATTCTTGAACTTTTCACCATATCCAGAGATGACAGACCACGCCTCTCCGACAATGCGTGTTCCAACGGGCACAAATAGAGTATCGGAGACGCGATACACGCCGTAGGGGATGTAGGTCACTTTGCAAGAATCAGCATTCTCGGCGAGAATTGCGTTCAGGCTCTCGGTGTCATCTGTCTGGCCATCGCCATTGACCTTGTGAGCAGAAACTAACTTCACGTTGACGATATCCTCCTTCGTGTAATCCTGATATGTAGGCTGTGCTTTGATGAAGTATTTATCATCAACTAGCAAGGATGCAGGGCGCTTTGTCTCCCAGCTTGCACCGGTTTCATACTTCTCAGGAACAACAGTGCCCCAGACCCACGTGTCGACGTGCGGAGTTGCGGCCAATACGACCTTCCCATCGGAGTTGACGGCAATGGCGTTGGGGGTATCGTGCTTCAGGTTTTGAATAAGGAACTGGCTATTCTGGTTACCTGTGTCCTGCGACGAATCATGGAATCGAACAACAGGTCCTGTGTTGACAGCAGTGGAATCCAATAGCACCATACTACCGAGACCATTGCTGGTCATATCAACACCAGTTCCACACCCGTTGAATGTTGCGTGCTGGAGGAGGACTGTCCAACCGCCGACAGCGCTGAAACCGGTTCCACACGAGTTGAATGAGATGTTCTTGAAGTTGACCTGCTGGTTAGAGTTCTTGATTCCAATCGAGCCACCTGTGATTTTCTTTGGGATATTGTTAGATGATGTACCCTTGAGCTTTGATGTTTGTAGCACTCACCACATCCGTGACTGCGATAGTCGATCCTGCCTTGATGTCGATGCCAACATGTCCGACAGAAGAGGTAGGCATGCGAATTTCCAAGTTGGTCAGCCCCGAGCCTTGGGCAACACCCCACTGAAGAACACCGATCTTTCGACTGGGATCCAAGGCTGTAGTGTCCAGAATGATGTTCTTGAGTACAATGGCGAACGTTGTTTCTGGCTGTCCTGCTTTCGAGTCGTAACCCATAACAAGATAGTCACCATTGAAACCCTTTGCGGCCTTAAGGACCGGTGGGTTGAGCGGGTCACCAACGATAATCGTTCCAACTGTCAGATCAAGGGTACTGCCGAGTTGATAAACACCACCTGGTAGATAAACCTGGGCTGGATAGCGTGCTACACCTTGTCCTTTCCGAGAACCACCGGCGCCATCATCGTCGATCGCCTGTTGCAATCTCGCGGTCTGGTCTCCAGTGCCGTCGTTCACGACCGAGTAGTCCATGGCGTTTCGGTAGACAGGATAGTCTCCATTCTTTGCGTAGGGTGCGAAACCGGCACCGTGCTCGTTGTGATCTTGTTGGTCCAGCCAATACGCGCCCTGAGATTTTAAAGCAGGCTTCGCACATGTTTTTGAGGCTGGTGAGTGACCCTCTTCCTTGCTTGGCCTAGAGTGTCATAGTCAGCAACCATGGCGTTGTTCAGGTTCAGCAACACATACGAAGCTTTTGGTGTTGGGCTCGTGGCCACAATAGAAATATGGCTGGCTGAAGTCGAGGTGGGCTGGACTTCCGATGACGAGCTTGAGTCTTTCCATGGTCCCAAATTGGGATAGTTTTTCGTGAAGGACGATGGAAGACCTGTCGGTAATTCATAAGCGGTTGCCGTGGGTGGCGCGCCAGTCAGACCCGCCAACGAGGATGCAAGGTCCCAGTCAAAAGGAAAGTCTTCCTCTACAGGAGGCTCAGTGGCGTCTGACGGTAAACCATGCGACGCATGCAACGCTTTCGACGCCAACTCGGATGCACGAATTGAATGCAAAGGCACGGCATGGCCTGATACAACATTCACAGTAGCTGCCACAGCAGCCCAAGAAGCAAATCCCCGCATGATGATCCTCTCAACTTCAACTTCAGAGAGTATGAAGAAACTTTTGAAAGACGGATGGGCTCATGGTTATTAAGAATGACTTCCAAACAAATGTCAGGCTATCCGACAGTTACCATGCGAGATGTTCTGGTATGGACAGAAAAAAACAATCCACGACTGGAATGTAGTCCTCCGCTGTCTGGGCATCCTGAGTGGGTCGCTAGGAGAGACGGTGGTCAAGACCGCTACCCCTTGCGAGATCCGGATATCAATTCAAGAATTGTGTGCTTCCCTGAATCCCGCGCAAGCGGATGTACATACTACCTGTATTTCTCTGACAGTGGCCACACGATTTACGTACCTGTAGTATTCTATGTGTACTCTACATAAACATTTTTTGAATATCTCAAAGTCCAGGCAAGGAACCGTTCATATGTCAGTAGTATGAGGTTTAGTAGTGTGTGCCCGCGCGTGTCGTTTGAAATGAAGTACCTCGTATTTAAATATGCTTTACATTCGACTTTCTATTCATCGATCAAGAAACTACGTTGGAAGTCCGGACCAGTCGGATTTAACGTCGCGTCAACATCGACGGACACCCCCGGGCCGGACCTGAGCAACCCGACGTCAACCAACACCCATTACCATCTATCTACTTGAACAATGTATGTAGCAGCAAACCAAATCATCTATTCCAAGGTTATCCCAATGTCTAAGAAAGCAGGCCCGGCTGCTTACGCTTCAATCGTGTCTAGTGAGAGGACATTCACCTGTTCTTATACAAATAAACACAACTACGTAGCTTCACGAAAGCAACTTGTTCACAGTCTGAGGTCGCAGGTTCCCATTATGACAAACAGAATCACTAAATTGATGGTTCTAGGCCTGCGATAGAGCTTCGCAGACAGTGTCCCTGCCATCGGCTGAATATCGGTGTTTCTTGCACCACCCCTTGCATGTCAGAATGATCCTGTCGTCTGAGCAGCCAACGCCCGCATACCACCGATACCTAGGAGACGAAGAAGGGCATGCTTTTTATCCTTTTTCCGCCCTTTTTCGTCGCGATTACTGCCTTGAGGGTTTCCTGTACTATGACACTCTACCATACATAGTTCCTTGAAATTGACTTGACGTCACAAGAAGACGTTCCAAGATTGATCCCGACCTTTGAAGCTGTGCGAGTGCCCAGTTGTGAGCTTCATATCCCAACGGGCAGAGTGGAGTCAATTATATTAATAGCTTGTGTCAAAGTGGTATGTAGTGGTACTGCTAAAAATGATATTTATCTTGCGGGACGTACCTAGTGACAGATGCCCGCGGATGCCATGCACCAAAAATGTCTATGTGTGTACATCCTTGTGTCTGTGGACCGCCTGTACAGGTCTTTATACCCGCCCTAGAAGGCCTTGGGGTGTTTGCGCTTTTATTGCGAGTGCAAGAAGTCCACCAAACACGCATGTTGTTCCGCTCAGCACGGAGACTTCAGCAAATCCGTGGTATTTGGTCACAAGAACGCCATTGACTGGGGGTCCGATCAATGCAGCCATTGAGGACACTCCCAATGCCATTCCAAGGTAGGTACCTGTGGTTCTGGGATCCGGAATCAATATCGAGAGTGCAGCTGTTGCTCCGGAGATGATTGTCCCAGACCAAAAGCCGAAGATGACCGAATACACAATCAGAGCTGCGTTTGATTGGGGTTTGTTCATGCAGAATATAAGAACCCCAGTGATGATTCCACCGACTGACAAAACGTTCAATCGACCAACCTTGTCTGCCAGTACACCGGGGATGACTCGACCAAATGTTGAAGCAGCATTGAGAATTGCTACTAGATATGAGGCGAGAGTCGCATCCATGCCCCGACTAACTGCATATATCGGCATATAGAACAAAGGAGTGAAAAATCCGAAGAACATGAAGAACATTGCCGAAACAAGGAGGCAAAAGTCGATCTTAGTAAATGCTGAGGGCAAGTAAAACGATGTCTTTCGGGGCGGTAGCCGGGCTTTCACCGTCAAGCATGAAAAAGCCAGCAGTGGAGTGACGACAAATCCAATGATTCGTACGGACCACCCGAACCCAAGTGATGTGCTATTGAGCATCTTCGAGAGAGCGATAGGAATGACGACTCCACCAATAGACGAACCAGCAACTGCCGCACCCAATGCTGCTGCAATATTCCTATCGAAATACTGCATCACTGCCGCCATTGAAGGGAATTGCAGCAGGCCCATGGAGATACCCAGTAAAACTCCCTGTGCGAGCATAAACTGCCAGTACTTCTCACATAGACTCGTCATCATGAGAGAAAATACGTAGGCTACTGCTGCTGGTCGGATAACCTGATCCAATGTTAGAATGGTTTGCCTTTGATAAATATTTGTTGATGATGTACATACCCAAGCCCCGTATCGATCAAATAACGGACCGCCCACAGCTCCTGATGCGAGCTGAAGGAAGGTCGACAGAGATCCAATCCATGCAATTTTGTCCGCTGGTTGATCTTTCAACTGATGTGATAAGTAATATTCTTCGAAAACACCGAAGGAGTTGGCGAAACCAAGGGCTGCGAAGAAGGTGAAAGCAGCTCCGGCCGTAGTGAGCCACGCTTGAAGACCGCCATCGGGGGCCTTGTCGAAATCTTCAGGCTTTTCATTGCTACCTTCACTCGGAGGAAGTGTAAAGACATTGACTTTCTCGGTTACGTCTTGTTCGGGTTGTGATTGATCCATGGCCAGATATATAATGAAGTGTCCGCCAAAGAACAGCAAAATCTCAAAGCTGAGCTTTGGAGTTATAATCTAAAGAAGCAATCAAAGTGAAGCAAATACAATGACTCTGAACTCCAGACTATCCATAATCCATTTGCTTTTATAATTCCCCCAAACATGCGTTGTATACTCGCGGAGCGGGATCGGAGACGGAGAATTGCAGACGAGACGGACCAACAGTGCAACCCCGACGGAGATAACGCCGAATGCCACGACCCTCCTGCCATGGGGGCCATTTTCCCCGGTGAAAATGTCCAACTTGTAAGACTGATTCTTCAAGATCGACGCGATGGACCACACAAACAATTCAGAGGGTGCGTTGACGGCTTCCGGAACGAACCCTCGGCGCCGAAGGCCGCCCGTGTGAGTCTGAGTAACTCCGATGTTTTTGTGGGCTCTAACGAGAACACAGATCCTGTTTGCTGTGTCGCCAGCGGAAAATTCGGTGCAACAGAGAGGACCCATGTAGTAATTGTGCCCGGGCCAAGAATGGGAAGTGCGTCTACGAGTCCGCTCAGTCACCTCGACAGCAGCGCAGCGGGCGGAATGAAGGGCAACCATCGCAGTCGCAGTCGCAGTCGCAGTCTGGGCCTACCCAAGCATCTCAACCACCGCATGAAAGCGTGATCAATTTCGGGAATTCTCCCCCCGAAACCAGACCAACTATCTCCAGCGGGGTTTCTCAAACGGCACCTAATGGTTCCACACCCCCAACTCCTGCCACTCACTCGTCTACCTCCGAGATCGAGAGGTTAAAGACCAAGGTCCGGCAGCTTGAAACACAGCTAGCTCGATCGGAAAGGGGCTCTTTAGAATCATCTGTCCCAACCCCGGTTTCTGATTACGAAACATTACATTCTCATTTGGCTGGGACATTTCAGTTCCACAATGAGAGCTTTCCTTCAAACCAAGGCCTAACAATTCGACGCAGCTTCCTTCACAAAAAGAGATGTTTTGGCCAAAGCCACTGGATAAGTAGCATGGCGCTGGTGATTATTTGGAAACATCCAATTCGCGTAAGCATGGCTAATCTGGTGACTAGTTTCGTGACATCGTTGTATCGATAGAGCCATATCTGATGGAAGAAGGCTCCAAGGCCCTCCTGGGGTTGCAGAAGTGCAAGCATCTCGGGCGCAAAATCAAGGCCCAACGTACTCCCCAGTGGCCTGTACCAATCACCAAAGAATTACCGACAAAGGATATCTGTGATAGACTCTTGGACGGCTATCTTCGAACCTTCGAAACAGTATACAGAGTACTGCACGTGCCCTCATTCAAGAAGGACTACGAGGTATTTTGGAGTTCAGAGGCGCGCCATGATCCTCTGTTCTTAGTCCAGTTGAAATTAGTCCTTGCTATCGGATGTGCAACATATGACGACCAAATATCGCTACGCTCGTCGGCAGTCCACTTCATTTATGAAGCTCAAACCTGGCTCTCCGAGCCTGAAACCAAGTCCCGACTTGGAATACCATTTCTGCAGGCGCAAATTCTCCTTCTCGTGGCAAGAGAGTTGTTAGGCGTAGATGGAGGAATGATCTGGGTTGCAGCCGGGACACTTGTCCGAACTGCTGTGTATATGGGACTACACAGAGACCCAATCCAGATCCCAAATATGTCAAGGTTTGCGTCCGAAATGCATCGCAGGCTGTGGAACACCGTGCTGGAGATTTGCCTCCAATCGAGTATGGAATCCGGGGGTGCTCCGCTCATCTCTCCCGAGGAATTCGACACGCAGCCACCGGGGAATTTTGACGACGACGACCTTTCCGTCGAACACTCTTTGCCTCATCCAGAGACTCAGTTGACATCTGCATCAATGGCGATTAACCTAAGAAGGACGTTCCCCATGCGACTCGCAATAGCCAATTTTTTGAATGGTGTTGATATCCAGAGCTCATATGAAGAAGCCATCCGGCTCGACGCGAAGCTGAGAGTCGCATATAAAGAGATGCGTCGAACCATTCAGCTGTATGGAACAGCAGCTGGCCAATTCGAAATATTGATGCTCGACTTTCTCATCCGCCGTTACCTCATTTCATTGCACATTCCCTTTTTCGGGCCGTCATTTCTGGAAACAACCTATGCCTTCTCCAGAAGTGTTGTGGTTGACACTGCGACGAAGATGTTCAACTGCACTCAGAAGACATCCACTGCCATATCAAATTCATCCGTGAATCGAAATATGACATCTCCTCAAACCGACTTTGGGCGATTGACAATGTGCGGCGGGTTCTTCCACACAGCGCCTATGCATTGCACTTTTCTCATAGCAGTGGAGTTGCGAAATCAAATTCTAGAGGAAGAGGGTTTGGGCCCTGTCTGTCTGAGACCAGACTTAGTGTCTGTGCTCCACGACGCTCAAACCATGGCCTTAAAAAGTATTGAGCTTGGGGAAACTAATATCAAAGGGTATCTTTTCATGGCACTTGTCTCCACTCAGCTCGATGCTCTGATGCAAGGGATAGCGAGAGAGGAGATCCCGAAGCTGCTTATCAAGGCAGCTGAGGATGTCGAGGAGAAATGCCTGTCAATTCTCGAGGTTATGGCGGCGAAGGGCCAGAAAGAAAACCCTGGAGTTTCTACTGAGGCTGTGTCTGGAACCTCGTTTCCCGATATGGGCGATGGTTGGGACTTCATGGTAAGCCTGAGATTGAGTATTGCCTTCTCGCCTATCGCGCTGACCTGTCCCGATCAGATGACCGATGGGAGTTTCAACTTTGCTGATATGGACCTTCCGAGCTGGGTCTTGGGTAGTGCACCATTCGGCATACCTTGAGAACCCTCAATTTATCCCCCCGGATATAATCACACAGCCCGATAATGCCCAGAGAGATGATATTCAAAGGTACAACCAAGTTTCTCCTAGTGTGGACTTGTTCCAAGGGGGACCTGCGGATCTGGGTACTCTTTTGTGATCGCAGCGATACAGGGCTGTATGGACCCGAATTCTTATGGCGACGAGTCAACGCTTCAGTTATAATGGTGACCGTGGATGCAGGGACTCTTTATCCGTTGTGTGGCGGTGAGGTCGAGACCCGACAAATGAGAGGAATTGATGTCCGATATGGCAAACTGTCAAGCCCCCGGGGCTCCTTTGCGGGCCGTTCAGTGGGAAAGGCATTCAATTCCGCACATCGACGGAGTCTTGAGGGTCGAGAAAACGACCATTGCTGTCTGATTGCGGACCATGGTTCACGGCGAGACCCCAGTCACGTCTCGGTGAGCTCATCGTGGCTCTCTACTCGGAGCCCAAGGGTCGATGATTTGAAAACTCCGAGCTGTAAGAACCGGCGGAACATTTGACCTTGCGAATCAATTCACCCCTGGAGTGAGACAAACCTCGATGTCAGCAAAGAATTGAATTCGACGTCGTCTTCATGTCGGAAGCCTCATCCCTTAGCTCCTTCAATGACGATTCGGATCCAGACAACACGACATCATCCGAAATCTGGCAGGATGCACCGCAGATCAGCCCTCGAGAAGAGCATAGTTCTCCTCGGGTTCGATTTCGATCCAACCCTGGTTTCACGCGGAGTGCCCAGCGTGACCAGCCCAGGGAAGGTCTTCGGGAAGAATGGGAGCGCTCACAACGCCAGGGGGAGCCCCATCGGCCAACCACGCCTTATGCCCACGAGTCTGCAGATATCACCGACACCCCGTTGAAAGATCGCGAACCACAAACCGGACAAACCATGGGTGTACCGGGCATTGACGTGATAGACCATACACAGAAAGAAAATGAAAACGAAAAGAAAACCCAAGATCCGGACCGTCGTCGCACTACGATGGAGAGGTGGCGTAACGTAACGCGAAACTGGAAGCAGAAAGCGTCGGACTTTGGCGATCGCTTGGGTCGTCCACAATCTGAGGGAGACGACCTTTCAGTGGGAAAATACCACGCGGACTGGGCCACTGGGGGTGAAGGTGCGCTCTCCGACATGACAGACAATAAGCACAAGACCTCTGAAGAAAAGAAACGCGATCAGATCCACAGCAGTTCCGAGGCACATCGTCTTGTTCGAGATCTGACTCAAGATCATTCCCAAAAGCGTCGCAAAGGTCGGGGAAAACCATATCCTCATCCTGACAACGAGTTCAAAGACGAGGAGAATGAGACGGGTCTGGATGCAAGTCTGAGATATCGGTCCGGGGGTGGCGGTATCCTGTCGCAACTGATCAAGTTAAATGGTGGTCAGCAACCTGGAGCCGAAGAAAAATCCCAATCATCCACGGGCTCATCAGTCCAGTCCTCTAGCTCGTCGACTAGCGCGCCATCGGGAGAAAGCACAGGCGTGACAACACCGCGAAAGGGAAAGCCAAAATGGTACAAAAAAAACCAAAACACTTCCAATTCAACTCTGATTGGTGGAGGTCCTGGCACTTTTAGCGGCGCAAGTACTCCAGTTTCGAACGAAGTCCTCTCTGCAGCTTCAAAGCGTCGCGGCCAAGAGACCGCTGACACACAAAGTGGTTCTCGCAACGTTCGCCTAGAGGACGAAATCCGGGTGACAGTCCACATTGCCGAGATCATCTGTCGGCAGCGATACATCATGCAGCTATGCAGGGCACTGATGACCTTTGGCGCTCCAACACACAGACTGGAGGAGTACATGCAGATGACTGCGAAAGTCCTCGAAGTCGATAGTCAATACTTGTACTTGCCAGGCTGCATGGTCATGTCGTTTGATGATCCGTCGACCCGCACGACCGAGGTAAAACTGGTTCGCGTCGCTCAGGGAGTGGATCTGGCTCGTTTATCCGACACCCATCTTGTGTACAAAAACGTGATTCATGATGTGGTGGGCATCGAAGAAGCAGTCCAAGAGCTTGATGGTATCATGAAAAAGAAACCCCGGTTTCCCAAGTGGATCGTTGTCTTGGTCTACGGCCTTGCCACTGCCACCGTGGGCCCGTTTGCCTTCAACGCTCGACCAATCGACATGCCCATAATATTCCTAAATGGGATCCTGGTTGGGCTGATGCAGCACGTAGCGGCACCTCGCTCTGTGTTATATTCGAACGTTTTTGAGGTGACATCGACCGTGGTCACATCCTTTCTGGCACGAGGCTTCGGCAGTATCCCACTCAGAGTAGTGAATGGAAAGAGAGAATATCTTTTCTGTTTTTCAGCTATCGCACAGGCCTCCATCGCATTGATCCTCCCGGGGTTTCTGGTATTGTGCAGCAGCTTGGAGCTACAATCGCACCAAATCATTGCGGGATCCATTCGGATGGTCTACGCTCTTTTATTTTCGCTATTTATTGGCTACGGAATCACAGTTGGAACTACGATATATGGACTGATGGACAATGGCGCAGTCTCCGATACCTCTTGTCCTAAAAATGGCGCGTTCCAAAACCCTTATGTCCAGCGATTCCCGTTCGTTGCAATAATGACTGTCTGGCTTCTGATCATCAACCAAGGGAAATGGAAGCAGCTTCCACCCATGAGCATCATTGCATTGGCTGGGTATATCAGCAACTACTTCAGTACAAAAAAGTTAGGATCAAACTCACAGGTCGCCAATACCGTCGGCGCATTCACAATCGGAATCATGGGAAACCTGTATAGCCGACTCTGGCACGGACACGCTGCGACAGCTATTTTGCCAGGCATATTCATTCTCGTTCCATCAGGGCTTGCTGCAACGGGGTCGTTGATCTCGGGTGTCCAATCCGCAGATGAGATTCGTCAAAATATCTCCTCCCATGGCGCAGCAAGCACATCTCCGGGAGCTGGGCTACAGTCTAGCAGCTCTGTTTTCAGCCTGGGATTCGGTATGATCCAAGTCGCAATTGGAATCACCATTGGCTTGTTTATTTCTGCATTGGTCGTGTATCCATATGGCAAAGCTCGCAGTGGGCTGTTCAGTTTCTGAACTGCTGGTACATCTGCAGATAGCTTGATGTCTCATAAGCATATCGATTTCCACATAGTATTCTATGTCCTATAGCAATTTGTCCGAGGGTCCTTATGAAAGATAACCCATGTACAGTTCTCTTAAATGCTTCCTAGTAGACATCAGAAGACACGCCATGACCATGTCTGTGAAAGCACACCGTTGAGAGGTGTCAACTCTCATTGACTTCTCACTTCTCAAACAGATGCCACTGAAGTCGCGTGGAGCTACCATCTATCTCCCACTTCCTACTTTCTTTCTTCTCCTCTCCTTCACTTCTTTCACTCTCCCTCTCACGCATCATATTCCCTCTCATCCTCTCATCCCCTTTGTGGACCTTGACATCCCAGCTTCAACGCCATGGCGAGACCTCAGATCTTAAACATGGCTCGTCTTGCCCTCAAAGAAACATGGTTCTACGTGCGGTCACTATTCAGCGGACTGGAACGGCCCTCGAAGCCAACCACCGACACAACCAAGGAGAAACCCCTCGAAACCCCACGAAACGCGCCAATTTCCAGGCTCCCAGTGGAACTCGTCCTTGAAATTGCACGTTATCTTTCTCCCTCTTCGAAAGGGTGCTTGGCTCTCACCTGCAAAACACTCTGCGCCTGTCTCCTGGAGTACCAGAACATGGTGATACGGCACTTCCCCAAAGCTGGTATGGAAAACATCGTAAGCCCGGTGAACAGAGAGAGAGTCAGGTTTCTGCTCCGACTCGAAACTCCAGGACCAAGAGGCTGGAAATACTGCGCCAAATGCCTCAAACTGCACCGCCGAGATGAATTCGAAGATGGCAATTCCCCCACCACATTGGCTTGCAAATGGCCAGGCATCATCCGCATTTGTGAATGCATCCATTTCACACCTCGGGGTATCGTCAAGCTCGCCCACAAGCTCCAAGCCACCCGTGACGCCATCACCGGGGATACCAGAATTATGAAAACCATCTCAAATTGGCATCAATGTCGGTGGAAATCTCCAGAATTACGCGGAGTGGTCCAACGCACCGACCTTTGGATGCTCAGTATTTCCCTTGCTCTCGACGAGGAAGGATGTGTCTTGTTTCGCTTCAAGTACTTCATCCGAGTGCGACAGCCGCAAACCTTTGTCAGTGAAAAAATCACTCTCGATTCCCACTCATGTGTTTGTGGAGGCCAGGCGGTGCCGAAAAAAGTCACTGCCTGTCCCTCCTTCTCATGCGGGATGTGCCGGGTCCGTCAGCCAGGATATAGCGGTCCGTGTAAGCCCTGTTCGCTCGTCTCGAACCTCGTGGTGGCTGCATGCTGGAATTGCTATCTGGATCCTGTGATCCATGTTTGGGAAAGTGGTGGGTGGAACTACTGTTTCATCGAAGTCGCGACGATGCACGTTGTACCGAACATGGATCTTCCCCCTGCGCAAGAGCGGAAGATTGTTCTCAAATAAGGGCCAAACCACGGTGTTTCTCTGCTATTTCAACCTATCTGTCTCCGACACAAGCCCTCCCTTTTCATCTCGGTGTCTCCGGGTTTGTTTATGTATGATTCAGTGCAACGCATCATTTGCTTTCCCTCATCTGCCCTAACGGAGCCACCCGAATACCTGCCCATATTGTTATCCCGCCAGACGTTGCTTCATTGATCTTGCTTATTCTTCGCTTATTCGAATATGAAGTTTTCCTATCTATCTTGACGAGTATCTTGCGCTGCACCAAGTCATTGAGAGCCATAGGTACAACAAAACACCAGGTAAAGTAGTGTTCTGCTGATTGCTTGTGAGTCTACCTGAGTCCTGAGGGTAGAATACCTCGGCTTTTGAAATCGTTCGGCAAATAACACTTTTCATTTCATATCAATCATACTGCGCCAACCAACCCCTTGAGAGATCTTACATGGCTATTCAAAATCCTGATCTCCCACCCACTAAGCAAACTTCAGCCTCTCCTCTGTCCATCCAGGCCTCAACTCCTTAGTATCGAAGGAAGCAACATCCAACGAGCTATCCGCCACATAGTTGACTCTCCAATCAACACCAATTTCAGCACCCTCCTCAGTCTGCGCCCAAACAGCAACAGAAATCGTGTTGGTTCCCTTGTAGTCCAAAACACCCACCGGAACAGGGTAAACAATCTGGTTTCCAATATAAGGATGGTACCGACCATACTGGTAGCCATTGACGAAGAGCTGCGCACGGTACTTGTTCGTACCAGAGGGCGTGGAAAGAACAAACGAGATGGAAATATCAGTGCCAGTAGGCAAATCGAGATCAACAGTCGTGCGGAAGAAGCGCACCGAGGCACCCGTGAAAGAAAGGGAGTCGGCGCTTTCCCATTTCGAATCATCGAATCCGGGAAGATGCCAGCCGACACGCTCGCCGAAGAGGCCGTCTTCGTTGTAGACTCCGCGGACGGGGTCGAGGTCTGATTCGCCGCCTGCGGTGCCGGCGAGACGCCAGTGTGTGAAGCCGGTTTCCGAGCCGAGGAGGTTGGCGTCCATGATGCCGCGGGGGTTGAGGGCACCGGTCGTTTGATCGTGGCCTGTGTCGTCGTGGACGATAAGGAGGACGTTGGGGGTTGTGATGCTGAGGGTGGCGTTGGCGAATGACAAGGTCAGGTTGGCTTGGGCTGTGGTGGCATCGCCTAGGTAGGAGGTGAGGAATTCACCGTTGAGCCAGGCGGACCAGCCGCTGTGTAGTGTTAGGGATTGGTCTATGGCTAGCTTGGTACATTGTGATGACTTACAATGCAGTTCCTCCCTGGACGTTGATGAAGGCGCCTGTAGCTGTGCCGTTGAAATATCCGCGCCAAAGACGGACGCCGTTGTGGAAGCCATACTGGTCTGCGTAGAGGACAGGCAGGCTGGTTGGAGTTCGGGGGTTGAGTGTTGTCATGTGGTTCGCGTCTGTAGATGTCAGCAATTCGGCTCGATGAATTATGCTAGAGACAAAACTTACCAACCCAGGCTTCGCCGGAGTCATCGTATGAAACCAATCGCTCGGGCAGACTGTCATTGGACTTCCATGAAGATAGAGCGGGCAATTTCACAGACTTGGGGGCCTTGAGTGAAACCTTGAGACTTCCATATTCGGTCGAGTGAGCCTCGACCTTCTTGCCGTTCCATGTGATTGACTTCACAGTCTTGGGGGCGAATACTTCTAGGGAAGTGGCATTGACCACATCACCAGTAATGGAAAGCTTGTGGTCAGAGATCTTGGCACCACGGACAAGGTATGGTCCCAGAACGAAGACTAGAAAAACAAGTCAGACTTTGAATCTTTGTGATAAGCTTGCAGTACTCACCACTTTCAGTCTCAGGGACGAATGGATCTTCGGTGATGGCAGGGGCCCAGAATTCGTAGGCAGATGTTCTATCAATAACAACGACTCGGATGTCATTGTCCAATTCCAGAATTGTAACACCCTTGGACTGAGTGAAGGAAGTGGTCAAACCGCCGTGCTCCTTCACAAACTTGACCTTCGAGCAGCCTTCGCACTTCTTGATCGATCCCTTCTTCACACCCTTGATGTTAAACTCACCCGACTCGCCCGTTGGAACCCAAAGGACCAGAGTAGGCTTCTTGTCAAAGACCTCGTAGGTAAGAACCTCAGCAGTGGAGTAAAGGAGCTTCTTCCCGCCGAATGAGAAGTCCGTCACGATGATCTTGGACTGGTGTCCATTCAATCGGATTGAAGCAGCACGCTTCGGAACATTCAATACTCCAGCGGAAGTGTTGACCTTCAAGTGGAAGGCTTCATTAGTGGAAATAGAAGTGTTGGTGTGGAATGTCGCATAGAATCCGGCGTTGGTCTCCGGGTTTCGAAGTTCAAACGCCTTCACTGCCTTGTTGTCCGTATACTGTGTTCCATTGCCAATCAGATCAGTCATGATGAGATCGCGGGCAGAACGGGTAAACAGGGCCAAAAGCTTGGTCTCATGGTACTTCGACCAAATGGAGCGGTCTTCAGAAATAGGGGCCGAGTAATCATAGCTAGTCGCTGTGACGGGGGCAGCCATTGCTCCGTGGTTTTGTCCGCCAAACATCATGTACAGAGACATGGCTGTCACGCGTTGTCCGATGTTCCAGCGGTAGAAGAGGTTGGCGAAGTCATCACCAATGTCTCCGGGGCAGCCACCTTCTGGTCCGCCCCAGGGGTTGTAAGAGCCGCCCTGGAATTCGGGCATGAAGCCTGGCTGATTGGGCTGGGATTCTTGAAAGTAGCTGTAGTAGTCCATCACCTGGAAGGGGACGTAGGCACCGTTTGTGGAGGTGCACTGGCTCAAATCGCAAGTCCAGCACTGGGAAAGTTAGCGGCTTTCATTCTGGTGTTGACGTATAAACATTACTCACCGAAGGGTAGGAGTCGACACCTGCGACATCAACGTTGCCACCCTCGTCGGACCAATCCTTGCCCCAAGAATGCGAGTTCATGTTGGGATCATTAGCCGTCAAAGGAATGGTGATACCATTCTCCCTTGCGTTGGCTTCAAGCAACTCCATGTAGTGGATGGCAGTGTCGTTGGGAACACGAAGGGAAGCCTCAGAGAGCCACTGGTTTCCATACTCGTTCTCAATCTGATAGCAGATCGAGTTATGACCATCTGTGACTTGATACTTAGAGGTAATAGTAGTCACATCCGTGAAGTAAGGCTTCCAGGCTTCGGTGTACCGAGTATCATTGTTTCTCAGTGTGCCATAATCACCCGTGGTGAGCCAAAGGGGGAAGCCACCAGCATTGGCTTCAGCATTGACGTATGGGCCAGGACGAACGATGATATACAAGCCGAGCTCCTTGGCGAGCTCGAAGATGGGGACAATATCGCGAGCACCAGTGGTGAAGTCCACTGTGCCGTTGTTTGGGGCGTGGTATGCCCAGCTGGAGTAGAAAGCGAAAGTCGTGAAGCCTGCTGCTTTGATTTTCTCAAGGATGTCACGCCACAGGGCTGGAACGGGGATACGCCAGTAGTGGAATTCACCACTGAAGACGAAGATGCGTTGGTCATTGATCTGGAAGCTGTAGTGGTCCCACTGCACGACCTTGTTGAGGCCGTTGTCTTGGAGAGGCCATTGGGATGTCTCTTCCGTGGCCTGTGTCGACACGCCGAGACAGGCGAGGAACAAGAGCAAGCACTTGATGAGGCGCGGCATCTTGGAGTTGCCGCGGGATTGTGCTTTGGATATTCGAGGCGATCATGATCAATTTATGCAGTTCGGCAAGGATTGCTCCCACCATGCCACTCATATTGAACGAGGGGTACCCCATGCACGATTCAGCCACATCGATATTAGAGTAGAGACGCCGGTGTTTTGCCTGATTCTAAGCGATGCAGCGTTGTGGTTTTCCCCCTCCTGTGCCCTGCATTTGTCCAAGTTCCGGCATTGGATCTTGGGTTTTTCCGCCATTCACGGTACGGGCCTTGATGAATAGTGGAGGTTTCTCCGAAATTGGGGTGGATCGTGGAGAAAGATGGAGTGGCCAAGTTGCTAGCCCCGGACGTTAGGTAGCTAGGGATAGCCGAAATACTGTACACATTGTTTTCGAAGTCGGAACACACTGGTATTGTATAACAATTAAATTTAGAGACAAAAAATACAGGAAGCTTGGAAAAACAGGAGACGCTTCAATAGCATGAAAATCCAACAGCTTGATCAAGCCCAGCGGGCACTGCCCGCGAAGACGCATGGTGAAAACCACTTTAGTAATTTTAAATCGATGAGATCGGCACTTTTATTTACCCCCAAACTCCGGAGTTATGCGGTGCGCCAACGCACAAGCCAATCAGGCATTGTTGTCCAGGACTCCGAAAGGATTCTCTCCCTTAGTGTTGGGAGAAGGCGAACCTTTCTCGGCCTTGGACTTCTTAGCACCCTTCTTAGAGGGAACAGGGGCAAATCCCTGTTCCGACTCCGAGCGACCTGCCGAAGCCGAAGCCGAAGCCTTCTTAGAAGCCGCAGAGCGCGTTCGGACCGGGGAGTCCGGTGCGGGGGCCGAAGCCTCGGCGATCTTCTGCACTCGAGCCTTCATCACCTCGTCATCGGTGGTGAATTCACTGTTCTCGCCCTCGATAGCAGCCTTGCGAATCTCGCGGCTGAGACTTTTCAGGGCTTCCATACCAGCCTTCTCGGCCGCCTCCATGTGGGTGGGCTGCTTGACGCCAGGATCCTTGCGGTTGAGGTAGGAGCGCACGAAGAATCGCGCAAAGAGATAAGTCAACGGGAGGAGGTAGGAGACGTTAAGCCAGATGGCGAAGGCTTGGCCCGTGGTGTCCATGCAGGTCACCATTTCCTGGGAGTAGCCGGACTGCTGAACTGGGGCGGTGCCGAAGGTGCCCACGTTTTCGGCGATACCCTCAGCGCCTGCGGCGCGGAAGGCAAGCTTCTTCAGCCAGGGAAGAGCACCGGTCTCGGAGCTGACGGCGGCAGATGCGGCGGCAGAAATGTCGTGCAGGGCTGCGCTACCCGAGGGGTAGGGGATAGTGTAGTGCACGAAGAGGTATGCGGCAGCCATGTTCGTTCCAAAAACGAACTGTGTGATTTGCATGGTGGTCAAGCTGCGCTTGATGGGGTTGGGGACGCGGATACGGAGGGCAGTGATGGTATAGTAGGTGTACTGGAGAAAATTCCAAGTTAGCCAACACGAATCGAACAACCGGCTTTTCTTATCGAAGCTTCACTTACCATCATAGCGTGGATAGCCGAGTTCACCAAGCAGAAGATCCAAATAGGAGCAGCCATGTAGCGGATTCCAGCCCACATACACATCATAGCTCCCGCGTGGTGGTAGGTTTGAAGAGTGGAGCTCTTCTTACCCTTGGCCAAAATAATAGCAGTGTCAACGACCTCGTAGAACTTGGACAAGTAGAAGATCCACCCAAAGTAGGCCAGACCCTGGTTCCAGAGACGGCCCACATCCGTGGGATCAGGCATACCATTGGTCAGGTGGAAGGAGGAATTGGGGATGGACCAGGTGTTGGTGATGGGGCTGTAGGTCGCAGCGTTGCCGTATCCACGAGGACCGTTGATCTTGCACAATGAATCGACCACCCCAACAAGACCGTGGGGATCGTCGCGATCGGGGAAAGAGCTGCTGAAAGCCTGGAACATACCCGCGAAGGTCCAGGCAGAGTATACGGCCAGGAAGACATTGTGGAGAACGACAAATAGCTTGAACAACCGGGTGTTGCTGAAGGCATAGGGCTTATATCCGCGGCTCTTGTTGATGCGGTTGATCAAGACCACAGTGATCGCATAGACGCTAGCGATAGTGATTGGGACGCGCACGTCGAGGAGCTGATTATATAGGTCATTGGGGATGTTGAACGGCTGTTTCCAGGTGAGGGTATCGACGTGGGGAGCCGGAATGGTCACTGGGAGCTCGTTGGGAGGGAAGTTGAGTAGGGAGGCCGGTGGCAGACCAATGCGCACAGTGGCCTGGCCGAAGTCAGTGGGCACGTCGAAGTCGTACATCGTTAAGAGAGAAGATTCCAAGGAAGAAAAAAAAAGTCGAGCTCCACAGATTAAGGGCCATGTTTAAATTCTCAACAAGGCAAGTCTCTACTGCCGATCTCTGCGGGTGTGGGGCTCAACGTTTGTTGGGAAAAGAACAGCCGAGGTCGACTTTCGCCACTGGGTGTTGTATATTCTCTGTACTGTAGACATGACAATCCCGGACATACAGCCCTGAAGGATGTATGTTATACTTCAAAAGTTGCACGGCATCATCTCGTACTACTAATCCACATCCTGCAGGTCATTGACACCACATGAGACTCACCGCATAGGACATGCAAATGTTTTGCAGGTCAGCAAACCATGAAAATGGGTTTCTGTAGAGCAACCTGAGACACTTGAGCAAACATGGGTATTAGACTGGCATTGGCACTGGCATTGGCACTATAAAACCCTCTAGGCAGCGTTGATTGCTGAGACGGGGAGCTTGGCAAGGCGGCCACAACCCCAAGATGGACGTGACCCCGGGGCCCCAAGCCCCAGATGACTCAGCCAGGCGGAAAATAAGGGCACATTCAATTTTCGGATGCTTCTTGTTGGGACAGCGAATGCCAGGGTCCCAACATGCTCATATGAAAGTTGCTCGATGCATATCACATGGGGCCTCGGTCAAAGGAAACAAGAATGAGACTACTAGTACGGAGTTCAGAGAGAGATCGACATGTCGTCATATCAAAATTGGATTTCATGTACTCTAGGAAGCGACGTGAAACTTAGACATACGATATATACAGCGCACAACACGCATCATCGGGGTTTCGTGCCATGCGGGATTGGGGGAGGCGTGGGGGATGGAGCCTCTACTGCGGGCGCGCGAATCTCCGCGCGCTTGGGCGGCGGCGGGGGTGCTTTCTTGCGCTGTGCCTGACCCTGGAGATCCTCCGCGGACGAAGCCTGCACGGCAGATCCGGGGCTAGGACGAGCGGGTGGGCGGGGGACGCGCTTATTGGCGTCATTGGAGAACTTCCGATCTTCCACAAAGGTGTTGAAACGCGAAGTCACTCCGCCCCATTTCTCCTTGCCCATATCGATCTTGTCCGCGTGGCGCTCGCGGAAATCTTGCACCGAGGATGAGCCTCGAGCGGGCTCTGCGGGCTCCAGGTTCATGCTCGAGGTGCTAGACTCGGGCCGAGCCGGCGGGGTCGGTGCTGCGGAGCCCGTCAGACGAGACTTGTAGTCGCTGAGCTTTGACTTTCCAGAGTCAATGGAGTCGGCATGGCGTTCGCGGAAATCACCGTATTTCTGTTTGCCGGAGTCGATTGTGTCGGCGTGGCGCTCACGGAAGTCACCGTACTTTTGCTTTCCTGAGTCAATGGTGTCTGCATGGCGCTCGCGGAAATCTCCATATTTTTGTTTGCCAGCATAAATCTTATCCCCGTGTCGCTCTCGGAAGTTTTGTATTGTTGACCCGCCTCCCGCTGACTGTGAATCTGTGGTTGAAGTCCGGGCAGGTGGAGGAGGGGCAGACCCCGAGCCAGTGTTCATCTGCGAGAAGCGAGACTGGAGCTCGTTCACGGGCGCATTTGCAGGCGATTGGCGGCCTTGTTCTCCAATTCCAAACCCTGGAACTGAGACCCCGGCGTTTGCCAAACGAGACGAGGCATCTTGATTGATGTAGTCGTGGGAGATCACCGGAGCCGGGGTGTATGCAGGGGGAGGTTCGGAGCTGGGAGAATCATTTCGGGCTGGGAGTCGTGGTGGAGGCTTTGGTGGCTTCGCTTTCGAAAAGGAATTTGTGGAAGCTGGGCTCGCTGAATCTGTACGACGCGGTGGCGGAGGAAGATTATCTGTAGACAGACCTGTTGTATTGGCGCGATAGGGGACCGGAGGAGGTGCAGGCTTCTGAGGTGCTTCTTCCTCAGCTGGCGCTTGCTGGTGATGTGTGTGTTGTGCTGCGACCTGGTCTTGGGATAACGGTTGCCCTAGGCCGCGGCGGTCGGGGGTTGTCTGGTTGGGCACGGCGGCTGCGCCGTGATAATTGATGTGTTTGGGGGGAGGTCCGAAAGATGATGGATCTTTAAGGGATGACAGTGGTTGGGAGACATGCTCAGATTTATCTGTGGAATCGGCATCCCTGCCCTTTCCCATCCACCCAGCCTAGCCAGCAAGTGTCAGTGCCATTGGCCTCAGTCCAAGCGGGGTCGACTTTACCACTTGATTGATTCCCTTAAAATCCCCACGCCAGCTTTCCTTTGCACCTTCCTTGCCCTTAGGATGCCAGCCATCCTTCATGACATTGCGAAAACCACTCATTTTTGCTGCAGAGTGTGGGGATGGAAGACGCCAAGTGGTTGGGGAATCTCCAGGCCGGATGATGACATCAATCACGTGTCACTGGGCCAATCGGGTAATTGATTGACAACTCAAACCTTCCCCGCAGCACCATGGGATCCGAGTTTAATTGTGGCTAAATCAACATTGTGTCTGTGTATAGTACAGTACTAGTGCTTTGTGGTGTACATGGAAGGGGTGATTGGAAGCAGAATGGTTCTAATCGAGGCCTTCTCGGAGAACCCGTCGACTGAGATCATTCTCAATCCATTGCTCAATCAACGCAACGCTGTCCCCGATGAGATGATCGTAATTTGCCCCATGCGGGATAAACATAGACTGATGCGCTTCAACCTCGTCCATATCTTCCATTAAGATCGGTACCCAATGCGTGTTGTCGTTATATTTCCAGTGGTGTGAAGGGAGAAGAATGAATTTACGAAGTTGCTGCTTCGGTGGATCTGTAGACTCCGAAGGTGTGATGGAAGCGCTTTCTGTGATGGACACGCTTTCAGACAGCGACTGGGTATCTTTGGGCTCTTCCAATCTGGGTGATGTAGTCTCTGTCTCGTCGGAACGTTCGGGCTTCTCTTCGGCGGCTTTTTCGGTTTCCGCGGAAGTATGAGAAGTATGAGAAAGCGTTGGCTCTAATGATTGTTCCCCGAGAGATAATTTGTCCATTGATGGGACTTCACTTGGCTGGGGGGAGTCAAGTGATGATTCTGACTCCTGTGATGGCGATTTTGCTGTGTCGTTCAATTGGCTGACGCTTTCAGAACTCTCGACTGGATCTTCGGACTCCTTGATATCACTTTCCCCCTTGGAGCTTTTAGACTTCTTTTCCTTTTTCTCCTTCTCCTTCTTTTCTTTCTTTTCCTTCTTTTCCTTCTCTTTCAACTCTTTAGGCTGTTTGGGGGGCTTCTTCTTTTTCTCTTTCTTCGGATGACCAGTACTTGCGGTGTAATAATTGACAAACCGCACCCTCTCCGGACTGGACTCGGCAGCCTCCAGGTCCATCAAATGCCGGTACCGGCGACGAAGCTCGGAATAATTGTTGACACACCCTGCGAATTTCAACGGCGACACAACCCGATCGATAATTGATCGTGTGAGATTGTTTTCATTCTTGTTGACGAAGTGCATGATACCCTTCAAGAAGCCTCGTTCCACCAAACGGACATCGTTCATGAACGGAGGATCAAAGTTGGGATTTGTTGTGGCCGGCTTGAAAGGAGTCTCTAGGCCCAATGACTCTTGCGCACCAGCTAACTCGTCGGTTGCCGGTCCTTTTTTAGGCATCGAGCCCATGGTGCCAGTGGGAACGACGCGAGGATGGATCCCTAGAAAGGGGACATCAAAGCCCACAACTCCCAAAATTCGGTGTTTCGCCCGCCCATATGTTTCTAGACGTGCAACATCCGCAGCGAGAATTCCACCAAGGCTGTGGCCCAATAGAATGACGTCCAAGTCTTCCGCCTCATGTGGTGAGAGCCTGCGCCAATGCGATTAGCTCCCATTCCGCTGTGAACTATATATATCACGGGGTCATTTCATCTTTTGATCACGTACCATGCGCTAAACTGGTCTACGGCTCCCTGTATCTCACCCTGTGACTTGTATCGGGGGTACATGCGCGTGTAAACCACGTGGGACTCAGCCAAGGAGGCCGTCAACAGGTCATGAACATGGGCCGGAAGATCATGGAAGCTAGCCTCTGAGCCCATAAATCCATGTATGTATATCAGTAGCAGTCTGCGGCGTGGGTCTTCATCCTGCGTTACTTCGTGGCGGGACAGTGACAAGTTAGATTGAGACTGGTTGGCACAATCCCGAATATTTCCCTCCATTGCCCCAAGGCGCCACAAAGCAGAATCCGAACAAGCGAAGTATCAACAAACTTCCGTTCCTGGGGGATGGAAATGCGGGGAGTCGGCGCAGGCCCATGGGTGAGTGTCGCGACGTCACTGGAAGCTTACCTAACGGCCCAGATTCCACCAGTTGACGGGCGGCCCTACTGTACGGCAGTATGTTGAATGATCAATACACCGCTCATCGATATATCACATCGCAGATTCTCTCTCCACTGCCTTCCAGGGCTACTAGGTATGGTCTGTACAGTGCTGATAAAGCTGGATTCGAAGATTCTAGACTTGCGATCTCTACGTTGAGCCAAGAAAGAAAGAAAAAAGCCGCGTGCAGAGAAAAAAACATATCTTCCACGGTTTCCAGAGGGCCGGAGTCAGGACTCCAAATGGATAATGATGCTAGTATCCGTGCTCGGATATCTTGGGCTTAAAAATACATACAATAATTTTGCAGGAGGGGGCCGCCTGCGTGAGAACGAGGATGAGCGGAGCCACCTTTGGTGGGTGATACTACAAAAACAAACTCCATGAACAACACAAGGGGTTTTCCGGGTCTATTTCTCCGGTTTCAAAAGTCCAAGCAGGTCTGTAAGGTTCTCCTTGGGCTGTGGTGGCAGACGGTATCCGTCTGGGACTTTCACCCAGCGAATTTGGGTGTCATTTTGAGAGTTTCGGACATTGGTTTCCTGGGTGGACGTTTGGGCGGCGTTCTCATTCACGGGGGTGGCACCAGTGGAGATCACACCGCCATCGGAGGGGACATCGACCCCATTCCTGGCCCTCTCAATGATGATTGGGAGGGCAGGCTCGTCCTCTCCTATATACCCTCTATGTTAGCCCTTTTTTCATAAATCTACTCCGTATAAGGTTTCTTTTTAGGCATATGGCGGGCTCCACAACTTACTCTTCCAAAACTTCCACCTTCTTCTTTCCCGGAAATACTGATTTGTCAAGACGACCTGAGGGCTCGACTTTCGCCTAACATACACGTTGACTGTCAGGTACATATGTACCACTGCGCCAAAGGAGCAGAAGCCAGCCAATGTACCCGATGGTGGGCAGAGCCGAAATTTTGACGCCCGGGGGGCTAGCTTGCTGGGCTTTGCGAATCACTTGTGCGTAAGCACGGAGCTTGGTGCGAAGCTGGCCTTCGAAGCTGGCCTTTGAAGGCGTCTTGGTCCATCGTGGCGGCAGCGGAGACTGAGTAGGTACTCGATGATGTCAAGTGTAAAGATGGTATAGTACTGAAGTGCCGGAGGTGAAGCAAAGGGCAAGTGTGCGGAAGTGACGGAAGTGAAATGAAATGAAGTTGAATCGAATGAAGTTGAATCGTGGAGTGAGCAAGTGAAGCTGAAGTAACGTAAGTCAAACAAGAGGCATGTATGTAGAAGCGACGGAAGTGAAGTAAGAGACAAATGTGAAGATAGTATAGTGTAGGCGTGTACAGAAGTGACGGGAGTGAAGTAAAAGACAAGTACCCCGAAGGGCACAACCGCCGGAAGCGAGGGCGGCTTTCTGTTGTGAACACTCAGTCTGGTGACCATGCCACGGAGGCTTTGTTGGACGCCACGGAGGGCTTTGTTGATAGATGATGCCGCGGAGGCTCGGTTGGTGAGGCGCCCCCAGAGTGATAGGCTCCGAGAGGGGAGGGGGGCCGAAGGCTTCAAAAAGAAACGGCTTTATCAAATATAGCAGAAGGGCTCAGAACCTGATCTGACAAATAGTTATACTGGGGACAAGAAGCTAAAGATGAAGAAGTTATTGTCGCCAGGGAGAAGGGAACCTCGGAAGGAAAAGAGAGAGGGAAGCTACGTAGTTCTATCCTACCTAGGAAGGAGGCGGACCTCACAACACCTTCCAATCGTCCGGCTTTTTCTCGGCGGCACACGGGGAGGTCGAATAAATGCTCTCTGAAAGAGCCCGAGAAGCAAGTAGTCCTAGGTACTGGTATATTCAATCAAGTACGAGGAACAGATAGAGCTTCCTTGGTTCAACTAGGTATACCCTAGAGTTGAAAAGTATATCACACATGAAAGTTACATATGAAAACCCAATCAACCTTGAAAGAAAAAGCTTTAGCTCAATCTTGGAAGACTTAACCCCTGGTACCTAAGGAGTACTTCAATGATCAGTTGAAGTGAGCCTTTGTGACAGTTATCGCTCTCAAAGATTGCCATTTTTTGGAGATACATCGTAAACCCAATGTCAAAGCCACGCCAAAGATCAGAGAATGAATCTCGATAGCAAATGAGCTAGATTCGGCTCATCCTTGGTCACTGTTCATCCCAAAATCGAATATGCAGCTTCCATTTCCTATTATGGCTCTGTAAGTCATAGACACCCCTCACTACTGCCCTGGGAGTCATGCTCATCGCATCATCCTGTCTGCATGGTCAGACCGACATCACGCTCTTCCCATTTCACCAGGCGGGATTCTATGCATAGAACATGATTCACAAGTCTTCAGTCAGTTTGGGAAACGGCGGTTGAACCATGGAAGGATATAACTTTCGAAAGCCAGGCGCCTGACTCCCCACAGCCTTAAGAAACATGTAGCCTTGTCATTTCCGCTTTCCCAACTTTTTTTCCCTCACTCTTTTACCGCTCCTCGATCCTCTTTCACAACCTTTCAGTCCGAGGAGTTACAAATATTCATCTCTTGGGCTAGTCGGTCTATAGAGCCCTAGGGGGTCTAGCAAGATGCATCTTCTGGATATTCATTTCCATCAGAATGTCTTTCACTGGTCATCTTCCGAAATTGCTGTGTGGTACAAGCACCACAGGTACTATTACTCTCCGATCAGAAACCTACTCACCGAGGATCAAAATCTCCGCAAGCAAGTCCAGCGTGAGGAAAGACTTCACAACCGAATTACGGCCCTACAAAAAGCTTTAGCGATAGAAAGCAACACGCCAGAGCTCGACGAAATAGCCAAAGAGCTTCAAGAGACACAGAAGACATACGCCAGCAAAGAACATGCACTCTATAAAGCAGAGTGTCTACTTCACCCGGTTCTCAAAGAGGCTTACATCAAACTAAGGCGTGATGCAACATGGTTTATGCGCGAAGGGTTAGTTCAGGATTGTGCGGACCGAGGCGGCTGTTGCGGCCGCCAATGTGGGTGCTGTTCAAAGAGGCATCTATCTAAGAGAAGACGAAGAGGAGAAGGTCATTGTACCACGGAGTGTGGATGCTGTGTAAGCTTTCGAGGGTACGATTTGCCGAAAGAGGAAAAGGACAAGATAAGCTCAGAGTTTGTTGGGATGCTCGAATCGCGACTCTCGCCTCATTTCATCAATTTGGCAAATGGATATATATCGCCCGCGAAACCACACGGCCTCGGCAAGATCGAGTCTTGGTGGAAGGAAATGTTCGGACCAGATTACTATGATAAAAAAGTCGTGTGAATACCTAGTACTACCTAGGAATATCTTCCAAGGTTGGTTTGCTTTAGCTTGCTTGAATGCGACCTCTTTGCTCCCGAGGTCAAGAATACGTGTGGTTTTGAAATACCTAGTAGGATGTTCCACTGAGAATGAAAGGAAAGGAAAACCAATCCAACAAAGCGTAGACGGGTTCTGCGAGGCGTGATTTTACTGCCTAGGAAGAATCAGTTCCGAGCTTTCCAAGGCTGCTCTGTCTTATCACACATATCACAGAATCAGTCACACTTCTTCCATGCCAGTATCATCATACTCACTCGATCAGCAAACATACACATTTGCAGGCGTATAAAAACTACACAACTACGGAGTTCCAAAGTTCAATTCATCCATTGATTGATGGCAACCTAGACCTGTTTTATTGAAACCTGTCCCTGTTCTAGCCTACTTCGAGGTATCAATCATGACCCAGGACCGTCCTGGTAGAAGAAAATTGCTTGGATTAAGCTTGGAATATACCTAAGTACCTAGGTGCCGACCTGCTGGAATTCATGATGGCTGAGACACTATCTACACCGTTCTTGGAGCGTTCAAAGTTCATTTGGGAATTCGGACGAAGAATAAATCGTAAAGCCATGATCGAAATTGATGGCCATCACCATACCTAGGTAGTTAATCTAGCCTCGCAATCCTGAGAAAGCCAATGCCAAAATCAAAACCGGGAGATACTGACTGATGCTCTGTGCCTAGGCACTTCCACGGCAGAAGGGTTCTCGAAAGCATCAGCTAGTCAAAATTAAAGGCCTTAGGATTTGACCTGCTTCGCCCTGGAATATAAAAAGCCATTCCTGTGTAGGGAATAGCTCCAGAGTCCAGGGGCACCAGTGTCCTCCATCAAACGATATACCAGATTCAGACCTATGCCCGAGGCTTCTGGAGCCCAGAATGAACGCCAGAGGGATTTGTGTTCGAAAATAACTTTGTGGTTATGTGGAGTTGTGTCGGTTGCGAGGCCCGGTATCCCGACGGCGCATTGAACACACGCCCCGACTCTTAAATCGCGCGAAACTTCAATAGTGTGAAACTGTCCTATGGTCGAGATCCAAGTGGAACGGAGGTCATCGAAATTTCTTAGTCGCGAGATTAAGTTCGGACCTGACGCGCGACCAAGGTTAAGATTCAATAGTTTGAGCGTGTCAAGGTTCCTGTGGATATCAAATTATCCGTAGATGAAAAGGCTGAGACAACCGGCGAGTCAACGGTCATGATAGGCAGGTTGGTTTTGAATCATGAGGGATATTCCCAGTGGCTAGCTAACTCATTAGCTTCAAATCCTTCGGTGCACCCATGACTAGTACCTGCATACCATTAAAAACAACGGTTTTCTCGAATGTTTCACTTGACTCGCAGCAAAACAAAAGTCCCTATCGAGTCACAACTCCCGAGGTCGTACTTATGCGCCCTCGTGGCGGCGCACCTACGTGATTGAGCTAACTGGTGGCGAACTACTCCGTACCCCTGTCTCTACGAGTAAACATCAAGCTCTCGAAAATCAGACGAACATGAGAACCGTGCCTTCATGCATGCATAACCTAACGTATCAAGCCCGTATGCAACCCTGATCCCAGCCTCGGTTGATGAAAGCCACAGGCGCACTCCAATGTAACAATGCAAGCTAGTTATGCCCAAGACGTACCTGGATCCAGTTACCCCCTAATTAAGGTTCCAGCCGTGAGTAAAACCGGATCGAAGGGAGTCTTTTATTCACAAGCTTCACACCTCGTATTCGGACACAGATTCCGTGTGTTTACGAGGGCGCGTTGCGCGCACGACCATTATTGCGACCGAAGCGCCCCCAAGAAAGTCGCCCCCAAGGTCGGGATCGGGTTCGGGGATGATCGTCTCTTCGGCCGAAGAGAGGTTTTTCGCAGAATGAGAATGAAATTGGAATCCCTCATAGGATGGAAGTGACCAGACTACTGTCCGTATCAGGAAATGATTAGCCAGGAGTAAAGTCTGTGCAGAGACAGAGGCTTGATCCACTTGGACAGTATGTAGAATGTACCACGACTGTATAGCATAAGATCATGAGCATAAAGTAGTAAATTGGTACAATTGACTACATTTGGAGAATCAACAACCAGGATCGACTGCCCTATGCGACGCAAAAATGAGAAAGAACAAAACCACATGAGAAAAACTTCTAGAAACGCGGTACCGCCGAATCGCAAACTTTGATTTAGTGCATTGCGCGGTCTTAATTTGGCCCCTGTCCTGTCTTGGTCTCATATCCGAACAAATTGCAGTCCGAAATAACAGGCGATTAGAATGTTTTCTGTACTCTATGGAGTACTCAAAGTGCAATGTCTTGAAATGGTTATATCAGATATCGGTAATTCCGGCCATGTTATGACCGACGGAAATTGATAATCGCGAGTTCCCACTTATCACGTCAGGCATTTCTCCACGCCGATCAATTCCCGACTCCAATTCCAGATTCGCACCGTCCACGGTACGAATATTGGAGAAAATGGATTCACAGAGGGAGAGCTCGGCAGAGTATCCGTGGCTCGCCATCAATTGATGGCATCTTTAGTTCCACGGGTGAATTGGTGATCCAAGTGGAGTGCAATTTAGTGGAATCTTGGCCCGATCCTCCAGCCTTTGGCGCGGAGCACAGAGCACAGAATGTACGCACAGAGCAATATTAGTGGAGCCCGCGAGCACCGACTTCGGGGCTATTCTAATTCAGGGTGGCAGTTTACGCACTGCGTCCAAATATGGTACATGGCGTAGTGCTGAAGCGAGGGGCCAATAGCATTACACTATTAGCATCAGTGAGCGCCTGCATATGCAACCCAAATTCGAGACTTTCTAGAAGCCCGATGCAGAATTACTCGAGACGAGTACTTAACCAGACCTTCAAAAATCCAGGCCAGGAACTCCAGCCGACCAATCATGTCTCATCTCGGGACTCCTCCGACGGTAGGATCTGCGCACTTTTCCTGACGCAAGGGCCGGGAGATCTGCGGGTCGCCCTCTAACCGTGTCTGGATAGCGGGTGGCCCGTTGCCTTTTGCCGATGATCTCAACTTTTGGAGAGGCCACGAGACCACTTCCAAGGTTGTACAGGGCTTTGTAGGCAATTGTACTATACAATTATGAAATGGGGTAAAATAAATGAGGCTCATGTTTGGACAATAAAAATTATCGATTTATGCATTTCGAGTAGCATTGTACAGGGGGGTGACCACAAAGAATAGAAATCCAGATCTAAATAACTCCGACCCTCTATACAGGTTTAGAAAAATGAAAAATGACTGCAAGAAAAAAGGTAAAACAAGGGGAACAACCAAAGACGGGGTATCAAGTCCGTCGGGACTTCGTATAATCATAAAACAAATAGGAAATTTTTGCGCTTTGCGTATAGCGTATAGCCTAGACATCTTCACGTGGGCGCACATGGGATGAACTTGACTGATTGGATGGGTATGTGCTGTTTCGATTGTCATACTCCACGGTCACGGTCATGTCCTGACGAATGCGCAAAGCACGAGCAGAGCCATCGTCACTACTCGCCTCATGCTCTTCGGGAAGGCTAACATCCGAGACCGTTGGTTTCTGCGGAGTAACGGTGGCGGAACGTTGGAAATCCTGCATGCTGAAATCCCCGGAACGCAAATGACTGGATGGGCCGTAGGGCGGAAGATTGGAACCGCCTTTGCTGGTCCAGGGTCCGGACTTGTAGCGATCGGTACCGCGTTTGGAGCCTCCGGTCCAGGACTTGAGGGCGGGGAATACATCGCGGAGCAGAGACCAGACGAGAGGGAAATTGGTGACGAGGATGGCGACGGTGGCTTCGCGGAAGTACCAGTTCATGTAGACGTAGGAAATCAAAGATGGGACGAGACAGTAGACCTTGTTGAGGACGGCGGCGACAATGACGAAGACTCCCATGCCGAAGAGCAGGATGAGGATGAGCTTTTGCTTGAGTGGGACGCGGACCTGCATTAGGAGTGGGATGGCGATGAGAAGCATGAAGATATCGGCGGAGATGGAGATGCAGCCTTGCACCACTTCGTAGTACTGGTAGGACGAGCACTGGTAGTTGGATGTGGGGACGGCCCAGTAGTCGGTCAAGGGACGGCAGATGAGGAAGAGCGACAGCTCTGTAGCGACGAAGCCGAGTGCGACATAGATGGCGATGTAGTTAATCCAACGTCTTTGCTTGAGTCCCTCGCTGGTGATGATGTTAGTGGATGCACAGGTGCAAGATGAGGTCCAGGTTCGACATACGTGATACGAGCGTAGATCACCAACATGCATGCCTTCAAGGCCCAGATGCAAAGGACGAAAGAGTGTTCAGACACAAAGACCCATTTACTCCCACTGACTCTCTCGGCATAAGTCTTGTCGGTCATATTCTTGATATCTTCGGGGGTCATGAGATTGGACCCTCCGCCAGAAGCAACTTGATTTAAGGCGACACATAGTAATGTGTACCAGACGACGGCGAAGAGCATAAGATAGTCATCCACTTGAAGGTTGCGAATACCTAGACGTCGAATACGGGCCGTGCTATCAGGACCAGGCAGTTAGTGACCGGCCATGCATGATCCTCATGTACTGTACTCACAATCGCAACACGGCGCCCAGCACGCCGACGCCATATAAGGCCCATGTTTCACGGGCAAATTGGACGGCGAAGTCGCCTCCTAGACCAGACATTGCAGCCCGCTTGTACCTGAACGAGGGATGGTTAACAAGGGGGAGGGGATCCAAAGGCGAGGGAATGAGAGTTATGCGGCGCACTCACATTTTATAAGATGAGCCGGGGATCTAAGGTCCTAAGTATCAAGGATTCCGATAGGCTTCGCATCTGACGATCACCGACCAGGGTATAGTGAGGATGTAGGGCACCAAAAGCCCCAAAGTGTGATTAAGCGGACTATTGGGATGGATGCAGGATGTGGAGGATAAAGGCTTATCACCACCGGAGAGATAGGATCATCGGTGACAGAGTGCAACCAGAGAATGAACTCTGGCTGGTGGAGAGGTTCCAAGGCTACGGGGTCTGTGTTTCCTTGGGTTCATTTAGTTTGGGAAATTGATCTGATTGCCGGCCTGTGATTTGTACCTGACACCATCGTCGGTGTTTGGTCCACTTCCTGCGCATTACATACCATGAACGCCTTCCAACTTCGGCCCTTGCTGGACTCAGCTGTGTAGGTTTCGCCGCGTCTCCAATTTAGTGTTGGCTGCCGGGCAGGAGAGTTTACCGGGGACTTGGCGTGGGACCTGCGAACCCCATCTTACCTACCTACTCGACTGGGTAAAGGGTGTAATGCACGATAGCCCTGCAGAGCATTTTCATCGAGCCGCTTAGGCGGCCGGGAAACTTAATCCTTCAGACACGCGAGCTGTAAGCGAAAGATAGGCGTTGTTCTTGCTCTCTACGTGCAAGGAAGGCGAGCGGCCCACTGTGGAGCTTCATGCTTACAAGGATTAATATATTCTGTTAATTGTGTGGGATTCACTGGCTAATTTCAAGAGAAATTGCAATTTTAACGACCACTCTCTCGAATATGGTTAGGCCTGACGGTACACTACAGCTTGCGGTCAACGCCCGTCCATAGCACCCGTGGGTGCAGTGGACTGAGTGGGACGGGAGTGGGCTCCCCAGTGTCATTGGCCTCTGGAGAGGCGGGCATCTTTAACTGAGTTTGGCGCTAACTCCAAGCGCAATAGGTGGATCGGGGCTGCATAGCATCCTGGTTGGCCCCCCGACTCTTGACTTCTGAGGGATTTAAAAGTGGATACTGGGGGATCCTTACTCCGTCGAGAGGGGCTCCGTCGACTCCTATGGAGAAGGGAGGCGAGGAGGGGAACACGTATACTGCATGAACGGGTACCCGATCTCTGAATTTTGGTCCTTCTGCGATCCAACGACGTAAAATGTACTGTACTAGTACTACATATTACTACAGTACTAGTAGTAAGAGTGGAATCGGAAGCCTCGGGAAATCTGCGTCATTATATGTAGATTTCTCCCAGAGTTCTCGCTAAACTTGGTTGCTCCGAAGCAAACTTTGTTCAGCATTTGAGGTTAATTTACTCGAGATTATTTCATAGCCTATAATTATCCTTGAACAATCCTTTATACTATACTACTAGTAGTAGTACCGGAGACCTAGCCCTGTGTGTACACAGACTAGTAGTCTAGATGCGAGATCTTAGAGTCTCCACCTTCAGCTGGACTATATTCCCCGAACGCCTGTATCGCCGAGAGATCAGGATCAAATCTCCATTGTTTCTGATTTATGAACGAAGTTTCGCATGATCCTTCTAGCCTCCTGGACTCATGCTCCCCCGTACACCGTATTCCTGCGTGGCGTGGCTAATATCCAAGACCCAGCAGTCGTATGAGGACCTAGTATACGCTGCGGAGTACTCCGTCCAGTCTTGCGTGCACCCCCGGTCGCAGTCGCATTAGTCTACCAGACATAGATTATTTGTTTCCACTTTCCCTACGACTGGTTTTCTAGACCACGAGCACTAGGCAGGTGGCATCCCAGAGTGTGACCGTAGCCAGCCATAGGGCGAGCCCCTTAGTTTATTGCTGGACCAAGTAGGTTAGGACTTGGGCTTGTTGTCTCACAGAATTTTCACGCGCTGAAGTTAGATGGGGGAGGTCTCCATAGTGACACATGAAAGGGGAAATAGGTCGGAAAATATTTCATTCAGTGGGCATGTCGTGAAGTATGGTATAGCTTCAAGAGTTGACATTCATTTAAAGTAGGATACGGATGCACATCGATCGCGGACGGGGCTTATGGGACTCTGGGGTTGATGGATCGCATCAATTCCAAGCATTTACCCCAGGAAATACACAGACCCAGACTGTCAATCTCCCGAGGCCGTAAAAGGTAGGACGTAGAGATGAGGTTGTTGGTACAGATGCTAAAGGACGAAGAAATGGGTATGGGAGACGCCCATCTGCTCAAGCTCCCCTTCTGGGTAAAGCGCCAATGCAAGCAAACCTCTGGCTTCCAGCAGAGTTTCCGTTTGTTCAGAACAGGGTTACTCGCCTCCGACTTCGCCCAATGGTAACTCTGGGGCGACTCCACTTGGCCCCAAGTGGCCACTGCATAATGGTCGGAAGTACAAGTGATTGGCGGTAGATTAAAAAAAGAGAGGGCCGACTCCGACTCCTTCGGGCCATGTCTGATGAGCATAAGTAATATAGGCTTGCCGTGCTCCCTGTCCTGAACATCACTTCTTCCGACATTCCCATTCCATTCCTTTAAACGCCTGGGAAAAGGAGACTTGCATCTCGGACGCCCCTCATTCCCGTGAATTCGCCACCGTTGACTTGTTGGAGGACAACTGTGGAAATCAGGAGGTAGTGGGATTTCCGACTCTCGCAATCATGAACGACGCATCGGAGAAGACGGCGGGTTACTATGCCCCCGAAAAGGAGGTGCCGCCCTCCCCAGTGCACACCAACGACGGCCCCGTGGATGGGGAGTTGGTCAACGCCTCAGGACATCGTCAGGAGCTCGAGCGAAACTTCAGCCTGCTCAGTATTTGCGCCGTGGCAGTGACAACCGGAAACACATGGATCGCCCAAGGTGGAAGTGTGACTACCGCCCTCTTCAATGGTGGACTGGCGGGAACCATTTACGAATTGTATGCGCCCTGACGGTCCCGTCGAGCCCCCTGGAAGTCTAATTCTAACCCCATCTAGTATTGCCGTGTCTGTCTGCTACTGGCTGGTGGCGGCATCTATCGCTGAACTCGCCTCTGGCATGCCCTCGGCCAGTGGTGTCTACCACTGGGCGACCATCACCGCCGGAAGCAAGTACGGTCGCGTGTGCGGGTTCTACGCAGGGTGGTGGAACTGCCTGGCGTGGATTCTCGGTGCTGCCTCTATGTCTTTGATTCTGGGTCAACAGACTGTGGCCATGTATGCCGTCATGCACCCAGGCTTCATCCCTTCAACTTGGAACATCTTCGTCAGCTTCCTCCTCTGTACCTGGACCTGCTGCGCCATCGTTCTTTTCATGAACCGCTTCTTGCCCTACATCGGCAATCTGGGCATGTTCTTCATTCTCGCTGGTGTGTTCATTACCATCGTTGTATGTGCCGTGATGCCTTACGTCAACGGTACTGGATATGCCTCCAATGAAACAATCTGGGCCAACTTCGACAACCAGACCGGCTATAAATCGAACGGGTTTGTTTTCGTTGCTGGTATGCTCAACGGTGCTTACAGTGTTGGAACACCTGATTGTTCATCCCACTTGGCTGAGGAGATCCCCAAGTCAGTATTCCTCCCGTGCTCTCTTCTGCTCTTTACTAACCGAATTCACAGGCCCAGTCGCAACATCCCGAAGGCTGTCCTTGCCCAGATGGGTGTTGGTTTCGTGACCGGTATCTGCTACATGATCGCCATCTTCTACTCTATCAACGACGTTGACGCCGTGCGCAACACCGCTCTTTTCCCCCTGGCTGAGATCTACCACCAAGCCACCAACTCTCGTGGCGGTGCACTAGGTCTCTTGATTGTCGCTTTCCTGCCCACTCTGATCACCGCGTCCGGTTGCTACATCACCGCTGGTCGTACCCTCTGGACGATCTCCCGTGACAACGCCACCCCATTCTCAAGCTGGATCGGACGGATTCATCCTCGATTCCACAACCCCTTCAACGCCACGCTTGTCTGCGGTTGCTGTATCACTGTCCTGGCATGCATCTACATGGGCTCAACTACCGCATTCAGTGCCTTCGTCGGATGTTTCGTCCAGCTGTCCAGTCTGTCATACTTCATGGCCATCTTCCCCCACATCTTGACTCGGCGCTCATCTTTCGTCCCCGGATGGTTCTTCATGAACAACACAGTCGGTTACATTGTCAACTCTCTCGCCTGTACTTACATCATCGCCTTCGCCATCATCTTCTGCTTCCCTTACTCTCTGCCTACCGATGCCGGTTCGATGAACTACGCCAGTCTGATGACCGGTGGTCTCTCTATCTTTGTCACTGTCTGGTGGTTCATTCACCAGGGCTCCTACGAGGGCCCGAAGCACGTCCCTTTGACCGACAAGGCTTTGGCTGAAGATGCGCAGTAGATCTGCAATTGAAATGACGGAGAGGCTTGCGTTTGACATGGCATTTCCTTCACTACGATCTGTCCACGACCCTCACATCCTTTTTCTTTTTTTTTCATGCGAGATTGATTTTATATACACCCTTTGTACATTTCTAATTGTGTGCGGTTTTGAAGGCCCTTTACATACATAGTTGCTCAAAAGCATAATTCGATATGAATTACAACACACCACTTTGCTTCAGCAGTGCTTTGCCTTTTGCCAAGAGTGATAGACCGAGTGCTAAAGCTAAATACCTAAATAGATTCTTATCAATCGCTAATACGAGGCAAGATCTCAAGCCAGTCCCCCGGCCAGCCGTTTAATGTATCACGTGACAACGCGTCTCGCGCCAAGTCGCGACCCCGACCTCACTCAATGTTACCCAGAAGGGAAGTAGACCAGCACAGACATGGTTTTCAAGCCTTTCAAGCCTCCGCTAATGAGGAGCAATGTGTCAAATCCAATCGAGATCACCGATGAGCCTACCCGTCCTGTCAAAAAGCCTCGCCTCGACGAAGAGCCTGCTCCGGCCGCGCAGTCGACACCGCTAGCCAATCGAAAACCACTACTACAAGTCAGCAATCGTGGAGCAGACACGAAGCAAGAGACATCTGATGCACAGCCTAAAGATGACAAGCCGGACGAAAAATACTTCAATGTTCTCTGGTAGGTTTCGGTCGCCCTGCAAAGGCCATCACATCTCATGCCACCACGAACCGCAGCTAACGTGGAATACACAGGCGCAAACCGACGGCCAAAAAACACAAAACCTGGGATGGTGATGGGATCATCTCAGTCCGCAGAGGGAACGTCTTCCTACGAGATGCCACCGGCAAAGAGATGGGGCGCAGGGTGCACGAGACCCCCGTCGAGCCTGGGGTATCTTTCTCGATCTCCGGTAAAGAAGTCGAGGTGGAATCCGAGATAACCCGCGAAGAATACTACTCTGGCAGGAGATTCCTGGAACCTCCGAAACCAGCTACACCGGATCCAACTCCTGCGAAGAAAGAGTTGCCTGCTCGAAAGAAGGGCGAAGCGCCAAAACCGACCGCAGCTGAGCGGACAGCATCGCTCAAGCGTTCGATCGCGCTAGTCACCAATCCGGATGCCAACCCTGGCAATGCACCCGGTGCATTCGCGGCGTACAAAAAGCCTCTTCTTCAGAATACTGTTATTCCTAAGGCGCCTGGGAAGGTTGTCCCACGACATGATCCGAAAGCACCAGGTGCATTGGTTATGCCGCGACCGAAGTCTGTGCCGAAGGGAAGACAGGTGGTCGATGTTGTGGTTGACCCGTTTCTGAGCAAGAACTTGCGGCCCCACCAGCGGGAGGGTGTTCAATTCTTATATGAGTGTGTCATGGGCATGCGCGACTTCAGCGGCGAAGGCGCCATCCTCGCTGATGACATGGGTTTGGGCAAGACTCTACAGACTATCACGCTGCTTTGGACATTGTTGAAACAGAACCCGGTTTTTGAAGACCCGCCTGTGATCAAGAAAGCCTTGATTGTCTGCCCTGTCACGCTCATCAATAACTGGCGGAAGGAGTTCCGCAAGTGGCTTGGTAACGAGCGAATTGGCGTTTTCGTTTTCGATGATAAGCGAAAGCGTTTGACGGACTTCACCAAGGGCAAGGCCTACAGTATCATGATTGTTGGCTATGAAAAGCTGAGGACTGTCCAAGAGGTTTTGGTCAATAGCTCTGCGGTTGATATCATCATTGCCGATGAGGGTCACAGACTCAAGACACTACAGAACAAGAGTGGTCAGGCAATTCAGTCACTAAGTGCTACAAAGAGAGTCATTCTCTCAGGAACTCCCATCCAGAACGATTTGAAAGAGTTCTTTGCTGCTGTGGACCTCATCAATCCAGGCATTCTTGGTAACTTCAAGTCCTTCATCCGGGAATTCGAGACTCCTATCGTACGCAGCAGGCAACCGGAAGCCACGAGCAAGGACATTGAAAAGGGCGAGTCTCGAGGCGAAGAGCTTCGAGAGCTCACCTCGAAGTTCATGCTCCGCCGAACAGCAGATATCTTATCAAAGTACCTCCCTCCTAAGACGGAGTATGTACTATTCTGCAAACCGACACGACCCCAAGCAAACATCTACAAGGCTGTGCTTGCGTCCCCAGTCTTTCAATATGCAATGGGCAATACCGAAAGCGCCCTACAACTTATCACAATCCTTAAGAAGCTCAGCAACAGCCCCTCACTCCTATCTCCAAAAAATAACGACAACTCCCCCAACGAAACAATCCCCTCACTTCTGGAATCAATACCCCAACCCCTGCATCGCCATCTATCACCTTCATCAAGTGCCAAAATCCGGGTCCTCGATCAACTCCTTGACACAATGCACAAAAAGACAGACGAAAAGGTCGTTCTCGTCTCAAACTATACTTCAACTCTCACCCTCCTCGCAACCCTCCTCTCATCTCTTGGTCTTCCATACCTCCGTCTAGATGGAAGTACACCTGCCCAAAAGCGTCAAGGCCTGGTTGACGACTTCAACCGCCTCCCAGCATCGCAGTGCTTCGCTTTCCTCCTCTCTGCAAAAGCAGGAGGAACAGGTCTGAACCTCATTGGCGCCAGCAGACTCATTCTCTTCGACGTTGACTGGAACCCGGCCACAGACATCCAGGCCATGGCTCGAATCCACCGAGACGGCCAGAAACGGCCTTGTCGCATTTACCGTGTGCTTCTGAAGGGCAGTCTGGAAGAGAGAATCTGGCAAAGACAGGTCACCAAGCTCGGACTTGCAGACAGCGTGATGCAACAGAGTAATGGTGGTGCACAATTCAGCTCATCTGAGTTGAAAGATTTGTTCCGTCTCGATGAAGAGCGCGCCTGTCAAACGCACGAATTGATAGGCTGTCAGTGCGGTGGCAGGGGTGTTGTCGAATCTTCTGCTCCTGTTTCTGGTACCGCAACGCCAGCAGATGATTCTGATGGGGACTTGTCGGATCCTCCGTCCGGGGACGAGTGGGATTCTGACGGATCCTCGCTCAGCCCTTTGAGATTGAGACCCGCTTCTGGGGTTGATATGGAAAAGCAGGAACGAGAGATTCGCGATGGTACCTTCCGTGCTAAGCTAGAGAAGAAGAAGGGCAATGGCAAGGCTGGCAAGTCCAAGGACCAGAAGGATAAGATGCATCAGACTCTTGCTCGATACGCGCATATCGATCCCACCCTCTTGGACCCTGATGCCGAGGACGAGGAGCTTGAGGCTTCTATCGATGATGATGTACTTGTCTCTATGCTTAAGGATGAGTGCAACTTGATCGGGTATGTCTTCAAGCAGACGAATGGAGCAGAGATGGGGGCTTAGTTCTGCACGGGTGGGTTCGACCTCGAGAGCTTCCAGGATTGGTTTACTTCCGAGGTTTACTTATCATGATTTCTCAGGATGTACAAAATATGAGATCAATAATAGATACTACCATTACATTCGTCTATGTTCAAACCTTGAACCTTGGAAGTTCCGAGATTCCCAACGCTCCAGGGCTCCGAGTATGAAGTTCCAGACCGAGTGTTGTGGTGTACCTACCTAGGTAAATAACTGGTTATATAAAACAAACATCCACCCGGAAGTTGTGGGTCGGATCCGACTACCCATCTGAACAGGGTGGAAATATAGAGAAAAGTACTTCTTAAAAGAATTTCGATTATTGACTTGGATATCATGTAGGATCTATACAAAGGAAATGCCCCAGGGGCGATATTTAAAGAGAAGTGAAGAGAAAAAACAAGGATATAAAAGAAAGAAAAGCCCAACCCCCGTCCCTTGATGCACCCCAACAATCCACACACCTATTCCACATATGCAAAACCCCCATAAACAAAGAAAACTCAATACCGCAGCTTTCCAACAAGACCAAAAGTATAAGCCGTCTCGGCCTCACTCTTCATCTGAATCATGTAGATCTTGCCAGACCCAGTAGCCACCCCACCCTTCTGCGCAACACCTTCCTCCTCATTCTCTTCACGAATCGAAACCGCAATACCAGTCCGAGCAATGCGCTCAAATGCATCTTCACCAAGACAAACATCCAGCATCGTCTCGCCGCGCGTCTTACCACGAATGACGATCCGTTTTTCGGCCTCCATCGCACGACGCGGGGACGCCGCACCAGAAGCCGGAGGCGAAGATTCATCGGGCTGAATACTCGAGTCACTCCTACTAGTACTAGGACGGGGGGTAGTGGCAGGTGGCGCAGGCATAATGGTCATGCGAGCAGCGCCGAGATCGCGCCACTTGGAGGCAGATTCGCGAGCGTAGAGACGAATCTTAGCATTTGAGAGACCGATTCCGTCGGCGCCCTTGATTGCGGCCGCGATGCGGCCGATGCCTGTGTTTGCGTTTGGTGCGTTGGATTCCGAGTAGACGGATCCTTCGCGGCGGGATTCGATTGTCGAGCGGGAGATGTTGAACATTTTGCTGGAGGCTCCAAAGCGCTTAAGGGCTGAGAAGGCGGAGCTCATTGTTCCAACACTGCTTTCTGAGCCTTCGGCTAGAGAACGGGGAGAGCTGGAGGCACGGTAGCTCTTGCGACGACGGGGCCAGCCGAAGAGGCCGCCTGACTTGGCGGCGGGTTCGAAGACCGGTGCGTTGTCGTTGAAGGGGCCTCGGGCATTCTGGAGGGCAATGTAGGTTGGGTTGTTGATGCGGGATTGGTTGATGAGGCCATAGAGGGCGTCGCACTCATCCGGGCTACGGGAGCGGAACATGATGTTGTTACTTGAGGTGATCTTGGATCGCTCGGTAGGCGGGGAGCGGACACTAATGTCAATGGCTGTTCCGCGGCGGATGGGAACGAGAGGTGTCAGCTCGAGGGAGATGAGTGGCCTCGAGGATTCGGAGTCTGAGTTTGGATCCGGCTCGGATCCCAAGGTGAAGGCCTCGATCAAGCCAGGGCTAACGACGATAGTGCATTCATCAGGAATCAAAGTCTCCCAGCTGCCCTTGTTAGACCAGGCAAAGACAGATGCAATTGCCTTGGATGTCTTGGTTGGCTGCAGAGGCACAGCGCGGTAGCCGCTTTGGGATGCAGAGTTGGAATGCGAGAGGGAATTGGCTTCCGTTGCTGCATCAGGAATGTCTGGCTTCGGGGTATCGTCATAGTCATCGTCTTCAGACACCGATGAATAGTCATCTTCGGAGTCGGTAAAGTCTGCTGACCTCGAGTATTCGGATGAAGAGTAGGAGTAGTGGCGCACTGTGGACGCATCTGAGTCTGTCTCGGAGTAGTCGGATGCAGTTGATGGTTCATATTCGTGCTTAAGAGGCGAAGAACCACGTCTCTTGAGCCCGCCACTAGAGGTGAGGACCGGGGCACTCGAGCGCTTGTCATTGGCAGGGCTAGATGATCGGTGAGGCGGGGGAGGTGGAGGACTGTCATCATATCTCGGACGTCTGCGCGACTTCTTTCTTCTGGTTCTCGAAGGTGTTTCAGGAAGTTCCTGGTGTTTAGGCAGGGACTCAAGTGGAGGGTAGTCTTCCTCCTCTTCAGGGCCAAGGCTTGTTGGAGTGGACAGATGGGTTTGGCTACTCGGTGTCCGGATCTTGGGGATCAACGGAAGGGTTGTCGAGGGCACAGATGAAACCCTTGGAGATTCCGGCTCAGGCTCCTTGACGGGAGTCTTTTGAGGCTGGGGTATGCGCGAGCGTGACTTCTCTCTTGGGGCCGCCTTGCTGGGAGACTGATCCGCATCACTGCCATAGAATCTGGCACCCGTTGGCGTGCTGGGCTGAGGGGATGCAGCGACACTCTCGTCGGGCACATTCTCAAAAGGCTTTTCGGGGCCCTTCTCGGAAACAGCACTTTTCGGGGATCCGGATTCACCTGGTGTATCACCATATCTTGAGAACCGCTTGGCCTTGGACCGCTTGAGACCTGTGGAGCTCTTATCGGGGCTAGATGATGGGTTTCTCGCGTCGGTTGAAGGAAGAAGAGGCAAGTCTGGGCGGACGGGCTTCCCGGACAGTTCTGAGCTAGCGGCTGTGTATTCAGTGTCCTTGGTAGCAGCGGAGTACATGGAGCTTCGTCCGTCGGCAGCGGAGCTTATCGTGCTTGGCTCAGAGAAGTGTTCCTTCTGTGTGAGGGAACGCCGCTTAGCAGCTTTCTCGCCAATTGGAATATCAACATCACTGGGGTTTGGCTTTGGCGAGGAACTGTTTGTGGGCTTTCGAGCCTTGTTCTGCTTGGCGCGGCTGATGAAGCTTTGGCTTCGACAAATTGATGGAGGGACAGGATCCGATCCCAAGAGCGATATCCATTCGGTTCCAACTTCTTCTTCGTCAATGCGGAGTGAAATCAGCTCTTGCCAGTACTTTGTAGGGTCATCCGGGGCGCTGCGCAACATGATGACAATCTCATGCTTAGATTCGCCCCGGCGAGCTGACACACATCGAAGGTCCATTGGAGGGAATAAAAGCCAACGATCCGAATGATCTATCTCACAAATAAGAAGGTCGCCTCCAGGGCCCTTGCTTGAGGTGTTGTCTCGATAGAGTAATTCGGCACGACAGTCCACGAGCTGTCCACTGGAATGATACAGAGACAGACCAAAGAAGTCACGGGCACGAACGCGGCGAGACTGATCAATGGCAATACCATGTAGGACACCTAGGGTCATTGGATCTCGTGTTCGGGTAGGGTCGATACTAGCAGCAGAATCATCTTCCAGCCTCGCCCTTTCGTCCCGCACACGCTTCCTAGCATCAGCCACAAGGCTCTGATATGCGACAGCCGTCTCTTCGGCCTTGGGGGTTGGCTCGAGCACATTGATGCCCTTGAAGGTCTTGGCCAGATATTTGAGCCGAACCAGCGGCCGCTTCAGCAAATAAGCCACATCGACCTTGCCTCCGTCTGCGTCGATGATATCACCGTTCTCATCACGTTCTAAGCCTTCATCCAGGCTCTTTGTATCGGCGTCTTTGTCATCGCCTTCTTCCAAAGGAGCAAGATTGACGATGACATCCTTGAAACCAAGACGCCATGCTTTGAGGTACTCACGATACACCCTCTGGGCACCCTGTGCCCAAGTCAGGAGAGCATCTGCGTTATCCTGCGGGATACGCTTGTGGAGGTTCTTCAGTCGCTCGATCGCCACGCCCATATTGACGATGGGCTTGGAAAAGTTCACGTCATCTTCGGGATCTAAAGACGGCCGGAACAATCCTGCTGCAATCGCCGAGTCAGAACGGGAGAGTACACAGGTCAAAAGAACTGGAATCACACCCCCGACCAGGGTCTTCAACTCGCGCATGTACTTTGTCTCGTCGCCTGATAGCTCATGAAGCAAATCTTCGACCGTTGCGGCGGCAAGACGGCTCTTATTAGTCCGTATGCTTCGGTTTGAGCGGGTACTTCCTCTTCGAGAAACCGACACTGACAGGACTGACATGAGATCATTATGAGTAGTCAATCGTCTTTTCAATTGGGAAGAGACAACAGGGAGCGAGTCAGGATCGAACTGATCTGTTTTCTCAGCCTCCTCAGCGTCCTCGGGCTCTTCGGCCAGTGATGGTACGCGCTTCTCTGCAGGTGTAGACTTTTGTACAGGCAAGGTGATTTCTGATATTGTGGTGCTCAGGGTTTCGGAGGATGCAATTGTCGAGAGTCGGTTATAGCCAGTACTTGGGAATGGCTTCTTGCGACCAAGCGGCACAGGGGCATTGTTGGCGGAAACCTCAGAGCCGTCGTCTGAGAAGGGCTGCAATTCAGACCCAGATTTTCCGATGCTCTCTTTGCGTGGCTTCTCTTGAGCAGAGGCTTCCTTGGTCTTCGCAGCTGGCTTGGTTGAATGATCGGTGCTCACGCGCTTTGGCTCTGCCGTCTCTCGATCTTGCGATTTCGTTGGCTTGTCTGTCGAGGAGACGGAGTCTTTCCCTTTTGAATGCCGGCTAATAGCGCTTTTCGGGCGAGATTCGGAACTCTTTGGACGCTCACTAGTCATGGATGGCTCAGACTGGGTACCGGGCGACTCTCCATCCGCGAGCTTTTGCGATCGCCGGGCTCGACCAGACTTGAGATCGAGAGGGGCAGGCATATCACTCTTGTCATCTCTTTCCATGAACGGATCTTGTGTATCCGAAAGCCAGGCCTCAATCTTGGCCCCGCGACCAGTAGTCGGTGTTGGCGTTGGCCTCGGGGGTTCTGGTTCCGCTTTGGCGAAGATCTTCTTCGACTCGTCAATCATATGAGCAAAGATACCACCCTTGGGCGGCTTTGGCGCACCGCGTGCCCGTCGCTTCGATAGTTCAGAGAAGTCCGCCTCGCTCGTAGCCCAAGCATCCTCCGGTGGAGGTGAACGTGTCTTGAGTCGATCCGATATGACCGAAGGTTCCACCGTTTTGCCGTTGTCTGTTTCGTAGTCACTCTCGGTGATTGTATCGATGGTCTTTCGAGCAGATCTCGGGTCTCGCACAGGAGACCTAGGCCCCGTCCCCCGCTTGACCTGGAATCGAGGCAGATCGCGACCCAGGTCGCTCTCATCCTCGCTGTCTACCCGTTTGTGCCGTGACACCCTGGGTTGTCCCTCATTGGTGGTGTATTCCGAAATGCGCTTGGGCGGGGGCAAGTTACGCGAGGACTGGGTCGAAGCTCGATTCCGCGTTCGCTTCCAATGTTCGTCGCTCACCACTCGTTTACGCGGGGTACTGTGGCTGCGCTTTCTCGTCTGCATGGGCTTTTCTTTGGGCTGTTCCAGCTTTTCGGCCTTGGCCTTGGCCGGCTTCGCTTTTGGTTTCGGTTCATTTTCATCGTCGGCGTAGGGGTCGTCGACAGTCACCACACCGCCACCTTGTTGTTGCCATTTTCGCACTCGCGAGCGAACGGTATTGGTGTCGTGCAGCCCCAGGGGCTCTCCGATATCCAGGACCTTTGGGGTCGGCTTTGTTGCTCCTTTGGAGGCACGCGGCGTCGCAGGAGATGGCATCGGTATCTAAACAAGCCATTAGGGAGGGGTTTCGACAAAAGCCAGAAGAGACTCACCAACACCTATCCCGCATTCAGCTAACAAGATCGGGGCATTGATGATCGCATAGATAAAAAAGTGTTTCAGGGATCATAAACAATGTGACTTTCGATAAGCCCCTCGCACTAAGCGGTTGCCGGGAAACGGGCCGATCGCTGGTCTTGGGCCAGTTGGGATGAGCGTCGATTCTGGGTACAGAACACGGAGCACGGAGTACGGAGTAACGTGTTTCGCTTTGTTTCGCTCTGTCTTGTTTTGTCTCGAGAGGCGAAATGGAGAAAAGAGGGCAGTTAACGAGGGCGCGTCAGCTGGTGTATATCAGCGTCATAGCACAAGCTGCGAGTACAGCCTCAACTTACGACTTGTTTTGGAGCTAAGCTTCAGTCTCGGTTACTCCTTACTCCATACCTCGGACCGTCCAGGATGTCCCGTCTATCTCTAAAAGTGTTTCTATCTCTTTTCTCCCAATGGTGCGGCCATATACCCACCCGAAGCACTTGGAGCCTAATGCTCCACTGCCCCCCATCGATGACGAAGGTGGTACACTAGTTGGTCTTCTTCTGTTCCAGCCGCTTGAACGCTGCCGAGATGGTGGTGATGCTTTGGTACAGGTAGTCTAGAACGGATCAGCAAAACGGTCACAACGCAGGCTGCACGGCACATACAGGCTGGAACGACAATCCAGATAAAGTTCATCATGAAATAATAAAGCCAGAAGTAATATGGCTCCGGGCGGGAAACCGGGCGTCCGTGGACATACTCGTCAAACAGACTGGTCGCATAGTACAGTGTGTCGCCGTAAAGATGGCTCATGCACACAATGACCTGGATGGGGTGGCGCAGAGAATGCCTGGTTGCGGTCAAGTATGCAACAACGAAGCAAAGTGGCCCCCACAGAAGCTAGGGAAATCAGCGGTGAATCCGAGGGTAGTGTATATAAGGACGGTTGGAGTGGGACTCACTACGGTCATGGTCTCCATGCACAAGACCAGGGTATCCGAGACCATATAGCGGGAATCAGACAGGGCATATTCCTTCCACAGTTGCCCGAAGAGGTCTTGGGCTGATGCCATGTGGTCATGGTGGATCATGAAATAGCCCTCGAAGAAGCAGTGCAGGCTGCCAGCTGGGTCTCGTCAACATCGCGTCGCGAAAGCGTGTTAGGGCCATCTTACAGAGGACAAACCATAGGATGGCAATGCGATCCGCTAGCTGCAGCTTCGGTCGTACATAGCTCGCCAACGCGAAAGTCACACCGAGAAGAACGGTGCATGCTCCACCAGCGGATAGGATGAGTTCGAGGACGGGAGTCTGGTTGGGCTGATAGCCCACCACGTTGGCATCCAATGGGTAGTAAGGATGATTGGGCATGATGTTCCAAAACAGCTGCAACAATTGCTCGAAGGGGAGATTTGGAAGAGGAGAGGACGTGATGTATAAAAAAAGGCATGTTTGGGTGGATATGAGGGTCCGGCCAATGACAATCACACGCGAGGTTTTACAACAGCAAGGCCGACCTCCAGGCCTGATTATGCCTTTGCTCCATACCTTGTGCTCTAGTAGTATATGGAGTAGATGTCTACTAGTACTAGTACTAGATCTTCGTCTCAAATTTCGACCGTGAAGATGAACGACTTCTCCAGGATAACGGAGATTACCAATGGAGAACCGTAGCAAACATTCAAGGCTGTCAGGTCATGGTAGATCGAGCCCGGTCTCATAAGAGAGAGAATTCGGTCAAATATCTCCCAAGATCATCCCAGTGTTGATATATTCGGAGGCTCAGAGATCCGCAAATGAGAATGCCCAATATGTTGATGCCTGAGGCGCCAGATCCCCATAGCCAAGCTGCGGAGTTGACCTCAACCGTGATCGCCCGAGATATGCCTTGGTGCTCGACACTCCTTGACAATGGCATCCGAAACTAGGCCTCTAGGAATCGAGGTTCCTCGTTCCTCAATGGAGTCGCCTCCAGGAATCGCTGCCTTGTTTGTCATCAGCTTCGACATTCGGACCGGGTAATCACTAGTCCCCCTGGTTGTACGGAGTATAGCTCCGCTGACATGCTGCAACAGATATGTGGTTTCGTGGAAGCGCACTGTACCAGAAGGTGAGCAACCAGCCAACGAATTCTGGCCCCGAATACGAGACTGACTCCTGGACAGTGGACGTGGAAGGTGTCGTGGAATACAAGTCGCTGCCTTCGGGTCTACACAACGTGACAGAAGACCTGGTGTATGTGCAAGCTGTGCTGGATCCTTTGAAACCTGACTGATGCGCCCGCCTAGCTACTTCGTTCACGAACAATATGCCGGTATCAGCGCGTTCCTCAATCACCCCGCTGCGGAAGCCGAGCGCAATGCGCAAATGTTCGCGATCGGGGTCCTCGTCCCTCTGAGTACGGGCAGGCTTGGAAAGAGCTGGCGCCATGCTCCCAAGCTAAGGGAATTGACACAGTACGCATATCGCATACCTTGCGATCAACACCAAGCTGACAAACGGTCACTAGGAAATACGCCGAGGACATGTCGGACATGGAACCCCTCACCAAGTATTGGGACGCATATCGCATAGGAGGAACCGAGTCCTCAGCGCCGGATTCCCCAACCGACTCGCCATTGAGTCTCCGATTCCGACCCGGCGATCGACCAGATACGAACCGCACTCGTGCCTTCAGCGATGCACTGGTTTTGGACACCTTCAGGCCGGCCCTGACCCCGTTCCACCCCGCATCATCGCTCCCCGAGTTCCTTGAGTCCCTCGGTCCCCTGGTCTTCCCCTTGTATAGAGCAGCTCTGCTGCGCAAGCGCATTTTATTCATGGGCGAGGCCCCCGTGCACACCCCCTGCAACTACGGTAAGATACCCAACGCCATATCCAGACCTCCACTAACAACTCTCAGTATATGACCTCTCCCTCCTAGCATCCCTACCCAACTCTCTCCGCCATCTTCTCCCCGCAGACCGCACTCCCCCACTTCGCCCGCGCCCTCTCTTCAACGTCGGCATCCACGATATCCCATACCTCTCATCCTTCGACCCCTCTCGGAGCATCCAAGACCCAGAATCAGATCAGAATTGGATCGCCTGTTCCACAGACACAGTACTTACCATGAAACCCGATCTCTTTGACGTTCTCATCACTCTCCCCCCATCTCACACCAAACAAGCCGAAGAACGAACCTTCCCCAAAATCTCCCTCATCAACCAGAAAACCCCCCAACACCCTCTCACCCTCAAAGCAACGCAGCGCGACGCCCGCCGCTACGCAATGCTCCGCCGCGGCCTGCACACCCCCACAGACACAGACACCGACTCAACCTACTCATCCAGCCCCGTCGTCGAGCCCGTCTCATGGACCCGTCTGGCCTACACATCATTCATATGGTGGGCATCAGCAGGCGAGAACCGCGACGGTCTCACGGAGGAAGAAGAGGAAGACCAAATAGAACAAGACTCACGCCTGCTGGCCAGTGTCGAGAACTTGTCTCCGGAGAATGACCAGCCGCCCGAAGTGGCCATGGTGGCATACTTCCGGCGCATGACGGCTCAGATATTCGGTACTTTGGCTGGAGTTGTTGCGCGCAATGATGAAGACGGGTGCAGCGAGCCGTATGCTGATGATGACGAGTCAGTCTCTCAGTCTCGGTCTATTGGCGATGAGTCGCCTTTGTTGCGGCAGCGGTCTGGGACTGGCTCGCAGCGTGGCTCGTTGCGGGACAGTGAGTGTGAGGTGGTCACTATCTCTGTTGCGGATATGACGGAGATGGGGCTGGATGTGTGGAGTGCGACTGATAGGGTGTTTGTGGAGGAGTTGATTGGACTTTGGTGGGGAAGAGAGGCGAAGGTTGACTGTGCGAGGATTAGATGCTGTGGGATCTCAGTGCTGTAAATTTCGAAGATTGTAAAGATTAGGCATGTGTACGATCTATGGATGTATGTCAATACATATTCCCAAGTTTTTCCCATCTGAGCAGGTATATTGAGGAGCCAGTATGAACATATCTACATTGAAATTGGTGCGCGAATGGGCGTTGTTGGATTGACCATCATCATAATCTTTAAAGAGGAGAAGTATAAACGGAGAAAGAAAACAGACATAGGAGAGGTGAGTGAGTGACAGGGCATAAACCGAAAATTGGTCAAAAGAAAAGAGAGGCACATGGGAAGAAATCCCTGTATAGAGTCATAATATTGAAGCCAAAAAGGGAGAAAACAGATCGCTTCCTATCGCCATGCAAATGAAGAATAGGCAAATTGATGCGCCGGGGGTATTAGATGAAACGACAAGCACCGGCAGACCATGCAAACGAAAGACATAACGCATCGAGAATACGATCCCAGTCAATTACCGACGAAACATGCGAACAGGAGCACTCATATCACGGCGTTCATTGATATCATGCTCAGTCCTTGAATCAGGTCGGAGGTTGGGGTTGGGGACGCGACGAGGCCCACGTGCCGGGTTCGCGTTCGAAGTGCTGGGGGCGCGAGCTGCGCGGCCAGCTTCGTTGGCACTGACTGAGCGCTGTTTGCTATGGGTGCGACCTCTTCGGGCCCGGATCTGAGCCAAAGCCTGCTCCCGGTCAATTGGAACGTCTGGGACGCCAGGATGCGATGTTCGTTGTGACTGGGTGTCGTTCCGAAGGGGAACTCTCTTCGTGTTGGTAATGGCAGTTTGTCCACGGGGGTCTCTTTTGGGGGCGTGCAGTGGCTGACGGTATCCATGGGCGTCTCGCTCCACCCGGCTAGGTGGCCGAGCTTCTTGGGACAGCCGCGCTCTTGCGGCGGAAACATCGTTTTTGGCGCCAGCTGAGTTTGGACGGGATCGCACGACCGGTGCAGGCGCGCGTGCGGGTGCGCGTGGCGGCGCCTGTACCGGAGCTGGTTCCCCGGATGGAGTGAACGATTCAGGCTCTTCCTCTGGTGGCTCAGATAAGTCCATATGATCTTCCTCGAAGTCTGGCTGGGGCTCGGGCAGGTCGGGCGTATCGAATTGATCCAATCGTAAGTGTCTGACGTTGTCCCGTAGTGGAGATGGGAATTTCATAAATGTGCCAGTCTCAGGAGAGAAGGTAACCAAAGGCTCGGCTGGCATCTCCATCTTCGGCGCACTCCTGGCTTCGGCCTTGTTTACAGGCGGAGTGGCTTTGTGTGCAGGAACAGGCGGCGCAGTCAGAGGGGTTCGACTCGCTTCTGGCTCATCGTGGTCACTTAATTCAGGAGAGGCCACTCGGGGAGACTGAACATGATGAACAGAGGAGACATGAGCTGGAGATTGATGAGCGGGTGGTGGGTGGTTGGGAGATCGGTGGACGGGGGATTGGTGAACAGGCGACTCATGCATTGGGACTTGAGGAGCGGGAGAACGGTGAACAGGCGATTCATGTATTGGGGCTTGAGGAGCGGGAGACTGGTGAACAGGCGGTTCATGCATTGGGGCTTGGGGGGCGGGAGACTGATGGACAGGAGACACATAGACCGGGGCCTCATCCGCGGGGGCTTTGTGAATCGGCGATCGATGGACTGGAGGTGGTGGAGGACTGGCCTCAGGGGTGCTGGCAGACTCCGGGCTAGGTTGTTGCATAGCGAACTGCTCAGTGCTAGCCTGCTGGGCCCGAGCCTTCTCCTCCGCCTCAATTTGGGGTTTTTGGAAAGTATTGTAGTACTCAGCATCGTATATGTACCGACGGCCGTGGCTCTCTGCAATTCTGCAAGAGCAACGCTCGAATTGGCACTCGATGTTCATAAAGTGAACCATGTCCTCTGCCGCTGCTCTACGGCGCCGCTCGAAAAGGAGTTCTTCCTTCAAGTCTTCCAAAATATCCTCGTCCACTTCTGCAGGCGCAGTTTCTGCTGCAGGCTGCTCATCATCGGCGACAGGTTCAATCTCCGACAGCCGTGGGCGTTTCGGGGGCGTCGCTTCCACCAGGTCTTCATCGCGTTCTGGGGCGGGTGAACGGGCGGAACCAGCGGCGGCTCGTTTCGGCCTCCGCGGGGTGTTCAAAAAGGCGAGGTCACCCTCGACCAATGATAACCTGCCAAAGTCTTCCTTGCGAATCTGATGGGCGCGAACTTCAAGATTGCTTGAGTGGTTTTCCGTCTCAAGGGCGCGGAATTTCTCCTTCAGGAGCTCAAGCTCTTCCGTGAGACCAGCAAGAGCATACGCGCGTTCGAATGCCTCCTGTTTGGCCCTGTCCTTCGAGTCGCGTTCTGCTGCGACTTCCTCTTTCAGAGATTTTGCCTCAGACTTGGCATGCTTCAACTCTTCTTGAAGCTTCACCACAGTCGATCCAGCCCGGAAAGCTTCTTTGCGGGCTTTGCGAATTTCCTTTTCGAATATGGATCGTTCTTGGCCTTGTCGTTCTTTAGTTCCATGTAGCTCTTCGAGTAACGATTCAAGCCGTTCGCTAATTCGACGTTCGCGATCTTGTGCTTCGGCTAATTCTTCTTGTGCGGTGGCCAGAGCTGACTCGGCCTCTTCGCGGCCCATGTTGGCCCTCAGCACGGCTGCAGAGTTGGATGATCCATTTGCGGGGCTGCCTCCTTTCGAAAGGCCGTTGAGAAACGCCACCTTGGCTTGCACTTCCGAGACACCTCGGTGGTTTTTGTGATGAAGTGTAAGAAGGTCGGCTGGGAGTGAGGGCGACGCGGGGATCGTTTGTTGATTCATGCGTTCCGGAGAGACCGGATGCAACGCTTTTGAGGGACTCGGGGGGAGACGCGTTGGAGACTCCATCGCGGCTGACGATGTTTAGATCCAGTCGTTGAAGATCACAGGGTCAAAACAAAAACATCACAAGAATGATGGAAAGGAGATCTCATGAGTGAAAATCACCGCTGTGGAGTCGGCAAGTGACGCACCCACACAAACATGTTTATTGCCCTCTTTGGAACGATCATGTGACTGTTGCCCTGGTGACCTGTCGCACCTTACTGTATTGGGCTAGCATATCACGTGTGATAAGGCCTCAATTCGGACTAGCGCATCAACCCGAGAACGTCTGTGCGTCAACTCGCATTGTCGATATCAAAATTCATTGAGGGGCTGTATGAGAGCTGCCCGTAGTTTGCATAATAATGCATGAAATCGTCACCCTTCAGCTGGGCCAGCGGGCCAACTATCTTGCAACCCATTTTTGGAATCTTCAGGTAGATCCCCGTCCAACCGCACCTGTGGGCTTGTCTGATATATAACCAGGAATCATACTTTACATACGATGGCACAGAGCAGTCTCCCGTTGACCATGACGTGCATTTTCGACCCGGTGTTGGAGCAGATGGCTCGGAGACTTACACACCACGAACCCTGATCTATGATCTCAAGGGAGGGTTTGGTACGCTGCGCAGATACAATGCTCTTTATGAACTTGGCGAAGACTCCAACGCCGGCCAAGGATTATGGTACGCGGCTCAACATGAGATTGGTGAAACGCACACAAATTAACATCTTCTAGGGATGGAAGGGAAGTTGTCCAAAAGCAAGCACCGATCACGCAAAGCGAATATCAAAAGAGCTTGGATATGGGCACACCAGCTCCTCGCTTGACTTCGGAATCCGTCCGCTACTGGTCGGATTATAACCGGGTGTTCTACCACCCAAAGTCCATCGTTCAACTTAATGAATACGAGCTGCACTCGCAGACTATGCCTTTTGAGGATTGGAATGTGGGAGAGGAGCTATTCAATGATCTGGACAAGGAGCATGATTTGCTCGACCGTGATTTGAGACCACTAATTGAAGAATGTGACCATTTGCGAGCGCTGCAACTCTTTGCCGGGTCAGATGACGCCTGGGGTGGATTCACAGCTCAGTATATGGAACGATTGAGAGATGAATTTGGGAAGAAGAGCATTTGGGTCTGGGCGATTGAAGATGGCACCAAGACACAACGGGTAAGTGGCACGGTGACATTACCAACAGTCAAGTACGAGGTTGGCTAAGTTTCGAACTTTGCAGCATCACCAATTCAAGAAAGATACGAACAAGGCGAGGTCGCTCTACTCGATCTCACAACAGGCATCGCTTTATGTCCCAATCATTGACCTGCCTCACAAGCTTCCTGGCTACCTGGAGGTAGATCGCCAATCAGAATGGCAGAAGACAGCCTTGATAGCATCGGCGATTGAAACGGTCACACTACCTTCTCGACTGAAGCCGTACCAGTATTTCGAGGCCGCCCTTGCCGGGGAGGATGGGACACACACCATCTTCGAGTTGCAGTCGTCCATCAATAAAATCAATGACGGTCATACAAAGCAGTCGGCCAATGAAGATGAGCAAGCTCACGCCGAAACCGAGTTTGACATTGACTTCACCTATGACGGCGAAGACAAGGGCGCCCACATCTTCAACCAAGTTCAGGTCACTCGTGGAGACGAGCCGGAGACGGCCTCCGAGTCGCAGGACCAGGATATTGGACACCTGCGAAAACTCAGACTCTACAATTCAGAGTCTATGCTTCAGAGGTAAGCTTTCCCCCATCGCGCTTGCCATTTTCATCGTTTCAGCCGACTGACAGTCTATACTACCCACATAGTTTCCACACGCCGCTCAGCATGCCTGTTCTTGACAGCTTCCCGCATAGGATGTTCCCTCCCCAGGAAGGCGGTCTCAACGTATTTACCGCATTGACCGCTTCAACACGAACGGCGCAACGGCTCAAGGCTTATTCAGGAACTGCGGCACGTTTGGTGTCGGTTGAAGAGCGTGAGGCGCTTGTGAACGGACTCGGTGAAATTCGAGAATTCTACGAGACAGGGTGGAGCAGTGGCTCGGACGATGAAGATGACTAGATACGACCATGACCAGTGTTGATATCATCGCAATTAAACGGTGCCAGGCTCCGGTCTCGGCCGACTGGCGCTATTCCCCAGGGGGATTTTGTGGCTTGAGGCCCGCTTTCCGGTGCCACCTTTTTCCCGTCTGAAGATGCCCAGAGGGCTGAACGTGGAAACGGTGCGGACCCCCCGAGCCTCCACTTGTAATCTTAGCAGCTAGGAACTTCCTGGAGTAGTTACACTTTTCCATGTGGCTGTAGAGTTTAAGACATCGACTCTAAAAATGTCAAGTCCCATGTCTATTTACTGCCATTAGCATTTCTGGTATAGTTTCTACGTCGCATGGCATCGTGGGCATTTCCCGTATTTCCTGTCTCACGCAGTTGATTTCCGGAGGCTGGTAATAAGCCCAAAGACAGTGAGGCTTCAGTGTGACTCCCGGGTAATAATGCATGTACTTGCAGGCGTCCCATGCCAGAAGCAGGGGTATACTTTTCGTTCTACCCCGCCATGACTTGTTCCAATGGACTTTTTGCCTCTTTGGTGCCGTCATCGGTTCGATTGATAACCCTTTGAATTTCTAGGTGGTCAATGTGGTCGCTGTGGCCGGGATCTCCATTTACACAGCAAATCAGGGCAGTCTCACGAGTTCCGAGACATTTGGCAATTTTAATGGAGGATACCAAGTAGGGTATGAGAAATTACTATGAAAGGAAAAACCATAAACAAGGAATAGAACCTTGGAAAGAAAATAGGATGTAAGCCAAGACGCCCAACAGAAAAAAGAAAGGAAAAAGAAACAACAGCTTGATATCGGGGAACAAAGTCCAGGTCGGAGCAAATCTCGCCAAACTTCGCTTCGACGTGGGCCCATGAGCATGCAACGTCACCTGCATTAGACACTTGGCCTTCACAAAATTCAATTCGAAGCCGATCGATTGACAGTTGCGATCGACCCACTCAGGGTCCAGAACAATACTCCAGTTCCGTACGGAGAACACGACCTTGCTCTTCTTACTCCGCATTCTCCAACTGTCCCAAAATCTATGGTTTTCGTACCTGGCCTTGGTACGCTGCCGGGTCTAATATCCACAATGACTGCCATTCGTGAGGTTTCCCCACATTCAGACGGGGCCGAGCTTTCAAAGGTACCGTTGAGTATAGGTCTCATGACGTGGGGGAATTGGGCAAATATGTGTTGTCTCCAGAAACCGGAATGAGGGAAAAAACAGAAGGATCACCTATCAAAGCCTAACCCAACATGGGTATCGTGAAGGTCAATCCCAGAGCTATCTCCCGCATCGCATGCCAAGAATCCACCTGCATCGTTGCAGTTAATTGGCCGCTTGACTGCTTGTCAGCCTTTTGGGGCCCCGGGGCCATATCTTGACCCCCGTCCAAGCCAGCCAACCATGGCACAATTCTGAGACCTCGTCGCTTCGTCATTGGCCCTATCCCAGTACCTGTCGTCTAGTCAACCAGGCCCGTGTGCACTAACTTTCCCTTTGCATGCGGGCCCCGGTATACCCTACATCATGACCAGCCTCTTCGAAATGAGCGGGAAGACTACTCCATGCTGATCGTTCATGCCGGGTTTGGTTGGCTTTCCAAAGACGAGCGCCACTTTTCGTTGACTTTAGTCTGCTTTTAGTTCCAAATGCCGCACTCAGCGAAGCGGAGCTGGCAATGCCGGACGGGAATTGACTCTTTGAGCTGTTGGGGAAAGGTATATATTAAGCTGCTTGGCCCCCTCCATCATCCAGGCTTGCTCTCGGAACGATTTGCATTGTCGATATTGCCCGTTTAGGAACTCTCTCGCTACGGTTCCTATCGTCTTTCGTTTCAAGCACATTCGCCCTTCCAAGCCTTGACTGAACCTATCAATCGTTTGTCAAAATGAAAGGCTCATCGATCGTTCTCCTATATGCCGCGACCTTGGCGTCCGGCATGGTGATGAACCCCAGACATGCCGCTGAGGCTCGCATTGCTGTCCGCGGTGGCGGTGGTGACGAGGGTGGTGGTGACTGGTGGGGCCATGGTGACCATGGTGACCATGGAGATCACGACGACGACCATGATGGAGATCATGGACACGGTGGTCCCCCAGAAGAGACTACTCCATGCGAGACGGAGACTCCTCCCCCAGTCGAGACTCCCCCGCCTGTTGAGACCTCCACCCCGTGTGAGACTGATACTCCCACCCCTCCTCCGGTTGTGACGCCTACTACCACTCCATGTGAAACTGATACGCCTACTCCTCCCCCGGTTGAGACGTCTACTCCTTGTGAGACGGACACACCTACTCCTCCCCCAGTTGTTACACCTACTACCACCCCGTGTGAAACTGATACGCCCACTCCTCCCCCGGTTGAGACGTCCACTCCCTGCGAGACTGACACTCCTACTCCTCCACCGGTTGAGACGTCCACCCCATGTGAGACTGACACTCCTACTCCTCCACCGGTTGAGACGTCCACCCCATGTGAGACTGACACTCCTACTCCTCCCCCGGTTGAAACCTCCACTCCTTGTGAGACGGACACCCCTACTCCTCCACCGGTCGAGACGTCCACTCCTTGTGAGACTGACACTCCCACTCCTCCTCCTGCCACATCTACCCCGGTGTCCCCTACCACTCCCTGCGAGACTGATACGCCTACCCCTCCCCCGGCGTCATCCACTCCATGTGAGACTGACACTCCTACTCCTCCTCCTGCCACCTCTACCCCAGTCTCTCCCACTACCCCCTGTGAGACCGATACCCCCACTCCTCCTCCCGCTAGTACTACTCCCTGCGAGACGGACACCCCTACCGTTCCTCCTCCTGCTAGCACTACTCCCTGTGAGACGGATACACCTACCGTTCCTCCTCCTGCTAGTACAACCCCCTGCGAGACGGATACTCCTACCGTTCCTCCTCCAGCTAGTACTACTCCCTGCGAGACCGATACCACTGTCGTCCCTCCTCCCGCCAGCACTACACCATGCGAGACTGAGACTACCGCCGTCCCTCCCCCGGCTTCCACTACCCCGTGTGAAACTGAGACTGTTCCTCCCCCTCCAGTCACTGTGACCACTACCTGGACCACGACCACCTGCCCAGTGACATGGGCGACCGTTTCAAGCGGCACAACGACCTACACGCACCCAGTGACCCAAACTAACACAATCACTGTGACATCCGTGTCTACATGCACCGAGGGCTGCGTTCAGCCAACAACTCCTATCGTTGTCCCTCCCCCAGTGCAGACTACTTCAGTTGTCGTGCCTCCTCCGGTGCACACTACCTCTGTTGTGCCTCCCCCAGTACACACTACCTCTGTTGTTGTGCCTCCCCCAGTGCAGACCACATCGGTGGAGGTTCCCCCACCAGCGCAAACTACCTCTGTTGAGGTTCCTCCCTCCGCAACTGAGCCTACTACCTCAGCTGCATCCACCTCGCCAGTGTCCCCTGTGCAGCCTACAACTGCGGCAACATCGGCGTCCTCCACCACTGCGCCCCCCGCATCCTCGTCGCCTGTGTTCAACAGCGCTCCCGCTCAGTTCCAGAAGGGCATCGCTGCCTTCATCCCAGGCCTTGCTCTTCTGTTTACTCTGCTGTAAACCTTCCAAGGCTTAATTCACCAGGTCCGCCATTTTATCCTGGCCAGCTGCGGAATTGCAATCTGCTGCAAGGAAAAAATCAAGACAAAATCCCCAAAAAAATTGTATTCAAGTCCGTTCTTTGAGTCTATGTTGGTTGTCACTTCATATGCCGGCACTCTGGAATGGTTATTTAATGGGTTACTTGACGACTGACACTCCTTTTCCATAATGGAACCCTAATTCTAGTGATACATATTATTTTACGAACGGATATTTATTTTCGACGTTTTGAGTGTCTCGTAGTGCAGTATGAAAACAAGAGCAGACCCCTGTATATTCAGCCCTGCCCAGGGTCTAAATTAGGGCTATGACATAATGCGATAAGGATAAGACGTTTGGCGTGTTTGCATGATGACCCGTGTCCTCATCCGAGGAGAGCTCTTCAGGCCTCAAGCAACCGCCAAGTGGCCACAGTATCCCTTTGCTTCCGAATGGCTTAATTTTTGAGTCATTCTTCAATCAAATCTCTCCGTTCTATTAACATCCCCTACAACCACCCCGGGACCACACATCGAGGCATCACGAAGCTCCGTCCGATTGCATTTGGTCCGAAGCCAACCCGCATTTCGGTCGACCACTAGGCAGACTGCCTGAATACCTCTCAACCCGTTTGGCTATATAAGTTCCGAGGAGTAAGCTTGCCCCGTCGATCGCGCAAACACTAGTGTCGGAAATTGGCTGACTCGTGTAGCCGGAGCAAAAACATAGATGATGGCGTTCTCAAATCGCCGACTACGTTCCAGCCCGTCAATGCTATCCCTAATTGTCCTACCCTTCCTTGTTTTCCTTCTTAGCTTCGCTGGACCAGCTTCTGCCGCCGGATCGGCTGTCCTGGGAATCGATGTCGGCACCGAATATCTTAAGGCTGCGCTAGTCAAACCCGGTATCCCGCTCGAGATCGTCCTCACCAAAGATTCGAAACGCAAAGAGTCCGCCGCTATTGCCTTTAAGCCTACACGTGAAAGCGATGCGCCGTTCCCCGAAAGATTCTATGGCGGTGATGCGCTTGCCCTCACTGCCCGCTACCCTGACGACATTTACATCAACTTGAAGACACTTTTGGGTGTGCAGTTCAATGATGGTGCCGACGAGACAGTCAAGAGCTACTGGAACCGATTCCCCGCCTTGAGACTGGAGGGCGCCCCTGATGGTCGTGGATCCGTTGCTCTCCGCAGCAACCGCTTGGGAGAGGCGCAAAAGAAGGAGGCTTTCCTGGTGGAAGAGATTCTTGCCATGCAGCTGAAGCAGGTCAAGGCCAACGCCGATGTGCTGGCTGGTAAGGGGTCTGACATCCGCGATGTCGTGATCACCTACCCTGCTTTCTACACCGCGGAGGAAAAGCGCAGCCTTGAATTGGCGGCTGAGCTGGCAGGCTTGAAGATCCAGGCTCTTGTCAGTGACGCACTGGCGGTTGGATTGAACTACGCTACTAGCCGAACATTCCCCAGTGTCTCCGATGGCGAGAACCCCGAATACCACGTCGTGTACGACATGGGCGCTGGATCGACCACCGCCAGTGTTTTGCGGTTCCAAAGCCGCAAGGTCAAGGATGTTGGAAAGCTTAACAAGACCGTTCAGGAGGTTCACGTTGTTGGATCTGGTTGGGACAAGTCTCTTGGAGGCGACTCACTCAACGATGTCATTGTGAATGACATGGTTGCCAAGTTGGCCGAAGAGAAGAAGCTTAAGGACAAGGTCACCACCGCAGAGATCAAGGCCCACGGAAAGACCATGGCTAGACTCTGGAAGGATGCTGAGAAGCTCCGACAGGTTCTGAGCGCCAACACTGAGACCTCCACCAGCTTCGAGGGCCTCTACGATGAAAACGTCAACTTCAAGTACAAGCTCAGCCGTGCCAACTTCGAGAAAATGGCAATTGACTATGTGTCTCGTATTGGTACCCCGGTCGAGCAGGCCTTGACAGCCGCCGGCCTGCAACTCAATGACATTGAATCCGTGATTCTCCACGGCGGTGCCATTCGTACTCCTTTCGTGCAAAAGCAGTTGGAGAGCTTTGTGGGCTCATCCAAGAAGCTCCGTACGAATGTTAACGCTGATGAGTCTGCTGTTTTCGGTGCTGCCTTCAAGGGCGCCGCCCTCAGCCCCAGCTTCCGCGTTAAGGACATCCGTGCCTCTGACGCTGCTTCTTACCCCGTCTCACTGAAGTGGAACTCGGATGGCAAGCAGAGAAACCAGAAGCTCTTCACCGCCACCTCACAGGTTGGGCCCGAGAAGCAGCTCACCGTGAAGAACCTCGAGGACTTCGAATTCAGCTTCGCTCAGCTCATCGGTGAAACCGAAGAGCAGCCTATCCTTAGTGTCCAGACCCAGAACCTGACCGCGTCTGTTGCCAGGCTCAAGGACTCCTTTGGTTGCACCGCTGAAAACATCACTACCAAGTTCGCTATCCGCCTCAGTCCCGTCGATGGTCTTCCTGAAGTTGTTATCGGTACCGTCAGCTGTGAAGTCGAATCCGAGAAGAAGGGCATCGTCGAGGATGTCAAGGGATTCTTCGGACTCGGAAAGAAGGACGAGCAGGAGGTCCTTGGCGAAGATGGTGAACCTCGGGAATCGATCACCCTCGAACCCGAGACTGAGTCTTCGACTACCACTTCCGCGACTTCCAGCTCCAAGACTACCTCTAGCTCCACCAAGGATGCCAAGCCTACTCCCTCGAGTAAATTGGAAGTCATTCCCATCAGCTTGAAATCCGTGCAACTTGGAACCCCGGCTCCATCTGCCGAAGAGCTCCTCCGCATCAACAACCGTCTCGTCGCCTTCGATACCTCAGACCGTGACCGTATTCTGCGTGAAGAGGCCCTCAACGAACTGGAGGCTTTCATCTACCGCAGCCGCGATCTCACCGAGAATGAGGAATTCACCAAAGCAATCAAGCCCGAACAGGCGACTCTTCTTGGTGAGCGTGTCTCCAGTGCCAGCGACTGGCTGTACGAGGAGAGCGATAATGCCAAGACTGCGGATTTCCAGTCTAAGCTGAAGGGTCTCAAGGAAATCGTCAACCCTGCCTTGAAGCGGATGAAAGAGAGCGCTTCCCGCCCTGGTCGCGTCCAGTTGCTCCAGGATATGCTCAAGAATGCTGAATCTATGCAAACCTTGATCAAGAACCAGATCGAAAGTGATGAGCAGATCTACTCCTCCGCCCTTGCGGCTTCTAGCACTTCGACCGAAACCGAGGCTCCAACCGAGACCCCGGCTTCCGATGAAGGTCTTGAAGATCTCGAAGATGATGCCTATTCTAGCTCTACAACTTCCACCAAGAGTGCCGCTGCGGCCAAGCCCACCGGCCCCAAGTACACCCTTTTCACGCCCTCCGATTTGACCTCCATCACACAGGCCCTCGAGGGCACCGGGCCTTGGTTAGAAACCCAGCTCGGTCTGCAAGAAAAGCTCACCGAGTCTGACGACCCCGCTCTGACTGTCTTGGAAGTCGACTCTCGCATGCGTGACTTCGAGCGCATTCTCAACCGCTTGTACGAGAGAATGACCGCTGCCGCTGGACAGAAGAAGACCAGTGGTGGTAAGAAGAGCTCCAAGGACAAGAAGCCCGAGGAGAAGAAAAAGACCAAGGAGCAGAAGAAGGAGAAGGAGCTCCCTAAAGACGAGTTGTAAAATAGTCGCTGATTCGTTTTTGCATCTGTTTGTTATTTCCGTACAGAGCATTTTCTAACGCAGTTCATGTATCATGCACCTTACATCTACACCTACACATCTTGGAAGATAGAAAAAGGACTGCAATGGAGTTTTGGGCTGAGCGTTAGCCATTTCATTCTCTTGTACTCTTGTTAATACACCTTGATCTACCTAATAGCCCCCTTTTCTGCTTCTTATTGGGCGTCCTGAGGCATCGCCGCAGCTCAAAGCCGCAGCTGGCCAGGTGGTATTCATGGATGGATGTATCACATCAGGTGACCTGCAGGGATACTGTCGCACTGCACAGACAAATAACTCTCTGCGACTCCCTGGGACGTCGAAATGGCACGAGTCTCCGACCTCATTCGAGACTCGAAACTGGACACCTATTTCCTCCCGGACTATAGGGTGGAGACAGTCCATAGGTTCGAAGAGTCAGATCCATCCTCGGGACGGCGATTAGTGACGAGATCGGAGCACTGGCGACCACACAGAAGAATTGGACGAGGTGGATTCGGTAGTGTCTGGCTGGAAAAGCGCAGTCAAGGGGGACGCCGAAGCTACAATCAGGATGTCACAGTCCGAGCCGTGAAGCAGATTGATCTGGACACCCAGCATGGCTCGATTGACTATAATCGGGAATTGGAAGCGATTGCCAAGTTCTCGCATGCTCGCGTAGGTTCCTGAACGATTCCTCTCCATGGAAAATAGGCATGCTGATGAAAGTAGTATGAGCGGTGCTTCGTCAAGTCCTTTGGATGGTATGAATGCCCCGGGAAGCTCTTCATAGCAATGGAATACCTCGAAAATGGCGACCTCTTCGGATATCTACACCAGAGACCACCCCTTCCCGAAAGCGAGGCCAAAGAAATAACATACCAGATCCTCGAGGGACTGGGTATGATGCATGAAAATGGATTTGCCCATCGAGACTTAAAACCAAATGTACGTCTGGATTTGAACAGTCAATTGGCGCTAGTTCACAAAGATGGTTATCTAGAACATCCTGGTCAAATCGCACCCTCCAGCAGAATGGTGGATCAAACTTGCCGACTTTGGTCTCACTAAGCGCATCGAGGAGAGCCATGCAAAGCTTTCTACGGTGAAGGGAACCCCCCGATACTTTGCCCCTGAGCTATGGGGATTCGTTGAGCGAGGCGGTGCCTATGCAACTGACATGTGGGCTCTCGGGGAAACAACCTTTGAGATGCTCTCCAAGAAACCAGCATTTGAAACCCCTGGGATGCTTGCCGGTTTTAAGTCCCCGCGGCAGTTTCCGGTCGACATTCTGGTCAAAGCTGGCGTCAGCCAACCAGGCATTGACTTCGTGGCTTCACTCATGCGACCTTGTCCCAGCGACAGACCGACAACAGAAACGGCCAAGTTGAATATATGGATTCAATCGGCGATAGCACCAGCAAGCGAGTCTATCGCGAGTTCGAAAAGCGAGCCACAAAGATCCTCGAATGTTGAAGACGAGCTGGCTAAGGGGCTCATGTCGTGGAGCATCAAATCCCCCTACAAGGGGGAAGAACCTACCATTCAAGATACCGTGCTTGGCCCAACTACACAACTACGCTGGAGGAGTGCCATCCAAAAAAAGGTTGGCATGGCACAGGAGGATGCCGCACCTGATATATCAACACTACGCACCGTGAAAAGCCTGCCCAAGCCACCCAAGTCAGCTGCACCTGAGTCTATACATTGGTATCAGACCAGACCTGATCTACAGCGCTATATGAACGCCGTCCGCGCGGTAGCCTTTTCACCAGACGCGCGCCAGCTGATATGCACCTCCAGAAAGTCAAGGATGTCGTGGGATTTAGCATCTGGAAATGTTTACGAGAACTCCAGGATTTGCTCAAATCTATACAAATCAAAGCTCTCCTCTTCTTCAGCGCTGGCGTACTCACCAGACAACACGCTTTGGGCCTGTGGTGTCGGGCTCCATAGTCTGCATTCAGGGAACGTGTTGGTATTTGATACGGGAACCGAGATTCTACAGAAGGAGCTTGGCCATCAAGGATGGGTCACTTCTTTGGCTTTCTCCTACGACAATGAATACCTAGCGTCTGCCGCTACAAATGACGAAATTCGAATTTGGAACCTGGCGACTCTCGAATACGCATGGAAGCTTCCAAGTCACTGTGACCACGTCAAGTCGGTGGTCTTTTCGCCTGATGGTCGGCTATTGGCATCTGGGTCTGCAGATGGAATGGTTCGGGTATACGATCTGGCGACTGAAAGTCTACAATCGACGTTCGAGGGTCATTTGGGACCTGTCAACATGGTGGTGTTTTCACCCAACGGGCAGCTGCTAGCATCTTGCTCCAGTGATTGCAAAGTCAAGCTATGGAACTTGAAAAAGAAAGCTCTGCACCAAACGCTTCGAGGGCATGGCTTTGAGGTTACCTCCGTCGCATTCTCTTTCAACAGCAAGATGATCGCGTCCGCCTCTACGAATGGGACAATGCGGGTTTGGTATGCGGCAAGACCTAGCTAAGGAGGGAGTCCATTCGGTACATTGTATAGCACACACCGAGACTCATGTATTTAGTAGAATTAGAATGTACCTATCCGGAATTGCTCACGCGATGCGCCCACGTTTCTCAGTTGGCCCGCCGACTTCACAGGCGCTGTAAGTGAATAGTATTTTATCAATGGCACAGTCTCCGGTAGTCCTTGAATCTGTGTCGCTGTTGATTGACCTCATGAAAGCCAGTAATTTGAGATAAAGTATCAGATGCTAGAAGGCTAGGTTGTTGGAAGACTTGAGGTAATTCCATGTCATATCCATGGATTAAAAAATTGATTTTTTCATGCTGGAACATAGGACCGGTAGAGACAGAATTGCATCGTCTTTTGACTGCGATGCAAAGTCGAAATGACTAGAAAGCAAGCTGAAAATCTCTGCAAATTGACCAAATCAAATGATGATCAAACGAAACCGACGAACAAAAGCCCCCTGGGCCTAGATTTTTGCCCAGCGCAGGAGTACCGCAGCAGCGATGACTGGCAGCACACTCACTAACTCCCCCAATCCCGCAAACTCAGGAGGAATTCTTGCATTGACGAAGGCGCCCGCAGCAAGAAGGACCGCAAAGGTGTTATAGATGAAGCTCCAGGCAAAGTTGAACCTAATACGGTTGACAGCTTGCTGACTGGCATTCATCATAGCAGGGATTCCAGCCAAGTAAGGTCGCATGAGGACGACATCAGCGGCAGATTGAGCGACGTCGGTACCTTCGTTCATATGGACGCCGATAGTAGCCTGCGCAAGAGCAACGGCATCGTTCGTACCATCTCCGCAGAAAACAACAACCGGCCTCTTGCGATCTGAATCCGCACCAAGCAGTGATTGAATGTAATCCCTTTTGTCGCTGGGTGAACTTCGAGATCGAACATTTTTACCGGGGATGTTGAGCTTTGAAGCCAACGACTGGACTGTTCTGTCTTCATCTCCAGACACAACATGCACCACAACACCACCTTTTTGCAAAGTCTGAATGGTCTCCGTAGCGTCAGATCGAAGTTCATCTTCAAGACCATAGACCGAGTGTAAGGCTTCATCGATAGTGAAACATAGCACAGTATAGCCTTGAGCGAGCATTGGTCGAACAAACTCATTTTCCGACAGACTGAGCCATCGGGAGTTACCCGCTCGAAGTTTCTTTCCATTGAGGACAGCTTCAACGCCTTTTCCAGTCAGGCTCTTAGCACCAGGAACAGCCGAAGGCATGATTCCATCCCGGCGGAGACGGGCAGCCACGGAAATAGAGACAGGGTGTCGATTGTTCTCAATGAGACCTAGGAGAAGGGAGAGATCGTCCCTGTTGACACATTCCTCGGCGACAACTGTAAGTTTTCCCCGGGTCAACGTTCCAGTTTTGTCAAAAACAACATGCGATGTTTTGTGAGCGACTTCGATGGCATCCGCGGACTTGAAAATGATACCTCTTTCCGCTGCAACTCCGCTGACAATCACAACGACCATAGGAACGGCCAGCCCAATAGCACAAGGGCATGATACTATCAGGACGGTGATAGCATAAGTGATGGCCTGAATGGTAGCTTCAGAACCATCGTATCCGCGGACAGCCATGCCCACTGCAATCCATGTCACAAATGTGATGATAGTGAGTGCGACCACGACCGGGACAAAGTAGGATGCGACTTTGTCTGCGAGATCCTGCAAATTTGGCTTTGACAGTTTGGCCTCATCGACCATCGCGGCTATGGTGTTGATAGTATTGTCGCTGGGCAGACGATTCAGTCGAACTATCATTACTCCATTTCCATTGATTGACCCAGCAATGACTACCGAGCTGGGATATTTCTCCACTGGGCTGGATTCACCCGTCAGCATCGACTCATCAACCTCAGACGACCCTTCGATGACGGTACCATCGGTCGGTACTCGAGTGTCGGGGAGAATTTTGAAGGTGTCACCGTATTGGAGAAGTCGGGCGTCGATTTCTCGTTCAACTCCATCGACTTCGTCAATGAGGATAGCTGTTGGTGACTGCAGTGAGCGAATGGAGATTGACTGAACGGCTCTCTGGCGCGCAAGAGCCGTAACCCATCGACCGACCATAATGAGGGTGACCAAAAGGGTGCTGGTCTCAAAAAATTGACCGGTCGAAAGTGGCTTCTTCGCGATGAGGTACCCAAACGAAACCATTGAGAATATGTAGGCGGCGCTGGTGCTCAACACAATCAAAAGGTCCATCTCGATAACCTTAGAGAAAACGAGCGCCTTGAGAGCCTTTGGGTAGAATGGCCCCGCTATGATGACCTGAACAAGAGTGGCCAGAGCAAGTGAAGCCGATGAATATGCCACCTCCCTGGGAGCAAGTGGAGCCCAAGCTATAACAAGAACCGGGATCGTCAAGACAGCAGAAAGCAGCGTCATGTATCCAACATGGCGGACATGCTTGCTCCCAGCCTCCAGCGAAGAATCACCACGCGGAGGAGCAAGCTGAATTGGTGGGCCCCAGATCTTCTCGACAAGGTCTCGGGCGCCTACAGTCTTTGGATCAAACGAAACTCGGACAATGTTTTTATCCAGGATCGTGATATCGAAAATACCATCGGGCCACTTCTGGGCAATGAATTTCGAGGGATCATCAGAGACGATGAGATCAAGACTCGATCCTTGATTCTGTACTCTTTCACACTTGAATTCGGTCGTTCGTTCAACGTGCTTGATAACCTCCTCTACCGAGGCAAGGCGAAGATCAACGTTAAACTCGGCTCGCGAAAGAACCAGACTGGTCTTCAGCTGTGTGACCGCGGGTAAAATGGCAAGCGTTCGATTGAATTTTGTCTCGCATCCGGTACAGGTCATGCCCGAAATGCTAAGGACGACGCGCTCATGACCGGTACCTTGATTCTCGATGTCAGAGATGACATTGCTAGGTGATTCATTTGCCTCCTGGTGGACATTGTGCGTGGTAGAGGAGCAACACACATCTGCACAAGGGGCCTCAGGCTCGGACGGTTTGGTCAAGTTGCAGCAAGAGTCAATTTCGCATGGGTCTGAAGGCCCGATCACGTCCTTTTCAGTCAACTTACAGCAAGAGTCAGAACGGCCGGCACCAGATCCTTCTTTGCTGCTCGTAAGATTCTGTGAAGCGCAACATGATCCTTGAGCCCCACAACTTGAATCCCCAGCAGTTGGTTTGATACTTGGGCACGAGCGCTCAAGAATGGCATTGGTGCCATTCTCACTCGGAGGTTTGTTCTTGTCGCAGCAAGGTTTAAAGCAGCCAGTCTGGACGACCGGCGTTTTGACCTTCGAGCAGCACGATTTCGAGCACTTGCTTTTCACAGGAGGCTTTCTGGAAGATTTCTCCATTGAACACGGAACGATGCTTGTCGAGTCAGTGCTTAACCTGTTCACAGACCTTGCGCTTTCACCAGACCCCTTTCGAAGACGCAGATGATTGTGTATCGCCTGCTCTCTCGTGACAGAGTCACTGCTGCGACCGGATTCCAGCGACTTGCGAAGAAGGGAACGCGCAGATGACTTCTTGCTACATTGCTTTTCATCCTGCGAATGGCGTTGACGGATTTCACAACAGGTCTCTTGGCCGAGAGCAATGAGAGATCGGCAAATACATCCCAAGGCCTGAAGCGTGGCACCGTAGCGATCAAGGGCAGAGAGGGTGTGTTGCTCGCATGCCTTGCTGTCAGTAGCTCCATCGCAGACTGCAGAAAATTAGCTATCTTGAACCATTTTGCAAAATTATGGCCACTCACCGGTCGCCTGGCGGCTCTCATCTGACGACGAGGGTGCTGCATGCTTCGAGCATTCTCGCAAAGCCAAACGATCAAGACAAGATGTGTCGCAGCATGGACCGACTTTCCCACGGCAGCAATCGGGGGCGTCGGTTTGGTCTTTTGGGCTGACCTCCGCACATTTGCCCGTGGTACAGCATGTTTCTGATTTGTTGGGCGAACTATCTTTCAGGTTGGCGGCTTTATCATCCTGAGATATCGAGTCATCACAACAGCCCGAATACTCCCCACAGTTTGTCTCGGATAAAGATGCCATAAGAGAGTCAATGGGCCCAGAGGACAGGGGCGGCGGACCAGAACAGCCTTTTCCCATTGTTGTGTTGTATCCCTTGAGTGAGTGAGGGGTGGTGGACTTGGGGAGGTCAAGTTGGCTGCTAACACGTGAATAGCGGCCAATCAACTCAAATGGGAGAATTCTGCCAGTCAAATATTTTTCACGCGAAATGGTGTGATCAAATACCTAGTAAATGTTTTTCCCGGTGGGATTTATAGAACATTAATTCAAGTTGAACTCCTACAAGTTCCCTGGACCGTGGACTTCAGGTGATTTGACTGAAAGATATGTACCTGGACGTGCTGGGCACACCGGGTATATCGACAGAAAAATAAGCAACCCTAATAAACGTTTCCTTCAACAATCCATTCTATCTTGTTCATCTTTTCCTATGCTAGGTGCGCCTTGGTTTGGCCAATGTTTGAACATCCTTATCACTGGGCACCTGTCGGAGATGTGATGGACCGTGAACCTTGGAATGAAATCCAGTCGGCGACAGTCGGCGACAGTCGGCAACACCGGAAAGCCTTGGCACTGAGGAACTTGGCTGATTCGAAGTCAACTTGAGCGACCACTGATCAGCCCCGTGAGGTCATCCGATCGCCATCGAGCCTGTGTAGGGGTAGTACAGGGGGTATATCAAGACGGCCATGATGTGCCTCCATATCAACGATCATCCGCAACAAGTCAGAACCTCACAAGTGGTGCTGCACTTGACTTGGCATAGCTTCGACTCATTGTTGTGTACATCAGTACCCGATGCAGTGACCAAAGAAGTGACCGGTCTCAGCTCCGGCTGTATAGTAGCCGAATGAACGCCGTAGCTGTGAAAGCACTCATTCATGGTGTTTGCGATCTGCACGAACTCAGGAATAGTCTCTTTGGAGATGGCGACGTGGACAGATGCCAATGCCTTTTCCTGGTTTAGGCGCCAGATGTGGAGTTCGTGGACAGAGAGAACACCCGGGATCTTGATATCATTCCTAATTTTAGTTCGGTATCGGCATCGATTAAGCAGGTGGAACGCACGGTTTCAAGATCGTGTTTGACATCTCCTAGATCAATGCCACTTGGGGCGCTCTCGAGTAGAATCTTACCAGAATTCTTGACTAGAGAAACTCGAACATTAGCGCATGAAGAAGGATACGATAGCAAGATGATACAAACCTAAAGGGATTGATGTGGTCAGGATAACGAAGGATATGGCCATACTGACAGCGGGATCTGCGTAATAGCGACCCGAGTATGAAGTGAGCCAGATCACAAGTGCCGAGATGATTACACCGACATTGTTGGCAGCATCGCCGATCACATGGATCAAGACACCTAGCATGCCGAGATCATACCCCTTCTTTGATGCTTGGTGGTTTTTGTGCCGGTGGTTATCGTGGAAGGCGAATACCTTCAATCAAATTGGTAAGCATCAACAGAACATCTGAAGAGTTCTCAAGTAGAGCCTCACCAATTCTGTGCCATTTTCCGCGCTGTGAGAATGGCTGTATTCATGATCGTGTGAATGGTCGTTCGAGCCACCGTGCGAATGACCATGATCTGAGACAATGACTTGTGTCAGTGGCCTCCTGATTTGGATCGAGCTTAGGGTTACTGACCGTGGAGAAATGAGGCGCTGATAATGTTGAGAGCAAGACCGACACATCCGATGATTAGCACAAGCTTCGGCTCCTCCACGACTGCAGTCACATTAGTCAGGCGACGACAGATAATGACAAGGTGGCCTACTCTCGACGGATACAAATCGCTCGATGGATTGTAAAAAGATGCTCACGCCCAGGGCGAGAAGGAACACGCCGTTGAAAAATGCGCCAAGAAGCCGAGAACGCTGCCAGCCGAAGGAGAGGCTCTGGGGAGAGTCTTTCTTCACAGAGATCTGATTTTAGTTAGAACCGAGCAGCGGTAGTTGAAAGCAATATTCTGTACCTGTAAAGCTGCAAATGCAACGATGAACCCGATCAGGTCATTCAACTAGAGAGGATCAGCTGCATATTTCTCCCATGTACCGGGGGACGGGCGATCGAACATAATGAAAGGCATCTGCTACAAGTGCCAGTGATCTTGTATAGAATCCAACTGTGATCAGCATAGTTAGGTCACGCATACCGGTTGAGGGAGTGGTGCTTCGGAGTTACCGGATATTTCTGCAATGAAGAAGCAGAGGGAGATGCAAATCACCAGCTGCAGACGCTGGGATTGGCTCAAATGAAATCCCATAGGTCGTGGTTATAGCGAAATCGAGGGTAACGTGGAAGTGCAGTGGGTAGGTAGATGGGAAAGGGAAGAGAATGGTACGGGTAGCAGAAGCCTCTTGGAAGTTGAGCGACAGTCGGTTCGCCGGAAGGTTTCTGGGTGGAGTGGCCAGATGAACTTCGCCGAATCCTTTGCGGTAAATAGCGCACAATCCCGTGCCCTCACTAATTTAGACACCTACTAATTTGGTGGCCTTCCTGGCTAGGATGGCGATCATTTTGCATGTTTTGGCTGAGACAGTGGAGCTGTAGTAGTTGGGAAAATGTGAGATGCTATTGTCGTAATGAATTAGACTACCTAGGCACTGACAATCTGAGAATTCCCAAGAGTAGATGGAGACATGGCAATATTGGTCCAGCACCGGGATGCCCACGGCCTTGGCCCTCATGACTCACGCGATTCAACTATCTAGCGGCCTACCCAGGTGAGCTCCAGAGTACCTAGGTATGGTAAAATGGAATCAAGATAATACCTTCAGGGCTTTCTTTATGTTCAATACTAGTACAGAACGATTCATATTAAGTTCAGCACCGTATTCTCTAAGCGGACAGCACGCACTACAGGAATGCTGGAATCCATTGTTGTTATGAGCAGACTGCAAGGCTTCGTTGGAAATGTCAGTCGTATGGTAGTTACATGCTATGTGGAAGAATCATTTGGATTTACTTCTCCGTCACCTGTGTTCTGTGTTAATGTGTAAGGTCGGGAACTTGCCTACAATTTGCTGTGGATTGACAGAAACGCAAAGTTGATTCCTCAGGCATAATTCCCATGGGTCCCGTGGATGCCTGACACGCTGCCCCAGGGCGAGCATTCCTATGACCTACACCTGGAAGAGCTGGGGAAGAAGAGGGCATCGCGGATATAGATCGAGGTTCAAATAAAGTTGATTAAGCATTGGGAAACAAACAGTGCACAGTCTCAGTTCCTTGTCTATTGGTCCAAGGGGCATTCACCCACAAGGTCCTCACCCGCAAGGTCCTCACCACCGATGCCCGCAGGGTCCGCCACTCAAACTCGCGCCTTCCCAAACAGATTCCACCTGCATGCATACGAGTCTTTGTGTCTGATATGCTTTCTTCATTTCCAAAAAAATCATCCGGTCGCTTTCAAAGTGGTTGATTCTGATGTCGCCCACGACATGCTTACTCATCGAGGCTTGCCTCTATTACATAATCCTTGCTTTTGTCCGGGTTCACGAGTCCACGGGTCAACTGGTCCTGGGGTACAGATGTCCGACCAGATGTCCAGCACTTGAGATGTTCCAACACTGAAGGGTCACTTGGCACCTTGCACTTGTGGACCCGTGGGCATACAGGTGCGGGCCAGACCCCAAAGCTCGCGATACAGCTCAGTGGGAATAAAAGTTATCTCAGTGGGATTAGAAAATCCGACATGAGAGGGACTACATCTTCTGGCCCAGCTGAGCTCTGACCCAGGCTCCGTTCCAAATCACGACTCACGAGTCAACCAAGTGTCTGTATAACATGGATTCAAAACTAACGTGTGCTAACAGGACAGTCCAATAGAGCCGATAAACAGACTCAGCCATGATACTTTCATATGCCACATATTAACTAATCTATCTGTGGAATACTTCTTCTCAAATCGGCGACAACTGGTTATCTCTAGAACGAACATCTTAGAACTCAAATCTCTGCCTGTTTTCTTCGCTCCACTCCTTCAGCCCAATTGGGGCCTTTCCGGTGTACCTGAGCACACTTTTCGAGGCTTCTGGGTACTCATCTGCACGCAGTGTTTTGCCTGCATCGTACACCGCATCGTGGACTATCCAAGCGGCAACCGGCAAGGGAATCCCAATCTCACAAAGTTGGTTCACTGCCTCTTCTTCTCCAATCTTGACGATTTTAATGGACTTTCCCAAAACCTCACCAATAACACCCAGTCCATCCCTCAGCGACAGCTTCTCTCGTCCAACAATCCCCACAGCATGATCCTGGGAGCCATGAGCAAGGATCTTGCCAGCAACCCGTCCGACTTCATCAGGTGAAATCCAGTCGAATTCTGCGTCAGGGTTGGGCAACTCGACTTCGCCTTCCAAGATACCCTTCTTGAAGTTGAGAATGTTGCTTGAGAAGTAAGCCGGGCGAATTGAAACAAAGCCCTCATTCCCGAAGACCTCCTCCAATTGAATTTCCAATTGTGCGTGGCGGTAAGCGATAAAATCGGTAGAGGGCGTGGCATGAATATCACCCGTGACCGTAAAGCTACTCAAGAAAACCACAGACTTGACCCCGCCTTCTTTGAGGGCGAGAAGGCTGGCCCTCATTTGACCGTCTCCGACAACATAAATGAAGGCCACAGTGGCGCCTGATTGACGGACAGCAGCTTCGACGGTTTCGGGCTTGGTGAGATCAGCTGAAATTTTGTCGAACTCAATGTTGTCCAGTCTGGGGATTGGCTTTGTCGGGTCTCGGACGGCGAGAGAAACTTTGGCACCGTCTTGGTGAGCCTGTAGTGCTGCCGCAGAGCCCACATCGCCTGTGGCGCCGAACACGATCACACTTCGTTTCATGGCCATGCTGAATTCTCGTTGAGGTAAGAAAGAACGATTGGTATTTATCTTCTTTATGTCGCTTTGGTAGAACGTCCGCAAAGATTCTGGATGTCGGGAACTTTGATGCTTTTATAACCCACGTGACCTTTGAATTGCGGTGTACCACCCACTGGAAAGAACTTGACGGTTGGACTCGGATTTAAATATCACTGGTGTAAGGAGTAGATTCGTGCATGATTGTCCTCTCGGTCCGAGCGGACTTTCGGGGTGCTCTCAAAGGCCGAGACTCCGTCCGACGAGCTGTATCGGCCAACCTCTGTCCGAATACAAGGGGATATTTCCCCATCAGAACCTTGAATTAGTCTCAGAAACGTCATTTGTTGCCATAAAAATATCATCGTGGAGAAATTTTTAACAGTTACTAGATCGAAAGGTGGAGCGCAGAGCCTTAATTCGAGATCCTTCCAAGGCTAGACACAGTGGTTCCTTTTACTTCAGAAGAACGTTCTTTGTTTGAAGCAAACCCCGAGCTACTTGACAATGGAAAGGGTATATAGAGCTTGATGATCTGCAGTGTTGACACAATGCATTGACTTTGCATCCCGAGGTCTAGATGACACCCAGGGACATTTTCCTTACCCCCGGGCTTGAACATTGATATCCAGGCTGTGTATTTCAATATTGATACGTATTGTACCTCCCATAGCTCAATATGGTATCTTAAGAGTAATCATAGACATGTCGGAGCTACTAAAAACTAACGAAGACATCATTTGCATGCATTCGAAAACGGAAGGGATTGTACCCTCTACCGGAGAATGTGGTATAACGTTTAAACAGGCAAGCTAATCAACCAAGAAGTAACTCACGTGTACTCTATATCCGCCTTCAGCAGCATAGATAAATGCCACAATAACTTCATATTGATACCTCTCATCTCTTCCTTGAAACGCGAGGCAACAAGAATCACTCACTCAATTTGAAGCTTTATTGCACTCTTTTCTTAATTTCTCCTTGCTTTCTGCGAGCAAAATCTTCTCCGCTGTAACTTCTTAATCTGAACACAATAACTCAGTTCACAGCCGGAGTCCGCGGGGCTTCCAGAAGCAAGCCATCTAATTGTCATAGTCATCTCCCTCTCCGTCTCCACCAAGCCCGAGACCGGCCCCCAAGCCACCCCCGGAGCCTCCGCCGAGTGCCCCACCAAGGGCTCCAGCAAGACCTTCGCCAAATCCATCTCCGATGGAGCTGTCATCATCATCGTCACCTCCCAAAGCGGCACCGGCACCACCAATGCCGGATCCAATGCCGGAGCCAAGGCCAAGACCTATATTACCACCTGCACCACCACCTGTTCCTTGAGGTTAGTGAAGGAGCAGGATTGAATATTGATCTTGTGACGAACAGATAAGATCGGCCAATTCACCGCTAGGTGCGGCGACAGCGGCAAGGGCCACGCTGAAAAGCGCGAGAATAAGGTTGGACTTCATTGGGTATTGATTGAGCTATTGCAAGCTTTTCGTCAGTCAATCTTTTTCCCGCATCTTGGGGAGATGAATATAGGTGATATTACCAAATGCGTTCGGGTATATGGATAAGAGGATTGGAATGGTTTCCCGGCCTTGGAAGCTGATCTACATATTCCTGGGTCATCCAGTTGGTTTTATATGCTAGATTTAGGTCTCTTGAGCCCTCATCCAACGGTCTGTCATTCCAAGTTTCCATTTACAAGGAGAGACATGGGCTCTGATCGGACCATTTGTTTCATGCCCAGGTGAGAGGGACATGACCCACGAGGTAGGACGCCTGGTTTGGAATTTTCGGGCTGTCTGGCTTTAAAAATCTTTGAATGCCAGGTGGCTTAATGTGAGTACCTGTCTCGGGTATCTGTTCGGTGGTAGTACAGCTAAGAAAGTCGAGAAAATGGAACATATCCATGGATCCCATGCATTTACCTATAGAGACCTGGGACCGGGCCGGCCTTGGGGACTTCAAAGGTTCTGTTTCGCGTATGATCCACCTTGGCAGAATTGAGTCAACTTCAGGTAGAAATTCGAGTCGCGAAAGTATCAAGACTAAATTAAAGCAATATGCTTAGTACTGGGGGTGCAAGCATATCCGCTTTCAAACTGACCCAGCCCCTTGCATTGATCCGGTATTTGAGAGAAGCTTACGTTGTACAATCTTCGGAGGCGTGGCAGTTGGTTTTAGATGTTGTGTTAATCATGAGAAGATCGCTTCTTAAGTTGTGTTTCCACACCACCAGTGGGATGATGAAAACGACAAACATCTAGACATTTCCCCTAATGCCAGCGTTAATAGCAGGGTAGCAAGGTCCCGCTGAGGTCGAATATGATCAGCTCCTCTGTATGGCTATTGTATACTACTGTCGTTTAAGTCATATGGAATGACAGCGCACTCCGATGAGGGGTGCTGATCATAGTCCGATTGAAAACGGCTCGCCCACCGCTATGTCTTCCGAAGATCGTGCTGATATCAGTTGTACATGATGGATTGGACCAAAATCTCGGCTAACATTTGATGCTTCGATTGATGTTCCTAGAATTGCGAAACCGAAGCTTCTGCGTAGGAACGAGAGAGGATTGGGAGAATTTAACATTGGAAGGAGTCACGGAGTTAAGGCTGTAGAACGACGCGAGCCGTCTTTGGCAGCCGACGGACGAATCCGTACGGTGCTCAAATTGGCCGAGCGTAATCAATCGAAGTGATGTCACAGTGTTGATCGCTGAAAGGCAATGTCCGATGTCGTCTCCGGTGTTGGCTTTGTTGTTTCCTGGCATCTGCTCATTGAAGCCCTCTTCAACAAATGTACTGCCTTGCCCCCACCGTCTAAGTTGAAAAGTTGTCACTGTCACTTTCTGTTTAATTTTCTTCTGCGCCTGGACAGAAAAATCTAAAAAATTGGGAGTACGTGGGATATGGGTCCAGCGGACGGAGATAAATCTAAAGCCCGGTACGCGATGTCGACCAGCGAGGGCCTATTTTGTTTTAAAGACCGGGATCTTCTTGTTGAAATAGAATGAAACATTGTCCAAATTCCTGTTCACCACACTGAATAAGCCCAATCTGATCATATATCCTCAATGTCTGTGATTGTCTTCGGTCCCACCGGTGGTGTCGCTTCAGTTGCAGCAATTACTGCCCAAGAGCATGGCGCCCAGGTTCATCTAGCCATGCGAGACACCAAGAAGGAAATACCCGGACTCAGCCTGGAACGTGAACAGGAAGGCAGATTTGAAAGAGTCCAAGCCGATCTGACGAGCCCTGAATCTGTCGCCGCAGCCGTCAAATCTTCGGGGGCAAAGCGCGCATTCACATATCTTGCATTTGGAACATCGGACCACATGCGCGGCACATTTGCAGCGATGAAGGCAGCTGGGATTGAATTCGTTGTTTTCCTCAGCAGTTACACCGTCGCCGGCGAGCCGAAAGATGTCCCTCCTGCAGATCTTATCCCTTACGTCCACGCTCAAGTGGAGGTCACCCTCGATGAGATCTATGGGCCTGAAAGTTACGTGGCCCTTAGACCCGGTGGCTTCGCGACGAATCTGCTGCGTTTCAAGAAGGGCATTCAGGCTGGTGAGGTCAAGGTCTGGGCCCCTGGCTTCCAGTTCGATTGCATCACATCAAATGACATCGGTCGTGTGGGCGGTACAATCTTGGTACACGGGCCAAAGAACAGCCAGAAAAAGGTCTACTTATATGGACCCAATCTCATCGCCCAGGGAGATGCAATTTTAGCAATTGGAAAAGCCATCGGCAAAGACGTTACCCTCTTAACGATCGACGAGAAAGAAGCTTTCGAAGAGTACATTGCAAGCGGAGTCCCCGGCCCGTTGGCTACATATATGGTACAAAAGTCTGCGAAGACATCCAATGGGCTTACGGAAAGAGCTTGCTGTGATATCGGCGTTCGAAATGTGGAACTTTACACGGGAAAGTCATCTACAAAATTTGAGGATTGGGTGGAAACAAACAAGACGCTCTTCCTTCGTGATTAGGAAACTCTTCAATTCGACATCAGAAACCTTATCTATGTGATTTGATCCATGCACGCAGCTTTTAATCACGAGCGCTTAAGTTGAAAGCCAATTTTACTACCTAGATATCAGGAATCTGAAGCAGATTTATTGCAAGAGACCGGTCGGTGTCAACCTGGAGATAACGCAATGAGTTTCACTCTTACTTGGTCGCCTGGAAGAAGTACGATCCTTCATTTCATTGAAACTCAAGGTCTTTCGTATTCTACCTATTACCCAGGTGGGATGCAATGCTGATTAAAGAGAGCCCAGGATCCCCGTAGGCATGCCGGCAAATTTATGCCTATGAGCCCTCGATTTTTAGACACAATGCATTCATTTGATAGCTTAATCACCAGTTTTCAACGCACGAATATCTTGAGAAACAAGTCGATCTTCCATATCAACCATCCTCTCGTCCACGGGCACCATGAAGTTTCTCAGCTCAGATATGACGCGTTGCCACTGAGGGGTCCTCGAAACGGGATAGTTCGCCCATTGTTGAGAGAGTACATAGAACGTATGGCAGCCGGTATTTCTCGGAGGAGATCAGCCCGAAATAAAGGGTAAGCATCAACCTCTTTGGCAAACTTGTGTTGTGAGCTTCGGAAAAACCCTTCAACAGATGCTACGGCCAGAACGGCGCGCAGTGGATGGTCTGGAGGGAGTTTGATTGCAGAGACAATGTGATCATGTTTGAGCCAATGAGTGTTGGTATCCACTTGTCGCGATTGGGGGGTGTTCTTGGGATGAGGGTTGGCTTTCAAGATATTCTTGACTTCTTGGGCCATGGTGGATTCCATTCCGGTGATCATGTACTTGTCCGCAAGCCTCAAAAGCTGGATGATGGCTGAGATGTGATCTCCTGGGTCTTTGATCCCAAACCTGACAGTATGTTGGTGTAACCACTGACACAGACCTTCGATGCTTGTCACTGATACCATGTCCGCGTCCTCTTCTAGAATCAATTCCTCCTGTTTTGACTCCACAGATTGGCCATTGAGCATCGATGAGAAGACTGGCGATTGCGCGCAGAGAAGCGTTTTCGGGATAACGTATTTTTTATTGCTGGGCTGTAGCCGAAGTGTGATGAGTGGGCCTTTATATTGAGGAAGAATGCTGACAGCCGAAAAAGTTAGAAAGGTAGCCTCATCGCAAGGGTAATTTGGGTATTCACCTGGCCACGAAGTGCTTGGCAGTTGGCCCTTTTGCGTCCGTCATTTTTGCCAAAGGAAGACTGCACACGAGCTGAGATGAAAAGATTCAATGATTAAATGGTTCGTTCAGGTCACGCAGGTGAGAGGTAAAACTTTCGAGGAAGCTCATGAATATGCAAAGCTGTGCCTATGATCAGTGGCTCTGGATCTGCTTCTCGAAAGTTAAGAGGGGGTACATTGGTGAGGCAAATGTGAAGAGGGGTCCAGCCTAGTTTTGCAAAGCACGAGGAGTCTGTGACCTGCAGCAAATCAAAAAGTGAGTGAGTGATCTTGGAAGGGTTTGTATACTCATGAAAACAGGTCCAAATCGGGCTTAGTCTGCCCCATTACCACGCTAAGCCTAATTCGGGAAGGAAAAGTTCGCGGAGCTCATTTCTCCTCTTCTCTTCAACCCCACCTTGACAGCCAATTTACAAGATGGAGAAGCCCGATATCGTGGAGTCTCCGCGAAAGCGCCAAAAGACCGAAGATGCGGGTTCAATTGCGACCCCCTTCGGTGGCGATGGCGCGTCCGACATCCCGACCGTCGCAGTCGCCGATGCCCAGACTCTGAAGGAAAACGAAGTCGGAATCACGGAGTTTGTGAGCAATGACACCGAGGGATTCTCTGGTATCCTGAAAAAGAGGTAATTCGTCGAGATTTGGGCGAACATGACTGTTGCTAAATGCTACCTGCAGATACACCGATTTCGCGGTCAACGAGATCACAACTACCGGCGAAGTTGTCCACCTCCGAAACACGAGGGCCCCTCACTCCCACAACTCCAAGCCCGAGGAACCTGCTGCGCCTGCCGTCGAGGCGGAAGCCAAACCCACCGAGAACACAGAAGCTGCCCCGGCGAAGACAGAGGAGCCAGCGGAATTCAAGGTGTCGGAGGAGGACCATGCTCTACTGGTTGAATATTTCGGCGCTCAGAATGCCACTGATATCATTGCACTTCACCAGAAGGCCATGTCTAAGCCCAAGTCTCGACCAAGTGAGTTCGGTCAGATCAGTGTTCTCGTGTCGGATCGTGATCTGCGCACGAAGATTCACCAAGCCATTCGCCGAATCTTCAAATCGCAGCTTGAGTCCACCACCGATTCGGAGGGCATGATGGGAATCCTCGCCGCAGCCAACCGGTTCAAGCGCGATCCTGGATCTGGCCGTGGTAACGGCCGGTCTAACAACAACCGAACCAACTGGGAGGAGCTTGGTGGCCAATACCTGCACTTCACTCTCTACAAAGAGAACAAAGATACCATGGAAGTGGTTTCTTTCATCGCCCGCTCGCTGAAGATGAACCCTAAGTCCTTCCAATTCGCTGGAACCAAGGACAGACGAGGTGTGACTGCGCAGCGCGTCTGTGCTACCCGTGTTCTTGCCGAGCGTCTTGCGCGCTTGAACCCTACCCTCCGCAATGCTATGGTTGGCGACTTCGAATACCGCAAGCAAGGTCTGGAGCTGGGAGATCTGGAGGGCAATGAATTCGTCATTACTCTGCGCGAGTTGAGCATTCCCAGTGTGGACACGAAGGATCCCAAGGCTGCGATCACCAAGGCATCCGAAGTCGTCGGTACTGCTCTCAAGAATCTACGCGAGCGTGGTTACTTCAACTACTATGGCCTTCAGCGTTTCGGTACCTTCTCAACCCGAACTGACACTGTCGGTGTGAAGATGCTGCAGGAGAACTTCAAGGGTGCCTGCGAGGCTATTTTGCACTATGGTCCCGAATCCCTCCAGGCGGCCATGGAAGGCGAATCTAACAACGCGAACATCAGCAGTGATGACAAGGCCCGCGCCATGGCAATCAACATGTTCCAGACTGGTGGTCCCCGCATCGTGAATGAAGCCTTGCAAAAGCTCCCTCGCAAGTTCTCTGCGGAGCAGAATCTTATTCGTCACCTTGGCAAGTCCCGCAACGACTACCTGGGTGCATTGCAAACCATTCCCCGCAACCTGCGATTGATGTACGTTCACGCGCACCAGTCCCTTATCTGGAACTATGCTGCCAGTGAGCGCTGGCGCCTGTACGGCGACAAGGTCGTGGCTGGTGATCTTGTGATTGTTCAAGAGCACCGCGACAAGGAAGAGAACTCTGCCGAGATCGCCAACGAGACTGTCGATGCTGATGGCGAGATCATCATTGTTCCCCAGGGTGAGGACAGTGCCGTTGCTGCCGAGGACATGTTTACTCGTGCTCGTGCTCTTACGGCCGAAGAGGCAGCCAGTGGCAAGTACAACGTGTTTGACATTGTGCTTCCTCAGCCCGGATACGACATTATCTACCCCGAGAACGAGATGAAGGACTTCTACACACGTTTCATGGCCAGCGAGCAAGGTGGTAATCTGGACCCCTCCAAGATGCGCCGCTCATGGAAGGACATCAGTCTCAGCGGCAGCTACCGTAAGGTCTTCAGTCGTATGATGGGTGACAACTACTCCTTTGATGTCAAGATGTACACCCAAGACGATGAGCAGTTTGTGCCAACCGACTTGGACAACTTGAAGGAGAAGAAGGAAGAGAAGGAGACCGCCACGGCCGAGACAACCGGTGACAAGATGGCTGTTGTTCTGAAGTTCCAGCTTGGCTCAAGCCAGTACGCCACTATGGCTCTTCGTGAATTGACCAAGGGCAAGGCCGTCGCTCACAAGGCTGACTTCGGTGGTGGTCGTTAAGCTAACCTTGGAAGCATTCTAACCCCAAAAACTGCACTTGCAATGTACAACGCATTTGACGAACCGAATCATTCATTACGCTCAGGATAACTTCCAGCATATTTAAGTGCTTGATCCAGCAAGCAATGCAAAAGACATATCAAAAAAATCAAGCTCAAGCCTTAACCTCAAACGCCTCAATCCAGAGAATAAGCTCTCGCTCTGAACTCCGTATCATATATCATACTAGTCCCAATATTAACCCAGCTCACCTAAAGTGCCTCTGCTCCGGTGAACTCGGCGATATAGGCGATACCTCATGGAATGATAATTCCGAGACCTCATCAAAATCCCTCCCTCTCTCTGTCCTCTCCGTATCCGAAACATCCGAAACGGCATCATCATCAGGGCGGGCGCGCACAGGCGCGACAGGCACAACAGGTACAACAGGTCCGACCCCAACTTCATCGTCTTCAAAGTCCTCAAAAGGCATGCGCGCCAACTGTCTCGAGCCCGCTCGTTCCTCAACCACACTCTGTCGCCGGGTCACCGGGACCGCAATCGCAGTCCCTAGCTCAGCCTGCGAGGCATGACCATCCGGTGCCGTATGATGGGACAAGCCGCCCGTGCTGGAACGTGGCAGAGTAGGAGACACCAAAGGCATGGGTACATTCATTGATGGAATTGATCTTGTCTCGGCAGGTTTGGAGCTCATCAGTTCTTGCGTTGAGACGGCTGTGGTTTGACTTGTTGCTGCGTGGTAGGGAGGTGGGAGAGACATGCGATCCCGGCGGCGGCGACGAAGTAAGAAGAAGACGATGGCTAAAATGATTGCGAGACCGACGACTGAGATTGGGACTGCGATTGCGATTCTCGTTGTTTTTGTTGTACCGTTTGATTGTGTGCCGAAGCCGCTTGTTGCGGTTTCTGTGGAGGATTGCGTTGGGGTGGTGGTTATTATGGAAGTTGAAGTTGAAGTTGAGAGTATTGAGGATGGTGTCGAGCTTGATATTGAGCTGGTCGTGTTTGACATACTTGTTGGGGTCGAAGATGCGGACAAATCGCTAGATGTCGAAGGTCCTGCAGGTGCGGTGGTAGACATGGGCCAAGTTCCGCTGTTTATGGAACCGTCACTCTCGCTGTTCACCAATCCATTCGCACCAGATCCATCATTTGTCGGATTACTGGCTTCCGCTGTTTCTGTGGTGGGAGGGGCTGGTTCTCCCAGCATCTCTTCAGATCGGTCTCTGACATTTGCGTTGGGGCTTCGTATCAGAGACCCAATCCTCGTCGGGTCCGCTAAACCCGTTGAATTCGCTTCATTGGCCGAGGTCTCAGTGGAATCCAGCTCGATTCCATTCTCTGAATCTGAAAAGTCCAGCTGAGTATCCACAATGACGATGGGCAGGGACCTCATTATGTCGGACAGAGGTAGTCGGCACGTCTCGAGGGGTATCTCCCCGGGAAAATATCGGTCTTATGGGATATCGTCAAAGCGAAGAAGAACAAAGACGAATGGTCAGCATATAACAAAAGCCCCAATCAGCTCGCTTGTTCTATTCCATCCGGTTTGTGTAGATCTCCCCGAAGTATCTATGCGTGCATCATGCATGAAAAACACAGACTCGACAATATTGGAAGAAAGAAAGAGGGAAACAGAGAAAGTACAATAGACGCCAGAGATCGCAGTATACACAGCCCAACGGCCTCAAAGTGGGGTTGAAGCACTGCCTCCAACAAAGAAGCGCTTCACTGCAGCGCTAACCCTTTTCCTCGTTAGGCTTCGAATCCTTTGGACTATATAAAATCCACGTAACGCTACACGGCACAAAGAATACGGTGAGATTCTGAAATCCACTCGCAATGAGGCTCGTCGTGTGCTATTTTTGTCCGAGTTACGCTAAGTTGGGGCCGCGTAGGATCAGCCCAACGCCTAACTCCTTTGCGCCTAGTGCTGCAGGTGTAAGGCTGCCCCATTGGCATCGACTCTCTTTTGCTGATTGGTTTGGTCTGCAGGTAATACCCAATAAGTGTCTGTCGACCGCTGTTTAAAGCGAGGGACATGTCTATTAGATCCTCCACTTGGACCTTTTCACCCGGGCTAAATGTTGGTTTTTTCCCAGTCGTCTCGCACTCTCTCACTTGCTGCTGGACATAGCGTTCACCATCCCTCAAATAAATTCGGCTTCCAAGTTCAACAATCAACGCGATATTTGCTTTCCTGGGAACTAGTCGCTTGCTCCTATTCCGTATACTGTATACTGTATAAGGTGCTCCGTAGATGCCACTCCTATTCAATAATGCGTAGTATATTCGTAAATCTTACCAGTCCGATCGTCTGATACCTTGAATCTGCCTAGTTTCCAATATTTCCCTATGTTAGCCTGACAGAAATGCATGCCCCATACTCCGTAGGCTTACCTAGGTAAAAGTTCTCAGTATCGTAAGCAGATACTAGGTATTTTCTCGTACCCGCGAGAAGTCAGAAGATGCATCGAGATTCTAGATTCACAAACCAGCACCTGGGCTCTTGCGTTTTGCTGTCATTTTTCTGCTGTTCACAACCCCCATTGGTCTCTCATAGCCAAGAAGCATGAGGTCAAATCGCTCTTGGCTTGTGCTATCCTCGATGCTATCTACAAAAGCCTCTTGAGCTATGTATATCAATGTCAATATATTTTGGAATGTCGCATTACAATTTAGATAGAGACTGAATTGCCGGGCACAACCGCGGCACTTCGGCCTTTCCCGAGGTCTCAAAGACTCTCACGGGCAAAAGTCTTTGCATTGCTTATGTTGAACCCGACCGGTAATATTTGCAAGTAAATCCATAGGTACCTATTATAGTATGTGCAGTGCTTCTTCTTGGATATTCGGACAGTTCGTTGCCGTGGGAGATCTAAATGGTTTGGCGCTCATTTACGCAGTCACCTTTTCCAAATGGCCGAATTTCAGAATTGTCAAATATATTGCGCTTAGCTGTCGAAGCCAGTCTCTAGGCACGCATTTCGCAATTACTGGATTACTGAATATATACTTTCCCACCGCAGTTTCTTCCAAGTTTGGAGCTTAAAGCAGTATTCTGTGAGTCTGTTGTAGGATCCCAGAGAACCTGGATTAAGTAGCACTTGCTCTATCAGTGCGCATTATACTACTCGCCCAAAATCGAGGCTGGTGTGTAGTTGAGCTACCAAAAAGATTTCGCCCAAGGCGTGTCCAGGTGTACGTTCTATGGTTGAGACTATAGCTCAACCCGTCTACGCTGTAAACATGCGAACCAAATTCATGAGACATTTTCTGGATTATGGACATATATTCTATTACGTTAATAAATGTAAATCACATCAAAACACATCGCTCGTAATATCTTCAGGCCAAAAAACACGATCGCAAAACCTCCCAAAAAGCATCCAAGATTCAAGTCTATGCGGTGGGGCACTCGACGATGTAGCTGCCGTAGCTCTTGTCGCCCGAGACACAGGTGCCGACGTCGACATCGTGGCGGCTCAAGTGGCAGGTCACGTCATTGTAGATAGCCACTAGGAAATGGTTAGTCTTGACCAGATGGGAAGCCCTGGAGTAGGGATCGGATGAACTCACGGGTGCAGTTGCTCTGGTACAAGTACTCGTAGCTCACAGAGCGGACATTCTCGCCGCCGAAGGTCTGGCACTTGTTGACGCTGTCGCCGTAAACACCGAGCTCACCGAGGTTCTGGGCAGAGCAGCCGGGTTCGCCGAAGAGACGCAGTTGGACGAAGCGGGTGTTGGCGGGGTCAGCGCGACGAGTGGGAACGGCGGAAGCACCGAGGCCAAGGGCGATGGTGGTGATGATGTTGAAGAGCATTTTGAAGGTTGGAAGTTGGAGAAGGTTGGTAAATTGGAGAGGTGTTTGTTTGTGTGAGGGGGCTGGGCTGGATTGGGATTTCGGAGTTGTCTGTTGTCTGTTGTCTGATGTTGTTGCTGCTGGGTGTCAACCTCTTCTTAAATAGCTCTGAGGATGATCAGGCCAGCCATAAGTCGGTTTTAGCTAACATGGACAATGACAAGAAAGGTCTTGAACGGTGTGAGGTCTCATGTAACCCACTGTGGCGAAGCTTGAGCATGTTCTCGATTCATGCAGTGTAGATCCCCGTGCATCTCCGGCTTATAGGCCACCACGAGGTGTCATGGTTACATTCCTCGTGTATGATCTATAATAACTACGTCTTTGTCTCACTTGGGCCTTGTTGACTTCCTTACTTCATTGATCTCTATTAGTGGGCCGCAGTTATAATGTTTACTGTGCAACTGCCGCCTCCCGATTCCTGTTGGCATTGGATTTCCGTGTTTACGCTGTCACAAACCCTTGGAGCCTTTTACCCAGATGGAAATCGATGTACTACTGTAGTAAACTGATATGTCGATCGGGCAGCCAAGCTCCGTTGATCAACCGGATTTCTGTTTAAAGATCGACGGCATCTAAAATAGAAACAAAACAGGGCGCCTGGTTTGCAACCCGTTTCTTGGCTTGTTCCCCCACATTTCGTCAGCCCTAGATTCACACATTGATTATATTGAAAATATCGAATCACCTAGACTGTTACTATTGAAGGAAATTCATTTGGAAAATCGGTCTTTCGAAGCTGGATACCCGAACGTAAACGACAGCTCAAAGAAACGTAAGAGACACGCGTTCTAGGGCGTCCGAGACGCATGCAACACTTAAATATACATTACAGACCCCGAGGGCGAAATTACGAATTTTTTTAGGCTGGAGATAGTTAATTGCAATACCTAGGTACTAGTAAGATATGTATTCCATGATAATCAGTACAAATAATGAAACTATTATTGTCAACGAGCTACTCCAGTGTCATTGACACAAGTGTGGCAGATTGGAAAGCCTAGACGTATCCACCAGGAAAATACCAGGTGTACAAAAGGAAAAGAATAAAATCAATGAAAATGAAAATGCTGATGCAAGCTTCATGCATGAATCAAAAGCTGAAATAACAAAAGACTGAAGAAAATAAAAAATGTGTATCGTTTCGTCATCGTTGAAGCGAACTTGCTAGGCTGCTTTGTTCGTTCAAATTTTTGTTCAAGGTAAATGGCTGGGTTGAGCGCATTTAGTCGTCATAGAGATCTGGCGAGTCGGCTTCATCCATCAAAGCATCGCCGTCTTCATCTGTCATGTCATCCTCACTGGAATCCTCGAGATCATGGTTTGGCTGGACTTCAATGCGACCGCCCTTCATTTCAACGCGAGCGATTTCTCCCTCTTGGATACTGCCCCGGAGAATGAGCACGGCGAGACGATTCAAGACTTCGCGCTCAATAAGTCGGCCAAGGGGACGAGCACCATAGGCAGGAGAGTAACCAGCTTCGCCCAGGTAGTCTTTAACCTCATCGGAGCACTCGATTTGGACATTGCGTCCATTGTGGTCCAAACGACGCTGCACCTCGTAGAGGCGAAGATCGACAATTTTGCGGATTTCGCGCTTGGTGAGTCGGTTGAAGATGACGGTGCTGGAGATACGGTTGAGGAACTCGGGGAGGAAGTAGTTGCGCAACGCTTCCATGACAAGCTCTCGGGTTGTGCCATCGATGCGTCCGTCTTTGCCTGCGGGGCGGGAAAGGAACTCGGCGCCCAGGTTGGAGGTCATGACGACAATGCAGTTCTTTGCATCGACAATGCGGCCTTGGCCATCGGTGATGCGACCGTCGTCCATCAGTTGCAAGAGGACGGTGAGGACTTCCTTGGCGGCCTTCTCGACTTCGTCGAAGAGGAGAATTGAGAATGGACGGCGACGCAGACTTTCTGTGAGTTGACCGCCAGCATCGTGGCCGACATATCCTGGAGGTGCGCCAATCATACGACTGAGCGAGTGACGCTCTTGGTACTCCGACATGTCGAATCGGATCATAGCCTTGGGGTCGTCGAAGAGGAATTCGGCGAGAGCCTTAGTGAGAAGGGTCTTACCGGTACCAGATGGACCGCAGAACAAGAAGCTGGGAGGTGCGTTAGGGTTGCTGAGACCCGAGCGCTGGAGACGAATGGCATTAGAGACCGAGACAACAGCTTCCTTTTGGCCAACAACCAGTCTGCCGAGAGACTTCTCCATGTGGAGCAGCTTATCCTTCTCGGTGGTCTTGAGTCTGGTGACAGGAATTCCAGTCCAACGACCCACAATTTCGTTGATCTGGTCAGGACCGACGGCATCAGCCAGGAGTGCTTCTCCCTCGTCACCGGCATTGGCGCGACGCTCGGCATCGGACTTAGCCCGGTCGGCCTCAAGACGTTCAATCAAAGTCTTGGTTTCGGGGATGGCGTAGTACTCGAGATCAGCAGCAGTCTGAGTATCACCGGAGCGCTCAGCCTCATCACGCTTGACCTTCAAAGAGTCAAGCTTGATCTTGGCATCTTGAACCTCACGGCTGCGCTGCTTTTCAGTCTCATACTTCTCCCGCATGGGCCGGAGCTCTTCCTGAACATTGGCGGCTTCCTGTTTGGCAGCCTCGAGGCGAGCCTTGGATGCGTCGTCCTTCTCTCGTTCGAGAGCATGGATCTCGATTTGGAGCTGACGAGCCTTGCGCTCAAGCGTGTCGAGAGCTTCTGGCTCGGACTCGCGGGTAACTCTGACGGCAGCGGCGGCTTCGTCAATGAGATCGACGGCAGAATCAGGAAGACGGCGACCCGTCAGGTATCGTGATGCGAGAGTCGCAGCAGTGACGATGGCACCGTCCATGATATTGACACCATGGTGGACTTCGTACTTCTCCTTCAGACCACGAAGAATGGAGATAGTCTCTGGGACAGAAGGCTCCTTCACTAGGACCTGCTGGAAACGTCGCTCGAAGGCTTGGTCCTTCTCGATGTACTTGCGGTATTCGCTGAGGGTGGTGGCGCCAATGCAGTGGAGCTGGCCACGGGCGAGCATGGGCTTGAGAAGGTTGGCGGCGTCCATGCCACCCTCACCGCTGGAACCAGCGCCCATGAGCAGGTGGATTTCATCAACGAATAGAACGATAGTGTCTTTAGAATCTTCAATTTCTTTCAAGACACCCTTCATGCGCTCTTCAAATTCACCGCGGTACTTGCTGCCTGCAACAAGGGAGCCAACGTCCAATGAAAGCAGACGGCATTGCGCCAAGTTGGCAGGGATGTCGGCATTGACAATGCGGCGGGCGAGACCTTCCACGATGGTGGTCTTACCTACACCAGGCTCACCAATGAGGACAGGGTTGTTCTTTGTGCGTCGGCTGAGAATGCGAATGACGCGGCGAATTTCTTCCTCACGGCCAATGACCGGATCAATCTTTCCTTCACGGGCCAAAGAGGTCATGTCGATAGTGAACTTCTTGAGGTTTTCATTCTCGCTCTCCGCGTCGGCGGTCTTGGAGTCCACGCGCCGGGTGCCTCGGATTTGCTGGATGGCACTATCGATCAATTTGAGGTTGGGAATGTTGGCGTCGCCAAGTGCGCGTTGGACCTGGGCATCTTGGCAGACAGCTTGAATAAGGTGATCGACGGCAACAAAGCTGTCTTTCTGGGTCTTGGATAGATCGGTGGCCGACCGAATGACTTTCGCGATTTGTGGTGAGAGGCTGGGGTTCTCTGGTGGGGGGTCTTGACTTGGGAGCCGGACCAGCAGCTTCATAAGCGCTCGGTCGAGCAGTTGGACATCGCCATGGGCGCGCTCAACAACTTGTCGGAAGAGGGGTGCAGTTGTGGAATCGTGCGAAGAGTGAGCACCGGATGGTGTTTGTTGATCTTCAGACTCATCGGGGAGAGGGTTGAGCAGTGCAACTGCGAGGTGAAGTGGGAGAATCTGGGTTTGCGCGTACTGCTGGCACAGAGCACCCGAATCAAGCAGGGTCTTGTTAGCCCGGTCGGTAAACTGGGCGCCGTTCATCGTGAACGCAGTAGTGGGGTTATTTCACTCGATGTGGGTGGGATATTGACTGGTAAATTGAGTATGTGTAAATTTGAATGTGAGAGTCAAAGAGTGTAAGAACTCGGAGATGGGTGGATTATGTACTGTGTGATCAATTCAAGTTTATTTCCAATTTGAAACGTGATGATTCATGTTCATATACTCCTGGCGCATGGCCAGACCGAATGTGCACCAAGGTCCATGTCGTCACTACCTCGTTCCACCGCCTTCCAGAAGCTACCGGAGTCTGCCCGATGCCTCCACGTGACCTGTCAAAAAGATCAGACCACGTGCAGTCACATGATATCGACGGAACTCACGTGACCAGATGACAGAACCCTAGAATCCCCGAGCTGAGTCAGCGTCTCCGGATTAAATCGCGCAAATTTCCTGGATTCTTCCGAGCTCCCCCACGTTGGAAAAATGATTCGATCCTGATGTCTCTGCCAACTCGGATTGGCGGGTTCTGCTCTACGAGTTCTCTGAGCTTGCGTACATATTTACAACACTGTGCCTTGCAGTGGAGTATCCGCCCCGGGCCCACATCTTAAATCAAGGCCAAACGACCTCATGATGTATGCGTTCTACGTACTACGAACTCCCAGGTGATAGTACATACCGGGTCATTCAGGCAATGAGAGATATTGCATGCCACGATAGCCGACCAGAAAATACAGCCAATGACGTCAGCCGGGACCTGGCCAGAGCAATGAAAAGTCGAGGAAATCGGATCTCGAACCTTAGGCAGGATCAGACCCCTATCAATTTGGACCGAGGGATTAACTGCCATGGAGTCCACCCTCACCGGCCCGCAAAGAGGAGAAGCGTCTGCGACTTTTGAGGAGCTCAGACACCAGACCATGGATAGTGGACACTTATTCCGGGTCGGCGTGTCCAGAACTGATCAGCTCCATCCGGATGTCCACAACCTTATTTGTTATTGGCCTCTTCCAGCAGGTGTGTTCTCGTCCTGGTCCATGGCTGGTTGTTTCACCGTCTTGGGGCAGGAAAAAAATAGAAACGGAAAGGTTCCTGCGGGGCATAAGAGGGGCACAGAGGGGCAAAGAGCTGTGCGCCCTGATTTGCCCCAGCCCAGGGCTCTGTGAAGCAATTATATAGGCCTTAGTGCAAATTCAAGGTCGTTTCGCGATGTCCCTAAGGACGCCACCGGGAGACGCTAACTGAACTAGCTGGATCTAGCAGTGGGCACGATAACCTTGGAAAATGCCCAGGTGAGTGGTATTCAGGGTTGAGGGGGACAGTAGATCTCAATCCCGAGAATCAGGATTCAGAGGGACCGACTCGTCCATGGTAGTCGCAGCAGGCAACTATGGTAGCTCTCCGCCTTTCCCGAAGCAAAAAAAGTCGGGTCTTCCCTGGTGCGCCTCTGCTCAATATAAAAGGTTTTAGTCTCCCCCCACAACCTGTACTTCATTATTCTCACGCCATAGCCCACTGATCTGAGATCATCTGGAGGCCTTTACATTCGTCCGCTTCAAACTGACTGTCAAAGGACTTGACCCGCTGAAAATCTCTGTCGCGCCACAGGGTGCTTGACTTTACCTCGACGTTAATTGATCAGAATAGTGATCCACCACAAGTTTATTTACAATTTACCTTTCCCCTGCCGGATCAGCAGCAGATATTGTTTGATCGGAATAATCTTTCATAATGACTTCGACCAAGCCCATCTTTGTGGCTACACACCCGCGAGCATGCTCGACGGCCTTTGAGCGCGTAAGAGCTCCATCCACATCTCTCTCGCGAACGAATCTGACAAGAACCAGGTCTTCATGACGCAGCGTGACACGATTCAGTGTGTTCACGAACCCTTCGGCGATGCGTTCTACTACGGCCCGGAACGCCTATCCAGCCGATTCGCAGGCGATGAACAAGCCCGCCTCAACAGTGGATTCGCCAACTCTACATATAGTACCGTGATGGATAGACTTGACCGGGAAGCTTCACAGGTCCGACCTCTCTTTCTGCGAAATTTCTCGCGTTCTTGATTATTTCGCGTAATGCCCTTCACGTTCTCCCTGGTGGATTGAACAAGAAGCAAGCCCCTACCTTTCATTGCCTACACATACCCTTTCCCCCTACATTTCATACCATTAGATGAGCTGGAAAGCCATCTTGCCCCCCTCTGCATCGTAAATTGAACATTGGGACTCTCCGAGACCTCCGGCCATGGAATACGCAGAACGGAATGGAACCGTTATTACTTGAGGGGAAGCTTACCTTATCACAGGACAAGAGAGTCTTCATCAAGGACATCGACCACTATCTGCTTCCCCCAAGCGGAAAGCCGGCCAGTCCTGCCCCGTCTCTGCTGCACGTTAAGCGCGGCGTCGGGACCAACGGTGACCATTCCAACGGTGTGAACGGCGTGGGTAGTACCAACGGCCATGTCAACGGCCACGCCAACGGTCACACCAACGGGGTCAACGGAACCTCGAACGGGGTTGATGGTAGCCACACCAACGGTGTCAACGGCCACACCAATGGTCACACCAACGGCCACACCAACGGCGTCAATGGCGAAACCAACGGCGTTGAGAAGGAGCCATACCCGTATAACACCACCCCAGAGGCCGGTAACCCAACAGTGATGCCCCGAGAAATCCAGGAGCAGTTCCACTGGGCCTTCCTGATCCGTGACCCGCACTACAGCGTGCCGTCGTACCTGCGGTGCACGATTCCACCCCTGGACGACGTGACCGGGTTCCACAACTACGACCCTCGCGAGGCCGGGTATGACGAGCTGCGTCGACACTTCGATTACCTCCGCGAGACTGGGCTCGTTGGGCCCCACGTAGCCACTCGTCCAGAGCTGTCAGAGTCGGATGCCGAGTCGAAGGGTGTTGAAATCTGCGTCATTGATGCGGATGACATGCTTGACGAGCCGGCTAAGACCATGGAGGCCTTCTGTAACAGCGTTGGTTTGCCGTATAACCCTGAGATGCTGCTCTGGGATACCGAGGAGGATCACGCCGTTGCTAGAAATGCGTTTGAGAAATGGCGTGGCTTCCATAATGATGCTATTGAATCCAAGGCTTTGGAGCAGCGCACTCATGTAAGTCTTTGTTCTGGTGATTTGTGAGATTTGACTAACCGGTTCAGAAACGCCCAACCAAGACTGAGGAGCAGTTTGATGCCGAGTGGACGAAGAAGTATGGTGAGGAGCACGCTGCTCTCATCCGCAAGACTGTTGATGAGAACATGGCGGATTACCTGCACCTCAAGTCTTTCGCTGTGAAGGTTTAGAGTGAAAGGGGGGAAGTGAAGATGGTAAGGACGAGTGTCCTGACCGCTTCGATGAGAACAATTTAGTTCGGATGACGCCATCTCCACTTGATCCTACGACACGCAGATCTTTGTGGGGATTGGTTGATGACCCATGACGATCTTGCATATTACTTCCTGCATCTTAGTTCTGTCACTTCGTTGTTCCTTTTTGCCACTTGCTACGACGTCTGAGCTTTACGAGATTGAATACCGATTTTCCTTTAATCACTCTTCAGAAACTATGACCTTGCCATTCCATTCTTCCTCAAATGAGTTGAGGGAGTACGTAGTCTCGAGTCCCCCAGGTAGCTCTAAACAGCACCTGGGCATCCTAGGTATGGCCGACCAATTACCTGCCCTGGTTATTTATGTACTTCCGCTTGGATCCATTTGTCCTGCTCCAGTTTCAAGGAGCTCCGTTTTTCAGGCTATCATTGTAGCATCTTCCGCATCAAACGAAGGATCATCTCTCTTTCTTCCCCTTCGAGACCCGTCTCTCGTTGCTCAAGCGGGACCCAGTCTCCCAATAATAGCGACGTTGCTAGGGAGGAACCTTGGAAGGAGAGACCATATTGACTCTATTTCCAAATTGTACAGCGGCAATGAAACCTTGGAAGGATTTCCTGACGACATGGCATAGTGAGCTTCCATGTTCCAAGTTGCGGCTCGCGTTTCATTATCCTTCTAGGCTGATCCATATACTGACCACAGCACTCCTATAAACCCTTAAAAGCCAATATTTCAATTCAAATTCTTTTGTAAACAGATCTCATAATACAACCAATCCAACTGCATCTAACAACCTGGAATTACCTTTCAAGTTTGCTATTTGGTACAAACATTGGCATGGAGTCCTCCCAGATAGAGTCAGTGAGCACACGCTTATTTGATCCATCGGCATCCATAACAATCACTTGACCATACGGTTGGAATGTCTGATCATAAAGCGCGCATTCATACTGGAACCCATACATGCCCGAAGAATAAGCAATACGGCCATCCCAGGTCCAGACAGCATGGGCATCATTCGCACCACTGCTCGTGAGAACCTTCAAATCCGTCCCATCCGGCCGCATTGTGCAAACATCGTAGTTATAATCACTCACTTTCCGAGTGAATACAATTCTCTTACCATCAGGCGAGAAAGAAGGCAAGTTATCCCATTCATTCGTCAGAACAGTAGTCTTGCGTGTGTCGAGATCAAGAACACGGAGTCCGAGCTGGGACTTGTCGCCGAGAGTCGAGTTTGTTCCCCACACACGGAATACGATCTTCTTTCCATCGTGTGAGTAACTGGGGAATCCAGAGTTGATCACACTTTCATTGCTTTGAAGGGTGGCCTCGCTTTCTGTCAGGACCTCGGAGTAGGAGCCGTTCGCGGTTGTGCGAACCAACCAGCCGCCACCTGTTGCTCGAGATTGGAACCAGAACCCGACACCAAAAGTGACCCATTTCGCATCTGGTGACCAAGCTGGGTTGAAGGCGCCTGCTGTGCCCATGGCGACGGCTGAGGCTTCGATGAAATCGGAATACATGACATCGTACACCATTTTCTCATTCGTGGCTTTTGCGTTGAGGGAGACGATTGAGGAATTTCCGAGCTGTTTCTCGGTCATGACAATATTGTTGGTGTTTGAGAGTTGGGGGAACACATCTGTGAAGCGGTACTCCCAGTCTTCATCCCAGCTGTACAATTCCTTGCCCATCGGGCGAACGACATCCCAATCTGTCTTTTCATAGACGACTTGCTTGCCATCTGGGGACCAAGCCGGAGAGCGCACAGTTGAGCTAGTCGTGTTGACGTATCCACCATCAGATGTGTGAAGTCCCTCCTTGCCGGATCCTTTGGCGAAGTAGGCGACGGTGTCATCAGAGATATATTGTGGGAAGATCTTGACACCAGATCCAGCAACTTCCACACGTCGATTGGCTCCAGAGGCAAAGTCCACAGACACGATAGTAGAGTTGGAAGTGTTGATTGATTCAGGACGATGGGAGTTCCAAGTATTCTCACGAGTCATCTCGTAGTAGAGGATACGCTCGCCATTGGGCGACCACCTGGGCGAGCCAAGACAGTAACCTGACTTGGACGCAACACGACGGAAGTCTGACCCGTTGGGGCGAATAGCGTAAATCGATAGCTCTTGTGTGTGCTCCCACCCCGAAACACCCAGGTAAACCGGATCACCGTGTCCATACCAGCCCGAGTTCCGGTCCGACGAGAAGGCAATCCATTGGCCATCGGGAGACCACGAGGGACGGAAGTAACCGTTCGGTAGAGAGGCGTTGGCAGCGGTCGAGGTGGTATCCGTGAGGTTCCATTTGTTCCCAGTCTCTAGATCCATGACCCAGATGTTTGCCTTGTAGCCATTTGCGGTGGACACGTAGGCGACCTGTTTTCCATTGGGCGACATGACTGCCCCATCCTCGATGGAAGAAGTCGCTTCCAGCTCCTCGAGATCGGAGCCATTTGTTCGAACACGGTATATATCTGAGTTTCCATCGCCATTGCGCTCTCCGGTGAAGGTGATCCATTCACCGTCGGGCGAAAACGAGGCATGGTATTCGTAGATGGGGTTGGACAGGAGAGGGCGCTCGTTGGTTCCGTCGACATTGGCAACATATAACTCCGATGTACCAGGGGCAATTCGGTTCATGTAGAAAATGCCCTTCTTTCCTGGCGAAGGTGCCTCACGAGGGGCCGGCGAATGAGGAACCGAGCTCTTTTTTTCAAGTGCCATCTTTTCTGCATAGGGACAAAGAGCCCATGTTTCTGACACAGCAAGTGCCAACAAGGCAATTGATGCGGAGTAACGCATGATAGCCAGAAGAAATGGAAGACAGAGGACTCAATTCCCAAAGTGTGCAGCAGTCCCTCGTTGGAAGCCACCTACTTATACAACAAACCCTGAAGGATCGAGTATTCCACTCAGGGTCATAGCACCGTTCTTACCTCCGACACCCGTACCCACCTTCGCGTAATATAGTCCACATCATTAGCGGAGTGGGCACAGATGTAGTGTCACGCCAAGACCTTCATCTTATCTGATGGGGCAAGCGAGAGGAGTCGGGTCTCCTACTGGCAAGGCTTCTGCGCCTCGCTCCGCTCGTAGCGAAGCCGTTTGTCTCGCAGGACGTTAATTCTGTTTTTGATTGGCCTGGCTACATGCGCCAGATCGGAAAAGCCAGGAATAACAGGATAAGATCGTCGTTCACTGAGACTTGACGGAGGAAACCTCTTCCACTGAGTTCGCGTAGCGAAACCGAGCCGAATGAAGTTGTTGCACTTAGCCCACCGATGGGTATGATTTTGAAACGGGTCAATTGCGGCGTTGGTAAAGTTTATCAAGAAAAACGGTTTCTAATGCGTTCTGTGTCTCAAATCAATTCGCGTGGCCGGGTGGTGGTTGAGACGTGCCAGTGACATTTCCCGGCGAAGGTCAGCACCTCCCTAGCTTCATAGTGTTCGTCAATACCAAACACCGACTCTCGCCAATGTATTTAGGGGCTTGGCAGGTGGCTTTTGAATGGTAGAGCCTGTCTCTTTAAGTCTTGATTTTGTCTGAAGACTCTCGGAGTCCGAGGGGCTCGGCCGGGGATGCCAATTGTGGGCGTGTGAAGTGTCGATCAGGGGTGGAGCGGCCCTAAGCGCAGTCTTGGCATGCGGTCTTAAGGCTTCGCCAAGTCTCGTAGGCGTTCGGAAGAATGTGCCGCCTTGTCGATGCAATGTAAGTGCTTCGTTTCTGGAAGCCTGGGATCAGTCTAGATAAGCGGCTTAAAGTGCCACGTGAACACGTGCACAGGTGGTCTGAGCCCTGGAGACAACCCTGGAAAGGATCTGGGTGCAAGGAGCGGCGATGTGTATTTGCTCTTCAAGTTCAGCATGCAAGCTGGAGCCGGCGTTCCTGTGAGTGACTCGGAAGTACACTAATATAACCTTGGAAGTTAGTAGCGAAATGGGCCATCAATTGATCCTTGCAAGTTCTTCTGGGGCTCAACTGCCGTGTAGTTTCCTCCTTGGGAACAAGCTTGGAATGCAGCGGATATTTCTGTCAGAAGCTTTCAAATTACTTTCAATTAACTCGACCGAGGAGAAAGAGAGCCAGAAAACAACATTAAATCTGCCGTCAGATCAAATACTCAAACAAAACCCTCAAATATCCTTAACCCCAAGCCCAAGCTCCTGTCACCCCCATCCATCATCGACCTCCCTTCCAAGTTGCGTGAACCGCCTACTCATCCGTGGAGTCCAAAGATGCCCGAGATGAGGAGAGACGGTTAGAGATAGCCAGCTCCGGGTAATGGCGCCGGATGTAGTGAGTCAACATTTTTGGGTCAAGAGAACAAATTTGCAGGGTCGGCAGTCGGAAATCCCCAGTTACAGGGTCCACTTCATCCAACAAGTGCTGATAATTCAGCTTAACATAACCATCACGGCGCTTGAAATATCTGCAAAAGCGGGCTCGGACACCTGGTGCAAAGTCAAAAAGCTCGCGGATTTGAAGCGAGGTGAGTCCCGTGTCCGTGGAGTCAAGGCGAAGTCCGTCACTCCCTTCACTAAGAATTTTCAGATGGTCGGGCAGATCCGAGTGGTTCATGAAGCCTAAATACTTTCTGAGCCGGCCACGGGGATGGTTGTTGAGCTCTTTGTAGTACTTCATAATTGGGTCGTTGGATAGCTTCGGGTCGTTGAGAGCTTTTATCCACTTGTCCGCTAGATTCAAGTTGTCGACTTCGCCGCCGACGAACTTCTTGTTGGCCCGCAAGGCGTCTGCCACCATGCTCGACAAACCGTGGGGCTCCGGGGTGGCGACCTCATTGGTCGGTGGTGGACTTATCTCCTGGGGAGTACACCGATCGGAAGCCGGAAGAGTCAGAGAAGGGTCAATGTCAATGCGAGTGGTTTCTGATGCCCCTAACTCATAGGTTTTCTGCTGGACATATCCCAGCTCCTTATAGAGTTGCGAGTCCACATAGGGCTGGTCATCGAGTGGGGGATACTCAGGCATCTGGGGCATCCAGACCGAGTTCCGAATCTGAGAGTGGTCGTCCATGTTGGGCAATCCGGATGGCATGCTTGAGATCAAGTGACTTTCAAGATCTACAGCTGCCAGAGGGAGCGGCGATGAAGTAGGAATGGGGTTGAATTGACCATATCCGTGGAGAGTGAGCTTTGATAGATCATCCTGGGAGGTCAAGGAAGCGAGGATAGCATCACGAGCTTCTTTGTCAATCCAACAGCCTCCGTGCCTGACAGGTCCGCCGGGTCTATCATAATGTTGGTCGAGCAACTCTCTCCGTTTTGCCTGTCTGCTTTTCTCTTCGTCTTCGTAGGTCCCATTTGCATTGGCTATGTCGTCGATAGCTTTTGACAGGCGATCCGCGAGACTCATTCTCTCAATTCCCGGACGCAGTCCATGAAGAGAATCTTCATCGGCCAGCGCCTCATCGCCAGTCGATTGAGCAAAGGCAGTGTCAGAGGTCCGCTTTCCGCGGCCAAGTCGAGGCGATTCAAAAGCATTGATTCGTTTTTCCACTTGGTTAAGATCGTGTTCCGCTTGATTGAGTTTGCTTGCGGTTCTTTCATTTTTCTCTGACAGCAGGGAAACCTCACATTGCAAACGCCAGTTATCACTGCGCAAGTCCCAAATCTCTTTGCGAAGATCGACATCGTCCACCTCTTCATTTGGCTCAACGGATTCGACAGTCCGGTAGAACAGATCAGAATCAGTGATGTCCGTCTTTCCCGGCTTTGGGGAGCTCAGCAAGTTGATTCGAGTACCGGGATTCGATGGCGAATCGGACGACTTTTCTTGGCTGAGCTTCAGCACGAGCTTCCATTCAGGGAACAGAACTTTCAAGCGCTCCTCCGTAATAGGCAGCTCGCCAAACTCGTTTGGGCGGAGGTAGATCCAGGCGTATTCCGCTTTGGTCTCGTATGAATTAATGCCAGTGGTGATGAAAAGCTCTGTGTAGTCCCTCATCACGCCCCTATCACCAGCCTGTGCAATGGCATATATCTCCTCGAGGGTCAGGATGGTATGTGGCTTGGAGAGATCGGATGGCAAGGGGACTCCTTCTTCATTCACCACACCTGTTGCCACAATTTTTCTGGCTCGCCTTTCATGTGGAATGCGAAAGTTTTCCTGGTCTCTGGAGGCCCTTGGCCGTTTGCTGGGGGTCCAGTTCGAATCGCCCTCGGACCAGCACGCCGTCTCGGGTGTGTTCCACTGTGATGGAGATGACATTGAGACTCGTCTTTGGACCATGGAGCGGGATGGTGTTACCAGATCTGTTGCCGGGGATTCCATTCTGCCGGCTTGAGCTTGCGAACTGTTTCGAGTACGCATTGGGAGGAAGCCACTGGACGGCTGGTGGAGGTTAGTCGGTTCCTCGGCGTTGGGTTGTATAACTTGCCTACAGACAGACGGTGAAAGTTGAGAGGGAAAAAAGGAATGAACGCGCGTGTCAATAACGCAGCTGGGATTAGACAAGTAAGTGGAAAAAAAAGAGTGTGTAGACAGCAAGTTGAGAGAAGCAGAGAGTAAACAACGCGAGTGCACAAACACGAGGTGCTCAGAAAATGGAAGGAGCGATTCAACAAGAACCCGACAGCTCTCGGACAACTTTGTATATCAGAATGATTTTCGGTTTTCATCTTCGATCGCCACAACCTTGGAACCCACCTGAGCACAAGAACAGCACCCATTAATGCCGTGATATGTGAAGCTGAACGTGGTATACTCCGAAGCTTCATACCCGTGGCTTTAACATCCTACGATACCAGGAATTGCCGAATCTGACTCATATGGCAAAGAACGTCTATATGCACAGTAAAGTGATAGAGCCAACCATGCATGCATCATAGTATCAAAGATCCACGAGGTGTTCACTATTGCTGAAAGGTGGGCAGATCGAACTTCCATGCAAAAGGCATCGCAAGTAGGTAGGCCGTACTAGAGATGTGGTTTGTCGTGACAGGTCGTGATAGAGCTTTGAAGAGCGTGTGTGACATTTCCCCAGCCCCGAGATAAACAGCATAACGTGATTAATCTCGGCTGCAGTGTTTCATCCCACCGAGTTCCACTGGTACATCACTGGGTGCGTCATATGCACCGAGGACACCAGGATGCCGAGGACCGTAGGACAACGTCAACCGTCTAAACATGGGGATGCGGAGATAGAGCATGGAAATGAGCAAACCCGGGCGGCAAAATAGCTGCTGAAGAAGCCATATCATTCGTAATAGCCAAGCATATAGAACAAGCCTCTAGCGTCGTAAACGTGCACTGAAATCATTCGCAGTGGTCTGCGAATAGGGAAGCCCAGCGAGGCCAGCTAGCCAACCCCTCCCATATGGAAAAAAGAAGAAAAGAAAACCAGATCGAATTCCCCAAAAGTACACAGAGTATAAGAAAACAACACACCCTAGCCCCTTCATACCGCACTGTATCCACCGCGCGAGCCTGCTCCCTGCAAAGTGTTGACCACACGACGAAGCCAGTCCTGGAAGATGTAGGGGACATCACGAATAGTGTCGCCGTGGGGAAGGAGATCCCAGCCGCGGGCCCCGTAGCGGTTGTAGTTGAGCCACGAGCCGAAGATAAGGTAAGCGGCGATGCAAAGGAAAGCACTGAAAAAAAATTAGCGAAACGAACTGCGGGAAAAATCAAGCATGAACTTACATGACAATCAACCAGGTGAAGAAACCCCAGCTCTTGCTTGAAGACGGGCTGCCATTCTCCTCCTCGTAGTTGTCACAGGCGTATTTTGTACGCCAATCCAAACGCAGAATGTAGGTATCGTCATCCGATGGTCCAAAGCTCTTGAACTGCAAGCTGCTGGTGTTGGTCTTGGGCGCAGCTTCTTCCTCCCTGCGCCTGCGCTGCTTGGGCTCCACGAGGGTATACAATCCCTCGAGCCCGGATCGCTCGTGATCACACTGGAAATCAATGATAGCACCGGCTGTCTTAGGCTTCTGGTCGTTCGCGTCGCCCTTGTATGAGCCGCCTGTCAGTTTCACTCGAAGTCCTTCGGTCTCGGGATCGATGGTCTTCAGTCGTTTCACTTCGGGATCCTTGGTGCCCTCGCCGAGAGGGTCCAGGCCCACAATCGGGAAGCCGAACGTGAGGTCCCCGTTGCCGTCTTTCGGTGATCGATGGACGAAGCCGCAGACTAGAGAGGACACGTTAGCTACTTCATGTTGGGCCCGTAGACGGTCGTTCGTGGTCGTCGCCAGGGTAGAGCATACTGTTTTTACTGCTTCCGCACGTCGCATCGCCCATATGGGCATTATCTCCAAGGATGTTGCAGATGTTGAGTCGGTAGGTCGTATTCGTCACATAATCCTCTGTCTGGACGGAATGGGTGATTTCGTGGGCTCCTCCGAGGGGGCTGAGGTCATATTTGTAATTGTCGAGTTTGAGCTGCTTGCAGTCGAATCCGGAGGCCGACGCGAGGCCCGGTAGGATGGAGAGGAGGTATGAAGATTGTAATCGCATCTTGGTGTGTGTGTCAAGGTCGAGAGGGTTGAACAAGCAGAAAGCTGGGATGAGGCTTTCGCGGGAGCTTCAGAGCTTAGGTGGAGATTGACGATGGTCACGGGAACAATAAATGTGACCTGTGCAGGCTGGTCACTCAAATGACGTCCCTAATGTTGTGAGAAATGGCACCGAAATCAGAGTGAGAGATTCACAGACTGAAGAGCAAATGGCGCGGCAGATGTTTGGTTTTCTGCGGAGGCGGAGTTGCGCCTAAGTGGCCTACATGGCTACGATCACGCCAACCCTTGACGGCGACCTAAACTTCCAGGATCAATGATCTGAGTCTATTTTGCTGCCTACTGAGGAGCTCTCATATGAAGTACTCCGTACCCCGTAGATGATTGTGTATTTTCCGGAGCTGCGATGATGTCACTCAGCGCCTGAAGGCCCAACTGCAGTTCTCAGAGCACACTGGATAGCTAGTCAGACTTGGACAGTATCAACAGTTGATCCCGGGTATTGTTTGACAATTTTCCCGCCAATATCGAGCCCATGATGCTCCGTATGGCTTACTACTTGATACTCTCCAGAGCTGTAGGTACTCTGCGGCTTCGATGTCCGCCAGATAAGACATTAGTAGTACTAGAAGATCCCCAGACTGAAACTTCCCTCCCATAGTGAGACAAAAAGGCAATCAACATATTTGAACACTGTAAAACCCCCATCGTCGGACCTCATAACGTTGGCAAACGGACATCGCCAAACTCGCACGGACCACCCCACTCAAATCCGATATCAAACACCCCACTACGGAGTAACGACTCGACACTCGACAGTCCAGTCTATTCACAATGGTCCAACCACGCATGGTAAGAACCTACAGGAGATCACCAGCAGACAAACAAGCTAACACCAGGCAGCTCGAGAAGGCCGATGAGACCTCAGCCAACGACGAGAACGAGGTCCGTCGCGAAGATCAAGAAAAAATTAACCGATTCAGTCGGCTGCATCAACGAGAGACCACTATTGAAGAGCAGCTGAAAGGAAAACAAGTAAGTCAGCTCCGAAAATCTAGTTCTGGCCCTCTAACCCGCCTCCAGAAAGACAAGGAAGATCTCGAGGAGGTCTCCTTAGAGCTGGAGCTGGCCGATGAAGACGATCTTGTGCCGTAAGAAAAATCCCCCGTGGTTTCGAATGAGCTGCGAATCTCAATGCTGATATATCTGCAGCTATAAAATTGGAGACAGCTTCTTCCAGCTCCCTCTCTCAGACGCGCAGGGAATGCTCTCCGCGTCAACGGAGAAGGTTGATGGCGAGATCTCCAACCTGGAGGAGTCGATCGGAGAACTGCGAGAGGAGATGCAGCAGCTGAAGGTTGCGCTATATGCGCGATTTGGTCGGAGTATCAATCTGGAGACTTAAACAGTGTACAACAGAGTTTCTCTTCATGCTGTCTAGGCTTTCATCGGCAACTTGGAATATGAATAGCAAGTGCCGTTTCCAGAGTTTAATCCTCCATGTTTAGATTAAATATCAATGAAATGGATGAGGAATGATTACTTGGAAGGAGCATGGCTACTAGTGCACATGCGCGTAGATTCAACTATTAAAGTCGAGTGAACATAGCTCGTGAATGTCATTCGAACAAAAAACCACAAAAGTTAACGAAACAAAATGTCAGAGGTATCTAAGAAGGCCAGAAGGGAAGAGAAAGGAAGAAGGCAAGGGAACGACCCCGCCAATGCGAATGGACGGGGAAAGTATAGTTTCATGACTGTGGCGTACATTGATCACAGGAAACAACGAAAGCGCAAGGGGCCGTGTCTCCGGCAGTGCGGGCTCGTGCGGGTCAGGGTCTCGTGGCACACAGAGTCATAGTGGAAGGGAAGTCAACCGAACAGAACTGTAGGTCATAGCCACGCTTCTGTTCACCAACATGGTCGTTGGAGGGATGTAGTATATACAGCTCCTGTATTTGGTTTTGATCTCCATTTGCTCGCATTCACCTGAACTTAGCACGGCAGCGGCCCATGATCTCATTTTGGCAGACTAGTTCGGCGCTAAATTCGCTGCCGTCTAGCGTCAGGTAGATGTCGAAGTAGACTCGGTAGAAGATTCCTTGAGGTGTGTCCATGCGCTCAAAGTCGGTCTCTAGGTTCTTCCGTGAGAGGTCGGATGTTAAAGTGACAACTTCCTTGATGCCTACATCGAGATGGTCAGTGGTGGCCTTGGAAATCATTGCTGGGGCTTGACTAACGTGGATCCTTGGTGTATTCAGGGCAGACGTCCTCGTCGCAGGCATACAGGACATCCTCGTACATGAGGGTGGCGCCCGGCGCGACTTGGCGGAAGAAGCTGACCTTGACTGGCTCGCCAATTCGAACACGCTCACCCTTTTGGACGAAGATTTGACGGGTGTATTTGCATCGATCTCGGCCATCCAGACTGGGCACGCGGTATTGCTCCGGGTGGTATCCCTCCTTGAAGGGCTGGAGAGTGGCCATCAGGTAGTGGCGACGGGCAACACGGTGCGTGATGACTCGCTCGGTAATACCTGCTGTGACCGCACCCTTGACAATCGCGGCCACGGAGTCCATGGGCCGGACAACCTTTGTTTGATACTGGGGAGGTACATGGAGCTTGATCTGCTGGAAGAGGTATTCTGAAGCACCGAATCCACCGACGACCAGAACGTTCTACACAACTTGTCAGCTTGAAAATTGAAACAGAAGGTCGGGGATCATACCTGAAGTGCGCGGTTCTGTGCTTGAATCGCGATGATCTGGTTGCGAACCAGCTCAAGAATGCGATTCACAACCGGCTCGAAGCACTGCAGAATCTCCTCGTTCGTAAATGTCATGAAACCGTCCTCAATACCAGCATCGGGGAAGTCAGCCTCAATACCGACATCCACGGCCCATTTTTGTCCGTTGTTGCGGAAGTCTGCCTTGATGCGATTTTCAAAGTCCATGATACACTTCGCGTAGACCTTGCCAGCAGTGCGCGAGCCATCTGGCAGTTTCATCTTGCGAATCTTCGCGCGCAAAATGTTACTGAAGTTGCGGTTCAATGCCGTAGAACCGCAGGAGTCACCAGATCCAGCAGTGCACTCCATCACGCTGAAAGGCGATTCTTCTTCGACCTCGTACGCGATCAAATCGACGGTACCACCACCGCAATCAACGATCAAGATCGCATCGCCGACCTTGAGGTTCAACAGACCGCTCTTGGCGCAAAACAGGGCAGCCGCTTCAGGCTCGGAAACGAGCGTGAGGCGGTTGTCGTTCTCGTCGCGCAGGAAACCGGCCTGAATGGCGGCAGTCCGAGTCGCGGCTTTGCCTGCATCATTCCAGATAGCCGGTACCGTGAGGTAGTACTTGATATTGCGTTCCTCGCGAGTGAACACCTCTCCGAGCGTTTTGAGTAACTGGGCGCGCACAGCCTGTCTGAGCTTGAAAAGGTAGTCGGCGGCAACGTCGATTTCGGATTTGCCGGGGGGTAGAGGAGGCAGGTTGATGGGGTCGATATATGTGTTCCCGGAGAGCATCAGCTGTAGCTTGAACCATTCCACCTTTTGTACCCCAGGCTTGGGGTAGCCGGTCGGAGCGAGCGCATCGGCGATGTCGGGCCCCCATCCTACCACCTTTTGGTACTGGTCGTAATAGAGGACAGTGGGGATCTGGAAGCACATCGGTCAGGTCAGCGCGCCAAACACGGATGCCTATTCGGACTTACCTTTTGTTTGGTGTGGGTTCCGGCGCCAGGCCATTCTGTAATGATGTCTTCTCTTGCCTCGTTGTTGGTTGCGAACGCGTATGCGACACCTGAGAACGTTGTACCGAAGTCAATGCCCACGATCAGTTGAGCCTTGCTGCGACCCGCGCCCTCGACCTCAACTGCCGGGTTACGGCCTGGGTAGTTTGTGTTCTGCATTGGCATTGGAAGGTTGGTGCCCATCTGTTGTTGCAATCCATAGCCCGGGGGACCATTCGCAGGAGCGCTGGGCTGGTAAGGCAGGTTGGTGTTGATGGATGGCTGACTGGGCGGGCTCGTTGGGCGATAACTTGGCGGGCGACCCTGTACGTTTTGATTGCTCATTGGTAGACTTGCAGTTGAGGAACTGCGACCGGAGGGTGGGGGAGGACTGTTTGGAGGGAGGGCTGGAGGATTCACGGGGGTGGGAGCGTTAGGCTGTTTCTTCCTGCCAAAACCGAGTTTGAATCGAGAACTCATGAGGTCCATGTGCGGCAAGAGAAAGAGAGAAAGGATGAAAGAGGGGAAGAGTGAGGCTGAGAAGGTGGAGATCAAAGAAACCTGAAAGAAAATAAGAAAGCGTACAGCTATCGCGTAGGGGTAGAATTCCGCGGGTATACACGAATTGATGTTTGGACTTGACGGACTTTCTATCTCCCAGCTTCAATAGCCCTTGTTCGAGTCCGATTTTACTGTCTTTTACTTCCTTACTCCGTACATCTTACCAGTACACTGGGCTCTGGATCATCTCACCGTTTCTTTAGGCGCACAGGGCCCCTGCGGGGTACATTCTTTGTATCGCAGTGCAAGTACCGAGTGTATAGAACCCGGGGACTCGACCAGATCTCCATGCTCTATCTAGGATGGAACTACAACCTTGGAAGCCTTCGAGTTCTTCAAATTGAAGCTGTAAGACTAACTCCTCGTATCGACAGGTTTTGGCCCCCAAACGGCGGAAATGGATAGGCAGACACAGCCTTGTTGATGGTCTAATTACAGGTCTCATTACACGATTTCCCGCTTTCTGGCCCCCTTTTAGCCCTTCAGGCCCCGGTCACTTTTCGCGCCACCCAGTGCGATGGCTGATATAGGTTTTGAAGCATACTGTTAGGGTCCTGAATATAGCCGCAAGGTCGCCGATCTCCACGCTTCTCGAGGCGGAAGCCCATGCGCCCCACCAGGCTCAGTACCTCTTCTTCGCTCAACTCCACATTTCCAGGTTCTCCGATTCCGGCCTCGTGGCTGGCGTCCCCTGGCTTGCGGGAGTGCCCGTCATCGAAGTGCCACAGAAGGGGCCCGACGTTAATCCATAGCCCGTTGGGTTTGAGGCTGTGTCGAATCGCCTCGATGTAGCGTATCAGGTTCGGCGCAGTATCGATGAAGAAGACCGTAGTCACCGCGTCGAAGGTCTCCTTGTTGTTCGGTTGGGTGTACAGCACCGTGAAATCAGCCGCAGACATCGACATGGTACCCAGTCGCTGACCAGCTTCAACCGCCGCTTGCATTGCAAGTCCGGGGTGGACATCAGGGATCTGGACTTGCTGCAGCTGTTGGGCGCGAGATTGCAGATTGGAGAAGTGCAGTGCAAAAGGATGAAGGGCATGTTTCGAGGGTCCGGCCGTGTGGTTAAGAATCCAGTTGCTGGCCAGCAGCTGGTGATACGAGATCTCATTCCCTTCCGCGTCGTAGCCAGCCATGCAAATCTCAAAGACAAGCCGGCCAAGACCAGCGCCTGGGACCAGAACACGGATCTCTTCCCCGCTGTCGCGTCGGGCTTGGAATTCATTGCGGAGGTCCTGAAGGACGGGATCATAGCAGACTTCTCTTTCGGCTCGCCCTTCCAGACTCCAATCGCGATAGAATTGACGTATCGTAGAGTGGGCTTTGTTCACATCTGATGATGTGGCCACCTCATGCCAGTTTTGAGTAGGGTCATTTTTGTCCGGAGAAGGAGAGAGATTGAAGGACTCCAAGCCAATGTCGAGAATTGCATCAGCGATCTCGGCGTTGGTATCAATAGCATCATCCACCTTGTTGAAATTGTCCAATATGGAGAATGGTGGCTCCGACAGCATCTGCCAATGGGCTGACGGCAGGGCATAGAAGGCCTGTCGGCGGCGATGAGTTGTGTTCATGTGAGCATTTCGTCGATACTGCCTAAAGTAAGTTAGTTGGGCAATTGAACACCGACTGCATGTTTATGTTTCCCGGTTTGTGCTGGTGCCCAGGCCCGGGGCCATGTCCAGGTGATATATAAACACGATATGCTTAGCTACCTACCTGAATGAGTCAACTGCGGCAAACAACACCCTTCGCTCTTCGGGATCAGCGAAAGGGTCAAAATCTCCTTCCCACTCGTCCCCATGGGGGTGTGGGTGTTGATGCTCGGATGCCATGTAGGTCTTGCGTGATCACACTGGTCTCGGAATTGCGATGAAAGTGCTTTGAATAGACAAAGATTTCCAATATATACTTCAGCCCAAGCAGACGATACAAAATGACGGGATATACAACGTCGCGAGTATATTGGAGGGGAAGTCGAAAATAAGTGGGCAAAATATTCCTCAGGCATCAAGATTGGTGGGGGCGTTCGATATTCAACCTTCCCCTTTGGAGACCGCTTCCACTGACCACTTCAACCCTGAGTTTGATCTATCAAAAACATCAGCCATGGCAAGTGAAGCAATCCCTCAGACGGAGATGACTACTCCTACCGTGAACCCCCAAGAGGTATCATTCACGTTCCCAAAAGCCTTGCATACAACAGCACATGTCCATCTGAACTTCATGGCTCATTGCGCAATGGTCTTCCTAGCGACTTCCAGCCCAGCGGAGTCTGGAGGCTCAATCAAACCAATGGGAAGCTTTGTCTACGCCATGCCCGACGTGAGTAAATAATTTCCTTCACCGTACATTCCCAGCCAGCTGCCGCGGGTAAAAGAATTCGCCCTCGACTGTACTCCACCCAAGCGTCGTTCCAATTCCACGTGCAAATGTAACATCAGAACTATCGTGAAAACACCTTGCCTTGGAACCTGAGGCTTACAGGCCGTTTGCATGTTGGCTTCGCGCGCACATAATTCAATTGACACTTGCTACGCGCACCGCTAACATGCATACAGCGGACATCATCAAAATCAACAATAGCCACAACACTCTATACATCAGCACCCAGTATTGAGTACACATCTCGCATAGCCAAGATCCTGGCGAGGCGGTTCTTTACTCCCGTTTATGTCGGTTGCAGTATCGACCCGCATGGTCTGGGTCTGGAAGTCGAGGAGGAAATGGAGGGGCTCACCAAGATCATCAATGTTATCATGGAGAAGTGGGAGGAACATAAGAAAGAGACCCTCGCTCAATAGGGGTCAAACCTGACGAAGTTTTGAGCCATCTCGTTGGGGCTACAATCATCTCCACTGAAGCGCCGGCAGAGGCACCAGGTTGGAAGATTTTGGTCGATCACTGTTTACTGAGCGCTTCTGCATTCCAAGACTTCGAGGTTGATCTATTTCAAGGTTGCCCGGGAATCTCGGTGCGATCCATTTAGCTATGGTGCCTCGGGGTTTAATGTCCGTGGACGCACCCATTATCGAGCTGGCAGAAACTTCAATTTAAATCATGTGATAGTTTTCTACGCGCAGAGCTTTATTAAAGGGTTACCAGGTCTAGTGGAGGCGTTTTACGTGATGTAAATACCCTCGGAGAACCGACAACAACGGGGAAGCGAAACCCGAGATCTATGACCAGGCCAGTGAACTCTATTTCAAGGGTAAAGCCGAATGCGAGCTAGAGCACACAAGGTGTCCCGACGGGGATATGTAGTGAGTTTGAGACACTCGGTTAAGCTTTTCTCTGCGAAACATTTCACGTGCCTCAATCCCTATTACGCGTGCATACTACCTCGAGTCTTTCGGTTCTATAGCCTACAGGGTGGCACCGTCCAGAAGATCTGTGATATCAGAAAAAAGAAAAGAAAAAATCGTATACTCCTTACAGCCCGGGTCTTTCCAAGGTTTCGTTGAATCTCTGGGAGACCACTCGGCAATCAGACCGAGTCGATCTACGTCAATAACCGCTTTCAATCTGAGACATATCCGAGGACTAGAAAGCGGAAGACGCCGAGAAGTCTCATGTTAAAAACTGTGGCAGTTGGACCAGGGCCCGGAGAGCAAATCGGAAGGGCTCGGTGAGTGGGATTTTGTTTCATCGAGATCGTTGTCCCGCTGTGGGGCCTCGGATGTGTGTCAAGGTTTATATCACGAAGGTTTGGATATCGATGGAGCGCAGTGGAGACCAAGTATACTCTACTGTATACGGAGTACTATAGAGTCCTTTACCTACAAGTATGTACGGGAGGACAGATTGGAGAACACAGGATGCTTGGCAGTGGAGCGTTAAGCGATAGCTGCAGATTGGTTCGGGGTCGGCCGAACTGCGTCCAATTTGATGTATCGGGTGGAACTCAGCTTGATCTGCCGTGAAAGTAGGGTACGCGGCCAGGGCCCTTGTCACGGCTCCATATTGCAGATTGTCGCCGAGACCGGTGATATCGCCTGGGCACCTGGGCAGATCGCCCAGATTACTACTCGTCTCTGGAACTCTAGTGGGCATACTGATCCACCGTCATCCCGGATAAGAGGCATCGAGGACCCCGTCCATGGGAAGTTTCCGGGCCTATGCTTTACACGTGTCATGTTCTTGAGCCCCTGCATGGAGACCTTGTCTGCGGCACTGGGTTATAAGCTTGTGCATGCACCAGGAATGCGGCATCTGACAGCCACACCGAGACGAGGCCCAGGCTCCATCTGTAACCGAGAGCGGGGAAAACGGATGATTGACGTGAAGATAGCCCTCTGTCTGCCCGTTTCGTGTGAACCGACCGGAGGGGTTCCGGGCAGTGGTGGTACTAGACTCGGCCAGGGCGGAGTCTGTGCTCTCATTTGCCGCTGCACAGGCATCGAACATGTCCGAATTCGTCAGATCGAATTGACTGGTCCAGAGGGCTAGGAGATATTCTCCGTGTGGCACCAAGCCAGTTCGGGGGGGACCCCCGGGGTTGGGACGTTGGAAATGACCCAGACGGCACGGTCCTAGCACCGTTACTGTGACCACAATTGAACAGCCTGTGCCCTGCGATGTCCCAAAAGGGACTCGGGTGAAGTTCGGCGTGAGATTCCCTAAGCAGGGGCTCGGCAAGAATTGGGACTGGGTCCCCGGGCCAGCCATCCGGCCTGTTCCATGTGGTCCGGTGCATGACTTCCGAAGTCGATCATCAGGGCTTGTGCAGAAGTGCCTTTACAGTATTCTCGTATGTGCTAGTACGGGATATAATAGATGCACTCGTATAGTAAGTACTATATGTTCGTATAGTATCTGTAGTATCCATACGGAGTAGTATCTACCACCTGGGCAGTATAGTATCTATAGTGTACTGTAGTACTGTAGTTTAGTACTATATCACCACACCGAATCGAGCCAAAAGGACAAAGTTCGGTGGGCCATGGCGAATTCTACATCTGGTATGCATCGACACTGCCACTGCCGATCGCGGGAGAGCGAGAAAGTACAGAGTCAAACAGCCCTTCGCTGTATCGGCTCGGCTAGATCTGTCAATTTCGGCTGAAGATTCCCAACTTTTAATTTCTTCAAATTATTCTCCGCGATCTGAGGTTTGATGGCAAATACGGGACGGATGGGGCCCTGTTGGTGATCGTAATACTTCTCGTCGATCTGGTTCACTTTTCCCTCCTCTTTTCCTCACGCATTCTCCGATCTCCCCTTTTTCCTTCACATTCCACCTCGGCACTTGTCGTGTTTGCCTTTTTGATTTCCCCGTTCCTTATTCCCCGACAATGGCCGTGCAATTCCCCCAATAACAGACGCTTGCAATCATTGGCGTCTCGTTCATTTTCGCTTTTGACTCTCTCCCACCATGCAGCCTCACTATCGGGGGTCCAACCCGGGCTACGACCTCCCCCCCGTGCAAGCTGTGACGTCGGGCGCATTTCCCGCCCCCGCCGCCCTGCTCTCCGCTCCCCCGTCAAGACTCAACAGCGGCATGCCAATGGCTCATTTGCTCCATTCCATGCCCCAGCAGTTACCTGCCCCCGCGACATCGCCATATCCACGCTTCTACGAGTCCGCCTCAGGCTCCCCCGCCGAGAGCGGCGCCTTGCCCGATACGGCGCCAGTGGGCGCCGGTGTCTTCCAGACCAGTCCCGTCGGCCATGGCCAACCGTCCCCCGCGCAATTACAACAGAAGCGCGCATATCGGCAACGTAGGAAGGATCCCAGCTGCGATGCCTGTCGCGAGCGCAAGGTCAAGTGCGACGCCTCCGAGTCCAGCAGCTGCACGGAATGCAGCAATCGCAGGGTCCGCTGCCAGTTCACCAAGGAGACCAATCGTCGCATGTCCTCCATCAAGCAGGTCCAGGACTTGGAGAAGCAGTTACATACGACCAGACAGCAGTTGCAACACCTGCAGACGGGGAGGATGCGACCGGATCGCATGGTGGATGCGGATGAAGCCATGACGCAGCCGATGATCAAATTGCCGGAAATCGAGTACCGGCCCGTCCATCGGTCCAAGACACCAATTCCTCGAAACTATTCCGAGGTTCGTTCTAATCTACGCCAGTATGGTCGTGGCATCTTCAAGGTGCCGACCCCTTACCGCGCGCAGGGCGCGGAGTCATTGGTGACAGGTAATGCGCCGGAGCTCCCACCGAAGCGGTTAGCCGACCACCTAGTGGCGCAGTACTTCAACTGCGTTCACTCGGTGCTTCCGGTGCTCCACTGGCCTACATTCACCGCGGAATTTGAAAAAGTTTACCGCGCGGGCACGTTACTCGGTGTCTCGAATGAATGGGCGGCTGTTCTTTATGGAGTGTTTGCCTGTGGTGCCATCCACACCGCGGAGCCCAACCGCGAAGAAGAAGGCAAGAAGTATGTTCGCATCTCCTGTGGAATCATCGATGTCTGGCATGACAACTTCAATTTGGACCGGGCCCGGGCGGCCCTGCTAGCCAGTATCTTCCTCTACGAAGTCAATTCGAGGTCGGCCAGCTGGGTCTGGATTGGTTCGGCCGTGCGTGTCGCTCAAGAGATTGGGTTGCATCTCGACTCTGGCCCCTGGCCCGCGGTCGAGGGGGAGATGCGCAAGCGCGTGTGGTGGGGGTTATACGCCTGGGACAGATTACTCGCGCTCGAGATGGGGAAGCCCGTTTTGATCAACGACCAAGATTGCGATACCGATCTCCCATGTCCGGTCGACGAGCAGTACATCGTGGAGGGAGCCCATGTTCCTCCGGATGGCCAACAAACCACACCACTCCTCGCGACCATTCACGTTGTCCGCTCGATTGGCCAACTCACCCGTACCCTCCGCTCGCCCACCATCAGCCCGGCGACGCTCGAAACCTTCGAACTTCACTTCAACACTTGCCTCGCTACCTTCCCAACCCAATTTCACCCCAAAACAACCGACCAAGACCTCGACCCCCGCTCCCTCGCCCCGGTTATCTACCTCCAAAACGCCCGCCTCCTCCTCCACCGCCACAACATCTCCCCCTTCTCCCCCGACCTCATCCGCTGCTCGGCAATGGACTACTGCGTCTCCACAGCCCTCGACACAGCCAACATTCTCGCCCGCTGCATGCGCAACTACCCAACCCACCCAGGTCCAGGCAACGACCCCCGCGCCCACTTCGCCACCTGCGCCGGCTCCCTCCTCTGCACCCACATCTGGCGCTGCAGTCTCTTCCTTCTCTTCCGCGCCGAGTACGCCGGCGCTCTAGCCTGCGTCCAAGCCCTCGTGTCAATCGGCGACGTCCGCACCGTCAACGCCGCCTGCGGTCGCTACCTCGCCTTCTTCCTCCGACGACTCCTAGCCCGCATCCGAGCCGAAGGCCACATCCCCGATTTCGACCGTGACGAAGAAATGATCGCCTACGTCTCCGCCGATATGCAAGGCACCACGGACGGAAGCTGGGTGTGGCATGGCTCGGAGACCGGCTCGCAGCTTGAAGTGGTGGGAACTCGCACGACGCCCAACTCTGCCGGCCGGCCTGAGATGGAATCCGATCCTGATTGGCAGGGCTGGGAGTGGATTGAGAAGACGGTTCAGGATCTGTTCACTGAACAGCATCGTCGAGAGTATCGCGATACTCTTGGCGTTCCGAAGCAGGACGGTTCTCTTGCTGCGGAATCGGCCTCTGATACGGACAAGCGGTCGAGTTCCGCTCATTCACGCATGACGATTGCTAGCATTATTTGAAGCGGGTTATCATTGTTTTGGTTTTTTGGTTCTTTTTCTTTCCCTTTTCCCCCCCCACGATATGCCTTTTTTTTGGGTCGAATTTTTCGTCTTTATATCTGCCAGGTTTCAGCATCAGTCCCTGGGTCTTGATTCAAATAAGCGATTTCACGTCTTTTATTCTCATTTCTCGCCTGTGTGGTGTTTTCACGCCGCGGCTTTCGGTGTTTCGATGTAGTTGTTCCGACTGCAGTCGAGACCTGATTCAGAATCTTGTGAATACTGGTCATCCGTTCGGCCTTTTCGCCGTTTGTCCATATATTCCTTCGGGTTGCATTGCCGATACCCTTCCCCCTTCCATGCTTGTTCATTGCCTGAGCTCTCTTTTGTATATATCCACAAGCATCAGGATTGGATTCTGGTGAAACATCCAACACAGCAGTCCAACTGCTTTGCTTCTTTTGGACGTCGATAGAGATATTAGTTGCAAATCATATCTCGTTCCCATTCAAACCCGGGGCCACTCGGAGACTCCAACACATTACCTGCCGATCATCAACTCGATGAAATACTCCAAGATTGTCCTTGCAAAACACCGTTTTTAGGCCAAACTGGCCAGCACAACTTGTAATCCGAAATTAGCTTGTATTAATAGTCGATCGTAACCTGCTAACAGCAAATCTAGATCCGCATCCAAGCATCCACCAACGATATCCTCCACAATCTCCCAACAACCATCAAATTCAATCTCTCACATTGCTTTTGAGTCCACAAGCTTAGATCAGAGTCAGCTCAACGGGGGCAATAGTGCCGTTCTGAATGGCACCAGCGTGGTGACGGGCAACAAGACCGTAAGCGAACTGGTACTTGTCAAGGAAAGGCAGAAGCTCGGGAAGACCAGGGGTCTTGCGCCAGTCGCGCATCAAGTCACAGACGATGGCAAAGAGACCCATGAGAGTGACACCGGCCTTCTCCATGCGACGGTTCGCATCCTCGGCAAGACGGATATCGAAGGTTCCACTGGCGTCAGTGTTGGCGAACACTTCATAGCCAGCATCAACGAGGGAAAGAGCCAAGAAAGAGGTGCCTGGTCTTTGTTAGTATTTTCATGGTTTGTTGCATTCATTCAGGATCACACTTACAAACTTCGGTAACGATACCGGCGATGATGAGCTGCTTCTTGCCGGTGGCCTTGACGGCGGCGCGGAAGTCGGCGTTGTCCCAGGCGTTGACTTCACCCTGGCGACGGACGAAAGTGGCATTGGGGTGCATGTCGGTGATCTCCTTGAGGAGAAGGCCGTTGGGACCCTGGTCCGAGGAACTGGTCAGGACAGTGGGAATGTCGAAGACCTTTCCGATGGCGGCGTGGCCGAGCATGGCGTTGCGGAAGTCGTTGGTGCCGTAGTCGCGGACGACCTGAGCAAGACCAACTTGGTGGTCAATGACGAGGAGAGCCTGCGAGTGTCAGATTGATGTTTGGATAGAGGCAAGGTATGAAGGGATTGCAACTCACGGCATTGTCCTTGTCGAGACGGTTCCAAGCCTGGGCAGGGATGGAAGCTGCAAGCAGCAGGACGGCCTTGATACCAGCGGTGAAGTGCATGTTGACAGAGACTTGGAGAAGCTGTGAGAAGAGCTGAAGATGTCTGGATGAACTGGATGGTCTTCTGCTCCTGGAAACATCGTTGCCTTTTATATCTCAGTCTGGATCCCGTCTGGGACGCCGAGACGAGGTCATCCATCCTGATTCAATAATCATGACAAGACACTGACTACCACACCTCGCTTATTCCTTTGCTTATCGAGAACATGGAGACTGGGTGTTGGTGTTGTGCTGCCGGTGCGTGCTGTCAGTGCTTGGGATGGCCCTGGAGGGTTAGCGCGATGTCTTGGCTCGCAGAAACGGCCATATGGGACCCGGGGGAATGGTCGTATTACACACGTAGATTGGATTACCAGATCATTACCAAGGCACTATCTCCTTTGGGAGTATCCATATTCCATTTCGATCAGGGTCTCTAGCGTAGCGTGCAGCAGCCTTGATCCGGTTGGGTGGCTCAGGTTGATAGTGCTTGCTGCGGCTCGGTGTTCACTTGGATTTTGAAAGGCCGGTAGACCTCAATTCATCCTCATTTTCTGAATTCGGTATAGAGCTGGGTGACTATCCTTGAGATGGTGAAGTTGAAGTTGACCAGGAGTCTGCGAGATGGTACACAGTTGCCTAAAGGGGATTACCTCCGCAGGCCCTTGGTCGAACCTTTTCCTATAGCATCAATGTCGTGAAATGAAGCTCAGTTTTCAGTGATCTAGAACGAGAATGTTCGATGTGCCCCCATTCCACAAACCCCGCGGACTTTACACGATTAGAGAGTTCGCACATGCAGCACGCTAAGCGAATTTTCTCCACGACAGGGTTCTGTCATATTTGGGAACCCAAGAGATCACCTACAGGAAGCCACTGCGATGGGGGAGCAATGTGCGCGATATGTGTAATTACTTCTAGCTTGGCACTGACTGCTGCATGAACTGTTATGAAGTGGATTGCGATTCGGATTCTAGCGATGCGAGAGTGCATTTTGGTGAGTTGAACTGACTATGAAGACTGTGTTAGACTATGATTTAGGGATTGCAGATCATTGAGTAGCTGAGTAGGCATTTTCTGGGGGTCCGGAGTACGCTGGTGCTCTGACTCTTGGGGGCCGTAGGCAACCGGGGCAAGGGCTGCATTTCCGGTAGAGAGGGCATTGGGTGGAGGTCAAGCAAGCCACAACGTGCGAATTCCCCTTCATCTTGATTAAACTACGGAGTAGGGAGTATCAAGATTGGGTGTGGGGTCCGGTTTTTGTAATTCGTGGACTATGTTCTGCTCCATGCCTGTTTTTGCTATGACAATCTGTACTTCGCACGTACTACTATAGACTTCACCGGTGAATTTTTCGTTGGAAATAAATTCTCTGAAATTTCGGATCAAAGCTCGCTGGCCAAACTGTGCAGCACACGGGATGACAGCGTGCAGGGATCTAGGCAGATTGAGCCAAGCATGAAGGCTATCACATCGAATCTGACATCAGAAATGGTGAGAATTAGAGTTCGCATGAGTAGTGTTCCTGGATCTACAATCCAACACAACATATTGACCACGCATTTGTAACATTCGTTCAAATTGAGCCTTGGGGGCCATTTAGCAGCGAATCCACCCGAAATCCCTCAACCGGACTCTTCCACAGTCATCCACTCGGCTCGGCACACCCTCAAAACTCTGCAGGGCTTGATGGAAGTAGTTAGCGTCTTACAAATAGACTATAATCTGCTTGTCAGCATACCCGAACCTTGAGCTAAGCCCACCTGGAGCTAACGTGGACCTCGTTCCCGCTTTTCCCATGAATCAGCTTGTTTCTAAGCTCCCCCTGGTCGACTCTCGTTCTGATTCCAACCGCCAAGCTATGCCGGGCGTTCTCATACACCGGCCTGACGCAGGGCTAGTAATTTATTCCTCCACACATCGTGAGTATCTTGTTCATCGCCACGGATGACCACAGGAAGAGACTTTGTGCCTACTTCTGCTTCAACCGGGATGCCAGTGAAAACCCAATCCATATGCAAGAAGTAGGTCCGCGAACACGCATTCCGCCTGATCACATGTAATGTGACTAGGCTAGTCAGTGTTAGAGGCCAGGCCTATTCGGGAATGTGGGGTACTTATTTTTCCGTCGAGTGAAGGTATCTGAGACAGACGTTATTCATCCTTCCCGTGATGCTGAGCCTCGCCATATCTGATAATTGCCTGTGACCAATTTTCACCGTCTTTCTTCTACAAATCTCCGTACCGCTACGGAACCGATGAGGTCTCGGGTCCGACTACACTACAGTCAATCTTTGAGTTGCGGCCTTTGTCTCGGCCAGTTCCCACCGCGTTTTTCGGCTTACGAATTGTTTGCAATCTCGACAAATCACGGGAGTAGTTGAGGAATCTATTCATTTCCAGATGTCTTGGGTCTCCCCAACTCTTCTTGCTCCGACAACTTCCTCTTTCCAAGGGCTTGCATCCCAGAGCTGGTCAGCGGATACCAAACCATTGTCACGATTCCACATCACAATGGCGTGATTGAACTATTCAAACATGTCCGCGAGTCGCTGTTTACCTAGTCCAAGACTTGGAGTACCTTGGGCTGGTCTTTGAACTGCATCATGGATTTCATGTATCAATCTTTCTCTGAAAACTCCGAGACTGACGCACAGCCAAAGTCTTGACCCACGACACTTAGATGCCCAGCGAGGGTCCGGTGCGCTGTTCGGTGGTAGATGCTTCATTGGAGGCGTTTTTGGTGGTCTTCATATCGTTTTTGGTTGGCGAAGCCAGAAAGTGAGGGTTTTTTGGCGTCAAAGATCTTGGATGAGAGCCAGAAAGTGAGGGGTTTTGGAGCCAAAGCTCTAAGTTGGGTAAGTTGTAAAAAGAGATGAGAGTCAGAAGGAAGAAAGAAAAGCAATAAAATCGATGGATAGCAGAGGAATGAAAGTGAAGTGGAAGGCGAAGAGACCTCGCGAGGGGTTGAGATGCGCTGGGCATTCGAATTTCGTTACAATTGGCTCTGGAGGAACTCGGTGATCTTCTCTTCCGCTCCCACAACGTCTCGCTCTTTGACCCGCTCCGCTTGTTCTATAGGTATGTTTTCCCACTGGGTTAGATACTCCGTGGTTGGTGTTCTGTATCTTCCTAGGCGACGATGTCTCACGTCTAGCACTTTTGCTACGTCGTGACGATCAGTCTCGTTGGGGAAACGCTCGTCGAACGTTGGTTGGAGGTCTTGTGTTTCTCTGTCAAACGGGTCCGGGAATGGTGCAGGCTCGTGGTGTTGCACGCTACCTAGGTAATAACCGGATGGACCTTCCAAGCTCTCGGTAAATCTAAACGGTATGTCAAACGTCCAACTCGTTCCAGCACTGTGAAGAGTCCGTTTCTCCCGTGATAGACAGTATGCTACAATGATACTGGAGAAAGGATCATGAAACGTAGAAACTGTCATGCGTGAGGGAAGGAAGACTGAGAGGGCTGGGGAAGGTCTTATTGATTCCCAGTCAGGTTGCAATTTCTTGATCCTTCGTTGTCGACAGATCCCGTCCCTGGGTAAGATTTCTGCGTCCTTGCACCGGAATCTTGGAAAAATCATTCTCTCCAGAGGTTGTTTGCTGTCGGTGCTCATCTTCGAACATGTGCACGCCTCCGTGTTATCCACGGGTTTTTGGTACTCCCTCATTGAGGTGATCCCTGCATGTGACAAACCAAGGATATCAAAGATCTTTCCGGCTCCAGACGAGGAAGCGCGCTGATCAAGAAGTGAGTTTGCTGAGGTGAGCCCTGAATGTTGTTGAAGGAAGTGACTTACCGTGTCCTGGGATGCCGTTGAGCGAGTGCCCTCACTTGCAAATGAATTCCCAGAGTCATCAGGAGGTAGCCTGTCGAGACCCGGGGTGAACTCCGAGTGCGGCAACCAAGGTAAGCCCTTGGGTAAAGCCAATAAGACGACTGCCCAGGTGCGGTCCTGAGGGAAGTGCAATTGCTGAGTTTGTCTCCCGCTACGCCGTAGTTGATGAAGCAGACGATGCCAAAGCACCACCTGCCTGGTCTTGTCACACGCTCTGTCAGGTCCTCCGCAGTGTGTATGAAGCGAAGGCAAAGTGAAATAAATCTAGCACAGACTTGGGAGCCAGAAGGGTGTCAGTTTGTAGTGCACCGGTGGACCAGTCAGAGGCAAGAAAATGGTCACTGCGGTAGAATCAACTTGACTCCTGCCGAGGTGCCCTCCAGCTGATAGAACATTCACAACTTGGAACCTTGGAATGGTGTTGGCGTATACACTGGAGTCATTCTGTGCTGAGTTATTGGGTGTAGAGTTGTCACAGGTACAGCCCTGGGGGTGTTGGTATGGATAATGAACCCATATCCATGATTGTGCTGAGGTATCACAGGTATAGGTGTCGGTATGGTTAATGAACAAATTCATGATGAGATACAGCGGCTACAGATGCAAGAGTTTCTGCTAGCCCTGCAGTGGAATAGAGTGAGCTTTCAGTTAATTGAAAAAGCCATCAATTGATTTAACGCATCCGAGGTCCCGGGCTGTCGCAGACCTCGGGAGTGTTGAGTTGCATAGAACCTTGGAAGTGTCGTCGTGCTACATGAGTATTTGGGCAGGAAAAAAGAAAGTAACTCAGGATTCGATGGTAAGCATCATTCTAAAACACAGTCACGGGTTCGACAATATGTGTATGATTTCTACGGGCTGTTGAGGGTGTTGTCTACTCCGGAGATATATATAGTGCTTCTAAGGTTAAGGTAAAGTGGATATGACATATTTTCATGGGGCGAAGAATGCGGAGATCAGTACAATCAACAGCTTTCATACTCGACATTTCCACAAGTGTATTTTGTTTTCATTCCTCTGACTAGATAAAACAAAGTCCAATGCTTGCCATTGGAGGATCAAAAAGTGCCGTAGACGTGAACCTGCCGTGTTTGCCTTCAAGCATGCAATATCCACGATTTGACTGAACTGGGGAAAAAATAAACAAACGAGAAGGACAGTGGGAAGCCAGGAGAGGATGGCGTCGTACGGCAGTTTCGGCGCACGTTACACTGGTGTACAGCATGATCGTCGCTCGACTAGTCCTGCAGGTTTGCCTAGATGCGCAATGAGCGCCTTGGGCCACGGAAACCAGCCCAGCTCAGCATCCAACTTCCTTCTTCTCTCCCTTGCATTTATTGAACTTACTTCACGTTGAGCCTCACAGGGCAGCCTACTGTGTCCAACCATCCGTATAGCTCTACGCTACCCCGCCGATGGATGCGTCGTCACGATGGAAGGCCGCGGCCGCGTTCTTTGCAGCGTCCCAGCTCATCAGGTGAGTATCCTCAAGTTTGCATGCAAGATCGCATTAGCTGAACTTATTCCCAGCTATATGATGCTTGGTATGGTGATTGGGGATGCTTCCCACGACCTGCTACTCCAGAAGACGGCAACGAGTATCTGTGCGTTCTTCCTGCACGCCATGTCCGTTTTTGCATTGGCAGGGATCGCCGGTGTAAATTGGCAGCAGCGTTACTTCTTACTTCAGCTCTTCAGGTGAGAGATCTCTTCCCTGCTCAAAGCCTCGACTAACCCGCCACAGCACCTATCTTATCGTGAACATCCTCGGCCTCATCAATGTCCTCCTGCAGCTCTTCGGTCGGAATGTATCGATACACCGTCTACAGATCGTGGCGATCTGCCTCCCTTCGACCTTCTCGGTGATCTGCGCTTTGGCAACGGGATTGATCTATCGGGAGCACCGCCGGGGAAGCACAGCGCTATTGAGCGAGGAGGAGATGCAGCGGCGACAGTTGCAGCGCTTGTTGGAGGATCAGGGCAGCGCACCGTCGCCCGAGCTGATACGGAACACGTACCGATTTGACCTGCCATATGCAGCGGATGGGCCGGAGGAGCCAAATAGTTGGGATGTATTACGATGAAAACATAAAATGTATAAGTTCACGTGGAGCCGATACGAGTACGCGTTTCGACGGACCTCGGCTGTTTCCGACCGTCAAAAACCTCCCGTTTATCTCTGAACGGATCTGTGAGCTTTCCAAGGTTGTCTATTGCAAACATGTCTAAACGAGTGACTATCTTCGATCCCCCTGCGCAGGACCATTCCAAGGCCCTGATCGAGAATGTCCTCGATCTCACCCCGGTCGTGGACCTCGGTCCAGTACGATCCCCCTCCCACGTCACCGTCCATAGCTAACAACTCAGGACGTCTTCACGAACACCCGACCCCTATGGCATCCCCCCGGAGCCCGCGGCATTTACGGCGGTGCTGCGATCGCACAATCTCTATCGGCCGCCATGCGAACAGTCCCCGCCGACTACGCCGTCCACAGCATGCACTGCTACTTCGTGCTAGCCGGAGACTCTGAAATCCCCATCCTATACCACGTCGAGCGAGTGCGCGATGGGCGCAGCTTTATAACACGGACCGTACAAGCGCGCCAACGGGGCCGCCCCATTTTCACAACCACGCTGAGCTTCAGCCGCGTAGGCAGTGGCGGCCAGAAAACCATTCACCACCAGGCGACCAAGCCGAATGTGAACCTACCCGAAGCCGAGCCGGGAAGCCTCCGCGCTCTCAGCAACGCGGGCGGGGGTCCTTTCGAGTCTCGGAAGGCGGGCATTGTGAACCGTGAGTTTTGCTGGCAGGATCGGTGCCGACGAGGTCATGCTAATCGTGCTTGTGTAGGTACATCCGTCAACCCGGAAGAAAAGAAAGTCCGCCGATACATCCGGGCTCGTGGGCATATTTCCGAGGAGGGCGGCTACCAAGCTCATCTCTCGGCGCTTGCCTACGTGACGGATAGTTTCTTCATTGGATCTGTCGCCATTGTTCACGATATACCTCGGTTCTCCTCCCCTGCCGAATTGGAGAAGCTTCTTAGCGCCCTGAAGAACCCGTCCGATCTGGACGACGAAGACATTACGCGGGCTCTGAAGGAGCTTAAGGAAGAGGAAGCCGCGGACTTGCGCCGTCGCATCGAAGGTGCGTTGGACAAGGCTGGCGGCGAGAACCAGGAGGATCACAAGGAGGTGGGCATGATGGTCAGTCTTGACCACTCAATCTACTTCCATAACCCGTTGGCATTCCGTGCCGATGAATGGATGTTGACCGAGATGGAGAGTCCTTGGGCTGGCGAGGGTCGAGGATTGGCGATCCAAAAGATCTGGTCGAAAGACGGTGTTTTGATTGCGACTTGTACGCAAGAGGTATGTTGTCTCACTATCGATGTCTTTGTGGCGCAAGCTAATCGGATCATAGGGCGTTGTGCGATTAAAGCAAGACCAGCCGCCAAAGCCGAAGATCTAGAGAGCCTCAATTCACGACTATGGCAGGCTTTTCTATTCCTTGTATACCCCTTGATCATTCGCTTCTTTTACATACTTCTCACTTTAGACTCGAGCTCAGCTCTTCACATAGAAAATTTCCTTCACGCTAGCATTTCATAATCCAATTGATTGACCAATCTGCTTGAAATGTGTCCAAAAATCTTTCTTTCGTTGTTCCAGTTCGAAATCGAATACACAAACCCCAACGGTCCATCCCCAGGATCACCGCATCTCAAGCTCACAGCACTCAAAGCACCGATCAAAATAACGATAAACAAGAACATCAACTTTTGCGTTGATTGACAAAAAGCCGCCGACCCAATTTTAGTCTTCCAGAGACAAAATGCGAAGAAAACAAAAACAAAACAAAAAGAAACTGTTGGTATAGTACAAGAAGTATTCAAACATCAAGCTTTTCCTCCTTTTCCTCCAGCTCGCCCCCACGCTCTCGATAATATTCCAAGACCTTGGCTCCCCACACATCTCTCCCTTTATATTCGCTCACATATTCAGGCCAGGTCTTCATCTCCTTGGCCAAGTTCGCCAGCTCAGTCATGGGAAGCTCATCCAGAGGCGTGAGATAGGTCTTAACGCCAAAGACCAGGGCGCCTGTGCGCGGGAGACGTCGAAACGTCTGCCTCTCGCGACGGATGAGGATCTGCGATGGCGACTCGGGGTTGCTTAATTCCTTTTCGCAGAGGGCGTTGGGTCGGTACAGAATGTCAGTCAGGCTCTCGCCGGGGCTTTTGACTTCAACGAAGTAGTTTGAGCGTTCCATTGGCGAGTCTGGTGTCAAGCGGGCTAGGAATCTGGATTGTGGGTTAGGACTTTGCGTGTGATGCACGGTTTCGAGTGGACTTACTTGCTGACTGAGTTCGCAACCTGTTGGTGCCAGAGAGGTACTGGGCCGTGTAATTGGGAGATTGTCCATCCGATCCTCTGATTGACGGTCCAGCCTGTCGGGAAGAGACTGGCACTTGCTGCGCTAGAGGGGTGTCAGTTTTGAAAGTTTATGTTTGATGCATGAACGTACAGATAATATTCTCCTTCCTCGTTCATCATCAGGATACTCAGATCCTCCATGGTCAAACGCACCGCGGCTTCGAGTGCCTCCGTCAATCCTTCTTTAGGATTGCGTCCGCTGACGGCAAATTTGTCGCCGGTCATGCGATTTTCGATGATTTTTTGGTTGTTGTGGGTTGACATGGTGAACGCAGTCGAGAATCGTTCACACAAAAAGTCCGAAACCTCCTCTAATGCTTCCTGGCATGACTCCAGAGACTCGGGCAGACACTGGATGACTTTGCCGCGTTTCTCCTCGAGCAATTGGGTCCGTACCCGGTGCTCGTCCATGTAGTTCTTGTCGAGGGTGAGCCAATTGTGGACGTCGAGCCTCCGAATATCCATCATGACACGGTATCGATCTCTGCCCTTGATGGGCTGTGCTGGGTATGGTGCCAGGCGCTTGACATCAGATTGGTTGACATTTGAACAATCCTTCCCGGTGATCTTGTGTAATAAACGCTTCAGTCCTTCCTTGTAGTGTCTGACCGCGCAGAGACAGACGAAGACGGTGATCGTAATGAGTGAAAAGGTTGTCATAGTTTTCCCACAGTCTTGAGTTGAAAGCCGCTATACCGTTTCCTGGTTGTCCTCTGGGTTGTCTTTCCACGTCCTGGGCTCTAAGTGAAAAAGAAAGGAAAGACTGACCATGATGAAGATCCGGAGCGCAGGATATAAATATCAGTTTCACGACCTATGAAGTCACCTAGCTCGGGACCAGGCAGCCAGCTGATCAGACGATAAGTCAAGTCAGCTTGACTAGTTCCAGTCCAGAATTAAAAAAATTTAAAAGGCTGAATTTAAAAATGGATAGCTCAAGCGGCATTCCACATTCCTTATTGAGTGCCTGGGGTGGTACGCTCTAATTACGCCTGATACGCCCAGGGATTCCCCGCAAAAGGCCAAAGTTCGCCGCCGGGGAGTATTGGCCACAGCCACATGATCTCAGACGGTATTGCTTTTACGCGAAAATCAAAATTTCTAACCAATTTCTAAAGGCTGTGCAAAACAAGAGTGGAGAGGATGACAATCAAACCCTCGGGTTCTCACTGGTTGTTCGCCTCTCCTTACCAGTCGGACATGAGCGCTTGGTCAGGACCGGGACCCATAAGCTGCACTAGACAAGGCTAAAAGGGCCCCACGATCTAGGCACAGAGATGCCGTGTTTAGCTTCACATCGTGCAAGTGCTAGGGCTTACCGAAATCGGGAAACACTCGCCCGATCAACAAGGCATGAAAGGGCGGACGTGCTCGGATTAGGCCATGTCTAGGAGTTGATTCGAGCCGCGTAAGGCGCCTGCCACCTAAAAGCCGAGAACCGAATGTTTGATCTGAGTCAGGTCCCAGCTGTGCATCAAGTATTGTTAGACTCGGAGTCCGGGACTATGATACATCGGAGAGCCGAGCTACATAGGTACAGATGGGGCTCGCATAGACCCTCGTGGGCCAACGGTTTACAGTTCGAGATCCCGGCATTAATTCCAGGGTGTTGACCTGAACTGTGAGATCAGACAGCAATCTCTGATGGAGTGCACTCCTATTATACGTATACGTACCTAGGTAGTACTGTACTCCGTAACATCCCAAAGTCAACGTTGTCCGACACAAGCGATCACCAGGTTTTCCCGCTAACCTCCCCTTTCGCTCCACAAGGCTCCCGCTGCAACCGCAAACCCCCTTTCGCGTAAAGCGCGCTTGCCGCTCGTATTTCACTGCGCCTTTTCTCTCTCTTTTTCTGTTGATGGGGCAATTTTAGAAGGGAATTTTCTTACGGGCGTACTAGTACTTTTTCGCCTCCCTGTATGGAAACACAGGGATCCCGATCGACATAGCATAAAACGTACGAGGATTCGCCACCGCTATTCAGCAGCCTTGTTTGCCCGTTTCGATTGGAACCTAGCAAATTGATGATTATCCCAGCCAATCGGTGATGTGATGTCTTTGATTTGGCTCAAGTCTGGACCGGAGGTGACGTCTACGCAATAATAAGGGACCTGAATCACATTGACAATTAAAGTGCGGACCAATGCAAGTCAATACTCGCAGCTTGGACAATCCCTCCGTCAGGTCCGTAAACTCTACTTGTTGTCTCCTGTTTCTGTCGGCCGTGCGCACAGACATCTCGATCAGCTGCCTACACGCAATCGGTTCTCATGGAGACAGGCGATTGATCGACATGTTTGGTACTTTCAAGCTGGAACTTGCAGTTGGTCTTCGTCGAGTACTAGTAGAAGGTACTTATATCTCAGTACCTCGTACTTTCGAGATCATATTCATGGTCTAGACTTTGGCTGGCTTCTGTGCATTAGCTGCGCCCCGACCGTAAGGAGCCGGACTGAAGACCAATCAGGCGCGGGAGGAATGACGGGGAAGATATTCCAGCCCTGGGGATCGTCGAGCCCAAGCCCTGCCCTGGGTCAGAATCACATGGGCGCAGGTGCCAGGATTGGTTTTGTTGACTTGACGCGTCGAATTTGGCTCCCGGTTCTGGGAGATCTTGCTTGGCCGTTGGGACGGAGCACTACATAACTCCGCAGGTATAATTACAATCCAAACAGGGACAGAGTGCTTGAATATTGCAGCTGATGCTGATCTTGTGCGGACTTGGAGCGGCGTGGGTGTATACATGAAGCAAACAAGACATTTACAGGTCGAATTTCTGTCCCAGAATGCACTCTCCCAAATCCCACAGCCGGGCGGCGTTCTCAGCTCCAAGGGCATGATCTGCTGGCTGCTTGAGCTGACCATCACTAAGGTACGAGCCCGATAGATCTAAATTCAGCAACAGATGTTAGCAGCACGAGCATTCAGATAAGCAAGGAAACTTGCCTGTCAGGCTGGGATCCAAAGCCGCCACTAAAGTAGTAGAACAGCCTTGCTGAAGAGTTTTCCTGTCGGTGACCTCGTAATCGCGAACTGGAATAGTCAGCTCTGTTGAAAATGTCAAACAAAAATATGTGTCGGCATACTATTCTGCGATTTGACCCTGGCGTCTGTGATCGACTCGGAATCTACATGACGTTGCAGGTTTGATGCAATGCCTAGCGCAAACCAACCGTCAGCGAATGAAAGGAGAATAGTGGACTAAAACGTACTTCCAGGGTGCACCGAGAACGCCGAGATTTCCTTGCGGGGGATTTTGTTGGCGATCTGAACAGCCATCAAAATCAACGCAGTCTTCGATTGGCCATATGCTTTCCAGGTATCATAGCACGATCCACCCTGTTAGCCGCATAATTAGTATACCCCACATGCATTCTACGTAGTGGCAGTCATACCTCGAAGTCGAGGTCGTCGAATCTGATACCCTCGAAGCGATGCGCTGAGCTGCTGACATTCACAATGCGAGCTCCCGGTCCCGCGGCGCGAATTTTGGGGAGCAATAAACCGGTTAACAGAAATGGACCGATGAAGTTTATACCAAATTGTACCTCCAGATCATCATCGGTTCTGGAGTACGGGCAAGCCATTATCGCAGCATTGTTGACGAACACGTCGATGTGGTCGACGTGTGCGTTGATTTTCTCTACGGCCAATCGTATCGAAGCCTGGCTACTTAGGTCGAGCTCGATGAATATCGAATTGGTTTCCGGGCTCAACTGTGCGATCTTGTCGATGACAGGCTGGATTTTGGCCCGGTCTCGGCCGGCCAGGATGAGAGTCGCCGGGGATTGAGAGGCTAGACAAAGAGCTGTTTCGGCGCCGATTCCCCCCTCGCTTGGACCGGTGATTAAGACTGGACTTGGGGTCAGGGAGTAATGTTGCAGGTATGGCAAAGTTTGAGAGTTCAACTTACACACGCGTCCCTTGATCCTGTCGGCATATTCGGCTACCACTTCATTGCCAGTCGAGCCCCATGACCATTTGGACATCTTGAGAGATGAAAATAAAGAAGAAAAACAAAAAGATCGATGCCTAGACGTAAATTAGACTGCTAGACTTCGAAGTCCCCCCAGAATATTTATAGTGGACAATGCTGACGGCCACCGGGCTTAACGACCTAAGCCCCGTCTGGAAAATGGTCATGATCCCTTAACTCCGCGGATGCAAATGGAGTTGAACACCAGGCAGAACATATTACAATAGTAATATGACGACGAGGCGCGATGGAAAAACCGTCGAGATCAATGTTGGCTGTGTGAGTACAAAAAGCCAGAGAGAAGAGGTGGACGGCCAATCGACCATGGGGCCTCAGGCACGAAATCCGAACCACTCAAGGACTCCATCCCTACCTTCTACAATCTTGCAGTTCTGTTTGAAGATCAAGGCTAATATTACTCTTAACGGTTCACCTGCGAGCTCCCGCCTTGTCACCAGCAGGGCGTACTGACTAATGACCCCTAAGGGTAAGGATACCCGAATCGGCTTCCAGCCAGCGGGGCCCAAAAAAAGTCGAATTGAATTTCTTCACTTTGAGAGTACAAGAACAATCTGTTGACTCCGTGATTAGCTTGCCACTGGCGATTCTCATCGCAAACATGGTTGACGCAAAATCGTACCCCAGCCACGCAGGCGTTGACCTAGATGACTCAGTCCAACTTTCGATGCTGCATTCACAGCTTCACGAATCACTCGAAGCATCCTTGAAACAAAGACCTTCTGACGAACACCCGGAACTTAATGATACCTACACAGATCGGGGCTCCAAACTCTCCCGCAGTGGTGCGATCATTTTGATCACCACTCTCAGCGGTATCACGTTTGTCGGCAGCATGAGCAGTGGACTACTGACAGTCGGGCTTCCAACCATTGCTCAAGACTTGAATCTGCCCAGTAACCTTCTGTTATGGTGAGTCGGATGCGTTGCTCGAAGTGAAACCCTCCACATCATTCAACGAATTACTGACGCGACGCAGGCCAGCCTCTGTCTACTCGTAAGTACAACCCATGGCGTTCATGGAACATTGCTGATGCCTTGAAGTCTTGCCAATGGATGCTGCCTTCTTCTTGCAGGCTCAATGGCAGACTTTGTGGGCAATCGAATGATAAACCTCACGGGCTGTTTTCTACTTGGCGCATTTATTCTAGCCTGCGGTGTGGCGCAGACCGGTATTCAAATCATCCTCTTCCGCACATTCCAAGGAATCGCAACATCAATGTGTCTTCCAACGGCATTTAGTATTTTGACCGATGCATTGCCAACCGGCAAGAGAAGAAACATCGGATTTGCCTGCCTTGGGCTAGGCCAACCGCTTGGATTCTCGATGGGATTGGTCCTTGGTGGTCTTTTCCAGGGCTCGTCGCTGGGATGGAGATTCGGATATTATCTCTGCGCGGGAATATCCATGGTGCTCACTCTCGCGAACTTTTTCAAATTGCCGAAGGATGCAGTTCGTGAGCCGATCTCGTGGCGCCGACTCCGCTCGGAGATCGATTGGGTTGGGATTTTCCTCTCGAGTTCTTGTTTAGGGATAATATCCTATGTCTTTGCGTATGTGCTTACTGTTACGTGCATTCGATGGATGAGGTAGAGTGGCTGACAATAACCGCAGAACAATCACTGACAAACCGTCGAACATTCATCGAGCAGAAAATATCGTCTTACTCTGTGCAGCTGGAATAATGATTCCCTCATTCATGGGCTGGATGAACTGGCGCGAAAAGAATGGGAAATCGGCTTTGATTCCGAACAGTTTGTGGAGGAACACGGCATTCACATCGGTCTGTGTGATGGTACTGCTCTCATGGGCTGTGCTAAATGGGATGGAAACGATACTCAGTTTATTGTGAGTGCATCAAAAACGACAGCCGTGACACTTACCCTGACCGCATGTTAGCTTCCAAGAGGTTCAAAATCTATCGGCCTTTCAGGCTGCTCTCCGGTTCTTGCCCAATGTGGTCATTGGTATTTTATTGAATGCTGGCACCGGATTACTAGTTCATCGCCTGCCCGCAGATCATTTGGTACTTGTTAGCACCTTTCTCAGTGCTGGATCTCCACTACTGATGGCCATCATCGACCCCAACTGGTCATGGTGGTACTGTGCGTTCTGGGCTGTGCTTCTCGGTCCTCTTTCGGCAGATGGTAATTTCCCCTGCGACGGCCGGAAAATCCTAGTGATACCGTTTTCTAACGTCGACACAGTCATCTTCACAATTGCGAATTTGATAATTACGGACGCATTTACCCCCAAAACGCAAGGGCTAGCAGGCGCAGTCTTCAATGTCACCGCACAATTTGGAACATCGATTGGACTTACCATCTTCGCCATAATATCCGCCGGCGTCACTCAAGGGTCAGCTTACTCGGACAAAGCTTCGCCAGAGGCATTGATGATTGGCTATCGAGCTGTATTCTGGACCTGCTTTGGACTAATGATCGCAGCCTGCGGAGTGGGTGCTCTGGGTTTGCGAAAGATTGGAAAAGTTGGATTGAAGCGGGATTAAGGCTCCGCAGAAGTAAACTCAAAATCGCAGAGGTGCTTGCTGTAGATGGAGGCATTTTACAGATGACACCATGATGAAACAACCAGAAAAAATTGATTTAGGTTAAATTCGAAATGCTCCATATGCTTGTTTCAAGGTCTGATGCCAATTGAGACTTGGTGTATAGGCCCCGGGATAAGCCCGCGGAGGCTTTATACTCTCAGCGTCTCGGTCAAGCTGCAAATTAATTATCATAATAGAATCATAACGCTCGCTTCATAATGAGATGGAAAACAAATACTTTTGTGCCGCTGTGAGGATGAAACCGACGGAACACGTTGAGACTAATCCCGCCACTAGTGAAAAGGACGGATTCATCGGGGTAGGGATGTTGGAAAGGGAGTCGGGGGTCGTCCAGATAGAATGAAAAATGCTTCAGCAAATGATAGACGCTTTGTCAGTCCGGGCAGTATCGACCCTTGTCATGGAGATCCCAGTGTTGTGTGTTGCAACGGGCTCCAGAGTGTCGTCGCCATTAGCGAGACGTTCCTCTCGTTCCCACTCCAACCGCTCAGCCTCCTTGATCCGCTTCAGCTCTTGGCAGAATTTGCTGTTATTTCTGATGCGGTCACCCCAGCGGATAAAGCCGAAGGGAATAATAGAGACGATGAGACTGAGGAAGGCGATCAGGCTACATGCCCACGGTACGCCGAGCCTGTTGAACATGGGCTTTGCCGCGAGCGGAAGAACGGCTCCAAAGATACTTCTTGTGCAGCTTGCAGCCGACTGAGCGCTGGCGGAAAGCGTTTCGTAGGCATCAGTCATATAGTTCAGCATAGCCATGAAGATCAACAAGTACCCGCACCCAAATGGAATGCCGGATAGGAAGGGAACGACCCAGTGAATGTTTGGCGAGGCCGTCCATCCGACCCAGAAGAGAGAGATGACGTATAATGGTCCACCAATGCAGGCAAGTGGGAGTCTTCGATACTCTTCGATGAAGGCCCAGCTGGCGTTGCGGGCTTTGGCTCGGGCGAGGTAGCCGTCATACCATATAAAGACAACGCAGGCGAGAACAGCTCCAATGCCAACTGTTTTTTGTTAGAACTGCGGTTTCTTTTTCAAACCGGGAGAAGACTTTGGGACTTACTTGGTAGGAACATTAGACCAGAAATTCCAGGGCTCATTTTGTAAATTCCTAACAAGCGATGTCAGCTTTTGTGTTCAAAGAATGTCCTCAAAATCGAAATTGACTGAATGACGAACCTTGGAAGATGATCGGGTATGCCTCGAAATAGAGGTAGAAAATTGCATAAGCCAATGCAAGGTATAGCGAGCTGAGGGAGACAATTGATTCATGAAGAATCATGCGGAATGGTCGTGAAATCGTGGTGATCATCATCTCCCGCAGGTTGCGGCTCTGAACTTCCAATGGGGACACAATGCTAGAGTTCCCAGTATCTTTGCGGAGCTTCTGGGCGCGACGCTTCAAGATAACGGGTGCATATGTCTCCGGCATAAAGATAATCAATGGCAAACTGGCACCCGCCAGAATTAGACCGATCCAGAAACACCAACGCCAACTGACGACTGCAACAAAGCCAGAAACCCATGGACCGATGATGGGTCCGAACGTGGTGCACTGTCATCGTGTTAGATCTGATACCAAGACACCATGGTAACAAAAAGGGATCTTGACTTACAGCCATATAGTACGCCATCAGTCGACCTCGCAGTGTGGGATCATCGTGGACATCAGCGAAGAGTCCACCCACAGTGGCGATGGGCGCCGAAGCAACCATTCCATTAAACAAACGGAAGACAAGCAAAGACGCGAAAGAGTCTGCGACGGCACACGCCAGCGTGAATATCATGAAGAGTATATAGGCGATGAGTAAAGGGGGCTTTCGACCGAAATACTCGGAGCTGGGGCCCCATAGCAGAGGACCCAAGATGTAACCGATGAGGAAGATGGAGATTGGCAAGACAAGGAGTGTTTCGTTTGTGATATTGAACTCCTCCGCGATCTCTGGTATGGCATTACTGCAGATAGAGGAGCCGATGGTGCTGTTCATGACCTGCATGACGCCAGAAGCAAGGACGAAGAACTTTCTTTTCTGCCCAACATATCAGTATGCTGTGTCGATGAGCGGAGCTTGCGTCATAGGTAAACACACCGTTGTCCAATTCACGGCATTTTCTGGGTCGTTGGCACCAAAGGATACGATTGTCTTCGAAGCCACGCGGCGGAACCTGGAGTTTGAAGGATTGCCATATCTTTCTTGGATAGGTTCGTGGCCATATCCTGAGTCTTGATCTTCTGATTCACGAGAGCTGACCTGTGACTCTCGTGATGATCTTATTCCTGCGTCCTCTGTGGAAACATGAGCATTGCGAGCCAGAGAGAGACAGTCAAGCTAAGGGTTCCAAGTGACTGACCTGATGTTGTCATAACCTTCTCCGTGTGCTCATCTGGGGGAGATTGATCTGACATCTTGACGGTTGAATCGTAAATCGGGACCAGCTCAATGGAGATCCAGGCGGGACCCTGGAATTATAAAGGTACAAATGCGAAGGCCTCCACAAGGGATCCACGATTTGAGTCAGACAAATAAAAGGCAAGTTTAAAAAAGTGGGTTCGGTTCCACATCCGACAGTTTCTGATTCTGGCGCCCTAATTGTGACAAATGGAGTGTCCCATTGACAATCAGGCGAGGACTCTGTAGCGTTCCCTGGCAAATTGGGTATCTGGTGGTGCTGATCAGTCAGGTATCCCAACCTCAACTCGGTTAAGACGGCTTCTTCCCCAACTTTTATGTGGGAACTACTGCTAGCCCGCTGTACAAGCACAGAGCCAAGATTCTGTGGAGTATCAAGGTGGCAAGTCAAAATGTGACTGAATAAGAATCACATGGAACTTCCCAGGGGCCGAGTGTCACAGCCCTGCGAGATGCCAGCTTGGGGGTTTGCAAAATTAGCATCTCCAAATTTGAGCGCACATGATACCACGAGCATTTTCAAGCACAGCACCTTGTCCGCATGCAGCCAACGTGTTGAGTATCAGATTCTCAGTCCTATCTGAAAATTAGGGGTCGATACCCTGTCGATCTATCGATTGGTCTTGCATTAACGCGTATGCCAACCCACTGTTCGTCATCGCATGAGCCAAACTAGTACCTCGTGATGCAAGGCAGGCTGGACGAGGAGCTGTGCCCACGACGCGCGCGAGGGATTAGCTAGCTCGATTGAGCCATGGTCGCTCCTTGGAATGAGGAAGTTCCCTGTGCGGACCTCGGGGGTAGTGGGGGCGCCTAACCCGGGGGAAGATGGGAACGGGGGCATTCCGCAGGCTGTGCTCATTTGCCGCGCAGGGGTCTTCCAGGGCCCCAACCACAATGACTCCGCACACGCTTAGCACAGTCCACGCCTTATCGCGAGATCAATTCTCATTCTGGGGCGCCCAGGAATACTCCTTGAAGCCTGTTGCCATTGTAGCTTTGGGCAAGTGATTCCGTTGGGCTGTGATCGGCGAAGGTGAAATTTTCCGAAGCCGGTGCCGGATCGGTACCGGGTGCGCGTCCCGCCGACGGGTTCGGACTTGTGGCCGATTTGCCCCAAGTGGGAACAGAAAATCGTATTCAGCTGGCAAAAAGGGACAGAGCCATAGAAAAGAAGCCAATCAGGATGTTTTCAATGAAGTTAAGTTTACTGTATGAAGAACTCGATGAGCCATTGAGAGCTCGGGACAACCTTGGAAGGGGTGTTGATATTTGATGCCTTGCCAAAGTGGCAACCAACCTTGGAAAGTTCTGCCTTAGGCTGACATTTCATGAGAACCTGGGGATTTCGCCCCACCACAGATTTGCGGACCAGGTCATTTCACGACTAACAACTTGGAGCCTGGAGGTCAAATCCATGGATGTATCGATAGCTCAATAATGTTTCAAATTTGCAAGGCCCCCTGTAGATACAATTCACCCCACTCACCTAGTAGTACAAGATCCTACTAGGTACCTACAGGATCACGTATATATCTCATTGCTTCTCAGGTTTACATAAGTAGCGGATTGCTATCTCGCATGGATCCAAAAGGGAACAGTTGTTACGCCACTCACAGTGATAGATTTAAGTCAATTCTACGTAGAGAGTTCAAGAAGTCCCGCGGATCCTGACGCTCATCGCATGGACTGGAGCCCATTACGTTGGGACATCGACATCGTGAGCACCCACAGGGCCATGAAAGTCTAGCTGTGATAACATGCAATGCAGGTGTCAGCCGCTGCGGTGTCTCTCTCACTAAGTTTGCCAAGTCTTGCGCTCTGTGAGTCTCATGATTAGCCGCAAATAGGCTTGTACCGTTGCAATTCGAAGGCTTCCGAATACCACCAGCTCCAATGTCCGAGGATGGAGAACGGAATTTAATATGCGTTGAAAATGCCCTCCATCAGGCAGTCAATCGGGTTTTGCTGTGGAGGGCTCCGTAAAATGATGGCAATCCGTGGGAGATCCAGATGCCATAGACTGGCTGATTTCGAAGGCCGGAACGTATTCTGGGTCGTGAAGTCTGGAGAGCTTTGTGATATTATCCCGCCGAGTGAGAGACAGACGCATTTTTCGGCTTCCCGTTTTCCCGGTATATCATTGTACTATCTCAAGGAGCACCGTGAGGCTCAAAATTCGAGCATTTCTTTTTGTCTTTCAGTAGGGAAGAAGGAGGGCGTGGAAAGCACAGTGATGCTTCCAAGGCAAATATGTGGTGCGCAGAAAGACGAAAAGAAGCTGGTGTGAACTGCATAAGTGGACACCGCTCCAGATGTCAGACGGCGAGAAGAGCTCGACCTATCCAATCACACTGGATCCAGGGATACTTAATTCCATGACAAGGCGCGTGTTGTGAAATGTATTCTCTCGAGAAACACATTTGAATCAATGCAGGACTTGGAGTTCGGAATGCGTGTTTGAACCGGGAGTGGATGTCGAAGTAAGGAGTATGGAGCGTGGAATCAGGCCAAGCAAACGGTCTCCACTGTGAGGTCAACGGCATCCCAACGTGGGTCTGACGTGTCGATCGACAGTATGGAAATTCCACATTGAAGATACAAATTGATAACCATCGACCAAATCAACAATACCTCGGATAACCTTGGAATCAAATATCAAGCCGTGTGGCTGGGTCTTATTATTCCGAACGCCAAAGAGGTTCGGGCTGGGCGGCGAGTTCTTCCGACCAAATCCCGCAACCTTGGAAGTACCTCACTTCCCCCAACTTCATCTCCTCATCCTCTCAAATCCGCCACAATGGGTGTCCCTACAGCTTCCAAAGATGCTACTCAGATGAGTCCGCTCAGCCTGTACTCGCGATTTGCTTTTGCAGGCGCGGTCTGTTGTGCAGTCACCCACGGCGCGGCTACTCCTCTTGATGTGTAAGTGGCACCATGAGATCCCGGTTACAACCTTGGAAGCTCATTTACCAATTAATTTCACCAATAGCGTCAAGACTCGCATCCAGTTGGACCCCGTTACCTACAACCGAGGCATGCTAGGTGGCTTCCGCCAGGTCATCCAGAATGAGGGTGCCGGTGCCCTCCTGACAGGATTCGGTCCCACCGCCGCCGGATATTTCCTCCAAGGAGCGTTCAAATTCGGAGGTTATGAATTCTTCAAGCAGCAGTCTATCAATGCTCTCGGCTACGAGACTGCGAAGAACAACCGTACCGCGGTGTACCTTGCCTCCGCCGGCGCGGCCGAATTCTTTGCGGATATCGCCCTGTGCCCCCTGGAGGCCACTCGTATCCGCCTGGTCTCTCAGCCAACATTTGCAAGCGGTCTGATTCCTGCCATGGGCTGCATTATGAGCCAAGAGGGAATAGGTGCTTTCTACTCCGGCTTTGGGCCGATTCTGTTCAAGCAGTAAGCTTTCTATGGCGACCTTTCGCCTATAACATCCCCACTGAAAACTCTCAACAGGGTCCCATACACTATGGCAAAGTTCGTCGTCTTCGAAAAGGTGTCTGAAGCCATTTTGGCCAAGGTCAACAAGGAGACACTCACCGATGGTGCCAAGACCGGTATCAACCTTGGCTCGGGTCTTGTAGCCGGTCTTGCTGCTGCTGTTATCTCCCAGCCTGCTGATACCATGCTTTCCAAAATCAACAAGACCCAAGGTGCTCCAGGTGAGGGTACCGTCAGCCGTTTGATTAAAATTGGAAAAGAGCTTGGCATCCGTGGCTCTTACGGTGGCATTGGTGCTCGTCTGTTCATGGTTGGCTCCATCACCGCTGGTCAGTTTGCCATATATGGTGACATTAAACGTGTTCTTGGTGCTACCGGTGGTGTTGAGATTTCCAAATAGATCGAGGCGCCACCCTGGGCAATCCGATGCCTATGTTTCTCCATTTGATGTGTGATGTATAACAACATGTTCATGAATCCGTTTGTTGTTTTCCTCTTTTCGCTCAAAAAGCATGGTTTCTTAAAATCTGCCAATTACTTCTTATACTCAAGAATACCGCCCCCCCCCCCCCCCCCCCCCCCCCCCCCCCCCCCCCCCCCCCCCCCCCCCCAAGAAATCTAGCCGTAGTGTAATGGTGTACGAAATGATATCGAGATCCGACACTTGGATCATACTGAGCAGATTCGCAACTCACGATTTCATTATGATTGCAAGTACCTCGTTCAACAAAACACAGATCGCTTGTTAAACGAATAGCGGGTTGATTTCCTGAGGCCTCACATCGGTGCACGCATCGTTGAGATCTGACATCACGCAGTTTAGACAGAAAAGAGCTCGCTACAGACCAGTTGACTGAGAATGTCGGCCATTGCAACTGTCTTCCATGTAGAGGATCCCGGGAGCCATACTTCAAGGAAGCCCCCGCATGTCTCGCTGTTCGCTTTGTTGGCAATACTATGGCCCATAATGGAAATCAATTCAAGGATGTTCGCGTCCAGCTCCCCTGTTGACGAGCTTCCATGAATGATAGTCCCCTCAACGAAGGCAATCTCGACGAGACAAAGCTTCTCCTGGTCGAGAATATCACGAAGACCCTTCTTAGTCTGCCTAATATGATCGTCGGGCGGTTTGTCGGAGTTGATGAAGAATACCAGTAGTCGTCGCCTTCTCACCATACCAAATGCATGCAATCGCTGACAGCCCTGGAAGCTTGACGTTTTGGGGGATGTTTGTCAGCGTCTTCGGCCAAAGGTGAGAGACTGCATCCCTCTCAGGCACTGGTTTCCAAGGTTGACTTTTGGACAAATGTACCTAAGCGATTAGCTTTATGTCATTATTTCAAATATCAATTCGAATATGAATTGATATCCATCAAGTGACAGATACTCACCTCTTGGATATAGATTCAGTCAACTGAAAGGGTACTTCTGCGTAAAGCTTTCACGTTACCCGTGGGCTTCAGCATGTCAAAGGGTTGGGGTACAGGGAATGAAAAGAAAGTAAAAAAAGGTTGTCTTGCCAGGAAACGATCCCAGGATCATGGTGAGAGAGAAACAAAAAAAGAAAAGGGACTGGACAGGAGGTCAAGTGAGAGGGGGGCGCTGTGTCGCTCAGGGAAGTGGCGCCTCTGCTGCCCACTCAACTACTCGCCCAATCCCACTCATATAACACCTTGAGTGTCATAAAACCGATGTATTGGAGATCTGAGGAAGCACACACAGCAAGTGTTGGTTAGTAAGTAGTCAAATGTGTCCTACCATAGGCTCAAAACCCGACAGACAGCCCTGGAGGTTTCTTGCCCCATCCATAAATTTCTTCCAGTCCCAGATCCAGGTGGCTGCATTGGCATACTACTGTGTCCTCCCGAGTCTAGAAGAATATATTTCACTGTTGTTTCTCCCTATTCACTCTATAAAGGGCAACTATCTTGCTGGCTGGAACTTTCAGACCTTTGATCCACCTGCATCCCGTGGCTTATATCTCCTGGAGAAACGAAGAGAAACCATGCGAATAGACCGTGTGACACATCTAATTGGTTGAGCTTTCTGGCTAATTCGAAATCCATTATAAGTATAACGGGACAGGTATTGATCACCAAAGACCTTTCAACGAATCAAATCCTCCAAAGTGACATAAAATCGTCGTTCAAATTTCAGAAAACCCGGTCTTACACGGCTTTTCATCCGTATAAAACGCGACCTTTGCGCCATATGAGCGCCACCGGCCAAGTTTTGAGCATCAGGGATAGCTGGTCGACTCACTCAACAACATGTGCTGAGATCCTTGGCGACCCTGGTGAATCATGGCGAATGTATCGCGGACATCACGCACATCTTTCATTGGATTGCACATTGAGAGCCATGCCCAAATACCCAATGGGCCACCCTGATACCGCTTGGGTACACTTGGTCCACTGCCAGCGACTGTAGTGTAGTTGTGGTCATCGACAGGTCCCGAGCGAGAAAGTCGGTAGGGCCCGATACCATAGGCGTAGTGGAACAAACAGGCGATAGGTACCAATTGGAGGCAGATAATCAGAGTCTCGATACCCATGTGGACATCCGCCCAATTCAACTTTGATGTCGTCTCAAGGACAGACGTAGAACGCAGGATAGTGAAGATGATCTATGAGGTGTTAGCCGGACATAGTAGAGGTTTTATTGACGGATTCTTACATTCTCAAGGAATACCAGTCCAACAATGAGCTTGAGGGCAAGAAGCTTTGTGAGAGGCTTGTGCTGCACAATGTGTGTCTTCAGGGCCACGTAAAAGGTGAGGATTGACACTGTAGCAAGGGACACCGAGACAATGCGAATGACGTTGAGCTATCAATTGAAGATTAGCGACGTTCTTTGGAATCCATGGCCTTCACGATGCCACCGGTCCACGGGTATCACTCACCCAAACATGTGCAAAATACGCCTTGTTACTTTCCAGGCAGTACTTGTCTGCAGCCTCGGCAATGCAGGACCCCACTGCGTCGATGAAAGCCACGATAGGGTATTGTAGAACCCCATACCATTTTTTCTGAAATGATAGTAGGTTCAGACAAATGACAAAATGGAAGGATTGGCTGAGGGGCGACGAACCTGGAACCACGCGAGGCCGTTCAAAGGCTTTGAGCTTCCCTTCCCTTTCTTTGGTTGAAGCTTTGCAAAGAAAATCGCGCGTTCCTCCTGCGAAGGACTAATATAGTCACACACCAAGAGGAAGAAGGCACATAAGGCGATGGCTTGGAAGAAGTCCACCCACGCAATAAGATACACATATGCGTTTGGAAAGGCAATTGCGAGGAATGAGAGGATCGCGTACAACGGAAGTAGTGCACAGATTCTCATAATCCTATCAAAAAAAATAAGCTGTTGCGTTCGACTCAGTATCATGAATTTTGTACTCACTTTGTCTGTCGATATGGGTTGCTAAGGTGAGTGGCGTGCATCATCATCAAAATCACAATCACAAGGCAGACAAAAGCCGCGCAGGCCCCGGACAAGATAACATTGAAGGTGTGGAAGCTCATATCTCCAATAAATGGCTCCGATGCATCTTTGACAGTAATCAGTTGAAGCTCTGTCAATCGAGTTTGAAATGAGACTTACCTCCAGAAAGGTCCGTGGGCATTGGACAAGTATGGCTGCTGTCGTCATTACTGTGACTATGACTGTGACTGAGGATCCCCATTTGTGTAAGGATTGGGTGGTCTTTGAGTTGTGTAGGTAGCGGCACTAGTGAAGCGAAGTATAAGGAAGCCACTGGGGAAGTGCTGAAGGTGGGCGATGATTCTGATTCTCAACATCAGCGTAGGGACATGCGGATATTTATGTCAATTCCTCCAATTCTTGAAAAGGCCTGCGCCTCGGACAGACTTATCCACATTGTCATTTTTGATGATTTTCAGCTGAATGATAGCTTCTCACCGTGGAGAAGGAATACAAGCTCGTGCGGCATAAGCCTCCTTAAACAACAAGCTAGTCTGGATTGGGAAAGGTGGCCGCAGATCCCCATCTGTTGGCGAGACATGATTGGTGAGGAGCGGTGGATCCGCGCTAGGCAGTTTGTGGTAATTCTGGCGATTCGAGGCTGTACGCTGACAACCATCCTGACTGCACGTCAATCTTGTCTCGGTGGAGGTTTGGGCATTCCCAGTTCCCGTGTCGCAGGACTTTGATTATTCAAAATAGACCCATTCACGAAATGGCCCCCACCCAGCCGGTCAAGGGCTGCAATGGTTGCAGAAAACTCAAAGTGAAGGTTGTGCCATTGGCAGTCGCAATGAGCGCATAAGCTGATACTCCTCAAGTGCGATCGGACAACTCCGGCCTGCTCAAGATGTGTTAAATCCAGTCGAGAATGCATTTATCCTGATGAGTTTGATGCCGCTCATAGGGACCAGCGCGTTGTCGCAAAGGCCTCTGCCGAAAAGAAGTGGAGACAGAGAGTCGGGAATCCGTCAGCCTCAACTGCACAGCCTGTGATGGACGGCGAGGCAATCTCCGAACACCGTTCCGATGCCCCACATGTAGGGCTGCGCGACTCCTTACATCAGCTAGCATACCAGCGGTTCCGGTATGACTTTGTGATGCCCTCTGGCGTTAACTCGCCCGCCAGGGGGACTTTTTCGAGGCTCGACTCCTTGTATCCCAAGGCACCTGAAGATTCTTGTCTTTATTGCGCGGTAACTGCCGTCTCATGTGCGAACTTCAACGGTAGAGTCAGGTCGGAAGAAGCAAAACATGCCGGTGTGGTTTATTATGGGAAGACGCTACAAAAGCTGGCGGCTTTGATGGCCATGGACCCGGCGAATGTCAACAGCGATGAAATTCTCGTTGTGATATTGGTTCTGGGCCTCTATGAGGTGAGCACTAATCTCAGATAACTTTGGCAACCGAAACTGACTTGCCTGTAGACATTGACCTCGGCGCATCGTGATGGGTTCTGGGTCACACACATGCGCGGTACGCAATCAGTGATCGCCAATAGAGACAACAGCTCAAATGATGGAAATTCTATTGTTGCCTCGCTATGTTTACACTTGGTAAGCTTTGCATTTCATGGCAAGCTTGGGTTGTCTTTCGAGACCATCTCCAAATACCCAGTCGTAAACCGGAAACTAATTCTATCACAGCTTGTCTACCATATTAGTGAGAAAATCACTCCTCCGCCATTCTTCGATCAGTGGCTCGCACAGGTTCCGCGATCTTTTGGTAACAAAATCCAACTGTCCAAGTACATGGTTGAGGTTGCCACATCGTGCGCAAAGTTCAAAAATCATATCGATCTGGATACATCTCCATCGGAGGACCCCGGCCTCCTCGAATCAGCTCTCTCGCTTGATACCCAGCTTCAGCTGTGGGCCTCACACCTGCCTCCCGACCGATCGCCAATCATGCGACAAGTCAACCCAACTGAATACCCGCCATGGGCCGCCGCATTATTTCTCTCACCGGGGGCGCCTAAAACGGTGGAAGTCTTTGCGGACCCTCTGGCTGGCAGCGACTGGAACATGTATCGAGCTGTTCGTATACAGCTAAACCTGTCTATGTTGGATTACCTTGCGGCGCTTTCAAGGTCCAGGAACACAATTGATCTGACGCGCCTCAAATCCCGGGTCTTGGAAAACATATACATTCTCTCCGGCCAAATAGCATGCTCCGTTCCACACTTGCTCTTGATAGCACCAACGGGCACCTCTGAATACCCGAATTCAACAGAAGAGATACGTGGGTTATGGGGCTATCTGGTCATGTGGCCGGTCTCTATCGCCTTTTCGTGCTACAAAAATGAGCAAGTGGAGAACATACAATCACAAAAGCAATGGCTTAGTACTGTGCTACATTTTCTAGCGAACAGTTTGGGATTAGCGAAAGCAGTGGCCTTGTTCAATGTGTACAATTAGAATCACGAAAATAGAAGCTATATTCAATAAACGTATCGGAAGTGTGGGTTCTGTTGACCGGTTAGTGAGAAACTCCTGGGGAATTTGCACTGATTGATTAGAAGAATTCCACTCACCTCGAAATCAGTCAAGTCGGCCATGGTGCTTTCATCAGCAAATGTATCAACTTCATTTCTAGCTGCAGCTGCAGCGTCTCTTTGCTTGTTTCTCCGAATCAACAGCAAGCGCAACAAGACAGCAAGAGCTGCCTGTGCAGATGAGCATGCGAGGATGAGCTTAACTCCAGTCTGGTAAATGGGCGCTTCCTTTGCAAGGAACGCATGTGGCCCAATGATGTTCCCAGCGCAGTATGCCAGAAAGACCAGAGCAACACTGGTAGTTCGCTTTGTGTATCCACCAAGGTTGGTTGCTGGCATCTGCAAAGCCAGTACCAAGGAGCAAACATAGGCACCGATGATGTAGTAGCCAAACAAGACACCAACCTTGTAAGTCGTATGATCCAGCTTCCATAACAAGCTCGCCCCAAGGATAGTAGGCATCAAGTAGACGAACATGACAACAGTTCTGAAATTCTTGAAACGGGAGGCGAGATATGTACCTCCAAGGACATAGAAGATCTGGAATCCACCAAAGGGAATTCCCAACGCAACAGCAGTCGCGGAATTGTCTGTCAACCCTTTGATGATGAGCTTGCCAAAGCTCGCGATTCCGCCATTGACGACCTCATTCAAGAGCGTGAAGAAGAATAAGATCCAAACCTGGGGATCCACCAGAGCTTCGCGGATTTGATGCCATTTGATTTGGTGGTTAATGATACCAGTCTGTCCTAGTCGTCCACGGGCGACCAAGAGGGCTTTTTCATCCAGGCTGAAACGTTTCGATGAAACAACATCGTCAGGGAGGAAGACGAGCATCACAACACCCCAAACGAGGGTAATTCCGCCAAGAATGAGGTAGATAGCTCTCCACACGGCAATGGTATGGATCTGCCCGATTCCATAAGTGAGAATGCCGCCCACCATTGCTCCCAGTCCGTTGCAGCTGTAGAACACACCCGCGCGGAATGGTTGCTGAGCACGCGTGTACCACATTCCGATCATCATCATAAAGCAAGGCGTAATGGGGGCTTCGAAGACACCTAGTAGAAAGCGACAGATTGCCATTCCTGTAAAGGAAGAGCAAGCCGCGGTGATCATGAGCATTGCACCCCAAGCGATGATGTTTCCGGACACGACTTTTGCAAGCTTTGTTTTCTGTGCAAGTATAGCCCATGGGTATTCGGCGACGAGATATGCAAAGTAGAAGATACTGGCGAGCCAGCTGTACTGATCGCTGGACATATTCGTTGAAGGGAGAAGGTCGAACACGGCGGAGTAGGCAAGTGCTGATTTGTCGATATACTGCAACATGTATGTACCGGCGAGTAGAGGTAACAGGACAAGGTCCACTTTGCGGACCAGGGCTTTGTTGCGTGGTTCATCGTCTAGTAGTGTCTGGATGGCTTCTTGATTGAATCCGTGTTGGTGAAGGAAGACCTCTCCTTCATCGAGATCCTTCACGGTGCCAAGTTGCACGTCTTTTTCATCCACAACATCGTCGGATGGCTGTTTCTTGTCGATCTCCATGGCAGTAGGCTAACAGGTAGTCAGAATTGAGTGATTCAGGACAGAGATGACCCCATACACCGAATGGGATACCCCTCAAAGGCTTTTAAGCCGGCCATTCTCCCGTTATCTTTAGGGTTTGGCCACTTTATCATCAGATGCGGAGTATTCGGGGTCATTCCGGCAACTATCGAGGTGAGCACAGCGACTGATACGAAGCCAAGGGGCCTCGAGTCCCACAGAGGCAACTGATGAGGACTAGTGGGAGATAAACACCGACTCCACCCAGATAGTCCCCCGCACGGCATTACTTCGGCGCTACTTCTGACACCCGGAGAGATAACGCCGCCAGCGGTGCTATATCTCGCTGCCGACCCCATCTCTTGGAGTCTCTCGATTCCTTGTCATTGGTTTGTCTCTTCCTCGTGATACACAATGACTGTCGTTGATAAGCCTCCTTCTGTTACTTTGGCGCAAGGCCAAGTGGTGGGGACGAAGCTCAGGGATTCCTTCCCCCAACCTGTCGACGCCTTCTTGGGTGTCCCCTATGCCCTTCCCCCCGTCGGTGATCGTCGCTTCAGGCCTGCCGTTGAAGTTCCGGGCTCATCAGAAACCATTGACGCGTCGAAGTATGGCCCTGCCGCCCCCGGAAAAGCACTTCTCTCTGGCGGCCCGAAGCTCGTGCAGAGTGAAGATTGCTTGACGGCAAACATTTTCAGACCAACGGATCGCAAAGAGGAAGAGAAGCTCCCAGTCGCAGTTTATATTCATGGGGGTGCTTTCAATCGAGGATCGGCAGCTATGCACAGCACTGCCTCTATGGTAGCGTGGTCCGAGAAACCCTTCATTGCCGTGAGCTTTGGCTATCGAATTGGAGCTCTTGGATTCCTTCCTTCAAGTCTATCTCAGAAGGAGGGGTTGCTGAATCTTGGATTGCGTGATCAAATTCACCTGCTGCAGTGGGTCCAAAACAACATCACCAAATTCGGCGGTGATCCCACCAATGTCACTTTGTTCGGTCTTTCTGCGGGCGCACACTCGGTAAGATTGGCAGTTCGTGACTTCTAGTGCTCAGTTCTAACTCACTCCTAGATTGGCCACCACCTTCTCAATTACGATGAACACCAATCACCATTATTCCACAGAGTCATCATCGAATCAGGGGCGCCTACTTCTCGCGCCGTTCGCCCATACAATGCTAAAGTCCATGAGGAGCAATTCGCCGACTTTCTGAAGGAGGTTGGCTGTCCACCCGACTTGCCCGAAGCCGAAATCTTCCCTTTCCTTCGATCGCTTCCTAGCCTGACCGTTACAAATGCCCAAACGGCGGTTTTCGACAAATACAACCCTTCCCTCCGCTGGGCCTTCCAACCCGTGATTGATGGGGATCTGATCTCCCGTAAGCCTTTGGAGGCATGGGAATCAAAAATCTGGAACAAAGTCCCTATCATGACTGGATTCAATGGGAACGAGGGAACCATGTATGTGGATAAAAATATGTCAGAGGCTTCCCAGTTCCGCGACTTCTGGCACAAGCTCCTTCCAGAGCTCTCATCCTCTGACCTGGACACGATCGAGAGTCTTTATCCGGACCCTTCTCTTGTCCCAACGTCACCATATGTTGAGACCAGGGTAAATGAGGGCCTCGGTCCACAATACAAGCGCATCGAGGCTGCCTATGGCCACTATGCCTACGTGGCACCGGTTCGACAAACAGCTCATTTTGCCTCATCACAAGGCGCCCCTGTTTATCTTTATCACTGGGCACTGCCGAGGACCGTTGTTGGCCGAGCAAACCACGGCGACAACATGTACTATGAGACTTACAACTCTGGCATTACGGAGATTTCTGAATCTCAAAAGGAACTTTCTGGAACTCTTCATGCTTATCTGACAAGTTTCATTACAACTGGTGACCCCAATTCCAGCTCCGGTCGAGGTGGGCAATATGAACAACGGCCCGCATGGCAGCCTTATCAGCCGGAAGACAGAAAGGTTATGATATTCGGAGAAGGAAACGAGGAGCTCATTGGAGGTGACACTGCACCCCCTGCTAAGTGTGTCGCAGATGATTGGGCGAAGGAAGAGACTGAGTTCTGGTGGTCGAAGGTGCCAATCTCTCAACTTGCTTGATGAAAGTCGGCTACAATACATATTTATACTTCAACTAAGGATATCTATTGAATGATTCTGTGCAAATTATAGGCTTCATCGCTTCAGTTCTGTACTGATTCGAAACTATGTACAGATTATTGCACGTTCTCTGCCTCGTCGTCATGGAAGATAGTCGTGCCCCAATTAGGGCGATTGAATCGCTTCGCGCCGAGTGTCTCTACCAGTCCATCGATCTTCGCAACTTCCTGGTCGTTCATCACAAAACACTTGTTGAGATTTCCTTCAATCCGAGCAACATTCACGCTCTTCGGAATGACACTCCACCCCTTTCGGACTCCCCAGCTGAGCAGCACATTTCCAGAGCTGCACGCTCTCTGATCCGCAATCTCATTGACGACGGGGTTATCGTGAAGAGTACTACCACTTCCCCCAAGAGGTCCGAACGCGGTTTGATGCACGCCACGCTGAGTACACAGTGCGTTCAACCGCTTCTGGGGGAGCAAGGGTTGGATTTCCGTTTGATTGACCGCGGGTACAATTTTGCAGTTTTGCAGCAGCTTCTCGAGATTGACGGTTGAAAAGTTCGCCACACCGATCGCACGTACTTTCCCAGTCTCTAGAAGCTTCTCCATCTCCCGCCAGGTATCGGTGAAGTCCCAGTCAGGGTCATGGGCCGTACGATCTTCTTTGCCATATGTCTCTGGGGATGCGGTCGGGAGGGTAACAGGCCAATGCATGAGGTAAAGATCAACATAGTCGAGTTGGAGATCGTTGAGGGATTTTTGTAAAGCAGAGGGAATGCGACGGTGGTCAGAGGACCAGCTGGAGCCATGTCAGTCAGGTGGGTCATGTAGCTTTTCGATTTGCCTTACAGCTTTGTAGTGACGAAGTAATCCTCTCTCGGGATATTTGTTGTCTTGAATATCTCGCCAATCTCTGCTTCATTTCCATCTGCATGCCGTTAGTTTCTTCACGGGCCTCCTCGCCATCAATGCGGCATTCAAACTGACAGAGCGGGGCGCAATCCTAATAGTCTCACAGTCAATACACTTTGGTTCAGAGACGGGCGATCAGCATGGAATGATTCATACAAAATGCCTGTAACCAGCTTCAAAAGCCGCCCTCACAGCGGCGGCCGCCTCGCCAGGACCAGCTTTCCATGTCCCAAAGCCAATCGCCGGGACTTTGGCTCCTGTGTTCAATGTAAACGATTTATTCTGTAGCTCCGACATTCCCAAAGATAAGTGATGAGACAAGCTATCAACATTCTGAGACCTAGAAAGCTTTATCAAGCTGTCGCGGGGTATCTTCGGCTGTGAGAGCTCCCCGCTATACTTTGGGTGCCGGAGGGAAAGCCGCTGGGGCGCATCTCGCCCTCCGAGACACCGGACCTATGCCGAAACTACAATTGCCAAGAATTATCAAGCTCAACGAAGGAAGATCGCTACCAAATTGTCATTTCTCATATAAGCTTACTAGACTGATCATACCCCGCGTTTCTCAACCTAGGCCGTCTCAACGTGCTCCACACGGTGGGTCTTGTCGCTGTCGTCCAATGCTGGAGGCTTTCCCGTCAGAATGTCCTCTCGGACATCGCGCCTCACTTTCTCTTCTTCTGTGGGGTATGCGTGTTTCCACATGGTCCATAATGGTCGCTCGAATAAATCATCCATACTCTCCATCGAGCGGCCTTTCATCTCTGGCAAGCAGAAATAGATGAATATGACACCCGAATATGTTAGCATAGCATACAGGAGGAATGTGCCCCATCCCATTTCTGTAATCATGTTAGGTGTAGCACGTGTGATTCCGTAGTCCACAATCCAATTAACGAAGAAGCAAATGGACATGCAGAAAGATCGCTAGATATTGTCAGAACGGCTGCCGTATGGCTTTTGGGGGATGAGATACTCACGATTCTGGTGGGGAACACCTCAGCTGCTACCACGTAGCAGGCAACAGAATGTCCAAACGACCATCCAAAGGCGTAGACATAAATGAAGATAATACCAACGATCCCGCCAGCGGGTGTACCGTTTCCAGGGCTGCTTGTGCTCGCTCCCGCAAAGCGAAGGTAGAGGGCAAGGTATAGCATGGATGTGGCTTGTAGAGTAGCCCCGACCAACAGAGGAAGCCGACGACCGATGCGATCGACTAGATATCCTACATATAGAAGTGACACGGCAGTTTTCACAACACCGTAGACACCAGTGGTGAGAAGACTGGTAGAGCCGCCTTTGACGCCGATCATCTCGAAGATCTCCGGGGCATAGTACTGTTTTCAAGTTAGCACGTATCCCAATGTATCCAAGCCAGCAATATACTCACATTCAAAGAGTCGGTACCGGTAAACTTGTGAAATAGAAACAGCATGATGCAAAGGAAGAAGCGTTGGAAGTTGCTTCGCGTCGAGAAGACATCTTTGAGCACTACCCAGTAGTTGTGGCCTTGGAATGCCTCCTGCTCATGGCGGACCTGAGCCATGATCTCACGGTATTCCGTTTGAACGTATTCATGATCTGCGGGAAGCTTTCGCAGCTTGCAAATATTTTTGAGTCCTTCCTCGGTCTTGCCATGATTGATCAAGTACCGGGGTGTTTCTGGAACAAAGGGAATCATCAAACACAGAAGCCCACCCGGGATGATTTGAATGCCCATTGCTGTTCTCCACTGCATGTCATCATACTCAACTCCAGGGAATGACCACTTTGCGACGCCGTAATTCACCCAGAAAGCCAACATCAGAGATGTCACAATCATCAGGTTGTATGTAGCAGTCATCGATCCTCGAACTGACTTTGGCGAGTTTTCCGCGAGGAACTGGGGTGTGAGCATGGATGATGCACCAACACCCATGCCAGCGATGAATCGGCCAGCGAGGAGCACATCATAGTCCGCAACCATCTGCATCGCGGCACCGATGACGAATATGAGACCCCAGCCGAATACTGACCATTTTCGGCCGATGTAATCAGATGTAGGGGCGGCGAGTAAAGCACCAGCTGAACCGCCCGCGGCGAGCATGGAGGCGATGGTTCCCTGTCTAGCGTTAAAAATATAGTTTCAGAGACGATGAGTTTAACTCGAACCTTTCTGTTATCTTGCTCCGCCTGGGGGACATCGTTCAGGCCAAAGGCATTCTTGAAAGAGGGAAGTGTGAGGATTCCGCCAATGTTTCCAGTATCAAATCCATAGAAGGATCCTCCCCAGGCGACTGCGACAAGGAGGTAGAGAAGTCTGAGATTGAATATCTCTCGCGGATCAGTCTTTGCTTCACTGCTGATCCAAATGCTGGTTCCTCCAGCCATGTTGCGCAGGTTGAGAGGTGAGTGTCAAGAAGGTGATTAGATATATCCAGACTCTCAGTGGGTCGACGGCGGAGGGTGTCAATATATAGACTAAGGCAAACCGTAATTGGGTATGACCATGGCATGGCATGTCTCACCAAAACATATGCATGCCCAGACCGGTAGTTGAAAAACCCCATGGGGAAGTGGGGAGGTGGAGCGAGCATGACGATCAGACAACCGGATTGCTCTCCGGAGTGTTGCATGGATCTCGGTGGGAAAACCGCACAATGGCAGTGGACAGGCATTTGGCGATTTCGAGCTTAACGCAAGCTAGTCGATAAGATAAGAGTCATAAATTGGAGAAGCTGCGGGACTCTTGTTCATCTTTCAACTTCATCTCCTCAACGACAGTCATGGCTACCACGACTACCACCATCCAAGAAGCGCCTGACTTCAACCCATCTCTTCGGGCTTCCTCGAGCAGGCCGTATAGCTACAAAGAAGCTTTCATTCCAGCACTCACCACGCAATGCCATGCTTCCAACCTCCTCCAACTCCCCAACGGCGATCTCCTCTGTGCCTGGTTCGGTGGAAGCATTGAAGGGAGGCCCGACATCTGCATTTACATGTCTCGCCTTCCGGTTGGGCAAAGTGTTTGGCCAGATGCAGTGAAGATGACGCATGACCATACGCGCAGCGAGCAGAACCCTGTTCTGTTCCGCAATCCTTCGAACGGGGAAGTCCGTCTTCTATACACCTCACAAAATGCCGGAAATCAAGACTCGGCGATTGTGAAACAATTGATCTCGGCCGATGGGGGAGTCAATTGGTCTGATCCAACTGTTCTTTTCAGCGATGCCGGAACCTTCATTCGCCAACCCATTGTTGTCCTTCAGGATCGCTCTTGGGTAGTTCCCATCTTCAAATGCCGTGCTGAGCCTGGGACCCGATGGTTGGGAAGTGATGACATCTCCTGCATTCGAATTTCCAAAGACGAAGGGAAAACTTGGACCGAGAGGGAGATTCCAAACAGTTTCGGATGTGTACACATGAATATCCAGCGGCTGAAGAACGGCACATACCTCGGACTCTACCGGAGCCGATGGGCCGACCGTGTCTATTTATCAACTTCCCCGGACGGACTGGACTGGACGGAGCCCAAACCGACAATTCTTCCAAATCCGAACGCGGGTATCTGTTTTGATGTCCTTCCCTCCGGGCGCGTGGTTTTGGTGTACAATCACTCTTCGAAAGAGGATGCAATCGGTCGTCGAGATGGTTTGTACGATGATATCAGTGATGGAACTGATACAAGAGCCAACCAAGCCACGAAGCATGGTAAAGAAGCTTTCTGGGGTGCCCCTAGGGCCCCTCTTTGTGTTGCTTGGAGTGACGATGATGGTGCGACTTGGAAGTGGAAGGCGTTGGAAGAGGGAGACGGATATTGCTTGACCAATGACAGCGAAAAGAAGCGCAACAGGGAATTATCCTATCCCAGTATTCTGGCGGAAGAGAGTGGCATTATTCATGTCGCGTTCACATTTTGGAGGCAGAGGATCAAGTATATGCAGCTGAGAGAAGACTTCTTCAAATAGGACTCGGAAAGAAAATCAAGATTGTTTTGAATTTCTGCATGTCTAAGTGTATTTTCTTTCCCAATAAACCTCATAAAGTAAATCGTCAGTCTCCCAAATCCTCCAAGGTTGCCAATGCCGAGGTTTAGGCCGAGGAACAACAGAAGCGAAAAAATAAAAATAAAACAAACAACAGTCTTAGAATGACGAACAAACGCTGTGCTGAATACCCTGGATAATTGACGCTCAGAGATATAACACCATGCTTCTCAAAAATGCGACTCCAAGCCCATGCTTTCCCATTTCAAAGTGACTCCAATAAGTTCCAAGATGCAGCTGTTTTGCGACCGTGCATCAAAACGGCAATAAAAGTCAGAGTAACCCTGCGGTCTGAAAAGACGGCACCGCATAGCTTTGCTGGCTGTCAGGGACACATGCATGACCAGACCATCTGCGGATATTATCTCGCCAGTGCCTCAGGTAGCGCAGGGGGAAGAGATAAAAGATGCGCCCCAGAAGGTTGACTTGACGCGACCTGAAGGTGGATATTACGCATCAGTGCAGGAAATCTGACGCTAGAATGGGACACTTGGTAGAAAAGCGCCTCTATCATTTCATTCTGGCGCCTGTTGTCATTTTCGATGCGGTCGGTCGCGGACCTGATAGATGGCTATACGTTAGCTCCAGCGCTTGGTATGCGGCTGACAACGGGAAGATGCCCACCATATACAAGTGCTCAACATCATATTGATTGCAGCGGTGTGGGTCTCGAGCTTTTGCCGGTACCGCGTCAATGACTCCCCTCTGAGGTCCCACATGAACCTCCGCCATTCTGATTTGAACCTGACCCATCGAGAGGCACCGGGATGGTCCGAGCTCTGAGCTGAAGTGGGGTCTTGGATAGTGTCACGGTATTTTAGTGTCGTTTTTTCAAGATCTTCGAGGACTTGACGGCACGAGTGTACCATGAAGCTCAGATGTTGTTGTAAATTGATGGCACCGGGGATACCATTGATGTTTTGAGACGAAATGCCCGCCGCAACCTCTCGAAGATGACTCAGTGAACAATTCAGTGCCAGAAGTACCTAGGTACACTTTCAAGTTCTCTGAGATCACGTGATGCCTCTCTCCGGCCAATCGTCGCAGCAGCAAGTAGTCGGTAGGCTATCTGGGAACAGATGACAATGTCGCCAAGCGAAAGGCTGGCCATGGTACCTATTATTAGGTACCTAGGTACTCCGTATGAATGTCAGAGATACCTAGTAGGTAGAACTAGGTAGATAGGTAAAGAAATTTGGGCGGTTTCTTCGTGATTTATTTAAAAAAATCTCCGGGTATGTAGATATATATATCGATTTAGGTATGGATCTATACAGAGTGCGAATTCCAACCTTGGAATATATACCTGTAGTTATACGTAGGGTGGATCCATGGATGACTCCAGGGCTCAATGTCCACGGTCTGCGGGGGTGAACTCGAAAAAATCGCCTAAAGGGGCTGTGCAAAGTCACGGGTGGATCCCGACTTTCGCGTAGGTGGCGTCCAATGGACCCAATACTTACACCCGTGGACCAGGCATGACCATTTGGACCAATCATATAACGCCGCATTAATATCAGCCCTGCAGATCCAACCTTGGAAGTTGGAACCCGTTGGACTCAATCGCTCCCGAGTCACTGCCAATTTGAAGGCTCCATCGAAGATTGTGATTGGCAAGCGGAATTGGATATCAAGACCCATGGCCAGGTGGACTCTTCCAAGCCCATAATACCTCATGCCCATAGCTACTCCGGTAGTACAGTATAGGTGGAATAGATATACCTAGGTACCATCCGACTTTGAATCCTCGGTTTCTCTCTCAATCTAAATTCAACTTTTGCATCTTCAACCTCCTCATGGGGGATGTTCACAAGTCATTATCTAGGTATCAACTGTCCCCCGACCCAGTTCGCACGATCTCGATTCATGACTTTAACCTTGAAGAATCCCAACAGAGTCTATTGATCTCTTGGTCTGGTGACTTGATTTAAACTTGTGCTCAATTGCTACTACTAGGTCAAAGATGAAGCATGCTAATCGCATCACTGACAATGAAAATGCAGCAAAGGTGGTTGTACCTTGGTACTAGAGATCCCGAAGGCTGAGTGCCCCCAGATAGTCAATACCTCTGGAGACAAGCGAAGGAGTACTTTAGTCTTAAACACTGAGTGTCCAACTGGGCCTCCTCCCCTCCCCTCTGTGATCCGTGGGTGGGCCTTCGATACTCCAGTGGTAGAGTGGAATATAAGATCTTTGGGATTCTTGGATCTAGAGGGGAGTACTCGGATACAATAGCTTAGAGTGATGGCTTGGATCTGGCAGTGATGATAGGTGGAGTGAGTCTGAGGGTATGGATGGATACAGAGGTAATGATAATTGTAGGGTAGTCTGTATACCTAAGTCAAACTCTAATTACCTGAGTACAAATGTAATACATAGGTATACTGGAAAACGTAGAATACCAATGCTATAATACATAGTAGAATTAAATACGAAGGAGCAGAGGGGGGGGGGGGGTAGCAGAGACGGGTATGTTCCTAACAATGAAACTCCAAGGCCCTCTTCCTCCTATATTCCAAGTCACTCCGACCCATGCCAATACACTGCTGGCTTTGCAACCGTGTTTCAAGATAAGAATACGGTTCAGGACAACGGTGCAGTCCAAAAAGACAGCGCCCGTGGACTGCATGACTTTGGTGGCTGTCAGGGTATATGCATCCATCGTCATGACTATACCTTGCCACTGGCTCAGGTAGCGCGGGGGATAGATAAATGATGCGATCCCGAAAGATAACTAGATGCAACTTGAAGGTGCCCATTATGCGCCAATGCAGATTACCGTTGGTGTCGAGATTTTGACAAAGCATCGTCTCTATCCTTGATTCCGGCGCCAATTTTCTTTCTGTATGGAACCCGTCGCAGACCTGAAGAATAGTCAGATGATTGAACCAGTTTTGCGCACCGTGGAAATATGTACGGTATTGGACTCACCATAGATAGACAAGGGCCCAACATCAAATCTATTGCAGCGGTGTGGGTCTCGAGCGTTTGCCGGTGGCGCGTCAATGACTGTCCCACACGAACATCTGCCATTGTGATCTGAACTTGACCAATTGAGACGTGGAATTACAGGCATCATCTCAGCTCTGAGCTGAACCTTCGAGTGGAGCCTTCGGTCTACTCTAGCTCGTGTGTGTTGGTGTTTGCCTTGGGCATTGCCTCGTTGGCAGCAAGCTCCGCTCGCGGCTCATCCGCCGCCAACTCGTGCTTCTGCCCATCCGTTCCAAGCTCCGGTAACATTGGCCCCATATCACTGACTCTTGTGGGGTCTCGCTGCTTGCGTTTGCGTCGATAGAAGAAGTAGCCAGCGGCCACAAGCAAAATTATGAAAATTGCGACTCCGACCCCGGCCCCGACCCCGACCGCGAGCTTAGCGTCTTTAGAAGGACCATTGCTGAGTCTGGCGCTTGCTGTCTCGGATGATGCGGCTGTTGCAGATGATGAACTGTGCAAATCTGGCCCACTCGAAGTCGAAGTGAGATAGCCTAGGTCCGCTGTGCTAGTTACATGAACGACGGTCGTTCTTGCATTAATACTGGATAAAACAGTCGTCTCAGGGGCTGAGGTGGTAGTTGGTTCGGACGTAGTGGTTTTCTCGGTTGTGGAACTCGTAGTGGTAGCAATAGAGGTATCGGTTGTCTCAGTGGAAGCAGAAGTGGCCGCGGCCGCGGCAGCAGCATCAGCAGCGGTCGCAGCTGGGACAACAGCGCTCGTCGACATGTTCACTAAAACCAGGAACCGAAGGATGATAGGAGGCGAAGAGGGGGAAATCACTCCATACTCCGTAGATAAGTAGACTGCGGTCCGACTAGGAGCATAAAAGGGAAAAGTCCTTATGACCGAAAGATCTAGGGGCCAAAAGAGTAAGGAGAGATTGATGGGAAAAAGCAATCTCTGCCCTCTTGTGGTTAGAGGACTTGGCGTGGTCAAACTGTCCAATTGTTCGCGTGGTCTCGCACGCCCAGGTGCACCTGCATGGCCCTAAAATAGGGTGGCATAATATTGGAATCTGGTGGCTCCAGTGAAAACAGTTGATGACCTTGATAGTCACTTATAGTCTTTGGCAGAGAGATATGAGAGGCATTCGTCAAGGCCTCGAACCTCGGAAGGACGGAGGTCCAGTAAAAGTTGATGTTGTTGTTTTTAATATAATTTTCCATATCCATGTCCAGCCCCGCAGGGTGCCCAGGTGGAGTTCACTGTGTGTTTCTAAAACGTACGTACTAGGTATTGGGGTTTCCTACTATGTATCCATGAATTGATTGTGGTATTACATAGGAATGAGCTTTGTATCGGAAATGAAATTCCCAACTAGCAGGTGTGGAAGGCCGGATTTATACCTGTGCATACATCATGGGATCAATGTATCGAATATTTATTGTAATTGATTCTTGAGGCCAAGCATTGCTATGATAGTAATAGTAACGCACGGTAAGTGGAAACATGCGGCTACTGGGTCCACCATTTCAAATGTTGGTGGGTTCCTCAATACACCGATTAGGGAAGGTTATGTGCACTTGAGTTCATGAAAGTTTCCATTATATCAGATTTCTTAGCGACCTCGGGTCTAAACTGAAGGGGCATCAGGCAGAGATTGCTCCACCTTTTCCAAATGCTGCATCACTTGGACCACCCAAGCTGACTTTTCTTCTCCGCACGGTGCATATGGCTTTCGAGGCCAGAAAGTCTTTGCATCAGTGAAACCAGCGGCAGGGCCAGCAAAATGAGCAGCACCGAACTTGGTGGGTGCTATGCCCTCCTTGCAAGCCTTCTCAGCCTGAGCCACCAGACCCTGTAGCTCTCTCGCCTCCTTGGTCTTCCCTTGGTTCCATAGCGCGTAGAGTTGTGCAACACACTTGGGGAATACATTTGCAATTCCCGTCACGCAGCCAACCCCACCACCAGCAAGGCAGGGAATAAGCCAATCTGAAGAACCAGCGTAGACTGCGAACTGTTCATGGCTATACTCCTCAGTAAGTCGAGTGACCTTTCCAGCATTCCCACATGTCAACTTGACTCCGACAATGTTGGGGTGATGTGCAAGTTCGGACATTGTATCGGAGTTCATATCGATACCGTTGCACATAGCGGGGAACTGTCAAAGGTCAGACTTATTACAGTTGTTTGACTCAAGGTATCTTACACTGTAAATGACGACTGGAAGTCTGGTAGAGTCTGCGACGTCTCGATAGAATCCCAAAATCACGTCTTTTGTCACTGCCTTGGCCCAGTAGCTTGGGGGTAGCAGCAACCCGAAGCTGGCACCCGCCTCGAGCGCATCATCTGCCAATTGGATTGACTCATTGGTAGATTGTCCACTGATTCCAGCAACAATGGGGAACCGTGGACGACCGAGATCAACTGCTGCTCTTCTCGCCACTTTCACTAGCTCTTTGCGCTCCTCGGCAGACAACAAAACCGCTTCGGCTGTGGTTCCAGCGAGGACGAGGCCGTCGACGCCCCCGCGGATTAAATGTGAGAAGAACTTGTATGATGCATCATAGTCGACTTCCTGACGCGCAGTCGGCTTATAGAGAGAAATCACAGGACAATAAATTCCTGGAGGGATGGGTGTTGATTTCGATGCGATAGTCGACGTCATTATGGGGGTGATTTCTGAGGCTCAAACAAAGGAGGGCTGAGACTGAACAGCCATTGCTCTCAGCCTTATACTTTGGTAGGGATATCACGACCGGGGGACCCTCTTTGCATAGGTCGGCGAGAGTCCGAGATTCGCAAAGTATCCGGACCGGACTATTTTCCCCCGATGAGGGGGAAACGGGTGGTCCCAATGAAGCTCATCGCAGTGGGGAAAAGCGAGAGAATGGGCTGATCTGCATTTGCCGACCCCAGAGAGGAAGAGACACCTTTCGGCGAATAAGGAGGGCGTTATTTCACTAGACCGGGGTAGAGCTTTCCCCGCTTTTCTGTTAAAAGCCCTCGGGGTGGTCACCGGTGTCAGTTGCATCCTTGACCGTTCGATCTGTGATTGTTTCTGACAGAATGGTGAAGCGCAAGCGGAACTGGACCGACGAGGAGTCGGAAACCTTGCCGTCTGCACACAATGCGTCCGACCCCAAGGAGCCTGCAGTGCTGGATGTTTTGCCGGGGATTACCCGAAAGATCACTGCTTGCGGGGCATGCAGGAAACAGAAGGTGTGTCATTGAATTACATGCGAGTTGGTTGGATGAAGCTGATGAGCTCAGATCAAATGTGACATGAGCAATGGACCGCCTTGTACGCGGTGTCGTCGTCGCGACTTGTCTTGTGTTTTGAACAAGAGCCTCCAGTCATTAGTTGAAGAAGTGAAGTGAGTCAACTCTTGCCGTATTTCAATAATGAGCATACATTTATGAGGCAACAGGAATACCGAAGTCTTGCAGAGCGACATATCGGGCATACACGAGACCTTGGACAACATATGTCAACATCTCAACCTTCCACGACCTAAAGCCCTCCTATCTGCTGGCGAAGGCACAGAGCCCGACGACAAAGGTGGGAGAAATGACGACCTAGACCGAGACAATGAGGACTTAGATGGCTGCGAGATCTCCCCACCCGATACCCCATCTGCAGTCCAAGCTCCAATCGATACGTACCTAGACATCGCCAAGTTAGGAAGTCCAGGGTCATCCGAAAACACACCACCAAGTACAACAAGGCACAGACAGAATTCAACACCACAAGATCTCATCAGCAAAGGAGTCATCAGCATTGTGGTAGCCGAGAATTTGATAGAGAGATATTTTGCCCGTCTAGACCCATACCTATATGGCATATGCAGTGGATATCAAAGCCTGCAGCAGATCCGAGCCACGTCTCCCGTCCTTCTTGCTGCAATATGCACTGTCTCAGCTCTACAGGACCCCGAGGGTCAGCGCACATACGAAGCCTGCAATCGCGAGTTCCGTCGGCTTGTGTCCAGATCCCTTTTCGAGAAGCACGACCTAGAGCATGTTCGGGCGCTATGCATTAGCTCTTTCTGGCTCTCAGATGCATCGAGGATTTTGTCTAGCGATGCTATTCGACGAGCGGCAGACATGCGTTTGCATCGCAGCTTCGAACATCTTTCAGTCCCAATGGATCCTCGCTTGATTATGGGAAGTCAATTGGCGCCCCAACCTGTGCATGACGCGATTGCTCTGCAAGACCGTGTAAGGCTCTGGTACCTTACCTTCATATCTGATCAACATCTCTCGATTCTCCATAATCGAGACCCACTACTGCGCAGTGACAAAGAGATTGCGCTGAGCTGGGAGACTTTCCTTGCTCGCGAAGACACAACAGACTGTGATGTTCGCATTATATCACAAGTCGCCCTTCTGGTCATCATGAGTCAAGTGCGAGATCTTCTTGGATCCGACCAAGGAACCCGCGTCCCGCAGTCTTTATCAAACCAGATCATTCACTATTCTCGGCAGTTGGATCGTTGGTTCACCAAGTTTTCTGCTCTATTCAAGCCCGATCCATATATCGGTGACTTCCCCAAGCGCGGCTTACAACTGCACTATCATTTTGGGAAACTATATCTCGGTCACCAAGTGTTCAAAGGCTTGAACGGCGAGATGATACCGCCTCACTTCCTGACTGCAGCCGGTATGGCTCACGAGGCTGCTGTGGCAATCTTCGAGATGATCTTACATGAAGATTTGCAGAAGAGTCTCATTGGCATGCCGCACTACTTCCACATCATGATCGCTTTCGCAGGTCACTTTTTGCTAGAAGTGACACAGAATTACCACACGCAGTTATCAATCGCCCCAAACCAGAACTTTGAGTTGATCCAGAAGGTACTGGAATTATTCCAGGACATTCCCGCTGTCCAGCAGCATCCCATTTGCAGAATGACACCCGGGCTGACTCGGAAACTGCGCGAATGTGTGGGTACTTTGCAAGGGGATGGTAGACATGCATTCCAGCCGCTGGGGCAGAACAGACCTATGGATTATCCCGCCAATTCTCTGCAGCTGCAACCAGCTTCGGGTGGCTTTTCCTTCTCGGAAGAGTCGCTCGTTACCTCTGCGGATGACTTTTTGCTCGCCGACTTTGGAGAATTCACCTTTCCGGGAATGATGTCAAACGGAATGGCTTGATGTATCTTATGCTAGAATTCATAGAATGTGAAACATGAGACCATGGTTTTCAATCCCAGGGGAATGGGTTCTATTGTAAGCCGATGTGTAAAAATCCCAAGAGTGAGCCTCCCTGTGTGTAACCTTAGATCAATTGAGGCCCGTGAAAATAGGCCCGGAGAGCTCGCCGAGCGGGCGCTACTGCTTGGCGGGGCAGCGCCGGGGCTGCAGCAGTTATAATCCATCCCCAAGCCAACAGACCGCGCTTCGTGACAAATCTTGAATACACGCATTCAACCAACTCAGCATGGCAAGCTCCACTCCATCTGCAGCCATCGAAAAATCACGACAGTCGAATTCATCAAAAATGGAATACCAACGCCTTGGCAACAGCGGCCTCAAGGTCTCTCGAATCATCCTCGGCTGCATGACATACGGCAACCCAAGCTGGGAAGGCTCACCATGGGTCCTAAGCGAAGATGAATCCCTACCACTCATCAAAAAGGCTTACGATGTTGGAATCAACACCTTCGACACAGCCAACACATACTCGAACGGAGTTTCTGAAACGATTCTCGGAAAGGCGCTAGCCAAGTATTCAATTCCACGAAGCCGGGTAGTTATAATGACGAAGCTCTACTATCCCGTTCTCGAAGATGATCTGGACGCACGACCAAGTCCGGCAGTTAATGATGGGCGTCTCGTTAATCAAATGGGATTGAGTCGGAAGCATATATTCGACGCCGTTGAGGGATCGCTGCGCCGTTTAAACACGGATCATATCGATGTACTTCAGATCCATCGGTTGGATTCTGACACGTCTCCTGAAGAGATCATGCGAGCTCTCCATGATTTGGTTCAGATGGGGAAAGTGCGGTATCTGGGTGCTTCGAGTATGCACTGTTGGGAGTTTGCGCGTTTACAGTACACCGCGAAAATGAATCGGTGGACACCGTTTGTTAGTATGCAGGGATTGTACAATTTGCTTTACCGGGAGGAGGAAAGGGAGATGAATCCCTTCTGTGCGGCTGAAGGTGTTGGGTTGATTCCGTGGAGCCCTTTGGCGAGAGGATTGCTGGCTAGGCCTTGGAAGGAGAAGTCAAGTCGAGCAGAGCAAGATCAGAAGACTAAGAAATGGTTTGTGGGGGATCAGAATGAGGAGATCGTCACGAGAGTTGAGGAGCTGGCCAGGAGGAAGGGCTGTGAGATGGGCGCTGTTGCAATGGCCTGGCTGTTGAGCAAGGGCGCATGTCCAATTGTTGGGTTGAATAGTGAAGCTAGGATCGAGCAGGCCCTGGAGGCGTTTGATGTAGTTTTGTCGAAGGAGGAAGTGGAGATGTTGGAGGATCCATATCGACCACTTGCTGTTCAAGCTATCTAGCTTTCAATTTGACCAAGCGAAGCAGGGTTTCAACGGCGAAATTGTATACGAGCATGGAGTGGATTAGATCGCCATAGAATGTCGATTGAGTGTAGCCCGCATATCGCGAGACACATCCTTGAATTCAACTATGTGAACTATCTGCGAGATGAAGCGCATGGGCTAACTGCAGCCCGACCAGAAGGCCATCTGTTGTACTGGAGGAGGCATGCGAGACCATGGAGAGATGCAACATAAGGAAACCAAAGATCAGGGAGGTACGCCGTTCAAAAGAAAGAAGGAGAAAGAGAAAAGAGGGCCCAGTTCGGAGACGAAGGAGAGAAGAGGAAAGAGGAAGGGGCGTCTAATCTAGCTGCTGTGAAAGCAACGCAAAAGACAAGGAGAAGAACGAACCAACCTTTTGCTTTGAGAGCAGGGGGACGTTCACTGTTGAGAAAGATGGATCACAGCCTCATGGAGTTAATGTTCGGTGTGTGGAAAGTGCAACTGCAATATTACATGTAAAATCCGGCGCGTGTTTTCGAATAGGTCGGGCGTTGTACTATGATGGGTTTGATGATGGGGGCCAGCCCCGGCGGGAAGGGGAAATTGGTTTAGGCGGGGGTTGCGGATGTCAGTTGACGTTTGGCAGCTCCTTCGGAGGATCCCTGAGAATGGAAGTTGGAATTAGTAATTCTCACTTGTTGAGATCCGGGGTGATATTTGTAGATCGATCGATCGCGGGTTCCCGGGTTAACGTGTTGCGGTATTAGGCCGATTTCGATCTCTTTAGTGAACTTACGTCCAACTCGCCGATGCTGCGTTTCTGGCCGGCTGTCTCTGATCTCTTGATCACCTTCTTCTTGGGCCGCGAGGGCTTGGTCTCACCAGGTTCGAAAACATCTTCTGGGAGGTCAAAGCTGTATGATGTTAGCAATTTCCAGTGGGAATGTTGTGGCTCGCGGGGGCCATACTTGCGAACGTGGACTACGGCGAGCTCCATGACTTCTTCTTGGAATCCCGCCCATGCTGTACATTGGGATTTGAATAGCTGGGAGTCGCTTGAGATATCCAGTGATCTCGATTGGCCTTTGAGAAGAGAGGTTAGATTGTCCATGGAAAGTGTCTTGGTATATTTACCGGGCTCCAATGGCTTGAGCTCCAAGCCGATGTAGTATGTAGTTGTGTAGACAGTCTGTCCATCATTTTCAGGGTTGGCCTGCGCTGGTTGCGGTACCTCGGCATTTTCGAGGGTGTTCTGAATTGCAGCTTGGTGGGCAGCATTGTTGGTTTCATCAGTCATCTCGGTCTTTGTGCCTTTGGCAACGTGCTGAGTTGAGCCGTTCTTGACTGCCTCCATCTCTTGGGGATTCTTGACCACGTGGACTCTTTCAAAGCCCTTTGGGAAAGGATGGGCGATCGCAATGATCTGCTTGCGATCAAGTGCACCAACGAGGTGACGTAGCTTGGACTCTACCAGACCTGACCATACACCCTCGGCCTCTTTGGTCTTACTAGAAGCGGTGATGCTGAGATAGTATTTGTAGTCGTTCGTGAAGAACGTATGGCGCACAAACAAGTCCTCCCACGACAGTTGTTTCAAGAAGATCTTGTCAACCATGTCACCTCCGCGGTTGAGTTCCCGAAGAATCACGTTCTTAGTGGATTGGCTGATGTTGTGAGTCGCACACATGGACGGGTACGCGGGAGTAATGATAGGCATAAGATGGAATCGATCACCGTGGTAAATCTGCTGTCGTTAGCTTGGTCCCCTCCGACGTGGACGCGAAGTTCGAAACCTACCTTTGGGTTCCACACTTTCATCTGAAGCGGACCATCCTCAATCTGTTTCAGTAAAACAGGCTGAGGCCAATTCCACTTATTCATGATTCTGAAAAACTTGCCAACAATGACAGATCCCGTTGCTTGTGGATACAACTGACAGACCCGTGCCACCAGCATCGCCCAAGCAACACCACCTGGGAAGCCCACAATGTTCGAATAGATCGCTCGTCCTGAAAGTCCAACGGTCAGTGCCGGAAGGTGGCTTATCACGAAGACCACTCACTCTGAGCCCATAGTTTGATAGCCCGTAAGGCGAGACGGAAAGTCTTTTGCTGGGGCACAAGCTCAAGAATTTCATCTGTCACACGAGTTCCATTCAGCGACCGCACCTCGCGCTCATCCAACCCCCTCAGATAATCGTTGTTTTTTAGGTCGATGTTCATCGGGATGGAAGGAATAACAAGGCGAGCAAAAATCAGATCGATACTGATCCCAAGAAGTTCAAGCTTGATAATTGGGACAAATGCGTCGGGGACCGGGGTCATTTTCTCGATCGCTCCTTCGGATGCCATTCTTTCAAGGATACCCGGGAAGTCGGAGAAGAAGTCATCGATCATGACGTGTTTGGGCGCGACGACTAGAGTATCGATATCGGATCCTGCCAAAGATCATGGTTAGTACAAAAACTTGTGTCGACCAATTATAGCCACGTACCGGGTCCATAGACACCAAGCCTGTAACTTCCGTATGTGAAGATTTTGCCGCCTGATGCTTCGACGGCAGCTGGAGAAAGACCTTTGTTGCGACTGACGACTTGAACAAACTCAACAGTGACGCGCTGTAAGAGTTGTAGCACTTTTTGTCTTTGTGCTTATTAGCTGTGATCTGTTTCGCGATTTCCGTCATAGTACAACGAACCTCCTTTCAGTCTCAGTGGGTAATTCGAAGTTGTTCTGGGCTTTCAGTTGCGCGATGAGATCGTCGTTTGCCGCGATCTCATCTTTGGTCGGGAGGACGGTGGAAATTGGGGGTGTAACACCCCACTGTCGGACGGGTGGTGTGGCCATTGTGAAGGTGAATTATCGCTGTAGTAACAAGAAACTCGACTTCCTAATCGTGGAAGATGGATCAAAGAATGAAGGACCAGTTGGCGACAAGATCCCGAATCAAGCTCTGAAACGAGAGCTGGCGCTCGATGGGATGGTGAGGAAGGAGAAGCTATGGAAGCGGCAAGTTTGGACACGAATGGGACGCCGCGAGCAACAGGGACAAGGAATCAAGGAAAGAAATTGGAGCAGAGCAGTGCCGCAAGGTTCATCGGCGCCTCCATGAGCCGATCTAAACGCTTACTCATGTCGTCACATGATCGTCATATTGGTTTGGTCTCCACTACTGCTTGTCCGTCGCTCTCGATTTCATCTCTAGCTTTGATCGGTGATATTCTTTATTGTATATTCCCTCGGACCATGTTTTGGTCTCATTCAAGTCCATTACGGAGCTTCTCAGCTAACTTGGCGACCTCATCGCCTGGGTTAGCTTCAAAGAAAGCAGTGAGCTTGTTGTCAAGCCACTCAACGTCTTCCTTGCTATCACCAGGACCTCCGGCCCAATCTGCATTCAGTTAGCTTTGCGAGAACAATACTTCGTGGAACAAGGAAAACTCACGGCCCCAAATAGAAGGGAATATATCCAGTGTTCCCACGCCGGGCTTCATGCAGGCAACCTCATATTCCGAATCCTCCGGACTAATATCACATCAGGGTCAATGCTCTGCTTACAATCGAATCGCAGGTCTTTGGACTCACGGGAAATATAGATCCGTCTTCGCCGGCAAAACAAGCGTCTTAGCTTTGATGGATGCCATTGCCTTCTCGAAGTCCCCGTCGTACGGTTCTTGCTGGGAAACATCTCCATTTTGCCATGTCTGCAGCAGTACCAAAAGGTTCTCGGGGTCTTGGAAGCATAGTCAGTTTGGGGAAACGGACTCTCGTTATCCTGAGCTGATTCCGGTACCTACCTTTCGAGCACGCCCACTTCTCCCAGAAGTTGACCATGAAATCTTCGAGTCCCTTGAAACCCAACACAGTCTCATACAATTTGTGTCGATAAAATGCCTGGCTGAATCCCCTTTACATATCCCATCGTCAGACTCTTCGCTCGTATGGGGATGCATAACAGCTTACCATCCTGCGTAAACACGACCCAGAGCCTTCAGGCCAACATCTTTTTCTTCTTCGGACCAGCTGTAAGATTCTGTCGTTTCTCTGTTCAGACCAATTTTGCCAGATCCCGCAGACCGACTTTTCTTAACTGCGATCAGAGAGCTTTTGACACCCTCGAGGAAAACCTGGTTGTGCAACGATGTCTTGGCTGATGTACAGAATGGTATGGCAAGATCCATGAAGCCAGGATACTGCGTTGCCCACTGATAGGTCTGCGCACCTCCCATAGACCAGCCCACGACTGCCCGAAGATGGGTTATTTTCATGTGTTTGGTGACAAGCTCATGCTGCGCTCTCACATTGTCGAAGAATGAGACTCTGGGGAATGGGCCTGGCTGTGGCTGGTTGGAAGGGGAAGAGGATTGCCCGTTTCCAAACAATGCGGGAACAATGATGAAGAACTTCTTGGGATTAAGAAGCTTGTCTTCCCCAATGAGCCAGAAGTTGTCGGAGATTGCTGATATAGATCAACTGTTAGATCAGGCTTGAAGTGAATTGAACAGAGACATTTTGAGCATAGGGTCATTTACCTCCAGAAAACCAAGTGGGATAGACGATTGCAGGAGAAGTGGGATCGCCGAAGGTCTTGTATGCGATATGCGCATTGTCGATCTGCTCACCACTCTGCAACTTCCAATTTCCGAGGTTATAAGTTTCGTATTCTTGGCTCATTTTGACGCTATAGTTATCAGTCTTTGAATACTGAAGTGTCCGGGTGTGTGTGTATACGAAAAGTGTGTTGGGGCTTCTATGCAGGCCAGGCCGGGCATTATATAGTCACAATGGAGAACCCCGCTTTGTGGGCACAACATGCGCTTGGAGCCGGAGGTGCGATGATCCAATGCCACTTGAACAGTGGGAAACGTTAATTTTACCCCTTAAGTTACACGGGGACGCATTGAAGGCGAACTATGGCCGTTTACTAAGCCTGAGATTCCTTGTGATGGTCTTTGGGGGGAAATTTGACTCAGGTCAGTATCAGACATCTATGAGTATTCTGAAAGCTCATGTCTAACCTGCTACATCACAATATGATTTTACCGAGATCAGTCTATGTATATGAGCATCGCCGCATGAAAGACAAAAGACCACTAGAACTGCGGTCTAGGGATCTCCAAAGCTTCAGTCGTGCGACCATACGAAATGCCGCCCAGTCGGCTGATGGGCTTCAGAACCTTGAGGTCGATAGCAGTTCGCTCCTCATCGATAGCATCATCTCTCACCCAGAAACGGACACCCTCGATGATAGCCAGCACTCCTGTCTTCTTACCGGGTGTTTGTCTGCTTTCAAACTCTCTGGTCTCCACCAGCTTTCCCTCGATCGAGAGGACAGACTCCTTCACACGCGCCGGCTTCACAACGGAAGTAGGGGCTTGGTGTAGGCCGGAAGTCTCCCATTCCGAGACGCCATAGGGCGCATTGATAGAAGTGGCATTTGCGGCCTCCACGAAGTGCTCGGAGATGATGTTGATGACACATTCCTTCGTCTCATTCAGGTTCTTCATTGTGTCCTTGGCTTTGTCCATGGATCCCGCAAAGCCGACTGTGAAGAGGGGCGGGTCATGGTTGATGACCTGTGCATAGCTGAATGGCGCGAGGTTGGTAGATTTGCCATCCGCGGATTGGGTGCTGATGAGTGCAATGGGGCGTGGTACCATGCCCGAGATCAGGAGCTTATAGTTTGAGGCGACGGGCCGGCCCTCTTCATTGGGATCGATCTCAACGTGGTCCTTTTTCAAACTCTCGCCTCCATCATTGCCACCGCCGCCTTCTTGCCATGTGGGGTTTGGTGTTTTGGTGTATGTGACCTTCGCGTCATGGTTGAAGTCCGGTCGTGAGGCCTGGACTTTCTCGAATTCAGGGTTGGCTTTGAACATGTTGGTTTTGCTGAATGGTCGACTGGAGGTTCTGGGCTTGAGGTTATCTCTTGCTGTGTGACGCCTATCATGAGGATTATAAATCAGCCCTGTTCACCGAATGTTCCTGCCCATGTGCCCCGCGGGGCTGCGGGGGATGGAGTTGGTGTTCCCACTGGATGACACCTTTTTGTTCAAGGGGTGCTCACAGAAGACTGTAGAGGGGTAGATGGTGCGAGGTACGATGCGCAATTCTTAACAGATCCATGAGAGACAATGGCAGTTCCACTTGGACAATCTTGCGGGAGAAATCGTTATCGCGCAATTTCTTATTACCACGGCGGTGATAACGGTATGGGCACCCACGGCGGCCAAATACGAGGTCTGGTGCGTGTTCATACGAGGCCCAATCACCCCAATCACCCCGAGCTCGGTGATGTCATCGGGATTTAAAGCGTGAGCCGAAGGTCACAAGTCACACTTCACTCCCTCGAGTCGTCCACGTCAGTTCTGTTGTTTCTACTCAATGCCGTTTTGGGCAAACCGCTTGGCCTCGGGAATATAGGTCTTTGCGGGTTGGGACCAATGGACAGTCAATACTCGGCTCACGAGTTCAAAGACAAAAAAATAGCATTCAAAGCCGCGATCGTTGGAATACATACCCGAAGAGAATGGCATCAAGCTGTGTACTGTATACTAGTACTAGTAGTACTGTACTTAGTGTGTGCCTGGCAACTGGGTCCCGGGGTCAAGTTGCGACGTGGGGGCAACCCACTTCTCCCCATAAAAAAAAAGGCCCCATCTGTGGAGTTGAATCGGAGTTGATGCGAGTCGAGAGCGCACAAGGGCAAAAGACAAAGTGTACGGAGTCAGCTGATATGTCCCATGATCTACGTAATTAGATGGCGGTCAGTATGTTACCAAATTACCCGAATACATCGTGAGATTTGATTTGATTTTAATAGTGGCGTAGTTCCCCATTCTCTCGTCTCAGGACTCTCGACGCCTAATGAAGACTTCGCTCGAATTCTTTCTACCCTCCCACTCCCTTCCCCGCCGCATTTATCCGATTCCCCTCCCTAGCCCGTTGAATCCAGCTTTTCAACTCGATCGCCCCAGAGCGTGGAGGTATCCAATGGGTCGTGGCCACGGATAATTCATCGCTTGTCATGAGCGACCCGTCTCCCAGGAAGAAGAATGGCGGCAACCCTTCTGCTCCGAGACAAATCCGCTTTGTCGCAACCGACGGCCAGCCGCAGACGAAGCGACGCCGCGTCAATGCCGCGTACGTGAATCGTCATTGTTCTAGTCTCAGGGTTCCGTGAAGCTGACGTGAGTTGGGAACGTTCAGGTGCCTAACATGCCGCCGACGCAAGATCAGATGTTCGGGCGAACAGCCAGGTAAGTCGCGCTGACATCCCCGTGCCTCGGTCTCCCGGGCGTTGGTTGATGGAGCGCAGTGTGCAAAACGTGCTCGGACTATAAGCATGTTTGCTTGGGATACACCGAATCGACCGCTCACCTACGAACGCAGTCCGATTCAACTTCGCGACCCCCGCCGCGCCTTTCCGCCCCCAATGGATCGTCGACCCAACATACCTCTCGGGTGATAGAAAGTAGCTCTCCCGAGCCGGCGGTCACCACCATACCAACGCCAGCTGTGAACAGATCCCCCAAGGACCATGGGTTAGGATTGCAGGATGTATCTCCCTACTTGGATATTTCTACGCGGAACAGAGATCTGGAGTCCCGGCCTGCTGTTGATAGTCCGGAGAGCAGTCGTGCTTCTGTGAGCTCCGGTAACCGCACGCATGTGCCTTACTTCCGTTACTTCGGCCCTACAGCGATCGTTCCGGGATTCAAGCAAATGGTGGTGCAGGTCCGAGGCTCTCGCAAGAGTAACCCTTCCGTGTCCTCAGACTCGGGGTCTCCCTTCCGAAGTCCCAGACTAGCAGACAAGACCGCCGACAACTCCAGCAGAGTCCCCGCTGCATCAGAGAACCGGGAAAGCCGAGATGCAAACATACCCTTTTATGATCCAGATGATGCCGCGCCTGTTTCGAATTTGGTCTTACATCTTTGTGATCTGTTCTTTGCCCACCTCGGATGCAACTTTCCGTTCCTGCAAAGAGATAGATTTTTCCAAGATCTGAAGGACAAGAAGGTTGACACTATGTTGGTGGATGCCGTGTGTTCATTGTCTGCGCGATTCTCAACGCATCCATCGCTTGAACATCCACAGGCGCAGCCCATTGAGCGCCCACCCTCACTAGACGACAATACGAAGTCGCTGCGCGGCTTGCCATTTGCCCAACGCGCGATGAGTGCCCTCGTTGATTCACTGCCATGCCCTACCCTTTCCGCCGTCCAAGCCTGCTTGCTACTTGCTTATGAGCAGTTCGGATCGAATCGCGATAGTGGCCTTTGGATGTATCTCGGCATCTCAATTCGAATGGCGCAAGACCTTGGGTTGCAAAAGTTTCAAGGTCTCAAGCATACTTACGGCCAGAGTGGTGTCACACCAAGCGATGTGATGACTGGCCACGCTGGCAATTTGAGGGAAGACCAGTACGATGATTTCGATGTGCATCACACCCCCAAGGTATCACCCAAACCCTTGACGGGGGAGCGTGCCCGAGAACGTGAGCGTGTAGACTCGTTCTGGAGTATATTTTTCCTAGACCGAGTTATCTCCTCGGGAACGGGACGGCCGGTCACACTCCGCGATGAAGACATTGAGCTTTGTTTCCCTCTCCAGTCAGAATCACAGCTCCCAAATGGTTGGCCTGCTCCTTTCCCGCCTCTCATTCGGATCATTCACCTATACGGTCGCGTGACCGATCTGATCAACGGTATTCAATTCGTCAAGCACGTCACACAAGATACTTTGAAGATGCTCTCTGGGATGGAGAGTGACCTGACTGGTATCTATCAACGATTGTCTCCAAGGCTTCATTTCAATGCTGCCAACTTCCAGGCTTATGTCAAAGCCCAGGAGGGAACCAACTTCATCCTTCTTCATTTTTGGTTTCATACTCTTATTGTACTGTTGCACCAGCCGACATTGTTAAACTCGTTTGGGGGATCCATTCAACATCTATACCCAAACAGTCGTGAGTTGTCGATGTCATCTGCCAAAACTATTGCGGATATATTATCCTTCACTGAGCTTGTTGACGGGAAGAGCTTCATCGGCAACCCCTTTACAAGTCAGCCAATGTACATTGCAGCGTGTGCCTTCCTCATGGAAAGTGCTTACTATACCATTTCGCCGTCGAGTGATGGCTCATCATCACCTCAGCCATTGCTGGCCAACCAGTCCAGAGGATTCATACCCCCCATTACGGAATCTTCCAAGGTGTCTGAACGGAAGACGACAGCGAGACACGTTTTGCTCGCTTCTGTAGCGAAAGAGAATTACCAGAGATGCTACAAGGCATTGCAGGCCCTCAACACATACTGGGAAGGCACTGGGTACATTCTGACAGTGCTAGACCAAAAGGCAAAGGGGATCGTTGACCCCCTTCTCTACACTGCAGAGGACATGGAGAACACTGACGGAATTGCCCCAGGGCTGCCTCTGGGGCCCGGACCTTGGCGCTTAGGCAAAGCACAGGCAGACGGATCCGATTCAGAAAAGCCACGCGATGCCGCCGACATCCCATCCGGTGGCAAGTGGTCACCAAACATTGATCCAAGTCAGGCTATTGGATGGTCCCTCACAGGCGCTACAAATTCTTCTCAACCCAACCTTAGTCTACTATACCAGTTGCCCACGGCCGAGCCTGACAATCCACCCGACCGTCCGACATACTCCTCGCAGTACAGTCACAGCTATCCAGTCCTGCAAAATGCGAACCAAGATACCAGCTCGTCATTCGCTCCTCTCACAGGGACTCACAATGATAGGGCAGCTTCGCTTGCGGTAGCAAACGCCGATTATCCCGCGATCGCTCCCGACCCCTACTACATGGGCCTGAATTCAACCTATCCAGAGTCCAGGACACGTCCGACTCGCCCGGCGCAGTCGGCCCAGCCTTCTTTCTCTGGCCTCCCATCATCCCAACTAGAAGCTCGGCCTTCTTCTTTCGACTACTCCATCCCCCCAACGCCTAATGCAAGTGGAAACACAATAGGCCCCGGTACCGATGTCCACCTGAATGCAGATAACAATGGGATGATGATCGGCAGCCATGATGTAGACATGAATACGCTCAATCATCAAGAGTCCTTCCCGTTCGCGAACGGCGAGATTCTTCCCTGGCTGGAGTATCTCCCACAAGATGTTCTTAGCTTCTTTGGAGACCATCAAACATACCCCTTGATGGATCCGGATGATGTGTCACGACCTTGATAGCATTGATTGCTGTTATTCATGTGTATTTATAATTATAGCATGTTTCGGCGTTTGAGCCAGGCCTATGCTTTCTTCGTCGGTTTTCATGTGTCCCCGGCGCCATGGCAATACCCCAACAAACCATGGACTGGTGCCCTTCTATAGAAATTCGTTCACTTGTTCAGCATCTTGTTCGCAGTAAACATCAATATCAAATTCATCACAGGTCTATCCAGGACACATTTCATGTCATTATAGCCTCGCGCCTGGGCAGGCTCTTTCCCCGGAGCCAATTCAGCACTTATGCTAAACCTCCACACAACGCCTGGCCAAAGTCCCTTGAGAGAAATATTGCCCGAGAAGGCCCCAAAGTAAGTTTTGGAAGACACCCAGAAACTCCAAGCTGCATTCCAGCCCTACTCAAACTCCTTCGTTCTTCCAAGGTTCGGATCACAACTCATCTCCGAAACAACAGTCGTCCGGCTTGTCACCACTATCCCCCGTTCTCCAAATTGCCGACTTTCCCGGTCTCGCATCACATAGGATTCGACATCAGAATGTCCATCAGCGCCAGGCGTGGACCCCGCAGACCCATAGCACACCATCCCCTCTCCAGATCCACATCCACCTGCCTCACCTAGCTGAGCCCAATTCTCAAATTGGTCGGTCTGACCCCGCTGGTTTGGGTGACGGTGCAATATAGCATTCCCTATGTCCTGGGAGAACTGCACAAAGACCCTGCGGAGAGTTGGGATCGAGCCAAAGATAATGACGAACCACATTTCCGTGAAGACCCAGATGTTCAGACTTGCCATGGCATAAGTGTTGTCTTGGATGTTGGTAATGTTCTTTATCGAAATCCCTTTGACGATTGCGGCGCTGCCGGCTCTGTGTATGGTCTGGGTTAGTGTCCAGATTTGATCTCATACTTTGGTTCAAGATCGATCAAGATACTATGTTCACAATGCATATTCATTTCTTGCTTTCAGGTGCAGTAGGGAAACTCTCTGATCAACTCACATTACACCACCTCCCATGATGAGGCAGAGACCGATTTTGGTAGATCGTTTCATGTGTTGGATTTGGCGGACAATGAAGATTGGATACGCTGCTAGGAGAAAGTCACAGGCTGCGCCAATTCCTGAGACGATTAAGCGTTAGTTGACACTCTAAGAGGTGTGGATTGCTCGAGGCCCCGAAGAGATTGGAAAGCAAAGCCTGGTTGAGATATAATTGAAACTCCTACTTACCACCCGCCATATATCCAGTTATAGCTGAGCGTCCGATCCCATGGCACGTCCCCGGAATACTGGGGTTCCACAGCCTGGCAGTTGGGCTACACTGTCTGAATATTAAACCCACGGAGACAAAATACATTGCCGCTTGGGCGAACCCAATCAGCCAAAAGAAAGCCCGGCTCCGGTGGGCAGTTCCGCCTTGAAGTAAAATAAGGAATGCCGAGACAGCAATTCGTGCGGGAAGTAGATCGAGGATCGAAATCACTTGGGCGATCCAACTCCAAAGATTTAACTTGACGAGATTCTCGTGCGATATCAAACTCTGGTGGTTGCCAAGTCCGTACCGGACGCTGAGAGTGAGGGCTATCTGGGAGGCCAAAGCCATTGCCTGGACAGGTCCTATTTGTGAGTAAAGCGAAAGGAAACTCGGATTTATAGACAAGATGGTTGGAATTGAGATGTGCAAATCACCTACATATGCGACGATCACCCACACAAAGTCCCATCGCAGCCTATAGATGCCGGAAAGGCCGATGTTGGAGTTTGATCGACGGGGGCGAATTGATGCGCTCTTGGCTCGAAGAATGATCAACATAGATGCCAACCCTGTTTCCATCCAGGTAATTCCGAGGACCATGGGACCTCTGCCACCATATGTAATGGTTGATGTGGACATGGTAACATGAACATATAGATCCAAATTTCAAGTCTATAGAAGCCCTGTCAATAGTTTCATATGGTTTCATATATGAATGACAGCAGAAAGCTTGAGCCGCATCGGATATTTTCAATTCTGTAATATTTATGGAGCATAGTAGAAGCTGAACAGAACAATCTTGCAGACCCAACCCTGTTCCTCGCTCGTCTGACTCGCCAAAGTATCCGATTCCCAAATATGTCCCGTGCCACCCTATCAGCTAGCCTTCCAAGATTTCTGATGTCCTGATATTCACGTAGAAATCATGGATATTAAATATGGACAATGGTCAGGTGGGAGGCTTCCAGTCTGCGTCGCCAATAAGAGCTTCTCTGATATAATGGGATTTTCTCATACCAAAAGCCTCACTTTTCCCAAGGGACCAGGGCATATATATGTATGTTGCCACTGATAAAATGATGCGATCGAGGCCCACCCATGGAAAAAGGATAAGGTGGGAGATCATTCCTATGGTGCCCCGTCGTCGAATCAGGGTGAATCGACCAGGTGGGGCGTAATACAATGGCAGCTCTGTGGCACGAGTTCGAAATTGTAACCCTTTTCGGAGGATAGGCGTGATACATTGATATCAAGAATACCCTAGGGCCGGGATCTAGATCTTCCAAGGTTCGTGAGCTTGTCTTGCCGCCACCTCAATCCTCGTGCATATAACAGGTAGGATGAAAGTGGGGCTTCTACAATTTAGCTCTCAAAGTGGCGTTCTTTGCATAAGTGTCCGGTCTCTCGGCGATTGGCAGATCACTCAGTTAATGCTGATCTCCAGGGCCACCCTGCAGTTTGTGATCTGTTCGTGCAATGATCCCCATTGTGGGACCTCGATATTGAAAGAACCTTGGAATGGAATAAGTCAAAATGATCCTATGTCACAGACAACCAATCGAAAGATTTGCTTTGCAGATTGCATACCTGGGTATGGCCGAATCGAAAATGGAGTTCATCGCTTTTTCACGGCAGCCATAACAGCTACGATTGACTACACATCACCTCCCGAGGACCCCATCCCTGCCTGGTGCTATGCACGGTGTCACTTGATAGGTGAACACAGGGGGTGACCTCGGTGTGATGAAATTTATGCCCACTGGTATCACCGTATCATATTGCTCCTAGTCTGTCGATCCTTTCGCATCTTCCGGCGGGGAACTGGGCGACATTTTCTACACACATGGTCTGCACTGTAGAATGTGTGGTGCATATGCAAACAGCTTCGCAGATGTGGATTTGTGTACTCCGTACTGCGAAGAATCGATCTTCACTGATTGCATATGTCAGTCAGTAAACCTCCATACTCCACACCTGGTTTCGCATGGTCGTACTTGTGATCCCAAACGTTGTGAGCGAGCCATATGTGGTTCAGTACCCAATAGAGTATTCTTTTCAAGTCCAATGCTTTTTGGTCAATGAAATTCCACGGCTGCGGTAGAGTGGGAGCCGCTAAGACCGATTCCACCGAAAAAACGGCTACTTCGATGATCGACGTCTTGACAGTCCGTTGCCCTGAGCAACGGGCGGTGAGGGACTAGTCAACATCCACGTTTAGTTGTCTCGGATTTGAAATTCAGGCCGAGTCCTTCAGGTTATTGCATTCCTGTGAACCTGCCGGCTGCAGTCTTTCATGGCGCAGTTTAATGACGAAAATCCAGACGCGGCAGTCGACTCTACAGAGATCCTGAGTCCACAACCATTTCACCCCCAAACCAAAGGCTTCCTCGTTTCCGCCATCGAGCCCAACGGCCAGCTATACAAAGACGATACGCAAATGCCCCCTCATGATTATGACTATAACTCCTCGTCCTCTTCGCCGCGTCACTCCACCAGCGACGTGTTCGGTCGTGAAATTGATGACGAACTAGACCAACTGAAATCTAGGGCATCCAGTCGTTCCTCGGTGTCCTCGGTCCCTGCGTCGGTTCTTATCCACCCCGTTGAAAGAATGAAGCAAATGCCCGATATGGACGTCCACGAGAAGATCGCTGGATACAAAGTTGAGGAATCCGAAGCCAACTTCGGAGACTTCAACGAAGCACCCGCGGCGACTCGCACAATTCGACAGCGTGAAGCTGTATTCCGCAAGCCAAGCTCTGTCCGCGCATTGCAGATGCACACGGAGGATGAAGCGGATGAAGACGATTATCTGACTCCTCCGCGTCGACGGGCTGGCATCCGCTCTCCGGGCTCGATCCAACCGAAAAGGTCGCCCTATTACTCGCCAAAGGCCCAGAGACAGCCGACGCCGAAAAGAGAAGCACCCTTGGTTCTGTTACACTGCACACTGTTGCCGCCTTCCATTCCGGTACCTGGGGCTGCTGAACCCAGGAATCAGGACATACTCGAAGACGAGTTACCGGCGGAATACTGGAAGCGCTGGCGTCGGCTGCAGGATCGTGTTGGATCGGGTGTGCTTCGAGATCGAGGAGTGTTGATCTCTCATCCGGAGGACCTATATGATATGCTTGAGGAACGGCTGTTGGAAAGCCTGGAGCTTCAGCGGCCACGTCTTCAGAACGGACACTTTGTCGGACGGGAAGACCACACCGACTCGGGCGACGATTTCTCTGACATCGACGAGAGCGAGACTGATGGGGAACAGGGCGATGAGTGTCCTGACTGCGGAGGACATGTGCGACACGGCGACAGTAATCGGAAGTGGGAGATTCGCGTATTTGCGGCCAACGGATTGATGCGCGCCGGCGCGTGGTCGGCTGCATGGCGGGATATGGAGAAGGTTGACGTCGAGGTTGGACTCTGGCTGCCTTCCGATGTGCGTCGGGGATTGGAAAGAAGACTCGCGGAGGAACAGATGGCTCTCGTGGAACGGGATCAAGCTCAATCACCGACCATGCAGATGATGCCCATTTCTTCGCTGGTTGATCGCGAAAATCAAATCTTGCCTGAAATTTTGCAGTCGCCTCGACGAAACCATGCGCGTATGGTCAGCGATGTCGGCTCCTTCCAATCTCGCAGTCTTATGCCCTCGCGCGAGAGCATCTCTAGTGCCCCCCTCGAGCCAGATCATCATGCTCAAAGTCAAAGAAGTGAGCGCAACCACGAGGTTGCGCTTTCTACACTCTGCGCAAATTACATTCGGGTCTTGGCTGCTGACCGGCGCAATATGGCACTCGTTCTTCTCAGTATGCTTGTTGCTTTTCTTGCCTTTGGATATGGTCAACAGCAGCCTATCTACCCCGAGCTTCAATCCTACCAGCCTGCCTCATACAACACCCCTTTGCCTTCGATTATGCCCAGCATGAGCGTGGATTCAGCTTCCTTGTCTTTGGTACAACCAAGGGCTGACCCGACCATTTCTAGCGAGAGGTTAGATCCGACTCCTGAAGCAGAGAAAGAAATAGACCCTCCAATGCCGTCTGGTGAGTCCGAGGATGCTGAAGTTTCGGCTGTGAACCCCGGGGACCATACGCAAATCTTGGCAGACCCCGAGATCGTGGAAACGTTCCAGCCTGAGCCAGACAGTGTTGAGGAAATCTTCACCGACCCTGCCCCTGTGGACTCCCAGGTTTTCCATGAAGAGGCTGGGCACAATGAACAGCTGGATGAGTCTGCAGGCTCCGACGAACACGAATCTTTCGAGTCAACCGAGGCATCTGGGCCTGAAACAGCCGATTCCGATGAGGAGCCTGCCCTTGAAAAGACAATTGAGGCTTTCGATGTGGCTACAGAGTCTTCAGATTCTCCTATTACTCTCGAGACAGACGACCCTGCGCATCCTGAGCCCGAGCTTGCGAGCACAGCTGAAGATACCGAAGAAGCTGAAGATGTTGAAGCTGAAGACGATGAAACCGAAGAAGCAATCTCGATTGAGACTGATTAATCTTTGCATGTGATGACTATGACTGGAATGATTTAAGGCGAAATGTGAATTCTGCGTCTTTGTATTTAGCGAGCTTAGGAAATGTCGAATGCCAAGCCTTCTACAGTTGATGTCTCCACTTTCTCCCCAGGTCCTCCCGCTCTCGCTTAATGATCGTCCCCCAGATTAGATGGAGATATCAGACCGTGCATATCAAGCTTGGTCACAGACCTCGGGAGTACAGAACAATGGAGCTCACCAGTGAGCACAATGATGCGCACAATGTTCTCTAGTGACACGTATTCTCCTTGTCAGGGTAAATACATTTACATCAACGCATACTGAGAGCAAAGAGTAGAGAACAACCAGGCTCGATTATGATTATCGATTAAGGGTAAGTTTGATGAACGGATTCGATTTTGTGTGAATTGAGGAGGTGTGAGCGAAGAGAGCTCAGTGACCTGGAATCGGCAGCCCATATGTCACAACCGGGGAAACATCTCCAGGCCTTTTATGACTTCTCCGTAACTTTCGTGAGATTCAGGAAATTTAGTAACCGCCCTGCTGACCGCCGTAGCCACCACCGTAGCCACCGCCATAGCCACCGCCCTGCTGGCCGCCGTAGCCGCCCTGACCGTAGCCGCCCTGACCACCACCGTAGCCACCCTGACGGTAACCGCCGCCACCACCGAAACCACGACCACCGCCGCCACCGGGAGCGCGCTCGGTAGCCTTGTCAACGCGGATAGTGCGACCATCGAACCTGCAAGCCGGATTAGCGGGGCTATCCCCATGCGATGACCCACCCCCGCCCGCGGCGCGCAAGCGCGACCGCGACCGATCGAATCGGGATGGATGCAACAATCCAAAGACGCGACTTACTCTTGGTTGTTCATAGCCTCAAGAGCAGCAGTAGCTTCCTCCTCGGTGCCGTAGCGGACGAAACCGAAACCGCGGCTGCGGCCAGTGTCACGGTCCTTGACAACAGTCTGCAAACAAAGAGAATCACAATGAGTGGGGGTTACCAAAGTGGGGTGCATGGGAACTCACAGCATCCTCAACAACGCCGAACTCCTCGAAGCGCTGGCGCAGGCTCTGGTCGTCCGTGTTCCAGGACAGACCGCTAGGAGATTGTTAGCGGGCGCGCAAGATCGTCGCGGAGAGACACGAACCCAATGAAAAGCTTCGACATTTTGATGGGAAAAGATCGAAAAAGGGGTGGAAATGATGAGGAGTGTAGGTGTGAAGAGGGGCATAGCCGAGCCTGATCTTAAATACGGCACAGCGCTCTCTGCCTCCGGAACAACATGCAGCCGTTAACCCCTCGTTTTTCAGGCGCAAGTTTTTTTTCTTCTCGATTTCGTTCGTTTTTATCTCTATTTCTTGAGACCGTTGCCTGGACGCAGGTCTTTTGAGGGTGTTGGGGGGGATTGCTATTGTCTTATAGATTTCCCCAGTTGGGAAATCATCCTATGTGGAGCAGCCTCCGATGCCGCGGGCTCCATTGACAGTAAACCATCAATGCATGACCCATAACTTGTTACACTCTGATGGCAAATTATCACCTCGATGTAGATCTAAAATCAGGATGGTCGCTGGGTCAACTGTGCATACAGAATCAATCTTAAGACATAATTGCATGTCACCGTCATCCATCCGCCCATCCGATCTGCGTCACCCCACCTTCTCTATATAAAACCCACCATCTCACTCCCCTCTTTCTCTTCCATTCAACCTCCCACTTCCAAACCCACACTAAAGCGGAAATCAACAGTTCCATTTCCTTTCAATACAATCATCCAACATGCCCATTATCGAGATCACCAGGTATGATGCCTCCCTCCTTCCCGAATATCGGAACCAGGCTGAACCTTCACAGCAAAGCCGAGTTCTACGAACAGATTTTCGGTGTAGAATCTCCGGCTATCCTTGACTGCTACGCGGAATGGTGTGGTCCATGCAGAGCCATCGCACCAAAGGTTCAGGAGTTCAGTGACCTCTATACCGATGTCAAATTCTTCAAGTTCGACGTGGAGAAAGACCCAGACCTTGCAGCGGAGCTTGGTGTCCGCGCTATGCCGACGTTCATGTTTTTCAAGGACGGCCAAAAGTACACTGAGGTTGTTGGCGCGAACACACCTTCGATTGAAGACAAGATCAAGGCCCTGATTGCGTGAACGGGGATTCAGGAATATCAGCGCTTGTTCTATTTCTTATTGGGCTGGCCTAGGCTATGCCATACGGGCTATAATCGTGTACGAAATGTAATGGATTTCATGATTCTTAAAATTGCCAACTTTTGTATTAGGGCGGGGTTCTGGACTTTAGACCAGGGCGCCAGAGCTATGGCTCTACTTTGACCCTGTGGGTTTGGTGAAAATCATTTGACAACGCAAGCAAAGACGTAAAGTAGATGTCGCCAAATGATAATGTTGAGGTTATTTCTCGGACACGGCGCTATATAATCTTACTTATTTCACTTTCGTCAATCCCTCGTCTTCAGGTGCTGATGGGGAGCTAAGAATATAACCAACAGGGTTCAAAGAATAAAAAAACAAAGCAAAAACAAAAATGTACAGCGTATGTACTTCGACCTCGCATCCAACCCCTTGAAATCAAAACTCGCTGAAGAACAAAATCCTCCGGTAGAAACTCGGAATACCCCGTCTTTCACCCCTGGGGCACTTAAAACCCAGAATCATTCAAGTAATTAGGCGGAATAGTCGGCCAAGCATCCACTCCGTCCAGCATAGCCAAGGCCATACCACCACTCTGATGGACTTGAATATGGCAATGCATCAAGAATGCCCCAGGATTCACCACATGATACCGCAAAACGAGCCATGTGGGGCCTGTGATCGGGATTGGCGTATTGGAGGTATCCCGATACTGCGGCGTGAGCAGATTGAAATTTGCTGGATTCGCCTGCACGGCCTCAGCAACGGTATTCCAAGTGAATGTCCCATTGCCCTGGCCAATGAGGAAATGCTTGTTCGAGTGCTTGTGAATAGGATGCGCAGGCTGCAGGATAGTATCGACCTGAATGATCAGATCAACCCACGTGTTGTTTCTTGTACGAATGATCAGATCGCTAGGGATAGCTGTCTGGTTGAAGAGAAGCGGCTGTGATTCCTCGAGTTCAAGACCAAAGCTTGTGTTGCCGAGTCTCCAACGCCAGGAGTTGCCTATTTGGCTAACGTGAAGGAGGAAAGTTTGGTCGACGTTATTGGATGGCACGAGGACTGGGAATGGAACAACCGAAGACTCATTCAGGAACACAGTATTTGCAGTGGCGTTTTGATTGTTGATTGTTATCCATGGATTGGAGGGTCGGTTGAGCTGGGGCGTGCCTCTGTATCGCATGATGGCAGTGGTGTTGAGGAGTTGTTGCACGCTGGCGCTGACCACGCGCACTGTGTAATCGCCTCGCGGTTGGGTGAGTGGAATGAGGACCGAGTAGCGGTTTGAGTTGGGGATTGTGAGTGCGTTCACTTGTCTCGGTTGGACATATCGTCCGTCAATGGCGTACACCCACATGACGTGTTCGTCGATTGAAACAGTCATTTGAACCACCCCAGATGTGCTTGTAAAGTCCCAGCTAACAAATTGTTGAGATGCATTGACAGTAAGTACTTCTTGGGGTCCTTGGGATGGTACACAACCCTCAAACATTGTTGGTAAGACAGCACTGTAATTGTGAGGGAAGTTGAAAGTTGCATCTGTAATATTTGGAGGCCAACATCTAGTATGATCAAGTCAATAATGTTCATAGAAAAACATTGGGAAACGGCGAATTTCTACTCACGCCATATCCGTTAGACTCTGGTTCGGTCCCAGGACTGCTCGCTGAGCAGGCGTTGTCAGAGCATCAATCTGATCACGCGGCAGACATGTCACAGATCCTTTTCCATTGACAAGCAAGGCATTAGCACAAAAGGAGTCAACGCCGGATGCCAATTCGGCATCCCAGATCTGCTCTGACGTGAGAGAGCGCCAATCCGATAGCAAGACTGGGCAAGTCACAGTCTCAGCAGCTAGCATAGCGTTTAGCTGTGCAGTACTATTCGAGATGAGGCTGAAAGGTCTTTGCACTGTAGGCGCTGGCTTGATGTAGATTGGTCCAAAAAGGCCATCTTCAAGAGATCCACGATGATGCGCATGATACCAATATGCGCCGTAATCATTCGCAGTCCATCTATAAAGAAATGAGCTGTTTGGTACGATAGATCGCTGGGAGACGCCAGGAACACCATCCGACCAGGGTGTTCCTAACTGCTCAATTCCTGTATGGAGTCAATATGTGGCTTCACATGCACAGATTCGGGAAGCCTCACCATGGAAGTGCACAGTAGCATTGAATGGGCACCTGTTAGTAACCAAGACCTGAACATTATCGCCTTGTTTCAGGTTCAACGGTGGCCCAGGGAATTGTCCATTCACCGAGATCACCGGTCTAGTGACTCCAGCAACAGTCCGGTTCGACCAAGTCAAGGTAATTGGGAAGAAGACTGTCTCGGCAGATACCCATTGAGCTAGACAAAGTATCCAAAAAAGTCTCATTTTGAAAGTCCGAAGCTATACTTACAGCCCTCGTATAAATCTCAATGATCCGCTCTGCATCGACATACCTTTGATAGATTCGCCATTCTTTTATATCAGCCCGGAGTCTCGTGGGCCCAACCGGGAGCATATGCGTCTCGGTTTCGTCTGAGGGTCTTCCATGCGGGTTATTTCTTAGATGCAAGGTGCTCATGGAAGCCGCGTGCATGTGAGTTCGTAATGCTGCGAGGCATAGAGACTCTGGCCTGATAATGCCATCATGAATCACTCCTGTTTTCCAAAAGGGGAGTTCAGCGGAGAAGCTGATCCGAATATCAACAAATGTCTCCGGGATCTCTGAATCAGGTCATGCAACTGTGCCAATCAGCTGCTGTGATCAGGCTACGTCGGCAGTCTGTCATTCTTTTGGATACAATAAGCAAGTTTATTGGTTATGGGATGACGAATCCGCTGACCGAAGGCCTGAAGGTCTAAGACGTCCATTCATATTTCGGGGAGCGTAATCCCGAGCAATAATAGTGGCGCTGAAAGAGTAAGCTTGCGACCTACAAAGAATGGGCGTCGTAAGAGCAAGGAGCTTCAAGGCCTGGAGCAACTCCAGGATTGAGAGACTAACTTACATGACTCTTGGCACGACTTTGGACTGCTACACCCGGCGCAAAGAGCGAGGTGGGTGAAGGTTCCATAGCCGTGGGTGCGCCCGATCAGGGGCTTTCGGGTCTCCGCAGACAAGACAGGCGTGAACCAATATGATGGATCTGAATAGAAGAGCTCTCGCTTCCAGATTCTGCCTGGTTGGTTTTTGAAGGTGAGTCAGCCAGTAGTCGACATCTTGAGCGCTAGTCTCCGAAGTCGGGTGAGATGCGATCAAATTCGGCGCAGGCCTCAGTTTCGGGCTTAGCATGAACGCCACGTGCTGGAAAGTGGATCAAGGTATGCTATTGCTAGGATTCATGGGGAGACCCGAGAGGGGGGAGAGATCTGGAAGAGGTTGAGTTCTAAATAGAACTACCCACGAGAGTGAGGTGCGGCGGCCTGATTGGACAAAGGCAATGGTAAATGAAGAATGTCAAATTGTATTCGCGTAGCCAGCAAGATTAACACTCAGATTATATGCTATGGAAACAGGAATGATCAATCCTCGTAAACAGTAACTTTTTCTCTTCCATGCATGACCCTGATGCAAGCAATAGCCACCGAAATCAAAAGTTGCCGGTGTTGTCAAAAAGGCCAGGCATGTCACGTTGGGCAGCGTCGGATGCAGGGGGGTGGCCCTCTTGGGAATTGAACATAAAGCCCGGATCTGAAGCAGGAACTTCGCTTGAGATAGGCTGGCCTGGAGCAATCGGCTGATGAAGTAAGCTCGGGTTCGACCACCCTTGAACTTGAGCGAGTTTTCGACCCTCACTATCTACTTGTATGCCCTCGATGGTATCCGGGTTGATTTCGTCATAGCTGTCATTCAGTCGTTGGAGGAACTCGGGGTCAAATCCCATTTGGATAAGTGGATCAGCTGGCTTCTCGCCCGCAGACACAGTCGTTGGAAGGCTACTGGCCCAATCCGTAGAGAAGGAAGGATCTGCCCCGGCTGAGATTATCCCTGCACTGCCAGCATAGCTACCGGAGAGACTCCCCGGTCGACTGGGCCCTGCGGATGAGAAGCCTGTTCCAGGAAAAGCGGGGCTTCGGAAGCCAGGACTGGAGACTGCAGGGCTGTGGAGGGGGGCGCCGTGGCAGACTGTTCTTGCCAAAACATTCATCTCTCGTGGAGCAGCTCGCAAGCCACCGTTCACGGCAAATGGTGGCTGCATTCCCAAGTCAGAAAATTGAATTTCATCATTGTGCACGGCCGTCTGCAATCCGCAATCGCGCTTGAGAACGCCAAGCCAGACGACATTATCGGCGCAAGTTTGATTCCACGAATCATCTGACCCGTAAATGATGCGACGGGCCTGCGTCTGGATCATTTGATCTGATGGAATGACGCCTTGGGCTTTTTGCTCATATATGTACGTGGTGAGTTCTCGTGAGAGACGGCGGTAGCAATTGATATCGGTGGGCACAGGAAGGCCAAGTGAAGGCCCATCCTCATCTGTTCCCTTAGCTTGTTCAGTGGCCCAGGGATCAGGGGATCGCCATTCATAATCAATCATGTATGGAGGAATAGCATTTTCGACACGCGCTTGGATGATAGGATCGAAGCCCCAGTCTCCTTGCCACTGAGCCATGCTGGCACCGTTTTTGAAATGGCCAGCCAGGTGGTCAACTCGGTCTTTCCAAGTCTGGAAGGTAGAGTTACAGAAGCCACAGCGAGACTTGATCTCTGTGATACTGCTTTGCCACTTCTCCATACATGGTTGGAACTTGGTGTTGTGCATCAAGCGAAGGTGTTGGTTCAGATGATCCTTCCGGTAGAATGTTTTCTCCTGTACTGTCTTTTCCTCACAGCTGATGAAGTTATGTGTTTCTAGGTGCTCACTATCAGGATTTATGGCTGAGCAGAAGACACAGAGAAGTGTGCCGTTATGTTCGACGATACCACCCTGTGGGGCACAAGTCCATTTGTCCAAGATGAGATGCATGGACTTCTCATGCCTTTGCCAATCATACTTGGCAGGGAAGGAGTCAGTGCAGAACGTGCATTGGAAAGGCCGGACAGCTTTGGCCTTGGAATGAGCCAATGTATTGACAGGCACCGAAGGCTTACGGCGACGGCGACGTTCTTTGCGATCCATTGAGCCAAAGGACAAGGAAGATCGATGAGAAAAGGCAGAAGCAAAAGAAAGGTCTGAAAGTGATGACCGACTGGTATCCAAGCTACTCCCTGAGGGGGTAGGTAGTTTATGTTCGGAGCTCGCATGGCTTGACTCATTGGTACTGGAGCCAGGGCGACGGGGCCTCACGTGACTCGACGGGCCCCGGCGTGGGCGAGAGGGATCGAATGGAGGATTGGCCAAGGCACGGTTAATATCGCTGATCGTAGCGGGTTCGTTCTCAGGAGGAGAGTACTTCCAACGTTCGAGGGGGGTCATGAGAGATACGTCGACGGATTGCTTCTTGGGGATGTCAACTGCCCCCGGGACGGGAGGGACGGGAGAACTGCTGCCGGATGATGAACGAACTTTACCGCGGCGCCTGGCGTTGGCAAGCCAATTTGAGATTTGCGTTCGAGTCAGCCCAGTGTACGTTTTGAGCTCGTCTCTTTCCTGCTCTGTGGGGTACGGGTTGTCGTTGTGATCTCGCAACCACCCCTTCAGGACACTGATTGCTTTGCGCGAAAATCGAGCGCTGCTGCTGCGAGAGCGCGAGTCGAAATCATCTGGGTATGCGTTGTAGGAGACCGACTTGAGGGCTTTTCTCCCCGTTAAACTGCCAGTTGGAACATACGCATTCTCTGACACACTGTGTAAGGTTTGAAGAAACTTTCCAGTGGTCTTAGCATGGGTGAAACTGCATTCGCGGTAGAGAGAGATGCAGCAAGTGCAACCGTAGTTTAAAGCACCACGTTTTGCAAGGAAACAATCCAGCCCTGCGCGGCGACAAAAGTCGCACGGTTCCTGGGCCCGGAACATGGGGTAACCTCCCTCGGGGTCAACGGCCTGTTCGGGGTGCATTGACTGCTCCGGTACCGGATCATTAGGGAATTCCAATGACTGATCTTGTACAATTGCGTCAAAGTTTGCTGCATGCTCCTCGGCTTCCTCAAGCTCGATATCAACTGAAGCGACATCGTCCTCCTGCTGAACGGAGCCATGAGCCGACGAGGCGCCCTCGAAATCAAAATACTCCATGATAGGATTTCACGGTGTGAGATACGCGGGAGTGTTGAGTGACGAGACCCGAGTCTGGTAAATGGGCGCAGTAGAAGGTTAGGGAGAGGCGGTCAAATGAAAGCTGGCCGAAGTTCGCACCCCTGGTCCGGGGTAAAGTGAGTGGAGTCTCCGGTCTGCACCACCGACCACGCTTTTCATGAGCTATGCCGGTTAGTCGGCATGGGCCGTTCCAATGCAGCTTATGTGTGGCTTGTCACGCCGATAAGCATTAATCGCCGATGATAGCCAAAGAGCATGAGGAGCCCGAGGGACGCTGTCCAACGGCATGTCCGCAAAAAAAATCGATTTGATGGGAGTTCATAGTACGGAGTATCCGGAGAAGAGAAACAAGTCCGAGTGGAGGAACAAAATCGAAAACTGGATCGCATCTGCGCGCCCTTCCAACGACAGCGCCAAACCCTTTTGGGACTAGCGTACTCACAGGGTGTGGATGCCAAGACTTTCCGTCAAAAAAGGAAGGAATGATTCATTCGACCGAGGTCTTCGACGGGCTTTTTCTTCCTGGAACTTTCTACTCTATTCCCAGGGTTCTGATGTTGATTGCGATCTATTCCAATTGAAGTGCGGATTCGTGGTCTCCACTGGACGTCCTCGTCTAGTCCACGGGACACTACCAGATATATATCCAATGGTCACCATGTTATGAAATTCCGTGAATCCATATATTCTATTGCTTGGAGTACGGAGTAGAGGACTTGATACGAGATCACAGATCACGCGAGTGCGTATACATGTAGGGCGTCAGAGTGGCTTGCTCCCGGAACTTACCACATCTGACCCGACATCCGTCCACGGGTGAACCTTGGGACCAAGCGGCAAACCAGACACATGGCCATTACCCCAGGTAATGGCGTATCAAAGTCATCCCGAGTCTTGGTTCAGCATTTTCAATTGCCCAGGTGGATCTTACAGTTTGATACAATACCCTAGAATGGAGCTCATCAATCAAATGCAGTCAAACCTGGGAAGCTAATGCCTTCCGAGGTCTTTCTCAAGATCGAGACCCACCTGGGAAATGCAGCCCCGACCTCGGACGGTCACCTGGGCATATCGTATATGCCTCAGGGTGGAGGAACCTTGGAAGAGATGAGAATCAGAACTCTTTTCTTCTTTCGATTACAAGCTACCTAGTCTTTTCTCAAGGTAAAGGGTGCGTTTCCTAAAGCGATATTCTAAAGTATAGAGCTATATCTCCCTGGTGTTGCGGTTGATTTGCCTAGATGCCTCAGGGTGGTAACATTGCCTAATCAGGCAGGAATCACATGTAGTATTGACCTCCACTTCAATACCCTCTCCCCTTCTCCCTCTTCCTCTCCCCACCAATGTTCCTTCACCACCAATAACCTCTTCAGCAATATGCGTGCATCAGATATTCTCTTGAACTGCCTCAAGCTACACATCTTATCCGGCTCTGAGCCAAAAGAGCAACAAAAAGAGCAACTGCGAGTGGTTTGATGCCACAGACACGCGCGATCGGCTGTTTAAGCTCTATCACTTTGCAAACCGTGGTCCTGTCGTCCGATTCTGCTCTCTGAGGTCGCTACCTAGGTAGCGACCCTGCAGATATGGACCTGCTCCTGCTATCAACCCAAAACTAGCTCACACCTCGTTGATCGTTGGTTGGATAAAGTCGTGCAATTTGCCGGGTCCGCCCTAATATTCATCTTCATCATCTGTGACTTTATCGCCCCGAGCAATACTCGGTGCTACCTACAGCAAGGTAAATGTATGGATTGCAATCACCTTTGACATCTAGGCTTTTACTGTGCTGTGTATCTTATTCCTTGTTGATGCGTTAATTTCTCCGTGGGCATTCTGAGCTTGCTTCCATCCTGGTCGAAATCCAATCTCAATCCAGCAGCAACTGTCGGATGATTGCAAAACTCAACAAAAGACTGTGGCCTGAAATCACTACCCGCATCGCCAATGTGTACAAGAATGAACCACTCCGCTCACTCAAGCCACCCTGGGAGAGTCAAAGCTTGTTTGCTCGATGCAGGATCTTCCTCACGAAATTTTTTGAGCACACCATCACTGTCGGGATCTACTGGATAGTCATCTTTATTCGGTTGGGCTTGAGTCACAGCTGTCGCTGGACAAACGGTGGCAATTATACATCAATGATTCCACATCTACTCTCATGGTCCTCGTTTTTGCATTCCTACCTAGATAACCCGCCTGCTTGAATGCTATGCCAAGTACACGCGGAATCTTATTTATGCCGTCTTTCAAGTCTACAAAAATATCGAGCCTGAGCTTCGCAAAATTATCCAAGTCGAGCTACTGAACACGGCAGTGGTTGTCGCCCACGCAAGGAATGTTGTTTCCAGATGGCTGTTTACTACTATGCCGACCTCATCTTAACCCTTGCTAATATCATTACTCTCCTTCATCGGGGCTGGTAGTCATCGCCTGGGCAGTCTTGGGTCGCGCCTTTAGATATAAGAGGACATGATGTCTCCTTATTGGAATTTCCACTGGGATTGTCGGCATTTTTAATAAATATGAGCTCCTACCTATTGATTGTGGTAGCCGGGCTCGCTCTGACAATGCCCTGTGTCGTGGCCTCGAGTGTGATGCACTGGATTTTGGGGAGGCAATTGATATCAAAAGTCTCACCTAGCATCATCGAGACCTTCTTCAGGTTCTTCCTGATCATGGGTCAAGACGGTGCTTAAGTGAACGCTCGCATTGTCGTTCGTGGTGAATGCTCGTGAGCAGACCAGATCTGCGCAGTGGAGCGATGCTCGTGCTGCGATCTGAGCTCTCGGTGATTTGAATGCCTGTCTGTCCCTGCCAGGTGGCGGGTTTCCATGGTTATTTGTCAGTGGAGAAGATGCGGGTGTTTCTTTGGATACACTGCTCTTTTGTGGTCACTTTGACTTCGCTCTTTCCTCACTTTAACCTTACATCATAGTCGTAGTACGGAGTTCTGTTGAGAGAAAGAGATGATCATGTTCCATCTCAGCTCAGTCGTAGATCTCTTCTGTGCTTTGTTTTTTCTTGGCTGCGTTTTCTATTCCTAGAATCAACTCTCTCTGCTCTCTCTCCGGTACCAGCCAGTAGCTGTCCCAATAAGTTCCATTCTACATCATACTTTATATCCATGGCTAGGGTCAGGGGTGAACTTTACCTTGAAGTATGCATTGGATACTGATAAACGTTTTGTACCGTAGATCTCAGATCTTTTGGACGATATATCAGTACTAGTAGTACTAGACCCTTTTAAAATCGGGGAATATCTCGGATGATGCTCGGATATCAACGATGATCCCGTCGACCCAGCCCCGGACCTCGGGAGATCCACCGACCCTTCCAACCTTCCAAGGTTGGAACCTTGGGATGTTGGAAGGGCGATGATAGGCGGACGAGAGAGCCGTCCTGGTCTCGGACCGACGAATCAACTGATCGGATTGGACCCGTGGATACTCGGAGATAATATTCCCCCCCTTCCGACCAACCAGGATTGCGTATATTATGATGTCATCACACCTTGTATTTATCAGTCGATTATCCCACCTGGGCAGTATAGAGTTGTTCCTTTTTTGCACCTACTATTGTTTATACCATTTCACCACTCAAATCAACCCTAAAGCATCATGGTTTCATTTGTAAATACAAAAGTTATGGGCGCGGCCTTTGAAGTGACCGATAGATATTCGGATTTACAACCCAGGGGCATGGGGAGCTCGGGACTAATCTGGTTTGTGTGATCCTTGTGGCCTGCGTGTGGGAGCAGATTGCTAAAAACGCACAGCTCGGCGCGGGATTGCTTCTCTAATTCACAAGTTGCTATCAAAAAAATACCCGCGCCATTCGATACCCCAGCATTGGCCAAACGCACGTATCGCGAGGTGCATTTGCTAAATCACCTGCGACATGATAATGTTAGTTCAAGCCCACTGGACAACCATTTTCCATTGCGTCCAGAAACTTATTATGATCAGTTAATTAACATGACGGATATCTTTATCTCTCCGTCTGAGGATATGTATGAAGCCCAATGCGCACTCAGGGGCAACGATCTAATTCCGCCTATGCAGATACATTGTGACGGAATGCATCATGACAGATCTTCACCATCTTTTGAAATCCACATCCAAGCAGTTGGAGGGTCAATTTACCCAATTTTTTACATACCAAATGCTGGTGCGTGTCATACAGCCTATCCAAGCAGGTAGCACATCTGACGGAAGCAGCGAGGGTTGAAATACATACACTCAGCCGGGATCATTCACCGTGACCTCAAGCCAGGGAACATCTTGATCAACGATAATTGCGACCTGAAGATCTGCGACTTCGGCCTAGCCCGAGAACAAGATGCCCAAATGACAGGCTATGTCGCAACACGGTATTATCGTGCACCTGAGATCATGCTCACATGGCAGAAGTACACTTACGGCGTTGACATGTGGAGCGTCGGATGCATACTGGCGGAAATGATCATAGGGAGACCACTCTTTCCTGGCAAGGATCATGTACATCAATTCACGCTGATCACTGAGATCCTGGGCAAGCCGTCTGAGGAGGTGTTGAAACGTGTTTTCAGTTCAAGTGTGGGTTGAGGATCTCCTGCACGCTGGAAGACCAAGAGATACTAACTTTGCATCATAGACATTGAAATTTGTGGAGTCATTGCCAAACACAGAGCCCCGTGGGCTTGCGTCTATCCTCGGGGACGTTGACCCTCAAGGTAAGCCATACTTCCTGACGCGGCCTCTACCAAGTTCCTTTGTTTGAGTTATGCTGACTTTCAAAGCTCTTGATCTGTTGGAGAAAATGCTCAAGATTGATCCGTTCGAGCGAATCACTACGGACGATGCATTGAAGCATCCATATGTCTCGACTTACCAAGACTCTAGCGATGAGCCTGTCTGTCGCAAGCAGCTTGACTGGTCACTTCTGGATTCGGAGCTCAGCGCCACCGAGTGGAAGACCGCAATGTATGACCCCTTTTCTCAATACCTTTTCAATTGATCTGACCATTTGAAGGTATTCCGAGATTTTGGAATACCATAGTGGTGCCTGCGACTGGGAGATTGATCACGTTCCACCGAAGGGGAAAATCGAGAACGCATTCGAACAAGAGATGAGTGGCACGTACTAGAGTTTGTCCCAGCATCGCTCAATGTTCAATCATTCGAGCCAATCGCAGGATTAGATCTACAAGTTATGATTAACGAGGGATTAGGTACGCCCCAACAACTTTCATCGAAAGTAATAATTGGCCTTTATACAGTCCAAGTACTTTTAGAATATTGCTTCTAATTTGTCTACTGCCATGCGGGGTAGACTTCATAGAGTTGATTCTGACGCGAGGTCCCCCAAAAGCCGACGGCTATTGAAACTCCTCGCCCGACCTCGGGAGATTTTAAATTGTTACATCAGGCCACTATTTTAGTCGATGTTTCAATATCATCCAACTCTCCAGGGCTAATTCACTAGATCACATAATTGTCACACATCAAACATGTCACAGGCTCCATCCATTCGCTGGGGTATTTTGAGTATGAAGCAGGGTTCCGGATTTTACGATATTGTGCTGACCTTTTCATGAAAGCTACGGGCAAAATATCGTCTTGGTATGTGGCGGATCTTGTTCTTTCTCGTCCAGAAGCGAAAGTTCGCCATATTGTGGAGGCCATCGGAACTTCGGACGTCAATCGTGGTAGATCATTTGCGCAACAGTACTGCCCGAAAGAAACACCGAGGATTTATGGAAGCTACGAGGAAGTGTATCAGGACCCGAATGTCGACATCGTCTATATAGGAACACCCCATGCGTTCCACAAAAATAATTGCCTCGACGCGATAGCAGCGGGAAAGCATGTGCTTTGTGAGAAGCCCTTTACTATCAACGCCCGCGAGGCCAGAGAGGTCTTCGAGGCAGCGAGGGAAAAAGGCGTTTTCATCGCCGAGGCAATGTGGCTTCGACATCGTCCCTTGACCATTGAGCTTCAACGGCTCCTTCATCAAGAAAAGGCAATTGGCGAAATTTTCCAAGCAACTTCACACTTCGGGTCAGAGATTGACATTCCAAATCTGCCGTTGGACAAATACTACCGGCAGAACTCAATGGGAGCTGGCTCTCTCCTCGACATCGGCATCTACGCACTGACATGGATTGTGCTCAGCCTGGACTCTGAGCTTGAGGCAGATCGCGCAAAGCCCAAGATATTGGCAGCTCAGACTCACTGGGAGGACGTCGAGATAACGTCCACCGCCATTCTCCAGTACCCCTCCACTGGCAGGCAGGGCATCGCCACCTCAACGACCATGGCAATTGGCAACCCGGATCTCCTGGCCCGCGTCCATGGCACCGCCGGGTCTATCGAGGTTCATGGCTCCTGTCCATCGGCTCCAGATAGCTTCACCCTTTATCCATCGTTCAATATGGGCGCAGGAGACAAAGTCTTCCGTGGCGAAGGCAAGAAATATGATTTTTCAGCCCCCGGACGTGGTTTCCAATATCAAGCAGATAATATCGCCCTGGATGTACTCAGTGGTCGACTGGAAAGTTCAATTGTTCCTCAGTCTGAAACGATCCGCACGATGGAGATAATGGATGAGATCCGACGACAGGGGGGTACACGATACCCGTCCGATTGAATCAGCTGCGGCTTTTTCGGGCTGAACAGGGGCTGTGAAAATCGGAATTGGGTGACCGAGGCTTGGAATCCTAGACATGTATCCCATTCAACGCAAGTAGCAATCCCTGTGAGGATCTTGCAATCACTCTTCTAAATTTGAAGTTGTTGACATTCAAACCCTGAGTAAGATCATCGTAAGTACTGTAAGTACTACCAGTACTCTAGTACCGTAGTAGAAAGCTTCGACGTTGCTTTTCCCTGACGCGATTTTCCGCCCCCATCTGTGTCGAGGTCGATGCTCCGTGCCGTCTCTCTCCACTTGAGGCCCCTTTCTAAAAGCGGCAATTTCCTTGTCAATCCTTCGTGCAAAAATCTAGCCCCGCTTAGTTCCGTTAGGCACAGAAAGCTCCTTTTCGACTTTGGGACGATCTTTCTTCAATAGGCTGCGCCGCAGAATGTATGCGGTGATTGGCACGATATCGGATGTTCTGCAGAGCACCCGATAAGGACTATAGTATCGCCTATTCTCTGTCGCAAAAGCCTGGGCGTGATGATCTCAACGTTTCAGCCGAGCGGGGCTATTGGATTATTGTGGGGGCTGCCATGAACCTCAAAACCTCCAAACGTTATGCCATGGACCCAATTATCATGGGGTCTCAAAGTACGGAGTACATACTAGTACAGTACTTTATGAGTGAGATCTCCGCAACATATGCAAGCATTGTCACACCCGGGCACCATTTCTGCCTTGCCAGGGGGCTGAGCATCCAAACATTTTGATCGTGATACCTGGAGGCATAGAGTACACCTGGGCACTTGAAACCTCATCCGCCCAAAAACCCGTCGTATTCATCATCGTCAGATTCCGATACGAAATTTGCTTCTTGTCTATACTTGTCTCTCCGGACTTTCACAATGTCTGGATTTTCCACTGGACAATCTCCGCCCAGGAATGCATCGTACGTGTACTCAGTGTCGGTTGCCGGAGATGCTGCCATCACTTTGACAAAGCGGAATGGATGCTTTGGGATTTCTTCGTCAGAATGATTCCCCGGAAGTGAAGCGCTGAGGAATTCTTGGAGTGACTCCTCGTCAATCACTATGCACATCCGATATAGTGAATTTTGATTGCTGCGGTGTGCCGCTTTCACCCAGGAGCTGAAGTGTGAGTGTATGGACTCTGTCGACGCATTCTCGAACTGCAGTCGATTTTCCATAATTATTGGAAGATGATGGGACCATATCTCCTCGCAGGGAGCAGGTTTTGTACTGTGTAGCTTGTGATCTTTTTTGGAGGCGGCCTCGGAGAAGAGCTCTTTTTTGATGTGGCCGTTGAGTGATTCGATCATCTTAAGGAACGCGATGTCGGATTGGGGGGTGTATGTTGTACGGTAGATGACGTAGCCCCAAGTTGCTTTGCTTTTAACGGCAATGTGGAGACGTTGCGTCGCCCAGGGAAGCCAGGTGGTGTCCATTTTGCTGGTGGTGTCTATCGAAAATGGGGAACGATGAGTGAAAAAATATTCCTAGAGTTTGTAAGTGACAGGTGGTGACAGGTATAAATTGGGCCCCGGGGGAGCGCTGGGAGAAGCTGATCACAAGCTAGTACTTCGGAAAGTAGAGATTGACGCTACACATTCAGTATATTCGTTAGCGCTGTTGACACCATGAAACTGTGAATCATGTGAGTATGTGATTGGTTTGATCTCCAGTCGGATATCAGCGATCTCTAAACCCGTTAAACTTCTTGTCTTGGTGAAAACCAGACAAGTCTGCAGTTGGAATTTACTGTAGATATGCCGCAGGTGCTTTGAGTTCCCAATGGTGCGGAAACTGTTGCCTAGTCTTGCAGGCCTCAGCGCATTTCGAGCCTTCCGAGGTGAGGCGATCAACAAGCATCCCAAAACAGCAATCTCGCGTGTGCCCGTTTGGGTCCAGAAACCGTCGATCTCGGCCCCCGATTTTGCCTATCACGGATTAGCCAATGAGAGCCTGCAATACCAGCCAACCGAAGCGGGAGCCCTGGAGCCACGGGCTGTGGGGCCATGGGCTATGGGGCTCGGGCTTCCAACCTTGCGACTTCGTTGAACCCACGACTTCCGGGGCTCCACCAGGACAAATTTCACGCCTGTGTGTCTGCTTTAGCTCAGCAATGCAACAAAGCACTCAGGGGCGCTTTCGACTTAGCGTGACAACCACAATGGCCTGTCTGCCTGGACTTCCGAACTCTTAGCTTTCAACGTTCGGACTCTGTAGTGGTCCTCTGGGATGCACCCCGTGAAGACGTGATATCGAGATGACATCCATGGTCCAATCCAAAACTGCTTCGGGAAACATTCCTCTCACTACACATTTCACACCGCCAGCGTCATGCAGCAGCCAATCGTGGATTTCCTCGGATTGTTCAACCAGCACATGCACGGGGATCTATAATATTGTGCGCGCGACCGAGTCAGAATGTTATCCATCAGGCTGGGCAACTTCAGCTACGACCTTCTCTCCGGGGATAGACTGTCCAGTCGGATACTATATCGCGCAAACCACGACCAAGCTCCTTGGTGGTGCTAAGAGTGTTGAAACTCTTGGGACGTGCTGTCCTTCGTACGAGGTCCCCGCTCACGCTTCGGCATGAAATTTTCTGACCAAACGCTAACATTGTTTCTTGTTCCAGTGGTTTCAATGTCGCAACACACACTTCGCAGTCTTGGTACGAACGCGAACCTTGCATTATGAGAAGCGACGGTGTTACCACAATAACCTACCCCTTTGGCAGTCCGACGCCATCTACCACCGCTGTAGTAACATACCCTTCTCCCGTGATCCACGCGATGCCTGTTGGTATTATATGGCAGTCAACCGACCTTACATCAACACCGACATCAACTTCGACGCCAAGCCCAACCCCAAGCTCAACCTCATCAGGGCTATCAACCGGCGCAAAAGCAGGCATTGGAGTCGGTGTGTCCGTTGGTGTGATTGGTATTGCATTGGGAATCGGAGCGTTTTTCTGGTTGCGCCGAAGGAGAACTGGCAGTGATGATACCCCGGCAACATCTGCCACTGAGCATGCTCAGGAGGCTCAGGAGGCTCAGGAGGCTCCTGTCAACAATGATGCAGGGTATAAGAAAGCCAGCCCCGGGATTATGTCTGAAATGGACGGTGCACAAACGTCTTCTTTCACAGCTGAGCTGCATGGGGATGAGCCGCAGCCACGTGAACTGGATGCGAAAGGGACCTCGAAATGAGGAAATACGCCTGGGCGCATTCGAAAAAAAGCACTATGTACCCCAGGGTGGCAGGGCTCCTGAGTCAACGAAATGATCTCGCCGTCGGTTTTCATCATTGTGTGTACTACCCGTGGACGCAAAGGTCAGCGATAATGATTCCTATGCAAGTACATAGATTCTCTTGCATACTAATACCCATATCTTCATGTCAATCAAATCAGCTCCTGAGAGCTACGATCAAATCTCGTGTCCACTGGTTGTAGTTTTTTTGCCCTGTTGCCTTTGCTCCAAGTGGCTGCGATTAGGGAAGTCGTTTTCTAGACCAGATAACTGTATTGGGAGGCTTCTTGTTGCACAGCAGCATCTTCCAACTGCTTTTTATTGGCCTGCTGGTTAAAATGAAGTGGCTCTGTCACAAAACTCATCCCATAATGCTTTTGTATTCTTCGTGGCTCATGACCGTCATGGGTCAGGGTATCGCGATAGTCTCGCTTCGTCTGTTTTGCGATCGAAATCTCTGAAGCTGTGCTCTGTGCTTTGGATTGACAATGGAGCCAACATCCATACGGGCTCCTCGTAGGCTGTTCCGGTCGTGCAGAATCCAACGCAAAGTGTGATGTCATCATCTGCACCATGCTTATGTCCTTCCATCTTTTTCTTGGATCAGCAGTCGCCTTTTTGGTTGCATGCAAATCTTGCGAGTCGAGTCTCTAGCTCGAGCTAGTGTTTCCGCGCAATCATCGGTAGGACATTGGTCTTCGTTGTAGTGGGAGCGACCAAGGTATCGCGCACGTGCCTTGGTCTAGTTCTAACACTCGACGGTGGCCCTCCAGGCCAACAATGATACCAATCCAGTTGGGTTTCTCTCGATGCTGTTGAATGTTGAAGTGATTCTGGATCCACTTTTGTCATGACAACTTTCTGCCCAGGTGTGAATGAGATCATCGTGGGTTTAGTGTGGACGTCGGTGGTGGTTTTGCCCGAGAAGCACGGTGAAAAGACGGATAATTCGCATGAGACAGGAATCAGACTCTTCCCAGGTGATCGATGAGCTCTGTGAGTTCCTGTGTGATCAGGGGTTATTTCGATGCACCTTCCCGAGGTGGAGGAAGAGAATAAGTCAAGATTCATTTGCGCGTTTGACCTTCTCTCTCCCTAAGAGTCCCTCTCCCCTCCATGTCAACTCTCACTCGAAAGTTTCCCCTTGACGTTCTTTTCTTTCTCACTACCAGCAAGCTCCTTACGTCTTCTAGAATTCGTCGCTCCCCCCCTCAGCCCCATCGCCCTTGTTACATCCCGTTCGTACACCCAATATCTATATTCCCTGCGGTTTTCTCGGTTGCGCCAAACAGGAACCAGCACTCCTCGTCTCGCCTTTCCGGTACTTGATACATAATCACAAGTCCAGTCCACAGGTTGGGAGGTGGAAGGCCTCAAATCAAGTCGCCCAATCAGAGAGAACCTACAATGATATAATCAATTTCTTCGCATGTGTTGGCCAGCAAGGGTGGCGGGAAATGGCAAAGAAAGGCTCGACCGGCGTTAAGATCTACCCCGAAGCCCTAGGCTCCACTAACATCTTGCCAGATCTCTCCATTCCTCTTCCACTAAGAGATCTCACAGTAGACGCCCCCGCAGGCAACAACGCTCTATTTACTCTGTCAATACCAGAAGTAACCCAACAAAGGCCACGAGAACAGGATTCATGATCTTGAACATTCACGAATCGAATTTCTATATTCTTGGCTCATTCTTGATATTTTTGTCTCAGGATCCCGCGTCGCAGGTACTCAGAGGTAATGAGGAAAGGCCGTCTTCCCGGCACGAGTCCAAGCATCTATACTCTCAGCAATTTCTACAGGCTGGCTGCAGTCAGCCTGATTGGGCTTGCAGGTCTTCATTCTAGATATGCGACAGCATCTGAATGTGCGGGAATATCGTACAGATATGATTGGGACATTGTAATTTGCTTCGCATGCGACTGACGGGCCCGGCTGACAGAGTGACCGAGAAGAGTGGCACTTGCTGGGTGTTACTATCGAGCGGCTATTTAGACACCAAGCATGTTCTCTCTTTTTGGGGAGGTCTTCAGATCCATGAAGAAGAGCGAAGAGAGTATGATCATCGTGAATACCACCCGTGGACCCTGAGAACAGTACATGGCCATTCTGGGCAATTGAAATCTCAGTCTCCACAATGGCAACACTTCAGTGTGCACCCATAACTCAGCGTAGCTTGTGAAGCTGCATGATTTTCTCGTATGAAACTGTGAGAGGTTACAAATTGCGAATTTCAGCAGCAACCACTTGGGTGCATTGTCATAACAGCACGGGCTGCCATGAGTTTGGATAGCCCACAAGCGTCATCAATTTCGAAAGATCGCATCGCACGGATCCGGGTTGTGAGTTCTGGGGCAATTTCCGCGTCCTGGGCTACAGGGGCGAGCAGCCCTGGCACGGCGCCTTTCTCCGGGCACAATGTACCTTATCGCCACCCCAACAAAAGCCGGCCTGGAATGCGAAAGAAAATGGAAATGATAGAAGTGGAAAAGATCTTACACTTCTGCAAAGCTAATATCAGCACTTGTGGCATTTGGTATCTCACTTTTGGTCATTCAAACCCTGGTAAATTCGATGGGGCCATGGTTGTATGTGGGACCAATGTAAGCTGGCTTGATACCTGAGATTCATATGAAGGAAAGGGGCAAATTCGATGACACCTGCCTTTGATAATCCAGGGGTCTCATATACAGCCAATTTTTACTTCTCCGGGGAGAAAAGCCCCGATTCGACAATAGTGGCTGGAAGCTGGCTTTTCCCCCAGCAAAGGCGTGGTCGAGCTGTACTCAAGCAACTTCAGAAACAACATCGAAAGTCATTTCAATTACGGCGTGGAGGATAACCTCGACGTATTTATTATCTCCGTTGGAACTTTTCTGCTTGGGTGGCTCAACATTGCCCGTTCAGGCAGGGTCTTGAGGCTGTGGAGCCTCTATTCAAACGTCAGTGCTTTTTGAACCAATGCGGCATAGGAAGATGCTCGAATATCCGAATTTAAAGGGGAATAAACCCGGCTATGTTTTTTTTTGCTACCTCCAATCCCACAAAACTGCTATGAGCCATTTATTGTCTGAGGTACTCCGTAGATGCTGTGCTGATGCGTTCATTCTTGCGGTCTGGCTAGATCCTAGATATCATCTGCAACGCAGTCCAGAATTAGAAGTTCAATGGGCTATCATGATACATTCGAGTATACAGGATGCGTTTTGTGTCATTAAAATGGGCTCTCGATCAGCATCGCAACAATAATATACTAGTAGTACTTGATGTGGCATGTTAGAAGAGCTCCCATTGTGATAGGTATTGATGGAAGGACCACAGAGAACAAGATCCGGTTTTCTCACAGCAACAGGGATGTTCTGATACATCCTGATCCATTCAATTCCCCTCTTTGACCCCACTGAAGTCCTCGCATCATGGGACCTCCATATGCATAGGCATACCCGGATACTCCGTACTCAAATCGCTCTTGACAGCTTTCACAACTCTTGCGCGTTGGCTTACTCTCCTCCGTCTCCGCACTTAAAAAACCTCCTTCTTTAGACAAGGAGCGCGGGGCGGGTATTTGGCCGGTGTTGTCGGCACTTCTCCTTTCGGGATTTTGGCGCTAATTATGAAAATCGACTAATCTGGCTGACGGAGAGTGGCAAGTCCACTTCCTACTAGCCCATTTTTGTGTCACTTCCTCCGCAAGTCTTAGCTCAACTCCGTTGTACCGGGCAACAAGCCAAATAGCGGTGGGATTGCAAATCGGATACCATCAAATTCGGGTGTATTGAGCATAGGAGCCTGCAGTAAGACCAAAATCGACATGGAGTCTTCCATTTACGATATCACTGTTTCAATCTCTTCTTTCGTTTGAATGTCAAGTCTCTGGCCTCCCTGTGTCATTGTCCGGCTCGACTGAAGTAAATGTTGAGCCATCGGATTCTCACAACCCCATCCCCAATCCTCAGTTGTTCCGGAGTCCCCTGATATCTAACCACATTTCCAAGCCAATGCGGGCCAGTCATTGGCACTGATTCCTTGGTGGATTTAATATATAGCGCTTCTAGCCGCTGTTTAGCTTTTCTAGTTTCAACGACCCGCTTCGGGACATAGTAGATCATCCACTGATGGACGTATCAATTGCCACTACACCGTTTCTAGCTCGGAGATTCAAGAAGAACGCGGTAATAACTGCAAGCGAGCCTGGATAAGTGTGATGAGTGATGCTGTCTGTGGTGATTTTTTGGTTGGTGGGTCTTATAACTGCGTGGGGACTAGTTTCAAGGTTGCAGGCACAGCCACAATGCCAATGTTCAAAAATCTTGGCTCTGGGCAAATTCACTATGATTCTACCTTAGTATTGGCTACATGGCGCCACGGAACAACGGTAACCCAAGACGGAACTTTAGGAGTTAGAAAATGTCTTAATTTCCCGTGAGGAGGTAGCTACAGGATACATCCAAGCCGACATAGGATCTGGACCCTGCATTATACCTGCTGATTGTGGGTTATGCATCCAAATGCTCCACTCAGGTGGCTTCGGCTTTCTTCACGGATATTAAGGATTCATGATGGTTTACTCCGTATATCTGGCTGAAACATCTGGTACTATCATATGGTCCTCGAAAGGTATAAAAGGGTACTCATCGACCTTCAATTCAAAGAGAACATCAACGCAATTAATTATCAATTGAAAAGACAACCAGCCGAACAAAATGCACTGGAGCACCATCGTCCTTGGATTCATTGGCATTGCCAGTGCCCAAACACTCAACATCCCCTCTCGCGTGGGCAGCATCGTCTCTCTGCCATCTCCCAGTGTGATCAAGGGCAGCGTTGATCTTGGAAACCGGGAGTACGACCGTGGTCGGGCTTGCGACAACGATGATGACAACGGTATGTCTTTTGTAGCCGATATTTGAAAACGGAGTTAACGACCCTTGAAACAGGCTCTGACAGTGCCGTGTTCATCTTGGAGGATGGAGCATCCCTGAGCAACGTGATCATTGGAAAGGACCAGCTCGAGGGTGTCCACTGCAAGGGATCTTGCACTCTCACCAATGTCTGGTTCCGTGATGTCTGCGAGGTGAGTTTTTCAATCAGTTCATTGGCTTTTCAGCGCTGATCTGTCACCTGTAGGATGCCATTTCCATCCTCGGATCCGGAAACGCCCTTATCAAGGGCGGAGGTGCCCAAGAGGCCAAAGACAAGGTGGTTCAGCACAACGGAAAGGGAACCGTCACCATCGACGGATTCACTGTTGTGAACGCCGGAAAGCTGTACCGCTCGTGCGGAAACTGCAGCAACAACAAGAGCAAGAGCCCCCGCAAGGTTGTGGTCAAGAACGTCAAGGCTAAGAACGTGTCCACCTTGATCGGAATCAACTCCAACTACGGTGACACTTCGAGTGTGAGCAACACCTGTGGATCCAGCGTTAAGCACGTCTGCCAGGAGTTTGAGGGAGTTGAGAAGTCGGCTGGTAAGGAGAGCCCCAAGCTCACCTCGACTGCGTCGTGCAAGGGACAGTCTTCGCTTTCTTCTTGCTAAGTTCGAGTTGACGGCTTGACGCGGAAGTCACTTTTCCTGTATTGTATCCTTGACTTTGTTTCGCACATATCTCCGAATGGTCCTCTTTAAAGGAGGTGATAAATACATGATGCAGTACATTCCTTCAATTTGTCTGATTATCCTTTGTTGACCAAGTAAAGTTAATGAACCCCAAGTCAATCTTACACTTTGATCACTTGATACATGTCCTCCATACCATAAGATTAAATCGAACATTCCATCGATCCATACTTATGCCTAGATACATCCAAGATCCTAAACTGAGGGCAAACCTCAGGGGCTGGGGTGCATGGAGAGAACAGCCTCGGGACGACCACATGGCTCAAACCGCATAGTGTACTGCAGGCCTTCGAGATAACAGGCGCAGTCCTGAAGCCTGTTTTGTGGTGATGATTAGGTAGCATAACAGAAACAACCAAAAAGAAACACAAAAAATGATGAAAGGAAAAAAATAATGTGGCGGTACCCGGATTCGAACCGGGGCCAACGCAGCATTGAGATGTGGATTTCTCCACGTTCACCACAATGCGGTATCCTACCCCTAGACCATACCACCATATTTTGTTTCATTGGACCTGTTTGTTTTCTATACCAGATTGAAACCAGTACAGACACCAACGTACTTGTTGAAGCATCAAGTCGACGCAACAATCACCATGATGCTTTTCAGACATGGGAGGATTCAGGAATTCCCACAAACTCTATGTCTAGTTACTAGTTAGGTGCTAAAAAAATACCATGAAGACGTTCCTCAAGGCTTTGCAAAAAAGACAATTAAATTTTTTGATCTCTCTCGAGTTCTGGTTCCCGGTTGGCCTGATATTTATATCGTGACTGTAAGATGGTCATTATGGCGGTGACCCACAATCAGCACAGAGACCTCTCGCTTTGAGCCAATCATCAGCACCTTGGTTCCTTTCTCCAATATCCAGTGCTACCAAGATCCGGCTAACACAGTTATAACCCGCAATAGTCGTCGTCATTTCAAGAACCTCCTGGGGGCTAAAGAGAACTTTCAGTTCTGTGAACACCTCGTCGGGAACTTTGATCGTCTTCGTCATAGCATCCGTATACCTCAGCACAATTCTATGCTCAGGACTTAGCACGGAACAGAGTGATTCGCTGGAGAAATCAATTTCCGCATCCTTGATGATATCCAACATCTCTTCTCTTACGCCACTCTTCTGCAACAGTGGAGCGTGCTGTTCCCATTCAAACAAGGCTCCATTCACTACGGCCACACGGCAGATTGCTAGCTCTCTGACTGTGGCAGAGAGAATTGATTGGGTTCTGATTGCGCCGAAGAAGGAATTCCACCCCTCCGCGATGGGAAAAGAGTGTAGTAGAGCAAGGTCCAGAGGGAGAAGAGGGTTTGCTCCTCGCCGGGCTTGGATGTCCGCCAGAACCTGGGCTTCGTGGGGTGTGCTGGTCTGTGGAGGGTCTTGGACGTAAGGAAGGCGCATTTTGAAGGGTTGATGATAGAGATGTGGTATATTCTGGGGTTTTAGCAGCCACATGTCAGCCGAGAAGGAGGGATGACTTTCAAAATTAGGCTGGACACCTACCTCGGGTAGATATTCTCAATATCGTGAATCCCTGGTAATCAGATTGTGGGTGATTGGGAAGGCTTGACTGGATTGGGGATCTGAAAGATTAAGTAGGGAGAGAAAATGTCTTTTGTGCGCAGGTTCTGATCAGCGAATCTCTGAGACGTGCAGAGCAGACAATACTACCTTGGTAAACCAATTATACAAGGCCATTCTAGCCCTCTGTTTCTCTTTATACTTTGATCTTCTTCTATTCAGACAGCTCATTTATACGACATGCATGGTTAGCGTACACCCCCTTAGGTGTAGAGCCAATCGATAAGCACATAGGGGATCTCAATCCCATGGATTAGTTCACCGAGATCGAATTTGAGTTTATTCACCATCATCTATGTGGATCAGACTAGTGTGACGATCGTGGGGCCAAATCTCAGTGACAAAACTCGTGCGTGAAAGCCATTGCCTCAAGGTAAGTAGATCGATCGGGCATGAATCGGGCGTAGATCGAGCTACCGGTGAATTTCGGTGAAGATCGACACTGACAGATTGACCCTCTGCACCTCACAAGATAGATCGAACTTCAATGGCCTAATATAGTGCGTGCTTTGGTCATATGACACATCTGGGCAGAAGACAAGCCATGTTGTGTTACAATTATAACAGCAGTGATACTCCGTACTATCGATCAATAGTTTTCTTTTCACAATAGGTGCACGACCGAGAACCATATTCTCTTTGAGCTTAAGCCAGCTATCAGATTCAGCATGGGTGTTATGATCAATGGAAGATTGCCTTGAAAGTACCTGATCCCACGGCTGAAGACACATGCATCATTTAATATCACTAGCAATATGCCACGCAAGAGAAGATTTACTTACCTCTGTCAGGAGCGGTGTGTGGGACGCCATAGCGCTACTTGATCAACCCTTTTTTCGGAAACTACTCCGTAACTGCGCGCGCCAAATCCTACTAAAGGTGGGGCGATCTACGATCTGGAAACACACCGCCCCTTGATTGATGCGACCAATAGTGCAATTGGAACGGTTTGAAGTTATCATTATTAACATCGAAAGCCTGTCTTCGGATTTCCAAGGAGCCCTGGAGGCTCCAAGAGCTGACGTCAGATACCGCCTCTGGGGGTATCCGGCTATCATGACAAGAAAGAATATAAAGATAAGTAGTATGCGTCCACTGCCGAGTATGTAAAACTCCGACTCATGTTGGTCAAAATATTCTCGTTCTCAAGTAATGTAGACGATGAGTGCGAGATCGATTACAAAGTTGCAAAGCGCCATTCGAGTCCAAGGTCCAGGATCCTATTCACGGCATCGGCACTCGGCTTAATGAAAGCATAATGTGAGAAAGCCCTTTGAAAAGATTCGTTCTCTTAAGCTGCTGATAGTGTTGTCCATCCCATGTCTCAAAGATTATCTGCACGTCTGAGTTGCCAATGTATTCCATGGCCAAGTACTCACTTTCGAGGAAACCAAACGGATGGCAAATATAGGAGTAAGGCGGTGCATGTTCTAAAAGCCACAGAATAAATCTCTGGACTAACCGAAGACATCTGGGCACCCATGGGATATTCTGGAGTCTTGGAAACTAAACGAGCCACAGGTTAGATTTCATGTGACCAAGAATAATGGTCATTGAGCGGCATACGCTTTGGTCTCCAGCAGACCCGAGTCTCCATAGTTGTGGGATGGCAGTTCCGGAAAATTATCATTTATGTAAATGAAGGTTGCAGCTTCGCAGCGAATTTTTTCATCAATATTGCCTGGGTTTTTGGTTCCTCCAACTTTGTAAGACAAAGGAAACCTGATAAAGGCTTGGTTAAGCGGGTCTTGATCCCGCTTGCCGATATAGAGCGGAATCGAAACGTTTGAATTGCCATGCATCTATTCATTGACGCTTCCACTTCGGCAAGTGTCCGAAGGACCGAGACCGAGATGGTAGTATAATGCAATTTTCTCAATAATACCCCGATTGCTGTGCAGCAGAACAAAGAGACCAAGGAGCTTTTCTGGAAGCCCAAGCTCAAGAATCATGTTCTCCCATTGCTCCAGTGCTGACTCCAAGGTCATTTCCCCTGAGAGGAGTGGTAGGGTAGCCCCGTGGGAGGTCATGGCGACAACTGGTTGATCGTATCGGAATTGAAATTTCGAGCCTCTTGCTTGTAACTGGTTAGTATAGTAGCGATGATCAACGGCTCTAGATGATGATGGAACTCGGTGGCATCCCTAGATCTCCTAAGGCTTTCCGTTTGAAAGAGGGCTGGGGATGCTCTGTTCACCGCCTTAGCCTTCCCCAGCCACAATGTGACATGCAAAATACTATTATCATCGAAGGGGGAAGTTTGAGGCCCTTCCAGCCTTGAGAGGCTGGTTTTCAGGACTACTTCTCGCGAAAAGAAGATGTGTTTAGTGAATGTCGGAATAGGGCGTGGACCAAAACTGGTCCTGACGGGTCGACCCGAGAGCTACCAGTGGACCAAGCTCGATGGGCGTGTGACTCAGTGGTAGAGTGTTCGCTTTGCATCTGAATAGCTCCAAGTGGCTGTTTTCCAAGCTTGCGAAAAGTCCGGTGTTCGATCCACCGCTCGTCCAATCTTTTTGCTCACTTTGCGGATAATTCCATAGCGTGGCACACCCATACACCCCTACCCCTCGGGGGGCCACGGGGGCCAGGGCCAGGCTCCACCTACTCTCCGAAAGGCGGAAAATACAACAAAAACAACAACAACAAAAATCACCGAGAACTATCAAAGCACCGGTCAGGGCAGAGAGTGGACGCGATGCGCCGTCCCAATGTAATATGAAGTTCATGGCTACCAGGATACGGTTTCCGGAATAACAGAAATTGACTATCTCTCTGGCTGTGGGCAGCCAACGGCAACAGAAAACCTAGGGAGACATTTGTTCTTCCCAGCGCGAGATCGGACTGAGACTTACAGGATTCAAATCTTATCAAAGTCCCCTCGCAGCCAATACTCGGCTCAAACGCTCCTGGAAGCCTTCCACATACTCTGGGTTCAGCATATCCGCATGCACACCCTCACAATGTGTATACTCCACTGGGGACCGCGAGAAGTTCTGCCACTTCCCCAGGTAGTCCTCTAGCCAGTGATCTTGGTCGGCACAGATCGACTTGAGGGGAACACAGTACATCACATCAATCTTCTCTACCGAGCCTTCGGGCTCGTATACCCGGGCCATTTTCGCTGGCTTTGTCAGTCCTGCCTCACGCCCGAGAAATCAAAAGCTTGGGACATATCTCACCAAAGTTTTCCGCGTAGTCTGCGATATCCATCAGCTGCTCTGGAGTAAGGTCAAGCCTGGTGCGCTCTTCCGGCCTTGCCATTTCCAATAACTTATCAACAATCTGGGTTCGGGAAAGAGCCTTGGTCTTGAAATCCTGCTCACAGAGTGGAATGTCGTCCTGTGAGATGAGACGCAGAAAGTACGCTATCCGGATAGCTGTTGCAGGCCAATCAATCTGCTGCATGAGAGGCTTGATGTGAGGGGGCGAGTCGATTGCACCGAGGAATGCCACACGACTTCCGCTTTGTTCGAGCTTCTTCGCGACTTCGAAGGAAACTGTTGTACCAAGGGAATAGCCTACCAGGGCGTAGGGGCCGTTGGGTTGGGTACTTTTGATGTGCTGGTAGTATGTCGCCGCCATTTCAGCGAGAGAAGAGAAGGGCCGATCTTCGTCTAGACTCCCACGCATAGTGAGTGCATAGAGGGGGCGATCGGTCATGGCACGGGCGAGCGGGAGGAAAGAGAGCATATTTCCTGAAGCCGGGTGGAAGAGCCAGAGGGGATGTTTGTTGCCGCGAGGTTGAAGTAGGAAGACGGGGTTGTGCTCTGTTCCATTGGCTTTGTCAATTGCTTTGGCTATGTGTTGAATGACCGGGCTGTTGAGGAAGGTGACAAGGGAGATATTTCCAGATATCTCCATTTTCTGGCGAAGGAGATGTTCGAAGCGGAAAAGGGAAACAGAAGTGAGTCCAAGTGCAAAAATTGTCTGGTCAATGGATATACTCTCTATCGGTATCTCGACCATGTCGTGCAGCACCTTGACAATGCAGTGCTCTGTGGGACTTTTTGGTGGCACTCGAGACGTCCCCCCAGTTGCTTGGATCGGGAATCTAGATCGAATCGCAAGGGAGGTGAGTGCACCTGCTAGAAACTCGGTTTTGAGTTTCGTTCGTGATAGTTTTCCCAGAGATGACTTTTGCAGGCGATGTGTTGGGACTGGTACCACCCAGTCGGGACGAGCTCCGGCAGCTGTACTTGCAATACTGGCAACCAACTCGGCCGCTTGATCGCGGAGAGCTGGGTCTTCCAAGGAGGTCTGGGTGCCGTAAACTACGCAATAGCCCTCCGTCTCCCCACCAATTGGTCGATGGGCGAAGGCAGCGAAGAATGTAGACATCGTTCCAGAGACCCCCGCCTTGTCGAGAGCTGTCTCAATATCCTGCGGAGAACAATTTCTTCCGTTGATGATGAGGATCTCTTTGTCTCGTCCGACAAGATTGAGACGACCCGCAGTATCAAGGTAGCCCCTGTCTCCTGTTCGAAACCACCCATCCTGAGTAAAAGAGCTAGTAGTGGCATCTGGATTCCGGTAATAGGATTTGAAGACAGCCGGACCAGAAACTTGCACTTCTCCTATTTCGCCAACCTGAGCGGCAACTTGAGCAGTGGATTGAACTCTGATTAAAGCCATGTCTATCGCAGCACCCACCGAGGCAAATCCATGCTGTTCGTGCTCCTCGCGCTCTGCATCAAATAAGCCGTACGAAATTGCAGCACAGGTCTCGGTCAGGCCATACGCAATAGTAAGGGGTACGCCCAGTGCACCAAGACGGCGAAAGTGCACGCTGACAACTCGCGCCAGATCCACAACATTGGCCTCCCCTCCAGAGACAATTCTCCGCAATGAAGACAAGTCTATAGTCTTCGGGCTCTCGTATCCCTGCAAAGAAAGACGTTCGTTCAACAAAGAAAGAAAGAAATTCGGAGCAAACGTCATCGTCACCCGGTGGCGATCGACCAGTTTGAGGAAAAGTAAGGGATCGGCAATCACATCCCCAGCCTGGATTTGTATCTGTTCCGCGGCGCACGATATAGCATGTAAATGAATTTCAAGCATGTTTGCGACATGGTCCAGGCCAATCCAGTTGAGCAGTACCGAATTGGCATTCGTGGCGCAAGCCCTACTTTTACTGCAAACCGAGGCCAGGATTTGCGGCACTGTCAGTGATACTGCCTTGGCATGCCCGGTGCTACCAGAGGTGAGCATCAGCACCGCAGGTTCCTCGCCCTGACAGGGTGCATGCTGCACGGTCTTGCAAAGTGTACCATTTTGAATCTCACGCCTCTCAAGGTCTTCGGTGGTCAATAGCTGAAGTTTTCTCAGCTCTGGGTATTGTGCCACTAACTTCTTTGAAGACAGAACCAAGGGGTCTTGCAAGAGCCACTCCAAGTGCAGTAGATGTTGCATCCGCTGGTCCGCATTGTGAGAAAAAGGCGTCGATATTGTCGGAATCATTCCGGCAAACGCAGCTGCCCAGAACCAACGGATGTTGTCGAATTGGGTGTCCATATGGATGAGCACGACCTTCCTACCATCGTAGGAGCAGCCATGGTGGGTTGCCAAAAGAGCAGCATCACTTGTTGCTTGCAACGCAAGGCTCTTGTAGGTGAGTCGAGATGGCGTATCGGTCTGGCCCGGGGAATAAAAAGCCACACCTGAGTCAGACTTCGCAGCTGTTTGGAGGAGGGCTGGAAGAGTTGAAATATCGGGAAGCGAGACGTCATTCATTATCGCTCTCGGGGGATGAAAGATCCCGGGTGCAGAGGCAAATAAAAGAGAGAGAGAGAGAGAGAGAGAGTGCCGTCTGACATCAACAGCAATTATCAATTCGCAATTGCAAAGAACAACCTTGCAACGCCCCTGTGTGATGAAATACTCCGGTGTGCAGCCCTGTGTGGTGCGACCGTACGACTTGTGCGAGATGCAACTGAGAGATTTGTGTTGTATATATTGCAGAGGGAGAATTTCAGATTTGTGAGATTAAAGTTGTCTTTGGCCCTTGGAGAGTGGTGCGAATCAACAGTCTCTACAGCAACCCGAAATGGCAAAATTGTCAGCTTCCTACATCGACCTTTCTGAACTACCCAATACCGCTTTCTTTCTTTCAGCCTCCCCGTTATTTGTCACTGCTTCAGAAGCTTGATCTCAAATACGAAATCACTGTCTGATAGGGCGGGTTACAGGTGACAAACAACACAATCTGCCCAGATCAGCACGAGTGCCGACGACGACCGATGTGGCGGTAAGATCCAAGCAAGGATGAGGATGCAGGGAATGTGGAAAATCGACAAATGGAATCTCCAGAACCAGTGAGAAGCATTGCCCTTCCATGCGCGACTCTTACTAGCCAATACAGCATCGACACCAATGATACTCCTTACCAGGCAATGATCTGCGACCCGGCCCCCAAGGCCTGCGTTGTCGGGTTGATGGTGCATCTTAACACGAGGGGTTGGGTGGTGGACTCATCCATCCATTATACATTTTAAGTGAAGCCTACTATCAACCTCGAAAAAACATGGCGTCCGAGAAGAAGCCCGAATGGTACCAGCAAGAGGTCCAGAGCATCAACCCCGAAGCCCAGAAGCTGCTAGAAAGCTACAGCGGCTTTCACCCGGACGAGGTTCTCCCACATGTTTTGAAGCTCGTATGCGGCAATTCCCTTTCTTCTTTGTGAATTTTGGGGATCTTGAAAGCTGACAGTAGTGAACCACGCCTCAAAGCGCGACGAAGCCTATTCTGTCTTCCACTATCCATGCATTGGGCAGTTACGTTTTCTTACATTTCAGCTACCCCGCCACCCGGTATACCAGCGCATACTAGCACGTCTTCGCGATGATCCTAGCACTGGAATCCTCGAAGCCGGCTGCTGCTTCGGTCAAGAAATTCGTTTCCTCGCTGATCAGGGTATCCCAAGTAACCAGCTTTATGGATGTGACATAGAACAGCCATTTATCGATCTTGGATACCAGTTGTTCCGCGATCGAGGCAGGCTGAATGCCACTTTCGCCGTGGGAGACCTGAGCTCGCCTGACTGTCTGGACCCTGCGAGCCCGATCTTTCAAAAATTGGCCGGGAAAATCGACATCGCCTTCGCAAGCTCCCTATTTCACCTATGGGATTATGAGCAGCAGCTTCGGGTCGCCACGCATCTGGTCCGTCTTTGTCGGCTTCGACCTAACGCGATGATCGTTGCGCGCCAATTGGGGAATGTGCTCGGCGGAAGTTATCAGATGGCAGATGTCGCAGCAGGAACTAACTACCGACACAACGTCCAGACAATCAAAGGCTTCTGGTACGATGTGGGACAGGCAACTGGGACGCGCTGGATCGTCGAGGCAGATCTATATATGGGGGAGGAAATGGCCAAGGTCAAGAACGCCGGATGGGCAAATGAGAACGATCGCATGCTTTGGTTTTGCGCTACACTACAATAGATAGATAAACTATCAAGACCATTCTACTTTGGTTGAGACTTCATGAATTCGTGAGTAGCTAAATTAACATTAGCCCACATTTACGTCAACTTTCACTATGATACGGCCATCTTCCGTATTCCAGTGGCGATCATCCCGGGATTCACAGCGGGTGGACCGGCCACTCCCCAGATTTTGGTTGCTGTTTGAATTGAGGCGTGTGGGCATATTCAGCAACTCTTGTGAAGGGTATTCAACTTCGCCTTTCCTTCGCAGCATCATCTTGAAGCGCGAGACTATAGGGACAGCGCTGGCGCATAGAATGGCTAAATTTAGCTCGATGACGTTCAGAACTTCGAACGAAACAACGTTCCAGGTGGCATCCGCACGCGTGTTTGTCGAGACAAGAAGCACGACGATACGAGCAATTCCGCATGAAAATGACCTGGAGAGGGAGATTAGTCTTCCTGAACTTGAGCTTCTGCATACTCTCGTGGGTTATCTCACAGGAATCCGATTGAAAAGATTGCTGCTAATCCCAATCTTCGGATCAACACTGTTTGCAGCGCCAGGACAGTTAGAACGGGGAGAAGGAGGATGGTGAAATCTGAAATCACGCTCAGAATCAAGGGAATGGCGATATAGTCGAGTCTGTCTGGGATGGGACATTTCCCGTTTTCGATATGGTTGTTTGGGTCGATGCGCTTCCAGTAGTAACTCGGTGGTGTACACTGTAAAATGTAAAATAGCATGCAGAAGATACTCCACATGACCACGAAGACAAGATTAAGCCACCAGGCGATCCGCAGCCAGCTCTGGTGAACCAAAAATAGTCGGCGGTAGTAAAACAGCAGGGAAAGCTTGGTAGCAACCAGGGCGGGTGCATTGAATACAGCTGTCAGCCAGATACTCTGAAAATATTGGTTAACTCAAGGCTGACCCAGAAAGCAACCATCTCGAAAGCATGGAGGTTACCACGCACTGTAAAACTTTTGACCAAGGTCTGTAACGTGGGGTCCTCCGCTTTCACGCGCCAAATGTGTAGCCCAAGACCGTATTCTGCTGACACGAGTGTTGCGACAGTGACGACGTTCGCGAAGATCTAAGTCTGTCAGATGCCAAGTCAGTGGTTGATCTGGGGTAATATAGTCACCAAAGCCAAAACTAAGCAGTAGTCTTCCGCCAGCGGGCGCTTGTGGTTGATCCACTGCGCCCAAATTCGCATCGGGACCGACAGATTTCCAAGGAGAAAGAAAAGTATGCAGATTCCCAGAATGGCGGGCTGCCTTGTCTGGGACCAGGTCTCCTGCTGTTCAATTGTTAGAGAAGGCATGACTTCGGTGATTGTGGAGGGAAAAGAGAAGTGATGCAGGTAGGAAGTCGAAAGAAGGGGGGGACCGTCTAAAAAGAGATGCACGAGTTGAAGTCATGGGCAAGGAATGTTGCAGAGAATCATTGGGGGCCAAATGAAACCAGTCGACATGTGGTTTACAAGACTTCAGATCGATTGACCTTGCATGGTGTTCATGGCCCCCACGACGGTCGCGAGCCGGGGAATTAGACCTGCTAGGAATGTGACTGGCGATATGTATGTATTCTACGTCGATCAAGTCAGCCTGGATGATAATGCACTGCAGATTCAGGTAAACTAGGGGCTCACGGGCGCTTCCCACCTGCGATCCTAAGCTTTGTTGCCGAGCATGCTAAGCATTGGACTAAATCCCCACCGGCGCTCTGCCTTTTCTCTTCGCTCTCTTGGATGGGTAGATAGGCCATGGTAATCGAGATCGTTCGCGTTGGATATGGCCGTCACCTGGGCAGGTCTCCAGAATGATTTCTCATGAGCCTCGAGGCAAACATGGCCAGGATCGACAGACCCACCACCCGCCGGCGCCCTTGCTTGGGCTGATCGCCCTCCCAGCCACTCCTGTCGCTCTCGGTGGAGTCAGGCTTCCCGTATTGTATCTAACAGCTGCGGTATCTGTCGTTCCAGCTCTCACTGCAGTTATCGCTGCACTTTGCCGAAAAAGGGTTGCAGTCTCCGGTTTCCCCAGGTCCGCCTCAGCCAGGAAAGTATTAAGGGGGAAGTGAAGCCGATCTTTCGGACATTCCTTTGAATTCAGGAAAAGATGCTTGTACTGTACAGGCAATGTGATGCTCTGTGATTGTTCGAAGAGGAAAGCGTGATTGTCGGAGGTTGCGGGGGGCATGGGCTCGATGTAACTGCCCACTTCGGCGTGGTCGGTGCTGGCCCCGGGGTGGTAGTCAGATTAGCGGTCAGTGCATAGAGTCTGACAGAGGTGAGATCTGTTGTGTTGAGGTTTAGATCGACCCTCATGAAGAGAGACTGCGCGGAGGGGCGTAGGCATAGAGTCTTGTTCAGCTGTAGCTGGGGTTAATTTGGGAAGCCTTTGGCTTTTGACCTTGAATCTGTAGATCCAAAGTCTGTCAGTTGCCCGGCGCCATTGCCACACAGGATCCCATATCGGCCCCTGTCAGTCGCCGACCCGGGCTCACTGTTGTTGATGCGACGAGAGGCTCAACATAAGTCACGTGTTGGTTGGCCGATGTTGTTGAGCTCGTGGAGAATGCGTGCCAATCGTACGGTCGCGATCGCGGTGAGAGCTAGAAAATTAAACAGCAAGCGGTACGCCTGGCAAAAGTCTGCCTAGTCATGAAGAAGTTTAAGGGAGATGAGTGTGGACGACAGGGAGCATGCAGCAATGACCTTTGGAGGTTGACACTTCAAGATAGAGCCCTGGAGCCTACGTGTATTTCAGCTACAGGGACTGGTTCTATGTCGATCTGAATATTGCACTGATACAGAAAGTGACAATTCTCGGAATTTAAACTCAATCTGATCAAATTACTCCGGTGTAGTACCCAGGTGGTTGCGTCTGAGAAAATGTTGTCCTTCCAATACAAATACTAAATCTTGTCGAAGCTTCTCTGAAACGAGGAGCACTGCCATGTTGGGGGTTTCCTGTGTCCACTACTATATCCTTTTTACATGGTCTTCCTAGATTTCTTATGTACCACCACCTCTCATCTAGGAGAAGCACCGGTCAGGGGCGATATACACAAATATCATGGCAGCATCTCACTTCACTCATAATAGTGAGCCGGCTTCTTGTACCGATTCGATCGACGGTAAACAAAACCACCTTTCAAGCGATCTTGCATGATAAGCCCAACAGCTCCTTCTTCGTCCTGTATGGCTTTCTCTTCACTCCACTCAACTTCGTCTGCATAATCCTCGCGGAAATTGCAGAGCGCAAAGTCAATCATGACCACTTTGTATCCGCTTTGCGCCAGGACATTCTTCTTCACAATAAAGCTTCGCGTCCTGACATCCTCGTTCAATATCCCGCGATCGCCCATCCGATCAAGTATCTGAATTGCTTCTTCGCAGATACTTTGCCAGCAATCTCTTGGTGTGTGATGGGCAAGGTCGGTCAAAGGAAATCCTTCAATATACTGCAGAAGGATCCCACAAACATCGACATACCGACTGTCTGGCTCCATTTCCACCAGACTTGAGATTGGAAGTTTCACATATGCAATCACTTGAGGGATATCGGTCCCTTGCATATCTCGTGAGGCTTCATATACCCGGGCCTCTGTTTCATACAGGTCGGATAAATGGTCATGAAGATATGCTTCGTCCTGGGAGCTATTCCATGTTTCCCCCTGCTGAGCAATCTCGCCGTTGTTGTTGATTTCAGTGATGAAATGGGATGCACCACCATCAACGGCAAATTGATGATACTCTTTCTCTATGCCGAAAGTCCAGGGACGAATCTTTTCATCTTTCCGGAGCTGCGCTGCAAAGCGTCGATCAAAAAGCTTCAATACCATATCACCTTCCGACCCTAATTCGGGGCACGCTATCCGAACAACCATGGCGCAGGAAAGGGTGAACGGTTCGAATAACTTGATGATCCTGACATGGGTTGAAATCTCTCTTTCTTTTATGCTAATGTGTAGGTTTATCGTATTACCGACAGCATAAGGACACCTGACAGAATCAATACCATTATGAACATCTGTACCGAGGGCGCTTACACGCTTTCTTGCAAATTCATGGTTATTGGGTGATGCGGGTTCACAGCAAGTGTTCTGAACAAACCGATTCGATGAATCCTCACGCTTCACAGGGGTTCCAAAGAGGACGGAATAAATGTGATGGTTTGGAGGGTGAGAAGAGGCAGAGGGAAAGGGTTCTGGGCTAACGCCGATGCCTGCCAGGCTGCCCAATTATTGCAAGCCTCAGGCACCAAGGGTACGAATGAACGGGACTATCCCCGCTAGTTACTCAATTCGGAACACAGTGTTATTCTTGTTCATCACCTGGGCACTTGCTCTGGCAGTATCCTCACCAAAGTACTGATCATACGTCCAGCTACAATCATCTCGTGGTCTGCGTTCACACAACAGCAGCAAATCATGGCTGCCAACTATCGCGAGATCGGCTTCGGAGAATGTGGCGTAGTCTTCGAGCGATTGGGACAAAACTATGTTATCAAGGTTGCGAGGCCCTTTTACGAAGATTCGCTCTGGGCAGACTTCAGTGCCCATTTCCAAGTACGAAAAGCGTTTGAATCGCAGTCAAACGAGCCTACCTGTCGGATCATGAAGCTCTTTTCCTATGTGCCGAAGGATAATCAACGATGGTGGGAAGAGAAACTTCCTTTCCTGTCGCCAACCTGTCCCTCTCTCTATCTTCCAACTATGGCCCTAATCACAGAGAGGATCCTTCCGTTGCCCAAAACGGCAAGGCAAGCGCTGATAGATGCATACTGCCCAGCTATCTCACGAACGGCTGTCGCTGCCAACCCAACAAATCGAGACTGCCTAGCGCGGATCTATCTTGGTCGGCGCCGCCCACCGGGGACACCCCAAGCGCCAAATTTTACGCTTCGAAACTTCAATCTGTGCCTCGACCAAGCCATAGACCTTGAATTCCCAGTTAATTTATTCGCTGCTGGCATAGGCGAGGCCCTAGCAATCATTCATTGGGTAGCACACGTCGATGCATACGATATTGAGTTCGTGCTGGGAAGCGAAGGGGGTATGCCACCTGCCTATACCCAGGACCTATCAAGATGCCTGAACCTGAGCGCACAGGACCAGTTGAAAATGGCCCCGCACACGGATGTTGAGGACTTATTGAGTACCAACTCTCCACTTCGGACTCCTCGGCTATTCGTTTTGGATTTCAATCTCTAGAGCATTTGGGACGAACAGAGTCAACTCGACAGCCCAGACGATCTTCTTTCGCATTTGGTTACCGCATTCTATGAGAATGATCCTTACTACCCTCTCCCGCTTCCAGAATTAGATGAAGATAAGGTAATTTTGGATGTGTTCAGCATGGCATAAATCCACAAGGCGGATAAATTATTGCGCGCCAATCCTCAGCATTCCCATCTGCCGCATAAGTTCATCCAAAGATGTATTGAAAGAGAGGAAGAATCTTTGGCTTGTGGACTAGGCCGTGGACATCGTGATCACAAGAAACAGATGAAGGATTGTCGCTATTGTTACGTATGGAAGAAGAAGTTGTTGCTGTTCCCACATGGCCAATTTGGCATACCTGGGATTCGAGCTCTGGCGTCGTTAAGATTTCCGAAGACCAATAGATGACTGTACCTTTGGTGCCCATGCGGCTGAAAGTCTACCAGGGTGAGTTTTTGAAGTCAAAGTTGTATCCACTCGGATCAAAAGACAGCGAAATGGTTTTCTCAAAGATGGGCGACTTTCAAGTTAAGACACATAGTGGAGACCGCGGTATTCATTTCTTTTACAAACTTGGAATCATTTGCCCGATGAACCAAGTAACGGGCACAGAAACATACAAATATTATCGATTAAATCAATGAAGGGCATGCCATATCAGTGAACCCACGCCAATAGCCCATGGGCTGGCGATTGAGACACCCGCAGGTGCAGAATTCGAGCTGGTAGTGGGTGAGCCCATAGCCGCGCTAGCAGCTGACACCGTAGTATTACCTGCTGTCCCAGTGGCAACTGAGAGCTCCTGGGCCTGTGTCAAAGAGGAGGTGGAAGACGACGGCTTAGGACAGGGGTTTTTGTACACAAACTGCTCTGGGTCGCCACTGCAGGTGGTCGCAGAATCAGCATTGTATGTACCGCTTGAATAGACCCAACAAGAGCCCGAGGCATATTGCGAGCTTGAATCATGCGGATTAAAGACAGCATAGCTGCATGAATCAGCCTCAACACATAGACTTAGGCAGTTCGATGCCCCGGTACTAGCATAGCAATCGTCCTCGCAGTTGTTCTCGGGCGTTGGGTACCCGCAAACCGAAGCGATGGCAGAGGGAGTCGCCGTAGCGGTGCAGGCACCAGTGGTGGTTGCGCTCCCGCCAGAACACACGGGCTGATCGTAGACAGAGAGGTAAGGGTTGCTGCAGTCCGAGCTTCCTTCAGTTGCATTGAATGTTTCGCCCGGATATAGCCAGCACGTGCCAGTGCCCAGGGTAGGGTTGCCGGCAACGAAGATCTCAAAGCTGCAGGGAGGGTGGGCGTTGCAGTAGTCCCAGCAGGAAGCCTTGCTTTCGATGGCGACAGCAAACTGCGAGTCAGGTTCTGGGTAACTGCACAGGCTGGTGATGAGGGAAGCTGTGCAGCTTGACGCCGTGGAGGTAGTAGTAGCAGTAGCGGTCATTGTAGACGTTGCTTTAGATTCAGTGGAGTCCGCCAGAGCCCGAGAAGCTGATAGGGTGACGGAGACCCAGAAAGCAGTGATCTTCATTGTGGCGCAGGTGAGTGATATAGTATATAGTTTGTCAAGATCGCGAGAAGAATGTCCAGGCAGGGGAAGACACAAGTATTCTGCTTATTTGCATTTAGGGGTAAGCCAACCGAATTTTTCTTTTCGTCACGCTGTAACCGGGGATTAGTGTTCATTTTAGCGCGGTTTTGGGGGCCAAGGCGTAAACTCCCGAGGTCTCGGAGATAGGCCCCACGTCCGATCAAGCGGCGACAAGCCAACATGAAAAGCTATGGGCCGATCAGCTCCGCAATTGATTGAAAAGATCGGTTTCGTGATGTCGGAAATACTAAATAGTGAGTTGATTCAACGAGTCGGGCGTTTTTGTATTGCGTTTCCAACCAGAAGATCGAATTTGGGGATCCAGCCCTTATGGGTGAACTCAACCGCTTGATCCCACGGCTTCTAGATGTGTCAATTCCAGGTTCACATTCGGCATAAATTCCTCGCACAATTGGTCCCATTAGTGACATAGAACACTTCCCGAGGTCTCATATCTGAGTCCCACGCGGCTTCGGTACACCACCCTGAGGCGACAGTGGTTCCGTCAACAACATCGCCCTCACAATCTTTTCTGGTAACTGCAATTTGTCACTAGAAGCGAATCATTGAATCTTCTGCCTTCGAGAAATGAGACGCGGTCATATTTCGGCCTATGAGGAAACCTCTCACTGGTATCTGAGTACTTCCAAGTGAAGTCAGATATCCGCGACGTACAGTCACCAAAGGCGTAGGCTTAAATTTGCATGATATGACGGGCCAAGAAAGATTTGGAAACAGGAGAATGGAGAAAGCTCCAGGGAGTCACTCTGGTTGTCACATTTGTGAAGATGCCTTGTCCCTAAGGTCGCATGGTCCCACTCTCTCTCCGGAGCTGACCATCATCTCCTTCAAGTTTTTGTGTTGGGCAAGTAAGAATAATGCAAATATGGGCCTTTATAGATCCTCGTTACTCAGTCATTGTCATCGATAGCCTGCTGTTGGCCCCGACAAGACTGGTACGACGATGGGAGAAGTTCATCGGTGTTCACCTTGGAACTTTCAGCAAGGCCACATCGACCTCTTGAACACCTTGCTACTTGAATATGAAGAAGTTCTGCACTTCTGAATAAGCGACAAAAAGATATTTGCGAAGTTGGACCCTTGCTATTTCGTAGCAGTTTCCGAGATAAAAATGATGGTAAATTTCTCAAGGAGAGCGGGAAAAAAAAGAAACGTCAGCACTAGGGTTCGAACCTAGGATCACGAATGAACTAGATATCGAAGAAAGTCGTTCAAGTCTAGCGCCTTAACCACTCGGCCATACTGACTAATCATTCCTAGGAACACCGGGTATTACCGGAGGGATTTATGTATTTTATCTGTTGTGCCATTGAGCCATCCATGGATGTTAGTCAAATAGGAAGAGTGCGATGGCGGTCTAGCGAGGCAGCAGGGAGATGAGCTGTGACCCTGAGGGCAGTGGCGATTGCTGTCTCTGACCTGATTGTCCGTAATGGGAAACTGAGGCTGATTCGCTAAAGAGTGTGAAATTGTCTAATCTCTGCAACGGTAGAATCGCAATCTGAAATGCTCGAGTCTTAATTGACGCCTGAGGCGGAAATGCGATGTAGTGCAGTTACCTCCGTACGACCCCACCTGGCAAGGACGAGGATCAAAATTTTGGAACGAAACAAGTGAGATTCCAAGGTTGCCCAGGTGTGGCTTAAACCCTCCAGCACGTGCCAAATGTTGATATCATTCCTTCTTACAGCTTTCCACTTTCCTTTTCAAATGTTTCCGACTCAACGTTTCTCATCACAGCAAACTATATGCGTGCCCTGCATCACTGATCTACCGTGTTCATGGCTGAGCCTCTTCGCCGGCCTTGTCGATAAACAAGCCCAGTCCCGAATCCAGGTTCCTCCGTCCGCGCGTTGGGGAAATTCGAGCCGCGTACAATCCGAGAGGCGATTGGGCAGCACATAGAGCTGCATCACGGACCCAAGAGCTTGTTATCCAACAGGACGATTGACTTTCATCCGTTAGTAGGGATGTCCTGTACCATACCCCAGTCGAATGTGATGGGGTCAAGAGTGTGCCAAGAGCATCAAGTTTCTCAAATCTCCTGGCCGCGCACTGCACACGCTGCCTGTCTTTTACTCTGTTGCTTTTTTGAGGCCCTCAAACCCCCACCCCGGGGCCATTATGGGCGCTGACTGGTCACCGGGCTGTCCCACCCCAGACCTCGGGAAGCCCCACCCACTGATCTAAACGGCCCCCTGCACCACCTGGGCACCCCGAGGTCTGGCCATAGCCCCTTTCTCCTCCTATGCTACCGCTGGGGCCCTGCAATCTTTTACCATGCTAGCCGTGGGGACATTCAAGACCACGGACTGTACCTGATGGATTTCAGCTCAAGAAGCATATGGTTTCGCGACTATATCTCGATTGTACCATCGGGATATGTCAACGCAATCATCCCGATCGATGAAAAGCCTTCCATGGTTATTCTCCAGACGTGACGGGACACGAGAAAAAAGATCCTCTACCGAAGCAACCCCAACACTGGGCACCCGGAGCCCATTCCGAATATCGATATATCAATAATTTTCAATCACATTAAGAGGTGCAGTGGCAATGTCAGGCCCCAAGACCAAATCAGAATCTCGACAAAAACATATTTTTGTCGCCTATCAACAACCTCGACTGCTCTAATAAAGCCCGACTCCATTTTCTGACTTCAAACTCGAATACATAACATGAAGTGTTCGCCTTCCACAACAGATTAATAGTTTTCATGTCGCTGTCGTGCTGTCACTGTCCCCTCCAAAGTTAGGCAACACGACAGAAACGCCAATAAGAGCCATGCTCACAATTGGAGCCAAAACCCTCAAAGCTTTAAACAAATAACGAGAGGTTCCCTTCTTTTTCCTGGTCGCGGCGTTTGACAGATCCGATGACTGCTGAGCTTCTGCGATCAATGCTTCCACCTTGTCGCGATCCTGGGCATTGATTTTGATCTCGTTGGCTCGAATCTTTGCAACAAGTTCATCGAAGCTCATATCGCGCATATCGGAAGCAGATTCTCTGTCAAGGAGTGAGATCTTGCTGATGCTCTCCATTCTTTGAAGGTGATTTTCGTAGTCGTTCTGTCTCTTTCGATCCTCTGCACAACGTTCTGCTCTCAGCTGTTCTTGCTGACGATAGATTTTGTTCAGGTTGTTCTCGATTCGGCGCTGATTTTCCTCCAGGATGATGCGGAGCTGCTCGTCCTTCTCTTCGATTGCAAGCTCATGTTCTTCTTTGATCTTTTGCAGCTCCTCTTGATGCAACTCCTCCCGACGAAGAAGTTCTTCGCTCATATGCTTACCGGCTGCCGTTTCTATTAGAGGCTTGGCTTGATCCACCATTTCTCTCTGGATTTTCAAGGGCACAGGCCTCATGGGCATGAAGTGGTCCACAATTTCCAATGCAGATGCACGATCAGTGAAGCGCATCATGCGGGATCCACCATCAATCATCTGCCCCCAGAATTCAGGACGTTGGCGCAGTTCCTCTTCTCGGTTATCCCCTGCCTTCGCGGTAACTTCACCCCAGAATGTAGTCGCCAATATCACGTTCTTCAGAGGGCTTTCACCACAAAGTTGGCGGAACATTCGGAGGTTGCGGAGGGCCGACCCCTCCATGCGAGGCTTATTGATGCTATGAAGATAAATTACCCCATGGAGTTTCTCGGCATTCCCATAGGAGTCCTTGAGCCACTTCGCGATGTTGGTCAAGACCTCGGTTTCCGATTTGTGTGTGTCGTCAAATCCCGGGGTATCGATCAGGTTCACGTTGCGTCCTTTGTAGTGGAATGTGTAGCCTTTCATTTCGCTTGTACCTAACGGCCGTCGCGGCGGGTTAATTCTGATCGTGTCCACGGGCATCTGCGCGAAGCATTCGAGGGGTCTTTTCGGCCAACGATGCGGTACATACATGATTCAAGGTCGTGTCCGACGACCACTTCAGGGGATTGGCTTGCTGTCTGTATGAAAGTAATTTTCCCACTGCCAGTGAGGCCCATGACGGCGACAAGCACCCATGATGCCCCGGGTACGATGTCAAGTGAGGTTTTGAAAGTCATTGTTTAAATCGGTTTGAAGATCGAATGAAAAATCGTTGGTTCACGTTTCAGTGCAAAGTAATAGTAGAAAGCAATAATGGCTGACCTTTCATGTCGATTGGGATTCACCTACAAGGTTTATTTAGGGTCTTGCTATAGACACACCCCCTCTACCTCCTAACACACCCCTTTAACCGCATTAGGAAGGTAGACACCTAGGTGCTCACGTGCCCCAGTCTTCTCCTTCTTGCGCTCGCTCCAGAGCTCTCTCTTCTTCTTCTTCTCCCTCAGAGATCAGCGTCCCTGCATGCTAGCAGCTTCTTCTTCCTTTCCTTCTTCCAGCCAGTAGCCTCCGTAGCTTCTGTCTATCAGTTTGGAAATTGCATGTCCCACCCCCACTCGGCAATCTTCTGTAGCCATTCCTTGTCAATGATCACGTCGGTTTCTCGTGGTGTTTGGGGATCTCGTAGGAAGAAGAAACAGAAAGGGATAACGAGGGAACCTCCAGACAGTTCGACTTCGTCATTTTCGTTTTCAGAGACCTCAATGTGTTGGAAATTGATAGGTTTGCCGTTAACGGCATCCCGTATCCATAAGTCAATAGCGATCATTGCTCGCTGGCGACTGAGTTTGATTGCAATCACCGCATGTGCATTCCCTCGCACTGGGTCAAGCCAAAGGTCAACATCTTGTCGAAGTTTCTTTCGCGTTTCGGATACGGCAACTTCCAACACAACCGAGGGCCGCTTTGGACAGCCGCGAGGAGGTCGCCTTGGCCTCCAGCCCATATCAGGCTGTTTTTTGTGGCCATTTACATCAATATCGACTCCTAGGTAGTCGTGTGTGGCTTCGTCAAGTCCCATTCGTGCCAGGGCCTTATCGATTGCTTTGTGCACCGCGAAGGCAATCTGGGTGTGCTCGCGAGTAACCATCTTGAAAATGAGTTTTTCAGTATTCAAGTTGAAGGATGTTCGGATTGAAGGAATCGGGATAGCATCCAAGCTGAGGAAATCCTTGTTGAAAGTAGTAGGATCGATGGAGAAGATGATGTATTCTGTGATCTCAGTAGTTAACTCTTGTTCGCTCCTGCTAGACCCAGTATCGATGTCGGAAATTTCACGGCAATGGCGCATTGAATTGAGCAGACGTTCACGTTCGAGGTTAAGTATTTGAGCAAATTGATCTTTGTCTTCATATTCGTACCGTCCAACAGATGGAGGCAGACACTCCGAATCATGATCTTGCCCATTTTGATTGATATAGGACAATTTGTATGATATCTTGATCCCAGAGAATGTGTTAAGATACGTCCCAGAAATTTATTGAAAAAGTACCTAGGTAAATCCTCGGAACTTAGACCCTCTTCTTGGCGTAGGTTAAGCACTTTATATAACATTGCGGGACATCTTAGTTTCACCTTTCCACGTTTTTCTTATAGATCGCTAAGAAATATAGCTGTAAAGATGACGGAATAAAATCCATCAACGTTAATTTAGCGGACTCGAATTAAAATAAAGATCTTTCATTTGTCCGAAAAACCCCTAGAGAATTACTAAATGTCAACTTCGTGGTGACTATAACCCTAATTAGACATTCTGAAGGAATCTATTGTGAAATTTAATCACACTGCTTCTCAAGGTCTATAATCTTGGATTTTGCAGAAAGTATCCGATATGGTGTAGTGGCTAACATCGTCGTCTCTCACACGACAGCCGGGGGTTCGATTCCCCCTATCGGAGTTGTTTTTTTCCTGTTGAAATTTCACTTTTTTTTTTTTTTGGAATGTCTACGGTGTCTTTCCGAAGAATTCACCCCTTCAATTAATTTTGTATAGAGTTAATACACTACAAACCTATGGGGAAACGTGCTGTACCATGAATCCAAAACCCCAGCCCCTGGGAGCCCTCGGGGACCGCAAATTCCATGAGTCACACGCAAACATACCCACCTAGGCAACCTCCAGGGCTACTAAGCCTCAATAAATTCGGCTCCAGGGTATTGTGAGTCATATGCCCATTCTATGTACTCCGTACGGGGTGTGCAGATGAACACACGTCTTCAAAGATGACACGAGGTGACAGAAGTTGAGTCAGAGTAGCCATACGGGCGCGCATCAATTCACGTCTCGCAATGTCCCAATTTTGTTCACAGGCGAGGATGTGAACCATTAATAAACATACCTAATTCCGCGTAGATGAGTGCGTGATCATTACCTTGGTTCAGTAGATTGATATCGCAAAAAAGATGGCTTCAGAGCCCCTTACCCAATCGAACATGGTGGGCGAGGACTTGGAGGAAAAGACGCCCGATCTGCCTCGCTCTCCAATCCCCGGGCCTTCAAGCCCGAGGAGAAATACCCGTACCCCTTCACCAGAGTTCGACCCGAAGGCTGGCGAAAACAGACTACGCCCAGCGGGAGGTATGTGAAATGGCTTCTGATGGCGAAGTTAGATCTGACCGCACTAGACATCATCAATCGCATTACATGGGACCCCAAATTTGAGCGCAGCGAATATGTGATCGGCTTTGTGGACAGATTTGAAGGGCAGTTGGAAGTGAGCATGAGAAGTTGGAAGAAGGAAACCACCGATGAGGAATTTATCCCGCAACATCGGGTATTGTACATTCGACACATGAACGGAGACATCGTGTGGGATCGGAGGAGGCGGATTGACAAGATCTTCCTCAGTGGAAATTCGGCCTTCATCGAGTTGGCCTTTCTTTCCTGACATGTGTGCCTTCCCTGTGTTTTTGCTTTACTCCGGTCCTCTCTCAGACTCGCCTTCACTTTCTTTCTTTTCCACCGAATACAAAATGGATTTGAAAAACAAACCGTCTTTGCCTCATTTGTCCACCACTTTCCCCCTCTTCGAGAAGCCATCCAATGCATCGTCGCAAAGTTTGGTAGCTCGTGAGAAACCTACCGGGGGCTTGGACCTCTCCGACGAGGAACGAAGCAATGAAAACATCGCACCCATCGCGTCCATCGCACGGCCAGATCTCAAACCCGCCTTTGTGACTCGGAAAGGCATGGAGGATTCTGCGACGGCGAAGGTGAAGAAACTGTACTATGACGATATCTTTGCCACGCGTGGATCGCATAATTCTCCAAAAGATCGTGTCACCTTTGAGTCTGTGGTTGTGGTTGAGTTCAAGACCAATACACAGGTCTGTGATGGCATCTACTTGAGGTATTGACTATTCGCGCTAATCTACCACTAATAGGTGAAGGGGGACACATCCAAAGCAATATCGGAGTTTTCCCATGCCTTGACGGAGATCTATCAGCGGCCAGAGGCTTCTATGCTAGTGACCATCGACCAAAGCGCTGATCTGCTTTTTGGAGCCACCAACGGTTCTGCATACCTATTGAAGGTGTCCGCCCTCGCCAGTCTCATCGCGCCTCTCACCAATGTCCGTAACACAGGCCTCATTCAATCCATCATACAGGACATCTTTGACATTTCTCCCGAAAAAGGAGTGATCATCTTCAACCCGTTGAGTGAAGACAACCTTGCAACAAATGGGATAACCGCCAGGGAAGAGATCGATCGTTTGGAACGAGATGATCGTAGCCCTTCCCTCTTCAGGTCAATCTCAAGATCCATGAGCCGTCGCCCGAAGTCTAGTAGCGACAACAGTGCGCCCTTGACACTTAGCTCTGCTGTGAGTCCCGACGCCGCACACATTGTGCTTCGCTCTCCTGTTGCCTCCCCGTCGATCGATGTTTCTCCACTCGGGTTGGACTCTCCGGATACTTCTGACCTCGCGGGGTCTGCCAAGCCGAGTTCTTCGAGGGAAGAGACTTATGCTGGTAATACATTCAAGCGATCATCGACCAGGGACAAAAAGACTCGTCGGTCGATGAGGAGGAGGGAAAGTCTGAAGAGCTTTGTCGCCCGTCGTTTGGAGGAGATGGGTGTGATACCACCCCTTGCGAGTCCCAAGTCTCCTGTCAAAGAGAACAAAGATTGATGCTCTTCGACCAGAGGAAGAAGGTTAACTTCGCATTGAATGCTGTACATCAACGCAGTGCATACTAGTCTATTGTTAGCCCACAGCTTACAGCTCTTAGGACCTTCAAAGGGCCAATGAGATACTCAATCTGTTTTCGAAAGCTCAAGGGGATTTAATTGTAGAGCATCAAAGGACATATCAGGGTTGGGCCATGCTAGGCTCGGGTTGAGTAAGTGTAGCTACTAGATTGTTTGATCATGCATGCGCATCCAGTCTTAAATATTGTCCATGAATAGCATTCAATTTTGCTCTCCTTCACCTCCTTTGACTTCTTGCTCAGCAAATAATCCACAACTTTCAGTTTCCACGGCCATCCTAGCTTCCAAACTGTTTCCACCCTCTCTTAAGGCCATCTATGACTGACATGTCTGATCCTGGAGAATCGAATAACGTGGATGAAGATGCCACTGCTGATGCCGATTCTCGGCCCGCAGCATCCTCCACGACAAGCCCGGTCAACTTCGTCCATGATTCCTCCGCGGACCTTTTTGCGGCACCGAATGGCTCGGCTTTAATCCGTATGTAAATTCTCGCAGTGGCGAAAGGCCTCCCGCTCTAACTTTCTAACCAAATATTTCAGATGCTTGCAATTGCGTGGGCAGATGGGGTAGTGGGATTGCAACCGTATTCCGTGCCAACGTGAGTGCTCATTCTCGCTATGAAAGACACGCCGGACTGATTGACAAATGAACAGTACCCAGCAGCGTTTGATATCTATGCCAGTCACTGCCGTTACTACAATAACAACATTCGACACCATGTAATCCCCAATCTCGAACCGGAGGACAGTCAGGAACAGCCCGTGCGACTGGTCCGTTTACCACTGGGAACCGCTCTGGTCATTTCGCCCCAGGCCTCCGATATTGCCCTTCATGGTCGCCGGCATTGGATTGTCTGTCTTTTTGTCTCTCGCTGGTACGGAGCTCGTGCTGACTCTGAGGCGGATATCTGCCGCAACGTCAACGCTGCTCTGCGGGATCTGGCTCAACAGCTCACTGAGCTGAGGATACTCGCCGTCACAGACACGGATTGGCCCCGCTACCTTTTTTCGAACCGTTTTTGCTCTGGTTTATTTCGCGTTCCTTGGGAAGTCACCAGCGAGCTGATCAACGAAGTTGGACTGAACATTACCGTGTGCACAAACTCTGAGCATCGTCGTCCTCCGCAACACCGCTATGCTAACAACTCTCGTCGTCCCTCCACTCGTCGTATCCCATTTGGACCCCTGGCTCGTGAGTGGTGAGCTTTGGGATTCCGAGCTACCGGCAGGTTGGTAGGCGCTCTTGGAGTGATGGCCAGATAGCTGTGGGTGTGATGAAAAGGCTTGAGAGAATCTTCATATTCCATTGATAAAACGATTACTTCATGTTCCGCTCTCAGTATGACTCCTGTTGGTAGGAGAGAATAAACTCCATTCTCGAACCTTGCGTGCAGCGTCGCTCTACGACGAGTCGTCTACGATTCAGACCCACCGATTGTGCGTTGTGCATATTTCTGGACGTAATTCATGCTTTGATTTGATCTTGTCCACACTAGATAGTATATTTGCCATATCTTTGTTCGATGTGAATGATCTCGATCAGGGTACTCCCGATCACCTGATAGCGCGTGTTAGCGCAGATCGCGCCCGCGTTGAGAGACCCCCGATTTCTCCGCTGCGTGTTGTTACGCTTTTGCTTCTGCAAGAACAGATCATTTCTCCCAAACTCCACAGTCCGAGCCGCAAGTATGCCGGGTGAACCCAAGCCGGCACAAAAGCGCCCGCGTCTCCCTTTCAAGCCTCCCACCCGTACCAGCGCGGGGCCGTCATCGGCACCAAAGGCCAAAGGCAAAGCAAAACAGACAAGCACGAAAGTCCCAGCGTCAAATACAGAACCCAGCACGACGAAAACTTCCCAATTCAAGCCTACAAAGTCCTCAACTGCGAAGAGACCCCGTGTTGAATCCCCAGCTCCTGATGAAGTGCAGTCTGGGTCGGAGTCCGGCTCGGATGCGCCAGACCGCAGCCGCTCGCAATCACTCTCCCAAGAACCAGACTACATACTTGCTGAAATAACTACCACCAACCCAGTGGAGGACGTGAACTCCAGCGACCCGAAAATCCCTCCGAAACTGTTGACCAGGCTGCTACATGAACACTTTCAGAACGACAAGACGAAGATCGCAAAGGATGCTAATAACGTTGTGGCGAAATATGTGGATGTCTTTGTGAGGGAAGCAATCGCTCGGGCTGCTTTTGAGAGAGCTGAGACGAACAACAATGCTGATACCAGAAGAATCGGAGATGGATTCCTTGAGGTAGGGCATGATCGGAGTCTAATTCAGTGCTATGGGGCTATACTGACCGGTGACACAGGTCGAGGATCTCGAAAAGATGGCGCCACAGCTTACGATGGATTTCTAACGTCTGAGCGCTCTGGGACACGGCGTTCGATTCTGGTTCATTCATTAGGGGGTTATTGTTCTTAAGATACCACAGCAAAAGCATACAACATTTTCATGACAAACATGCCGCTCGGAAGAGCGCAGCATCCCTGGGATTCATGTACTCGGGTGGTTTCCCAATGGTATGATCTTCCACAAAGGGTGGAACTCCCCCGAAGCCATTGGCATTGTGGAAGAGGGCGATATCCCTGTTGACTCTTTTCGACAACCAGGCATTGGCCCAATAGGCTGTGTTTTTCTTGCTGAGGTGGACTACCACCACCGGCAGTCGGTTCTGCTCCGGCAAGTGGCCGAGTTTGGCGTCATAGGCTGTGTGGCCGATATCGAAGACGAAGAAAACTCTTGTTCGCCATTTCTGGGCTGCTACTAGTCTCGTTGCCGGGTGGGTCTCTTGTGGGACATAGAGCTGTGTGGATTTGAGAAGGCGAATAGCTTTGGGCAGTAGAGCTTCTGGGTTGCTCTGAGCCTTGGGCATTCGGGAGCTTCGATGTGAGACAATCACCAGAACTCGCAGGGGGTTTTGTTGAGTCATAGTGGACTATCACAGTGAGTTGTAGCCGCTAGCTGTCGATGCGCGTTTCTTACCGGTCTAGGAAATGTTGACATACTTTCTCTTCGCCTTCTTAGATTTGCCTCTGGATTGTTGGGCTCTTGGCACATGAACCATCGGAGTTCATGGCGTTGAGCAGAGGCTTCTTATATGGATTTTCTACTACGCCTGAGGCCGATGAGGCAAAGTTCGGTGTCTTACGCGGACCTAATGGCAACCTTCCAATAGCCTCAAAGTATGTTCGTTCGAACTTAAAGACTCATGAGGGGATGGCAATGTTACATAGTCCAGGTCTGAATGGACGCTGACGACCAGAGACCCGGGCTCCAGCTGAAGCCACGTTGGTACCTGGTGACTGGGATTGCACACATGGACTAGTCTGGAATCGAATTCTGTAGACCACAAGTTAACAGTTTCGGAGATAAATGGATACCTGGGTCAAGACGAAAGTTGAGGTCGATGTCGAAAACATGAAGGGACAGGAATGTATAGTTCAGAAGGCGGTGGGTCGTGGATTTCCTCCCCGTGTTTTGCCTCTTCGACGCGTCAAGTCCCACCATACAATTCATTTTCGCGATGAACGATGCGACGACCTCCTTGCTCACTGAGCACTTCAGCTATACTCCATTGGTGAGTCTCTTGTGATCCCCGCCCGTGCATCTTGCCCCTCCTTGCCGCCCGTTGCATACTGACGATAGCCAGTCTCTCATTGATGACATTATCAACTCGATAAACAACTTGATCTACCAGGCCATATCGAGCTTGGAATCTGGACTGCTCAATACGCCGCCCGAGCGTCTTGGATTTTCCCATGCCAACAATGGTATCACAATTCCCGAAACGGACGATGACGGCAACGTGCTATATCCCGAGGCGAAGCTAGAGATTGAAAACGGGCTGCATCAGCTGGAGACGCTGCTCGAAACGAACGTCGATAAAGCCTTCGATAAATTTGAGATTTACGTCCTGCGAAACATTCTTACTGTCCCGGAGGATCTTCTCGCATATGTGCGCTTGAAACATTACGAGGTATGTGGATTCAGGACTCTCCGGGCACCGACCTATCTTTCAGGGTGAACCGAGGTCAAGTGAAAGCTCCGTAGCTAATGCGCGATACTTCCAGGGTCTGTCGTTCAAATCCTCAGCCGACACACCCACGCCCGAGACCATTCATGCGCAGCGCAAGAAACTATTCGAGACGAAGAAACTAAACCGTTCATTGAAAGAAGAAAGCGCTCGGAACAACGCAGTCATCTCTCAGCTAAAGTCTATACTGTCCACGGTTGAAACGGCCAAGGTCGAAGGCGCGCCCGCGACACCGAACAAGCCACTTGACTTGTCCTTCCTGACCTCCAGTCCAGCTGCGCGCCAGCTCCGAGTCGGCGTGGATGCCGGGTCAAATGCCAAACCCACACACCTTACTACCCACACGACCTTTATTCTATCGCAGCTGCCCGCGTTGCAGGCCACACTTGAGCAGCTTCGTCCCAAGCTGGCGGCCTTGCCTGAATCGGTGATCCCAATGGAAACCAAGTCTAAACGCGACGAGCGCAAGGAGTATATTGAAGGCCGAATCCGACTCCACCTCGAGCGAGCTGGTCAGCTTGCCACCGGCGATGACGGAAACCCTGTTGTCGCAGGTCGCAGGATTGATATCAGAGAGGCACATGCTCTGGAGAGCGTGGCAAACATGCTTACGCAGAAAGAGAATGTGTAAATGGGCATGCTTGTTCAAAATGGTTGGATCTACGACTTTTATTATATGATATGTGCAGGTCTATTCTTTTAAGACCAAGAGACACTCCATGTCTCCTGGGTCTTCCTGAAGGGAACGACGTCGATCGCGCCGGACTGCAGGATCTCGGAGATCTTCTCACCCTTACGCTCGATGGTGATGAACTCCTTGGTCTCCTCTGGCAGGCCGTAGAAGGCGCGCCCAAACTTGGTCATGAAACCCTCAACGATTTCAGGTGTGATGTCCTCGTCTTTGAGAACACCGTTGTCGACAGCCTGCTCGAAGGCATCAACCACAACCTGGGTAGTGTACGGCTGGGTGAAGACACCAGCGGCGATCTTCTCACCGCCGCGCTTGGAGGCTGCGGGGTGGGGCGCGCTGTCAGAACCGAAGAAGAACTTGGGGTTACCCGAAGTGGCAGCGCGAAGCAGAGCATCGCGGTCAGCCGGGGTCTTCGCGACAGGCTTGCAGAAGCAGAATGGATCGCCGGCCCATGAGTCGATGATGATGGACAGGTGGTGCGCCGTGATTGTGCCAGAGACAGTCGGGCCACACTTCTTCACAGCCTCCACAGCCGCGGCAGTGGTGCAGTGCTCCAGAATGATGCGCAGCTTGGGGAACTTCTCGTGCAGCTCGAAGAGCTTGGGGAGGAATCGCTCCTCTGCAGACAACACGGTCACGTCACCTCCGGAGGGGGCCTCTCCGTGCAAGTTCAGGATCATTCCTTGACGCTCCATCTCAGCGAAGACTGGGTAGAATTGTGTGTAATCGACAACGCCCGAGGAAGAGTTGGTGGTCACGCCGGCGGGATAGCTCTTGACACCGGTGATGCCACGCTGCTTGGCTTCGATGATGGTCTCGGGGGTCACAGTCTCGTGGAGGTAGAGGGACATCAAGAAGTTGACATTCGGCTCGAGAGCTTGCAGGCGCTGCTTGTAATCGAGTGCTCGGTCGACAGTCGTGATAGGCGGCACCAGGTTGGGCTACTCGGTGCATTAGATATTGAAAAACAATATGATTTTATCTTCTTCACAAGGCTCACCATAACAAACACGGTGTTGACACCACCCTGTCGGATGGTGGGAGTCACCAGCTCCATCATTGGGCCATCACGAAGGTGGACTAGATCGAGTCAGCGCTGTCAATTTGTAAGCTTTACCCAAGATCAGTACCATGGAAGTCTGCCGAGGCAGGGAGCTTGACACCCTGTAGCTTAGACAAAGGCATTCTGTGTTTGATTTGAGGTCAATTTGCAGATCAAGAACTGACTTCAATGCAACTGCATCAAAACTTTGCCCCGCCATTTCTGCCGGGGGCGGTGGCAACCCCAGTCCGCTTTCGGTGGGTTCTCCCCTTCTACTCCATACGAGCACGGGGTACGATCCCCAAACTGGAAGCTCATGCAATTTGCACTCTCTGTTGACCCAAATAGGTATCATGGCAGATTTATGTACTAACCTGCAGCTAGTACGAAAGCTGATCTGCAAGCCTCTCCGCCCGCATTCTATCTCGCACATCCTATCGAGTACCCGGGGAGCATCGCTTGGTCAACTCCCCGAAGATACCGAGTGCTCTGTACTCCGTACAAGTATTTGACTCATCAACGAAGCATGCAGGGGCTGGCATATCCACAACCAGGATATCCCTGAAACAACGTTGCCGCTGGTGGCCATCCTGCTACAAGCCTGGGCGCCTCCACGCTGCCTATCACAGGTCAGGATCGCCGGTCTAGAAATTTAGACTTCCAAGAACATGATGGGATCTCACCCATGGCCATTCACTGGCCGTGTCTCCTCTCAGGGCCCTATAATTGGCACAGCCAGGCGCTTAGACAGTGCTTATTCACCGAAATGTCCGCCAAGTCTGCAAGCTAGCGCCCGCCAAGACATCTATCCTTCGGGATGCACAAGCCAAAAGCAAAACTTTCATTTAGAATTCTGCACTGACAGTCCTAGCAATTAACTTCCACGCCTCAGGCGAATCATCACAGCTGATACCGCACCAGGGCGTACTGCATGGCTTTATGCGGTCATCCGGGCTGAACATTGTCCTCGGGTTACGCGCTCATTCGACGGTCACCTTTGTGATGGTATAGCGCTCGCCTAGCAGGTCCCTGAATTGGCTCTTGCATTATGTCTCCACGAATATACATATCCGACCTGTTCTCCGTTGCTTATTTTTCGCAAAATCTTTCGAGTAATCCTGCCTGTGCTTCTTTTTTATCCCTTGGGGGGCTATTCGTTCTTTGATATCTTTTTCTAGGAACATCCTTGCTGGCAAGGTGGTCGAGTCACACGCTCTCTCTCTACCCCTCTTCGGTCTTGTGTCATATCCAACATTTCCTCTTTCATCATGACCTCAACCTCGTCTATCACGGGCTCCCAGGGATCAGGTCGTGCTTCTTCATCAGACATGGACGAATCGACGTTTCTAAAACGCAATCGTACCATTCATTTCTTGAGAATTGCTCTTTCATTCTTGGCCTTAGCCATTGCAATCGCCGTTGTTGCATGCGAGGCTCCCCCACTGCAGCACTACAAGGATACCTCCCAGTGGGCCCCTGCCGGGCTTGCCTTGTGGCCTCTGAACTTTGATCTCCGTCCAACCATAGCGGCTATTGCTTGCGGGAGCATAATCACCATGATGAATCTTGTGTATATTGTCACTGCCCTCATGCCATCTGTAAGCATGAATCTCCTCACTATGCCGATATCAGAACTAACCCAGACTCAGCCTCACTCCCGTATCAAGCCACTCAACATTTACTCCTCGGTCTTGGCTTTCGCAGGCTTTGTTACTGCCTTGGTGACCGTACTTTTCGCTATCTACCGCCCCTCCTCGAACCACCCAGCCGGTTTCAACACGAACGAAACACTCCATAGCTGGACGTGCAAATGGAAGACAGGTACAGATGGCACTTCTATTCCTCGTCACTTTGAGCGTGACTGTATGAACACTCGTGCTGGCTTTGCCTTGATGTGTGTCTTGATTGGAATGGAAATGCTGATGGGAATCGTTGCTGCTGCTGGAACATGGTTCCAGCGCGATGTTTCTCGCCGTCGGGAGCAACAATTCCAGGTCGAAAAACTTGAAATTGCTTCCAAGCATGCGTATCACCAGTGATTTGTTTTACTGACATTGTCATTTTCAAGCGCGAGCTGCCATATGTATGCTATAACATGTCGCTGGTTGGCTGTATACGCTTTTCGAATTTGGTGTTCTCTTTCTGGGACCAAGCCCAACAGAACTCATCTCAATTTAGGAACAATGAACAAACTCTGTGAATTGCATGTGCACAATACTAAGCTCTTTCAGATTCAGATAATCCAGGGTTCTGCTCAATTAAGCCTTATTCAGTCCAATTAACCTCTGCATAACTATGGTCTCAATGGTCTCATTGGCTATACATAATACACAATCACTGGGAACCTTGGAACCGTCCAATGTTCCAAGGTTGGAAGCTCCCGCTTCCTAATTCATCTATTGTTCCTGCAGTGACCACACTGCCCATTTAGGCTTCGGAGCTACTATATCTACTCACTCTTTTCAAGGCCTGGGCATCAGGTCAAGTTCATCTCACCACGCGATCGAACCATCATCTTCGCATCGCTTCTGGTCTTGCTATCATCGCTCAACCATCTCAGGAAGGCCCAATAGACCTCCCTCACTTCTCTCGCAACCTCACTTCATCGCTTGCCTCACTTCTGGCAAAGATGCCCACCAAAACCTGGATCCATGTGCACGCAGCACGTCCCAAGGACTACGCAGAAGCCCGCCATGCGACTCTCTTCTTCGAATTCCCCGACTACACCCAATGTGTCATGCATATAGTCGGCCGGCCCACGGCATTCAAATTCGAGGTCCTCGACGGATACAATCCCGGCTCGAGTAACTCACTCGCCCGTCGAATCTTCGTGGCGGAAATCGCAGATTCGTTCACGCCGCGCGATATCTTCGACATCGCAGCCTGGACACTCGTCAAGAACTCCCCTGATGAGATCTACTGGAACTGCCATGAATGGGTGTGCGACGTTCTGGTCCGTCTGGAGAAAAATGGAGCTCTCAGTGCCCCTCAGCGAGTCAGGGCTGTGGATGGGATGATCTACTCATGCCTGGAGGCGGAGGACGAAGGAGTGGGACTACTCCGGAAGATCGGGTTGATCGAGGGCATGGCTTACTCTTGCCTGTCGGTCCTGGAACCCGCATACACTCAAGAGGATCCAGAAATTGGTTGTTTGGAATCTGGGAAAACCCACTTTCAGTCAGATAAGGATCAATCAACGAGTTTCTGCTAAAATACAATAATATCCAACATGCAGCTTCCCTGGTAGCTTTGTTTGAGGTTCAGAGCATCTCGAGTTCCTATAGCCATTTCATCTTCGGGGTTGTATGGCTCATACTCCATCCGAGATCAACATCCGCTCTGGGAGACACAGTCTTCCCAAGTGTCTTCTGATATTCTCAAGTCCTGCCTGGACTTGGTTTCTTCCTTGTTTTCTTCTCACACTTGGAAGCTTCAAATCACAATTCCCAATCCCAATCCCACCAACGCTAACCAACTACCAGCAACATTCACAGATGCGGCACCTTCCGATGAAGAGGATTTCTCGTGTCCTTTCAGGGACTTTGTCGCATCGGTCGCGGTAGATGAGCCAGCATCAGATGTAGGATTTGCTTCTATGCTGGTCGGCTGAGCTGCGTTTGACCCCGGCAATGTCCATGAGGGCGCCACGGTAGTCTCTCCCTGATCGAATGCATTTGCTGTTGCGCAATTCCCGACACTGAGCGATCTGGCAGATGCGCCTGCTTCGTCGTCTTCTGAACAGTCCACGTAGCAGCTATTCGATTGAAGATCAGTATGGAAAATACTAGGTCTTGGTTTGGTGCGATCTATACTGGTTACTTACTTTGCGATATTAGCAGCACCAGAGCACTTGCAATCCCAGTCGTCCGTTCGGCATTTTTCAAGTCCTTTTTTCATTGCGCCGACGCATGAATCTACCAGTCTGTTCCGGGTCAGCGTGGGCTTTTGTCACCTTCAATGCGAATATTACTTTTGTGAAGCGCATCCAGAGCTGCTGGTGCCTGTCGTTGCTGGAGCATCCTGGGCGAAGACGAAAGTAGCCGAAACGGCAAGCAGGACTGTACTGATGAGACGCATTTGAGGGATCGATTCGGACTTGTTAATTGAAGAGCTGCGGATCGTAGCGAGTATGTGATATGAGGGACAAGTACCAGGGTCTCTGACTCGGTCTGGGGTTTCTTCACAACTTATGACCCCTTGGACCTGGCTTGACCGTTACATTGAAGCAATCAAATCCAACTTGTGTCTATTCCCGGTCATGGGCCCTGAAAAAAACCACATGGGGTTGAGGTCCACCGAGTCTGCTACTCTGCAAAGACCGTTAAGGATCCGATTGGACCGGGGGAAAAACTCCCCCGCGCAGATAAAATGGCGATTTTCAAGGCATAGTTCCGATCTGCTTGGGGGCTTCCACGGTTGCAGTCCTGCGAGCAAGGGATTGGACAGTTCAACCAGAAACAAAATATCCGGAGAAAACCAGACGCCACAACACCCAGCCCATCAATTGCAACAGATCTAATGGCGACATCATGACTTTTGTGAGGTCGCATTCCAGAGATCGTTGCATTCTTCGGTCCGAGTCCGAGTCCGATCTCGTGGACGCATTAGGGAAGTGGGTCTGGGATTCACTCTATACTCTTCACTCTCGCTACAGAGTACTGAACTCCAAGGGGAACTTCGATTGTCTTTGTTGGTCAAGTCTATTGTAATGGGTTGCATTCTTTATGTCTAGCATGTATTTTGAGAATCTACGGCTGTTTTCTGTCAGTCCCAATCTAGATGGCCCGGAGCAGCTGACTCCCAGTCTTCCGAATCAATGATACCCTGTATAGCAGATATTCAGTGGACACACTTGAGGTCCAAGTTGCCATCTGCATATTACCGTGGCGTTTTTCTATCCCTCAGGTACTCTAAATCCCCGAGTCCTTGTATTAGTACCATTGCCAGTCAACAACTCTGGTTTCGTCGGCTTGCTCCGTTGTGTTAGGCCAATGTGATCCCAGGATAATTACTCAACGCTGCGACTCAGATCTCGTGCAGCGGGTGCATTTGCGCGCTGTTTGGAGTGCGTTTAAATGTCCGACTCGGAAATCACGGTCGCTGGCGTTGCCATGCGCCTCGGGCACTCCAGTGTTAACCCGTACGATTCCGACACTCCTATGCGGGAATCAGATAGTCCAGATAGAACTATGTGAATGATCCAGTTACCGGGGCAGGATCTGAGGTTTTCGGGTTTATGTTTGAGGATCAATGCCAAAATGTCCCCTGGGTTCCGGTCGCATGCAGATCTCGATCAGCATATGAGCGATCAACGTTCGGATTTTTTGGGTGCTCTGCTTGTCGGCTTTGGACCTTGAGAAGACCTGTAGTGACTCGGTCATCGTATGGGCGGCGAGGGAGTGGATTAGGGTGCGGGATGTCTTGGGATTTGGAATGCGGACTGGGCGACTGGTTGCCCCGACTGGTATCCGACCGGTGCCCTGTTCTTGTTTGTGCCTGTGAGCCTGGTGTTAGCATAGTGAGTCTGGTTGGATCGATATGAGAGGTCTGATGTTTCATCGTCATGGCGGAAGATATGCTCGGCCATCTCAGGAGCCAGTAGCGAGTCTTCGTGAGGAATGATTGATGATTTCTGGCTTAGGTGCATCATGCAGGGCTCCTGTTCATTTGTATATTGGCAATTTTCAACCGGGGGATTCGGCTGAGGGCAGACAACCGCTGTGTGGAGGACAGGGTTTTGTTTCCACATGCGAAGGTCCCATCGCATCCATGTAGTTCTGACGTATCCTTCGCGGTATACCTTCCTGGCTCATTATCTTCCACGGCACCTTTCGATGGTCTTAGTATGGCGAACTTGTCTGGCGTCTTGAAGGGTAAGGATTCCAGTCTGGTGGTGGGATGAGTGAGACTTTGAGTGAGTTTTGGAGTACGATGCGGATGGTCTGATGTGGTGAAATATGCTTGGTGAAGATGAGTGAGTCGGGACCTGGTGACGCTTCCGCAGTTGGCTCGGCTCGTGATGTTGAGTTAGAGAAGCAAGCAACCCGTTCTGGATGTGAGCCACCTTGGCTCGCAGGCCCCATGCTTCTCATCGTGGTGTCCGGAGGAAATGAGCTCATCATGAGCGAAAACACAAAAGCCCGCAGCGCGTCTTCCTCATTCATTGAATCGATGGCTGAGACTTTCTTCGGCCTGAATGGTAGGATGTGGCGAATTCAACCCGGCTGGAGCTCTCTGGGGCACGCGAAACCACTCCAGGTCCGGGAAAACCATTTGATCCCCTCGAGTGTCATCATTTCCATCATATGGAGAAATGTAGACTGATGGATTCCTGTCGTATATTTCCAATGTTGCGGTCGTTGCATCGGGTGGTGTTCTCCGTGGTGCCAAGAGGAGTTGAAACTCCTTTTTGGTGTGTGACCGCAGCTCCTCGAAGAGCCTTGGAGTGACATCCTAATATTTTGTCCGTTTTGTTGGGATAAACTAGCTCGGTCTAGTTTTGTAGCCAACAGTGTCTCTCGGTACGCTTGGTGTGTTGTTCTTCTGTCCTTCCTCGGGGGTTTTGGAATGCCAAGAAAAGTTGAACTTCCCTTTTAGGGGGTTCAACTTTAATTTGTTCCGGTCAGTGGCCACTGGGACGAAAGTCCTTAACTTCAGTCTCAAAGGCCATATTTCTTTCGAAGCGTGGTTTATTCTATCGCCTCGTACTATTAGCTATGTCCGCAACATTCGAGTGGTAAAAATACGTAAATTGATACTGAATTGGTGGATGTGTGGTATCGGTCTTTGGTTGTATATATCTTGAGCACTACACCATATGTGTTACCCCTACCCTACATGTGCATATACCTAAAAGTTCATCAAAAGTCCCGAGCTTCAACTGAAAGCCACACGCGTAAGCCAACAGTGCCATCCAATTCAAACAACCAACCATACGGCTTCTCCAGACCCGTATGCAGGCAATGAGTATACATAGTAGGTGAAACTACGTCATGCGTCAAAGAGTGTACAGCCAAGACGATTGAAGTGATACCAACTACTGTACATCAAGATTACACAACCCATGCTAGGTCCATTCAGACAGCTAAGAAAATCCAACAAGGCCAGCTTTACTCCATACATTCACAAACCTCCAAGGTGAAAGTTCAACAAAAAGTGTTGCGCCAAAGCTAAAATAGACAACGCGTCAAATCTAGCCCCACCCACCGGAACAGAACTATACACAACAGAACAGTATTACAAAACAACGCGTCGAATGAACACCTGTAATACCAGAACACAACATCTACAAACCTAAGCAGAGGAGCATAGAATGAATTGTTTGATCAAGTTTTGATTGTATTCGTATCGGATCGCACTTGAGTGCTTGATCCCACCATGTCCATGGTGCCAGCCGTAATGAAGAAAGGCCGCTATGATACAGAAATGCTCAGAAGCGAACACTAGCAGACCTGTAGTGGACGCGCAATAGTGGTAATCGAGTGTTATGAAAAGCAAACCCAGAGACCCATGACGATTGTAGTAAAATAAATCAGAGAACACCCCAACGTCCCGTCATACCGTAAACCAGCCGGAAAAGAAAAAGCACAAAAAATTTAGCCACCGAAACCGTAGAGGGTACCTGCAGTAAGACTGGTTAGACATGTTTGGAAGCAAGAAGACGCGTTGAAACTTACGGCCCTGGCGCTTGAGAGCGTAGACAACGTCAAGGGAAGTGACAGTCTTGCGCTTGGCGTGCTCAGTGTAGGTGACAGCGTCACGGATGACACCCTCGAGGAAGGTCTTGAGGACACCGCGGGTCTCCTCGTAGATCATGGCGGAGATACGCTTGACACCACCACGGCGTGCGAGACGACGGATAGCGGGCTTGGTGATACCCTGGATGTTGTCACGCAAAATCTTGCGGTGACGCTTGGCACCACCCTTTCCGAGTCCCTTTCCACCCTTTCCACCTAAAGAACAGACGCGTTAGAACGCGTTCAGACGAAGCAGTGAGATGATGTCAACTTACGGCCAGACATTTTGAATGTGGATTAAGAAGTTTGTGTTTGAAAGTTGAGGGATGTGGAGTAACCAAGTGGTCGTTGGAGTTGTTGGAAAGAAGAAGATTTAGAGGAGATTGGGAAGTGGGATATTTGTATGAGGGAGGGAATGCGCAATGACTGGGAAATCACGCGCTAGGAATGCCGTGAACCAATGAGAGCGCAGGATCACGGACCTGGTCTGATCTACCGGCGACCCCAGAGTCGGTACGCCAACTTTGCCGCAGGCAATTTTTGATCCTCATTTGGCTCCCCATTAACCACGTAAATCAAGTAAAAAAAAAGTGCGACTATACTCATTAGAGCACTTTGAATAGCTTAGAAGGGCTTGCTGCCCGTCCCAGCCTCCTTTGCGCGTAGGATCAGGAATTCAAGGGTTCAGCATTCTATACTCCGTGATCCTGGACGCTCATTGGCCCAGCACTCGCTTAGTCCCAGCGCCAACTGCTCTGATCCGGTGCAGCCAATCAGCGCCCAGCGCAAATCAGGCTCTGGTGTACGCAGGCTCCTGCGCACTGATTCTGATCTGGAAGGGGCGTCCCCTGATTCGTTTACTCGTCACTCCCAGATCAATCCCCCCCTCTCGCCCCCTACAAATACTCACCCCCCGCCCTCCTCTCACTTTCCCTTCTCATCCACTCAACAACCTCCATCAACCAACCAACTTTCCATCAAGTTATCATCAAAGATGGCTCGCACTAAGCAGACTGCCCGTGAGTACTTCCATTATGACTTCATCGTTCGATCGGCGTCACTTTGACACCTCACCGTCGCTACCTCGGTCATGTGACGATGAGGTGAAGGGGATTCGAAAGTGACGATGAAGTAACGATTCTATTGGACACGGATAACTGACAATTTCTATAGGTAAGTCCACTGGTGGCAAGGCTCCCCGTAAGCAGCTCGCCTCCAAGGCCGCTCGCAAGGCCGCTCCCTCCACCGGAGGTGTCAAGAAGCCCCACCGCTACAAGCCCGGTAAGTTCCTCTCATGGAGGCAAACATTCCACATCATCATTCTAACGGTCTATTGCAGGTACCGTCGCTCTCCGTGAGATCCGTCGCTACCAGAAGTCCACTGAGCTCCTGATCCGCAAGCTCCCCTTCCAGCGTCTGGTTCGTGAGATCGCCCAGGACTTCAAGTCCGACCTCCGCTTCCAGTCCTCTGCCATCGGTGCTCTCCAGGAGTCCGTTGAGGCCTACCTTGTCTCCCTCTTCGAGGACACCAACCTGTGCGCCATCCACGCCAAGCGTGTCACCATCCAGTCCAAGGACATCCAGCTTGCCCGCCGCCTCCGCGGTGAGCGCTCGTAATTTATTTCTCTTTGACGAGCTGGCTTTTCGATAGGCGATCATGGGGTTTCTTTTTTTATTTTATCATGACAATCGGCGATACATGATGGGTTTGCTTTACAATATCAAATGGGTTCTGGAACCGGGTTGCTTTGCAATTTTGCTTATTATTTCAATGTTACTGCCTGCCATCGCAGTTGATGGATCAGCCATGGGCATGTACATTATGGGGTTCCCTTTTACCATGGTGCCTTAGCGCGCATCATCTCATGGCAAGACGCTTACAATGCAGTCTTATGATTCACTTCTCTTCTCTTGTAAATTTGGATGTCTCTTGTAACAGATTTCGAGGAACGAGTCCCCCGTGTCAAGCGTCATGGACGATCAAGCATCCCTTGCGTGGACCTACCCTGTCCGAACCTCAATGCTTGTCGTGTTGCACGTCTCTTGTCATGTATTAAGTGTACGTCCAAATCAGATTCCCCATCACAGTTGACAGCACCGATCTCGATGAAGTCCAAGTGGGGAGTGAAGCCGAATGATTTTGCACCTCACCCCGAAACACCCCGGAATTTCTTCCCGATGACAAGAACCCTGCAATGCTCGCACAGCTATTCTAAAATTGGAGAACCACCGATGACTGGTTGCGTAACACCACCTGGGCAGTCGGACCTTGATGGCAAGGTTCGCAGTATTGGACTCAGTGATCGGAGAAACGGAGGCCAACAATATGGACTGCTGATGAACCCCACCTTAAATGACCTCATTTTTCCATTTTTGTGAGCGACTGAAACAATGACTACAGTACATGGATTCTCTTCGTTGACACTTAGGTGCATCCCAGTACTCCGTATGTAGACTGAAGCCTGATGTAACACAAACCTCAAAAACCAGAAGCATCAAAGATAAACTCTGAACCTGTGCATGGGTTGCAAGTCCATTGTCCTCCGTACTCGGAAGGACAAAGGATGCCAAGACGGCTTTCTCGTCTCCCGACAGTAATTCCAAGTGCCACTTCTTAGGACTCCCAGCTATGTGACCGTGAGAATGGCACAATGAACGCCTGATACGGGGAGTGACTCAACCGCAACATCACACCATAGCACTGATCCATGGATTGGACGGAATATTTCGCCGGGAATACCCAGAACCTTCTGGGGATTATGGCACAAAACTGGGATCTTCCAAGGTTGCATGCGATGCCCGTGACTTCAATGGATCTTCCAAGGTTGAACACCTGGGCAGAACTCCAGGGCTTGGCCATTGAAGATTGCGGTGGCATTGCAGCCGTGTTATTCAGGTGTCGATCTCGGAGTTATTTCATCTGTGGGTCTTCAAGTGACTTCAGCCTGCATTTTGTTTCTTTGATCTTTTGTTCCCAAGCAAGAGTGCAGATTCCAAAGATCATAGAGGAGATTTATTCACGCTACTAATAAAGTATAGAAAATTCCAGCCTCACACAGATGCTGGAGCATCAAGATCAAGACTACATCCTCTGGCGACTGAAGTACCGTGAAGTGGGACTCCTAACGGCTTGGCCTGAGGCCAATATGGGGTCCCGTGGAAAATTCCATCGAAATTCCAAAGTGTCGTGGGACGAGCAGGCCCACTTGTGGCTGAAATTTTTGCTTTGCTGCAAGCCACCCGCACTATTCTTTTCGTCAAACTGAGCCTCGGTAATTGATGCCTAATTTGTGCCTGTCCCCCTTTTTGATCTTTCGGGTTCTTCCGAGCATCTAATCTCGGGTGGATTTTATGCTGTGCATTGGCTCTGCTCTTACGGAGTGGAGTTTAAGTCACATACTCCTAACTCCGTACTCCGTACTCCGTAGCTGGGCAACCATTAGAAATCGGCGTTGATTATCAATCCGGCGTAAATCCAAGGGCATCTTTAGTGTGTCTGGTGTCTGGTCCACTGGGGCAGATCTTCCTCTTGGGTTTTCATGCAGTTCTACCGTCTCTTGGGGGCTGATCGCGCGGAATCCTTCCGATTTCCCCTTGGCCCCCAACAGTATGTAATCAAGCTTTAACGCGCAACCCTAGAATTCGTCACTGCAGTGTTGAGTCATCTCGTTTGACCCCCGAACGACTGTTGCATTCATTGCATTTGTACTAGTAGAGGCCGGTAAAGCAGATATCCCGTTGCCTTACACGGAGCCTCTAACTTCGACTTTGCACCGGTAGGACTTTACAGTCCACCACTTGACATCCACGGCCCAGGGGATGACTTTCCAACGTTGGTTTAGGTAACCGGTTCATGGGCTTACATTAGACGCAAACTTACTACCAAGCACTAGAAAAGGCAGGAGGGGAAAAACTGACGATCATCTACACCGGTCATCGGAAGGTCCCCGGCTGTGGAGGACAGGGTCTGTGGTCGGAAGTTAAAGCCATATCAACCGATGGTTGATAATCATACTCATTCAGTACAAGAACAGTACACAGTAGGCTCGAGTCAATCGTGAATAGCAGAAATTAAGACCAGGATCAAAATAGAAATTGTGACTCGGTGGCCTGGAAGAATTAACTCACCCGAATTGAAATTCAACATGAAACTCTGCCCACTATGGGGGTTCGGGAAGAACCGATACCGATGCCCACCGGATGCTCCATGGCTTACGCACGGCCCGATGCTGTGCTACAAAGCCCACAGGCGTGCAGCATGATCAGTCATATCAAGGCTGCCCAGTACTGAGGTCGCCTGATCCATATTTCTTAGACCGTATACATACTAGTGGAGTACAGGATACTGTACAGCCATTTCCCAAGATCCTACTCCTGAGAAGTAACTCCCGCAAGAATCATAAATGGAAAGAACGCAAAAGAGGGTTTGTACTACTCTATGGATTGTGCTGTATCAAATGTGCATTACCGTAGATGTGTAACACTGCAAGTAGCCCTGGAGGACGGAGGACGGAGTATCTAACTCCATGTCCGAGGTTATCACTATTATCCAGCGGGGTATGTCCGGCCTCGGGAGTTCCAACCTTGGAAGGTTTCAAGCTCCACTTCAGGCTCCCACCAGTTGACCCGTGGACTGGCCTGAAACTTGCTGAGTCAGGTGAATATACGCCGCCCCGGCCAATCAGACCGGTGCCGCATAGCCGATGGCAGCTTGGCATAAATCTTCATAAGTCACGTGCCACACGTGGCTGCAAACGGTACCACCTTGGAGATGCCGCATCTGTGTACTAGAACTCCGGATGGAATGTAGGACCAAAGGGGCTTCAAGCCCATGACATCGGATCTAATAGATGACGAACTGCATTCAGGAACGGACAGTATAGTAGAAAGATAGCACGAAGGGTCCAGAAATAGCCTCGAGCTCTGGGCCCAGAATTCCAAGGTTTGGCGACGGAGATATCCTTAGATCCACTTATTCCCACTTTATCTGCATAGTGGATTTTCATAAGAGCTATGCAGTTTTTTTAAGAGAAAAATCTCGAAAGCGCCACAGGACCGTGGATGGTTTCCATTATAATAAGGAGGCCCTGCACCTTGGTCACGGACATTTACTTACTTTCAAGCTTCACTCTTATTTTCCCCAGTCCACCTGGGCATACCTCTTAATCCAAAGCATATTTGCTTTCACCTCTCAATCCCCGCAAGCGGAGCTTCAGGGCGCTGAGCTCCTCTCGACTGACCAACGACCGAACCTAATTGACCCATCTTCCAACCCACCTGCCCACCATGGCAGACACGAAGCCCCAGATCTCAGAGAAGATCGAATTGTCGGCTCCCACGAAAATTACCTTCTGGCGCTTGGTTTTAGACCAAGGTGTCGTCACGCAACAAGTCATCGACCACCCATACCCCGGCTCAGGAACGGACGAGGACCCATATGCCGTCACATGGATCCCCGATGACCCTCGCAATCCTATGAACTTCAGCGAAACGAGGAAATGGACCTACACAGCGGTGGTGGCTATTGCCACACTCGCTGTTTCCCTGGTTTCATCGGCCTACACTGGTGGTATCCAAGAAATCATGCGTGATTTCAACATTGGTCAGGAACTGGCTACTCTTGGTGTCTCACTTTTCGTTTTGGGTTTCGCTGTAAGTTTCGGACAATTGCGCCTTGCGCAATATTCTTTTATGCGTGCGCAAATGCTGACTTCTGGGGTATAGATCGGACCGTTGCTTTGGGCTCCACTGAGTGAACTTTTCGGTCGCCAAATTCTGTTCATCATCACCTATGCCGCTCTCACGGCTTTCAATGCCGGTGTCGCGGGCTCTAAGAATGCCTGGACCCTTATTATTCTCCGATTCTTCGCTGGTTCTTTTGGATCTTCACCCTTGACGAACGCCGGTGGTGTTATTGCCGATATGTTCCCCGCCAAGCAACGTGGTGTCGCTATGAGTTTGTTCGCTGCTGCGCCTTTCCTCGGACCTGTCATCGGCCCAATCGCCGGTGGATTCATTGGTATGAGCAACGGTGGCTGGCAATGGGTTATGGGCTTCCTCGCGGCCTTCTCTGGTGCGGTCTGGATCATTGGCTCCCTGGTCATCCCCGAGACATATGCCCCTGTGCTTCTTCGTCAGCGTGCCGCAAAGCTCTCCAAGATGACGGGCAAGATCTACCGGAGTAAGATTGAAATCGACCAGGGCAAGGTTTCCCTCAAGAACTCATTCAAGGTCTCGCTTTCCCGTCCTTGGGTTCTTTTGTTCCGCGAGCCTATTGTCTTCCTGCTGTCTCTCTACATGGCTATCGTTTACGGTACCCTGTACATGATGTTCGCCGCCTTCCCTATTGTCTACCAACAATCCCGTGGCTGGAACCAGGGTGTCAGCGGTCTTGCCTTCCTTGGAATCATGATCGGTATGTTGATTGCAGTCGGTTACTCCCTCTGGGACAACAAGCGATACATCAAAACCTCCGAGGCGCATGACGGCTTTGCTCCCCCCGAAGCCCGTCTCCCGCCGTGTCTCATCGCATCTGTGGCCATTCCAGTCGGTTTGTTCTGGTTCGCCTGGACCAACTACACCTCAATCCACTTTATGGTCAGTATTGCAGCCGGTGTCCCCTTCGGATTTGGAATGGTTCTGGTATTCCTCAGCATCATGAACTACCTCATCGACGCCTACACCATCTTCGCCGCCTCCGTCCTGGCCGCCAACTCCGTCATCCGATCCCTCTTCGGTGCCGCCTTCCCCCTCTTCACCACCTACATGTACAAAAACCTCGGTATCCACTGGGCATCCAGCATCCCCGCTTTCCTTGCCCTCGCCTGTGTGCCTTTCCCCTTCCTGTTCTACAAGTATGGCCCCGCCATCCGCACCCGCTGCAAGTTCGCCGCGCAGTCCGATGCCTTCATGCGCAAGATCCAAGAACAGGCCACCGTCGTGCCTGTCGACGATGAGAAAGTCAACTACGATCGCACTGAGGCCCCCAAGGCCGAGGGCTCGCTGTCCAGCGAGTCCGAGGATGAGCATGACGTGCTTCCATCCACAGAGCGCATTCGCAGCCGCGCCCAATCTGTTGCATCTAATCGCACCGCTGGCTCGATGCACCGCACTGTCACTTACGAGGGAAACCCCTATGACATTGACCGTGTCAATACCCGTGAATCCTTCAAGCAGTAAGCTGCTGAGCAGCTTATTGTTCCTCATACCTCTTGAGTTTGCCGTTGTACATGACGCTACTCTAATTATAGTTTCTATTCACCTCGCCTCCCTCCACACTCCAAAAAAAACACATCTTCGCCTGCATGTTTATATTTGATTTGATACCCGAGTCGATCTCCCGTGTGTCACTTGCCGCACGGGACCGACTCCCGACTAATGTTTCATGTAATGCTTTACTGCGCATGACTGGAGTTTGGGCCTCTTTCTAGCTTTGAAAATACCATTTGTGATTTTGCATCTTCTGCTTCTGATAGGTTCAATTATGTAGTCGTAAATTCAACTAATGTTGAGTAATCAATAATTCTTTTCATGATTTGTTTTCTGGGTTTGGGGGAAATCGCACCCGATATATATCGCCATCTCGAGCATCTAGCCGTGGAAGGGTTGAGTAACCGCTTGAAGACTACTTAGGTACATATATATTGTGATATAAATCGGTATCTCAAAACCTCTGAATACGATTCATGGGTGACATCGAGAAGTCAACCTTGAACAAGAGAGAGGAACCTTGCACCTTGGATTCTTTGCCACAGTCCTAGTAGACATGAGGTTCCCCTATGTACTCCGTACTCCGTACAACGGCCCAGAAAACTTTAATGGTGGGCCCACACGTGATCAACAAGAAAAAAAAATGATTTTTTCCTCGCAACTGTGGATTGTATGCGACCGTTGTCACCATTCAGTCATTTATTATTTTTTCAATATCTGGGACATAGGAACCCTTTGTCGACTATATTTTGAGTGCGGGAGCCAAATGGAGAATTGGATTGACAGCTGCAGCAAGGAATCAGTAGGTGACTGGGGAGGAAACGGCTGTCAAGTACATAATTCTCAAAACAGGGGGAAATTTCTGCCAAAAGCTCGTATAGATCAATTGGCAGATCGTCGCTCTTATATTAGTCTCCCGAAAGGGAACTCATATGGCGAAGGTTGAGGGTTCGACCCCCCCTATGAGCATTTTTTTGGTCACCTGTTTTTATTGTCTACGTCTAATATAGCTCTGTAGCCATGATCTTGCCAATGATACCAAGCAATTTGGTTTTTTCTGATAGCCCATATGACTCTGAATCAAAATAGTCAACTCATTCCGACAGACCGCCTTTAAGGCAGGCAAGCCCTGGGGGATCGGTGCGGTGGCACCGAACCGCACCAAACCAAGCGCCAATCGGGTTCAGTATCCGGCATTGTTTTCTCCCGACTTTCGGCTCTTTATTGCGCAATATTGCCAATTAAAAATCACACCCTGTGTTTCTTTCTATTTTCACTGCGACGTGAACAAATACTTGTGCGGGCTTTGGACATGCGTTTCACTCACACTGGGCTCATCTCCAGGGCCCGGACCCCGACTCCCCGCCCGACAAACCCCAGTTCGTTGCTCCGACGCCCGCAACGCCCGCAACCCCGACACAACTCCCACTCCACAAAGAACGGACAGAACCAGCCTAAGCCTGAGCCTTCTTCACAGAATGCGGAAACACCACAATCGGCTGCGGCAGGTACACTCGTGCGATCTCGAGGACTTCGCAATGCCATAATGGCTGGACCGGTTGGGAAGACGGGACGATGGTATGCGCGCGCCCAGGAGCGTAAGCCGTATGCAACTCAGCTGTGGAGTTCGGTTATCATTTATCTTTGCGGCGACCTGTGTGCCCAACTGTTGTTCCCTGCTGAGGTGCCGGCGCCTGGGAAGGAAGGCGCGGAGAACGAGGACGAGCAAGAGACCGTCGCGGCTGCATATGATCCGTACCGAACTCTGCGACACCTCTGCGTTGGAGTTGGGTCTAGCATTCCATCTTATAAATGGTGAGTACCGAATGATGTCCCCGAGTCGCCGCGATGGTCTGTTGGGTTGGAACATGCTAACGTGCCTCGGTAGGTTTGCATTCCTCAGCAACAACTTCAACTATTCCAGCAAGATCCTCTCGATCTTGACCAAGGTCGTCGTGCAACAAACCTTCTTTACCCCCGTATTCAACACATACTTCTTCAGCGTGCACTCACTCCTTGCCGGCGCGACACTGGACGAAACGTGGGAGCGATTGAAGAAGGCAGTCCCTGTCAGCATTCAAAACAGCGTGAAGCTCTGGCCTGCCGTCACGGCCTTCAGCTTCATGTATGTCCCGGCACAGTTCCGCAACGTGTTCTCTGGTTGCATTGCCGTTGGCTGGCAGACCTATCTCAGCTGGTTGAACCAGAAAGCGGCCAAGGAGGTGTTGGCTGCAGAGCGGCTGGCCGCGGCCGAGGAGAGGAATAGAGGTGCGCTGCCTGCCGTCTCGGGTGGGAAAATGGTTACTGCAGCGGCGTGAGTATAGAACACAACTAACATGGATTTGTATAGATGGATAGATTCTGGGTGACATCTAGGCGTTGATACCTGCCCCCATGAGGGCGATGCATATGATACCAAGAGCAACAGAGCACATAAGCTCTAAATGTAGAATTATTTGTGATTCAATATGAAATTTCAATTTATTGAAACATAGCAGTGTCGACCAGTAAGAGCATCCGAATTCAGAATGACGAACCCGCGTCTTTTGCCAATGACGCATCCGCCGATCTAGAATTCCCAAGACATGATTTCGAAGTCGCAGGCATGTCCTGCCCCAAAGAATCGGACGATTCCACCGACTACGGATCGGATTTTACACCTGAGGAGGAGCAGCTGTTGAGCGAGTTACTGGACAAAGCTGCGGGACCTGCGACCGGCCAGGCCGCCATCCTGCCCTCAACACCATTCTTGCCTTCGACCCCGGTCTCACCCAAATCCCCGGCACTCCTTGAATTCGAGTCCCTGCACCCAGAAGCTCGAGCGGCTCTCGTTGCAGATATCGAGGATGCTGTTGAAGAGGCCCCCGTCCGCCTGCCTAAGGTACTGGGCCGTGAAAGGCCTCGTGCACCGTGGCGGTCGCGACAGTCTCGGCCAGGCCAGGGGTCTAGATGGAGTCCAAGCGCCGTGGAGAGGCCAAGCGCGCGCGCTGGCATCAACAACAGGCCCATATCGTCTGGTATGCTTGTCCGACCTTCCCGCATCTTTGCCGTAACGCTGTTTCTTGCCGCGTTACCATTTCACCAATCCACCAAGTCTCCAGCTGAACTAACATCTTGCTTCGAAGCGTTTAGTCGAACACCCTAATTCCACCGAGGGCAGAGAAATAGAGCGCGCGCGTCAGAACATCCGAACGGAAGCATGGACACAATTAGATCCCGCCGTGGCGGCGCAAGACACTCGACCTCCACTCGAACGGTTCCGCCAGGCACCCAACAAGGCCTTCTCGGTGACGGATTTGGTTTCGCCTGCTTGGTGCGAGCTACAATATTGGTACACCTTAACCAAGCATGGACGGAAGAAGAGAACAGCTGCGATGAAGAAGGGAAGCTCCATGCACAAGACGCTTGAGGATGAAATATACACCACTGTGCCTGTGGAGATCAAGACAAAAGAGGATGCATGGGGCCTAAGGATATGGAACGTCATCCAGGGGATGCGCATGCTGCGCGAATACGGCATCACGCGCGAAATGGAGGTATGGGGGCTGGTGGATGGGCAAATTGTCAATGGTATCATTGATCAATTGTCTTACGAATGCCCCGACTCCGAGCTTGAGGCCTCTGCTGAAGAGTTCTATGCGAATGCGGTGGCCTCACGGGTCGCTCTCCCGGAGTACCAAATGTCTTTGTCTGACTACCTGCTCTCCTCTTCTGGAGGTGGGATGAAGCTGTCGGATTGGGGTCAGGGGTACAGCGAAGCCGAACAGACAACAGCCATCGAGAACAAAGCCCCCAACCCTGACTACAACCTACCTCGGATCTATTTAACGGATGTGAAGACAAAGGCCAGCCGCTCATTGCCAACTGTGAAGAGTTCCGGGTTCCGACCCACTCATCTCCAATTGCAACTTTATTATCATATGCTGAATCGCCTCATCACAAGCGACGATGTAACAATCGACGTGCTTGCCGCTCGCTACGACTTCGATGCGGCAAAACCGTTCACCGATGGCTTCGTCGCGGAAGTTGGTGGGTTGAACGATCAATTCTTCGATGCTCTCTCCTCCCAAGATTCCGAAACGGTCGAAAGTCAAAATGACGACAGCCAGGATTCGACCGGCCTTCTCCTCTCACATAACAATCTCTCCCAACTTTGGAGTCTCATGATACATCAACTTCGCCTCACGTTCCTCCCACCCGCTGATACACAGGGTATTGCCTCTTCCATCCCATCAAAGACCCAGCCAGAAATTCTCGAGGAATATCCAACTCTTATTTCTCCAGTACTCACAGCTCGATACCTTTCATCGGCTGCCAACGAAGACCTGACAAGGCAGTACCTGGGCAGCAGGTCTTTCCTCTTCGACCCTACAACCCTGACTTCCTACCTGGATGATCAGATGTCATGGTGGCGCGGCGAGCGAGATCCCCGTGGGGTGGATATAATGGACGCATGGAAATGCCGGATTTGTGAATTCCGCGACGAGTGTTCATGGCGCCAGGAGCGTGAAATGGCGTATGCAAGACGCGGCCAAGGGCGCGCCGGGTCGGCGGAAATATAACTCGGCTCTGGGATTAATCTTGGGCCTTGAGCTGGCATTTTTGGATATAGTGTATGCGTTCAGCGATGCAACTTTAGAACATGGAGTTGGTTACTTGGAAGCATAAGCCTAGGATCTATCGTGGTTTCAGGCTGCCACGGTGAGTGTATCACATGTAATATCGATATTGTATTTCTAGACATGTACGAATTTCTGCTGAAGACTGTGATCATGCTTGGATGGGTTAGATCTGCGAAGGTTCGAAATGATATGGACAAACGCTAGAGGAACAACTGATATCAAAACTTGAAGTATACGTCCACAGGTGATCCCAAGGCCATGACTTCATTACCGAGAAGCATTGGGCCCTTTCTCAGAAAGGATAACTCCGAACCTCATCTTCCTTCTCGATCTCCAGACCCCCCTCAACCTGCTCCCGGTGCTTTAAATCCAAATACTCCAGCAAGACCTCCTGATATTTCTCTTTCCCCTTATACCGACTAACATCATCCCCCCAGCTCCGAATAGCACTAGCCAACCTCCCAGGAACATACGGCTCCTTGGCAACCTCAGTGATGGGCTCGAAGTAAGTCCGAATGGTAAAGACCACCGCACCAGACTTCGGCAATCTCCTCAGTGACTGCCTCTCAGACCGGAAGAAATGATTCTCAATAGCCCGATTCTTCTCCGCAGTCCCCCACGATACTTCATCAGCATCCTCAGGCCCAATACTATGCGACCAAGCCAGATCATCATCAACCTGGATAAAGTAATTGTTTCGTTGAACGGGATCTTCAGGACGCAACCGGCGGAAGAAATTCATCATCCCCTTCTCGAGCTTGCTCTTGTATTGCGGGACATCGCCCGAGGTATGGATTTCAGAGAGTCGCATCCCGAACTTGTCTGTGAGGCGCCAGAATCCGGCGAGAAGGACCGCTCCGCCTAGGAGGTAGTATTCGCCGTCTGCTCGCTCGACCATGATGGCTAGGTCGTCCTGGACGAGACGGGCAGCTATCGCCATTGGGTCTTCTGCGAGGGGACGTTGGGTTATGTCGAAGGTTTCGTTTGTTACCTTGTTGGAAATACCAGTTGGGGTCTTTTCGAACATGCTTGGGTATCTTTCTGGAAGATATGTGCACCTGGCAGTGTTAGTTCAGATCGGAGTGAGGTCTGTCGGTACTCACAGTTCGTTTAAAAGTTCGAGTGCCCCGTCCATTGCTTCTGGTGAGGTATGGCAGCATTTGCTGCCACGTTCTTCGATGCGGCGCGCCTTGTCGGCATGGTACTTTAGATAGTGGTTATCGAGCTCTGGGTGGAGATGCCCCGTCAGTTGTGTATGAGCAGACGTTGAAATCGGGGTGGCTCACCAATCCATTCGTCCCAGTTCATACTCCTCAGTCCCAAGGTGACGAAGTATTTCCTGGCAGTGGTCAGCGGGTGCCCGTGGCAAGATGGATGCTTGTACGACCTACGGTCCATATCGAAAAGGTCTATAGGGAAGAGGCTTGGTGGAATGGACATTCCAGTCTGTATATGGCGCCGCTGTTGGTCGTTGGAAGCTGGAAGGTGTCCATTCTACACAGAGGATTTGATTAGCCGCATTGCATAGATCGACCGGTCTCAGTGTACTTACCGCCAGGCGGCCTGGTGACTTTCCCTCTTAAGCCGACAGGCTTCTCTAGGTCGGGACTTGAAGGTCTAGTAGCGGCACCAGATGCCCATCTTTTGGATACGAAGATGCCGAGACAAGCCAGCAGATTGAGAACGAGAAAGACCCCAATGAGATCTTTTGGAATGGCCGCCAGTAAATTCAGAGGTTCGAAGGCCAACATGATAGCGATGTAGTTGAGCCAAACAATAATAGAGGATACATGTAGCGAGACTTGCTCCACTTAAGAATGCATGTGTCGACCAGAACGAGCAGCCTTTGCAGCTAAGGTGGATAGACCTAGATCTCCCTTATCAAGTTCAAGACCGATGAGAGAGATCTCTTGCGAGCTGCCATTCCTGTTAATGCGATGCGAGCCACCAAGCTACTTCTTGAATAGCAGCTAATATAATGTCCAGTCGAGGTTAAGCGTTGGGTTCATTTCGCGGGGAAGAGGACAGATGATCTTCTCCGCATCTGCTTCGAGCCGTTGGATCCGACGGTGCATATTGGGAGTCAGACTGAGGCGGGCAGTTGGACAGGTGAAGTGTGCCCAGGAAGCATATCAAGGGTTTATCTGTAGATCATCGCCTGCCATTCGCTGACGGTGGGGATATTTTGTCCGTTTTGGGAACAGTGACGCTATCTCCAGCCTATGGAACCTCGGCTTTATTTACATTGGTTTTAAAGATAGTCTCCAGCGAATGCACCTTCATACATTGTTTCCTGTGCCGGTTCGCTGAAGAAGGCAGTATTCGCCCCATTTGCGGCGGAAGCGATCTGGGATCCCTGGTATATCAGGAACCCAAATTAATCGGCCTAACAGCCCGGTATGGGATGCATCAAGGAAGCTCGCGCATGCTAGCGTGTCCCAGTTTGCCTTATCCAGGGCATAATGAGGTTCAAGCTCGGTCGCATCGTGACCAGGGAAGTGAGAGTCGACCAAGAAAGAACATTGGGAGATATCAACCTGTTTCCGAGTTAGACAACAGAAATGGCGAGATGAAAATGCATAGAACTTACGTATTTACTGGGATCCTCAATGTTGAGATCATTCATGCCCGATGGCAGCTGCGAAGCTCCACTCAGACGCTCAAGGTAGCCAGGGGCATCTGGGAATTCACCCGGGAGCAATCCTCGGAACTCGCTGCGGATGAACCGTGCGCGCATGTCGTGGGGGAGGAAGTATGACGAGGGGAATCGATACCATTCTTTGCCAAAGCATACCGTGTCTCCCATGGTCGCGACATCTACTTCCTGCAGGGGCTCATAAATTTTCAATGGAGCGTTGTATGCAGTGACCATACCAAGGGTTCGCAGCATCCCGGCGTTCAAAGCAATGGCGACAACCGACAAAACGGCAGTGATCTTGAGCTTGGTTGGGACCCGTCCAATAAGCTCCTTCCGGTCAGTGGAGCCAAGATACGTCAAGATGATATGGAATGATAGAGCAGCACTCAGTGCCAGGAATGGGTATGCCGGGTACATGAAGCGCTCTTCCTTGTGAGGCTGGAGCGAGAAGATTGCAAACCACAAGTAGAATGGGGCAACCAAGGACATTGAGCGCAATGAGGTTTGCAATGAGGTGGTATGGGATCGGAATACGAGCTGGAACACCAGAAGGGGTGCAGATAGCAAGGCGAGCACGAACCACACGTTGAAGTTGAGTAGGAGGTTCCGAACATAGAAAGTCCACGGCTCCGTTCCGAAAATGTCAGGACCTTTGCCTTCTCCCCCCAGGATGTTATAAGCAACAATGTTCCAAGGCACGAGGACAAACTTTCGGAAGAAAGCATAGTCGACGGTGACTTCAACGGCCTGTACTGATCTTAGAAGGGGTCTTAGGATTGGATCGCGTTTTACTTACCAGAATGCCTAAGCAGCCAACAAGTCCGTCGGCGACGGTCCAGAAAAGGTTGACGAAAGACCCAGAGGTAAGCGTGAGGATGAGTTCCTCGGCCAGAAGAGGGACAATAAGAGCACCCGCGAAAGGCCATCCAACGATTGTACCAAGGCCAAACCAGAAGATGCCATGCGCAGCTCTTTGGGCATTTTTCCAGTCCAGGAATGCAGCCAAGCCAAGCATTGACATATACATGGTGAACGTGGATGGTAGAAAGGCGGTCGACGCGTGGAACATGCCCGGGCTGAATGTGACAACTATCACAAACAAGAGACCGATGCGAGGGCTGAGAGTGCGACAGATCGCAGCATACAGCCGAGTTTGACAAGCAGAGCAGACACAAGCAAGGGCCAGTCGAATTGTGTAGAATTCAGCGGTCTTGCTGTGGACAATCAGTGACCCCAGTTTCCCAACAATAGCATGCAGCGACACATAGAGCCAGCTGCGGATGGAGTAGACTGGTGAGTATTCCCATGTTTGTAGACCATATCCATGCTGCAAATAATGCGCAGGCTCCCAGAAGTTGAACACCTCATCGCAATCTTGAATTGGAGCGAAGATTGCGGCCAGGCAGTTCGCAACTAGGAAGATATAGAGGGCGATGTTGAGGGGAATGTAAAAGGGAGGTGGAGGAGGCCTTTATCAACCAAATTAGCTTAAGATCTGCTAATGAAGGGCATTGCGGCGCACTGTTTCTTTGTCTTAGGGGCATGGCTATCCCCCGAGGCATTTTTGTTCCCTGCCATGTTGCAAGTTGGCGCGTTGAACCGGATATGGAACCTCGGGAGCTGCGATAACTGATAAGACCACACATACCGCCTTATACATGCCGGCAGAATAAAAAAAAGTTTCCCGCCGAATCTTGCTGCTGAGTTTGGTGATCTACACAATCCACTCATCTATACTTGCCTTTTTCTGTGTCTGGACTCCCTAATTATGATGAGTGAACATAACAACCCCTCGAATGAGGCTTTAGGCGCCGCTGAAGGCCCTGACGCAAAGAAACAATGCCTCATCGACACGCCGCCCGTTGCAGGCACCCCGGACAACGGTAGCGACTTTTACAACACTCCTCTGACTGGAGGGACACCAGTACCAAGCGCAAGTGGTATGGTAGCAGAGTCAACTGGCGCCACATCGGCCCCTGCCATCCAACCTACCCCATCGATCCCCGGATTGAACCTCGTCGACCATAGCGCTCAACAAGACACCAGCAATGAAACCGAGCCCACAATCAAGAAAGAGGACGAGCAAGCAACTTCCCAGCCTCAGGATTCCGAAGTACGGATAAAGGAAGAAAACGAGCCTACTCGGATCTCACGTGAGCCAAATGCTCTTCTCGATGATGTGATGGAAGTTGTCGACACCCATGACGGCAATATGATCGATGCTGGCGGAAGTAATGAGAATGAAGAAGAGCACCCGGAGTGGGAAGTGGATTCATCCCCGTACGAATCATCGTCGGACAGTTCTGATTCCTCCGACTCGGATGACAGCGACGACGAGGACTATCCTATCCTGAGTGCCGAAGAACAAGCTCGAATCCTCATGCAAGCGGAAGCTGGCTCTGATGATGAGGGTGACCACAAGGGAAAGTCGGGTGGGCAGCTCCGCACGGCCAACGAGATTGAACAAGAGGTTCTCCCGCTCCCCAATATCGAAATTACACCCGAGATGAAGATCGTGTTCTTGGGTAAAGTCCATGCAGCCATTGACAACAACGTTCTTATCGAGGCCAACACATCTGGAGAGTACCAGGTCCTTGAGTCTGGCTCTTTGCTGTGCTCTGATGATCGCAAGGTCATTGGTGTAGTCGCCGAGACCCTGGGCAGAGTGGAGAATCCGCTCTACACCATGTCATATGCAACTGCAGCCGAAGTTCAAGAACGGGGCCTTGTCAAGGGATTGGATATCTTCTATGTTGAGGCTCACTCAACATTCGTGTTCACACAACCCCTCAAGGGCATGAAGGGAAGCGATGCGTCCAACTTCCATGACGAGGAAGTGGCCGCTGAAGAGATGGAATTCTCAGACGACGAGGAAGAGGCTGAATATAAACGCAAGCTGAAGCAAAAGCGCCAAGAGCGCAAGGACGCCCGGGATGGCCCCAAAGGCAAGAAGGCCGCACCCGGACCTTCAAAACTGAGCCAGACTGAGCTCAACTACGACGATGCAGCGGGCGAGGGCTACACTCCTCTCGAACGCCCTACAAACCTTCACGAGATGATGGGTTCCCGCGAGGCACCCGTCGAAGGGAATGAGCGTGGTGGCCACCGTGGCAGAGGCCGTGGGCGAGGTGATCGTGGCCGCGGCGGAAGAGGCCGTGGCGGAGCTGGCAGAGGTGGAAGAGACTGGGACCACGACCGTCGTCCCCAACAAAACCACGAACCCCAGCAACAGCAGCAGCCTCAGCCTCAAGCACAGCCTGCTCCTTACGGACAGCCGATGTATGGCATGCCTCAGCCTTTCGCTGCATATGCCCAATACGCACAGCAGCAAGCCCAAAACCCGCAGTTCGCTCAGCAACAGCCGCAGTTTGGTCAAGGTGGACCTCAACAACAGTACCCCTTCCAATTCCCCTTCCAGCAGCCCCAGATGCAGCCAGGTTTCCAGAATATGCCTCAGGGTGCCCCTCATATCAATCCTCTGTTCCTGGCTGCTCTGCAACAACAGCAGCAATTCCAGCAGCAGCAGCAGCAGCCACCGCAACAATATCAACAATATCAACCCCAGTACCAGCAACCTCAGCAGCAACAAGCTCCTCAGGGTCAGGCCCCGCCAATGAACTTCGATCAGGTCAAAGCTCAATTGGATTTGTTGCGGAACCTGAGCCAAGGAAACCAGGGGCCTCCCCCCTCTTGAACACTGTGTGATTTGTCTACTTGATTTTGTGATATCTTAACATAGAATATTTGCATACGGAAAGGAGTTGCAATGGGCCGGCTTTTTGCTTTCCAAGGTTACTAAAAGGTTTTACATCCCAGCCGTTTTTTTTTACGCTCTTTTAAAAATTTATGGACTCAGGAGTCAAGATTTTGGTCTTTCACTATGCTTGTAAGAGTATGACGACTGTGCCCTTTATCTAGAAATTCTGAATCCATTACGAATCGGCCAAGCTACATAGAGCATTTGAATGAATAGACACTGGCGAATAGTTCAGTTCTTGCTAGACCTTAGAATGAAAGGTGCATGAAGCATAAGAAAAACCAAACTCCGTCCTCGTCCACCTGAGCTGAAATATGGGGCTTCGCTGCTCTGAGACTATTTTGGTTGATATGCCAGATGCAGATCATATGTTTTGTAGCAGGAAGAAGAGCATCAATCGCGTTGTAAAGTGCCGGCTCTTTGTGAGTGAGAATAATCTTTGGTAGATCAAGATTCAGAGACTCATAAGCTTCTGAAATATAATTCAACATGACCTTGAGATCTTCCTCTTTCTCGCCTTTCGTAAAAGGAAACGCAACATAGTAGCCCTGTCCGGTAGCAGCTGAGCCGATGATATTAAGTTGATAGAAGACAGCAAAGGAAGATAGGGATCAACTGCTAGGCTGTATTCGAGCGTCTGGGAAGAAGAAGGGAGAGAGAGAAGGCGAAGGCAGAACCTTGGAAGAACCCATTCGAATAAAACTCCTAGTAATTATTAGTAATTACTAGTAAATATTAAATCAGTTTTACTTACCTCGGAGTCCACCATCGAATTCATTGACCAATATTTTTTCCTTCAAGATCCATGATTTGATCAGATCGCGATTTTGGAGAGAAGGGTGTAACTCAGCGAGTGACCAAAGATCTTTCTCTGCCATTCAACACAACCTTGGAAGTAATGGAAGACTGTATTTGTTGGTTTTGTAAGTGCAGTCCATCGAGATGACCCAAGGGTTGCATTGCAAAACTCGATTTGTGCATGCAGAATAGAGTGGCGACGTGATTGCTATCATCGATCTCTTACTTGAAGATCCATTCGCCATCCTTTGGAAGCTCCATTCAGAGGGCCTGAAGTGGTGTACGCCCACTTTAATAGGATCCGCCGTTCCTTGGTGGACTCAAGTTGAAGAATCGATGACCTCGGGAGCAGTCATCGATCCGCGTGATAATGAAAGAGGTGAAGATGGCAACAAAGTTAGATTTAGTGGAAGTTGGTGTTTTTATACTAGTTTAGACAAATCTTCATCTGGGTGAATTTGAGACCACAATTGATATGAAAGACAACTGAAAAGCAGTCAATTATCTCTCAGAGTAACTAATCATCCGGTCTGATGGTAACCAGATAGTAATGAGGTCAGTAGTGATTAAAATCCCAGAAGATGATACCCATTGGGACTAGGAAGTGAGTGAATGTAAGTAATGCACTACTTAACTGTGCTAATTCCAAGTATGGCATCGGAAACGCGGAATTTCCAAAGTGAGTAATTTCAAAATATCAAGAGTAAGAATGACATGGCTATGAAGAAAAGTTCGCTGTTAGAGAGTAGGTACAAAAAACAGAGCCAGACCTTTCGGAATGGCAGTGGGCGAAGTCTCGCGTTAATATTCAGCTGGCTTAAAACTCTTCGCCAGAGTCCAGAAATTCTCCATCTTTGCCCTGGACAGAGCCTCTTTGGCTGCCGAGTCCGTTTCACAGACACGGGCACCAAACCATCTCTTGAATGATCTACCCTTGGCTTGGCCCTCCCAGATGAGATGGCATGTGTTCTGACTGAAATCACGAGGCTCTCCCTTTTCGTCTTGTGTGGATAGCCATGCCACTTGTGCTTCGGGGCTATCAGCAGCAGCTCGATCCGACCCAGGGTTTTCGGTCCAATCAATGCGGTTCACCATCAGTTTGCGGTAGCTATTAATTGAGTGCTTGCCTCCCTCAACAACCACAAGATTGATCTTGGGATGCATGACACAGATTCCAGTCAAATTATTTTGCTCTGCATTCTTGCCAATCTTGAAGCGGTTCCGGCCGCTTGCCAAGCTGTCAATGCGGTACACAGACTGGAAGATACCCAAGGAAGCATCCTTCTCCTGCTGGGCTGCTAACTTCTCACGTCGTTGCTCCTTTGTCAGCTTGCGCTCTTCATTTGCATGCTCGTGCGCATCCTTGCGATCTGCGATCTCCCTAGTGACACGCGCTTCCACGGCCGTGGGATCCTTCACAGCTTGTTCTCCCAGGACTCGCATGAGATTGGATTTCTTGACCTTGGGAGCAGGCGCTTCCACAAGACCCAGTCGAATCTTGGCTTGCTCCTCCTTGAGGTCTGCCGCACGCCGCTGCCGACGGATCTTCGCCTGCTCCTTGGGAGTCAGGTACATGGCCTTTTGAGCGGGAACATGCTTTTCTTGCGGAGGTTCTAGCTGGACAGGGTGCTGGATATAGGGAGTGATAATAGTGTCGGGGGTATCGATTTTGATGTTCTTTTGGTCCTCCATTGCAGAGTAGTCACCGCCACTAATGATACCATCATCCCACCACTCAATGGCTGGTGGAGCAGAGACCAAGAAAGATTTTTCAACGTCCATTTCTTCATCAAGACCTGCCTGTCGTGCTTTGTCGGCAATTTTCTTCTTCATAGCCTCCAATTGGGCCTGCCGGCGCAGGGCCGCTGCCTGTTGAATGTATTTCCCTTTCTCATTGAATAGAAGTTGGCGAGACTGTCTTGGTTTGGCCACAGTTGCCTTGGGGTTGAGGCTTGGATCGAAGTATGGGTTGTTTTTGATATCCTCCACAGATGGGCCAGACAGGTCAAGCTGGGGCCCGCCCGCCCGTTTGGGCTTGACCTGTTTTGCCTTTCCACTACGGAAATCAGATGTGGCATCAGAAAGAAGCGCAGGGTGCAGGCCGACATCGAGACCGCCACGACCTTTGCTCATGCCTTCCTCGTCGCGGGTCGGAGGCTGATAGGCTGGTGTTGGTGCAGCTGGTCGGGGTTGAGATGGTGCACTAGCTCTTTGAGTAGCTGCAGCAACTCTAGCCTTCATCTGTTCGAGTTTCGACATCGCGGGCGAGGGTGCTGGCGGAGCAGGACTTGCAGATCCAGTCGCGGGTGGTGGTGGTGGTGGTGCCGTCGCGCCACCGCGCGCAGCTTGTAGACGGGCGCGCACAGCATCTGCCTTGGCTCTGGCTTCGGCAACCATTTTGGCGATATCTGGCTTAGCCGGGACAGGCCCTCCCTGACCTGGTGCTGGGGACCCATTGTTGGAGCGGGTCCGCTTCTGTGAGTTGTCGTCTGCATCCTCCGGATGAGGGCGCTTCAGCGCATTCCCTGACATGTCAGCCATGGTCTCGATGGCCTCCCACACACTCGAATCCTTGACAAGTTGAGATTGCAAGAGGCTGGGCAAGGAAGCATCCACTAGAACGTGGAGTGACGGCAATCGCAGAAACCCAATGGTAAGGCGGTAAAGCGGAGCAGAAAAAGTTGCTCCTCCGGAAAAAAAAGTTCGCTCCAGAACTAAAGCACTTGGAGATAAATCCGAGCACTTTGATTTCGTGCGCCTGCGTTTTCTGTTGCTCAAGGAGCTACAGGCCACAATGGCAACATTCGCGCGCCCGGTCGCCTCGACCATCAATGGGGTTGACTTCAATGTCTACTCCGAGGAGGAGATTAAAGCTCTCTCAGTGAAACGCATTCACAATACTCCGACTTTGGATTCTTTCAACAACCCTGTCCCAGGTGGTCTGCAGGATCCTGCTATGGGTGCATGGGGTGACCATGTGTATGTATTCTCCAGGTTGTCATGTCTCTTCGTCTCTAATGCGAGAGATTTTTTACAGATGCACCACATGTCGCCAGAACTCTTTTACCTGTACCGGACATCCAGGTCACATTGAGCTTCCGGTCCCCTTCTATAATGTCACCTTCTTCGATCACATCTTCCGCCTCCTCCGAGCACAATGTGTGTACTGTCTTCGCCTCCAGATGGGTCGCAACCAGGTCAACATGTACACCTGCAAGCTGCGCCTTTTGCAATATGGATTGACCGATGAAGTCGCCATCGTCGATACCATGGGGTCCACTAAAGGTGGAAAGTCCAAGGCAGCAAAGGGTAAAGAGCAGGATTCAGACGATGACGAGGAACCCGATGACGAGGATTTCATGAAAAAGCGAACCGAGTATGTCTCTCGACGCATCAGAGAGGCCAAGAAGTCAGGTCAATTGGAAGGCTTGATGGCCGGTGGACAGAACCCCATCGCCGCAGAGGCCAGACGAGAGTTGATCAAGACTTTCCTGAAGGACATCAATTCTTACAAGAAATGCGCTAACTGCAGCGGGTACGTCGTTACAAGAACTATCTCAAATCTGGATTATCGCTAACATAGTCATAGCATGTCACCCTCGTACAAGAAAGACCGCTACAACAAAATCTTCCGCAAGTCAATGGTGGAGAAGTCGAAATTGGCAATGGCACAAGGTGGATTCCAGGCGAAGAACACGATGGTTCTTCTTGACGAAGAGCGAAAGTTCCAGTCCAAGAAGGGCAGCGCTGATGTTCTGCATGGCGCGGAGGAAGAGATTCGCCTTGGAGCGGCTGTTATGCAGCAAGCAGAGGGCACCGCCGGACAGGAGTTCATGTCTTCTTCCGAAGTCTATGCATCGCTTCACTTCCTATTCCAAAAGGACAGTGAGATTTTGCAGCTTGTCTATAACTCTCGCCCTGTGCCCAAGGGATCAATTGTGGTGACAGAGGATATGTTCTTCGTCAAGAGCCTGATGGTCCCACCTAATAAGTATCGCCCAGCAGTGCAGCAGGGTGCCGGCGCAGTTATGGAGGCACAGCAGAACACTTCGTTCAATGCGATCTTGAAGGGCTGCGACACCATCAATCAAATCAGCAAGGAGATCCAGAATGAGGAGGAGAAGACAATGTCACGCGCACGCAACTACAGTGACCTCCTCCAGGCGATGGTTCAGCTTCAGGATCAGATTAACGGCTTGATCGATCGCGATCGTACTTCGGTCACTGGCGCTGCTGCCGCCGCCCAACCTAATGGTATTAAGCAGATTCTGGAGAAGAAGGAAGGTCTCTTCCGAAAGAACATGATGGGAAAGCGTGTCAACTTCGCTGCTCGTAGTGTTATTTCACCCGATCCTAACATCGAGCCCAATGAGATTGGTGTGCCCCTTGTCTTCGCCAAGAAGCTGACTTTCCCTGAACCTGTGACAAACCACAATTTCTGGGAGTTGAAGGAAGCCGTTATCAACGGCCCCGACAAGTATCCCGGTGCTTCATCCATCGAGAACGAAAACGGCCAAGTTGTCAACCTCAAGTTCAAGAACCTCGAAGAGCGAACGGCACTCGCCAATCAACTGCTTGCGCCTTCAAATTGGCGCCAGAAGGGCTCACGCAACAAGAAGGTCTACCGTCATCTCACTACTGGTGACTATGTCTTGATGAACCGTCAGCCTACCCTTCACAAACCGTCCATCATGGGTCACAAGGCTCGTGTTCTTCCTAATGAACGTGTCATCCGCATGCACTACGCCAACTGTAACACCTATAACGCTGATTTCGATGGTGACGAAATGAACATGCATTTCCCTCAAAATGAACTCGCTCAGGCAGAAGCTAGAATGCTTGCGGATGCCGATCATCAATACCTCGTTGCCACGTCAGGTAAACCCTTGAGAGGTCTGATTCAAGATCATATCTCCATGGGAACCTGGCTCACTTGCCGTGACAGCTTCTACGATGAAGAAGATTATCATCAGTTGCTGTACAGTTGCTTGAGGCCCGAGCACTCGCACATCGTCAGTGACCGTATTCAACTCGTTGAGCCTGCCATGCGCAAGCCAAAGTGCCTCTGGACCGGAAAGCAGATCATCACAACGATTCTCAAGAACATTCAGCCCGCCGAGCGCGGAGGTTTGACTTTGACGAGCAAGTCCTCCACTCCCGGTAACCGCTGGGGCGAGGGTAATGAGGAAGGAGAAGTCATTTTCCAAGATGGAGAGTACCTGTGTGGTATTCTTGACAAGAAACAGCTTGGTCCCACTGCTGGAGGTCTTATCGATGCTGTTCACGAAGTTTACGGATACAGCACCGCCGGAAAGCTCATCGGTGTTCTTGGAAGACTTCTTACCCGCGTTCTGAATCTGCGTGCCTTCAGTTGTGGTATCGACGATCTTCGATTGACCCAAGAGGGTGATCGCATTCGCAGGGAGAAGTTGGCCACTGCGCCCCAGATGGGTCGCGAAGTCGCCTTGAAGTATGTAACTCTGGATAAGGCTCCTGGTGATCAGACTGCCGAGTTGAACCGACGATTGGAGGAGGTTCTTCGTGACGACGACAAGCAGAGCGGCCTGGATAGCGTTTCTAACGCCCGTTCTGCTAAGCTTTCCTCTGAAATCACCAGCGCTTGTCTGCCACACGGTCTTGCGAAGCCTTTCCCCTGGAACCAGATGCAGTCTATGACTATCTCTGGAGCCAAGGGATCTGGTGTCAACGCCAACCTGATTTCTTGCAACCTGGGTCAGCAGGTTTTGGAAGGTCGTCGTGTCCCACTCATGATCAGTGGAAAGACCCTTCCATCATTCAAAGCTTTCGAAACACACCCCATGGCCGGTGGTTACGTCTCTGGTCGTTTCTTGACTGGTATCAAGCCCCAGGAGTACTACTTCCACGCCATGGCTGGTCGTGAGGGTCTTATTGATACCGCCGTGAAGACGTCTAGATCCGGTTACCTGCAACGTTGTCTGATTAAGGGTATGGAAGGCCTCAAGGCAGAGTACGACTCATCCGTCCGTGAATCATCCGACGGCTCTATTGTTCAGTTCTTGTACGGAGAGGACGGTCTTGATATTACCAAGCAGGTTCACCTGAAAAACTTCGACTTCCTTGCTCAGAACCACATCTCTGTTTCTAAGCAAGTTCAAGCCGATGATTTCCACAAGCTGGCTAAGGAGAATGTTTCAACTTGGCACAAGGACGCAATGAAGGTCGTTCGCAAGACCGGAAAGGTCGATGCTATGGACCCCGTGCTGTCCCACTTCCCCCCTGGAGGAAACTTGGGCAGTACTTCTGAAGCGTTTGCCCAAGAACTCAAGAAGGTGAGACTCCATATTATACCACGCAAAGAATTTGGGATGCTAATTACATAACAGTACGCGGATGCCAACAAGAGCAAGCTCATCAAGGATAAGAAGAATAATATTGAGGGCAAACTCACCAAGAAGACTTTCGAGGCCTTGATGAACATGAAGTACATGAAGTCTATCATTGACCCCGGTGAAGCGGTCGGAATTATGGCTGGTCAGTCCGTTGGAGAGCCGTCCACACAGATGACTCTGAACACTTTCCATTTGGCTGGTCACTCGGCGAAGAACGTCACACTGGGTATTCCCCGTCTACGTGAAATCGTCATGACAGCCAGTGCCAACATCATGACGCCTACCATGACCCTCCTCATGAACGAGGGCATTTCCAACGAAGACTCCGAGAAGTTCGCTAAGGCCATCAGCAAGCTTACCATTGCTGAGCTTGTCGATAAGGTGCAAGTCCAGGAACGCATTGGTTCCGGCATTGGCCACTCCAAGGCCAAGATTTACGACATTGAGATCACCTTCTTCCCATCCGAAGAGTACACCAAGGAGTACGCCATCCAGACTAAGGATGTCCTGAATGCTCTGCAGACCAAGCTTGTTCCTCGACTGGTGAAGCTCACTAAGGCCGAGCTCAAGAAGCGCAACGACGAGAAGAAGGGCGTCAAGGGCAGCACCTCTCAACCCGAGATCGGTGTTTCAGTTGGAAGAATCGAAGAGGCACCCAGAGGCGCTGATTCCGAAGCACAGCCTGCTGACGATGACAACGAAGATGACGAGGATGACGCCAAGCGAGCCGCTGGAGCCCAGAACCGGGGCAACCAGGTTTCCTACGAAGGACCTGACGATGGCGAGCAAGCCATCATTAACCGCCAAGACACCCCTGACGAAGTTGATGACGAAGAATCATCCAGCAAGCCTACAAAGACCACCCGCGATGTGGAAATGAAGGATGGATCCGATTCAGAGGATGACTCTGACGACGAGGTTGCTCAAGACAGCAAGGCTCGTGAAGAAGACTTGATGGGCAAGTTCGAGGAGATCACGAAGTTCAAGTTTGACCCTAAGAAGGGTCTCACCTGTAACATTCAGCTGCAGTATGACGTCGAGACCCCCAAGCTTCTGCTTCTCCCTCTGGTCGAGAAGGTCCTTCACCTCTCTGTCATCCAGTCCATCCCCGGAATGGGCAACTGTGTCTTCGTTGAGGCCGACGAGGCCAAGGGTGATCCCGCCAACATTCTCACGGATGGTGTCAACTTGCTTGCCATGCGTGATTACCAGGATATCATCAAGCCCCACTCCATGTACACCAACTCCATCCATGACATGCTCAACCTCTACGGTGTGGAAGCCGCCCGTGCTACCATTGTTCGCGAAATGGATGCCGTTTTCGGTGGTCACAGTATCTCCGTTGACAACCGTCACTTGAACTTGATTGGTGATGTGATGACCCAGTCTGGTGGCTTCAAGGCCTTCAGCCGTAACGGCCTGGTCAAGGAAGCGTCATCTGCCTTCGCGCGTGCCAGTTTCGAGACTACTGTCGGCGCCCTGAAGGACGTTGTTCTTGAGCGTGGTGTTGACAACCTCAAGAGCCCCAGTAGCAGAATCGTTGTTGGTCGTGTCGGTACCGTCGGTACCGGTTCCTTCGATATTCTTGCTCCTGTAGCATAGTCATCTCTGACTGGACGGAGTTTTGAATGTGTATTTGATCTTGTATTTCCTCATGTGTATATTGTCCCGCAAAGCTTTTGATTTCAGTTGTGTCTCCGTTACTTTTCTGTCACTTGATCTTTGATGTGTCGATGATCTGGAGTTTTTTTTTGTGCAGCGGAACTAAAAAAAAGTCTCTATCCCTGTTCATATTTGCATCGTATCTAGTCTCCAAATAGATATTTTCAAAGTTTTACGAATCTCTCACTTAAGATCTTTCACCTAAACTCTTCGTGTCTAGATGCACCCAGGTACTGGGGGTTTCAGTACCTTAAGCAGACAAATATTGAGCCTTCCATGGTGGGAGGTTAGTGGAGGGAGCAACAACTGGGAAGTCATAGGCGTGTGCATGTCGAGATAATCGAGATACTCATAGACCTCTAGGGATTATTGGGTTGCATAGTTTCATTTCCAATTGAGACTGAGCATGCTCTATTATATGCTGTCCTAAGAAACACCAACCATGCGAAATGGCACCATGCCCAGATTCAAACGCCCTGCCCATGCCTTAAATGCATTATGTACCCCAAAACGACAATTAATTATTTTTATTGCGCGTCCAGCATCATGAGATCCTCGTCGATGTCATCGTCGAACTCATCCTCAACAATACGGGATGCAGATGGAATCACGCCGTCCATATTTCCGTTCACTTCCTCTCTCATCATCCGCTCTTCCTCGGTTTTCCTCTTTGCCTCGTGACGCTCGATGTCAGCGAGACTCCAAGTGGAAATACCTTCTTGGTCCCTTGACTTAAACGGTTGGGCCATGGTACGCAAGAAATTTTTGGCGTTAGAAACGGCCATATCTGTACTGAGGTTGGTTTCGCTGTCCAGCATGGCCTGATTTATCCACTTTGGAAGTTGGGGCCGCTTTCGCTCGAATCGACGATCTGCCAACACCATGACTCCATAGTCATCCTTGCCACGCAATACACGCCCCAGACACTGAGCAGCGTGTCGAATAGCATCGAAGGATAAGAAGTCATTCTCCCGGATGCGATAGTTTTCACGCAGGAATTCGAGGCGAGCTTTCAGAATTCGAGACTCTGTGTATTGGAACGGAACGCCAATACACAACACTGCACGACCATAGTGGTGATCGAAATCGATACCTTCGGAAACCTTGCCTCGAGCGACACAAAATAAGATTGCGCCACGTCCATTGCAACACGCTGTACGGTAAGTCTCCAGGGCCAGCGATGACTCCTGCGCATCGGGCGTTTCCACAAGGATCAACTTGTAATTCCAAATTTGATCCAAGATACCCATTCCTTGCCACATACTGATAATCGATTCCATGTAGAGGTAGGATGGGAAGAAGACCACAACTCCATCAGGTGTGATCCGAGAAAATTCAGTGACCAGGGACCCGTAATTTCGCACAACACCAGGGTCATTGCGGATTCCGAAAGAGGATGAAACTTGAGCTTGATCAGAGCCTCGCGTGACAATCATGGGCAAGAATGATCGTCGCGCAAGTGTCATGCTGTAGGACTCCTGCAAAACGGCATTGAATCCTAACATCTTTGGGTACATCTCCAGGGGTGACAGAGTTCCCGAGGTAATGATAACAGAGCTGAAACGGTCAAACACTGGCTTGATGGCTATGGCAGCATCCAAGCATGTGAAATGAAGTATGGGGTTTGGTACAGTGGCCGCCTCGGATTCGAATGGCTCAAGGATAAGCACGAACCCTTTGTCGTAAGTTGCGACAAGGGTTGCAAAGGTAGCTACCTCTTGGAGAGGCTGATAATCCTCAATGTTGACCAGCTCTAGCGTCCGGACAAGTGACGTGAGACGCTCAGCACAGAACCTCAAGGGTTTCCGTTCGATATAGGTAAGATCTCTCAAGTGGGTCAAGAATGAGGGAGGGGTCTCAGATATGGTATGCGTAACCTTCATGCGAGTTTTGAGATACTCAATGAATCTCTTCAAGAAAGAGACGAAATGCTCCGCTCGACGAATGTTACCGGGAACAGCCTCCTTCAGTAGATCATCAGGCAAGACTGGATTCGAGATGAATTGATCCTCTTCACGAGCTTTTTCTGCTTCTTGCAAGCCTTCAACCAACTTAGTATATTCGTTCTTGAGCTTTTCTTCATCCGAGCTTTTCATTTCCTCAATCTTGCGTTCCAGATTGGATGCGCCTCGGGTCGCCTTGCGTAGGGAGTCTTCACTAAGATCTATGCTCAGCGACTCGATGCATACGTTGTCGATGTTGTGAGCCTCGTCAAAAACCACAATGCAATCCTTTGAAAGCTCGCGCGACACGCGTTCCGCGATTTTTGGATCTAGGAGATAGTGGTATGAATAAATAATGATGTTGCACCATGGCATCTGTGAATCTCAGTTAGAATTGAGTTGTTCTGAATGGATATACAATCGATCTGCTTACCATGCGCCGTGCAGAGAAGTAAGGACACTGCTTATGTTCTTCTCCGTACCGCGAGAGTCCATCCAGGGTGAAAACACCTGGGGGGACTAGATTATGTGGTTCTAGTAGGTCGAGATTCTAGAGTCCGTTAGTTTGTCCAATCATTTGTTGCAGATTAACAAGGACCTACTTCATGGTAGACGCAAAGATCGACATCTTCACCACGTTCCTTTTTCTCTTTGACGAATCCCGCTGTCAAGCTTCTGCACCTGGCATCGACCACTGTGCCGCTCTTCTCTCTTTTCACAGAAGGGTGAAGGCAGAGGTTTTTTCGACTGGTGAGACCGAGGGCGCGAAATTCCTCCTCGTGACCAAGTTCTTTGGCGCGATGCTCCATCAACGCTTTCAGCTCTGCCAACGCTTTCTCAATCTCGGACATTGTTCGGGAGCAGTAGATGAGCTTTCGGTGCTCTGGGTAGTGCTGTTGGTAGGCGACGATCAAGGACAATAGAGAAACGGTTTTTCCGGTTCCTGAGGGCATTTCGAGCACGCAGTGACCCCCTGCATCGAGGGTCTTTTTGAGATCGCACATGTAGGCATATTGTTCGGGGTAGATGCGAGGATACGGGAACAGCACTGGAAGATCACTACAGCAGGCGGAACGCATTAGTTTGTGGACAGGAATCGGACAAGGGGTAATTAGTACTCAATGAAGAACTTCATCTTGGCTGGACTCCGATGCAAAGCGCAAGAGGGCAAGGAATAGAAAGATGACCCGAGCACTCTTCTTTCGCGCTGCCACGCTTTCCCCGATTGGGACGGCTCCAGCTATGACACAGTATCACGTGACTCATATGTGTCCCGGGGCTCTCGAAGCTTGTCCCGGATTCGATTTTGAACATTCACTTGACCTTGACTACTGTATATCTGTTCGACGAAGAGATACGCGCTACTGCAAACAAACCAGATATGCAAGAGTCAATGAGCACATGACTTAGGGCAGCCGACCATTTGATGTCACTGTTGGTGCTGTGCCTTCTGATTACATCTCTATCAGCCTGCAAAGAAATATGCAAATCGGTGTTTTAAATGGCCATCAGAAATCAAGACTACTAAGCTATGGATATAATCTATGCCAGCAAGAGGAGAGGTGCTCGAGGTTGGTGGGTTGGTAGGAATCAGATTGACCCGACATTCCCTGCAATACCTAGGTAGTCGTAGTCGCCCTCCATTCAGAGCGCTTTCGCTTTCTTTCGAATGCAGTCGGTGAGAAAGTACCCCAAAGAGGCAGGAAGCCCGGGCTTTATCGTAGCGAGCCCACCTGGCAAAGACCGTTAACTCAACCGGAGCACCTGGGCAGTCAAATTGTTGGAGCAGGTCCACGGCCCCGGGGGTGATTATCGCGCGCTTCTTATCGATAGAGGATAAGATATGTCACGTGCAATTTACGTTACGAGCGACAACATTTGTTACCTATCTCAATCCCCCACTACATTCCACTAAGGACCACTGATCTCATACCCCACATGAGCAAAAAGTTCAAATCCCAGGCCTCCAGCAGTCGCGCTGCCGGTAGTGCCTTTGGCTCATTCGGGGGGTTCTCCGGAAGCCTTTCCAGCCAAGGGAAAGAGCCCTCCGCGCTGACATATATTACGGCACCACCAGATCTGTCCCGTATTGACGATCAGAAACTCGTCATCGCGTTCAAGAACCTACTGAAGAAAGATGACACCACTCGCACAAAGGCATTAGAAGAATTGAGGGAGCATATTTCGACAGTGGAAGCGAACAAAGGCACCTTGGATGCCGGATTTTTGGACGCATGGGTATACAAAGTTGATTCGATGATATACCAGCTCAAACTAAGCATTATTACTCTAATCTAGGTCGGCATATACCCCCGGTTATCAATTGATCTCTCTCGACGAGCCCGTCAGCTTGCCCATTCAATTCAAGGCACCGTCGCAAGTCTCGCGGGAAAGCGGATTGTCCCCAACCTACCAAAAGTTATCGGTGCCTGGATTGCAGGCATCTACGATAATGATAAGATCGTCCATCGGTCTGCTCTTGAATCATTTACGAAAGTCTTCTCAACGGAACAAAAACGAAGTAACGTGTGGAAGATCTACCAGAGCTCGATATTGGACTTTGTAGATGACGTCATTCTTCACCAATCAGCCTTGACACTGAGTGATGAGAGGACTGTGAAACGAGACGATGCCGAGGGAAAATACGCTCGTGTGGTTGGAGCTGCAATCATGCTTTTCAACCGTGTCTTAGGTACGTCTGTTGATGCTCACCATGCGAATGCCGGAAGCTAACCATTGAATGCTTCTAGGCAATTCGGCCGATGAAGATTTGGAGAAGGACTTCTCGCAGATTGAAACAATATTAGCCAGCAAGTTCCTCTGGGCTCTTTGTCACCATGATGATCCATACGTCCGTCGCTCCATCTACGTCCTGCTTCGAACTGCAGTTTCCCGTGAGCCTGGGTGGGTTGACTGGCCGACCCTCAGCTCAGCCGTGATTGGAAAATCCCTGTCTCTCCAGCAGATTGGATCAGCATCAGAACTGTCTGAGTCTCTTCTTGTCCTGTCCATCTCGAGACCTCAAGTGTGGACGGACGACTATAGTGGGAAATCTTCTGCTTCAAAGAGGTTACGCCAGTATATCCAGAAGGGATCTCAAGGAGGAGCCAGTAGTTTCTGGTCAAACCTGGACCAACTACTTCGAACAGTGCCCCACGAAGTACTAGCAGGTGCGGACAAAGCCACCGCTGATCGAGGAATTACATCTACCAGCGCAATCGCCTTGACTGAAGCTTTCCAAGAAGGATTGAACTCACGAGAAGAGCCGCGCCAGAACCTCACCGTCGGATGGAAATGCTACATTCAAATTGCGACATGGCTCGCGACTTTGATTCCACAGGACCAAAAGACCGAATTTATTGACCAAAGAATCTCCCCCTTGGTTGTGAATCATGTACGACTTGACCCAAACCTGACACAATGGGTACTTCCAGCTCAGTCAGCCGAGGACAGCTGCGTGCATTATCTGTGTACCTTGGGTTCTACTGGACATGAGCAAGAATTGGAGTCGCTCTGCAGAACTCTCTCCGAGGGTCTGCTAGAAGCTGTCAAGCTGTCCTCTCCCGAACAATCTAAAGGTTTCCGCGAATCTCAAGACTCTATCTGTGCCCAGGCCAAACGTCTCATGGCCTTAGAGTCTGCCGTTCTTTCGCGCATTGCGGATTCCAAGGAGCCACGAGTGACAGAAATAATCGAAACTTCCATATCATCTCTCCTTGAAAGTTGTCTTGAAGTCTTGCGCACCCGCAATGGCAAGCCATATGGTGCAGCTGCCGTTGTTGTCGAATGTGTCAGCAGTATACCTACCGTCGCCCAAAAATCCCAAGACCTAAAGAGTTTCGTCCAGAAGGATGCCCCGGAGCTCCTACTTTCCCCTTCTGCTGACCGCTTGATTTCAACCATTTTGAAATGCCGAGAATGGGATGGTTTCTCGTCAAGTTTCGAGAACATTGTCGAACAAGCTCTTGCGCTTGAGCCCGAACAGTCTAATGTCCACGTGCTCCAAAGCTTGCTTTCATCCCTCAACTTTAATGAAGTTGAGCACAAGGAGAAACTCAATTCACTCGTCGTGCGGGCTTTAGACAAAGCTTGCTGTGGAAGCCATTCTCATTGGCCTATCATTACAGCTGTTCTCCAGAACAAATCATCACATGGCGAACTGATGGACAAGATCTTTTTAACTTTGATTGATGAGCTGTCCACCAATGACAAAGTCTTGAATGCGCTACACGGGATCTCCCACATTGGGAAGACTGCACCATCTGCTGCCCGGGAATTCCAAAGTGGATTGAACGGCTCTAAGCTCGCGGGAAAGCTGATATTCCTCACAGAGTCTCCTGAAGAGGAGGTCGCGAGCCTGGCGGAAGCACTTTTGAAGTCATTGAAGGAAGCCGTCGTTGGCGAGACTACTACAAAGTCGGGTATTGAAATTCTTCAGCATGGTTTCAACCACGTGGACGAAGAATCATTGTCGTGAGTACTCTTTCAAGGCCAGAACATTTGGTCACGATTGTTCAGATTGCGCTAACATCGACCCAGAGTTGAATCTCTTCTTGCTATTGCGGCTGAGCTTCTCCCGAGCATCACTGCCGACGGTGCAACTAGCACCGCCGCCGAGATTCTACCTTCTCATCGCTCATGGGAAGAAGCTCTTACGCCTTTCCTCCAACTCCCACCTCGCTACTCCATAGCCATCACGTCTCCTCTTGGGGGTGCTGTCCACTTGGTTCAACGCGAGCTATCTGACTCGTTCAAAGCCCTGTGGCCTACCATTCCACGCGATTCTGATCATCGGTCCTCTGCTTTCCGCCTGGCGGCTTTCACGATCAATGTTCTTTCTACATCTGATATAGTGAGACATCTGAACCAGGAGAGTCTCGAGACTTTGTTCCGCTTTTTGCCTTTGGCTATCCAACTCATCGATGATGATCTCAGCATCGAAAACAGCAACGGAATCTCAGGCATTGAATTAGCCGATCAACGAGACGAGTATACGCAGACCGTACTTGATGGCCGAAGCGTCATCACCAAACTGGTTCATGACAGCGAACCAGTTGGATCTGCACCAGAGAAGACAATTTCATCATTGTTCACTGAGCTTTGGGAAGCCAGACTGGAGGAAGTTAAAAGTACTTCTCCTGCTGACTATCGCATTGGCGAAGCATTTGTCAAGGTCATGAATATTGCGGATTCAACGCAAAAGTCCAAATCCTCGGAAGATGTCGCGCAAATCTGCAGAGATGCACGTTCGGTCAATATCTTCCGTTCGGCATCCTGGTTTGCGGTTCTGCGAAGCTCGATTCTACAAAACCCGGTTGGAAACAGAATCTGCAACGAGTTGGTCGCAGACTCTACTGGCTTGAAGACAGAGACTGCCTCCGAGGGTGGTAAGTACTAGATGCTACCGCTACCTAATGCTGTTGATACTAACCCTATGTAGGCATGCAAAAGCTCACTCTGCTGAACATCTTGCTCTCTGGCGAAGAAGATGTTGTATCAACCATTCCAACACAGCGTTTGGTCTTCCTTACCAAGAACTTGATTGAGTGTCTCCACTCAACATCTGCATCTCTTGGTCTAAAATCCGAGATCACCAAAACCCTTTCTCTCATCCTCCCAGCCCTCGGTGAAATCTACGGATCTCACTGGGAAGAATGCATGGACATACTAAGCACTGTGTTGCGCAATACCAATGGCGGTGAAGATGCCCTGCCACTCCTGGTGTCTTCGTTCAAACTCTTTTCGCGGTTGAAATCTATCTCGGAGGGAGATAGTAATGAAGACGTACAGGATGCCTGGGCAACTCGAAAGGGTGACCTTTTCACTGCATTGGCATCCACGATCGATACTTTTGGTAAGCCACTTCAGCTGTGTTTCAAACTTCTTCTTATCTAACGAACATCAGACTCGGAGACAACATTCAACCAGCCTCGCGATATAGCCGTAGAGAACTTGCGTCGTCTCATCAACGCTATCCCTGTTGAACATCTTGAAGATGTCAGCGAAACCTTCCATCTCCTCACCGCGCACAGTCGAGCAGTTCAACGCACTGCTTACACTATCCTTCATCATTACATCCCCCATGCCCAGGAAAAGATTTCCTTCGAGCTCGCTCTCTCGAAGACTGCTGCCACTCTGCCCGACGAGCTGGTCTCTCTTCTGCTAGAGCCTCCTTCGATGCAAGCAGTCAACTCCGCCTACGGAGATGACAAGATGTGGACCAGCATGCGCTCATACCTGCTCAGCTGGAAAATTGTCTATGACCACTTCACGAACGCTGTAGGACCATTTCTTTCGCTCACTTCTCTGATCGCTATGCTAACATAAGTACAGTCACTCCCTGTCCAAGAATATTACTCCGCTAGCATCAAAGAGAACAACATCCTGATTCCGCTGTTGGAATTCATGTTTGACTTCCTCCAAAAGTCGCATGGAAAGCTGATTGACGCATCCAAATTCGAGATTCGATCATTTGAGCCAGATCAGTCCGAGAGCGCCGAGAAGGAAACCCAATGGCTTCTTATCCATCTGTATTACCTGTGTCTGAGACACTCGGCCAACATGACCAAGAACTGGTGGATTGATACTAAGAAACGCGTGAAGGGTCCTGTCGAGGCATGGTCGGAGAAATACGTAAGTCCCTCGACAACCATTTTATAACATGAGGGATAGTCACTGACAACATTCAGATCTCTCCACTTGTCGTGCAAGATTCCCTGAAGGGAGTGACGGATTGGGCCGCCACGCTAGATTCGAATGAGGAGCGAGCATTGGAGGTAAAAATCTCTCAGAAGACGGGAGAAATTATCGCCAGCATTACCGTGGACGAAGAGTCTCCCCCGGTCGCCATCTCCATCACGCTTCCGCCAGCATACCCGCTCCAGCCCGCCTTGGTCGTCGGGCGCAGCCGTGTTCTCGTGGATGAGAAGAAATGGAAGAGTTGGCTGTTGACCATCCAGGGAGTGATCATGTTTGCCAATGGCAACCTGGTTGACGGCTTATTGGCCTTCCGACGAAATGTCCAAGGTGCCTTGAAGGGCCAGAGTGAGTGTGCAATTTGTTACTCCGTCATCTCCACGGACATGCAAACACCAAACAAGCGCTGCGCCACCTGCAAGAACACCTTCCACTCGGTGTGTTTGTTCCGCTGGTTCAAGAGCAGTAACCAGAGCACTTGTCCGCTTTGCCGAAACAACTTTGTGTATGTTTAGTCGTACATAGAACGCAAATATGACAAATGAATGGCCTGCGCGACACGCAGCCTGGGAAGTTAAGTTCAACTACGACAAACGCATCTTGGAATGATATGTGTCGGCAGAGACATTTCTGCAGCAAAAGCTTCGACAACAATGCCAGGGGCTGCGGAGCCCAAGAAGCTATGAAACATCGAGGTACCCAGCACGTTTGAGGCCATACCCGATGGAGACACTCACTGAACCCCTAGATTTCCATCATATACATTTTTTCAAGCGGAATTTGTTCCTCAATGCGGAGGATCTAAGGCTAAATAACGCCTCCGAGGTCGTTGACGCTTAATCTTTAAGTTATTAGCGGTCACCCATTTAGGCTAGGTGCTCCATTGCATATACCCCGGCGGACTGGCCGTATTTCCTTAAGGATGCGGGGAGGCAGATCCTCCTGCAGGCATGTCTCACCCCCGACTCCTGTGCCCAATAGGCTTGTTTCAACAGGCTTGGATCCCTTAAGCCTATGCGCCGACTGATTCAGCCTAATTGCGCCACTCTATTTCTGCACGGCTAAGCATGGCAGGTGTTAACTGAAACTTGACATTTGGATGGAGACCATTAGGCAAAATTCTTCGGTCGAAAGGATCAACTCGGGGGATGCCCTGATGGAGAGACAAGTCCACCCTTGTAGGGGCCCTCTGGAAGACTGCCCAGGTGTATAAAATCAACTTTCGCCCACACGGTGGCAACGCATCCACTTTATACTACGTACACTTGGAGCATTTAGCCAATTCCCACAACATGGTTTATAATATCTTCAAACTCTCTCTCATCGCTGGCGCCCTCGCCGTCCCAATTGAGGCCCTTGAGAAACGCGCCTGCCCCGGCGTTCATGTCTTCGGTGCACGCGAGACCACCGCATCGGCCGGCTACGGCTCCTCCAGCACGGTTGTCAATGGCTTGTTGAGTGCGTATTCAGGTGCTACTGCCGAAGCCATCAGCTACCCAGCATGCGGCGGACAGGCATCCTGCGGCAGCGTCAGCTACTCGAGCTCAGTTTCTCAGGGCATCGCGGCCGTCGCTTCGGCTGTCAATGCTTATAACAAAGAGTGTCCCTCGACCAAGCTTGTTTTGGTCGGCTACTCTCAGGTCAGTAATGCGGAAACACGGTTCACGGACTCGATCTGATAATGAGACAGGGAGCGGAGATCATAGATGCAGCTTTGTGCGGTGGCGGTGTCCCCAACCAGGGCTACACCAATACTGCGGTGCAGCTGTCGACTTCTGCAGTGAATATGGTCAAGGCGGCTATCTTCATGGGCGACCCATTGTTCAAGGCGGGCTTGCCGTATAATGTTGGGACTTGTGCTGCTGGAGGCGTATGTACCCCATCATCCGTTGGCTGTTCATTGAAACTAACGATATCCAGTTCGATGCGCGCCCTGCTGGCTTCTCCTGCCCATCGGCTAACAAGATCCAGTCGTACTGTGATGCCTCAGACCCATACTGCTGCAATGGTAGCAATGCAGCAACTCACAATGGGTATGGCAGCGAGTATGGATCGCAGGCTCTCACTTTTGTCAAGGGTAAATTGGCATAGAAGTAATTCGATAGTACTGGAATACAATAATTGTCCATGAATGCATTCAAGATCAATTGCACTCGCTAGTGAGCAGTAAAGTCGAGGCGTGAGAAACGAGGGAGTCGAGCCCCACCACGGAAGCCCAAGCTCCCAACTTCCTACTATCATGGCCAGTATCCCCAACCTGAATTCACTCCGACAAGGCCGAGGTCGAGGTCGAGGATTAGGATCTGGGAATGTGTCACGTCCAGGAAAAGACCAGGTCGTGCAAGGCACAGACAACGACGCGAGCGTGTCCCGCCTGAGCGCCGTCGAGCTGGGGTACCTCGATGATCCCTACGCGACAGCATTAACACCACCGGGGTCCGCGACGCGGCGACTCCCAATCATTAACAGAGGTGAGACGCATGCCATGGCTCATACCAGGTAGATCCCAGAACTGACACGCGCAACAGGAACCTACGTTCGTACCACAACCATCGATCAACTCGTAACCCGCTTCCTCGGCCCGTGGTCACCAAACAAGCAGAGGAAACAGATCATCTCGCTCGGCGCTGGATCGGACACGCGTGTCTTTCGATTATTGTCGTCGCGAAAAACACCGGACTTCATCTACCACGAGCTCGATTTCGCCGTCAACACCACCGCGAAGATTCGCGCGATTCGGTCGGCGCCGGAGCTGCAGCGCGTGCTGGGTATTGACTCCTCGGTTTCTGGGGAGGGAAGTCCGGTCACGGTATCGGAGGCGGGAGATGCGCTGCAGTCGCCTTCATACCACGTCCACCCGGTGGATTTGCGGTCGCTACCCGCGCACAGCAATCCCGCCGCAGCATTACCGGGTGTGGAAACGGGATTGCCGACCTTGTTGATATCCGAGTGCTGTCTCATTTATTTGTCACCCATCGAGGCGCAGAAGGTGGTTTCATTCTTTACGGAAGGGCTATTTGGCCAGATCGCACCTGGGTCTGACGGTGATGCGCTTGGACATACTGGTGTCGCGCCCCTCGGTTTGATCTTGTATGAGCCTATTCGTCCAAATGACGCATTTGGCGAAGTGATGGTTTCGAATCTCGCGGCGCGGGGGATCCAACTTCAGACCTTACATAAATATGCGTCGCTTGAGGCGCAGCGGACCCGGTTCAGAGAGCAGGGCTTTGGAGATGGCCAGGCGGCGGGTGATATTGAGTTCATTTGGAAGAACTGGGTCACCGAGGAAGAGAAGGGGAGGGTTGCGGGATTGGAAATGCTGGATGAGATGGAGGAGTGGGAACTGCTGGCGCGGCATTATTGCATTGCATGGGGATGGAGAGATCAAGCTCATATCTCGGCATTTGCCGGTTGGAAAGACCTTGAGGCTCAGAAGGGCGGGTAACTTCAGTTGTCCATGTTTGATGTTTCTTGCTACATTTCCATAACGACATCCTTCCATTCGCTACAAAGCATGACACGGCCACTTACTCCGTAGAAGATCACGACCTACGGAGTATCTACTACGCAGATCACACCTTAAGCGCCCTGTCTGGCGAAGATATCGGGCGGCTCGATCAATATTGAGTGTACGCCTGGTACTGTGATTCAAGCTGAGGCAGTGCAGCTCTGCTTTTCGAATACCTGTTTCGACCCTGATCACCGATCTACGATCTGACCTGTCATTCATCGATAGTCGCATGGGGCTCTTCAAGAACAGGCCGTTGATAGGTCCGTTGATAATCGCCATGCGAGGAATATGGTCAGCCCTTGCAGCAACTTAAAAGGACACCCCACTGATGCATACACATGTACATCTGTATGTGCCGAGTATGCGAGATACGTCTTCCTGAGCTTTGTCCCCTCACGGTATGCCTGCACAGAAATGATGCAAGGGCCGTCAGACATAGGCGCCGTACGGAGTACCGAATACTTTGAAAGAGATCCTCCAGAACTTGAGGTGTCAGAGAACTCTACAACCCGGGACAGCCCAGTTGATCCTCCAAGATCTGCACAGACTACCCTATGTGCGGAATATCAATAGTCATTTCTGAGTACTCCGGATTCCGTACTGACAATTTAGTTGTTAGCTAGCGTCATGCCGGAGTATGTTGTTATCTCCCATGGTAAGGTCGCGCTAGCTCTGCGCATACTGAAGACATGCTTAAGCTTGGCTAATTAGCTCTGGAGGTGATGCGGGTAAAATGACACGGTTGGACTCCGCAGGGAGTCTCCAAATATTTGGCAGTTTATGCGTAGTTCCAAGGTTCCAAGGCTGATGTTCAGTTGAGATTAACTATGACATCGGGCATTGTATAGTGCTCTGTTGCTGCATGGGCACAGCTACATATCCAATAGGCGAAAAGCACCAACCTTGGAAGATGCGGACTTGAACTCAAGGTCAGTGATTTAGCAATGACAAGTTTTTTCACATTCTGATGTGCTTCAGTTTACTATTCGAAATGTGGGCAATGTTTACTGTACATATTAGATATGGAGTATGGAGTGACTGGACCCAGGCCAAGCTTTGTCCAAGACCCCAATCGGCAATCCAACCTCGAAACTCTTTGCCTGCCCTACGAGAAAGTCGAAAAAACTCCGGACATTGGTCACTCGAGCACGGAAAAGATCAGGATCAACAGGCCCAGAACCGGTCGCGGGCCGGTTTGATGAGGATTGACTATCAGACCGCGGGTGTTGATGCGCGGTGTGGAGTACTTTTCCGCTTCCCTCATTTCCCTGGGGATTTGTGCTTTGCGAGGCAGACTGTGTGGAGCGCTGTACTCCGTACTGTCTCCGTACTACAGTCAAATGCCCCGTCGAGGCTAAACGGCACAAAGCTGCACGGAGTGTGCCCGCGCTGTCCAGATATCAGAATAGGGGAGATACCCCATGGCCGTTGAAAGAGTTCGATCAGCAACTCCACATCATATCGCCATGCTTATTGGCCTCACTCCACTTGCCAAGCAGGAACCATCGGGGTATGCGGGTGCACAATTGGCTGCAGATGTCGACTCGCCCCTGACGCTAGACAGCTAGTGGTCAGTGGCTGTCCACTAGTGGATTGACCTCAGGGGCTCGCAATATCGACGCAGCACAGAGGCAGTTTGCTGTGGGCCATTCATGGCCAATTTATGATCCCCAGAGCCACTCAGGGTCCGCCCGTGCGACTCAAGGCCACTCTTGCAGGATTTCGTGAGTGTATCATCCGTCTAAGCCGCATTGAGATTAGAGCACTCGTGCTGACCCCCCGTCCCTTTTCTTGCTTCTTCTCATAGCTTTCCTTTCCCTCGTCTTGACCTTCATTCTCTGTGAGCACTGTGTCTGTCCCTGGCCCGTCGGCCGTCTACTTTTGTCACTCGTTTGACTTAGCCATTCGCTTTTTCTGATATCTACATTCTTTGACACACGTCCTCCCCTGACACAATGAAGTTCGAGATTACACCTTCTCGCGCAGCTGCGCTTGTCGCCCTCATTGCAAGCGCCGAGGCCGCGAAGCATGGCCATGGCCATAGCCAACACCACGAGACTCGGGAAGTCGCCTTGGAGAAGAGGGGTGGCCAGTGCCAATTCCCCTCCGACGCTGGCCTGGTGTCTGTGACTCCGAATGAAAAGAACGCCGGATGGGCCATGAGCCCCGACCAGCCCTGCAAGCCTGGTAACTACTGCCCATATGCCTGCCCTCCGGGTGAGGTCTCCATGCAGTGGGACCCCAAGGCTACTTCCTACTCTTACCCCATGTCCATGAACGGTGGTCTTTACTGTGACGAGAGCGGAAAGATTCAGAAGCCCTTCCCGGAGCGCGACTACTGTGAGTCGGCTGTCGGTGTCGTCAAGGCTCACAATAAGGCTGGCAAGCCTGTGTCCTTCTGCCAGACTGTGTTGCCTGGAAACGAGGCCATGATCATCCCCACCTTGGTCGAGGAGCTGGCCGATCTGGCTGTCCCTGGAACCTCCTACTGGTGCTCCACCGCTGCCCAGTACTACATCATGGCTCCTGGTGTGAGCCCCGAAGACGGCTGCGTCTGGGGTACCAGCGCCAAAGACATCGGTAATTGGACGCCTTACACTGCTGGCGCCAACACCGACGACAACGGAGAAACTTTCCTCAAGATTGGATGGAACCCTATCTACTTGGAGCCCACGACTCCCTTCCGCCACGTCCGTCCCGAGTTCGGTATCGAGATCGAGTGCGAGGGTGACGGCTGCAAGGGTCTTCCTTGCAAGATCGACCCCGCTGTCAACGACGTCAACGAAATGATTGGTGACCCCTTCACTGGCGCTGGCGGTGCCACTGGCTGTGTTGTGACCGTCCCCAAGGGCGAGACCGCTCACATCGTTGTCTTCGAGAAGGGCGGCAGTGGTGGCTCTTCGTCCGAGACCCTCTCCGTCCCCACTAGCTCTGCTACCTCCAGCTCTACCTCCACCTCCAGCTCCAGCTCCAGCTCCAGCTCCAGCTCCAGCTCCAGCACTAGCACTAGCACCTCGACACCCACCCCTACCCCGACTAGCACCAGCACCAGCACGACCGAGACCCCAACGAGCACTCCCACCCCCACCTCCACCCCTACCCCCTCGTCGACCTCCACCGCAACTGCCACCTCCACCTCCAGCTCTACCTCCACCATCACCTCTAGCTCGACCAAGAATGCCATTTCGAGCGTCACTCCTTCAGGCAGCACCCGCTTGCCCAAGTCGAGCCCCTCGCTGAGCTACACCTACCAGCCTCACATCCTGACTGGTTCTGCTGATATCTCCGAGGCCTCCTCGACCACCGGTGCCGCCGCCGCATCCTCCTCCTCTGGTACGGGTGGTGCTACCAGCGCCACCGTCTCCATGATGACCCTTGCTCTCGGTGCTGTTGCCGCCGTTGCTATGAACCTGTAGATCGGGATCCACTGATCTGGTTTAATTCACTGTACATGATTTCAAAGCTGTACAAGTGCTCGGATGACGCCTTGAGGCATGCCTTTCTCGCCATATGTCCGTGATTATCGACCTAATCTCGCGGGCATTGTTTGATTCTTTCACATTTTTTTTAATCTTCACTTCTACATAATCCCCCCTTTTTATGATTCTACGCATCCCCTGGATGCCCTTTCTTGACGACGCTCAACGTTGGCCTTTCTCATTTATCTGCTTCATGACTCATATATCCCTTGGCTATTCAGCTTTGTTATTTTTTTCACCTTTATGGATATTCTCACTTTGTGCTTCTGATCTGCATGGAGGGGGCTTTTTATTGATTACATATTGACTTCTGGCTTGGTGTTGAACCAACCAGACTTGACCACTTGGGTCTTTGGATGGACATAGGAAAAACAGTGTTCGCTTTCTCATACATCCTTCGGGACGTGCATACTGCAAGATTTCTCAGCATTCTGGATCCTAGTAGAAAATACAGGGCTGTCTTCCGCTGGATATTCTTCGAGTCATGAAGCAGCCGTTCATTCCTTATTTCTTCTTGGACACTACTCTGTATCAACCCTGGTCATTCCACATGCCATGGCGTAACGTGCACACCATACAATGATGAATCTAGCCCCCTGTGGGTAATTACAGATGCCCCAATGAATAGTTCATTAATCCAATTGTATACCGAACTCGTATATACAGAAACCGCAACGCCTATGCTCATTTTATCCATGCCAAATTTCCCTGCCAAGCCAACAAGTGAATAACCCAGCTCAACCGCTCCCGCCCAATGCATTCATACATTCAATTCCTCGATAGGAATAATCATATCCGGTCTCCTAGCCTCAATCGCCAAACGGTTCAAGTTCCGCTGTCTGCTCTCACGCATATACTTTCGTTGCTCGTATGGTACATCCTTGGCTCTGTCCGAGTCGTCGAGACCGTGGTACATTATGTATATACTGAATCCGATCAGGGTGCCGACTACGCAACCGAGAATGATGAGGAAGACATAGAGGGGGTATTTGTCTGGATTGGACATGCTGCTTCGCTTTATCAAGCTCGTGGCCATGTCGGCTGATGGCGTCGTGTTCATTGTGGGTGGAATGGAAGGCATTTGTGTGTTTGAGAGACTGGATGAATACTAGATATGATCAGTAATTGGGTCAGGTAAAAGAAAGAGAGAGAGAGGGGGGGGGGGAGTCCAGATAGACGTACAGGCTTGATGATAGGGAGGCAAATGCCAGAAGGATCCTTTGATATGTGCAAGTGATACTATCACAATTCAAGGTAGACTGATGTGGAAAGAAGGATAGCAAAAGGCACTTGGTGAGAAACGAAATGCCAAACCTATCGGCTTTATATGAAAGAATGCCTAGGTGCTCTAGAGACTGGTCGCTGGATTTGTCCTCTATCTAGAATAAGCACACACGCTGAAACACCACGCTGCTAAAATGAACCACATAGTTCTGATGTTATTCCCAATTAGGACAAAGCGCCAAGGAATTTCCATTTCTGTGATGTCATAAACCGAGCAGACCAATCAGAGTGCTCTCACTACCGGTGGGTCACAGCCAGTCAGGACCCAGCAGTTCTAAATATACGGATCTTAGGTCTATGTCTGCTCGCTCGGCCCCCATTCCTCAGATATGCACCCGGAGAATGGCTTGTGCTTCCACTGTACTTTGGTGTAGCTGCCGTATGTCAGATTTAATTGGTTCCAGGGCCGGGGCTCGCCTTCCTAGCTGCATTTTGAGATTGTCCCGCGAGCTGATTTGGATTGATTTTTTTCATTTGTCTCAGATGGCTCGAATTCTTCCGTGGTCCGACTCGTTAGGATCTGTCAATTGAAATTGCGCGTTCCACTAGTTCAGTCTAAAGGTGACAATGACAGATTTCTAGCCTTAGGGCTCTAGAGCGGCCAGTATCAGCTGAGTGTTCCCAGTTACCAAGCTACATTCAGGATTTCCGACTATCTGAACTATTTGTATTGCTAGGTACTACTTGAACAGAAGATTGATGATTTGACCATTAAGCCTCGAAATCTCAAGTATGGAGTATATTCGAAAGAACCTCAAGATGAATTTCCATGCTTACTAGGTAGTGGGGCGACAGACCTCGGAGGATATATATGTCATATATGAGCCCCGAGACGACCTTTGAAGCATTCTCAAACATCCAATCTCTACTAGGTATGAGTTTAGTCCATAATTATTATAATTTTCTCTTCCAGGTTGATCAACACTGCAATAACTTCTGAAATTGAGTCCCAGATATGCGTATACATTATCCCCGCCAATAACCGGCTCCGGGGCCGGCTCGCGCTCAGTCAGCAGCCCACCACGTCCGGGCTTCAGGTGGATCCGACGAATCGTCAATCTTATGACTCCCAATGCAAATGGAGACATGAATCCATGCTGGACATGTCGCAACCGGCGCGTCCAATGCGATCTGTCCGGCTCTCCCTGCGCGAAATGTGTCAAGGCTGGGGTGGAATGCTTCGACAAAAGACCGTTGAGGTGGGTCAAAGGCGTGGCAATTCGAGGAAACCTGCAGGGCTATTCGTATGAGGGGAGCTCAGACAAGCTTAAGAAAAAGCCGCGGGCCGCCAAAAATGCCCGAGCTAAACCAAACAACCCAGAAAATGCGTTGGTCAAATCTCCCGAAATCAGATGCTTGCCGGCTGCATTACAGGATCCGACAATATTGAACCTGGATAGAGTTTCCAGATATTATATGAATTATTGTAAGTCCTTTACATGATTTGAAGAATACTACTGACCGCCTGCAGATAACGAGCACATATGCAAGCTGTTCATTGTATACGACAGCGAAAGGAATCCATTCCGGAGTCTCATATCATACGGTCTACATGACCCGGTCTTACACAAGGCCATCCTTGCTCTTGCAGCAAGGCATCATGCGAATACAGGCAAATCATTCAATCAAATTGAGGCGCCGACCACGCCTGATCTCGTCAATGCCGATCGTGATGCACTTCTTTTCAAACACCAGGCGATGGAAGCCCTATCCCGAATCATTGGTGCCGGAGATACGCCGAAAAACGATACCACTGTTGCGAGTATATTCCTCCTCATCTTTTTGGATCTTCTTGAGTCAGGAAGCGATGGGTGGAACTTCCACCTGAAGGGGGCGAAAAGTTTGATAAAATCGTATCAGCCTTTACTCGAGTCGCAAGCCGGGATCAATCATGGCCCCGGTCAGACCTTGCAGGAAATATGGGGCTTCATATCTATGCAGATTCGCTCGTGAGTTACTGAACATGCTCGGCACGTCGGAAAGACCCGAATTAACATACATTAGGATCGAAACATTGGGAGCAGCCTTCTTACGGCCAAAGCTACTGTCAGAATTTGCCCCTGTCAGCCAGGAGGATATACAGCCCTTAGAGACAGTTGAGAAATCGTTCCTTGGGTGCCCGGAGTATCTGTTGACGGCCATCCGATTCTTCTCCAATGAGAGAGACACCATTGCAGGATCAAAGTTATTCGAACAGGGTGACCTTGAAACCCATATTCACAATATAAATTCGATGCTGGAGCTCGTTCGAACCTTTGATAGCTATGCATGGGCTTTGAGCGTCCAACGCCCGACATCATCATCAGTCGACATGGTTAGTGGTCTTTGCACATTATCGGAGGTGTTCAAAACTGCTACTCTGATTTATGGCGGACGTGTTCTCGATGCCTTCAGGGGAAACTACACAGTCCAAGACGAGCTGGTCTCTGAGTTGTTGGGACTACTCAACCTTTTGAAAAATGACGATGCATTATTCAAGTGTGTTCTGTGGGCAATCTTCGTTGCAGGCCTGGAATGCCAAACTCAGCCTCAGAGAGAATTCTTGATTGAATGCCTGGAGACTTTCTGGAGAGACACGAGTTGTTTGAATGCTGTGAATGCCACAAAAATCCTGCAGAACTACTGGGCGCAGCTGGGCTCGGAGGCTCCATCAAAGTGGATATTCGACATTGGATGCTTAGATCGTGACTGGCTGTTGTTATAGAACCTGCCCGCGGGATTGTTCCTTGTCCAAAAATGCCCCGGACCTCAAGCCAAGAGCGACTTGAAAGCCTTGAACAGATCATCCTTCAGATCCTTCCAATTCTCCAGCCCAACGCTGACCCTCAGTAACTTCCGATCAACCCTTGAATCCGACAGAGCTCGCCACTCGATCAAAGATTCAACACCACCCAGGCTGGTTGCGTGCTGGAAGAAGCTCAGCTTGGTCGGCAAATGTTTCGCAAACTCTTCCTTGTGCAAGACGATGGAGAACACAGGTCCGAAGCCATTGGGCATTTGCTTCTGCAGCCACGGTTCATCCTGCACCTGCATACTGGCATGATAGATCTTCTGTACGACAGACTGGACCACAGCATCCTCACTCCCAGCAGCAGGCGAAGGGACCTTCATCGCATGGTCAAGCCACGAAATCAATTTGGCAGAATTCTGACTCGCCCACTGAACCCGCACCTCCAGGGTGCGCAGACTCCGGATACCAAGCCAACTTTCCATGTTTCCCATCACACTTCCAAGAGCCAATCTATCCTCGAAGAGCTGCTTGATCCAATCGGTGCGTTTTGTTGCTAGAACACCACAGAGGAGATCGCTGTGTCCGCCGAAATACTTCGATCCCGAGTGCATGACTATATCGGCGCCCCACAGGAACGGATCTTGCAAGCCAGGAGGACCAAAGGTACTGTCGACCACGAGGAATGCACCCCGAGCGTGCGCTTTGCGGGCATATTCCTCGATGCTGAACGCCGTTCCGAGAGGATTGACGGGTGTCTCCAGCAAAATGACGTCACCTGAACTAAGGCTCTCGGCTGGACAATCGAGTGGTAGCTTTTGCAGACCAGATAGACGGGACACGACTGCAATGACCTCGTGACTGCCATGGTATCCCTCGCCGACGGAGATGCGGCGCGGATTCAATAATGTTAGAGCGGCATGAAGTGCAGCAAGCCCGGTCGAGTAGCTCACAGCCGTACCACCTATCAGGGAGGAGAGGACTGCTTCAAAGCGGGTTGGGTTTGGTGCAAATTCGCGGGAATAGACGTAATTCTTGCCGTTGAACTCATCCTGGAGATTTGTTAGATGATATAGATCGACGGAAAGAAGCGCTCTGCACTTACGACGGGATCTTCGGATGGTACAAGTTGCTCTGGGTCATTGGGATATCGGAAGATTGTTGAGAGGTGAATTGGAGGAGCAACATCAGACACTTGGTTTAGAGCATCGTCTGCATGCAATGCTTTAGTTGACGGATGGCTGTTATGAGAAGGTGCCATTGTAACCTTGGAATGATTCATGATATGGCAGAAGAGAGTGATCTTCAATTCAGGTTCAAATCCAGGCTCCTGGTACTTATAGCCTGCCTCCCATTGAAAACTGCAATCTGAAAATTGCACATGTAGTAGTAGATGTCGTTCATAGATGGTCTCCACTCCCCTCAAGTTCCTAATCGGGCATCTGAGTAATACCCGCCGACCTTAAATTCTCAAAGTTCATTGGTCAATTCCCGGCTGCCCCTTCCTTTTTAGGAAGTTGAGCGGAGCGGAGATATATTGACTCAGCCAATCAGAGGTGACTTGACTCATATCAATCACCCGGATTGGCCTTTTAAGCTGTGATTCTTGGGAGTCATAGTTCCATGCATGAGTTCTGGAAATAAATATGTGAGATGACTCTGCTTTCTCTCAATCATCCTTTGCACATTTCTCATCATGTATCTTCGAGCAGTCCACGCCGAGGGCTCTATCAAAGCCCTGTTGGAATTTATCAGGCAAAACCCCCTCGGAATCTTGACGACAGCCATCTCATCCCAATCACACCCCTTCATCCAATCCAGCCACATTCCATGGGTCCTGGATGAAATCAGTGATGACCCTGATGCACCCGTGAAAGGCAAACTTCGCGGCCATATGGCTCGACAGAACCCACAAGCTAAGGCCATCATGGAAAACGCCGGACAATCCTCGTCCCAATTGACACAAGATGTGATGATTCTCTTCACCGGCTCGGCCCACCACTATGTGACTCCCAAGTTCTACACCGAGACCAAGCCCAACACCGCTAAAGTGGTGCCGACCTGGAACTACTCCGCCGTGCAGGTATACGGCAAAGCGACTGTCCACTTTGACTCGACGTCTCCCGAGACCTCTAGCTACCTGTCGAAGCAGATCCATGATCTCTCACAATTGTGCGAGACCTCTCAGATGGGGTACACTGGACAGGATGGGAAGCCCGGGCCTTGGACTGTGGCCGAGGCACCGGAGCGATACATCGATATCATGAAAAAGAACATCATTGGCATCGAGATTGCTATCGAGAGCATTGGAGGGAAATTCAAGATGAGCCAGGAGAGTACCCCGGGTGATCGCGAGGGTGTCATCAATGGATTCTCCAACCTTGGCTCGGACGTTGGCGACCAAATGGCAAGCCTGGTGAAGGAGCGATGTGCAATGAAGGACGCGAGTAAGGCATCATGAATCGAATGTCTAGGGTCAAATCACCTTGAAGTAGATCCATATTTTTCAGTTCCGGTGTCACTCCAATACCTAGGTATATACTAACTTTGGAGAGCACACGTTGTCTATATTTAGAACGTTAATAGAGGACATATATTTAGAAAGCAGAAATAAACGACTTCAAGCGATGAGCCCCATCCTTGAAACCCAGCCTTGTTTTGTTGCTGTAATTTTCCTTGAATGAGGAGTAGAATATCATATTGGGAAGTAAGCGCAATATGACGGAGATCGTTACAAAGGAAGTCGATATTGATCGAGAGAAGGCCTACCTGATTCCACTTTCCTTCGAATCCGACCTGGTTCTCGTTCTCTTACAATTCCGGCTACCACACCTGGGCAGTCGCGAGATTGACTATCTTCACAATGGAGAGACAATGCCGAGGTAAGGGTGCTCCAATTCCTGCCAAAGCACTATATGATCTCCTGGGTATCCGAATGTCGAATGTTAATTGCAAGTAGAGTGTCTTTGGGTCGCCGAGAGAGATGGTGGCATCGCGAAAGACCCCGAGACTGCGAGTGATCTGGCTGCTTTGTTGGATGAAATTGAAACCCGCTGCAACATACAGACAAGAGAGATCAGGATATGGTCTGCTTTTGCTGAGCAATTCAAGCAGTCGATTGCCGACAATTTGGAGCGGATGGAGACCATCGTCACTGTCCATACTCCTCGATCGCTCACACCCACACTCACACCAAAAGCGGCCACACCAAATTGATATATCAGACTATTTCTGTCCGATACTGTGGAATGCGCGAGGCAAGTGAAATGTGAGTGTTTGTTCGGAGACAATACGCAGTGACTGTAGTGAGATCATGCGAAATGTCGGGATCGACGCGCTATCAATTGCCTAATCGTCCCCCGCCTTTCTTCCTCCAACTCCCACCCCACGACATCCAAAATGCCGCCTTCACCTCAAACCGTGAGTCATCTATGATCTGTCTCTTGCAGTTCCAATGATCAAAGCGTCCATAAAGTCGCTGCCTGGAGCTTCCAAGCCTACCCCGCACCGTCCATATAACAGTGACCTTGTACACATGCAAACAAACGATGGCTAACATAAGTGAATCGCAGACCAGATTGCTCTCTACCCTTCGCCTCCTTATTCCTCGATTGCGTCTCTTACAGAAGAAAGACACCGCCTCTTCGGTTGCTCAGCGCCGCGAGCTCTCCCAACTCCTCAGTGAAGGGCGCGATGCATCAGCGCGCATCCGAGTCGAGAATGTCATCGCCACAGATATCGCGGTTGAAGTGATGGAGATGGTGGAGCTCTACTGTGAACTACTACTGGCACGCGCCAACGTGTTGGACCAACTGGCCTTCGGCGAACAAGGCACCCGCGCGCGCCAACGCGCAAAGGAACAACTCAAGAAACGTACCCAGGCGCAAGCTGCCGCCGCAGGATCAACAACCACGGCAGCCAAGGGTGCTAGCGAAAGCACCGGCTCGCGATTCGGGTTCTCATGGCTGGGGGGCGGAGGGCAGAAGAAAGAGGCCGAGCGGGCTAGCGCCTCCATTGCTGGACCCGCGGACGGGGACACCATCACCGACGAGGATAACCCATACCTGGATACCGCGCTTGATGAAGCTGCTGTTGTGGTCTTCTACGCGTGGAACCGCTTTCCACACGAGGTGCGCGAGTTCACGATGCTCCGCACTATGCTGGACGAACGTTATGGCAAGGAGTTCCGCATGCTGGCAACCGAAAACAAAGTCGACGGGGTTAGTGTGCCTGATCGGCTGCTCAAGGGGCTGCGTGTGCGCCCGCCCGGACAGGAACTTGTGGATAGCTACCTCAGAGAGATCGCGAAGGCATACGGTGTTGAATGGCATGGGCTTGAGGAAGATACACCGGAACTTGGCAGCGCCCCTGAATTTGTGGATGATTTGGGCGAGCCTGAACTACCACAAACACCTAGCAAGCAGGGAGAACCTGATTTGACCGAGGCGCGACGGGCATCGGAAACCAGTGAACTGAATAAGGCGACGCCCCCGCGGGGACTTGCAGCCGGTCGCAGCCCTGTCGTTGTTGCGCCACCAGCTCCCAGGACCGACAATCCCAACCCGCGAGTCAAGGTTCCCGGGACGGATGACAAGGTCGACGGTTCGAATAACGATGCAGCGGGTGGTCCCCCTAAGAAGACTACCAATGGGATTCCTGAGTTGGACGAGTTAACGCGGCGATTTGCAGACTTGAAGCGGAAGCCCTGAATGCTCAGCCTGGAAACCCCATCAACAGCAGAATCTGACATTCAGACGTTTGAGATTGGGGTCCTCTGATTGTTCTCGGCTCTGACTCAGGGATTTGTCCACTTGGGAAATGCTACTCTGTCCTCTGTTGTGGGGAAGATGAAGGGTGTTTCAAGATTAATGATGTATGCACGATCTATCCGATTTCAATATTACCCCGGCTGAATGGCCACTCGTATCCGTCGGACACATTGGAAATAGACCTATATTATGTGATAGGTAGTTTGAAGAAATCCAATTCTGCTCAGGAGAATGAAAATGCCTTCAATCGAGTTGCACACAGGGCTGGACGTTTACGTCCAATTTGACATGAGACAATCACAAACTCTAAGGGACAAGCTAATTATTACATGCAGACAGGGTGCAGAACTAGCGAGATTAGCTCCAGGGAGAAAAGTACAGAAAGAGAAGGGAAAGTATACTCCGAATGTTGTATTGTACAGCTCTATTTAATATGAAATGCCCTAAGAGAATAGAATATACCGGGTGCGAGCACATGGGAGTCCATGTGTCAAAAAAACCGTTGCGCACGGGGCACACCCGACCCCAAGATCGCGATACTTATACGAGGTAACCCGACTTCATCTTCTTCGCAATTCTCGCCTCCGGGCAAAACACCCCCGCAAAAATGCCAGTTTATATGCTCCACGGATTCCGTTGGCCACGCGCAGGCTTTACCGGAATCCGCGTCTACATCGTCCTCCACAATCTCGAAGAAGCCGCCGCCGAATACATCCAGCAACCCCTCACGACAGAACTGCTCGCGGAGTCCTTCCACAAAACACAGGCTGATCTCGTGCCGCGTCTCCCCGAATTATCCTTCATCGAACAATACGATCCCGCTGACGAGACGAGCGGCACCGTCAGCCAGGACCATGCGTACGTTGGCGCTCGGGTCATGGAAATCCCGGACGGTGGCGCCGGGGGCGGCGGCCAGAACATAGAAGACGTGGTCGAGCAGGGCTCCGGGTTAACGGATGATGAGACGAAGGCGCTGGAAGAGCTGCGGGATCGGCTCGCGCCCGGAGAGAAAATCGGATGGTATCTTGTGTACAACGGGGATCCGGATCGGTGGTACCCCGAATCAGACTCTGAGTTTGAAGAGGGGTACGAAAGTGAAGAGGATCGTGTGCAGAGTACTGTTCAGAGTCAGCAGCAAAGCCAGCGCCAGAGTCGAGTCCAGAGTCAGCGAGAGAGTCGGATACAGAGTCAACGACAAAGTCGAATTCAAGGAAAGGAGGAGAGCTATATGGATCCACCAAGTCCACAAAGTTACACGGTATGTTCTGCTGTTTGCCCCGGTGTTCCGGGTGTGCTGGATGCATTGCTGATTACTTCTAGTCTCGATTGACAAGGTTCTTCAATCGGTTGAGTTCTGGGTGAGGGGAAGAGGCACCAGGAACTGTTGCATGAAGAATATACGCTCTTCCTGTCCAGTGGAAACTGACAATCACTCCTTCCACTGGACTGTGAATCGAGCTTTTAACGATTTCTACGCTTAACGCTTGCTGATGCTCTTTATATGTGCATATATTGTTCTACTAGCTCAATCGCTCGGAAGTTTTTTTCTCTGGATTTGTCGAAAAGAATACAACAAAGATACCCAAATCCTCGAACACTAGTAGAATGTCTCGTTTGCAATCCTCATGTTTGTCCTAGTGATCACCTGCGCATATAGCAGATCATCTGGGCGGTAAGCACAGGCAGTATGGGGCTGAGGGGAGCTTCGATAACGGGAGTCGCGGAGAACCTCGAAAGTTTATCGCAACACTCCCCCGAGTGGTTTCATAAATGCTGACCAGGTGATATCCTGGCCTTCCATCGAAATGGTCCTTTCATTTATCCTGGTTCAGAATCGCCAGTGAGTGGCTCTTTGCCCGGACCACATCCAACGCTAATGACGGTATAGGGGGAAAACGCGCCTGGCGAAGTGGTATTCCCCATACAGTGTGAGTCGTGCCGGAACTCATCTATGGCTACTGCCTGTAGAATTGCGCTAATAAAACCCACAGGATGAAGAGAAGGTGAAGCTAAAAGGCGAGGTTCGTCCAATACCACCCGCAGCAGCGTCCGGTCCAAAGTCATCTAACCAACGACGATCCAGGTCCATCGTCTTGTCGCCCCGCGAGATCAAAAATATCAGTCCAACTTCGTCGAATTCCGCCGCAGCACTAAGGTCGTATACCGACGATACGCCGGTTTATTCTTCTGCGTCTGTGTCGACGCAAATGACAATGAGCTCGCATATCTCGAAGCAATCCACTTCTTCGTCGAGGTCTTGGACCAGTTCTTCGGAAACGTATGCGAGCTAGACTTGGTCTTCAATTTCTACAAGGTGCGTGTCTCGGAAACAACCCATGCGCTCGGCAGGCACGTGGACATGGAATGTGAGACTGATGCTTGGTTTAGGTCTACGCCATCCTGGACGAAGTCTTTCTCGCAGGCGAGATTCAAGAGACAAGCAAGCAGGTCGTTCTCACGCGATTGGAGCACCTGGACAAGCTGGAGTGAACGTGTTCGGCGTCGAACACGAGCCTGTATCAAATCAATGGTCATTTGCATGGAGTTCAGGGGTATTGGGTGGACAATCTTATCTGTTCAGAACGGAAATTGGAGATATCATACCTTACATGCCATCACTTTGGGGCCAATGTCGAAATCACGGACCAATCTGATTGCCAATGCCAAGCCTTTCGTATTCTCGTTCCACTGCAGACCCTCAGGGTCCGGGGCAAAGCTTTATCCAAGCTATTGTTTGAACTGCCGAAATCACTGCCGCTTCATGTGTACAGTGCATCGTTGACGTCGATGATTGGGACCTGTGCCTAGGCCTGACCAGCATTAAGCTCTTACTAGAGTGTAACGATGTGCTGATGCTCGACCGATATCACCTTGCGGGGCCCTGGGACTTCCTAATCAGTCATGGCTAGGTGAGGTGATCGTAGCTCTCGATGGCGAACGTCACTCTATGGGTCTTGGCGCCGAACATTTAAGAAGCCCTGTCGCTGCTAGCCCTCGCGAGAGCCTTTGCTTGATTCCTCTTTGGTTTGCCCTTCGGGGGTTACTATACTAATTCCCAAGCGGTCTGCACGGACGATCCCCAGTCCTGATTTTCCAGAGACATATGGAGATTGATCTACTACAGTACAATTTATACTGTAGTAGAATGTTCCCATAAACTAACCGCGTCCACTATACACAGCCTCACCAACCCCCTAGCTCAGCTTAAGGAACCAAGATACCTGGACCATCACTGATCGACCCAGGATGAGAGACTAATCTCTCAACACGGGACGATCAACTCGTGTGATAACCGTGGAATGCCCACCACGAGGGTTTCGAAACTCACAACGGCGACATACCCCATCGCACTACCTCCGAAACCTTGCTCCAACAACCTTCATTGACACATGACTGGGACTTTGGACACGGCCTCGAGCCCGCGACGGATACTCACCGGAAATTGATAACCGAGATGGGCAGGACCAGGACGATTCAGGAGAAGGACCCATACCATCTGGGCGGTCGTGGCGTCACCTCATCCACGTTGATTGACATCGGGAAGCGGGCTTGGCATGTGGAACTGCACAGTCTCGACCGCAAGCCCTCAATCTACCTGTCGGGGCGGGGCGCCAATTTCTCTCGTATTGATTTCCGGATTCCGCCCCTGAGTCCGACAGATCTGGCTTGGAACGATGTGGAACTCGGCAGATGGAAAACTCAAGTTGAACTGCCATGGCCTGATACTGGACTTGCTGTATCAGATGAATCAGTTGCCCTGGATGTAATGCACTTTGCATTGATTAAAACTCATTTCTCGGTGATGCTTTAATCGCCACAGTTACAGTTTCAAGAGATATCCACCTGAGAAATTTCTCAGATTACTGACGCGTTGCCGTTCAAGCCCCGGCCAATCACCACGGCTCAATGCACGGATCGTCCATGCTCTTCCAGCCAGACAGCCGATCAACGGGAAAATTAATCCCAAGCGTACGTGGATCTCAGCGTCTTGGCAGGGCGGCATGCCAGTACCGTATTGTGTACGGAGTACCATACGGCATACACAATACACTTTGATACTCCACACTGTCCCCCCTGACAATCCCTGGCATCCTGCGTCAGCTTGTGACGTCTTGCCTTCTGCGCCTCAAGACTTTCCTGTACTCCACGGTATGAGTACGCACGGCGTTACACGGTATATCGACGTGGCCATGTCTATTTTTCGAATCTCTGTGTTCAGGCGACGCAATGGAACACGGAATGAGAGCGTCAACAAGAAGTAGAAACATCGCCACACTCGCGGGGAACACATACTTCGGAACTGTGAAGAGTGGTCCAAGGCCCATGATTGGCGTTGGCTCTCTGACAGAACCTGGAGTCCACTTTACTTATCACTCTATCGATCTCTCCTGGGGTTGCGTCTAGCTCTTGGGTCTTTTTTTTAACGAATATTCTTTTATTCTTTTATTTTTGACATTTACTTCTTTTGGTTCTCCCTTTTGGTCCCCAGATCAACCCTATTAAAAGCCCCCCTTCCTTCTAGACTTTTTCTATACTGTCCCTTCTTTATCTCAATTGCTTTTCTCCCCCACACCTCTCCTTGTATCATCTCATCTGTCATATTGAATCGCAATTGAGCTTCAACGTCCATCATGTCTCTTATGCTCTCCGACAACCTGGCTCCTCAGCCCATGACTGATGTATTCACCGAGGACACAAACATTGACCGCCGCAAGTGCCACCGGACAGTGCCTATGAAGGTGCTCGCTCTGGGTGTTGGTCGTACTGGAACTGCCTGTGAGTCCGTGCTGCAGCAGTGGATCGTTCACGCCGGGTCTGCTGGAAATCGAACTGTGTAAACTAACTCGGAATTTGATCAGCCCTGCGCAAAGCCTTCGAACGTCTGGGATATGGCAAGTGTTACCACATGATGTGCGCAAGTGTTGAGAACCCGCCGGACTGTCTCATGTGGCACGATGCCCTGAACGCAAAGTACCACGGCATCGGCGAGTTCGGCCGCAAGGAATGGGACCAGCTTCTGGGTGACTGCCAGGCCGTCTGTGACTGGCCTGCTTGCGCCTTCGCAAAGGAATTGATCGAAGCCTACCCCAACGCCAAGGTCGTCTTGACCACCCGCGATGTTGACCCGTGGCACGCGTATGTTTGCTCCCGTCCATATACAGAACCAACACTAACAAAAAATCCAGTTCCGTTATGAAGACTGTTTTCTGGCGTGTCTCAGACCCAGAGCACAAGTTCGTCTCCAACTTCAGCTGGGCTGCTGGCATGTACTACCCCATGTTGAACAAGTTCTTCGAGACCTTCTTCCGTGGTGACTTCCAGGGCAAGGGCAAGCAAGTGTACGAGGACCACGTCGCCGAGGTTCGCAGCATGGTTCCCCCCGAGCGTTTGCTCGAATACAACATCAACGACGGCTGGGGCCCACTCTGCGAATTCCTCGAGGAGGAAGTGCCCGATACTCCCTTCCCCCGCGGAAACGATATGGCCGACTTCTACAAGCGCTGCAGCACCCGTAACCGTCACCAAATGATGAACGCTGCCCTCCAGGCCGTCACTATTGGAGGTTCGCTACTCGCTGCTGGATTCGCTGCGACCGTTGCCTTCAAGCGTTTCACTCGCTAAAAAAAACACACCGTCCTTGCATATTTTGTCCAGTTCACTGATTCCCCCTGCCTTTCACATTATTGTTGGCTACTAGTGCACGCAGGCGTGTCTAGTCTTTGTTGCCATTTGAATCATGCCTGTCACCCTTGAAGCACTCTGCATCTCTCATACCCATCTATAATATCTTTTGTTCTGACATTTCGTTACACCGCGAAATTATCGCCAGGGAACACTTGGTAATACTACAATATACATATGATTTAACTGTTCGCACTTCTACATATCTTCCTTTCCGAGGTTCTTCCTACCTGCATCTATATACTGCGCGACATACGCCACAACGACCTCTAAATCGAGGGGCAAACCGGTTTCTACTGTTGCCTATGCATTATCAAGACGCAAGGGGCGCCTAAGTGCAAGGGCTTACCGCCAACCTGCAAAGAACCGGAGCTGCCAAGGACAAGGATATTTAAAGGTCGCCAATCAGACACCGTGGAATACCTCCTTGGAAATGTCCATTTTCGAAGTTGGACACGGATTCATTTCATGTACTCCGTACTCCGTACCTAAGTTGCAATTCAATAAACACACCTTCTCAATCCGACCACCAGCCACCTGGAACCCTAGGAACGGTTCTCCACCAGACCCGTACTCGTACGAAACCAAGCGAACTCGGACCAGGCGTCTACATCATTGGGGCGTGGAGATTGCTTGGCCGGCTAACGGCTTGGCAGGAGAGAAGTATCCATACATTACGTAGGTATAAAATACGACGTGTAAGGTTCTCGGCTTACCGTATGTAATACCGTTTATCTGAATCTTCCAGACCTTGGAAGTTCTGGCTCGGCTGTTAGAGAATAACGCTCCTGTTTTCGATGTACAGTAATTCACTAAATCGGAGTAGACTCTTCTCATTTTCAATTTTGGGAAACGCCTCAAGGCTTAATAAATACGTAATCATACATTGGAGGTGATCTAGATCTGAGAGATCACCATCTTGACCTCTGCTGCTCTGCATTTGTATACGTGTACTTCATGAGCTGAGATGACTTGTGTCATTTGGAGACTGCACTTGCTGACGCTCGGGGACAGCGATTGAGCATCGGTCAGGCTCCGCGGGTTGTTGTACTACAAATAATGCACGAGTATGTACATGTATCTCAGCGGTACGACCATATCGGCTCGTGTATGTACACTACTAGGTACAAGCATGGGATCTTCATGAAATGGAGTGTTGATCATTGTGTCTACCGGGGGATTTGATAGCCTGTGCTTCCCATATGTATCTTGGTTATCTCGCAGCATGTGAGTTTACGGGGATCAAACCGGAATGGTAGGCTTAAAACTGCTCGATAAGCTGTCGCATATCGATTGATGCGCAGGTGTACTACAAGCGCTGGAGGAGTGTGCGGCATATACAGTAAAGTAGAGTTTTGGGCACACGGTATTGTGTGCAGATAACAGAAAACTAGGCCCCCGACACGAATCGAGTGCGAAGCACCATTCGGAGTCAGCTTCAAGGCTAGACTTTCAGACAAGGGTTGCGTATGCTCTGGGATCATGTCTGATTGCCCTGGTGAACCATCGAATTCACAGACTAGCGTATGCAGCAAGGCCTGCATTGTGTCAGCCACCTATACGTAGCGTTCGATTTCAAGTGTCAGATTCATTCCATGGTTACAAGAATAGATAGTTCGTGGCGGATCGGGCATTCTGAGATCAGGTGGGTTATTGATGGGGTAGTTCATCCACAAACTGGCGCAGGATCCCCGAACTGCAAAACTCAGTAAGCTATGGGTCCCGACTCCGTGTTTGGAGGAGCTTGAGTCCGAGATAGTTTACGTTCACGGCGGAGCGCCACATTTTGGCGTCGCGGCCATGACGTGGCCTAGCAGTCACTAGTTTAGTGCAGTATTCAGTATCGGTACCGCCACAGATTGAATTTTATGAATTGGAAAGGAAAGAGAAACGGGATATTCAAGGTTTTGCACAGCAATGGCCGATCAGAATATTCAGGGGTAATTTCCGTGAAAATTTTGGGGCTTCATGGACGATCATGGCTGAGCAAGATTAACACACACAAACATGCTCTCCCCGCAAGTTAAGCAATTTAGCAGGACTCGGCATCTTGGCGCTTCACTGGCGTTGGCTGTTGTGCCTCTTGACTCAGCACTTTTTCAGGCCTTAAAGCTGTGACAGCCAATGGTCGTCCAGGGCTGGTATCGGCAGTTCCCCACTTGTGCATAAGTGCAGTGACAGGTGGAGTGAGACTCGTACTCTGCTTGGTCACCTTGGCCTTGGCTTATCATTATCTGCAGTGTTCTGGAGACATATCTTGCATATTCTGCGATGTTCCCATGCCCTTGGATTTGGCTTTCTGAACTCTCGTGCTGGGAATGTGCAGAACCCATGCCCCATGGCGACTTCAATTATCTCCTCGTTGAGGGGCACTCAGCTTTTTCTGCTTGGACTCCTTTGGTTTCACATTAGTGGCATTGCGAAAGCAGAGGAAACTTCTTTCTACAAATCAGTGAGCAGTGAATGTTTTCCAGGCGGCGACAATGGCATGTTTTAACTGTTTGCCCTACATCAGAGACCCGACATCTACCCGCCAGTCTTCAAAGTCGAAAAGTCCGATCCTAACAAACTGAGCCCCGGATACATTTTCATCACGCCTTACGAGCTTCAAAACCCCGGACCTTACATATTCGACAGCACAGGGGTAAGTCCCAGTTCTACCGAAACCGACGCCTGCCGATCACTGACGGGTCACACGATCAACAGGAGTTAGTATGGAGCGGCTGGGGTATCTCAGGCCCGGGGAATGCACATGGCCTCCACGTGTGCAAGTACAAAGGCGCCGATCACCTATGCTTCTTTCAAGGGAATCAACAAAAAGGATACTGCCGCGGGCATGGAATTATCATGGACCAGAACTATCGAGTAGTACGATCCATACAACCAGGTGGAGGAATGGCATCTAGCGACATGCACGAATTTCGCCCGATCAACGATGGAGAAACCGCTCTGATGACCATCTATCAACAGCGGCAATTCGACATGACACCATGGAACGTCAAGACTGGACTTGGCTGGCTCATGGAAAGTGTTTTCCAGGAAGTCGATGTGGAGACAAACAAGGTCCTTTTTGAATGGAGATCGCTTGACCATGTTGATCCTTCAGACAGTTTTACTTGGCCCTCTCATACGGACACCTCTGGCACCGGGCTGAACGTCCACGAGCCGTGGGATTATTTCCACATCAACTCTATCGACAAGAATGCAGACGGTGACTATTTGATTTCGTCGCGCCATACCTGTGCGATTTACAAGATCTCTGGAAAAGACGGCTCCGTGATTTGGCGCCTTCACGGTGCCCAGCCCACTTTCCGCAACATCAACTTCAGCTTCTCACAGCAGCACGACGCTAGATTCCTGTTCGAAAATGCGACACACACCTTCCTCTCACTTTACAACAACGGATATAACGGCTTCAACAAAACCCACACATACTCCTCCGGTATGATCATTTTGCTCGATCATCTGGAAAACACGGCTCTTCAGATTCGCGATTACGCTCCGATCTCAAAGGACCTGGTGAGCTCCAGCCAGGGAAACCTGCAGATGCTTCCAAACCGCAACGTACTCATTGGGTGGGGCAATAATCCATTTGTGTCTGAACATGACGAGGCGGGCAACCTACTGTTCTGGGGCTCCTTTGCTAAAGATACCGTGATGAACTACCGTGCAATGAAGTTCGAATGGAATGGCATGCCAACGGACTCCCCTGCACTATGGTCATATTCCAGGACAGCCGAGCCTTTCTCACCAACAAGTTTCTATGTCAGCTGGAACGGTGCAACCCGCGTCAAGTCATGGAAATTCTACGGCGCAATGAACATGACCGGACCGTGGACATTGCTGGACAATGTAAACAAGACCGGGTTCGAGACCGAGTATACCAACGCCAGTTTCTACCTTTGGTCTAAAGTCGAGGGCCTGGATCACGAAGGCAACGTGCTCGGCAAGTCTGAGACCAAGTACACCTTCGTGCCCTCGGCGGAGCTTCGCGAGTTCTGTGCGGACTCCACCTGCCTCGATGCTCCGGGATACGGCTTCCCGGGTGAAGAGGCAGCCCGACCATTCATTCCTCCTGTGGGAGTGAATACTGTGCCTTGGATTGATCCCGACAATCCGGGATCCAACATCTGGATCAATCCATCCGGATATCCGCACTCTTCGGGAACCCTCAAGTACTCGAAGGGGTGGGACCTTGGCCGTAAGTGCACGGAACCTCTCGGTGTTCATTCTTATCAAGTGAAACAAATCAAACTGACTACTCATAGGCCTACTTGCTTGGAGCTGCGTTCTTATCGTGGCAATCCCCATTTCCGCTGGTGCCTATCTCGTATATCGATACTATACGAGGGACTCGATCGACAGACTGCAGGATCAGGAGTCTTCCGAGCCGCTGAACGGAATGACCGAGCGGAATCATTCTGGAATCCCCGCTGGCCTTCCCTGGTGGAATTGGCGCCGGTTGAACGGCAAAGGCGATCCGCCACACTACCACTCGCTTGGCCGGCGCAGCTCACAAGAGCATGGACGACAACAACATCGACAGCGGAACGAATGATCGCCCATTCATTCATTCATTCATTTCCCCCCCTTTCTCTAAGACTTGCATAGATACCTTGAGCCTTTCATTTTAGCGCTGTACATAGCATATATCCCTAGTGTTGAAAATTGTTACACTTCGAACGAAAACAAGCATTCGCCCATCAATACCACTAGGATATTCTAGATCTGATAAATTTAAAGCCGAAAAACACCAATGTCCACGCGGCGCCACGTACTCCGTACTGTTCAAGAAAAGCTGCGCCTCCGTAAACTTTCCTATCAGTTCAGCACTCCGTGCTCCGTATGTGTATGCGTATACCCGAAAAATACGTACATAAAGCCGACCGGGCCATCCGCGCCTCTTAAATTCTACTTAGCGGCATACGTATGCCCGCAGCGCGGACCTTTTTAGCCTGTCGTACCGACTACCCGAATAAGTCAAGAGCTTGCTGTCAAGAAACTTGTCGGTTTTGGCATGAGGTGTCTACCAATCTACATATGTAAGTATGTACTGTATGTACTGCTCTGCTAGACAAGTGATTCCCTTTACTCCTTAATGCCGATCGAATCCATTTCAGGAAAGTTATTTTTTATGCCCCGGTCTCAGAATGCGATGATCCTGCCCTTTGCCTTATAGGGTCGGTCTGATACATAAAATGCCCGGAGAATGTGTGACAACGGAAGGAAGCTAATGTATGATGATGTACCAAGGCGGCTTTTTGATTTTTTCGCGACACAATGGAGCTGAAACGCTTGGGCGTTCGGCGCTAGCTGTCGCAAGAGCAGTACGGGTATTGTGTAACTTACGATCGTAACGGCGTTGTACCACAACCAGAGTTCGATGCACTCAAGCTTAAATTGGTTCCGCGGATCCAATTTCCACATGGAACATTATGTAAGAAGATTGTCTGTGCGCGCGAATAGAATGGTACATACTATAGTAGACTAGATGTGTAAAGGAGTACCTTTGTGGTATTGATCGGATTGTCAGACATAAAGTGAAGCGTTTCTAATTTAGTTCCACGGTTCATCACTTCCATGCCAAGACTTCAATCGTCAAAACGCATGGATGTATTAGCGAGTCATGGCTCAGGGCAGAGCCAAGGTGGGCTCGGCAGGGAGATGTGGGCCTGGTCGTCGCAAGCCGGCTGTCGTCGTCGATCCATCTGCGTCCTCGTATTGAAGTATGAAATACGAGCTAACTTGGTCCAAGATAAGTGATGTTTTTCACTAAAGGAACGTGAAGCACTCGGGAGCGTGGACCACCTTGAATTGGATAGTAGTTTGAATGTAAATTGGTATGCGATTTGGCAAATGCGGGCGATAAACTGCATGGCAATCTGCAACGGCATTCCCCCCTTGTGGGCCTATCAATAAAAGTACGGAGAAATCAGCGTCATCGATGGAATTCCCCTGTGAAGCCCAAACTGGGAAAGATTAAAAGATTGATGCTAAAAAAAACACTCCGTACATAGCCCAGCAGATCACTCCTCAAACACTCTTCTTCCTCTTTTCATCCCTCTCATGGCATCTAGGCCAATTATAATTACCGCGCAACGAAAAATACCACGAAACCAAAGGGGCATAATTCCCACTTTTGTTCATTACGGCACCATCTCCGGATTACATACACATTCCTGTCTCCATGCCTAGGTCCGGGAACCATAAAACGAATAATGCCCGCCACGCGCGTACGACTTCCTGGTCGAGTGGCTACCATCTGACCCAAGGCGCAGCGCAATCCTCCGAGAATCCAGGCCGTCGTCGACGCGAGTCCAACACCTCCCTCGCCAGCGTTGAAGAAGCCTCCTCTCCCCCGAGCTCCCTCGACGAGCCTCCCGATACCATGCTCAAGAACACTTCAATGGATATGAGCCACAAAAGCCATGTGCACATCCGCTCCGTTAGCCAGGGCCAGGCGCAGGTCCAAGCCTTGCGAGAGCAAGAGCTGCCAGCCGCTCCTGCGCCTCGGCCCGCGCCTGTGACGTGGATGTCGCTGCCGCACAAGGGCCAATTGGCGCTGTTGGGCCTATGTCGAGTCTTCGACTTTTTGCAAATCGCCTCGCTCCAGGCTTATATGTTCTACCAACTCAAATCGTTCGACCCGAACCTCTCCGACTCAGACGTTGCGACACAGGCGGGTATTTTGCAGGGTGCTTTCACTGCCGCTCAGTTTGCGACGGCCATTCCGTGGGGCCGTGTTGCGGATGCTGAGTGGGGTGGGCGCAAGTTTGTTCTGCTTGTTGGTCTTGTTGGTACCGCAATGTCGTGTTTGGGTGTTGCGTATTCGACGTCATTCGCGCAGGCCGTGTTTTGGCGCTCGTTCGGTGGTGCCATTAACGGAACAGTCGGAATCATCCGAACTATGATTGCAGAGAATGTCAAGGAGAAGAAGTATCATTCACGAGCTTTCTTGATTTTGCCTATTGGCTTTAATGTGGCTTCGTTGTTTGGACCTGGTAAGTTGGTCAAATGATTTGCGTTGATGCGATAATGTGCTGATCCGATTTGCAGTCATGGGTGGTATGCTAGCCGACCCTGTTAAGAGTTACCCTCGCCTCTTCGGTCCCAACTCTTCATTCGGGGGTGAGCACGGTGTCCAATGGCTCGAGACATACCCTTACGCGCTGCCAATGTTCGCAAACTTCTGCTTCCTCTCCTTCACTGCCGTCTTGGTTGCGTACGGATTGGAAGAGACTCTTGCATCATGCAAAGGAAAGCCTGGCTTGGGCACATTTGCCATGAAGTTGTTTTCGCGCAGCGTCAAGACCGTGGTTCCGTCTTCTTCCCCTCTGTACGAGAGACTTCCCTTCCGTGACGATGAAGAAGATGGACCCCTGCTGGGCAGGTCCATGGATCGCTCGGAAAGCTACGAGCTGGAGGAGAAGGCGCACAAGCCTGTGCGCCTGCAGCGAGTCCTGCCCTTCCGAAGAATCTGGACTAAGAACGTCCTGTGCACACTTGGCGCGCAGGCATTCTTCGATTTCCAAATGGGCGCCTTCAACAACCTCTGGCTACTATTCCTTTCCACCCCCCGCTACGATGCCAATGATCCCGCAAGTCCGGCCCAGAGCCTGCCATTCGCTTTCACTGGTGGTCTTGGTATGTTGCCCCAGAGCGTTGGTTTCGCAACTGCTATTCTGGGTGTGATTGGAATGTTCCTCCAGTTCACCATCTACCCATCTATCAACGGCCGTCTCGGCACAGCAAAGAGCTACCAGTACTTCCTCTCGCTCTTCCCAATCGCCTACTTCATCGCTCCCTACATCTCACTAGCTCCATCCACCATTCCACCTCCAGGCCAAGCCAACGGCCCTTGGGTCTGGTTCTGGATTATCATCGTGCTGTTCTTCCAAGTCACCGCACGAACCTTTACCCTTCCAACTTCCATCATCCTGCTGAACAACTGTTCGCCCCACCCATCCGTTCTTGGAACAATCCACGGTATCGGCCAGTCCGTGTCATCCGCCTTCCGAACCATCGGCCCTATCTTCTCCGGCGCGTGGTACGGATATGGCCTTGACGTCGGTATGGTCGGCTTCGCCTGGTGGATGATCGCCTTGGTATCCGTGTTTGGCTGTCTCGCCGCCATCTTCGTTTACGAAGGCTCCGGGCATGAAATTCTCCTTCCCGGCGAGGAAGACGAGATTGAGCATGCCCATTAGTGACGCGATACGATATGAGCTTGTCTTGTTCAGTTGGACTGTACATTGCTTCAACATTTTGCATGATATCCGGTGTCGGGCGGTTGTTTTCTGTTTACATTTTTGATTTTTCCTCGCATTGCCGGTGCAGGCCACCGTGTCTCTGAATAAACCCACTCACTCACTGCACTGGTGGGCAGCATTTCCATATGCACATTGGCATTGCCCACCGGTCTCATTGGCCCTACTTGCATATATCCGTTTCCTTTCCGTGTTTTGGATACCATTTGTTTTGCATCCCTGCTATCTACAGCATTTTCATTTTGTCTTAGAATAGAAGTACCCAGACCCTCGCAATATCCTTCGTAGGGTCATATCAAAGAAATTCAATATACCATATTCAAATCTTTCATGAGATAGAGGCACAGGGAGTTCTGTCAAGCTCTAGGATAGCAACTACTACGCTCAGTTCTAGCCGTCGAACCTGGTAATTCAGACCCAATAGTACCAAAAAGTAAACTTGTCTATTCCGTAAACCAACTATATGTGCATTTTAAACTTGAAATCGTAACACTTCACACAGGCTTACAAGCTCGCACCGTAAGCCTTGGCGTAACTGGCATCAAAAGTATCCTTGTTGACGGCATACTCCCGAATGTAATCTCTCTCGAGATCGTGTGTTCTCCGGCCCAGAAGAACAAGGCTGTGCAGAGGCTCACCCATCTCAACGGTGGTCAATTCCTGCAGTGTACCAGACACAAGCTTCTGGTTCGCAGCTCCAACACGTGCAGCACCCACGGCCAAGCTGTCGGGCCCGAAGACGCCTTCCTTGCGCTCCTCCTCAGTCTCCAACATCTGTTGCGCGCACTGAGCAACAGTCATGTAGCGTGGGGGCTCGTAGATGCGGCGACCGCGAGCCATGTTCTCAATCGATTGTTCCTTGACCTTGATATCAAGCAGCACAAGAGTGTGCAAGCCGATCTGCACATTCTCGCGCACTCGGTCGTAGTAGGAGGAAGGCTTCCAGTTGTCCATGAAGAAGACCATGCTCACTGTTTGGCCGAAGTTGTACAGCTGGAGACCGGTGCAGCCGATACCGGACATGATAGAGGCGTTGGGGACAACATTCGATTGGATTCCAAGTTCGCGGGCGCGGAGGACGAGGTCGGTGTGGGTGGTTGCGCTGGTAGAGTTAGTGTAAGATCTGATAAGGCGGGGTTGGAAGTCCTACCCAAATGGATCGCCAACGACGAGGAAGACAATGTCGGACTTGTCAGCACCGGCAAGAATATCATCACTGCCAGTCTCGACCAATTCACGATCCGCTTCAATGACAGGGCGGCCATAGAACTCTTCCTACTGGTGTTATATTGAATCAGTCATCTGTAACATGCGCCGGAAGTGAAATTGTTACTGGAAAGACAATTGGATTCTTTGAGCGATGTAGATCTGACCACTTACAAGTTTAGCCTTGTCCACCAGGAGAATAGCTGTGTATGCCTCAAGATAGACTCTCTCGGCCCGCTTCACAATCTCCAGACCGCGGACGGTGATATCTGTCTCATCGGCGAGACCGAGACCAACAAGGTGCAACATTTTTGCTGTAGTATCTCTGAATGACCTAGGAGAAGATAGACTTGATCCAGAGCTCAATTCAACAGCCAGGAAGCAAAGTAAATAGCCCACGATCGACAGAAAAAAAGAGTATCTGCCCCGCAACGCCGCATCACCGCCCACATCACCGCCGCATGAGCGGCAGAATGTCGACCGCCTGCATCTCATCCCCAGATTGTGAACCTCACCCTATTGTCAGCGTCCACCTCACCACTGCCGCCAAACCCAGTAATTGGCTTTCGCCAGCCATCCAGCTGACCGAAATCGCGGAGAAGAAGCCCACCATACCTCATCCTCGGCAAAGGGGCCGTCATTCATCATGAGCTCCGATCGGAACCCGAAGTACCGGCAGGAGATCCAGCAGGTGAGCTCTTCCCCAGGCTTTCAAGCCCTATATGCGCTATACTTGTCTCTCTGGCTCTTGAAAACTCCGCTGTGGCTCTTGTGGAGGATGCGACACCCCTGGCGCATTATAAATTGATGGATATGCCAATCATTGTGTTTGCGCCGGGAAAGATAAGAACGGCAAATGGGATTTCCATACAAATTGGACGATGTGACCGGGTGATATGTCTTGTTCTCAATGATCCTAGATGAACAAAAAGGCAGCATGCTCTCAGCGCAATTTGTGAGAGCAACAAACCTGTATCTGGTGACTTGCCAATTACGCGTGGCTCAGGGCTTCATATCAAACGTGACCTCGGGAATGATACATCCATCGATGGTTTTGACACGCAGACAAAGAGCCTTCAGCACCTTTCATTTGCCAAGCTAGATGTTTCCAGCATTTGAAGAGTAGCGCCAAAGGCTACGCGTGCCTCAATGGCTCCTGCCATCCTGGCCGAGGCTGCCATCTTTGCTCTGTCGCTTCAAATTCCATTCCATCGATGGCCTTTCAAGTTCTGCACGAGTCCCCACTTGCACCAGCAATAAGAGCCAGCGAGACTCACAAATCGCATTTCAACGGGAGAATGGCAAATAGGTTCAAAAGACTAATGGCTAACACTTTCGAAAAGATGATGTTCGTCTCTGGAGAGACAGCCGAGCCGTCCCCTGAAACGACCACCCTGATTGAAGAGATCACCCGACAGCAAGTCATCGAGATTGTGAGCACTAGCATGATGAGGATTTCACATATTTTAGGACTGACGATGATATAGCTCACTCGCAGCACCGCTTTGGCAACTCGCCGCGGTGTCCGTTCGATCTCTACTGACGACCTTATCTTCCTGATCCGCCACGACAAGGCAAAAGTTTCTCGCCTTCGAACTTTCCTCTCTTGGAAAGATGTCCGCAAAAACGTCAAAGACTCCGACGACAAGGGCGGTGGTGATGCCGCGGACTTTGCTGCCGATGATGCGGCGGGAGCTGTTGCAGGCCCGGCCGACGTGGCTGCCAAACCCAAGAACAAAAAAGCCAAAGTCGGACTTGCTTGGGATGTCAACAGTTTCTATTCCATCCAAATTCCAGAACGCGAAGACGAAGAGGACGAGGAAGAAGAAGAGCAGAACTACGCAACCCTGCAGCGTCTTGCAGCCGCTGACGAGCGCACTCGACACATGACCAAGGAAGAGTATGTGTTCTGGTCTGAGTGTCGACAAGCATCATTCACATACCGAAAGAGCAAGCGGTTCCGTGAGTGGGCCGGCTTCGGTATTGTAACCGAGTCCAAGCCCAACGACGACATTGTGGATATTCTTGGGTTCCTCACTTTCGAAATTGTCCAGACTTTGACCGAGGGTGCCCTCAAGGTCAAGGAGCGCGAAGACAACGAGAAGAATCGGCGCGGTGGTGCCGATGCGGGCGAGAACTTGAAGAAACGCAAGCGGGAGACTGGTCTCTTTGACCCGCCCGAGGAGGGGCGCACACCCATTGAACCGCGACACGTTCGTGAAGCATACCGCAAGTTGCAGGCGACCCCTCAAAAGGCGGTTGCAATGCTGCTACATGAGGGCCGCATCCCAGCCCGTCTACCTCTGGTTTTGGTAAGCATCAATCAATGCTTGTTACGGAATGTGCTAATGGATTTTCTAGATTTGATATTGCTGGACGTTTTCAGTTGCCAGCCGGAGTTTAGGACGATACCCAATTCACCCAGTTTGCATTTTATTTTTGCATGGTGCATTTAGATTGAGCTGTCAAGGTGTAGTGCAATTCTCAGTGCTTCGACAAGTATTAAAAGAGACGAACAGACACCCGAGGGATCACAAGACACAACAGTTATTGCAGTGAAAGATGAAGATAGTCACACAAGATGCCATACTGCTCTCCTTCATTGATCTAACTTGACATGCACAGTGACAGATTTAAACATTCTCATCATCCACATATAGTCTGACCAACATTTCATATCAAGACAGTCATCTCTCAAGCCCACCAGCCGCATCTCTCAAGCCCACCAGCCCCCAGAGTAATGCAAAGATCAACAACGGAAGCAAAGCTTGGTTGTTGGTGAAAAGGTTCCAAAGATTTAGTAGTTACGAACCAAGCCGAAGCCCAGAACGAGAACACCGAAGCAAGCTAGGGTATTCGAGAGAATGTTCAAAAATAAGCCGCAGGCCGTCAAGCCCAGTGATTACGGGACACATGAGCTCAGCCGCATCATGTGTTTCCGATATCCGAAAAAGTGAAAGTGAAAGGCACCTTAAGTCAGAGACGTCAGGGCTGTGAGTAGGCAAGCAGTGAAACTGGGAAAGAGTTAAAGTGCAAGAAGATTTGTGTGGCCTTAGCCCCTCCTGGAGAAGTATCCAGCAGGTTTGAAGAAGAAGAAGAAGAAGAGGAAGAGGAGAATTGGAGGTTTTTGTAGAGAGTCGGCTGTCTCGATTGGGAAGGTGGTCATTGGACCTACGGTGTCTCTCGCTCCTATTGGCTCTGGCGTTCCTATTGTTCTCTAGGGCTCTGGTTTCATTGTTCTTCCTAGGTGGTGTCCTATTGTTTTGTTCTTTCTCTTTGTTCCGAGGCCCCGGGCTCCCTATTGTTTCCCGTTTGGGCTCTCCATCTGATCCTCTCATTGGTCGCTCAATTGTTCTCTCTGTTATTCTCTCTATTGAGCTCCTTATTGAGCCCTATTGGTCTAAGCTCTCGGGATTCCTATTCTTACTCCATTTGGGCTTTTTTTCTTTTTCTTTTTGACCTCCACACGCAATCTTGAAACTCTGGTGGCTCCTAAGTCTGCTTTACTGGTTTCAAGTACACTTGCAGATGGATTCCCACCTGGGTAAGGCTATGGATCATCCTTCCGAAGGCATCTCCCAGCTGCGGGTTCTATGATCCCAACTGCCTCCAGTTCGTACGCCTGAGCGAAGACCGCGGGTGATTACAATTGTCCTTCAAGTTGTATGCAAAGATTCAATGTATTATCTGAGTAGAGGTATGTAGATAGACCCCCTTCAATCATATGACATGCATCAAATCACTGATATTTCGTAACATTATTGCGGTTGATTTATTCCTGGTGCGTCCGGCGCCCTGAATCTGTCAGCATGGTTCTGAAACGGTAGATGAAAGAACAGGAAACGTACACTCAGCGAGCTCCTCCTTAGTCAACTCTCGAATGCCATTGATTGAGGGAACGCTGCCCTGCACGGCTCCCTTCACGGTATCAACAGCACGGCCAAGCAGACCCTTGGTGGCAACGACGTGAGTCGCAAGCTTAGCCTCAAGCTTGATCACACCGATGCGGGGATCGGAGGGACCGCCATCATGGACACCGTCACCCATGTCACCAATCCAGGCCTTGAGCGTGGGCGAGTAGTACTTCTCCACGGTGGCACGGTCACCGACGACCGAGGCGGAGCCTGAGATAGAAGCCCAAGCGCCGCTGACGGGGTCGAGGAAGGACATGTTGGTTTCTTGTGGGTGAACGGTAAGATCCATGGTCTTGCCAGAGAAGAGGTTTGTGTGGAAGATCAGGTCAATGCCGCCATGTTCCTGGTAAAATTAGTATATGTTTCTGCTCGGCGGGAATCACGGGTCGTACCTGGGCAGCGAGCGCCATGCAGCGAGATGTGAGGTAATCGCCTTCGGATTGCTTGGTGGTCAACATGCCAAACTTCACCTGGGAGATGAAGTTGGTCAATTCCTCGATCTTCTGAGGCAGAGGAGGGTCCTCGAAGTTCTGGGCCTTGTAAGGGTCCACTGGGTGGGTGCCCGTGGTTGTGTTGACATTGGCATCTGAGGTAGACATGGTGTGTGATATGAAGTATAGTTGATGAGCAGTAGACGAGAGAAGCAGCAACTATATAGTTCCCAGTAGATGCGGCATTCTTGGAAGCATCGTCAATGTGACGTCAGCGATAAGATTCCGGTTCAGGGTCCATGAACACATCGTCTTTCTTTCTTTTCTGCACGTCCAATCAGGCTCACTTGCAATGTCTCCTGATGTCTGGGATCGATCGCGATCTGCTGGATTGAAATATCCGGCCCAATTACATCACGGCCCGATTGTTCAACGAAACCGCTGAATCGCGAACTTTCTATGTGCCAGCGATTCCTCCTGTTTCCAACTCGGGCCATTGGGATTGAACCAATTTTGGTTTCCACTCTGAAGGTCCATTGTAGGAACACGGTTCGGCCTGCAAGAGCTCCATGAGGCGGTCTCGCCTTGTCAACTGGTGGTAGGGTCCGGGAGAGCACTGGCTGCTTTGACAGAATGTTCGGAGCACACAATTGCCAACATTATCACTTCACGAGTAGAATTTGGATACCCTGATCTGCTCAACAGGGGCCGACTCTACGGACCCAGCATGATCGTCCGCCAGAGAAGCAATGTTTACTATCGTCGGGCGAGGGACCATACCAAGTTCAACACAACGGCAATTAATAACACCCAAATCGCTAGGCAACAGTAAGTATATAGCTCTCAGCCAAAGAGGAAAGCGAAGTGGAAAGAAAAAGAATAAAGTACCTTCTTGCCCCCAATTGCGGACTTTTTTCACGGTCTTCCTATTCCCCTGTGCCTTCAGCCGAAACCACATGGAATACACATCCGTCCGACAGGTTCGTCCATCAACAACGACGCATCCACCTTCAGTCGGCGTGCATTCAAGATGCCAGCGGCGGCGCTCCATTATGCCTCGGACTCGGTCATTGCAGAAGGACTCATCGGTGCGGAACGAGCATTTTTCCATAGGACATTCGAGCTTGCTTTCGAATCGCTCTACTAGCCAGTTCACTTTGAGGTGTACCCCAGTGTAGACCATGGAGTAGAAATGGCGACATGTGTGCTTCAGGGCCAGGGCGTCTGGGTAAGTCAAGTAGGTACTGATATGAAGGTGAAGTTCTGATGGCAGCACCATTAACCCAGGACCGGGTGAGATTTTTGGTGACTGCATGGCCCTTGTAAATCATGAATGGAGACACTGAGCATCTTATAGGCAACAGATACTCGTTGCCTAGTATTGAGAGGTCACAGGACTTTGTTGGCTACGCCAATGTCAGATCTGAACGGGAGCAAAGCAGCTGCCTACATATTTACGGCGGCTCTCGTACTAGGCGTCCCTTACAAGCCGCGTCTTATTCGCCAATTGACAGTTATTACTCCGTACGCCAGGCCCCATTCATGAGACTATAATTGAAACAGGTATATCTACCAATTGAATTGTGCATTGATACGCCAATTCAATTAACGTATTAACAGAAGCCGAACAATAGAAGTATACCTGATCTCTATTGAGTGCTCGATTACCGAATGCGGTTTAGCGTGACTGCCGGGGCCGATATCAGAGCTCCCTGCGCTTCTTTCTTTTCGATCGCATCAGAGTGGCCACCTGCTCCCATATCAAACCTCAGCTCTGATTGGACTAGCAATCTGGCCGCAAACACCGGAGCAGTGGACTGGCGCCATCAATATCTTCACCCTCAGCAGAACCCGGGGACCTCCAATCACCGGAGAGCCAATCCCATCCTCAGCACATCGGTGCCCCCTCCATCTTGCTTGAACGCAAGCAAGCAAATCCAGCAAAATGGCGTCGCCAGGACAGACACAAGGCTCAGCGCCTGCAACCCAACCTACAACACCACCCGCCGAGTCCTCCGCGAACGGGGTTGCGCCCGCATCCCAGGCCCAGCCCAATGTCCCAGCCGCCGCTCCTCAAACATCCACAGCACCACAACCTCCACAATTCCCCGGAACGTCAGCCCAAGATAGCGGCAAATCGCGACGGCCACGCGACGTGCGGCTGGTCCACATGCTCCTCGCCTCGCTCGGGGTAACCTCATATCAAGATCGGGTGCCTCTCCAACTTCTCGATTTCGCATATCGATACACGTCCAATATCCTACAAGATTCTGTGCACCTTGCGACAGAAGGCTATGCTGCTGCGACAGATGGCACGGCAGGCGGCAAGGGCTCTGCTGAAGTCAATAGTGTTTCGCTGCCGGCCCTGCGTCTCAGCATTGCCTCTCGCTTGCACTTCCAGTTCCAAACTGGGCTACCGAAAGAATTCCTGATGGATGTTGCGTCAGAGCGGAACCGCATTGCTTTGCCCGGTGTTTCGCGCGGCTTTGATCCCGCAGCCGGTGCTCCGAATGGTGTTGCTGGGGCGAATCAGAGTATCACAATGGGTGGAATGCGCCTGCCTCCTGAGAGATTCTGTCTCACGGGCTTGGGTTGGGATATGAAGGACGAATGGGACAGCGAGGGTGAAGAGGATGTGCCTGATGCGCCGCAGGGTGTTGCTGGCAATGGCGTGGGTGGTGACGGTGCTGGCGAAAAAGAGGACGGCGGCGAAGAAGACGAGAACGATGGAAAGATGGAAGATATCTTTGGCGAAGATACAACCATGGGCGAGGCGGGCGACGGGGACGAGGACCGAAAGATGACCGATGTTTAGGAGTATTACTCGAACTCGAGGATTTCTACTCCCTGTAGTTTCAGGTCGACGGTGTTTCTGGCGCTGGGCGTTCTTTACTGTCAAATATTTCACACCATCTAATGGTTTTTTCTTGCTTTCTACTGCATGAAGAGCGTCTATCGCACGCCGAGTGCCCACGAATTGGGCACAGTGGGGGTTCAAGAGTGAAGCTCTCGTATTCTTTAGTGTTTCATAAGAAAAAAAACAGAAAAAAGCAATGAAAATAGCGACATCTTCCTGTTCAATTGAATCAAGATATGCAATTGTCTGTATATTGTACACAATTCAAGTCCACCCGTCGCTTCTGGGTGGTCATGCAATGTAAGTTAAATGCCCAGCAAAACGCCTGCTTCCTCTGAATCAATGCGCCAAGAGAGGAAAAGTTATATCCTTGGTCCGTCGGGTGAGGGGAGCATCCAGAGAGGCCCTACTGCACATTCAACCGGAGCTCCAACACACAGTGCAAAGTGAGAGGAAGAAAACAACAATGTGCTGCAGTAGACCTCAGTGTGCTGAAGAGAGAGGCCTCAAGATCGGGTACAATCGACAAGCTAGCACATTGAATTGCTCAAGGGTAGCAAACCCTTGAGCAGTCCAAGGACTGAACAGACGAAGGTCCTCACACTTCGACCCGACAGGAACGCAAACAAAATACCCAAGACGCCGAAATCAATATAGACAAAAGAATACTCACACAAGAGCCTGGAGGTGGAGACAGCGAGAGATATGATAAGACAGATCTGCAATCATTTCGCCTCTCGCCTCCGAATCTCATCTTCACGCATCATGGCGATGACCTCCGCTCGCCGCCTCTCAACACCCGCCTGCTCCTCGTCACGTACGCGACGTCGTTCTTCAATGCCGGCGAACCACTCCTCACGTGCGCGGTCCTCCTCTTCCGGCTTCGCATGGGCGATCATGCATGAGTTCATTGCAAGTCGCTGCTGGCGACAGACCCATGTTGCGGTAATGGTTCGGTTGACAGCGCACTCGGCAAAGGCTATGTCATGTCAGGTTAGCGATTTGAATTGAGGAGGATGCGGAGTGGAGCGGAATGGGGCCACAAGGCGCAATGGCCAATTCGGCGAATCCCAGTAACAAAAGACGAGGAGCCCAGTGGAAAAGACATGAAAAGTATAGTGTTGTGTGGATATGCCAAAGCCAGAAAAGCAATTATGTATATGTACCTTTAATCTCCGGGGCGCAATAGCTTCGTACACGCTTGTAGTACAATAGCTTCACTTCTTGTTCTTGGGGGGCTGAGAGGGGGAGAGGGTTGCGAAGATTATTTGGCTTGGACGGAGTCGTTGAAGTAGCATCGGTAGATGTGGATGGGGTAGCCATTGGGACTGAAGAGGTCGATCTCAAGGACCGAAGTTCGATTTGAGGTGTATGGGATGATCAATGGGTCGGATAGTATGGTAGGTCTTGGCCTGGTAGCTGGGGAAATAATTTGCCAAGCGCAACAACCAGCGGGATCAAGCACAGAGAGAGACACAGCAGGAGTGGTTCCAATGCTTCGTTAGCGAATGGCTTGCAGCAAAGATCGAGACCAAGTGGGTGATGTTGATGCGGAGCGCGAGTGAGCCGAGAGCTCGGGCGGAGAGGGAAAACCCAGCAGAAAAAAAGTTTCTCCAACGCTCTTTGCATCTTTCCGATTATCGCATTTATCGTTATATTTCCTTGGGCTTGTCTGTGTCAGGAATTCACACCAGCCAAAATGTCGTCTATGCGAAATGCCGTCCAACGGCGCAACCACAAGGAGCGTGGCCAGGTCCAAGGCCGTGAGAAATGGGGTCTCCTCGAAAAGCACAAGGTGAGTTCCTCGCTGTGACGTTATCTTGATAACTGCTAGCAAATTCGGAGTTGAGACAAGACGAACCAATTCTGACTTCTACAGGACTACTCTCTCCGTGCCAAAGATTACAATGCGAAGAAGGCTCAGCTGAAGCGCCTCGAGGAGAAGGCGAAGGATCGCAACCCCGATGAGTTCGCCTTCGGTATGATGGGTGATAAGAACCGAACCCAAGGCCGACATGGACGCGGTGCAGGCACCGGACGAGACTCTGCCGCGGCGCGGGGACTGAGCCACGAAGCCATCAAGCTGCTCAAGACGCAAGATAAAGGATACCTCCGAACCGTTGGAGAGCGGTTGCGCCGTGAGATCGAGCGCCTGGAGCGCGATATTGAGTTGCAAAACGGCTTGAAAAAATCTCTCGGAGAGAAGGGCGGAGACAAGGATGAAAGCGAGGACGACGATGGCTTTGACGACGACTTTGACGATTTCGATTTTGGTGCCCCGGTGCAACCCAAGCCGAACAGAACCGTATTCGCCGACGACCGACAAGATCAACTGGCAATGAAGAGACAGCGTTTACAAAAGGACCAATCTCCTAGTGATGACGAAGACCAACCCACTAAGGCCCGCAAGACCCCGAAGGAGCTGGAGGCCGAACGAAAGGCCCTCGTGGAGGCTCGACGGGCTCGCAAGACCCGCAAGCGCGCTGTCGAGGCTCGCTCAAACAAACTGACTGCGCTGCGCAAGCAACATTCAGAGATTCAGGCTGCCGAACAAGAGCTTGATTTGCAGCGGGCAAAGATGGGAAATTCTGTCGGAGGCACAAACAAGGATGGAATCAAGTGGAAGATTCGTGAGCGCAAGCGTTAAGCACCTGGTCTTTTCTTTGGAGTTATGAGTGATGAGTCGCTATCATCTTTTTGTACATATTGATACCAACCATAGAGGCAGTTCGGGCGCATACAGTCGCATTCCAAGGTTATAGCAAACCAAAAGTCCTTCTTGTTCCGATACGCTGCCAGATGCAATTCAATGATTGGGAGTATGGGGATCTATCAGGGCTGAAGCTCTGCTGTCCATATATCTACGCTGTGGATTATCGATACCATGAATACAGACATGAAGGTGACATTTCGCGCTAATAGCTAGTTATGGTATAAATTTCCGACCGGGCTAGAATGGATGTTCTAGTTCTTTTCCGCAGGCTGCCTCTGCACCTGTCTCTGTTTCCGAGCAGCGCCCACTCGTGAGCAGACCTTCAACTTGGAGAAAAAGAACAAGATCTGGAGGGAAATGATCACTGCGTGGGCAGTGAGCGACAATCGTGCCCAATGCATGTGAAGAAGGTATGCGATGATGATCGGCTCAAGGTACGTTGAGAGAAGGGAAATTCCATATGTGATGTCGTAAAATCGGAAAAGCAGCGCGGTCTGCTTTGCACATCCACGTCGAAGAATGAGTGTCAAGTGAGAGGCAACACCCAATGTTCCGTCGAAAAACACTGTCGATCCGGGTCAGTCTTTGAGAATTGCCAGATGAGTTGGTGATTCTTACCCCAGAACGCAAACATATCCGCGAGGGTCCTCGAGTGGAAGATGGTGGAAAGACCATTCTCAGGAAGATTGAAAGCCAAAGACAGGAATGCCTGAATGATAACAATCGTTCCCACATGATGGAAAACGATCAACAGCTTCAAGTCCTGGGCCCGAAGCAGTTCAAATGTCTTGAATGCGCAAACCAAATACATCGCGACTGAGGCGACATCTCCCAGTGTAGCGTGGGTGCGCGAGGGATCCACGAAGTATGTATCAGACCAGTTTCGGCCTCCGAAAACCACCTCGAAGACTCCCTTGGATACCGTAGCTAGCGAGATCATTCGAACGATCCAGTCCAGATGCGTGATGGAGAACATGCGCTGGAAACGAGTTTCCAGTTTCGTGTATTGCCCTCCGTATAGAGCAGGCAGCACGAACGCTTGCAGGACAAATCGATCGAGAATGAAAAATGTGATGAGAAGGCCTGCAATGGCTGGGGCCATGAAGTTGCCCAGCCGTGTAATCAACATGCAGTCGCCATAATAATGTGGGTGGGCGACGAAGGTTTCCTCCGACAAGAAGGCCTTGCAGCCAGCGCTAATCAATCGTTCGGGGTGCATTCTCTATGTTGAGGTACGGGTGGAGATTATACTGATAATATCTCCAGGGCTGTCACTTTATATTCTGCTGCATCCTTCCACCCCCATATACTCGGCCCCTGCTCGGCCCTAGAACGACCCACCTGCAAGGCACGGTTTCGCGACGATTGATGGGCTGTAACGGGGTCGGTCCCTGAAACTGATATATGAGAACACTCTAGGAGATAAAAGTTTGAATACTGGGCACCTCTTGCGCTTGTTCTCGGTCGAAACACAAGGCCAACGCACCATTTCTACTAGTAGAAAGGATCTCACTTTGAGGAAGTTTGGCTGGCACAACAATATTTGATTTGAAGGTCTGAACCATGGACACAACACCGAAAGGAAAGTCAGCTTAGCCGGAACGTGATACGTGCACTGGGGGTTGTTAGGGCTGATGGACCTCGGGAACCTCCAAATTCCAGGGACCACAAATTCCAGCTACCTTAATTTGAGGCCACTCCAAATTAAAGAGGACTTCACATTTGACAACGGCTCCACTACTATGATACGGGAGCTAAACGGAGACCTCAAAATTGGGAAATCCAATGAGGTCGATCAGTCGATTTCACCAAACGGCCCTAATGTACTCTCTTTGGGGAAACTCCCGCCTCTCCACAGATCAACGTACAGACCCACTATACGAACATCATTGCCTCTTACAGCGGCTTGAGACGAACTCGAGACTGCAGTCTATGATCGCCCCAGCGAATTTCTTTACCTGTGCCTACTTGACCGTTTTGACATGTCATGAAGCGAGCACGGGGTCCTTCCTACTTTATTCGACCTCGGCGATAGACCTGTGGGTCGCGGAGACCATCGGGGGGGACTGCTCAAACCGAGCTATCGAACTTCAATGGCCTTGCATTCCACGGTCGTCGAGGATCCACTAGCCCAAAAAGCGTGAGAAGGATTATTGGGCTCGGTTTCTCACTGCGTCATACTCACGCTGTTACTCTCATCCCATATATGCAAAGACTTGCCTGGGGTTCTTAGTGACTCCGCCTGTGATGATGGGAAGGAGAGCAGCCAGACTGATGATGAAGTTGTCAGAAACTCAGCGCTTTTCTCTCACGATTGTCGCTCTGGCAAGCGTGTCGCTCACAGTTTCTCTTAGCTCGACGTCGATGAGCAATGCTGTCCCAGTGATTACAAGTCAATTCCACGGCACGGATGTGCAGGCCTTTTGGTCTGGAACGGCAAACCTCCTTTGCTCTGCGGTCTTCCAACCCGCATTCGCAGTGTTTTCTTATATTTTTGGAAGAAAGCCTCTGGTGAGAACTTTGACGCAGTGATCAAATTGTATGCTAATGACGAAAAGTTCATCATCGCTTCACTACTGTTTTTAGCTGGCTCTGCTCTTGCAACGGGCTCGCAAAACTTCGATGTGCTCCTTGTTGCCAGATCCATCCAAGGCTTTGGTGGTGGTGGGCTGCTCACGCTGTCTGAGATTTTAATCGCAGACCTGACGCCTCTCAGCGAGCGCGGAAAATGGATTGGTATTCTCAGCATGATGTGGGCTATAGGTTGCGTTAGTGGGCCTGTCGTTGGAGGTGCTCTGGCTCACAGAGGTAAGTTCTCATCAACTCGGACGGTACCGTATCTAACGCCAGATCAGACGTTTGGAGATGGATCTTTGCATTGAATCTACCGCTTGCTAGTATTTCGCTCGCACTTATCTGCATCTCTCTGCAGCCTCGCACTTATTCTACTAGCTTCTACGAAGAAAGCACCAAGCAGAAGCTGGCGCGAGTTGACTGGATCGGATTCGCCCTCTTTATTCCCTCAATTTCAAGCTTTCTAATCCCTCTCACCTGGGGTGGTGAGCTATTCGATTGGAAAAGTTGGCATACACTAGTGCCACTTCTTGTGGGCGTTGCAGGTCTGGCAGCATTCGTGATCTATGAAATGTTCATCGCAAAGGAGCCATTCCTGCTGAAGACTATATTCCGCGACTGGAACGCAAAGCTGGTCTATGTGCAGACCTTCTTACATGGTTTGATCGTGAGTCCACCCTGCCTTTCTATTGTGTTTGATCCGGGTTTCAATGCTAATATATCTGAAACAGGTCTGGTGCCTTCTATACTACCTCCCACTGTACTATCAGGCCGTCAAGTCATACAGTGCTCTGATGTCAGGTGTCGCCCTTTTACCTGAAACATTCAGTATCACCCTTGCAGCTGGCCTAGTGGGGTTTGTTATCGCGAGCACAGGCCGCTACCGCGAGGCCCTGACAGCAGGATGGGTCGTTGCAACCACCAGCCTTGGCACGCTGTATCTACTTGATGTCCACACCGCAACCTACAAGTGGGTACTTATCAACTTCTTCGTGGGCATGGGAACGGGATCTTTATTCACGAGTCTGAACCTGACTGTTCAGTCGAACATCGCCCCTCACGAAGTTTCCCATGCCCTTGGATTTTTCGCATTCTTCCGCGCTTTAGGCCAAGCCATCGGTGTTGCTATTGGAGGTGCCACTTTTGACAATATCTTCAGATCAAAACTAGGACAGAACTCTGAGATAGCAGCCTACAAAAATGAGTTGAGCAAAGGAGCTGCAGCGTTGATCGAGATCTTGAAAACGATCCCCGATTCAGATGCCCGAAAGCCAGCCTTGATCCAAACCTATGCAGATTCGCTGCGATTGCTGTGGCCCGTGATGTGTGGCTGCGCCGGAATCGCGTTACTGTTTAGCTTATTCATTAGGCACCACAACCTGGCCCGAGGTGAGTCTATAACTTCAATGCTATCACTTGACGCCCCGCTAATGCATGACCAACAGGAGGCGAAGATGAATATGCTACTGATACCCCTATGGAGTCTATACAAGAGCTCGGAGGAAGCCATTTCAAGGCCTCCAGGCCAAAATATTGAATTACATGAAATGGCAATTTGTTTTAGAATTTCCACCAAAGACCTCGGGCGAACCCCATGTTTCCAAGTTAGACGCCTCGGCTCCGGAAGTTCGTATGATCGTATATTCTCAAACGTGCCAATGCGCTATAAAAGCCAAGCAAAACTTTAGTGCCAACCCCAAATCTTAACGCGAGGAATCCACCGAGACTGCTCCACTGCAGTCGCAGGCCTTCAAATATTGGATTTAAGGGCTCGGCCACGAGCAACGGTCAAGTGGAGTAGGAAGGACCTCAGAAATCGAAATCGAAAAACAGGGACAATTCAAGAAAAGAGGAGAAAAGATCGAAAAACAATAATAATGATCCTCCACTCTTGTTGGGACAATGGAATATTCACGTGGGCAAGGGTTCTTTCGCCGAGCCTCCACGACTCAAAATTGAAGCCGACATGGAATATAGACCAAACCAGCAAAATTTGAGAATTTAGCTAATATGTACGCTTCCGAGGACTCACGGACTGATTTCCCATCCCAGCCAGGATCTGCAATTCCTTCCTTCTTCCTGAGTTGTTCTATCCAACTGACCAGTAACTGTTTCACTCATTCGCGGTGGATCTTCACATTCAGGTACAACGGCACTGTTTCATCCGGGTCCTCCAACGTATGATGATCCAATGCCCTTATTCGCCACCTGTGAATGGGGCGCGATGATCGGAGAGAAATGGATCTGTTCTGGGTTCCTGGTTTTGGGAACTGGTCAGTAAACACGGCCGATTGCCTAAAAGAGATTTTGAGGGTGTCGCACCAATCTATAGACCACCGTCATACCACCAGAATCAAAGTTTAGACCATCTCTAAGGAAAAGAAAACACACAGTACGGAGTACACCAGCCAAACGTTTGAGTCTGCCGGTTTTAACTGGCTAGCACTGGGGCCCTCTTTTACCCACATGCTTAATAGCATCCCGTAGATAAGATCCTTATAACCCGCCCTGAATACCTGAAGCTCAAGTTTTTTTGCCTACGCTCATTGTCGTCTCCTACATCTTGGTATTGATCAGTCTGGAACTATCTACCACTTGACCATGTCTACACGGCAGATGTCTCCCCAACACCAGGAGAAGGGTGAAACTCCTGCCAACAATAACCCTGCACAGCAAAAGAGAACGCCATGGTACAAGCAATTGAATTGGCTGATGGTCACCATGGTCCTCCTCGTTCCTGCATTTGCTGGTCTAAGCACAATTTGGATTCCTTTCCAAAGGAAGACCCAGATTATGGCATTCTTCTATAGTCTCACAAAGGGATTCAGTATCACAGCAGGTACGCACCCATTCCCCACTGCCATTTTGCATCCCGAGCTATACCCGGGAATTCATCTGACGGCAAGATGCTGACTTCATAAACAGGATACCACCGTCTGTGGTCCCACAAATCATATACAGCCAGCACATCCCTGCAAATATTCTTGATGCTCTTCGGCGCCGGCGCCGGACAAGGATCAATCAAGCTATGGACCCGAGAGCATCGTGCCCACCACCGCTACGTGGACACCGACCAGGATCCATACAGTGTCCAAAAAGGACTGTTCTACTCGCACGTCGGCTGGATCATTTTCAAAGATGACCCCGATAGGATCGGCCGCGTGAACGTGGAAGACCTGAAGCGGGATCCGATTGTCAAGTTCCAAGCAGACTACTACTGGCAGCTCTTCCTGCTCATGGCATACCTGGGACCTACCTTCATTGCCGGGCTCGGATGGGGCGACTGGCTCGGTGGATACGTCTATGGCGGTCTGTTGGGTACAGCTCTTGTCCAACAAAGCACATTCTGCATCAACTCTCTTGCTCACTGGATGGGAGATCAGCCCTACGGCACGTTCAAGTCTGCTCGGAACTGTTTCATCGTTGCGATCCTGACGCTCGGCGAGGGATACCACAACTTCCATCACGAGTTCCCCTCAGACTGGCGCAATGGTGTGCGCTGGTATGAGTTTGACCCTACCAAGTGGAACATCTGGCTGTGGACCCAGCTTGGTTTAGTCACTGACTTGCGCTTCTTTTCCATGAATGAGATCAACAAGAGTATGCTTCAAGCATCTCAGAAAGAACTCGACAAGAAGGTTCAGGCTGTTCAGTGGGGTGTACCCATCGCAGACTTGCCGGTCATGCTGTTGGAAGAATACCATAGCCAGGCCCGATCCCGAAACTTGATCCTGATTGAGAGGATTGTCTACGATGTGACGGATTTCCACCAGATCCATCCTGGAGGCGTGGGGTTGATCAAGTCAGGCTTTGGGAAGGATGCGACAAGGATGTTCAATGAGCTATACAAACACTCCAATGTGGCGATGAACCTCCTTGCGGGCATGAGGGTCGCGGTGGTTGATGAAGATATGTAGCGTGACGGTTTGAGAAAAGACCATTCGCATGTTTTACGAAAAGAATTTTACATACCCCCTTTTTTCTTCCCAACTTGCACCATTCTAGATATCAGTTTTGTGTGAACATGAGTAACTAAGATGGGTTGCTCTCCGTCGATTGTTTACCTACCTACCTAGGTAGGTAGTGAACCCGCTAGTAGTACTTCGGAAACCCAAATCCTATGTTCTCGGATTCTGACTGCCATACCTGTCTTCAATGGCTCCGGGGTTCAATACCAGGGCAGTTTACAAATATCTTGTAACTTCGGGGGATCGTTGCTTAGCCATTTCTCGATCAAATGCAGAGGTGCTACTGCCCATGAGCAAATGTTCCCGAATCATGAAAATGTGACCCGGGGAGGGTTCGCAATGTACCCTGCAGAGTGCTGTGTGACCCGACCCCATAATTTACCTTGCCCAGCATGACCGAGCTGCTGATTCATGTAGCAGTGACAACATCGACCTACCCCCCTAAGATGACTTCGGGAAGCGCGTTTGGTCGCCGAAAGCGGAGTGCATATGCGCCCTGCAGGTAGTAGGCCCATCTCGGGATTATGGCCGATGGACAAACTCCGGGTTTGTGGACATCCTGGGGAAATATCAAACTGACGTCTGCTCGGGCTCGGTTATCCGTGGACACGATGGGTATTGATGGATAGGATGAGTCCAGTTCGGACTTGGAAGGGCTGTGACGGACACAAGGCCGGTCAGGTGACAATCCAACCTGCAGCATCGCAGTGATTGGCAATCGGAATTGCACTCCCATCGAAGACTCCGAGGAGATCCATTTGCAATTAGTTTAAAGAATGCAAATACGGAGGTAATCCGCGCCTGCTGATAGGCGGTCTGCCATTAGCTTAATAATGCCCCTCCAAGGTGGGCATGACTAATTGCCTATCTTTTCTATCTAAATATTCCATTTGCCACCCCTCACTTCACTCCTTTCTATTCCCCTACTAATCTCCCTGGACAATGGCGCCCTCTTTCATGACCATTGACACCAACGACACGGACATGGACTTCTCACCGTCCAAGCCCGTGCAGGCCAAGCGCACCCTCCTACTCGCTCCCCCCTCCATAGCCACCCAAGAGGACAAACTCCGCGGCCTCTTCACGACCTTCGACCGCTCAATCACAGACCTCCAAATGCTCGACCGTCTCTCGGCTGGCTTCGTCTCCCTCCCCGCATCCACCTACGACCTCGTCCTCGTCCTCACCGACTCAGACGGCACTCGGCGCTCCGAGGCCCTCAAGCTCCTCACGCGGGATGTCTACACAACCCTCGTCCCTTCAATGAAGCCAGGTGCCAAGCTTCAAACTCAAGATTCTACCATCAATGCCTCCGACTCCATGGAAGCCATTCTGGCCGGACTCATCCAGTCCGATACCGGCTTCGAGAAGCCAAACTTCGAACCCACAGCCGCAGTGCCTCTGAAGTTCGGTCTGAAGAAAAAGAACAAGCCCGCCATGGCTCCCGTCACAGCGCCCGTCACAGCTATCCCGACTGGGTTCGCCGCACCAACGATTAATGGCGCCACGAACCACGACCGCGAGGACGAGGACGAGGACGAGCTCATTAATGAAGATACACTTCTCAACGAGGAGGATTTAACGCGACCCATAATGCCTCGTATGTGTCCATCCACTCCCTCCAAATTACTCTTTACTAACCCTCCTCAGCCCCAGAGTGCCAGCCCAAGACCGGACGCCGCCGACGAGCCTGCAAGGACTGTACCTGCGGTCTTGCCGATAAACTGGAAGCAGAGGACAAGGAGCGCCGCGCCAACGCCGATAAAGAACTAAACGTCATGAAGCTGGATACGGGTGATCTCGCCGAATTGGACTTCACCGTCGAGGGCAAGACAGGTTCTTGCGGAAGCTGCGCCCTTGGTGATGCTTTCCGCTGTGACGGATGTCCTTACATGGGTCTACCTGCCTTCAAGCCTGGACAGGAGGTCCAGATCCTGAATGATGTCGCTCAGTTCTGAGCATAATGGTTTACGTCTACTTTTTTTCTGGGTTCCGGTTTCGGGGAGTGTCTCCATGGTTGCATTGGGTCGGTTGAAATTTGTGTGATCTTTATTTTTTAGGTGTTTCAAAAAGGGCTAAGCATCGTGAATTAACTATGAATTTTTTTATCTGATCTGTGACGCGGTATGATGTGCTCGAGGGCAATTTTTCTAAGTGGAGACGTAACGTCATTGGGCGTCGGATCTGATAATCGCTGCCCTACGCCGGGCGTCCCGCAATCGTATGGCCAATTGCCGGTCCACTCGTCACCGCTGGCTGTTCACTTCAATCCAATATACTAGTTGCTATGTAAACTACACCAGGGCCATTGGAATATCCGTGCTTGGGAGAGCATTGGAGCCGCCTACGCTCCACCTGGGCAGCATGAATACTCGCGACCTTTCGCTCGGACTATCCGTGGATCTACGAGTGGACCAATAGGTATACATATAGCAGAGATCTTCTATAGGCTAAGAAACCCATCCAATGGAAGCTTGATGGCAACGAATTGACTTTTGACTATTTGTTCATGGCACATTCCGTCATGATAAGAAATAAAGAAAATGCAAACTATGTTCTAAGACCTATGACTGGTTCTTCTTCATCTGAGCGACACGAATGCTCACAGCACGCTTGTGCGCCTCCAGTCCCTCCACGGCAGCAAGGGTCTCGACGGTCTTCGCGAGGCCGAGCAGACCCTCGGCAGTAAGGTTGGAGCTGGTGATGTGCTTCAGGAAAGAGCCCAGGTTGACACCAGAGTATTGCTTAGCGTAGCCGTAGGTAGCTGTGGGATATGTTAGCAGTGATTCGGAAAGAAGATAAGGGGGACTTACGCAGCGAGTGGTTGACACCGGCGGAGTAATCGCCAACACTCTCGGGAGTCCAGGGACCGATGAAGACACTGCCTGCGTTCTGAACCTGCTCGACAACAGACTCGGGGTTCTGGACTTGCAGGATCAAGTGCTCGGGCGCGTAATCGTTGCTGAGGACCATGGCCTCGTTGATGTCGCTGACGACGAAGGTGACGGAGTGTTCGAGCGAGCCGCGAACGATGTCCATGCGGGGCAGGGCCTTGGCCTGGGCATCAACCTCGTCCTCGATGGCGCGCAGCTCGGCCTCGTTGAGGTCGACAGCGATGAGGATGACTTGCGAGTCGACGCCGTGCTCGGCTTGACTGAGCAGGTCGGAAGCGACGAAGGCCGGGTTGGCAGTCTTGTCGGCAATCACGAGGACTTCGCTAGGACCGGCGGGCATGTCGATGCTGACACCGGCGGAGGTGTCGTTGGACACGAACATCTTAGCAGCTGTCACGAACTGGTTACCGGGTCCCAAGATCTTGTCAACCTTGGTAATGCTCTCGGTTCCATAAGCCATCGCGGCGACGGCCTGGGCACCACCGGCCAGAACGATGCTCTCGGCACCGACCTTGTGGGCGACGTAGACAATCTCGGGGGAGATGCTGCCGTCTGAGCGAGGAGGCGAGGCAAGGACAATCTTGTTGCAGCCGGCCACCATGGCGGGGACACCAAGCATCATGGCAGTGGAGGGCAACACGGCAGTGCCGCCAGGAATGTACAGACCCACTCGCTCAATGGGGCGGGAGAATCGGGAGCAAACGACACCGGGCATGGTTTCCATGTGGAGGGCATCATTGCTTCCCTTCTGTGCTGAGTGGAAGCGGTCAATGTTGCCAATGCTGACATCAAGGGCCTCCTGGACATCAGGAGCCAACTTCATAAGCTCGGCGGGGAAAGGTGCCTTGATGACGGGGGAGGTGAGCGAGGTAGCCTTCTCGAACTTGTGAGTGTACTTGAGAACGGCGGCGTCACCACCGTCACGGACATCCTGGATGATGGGCTTGACCAATGCAACGATGGCATCGTTGGACTTTTGAGAAGGACGCTTCAGGTAATCAGAGACGACCTGAGGGGTAGTAGAGGAGGTAATAACACGAGTCATCTCGATACGAGATGTGCGGTCCTCCACAGGCGCGGGAGCAGGGGTAGGAGCGGGAGCGGGCTTGGACTCGGGCTTGGCCAGGCCAGCCTTCTCAGCCCAAGGGCCCTTGGCGTCACCCTTTCTGCGCTTGACCTTCAAGCTCTTGAGGTCAAGGTTGCGCTCGATGTCCTCAAGGCTGACACCGGCAGCGGTGCACTTAGTCAGGGCAAAGTAGAAGAGATCGGCAGCCTCGAAAGCAACCTCCTCCTTCGTCTGGGCGCGGCACAATTCATCAGCCTCCTCCATGATCTTAGCATCGATAAGCTTGGGCTCGTTGAACAGGCGAGCAGTGTATGATCCGGCGGGGGCGTCGGCCTTGCGAGCATCCAAAGTCTTCTGGAGACGAGACAGACCGGCGGAGGCACCAAAGCAAGTCTCAGTGCCGAGGTGGCAGAAGCCTAAGCAATCACTTATCAGTACATAGACATCAATCGATCGGTCGATTAACACTTACCACGTCCAATTTGCTTGACAACAAAGACCAAGCAGTCGGCATCACAGTCGAAGCCAATGCGGATCAGCTCCTGCACATCACCGCTGGACTGACCCTTGTACCAAAGACCGCGCTTCCGGCTCTGGTAAACACCGGTGCCGGTGCGGAGGGCCTCAACGATACTCTCGTCGCTGCTCCAGACAAAACCGAGACATGCGCCTCGCTCGTCAGTCACCGAGGTCGCGTACAGGCCATTGGCCTGGTCGGTGACCGCGCGCGACGCAATAAGCTTGGCGGCAGAAACCTTGCCAGCCACGTCCCGCTCAACGGTCAAAGCCTGAGAGGAAACGACGGCAATTGCACCCTGTTGTGTAAGTTGAGAGATCACATCTTCTGAGACCGCTCCAGTGATTGTTGCAAAAAGGCGTGGTGAGTCAGAGGCGATCTTCAATTTCTCGGCGGCGGCGGGGACGGCAGCGGGTGCGGTGCAAACGCTCGCCTCGTTGCGCTCGGGGCTGGCAGCGATCCATTGCTGGAGGGTATCCAGCTGGGAGTCTGATTGGGCGTTGATGAGGAGGCGAGATGAGGGTACGGATTGCTCCTCGGAGAGGGTGGTAAGTTGCTCCAAAGTGATCAAGATCTTGGCGGCACCGGCATTGAGGATGTCAACGAGATCCCCCGCGGAGGAGATCTCAGTCGCGTCGACGAACACATCGAGGGTGCGGAAGTTCTGACGGAGGAATTGCTCTGCCTGGGCAAGTGTAGAGACTTTGACCAAGACGCGGCCAAAGTAGGCAATCTGCTTGAGAGAGAGTCCGGAGTCGGAGGCGGGGGAGGGGTCGTGGGAGATAAGAATTGGGGTCGCCATGATGAAAATCGATGGGAGAATGAAGAGATGCCAAAGAGAAAAGAGATGTGAATCCCTTCTAGTAACTCTCTTCCAAGAGATGGGGGAGTTGCAAGGTCGCGCAGTATGACTCTTGTGCTACCTTTTTTCCTCGCCGCTCCGGCAGTTTAGCCCCGCCCGCGGGCTGATTCATCGATTAGCCGCTCTACTGTTGGTCATTGAAATGACTGCGTCTTTTGCACTTCTATCTCATTTTTCTCTGTTCACTCGAGCAAGGGGGTTGCATCCCATCTGTGCCAATGCTCCCACTATCCTAGGTAGTCTGCAGGGATCGCCATTCTCAGATCTCATACACAATCTTATAGGCGGACACCCCTCCATCCCGGTACTCTTGGAAGCCTTTGGCGACCGATTCCAAGCCATGGAAGATCTTCGCTTTATTGGGCTTGATCTGGCCCCGTGCTAACCATGCAGGCAAACGTTCAAACAACTCGCTGGCCAACTCATGATCCTCCTGCGAGGCCTATCTGGAGTGAGCGATGATTGCCTGGAACTTGCAGGGGGGGTGACTCACCGGCCAGTGGAACTCGCCATAACCGTGGTCTTTCAGGAAGGCTGTCCACACCAGCACATCAGTGACATGTGTGTTTGCGGTGACCTGCTCAGTGTTTGCCTTCCCGGGTCTCACGGTACATAGATGTCCTTGACGGTCGCCAAACACCCGGGACGATATAGCAGAGCTGGTCTTGTCGCCAATGGTGTCGAAAACATGCTGAAGGTTTGGGGCGGCATTGGTGATGTTTCCAACTACGTCGGGGTCGTTGTAGTCAAAAACGTGCTGAGCGCCGTAAGATCGAACAAGGCCTGCATTCCGAGGGCTGCATGTTGTAATCACGGTAAGGCCAAATATCGACGCCAGTTGAATAGCATACAGGCCCACGCTGGCTGGAGAGGGTCAGTATCGCCGGCAGAACGTAGTTTCGCGGGGTTTCACTCACAACTGCCGCCCCAGATTAGCACACTCCCAGCCTTAGACCGATCGATATTCAAACAGCCTTTGGAGAATAGGGCAAGCCAGGCAGTCGTCGCGGCCAGTGGAATAGAGCTCGCTTCCGCCCGCGAAACATTAGCAGGCACTTGGAAAGAGATGCGTTGATCCGCAATGCTGTATTCGCTATATCCGCCCAGTCCCGGGATTTCGCCTGGATTGATCAGTGGCTGATCAGCAGTTGCACTTCCTCCATCACTTACCACCCCAGATGAGTCCCGCCACAATGTCACCGGAGGCAAGCCGAGTGACTCCATCTCCCAGTTCGGTAACTTGTCCAACAAAGTCGCACCCAAGGACGGCACCATCCCCAAAGGCGTTACTGTCAAAGCATTGCACTAGAACCTGTGAGCTTCGGTGCGAAACGAGGCGTTCAACGTACCGTCTGTTGGATTCTGTGCGACATGCGATACCTTGACCTGCACTTGGCCTGGGTTGGGTACTGGCCGGGGAAGTTGCTCTTGGACGAGTTCCGGAACCTTTTGTACGCGCACTACGAGTGATTCGCTTGCCATGATGTTTGATTTGAGTATGTAGGAGGATTGTTTTCTTTGATGTAATCTACAAACTGAACGTTCTCAGGTGCCCAGGTGCCCAGCGCTGTTGAGCTGACAAATGTGAACGGCAAGTGGAAGCGCTCGAGGGGAAATGTCTCCGACAACTCCAAGCGCCGGCGACTTTGAAGATGATGTCTGCAGCCGTGGATCTAGATTCATGGAGTACCTCACACAGCTGTGACGCAAATCCAGCACAATCATTCGGATGCAAGGACCCGGTGCGAACAGTCTAGAAACAGGACTAGTGACACAGCCCTGGAGACATATATACTTGACCCGAACGGACTCTCCAGATCTCATGTCACGTCTGCAGTGATTCTGATTGGGACCAATATCTTTGCCCTCCGATTTTCGAATTCAATGCGCAACTAGACCGGGGAACTCAAGGCAATCTTGTTCAAATCCCCCAAGCTGTGCACATCTGGTGTATCACAATGCTACCGGCCCTGATGGTCCAATTTCCGAAGACCATGAATTTCACGCAGTACGGGATAAATGAAGTGGTATTTTGTACAGCGATCAAGTCACTCCGTTAGTCCGGTGGTTTAGCTGAGGGGGTTGCATGCCAAAGCACCCAGCGTGATCAATTGATGTTGTGAGTTGCGGACTAGTGAAATCCCGCACTAACTGCGACATTGAGAACAGGAATGTTTTCCAGTGATTCCAGGAAGTCGTCTGTTGCTGTACTTAAAAAAACAGCCTAAAAACGAGCCTGAGACTCACACCTGGGTACTCCGTACCGAGAAGTAGTACTATACAACAGATCATAGGCCAGGGGTAGGTCCTCCATTCTCCGTGCCGATGGCGCCCTTGCAGATCCCCCAGGCGCCCCCTGAATATTAAGCTCTTATAGTCCGATGAACATGTTCAATAGACCAGAAGAATGATAGATGTATCTTCTGATTTTGGAAAATCAATAAATCAACGGAAATACAAGGTCGCGTGCCGACCACCTTCCCCCCGGGGCCCTTATGTCTCCTTCTCAATTGTAACCTCAACTTCTCGCATTCCACACTCCTTTCACATTTAAATTTCGCATTGGCCTGCTGCATTGCAGTGAAGGCGGTCTTTCTTTTGCGAACTCCCTTGGTTCGACTTCACACTCGTTACTACCTGTTTATCCATACATCATGCGTGTCTCTTTATCTCTTCCTGTGGTAGCCCTGGGCCTCGTAGGCTCAGCGGTTGCTTATCCCCATGAGCCGAACCCAATATTCCGTCGCGACCCAGAGAATCAGGCGAAGGCCGATGCCGTCAAGGAAGCGTTCCAGCACGCGTGGGATGGATACATCGAATATGCGTTCCCGCATGATGAGCTGCACCCAATGAGCAATGGATATGGTGATTCGAGGTGAGGATATAACTTCAGAATGAAGCACATATAGCTGATGTTATTTCAGGAATGGATGGGGTGCGTCTGCTGTTGACGCGCTTTCGACTGCTATCATCATGGGCAACAAGGATGCCGTCCAGACAATTTTGGATCATGTCGATACAATTGACTTCACAAAGACAAAAGACGAAGTCAGTCTGTTTGAAACTACAATTCGATACTTGGCTGGCATGTTATCAGGATATGACTTGCTCAAGGGCCCTGCCGTCAACCTTGGCGTCAAATCAAGTCAAGTTGATAACTTGCTTACCCAGTCGAAGAATCTTGCGGATGTCTTGAAATTCGCTTTTGATACGCCATCTGGTGTTCCTTATAACAACCTTAACATTGCTGCCAAGGGAAATGATGGTGCGAGGACGAATGGCCTGGCAGTGACCGGAACTCTAGCGCTGGAATGGACGCGCTTGTCCGACTTGACGGGTGACGACGAGTATGCCGAACTCAGTCAGAAGGCCGAGTCCTATCTTTTGAATCCCCAACCGTCAAGTGCAGAGCCATTCCCCGGGTTGGTGGGAAGTAACATCAATATCTCCAACGGACATTTCACCGATGCTACTGTATCCTGGAACGGTGGCGATGACTCATTCTACGAGTACCTGATCAAGATGTACGTCTACGATCCCAAGCGGTTCGAAAAGTACAAAGATCGTTGGGTGCTCGCGGCCGAGTCATCCATCAAACACCTGGCATCACACCCAACATCACGCCCTGAATTGACCTTCCTCGCGTCATACTCCAATGGTAACTATGATCTCAACTCCCAACACTTGACTTGCTTCGATGGCGGCAGCTTCCTCTTGGGTGGCACAGTACTTGATCGCCAAGACTTTATCGACTTTGGGTTGAAGCTCGTCCACGGCTGCGAAGCGACCTACAACCAGACATTGACCGGGATTGGACCCGACTCCTGGGGTTGGGACCCCAAGAGGGTGCCAAGCGACCAGAAGAAGTTCTACGAGAAAGCCGGGTTCTACATCAATAGTGGATCATATGACTTGCGCCCAGAAGTTCTGGAGAGTTTCTACTATGCTTACCGTATCACTGGCAATGAGATCGTGAGTCTGGATGAAAGCTGTTCTTAAAGACATGCTAACAAACAGCAGTACCGGGACTGGGTGTGGAACGGGTTCAAGGCCATCAATGCCACATGTCGTACTGGCTCAGGTTTCGATGCTATGAGTGATGTGAACAAAGTTGGCGGCGGCTCCCACTACGACAACCAAGAAAGCTTCCTTTTCGCCGAGGTCATGAAATATGCCTACCTTGTACACGCAGACGGTAAAGTCTTTCTTCCGGTAAAGATTCCGGGCCCCCACGCTGACTCTCCGCTACAGATGCCCCATGGCAAGTTCAAAAGGGTGATAAGAATGCGTTTGTGTTCAACACTGAGGCTCATCCTATCAGAGTGTCTCACTCCTAGTTATGTATCATCACAGAAAATGACGATTTTGACTTTAATTGCCTTTTTCTCGGGTTGCGCCATGATAAGAATCAGCAGTATCCATATTATGTCCTTCTTTGAGGGGTGGAGATCCTTACTTTGACAGCTCCGGGTCCCGTGGTCTACTCCCGAGGTCATTGTACTACATCCGTAGGAGATATAACCCTGCAATTGTACCTAGTTTGCTCAACTGATCCCGAGCCTTGGAACTTTGAGGCAAAACAGACCTTGAAAGGACCTCTGGAAATTCCAATGTTCCTTTATTTGACGCTCCTTGTTCGCGAGAGGAAGAGCACTAACGCTTCGGCAGATGCTCGGCTAAATATTGCGCCATCTGCAAAGTATTGGCACAATAACTCACTACCTAGTACTACTAAGTACTTATCTCACCTTGGCGGACGTTCAATCAAGAGAATGGTAATATAGCTCGTAGTCCTAGTGCACATGGTGTTATTTTAGGGCGTGTCACGAAAACGCAAATTGGCTAAAGCACAGACCAGTCACCGAGTATATATATCAAAGCAGGAGGGGTTCGAATTATTTGAAAGGGGATTCGATTTATCCAAATCCTATATTAACCGTTGAACGAGCCAGAATTGGAACTTGGAACTGTAGCAACCTTGGAACACTTGGGAAATTTGCAAAAGGATTATCATGGCACCTTGGAAGCAAGCCGTTCTATCAGCGTTGGCAACATCGTACCTCACGCCATCCACATACCGATCTCGTCCAGATCTCGCACCACCACAGCTCAACATTACCGTTCCCGCCCACAATGCCAATAGCTCCGAGTATGTTTTCATTGCGCCTTATTCTCGGAAAAGTACAATCGATCGTCCTGGTCCATACATCTACCGGAAAGATGGAGATCTAGTGTGGGCCGGGACGGGGTACTATGCTGGATTTGTCGCCAATTTCCATCCCACCACATACCACGGCAAGCCTGTCCTGCAAGCTTTCCAAGGAACCATCGATAGTGCTCATGGCGAGGGATTTGGTCAGAGCGTACTTCTTGATCAAAACTACCAGCATGTTGTGACTTCCACCGGGGCAAATCATCGGATTTCGTCGATACACGAGTTTCATGTGATTGATGGCAAGACGGCATTGATCGAAGTCTTTGATATCATACGGACGAATTTGTCCTCCTACGGAGGCAACTCATCCCAACAGTGGCTGGGGAATGGGGTCTTTCAAGGTACGTTCATGAATTCGATTCGTTATCCGAGACTTGCTAACGGAGTGACAGAAATCGATCTCACCTCTGGTGACCTTGTCTTTGAATGGAATGCTTTTGATCATATCGACCCCTCTGGTTAGTGAATATTCGCAAATATTGATGAGATATAGCTGACCAGCTCCATAGAGAGCCAAACAAGCTTGGGCTGGAAGAGCTCCAACAGTGGATTGACTTTTACCCAGGCATGGGATTACTTCCACATCAACAGTGTGGACAAAGACCACAACGGCGACTACCTACTCTCCTCCCGACACACCAGCACGATATTCAAAATCAACGGCACGGACGGGTCAATCATCTGGCGACTCGGTGGCAAAAAGCCAAGTTTCACACAAGTCGGCAACTGGACATTCGGATTCCAGCATCACGCACGCTGGCACCCACAACTCAGCCAGCCCGGGACCGAAGTCTTTTCATTCTTCGATAACTCTGGAAATGGCGAAATCACTCTCAACGACGTGTCTCGGGCTTTGGTTGTGCAGATAAACCACACAGACCACACGGCAACACTTCTCCGCAAGGCGCCAGCACCATATGGGCTTCTGGCTGAGTCTCAGGGCAACGCGCAGCTCCTGTCTCAAGATAGAATCTTCGTCAACTGGGGATCAGAGGGCGCTGTTACAGAGTTTGATGCTGATAATGAGATCCTATATCACGCTTTCATTCAATCCGCCATCAGCTATCGTGGATTCCTCGGAAACTGGACGGGGACGCCGACCGAAGTCCCTGCTTTGGTTGCATCAAAACTTTCCTCTAACCTGGTGAAGCTATATGTATCTTGGAATGGTGATACTGAGACCAAATTCTGGCGATTCTTCTACGTCAACGGGGGGAAGAAGACCCGACTTGGGCAAGTGAGTCGCAACTCATTTGAGACTGTCTTCACTTGGACGTCGAAGCTTGCACTTTCTGACTCTTCCAAATTTATTGCCGAGGCTATTGATGGGAATGGAGAGACGATTGCTCAGACCGGTTTGATTGGTTCTACTGCCAATGTTTAGTTGGTTGAATGAAGGATCCGTTTCAAGAAATCGGCATTGACAGCACAATCTTTTTTTGCCGTACAAAGATCGATCAGTTTATTAGCTTGGAATTGACTTTTTCTCTTTGTTGTAATGAGTGACATTGAGAACGAGGCATTAAATATTAAACATTAAAAGTTAGACATTAAGCATAAAGTGTGTAGCATCATAAGCCAAGATCAAACACAAAGTTTGTCCAGCAGCTCCTCAGGACCTCTGACGAGGAAGGCAGAAAATGCGCACCTGGGCAGGGCAGAGTTCCAATTAAGCATCAATAGACTGCTTTACATTGATCTTCTCGATCTTTCGCTGCGCATGACAGGCCGTCGATGCTCGCACAAGTAAGACCAAGTTGAAAGTTCTAGAGTAATGGGAATGTGTCAGAGCTTGGGGCAACCTTGGAAGGGACGTGCGGTAGGTTAGGTACTTACATTGCCAGAAGCACCACGGAGCAACCTAAGCACTCCACTCCGTATAGCTTGTCATCATTGTTTGTGCCATACCTGCCATACCCGCCGCGTTGATAGTACGTAAGTTCGTATAGGTAGAAGCAAATGGTGATGAGCTGGGCACAGAACGCAAGGCTGTCGAAAGCAATGATAACTCCTGGGCGCACGGCACAGTTGCAAAGCACGACGATGAAAAAGATGGTAGACCATATTAGCCCGTACCCAGACTTTCAGAGGTAAAGATTAGCACAGGCTTCTATCACAAGGAGCAAAATTTGGCTGCATTAAGAGATAACTCACAGTGCCTAAATTGATACCGGCCCAGGTTTGTCCCAGCCCATCTGTAGAAACAACTCCCAGGTAGTGTTGTTTCATGGCCCATGCGAAACAAGTCACTGCTATGATATTGCAAAGCACGATCGCAAAACGCAATGAAAGAAATGATAGCAACTTTCTTTCACTTCTAGGGACTACCTCGAGGCACCATGATGTACTGGCTCTGTTTTTCCAGGCAATGGACATGATTGTGTGCAGCCACTAGAGCACTGGAGACGATAGAGTCAGAGAAGAGGTGAATGAATCCAAGCCGAAAAGCGACCGTTCATCACATATATACCGGTAGAAGAACCATAGCTACCCTCGTATTTTTCCTGTTCAATGCTAATCATTACCTCTTTGACCTGGCACAGCCTTCATTCCGTGGCAACGCCAAGGGCATCGCAACCCCACAAACCCCGGCAGAGCCAGTAGACCCCACGAATAAGGGAATCAAACTTTATACTGGCTCCAATCTACAGACGGCCCCCAAATACAGGTAAGGCCTTTTCCCCTTCCGGCGATATCATCCATCTGCTCTCCCACGCAGGCACTTTCTTGGCGTCGATCACCTCGTCATTTGAGAATGAACTTGTCAGCCTGTTTCTGAGATACTTCTTATAATTAGAAGCAATGAAGCCTTTTTCTGATCCCGATATTACCCCCCAGCTGTCCAGTACACTTTCGCATCAGCCCAGAAAGCCCAGAAAGCCCAGAGCCCAACCCGGCCCAGTCCACCAATGGACCGGGGCTGGGGCCGGTCCTCGGCCCTAGTAATGGGCTCTGGGCTCTAAGTAGGAGCCTCAACGGTATTTCTGGGGGCCCACTGTCGACTTTTCATTGATTTGCGCGCTAGCACCGTGAAGCCAAAGATGGATCATAATTTTATTCTAAGTCTTGGTGCAGTATTTGCGTCATACTACAGCGATAATTCTACTTAGTATTAAGCCTGTGCTGTCAGAATATGCCACTTCGGATGTTCACACGAATGTCTCTTCCCTACCTACCTAGGTAGGTATCAGAAAAGACATTTGTGGGGTGATATAAAGAGTACGATTGTATGAAACTTTCTACAGGTTACCTAGAATGATCGACTTCACAAAGAATTCTTGACCTTGAGAGAGATGGCTCTATGGCCTTGGATGGACTTCTTTGTTAGTGGGTGTACGCAACTCGATTGGGGCCTTTGTTTCCGTCTGTATGTCTTTGTTGCTGTATTTATCCTATTGACTGGACATAGAAATATGAATGCCTTTTCAACGTGAATGGATGATATCGTTTCTTCACTGAAACTTCTTTGTGTTTGCATCTACCCTCACCGTCCTTCGACTCGGTATATAAGGACGCAAATTTGCCAGCGAATTTACTTTGGGATACGATTCAAATATAAGAAGCCCTGGAGTTATTAGCCGACTAACATACCAATTTAATCCTGAATATCTCATTATCTGAAAACCAGGATGCTTAGACGACTTTGGCGTAATCGCCCAGCCAAATCCAAGAATGGTCGCCAGGAAGACAAGACTCCCGACTCCAGAAAGACTGCGATTAAAAGCTTCGGCGCCCAAAAGATCGAGATTGCCGAAAAGGAGTTAGAGGGGGAGGATTTTCAGCAAGGTCGGAACGGTGAGACGCAAAATAGCCCCGAAGAGCCCCGGCGTTTAGGGGCTTGGAACTGCTTTGGTCGGCTTTCCGGGCCATGCCGATGTGGAGGTCTCTGTGGAAGATGCAGCGATAGCGACGAAGATGAAGGGAGGGAAGGGGAGGAAGGGGAGGAAGGGGAGGAAGGGGAGGAAGGGGAGGAAGGGGAGGAAGGGGAGGAAGGGGATGAAGGGGATGAAGAAGAACATGCGTCTCTAACGGCTAAAACAGCGAAAACGACAGAGGCAGCGAAAACGACAGAGGCAGCGAAAACGACAGAGGCAGCGAAAACGACAGAGGCAGCGAAAACGGCAGAGAGAGCCGGAGCACTTGGAGCAGCTGGCTTAGCCCAAGGGGCTCAAGCAGCCGGAGGAGCTGTAGTGGCCGCACAGCCAACTCCAGTGCCAGTTCTACAATATCCTTTCGCCTCAACCTCTGCTGCACCCGCACCTCCCACCCCGGTTGCCCCTGCGACACCCCCTGGCCTTGCTCCTGGTCCCGTCGATACTAAGAACGGGGGAAAAGGAACAAAGCGAGCAGGGAGTTCTTCCCTAGAAGGTGAGCCCCCTCAAAAAAGGCCTCGTTCAAACTCACCCAAAGCGAAGGCAATCAACCAGGCATATGTTGAGTCCGCCGCGAGTTCAGGAGATAGTTTCCGCAGTAGCTCCATTCCTTCATTCGTCTCCCTGGGGACTCCACCTGATGAAGACCAAATTGTGGAGTACCGCAGACAAGGAGCCCAGTTTCAAACATGGATTTCTGATCCAAATGCTCCTGGCTGTACCATGGAAGTCAAGACTGTTGAGTTGGCAACTTTACTAAACCTTGGAGAACCATACAACCCTAACAAGCATGGAATAAATCGTCGACGGCTCGATTCAAAGGTGCTGAACGGACCTATAGACTTGGGAGATACTCGAAGAATTGGATTAGCACAAGACGAGAATTATCGGGACTTCCTATGGCAAACACCTGCTATCAACGCCGACGGCAAAGGGCGTTGGAATGAATTTAGGCTGTGCATCGGGAGAGGTTTCATCTTCTTAGACTCTGTTAAGAGATACAGCGGGGCGCATCTGGCAGAGGTCTGCCAAGCGCTGTACGCGGTTGACCACCCGCTTGAAACCTTGAGATGTGTGTTTGCCCACTATGTTGTGAACAATGAGACTCTGCCGCTTGTTGAAAACATTTATAACAGCAAGAGATTGCCGTGGGATGCCTATCGTAACACGGAATATGAATGGGAATGGGGCACCATTGAGTACCAGGATATCATGGGAACGCAGCTTGCGAGGGCAGTTGCTCGTTTTATTCTCATTTCCTTTCCTAGAGGTACGCGCCGCATTGAGAGAATAGTGACATTCGTTGAGAATGGATCACTAATGATGCGGTTTGAGCTTGACATCGCCAGTCCATGAGCTGCAGGTGTCAACACACAGAATGGGACTGAGTGGTGGCTGACCGAGGAAGAGTAGATGGTGCTGGATATGAAACCACCTTGTATTGTCCGCAGTCCGGACCAGGAAATGAGTTTCGTACATATTTGTGTTGATATGAGTCTCTTCAATGCATTTAGTATCAATTCACGCTGTATTGTCAAATCAGGAAATATCGTTCTCGTAATTGAAGCCACAGTAGCCTGAAAGTAGTGGCGGTTCCAGTACCACTTCAGCCATAGAATTATCACATCGTCTTTCGACAATAACAAGAAGACTTAATGGGCACATCGGCCATAGCCAGGGTGAGTCTCAGCTGTGGAGCGAAAACGCGCGCCTCGGCCTTCCGACCAAGTTTGATCAAACACTCGTGATATCCATGCGAGGCCCAAACATTGTTGGGATGTCTCAGTGCACGCGGTAGGGTTGTGTCAATTCCCAGGTCAGCTGCATAGACAGCCAGAGCTTCACTAACCCGGTCCTGCTCAAGCAATAAAGCCCCGAGCGCATGGCGTGTCGGTTGCATCCAGCCCCACGGTTCATCATAAGGGAGCGTATCGTCCCGTTTGGCAGCTTCTCGAAGATGGGCAAACGCAGAATCGTATTCGCCGCGGCGATATGCAATTTCTCCATCCAGCATTGCTGATCCAACGTTGAGGATATCAATGCACCGGTTGTTAAATATGGTTCGTGAAGCAGGAATTCCCTTCAATGATTCATGGAACAGTTTGCGCTCGGATTCTGCTTCGGGGACACGTTCCGTCGCCGCGAACGCCACGCCTTTCGCATAGTGCATCATTGCCGTCGTGACACAATACAAAGCTGCGTCAGACGGTAATTCTAGAGCAATGATATTCTCCCAACGACCAAAGCGTATAAATGCATGCATTTGCAGGCCAACAAACCCTTCCAGCCAATCTGCCATGGGCGGCGACTCAACCCGCAAAAGAGGCTCAGTGATTACCTGCGCGAGCTCAGCCCCGGTCTCGATTGCAACTTTGGACTGGCCACCCAGCATGGCAGCATACATTTTGAAATGATAGTCATGTGCCCGGTAAAGATTGTAGAAGTGCCCGACAGGCTGATTTGCAAGGAACTTTTCATCCGCCCGAATAGCAGCCGTATTTGACGCAATTGCCCGTCGGTATTCGCCACACAGAATATCAATATGAGTGGGCATGTGCTCAAGATGGCCAGCATCGGGGACCAAACCGCGGAGGTAATCCGCGATGTGGAGGGCAATTTCCGGGGTCGGAGACATCTCCATGAGATGAATATACAGATGGAGAATACCCGGATGATCAAGCGTTTCATCACGCTCCAAAGCTCGATCCAGGATTTTCTTGATTAGAAGCGTTTTCGTTCCCGGGGCCGGTTGGCCGGTTTTCAGGTCCCACAGGCCCCAGGGGGTGATGTTCATCAACGCGTCGCAATACAGCGCTGTGACATCAAGGTCATCCTGCCATTTATCATGGACGCTCTCCATAGCCTTTGCATAGTCTCTGTTCCACTCATCACAATCCCCGGGCTCTGCTTGCGGGTATCGGGCCGCGAGCGCATCGATTAGCGCATTTTCCAAGTCGGTCACTTCGGGGCCAAGCTTCTTCGCCTGCATGATAGCGCGATGCGCGCGTGTTGTCGTCGCCTGAAGGTCCTCCCCATCAAACAGTTTCCACGGCTTATTGTAGTTTGGGCCCAGGGCGAACGCGATGCCCCAGTGGCCCATTGCGCAGGACGGGTCAAGGGCGACGACCTGCTCGAAACATCGGACGGACTCTTCATGGTTGAAGGCATATGCCCAAATCAGACCTCGGGTGAACCATACTTGAGCATCCTGGTTCGAAGTAGTCACTTCGCGGCGATATTCACCTAGGTCGTAATCCATTTTGGTGGGTTGCGGAGGAGGGGTTGTTGCCTACCCCAGACTTTCTCCAAGATAAGACTTGATAAGATTGGCTGTCATGATTCACCGCTCGAAAATTCATTTTGCTGCCCTTGGACACTGAACGTTGGAGTTTTTAGGAATGAATTGGGTTGGACGCAGTACGATCAGGTTAAGGCATCAAGGCATCAAGGTGTGAGGGCACCAAGGCACCAACATCAGGCATCAAGGCAGAGACACAACTACCGTGAAGTCAAACCTTGGAAAAACAGAAACATCACCGGGTCATTTACATCCACTGATCACATTTACCCATTTCCTTCAATGCACTCATGACTACTAGACACAAGGGGAATTCCCCACTGACAAGGGCCTTGCGTGGTGGTTGCAAATCCCCCCACATGAGCAGATTTGCGCTCCACTAATTTGCTCACTCATGCTCGATCGCTCTCACCTTGGTGGTCGACCTTGGTGGCCTATAAGTCGGTCTCGAGTCTTCTTTCTTGATCTTTTCATAGTCTACTCTATCGTCTACATATATCCCTTGCTACGAATTATCTCTCTCTTCACTACCAACTGTCTTTAATCCTTACTCTAGCCTCCAGCTCTATAGATCATGTGTGGAGACACCAACCGTCCAAGCTTGGGAGGCACCATCGCTGTCCTCTTCCCACAGAACCAAAACACAACGCCAGAGGCATCTCTGTCGTCGTCACCAGAGTCTGTGTCTTCGTTCAATTCATCTTCATCGACCGCGTCAATGTCATCATACAATCTTTTCTTTCACGATGCTGAAAGGGCCAACCGAACAAAGGTCGTTCTCCAAACAAACGATGCGGAAACATACCATGCCCTTCGGGACTACGACCACCTGGATATACGCATAGAGTAAGTCAAGAATCCTATTACGGGAGGCTGGGACACGCAATTAACGAGTCCAGGAAATACGGAGATATCTCCAACACGTCCCAGTCGCTTTCACCTCTTCACGAATTCAAACTCAACATGAGCCAAGACAGATGCTCAAGTCGGAGAGAGATGGAGTTTGAGCTACCGGAGAAGCTGGATCTCGGTGTGTCCGAGACCGGCGTCATAGGCCGACAGGTCACAGTTAGAGAGGGCGGGTCGATCCTGGGGATCGGAATCGTCGGTTACAACTGACTGCAAAGCACACTACATATTCCCCATAATACGAATGCATGAGATACATAATTATATCGCTAGTCAGAGAGACATGGGTGTCATTTCGTAGATTTATTGGCTAATCAGAGAGTAGATCTGCTACCCATGAGGCCCAGCATCATTTCATGAAAAGCCTTCATAGCTTCAGTGGGTTCTCAACTCCAGCAGTGTATCGCTTCTCAGCCTCGGCCCAGTTGATGATCTTCCAAATCCCCTCGACATAACCAGCCTTGTTGTTCAAGTACTAAACCCAAGTTAGAAAGACCGCAAGCAACACTTGAAACACCTTGACTCACCTGGAGGTAGTATGCATGCTCCCACATATCAACACCAAAGATGGGAACATCGGGGGCATTGACGGGGTCCTGATCCTTGGTAGTCTGGATCTCGAGGCGGCCCTTAGCTCCGCCCTTGCTCACCAACCAGCCCCATCCAGATCCCTGAAGACCGAGAAGCTCGGCCCCGAATGCCTTGACAAATGCTTCGTGTGAGCCCCACCGCGAGATAATAGCTTCGCGGAGAGCGGGTGCCCCGCCGATGTCATTGCCTGGGGTTCCGGGGGGAGTGAGATTCTTCCAGAAGAGGGAGTGGTTGATATGGCCACCGCCGTTGAAACGCAGCTTCTGCTGGAGGGTGATCAAAGCTGGGACATCGTTGGAATTTGTGGCTGTGGCCTGGGCTGCGAGAGCTGCATTCAGGTTGTTGATGTAAGTTTGATGATGCTTTTGATGGTGCAGCTCCATGATCTGCTGGGAGATGATGGGCTCCAAGGCCTGTTGAAAGTGTTAGTGAGGACCCTGTGTAAGATGAGGAAGCTTTTGGACGTACATCGTATGCGTAAGGAAGAGGAGGGAGAGTATGTTGGGCCATGATGATTGAATTGCAGTAGCAGTGAGAGAGAGAGTAAAGAGAAGAATGTGAGAAGAGAAAGGCGTAGAGGGCTTCTCTCACCTCAGGCTAGAGAGGGGTGACGTGACTTGACTACCAAGGTTGCTCCACTGCGGTGTTTTGAGCACATTTGCGGTTGATCTGAACATGGTATCCGTATTGAAAGGATGGTATGAAGTATATATAGTAGCCTCGCTGCTGCGCTGAATGCCCTTTGTTTTGCTTGGTAACGTGTCTCCAACACCTTCCAGAAAATCCCCGTGGACTCGGTTCAATAACAACATCAAAGATCTCAAGGCGGTGATCTCCATGACCTCCATGACTTGAACGACATCCAGTTCTAGATCACAATTATTTCCCAGTGGGAGCAGTGCTTCCCCGTTTTCTCGATGAAATCAACCCTTTCTCACCCTGGAATTGACTGACATCTGGGAATTTATCTTCTACATCTGCCCAGGCGCCTTTCCTAACCTTACTTGGGTACCTTGGTGGAGAGGCATGAGTCAAGACTGCGAACTCATCCTGAGGCTGTCGACTGGCAAGTCTCGTTGAAACACACACAGCTTAAACAGAACTCACATACAGGGTCTATGCAACAAAGAAAACAAAATGTACAGTTTGGGCGTTATGCTGATATCTTCTAGTGTGTCACCTGGGCAGGCGAGTAGTCCATGATTTAAACTTACCATGTCGTGCTTGGGCATCCCCGTTGGCGATACGATCTTTCTGGTTTCTATGTGCTACGTGCAAGTATCAAGAAAATATCAAAAACCAGCATTGGAATTGAAATCATATTGAAGATATGAATGCGTGTCCATCCATGGATCCATGGATATTTATGCAGCTTACTAATTTCCTGAATATGCGGGGTGCCGATGAGCCTCGGTCGTTTCGGCCGCTATACAAATACAGACAGCAAGCCGAGACACCCTCCAAGGCTTTCTGAACCTCCCCAAATCCCTCCTTCCTCAAGTCTCACACAATGTCTGCTACCGACCAAGTCAAGCTCAGCAATTTCAGCGATATCTTCTCCCTGGAGGGAAAGGTCGCCGTTGTGACCGGCGGGTCACGCGGTCTAGGGTTGCACGCAGCCTCCGGGTACATCCCTTGATTCAATCCGACGAAGCATCGCTAATGTCGACAGTCTCCTCCAAGCTGGATGTTCCAAGGTGTACATCACCTCTCGTAAGAAGGCAGCCTGTGATGAAGCAGTGGCTGCTCTCAATGCGATCCCCAACAAACGGCCTGGCGCACAGGCCATTTCCGTGCCAGCCGACAGCTCGGACATGAAAGAGCTCGACCGGCTTGTGGCTGAGGTCTCTAAGACCACTGATCGCGTTGATATTCTCTTCGCGAATGCTGGTGCCACATGGGGTGAGAAGTTCGACACGCACCCCGAGAAGATGTTCTCCAAGGTCATGGATCTGAATGTTAAAAGTGTCTTTTACACGATCCAAAAGTAGGTTGTGAATTTTGGCTATCAACTCCATCATTTGCTAACGACACAGGTTTACACCTCTACTTACGGCCAAGGCCACTCATACCGACCCATCTCGTGTGATTATTACCGCGTCTGTTGCCGGTATTGGAATTGGTACCGTGGGCGACAATGCGACGCCCTCTTACTCTGCTTCCAAGGCTGCGGCTATTCATATCGCCAAGAACTTGGCTGTTGAACTTGGACCGCGCCATGTATTGACAAATGCCATTGCACCAGGGTTCTATCCCTCCAAGATGGCCAGCGGGCTCATCGAGTCAAAGGGCGGAATGAAGGAGATGGAGGAATACTCGCCCAATGGCAGGCTAGGAAAGCCCGAGGATATTGCAGGACTAGTTGTCTTCCTTGGATCACGAGCTTCAAGCCATTTGAACGGTGCTGTTATTACATCGGACGGTGGAGCCGTCTTGAAGGGAAGATTGTAAGGGTCGCTATGTATATAGGTAGTTAATTTCAATACTCAAATAAGTCGGTCAATATCACTCAGATATGAAAGGACACAAGCGTAGCACTCACACTCTTTGGTGAGACCCCGTAAACCTTAACGGCCCGGGGACCGAATTGACCGAGGCTGTCTCCGCACCCCGCATACAAAAGCCACTCCCATCCCCACTTCGGCTCTTCACACCATGTCACCTCAACGTTATATCGCAATTACCGAGCGCAAACAGGCTGAGCTCAGTGCTGCTATACCTGAAGAATGGCGATTACAGTCCAAACTCATTCCGGAAGGAATGTTGTCTATCTCGGAGTCCATTGCTAAGCCGAAATACCAACGCGTCGGCGTGATGGATATCCCCCGAACATGTGGTCTCCTCACCACGAAAGAATTGGATCTCACCGAGAATTTTGGTATCCGAGCATTGGTTGGCGAGATGACCGAGGGTCGCGTGAAGGCAGAGGATGTCGTGCGAGGCTTTTGCAAAGTAAGAGAATCTCGAAACTCCTTTTTACGGGTCCTGATCATATATTTCCACATAGAGAGCGGCGATTGCCCAGCAGCTCACTCGATGTCTGACGGAGCCCCTTTTCGACCGTGCGCTCCAACGCGCCCGCGATCTGGATGACTACCTCCAACGTACAGGCAAACCAATCGGTCCACTGCACGGCCTTCCTATCTCTGTGAAGGATACCTTCAATATCAAGGGAGTGGACTCCAGTATTGGATTATCTACATTAGCATTCAAGCCGGCGAAAGAAAACGCCCCCCTGGTCGACCTTCTCGAATCCCTGGGCGCGGTGATCATCGCCAAGACAAACATTCCACAAACCCTCGCCACTCTCGACAGCGCCAATCACCTCTTCGGGCGCACTCTCAATCCACTAAACCGCCAATGGACAGCAGGCGGCAGTACGGGTGGTGAGGGTGCCCTGCTCGCCATGCGTGGCTCGATGGTTGGATTCGGAACCGATATCGGCGGCAGTATTCGTGTCCCTGCAATGTGCCAGGGGCTATATGGCTTCAAGCCTAGTAATGGCCGTGTACCATTCGGCGGTCAACAGAATGGCCAGATTGAAGGCAAGGGCCGAATCGGCCTACAAGCAGTTGCAGGCCCGCTGGCTCACTCAGTTGCAGATATCAATGCCATCATGGGGGAGATCGTGCCTCGCGCAGAGTTTTTCGGCGAAGACTGCATTCCAGGCTTGTGGTCTGCACCGACACCTTCTCGCAATTTCACTGTCGGAGTTTTGAAAACTGATGGCTTGGTCACGCCCTTGCCGCCTATTCTTCGGATTCTCGATGAGGTTGCTGATTCACTCCGTCGTACACCTGGCGTCGAGGTTGTTGAAATTCCTCTTCCCTCGGCTCTGCCCAAATGTCAAGGTCTTGCAGGTCGGCTGATGGGTGTTGACGACGGCTCTCACATGCTTGATCTTATCGAAAGTATGGATGAGGATCTGATTCCTTGGTTACAGGGTCGGATGAAGCGTGGCAAGGCTTTGGATGTAACCCAACTTGCTAAATTACAGGCTCAACGCGCAGAAGTTGAGAAGGAGATGATGAAAATGTGGACACAATCATCAAGTTCTCGATCCCGACGTATCGACGCCATAATCTGCCCCGTGGCACCACATCCGGTCCCGGAGATCGATCGCTACAATGCTGTTGGGTACACATCCACATTTGTCCTACTGGACTACCCAGCTGGCGTGGTTCCCGTCCGACCCTTTTTGGATTCCGATCTTGAAATCGGTCGGGCAATGGATGATCCTGTTTTGGGAAGCTGGGACAAGGCTAATAGGAAGCTATGTAGGTTATGAATCTTCCGCCAACGAAAACTGCTAATAACCATCTTGCAGGGGACGAGAAAACAGTAGATCGTCGCGTGTATCTCGGATCGCCCCTCAGTGTCCAGGTTGTCACCCCTAAACAGCATGATTACCAGCTATTCCAGGCAATTGAACTGGTGGACCGAGCTGTACAAGGCCGAGCGTCGCCCAGCGCCAAGCTTTGATGTGGTTTCTCGGCCTGCATTTTGTCATGGTCTCCAGCAAGATGGAGATCGGCATTTCGCCATACTTTAGACGAGAGTGAGTCTAAATCCCGCAGAGTAATGGCTTGAATCCTTGTGGTAGCTGGGCAGAGCATGTCGACGTCTGATCACATAGTTAGTCCACGGGTTCGGTCTGAGCATAACCTTCATTTCTCCTCGAGAATAGGATTCTAATTGATGAATGATTGGCCCGAAATGTCACACAGCAGTTGGTCTAGTGTGCCCAGGTATCATCTCCCTAGTCCTTTTGTTTGGTGTTTCGATATGGATCGTCAGAAACCCAGACAGGCCTTAGAAGCCTTTCTCGTTCTTTTGAGCCTCTGGTATCTTGGGACATAAGGGGATGTCCGTGTTTTCGTTAGCACAATTGGTAAGTCGGCAGCAAGCCAAAAATTGGAACTGTACTGGACGTGGGTGAATTAGTGCAGCATATCATGTCTTAAAAGGTCGTAGACGACGTAGCAAGGAGGAGTGCAAAGGTAAGATAGATAAAATCCAAATCCCGAACACCATTTCCCTGATTCCTTCTTGGCTTTTCTCTTTCACACTTTCACATAGCATCGATAAACATTAGTGGTAGTCGGATAAAAAAACAATGAGCTTCCCAGAGAAGACGACATGAGAAAATCCATCAGATGGCCATGTTAGCACATGTAAAGGCTGGAGTAGTAGAGCCCGAATAGTCGGCAATAATAGCCTCGACAGCAGCGTAGAGTCCAGGACCCAAGACGAAGAGCCCAACGATGAAGATGAAAACGTTGAACACCGTGTTGATGGTTCGTCCCAGGCTACTGAACAATTGGCCACGGTTGAGCTGCCAATAGGCGATTGCAAAGTAGATGAAGCCAAAGAAGGAATCAAATGTCGCACTGAGCAGAGAAAGGAAATCGCCCATGCTGGGGATGACCTCGGCGAAGATGTATCCAAGCAGGTAAATGCCCACCATGATGGCTACCCAAACACCCCATCCAGTCACAGTGTGACTGTGCGTGTGACGCGAGTTGCCCAGCACCCAGGTGTATATGAACTTCGCCGTGACATTCGCATAGATGACACCGATTATCAAGGTCGGAACTATCACAAAGCCGAAAGAAGCCTTCTTGTATGAAGTCACCCCCAAGCTACCAAACGCTGGTGCCGTGGCGTACTGTCCCAGGTATCGGAATCCGATGGCAGGAGGCACGATGAATAAGACTGCCGATATCGCGGTCAAAACAGCCAATGCTTTGGGGAAGTCTTGGGGCTTCTCCATCTCGGCGATGAAAGTTGGGAACAGAATCTGGGGAACCCAGAGGAAGGTGATGTTCAGCACGGCATTCATACATGCAACCCAAGTTGTGCCGGGCAAGGGAAACGCATATGTTTTCACTGGCCCATCAGCCGGGTAGTTTCCATGGTATCCGTACAGTGGGGCTTTCTCAATTCCAGCGAAAACGAGGAAGAGCAAGATGGCGATTCCCATACAGGCAGCTGAAAGACGTTAGCAAGATATGAGTTCGGATAGAATGAAAACTTGCATGAAAACATGGACATGAAGCTGATGTGATTCAGCGTGCGAGGCATAGATAGGATGACTCCAATGATGGAAACAATCACCGAGAAAATAGCCGTACACATTGAATGGTCCGAAAGCGTGTTCAGAACCTTTGCGCCGGTGAGGATGTGGAATCCGATCAGCATGATATTGTTTGCGAGGAGCATGAAGCCCGAAAAGACGTAGGCAGCCTTACTGCGCCCGAAGACATAGTATCCAAAATCACCTGTTGGGGTAAGCTACCACCTCAAACAACAGTGCTGCTCACTTACAGATGTCCTTGATTTGAGGATACTTCATGATGTACTTATGCATTGTGATCGAGGTAAACCAGAACAGAATGCAGCACAGTACCATGGTGATGATTCCAGGAACCCATCCCAAAACACTGATCTGTTAGCCTCGTCGACCGTAGTGAGTAAACTTGACTACTCACGAGAGAGACCAGGACTGAGCCATAATGGCCAGGCAAACTTGCTCGCCTGCAAGCAGACAAGCCGTCTTGTGCCATGACATGGTCCGGAGCTTAATGTCATGCTGATGATCTGAAAAGAGTGTGAGCATGCAGAATTTAGACGGTGAGATTGAGCACACCTTCGGCGACCAGGGCCGTGATTGTATCGAATGAGTCCGACTCATCAACTTGAGTGGCCAAGGGATAGCCTTCCTTTTCTTTCGACATGACTGAAAGCAAACAGCAGCGGAGATTCAAGGATGAAAGAAGTGAGAAGAGAAAAACTGATTCCGTGTACTGTATATTCTGACGCTAACCGTTTTCCAGGTGGTTTCCCAAACGGGATATGGCGCCATAACCCAGCAAATCGCGAATATCCGGCGACGCCAAAATAACCTACTCTTCGGCGTTTCCGTGGGCCTGGACTGACGCTCAGACTCTTTCTGCGAATCGCTTATCGGCCCCAAGCATCCTGAGATATCAGTTGGGCCACTGAGAAGACGGGCCCTGACACTAAGCTTCGGGGACCACCCGAGGCACATGGGCAGCCCCCACTAAGTTCGTCGCCACCAACTAGGGGACTCTGAGGGTCTGTCGAGCGTGGTAACCTTGCAATCATCCATGGGCGACTCTTCAAAACTACCCCAGGGTGACCTCTGGACCAAGGAAAAGCCCACCTGGGCAGTCATTGGCTGTCCACTGTTGTTCGCGCCCTAGCAACCCGCGCTGTGCCGATGGCTATATCCGTGGGCTCAATGCTGAATCCCGTGTCGAACTGGACACACCGGTACAACCGGAATTCCTGATCGGAGAATTGAACAGACTGAATCTTGTCCCGAAAAACGGCAGTGGCTCATGGCAGTCTTCACGCTGTGCTCGGCCACAACCACACCTTGGCAGATCACGAAGCTCACGGATAAATTCAAACCAGTGCAGACTCGACAAAACCTCTAAACAAAACGATTCCTCGATATTCTCCTATCATTGTTTGTTAACCCAGGGATCGTCTGACTGATTCTTTGTGGAATTGAACCGCGTGCATGCATGGATAGTTGAAGGTTACAAGATGAAGATTTACGGCTTTTTCATGTGTCCAATCAAGTCAACTTCATCTTTCATCTTCCAGCTACCGGGGAGTGACACAATCTTGCCCCGTGCAAGAAGCACACCCCTTTCATTGTTGGACATACTGCCTTAGAGACTGCACTCAATAAGCCCCGCGTTGGTCAAAGTCGGTACAGCGTGCCTGTCAATCCACTCGGTACACTTAACCAATGGCCGACGAGCCTCACCCGCTTCGTAAAAGGCCAAAGGCTCCCAGCTCTTCACGGGCTCTGTTCTCATCGTGTTGATGTTGAAGGCTTTCTGTTTGGGAGGTGCAGGTAGTGACTTGAGGATGTCATCCCAATTTCTCGGATAGTTCAGACTTCTGGTATGTCCCAAGAGCTCGGTTGAAAAAAAATTATCATCGATCGCTGGGTCGTCAATTCCGACCGATTCATAATGCATGCCCGTGACTATGTCACCGGTGACGTGATGCTTTATCCCACTGCATGGCCGCTCGTTTGTCTGGACGAAGAGGATGGTGTGATGGCGAGGAGATGGCATGTCGGGGTCCTGGATAGATAATTTGAACTTGACTTTGTACACTGGGTATGTTTCAGTGGGAGACATCGTGGGACTGCCTAGGTGGGCGAGAGTTAGAACAGAAGGGAACGAGGAGTCAAGTTGAAAAGTCCCCCTCTCACCTACTTGGCATTACTGGGGTTGGCACGAAAGCAACCTGTCCAGAGGTAAGACCGACAACACCAATCTTGAGGCTGAAGCAAACAGTGCTAAAAATAACTGCTCTTGTTGAAACAGTCAGGAACACGAGGTTACGAGCGATCAACCCCGCGTTTGAAGATCTTCTGCCCCTAGAAAAGTAGAGATGCCCATTTTATTGGGAGATCAACTGTTTCTTCCCGCCTCTGTGGTGCAGACTCCACCAAGTTGGTTTTATCTCCAGTCAAACACGAGACTGGGGTTGCATCCAGTGAGGAGAAATACGAATCAAGTTACCAGGAATAGCTGGGGAGAGGAAGTCTGCGAAGGAAATGGCCCGCAGAGAGTTATATCTGTCTATAAAAGGACCAAGAATCCTCTGCATGAGAATTCATCAAAGAATATTCTCAACCGAAGGCAACGCCATCAATCTCAATCGCAAAACATGCATTTCATCTCTCTAATTGCCTTCTCTTTCACGGCAACTATTACAGCTGCCGGTGCCTACCCCATCACTGGCGATGATGTCAATTGTCGCTCTGGGCCTGGAACTAGCTACGCATCTGTGAAGACATACAAGAAAGGCCAAGATGTCAAAATCTCCTGCCAAACCCCTGGCACTGAGATATTCGGCAACAGCATCTGGGACAAGACCTCCGACAACTGCTATGTGTCTGATTACTACGTGAAAACTGGGAGCTCAGGCTATGTCACCACCAAGTGTGGGAGCAGTGGCGGCGGCGGTAGCACCGGAGGGAAAGCGATCATCGCCGCGGCAGAGACACAGAAGGATCTTCCCTATGTTTGGGGCGGTGGTGGATGTAGAGGTCCTTCGGGCGGTGGCTTCGACTGTTCTGGACTGACGCAATACGCAATTTGCAAGGCGTTGAAGATTACGATTGCTCGTGTCGCGCAGGATCAGTATGACTCTGGCTTGGGCAAGCGTTATCCGCGCTCGCAGGCTAAGCCTGGTGATCTTTTGTTCTGGGGTACTGGAGGTGACTGCAAGACAAAAGTTGTCCATGTTGGTATTTTCATTAAGGATGGCCTCATGATCAATGCGGCTAGAACGGGGACGCCAGTGAGAGAGCAGGCTATATGGACTTCCTACGGCGGAGAGAAAATTTGCCCGGAAGTTATGAGGTATGTTGCTATTCTTGATCTTAGAGAGGGTATACTGACTGCTATAGATTCTACTAAGCCGTATTCTACCTTGAACTGAGTAATTTTGAAGGGGATATGTTGGGTGTAGTGTAGATGCGGGCAGGCTGTTGCTTGAGTGTTTTTCTTCCAAGTTTATATATGAACTTCGAGAATGAGAAAAGTGAAGTGAACGAAAAAGGACCCCGGTGCCGGGATTCCCAATCAGTTCGCGGCCTCTGCCCTCACGCTGATTGGATCACCTCCCCGGAACCGGGATCCGAAGTATTGAAGTCGGGGATATCTGAACCTGGCCAACTTCCCAAACCACATGGTACGGAGAATAAGTGCGATCTGATAATGAAGACCAGCATGGCTTCGCAGACTGAGGCCGACGAGGCCAAGGACCCGGAACCACCGCGCGAGGTCCAGTATTCGCAGTTCACCGTCAACACCAAACGCTATGTCGTGGCCATGGGATCCCTGGCGAGCTTCTTTTCACCCCTGTCGTCTAGTATTTACCTGCCAGCCTTGACCACCATTGCTGACGATTTACACGTCTCGATCTCCCGGGTCAACTTGACCGTCACCACCTACCTGGTATGTTGAGCACCTGCGCTGGCCGATCTCAACAACTAACCCCAAGCTCTCTAGATCATGCAGGGCGTGGCTCCTATGTTTACAGCAGGGTTCTCCGACTCCGCGGGCCGCCGACCTGCCTACATCCTCTGCTTCACCGTGTACCTCGCCGCCAACCTCGGCCTGGGCCTACAAAACAGCTATGCCGCCATTCTTGTCCTCCGATGCCTCCAAAGTGCAGGTAGCAGTGGAACTGTGGCACTAGCAAATGGACTGGTAGGTGATATGATCACTTCAGCCGAGCGTGGCTCTTACGTTGCCTTTGCTTCAATCGGGAGCATGCTCGGCCCATCACTGTCCCCAATCATCGGCGGTCTAATCAGCCAATACACCGACTGGCACTGGATCTTCTGGTTCCTATTAATCCTCGGCGGTGTCTTCTTTCTTTTCCTTGTGCTGTTCCTTCCTGAAACATGTCGCAAAGTTGTAGGTGACGGCTCGATCCCACCACCCCCATTGAACAACTCGGTCGTGGACGTGATTCGCCATCGCAGACGCAAGGCGCAGGGCCTTATACCCAACCCGGAAGAGGAAGCTGAGGTTCGAAGAAACTATTCTCTTCGCTTCCCATCACCTATGCCAACCTTCAAGATTCTCTCGGACTTCGAGACATCTGCAATCCTCCTCACTACGGCACTGTTGTTTGCTGGCTTCTACGCTGTGATGACTGGGGCCTCCACCTCTTTTCATACGATCTACAAGTTCAACAGTCTCCAAGCTGCTTTGATGTATCTTCCTATCGGGGCCGGCGGCGTGATGTCAGCTTTTACAACCGGTCGACTGGTGGACTGGAACTACCGCCGTCACGCACGGCGTGCAGGCTTGCCTGTTGTCAAGAATGTACGCCCCGATATTAGCAACTTCAACATCGAGCGTGCCAGGCTGGAAGTCGCCCTGCCATACTACTACATCAGCAACATTGCGATGGTGGCATATGGATGGGTCATGGGACGGAAGGTTCATATTTCTGCGCCTGTCATCTTGCTTTTCATTACTGGATGGGCTCTCATTGGTACTTCGCAGGTACTGAATGTGTTGATGGTTGACCTTTGGCCCGGCAAGTCGGCAACAGCAACGGCAGCAAACAATCTATTCCGCTGTGAGCTTGGTGCGGCAGCTTCAGCTGCAATTAGCCCAATGGCTTCGGCGATGGGTCAGGGCTGGGCGTACACCACACTCGCGCTGATCTCCATCGCGGTTTCCCCGTTTTTGTGGGTAGTCGCTGTGAAGGGAATCAAGTGGCGTCAGAAGAGGAATCGAAAGGAAGAGGAAAAAGCATCGTCTGCAAAAGCTTAGACTCTCTTCTAAGTTTAATCTCAACTTAGAGAATACTTATGTTGAGTTTCGCTGCATTGTCTCGATATTGATCCATGATTGTTCTGCACAGTGGCATAGCTATTCAATCACGAAAATGAAGCGTACTAGCTACCACATGGGGCCAATTCTGAGGTTATTAAGCTTCACTTTCATCGCAAACTTGTAATGTATGGGTGCACAGATTAGCTTCAAGGATGGCCGCTCTCTTACCAAAATCCACGGCAATGGTTCATGCATACTGAAATAGGCTGACGTCACAAACAGGATAGCAGGGGTATTGGGGCATGGAGGGTAGGACCACGAGTGGTGAGGTGTAAACAATCCCGTAATATAGGCACCAGCAAGGATTAGAGATGCTAATGGGAACGGCGATACCAAGGTGAACCCAGCCAAGTGTTAACCCCAACATCCTTGTTCAGCTCTGCTAAACTACTCAGTGGAGGTTGACTGTGCATTTGGGCTAGACCTCAGTCCGCTTGTAACCGCCGCGGAGTCCCCCGAGAATACTTCCCGAGCAGAGGACCCGCGGGTAGAGTATGGGGAATCGCCGCTAACCAAGAAGACTAGTTGGGTCTCCCCGGAGTAGTCCTGTGCGGACGGGAAAGAACATGTACAGTACCTGTGGGTATTCTCCTTGATCTTGTTAGGCTGCGCGATTTAATGGGTTCTATTGACGGGCTCTAAGGACGTAGGATGGGAATGTTGGTAAATTCATAGCTTAAGCAGAAATCTTCCAAGGTTGGAGGTAATATTATTTATCTCATTTGACACTTTGATCTCCGACGAATAGGTAGCCGGGGGGATTGAGATCTTGAGGCCAGAAACTCTTTAGCGGCATCGTTCCCGGTAAAGCTGGTTGGGACGCAGAGGCTGACTATAGCGGCCACTTGGAAATCTGCTGACCAGACCGGCAGAAAAGCAAAAGCTAGAGACCTTGTATGGGTGAATGTTGACGCCTCATTATTGAGGCATGAAGTATTGTAAATGAGGCCAATGAAAAAGGCCCAACAGAGGGCGGTGAGTTTCATTCCCCCGGCCGCAGGCAACTTCTGTCCGCAGCCTCCGTGCCAACCGGGCAACCGACCCAACCCGACTGCTTACTAAGGGCTGAACGGGCAAAGCTCAACCTGCAAAAGGTCTTTCCTTCCGCTAATCGAATCTACGTCTCTTGCGCCTCAACACCTCCAATACTGTTGGAATTGGAGGACTCTATCTCATTTCCTTTTCATATACCTTTCATCGTTTCTCTTTTCGTTTCGCCATGTTCCGCTCTGTCTTGCCCCGGGCTACGCCGCGGGCTGCTCTCCGTCATGCTGCCCCCAAGGCCAACTTCGCCCCCCCAATGATCTTCATTGGCTCAAAGCGTGGCTACGCCTCTGAAGCAGGTAAGCTCATCCTTCTCGCGCTGCTGCGGCCTATCCGGAGTGGGCTTCCATGCGCACCGAATGCGATTGCTAAGATCCGCTTGTCCGACAGGTGACCATGACCTTGTTATCATTGGTGGTGGTGTCGCCGGTTACGTTGCCGCCATCAAGGCTGGCCAAGAAGGCCTCAAGGTGCGAATGAACATCGTTTCTGGCGTTCCGATTGTCAATTGGTTCGCTCCTTCGCCGCATTGTGCTAACTGAACACCCCAACAGACCGCGTGTATCGAGAAGCGCGGAACCCTCGGTGGTACCTGCTTGAACGTCGGCTGCATTCCCTCCAAGTCCCTCCTCAACAACTCCCACCTCTACCACCAGATTCTCCACGACACCAAGAAGCGCGGTATCGAAGTCGGCGATGTCAAGCTCAACCTCTCCCAGATGATGAAGGCCAAGGACCAATCCGTCGAGGGTCTCACTAAGGGTGTTGAGTTCCTCCTCAAGAAGAACGGCGTCGACTACATCAAGGGTGCCGGCTCTTTCGTTGATGCCAACACCATCAACGTTGCCCTCAACGATGGTGGTGAGCAGACTCTCCGCGCTAAGAACATCCTGATCGCCACTGGTTCCGAAGCCACCCACTTCCCCGGTCTCACTGTCGATGAGAAGCGCATCATTACCAGCACTGGTGCTCTCGCCCTCACCGAGGTCCCCAAGAAGATGATCGTCATCGGTGGTGGTATCATTGGTCTCGAGATGGTATGTTTGGTCCACTAGGAACCGATCCTGAGAATATACTAATAAGCTCCTAGGCCTCCGTTTGGTCTCGTCTCGGTGCTGAGGTTACCGTCGTTGAGTTCCTCGGCCAGATCGGTGGCCCCGGTATGGACGCCGAGATCGCCAAGCAGGCCCAGAAGATCCTGGGTAAGCAGGGCATCAAGTTCAAGACCAACACCAAGGTCGTTTCCGGTGATGTCAGCGGTGCTACCGTTGGCCTCAACGTCGAGGCCGCCAAGGGCGGCAAGGAGGAGACTCTCGATGCTGACGTTGTCCTCGTCGCCATCGGCCGCAAGCCCTACACCGAGGGCCTCAACCTCGAGAACGTCGGTATTGAGAAGGACGACCGTGGCCGTCTCGTCATCGACCAGGAGTACCGCACCAAGGTTCCCCACGTCCGTGTCGTCGGTGACTGCACTTTCGGCCCTATGCTGGCTCACAAGGCCGAGGAGGAGGCTGTCGCCGCCATTGAGTACATCAAGACTGGCTACGGTCACGTCAACTACGCCGCCATCCCCAGCGTGATGTACACCCACCCCGAGGTCGCTTGGGTTGGCCAGAACGAGGCCGAGGTCAAGGCCTCCGGTGTTAAGTACCGCGTCGGTGCCTTCCCCTTCAGCGCCAACTCCCGCGCCAAGACCAACCTCGACACTGAGGGTACTGTCAAGTTCATTGCCGATGCTGAGACCGACCGCATTCTCGGTGTCCACATCATCGGACCCGGTGCCGGTGAGATGATCGCTGAGGCCACTCTTGCCATCGAGTACGGTGCCTCCAGCGAGGACGTTGCCCGTACCTGCCACGCCCACCCCACTCTCTCCGAGGCTTTCAAGGAGGCTGCCATGGCCACCTACTCTAAGCCCATCCACTTCTAGATTTGATCTGTCCGATTCGATATCCTCTTTACCCCCTCCCATGTACTACCTTTACCCGCTCTGAGTTAGCTCTCTAACAAATCACAAGTAGCATTTCACGCATGTACTCATTTTCTATGTTTTTGAAATCCACATGCGGCTACACTCATGATCTCTGTAATCTACGAATAATCGAATCTTTGTTCAGAACACGACGCGCCTTTGGTCTTTCCCATATTTAATCCATCTCAAATCAGAGTGCAGCATACTTGAGCACTTCAGCGCCTTACCAAACTCGATGGCCAATTAAATTGTTTACGTGAGGTACGGAGTACTCTGATCTGCTTTCAAATGGTCTTAACAATCAATTAGCGGTCTATCTCTATAATTTTATGTATGTATGTCTCTTTTCTTCCCAATATTCTAATCCCTTAGGCAACAGTGGCCTTCAAGAAAACCTCACGGATCTCCTTGAGGTCCTTCTTCTCCGCCAGAAGCAGACCGAGCAGAACACGGGACTGCTGTGGGTTGTACATGCCACTGGCAATCTGGGTCTTGGCGTTGTCACCCATGATATCGGCAGTAGGCACCTCGCCGTTGACAGTACGGTGAGAAAGAACAACGGGGATGTTGTGCTTCTCGACAACATCGACAATGGCAGCAGCGAAATCAGTGGAAATGCCACCAGCACCCTCACCAGCAACCTATAAACACATTAGCATTGCCCAATATCATCTTGAACAAAAAACAGGATAATCACTTACAACAATACCCTTGGCACCGTTCTTGACAGCGCTGGTGAGCGAGTCAGTGTGCATGTCCTCGTATGCATACAGGATATCGACACGAGGGACGGTATCGAAGTCAGTTGCGTTCACGGTGTGCTTGGCATTAGGCTGCACAGCAGGGTAGTAGAAGTAAGGCTTGTTGGAGACGATGAAGCCCAGGCTTCCTTGCTCGTAAGCCTTGAAGGTATCCATGGTGTTGGCGTTGGTCTTGGTGGCCCAGAAGGCAGACACGATACGGTCGTTCAACACGACCAGGGCACCACGGTCCTTGGAGTCTTCGTCCGCAGCAACGGTGACACCCTGCAGGAGGTTCATGGGGCCATCGGCGGAGATGGCAGTTGAGGGACGCATGGATCCAACGAAGACAATGGGCTTGCCGCAGTTGACGGTGGCATCGATGAAGAATGCGGATTCCTCAAGGGTGTCGGTACCGTGGGTGATCACGGCGCCGGACATGGTAGGGTCATCGCAGACTTGGGTCTGGAGGGTGTGGGTGAGGTTCAGCAGGAGGGAGGAAGAGACATCTCCGCTGTTTACGTTGCCTTCTTGCACGGCGGCAATGTTGGCGATGTTGAAGATATCGGGGATTCCGGAAAGAAGCTTGTTGATGCCCAGTGCGCCGGACTCGTAGCCTGCTGTTGCGGTCTTGTCGTCGCTTGTGCCGGCGATTGTGCCGCCTGTAGATTGGTTAGTTTGTCTTTGCAATTGGTCTTGGTAGATACGAACCGGTGGCGAGAAGGGTGATATTAGGGAGGGATCCGTTGAAATGGTTGAACTTCAGACCGTTGGAGTTGGTATAGCTAGTGTTGCTTGCCCGGGAGTGGATCAAAGGGGAGGCATAGCTGGTAGCAACCAATGCTGAGACAGCGAGAGTCTGGAGAGAGAAGACCATTTTGATACAGTGGCTTGGGGGAAGAGGGTATCAAAGATTGATTGAATAGAGATCTGACTGTCAAGATTCGACTGACATTGTGCTCACTTATATAGAAGCCTGCAAACTCTTCTACATCTCCGTGTCTGTCGGTTCGGTTTCAGCAGTTCCGAGCCCTGATTCCAGGCACCTTGGTAACATCGTTTGACTTTACTTGGCGCTCTTGTCGTCATTAGTCTGTTTAGGTGAAGCCATAGTATAGTGAAAGGTGGAGTTGGAGAAGGCAGAGTTGGAGTAACCCTTGTGATCGACATTCCTCCATTTACTCGTAACTAAACATTTATAGTATTCTGGAATTTTCCTCGAACTCTATGGTACTTCGTGCAGAAGATAGAGTTGAATCAGATGCTGCCACTCTTCTATACATGTCGATCCATGCTATGTGATCTCTTGGGTATACAGCATGCAAATACTCCGGGGTAATCCTTATTGTTCCCCAGGTTCTTGCAATTGTCTCGACTATGCTCCATAACGCGTTCTCCATACTGGCCGTGAAGAAAAAAAGCCTCATGGACCCAACAAAAAATCAAAAAGGCCTCAAACCATGACTAAAATGAATCAATTCACACTTGGCACAGACCCAAGGCCGGGCAGTGCTGCAGAACGCCCCCAAGACCTGGCCAAGCACTGTTGGGAATCGTCGGCCTATTCTCGGGAGAATGTGGCACGGCAACCATCCCGAGCCTCTAATTCGCTGTTGCATCCGGGTTGATCGGTCTCCAACTGCGCATGATCGCATCGACTATAAATTCACGTAATTCATCACCGAGAAGGGCCCGCTCGGAAGGTCGCCCCCCACTCCCGTGGAGATCCCGCCAAGCTCCAATTTTAAGTTAACAAGGCACTGATTGATTTCTGAGTGCTAGTACTAGTACAGTAGAATCGACTCCGATGGACATCAAGTGTGACGTACAGTGTATATAGTATTCTTGAATTCATATATTGGCCCATGTATTAGATGATATACTGAAATGATGCCAAACACGCCGGAATTCGGTCGAGCGATCTTCGTTCTCGGGGCTGTGCATTCTCACTCTTGGCATTGACAGGTGGTTATGGATAATGTCGCCATGTGGCTGCCTATTCACACATAGGGGTTGTTCGAAAACCATGTTAGAGAATCCTTTTACGTCCGCCGAGCAGCTGCCAAGGACAGATAATCCCCAATCTTTCTAATTGGGGACACGTCTTTGAAAGTGCCGGCATTGAACGAACTTGGCCTGAACTCAAACGACTACTGCGCATTCATTCACAAATAACCTTTTGGAAAACCAGGCCCTCAAACATATGCTGATCGGATAATGTACAGTAGACTACCAGTACGAACCTTGGAAGTGGGTGAAGCATGGGCAAGCCAAAGGGAGAAAAGTGTAGAAGAGCTTCGGCGAACTCGGTTCAGCCCGGGCACTAAATTTTGGGGAAGCTTACCGGCTTGCCGCACCCGGTGTCCGGGTATGTGACCTCGTTTGATCGGAGCAGAGTGGATTCCATCGATATCTACATCTGAGATCACCTGTGTGCTATACGGAGTGTACCCCTAGGGTAGGTGACATATATCGGGGCGCTGGACACCCCGCAAACCTTCCAACCTTGAAGGTTAGAATTTCGCCCTATCCACGAAACCTTGAAATTGACGGTGGTACTCGTCATATGTTCAAATAGAGTATGCGGCCAAGATCCAGGTGCTTTGGGGCCAAAGGGGAGAGGGCGCGAAATCAGGAGAAGTACGCAACAGAACAAAGAATGCAGGTCAGGTTTGTTTACAGACAGCCCTGGAGTTCGTTTCCCGCAGCGCATTTCAGACTTTGATCCATAATCAACACTCTCAAAATTGTCATCTCAGGCACTGCCAAAGATCTGAGTGGACCTGGGTCCTAAAGATCTGCCACTAGTCATAGCATGAGTGCGGGCGTGCGAGAGATAGTCAGCACAAACTAATCAATGAATGTTGAACAGGAGGTGCCGCAAAATATCCATGAAGGCAATGAAATAAGCCCATGACTCGACTGTATTGCAGGTTAAGGCGCGAGTGTGGCATCGATTTCTCCTCATTGTTTCATCACCCACCGCCCGAGTGATTCTGCCATATATGTGGCAGCGTCCATGGACAACCGCACGTCATCGTAACTCGATGGCAATGAGATCTAGCTCGTCGACATTGACGCGTAAGACGCGAAGCGGCTGCCTTAGTTGCAAGTAAGTTTTAAGCACCCGTCGTTTAGCCCTAGAAATCGTTGATCACGCGCGACTAACATGCTTCAGGTCTCGGTATGTGCATTCGATGCATTGACATCAGATCTGGCTGGCTGACATCAATAGACGCGTAAAGTGCGACGAACAAAAGCCCTCATGCTTGCGATGTCTATCAACTCACAGAATTTGCGAGGGCTATCACAACCCAATTCAGCCCAACCTGACCTTCGACTCTTTACTTGACGAGGAGCGTCGAGCGTTTCTCTACTTTCGAAGCCAAACTGCGCACCGGATCTTTGGTCACCAAGATGCTAATGACTGGATGTCAACCCTATTGCAAATGGGCCACAGCGAAGTGCCGATAAAGCACGCTTTGACAGCTATCGCGTCATTGCATGAAAGTCAAGAGCCCCTTGGCGCGTCTGTGTCCGTCAGACGATCCGAGAAACATGCTCAGATAACAGCACAAACCCTCGCCTTGAAACATTACTCGGCAGCAATAAAAGCCGTGCGAAGCGAGTCTCCTAATATGTCGTCGAGACCAGAGATAATCCTAGCGCTATGCGTCCTTTTTATTTGCTTTGAGCAATTCCGAAGTGGTGATGCCGCATGTCTGCTTCACCTCAAGGCCGGCCTTAGGCTGATATACTGGTGGAGATCTCGTACTAGCGCATATACTAATCTGCAGGAATACTCTCGCCCTACGCTGGATTTCATCAACAATCACATAACGCCGGCGTTGCAAAGGTTGCGCGTGCAGTTCTCGTTATGTATGGATTCTCGTCACAAATTGATGAATCTGGGGGTTCCACTCTGCTTACCACCACCTAATGTCCCTTCATCATATTCATCGTTTATATCCGCTCGAATTGACTTCGACAGAACTATGAATTACATTTTGTCGTATCTGGAAACGAGGCAGTCTTCCGACGGCGTGCTTCCGACGCAGTCCCCCATGGCTGTTCTATGTCGTTGGAAAACTTCGCTAGACGCTTCTACTTTCTCAGAAGAGCGTCCAGTGCTGCAGCGATGTACTCGCAACTTGCTAGAGCTTTACTTTCATGTCTCGGTCGTCATCATTGAAACTTATCACGCCAAGACTGAAAGCATATTCGATCAACACACCCCGCGCTTCGCAATCATTGTCGACCTTGCCGAAAATATTAGTAATATGTGCGTTGAAAAGTCGGAAAATTTCAGCTTGTTGTTTAGTTTCGACTTGGGAATTACCCCTCCCATGTTTCTTGTCGCCTCCCGCTGTCGCCAACCCCTGATCCGGAGAAAGGCTGTCGCGTTGATGCTCCAGTCCCCAATTTACCATGGTGCATGGCAGGATCGCTATTCTGGTCTCTGTGCCCAACGGATCATAGAAATCGAGGAAGAGAAGATCGATGTTGTTATGGACTCTATCACGGTGCCTGAGGAACGGCGAATACGAAAAGTCTCTGCCGACTTACAAGACGAACAATCACACATCATCATGCAGTTCATGCGATCGCCTTTCGATGCCACCTCCCAAATATGCACCACTTCCGTCCCATTGGCGTACTAGATAATTCCATGCATGAATGCCCGAATGCAACACAGTGGTTTCATCAATTTCGGGGTCGCTTCGGAAGTGGAGATTTGACAGACGGTCGCTGTTGCTGGTCCTTGGTTCGGGAAGCCGGCACCTCCCGAAGTCGAACTTTACGAAACGTGCAATCCGACGTCTCTCTCAATCTCTTCGGAGTATGGAAAATGATTCATCGGAGCAACACCAAACATGATTGCGTTGCTCGTGTTGCCAGTTTCGTCTGATCAGTATTATGGCTACAGTGGCCCTACGTCATAGGGATCTCATCTGAAACCAACCAAACACGCGGGTTCTCAACGCCCTTGAAATAAGGATTTGAGCCAATTTTAACCCGACATGAAGGCCCCACAGATACTGCTATGCCCAGTGTTTGCTCTCAATATGATTCGCAGGCACACTGTTGCTCCTCATCTTTGTCACACCTGAACGACATCATCAAGTTTATAGTGGAGCCTCTGAAGAGCCGTGGGCCCGCGTGCATACGCGATCTATTATGGGGTCCAGATTGGACCAGTCAGTGCTCTCAATCATCCATGCTAGCCGATGAATGCTCCGTACAGCTGAACACCCCCGCTCGCACCCGACGAGTCATGTTCGACATACCCAGCCATTGGTTATGGTTTCCCGAAGCCGGATTGACAGCCGATGTCTCAATTATTCTCAAAAGCTGCCAAAATTGTGGCAGCGATAGTTGAATGGGAAATTGTCACTTGAGGGATAGTAACATACAGTACGGAGTACAGTTTTGGCAGAGGAGCCTGCTGTACTGTTACTAGTACATGCTATATTCAGCGGGGTTGCTCATGTTTAAAACAGTCCACTTGATTAGGGCGTGGGTCATTCACCAGGAAACTGGAATATCATAACCCAACGGAGAGGTGCAGCTGAACTGTGGATTCAGCGCTGAATTCTCCAGAACCAGGCTTGCCCCTCTCGATATTTTCAACCGTCGACAACCTGACATTTCTTAGATTGATTTGTCGCAGAATCTGCGAAGCTCGCAAATCACTTCATATATACGCCAGCAGCCATTCCCCATAGAAAGTGAAGTGGAAAATGTTCAAGAAACTGAAGAGCAAGCTTCATCGTCACAGAAGCAAAGGGAAAAAGGATGAACCCAACAGGCCTGTGAGTCGAAATCGCAATCTCGTATTTGATCAACTCCGAACTGACTCTCATCCCGCAAAGGCTGAAAGTGAGCGCAAGGACGTGAGCGATGCCCCAGCTCCAACACCGGCGCCGGCGCCCGCCCCCGTTTCAGCCCAGACCAAAGCTCCTGCAGCTCCTGTCCCGGCTACCCCGGCTCCTTCGGCTACAGCCACGCCGGCGGCTGAGGAAGTGCCCAACGAGTCCAAGAACACACCCGATAGCACCCAGGCGTCTGAAAAGGCAGAAGCGCCTGCCAAGGATCTTTGGGAGATCGCTCTTAAGCAGCTGCCTCCGGCCAAGCAAGAGAAGCTGAAGAGCCTGGGGCTGGACAAGCTCAGTTCTGGCTCCGTTGAGTCGGAGATTGAGGATCTAGTGGGGCTGGTGAACCAGAAACAAGCGGAATGCGAAAAGAAGTTCTGGCGGGTATCAATCGGAGATAATGATATCGTCCTCCGAAACTACACTACCAAGATCGTCGGATGGCTGGAGAAGGCGGGCGATATTGCCATTCAGTTTGCCCCACCTCAAGCTAGTATGCCATGGTCTGTGATCAAGTCTTTGATGCAAGTGAGTTTTGAGTGTTCCATGAACCTTCAAGTATTCTGAATATATCAATACTAATCGTGCATGACAGATTCCCGTGATTGGCGAAGAACAGATGGGAGCGCTTCTCGGCACAACCGAGAGTATCGTTCGCATTGTTAGTCGCGGTCAGGTATACGAGCAGGTCTATCTCGTCAACAGCACTGAAGACGGTGGCAAGCTTTCACAAGGTCTTGAGGGGGCGCTTATCGGCATCTACCGTACCTCTCTCGATCTCTTGGCCGATTCGGGCAGCTTGTTCTCACAGAACACAGCTAGACGGACCCTCGAGGCAATCTTGAACCCGGGTAATGTCTCCGGTGGTCTTTCGTCGCTCGCTGCACAGGAAGATGAATTACTGCGTGATGTCCAGGCCTGTGAGACTCGCCGTAGTGCTGCAGCCGACGACCGAATGATCGGAATGCTGGACTGTCTCAATGCTCCATTGGTTCGTGTGGACGAGAATGTGCAGAAGCTGCTTGACAAAACAGACGAAGACGAGCGGATGGCGCTTTTGCAGAAGATTTCGCCCCTCCAATTTGGAAAGCACCATGACAATGTGAGGGAGACAAGGACTCCCGGCACTGGTGAATGGTTGTTGCAAGATGGAAGTTTCCGCCAATGGGAAGAAAGTACTTCCTCAGGCATTTTCTGGCTTCAGGGATCTCGTACGTTTTACTGAGACTATCATAGCTAGTTTGAAGACACTAACATCATGCAGCTGGTACCGGGAAAACATACCTCACATCCAGAGTCGTTGATCTCATCAAGAGCGAGCTTGAAGATCTGCCGAGAAATGAGGGATTTGCATACTTCTACTGTAACCGCAACGAGAAGGACCGGGGCGACTCGCTTGCCATTATTCGGAGCTATGTGCGCCAGCTCTCAACTTCGGCCAATAACCCCCAGTCGATGCAGATCAAGCTGAAGGAGCTATGCAAAAAGGCCGAGGAGTCGGGGACCACTCTCAGCTTTGACACATGTCAGGAGCAAATCTTGACCTCGTTGAATCTTTACACAAAGACTACACTTGTCATCGACGCATTTGATGAGTGTGATCAAGATTCTCGTGACAAGTTGATCGAGATGTTCAACTGCTTGCTAGCGGATTCAGAGAACACTCTCAAAATTTACATCGCTAGTCGGCCTGATCCTGATGTTGAACTTCAGCTTCAAGAACAAGGCAGGACTGGTGTGGCCATCCAAGCTAGCCATAATGCTTCCGATGTCCAGCGCTTCCTTGACCAGCAGCTGGATAAGCTCGCTAAGAAAGCTGTCTTCATCGGTCGCATGAAGGGCAAAATTGTCGAGAGACTCCTCGAACGCTGCCAGGGAATGTAAGCTTTTCCGGACTCCTTCCCATCTATCCGAGTTTGCTGATAATCTAACCCGACCAGGTTTCAATGGGCGTCCCTGCAGGTCCACCAAATCACCCGATGCAGAACAGAGTCAAGTGTATGGAAACGATTGGACAATCTGCCCGAGGATCTTCAAAAAGCCTACGATGAGATCTGGGGTGAGATCGAGAGCCTGGAAGAGCCCGACAGCATCTTTGTCAAACGAGCCTTCAAATGGGTCATGGCTGCAAATGTGCCTCTGCGCAGCGATATCCTTCTATCGGCCATCCGCGTCGGCGCCCAAGATGAAGGCGGAATCTCATCGGATGAAATCGACGAACAAGGCTTACTTTCCTTGTGCGGAAACTTCCTCGTCATTGACCCTGAATCGAATTGGCGCTTCTCGCATCTCTCGGTTGTTGAATATTTGGAAACTGGGCATAATTGGAGCGCACCACAAGCGCACAACCACGTTGCAACTGCTTGCCTTTCTTTCTTAATTTCGGCTTATGAACAGGAAGATCCACCAGATTTGGTGAAGGGATTCTTCGCTGATGATGACGAGGTGGACGAGGAAACATATGAGAGAAAGTACTCATTCCATTTGTACGCGAAACACAATTGGGTTATTCACGTTCATGCTGCAAAGGCAGCAGAGGATAGTGAACTTGCTTCGCATTTGAAAACCTTCCTTGGCTCACCACAGGAATGTAGTGCGCAATACAAGAGGTGGGTCGAGCAAATTGAACGGGATGGCGATGGCGACGAATTTGCCAGGGATACCTCGGCGTTCCAGATTTCAGGATTTGATAAAAACGACATCGCTCTTCGGGAGATTGATGACTCGTTTTCTGCGGCATTCGAATGGTGCAGTGAGCTTAACCCAGCCGATCGCCCTGTGTTTGCAATGTGTCGGTTTGCGTTCGACGTCATCTTGTCAGAATGGTGGGAGAGTCCATCCATCGATGTGTCCGAAACAAACGCGCAAGGTCACGATCTTCTTACGGTCGCCGCAATTGCAGGATCTGTGCCTATCTGTCAACGGTTGATCAAGAAAGGGACCGACGTCAACCGGAAACTTGGGCCTTACTTTGGCACTGCCTTGATTGCGGCAGCATATTGGGGTTATATAGACGTCGTCAAGTGCCTTGTTCAGGCGGGGGCTGATCCAAACATCCATTTGAACACTCGAGATTTCCAAGTCTGGAGTTACGACAGTGATGGAGAAGTCCACTCTGTGGACGAAGACGACACCTATCGGTTTGACGAGGATGGTCCTGATAATGGCTATTTTGACAGCGCTGTCACTGCCGCAATTACCAACAACCACGCCGAAGTTACCAAATATCTCGTCAACGACGCGAAAGCCAACCCACACAAGAAACTGATTTTGAATGGCCAAGGAAATCTTCTCGAGCTCGCATCAACGAATGGAAATCCTGAAATCATTCAATGCCTGATTCGCGCCGGCGCAGACGTGAACAAACCGCCGCGAGACCCTTCAAAGGGAAGAATCATTGATCGACTACTTTCACATGGAGACTTGGGCACCATTCGTTTTGCCATCGAGGAAGCTGGTGCTGACGTGCATGCATCGGCACCAGGACAGCACCTGAATGTACTTGGGAGCGTCGCTAGACACAGAAAGCTTGACAGTCTTAAATACCTCGTGGAAAAGTGCCATCTCGATGTAAACCACGCATCTGATTGGGCTACCCCTTTGATATTAGCGGTCGAAGGCGGTGATATCAACTGTGTCCGCTATTTAGTCGAGCATGGAGCCGACATCCACAAGCTGTCTGACAATCAGCAGATGACTGCCCTCATCAAGGCAGTGAACGAGGGGCAACATGAATGTGCTCGCTATCTCGTTCAACAAGGAGCTGATATCAACCAGCCAGTTCCAAAGAACTCGACTGGTAGTGCTTTGGCGGAAGCTCTTGATTCATATCTCGTGTCTGAAGAGATGGTAATCTACCTCATTGACAATGGAGCCGACGTTAACCTGTTGGTCGACGGTCACAATAAAACGCTGCTTTCGCGGGCCGCGCAGACAGGCAATTTCGAGATCGTCCGCCGAATGCTTGAAAAGGGGAGTAACGTCAACCCATCGGGTCGCGACGGGCCTCTGATGAACGCAACATCGGGCAAAAACCTGAAATGCGTCCAGCTCCTTCTTGACAACGCAGCGGATGTGAACCCGGTCGGTGAAAGTCCCATTCTTGCAGCAGCCGAAAATGACTGGCCAGAGTGTGTTCAGCTGCTCCTTCAGAATGGAGCGGATCCGAATCCAGCCGGTGAAAGCCCTCTTGCGAGAGCAGCTTCTCATGGAAACTCGGAATGCGTTCGGCTGCTCCTCGAGAATGGAGCGGATCCGAATCCAGACGATATGAACCCTCTGGCGAATGCAGCTTGGCATGGAAGCTCAGAATGCGTTCGGCTGCTCCTCGAGAATGGAGCGGGTCCGAATCCACCCGGCGGAAGCCCTCTGGCGGGCGCAGTTTGGAATGGAGAATTATCATGCCTTCAGCTGCTCCTCGAGAATGGAGCGGATCCAAATTCAGCCGATGAAAGCCCCCTTGCCAAAGCAGCGGACCTTGGCCATCTCGAGTGTATTCAGATGCTTCTCAAGCACGGAGCGGACCCCAATCCATCCGGCGTCTGTCCTCTGGTGAACGCAGCCCTCAAAGCAAATGTGGAGTGTGTCAAACTTCTTCTAGAGGGCGGTGCGGATGTTCACTGTCTTGCGGCGGCAGTGCTTGGAGGGTCGGTCGAGGTCATAAAATTAATGTTGGAAGCTGGCGCAGATGTCAACGCTCAGTTATCCGAAGGAGAATTCGGCAGTGCCCTGAGTTTAGCCGTCGGAAACGAAAATGCCAGTGAGGCAGTAGCTCGCTACTTGCTCGAAGCAGGAGCGGATGTGAACATGAAGCTTGAAAATGGCCGCTTTGCCAACGCACTTGCTGCAGCCATACAGCACGACGATCGCGACATTGTCAAGCTACTGGTCTCGCATGGCGCTGATGTCCACGCGCAATCAGGTTGCCGTGGGAGCATTATAGAATTTGCAGTCGCTGACAATAGCTGGAGGAGCATCCCAGTCTTGCTGGAAAATGGTGTGGATGCCAACTCACCACTAACCGAGGATCAGGCATTCTATGGCAGTCTTCTCACGCTTGCTGCGGTCTGCGATAATTCAAATGTCATCGAAGCCCTGACAGAAGGCGGGGCAGATATCAATGCCGCCCCAGTCGGGGAATACGGCTGTGCCCTCTTCGCAGCGGCCTTCTTTGGGAAGAACTATTGCGTTGAGACACTAGTCGACGGAGGGGCGAATGTGAACCTTCGACTGGAGAACCTGCACTTCTCCACCGTCTTGGAAGCCGCAAAAGCACGTATCGGGCAAACGGAATACGTGAAAGTCAACCCCCGAGCTGACTCATATGATTTTGAGCGATACTGTGGAGAGGAGTTGCCGAGGTCAAAGGTTGAAGTGGTCGAGTATCTTGAGCAGATCGGCGTGACAGCTTAGACCCATCAAGGGTGTGCTCCAGTGCTTTCGAGCGGCCATATATGAGTGCATCTGATAGATTGGAATATAAACTTGCGTCGGTATGATACATTCTTCGGTTGAATGAGAGTTAACAGGTATGTGCCTCAATGCACCAATCGAGCTCTGTAGGCACTACTTTGGACCAAGACAGGAACGGCTATCATGACATAGATCCAGAGTGTATCAGGTCAATCTTTCATAGAAGCGGCTCGGACATACTGCCAAAATCTGTTCCAGGGTTGAAATTCCTCAAGTGACATCGAAACAATAGATCAAATGAACTAATCACTGTTCCATGCCCAGAGGGGGGCTGTGAGCCTTGGAGCCCTGAGTCCCTTACTGAGCAGTGTGCCTTCTTGCCCAGGTGTCGCCTTGTGACTGTCTCATACCCAGATACATCACCGGGGCAAGAGAAATCGTGGACGCGGGGTCTTCCGACTCCAGCCCCTAGCAAACAAGATCATCAAACGGCGTCTGTCCTGAATTCTTTTGCTTGAGCCCTCCGCACCTGGGAAACCTTAACCACCGAGCTCGACAACTGCAAGTTTTCTCTTCCATCACCCCTCAACACATTCTCCCGGTGTGAGACTCTGGCAGTGGTGGTCCCCAAACCCACTGGTAGGTTCTCGCTAGCTTCTTGGTTGTCGGCAAGCTATGTCCGTTCAGGCCATGAGGTCGGTCAGCGGAGGGTTGGCAATGGTGTATCGGACACGCCGAAGATTTCCCAGCAGAACCAGAGATCGAATCCTTTTCATCGCTGAACCTCACACGCTTGGATGTATTGCCACAGCTGCTCTCCTCCGAGTGGTGCATCGTCGTATGAACAAAAGGACCATGTGCCGTTGGTACTGCTTGCGGGCCGGGGTGGTACTCTGCGAACTTTCGAAGACACTCGGCATGTTTCTCGAAGATCGGCACTTTGTGGACGGGGCTTTTGCTCAAATGATGAGGGTGACTGTTATCCTTGGTCCATCTTTCATGTTGTGTTTCAGCTTCGATCTGGGTATAGATCGAGTGCTGATGCGTGTGCAAAGGACACTCCTGGCGATGATGGATGGAGGTACCTTGTGGAGAAGAGCTAGACCAATATGACCCATTTTGAGCCTTGTTGGACCATGTACTTTGTCCATCGTCCAGCTCTTCATGATCCACTTCATCCAGGTGGTGAATTCTGCTTTTCATGCAGCGTGTGGCTTCATGTGTGGCTTCATGTACTTGACACGGACGATGGGGAGGGTGGCATCTGCTGCTCTGGTCAGGGTCCCATTTAGTGAAATGGGAAGTGTGCTTCATTTTGCGGCTTTCCTTGTGATGATGGATGGATTGATGCTGCATATTGGGATCGTGAACTGGGCATGGACAAAGAGTCTTTGACGTACGGACATAAGACACATTATATCATACCGAACCGGCGCCGGAGAATCGATTGGGATGTCCTGCTGACATTTGCTGCCGTCGTCACCTAGCCAGTTTTCCTCGAATGGGCTGTGACTGGCGAGGAAGTGCAAACGCCGTCAAACGACTTGTGTCGGGGCGGACATTTTAATCGACGACTAAGCGGCCACCCACCGCGTAACCTGACATTGCCATCACATCTCTTGGCCTGCAAGTACCTTGCTACGCATCTGAAACTCCCTGCACTGCTCCTTGACCTATCTGATCATTTCAAACTGCACGCACGCCCACGCCAGCACAATGCAGGTTCTTGAATCTGCCGAGGACTATGGCGGCCCCGAGGACGGGTATGCATTCGCAAAGACGATTGTCGTCTACGAGGAAGATGGCGAGATCTACCGCGCGTTCTCGAGGAAGCAGTATGCATCAACGGCCGATATTCGATACGCTGATTTGTACAGCTCGAACAAAATCCGATGTGCCCTCTACCCTCAATTCGATGACTCCTTCACGAAGGCAGAGGGGTCTGCAGAGTATTTGTCAACGCTTTATCTGAAGACGCCTAGTCTCACGACCTACACTCCTCGAAAGCCAAATCTGATTCGAGACGCTTGGCTACGGGAAGTTAAAACATGGGAGCTGCTGAGGAAATACCCCCATCCTAACATCGCAAAATACCATGGCTGCTTCGTCTCTGAAACCGGTGCAATCGAAGCTATCTACCTGACAACTTATGACCAAACACTCGCGCAGAAGGTCAACCCGTCGCACCTTGCTAAGGGGGAGTTTGTCTATGAAAAGCTCGAGACAGAGAAATCCACGGTGGATGAATGGTTCCGAGGCATCGAATCGGGCTTGAGACATCTGCATACCCTTGGGATTGTACACAACGATATCAATCCGAACAATATTATGTTTGAGGGCGAAACCCCTGTGATCATCGATTTCGATTCAGCCCGCCCCCTGGGCTATAGCCTTGACTGGGTGAAGATGACATATGGCTGGTACAACCACGAGACTAAGCTCTCACTTCCCACCAATGACCTTGATGCTTTGCATGAGATGAAGCTGTGGCTTGCGGGGGCCGCCGACCAGTTCCAGTTCTAATCTGGGTCACTATATGCAATGCGGCTTGACGGAGTGGGTCGGTGTCAGTGTCCCAATTAGGGGAACGGAGGAATTGACAGAACGGTTTCATGCTGATGACAAGCGTACGGTATGTACACCTGCATGGCTGGCGTTTGCACATCGACTGATTTCTCTCGTCTACAGGAGCATCTTAGGGGTTATCGTCCGAACTCATCATTCTTCGGAGTTATCATTATCGACAGTTTTCATATCATTATCGGGAGTCACTATTACCAGGGAGGCGTTACTATCAAGGTCGTCATTCTAAGGAGTCATTGTTACCAGAAGTCAACGGCGTGATACGGCAAACTTGAATATCATTATCGGATCGGACTGCCATAGCAAACACCAATATCATTACTTAATCCAAATCAAGAATATGACCTGACGAAGTAGGAAGCTGTTTGCTGTATGTCATCGAAGGCGTAAAACGCTGGACCCATTGCTCCCTGATGGCCAAGAATGCATCGCAGACTGCCTTGACGGCGTCCTCGCGAGAGTCTCCACAACTCTCAATGTAGACTAAAGAGAATGTCAGTAACAACCCATGGCAACCGGACTTGCGTCAACGTACACTTGACCTTGGGCTCTGTCCCCGAGCCTCGGAACGTAAACCGAACCCCACCCTCAAGCCACAGTGTAAGCATTTGGCTGCTAGGGTCTTCTGGCAAGTCTGGTTTCTTGTCAGAGGTGCTGGTATCGTAGCCCTCAGTTAAGTCTCTCCATCGGAGAACCTTGAACGGCCCAAACTTCATTTCTGCGAGGGAAGAGCTCTTCCTAATTCCCTGGAAAAGCTCTGAAGTAAGCTGGGGGGAAGGGGATCGGAAATAATTGTTCAGCGTCTCGTGATGGCCAAACTCAGCGAAGAGGCTTTGGAGTTTGCCATATGCGGTGAGGCCTTGAGCTCTCCACTTGGCCTCTGCTGCAAGGAATACAGTGGCGGCTGTGATGCCATCCTTGTCGTAGCACACAGATGGGAACATGTAGCCCAGTGCCTCTTCGTAAGAGAATACGACGGTCTTTCCTTGTTTCTCTAAATCCCGGGCAACATTGGCCATCCACTTGAATCCCGTCAGGGTCTCAGTGAATTGGATGCCCTTTGCAGCTGCCATCTTTCCGAGCATGGAGCTCGATACAGTGGTAGTCAGCACGGCGAGGTGAGACCAGTCTCTACCGGCCTCAAAGGAATCCAAGATATGGGAGGCCAAAAGGACACCCACATGGTTTCCGCTCATGGTATGCCAAGTCTCACTGTCAAATTCGGAGCACGTTAGGGACGTTTGTAAACCAGACTGGAGAGTTACATACCCCACTTTTTCTGCTACTGCAAAACGATCCGCATCAGGGTCATTCGCAATGATCAATGTTTTCCCTTCTTGATCAGCGGTCTGAATGGCAAGATCCAAGGCGCCGCTCTCTTCTGGGTTGGGGAACTTCACGGTGGGGAAGTCCGGGTCTGGCTTTTCCTGGGCAGCGACAGAGACAAAGTCGTGGATGCCTATAGAGTTACAGACACCTGGAAGCACCAAGCCTCCTACACCATGCAGAGGTGTGTAAACAAATGGTCTAGGGGGTTGCCAGTCCGAGACAGTGGTTTTCTTTTTGTTGTTAGTATGGTCTCAAGTTTAGATCTCATCGGCGTACCGTGAACTCTTCAACTCGCTTGACATAGTGAGGCAACAGTTCCTGGTAGGAATCGGCGCGCAAGTATTCACCCGGCTGCAGCTCAGCCCAAGCAGTCGGCCACGGTTCAAGGTTCTCGAGAATTGACTGCGCAATTTCTCCGTCCTCGGGTCGGTTGATCTGAGCGCCGTTACTCGAGTAGCTAATTTGGTTAGATGTTTTCACGTAATGGGTCAATGTTTCTTACACTTTGTAGCCTGTGTAAAAGTAAGCAAAGAGTTCGCCGACCAAGGTTCCAACCTGGTTTACATACCGTTATCTTGGGGTGGATTCTTCAAGTTCCTTGGTTAGTAGTACATTCAGATCTAGTTCCGACCAGAGATTGACCTACATGACTTGCCGTCACCATGATACCTGCGGCGGCTTGGAAGTAATTCACCCCAAATGGGACCATCGGCGTTGGTCCCTCTTCCTTGAAGAACCAGACGGGGATCCTCTGCGCGATGAATGCGTTGGCAGCAAGTGCGGCAAATCTCGCAGAGTTGTGTCGCGCATCATGTCCAATGACAACGCCGCTGGGGGCAATCTCAGAACGCTTGTCTCGAATAAACTTGGCCAATCCCTGGGAGGCTTGGATCACCGTCAAAGAGTTCATGCACGAGAATCCTGCAGCCATGCGACCTCGAAGGCCGGCCGTTCCGAACTCGATGCCTATGTATGGAGATCAGGCGTGAACCAACCAATAAGGAGAGATCAACGTACGATTACGCAGACGCTTCTCCAGCTCCTCTGTGGCATTTGAGTCTCGAAGCTGTTCTATCTCCGCCCGAGTAGTAGGGTCCTATCTCCGAGTCAGTGGGATCAGGCCACCGGACGGTGTACGTATACGTACCTGGTCCCACTGAAGCCATGTTTGAGTCAACGACGAAAGAGATTGCTGCGCGAATTAGAATCGATACATCAGTTGGCATGGGAGACTTACGGCCATCATGCCATTCAATATACTAAGCAAGGTGGAAGAGCAACGTTGCGGCCGATCGGTCCCCGCTACCCGTAGCTCCGCCCCTGCACGTTTCTGCCTTGTTTCGATTGTTTCTCTTCTGTCTTCCTGGTCTTTTGTATTTGCAATCACTTTGTTTCCCGCCTCGATGGCCCTGTGAATCATCTACCTTCTTTTTCGGCCCTCAACAGACCTCTCACCGCACTTTTCGATGGAGCAACCCGCCCACCGTCCGTCCCGGAAGGACACCGTCCTATCTCGCCGATACATTGAAGGCCTCATTGCGGAAGGAAAACATGTCATGATTTATGAAAACCGTGTGCTGAAGGTCGATGCCTGGCTCAAATACCACCCTGGAGGTGAGAAGCCTATCAAGCACATGGTGGGCAGAGATGCGACAGATGAGATTAACGCGTATGTTCCGCAATGGGAACGTGCATGATATTGGATCAATCTAACCCACATTTCTCCTGTCTAGACTACACTCCCAAGAAGCTCGCGAGCGTATGCCCGCCTATCAGATTGGACGAATTGAAGGAACATGGATCAACTTCCTCCCTCCAATCCAGGGCGGCAAATACCGGCTGTACACGGAGGACACATGCTTGAGCGAGGAGGAATCAACAACACAAGAAAGCTCCAGTGGCTCCAGTCAGGGAGATTCAGCTCCTCCATCCCCAGTATTCGATCCCGTCGACTCAAAATCCTCCGTGAGACAACGGAAGCCATCCGCCAACGCTGCCCCTTCGGCCACAAACGAACGATCACAACCGCAGCCCGCCTTCTTGGACGCCAGGACCCAGAAAGAAATCGACTTTGACATCGCCAAATATCCATCCTTGGATACTGCGAGGCAGGAAGAGATCAAACGAAAGTACCGCGAACTCAACGAGCGCATCAAGGCCGAGGGTCTTTACAACTGCAACTACTTCTGTTATGCTATAGAATGCTGTCGGTATACACTCTTCGCAGGCCTGTCCTACATGTTCCTGCGCATGGGATGGTGGGCGACCTCTGCATTTTTCCTCGGCTGTTTCTGGCACCAGCTTGTTTTCACCGCTCATGATGCCGGTCACATGGGCATCACACACAATTTCCACGTCGACACTGTGATTGGAATGGTCATCGCGGATTATCTCGGCGGATTGAGTCTCGGCTGGTGGAAACGAAGTCATAACGTTCACCACATCGTGACCAATGAGCCTGAGCATGATCCCGATATCGAACATATCCCATTCTTCGCGATCTCGCATCGGTTCCTTACGAGTCTTAAGAGCACTTACTACGATCGTATCATGACTTACGATGCCCCGTCGCGATTCTTCCTCAAGATCCAAAATTACTCTTACTACCCTATCATGATGCTTGCCCGTTTCAACCTCTACGCTTTGAGCTGGGAGTATCTACTCAAGCGCCAAGCTCCTCGAAAGGGTCCCGCTTGGTGGCATCTCTATTTCGAGCTTGTCGGCCAAGTCTTTTTCTGGACTTGGTTCGGCTATGGCGTTATGTACAAAACGCTTCCCGATGCCACTAGTCGCATTGTCTTCCTCCTCATTTCTCATGTCGTGCCTTCGCCACTTCATGTTCAAATCACGTTGTCTCACTTCGCCATGTCAACCGCTGACCTCGGAGTTGGTGAATCCTTCCCCCAGAAGATGCTTCGCACCACCATGGATGTCGACTGCCCAACTTGGCTCGACTTCTTCCATGGAGGCTTGCAATTCCAGGCCATCCACCACCTCTACCCTCGCATTCCCCGTCACAATCTTCGTCGCACGCAGAAGTTTGTTCTCGAATTCTGCCGTGATACCGGCATTCCCTACGCGATCTTCACCTTCTACGACGGAAACAAGGAGGTGATCAGCCGGCTGGGTGATGTTGCGAAACAGGTGCGCCTCATGGAAGAATGTCGCAAGTCTATCGCCGAAGCAGGCGTGTTTTCCGATCACCACTGATCGGCGAAATGATTGTTACTTGCTGGCCATGTGGATCTGTGTTTTGAACAGGCTGTTACGACTGCACAGCCCATATATTATGTATCGAGGTTGATTAATGACTCAATGAATACTATCTCTGAATTAATTGCGCATTGGATAAAATTGGAAACTTGTCTGAGCGTCATCGATCTAAATCACTGCTACAGCCTTTCGATTGAGGGACCGTACAATCTCCACCTGGGCAGCAGGTCATAGAGGAAACAAATCCTGGATTACCAAGAGTATGAAGCTCGCCAGTTCTGCTTGTATCACGCGCTAATGTCCCCTTGAGTTGGGTATCGGCGGCGCGGCCGTGGCTGCTGGTATGGCTGCTGGTGTGGCTGCACTCCGCGATGAACCAAATGCTGGGAACCGCAAGAGCCAGTCCTGCGGTAGCTCCCGTTCTCGGGGCTATGGCCATCTCTCGGAAATGGATGCAGTCGCTGATCCGGAAGGACCTGCAACACGTAATGGACTGGAAGGGTTGGTTTTACAATAGACAAATTTGGCACGAGAAGAGATACCTAGTACAGATTGGATAGGTTGGCCACGCGATATACTGTGATAAAATGGCTGTTTTTCTTTTCTTTTAGAACTAGGTAAATTGAGTACAGTCACATACGGTCCACGGGTATCATGGACAGTCGAAAAGGCTAACAGTATCGCCTGGAGGTCGACCGTAAAACCAATAGAAACGATGAGCACGCATGTCTCACCCAGCCATTCCACCACGCGCCATCTTCTTTGCGTGTTGCTGTCGCCGATTATGGTTTGCTCGGCTTCCCTTATTCTCTTCTTTCTTCTGCCGTGAAGCAGCACCGTCCGCCTGGCCCTGACCACCAGATGGAGGTCCACCTCCACGGCCACGTCCGCGACCACCACCGCGTCCTCTTCCACCACAACCACCACCTCTACCCCGAGACCCAGTATGACCAGAAGATTCACCATCATCCGAGCCCTCCTCGCCATCTTCACGGGGTTGCGGTCGCCTGTAAGAAGTCGACCGTAGCTCGGGCTGATTGAGAGCGCCACCACCAGGTCCACCAGCATCCATAGCAAGTTGATCTTCAAGCCTGGCGATGCGCTTCGGATCACGCGATAGCATGACAGCCCAGCCCTCAATGGCTTCATCTGTCATCTCGAACTCGCGCTTCAACAATTGGCGCGGTTGCGATCGGCGCGTGGTCGAATCACGACCAAAGAGGCCAGGATTGGACTTGTAGGTTCGGAACAGAGTCGCTTCGGTGTCAGCTGTGCGTCGGCGCTGCTTCTCTGTTTCGGTTTCCCCATCTGCGCCAGTAGGACCGTCGATGGCGCCGCCCACATCTGTTGCGTCGTAGGTATCGTCGCGCTCGTCATCGTCAGAGTCGAATGTTGCTAGGGCAGAAAGAATTGCGGCTTTGTTGGTTGCGTGTTGGCTGCTGTCCAGTGGGACTGCTTCGTCTGTATCAACGTGGCCAAAGTGTAGTTTTCCTTCGGCGTCACCTGATCGACTCAGTTCTGCAATATCGACATCGTCGTCGAAGACGTTCTTTCGAGTAGGAATGTATTCAGGTTGAGGTGATGGCATTGCTGGGGGTGTTGGTTGAGGTGACATGTGGACGTGGTGAGGTTCTGCTGGGGGAGGCAGTTGCTCAGTTCGGTCTAGGGCTTGGAGTTCGGATGGCAGTGAATCATCGAGCAGTTGGGCAACAATCGTTTCGGGGTTGTCGTTGTAAAAGTCCAGCAGGCGTACAACGAATGCCGACCCAAGATCGGGGAAAAGGTCTTGCACCTGTGTGACAAGGGACATTTTATGCGCATGGACCTCTCCTGATGCGATAGGATCTGAAGAGACGGCTTTCCCTTTGTCCAGCTTCTTCTTCCTTTGGTATCGATGGTGTAGAGACTGCGATTCGACTTGATAATCACGCAAGCTAGCGAGAAGATCCTGGCCTCGCTTCTGCGGGTGCCCTGCAAGATATTTCTCTAATCGAATGAGCAGATCTGAGCTGCAGACTAGATCGGAAAGCAGGGTTGCTTCCTTTTTCATCTTCGGGGCCCCAACTCGCGCCGCAGCCTTGAGGCTGAACAATTGGTCCAATAGTGAGGACAAATTGACAGGCTCTTTCAACAACGAGATCAAGGAAACGTAAACATTAGCAACGAGGATCTTGCGAAGCTCTTCTCTAGCACCTTTCGCCTGGTAAGTCTCGGCTGTTGTGTCCAGGAAATCGGAACCCGCCATGAGTGCTTGGCCACATGCTGGCAGCACAGAAGCCAGAATGGTCAAACGACGGATATCAGAAAGGAGCTCGGTATTTGAGCCAGGGTTCGCGGATGACAAGTTCTTCATCACGGTGGCTTTTGCACTGTCAATGCTTGTACTGATTTTGTCATGATGGAGCTCCCAGGCCTTTGATAATGACGTCTTCAAGAGCGCGCTGGAAGGGTAGCAGCAGCATAAATTCCCAAGGAGTCTCCAGTCTAAAAGTCCCTCTGGTAGGTTAGGTAGATCAAGCAGATATCGCCTTGTTGCCAAAAAGCATAGCTTGCGGAGCTGTCGTCCTTGAGGCCCACTCTGGAGACCGGAGTCCCCTGCGGCTGCATATTGATAATAGGATCCCAGGAATGAGGGTGTCGATCCATCTTCGGCTGCTGCCACTCTAAATTTCTGATCAGGAAGATTCAGTCGGATGCCCAATAGAGTCATCCAAGCATCCAAGCAAGCTTCCCAGTCATTCGGTGGAATTGTCCTCCTCACTGCGGGGGAGGGCACTGGGGCCAGCGGTGGGAGCTCCGCCATTTGAGGAGATTAAGTTGGTGGAGATTGAATTTATGCAGGTAGTGAATGCAGTCAAGAAAGCAAGAAGTAAAGTCAAGAGCAGGTAATCGCTTGTTCCCCCAATATCCCATTCGAGCCTTCACGACCTCATCTGGATGTCCCAAAGAGGTGATGAGTCAGCAGAGGCTCGAAGGGCACCCAAAGGGGACTAGCGCGCGATAGCCGAAGTGCCAAGACTTTCGCACTGAAGTTTTTGGATATCGATTTCTCGATCCACAATACCTTCGACAGCCATCATCACTTTACCGAGCCTAGCAGTTCAGGTCTTGACGGCATTTGCCTTTTAAATTGTGCGCTCTCTCCCTCTCTTGGTCTTTGAATCTTTCTAACCCGACCTAGTCATATCAATTCAAGATGTCTTTCCAGAAGCCCGAGAAGGATTTCGGCGAGGGCCCTGTACGTTGTACCTGAAAATTGTCACTGGCGCCGGCGCACAGCGCATTGCTGTCGCTGCCCGCTGTGTCAATGCACCTCACCGAAAACAAGTGCTAATCACCTCTCCGCCCTGCAGAAGGTCCACAAGATCCGCATCACCCTCACCTCCCGCAAGGTCGCCTCCCTCGAGAAGGTCTGCCAGGAGCTGATTGACCGTGCCCGCGGCAAGTCTCTCCAGGTCAAGGGTCCCGTCCGTCTGCCCACCAAGACCCTCCAGATCTCCACCCGTAAGACCCCCAACGGTGAGGGTTCCAAGACCTGGGACAAGTACGAGATGCGCATCCACAAGCGTCTCATCGAGTGAGTTTTCCCCATCCGCGAATGCAATAGCGGCACCCATTGTCGTCATTCATGCAGTTTCTAACATGCTCCAGCCTCCTCGCCCCCACCGAGACCGTCAAGCAGATCATCATCAACATCGAGGCCGGTGTTGAGGTTGAGGTCACCATTGCCGCATAAATGCGCTAGGCTGGGCTTGCCTCAGGGAGGGATCATGGGCTGGTGAAGACGTGGTGCATTGTGCCATATTGGAACTAGCTCGAGTCTGCAATGTTTGTACAAAGCTGTGGGCGATCTCGTTGGTACCTGAATATAAAATAAAAAAATGGAAACATCTTGAAAAAGAACATTGATCATCTGTAGTTGGAATTGATTGTAGTACAGTATAATCTATCATCGGAGTAGACTGTTTGCATTGCGGTTGACCTGCGAAGAATCTCAGTCACCATAATGTTTGTTCAGTCTCTTGGGACTTGACCGTTTCCATCATTCGCTGCGAGTGTTACCCTTTTACCGTTTCCACTCTTCCCAGCCCTAATATGCACCATTTCCTTGACCGTGAGAAGCATGTCATGATAACATCTTGAGAAATAAAACGAAAAACAGATGTACTAAAAGTCGAAACTGATCATCTCTCGTTGCGGGGGCACAACAGGGATCCTGCCGTCCTTGAAGTGACCGTTCTCGAGGAAGAATTTGTAGGCCTCGGTGACTTCCGCTGTGTACTCTTCCGGTTTGCCCTGTGAGTCTCTCAGACTGGCTGCGTCAGGAGGCCCACTGGGGAAGTTGATGCGGACAAAGGTCTTGTTATCTTGCGGGTGCAGATAGCAGGGGTGCTCATTGATATAATTGACAGGGCGACCTTTCCACATCATGAGACGCTTAGTCTGCGGATTGGACCGAGTCTCACCCTGTAGTTGTGGGAGAGGGTTGAGCTCATCGGGCACATTAGGTTTGATGAATGCATTCGGTCCAGCATTGGCAGTCTGAACTGGTACACCCTGGGCGGCAGCGGGCTGACCAAAGGGAGACGGAGCCGCTGCTGGCTGTGAAGGGGCCCCGAATGGGGAGGGTGCTGCAGTTTGGCCGGCAGGCGCTCCGAAGGGGTTGGTATTAGCGGGTGGGAAGGATGACGGTTGAGAGGGTTGGGAGGGTTGAAGTTGAGATGGTTGTCCAAACCCACCAGGGGCGGAAGGAGCACCAAACGGAGCTGCTGGTTGTTGCGCTGCGGCGGCCTGTCCGAATGGTGAAGTAGTGGGCTGGGCAGCGGCTTGGCCAAATGGTGATGGTGCTGCTGCTCCCGAACTCTGACTGAAGGCACCACCAGCAGGTTTTTGGGAGAATTGAGAAAATGGAGAGGCAGTAGAAGGGGCACCAAAGGGAGTATTCGTGGTGCCTCCCAGGGTCGAGGGTTTGCCGAAAGGATTCGGGTTGGCAGCTTGTTGGCCCAGACTTGTCTGGCCGAATGCTGGTTTATTCAGGGCAGATTGTCCACCTAAGGCTGAGGGTTGGCCGAAGCCAGAGCCACCCAAGGCAGAGGGTTGTCCAAACGCCGAAGGCTGTCCAAATGCGCTCGTCTGCGGCTGTGCAGGGGCGCCACCAAGTCCAGACGGTTGGCCAAAGGCCGAGGGCTGACCAAACGTCGAGGAAGGAGCACCGAATGCCCCAGTTGTAGGGGCGGGATTTGGTGCCGAGTTCGTATTCTGCTGGCCAAACGGAGAAGGCTGGCTAGGTGCAGCAGGTTGGCTGAAAGACGAGCCTTGATTAGAGGGATTTGCTTTACCCTCAATAATGTCGAAAATGTTGGGATGTTCATTCTTTCCGTCGATGACATATTTGGCTGCGCCCTGGGGGTCATTCAATGCCGCATCTGTCTGCTGCACACACTCTTCCCACAGTCTCGAGGCTTCTTGCACTGCTTCATTGAGATTCCCGGCAGCCGCAAGTTCGTAGTGACGCAGGCGCATCTCTTCCGGACTCCGCTCGCGGTGAGGACCGCCGAACAGCAGTCGTGGAACATCTTTGGCGGGTGCGTATGCAGAGAAGATCCAATCTGGGCGACCTTTTTGCGCAGTCAAATCATCCTTGATGTTTGCTGCCGTCACTCCAAAGCTATCTTCGAGTTAGTCTGGGCTTCTTTGGCGGGGGGTGACTTACTCGGCGGGATGTTGGTTGCGGGTATTCGCTTGATTGCCTGTGGGTGATCGGGGATTAGGCCTTGAATAAGGAGCAACCAATGGTGGAGTAGTGGCTGGAGAAGGTAATTGCGAAGTAGTGACTGGGGGGGCAAAACGGGGAGGGTTCTGGGCCTCAAGAAGCTTCAAATAGTCTGGCAGCCTCATACGACCATTCATCTTTGCTGTGGAGCAGGCTCAAACGAAGCCCAGCAGGATCAGGTAGAAGAAACGTGAAGACAGGATATGAGGGTCAGGTTGCACGCGGATATCAGGTAGAACAAGATGGGCTCATGGAAGTGAAGTAAACAACCTCCAGAGCTTGAGCAGATGGAGGTCCAACCGAATCTGAGCGCGTCTGAACAGAAAGGTCACGATTGAAAAGAATGGATCATGGAAATACAATGGGAAAGATGTCAATAGACATTGGGCACTGAGAGACTTTGCAGAAAACATGTCGATTCACTCACCTCCGAATCCTCCAGCTAAAGCTCCAAATCGATTCGTCGATGTCCCAGTGTTTCCCCGACCAGGGTGCTCAAACCTGCAACCGGCTGGAATACTTTAGATATTTCTCTTTCGTCGGATCGATTGATGCCTACCTCCATACTTGCAGCGACCTTGCTGGAAGAAGGTGCATATCGTCATCTTCGCGGTACAATCCCTATATCCCACAATCACGAGTCTCTTATGATCCCTTCAAGGGCAATCTTTGATGTCTTAACTTCAAACCCCAGAGAGTCGGGGGAGTTACGCGTTACAAAAGGGAGACTCCTGTGGTTGGGACTTTTCACGGGTTTGGTCCGTATCTTATCGCCGCCCGGAACTGCGGACTTTCTGCGCTCAGCATTGCCCAGGTGGTGGTGTGCCATTGTTGTATACCAGTCTGAGATATTATTTTACTTCCAGGGTGTTCATCTTTACTTGGTCAGTCCTCTCTTGGGGATGAAAGGCTGATGGGTGTTCAAATACTAGTGATCGTTGCGACATTGGGACTGTTTCAATGTTCCAAGGTGATATATATTCCAAGGTTTCTGCCCAGAGACCATTTACATCGCAAGTATGCACCTGGGCACTGGGCAGGAACCTCAACTTGTCTCATACAGAACTTGAGAAATACTTCACATTCACTACCGTAACTCCAGTTTCCATTTAAACACCAACTAATGAATCATTACGTTGTATCACTTGGGTATATCATTCACGTGTGTCGTATGCTTCCCCGAAGATCATCCCAGTTCAAACCGTCAATCTTCTTACCACCCAATGACTCGAGCTCTGGTGTAGTCTCTTCCAGTCGCCCAGTCGCCAGACGTCGCATCATCACAGTGTCCTTGGCACCCGGCAGAGTGCTGGCATTGCCTTGGAGCAGAACATTCTCAAACCACTCTTCCTCGTCCTCGTCAAGCGGAAGCCCAACAAGCTCAATTGCTCGCCGACTGCGATTTTGACCCGGGCTGGCCTTGTGCACGAACTCCACAAGTTGCTCAAAGAATTCCCGGCGATGTTCCTCGTCGTACTTGCGCGCGAAGTAGAATGCCTCTGTGACATTGGAGCGAGCAAGTGCTTCAAAGAAGGCCTTGCGGACCTTGGGCGTGGCGAGAGGAGGCGACGCTGTGAGATAGTATGCGATCGCAAGACTGTTGTCGTGCTTGGGCAGTTTGGTGAGGGTCAGCGCGTAGAGAATCTCGTCCGGGAAGGTCGGGATGAGCGATGGCTCGGCAAGGAACTCGACTGCTCTCTGTCACATCATATCCTCGTTAGCTCAAGGGTGCCACTGGGGTGCCACCGCAACTTACTCGGAAGTCGAGTCGATCCATGTGCCAAAGACCTTCAATAAGAAGACGGTACTTTTCCGGAAGGTGGCATTGCTGCGCAAACTGAGCGGGAGCTTCGGGCGCAGTGCGACAGTCCTTGAGAATGTAATAGATCAAAGACTGCTTGTGGTGAATGTCAAGCTCAGAAGGTACGATGTGGTTGAAGAGTGCTCGGAGGTCCGCATTAGTCTTGGGCGGGTAGACCTTGGTGACTGCAGGGATCAGGTAGGTTAGCAGAAGTCACAGCCCCCAAGTAAGATGCTATGTACCTCCTTGGATGCCAAAAAGCGACAACAGTCGATCGGCGAAGAGTTGACCCAGAGAGCGCCGGTTAGACAGAATTTGTTCATGGACCTTTGGCTCATATGAGTACTTCTTGTTGAAGGCAAACACCTGGTCGAAGCTCTCCCAAGGAGCCATATTGGACAGGACTGGAGGTGATATTCAGAAGATGTGAGAATAATCCCAATCAGCTAACGAAGCTCCGCGGAGGAGTAATTACCGTACGGTAAGTTACAGTGGGATATGGCGGTGAGGTGCGTGTTGTGGCAGAACTGCGGGCGCCTTGCCTCTTCGGGCACGAGGTAAACAACCCACTTTCAATTGACAAAACGCTCCGTCAACCTCCCAACGCCCCTCCATGCAGCAGACGCCCAACTGAATCGCACACCATGGCCTCTGTCGCAAAGGGTAGGACCTCGCGCCGGTCTGCCCCTCGCCGGAGTTATGTCATCGAAACTTCCGAATCGGAAGACTCCGGAAATGTAACACCAACACCAGAACCTCAGGATGAGGACGAAGAGGAGGAGCAGGAATACACACCGGTCCCCAAGAAAGCGAAGCGCGCATCCAGCCAGAGAATGACGCTTGATCCCGTGACACCTGCGACCGTGCGCGCAACCAGCAAAACCCAAGCGACGACACAAGACGATTCCGATGCGATGGATACAGATGCCGATGCCGATTCGGTGGACGCTGATGCGATGGATGTCGACGAACCAGAGGAAAACGATGATGAAAGTGACGCCAATGATGAGAACGATGAGAACGACGAAGGTGCTAGTATTGCGGCCATGGAAGCCGATCCAGAATCGCCTTCCAACAAAGCGGCATTGAAAAGAAAAAGTATGGTCCAATCCCGCAAGAGCGGTGGCTCAATCACACCCAAATCAGCAAAGGGCTCACTCCCAACTCCAGAGCCGTCCCAATCACCCGAACTCCAGGCGCAGGCACAACGAGCCAGCGTACCACCTTTAACCGATATCACCGAATCCGCTGTCAACAAGAGCGAGTCGCCATCAAAGCCGCCAGGAGACGCCCCATCTCAGATCAACATTATCAACCCCAACTCAACCGTGCTGGAGAGGCCTATGGATATTGTGGCGAAGTCGAGAACCCAGGCCCCCCAAGCACCTGAGGAGCCCGAGGGGCCTAAACCCCGCATGATCATTGAGAACCTTATTTTGACAAACTTCAAGAGTTACGCGGGCCAACAGATCGTCGGACCGTTCCACGCTTCGTTTTCGTCTGTTGTCGGACCCAATGGCTCTGGAAAGTCCAATGTCATTGACTCTCTGCTCTTTGTGTTCGGTTTCCGTGCCAGCAAGATGCGACAGGGCAAGATTTCTGCGCTGATCCATAACTCTGCCCAGTACCCCAACCTTGCTTACTGTGAAGTGGAAGTCCATTTCTCACAGGTTATCGATTTGCCAGAAGGGGGACAGGAAGTAGTCCCAGATTCCCAACTTATTGTTTCCCGACGAGCGTTCAAGAACAACACCAGCAAATACTACATGAACAAAAAGGAAACAAATTTCACCGCCGTGACGACCTTCCTTCGGGATCGCGGTATCGATCTCGACCACAAGCGTTTCCTGATCTTGCAGGGCGAGGTTGAGTCAATCGCTCAGATGAAACCCAAAGCCGCAAACGAGCACGACGAAGGCCTGCTAGAATACTTGGAAGATATCATCGGAACCTCCAAGTACAAGACCCCGATCGACGAAGCTGCCACGGAGCTTGAAACACTGAACGATGTTTGTGTGGAGAAGAACAACCGTGTCCAGCACGTGGAGAAAGAGAAGACTGCTCTGGTGGACAAGAAAGATAAGGCCTTGGCGTACATCCGTGAGGAAAACGAACTGGCCCAAAAACAATCAGCGCTCTATCAAATCTACATTGATGAGTGTTCTGACAACGTTCGTGTCACCGAAGAGGCGATTCTCCAAATGCAAGAACTACTCAACATGGAACTCGAGAAACACGAGGGAAATGAGTCCGGCATCAAAGAACTCGAGAAGGCGTACAAAAAGGGCATGCGCCACTATGAGTCTATGGAGAAGGATACCCAAAGCTTGCTCAAGGAAATGGCCAAATACGACAAGGAATCCGTGAAATTCGAGGAAAAGAAGAAGTTCTTGCTCGGCAAACAGAAGAAACTCGAGAAAGCCATGCAGACAAGCCGCCTTGCCGCCTCCGAGTGTCAAAGCTTGGTTGAGAAATTCACTTCTGATATTGAGAGGAAGACCGCCGAGACCACCCAGCTCGAGGATGAGATGGTGACCGAAGAGAAGGAACTCAACTCGATCCGCGAGGGCCTCAAGGGCAAGACTCAGGGTCTTTCCGATGAGATTGCCGCCAAACAGAAGTCACTGGAGCCATGGAACGCGAAGATCAACGAGAAACAGTCCGCTGTTGCCGTTGCCCAGAGTGAGCTTGATATTCTACGGGAGCGTGGAAACGCTGGCGCAGTTCTGCTTGAGGAGGCCCAAGGAAAGATTGTCACCATCGAAGAAAGTTTGCAGTCCAAGGAAGGTGAGCTCGAAGAGCGACAGTCTCAGAAAGAGACCTTGGAAGCCGAAGTTCACAAGCTTCAACATGACCTCAAGAAGTACGCGTCGCGTGAACCTGAGGTTCGATCCCACGTCTCCAGCGCCCGACAGAAAGCAGACGAGGCTCGAGTCAGCTTGGCAAGCACCCAGAATCGTGGAAGCGTTCTGACTGGATTGATGCGTCTCAAAGAGTCTGGTCGTATCGATGGCTTCCACGGCCGCCTCGGCAATTTGGGTACGATCGATGAGCAATACGACGTCGCTATCTCTACAGCCTGCCCTGCTCTTGACAACATGGTTGTCGAAACTGTGGAGGTCGGCCAGCAGTGTATTGATTACTTGCGTAAGAACAACCTTGGACGCGCAAACTTCATTCTTCTTGATCGCCTCCCTCGTCGAGACATGTCCACTATTTACACTCCTGAGAGTGTTCCGCGTCTGTTCGATCTGGTCAAGCCAAAAGACCCCAAATTTGCACCGGCTTTCTACAGCGTGATGCAAAACACACTAGTTGCCAGAGATTTGGAGCAGGCAAATCGTATTGCCTATGGCGCTAGGCGGTGGCGAGTGGTCACTCAGGACGGCCAGTTGATCGATGTTTCGGGTACCATGAGTGGTGGTGGTACTCGAGTTGCTCGTGGTGGCATGTCATCGAAGCAAGTCGCCGATACTACCAAAGAGCAGGTATCCCGCTTGGAATCAGACCTCGAGGATCTTGAAAGGAAATTCCAGGCCTTCCAGGAAAAGCAGCGTCACGTGGAAGCTCAGATGAAGGAAAGATCCGAGGAAATTCCACGCGTTGAGACCAAGATCCAGAAGATCCTGATTGAGATCGATAGCACAAAGCGCAGTCTGGTTGATGCTCAGCGACGTGTGAAGGAATTGGGTGCGCAACACAAACCCTCCGACTCTGATGAAGGCCAAATCGCTGCGCTCGAGAAGCAAATCAGCAAGGCCCAGAGAGAGATCGAGAAGCTCAACGACGAGAAGAGCGGCATCGAGGAGGAGATCCAGACCCTCCAGAGCAAGATCATGGAAGTTGGTGGTGTTCGACTTCGTGGCCAGAAGGCTAAAGTCGATGGTCTTAAGGAGCAGATTGGTCTGCTTGCCGACGAAATTTCCAACGCCGAAGGCCAGCAGTCCAAGAACGAGAAGCTCATCAAGAAACACTCCAAGGCTCGCGATGTCTCCGAGAGTGAGATCGGGCAAATTACCGACGAGCTGGAGAAGCTTGAAGAGGATGTTGCCAACCAAACTAGTGAATCTTCTGGTTGGAGACAAAAGGCCGATGAAGCTCAAGAAGTATGTTATGATCTGCGACAGCCTTTTTGGATAGTAACTGACTGTTTGAACTCTAGGCACTGGAATCGCAGAGAGCCGAGCTCGCTACGATGAAGGAAGAGCTAGACGCAAAGGTGGCTGAGCTCAACGAAACACGTGCCACTGAGATTGAGATGCGCAACAAGCTGGAGGAAAACCAGAAGGCTTTGTCCGAGAACCAGAAGCGAAGCCGCTACTGGGAGGAGAAGCTCTCGAAGTTGACTATTCAAAATATCAGTGACATTGGAGAAGAGCAAGAGCCCACCGAACTCCAAATGTACACCAAGGACGAGCTGGATGCCATGAACAAGGAGTCCCTCAAGGCGGTTATTGTGACATTGGAGGAGAAGGTCCAGAATGCCTCTGTCGACCTCTCCGTCATCGAGGAATACCGCCGCCGAGCCGCCGAGCACGAGTCTCGCTCGGCGGATTTGAATACCGCTTTGGCATCGCGAGATGGCGCCAAGGCTCGCTTGGATGGACTTCGTTCTTCCCGCTTGAACGGCTTCATGGAAGGATTTGGAATCATCTCCTTGCGCCTCAAGGAGATGTACCAGATGATTACCATGGGTGGTAACGCCGAGCTAGAGTTGGTTGATTCATTGGACCCCTTCTCCGAGGGTATCTTGTTCTCGGTCATGCCGCCTAAGAAGAGTTGGAAGAACATTGGTAACTTGTCCGGTGGAGAAAAGACTCTATCCAGTTTGGCGCTGGTCTTCGCTCTGCATCACTACAAGCCCACGCCACTTTATGTCATGGACGAGATTGATGCTGCCTTGGATTTCCGTAATGTGAGTGAATTTCGTGATTACGGTACTCTCATCTACTAACTATGCTTTTCAGGTGTCCATTGTTGCCTCTTATATCAAGGAGCGTACCAAGAATGCTCAATTCGTTGTCATCTCACTGCGAAACAACATGGTCCGTGTCGCCCATTTCCTATTTCCCAAGTCGCTTTGCTAACATGACCCCCAGTTCGAACTTGCCGCTCGACTTGTTGGTGTTTACAAGGTCAATCACATGACTAAGAGTGTGACGATCGAGAACCGAGACTATATCACCGGTCGATAATGACGAGTTTGATGCTTTCTGTCCGGATGGGGTTTGCTTGTTGTTTTCGATGATATCACGGGCCGGGAGTCTGGGGTTTGCTTAGATGTCATTTTATTTACACTCACGCCGTCTACTGTAGAAAAGAGGCCTTGAACAGCACATTTGCATTGGATCTTTGTCTTTCCGTTGTAGAAGCTGCCCCGGGGCAACTCTTGCTGCTTGTAGCACCTGTACATAGAGAATGAAAATCCCAGGTGAGCACGCCCCTTCAGGTTCAATTGAATCAACTGAGATCCGTGGTAACCCTATTAGCAACAAGCATCCTTTCAATCTCTTCATGTCCATGAGAACGAGCAGCAGCGAGTGCATTCCTGTATTTCTTACCCGGCAACGTGAGGTTCACGTCCGCTCCATTCTCAAGAAGAAACTTGACTCTCGCCAGAGACCCTTTACAAACAGCAGCAACCAGAGCGCTTCCATAGTCGCCGCATGACAAAGGGAGATTCACGTCGGCTCCATTGTTGATGAGAATCATTACATTTTCTGCATTTCCCCCATACTGACTAGCAGCAGCAGCAGCAAGAGCGCTTCCATAGTTACCGCATAACAAAGGGAGATTCACGTCGGCTCCATTGTTGATGAGCATCATCACAATTTGCGCATTTCCCTTACACCCAGCAGCAGCAGCAAGAGCGCTTCCATAGTTACCGCATGACAAAGGGAGATTCACATCGGCTCCATTATTGATGAGAATCTCGACCATTCCTTTTTTCCCTCGATAGCAAGCGGCAGCAAGAGCGCTTCCATAGTTACCGCATGACAAAGGGAGATTCACATCAGCTCCATTTTCAATCAGGATCTTAAAAATCGCCATATTTTCCCCATAAGCAGCAGCCACAGCAAAAAGGGGGATCCCATCACGGTCATTTGGCAGCGGGAGGTTCACGTCAGCCCCATTCTGAAACAGGATCTCGACAATCTCTTGATATCCTCCACCAGCGGCAGTAGCAAGAGCTCTCTCGTAGAAATGTACCGGCAACACGGAGTTGGTTGCAGTCACTCGCTTTATTAGAGCTTCACATATAGGTTTGCAGCCTGCTTGGGCTGCGAGCTGCAATGTGGTATCTCCCCAATCATTTGTTTGTGAAACAATGATCTCTGCGCTGTCCCACCAGTCCTGTAAAAGGATGTAGAACGAGAAGCGACACATTAAGAAGATTGGAACATTCTTTGGAGAGATATCCTGCTGGTCGGCCTCATCATGAAATCCTGACAGGCCCGCTCCGGGGAGGCTAGAGACCCAGGCGCGGTATTGGAGACTGCTTTTGCTGGGAGAACCGAGAAATTCTTTCAAAACAGCTGCCAACGAAGGTTCCGCTTGTTTTGCTTTTTCGGCGATGTGCAATTCGTAGGATCTCACATGAATCATCCAATAATCTCGCACATAGTCTTTCAAGGGATGACCGAGGTCGAAGTTGTTCGGGGTTTCAATATTGGGCATGTGCCCAGAAATTTCCATGCCGCTTTCACAGACTGGGCTCTTATGTATCTCAGTCAGCAGCTTGAGACACGCTTTGGCAGCATGTGAATGAAGTTCTAGAAGCCCCCAATGGTTGTTTGCTTCGAAATATTCCCATACCGATAGATGGGATAACCTCCAAACATGGGTTTCGGAGTCGATGACAAGTAGGTTGCTGCATCGATCCAACAATTCTGACTCGTTGAGCTGGTCATCAGAGCTGACGGAATGCCCATCAACATCAATCTGAATTGCGGACAAAAGCTGATCGCTGGTGAGAGGTTCGAAGGCACTCATCACCCATTTGCACGCGCGATCTACGAGGGCTTTTCTACGTGGAGATTCTGAAATCTCCCCGTAAATCTCCCTGTATGCCTCTTCGAGCGTTTTGGGAAGTTTTCCAAGCTTGATCTCGATATCTGCTCGGGTCGACAATCCAAGCACCTGTTTGATCTGTAGGGATGCCCATTGAAACCTAATTGTTGTTAGCGAAGTGTTGCCATTGCCAACCGAGGAGAACTTACATTCCCTGGCTGTGTTTACAAAGAACCTGGACGATTTTGCTCCGCAGGTCTGCGGGTATCGGGCCCCATCTCCTAGGCTTGTCCATTTCGGCATTGATAAACTTCTCAATATCACTTTGATTGTCGATTGCTTTAATCTCGATGCCTTTCCCAGGGATCTGTGTTTTTATATCTTCGTCGTGTGGTCGACTTGAGATGAAGACCTTGAGTGGACGATTGGAGTTGGATACCAAGTCCTTTATCACATGAATAAGCTGCCAGCGCGAGTCTTGATCACATTCGTCCAGGGCATCGAGAATGATCACGGTCTCAGAATACTCATTTACTGACTCTGTCAGTTGGGTTTTGCAACCCTCGAAGCCCAAGTGAGATCCTTGACGTCTTGCTTGATCGCTGACGCTCTTGAGCCCTTTCCGTATGTGCCGGATATCTCCAACAGGGGTCGAGAGTTGACGCACATAGCTTTGAAGAATGCAAAGAGGATCTCTTCGATTCTCTTCATTTCGATTGCAGTAGAAGTACGCGAAGCCTGCATGGTCTGATGAGCTTTCAAGCAGACCTCGAACGTGGTCGATAACTCTCGAGGTAAGATATGTTTTCCCGGCTCCCACTAAGAGAATTAGTATCGCGGAAATGTGAAACGGCCACAGTTGAGAGCGTACTTGAGCCTCGGAGCCACAAAATTGTCGACGACCCGTGGTCAATCCATTCAGAGAATTTCTTGTGCTGGATTAACCAGTCACACGTGTCAGGAGTGCGAGATTCTACTCTGACACGATGATGCGTTCCATACGGTATAGGCGAGATCCATTCAAGAAGATCGCGCTCTTCCCTGGCGTCGATGCGTTCTAAAACCAGATCCCTTCGGACGTCGTCAGTATGGTCTCCCGGTAAGTTCTAGCCTACTTACACCTGCTGCCGAATAATCGGGATATCTGATGAGAGATCAAGGAGCTCTTTCAGATCAGATCGATTTGATCGATTGCAAGATTTCTCACAGTCGTCTGCAGCTTGCACTAACTGCCTTTGACTTCCGGAGAGTTTGTCCATATGAGCTTGTGCATCTTCGAGCTTGAAAACGTCGAAAATCTTCATACTCCTCTGCTGGTGGGACACGAAAGCAAAGAATGACTGCATCGCAGCATACGTGTGAACAATGCATGCTCTCAGCTTCGTCAAAAAGTCATCGAGCGGACGAAGAGCGAGATCAGGGGACATGTATAGTAGCTGGTACATGTCACATCGTACGAGAAGCGAGGTGACCTCGGCCATTGCAGTGAGGATGGCCCCTTTGAGTTCGTTGTGTGCGGTAGCCATCTGTATTGATCAGCTTTCTCCCACGACTAAATATGTAATCCGAGTTCCGTATCATGCAGATACAACAAACTCGATATGATATGCTTACCACAATAACAACTCGGACAGCGGCCCACGGCAGGGCAGCATGAGTTGGGTCGAAGCTGACAGCGACATCACCGGCGGAAAGAAACTTGTTCAGTACCGGCAACAGCTTGCCAATGGCCGTCGTTCTGTCATGATGTCTGCTATTCGATGCCTCATCCATTCTCTTTTGGATCTCCTCTACCAAATCTTTCCTTTTGGGACTATCGTGGTCCCAATCTTTCAGCAAAGTATCCACCTTGCATCTCTCCTCCTCTCCCAAGGAGTTGAGCGCATCCCTCCACATGTCATCATTCTCGGCATATGGCTTCGACTGACTCGATGGTTCGTGTGCTTGCTTTTCCGGGGGGTCCTGCGATACTTGGATCTGAGAGGCAGGCCCGGGGATTGGCTGGGCGGCGGACGCTGGATCAGTCTCATCACCTGCAGGTGCTGTCGATAATTGGGTATCGACTAAAACACATCAGCCGTCAAGGTCAGGTTGCAAATTCGCCAGTCCATAGTTGGGGACTTACCGCTGGAACGGCCCGTGGGGGACTCGTGGATTGCGAGGATGTCGGGTCGTTTGGCTCCCTTGTCTCTGCCGTCACGGTGGAAGAAGGAACGGATTTTCGACCTTTTAGAGCGATGATCAGACATTGCTTTGTTGGAGCTTTGGCTTGTTATGCTTGACTTGAAATATGACTCAAGGAAGGATTAAAGCGCCGATGAATTCGGTGATGGGAGGCTGAGTTCTGCGGGTGATTAGCCCCGCACAAGGGCGCTTAAGGCAGATGGACAGCGCAGTCTGACGTGGAATAAATAGTCCATACTCTGGGGCCCTGTCAAGACCCTGGGCAAAGCGCATCCGAGAAATTTGGCGGCAGGCACCAGCTTGGGACCAATAGAGCATCTTTCATGGTGATTGATCGAGAGTTATACCGCATGTGACGGTTCATAGGACTGGAAACCGCGTGGTTGATCTGGTTGATCAAGGAGCACAGAGGCTGCATTGCTGCAAGCTTGGGAGTCGAAATGGCCCAAGTCCTGTTTGGTTCCAGGGTTGTTGGCCTTAGGTGTCAGAATTCCAGGAAACACCAGTTCACCTCCACGGTATATCTGCGTATCTCCATGACCCTTGCCGATCATGTGGGTCATTGCGCTAGTCAAACAAAGAGCACGGAAAAGATGCCATATCTCCGAGTGCATAACACCTAATGTGCCGGTATTGGTACATTAATCTCTCGGCAAGATCGTGCCATCTTAAATATACTGAACGAGAGGATTGAACAGCAAAATGGAAGGAAGCATGCAAGTAGTCACCCATGAAGTGAAAATTTGTAAAGCGTTGAGACAACGCTCAGAACCAAGCAAGATACTAAGGGCCATATTCGCTCAACACTGTTCAGAAGTTTGAGGATCTTACACCGTTTGAAGCACAGTGTACCCAGAGGCTTTGGCTCGAAGGTTTGAAGATTCCGAGTCATCAGTGGGTTAGCAGACTGCCCGCGGATACAGCAACTCAACAACCGGTACATACAGATGGACCTGTGAAAGCGGCGAGTTCGTCATGATCCTGCTCACATTGTACTTCCGAGGTGCACATCAGTGGGTCACCAACTCTTACATTCCGAGACATAAGTTACTCCATCAAATATGTAAGTTACCCGCATTGAGGTGGTTCCGATACAAAGCGATACATAACGGAAAGCATACGCCACCAACATCTAGAATATCTCACACTGCAACCCAATTGATCCCGTTGAAAGTGGCGATCGGCAAGCCGGTCGTGAAAATCCAATGCCGACAGATCCGTCGTCTTAGGTATATAAGAGGACTGGTTCCAACCACCAAGTCAATTCACTCAGCATACAGATTTACTCGAGCTTCATTCATATCATTCTCTTCGCCTCAAGATGACCGATTGCATTAAAACCGATGTTTTTGTCTCTGGTGGTGGTCCTGTGGGGCTTCTCATTGCCTACGGACTTGCTAGACAAGGTGTTGATTCTCTTCTAGTCGGTAAGGCTTTTGTTCAAGTGCTAAAGTGATATCTGGCTAACACATAAAGAACAATATGTCAAGGAAGAACAGGCCATGTATGGCCGAGCTACGACTCTCTATCCTCGAACCCTTGAGATGCTGGATCAACTCGATCTACTTGAAGACCTGAACCAAATTGGTTACATCGGCCGCAACAGCGTCACCTACAAGGATGGGAAACGGGTTACATCCCGTGGATGGCATGTCATGTTCGAGCGCATGCATGGCACCTTCCTGGACTATTGTCTGAATATTCGTCAGAAGTACTCTGAGGAGGTAATCCAGAGCGCGTATCAGAAGTTCGGCAAGCGGGCTTTCACGGGCTGGAAGCTGGAGAGCTATTCTGTTGATAATGCGAGTGACGATGACTACAAAGTGACCTCGCATATTCGTGAGATCAAGACAGACAGGTTATTGACTGTGAAAAGGTATGTTCATTGGATCTAGTCTAGGGTCTCTGTGTCTAACGGGGATCAGCAAATATATTGTCGGTGCAGATGGTGGTCGCTCCCTTGTTCGACGCACAGCCGAAATTCCCTTCAATGGAGATCACACCGACTTCAAGTGGGTGCGAATTGATGGACATTTCAAAACGAATATGCCCGATGCAGACCTCGGTTTTGCCTCTATTGAGTCTCGAAGCCATGGAAACGTCCTTTGGGTCCAGCTTGACCATGGCGTGAAACGAATTGGCTTTGCCATGACTGATGAGATGATTGCCAAGTATGGAGGCAAGCTTACAGAGGAGCAAGCCAAGGAGGAAGCTGTTCGCTCCATGGAGCCATTCACTCTGGAATTTGAATCCGTCGATTGGTGGACCTTGTACAGGTAAGCCTATCTTCTTTTTGATTCCCTGGAAGCCAAATACTAATATCAGTGTCTAGCATCAACCAACGTGTGGCTGATGCGTTTTTCGCCAACGATCGTGTCTTGCTTGCTGGTGATGCTTGCCACACACACTCTTCTGGCGCCGCGCAGGGCATGAATACAGGTGTCCACGATGCGGTGAACCTCGCTTGGAAGCTGGGTGGAGTAGTCAAAGGCTGGTATACCGCCGATATCTTGAAGACCTACGACAGCGAGCGCCGTCCTGCTGCCTTGCGACTTATTGAGCTCGACAGGGCATTCTCAGCCACTATTTCTGGCCAAGTCCCAGACAGTCACAAAGACACTTACATCGATGCCAATGAGTTGTTTACCAAGCTCTTCGATGAGACAATTCTCTTCAATATTGGATTGGGAATCAACTACCAGGAAAGCATCATCAACAAAGCCGTTTCAGCCGGAATGGTCTCGGCAGGCTGGAGAGCTCCCGACGCGTTGGTCTACAGCCCGGGCTCTCGCGTCCCAACCCGCCTCTTCCAATGGACGAAGAACCGTGGTCAATGGACATTCATTGTTTTCGCTGGACAGCCTACTCTTACTTATGCGAATCTGGCACCTGCAATTGAGAAGCTAAAAGGGATTGCGGATACGCTTCCCAGTGGGATGGTACGCTTCCTTACTTTGGTGGCTCAAAGTGCAGCCGAGGGAGACCAAATGTTCGATCTTCCTAAGATTGGAAACGTATACTATGATCAAGATCGAGCGGCTCATGCTGCTTACACCATTTCAACACGGAATGGAGCTGTGGCTGTTCTACGACCCGATGGGATTCTCGGGCATGCAGTCTCATTGACTGAAGTTGACAGCCTCGTCGGCTTCCTCCGGGGGTTCACCCAGGCTCGTTGAAAATAGTACAACCTCAAGATGTCCATGAAGCTCGCATTCTCACGGTCATGTTACTGTTGTTTGTCTCCTAGTTTAGCAAAGCTAGTTGAATCAACATCATCTTTACCATAACACACACACACACACTTAGATTCTCACACACATCCAAAGATTGATCAAATTAAGATCTTACTAGGTAGTTTGATATTTCAATGTCAAGTATTTGATCTCGAGTGTGAAAGTTAGAACTCCAAATTAAACCAAAATGGATCGAAGAAGGTCTGCGCATTGAAGTCAAAGTCGCGGAAGATATCTTCTGAGAAGGGAAATTGTGCTGCCATATTCCACGTCTCGCCACAGACTTCACTATATTCTTGCAGTTGATCAGATCGTTCTGTATCGAATTAGAATCAAAACAAGTAATGTTCAGGGGATCTTACCAGATGTAGCCTCCATGCATTTAGATCGAATCAACGCCATACTGTCAGCACATCGCTCTGCTACCAAGCTGTACGACTTCAGGTGATTCAGGGCCTCCTGGCACTTGACCCAGGACATTTCCAAGGCTTCGCGCGTCGCAATGTTCGCAACTGGCGGATATAGTTCGGCGAGCAGCGTGATAGACCCAGCTGTGAATAGATCTACGACATGTCAGCGCGTGATGAGGAGCCCTGTGTGGTTCTTACAAAAAACGTTATAATACCAAACACTGGCTAGCTCGGTGTTGCAAGTCTCATGAACCAAACCAATGAGATCAATGGCGGACTGAACGCAGAAGACTGAGCAGTCCATGGTGAAGTTTGCACTGATTCCAGCGGATAATTCCCTTTCGATTCCTGTGGACATCATGTCACGTAACGATTTTGAGAGGACTGGCCTGTAGACAAGAATCTTGAGGTACAAAAATCTGCACAGAGATGGTTAGTGATCCTAACGGATGAGGTGTTCGTGTCAACTTGCCTCGCTTTTAATAGATACTGTTCTCTGAGGAACTCAGGATGTCCTTCAGAGGCCGGAGAATCCCAACGGAGCGGCCTTGGAACCCTCAGTCGGAAGTCTTGGAGGTCTGCATCCAATTGTGTGATGTAATGAACCTGAACCGACGTCTCCGTAGCTCCTTGATTGGCAAGGTTTTGCTTTTCGTCGTATTGGTTCCCAATATTATCGTAGAGCGTATTGAATATCTTCCGTAGAAGCCCATGCAGCTTCAGAGTTGTAACAAACCACTCGGCACGAGAGAATGTACCGGGTGGCTGTTCACAAGTCTCGGAGTCTATGTTTAGATGAATATCATCTATTGGCTCCGGATAGGCGTGGATGGCTTATAAGATATCATGACCGGGCGACCAAGCATAATGCTAGTTGCTCTAGATTCCCTGTCAGATAGTTCAAGCAAGAAGAGGATCATCTCTCACAGATCAAGCATCACACAACCATGCCATACTCTCCGTCGAATCTGTGTCTCGGCAAATGATCGATGCTCATTCCCAACATCGGAATGCAGCCCTACTCCCTGTGCCAATCTGCAAGCCGTTCCAATTACGTGCCAGCAGCGGTTGGGGGTGCGGGAGCCTTGCAGGTAGTGGGCCATCAAAAGGAGAGTCTGCGCCAAGGCAAGATCGCCGTTTTCGAGATAGTCTAAATCTAGAACTGGTTTGCATGTTTGGAAGAAGGCCTCGGATACAGCCTCTCGTTCGTGCTGAACGATATCAGAGAACTGGCAGCCTAGAGCGAAAATCATATTCAGCCCATAGTAAAAAGTTATGAGATTGCCTCCGGCATCCCCTAGACCAAGGCCATTCGTTGATCGCCCTGATGGAGTGTCCTTATTTCTCCGCAGTGAATCATAGGCTGTGAGAAATGCTTCTTTGTGCACGAACGGGTATAGACTATGAATTTTAGAAAAATAACAGTCGACAAGGTGGTCTGCCAATGTGCGCGGTGGGAGTAAGACTTGTAAATCATTCGCATTGAAGTTGGTCGCGGTTTTCGGGTCAAATTGACGCCGAGATGCCTGTAATGGGGCTGGTGTTTTCGATACTGCGTCCTGTAATTGATTGATAAATGCGACTGTGGATGAGTCTCCAAAAAAGCCGCCTATGGACTGGTCATTCAAGTGGCGGGAAATGAGGCCCATTGCAGTCACACTGGAATCGCCTTTTAGCGACTGAACGGGGTATTCACGGGTCCCTGTGTTTTCTGTCCTGCTTCTAATGATATAAGCAAAAATCTTCGATTCATTCGCAATGGCTCACCTTGCGTCATTTGGAGGTTCCTCATAACGACACGTCTCTCGACGGCGTTGGCAAGTGCCACATTGAGGGCGATCTCCATCACAGCGGATTTTATGTGATCGGCAAGTCTTACAGGCAACGCTGACTCTTTTTCTTTTGATAGGTCGCTGTGTAAGATTATTGTTAGACATCTGTATCAGACGGGTAGGAGTGAAGTTGATAAATCCGGGCTACTGCAGTGTGAAGGGGCGTAAGGTGATCCTAGAATCCGAGGGATCAATGCACCAAAGAAGCCCTGGAGCGTGCTTCCCGCCCGGCCCCGGGGGCTGGCGTTTGTCAAGTCGCTGACTAAGTATAAGGTTTGGTCGCGTGATGGCGCTTCGCCTGCTGTTTCCGAGCGCGAGGAGAGGATGCTTGCAGCAGATGATCGGCTGATCAAAGAGAATGAACTGAGGATCAGTGGATAGGATTCGTATCATGATGTGTGCGGACAATTTTTTGACCGAATGTTCGAGAAACAAGTAAGATTGTTGGAAGTTGAACTACCAAAGGGCCAGAGAGAGAGAGAGAGCAAGCTCGATTCAACTACACTGGGGAGAGAGGGAAAGAAGCAAACTACCTGAGGGCAAACTGAGAGCTAGAAATACTGGGGGTCATGTGCCCATAGGGCTCAGATAACTCACGACAGAGAGTGGACGCGGAATACAATTTAAAGGTTTGAGATAGCGTTGGCATCGATTCTTACAAGCAAGACACTTGAACCAAACGTTAAGAATATTCCCAGTACAAATTACATTGCCAGAATCCTCCGACTATAGCAACTCTCTAATCAGTTTTCAGTTCTCCACTATGAGATAAAATGAAAGAAAGTGAAAGAATGAGGCAGGAATTGAGCACCAAGTCTATACGGTCGAGCGATTGGTTTGGATTGCTTCGTCATACTATCACTTTCGCACCATGCGCATCAACCTCCTCAGAGTGATGGTGATATCATAGGTCGCTTGCCGGAAAAGGCGCGCTCATTGGCAGACCCATGACTCGGCATCATCGATGGCCTCGGCATTACTGAGAATGGCGCGGCTTGGGTAAGGACAGAGGGGGCGCTGATGTCTGACACCTGAAGCAGGCTTGGTATCATTGTTCCAGGCGGTCGCAATAAGGGCGTCGACAGGGCGCCCCTTCTCAACCCACTCCATGGAGGCCATGACAGCATCATGCTTAGAGTCGGTAAACTGCGGTACAGAGTAGACACTGGTACCGATTGAACCTGCCTGGTTGGGGCCGCCAACATACCAAGGGGCGTGGACGGAGGTTCCATAGCAATGATGCATGCCAGGAACAAGGAACAATCGGAAAGAGTCCGCAACATCGACATCAGTAGGTAGCTCGGCAGAGACAGACTGGAAGAAGTATTCGGAGCTGCCTGTGGGGATGAAGCCGTCCGCCTGGCCATGGTACATGAGAACCTTGCCGCCGTTGTTGAGATAGCTATCAATGGCAGCAAAGTCGTCTGCTGTTGCGTTACCCGGATTGCACTGCTCAGCCTAAGCAACGAGAGAGTCATCATAGTGCTCCCAGGTCCAATCTGGGCTGCTGAGCAGCATGTACTGGATATACCGCACGTTATCTGCGCTGGAGTTGAGATCCAGACAGCCCCACCGTTCTGCATCTCATACCCAGCCACTTGGGATTGATTCAAGATTGGGATGCCCTCGAATCCTGATCATATCACAAACACTAGCAAAGGTGGCTCAATTGTCAAAAGAACCTCCATAGCCCTGCCCAGGTGGCCGTGGACCAATGGGTGGCATAATACAATTTGAGCTTGGGGCCGAGGCAAAGGCGTGGGAGACTGGAGATGTGCCGCCTTCTCCGGGACATGTGCAGCTTGGGACGTCATAGGATACCAACTAACTATGTGGGCTTTTTGAGAGTGATCAAAGGAATCTTCACCAAATTCACTTAGCAGACACGGACGAAGACTTTGTGCAGACTTGAAGCGGCCTTTCTCTGGATCAAAAGTTTGTTTTTGATCATCTTAACGGGGGAAAAACCCATCCACTAAGACCTTACTACCCCGCATGTCGATTAAACGTATTGAAGCATTGAATGACATGCATGCTTAGGCAAAGTGTGCACAGAATAGTACTTTTAGTACCTAGGTACATGTGGGTTCGCTCCAAGTCCAATGTCATCTCTTCATTTGACACGATTGCAATGGTCTGATCTGACAAGTACATCCATCAACCAATAATTGGCTCGAACCAAGGTTGAAGGGACCGAATTTCAAGTTTGTGTCAAGACAAAAGAAGATCGCTGCTCCTCCGGGTTGCCAAGCTTAACGTCCAGTTGACGTCAGAAGCGGGATGAGAGGAGGTTGGGGTGCGCAATTGAGGAGATTTAGCTCTAGTATATTATCCCTCTTGTAAATTATGCGGCCCAGGATATATTTTCCCTTTTCTTTTCACTTGTTTTGCGGAGTTTTCCAGTGAACGCAGCACAGTACTAGTACGAAAGCCGCACGTTCTCTGCGCTGGAGTTGAGATCCAGACAGCCCCACCGTTCTGCATCTCATACCCAGCCACTTGGGATTGATTCAAGATCACAAGTACGGAGTGCAGAGTACATATACTGAGGACAACAAATCCGATCATGGTGAGTGTTTATAGATGCGGCTTGCATTCCCTTGGTTCATACAGAATTGCCACGCGGGCCGAACAAAGAACCACGGATCGCAAATCTTTGACCCAGATACTAATTCTGGATTCTGCAGGCTCCCATAGACTTAATACAACCTCGACAATCGAGCGGCGACAATTGTCCCAGCACAATCGGCGGCGGCGCAATTGCGGGCATTGTCCTCGGCTCGATCGCAGGCACCCTTCTCCTTCTTTGGCTATGGCGCGTGTGTCGCACACCTGGGACGTTCGGTGGTGGCGAACCAGATGTCGGCTACCGGCCTCCGATTGTCCGCAGTAGCGGAAGCACGCGTGGCCGGAGAAAACGCCGTCGTGGACCCAGCACGTACGTCGAATATGCTGAGAAGCCGACAAGCTCGCGCCGGTATAGAGATCGGGATGATGTGCGTCGGCCTTCGAGGGTTTATATGACCGAAGCCTGAATCATGTTTCACATCGCAAGTACGGATTATACTGGTTAGTACCCGGATGGGTACTTTGTTCCACATGAGAAGGAAGTCCAGTGCTGCGTACCGTGATTTCTGGTTTCAGTGGACATGGATCTGGCACCAGCGTTTGCTATTTTAATGACACAAGGGGGTATCCTGGATTCACTAGTTGACAAAATGGCCGAGCCAGGACCATTATGAGATATGAGCTATGTACTCGTCTGTACGAAGTATGGCTGCAGCATTTTACGATTTCATGAGAATACATGTCGCAATGAAAGATTTGAGTGAGTTGCTTTTTTGTGGTTCTGTGTCTTTGGTATTGATGGGGTGTGGGGGTAATGGGGGCCCCTGAGCTGCGATCTCAATGCGCAAACAACCCGATCGAGCCTTTGCGCGCTGCACATGTGGCTACCAACCGCTCATAGGTAGGACATATGCACCGAGTAGGCAGGATCCAGACGGGTATTCCGCTCCCGTACCTGAGCATGGAGTCTACAGTACTGGCCTCGAGTACTGTAACGGAAATACCCCGTACACTCTATCCTGGTTGAGGAAGACTTGGCTACGGACTTGGCTGTGTGTCAAGGACGAACAGTGGCGTTCGATCGATCAGACTACCCAAATCCCCCCTGGAGACCGACTCGGTAAAGCCAAGATTACTCCAACGGCATGAACGCCGCAGCCGTCATTTCGCTCTTATCGGCGAATAGGAGGAAAGTTTGAAGTCCAAGGGTCGAGTGAGTGATAGCCAGCAGGCACCAAAGACAGGGGAAGGCCCACTGTGGACAGAAGAGAAAAAGAAATCTTGGGATAAACCACTCCACTCGTGGACCGGGTAGGGGCTTGGCTGTTTGAAGGACACTGTTATTGGCCAGGGTCTGCGGAGCTTTCATAAATTTCGGTTTGTGAGAAACAGGTATGATGAACATGAACGAGACGAACGAAGAACTGAAAATAGATTAATTTTTTTTGCTGGCCAAGGGGTGTGCATGGATGATCTGTAAGCCCAACCCACTCGTGGTGTTATCAATTCGGCGTCAGATCTTCATTGCAGAGATGATTTTCCTCGAATGGCCCAGAACGAGGCTAAGCCACTAGCCTAGTCCTGCCAAGTTATTGTATACAAAGCCACACACAGGGAGGGAAACTTCAAGGAGTGAGTGCAGGGTAGCCCTGATATCAACGCTGCATCGCAGGAGGTAATACTCCGCACTCCGCACTCCGTTGCGATATTCGACTACCAACGGTGCGAGCAAATCGCGAACCAGGGACCAATCAGGGTCTTTTTGGTAGCTTTTTGGGGGCTTGCTACTCTAGCCTAAAGAGGCAAAGCGATAAGCATGGGGCCTCTGGAACTGCCAATTGCAGTTAGCGGGCTGCACCGAGACGGAGACTAGTGGAGGCCTCTAACCCCAAAGGGCTTAGGGTGTCTAACTCAACCACAATCACTGCAGGTTTCCCCTTACGCTAACTCCTTTGCTCTCGTCCAGTCGAACAAAAATAATCAACTTGGCCTAAAACACCACTAGCCCAACATGTCACGAACCCACCTGGGCCTAAATTGGGTCTTTCCCCCCCCCCGTTTCCCTTTCTCACCATCTCTCTCGTCTCGCTGCTGGCAGAAATCCTTCCATTCTTTAGTGCAATAGCACATTACAGTCCTTACGACATCTCGAGTAGTCTCGAGTCCATTCTTTATCAATTTTTTGGAACTGTCCAGTAGCAGATTACTCGACCGGGTCTCAGAGAGCAATCGCTTATCTACAACATGCTCTTCACTCGCACCGCCTTTCTGGCGGCTTTGGCTAGCTATGCCTACGCCCAAACCTCGACTGACTGCAACCCGTTGAACACAACATGTCCCGCCGATCCCGCACTCGGTACCGAGCACACCTGGAACTTCAACACGACGTTGGACGACAAGGTCTGGGATATGCAAACCGGAGACTACGAATACGGTGACGATGGTGCTGAATTCACCTTGTCCGGCGAAGGAACCTCCACCCTCCTTTCATCGAACTTCTACATCTTCTTCGGTGTCGTCGAATCCCACGTTAAGATGGCCAAGGGTGCCGGTCTCGTCAGCAGTGTCGTCTTGGAGTCCGATGACCTTGACGAGGTTGATTGGGAATGGGTTGGATACAACACCAGCGAGGTGCAATCCAACTTCTTCGGCAAGGGTAATGATTCTTCGTTCGATCGTGGTGGTAACCACTACGTGGCGAACGCCGACACCGAGTTCCACAACTACACCACCTACTGGGATGAGGAGAAGCTGCAATGGTGGATCGACGGAGACATGGTGCGCGAGCTGAAGTACGACGACAAGGGTACTGTGGGCGGAACAAACTATCCTCAGACCCCCTGTCGGGTTAAGTTCAGTCTCTGGCCTGCCGGTACCAAGAAGGCTGCCCAAGGTACCATTGATTGGGCTGGTGGTCTGGTCGATTGGGATGACGCTCCCTTCACCATGGTGCTCGGAAAACTCCGTGTCAAGGACTTCCACTCTGGCAAGGAGTACACTTACGGAGACCACTCGGGTTCCTTTGACAGCATTAAGGTTGCGGAGTAAGTAACAAGAGACCTTCCTCATTTTGAAGTTGTACTAACCACATTCTGCAGTGGAAACTCTACCGTCCTGGAAGAACTAAACAAGCCCCCTCCTAAGAGCACCGCCGAGAAGTGGAATGACCTAGGCCAGGGTGCTCACATCGGAATCTACTGTGGTGCCGCTGCTGCCTGCGCCATCGCCATCGCCGGATTCTTGGTCTTCTGCCTGCGCCAGCGCCGCAAGGGTCGTCTCGAGCACGCCCTTGACAACAACCAGTACGCCGAGAACCGCAATGAGATGCAGAACTTCCAGAACGACTGGAAAGCTAGCGAGTTCAAGAACGGTGGCTACAAGCAAGTCAACAATTAGCAGACTTGACCCGTGTACCTCCCTAATGACTCGCTCCATTTTTCCTTTTTCCTTTGCGCATTGCCCGGCCTTGGTCCAATTACGCTGACCGCGAGCATTTGCGACAGCCGGCAGGGCTAGGAATAATGAACATTTCCCTCTCGTCCGGGCTTGCTGTTCTTCCGTCCCCATTCTCTTTTCCTTCCCTGAGCACCTGCTCCCCCTTTCTGTTGATATCCCTCACTCTTGGTTCTTCTAAGACTGTCCTTCGTTGGCGTTTGGGCCGGGAGATTTGCAATCCACTCACCGGTTTTATCCATGTACATATATTGCCATATAAAAACACGAAGTTTCATTTCAATTGTTGACCTCGGGAGTGGAGAGACTTGTCACATGATGCGATGGGACCATCTTGGAATCTGACCGTCGATCATAAGTCACAGCCTATCACAACGAAGTCATTTCCATCGCGGAACGTTTTCGGGATAGATTTCACCGTTGTTGACGTGCATCCTCGACTTAAACCAAGACACACCATGCTAATCAATCGATGACACGCACACACCGGCAGGGCGGATCCACCCTCCTTGTCCGTGTCCGTGTCCGCCTCCCGATGAGGATATTCCTGCGCGACCGCGGAGCCTGGTTGTGCATCGATGTGCAGTCATTTGTGCACACGGCCCGTTAAAGACGGTCAAGATCCCGTTGGCAATTCCGTTCGGGCGGCCTAGAGAGGACAATCCTACGGCCAGGTCTCGGGGATGGCCGATTGACACAAAGTATGATTGGGCTTCAAGGTACACGCCCAGCCAAGAGTGGAACTGGCACGACCTTTAACCCAAGAACCCTGAAGACTATTGCTAATTTTGTGCATTATTGGATGGGTCTTGATCCAAGCCGAGGTAACAAGAGTCGGTGTAATCACCATTTTGACTTTTCTCCTTTTGTTTTCTTCTTTTCATATAAGACCTCTGCCTTCGCCAGATCTACATAAGACATTACCGTCACTGCATCTATACGAGGCAATACCTCCGACCTGCTATCAGGTTCCCCGCGGTCGACGTCAGCCAGATTTGGTAACACGAACCCCGCGACTTCGATCTCGATCTCAACTCTTCTTTCCCCTCCAACTTCGCTCTCCTCTAGATGGCCTTCGGACTCGAAAGCTTCATATAATTCATCTGATACAACTTGGTCGCCATGAGCTCACCTAATCAAGTTCCCATCCCGGGCCCCAAGGGTGTTCCGTTCTTGGGTAATATCTACGACATCGAGGCCGAGGTTCCCGTAAACAGCTTCGAGCGGTTGGCCGAGAGCTATGGTACAGAACGAAACACCTCAGGATGGCGATAGAGAAACTGACGGTGGATTTGATTAGGCCCCATTTTCCGATTGACTACATTCGGCAGACCTCGAGTGTTTGTCAGCTCGCATGAGCTGGTGAACGAAGTATGTGATGAGGAACGTTTCAGCAAAATGGTCTCGGCCGGTTTGCATGAGATCCGTAACGGCGTGAACGACGGTCTGTTCACGGCCAACTACCCCGGCGAAGAGAACTGGGCGATTGCCCACCGCGTGCTCGTTCCGGCGTTTGGCCCGCTTATGATCCGCGGCATGTTCGATGGTGAGTAAAGAGACCCGCGGACCAAAATATGGAGAAAAGCAAAATGACATGGCTAACGATCTACGCAGAAATGTACGATATCGCTACACAGCTCGTGATGAAGTGGGCTCGCCAGGGCCCTACCACACCTGTGATGGTGACTGATGACTTCACCCGTTTGACCTTGGATACTATTGCTCTTTGTTCAATGGGTACCCGTTTCAACTCCTTCTACCACGACGAAATGCATCCCTTTGTCGAAGCTATGGTGGGATTGCTGGCTGGCTCTGGTAGCCGAGCCCTGAAGCCTGCTCTGCTTAACAGCCTTCCTACTACAGAGAACTCCAAATACTGGAGTGACATCGAGTACCTCCGAAACCTTGCTCGTGAACTAGTCGATTCACGAAAAGAAAACCCTGTCGAGAAGAAAGATCTTCTTAACGCGCTGATCTTGGGCCGAGACCCCCAGACCGGTCAGGGCATGACAGATGAGTCGATCGTCGACAACATGATTACGTTCTTGATTGCTGGTAGGTTATTACCTCGAAATACATGATCATATGGCTAACAGTTGATCTGACAGGCCACGAGACGACTTCTGGCATGTTGTCCTTCTTGTTCTACTACCTACTCAAGAGCCCCAATGCGTACAAGAAGGCGCAAGAGGAAGTGGACCGCGTGATCGGAAAGCGCAAGATCACCGTCGAAGACATGTCAAAGCTCCCATACATCACTGCTGTGATGCGTGAGACGCTTCGTTTGAAGCCAACAGCACCAATGATTGCCTTGCACCCCAACCCCACAAAGAATCATGAGGATCCCGTCACACTGGGAGGCGGAAAATACGTCCTCAACAAAGATGAGACTATCGCCCTCGTTCTCACTAAGATGCACCGTGACCCCAAGGTATATGGCCCCGATGCCGACGAGTTCAAACCCGAGCGCATGCTCGACGAAAACTTCGAGAAATTGCCCAAGAACGCTTGGAAGCCATTCGGAAATGGCATGCGTGGTTGTATTGGACGGCCATTCGCCTGGCAAGAGGCTCTCCTCGTGGTCGCAATCCTGCTTCAGAACTTCAACTTCCAGATGGACAACCCCAGCTACGACCTCCGCATCAAGCAGACTTTGACCATCAAGCCCAAGGACTTCCACATGAGGGCAACGCTGAGAGATGGTTTGGACCCAACACAACTCAGCGCGACAATCAGCGGCTCGACCAGTGCGCCCACCGAGACTGGTGCCGGTAGCAGAGAACGCAAGCCTAAGGTGGCACCTGTCGATGGAAAGTTTAAGCCCATGTACGTCTTCTATGGCAGCAACACAGGAACTTGCGAGGCTTTGGCCCGGAGATTGGCCGATGATGCCACTGGCTACGGATATGCGGCCAAGACTGGGTCTTTGGACTCGACCATGCAGAATCTCCCCAAGGACGGACCTGTGGTTTTCATCTCAGCTTCGTATGAGGGACAGCCCCCAGACAACGCCGCTCACTTTTGGGAGTGGTTCAGTGAGCTGAAAGGCAACGAGTTGGAAGGTGTCAACTATGCCACATTTGGCTGTGGCCACCACGACTGGTCCACGACTTTCTACCGTATCCCAAAGGCTATCGACGAGCTGGCGGCCCAAAATGGAGCCAACAAGCTCTGCGATATCGGCCTTGCCGATGCGGCCAACTCTGACATGTTCACCGACTTCGATGGCTGGGGTGAGACCTCATTCTGGCCGGCTGTGATGGCCAAGTTCGGTGGAGCCAGCCCTGAACAGGCGGCCAAGCCTAAATCCTCTTTGCAAGTTGAAGTCAGCTCGGGCATGCGTGCTTCCACCCTTGGGCTCCAGCTCGAAGAAGGATTTGTCCTCGAGAACACGCTCCTCACACCCCCCGAGGCCCCGGCCAAGCGAGTCGTCAAGTTCAAGCTGCCCACCGACATGACATACCAGTGTGGTGACTACCTTGCCGTCCTACCCGTAAACCCAAGCTCCGTGGTCCGCCGCGCAATCCGTAGATTCGACCTTCCCTGGGATGCCGTTCTCCGCGTCCAGAAGCCTCCTGGCTCGAGCTCCTCACCTTCCATTCCCATCGACACCCCGATCTCCGCCTTCGAACTCCTATCCACCTACATCGAGCTCTCCCAGCCCGCATCGAAGCGTGATCTGAACGTCCTCGCCGACGCAGCCATCGCTGACCCCGAGACCCAGGCCGAGCTGCGCTACCTCGCCTCCAGCCCAAGCCGCTTCACCGCTGAAATCGTCAAGAAGCGCGTCAGCCCCTTAGACATCCTCACTCGCTACCCTGAGATCAAGCTCCCCATCGGCGACTTCCTCGCCATGCTCCCCCCAATGCGTGTGCGCCAATACTCCATTTCCTCATCCCCTCTCGTCGACCCATCCGAATGCACAATCACATTCGGTGTCCTCAGCGCACCCGCACTCGCCGCCGCCAACTCCGAAAACGCCGAGCAGTACCTCGGCGTGGCATCGAACTATCTCTCCGAACTCCAAGTCGGCGAGCGTGCCCATATTACTGTCCGCCCTTCCCCCTCCGGCTTCAAACCCCCCGTGGACCTCGATACTCCCATGATCATGGCTTGCGCAGGTAGCGGCCTGGCACCCTTCCGCGGTTTCGTCATGGATCGGGCCGAAAAGATCCGTGGCCGTCGCACATCCCCTGACTCAGACGAGCTGCACGGGTCCGAAGTCGTCAAGCCCGCCAAGGCAGTTTTGTACATTGGTTGCCGGACCCAGGGCCAGGATGATATCCACGCCGCCGAATTGGCGGAGTGGGCCAAGCTTGGTGCTGTCGATGTTCGATGGGCTTTCAGTCGCCCTGCCGAGGGACAAAAGCAGCATGTGCAAGATGCTATGCTCGAAGACCGCGAGGAGCTGGTGAAGCTCTTCGAGGAGGGCGCTAACATCTACGTCTGCGGAAGTACCGGCGTTGGTACTGGCGTTCGCGAGGCTTGCAAGAAGATGTACATTGAGAAGCGCCGTGCGAAGCACTCCGAGCTCAAGGCGAAGGGAGAGACACCTGAGGGTGCTGACCTTGATGAGAACGAGGCTGCTGATCAGTTCTTTGATAAGCTCCGTACCAAGGAGCGGTATGCTACTGATGTGTTTGCCTAGGTTCTTAGATGAACAATGTAAATTGAATAGATAGTCTCATGAACATATTCTTACCATGCTGAATCTCTAAGATAGAATGGGCTATTAGCCTGGAGCATCCATGGATCGCTCAGTAATTTGTTCGCCTGATTCATGAGGCAGCAACACATAGCCAATCACAATACAGTTCCTGTCTCCAGAGCACGTGACTGCCGGCAAAAAGCGACGGCGAACCAATCAGAGCAATGGGATCATTGCCGAGCAAAAGAAGGAAATTGGAAAGTTCTGCAAAGTAGAGCGACAGTTTTGATTTTGGTGAGAATAGAGAGAAGTCATTTCAGGTACGTCGAGCCTCGGTTGTTTCATCGCATATATCAGATCTCGTTACAGATCCTTAATTTGGTGACACCTGATTTTTGCGACAAATCAACACCCGATGGCGTGACCTAACCTTCTCCAGATTCTCCCCATTTTTGAGTCGGCCGAGACGTTGGGCTTAAAAAGTGACACCGTAGCCCAGTTCGAAGGGCTATCTTCTTATACGTTGAAATAATGCCGGTAAAGAGTGTTGCTGTCATCGGGGCTGGCCCCGGCGGCGCTATCACAGTCGATGCGCTAGCACAGGAGAAGACGTTCGATGTCATTCGTGTTTTTGATAGACAAGAGCATGCTGGCGGGTGTTGGTATGTTGGATTTACATCAAGAGAATCACAGTCTAATCGTCGATAGGGTTTCGAGAGAGGAGGAACCGCCTCGAACATTTGATTTTAATGCAATTGCTGCCCGGACCGCAGATGCACCTCTGGCAGTTCCTGAGCAGCTGCCATGTCGGACGCCAGTCAGCTCACAGGATCGATTCATGGACTCGCCCGTGTATCCGGGCTTGGAGACTAATGTGGACGCGGGAGCCATGTCATTTTCTCAAGAGGTCATTCCCACTGTTCGCTCGCAATGGTCAATTGAGCGCCATGGGAATGATACGCCTTTCAGACACCACACGGTGATCCGGAAGTTTATTGAAGGCTTGTTTTACCGAAAGGGTTACCAAGATCTTGTCCAGTATAATACTACCGTTGAACGCGCCATCAAGGACCCCAACAGTCAAAAATGGGTGCTCACTTTAAGACGAACAGAAGAAATCAATGGCACCAGGTCTGATTACTGGTGGTCCGAAGAGTTCGACGCCGTTGTCGTGGCCACAGGCCACTACGCAGTGCCGTGGATCCCAGCAATCGCAGGGTTGCAAGAGTTTGCAGAGAGGTATCCGGGCAGTGTGCTGCACACGAAACAGTATCGTGGCTCGGAGAAATATCAGGGAAAGGTACGTATCCCAATTGTGATTTCGAGGAATTGATGGAATCTGACTCTCAGCAGAAAGTCATCACTGTTGGCGCATCAGTCTCCGCCGCTGACACGGCAGTGAGCTTGGTTGACACCGCGCAGACACCAGTGATCGCCGTCGTGCGCGGTCGCTATAACGCATACTTCGGAGATTTGGCGTTCCAACATCCCAAGATCCAGCGTCGCACGCCTATCTCCCATATCACGAGTAATGACCAAGGAGAGCGCACCGTGCATTTTGAAGATGGATCTTTTGAAACTTGTGTTGATCATATCATCTTTGGCACTGGGTTCAGTTGGACATTGCCTTTCTTGCCGCAAGTCGCCACGCGAAACAATCGCGTTCCTGATTTGTACCAGCATGTCTTTTACCGACATGATCCCACGCTCACTTTCGTCGGCGCGGTAAGTTCATACCATTATCTCCTAACAACCTGAGTACGGTGTACTGATCATGGATTTCAGGTCGGCGCTGGTCTGACATTCAAGGTGTTTGAATGGCAAGCCGTGGCGGCTGCTCGCGTGTTGGCCGGCAAGGTGAATCTGCCGTCTGTCGCCGAACAAGAAAAGTGGGAAACCGACCGGATTGCGTCGAAAACCGACGGCCCGGCATTCACAGTGCTCAACCCCGACTTTGAGGCATACTTCGAGACTCTCCGGGCGCTGGCGGGAGAGCCCAAGGATGGCATTGGACGCCAGCTGCCTCCGTTCGAGCAAAAATGGCTCGATGATTTTAATGAAGGCGCGGAGCTTCGCAAGCGCATGTGGCGGAAGAGCAACGCGGCCGCTCGGTTGTAATTTTAATGGCGTAAGGGCGATGAAACATTGCATACGAAGGCGATCACATTAGAGATCACATTCGACCACATTTGAAGCAAGGAGGATGATAAGCATTGAACCCTTTCCTGTATGTATGTACAGTATGTATGTCTCCGACACATAGACCAATGAAAGCTGATACGTCGAGACTATTGAAACGAGTGTACTCCATACTCCGTATTCGGCAAGTTGAAGCCTCCACTCCGTCAATATCCCCCATAGCGCCTTGGCGCGCTTTCTCCACCGTTCAGGAGTTAAAAGGGTTCTTGGCTTCTTCTCTAAATCTCTTGGTTCTCTACTATATATTCCTCGTAACTCCTCCACTACTCCGTATCCGGAGTATTGGCATACACTCGCTGCGGAATCCAGCCTCACGATCAAGCAATTGCACATACCCACAACACAAAACCCACGACGCGTCTCGGATCGCCCCGGAAAGTGCACATCACCGCACATCACCGCACATCCTCGTTTCGCAATGACCAATTCCAACGGAACGACGTTCTCGCAGCCCGTGCATTGCTACCACTCACGCGATGTGATGTCCACGCTGCCCGCGAATATCAATTACTACAACCAGGTTCCCTTGTACCAAACGCACAACCCACATGAAGACATGGAGGCCATTTTACAATCGTGCTGTTCTAATGGGGTGTGGATCTATGAGGACCCGGATCCCTGCACCGCGGTCTGTCGCTCGTCTTCGTCGGCGGAGGCGAAGAGAGTCATGTACTGCTTGAATGCCGAGGGGGTCATGCACGGCAGCAGCACGGAATACCGATCGGGGGCAGCCCAAATCTCATTGCCGACCTTACGATGCTCCCTGGTGTCCTTGGTAGTCGGAGGGTTACTTTTGTCGGGATTGTTTTGATTCCTGGAGGTGCATTGTACAATTGGTTTGTGGCGTTTTGAATTTGCATTTTGAGATACCCATTTGTGATTGCGGAGTTGATGGGTGTATACGGAAATATACCAGATAACGGTTGTCTAGGCGACAACATGGAAATATTTTGTCGTTGAATTGTTACATTGAAGGTTTCAATGACCAGGACAGATACAGCAACCTCGAAACTTATAGTCTGGAATTGTCGAATATGAGACCGAATCTTACAAGCAAATGAGCCTTCCAATGTTGAGGCTGAGAGTCAGGCATTCGACCGACACGAATCAACGACGCCAGAATGATCAGAAGCCCCGCAATTGGCCCAGTATTTAAATTGCTTACTATACGAGCAGACTAATGGGATCGTTAGGCCGCGGAGGGGGCCAAATCGCCCTTGGCAGTGAGATTCCATAAAGCCGGGAGCGCCGGTAAGCGCTTGCGGCTGGAGCTCGTGAATTGACGTGTTTTTCTACTTTTGTGAGATTTCACGACCCTGGACCTCAAGAATGAAAATCAACAACTTGATACTCGTTGCCATCATCGTCGCTTCTTATGTCGGGTTGAAAACGATTACCCTCCTGAAGAACTATGCCAAGGCCAGACGCTCCAAGTTTCCGATATATGTTTCGCCCATCCCAAGCAGAAGCATAGCATGGATGATTCTGGGCCCAATACTACGGGTACGGTACAGAAATTATCTCCCGGAATGGGTTTCTGATCGACTGGATATCACTACCAACGGGTGGGAGTTTCTCCGCACAACGGAGTACCATGACAAGCTGGGCAAGACTTTTGTCTTGGTGACACCCGATGAATGCTCTCTTTGGTAATTGGAAATCGAGTACGGAGTATGTTAAGATATCGCGCTAATATCGACGAAAGGGTCGCAAATCCTGACTTAGGGAACGTGATCCTGCAGCGGAGAAAGGATTTCGAGCAACCCCCAATCACGGCGAAGATCGTAGGTCTTCTAGGGCCAAGCGTGTTGACGGTAAGCTAAGGAATCAGTGAGATGAGTGAACTTTGCTGATATTGACTAAGACAAATGGAGAAGACTGGTGGGATCTATATTCTTGAGGGATCTTGTTCTGGCACTGACTGAATACAGGCAACGACAAAGAAGGATCGTGGCACCCAATCTCAATGAGAGGATCAGCGAGACAGTCTGGGACGAAAGCTGCCTACAGGCCAAGGATATGCTCAACTACGTTGTGCAGAATCCGGGCGATCACACTCTCAGTGGTCTGCGGGCCATCGCTAAAAATGTGATCGGCAAGGCAGGATATGACACCGACACGCCATGGACACAAAATGAGCAAAGCTTACCCAGCGGGTTGGAAAATGGATCAGGTGGCTATTTCCAGGCCATGTCATTGATAGCCAACAACATCCTCCCGGCGGCATTACTCCCAACCTGGTTTATGACTCTGCCGATCATGCCAGCTTCACTCCAACTACTTGGCGTCCATATGAACAAGGTACCAGAATACATGAGAACGATGCTGGCAGCAGAAAGAGAGGCTGTCTCAGAAGAGCCTCGGGATAATTTCCTGAGCATGCTCGTCCGGCTCTCAGACCAAGAAAAGATGTCCTCGGGAAGGTTCCTCAACGAACGGGAGATCAGTGGGAACCTATTCACATTCACCGCTGCTGGATTCGATACGACGGCAAACACAATGGGGTATGCGGCGATATTGCTGACTGTATATCCAGAATGGCAAGACTGGATTCGGGAGGAACTCCAGGTTCTTGATCGAGATGTGACGACATGGAACTATCAGGACGTCTATCCGAAATGTCAACGCGTTCTCGCTGTGATGGTAAGACTCTCCCTTGTATATTCTGAACGAATTTGCCATTTTGCGCCCTTGTCAGAAAGACTAACTCAACTCATAGCACGAAACACTCCGTCATTTCCCACCAGTAATGCATTCCACACGCTATGTGGCGCAAACACAAGAAGTTGCCGACTCAACCGGTATCCATGTCCTCACAGCTTCGATGGAAGCTTATGTTTCTCACCAGTGTATCCATAGAGACCCTTCCATTTGGGGAAAAGATGTCCTGGAGTTCAAGCCATCACGGTGGATTGACAGCGCCGGGCAGATCATTACGCCGTCGAAAGGTACTTTCCTGCCTTGGTCTTCTGGCCCGAGGATTTGCCCCGGTGTCAAAATGGCCCAGGTAGAATTTGTTGCCACTTTTGCGACTTTATTCCGATCTGCCCGGTGTGAACCGCTGCTTGTAGGAGTCCAAGATCTCAAAGCCGCGAGGCAGAACCTGCACGAGGCAATGGCGGACTCAATTTCAAAATTGACATTGCAAGTTCGCGAGCCCCACAGAGTGAGACTGCAATGGATTCCGGAGATATGACAGCATGGAGGAAGAAGTGGAGATTGTGGGGGAAAACAGATGTCCGTATTTAGCCGCCATCTACAATGCAACGCCAATATCGGCAAATTGGACGCGGAGTAGCTCCGACCCCCACGTTACTCATTTGAATCCGTGTAATTTCTCTTTCTTGATTTTATTTCACCTCAACTGACAATATGGAATCCGTCAAGGGCAAAGTCTACGCTGTGACCGGACTCGGAGGTATCGGCCTAGCTGTCGCCCGTCAGCTCCACGCTCAGGGCGCCATCCTTTCACTAGCGGACTTGAGCAATGACGTCCTCAGCACAGCGCAGCGTACAATCGAGGCCGACTTCGGTGCCTCAACAGCCTCCACAATCATGACAACCGTCTTGGACATCAGTAACGCAGCCGCCGTGAAGGAGTGGGTCGCATCCACCGTCTCGCAATTTGGTCGCCTGGACGGCGCGGCCAATATGGCCGGCACCATTGGCAAGCACCACGGGACAGGCAAATTCGTCGACCAGGAAGATGCTGAGTGGGACATGCTGATGCGGGTGAATGTGACGGGGTTGATGTATTGTCTGCGTGCGCAACTCAAGGCCATCACCGAGACTGCTCCGGGTGGTCAAGGCAGCATTGTCAATGCGTCGAGTATCCAGGGAATTAGAGGATTTGCGCTGCATGCTGCTTATTCAACGACCAAGCATGCCGTGGTTGGTATGACGAAGTCGGTTGCCAAGGAGGTTGGACCTAACATTCGGGTCAATGCTGTTGCGCCGTGAGTATTGTTTGCTCAGATTGATACTGGTACTATGTCACGATAAGCTGCTAACTATGATATCTAGTGGATCTATACAAACACCTTTGCTTGATATGGCTAAAGAGATCCAAGGTGGAATCACTGCGCCGCCAACTGCTATCCCGCGCATTGGCAGAGCCGAAGAAGTCGCACAGACAGTTGTATTCCTTCTGAGCGATGCTGCCTCATATACCACGGGTCAAATTATTAGTGTTGATGGTGGATGGGATCCATGAATGAGGAAGGCCAACGGGAATGGGAGTAAAGTTTTGGGAATCAAGACTGCTAAGGCAAGCCAGGTTTTCTGTGAAGCTATGCTGGAATCATGGATTCATGAATGAAATTCAACTGGAATGAACAGTCGCTAAATGTGATTGATTATACCCAAAGAGCCACCAGAACGCCATCGCTGTGGTATAAACGTACACGTAGTGAGGGGAATGAAACAGAAAACAAGTGTCGTGTAAGCGTGTAGACATGCGCGGAATCAAATGTACAGCCACAAGCCTGAGTTAGATTAGCCGCTGCGCGGGAGAAAAATCAGAGGTAAATGACTGAACTCACCAATAAGAGCTGGGACAAAGTTCCAGCTGGGCAGTGAATAGATCGAGGGCGAGCTGGCAGACGTGGAATTCTGACCTCCAACAGGTTCCGGCCACCCATCCTTATATTCCAGATAATTCCAGCCCAATTGAGCTTGCTGCGACAATGGTCAGTATCTGCCAATCACAGCAAGAAGTTAGACTCACCCCATTTGTGAACCCGATCGAGGTGTTCAAGTAATGATAATAAAGAATATCCGGAGTGGAATCATTACTCCCAGGCAAAACTCCAAGTCCACCAGGAGCATACACACTCCCATGATTAGATGCGTAAACCACCGTCCCACCACCATCAAGCAAGCGATGACCATCTTTATCCGAGAATGGACCACGAACATCTTTCGATCGCCCAACCCGAATACTATACTCCTTCCCACGCTTGGGGAACCCATTCTGGAAATGGCAGCACTTCCCATGACTGAACCAAGCATAATAATATCCTTCGTGATAACTCATCCAAGACCCCTCCTCAGGCTTCGGTTTCACCCGAGGGACAAAGGTCAACTGCTTCGCATCTGGACTGTCCTTATTCTTGACAGAAAGCAAGTCATCGGACAACGGCACCTGCCAGATATCATGCCAGAAACTCCCGTAATTCAGATATGCCTGTCCAGACTCCTGGTCTGTGATGAATGATGCGTCAATTGCATTCGTGATCGTATACGGATGCACGTCCGAGCCGGGCCCGGTTCCTGTATTGATTATAGCACCGTGATCGACCCAGGTGCTGTTAATTGTCGTTGTTGTTGCGACGCCAATCGCGCTATCGTGGGACCCGGGTAGACTGACAGTGTAGTAACAGTAAAAGGTCCCATCTTTTTGAATGGTGGTTGGAGCCCATGGCCGCGACCGGTTGCCTTTGTCGATTATGCTGTCGCTGTCAAAGACTGTGCCGATCTTTTCCCAGGGTCCGGACATGTTGGCGGATTTGAAGATTGGGATGTGGATCCCGCCTTTGAAGAGGTAGTAGTTATCTTCGAAGAGAATGATGTTTGGGTCGTGTGCTGGGATATTTCCTTGGTTTGGGAGTGGGATCTTGTCCGTTGTGTCGTATACTTGCGGTGGCCTGTGGGCTCGTGCTTCCGCTGGCATTGCCGTCAGCGGGGCAGCGATCGCAAGCAGCATTGATGATAAGCGTGGTAAATGCATCTTGTGCTATGTACAATAGAGACTTTTTTGGTTGAGGTCGAAGTTTTGATCAAAGTCGAGGTGACTTTCACATGCCTCTGGCAGGTATCAAATGTCCGGACTCCATGCAACAGATAGGAGAATGTTGTCTACTCCGTCTGGTGCTGTGTGTATTGAACAGGGTGATATGATGTGTAGAAGAATGGCAGACGGGTCGGAGATATGGTCAGAGGCAAGGGAAAAGGGTCCAAGACACATGAAATAGGCGACCCGAGCCTCTCAGTCGATCGATGCTAATTAGCCAGGCCAAGCGTTTTAGGGGGCTTTAGGCTGCTATTTTTGACCGGTACCTGAAAGTACCTCGGCAGTGGCGATATTTGACAGGGCGCACAAGTACCCTCAAGTACTGATCCACCCGCACGGCCCGCTACGTTCCTGATAACGTTGGTTTTCGGTTTCTGTGCATTTTATCCTCACATATCTATTGTATTGATGGAGAGTACTGTATACAATGTTTGAATGATTGAGAGTAATACTCTCAGCTGCCTTGACATGTATCACGCTAATGCCATGGCTGTGTCATTGAGTTCTCACTTCGGCCCCCACAGCATTGCCAGCCTGATCGACCGGGATCAACGGTGGCTTATACGCAAGGCTTTCAGCAAACAAATAAGCAAGCCAGGGCCAGGGGACACCAAATCTCAAAGATTCAAAAGACTACTCCGTACTCCATCATGGATATTTTTTCCCGCCATATGGCGCGGCAATTCAAAGCAAGGGCGCGTTTAAAATCTTCAACCCAGCCCCCTTGCATCATATCAATCCGATCTCTCCGATCATGATCTCATGGTGGGACCGAGGAATGTGATCAACATAGAATATCTTGCAACACTGCGCAGCGGAATATGACACCACCGTGTCTGATGTCCATGGCAACCACTTGTACAACTGATCTTACGCGTTTTTGGGGTATATTTGCTACCCCGGAAGCCTCCACGGACTCCTTCGCGGAAAGAGGAAGGAAAATATCATGGGAATTGTACATATCATGGCAATAGTACTGTACATAGGACGAAAGTTGGATCCGCCGGTTGCACTCAGCATGGGAGTGTCATACCTGTGAGATCCTCCCAATCGAAGATCTCCAAGAAAGGATCAAAATCGCCGGGTGGCTGCGAATAAATGTTAGTATCAGACCGAAGACCAGAAAAATCGCGACTCACTGTAACGCCTAGATGCGGCGGTGGCAGCATCCCGTTAGGATCAAATTCATTCGATATGATAGGAACCATTGCTGGCGTCGCTGTGAACGCAGCCACCTGGTTGTTCTTGAAATTGCCCATCCCAGGCGGCCCAAGATGTTCGCATCCAGTGTGCCGGGAGAATAGAGCTTGCGCAAATGACAAGATCCGCTCGACGACCTGTTGCTTGTATACGATTGCCTGTGCGGGCCAAATTCGGGCTTTGACCAGAGCGACAATCGTTGATAGAAAGAAGTAATCTTTAGCGCCCTTGGTCACCAAAAGCGATCGCTCTTCAAGTGAGATGAGGGCTGTTTCCACAAGAGATATCAATGATTCTGGGAGCCCTGGTAGATTGTGGACGGTGGATACTATCGATAAGGAATAAAGAGGGGATACTAAAAGGTTATTAGTTTATGTTCCTGTATTAGGTTCTCGGACCAGGGAATCACCATTGTCAGGTTCCGCTGCGTGCAGCAATTGACAGATTGAAAGGTAAGCGTGAATGGTCCACTCGCCAAGCGTACACAATGAGAGTGAGCGCGAGGTTTCGTGCATGCGACGCTGGGTAGATAATATCCTAGTCGCGGCGTCCGCGCGAGATCTCGCCGATGGTGCAAAAAGCGCCTCACTGCGGGCCTCGATAGCGAAAGGCGTGTGTATTGACAGAAGAGATTGAGAAATCTTGCTTTCTATCACGGATTTCCACAGGAGGACCTTGTGCTGGGTCACAATGTCCCGGGGTTCTGTCGTAGCCCACGAAGGGATCCGACCAAGACATCTGGTGAGCTCCCAGTCGAGGCGCTGGATATCCTCATACCGGCAGCTGATCCTTGGAGAGTGCATTAGTGAGCAAGCTTGGAGACGAAGATGTAAAGATTGACTGAGAATAGACTGGAACGATGTGTCCGTGACTTCATTCATCGGTCGGCTCTCAGGGGCCTCGGTGATGTTTTCACTGAGCTCATCATCGTGGATGTTCAATGCCGGAGCTGTATCGAAGTCGTAACTTTGCACCGATGGGGGCATGCCGCGGTCGAGAGCAACCTGGAGGTCCAGTTCAACTATTGTGCTCCAGATTCGCCGCCTCATCTCTTTGTTGAATACGGAAATCCGTGCATATCGGCTCGGGTCGCGATGATATCCTGCCATCATCGCTTGTTTGACTAGCGTTCCTGTCGCCAGCCAGGCCTGGCTGCGTTTCATTCCATGGCTGTTCCGGGCCAGGATCAACAGAATAGATAACCGCATTGTGTGGATCTCTGGTCGCTTGTTGTGCAGATTTTCGATCCATCTCTCGGCATGTAACACCCATTCAATGGCAGTGTAGCATTTCAACTCTGTCATGTTTTTGGATTGAAGACTAGCAAAGTCTGCTAGATCCCACGCACAAGCAAGAACCAATAACAACTGGACTGCAAATCCCGCAGACAGAGAGCTGGGGCTATCTAGCATGGCCCAGAATTCGTCAACCTCCCGCAAAAAAGATGGGACATGAAGGATGCGGTGGGTTGATTCGATGTAGGTGAGATACAAGCTAATCAGCTCATCGACCACGCCGCGCGAGGGTAGCATCCCAACCAGCGAGGCCGTGGTCGGTTCAGGAAACGGCGTGTTAAGTGGCACGCGTTTCCAAAGACCACGCTTCACTCTTTCCAAATCGGGTCGAATCTGCGTAATGATTGGATTGGAAAGCTTGACCTCCTCCGCGAAAGTTTTCATATCAGGGAACTGCGAAGAGGGAATTAGTATCCATGGGCCTGGCAGATGGGGAGCGAAAGGCTCAGCTGGGTGCTCACCTGTGTGACCAGGTTGGCGAAAATGCCCGATCCACTGAATCGCGTCCCCGTTTCACGTCCTCTCATCATCATCCGAGGAGACAGATCAAGCTGGCGGGACGGTGAGAGAGGGCCCTCTTCCTCCTCGTACACGTCATCATCATCGGCCAGCGATGAGTTTTGCTGAGGCTCTTGCGGTCGCTTTTGGCGTTGCAGTATGCCCGTGATACCATAGGGCTCCTGTCTCACTGCAGCTTTGGGCGCACCGAGCACCGTCTCCAAAAAACAGTCCCGTCGCTCTTTGCCTCTCGAGTGACCCCGGTAAGGCGGCGCCAGCGCATGCCCCGAGAGACCGTGGTGAATGTGGTGCATTGGGTGGCTAGGAGTTGGTTCACCATGAGCGAATGTCTCCGGCCGAGCTACTTTGGATATGACCGAATCTGGAGGCGTCTCAACCGAGTGGGAACCCCCAGGGGGCATGGGTGCAGTGGAGCCACGGTCGGGCGCAAATGCAGTAGTTCCCACGGTGGTGGGTTGTTGCCATAAGAAGCCATCCTCGTAGGTACATTTACTCGGAGTTCTGCTCTTTAGACAGCGGCTGCAAGTGGGATACTCGCGATCACACTTCAATTTGCGCGAGCGACACTGCGTGCAAGCCATTGTGCGACGGCGGCGCTTTCGCACTCGATCCGGCTGGCCATGAGCCTCCATCTCCAGCTCCATATCAAGTATAGCGATGCAGTTACCTCCGAGGTGGTGGAAGGGGGAAGAATGGTTTAGCGCTCGGCTGACGTCCCGCTCTGCACTGCCCGATGCGGAAAGTCTGGCCGAGACCGCTGGCCGCTCGTTTCCAACGTCCTTCAGCTGTCTCAGGTGCTGCCTTTGCCCTTTCTTCCCATTGATGTCCCCGCTTCAACGGGGATCTCTTCTAGAGGCACGGAATAGGAGTAACATTTGTCTTCTGGCGCGCTTCGCTGCGTGGGGATCCACACTCCAGAAGCCGCACTCACCACTGCCCCACAATCGCGGTACACAACGAACTTTCGCGTTCTCGCGTTTCAGCAAACCCCCCAAACTCCCTCAAGGCAAATCATTCGAGACAAGCAGCACGATATTTTGGGTACCGCTCATGTGGCTTCCGACCGGTCGGAGCACAGTCGCCAGAAGATCGCGGCTGAAAAAAGGCTACGGAGTACGGAGTACGGAGCACAAAGATACTGCTACTAACTTTGCTATCTGAAGAATGTGCCCGGACTACGCTAGAGGATGATCAGAGGATTCTGCGAATATTCGAGAATCAGACTAGTTATTTCAATGCTGCCAGCTGACAGGGAATCTTTTTCCGGTACGGTCAAGTACTGGTACACTCCATTGAGCGTGGCATGATTTTGGATGACGATCTCACGAATTTAAATGCCAGGCATAGCTTCGCGACTCTCAATTAACCAAGACAATTTTCCCACGTCCCGTATGTCGCCTGTTGGCATGCTCGTATGCCTCTTGCACTTTGTCAAACGGATACGCCTGAACGACCAATGACTGCAATATTCCTCGCTCTGCGAGCTTCGCAAGATACTGCAAACCCTCGCTGCTCCCAGCGACAATGAAAAATAAGGCTCGAACCCCTGGTCTGCATAATCCACGCTTTTCATGCTCCTGCACAAAATCAAAGCTCGCAGAGTCCACAGATACAAGTGTGCCACTATCTTTCACGCAGTCCCAACACTTGACCAAGACGTCGCCTCCGACCACATCAATGATGACATCAAAGTTTGACCGGTAGTCGTCCATGAGGGTGTATTCGATCGTTTCATTTGCCCCCAGGCCACGGAGGAAGTCTTGGTTTCGCGCGTTGGAACTCGAAGCAGCCACAACATGGAGTCCGGCCGCAGAGGCCAACTGGACCAGATGCATTCCCACGGCGCCCGAGGCTCCAGTGATCAATATTCTCTGGCTGGAGCGAGGCGACTCATTCCGGTTCTTCATGGCATCTTCCACTGAGGGAACAGGCACCCCGGCATGGGTGAATAAAGCCTCGTAGGCAGTTTGAGCGGTCAGGGGCAAGGCCGCAGCTTGCTCCCAGGAGAAAGCGCTTGGCTTGAGAGCAATTTCCTCCTCGGTGGCGAGTGTGAACTCTGCCCATGTCGCGGCACGATCCACGTTTGCCATGCCAAATACCTCATCTCCAGGCTTGAATTTATTGCTGCCACCGTATACTTCAGTCACAATGCCTGAAAGGTCGTTTCCGATGATGGCATATGGGTGGACATATGTCTCGGGCCACGTCAGCATATCCCGAACCACTGTGGTTGCCTTGAGGCTGACAAGCAGTTCACCGGGCTTTGAAAGCTTGGGGACAGGCACATTCTCGTCTAGGCGTAAGGCGGAAGTTGGCGCTGGATTTGACGGTGAATACGGAGTGGATGATGGTGGGGCTGGGTGGACACGAATGGCATTCATGATGGAAGAAAGTCTTTGTTTGATTCTGGCTCGCCCGCCTGACAACATTCCCAGGTGAGTGAAGGTGTAGTAGATTATTTATGATAAAGATCCCGCTCTCCAAGGTATATACTCGTAATGTTGTCAAATCCCTCAACCGTGGGAAGCGGGCGGAACCCTCGGTGAAATCGGCGAAGATCATTAGCTACAGCACATTGACGAAATGAACTCATATGCATTGCATATGCGACGGTAGTATCTGTGAGAAGTAATGCAAAGCACGGCCAATCATGCGGTGATCGTAAGACTAGGGAGTTGATGCAAGAATGCTGCATGCATTTCCGATAGCCTATCCGGGAAGGGCCCGTCTTTACAGATACCCGGGCTCCACTTGTCCCCGTACATGAAACTCGCAGAAGGATCTTCACCTCGGGGGATTGGTACAAGTAAAGGAGAGCGGGTATCAATTTTCGGCTGAGAAAGTCTGTCGATGCAAAATGGTGAGACTGTTCGCCATCTGCCGTTGGGCGGTGTGGATCATTGCAAGGGCATCCCAACTCGTGCCCGAGGACTCATAACCTCGAGCTCATGGATCCGAAACCAAAATCGCAGAATCCCCGGGCTACACGCTCATCGCTGGCCTGTCTATCATGTCGCTCACGACACCTGAAATGCGACGGCAAGAAGCCTCGCTGCGACCGCTGCTCAGAGTCGAACAGCCAGTGCGGTTATGCTCAGTCACGGCGCGGTGGCCTCGATAGAGCAGCATTGGCCGAGCGCCGCCAGCGCCTGGCAATGACACCTAATAACCGTGACCTGGGACACACATATTTAAAAGAAGCAACGCTTCAGCAGCCCCAATACGACCTGGCTCTCTACGGTCAGCTTGACTTTCGCCAAGAACGCGGTCTGTTCGATCTTACCGCAGTCGCCAGCACAGGTGATAGAACCCTGCAAGCAGTGGGAGCTGCGTATCCGGTCAACATCGAGTCCGATCCGCTGGTGGCATCATATTACAAAACATTCCATTCATGCCATCCCTTCGTCTTACCCAAAAGTCATCTGAAAATGCTGTGCCAAGATCCGCGGAGGCACCAAGGCTTCGCACCGCTAATCGCTGCCATCCGCTTGATTGGGAATATATACAAGGAGCGCGAATGGTCTGTCCCATTGAAAGAAGCTGTGGAATATTCAATTTCGCAGGTATTTCCATCGGATCCAATTATAGTCCAAGCTCGACTGCTGTACTCCATGGCCTTATTTTGGTATGAGTACAAGGTTGAAGCGAAATCCCAGATGGACATGGCAAACAGGCTGGCTATTGATTTGGGAATGTTCCGCCGCGAATATGCGATAGAGCAGGGTGCTGATAATTTAGTGGTCAGGGAATCTTGGAGGCGGACTTGGTGGATGCTATATATCATCGAGGCCTATTACGCCGGAACCTTGGGGACAATGAATTTCCAGGTGGTCAACATCGATTCCACGGTGGACTTGCCATGTGATGAGGCAGACTATGAGTCGGGGGTTAGTAAAGAGCTCTCGTTCCAGGCCTCGGGAGCCTGCAAATCAGACAGCTAATGTGGCTACAGAACATCCCTGTCCCGAAAACCATGGAAGATTTCCAAAGCCGCGAATTCGGTCCCAAAGATATACGTTTTTCATCATTCGCGTATCTTATTGGCGCCGTGGAGTGTGCTGCAGCCGCCATATCCACTATACCGACAGTTGCTACTGCTGAAGATTCAACGTTCATCATGCAAGCTGCCGATGCCACCCTTGACGGATGGCGGCTTTTGCTTCCCCCGGATCGCAAGCAAGTGATGAATGCGGCCGGTGAAGTTGACGAACTCATGTTTCAGGCTCACCTGGTTATTCACGTGTAGGTCATCTCCTCATCAGGTCAAATTTAGTGCTCACCTTGCAGATCGGCGATTGGTCTTCATCGTCCCTTATCGGCTTTTAAATTCAACGCAATTGAGAAGGTGTCAAGCTGTGCCCGCGAGCCAACCCTGGACACACCTACCCCGGAATTGGTGAACGTACATACACAACGAGTGTTGCGGGCTACCGAAGCTCAGATTCAGCTCTTATCCTTGCCGGTCCGAGAATTTCACCACACTCCATTTACAACCTGCATGGTCAGCGAGGGTACACTGGCGTTGCTTTCGGCCTGCAGCTCATTCTTCACGGGCCGGGAGCTAGCAATCGCACGAGATCAAATTCGGATGACCATCGGGTGCCTCAAGACTCTAGGGGAGTTATGGCCTAGAACAGCGAGGAACGTCCGCGAGATACAAACAATTGCGCAATGCGTGTTGGGGCGTGGCGGTGGAGGTAATACCAGCAGTACGCCTGAGCTTAGCGATACTTCCTCCTTTGAGAACGCTTGGGATTCAAGCACGAGCGACTTCCCGACCAACGATATTGACATCGGCCAATTCATCGGGGGCATTGATGATCTATGTGGGTGGTATCCTATTGAGTATGTGAATAGTGAATTTTAGCTTGTCATGTTAATACGGTGTTCAATGTTATTCTCGCATCTTCACTCAAATCTTGCCAATACAAACCTCTATGGATGTGAATAGTGAATTCTAGCTTGTTATATGAATACGGTGTTCAATGACATTGTCGTATCTCCACTCACATCATGCCAATACAAACCTCTATGGGTGTGAATAGAAACATTGTAGTTCAAAATGAAGCCTCTGAATAGGATGTCGGAGATAATGCTGTCAAATCGGGCGTCGGCATTGTCCCTCGGGCGTCTCGGAGATACGGGGACAACTATAAAAGCAGCCGTAAAGCTCCCTTCTGCAACTTCGACCTTTCACTTAACAGGTTATCTCATCATGCTGCGCTCGTTCTTCTCGTTCGGGCGTTCTGCCCCGGATGATTTTATCTTTCCCACAGTGAGCACCGAAGAGGATGGTCCCGACTGCAAGAAGGATTGCGCGGACTGTACCGTGAAGTTTCCAGCCAAAGTCAAAATTGACGATTCCAAAGCCTTTTATGGCCTGATCAACGAATTCCATTGCCATGTTCTTGTCGCAACGGGACAGTCAGACTGGAAGGAAAAGCCCGACAAAGAGTCAGGGGGCCTGATGGAAGCATTCGGTTCCGCAAAGTCCGAGAAGGGAGTATGTTCATCCAAACCACAAAATGCAGTGCATGGCTAACATCATTATAGCCCATGATGGTCTCGGCATCAAACATGAACCCTCCCGGTGACCCAGTCACGGAGGAAAGCACTGAAACCACCGTCCTCATTCTACCTTCTTTCACCTACGTTGATTCTGTCAAGCAGTCAGACGTTCCAGAATTGATTAAGAAGTACATTGACCACCCCATCGATCAAATCCAGGATAGTGCCGCGCCCTCCCCCGGAGTCTCGATGAGCTCTCGACCTTGCGAGCTGGACTACGTCATCTTACTGTGCTCCCACCGACGACGGGACGCACGCTGCGGTATCACTGCTCCGTTGATCAAGCGCGAGCTCGAGCGTCACCTCCGTCCTTTGGGACTCGATCGGGACATGGATGACTCGCGTACTGGTGGAGTGGGTATCTTTTTCGTGTCGCATGTCGGCGGGCACAAGTTTGCTGCTAATGTCTTGATTTATCGCAAGAAAGACCAGCAGATGATCTGGCTGGGGCGCGTTAGACCTGAGCATTGCGAGGGCATTGTCAAGTACACTGTCCTGCAGGGCAAGGTTGTACACCCCGAGACCCAGCTGAGGGGCGGATTTGACCGAGCCCGGGGATTGACTAGCTGGTGATTAACTGAAGGCAAGACGATTCGCTTGTTCAAAATCAGTGGATTGGGAAGTGAGGACTGACTTTGGCCATTGTGATCGTGCAACTTTGCTAAACGTTTTTCGCGGGCAGGATTTGACCGGGTCGGCTTCCGGCGCTGAGAGTTCGTGTGGGTGAGCGCTTGCTACCCAAGGAAGTCATTGAAGACAAATATCAGGTCAGGATGAAAATCACAAAATACAAAAAAAAAGTCAGCTAAAAATGAATTCAGATTCAAATGATGCCAGAACTAAGTACATACTGTTCTTGAATTCTCGTCGGCTCCGGGCCGATCTTAGCCTAAAGGGGCAGCCAAGACGCGGAGGTTTACTATGGGGCTTTCGAAGACTGCGAAAATCATCAAAATTCCAGTATACAGTGCTGTAGATTCTACAGAATTCTGAAGGCTATAGAGATAGATCGGAATATCCATTATGAAGCGAGTGTTGCGACTCTAACTGCCAACCATCAATGCACGCGGTTGCCATCATCCCACTATTCGCTATACTAACACCCTCAAAACCCAATGTGGAGTCGCTCGAGTGTCAATCCACCACCGATCTAACCAAATCCAAAAGTCGGGCCTAGAGCCGAAGACTGATAAAACCAAAGATTATCCCAATCGTCATTTCTCTACCTCCCTGTTCCTGAAAAACCGCAACAATGCCACCAAAGATCCATTTCGTACGCCACGTTCAGGTATGTTCACCATGAACCGCAACATACCAGCATAGCACTCATCCTATCTCTGGCAGGGCGTCCATAATCTAGGCCACGAGTTCTGGTATGTCACCGATCCTCAAATTACCGACAAGGGAAAGGCGCAATGTGCACAACTCCGCGAAGATTTCCCCCGCCATTCGTCCATCGAAATGGTTGTCGCATCGCCACTCCGGAGAGCCATTCATACGGCCTTGGAAGGCTTCAGTCCAGTGTTTGAAAGGCGCCCGGATCTTAAATTAGTCCTGAACCCGGACCTACAAGAAACAAGCGACTTTCCATGCGATATTGGCAGTGATGTTGCAGCCCTGCGCAAAGAATTTGAAGAAAACAGTGTATCGTTGGATTTCGATCTGATGCATGATTCCTGGAACCAAAAGGCAAGCTGATCACACCCTTCGATGACCAATGAAGGTCTAACCAGCGCGGAACAGACGGGTCGATATGGTCCTGGAAGGGATGCGGTTTCAGCCCGAGCACGCGATGCAAGACTGTGGCTAAAGGCAAGACCGGAGAGTGAAATCGTGGTCGTCGCTCACGGGGGAGTGATGCACTTCCTGACTGAGGAGTGGGAAGATTGCAGCAAAAACGAAGGTACGCATGCCACTTCCAAGTGCGACGACACTTGACTAACTCAACCTCTTAGCAACCGGTTGGGACAATGCGGAATATCGCACATACGAGTTCGACACTTCAAGAATAGATGAGGATCTACCCATGCTGGAAACATCGGAGTCTCGCCTAAGACGCGGGATATCCACTCCACAACCGAGCCACGAGGATCAACGCTCACTCCGCGAAGCTGGCCTGCGTGTCTGGGCAGAGCAAGGATATCCGGTGCCTGAATAGACAACACTTTGAGCCTCAGCAGTCAATAAATCGGTCATATTTTCGCATGTTCCAGTACCCGCAATCCCTTCTGCCGGGCGAATTCCAGAGCACCTTGTATCCAAGCGATCTCTCGGGTATGCCCAGGTCGTTGCCGTAGGCTGTCTACGACAATGCCCAGTGCCGGACTCACAGATAGAGGTCCAGATAGCAGCATTTCATCACTCAGGAAATACTCCACGGATTGGCAGACCTGATCGGCCACAGAAAGGTAATCCCCGCAACGATCAATGGATCGAAGTTCGTTGCCTTCTGGGGTCACATCAAGCTGCTGAGCGGCTGTAATGGCTTGTAGATGCTGGTACATGTTTGTGAGGCCTGACCATAACATTGTCCGCGTTGCCCATAATAGCATCAATGTAGCAGCAGTCTGGGCGTTCAAAAAGCAAAAGACGACTGGAAATAAGATTTCAGAGCTCTCGGCATGCGTCGAGTAATCTGTTTGCGATGGCACTGGCCAGTATAGCGCGCCTGCTGCGGACAGTCGCATGCAGTCGTAAATATCATCCATCTGCTCATCAATGCGCCAACATTCACCGATAATTTCACGAAGGGTACCAATCTGTTGTATTGGATTCATGTTCATAAATGATCGTACGCGTTCCAGTATCGCAGGGGCTTTAGCCAAGCAATCTGTGACCCGGTCATGGGGCGTCTTGGTCAATCCTGTCCAGGGTTGTTCTATCCAACTTGACTCCAGTAGTATGTTCGGCTGCTGATGATTCAAAGCAAAGAGTATCTTCAATGGCCCGGTCAGTGACGTTCCAGATTTCCGGGAATTGAGACTTACTCCTGGGACTCGAACGCCGAGAAATAACCGATGTCCGACACTTGAGGAATGCAGATACTGGCCTCGGGCTTTAACCAAAGCAACCAAGCCATGACAGTGGTTGAAGTAACCTTCGGATCCGGAATTGGGACATTCAAGTGCCTCGTAAAGACTGAGTGCCATGCATGCGGCCAGGGTTCCGTCTTCTCGCATGAGATCAGGGTTTCGTAATGCCTTCTGTAGCTGATTGAGTCCGCGCGTATAGTAAGTCAAGCCTTGTTTTATCAAATTGTCGTCGTGGAACATACGCCCAATCGCGGAGGCGGCGATTGCTGCTGTGGACATTTCCAATGCTTCAACTCGACTGGATAGTTCCCCAAGTAGGGGAATCCAACACTGGGGGGTCGGCAATAAATGGGTTGGAAAGCAGTTCAGAATGAAGGCTTGAAACAAGTTGTGCGATTCCATGCTCTTGTGGATCAAGTCATAGGCGAAGCTTGTCTCCGTGAAGGAATGCGGGGAGTCATTGCTAAGAGCTACAGTAGCTGGACTGGAGCTCTTCCAGTCCACATCTCTATCCCCAGGTGAGCTGAATGGAGACATAGAGGTGCTTCTGATAAATTGATGTTTCCTTTCGGCTGCTGGTTGAACGAGAACAAACACAGTTTCTTTTTGGTACCCGCCACATTGTCGGTTCGAGCGTATGCATTTTGCACAGACCGGCTTCTGCTGGTCACACTGGACTCCCGGTTAGTTGAGCCCTGTGGATACAGAACTAGCGCCACTTACTGCGATCTTTCTCTTCCGACACGTATTGCATCCTTTCGACTTACCCGCCACTCCAACCATGTCACAATGTTGATGAATGCCAGGTCACGAGGTTGAAACGCGACATTGGTTGCTCACAAATACCGTGAAATATACCAGATCTGTGGGAAGCAGACGGCAGCACCGGGCTCAACTGTGCCCTTAATTTGAGTCAGAGGTTTGCTACAGAGTCGTGGCGTTCGCTCACAAGCCTCGGGGCTCTGCATTGGTGGGGCGACGATTGACCAATCAAATCACTTGAAATTTGAGCTTCCACTAGCGCCTCCGCGCTAAGCCTAAAAGGGGGCTGATCTTGCGAGATCTATGAACGAGACTGCAGCATAGCCGGGTTGAGGGTAGAGGAGATTCTGAAGACATTCTTATAAAATGCGGACGTGTTGCCCTCCGGAATAACCACATACAAACTTCATTTACCACCTCTTGACAAAGACAACTTCGATCAACCACAAAACATCGATCCTAACTTGATATCTTTGATCAAAATCACCATGTTTGGCAGTCATTCAAAGTTGAGCATCGCGCAAATTATATTCTATGTACCAGTGACGGCTTTTGCGCTATATCTTGCATGCTATCGTCATAAGCGGCCGCGCATGGCATGGATTGTTCTAACGTTTTTCTCTCTCGGTATGTACCTCCGAGCTCGGCATGCAAGTGTGATAAAGTTGTCTAACAAACTGTCTCCAGTGCGTATCACTGCGGGTATCCTAGTGATTATTGCAGAGAAGTCGAGCAATGAGGGTGTGATGATCGCTTCGGTTATTTTCCTCAATGCCGGCATGATTCCCTTGATCGCAGCAACATTGGGCTGTCTTCGAATCATGTAAGTGGAGTGATGATCTCATCTAAGAGGACATTTCTTCGAGAATTTTGAAGGCTCTAACATTTTTACAGAATGGCTCTCGAGCAGAACATGAATCGCCATATTCGACAGTGTCTGGTCTTGTCTCGTGTTCTGTTCATTGTGGGTATTGGACTTACTGTTGCGGGTGGGGCTCTGGAAGGGAGTGACACCGTCAGTGATGCACTCACTGGTCTGAAACTTGTCAAGACCGGATACATCATCGTGGTGGTTTTCGTTGGATGTTTACTTGCTGTGCAAGTTTATTTCTGGACCCAACGATCCTATCTCTCAACAACAAGCAAGACGGTTCGTTGAACTTGCATTATCTGATCATATGTCCCCAAAACTAATACCTATTTCGTGATAGGTTCATAATGCCACAGCCTTGGCTACACCTTTCATCATTGTTCGCATCTCCTATCTCTTTCTCTCGGTATATCAGCCGTCGGACTTGAGATGGAATGATCTCAGCGGTCCTATCGCCCCTTTTGTCACAATGGGACTGCTCATGGAATATGCCGTTGTCTGTATTTACCTGACTACAGGGTTTCTCATTCCCAATTGGAGGAATATTGAGAAGCCGGTTATTCTTCTGAGTGGAGAGACAAGATGACCTTCCAAGGTTCCAAGGTTACTACTAGGTGCCTGCCCAAGTGACCAGTGGTATATGAACTACCAGGTATATGCTTCCAAGGAAGATTCGTTCTGTTAATCAATTTATGCCTCGATACATGGATAAACACAATGTGGTGGATTTCCAGAGTGATCAGTGGTGTTGCTTATAATAAAAAACCAAAGATTTCCCTGTAAACACACTGGGCTTTATTTTATTCATAAAATCAAACTTATTTGACGCTAGGGAGGTGGGTCATCAACACAAAGGACAAAATATATTTTGGATCGGGAACCCGACTTGACAACCGTGGACCATTGAAAGCTTGTGAGCATCAAAGATCGCGAAATATAGTGATAGACCAACCGAATTACGATCTAATAATTGAGCACAGTTATAAAATGGAAATGGAAATGAATCAATAGTCGCAAAGTAAACAGTGGGCACGTGACCCCACGGGCCAACGGCAATGTTTATCGATTGCCGTTTCGAGCAAACTGTTATGGGTTGTTCTCCATCTTCACCCAACCCTCAATTGAGGCGCTGTTTGCTTTCGGGCCCTGTACAGATTTGCTTTTTTTTAGCGCCTTGCATTCTGGTAAGTGGTCTCCTCGATATCCGCAGTGCGATTGTGAACGGGATCCTGCTTCGGGTTGCCGATAGTCGAGCCAATTCTCATGATCGTTGCAGGGATGAAATCTTGCCGGAACTTGATACCCATTTACACAACCCCAAACCGCTACTTTTAATGATATTGACGCTCAATACCCCTTTCGTCGTGCGCTGTCGAACTACCGCTGCTATCCTGATTCGACGCCATAAAATCAATCAAGGATGGAGGCCCTCTCCCCGCGTTCAACAAACCAGATGATCAAACCCAAGCTGGCCATGGACGGGAAACGTTTCGATAAAAATGTCGCTCCTCCGAGTAATCAACAGAAAGCCGCGGTCTCGAAGAACCACGCCGATCCACCGCCGCCCGTCGTGACCGAACCGGAGGATGGCGGGGAGCAATATGCGATAGGTGGATTCCTGGGAAAGGGCGGCTTTGCTGTGTGCTATGAGGGCTCATTGGCACGCAATGGGCGAGTATATGCCATGAAGGTCGTCAAATCGGAGATGCCGCAAAAGAAGATGGAGGAAAAGGTGTGTTGAACCCTTGAAGACCGATCGGGAACCAGCGTCTAACTACTGGTCGCAGTTTCGAACCGAACTTCAAATCCACTCTAAGATGCGCCACCCGTTCATCGTTCAGTTCTACCGTGCGTTCGCCTTCGGGTCCAGTACTTATGTTGTTCTGGAGCTGTGCCCGAACGGATCGGTGATGGATATGGTTCGAAAACGCCGCTGTTTGAGCTTGCCAGAGGTCCGCCGATTGATGATTCAGCTTTGCGCAGCTGTCAAGTACCTTCACAAGCGATTTGTTGCACACCGAGATTTGAAGATGGGCAATTTGTTCCTGGACCACAATATGAATGTCAAAGTTGGAGACTTTGGTCTGGCAGCAATGATCCTTTCCGATAAAGACGCCAAACGACGAAACACCCTATGCGGTACACCAAATTATATTGCCCCAGAAGTGCTAGACAAAAGCAAGGGAGGTCATACACAAAAGGTTGACATCTGGTCCCTAGGTGTGATATGGTAAGAGCTCGCCCTATCCAAGCTTTTCCATATCGTTTGCGGAACTAAAGTCTTATTTTTTCAGCTTTGCTATGCTCACAGGGTTCCCGCCGTTTCAATCAAAAACACAGGAAGAGATATACAAAAAGGTCCGGAACCTGAGTTATGTGTGGCCGAAGGAATCGGAAACAAACAACTTTATACCAGAGGAAGCAAAGGACTTGGTTGCCAGCTGTTTGAATCTCGTTGATGAAGAAAGACCCGACCCGGATGATATCGTTGAGCATCCATTCTTCAACATGTACGACGGCTGTATCCCGCGCCAACTGGACCCCTCTTGCCGATTCAACAAACCCCTATGGCTCAAGGATGCTTCACCGCGAGGTGATGCTGTGGTGAGTGGCTACGGACTGGATTCCGACGAGAAGCTGCGAGCCTACGTATACCAGGTGGACGACCCCAGTCAACGATACCATTCTTGCAGGGCTGCATTCTACTCTCTATGTGGCGTGGGACGGAAGCCTGATGGTACTGCTCGCAAATCAGTTGGTAGGAATTGCTCCAAGTCGGCATTTTCAGAGTGCGATGTAGAGGATTCCAGAGGCTTACGGCCAGTAATTCCCCTCGCTCCTGACTTCGTTTACCGATGGCCACATGATTTCGAAGGAGACTGGTGCACGATGGAGACATCTCGCAAGGTAGTCCGGGGTGAAGAGTCACTGTTTAATAGTAGCACGATGTCAACGATGTCAGCACGAAGTGTTCCGACTCGTCCCAACTCCGTGGGAGCATCGCGCACCAATGCTGCCCTGGCTGCTGCCCAACAGCGCCGACTGGAGGGCCAAAGTCATGCCGCCACGCTTCGACAGCAGGCTCGTGTACCGCCTATGTCACCGCGAAGAGCACCCGTGGTCGCCGATCCGCCTCCATCCTCCAGGCCCTACCGCGACATGGCTCCGCCCGAGGCGAAGCCCGCAGTGGATAGAGAAGCACCAGCTGGAGGACTCGCAGAACGACCTATTCGAACGCGGCGAATGGCATCTGCGTCTCAGGCCACAACTCTGAGGAGCAAAGATACAGAAGTTGCCCCACAACTAACCAAGTCAACAAGCATGCCCAATGGTCTGACTGTAGGCAAAACTCGCTCTCAGTCTCGCAGATTGGCAGCCGCTGACCAGGAGTTGCCACAGCCTTCTATCCCAGCGAAAGAGCGGCAACCGCTCACAAGAGCGGAGGAACGGAGACCCACGGTCACTCGTCAACCATCCACGCGGTCATCGTCCCGAGCGGACTTGAGAGCTGCACCACCGCGACTTGAAAGACCCAGAGCAAGTCCAATAGAAGAGACTGCCCCTTCTTTGTCATCGCAATCAAAGTCTTCATCTGATTCACAGGGACTCGGACGGTCAAACTCCAACGGCGTCAGTCGATCGAACAGCAAGACAACTAGTCGTGCCCGCTCTTCCCTAGGTGTCAGCCCACTCTTCCACCCAGAAGATCCATGCGAGCTACTTCCTAGAACCTCCTTGACTGAAGTCAACACCGATTTGCGTCTTATGCTGTCGAATTTGGTCAATCACGCACCAAGCAGAAGGAGAGGCGGCGCACGGAAACAACCACACGCTTATGTGATCAAATGGGTCGACTATACCAATCGGTATGGTATTGGATATGTGCTGGACGATGGAAGCGTTGGTTGTGTTTTCAAAGGCGAAAATAACCAACCGGCAACGAGCGTTGTTGTGCGGGATGGAGAAAGACACATCCGTCGCAAGGCACGTAGTGTCGAAGATGAGAAAAGCGACCAAAAACCAATATACTACTCCGAAGCGGACCAGCTTGTTCCTCGCACTGGTCCATCTGTGGAGTTCTATGAGAATCGGGACGATGAGCTCCTGGGATGTCGTGGCATTCGACGAGCCATGATCTCACCTATGCTATTCGACCCCAAAACATCAAGAGCGATGAGACTTCGCTCCAGTGCTGGGACGGAGTCTGAGCGGGCTGATGCAGAAAAAATCAAGCGCATGAAGCTCGTCGACCAGTTCGGCAAATATATGATCGGAGCCCTTGGTCGCCACGGTGACGAAGGCATCATGGACGCTGATCTGCCTCAGCATAATAGTGCCCAGTACATCAAGTTCTACCAGCGTCTCGGAAACGTTGGTATTTGGGGTTTCGGAGACGGGGCCTTCCAATTCAACTTCCCTGACCACACAAAACTGGTGATTTCACCCGGCCGCACTCGCAGCTCTTCTCCTTGGATTGATTTCTACCACCTTTCTCCCTCCGCTGCCCGCTACTTCACCACAAAAGGCAAGATGCATCCTGCCGGCTTTGACACACGTGCTGTCGCCTCGGATGAGGCCGCCACATTCCTCAGCATCGCCAATGGCGACTCTCTTAATTCCATGGAGGATCGTATTCGTGACATCCTTGACGCAAACGCCTTCATTCAGAAAATCGCCTTCATCAAAGATACCCTCAGAGTCTGGATCAAATTTGGACGATTGGGTGGCCGCCCTCCCTCAGTCGAATCATCAGATTCGATGCCCGATGAGGCTTTCTGGCAGGGGACCCAAGATCGCCCACAGCCGAAGTCCCCTGGCACGAAATTCGTCTGGGTCACAGTGGGTGCTCCCGATGGTGACGGTCAGTATCGATCCGTCATGATACAGGATGATGTGCGCGAGGTAGCCAAACGGGTGACGACCCATGAGAGGGATATGGACCTTCTTCAAGACCGTCTCCATGCGCTGCGCTGATCTATTTCTTTCTTTTTGCTATTTATGGTTCCCCTCACGATGTCACGACCTGCTGCTTTCATGTTTTATGTTCACCTTGGTGAAAACGGCGAAAACACACATGCTTTACCCATCTAATGTTTGGGCTGTTTCGGTTACTTGCAGCAATGTACATTTTCTCCCGTATAGCCTCCGAGGTCATCGCCTCAGGTGGGAGAATGTCGATATCTTTCGTTTAAGTAACAATTATACCCGAGTTGTCAAGAGCCCACCGGACGTTTTTAAGTTACAAGATCCTCATGGAAAGTAGCATGCTAGAAATGGCCGCATCACCGACCGACTTGCAGAGAGTCTGTAGTTCCCCTAGCAACTTTCTTGCCCACGTCTGCTGTCGTTGACAAACGATTTTGTGTGAAGGAGTAGTACACCTGGGAAACCGAGCCCATCACTTTCACTGTTTTTCACTTTTTTCACTTTTTTTTCACTTTCTCTCTCTCTCTCTCTCTCTCTCTCCCCCTCTATTTATTCATCTCTCTCTTTCTTCCTCTCTTCCCCTCTTCCTCTCCTCCAGACATCTCTTCATCCTCCTACACTCTCGAAAACCATCACCATGGATGGAAACCATTGAAGGGAACCCAACCTGCTTTCTGTACGGCAGTGGCAGTACGCCAGAGTACGAGAAACATCTCATGGCTCTCATCCAAGATCCCCTCGACGTGATCATTCATATTGCCTTCGTTGGCATTGGTGGCAGCGATGCCCTCGCCCTCAACTTCGACTCTCCAACCGCTCTTGCATCACGGTTCAATTTCTGGCCACCTGAAGTGTCGAAAGCTACATTTTACGAGAAAGCCGCCAAGTCATAGGACATGAAGCCTCTGGTATCGTTTACGCTGTCGGCCCTGCAGTCTGAAATTTGAAACTCGGTGATGAGGTCGCCATCGAAACCGGCTTCGCCTGTCATGTTTGTGCTCAATGCAAAGGCGATCATTACAACCCATGCCCAAACATGAAGTTTCCTCTCAGCCCACCCACCACCAATGGCACTTTCCCGAAATTCCTCACGGTCTCAGCTCATTGCTGTCACAAGATCGCCAACACCGCCGGGGAGAATACTGCAATGGGTGGACCAGAGCATCGATCAGCTCTCCGACTCGTGCTTGATAAGGCAGCTTTTATTGGGCCACTGGCTACTACTATCCACACTGTGTAGCTGGTTGGGGCCAAGGCCGGTGATAAAGTTTTCGTCTTCGGCGCTGGGCTTGTGGCACTACCTCTGCGGCCGTTACACGCGAGCTTGGAGCGACCATGATTGTTTCTCTTGATACCAGCAACGAAGAGTTGAGTTTTGCCGAGGCATCGGTGGCAAGAGATTGGGGTTTTAATCGGTCTCCTGGAGATCAGACGTTCACACCGGAGATCTCAATGGGTGTGAACGTCTGGTCTCCGGGTCTTTTCGAACATGCCCTGTGCCCCTTCTTTGTTGTTGACCGGTCTCCCGGAGACCAGACGTTCACACCGAGAATTGCAATGGGTGTGGACGTCTGGTCTCCAGGTCTTTTCGAACATGGTCTGGGTCCCTTGTCATCGGCTGATGAGTTGAGTATCAAAATTTCGCAATCGGGGTAAAATTCTGGCTTCAATCCTTGAGCTCCGGCGATGGTGGTGCAATTCCCGGATTTGATGTTGCTATCGAGACGACTGGGACAGAATTCTGTGTGCAAATGGCAATCCATTCGCTTCGCATTGGAGGATTCCTCGCGCAAACTGGACTGGGAAATCGAAACGTGAATATTCCAGTTTCCAAAGTCATCGAAAGTCAGATCACTGTGAAGGGTTCTAGCCGCATATCATGGACCAAGTTCATTCAGCACAGGGCAACAGCCACACGCGTTTGCTTGGGAATGATTATGCACTTGCATCTGTGGCCAGAGTCTTGGCTATCACTAATGGCACACATCCTGGAATGGTTGATCTGAAGGCCTTGATCACAAACATGTTTGCCTTCGAGGATGTGGATAAGGCCTGGGAGGCAGCGAAGAATGGCAAGGGAACCAAGACCTTGATTCGAGGTGCGGGATTCTAGGACAGTTTTGCAGAGACAGATGTGGACAGAAAGATGAATATTGTGGTTGATTATCATTAGCAATACGTGTCATTACTTTGTACATGGTAGAAACCCTTTGTTGTATGCGGCTTTTTACCAAGCCCATGGCCGAGTCTCCCTGACAACTGCATGTTCTTCACGCATATTCCAGCCTTTCTCGTCCTCGATCGAGTCATCATCCCTCTGAAGGCCCTGGTTTGTCTCCAGAGCACGGTCAAGATCATAATGCTCAGTCAGGAACCCGAGCAGCATTGCCACCCCGGAAACCCCACAGCAAACTATCCACACTGTTCGAAGACTGTCTGTGTAGGCGTCCTTCAGGTTTGACTTGTCGGCACCGTCCGGCATGGACTTGATGACCCGGACCAAACCCGCAGCATCCTTGCTGTAGGCACTGGCCATAGGAGCCAAAGCAGGGTATTTGGAGATATTGTTGAACATGCGATTTTGGAATACAACACCCCCAACAGCCACCCCGATAGCTTGGCCTAATGCACGGAAGAAACTGAACATGGCGACTGCGATGGCCAGATTTTCGGGCTCCGACGAGGCCTGCACAGCATAGCCAAGTGCAGGGAACAGAATTCCGAGCCCAAGGCCGGGTACTATGTTCAGGAAGATCCACCCCAAAATGCTGGTATTGGCTTTGATGAGGCACATCAAACCTATGCCGATTGTCGAAAGGATCCATCCTAGCCAAACAGCCCATCGATAGCGACCGGTAACGGTAATGAGGATTCCCACCACCATTCCACTAGGCGCCACTGTGAACGTCTCGGGGAACAGTGCAACACCCGAAATGATAGGGCTGTACTCCTTCACGGCCTCATAGTAGAGGGGAAGGTAGTATAGAGCACACCACAAGATCAGACCTTGAAGCACACTCCCGATGAAAGAAACTGTCGCCGTTCTGTTTTTGAAGATCACCGGGGGGATGATGGGGTCAGTCGCGAAGCGATACTCATAGAAGGCGAAAACGAACAGACCGACTACACCAACGATGAGCGGTACCAACGTTCTCCATGAGTCCCAGTCGTATGAGACACCACCCCAACTCAGTGGGATCAAAAAAGAGGACATGCTTCCGACAAAAATGACCGTTCCGACATAGTCGATTCGGCTGAGCTTCTCGACCAGCGAGCTGGGCGCGAGCTTGAGCTTGAGGAAAAGAATGACCAGTACTCCGCCAACTCCAATGAAAGGGAAGTTGATATAGAAAATCCACCTCTGCTTCGATTAGCAAACTGCTGGTCCGAGTTTCAAGATCTCTACTCACCCACGACACCTTCTCGGAGAAGCCACCCCCAAGAATGGGTCCTGTCACAGACCCAAGGCTCCACATGGCGCTGAGGATGCCAAAGTACTGTCCACGCCATCGAAGAGGAACAAGATCGGTGATGATAACTTCACTGAGGGATATGATTCCACCTCCACCCACGCCTTGGATGGACCGACCGATCAACATGAATGTGAAATCATTCGCAATTGCACATATCACAGCGCCGACGGCAAAGAATACCAGAGAAATTAAGATCATGGGCCGGCGGCCGAATATGTTGGAGAACGAGGCAAAGCTGGGTTGGAACACTGACTCAATTAGTATCACCAAACACAATTATTCAGGTGCACCCACCTGTTGAACACAGTAAGAATGATGTGCCACTCCAAAATGCCTCGATGGCCGTCCCTTCAAGCTCAAGTGCTATATCCTATCATCCGTGAGCAAAAGACGCAAAAGGGAAAGAAGGGGACCTCGTATGCAGGACAACTCTGAGTTGACTTACAGGCAGAGCGACAGACAGTGATGTCCCGTCAAGCGCGGCCATCAAAGTCAACACGGAAAGAGTAATGAATACTAGTATTCCTCTCCGTCCTAGAGCAAACTGGTCGGTATCCTTTTTCTGCTTGCGCTTCACATTTCGTTTCAGATCATACGATGACCTGGCCAGGCTATCATCGTATTCATATCTTCCTCTTCTATAGAATGGAAAGTCCTCGTCCGCCATGATGGATATAGTTGACAATCCAGATCAGACTGTTCAGCGATACGGGCAGCCTTCGACGATGTGTATCAAAAGACCCCAAAGAATGTGCGGTCGAACAGGAAGCCATCATGAACGGCCGCAGCTCGAACAAATATATCCGTGAGAGCATCACACATCCAGCCTCATTCAGTCCACGCGAGAATTTTGAAGGGCTGATGCGCAGTTCGGAACAGGATGAATGGTTACACCATTGCGACCCAGAATCATGGGTTTCACATAGCTATGGCTACCGCATTGAAGTTGTACAACGGGAATATGAGATTCCAGGGTCCCCACGATGGACTTAGTTCAAGTTACAACGCGACTTGAAGCAGCCCAGTTAGGAAATTGACGTGCCAAGAGTCGGCATAATTCCATGCCGAAACATGTCATCAGGGGTGTCTCGGGCTAACTGTGCGTAGTCTTGCCATCCAGAGTATGTCTCACTACCTAGTAGCTCTTTTGCTCAGAGCCGGGCTGTTCGTCATCAGTTTAGTCCCAGGCTCGGGGTGTTTGCCACCGCCCGGTTTGTTGATAGGGGGAGGTGATCACAAGTCTTGGTTATATATCAGCACGATCGAAACAAATGAATAGAGAGGTATCCATCCACGGATGAGTGTCAGATCCAGAGTCTTTCGAGTTACAGACATGGATGGCATCATCCTTGGTCAGGCCCTGATATTCCTTTGCAGGTGTCAGAATCCACACGTGCAATAATAATGTTCATTTTGTGGATCAAACGGGAGCTCTAGTTCAGCTGGCAATCAAACCAGTAAGAACGAATTACCATTGAATGTTGACCTAGAGGCAAAAAGGCAGGAGGAATAATCAAGAGCGGCCCTTGCCCGAGGGTTAGGCTATTGATGTGCTAAACAAGGCGCGGTAAGTATTGTAGTGAGCTTGACCGCAAGATCACAACACAAGCAATGGCCTGACGATTCCTGTTTCTGCATATTGTACTCCATACTGCATTTTTGAACATTCCAAGCGCCCACAAATGTTGGGGGAAAAGTGGAGAGCAGACAAAGCAATTTACCCGAGCTTGTTTCCTGAGAACTATACCTAAACAAGCCTAACCTGGGAGGCGCAATATCAGAGCAGAATGGGAACGGCTACAGGTTCCGGAGCCTTGCATTCTACTACCGGGTATTCCGTACTGTGTGCAGCCCTGAGTGCTCAAATGTTCGAATGCATGGCCTAGGACATCATTTCTTGAGTTGGAAACATTTTGTGTTTAACTAGCACTTAGCGTGTTTGGCGCCAATGGACGAGTCACAATGTTGGCAACCCGAAATACTATGCCATGGTCCAATACTATCAGATCTTCCCTTGGAACTTTTCATTGATTAGAAATGATTCTGTGTAGACAAAAGTTGTATAAGCAATGGCTATGAATGTCTTTATTCCCAAGGATCATGTAGTATTAGAAACCCACTGGCCAGCCCTGGAATTACCTACATAGGTACCTAGGTATGTAGGTAGGTATGAACCTCGGAAGACCCCATGATTCAAGCTGACCTCCGAACCTTGGAAGAAATCAGAGAACCTTGCCCAGTGGAATTACTTTCTGAAGAACACGAGCCTATGTCCATCGTAGAAATCCTACCTAAGATTTTCTCATCGCTCTACCTATTTGAATAACGATTCTTGGGGCGCATGGGATGCTGCTCTTTACCTGATCTGAACAATACATCCGCGAGTCGGATGGTTCGGTTATATATTTTTACACCAATGCGTGTTCATGATTCACCTAGGCAACTCTGGATTTACTGTCTAGGTGCCACACTTACCACTGGGCAGTAGGCAAAGACCAGCGCAGTCGCAAGACCGATCTGATTTGCACTGAGCAAACCCATGACTACAGAATGAGCCAATACTTTCACACAGGTTACCCGACAATGACCATGAATCGGATTGTGATTCTATAGATCTTGGCCGAGTAGATGGCGCTCGGGTCAACTTCGGCCCCAATCTTCCGAGTCGCCGTCGTACTCGCTCCCGTGGACTGAATAGTACGCTTCATCTCCCAACTTCTCCCAACTACACACGGCAGGGATATTAGCTGCGTCATGGCCGACACTACCATACACTCTAGCAGCGCATGAAGTGAAGAAAAATTAAAGCGCCTACTACTCTACACTAGAGTAGTGAGATTAATCAAAAACAATATGGGCCACGCGGATCAAGTCAACATCAAGATGAAACGCCCACGAGTGAAACACCCCCACTGCTTCTGTACGTGCCTTTTTCGAACTTTTCGACGCCCATACAGTGATTGGCCCCTGCTCTCGGGCAGTGGAGGTTTCCGAGACGGAGCTGACGATCGATTGCCTAAAAGCCACGCCATCCCGAGTGATCGGCAGTCGTATCTCCACCAGGATCCAAATCTTTAATTCTTCTAAACGGCGGGAGGTTGAAGTTCATTTCGGGGAATTAGGCTGTCCGCAACCTCCTGATCCCTTAGCGGCCGAAACATCCATGGATTCCTATATAAGAGCTGCCGGACAGTCGACTCAGATCCATTCCTCTCTTGTTTCATTCGCTCTCTTCTGTTCATTTTTGCCTTTCATTCTTTGATTCTCATTCGTTATATTCCCTTCACAATGAAGTACGCATTTGTTCTCACCGCCATCGCCGCCATGGCCTCGAAGGTCGCCGCGGTCGGCGTCTCGGGTACCCCCGAGGGTTTCGCCTCGTCCGCCACTGGTGGTGGCAGCGCCACCCCCGTCTACCCTTCCTCCACCGATGAGCTGGTCTCTTACCTCGGTGACTCTGAGGCCCGTGTTATTGTCCTGAGCAAGACGTGAGTATCAATATGCTTTCGTGTATAGATAATGGCTGACCATCGGATCTTAGTTTCGACTTCACTGACACCGAGGGTACCACCACCACCACCGGTTGCCAGCCTTGGGGTACTGGCTCCGGCTGCCAGGTCGCCATCAACAAGGACGACTGGTGCACCAACTACCAGCCCGATGCGGCCACCACTTCCGTCACCTAGTAAGTACTCTGGCATCTGGAAATTCTTGACGATCATGCTGATCCTTTCCTTTAGCAACAAGGCTGGTGAGCTCGGTATCACCGTTGGCTCCAACAAGTCCTTGATCGGTGAGGGCAGCAAGGGTACCATCAAGGGCCGTGGTCTCCGCATGGTCAGCGGTGCCAAGAACATCATCATCCAGTAAGTCTGAGTGTTGCATTGATATTTGGAGCAGAACGTATACTAACCAATTCACCAGGAACATTGCTGTCACCGACATCAACCCCCAGTACGTGTGGGGTGGTGATGCCATCACCATCAACGAGGCTGACCTGATCTGGGTTGACCACGTTACCGTATGTCCATCTGCCAAACACCGCGAGATCCATATACTAATCCTTCATACAGACTGCTCGCATTGGTCGCCAGCACTACGTCCTCGGTACCGAGGCCGACAACCGTGTCTCCCTGACCAACAACTACATCAACGGTGAATCCGACTGGTCCGCCACCTGTGACGGCCACCACTACTGGAACGTCTACCTCGACGGCTCCAGCGACAAGGTGACCTTCAAGGGCAACTACCTCTACAAGACCAGTGGTCGTGCCCCCAAGGTCCAGTCCAACACCTACCTGCACGCCGTGAACAACTACTGGGACGAGAACTCCAACCACGCCTTCGAGATCGGCTCCGGTGGTTACGTCCTTGCTGAGGGTAACTACTTCTCCAACGTCAACGAGGTCCTTGAGTCCTCTTCCTTCGAGGGTGCCCTCTTCGCTGCCGACAGCGACTCCTCCACTTGCTCCTCCTCCATTGGCCGCTCTTGCGTCGCCAACGTCAACGGTGGTACCCTGACCGGCACCTCCTCCGACGTCCTGTCCAACCTCAGCGGCGAGACCCTCCCCGACGCTGACAAGGCCAGCACCGACCCCGCCGGCAGCGCCGGTCAGGGTAACCTGTAAACAGGGAGACCTGTAAATAGTGTCGTGCTTAAGGTTGGGGAAACTTGCGGCGACTGTGTCCCTATGCCAGCAGTGATGGTAAAAGTTCTATCTGACCCTAATCTATAATGTTTAGCAAGCACAAATGCACTTTTTTTTATACCAAGAAGTACTAATAACTAATATCTAACCGTAACCCTATACATCGATCCCTCATCTTGGCTAGGCAGAGCTTTCAAGAAGCAAGACGTAGGGACAGTCTAATGAATGTATTGGTTGTGATTGAAAGTGGATTACACGGCATATCATGAAATTTATGGAGCAAAGCTTGAGCAATTTCCCCACACAGCCACATTAGCTTGGGAGTTTATGAGACAAGCAAGATTTAGTTGATTAACAATTTGTTCTAGAAAAGAAGGTAAGCACAGTGGAGTAGCTAGAAGCCGTCTTTAATCTATTTACCCCTTTTTACAAGCATAGCTAATTCCAAGCCATCAGACCATGCCTTTCAACCTGATTCTTCACTGGGCACTTTACTAGCTGAGAAATGTGATACCTTCAATAGTCTGAAGATATTGATGCAAGCCCGTTAAAAGAACGTCAATCATGGCACAGATATCACGAGCCATAGATGTCGCCTCATCGAAGTTCAGCCTCTGCATCGACGAATGAACATCTATCCTCACCCCAAGTGGAGTATCAGTCGAGCATATCCACACCTCCGAGCCGGGTAAGAGTCCCCCAACAAGCTTCAGAGACGCAGATCTGGACCCTAGCGTCAAGTTGAGGTCGTGGTTACCCGTCTGGTGCTGAACGATGTAACCGAACTCCGTCGACGATGGCCAATTTGTGCAGCGCGATATAATTCTACCCAGATCCACAGATTCGGAGCTGAGACTCCGGGCGTGCTGGGCCTGGGCATGGAGCAGATAGTCGTGGGCCGTCATGGATGCACGAGGCTGTACGCGGAACGGAATGTAGTTGATGCAAGCGCCTACAATTTTATCGATGTCGGGGAATGGTAAACTGCGCCCATCAACGGTCTGGCCGACAACGATGTCTGGTTGGCGGAGGTTTCGAGCGATGACCAACGAGGCGGCGGCTTTCACGACGGTGGGGAGGGTGATCGCTGATGGGAGGCCGGATGGTAAAGCGAGATCGCAGGATGCTGTAACCAATTGTGTGGATGAAGTTATATCGAGAGGAGAAGAGGAAGGAGTAGAGCCCTCGAGATATTCCTGCCAGAATTTTTCCTGCTGCTCTTGATCTGAATGCCATGATCTTTGCTCAAGGTACCAGTCGAAGGAGGTATGAGGGACTGACTTGTCATCACTATATGCTGATTCGAGATCGCGGACCAAGATTGCGATCGAATTGGCATCATACTGGGCGTGGGCCAGACGAATAATCAGTTGCTGGTTTGTATGCGTGGGGTCGGACACCAGGGTAAACCGAGTTGCAAGTCCAGCGAGATCTACAGGGACAGCCTGCTCGGAATGGCAGAATTCTTCACAAAAGGAATCTAATGGATCATCAGTCGTAACTGTTTGCAACGGAATATCAACGTCTTCTGCGAGCGTTAACTGGAAAAGCTTGTCGCGATATTCAGTAAAGGCCACCCGCAGCGCACTGTGAGCACGGACAAGGGCCCGGCAAGTATGTCGCAGTCGATGCTCATCGAGTCCTCCTTGGAAGGGAAATTGGAAACTAAACCACGGATACCGCGAAACCAGTTTCGATTGGGCTTCCGTGGCTGGGCGCGCTCCAGTGACTCTTCCAGAAAGAGGTAGGACTCGCTGCAGAGAGCTGAGGTGTTGCCGAAAGTCCCCTGATCCGAGAATAGATGGCTGAGCTAAAGCAGACAAAGGACTTGTTTCTAGACTTGTCTTTGACTCCCGCAAAGACAGCGCAAGCGATGACAACGAGCTGTTTGGATCCAGAACATCCGCCACGGTGAACTCGAACCCAGCTCGTCGAGCCGTCGCTACCATTCGCATGGCGATGATCGAATCACCACCAATGGCTAGGAATCTATCTTCTGCTCCGATGAACCACTTGGTCGTGCCCAGGAGGTCAGCCCATATGACTTGCAACAGTCGTTCAGACTCGCTGGAGACTTCAATTTTGGCTAGCGGTTCTGCGCGATAGATCTGAAGCGCCTCAGAGGATAGCGACTGAACTGCCGATCGTAGCATGCGACGGTCAAGCTTTCCCGTCACAGTCTGCGGCATTTCTTGTACTGGGATGAAAATGGACGGGACCATGTACGATGGAAGGAGTCCTTGGAGGCGCTTCTGCGCCTCGGTCGTACTGCGACGGAACTCCTGGGTGACTGGAAGAATGACATTGGCGTCCGGCTCTTCGGGTTCATGAGGTTGAGTCTTGATATACGCGACCAGTGTCGCAATACTACCGTTGGATCCGAGAGAGAGTATCTCGGCGGCTACTGCACCGGCCGCAGGGAATTCACGAAGTGTTTTAGTCTCTACCTCCCCAAGGTCGACCAGTTGCCCGTTCAGCTTCATGCGCGTACTCCGACGGCCCATGTATCGGATGGTTCCATCATCCTGGTACGTAACAAGATCCCCCGTCTGGTAAAGTCTCGAACATGGACCCAGGGGCATTCTTTGCCTCCATTCTGGTGGCTGAATGAATGAAGCAGCAGTGACATCTGGGAGATTAAGGTATCCGGAGGCCAAAAAAGGTCCCTCAAGAAGTAGTTCTCCGATGGCGCCGATGGCAGCCAATCGTGACGTGTCATTCGGCATCGTTACCCAGCCAACGCCTCCGACGATTGCCCCAATCGACCCCTGTTTCCACCCGCTCAGCGGAATGGCCCCAACACCGCAAATTGTGGCTTCCGCGGGACCGTATGCATTGACCAGCCTGCGCCCCGGGCCCCATGTTTCGACACTATCGTGGGTAACGGCTTCCCCTCCCAGCACCAGGGTCGACACGCATGGGGTTTCTGAGGGCTGGAGAGCTCGCGCAGTTGACGGTGTAAAGAACGTCCAGTTGACCTGGAATCTGCAGATAGCTTCTGCAAGCGCATTCTTGCGACCGAATTCCGACGGAATACAGAGGGTCCCACCTGCCCCAAGAGTCGTGAAGATCTCGTATATACTGATATCGAACGCGTACGAGGCAAAGTGAAGCACCCGCGAGTCAGCTGTGACATTCATCGGTAAAGTATGGTACTTGATACTGGAGGTAAGGGTGCTGTGCGGCATGACAATACCCTTGGGGCGACCGGTACTGCCTGAAGTGAACAAAATGAACGCGGGCAAATCAGGAGAGACTGGCGAGTCAGGGAGACATGGTGTCTGGGGAAGAATGTCTGTGACAGATCCATCAAGACAAACTTCAACCTGCGCTAGGCCGCTTGTCAACGCGCTCGTTGTTTGGCTGCTGACCATGATCTGGACGGAAGCTTCTTTGAGAATATCATTGATCCTCTGACGCGGATGATCCAAGTCCAGGAGAATGCATGTGCCCCCGGCGCGCAGAACGGCCAGAATAGCGACAATACTCCATTTACTTCGCTCCAGGCAGATCCCTACCGAAGAGCCAGGGTGCACATTCAGCAATCTCAGCCGGTGGGCGAAGGAGGAGGACATCCAAGCGAGTTCTGAATAGGATAATGGCCCATCCCACGCGTCCACAGCTGTGGCATGCGGTTGCTCAAGACACCGAGCCAGAACGAGGTCGTCCAGGGACCGCAGATCTGCGGGAGGTATCTGGCCGTTCCAATGTTGGAGTTGAGTAAAGTCATCTGGGGATACCATATCCACCGCTTCTATTTGCTGCGCAGGATCCGTCATGATCTGAAGCAAAATGTGCTTTAGTTGATTCATGATCCGGTACATTGCATCTGGGGAGATAACATGAGGATCGAATGCAGTATCAACTGTCATCCGAGTTTGGTCTGTGCTGGGCAAGACTGACGCCATCATCGCGAACTCACAGAACGCCGTATAATCCAGTTCGGTATGTGCGGATCCCCGGAGAGTTTCAAAAAGGCGTTCCTGGTCTTTGTCCTCCGAGGATTGAATAATGAGCTGGCTTTGAAACTGGCAGGCTCTCATGCCTTCCTCGCAACTTCTGGCGATGCGTGGCAATCCGGCCTGTTCGTACGGGATCATAGAAGCCAGAGTGTTTTGGATTTGATCCAGCGCGGTAGCCACAGAGGCTCCGGACTTTAATCGAACACGCAATGGAATGGTCGTGATTGTTGGTCCAACGATAGTCTCAATGCCGGGGACTGAGGCATTGCGTCCACTCAGGGTGGCGCCGTACACCACATCGGACGAATCGGTATAGTGAGCGATAAGCAACGCCCACGCAAGGTAAATGTATGTTGGTAAGGTGTGACATGTTTTTCTGTGTACAGAAAGGCCCTCGAATTCATGTCGGAGAGACTGTGTGGCCGAAGGTCGATATTTGGCTCCTGGAAGCTCAGGGAAGGCCGTGGCATCGAGCCCACGCAGCTGGGTGGCCCAAAATTCGTCTGCGTCCTGGATATCCCTAGTATGCTGAATGAAGGGATAGAAGTGATGTCTCTCCAGTAAGTGACCCTGATACGCGGCTTCCACCTGTTGCTGAACAAGACGTAGCGTCCAGTCATCCGAGACCCCGTGATGGCTCGTCAACACGAGCTCGCGATCGTTCTCATTGAAAAAATATTGAACTAAGGGTTGCCCGACTAACTGCGTCAGCTGAGGAGCCTTCTGGCTTGAGCAATCATGTTCGTGCCACGCAAAGCTATCGATAACGGCCTGAAACACCCCGTGCGGTGTTTGAATAAACCTCGTGCGGAGGATGGGATTGTTATCAGCCGTGTGTTTCCAAGCTTGCTTCAATCTGGGGATTTCCACGCCGAGAGGAATTCGAAAGACAATATTCCCGGTGTACATTCCGGGGGTTTGCAATGAGGATGAGAACATGCTCTCTTGCAGCGGTGTGCATGGGTATATGTCTTCGATCTGGCTTTGTTCCACATTGCACTGTTCCCGGGCCAGTTGCAGAACATCAGCATGAGATGAGGCCTTCACCAGACTGAATGGCTCATAGACCAAATCCGGCGAAGATTCGATCATCATGGCCTTGGCGGCCTGGTCGGCGATACTCACCTCAGCGAGGACATCCTGCATCTGAATCATCAGGCCCGCCTTTCTTGCAGCCCCAACCAGATTAATAGCCTGGACAGAGTCACCACCCAGGCGCAAGAGTGTATCATCCATCCCAATGACCGAGGGCTCGGCTTGAAGGATGCTTGCATAAACTTGCTGTAGTGTCCGCTCGCTGGAGGTTCTGCCCGCCTGTTTCTCGATTGCAGAGGATGCAAAGACGAAAAGTTCTTTCTGGGACATTGAACCTGCAGTGTCTCTCAACAAACGTCTGTCAATCTTGCCAGATGCTGCTTTGGGTAGACGGGCTAGCGGTATCCAGAGACCTGGAACCATGTATGTGGGAAGTCGGGCGTGCAGCTGGTCCTGTATGGCTTTGAAACTCTCTAAATCAGAAGCGTCTGGTGTTAGAAAGAGAGATCCAGACGCATGGAAAGGCACCAGCCGATCAATCACGATGAACGCGATAAGCGTCTGGTGGCCATCGGATGTGTTGACCTTCTCCACGACAACCTCAGTACTGGCGGCGACAGTTTCATTGACGTGATGTTCAACATCGGCGATTTCAACGCGCTGTCCTCGAATCTTGAATTGTCCATCATTTCGACCAACGATATGAATGATTCCTGCCTGATCTTGAGACGCTAGGTCGCCTGTCCGGTACATCCGATGTTGGTAATCCCCCTTTCGAAGTCGTCGAAGCCATGCGGGCGGGTCGATGAAGGCCTTTCGAGTAGCATCATCGTTGTTCGAGTATCCACGGCCTACAATTGGGCCTTCGAGAAGAAGCTCGCCAACCTCATCCCACCCCATGGGCTTCTCCGTGTCGTCCGGGTCGACAATCCAGGCAACCGCCCCAGTAGGTTTACCGATATTCTGCACTGAATGTCTAGGCCGGACGCGATGGTGGATTGTTGCATTGACAGAGCATTCAGTAGGCCCGTATGCGTTCATCAGACGCATTCCGAGAGCGCTATAAATAGTTCTGTCTGATTTGCGCATCGGCTCGCCGCCCAATAGCAACGTAGGTCGCTGCTCAAAGTTTGCCCAGGGTACAGTTCGCGCGAAAGAGGGAGGCAGGCCCACGTGAGTGAGTCGAAATGCCTTCAAAGCCTCTTCAAACAACACCACGTCATTTCGTTGAGCCTCGCTCGGTATGCAGAGGCATCCCCCAGCCATCAGCGTGCTTAGAGTCTCTAGTATGCTAACATCAAACGCATAGGAGGCGAACTGCAGGAGACGAGACCTTTCATTTATCTGAAACGCCTGCGTATGGCCTCGGGCGCTTGAGGTGTAAGCTCGGTGTTCAATCACGACTCCCTTTGGTCTCCCGGTGGAACCGGACGTGAAAGCGACATAGAGCGCATTGCCTGGCTCGGCAAGCGGCAGGTCCTGGAGTGCGCTGTTTGATCGACATACTCCAACCAGTTGCTCTATTACAAGCACATCCCCCAGCTCATGGCATTGCGCTACCTGCGCTTCGGTTGACAGTATGAATGGACTTCGGAGCTCATCGCAGATTTGCCGCAATCGTGATAAAGGATGGGCTGGACTCAAAAGACTAAACGCACCCCCTGCTTTCATCACGGCGAAAATGGCGATCGTTGTCCATTTGCTTTTTTCCATGTATATGGGGACAAAGCGCTCTGGTCCTATTCCCAAATGTCTCAGCGCGCGTGCTAGCCTGTCGGTCACTTCGTCCAGTTTTTGATATGTGATCGAGCCATCCCATGCATCGACTGCCAAGGAGTCTGGGGATCTCCAGCATCGATCTTGAATCACCTTGTGTACATGTATTTCCCAGAATGGGGGAACATCGGGGATGGACGCTGTAGGCGAGGTAGGTAGAAAGTCCGCTATTATATCCAACAACAGGAGTTGTGGACGATTGAGTGACTCGACGAGGAGGGTCAAGAAGCAGTCGGCGATGCGTTGCGTTGGGCGATCCCCATCTTTCCTCGAATGTTGGGTGCATATTCGGGCTGACAACAGACCTTCCTCCAGGGTACAGTGAAGAACGGAGGTAGGATCGAGCTCCTCAGTCCTTCCAGCAGTCTTCAGTGTCTGCATCCATTCTGGGGACTCCTCACATCCTTTTCTCTCAATTATCACAATGTGACGGATGGGGACTCCGCTCATAACATTCTGATAATGGTGGTGCCGTTGGGATTCCTCCTGTAGATCACTCTCCAGGGTATGCAAATTGTGAGAGATTGATGATTCAAGGTCGAAGTCGGGTTCAAAAGGTATCAAACAGTCCGCCAAGCGATCGGTCTCCCGGGTAGGAGCGAGCTGGGCGTCTGCGTCAATCCCAATGACACCACACCCAGTGTAGTTTCGGAGATCTCCATGAGACGCGGCCGCACAGAGTGTGAGCAGTGCAGGCGAGATCTCATTTGAATTCAGACCGAGGGCACTGAAGTCAAGGGTAAATGTCTTCCAATGCTCATTGGCCAGGGACGGTGAGGCACATGTTTCCTTGCGGAAGAGCGGCGCTCCACCAGCGGCCTGAATATCATGCATATTGTGGCAAGCGCCCGGTGTCCCACAAAATGTGAATACGGGGACTAAGATGCTTGAATTTTTACAAGTGCTACGCTCATACCCAGATTATATACCTCTAGGGACACCGGTCACAAAATAGGTAGTTGAACTAGCGGACTGTGCCTTTGTTTCGTTTACATCTCGTCAAACCTCCCATATTGGCTGGATGCTAATATCCCTCTTTAGTCAACTGGACGAATCAAGGCTGCAAGAAATGCACCAACCTCCAACAGTGACGCACAACCGGTGCGACATTCGACCCCGGGGCCATGAACTGATATTAATATCTCACATTGTCAAGGGAATGCATCGGGTGGCGCTCATCTAGCGTGCCTTCCAAGACATGGGGCTCATGTTTAGTCCAGCCACCTTCTAAGATCCATCTTATCCATGGATTCTTCTCACCCCAGCAGTGAGGGCTTGCTGCCCCCTTCCACATCAGAGAAACCTTGGAACCGAGTGCTCGACGGCTTCCCTTTTGTTGTGCCACGGAGGCAGTGGGTGACAATTCCATCCATTATTCCTGAGGTCAAGCTCTCGAATCATTCGCCATTCTCCAGCCCATGAGCAAATCTTTGTTCCTAGGCGGAGCCAACCGGATATAGCAGGCAGGGAGTATATTGCGATATAATGGTGCATGCCTCCCCGGGGGGTCCCGCGGGGACGATCTGGCGATCCTCGGCCCCCGGAGGCACGGACTCCTGGACGTTGTGGGGCCCGCGATGCCAAGCTGTACTTAATGAAAGGGCCCAATGGCGCACTTGCGGCCACAGTCGTAAATTAAGGGACTGTATGAATATTATTCTCAGTTCGGTTGTCGGTTTCAAGGATCACCTCATCAAATCGGCCCCGGAATCCAATGTATGATAGGACAGAGTACCCCGTAGAGGGCTGCAGCTTCCGGAAGGGACGTACTAGTACTCACCCGGCGGACTCAGCGGGACAAATGAAATGCTTCTTGTACTTCTCTCTTCGCCTAGGCAATGACGCGTTTCTGCTCGCACGGGGGGTGCTTTGGCCTTCAGGCGAGTCAGGTCCTACAGACTTGAAGTTGCCAAGGCAGCCTTTGTTGAGTCAAAAAGAGCGCTCATGACGGATGGCGTAATTGTGACCAGTGACGCAGCATGTGTGTGGAGCCCCCGGGGCCATGATCAATGTCGGAGATTATCTGGGGGACGGGGGCCAGCGCCAACAGGTTCGTGACTCGTGACCAAGACGGGGTCCGGAGTGAGGGGAAACTGAAGCGAGTGTCATAGGTCAAATCAAGAGTAGACTGATACCACCTCGGCTTCGGGGCTCCAATGATGATTTGCTTCACGGGGAATACTATGAGGGGCTCACCCAGGGCAAAGATCTTTGTAGCCTCCTTGTTGCATCAGCGTCTCCCTGTTCGGCCTGGATTAGCGGTCCGTGCTGAGAAATTAATGCTTGATTTGAGTCGGTTGAATTCTTGGGATAAACTTGCAAGCCCACTGGCAATAAAGTAATTCCAACTTTCAAGGGCACTATGGGTTAATCCAAGCTGAAGTTCTGCAATGGCCCGGGTTTGGCCTTATGATCAGGGGCCTCTGGGCCCGATTTCCGGGACCAACCCAGCCCTGGAGCCCGTTGCGGAAAACTACCTTCCAAGGTTCTATGCTGCCATTCGCTGCAGAGCCACTCGTCATTTAGTGGAAGGTGGAGAATTCCATTAAATTGTGATCATGAATCCTTTCTACGGGATCCACGCAGTTGATGCATTCAAGAAGCAAGTTCGGAGTTCTCATCTATTCGATCCTCTCTCGCAGTATATAGGTGAAAGAACACCCGCTGGTCTCGGCTGTTTCGCCAAGGTACCTAGGTACACACCAAGCGAAAGAAGCCACTGAAAAAAATATGTTGCAGGTTCCTAATTCATAAACCATGTACCCAAACATACCAGGGGCCTCAAGAAAGCAAAGAATTGCGCAATGATGTGCGACTACTGTTACTCGAGCGCGAAGAGAGAAAAAATTAAGAATTGGAAGAAAAAAGAAGCCCCAAGCTAGATAATCCAGCTAAGACTATAGCTCTAACCACCAGGGTAGCTATCTAGTTTTAGTCGTATCAGCAAGTGTCCACGGGTCCTGCCATCAAGCCAGACACCCCCAAAATGAAATCAGTAGGAGTACGGCACGATCACCGGTCCATCTATTTCACCTTGGAAGCGAGGAAGCGGGCGGCAGAGCCAGCATTGGCACCGTAGGTCAAATGGGCAGGGGTGATGATAAGAGTTCCATCACAGACCAAATCGCCCACAGCACAGTAGACTTTGGTTTGGTCCTTGGGGTAACCCGGGATTTGACCATGGTCCTGCAAGTTGCGAGTGAAGCCAAAGAGGACAACACCCTTGACCTTGTCCCTCACATCTGAATCCAGCTTCTGGATTGCGTTGTCAATGACAGCACTTCCTTGACTATTTATCGGGGACATTCAATTAGCACTTGCTCTCTCGGGTGTTGGACGTACTATGAGTGTCGTAGACAAGAGGAGGAATGCTCCAAGGTTGGGTGGATGTTCACATACCTATATCCGCCAGCAACAATTTTCGCGTTGGGGCACTTGGTGTTGCACTTGTTGAATACATCCACTGCGGCTTGCACATCCTGGGGCGCGGTATTCTGGGGGAGGAAGTTCTCTGCCAGGCCGGCGGTATAAGCCCCGCCGATACCTTGACATCCAACTTTGCCTCCGAGTTGCAGCTTCAAGTCATCGCATACTTCGGGTCCAACGACAGTGCCCTGGTAAGTTAGCATCATGAGTTGTTAAGCTGGGGTATATAGGCGGAGTGGAAGCTCACCTCGTTGCCAACCTCTGTAGAGCCACGTGCAAAGATGAACATGGTATCCTTGCAATTTCCAAGGTTCAGGTCATTGGCAGCAATATATTGACGACGCTCGACTCTGGTGAGCGAGTTCGAGGCCTCGATCAAAGGGGCGGCCAGAAGGAAGGGCAGGAGGGTCTTGAGGAACATCTTGCCGATAGAGATAGATAGACCGGAGGTTTTCTGTTTTCTTTTCTTTAATGACAATTCTTTTCACCCTACGACCGTTCTGAACTCTTTGATTTAAATACTTTTTCTTCGGGGAATGATTCAGTTCTTCGTCGGTTCGGGGAGGCCCGACTTCAAATTTGAGGCTGCGGGTTCGGTCGGGCATATGTACTGTAGGGGAATTTGGCGTTTCATGATGGCTCAGAAATTGGATCGTATCCCGTATCACGGTGACTCGCTCGTCAAATCCATTTTCAGAACCTCAAATTTGTCGAGAGCATGCATACCGCTGTTTGGTCGAGCAATTTCCATATAATATCCGCTAGGGCATGTGGTTACCGGGACCTCGGGATATATGAACTAGGGCCACTTTCAAGCCGAATTGATGATTCGGATGATCTGAATAACGGTGCCTGGCACAACTGCCGAACACTCCATGCGAAATTCTCGATTTCCGGGTCGTTCGGATACCAAGATGATTCCAAGGTCAACAAGAATTGGCAAACTCCCCTTGTGGCTTCTTGATAATCATGTTGAAATTTGCGCGATTCATATGGTTAATGCTAGTCTCTGATAAACTATCAGAATACCCTACATGGCGACATTCAGCCGCATGTGGTTTCAGACCTTAGAAAACGGGCCCTCAATGGGAATGCATCGGCAATTGATCATTGCTTCAGGAATCAAGGTTGGCAAGAAGTGACAATACCGACCATGAAATCAATCAAATCCCAATTAATTCGTTGCGTCTCGTTCTTCAAATATGCATATTTGGGCCTTTCTCTAACTGACGCAGGAAAATGTGAGCGGAGCAAAGTGCCCAAATAGGCCTAATCCCGCCAGAGGAAACATGAGCGGATTCAAAAAAAGTGCGGGATCGGTATACTTCTACTCAACCTCTATACCCGGACATATTCCAAGGTTGGGGTAATATGAAGGAAACACCGGGGAGATTACCACCCCACAAATAGAGTGCAGCCTTCCAGGGTCCCGAGGTTGGGGCTTCGATCTTTCATCTATCTACGATCTGTTATTCACCTAATCGAAATCTCTTCTCGTTACTGTTTGTCCCTAGGATCAGGGCTAGTTTACTGCTGTTACCTTCCATGCTGCAGTATCAATTGGAACTTTCCGAGGTTGGAATGATCCAATTATCACCTATAGTTGAGCTCTCCGTGTCCAAATTCAACACAATCATCATTGTGGGAATCCTAGTGTCCGAACGAAACTCGGGAAAAAATCCATGGATGCTGCCCGGATAATCAGGGTTTCAAGGTTTGGTCCATTGGTGCTGCCTTGAACATATATCGAGCTCAAACCGGAATATTAGAGGCGCGTAAATGTGTAGGCTTGCCTCTTTCTGCCTGTGTAGGCCTTTCCAAAGGTCCAGAAAAGAACTTGAATGCATGCCTGCAAGGCTTCAACAAACTTTGGAAAGATGTAATACATAATCGAGAGTTTGATGTAGATATTCGCCTGGGCACGTTGAAAGGGAATTCTGTGCTCAGATTGGTACGAAATTCTTCCCACTCGGAAAATCGAGATCGTATATTTACTGCACTTGAGTATCCCATGTAATCCCCCAGATCCATTATCAACCCTGCTCGCAATTTGAACGACGAATAGTTACGGAGTTCAGGGCGTGGAGGGAGAATGCGCCGTTTATGTTTCTGCCTCAGGTGTCGTTTTATCATGTTTTGTCATGTGACTCGCAGAGACTCCCACCTGCCCCAGGTGGGCACCTGGGCAGGTGCCGAGGTTCACGATCGACACATCCCCTGAGATCCAACCGCTTCCCGTCATGAATACTCAGACGTTGCCCAAGACCAACCACTAATCTTAGTGCTGTCGTGTTCCCATTGTCCGGTCAGCGATATCGGACCCCGATCACGCCTTCCCCATCTCACAAGTAGAGCGGGCCTATCGACAACCTTTCTTTCTGTCACCAAATCACTTCGCGATGTTTCAAGTCAAGTCTGGTGCTTGATCTATCTTTCGAGTTCAGCTGAGGACTTGGATTGGAAATTCCTGCAATGTGTTTTGTGGCAACAATTTTGTTGAATACCTTGGAAGAGCCTTTGGAAGGATTCACCACTGACAGTGGAACTTCCAAGGCTCTAAAGTTCTGAGCATCAATTTCCTCGTGTCTATGGAAATATTACAATTAAATATTTATCGCGAAGGTGGAAAAATCAAAGCACAACCCTATCACTGAAGCCATCAAGACTGACGAGCATAGTCCCTGATAGCAGGTTCTTCACTCGAGCCATGATATCCATACTCAAGAATATGGACAACACTATTCAAGATGATCGCGATATTGGTACCCAGCACATCAGTCAGAACCAATCCCTTGGTGACCAACCTATCACAAACAGAATCCATGTCGATTCGAGATAGGTTTCCCGGCCCTTCATGCGTCATAGCATCAACAAAGAGAGCCCAAGTGATCGGGTTGACCAGCAGACCAGCATGGGGATAGAATCCACCAGCAGGCATACCAGGACAAGCCAATTGGACCTGGGTGTTCGAAACACCGACACCATGCGCATCATTCAGCATTGCAGACGCATTCGGATCCGTCTGCGGCGTAACGACCTCGTCCGGACCGGAGTAGACGCTGGTAGTAGGAACATACGCCGAGTCGCCACCGTCTGAGCGGAGAGTCTTGATGAATTCAGATTCATACTGCTGTTGCATAACAGCCGGTGTGCAGCCAGCGTTGGGCAGCAAGCACTCTGGCGCGAAGAGCGTTCCATGGAAATCAGCACTGAGAGCCAAGTAATCCTCCACTGAGTCTCGCGTTGACGGCCAATACTTCAACGCCCATTGTACACCGACGTTTCCTTGCGAGGTGGCAATGACTCCGATCGTAGTGTTGCAGATCCCAGCAATGTAGTTCATGGCATAGGCAATGTACTGCGTAGTGAATTGGATATCTGCAAGCGAGTTTTGGGGGATATTAAGCCAAACCGCGTCCGCAAAGTCGGTTTCGGGGATCAGCTTTTCAAAGTTGAAGTAGTAAGAGACGCCAGCTGGATCGCCAGTGCCGGGAACAAGAAGAATTGGTCGCTTGCCATCGGCACCGTATTTGAAGCTTTCGGGGATGTAAATGGCGGCGCGGAGGTCTTCCTCGGTCTGGTCGTAGGGTGCATCGGTGGAATCCTTGGGATATATAGAGGTTTGGGGGTCGATGGGATTCGAGTTGTTCATCGAGTTGATCGACTCTTCATTGATCCCAGTGAGCAGGTCGACGATGTTCTTCGGGGCTAAGCCTTTTGTGACCAGGTCGATGGCCACGCCGACGAGGCCTGCTTCGCTTGCATTGCGGACATTGGATAAGGATCCCAAGGCTTCTTCGGTAGTTTTGACAGGGTCGATTTTGCCTTCTGCAACATCCCGCAAGGCGCCGATGAGGAGGTCAACTTCCTGCAAAACGCCTTTGGTGATTGAACCGAGTCCCTCAAGGGTATTTTCCAGTCTCGAGATAAAGTTTGAAGTGTCGCGAGCTGCTACCACAGCATTTGAGGCGGGTGCGGACGTTGCCAATGCGGACAGGAAGAGCGGGAAGAGCGCCGCGAATCTGAAATAACGCATGATGTAGAGTCTCACTTCAGCGAGAGCATTGAAGAATTTGGGAGGGGAAGGACAGGAAGTTCAAGGTACTTGCAGATTTGGACGTATCAGACTTTACAGCTTTTGGCCCCTAACTTGTTAGCTGCATCTGACGATCTCAACTAATGTGGCACCCCTATAGCATGCATGATAAATTAGACTTAAAGTGGAAAGACAAAGCAAAAAAGAACCGCAAGGGAGCCCCATCCCAAGCCCACATATCTTGCCGACGGCGTGAATAATTGGTGTTGTGGATTGATCTAGCGATCGAACCGTCGTGGTGGTACGCATGGAGCAGTGGAACATTACTGTAACAAAAGAGTTCAGTGTAAAGTCATGTAATCTCGTTGCTAACCTTCCACAGTTGAAGCCTCAGGCCAGCCACAAGCACGACTCTTTGCATCGAAAATTTCGTGCTTAATGTTATTGCTGTAGATGCTCAGAAGAGATGATTGAAAACCCCGCCTTTCATGTACATAGGAAGCTAAACTAGCACCGTCGCGCGTGGTCCCAAGCCAACCGACCCGTTGACGATCTTTGATCGACTCAGCTGGGATGTTTTGCGCGTGGCGTGACCGAGGTGAAAAGTACCACCCCGTATCAATATACCGCCGTGAGGGCAGCCCAAGTGAGCCGGGAACAGGGGAACATTGAAGCTCAAGCTTGGAAAATCGCCCATGCCAAAGGTGAGATTTCGAGAAATGTCCGATCGGCGATAAAGCTTTGTTTTTCCGGGAAGGAGATTCGGGACTCGGGAAAGCCAGCAGATCGATACCCGATACTCCGTACATGTGCAGGTACTGAAAGATCGAACACCTGACGTTGAAGCTTCAAATCCATTTCACACCTTGTGTTTGTTTGCTGGAACTTTCTTCCGGCAATCCAAGACATTCTCATACGGCGCCCAGATTCCATCACTTTTCACCAGCGAAAATCACGTCGGCGTGTCGAGACTGCTACTATAAGAAGGAAGGATAGTCATAGCTCCACCTTGGCATCCTGATTCCTGCATTGTGTCCCGTGTCTGGTTCGGTGGAACCTGGATATACCTAACTTTCCAAGGTTGGCACTAGTAACCTGGTATCCGTACATATGCATGAGTTCCACGGTTGAGGCTTTGGATGCGGAGCGTCGAGTCCTTGTTGTGTATCTGTTAAACCCAAATAGGCGTTTATGCAAAAGACCCTATACAATTTCGACCTCGGAATGCCCGAACGTTCATTCTCATCTCCTTGGGGCTATACTGTAGAGTACCAATGTACTACTAGGTACTACAGTATACTCAAGTTGGTTTTCATGGCTGATTGTTCCATACTGGATCCTCAAGGCGTACTGTATTACATACTTAGAAAATCCTCGAAGCAGTTGGAATTAGAAGAAGAATATCACTCATCTGTCTACAGTAGGTGGAGTGAGGGTAAATCTTTTTGCGCTAAGGCAAGAAAGATCTTCGGATTTCAACCTCACCAGAAAACCCGCGTTTTTAAGTCTTTGATCCCACACGCATGCTTAGGGAAGACCTCAAGAGGAAGCATACTGAAGTCCGGAGTAGCCCAGATCAAGCCCCCAGTTCAAGGCTACTACTAGTATGTAGTACTCCGTACTTGTGTGGATATTCAACGACTTCTCGAGAACCACCCTTGTAGGGCAAATACCCACCTTACTTCAACCACATGCAGCTTAAAAGTCAAGACCGAGGTCTTCATGTTATGTACAAGCTCCACTGCAATAGATCCACCACTTCGTCACCATCGTGGCCCGCTCCAACATTCCCGGGGAAACAAATGGCGGTTATGGGAGTCCTCCCCTGAGTGCAGAATAACCACCGGGATGTATGCGAGGCTGTTAGCGATGAGTGCGGCTGGGCTCTTGGTGAATGCAAAGAAGTCTTGGTCAAATGAGCAAAATGCCAGATGCGCAAACACCCGTGGACCCCGTCGGTCGCAAAATACCGCAGGTGTACTATACTATACAGACCTCCAAGATTGCTTCTACCAAATCCTCCATCATACGGTAGACTACAAAGAGGAGAACTCTATGCCAGTGTAGCTCGTCCGAGTTCTGGTGTCCCTATCTTCAGGCCCGGGTCTATTCATAGACACTATGTATGCCACCAGATCGACGAGGAATATTTTGGGCAAGGGCGACCTTTCTCCTGTATTCGATCCTTTGCGCTATGGTTCACGAGTCTATGTATACCATGCTATTACTCCAGGGCCTGGACTTTTTGTGAAGGCCGATGCATGCGCAGGAAACCCCGAGCTTTGTGGGGGATTCTGTCTTGCGATATTGAACCTTGAAAGTCAGGCACCAAGGCATTAACCCGCCGCGCCTGCTCCGCGCCGTTCTCCAGATCGACCACCTCACCGATTTCAATCCAGTCCCGAATCAACTCCTTCTATGGCAACCGAGTTGCTATTCACGTAATCAAATCATGCCAGTTGACCGTGAAAAGCCAGTCACATTGCGCAGATCATGCAGAGCATGCATCAAGGGCAAGAGGCGATGCGACCAGGGCTGGCCTAAATGTGCCAGATGCCTGAGCAAAGACGCCAACTGCGAATACGTGAATGTACCTTTGACAGTACAACTGGGCGTCAAAAAAACCACTGGTCCCCACGTCACATTCAAGTCCTCGAGGGCCAAGGCGGCACCTGCTCCTCGAATCTCCCCAGAATTACGACTGGAGATTGCAAAGGAATATGACCCAAACATAATTCGATTTCTTGTGTCCGGGCTACGCGATTTACCGGTACAATTTGCAGAGAGTCAAAAAACACACTTCATCCATCCTCATCTGTATAGGAATGGCTTACCAGCCGCTGTGCGTGAGGTCCATAACATCTGCAGACTCAGCATGCAAATTGGTCAATCAGAACGAACCAGCTTCACTCTACTATCAATTCTGCGACAACAAGTAGCACACATCTGTCGTCGATTGAGCCACGCAGCTACATTCGAGGAATTACTTGGATGTAGCCAAGCGCTAGTCTTGATTCAATGCATCCTCATCCTCAACGAAGATGCAAGTGCCACCTCATATTCGGAAGCAGTCAGTGAGATGCTAGCGGGCGTTGCTGGAAAACTGTGGCAACAAGCCCCTATTCAACTTCCGCAGGCCCTCAGCCCTCGACACGCGTGGCTTCTGGGTGAAAGCGTGCGGCGAACGATCATCGTGTGTTTCATGTTACGCAGCGCTTACTCTCTGAAAACGAGAAACTACTCAGTCCGGACACCGTTCATTGATGCATTGCCGTTTGATCTGCGGACTAATCTGTGGGACGATGATTCGGACAGTTCATGGCAACACGCTCTACCTGAATCCAGTGGCTCGATGGTCTCAATGCACGAGTGGTCTGATGGTATGGCTGCTGGTCGTGTTCATGATGTGTCTGCCTTCAGCGCTCTGATACTCGCGGCTTGTAAAGGGCAAGCCGTTTCGAGGATCCCGTTCCCGCCGGTGGAATCCTATATGGCGACCTGAGGATCGAAGGTCTTAACACTACTGACCTTCATATGCCCAGTGCGTTCCTTGTTTGTGAGCTATCGCACCTGGAGCATTTGCTGGAAATGAATTATCACAAAGTGGGTTAAATATTTATAACATCGAAAAGACGCTGGATCTAATATCATACAGATTTAAGCAACTACCTCAAAAACTGCTTCAGCAATCCAGAAAGCAGCTCCGTCATACCGCGATACAGCTCTTGCCTCTTGATCTCGAAAGCATTGAAGATATCCTGCGCAGACCCAACCGGGATCTGATCCTCGCCCTGTGAAATCCGGCCCCAAACCTCGTCCACAAACTCCTGCAATGGCATACCAATCAGATGTCCATCCTTCAAATCAGGCTGGTGCTTAGTGTCGTGAAGCTCGGTCTGGACAGCGGGAGGGTAGATCTCCAAAACCTTAACATTTCCAGGCCCATCTTCCAGCTGAGTGCGAAGGGCCAGAATGAAGTGGTGCAGTGCAGCCTTGGATGCACCGTAGTTCGGGCATCGCATCATGGGAACCAGGGCCATTTGAGACGTCGTGAAGGCGATCGCTGTTTGGGCATTCTGGCCTTGCAAATGTGGGAGGAAGGCCTTTGTCAGGCGGACAGCCGATGTATAATTTGTGATCAATTCTTGATCGAAGATGTCGATGTCCACGGTTTCCGGCTTCGAGAAATCAAACGGGCGCTGGATCCCTGAGTTGACAAAGATACAGTCCAGGTCCGGGTTCTCCGCGATGATCTCAGAAGCAAATTGAGGAATCTGGAGTTTTTGATGGTCAGTATGGCGTCTATAGTCATTCGTTTCGGGCTGGGGATCACACCTGCTCGAGCTGCATGACATCAAACACCTTCGCGGAAACCTTGTCACTGCCAAGCCGCTGAACGATCTCTTCTAGATTATCCTTTCGCCGACCGGCAGCAATCAGCTTAGATCCGTTTTGAACAACCTTCTCAGCCAGTGTTTTGCCAATCCCAGAGGTGGCACCAATGATGAGGACTTTCTTATAAGGGAATGCCATGATGGAATGCAGTGCGATAGAACAAGTAATGAAGAGGGATGTATGGCAGTCTCCATTCTGCGAGACATGCTCTCATTTATACAAATTCAGCGCTCATCTCTCTGCCATCCTCGACATCATGGCCACTCGCCCAGGCATAGAAGCTCTGCGGAGACTAAACCGAAAACAGACACAGCTCATTCTGATTGGACGGCGAGAAAAGCTTCAGCGAGTGCCGAGATTTCCGCGCCACCGGTGGAGGTTAAACCGAATGCGGTAACGCCCGTTGTTGGGAAATCACGTTTATTCATCACGGAGATTTTGAGATTTTCAAACTTCGTCGTGTTTCTACGGTGTTTCAGTTGGGGGTTGGATTTCAAATCAGCCTAGGACCAAACAAAAGTCTAAATGTGGAAGTCGATACGGTGTCCGCGGGTACGTGGCCTGACTACCCAAGGTCGATTGGCAATTGAACGCTGTGATAGCGGACGTTATATTACTGATGATTAGGGAGATGGGCTTAGTCCAAATTTATATACACCTAGGTATTGTTGCAGAGAGACAAATATTGTACAGTACTTTTCGAAATCAGCTATACCTCCAAACTCTTTCTTGTTGATTCGGAGAAACCAATCCCGACACGCATTAGGCTGGGTGAGGCCACCGCCTCAGAATTCTGGCAAAACTGTCATTGTAATGTTTGTATGGTCAGCAATGAGTCGTCATCGCCGTATTAAATACTATTACATACCTAGGTAGGTATGGATGAGAAGAGCAAGCTACTCAGTGAGGATGGCCCGCCACTCGAGCAATAGCATGATGATTACTCTGCATGGATGGAGAAAGGGGGAAAGTCCTTGGTCCCAGTTACCTGAGCGAAAAGATGTCGAGCCATGATATGGCGAAATCCCGACGATATAATGATATCTTAACCACCCACGATGCTGGCAGAACAAGGTGGTCTGGAGATCATAGCTCATCATCGAAATCACTTTCACCGAAAACTAGTACCAGTGCAAAAAGCGGTATGATTAAAATAGCGATCGTTACTAACAACAGATAATTACCACTGCCATTGTGGTCAGGGGTTGGGGTTGTTTGGCGCATCCGGACTCGTGAAGGCTTTGGTCGTTTGAGTTGTCCTTACGTTTGAAAGGACATGAAATGATGGTGATAAATTCGAAAACTTGTCTTTACAGTCTAAACAGCTTCCCAGTATCCATCGATGATTTGCGACGCTGATTGAGTGATGATGATGGGCTATGACGTCGTTAATGAACATTTTCAGCATGCTGAAAGGGGCCCTTCGAAAGCACATGTGGTTGGTTTTCCATGAAGGAAAGGATGTACTACTTCATCAAATAAACAGGCTTGGAATGGTTTGCATTCACTTGATGATGGCACCATCAACCCATGACACCAATGTGACGTTACCATGTCAAGCCTCGACAAGCCAGTACAATCCGAGATATAGCTAGTAAGCCATATACTAAGCTGGAGTTCTTTTAAAAACTCCACTATTGGGAGAGGGGGGGTTATGTAGACGACGTCATAAAAATATCAACTTTCGAAAATGCCAAACTTGATATCTGAAGAATACAAGTCTATATATATCATTTATTAAGCTCACGGCTTCCTATCGAGAGAATTTACATTTGAACTACTCATCGCAATTATCACAATGACCGAAAATCAGAAAACCTTCACTCTTTCCAACGGCGCCCAGATTCCTGCCATCGGTCTCGGAACCTGGCAAGACGAGGAGGCCCAAGAAGCAGCAGTCCTTGCCGCTCTTCACGCGGGTTATCGCCACATTGATACAGCAAGATGGTAGGCCTGTCCTCGACAACTCAATGCAGACAATGAGGCTGACTTTCTCCATAGTTATGGCACTGAGCCTGCTGTTGGTAAAGCCATAAAGCAAAGTGGCATTCCTCGGGAGGAAATCTTTGTTACCAGCAAGCTCTGGAACAATAAGCATCATCCCGAGGATCTTGACCAAGCAGTGCAACTTTCATTGGATGATCTGGGTCTGGAATATCTCGACCTGTTCTTGATGCACTGGCCTGTTGCTTTCAAGCGTGGAGATGATCCTTTCCCGTCCAACAACGACGGGAAGCTGATCACTGATGACATCGACTATCTCGATGTAAGCCTCGTTGGATGGTAGCCTCAAGATTGCCTACTGACTAGTCAAAGACATATAGAGCCATGGAAGGCCTTGTCAAATCCGGTAAAGCTAAGGCTATCGGAATTTCCAACTTTTCCCAAAAGGAAGTCGAACGCATTCTTGACAACGTGGCGATTAAACCGGCCGTGCACCAGATGGAGCTCCACCCCTGGCTTCAACAAAAGACATTCTACGATTTCCATCGGAAGAATGGTATTCATGTGACGCAGTATTCACCATTTGGAAACCAAAATGAAATCTACGGTTCTCGCGAGGAACATGGTCAGCTGGTGAATGATCAGACCTTGGTAGAAATCGGAAAGAAGTACGGAAAGACCTCAAACCAAGTCGCTTTGGGTATGTGTGCCACTTATGCCGAGATGATGTTTCTCCAACTAACCAACCCTTTCAGCCTGGGGTATCGCACATGGCCGTTCCGTCATCCCCAAATCAAAGTCAGCTGAGCGAATCAAACAGAATTTTGATATTGCTTTCGAGTTGGAACCTGCAGATATTGAAAAGATTGATGCGATCGACAAGAAGCTCCGTTTCAACGACCCAAGTAAAGACTTTGGCTACGAACTATACTCAGGCCTTGATGGGAAGAAGAAATGAGGAGAATTTCGATTGACCTTTGTCAGGATACCGGCCCCGGTAAGAACTTGATCTCAGGAAAAGAGGTGTGGCGGCGAAGTCGACCTGGGGATTCAATCATCATTTATATATACAATCTCGGCCTTCTCTAAATGGGAATCTTGAAATAATAAAATTGATTTCAGTGGGTATCATAAAGATGTAATCCGAAAGAATTACCTACCTAGTAAGCTCATTGCGGAGAAGATAGTTCGCTGTTGCAGTCGTTGAATCTCCCGGCCATAAATCGACCTTCATGTATTCATTGCCTACGACATTCCTTCCAACATAATAGAAGGCAAAGCTGTGGCCTTGGTGGGAATTACTTGGACCAACAGAGAGGCCGAATATGACAGCGATTTTTATTGATTGTTGCTTCGTTATATTGATGTTTAAGCTATGATTGCGGGGCACACCAGGTAGCAAGCGTATAGCACTTTCCCGTAAAAATACATCTAGTCATGTCTTAATCCTGTACTGTACTTAAGATGAGCCTATCAGCCTAGAACGCGGTCTGAAAGGAGGAGCAGCCTTCCCTTTCTATTCAGTCAGACCTCACGACCCTAGGAATTATTTTCCGCGCAAGAGTGCAGAGGTATAGCTGATTTCGAATAATACGGTATGCGCGATATTAATTGTTGATCTTGGCCAGGATGCCGACATGGATTGGGCTTAAGAATTATATAGGGACACCGCGGGTAGACTTCCGCAATGGGCCGGATTGGGCCCAACCCAGCCCAGAGCCCAGTACTCCGTAATGGGCCCCCAATGGGCCCCCAGAAAAGCCCAGAAAACCCCATTTTGATGCATAAACATGGTCTTGGCATTCATAATTCTGCTGATTACCTAGGTAAGACCTGGGTAGGTTTTATGTACGATTGTTTTACCTTCCAAGGTTCCAAGTTGTAATCTTACAATTGACTATGGTGCAAGTATATATATTCGCACCATAATCAGAAGAGCCTCGCGAACTCATCTACTTCCAAGTTCAAGGTTAGACATTACTGCCCAGGTGTGGTTTAAAGCCTTTGAATTTATATCTATCTCTTTCAAGGTTCTCTCTTTCTTTACTATCATTATCATATCTAGAAACGACGTTTTTTCAAGATACATTGAGGTTATTAGTCCAAAAGGATAGTACTTTCATACCTGAGGATACTACCAAGATCTACATTATTTGTGAAAAGACTAATTATTGGCATGTTTGTAATGTTTGGGGCCCAATGGGCCATAAAACCGCAGTGGGCTTTGCCCCTGAGCCCAGAGCCCATTAATGGGCCCGAGATCCGGCCCAAAACCCAACCCATTAACGGGCTGGGCTGGGTTGGGATCTGGGCTTTGTGGGCCGCTGCGGAAGTCTAACCGCGGGATAATGATTACCTAGGTACGGAGTAGACTACTATAGAAGGATGTATCATGCCACAGAATCAAGTATCGCTTTCTTCATTTCTCATCGCGTATATATCTAAAATTGCCTGATTCATGGAGTCTCAGAGACGTTGTAGACCAGCTTCTCGCCGCTGACCTTGTCCTCCTTGAGGAGCTTCAGACCGTCAATGACACCCTTGAGACCGTCCTGGCCGACGCGGGGAGGGTGGACCTTGACCTTCTTATCGGCAAGGAACTTCTCGGCAATGGAAATCCACTTCTCGGCGAAGGCCCTGTCCTCAGGCTTGGCGGGGAAGGGGATGTTGCCGAAGTTGAAGGCCTCGCCCATGGTGGTGTAACCCAGAGTGAAACGGTCGTTGACGTTCTCACGGGCAATCTTCACGTTGAGGAGAGCGCTGTATTCACCACCCTCGGTGGAGAGGGCGTTGTCAGCGAAGGCAGCGCTGGACTCGAGCGAGATACAGTCGAAGACGTATTTCAATTTGTTGTCGGTAGCCTTGCGAATCTGAGCAGGAGCCTGGGCATCCTTGTAGTCGTAGACCTCGTCGGCGCCGAGGCTGCGGACCAGATCGAAGTTGCGAGGGGAGCAGGTGGTGATGACTTTGTAGCCGGAGAGCTTGGCGAACTGAATGGCCAGGGTTCCGGTGGCGGTAGAACCGCCGTAGATCAGAACGGGGGTTGCGTCCTTGATGGGCTCGGTGGGCAGTGCAAGCTTGAGACTCTGGTACAGACCCTGGCCGACGGTGCTGATGCCAACTCCGAGGGTGGCGGCTTCCTGGAAGCTCATGTACTCAGGGATCTTCCATTGGACATCACCCTTGGCGACGATGTACTCCGCGAAGGTGCCGTCCTCGGGCTGCACTGCATTACCGCCGTGTGCGAATCCGCAGACACGGTCACCCTTGGCAAATTGCTTTTTCACATCCTTGCCGACTTCTTCGACAACACCGGCGTAGTCACATCCGACGAGGACACCGGGGGGGGAGAGGAAAGCAATGTGCTTCCAGTCCGTGGGGTTCAAGCCAACGCTGACGGTCTTGATGAGCATGTAGTCATCACGAAGCTTGGGGACGGGTCTGTCGGTGACGAGTCCCTCAGTCTGGGGCTCGGTAACAATGACTGCTTTCATGAAAGACATGGTGTGTATGTGTGGAATGATCAATTGAGCTTTGGAGAGATCTCCGTGTTAAATAGTGCGGTCATGACAAATGGACTATGACGAAACAACTTGAGCCGAGGCCGAACTGGTCCCACTCCCCGAATCGTCTGAATCATTGCACCGACTCCGTCTCAACTCTCCGTCTGCTCCGCCTGGGCTCCACCGGTCGATTGGGGGATTTTCATCTCTGCACATACACTCTGCACAGGATGTTTCTTTGAAGAAGGGCTAGTCCTGCCCCGCTTATGCATGTTGAGTCAACAATCCGCGACCTCGGCACTCATCTGCACCGCTATAGCCTTGGGCGAACCTGAGACTTGCCCTGTGCCCCAGTCACGCTAGTTGACTAGCGGGGCGCGGGACAATCGTCAATCATCTGAATCATGCGGTGAAGTGGCATTCAGTCCCTACAGAAGCCCAACAACCGGTCAATTGGATTGACTGGGCATTCCTCCTACTTATTTTTCTTTCCTTCATTTTTCTCTCCGTCGTGATGGCTCTCTTCTTGGTCATAGATCTCCACAATGGGACAGGTTTGTCAGGGATTCTCCATTGAACGCAAGGGATGCCAGCCGAGAACGCTCGTGCTCACGCCTTCAAACAAATAAATCTGCAATTGAAATGTCATTCTTACACCCTGAGTCGGTTCTTGCTCCTCATATCGCGAGGCGTACAAAATAAGCGTGGCGTCAGTAAGCGCGTCGTGGGGCGGTGCTTATTTGTCTTATCGAACCCCTCCTTTGACGACACTCCAGGACCCAACCCTTCACCACAAGCATGAAGGTCCTTTGTCTTCACGGGAAGGGCACCAGTGGCTCGATCTTCCGCTCCCAAATTTGTGAGCTCCCCGCAATTTGCACACACCCGCAATCTCACACCCCGCAGCCTCCTTCCGCGGCAAGCTTCCCGAGGGCGTCGAGTTCGATTTCCTCGATGGCCCATTCAACAGCAACGCCGCCGCCGGTATCGATTTGTTCTACGACCCACCGTATTATTCGTGGTACGAGAATGACAGCATAGACGATATCCGGGGCGCCTGCGAAAGGTTGAACGAATACATCGCCGAGAACGGCCCCTACGACCTAGCTCTGATGTTCTCCCAAGGTTGCGTCCTGGGCTCTAGTGCCCTTCTGTTCCATCAAGAGGAGACACCGCATCTCCCACCTCCTTTTAAAGCTGCGATCTTCGTCTGTGGGGGACCTTCTACAACCGTGCTCGAGGAAATGGGGTTCCATATATCGGCCGAGGCGCGCGAGCGCGACGCCGCCTCCCGCAAAGCTCTCGCCCTACAGGCCGGATCGTCTGCTGTTCTAGCCAGGGGCTCTGATCGTTGGACGGGCCTTGAGTCGCTGAATAACGGTCTTTCAGAGGAACAGCTACAAGAGGAAATCACCTGCCCCTACCGCGTCGCCATTCCCACGGTGCATATTTACGGGTCGAAAGATCCTCGATATGCGTCGGGTGTGCACCTCTCTGGCATTTGTGACCCTGCGAAACGTCGGTCCTTCAACCACGGGGGCGGGCACGAAATTCCCAGAACGGCCTTCGTGAGCAACTCGATTGCGGGACTTTTCAGATGGGCTTCTGAGCAAGGTGGCGTTCAATAAACAAACATGAGCTCTTCATAATTTCCTATGTGACCCTTCATTGCGACTATAGGAGCGAATAGACCGATATACCGAATAGATATTTCATCTCCGGGAACTATTTTTGCTCGTGGAGAATGCGGACACCTTCCACCGGCCCTGATGCAAGCAAAACGTCATTGAAAACAGTGGCCTGCTGCAGTTCTAATTTCAGATCTTTTGCATGGGCCTCATCCTTAGCCAAAAATGCACACGTGGACCCAGAACCACTCATGAGACTTGCGATCGCACCAGCCTTCTTCCCAGCCCGCAAGGCAACGTCGATCTCCGACAAGAGCTCCACCGAAGGCGCTTCGAGATCATTCACAAGAGCAGATGTCAGATCTTGTGGATGAATATCCCACGAAATGCCAATGCACCTTTGCCTGTTAATCGCATATTCTTTGGCCGATTCCACTTGCCCCGATAATTGATCGTACTTTCCAAAGACTTCCTTAGTCGATAGACCAACAGACAGCACACCGAGTACCCAATTCCATCTGTGTGCGCCAGCTTGTAGGCTCACGAGTGGCTGTCTATGCCCTGATCCAAGGGCCATCATGCCCATAATGAAGAAAGGCACATCTTCACCTAACCTTGCTCCGATGGCCATAAGATCGTCATCGGAAACATTCGAGCCCCATAGGATATTACAACCGACCAAGGCCGCGGCCGCGTCGGAACTTCCACCCCCAAGCCCGGCTTGCGTTGGTATTACTTTGACCAGGTCGAAGTGTAATTGCGGCTCAATGCCTACGTGAGCACCGAGCGCTTTCGCAGCCTTGAGCACGAGGTTCGCATCGTCGGTTGGAATTCTTTCGCTCTGTGTGCCCGATATATTGATTGTGACGCCTTTCTGGTACGTGATGGTCAAAGTATCGTATAGCGAAATGGCTTGGTAGACCAATGTGATGTCGTGATATCGATCATCTCGCAAAGGCCCGGCTCGGACTTGAAGATTGACCTTGGCGGGGGCTTGGAGGGTGATTGATTGCATGGCAAACCCCGACAAAATAGGGCAATCGGGGGGTAGTTCAAGATTGGAAGGTCAAGGGGTTTAGCAATTGTTTAATTGTGCTCAGTCATAGACCGGGCGTACTCAAGATAGGTAGGCTGAAGCGATGCCCGGAGAACTGTCCATTCCCCCGGCGGGGTAAACGCCTAGTCCAATTCCCTGCCCAGGTGGGCTAGGCGACGCCCGGCCCCCAAAGCCCTGCTCCAGTTGACTAGGATCGCCCGTGGACCATAAAGCTGCTTAATCGCGGATGATTTGAATTCGGTTAAGCACAATGGCCCTCAAGTGACGCAACTTGTATAGCTTAGAAAGAACTACATTTTGATGTGAAGAGGTGAATATCGACCGTAGACCTCGGGGGTAAGACATACTTGCTACTCAGTTGAAAGTGCCTTCCAATGTTGTTTTTTTGTGCGTATCAGGTAAAACCTTCAAGAAGGATGGGTGTTATGTCACAGTAGATGATAGCCCTGCAGTGTCGCGATTTGGAGCTGGTGCTACTTTACGGCGGATCCATAGCGCATAAAAAGGCTGCAGATCATAGAGGGGTATACTTTGTTTCCTTCGCCATCTCCGCGCCTTGATCGTTCTCCTCAAGTCTCGCGCCATGGCAGTTTCCAGACATGAAGTGACAATCGGGGTCGTGATACCAGCTGCCGGTCGAGGCACACGGGCAGGTCAAGGCTGTCAAAAGGCATATCGTCGACTGGAAGGCGATACTGTGTTGAATCGAGTCGTCAAATCGTTCCGAGCGTGGAACGCAACTTGTCCCATTGTTGTCGTTCACCACGAGGAGGATACCGAGCTACTCGAGGCATGCATAGACCGTGATGCCAATGTCTACACCACCACAGGAGGAAGCGAGCGACAAGCTTCTGTTTTGGAAGGCCTGCGACTCCTCTCCACCCTGAAAGAGAGTCCATCACATGTTTTCATCCATGATGCGGCGCGCCCATTTACCTCTCATCGCATACTCAATGACGTACTGGAATTGCTCTGCAGAGATTCGTCCGTGGGCGTGATTCCTGCACTTGCTGTATCGGATACTCTTAAAAAGACTGACTCGAATGGAGTCATCACAGCCACCGTTCCCCGCTCTGGACTGTTCCGTGCTCAAACCCCACAGGCATTCTTGTTGGAGACAATCCTGCTGGCCCATGAGGCGGCATCTGCTGCAGGGTTCTCTCATACAGATGACGCTTCTCTCTTTGAGGAAGCAGGATTACCTGTTCAGACTGTACCAGGAGATGAGAACAACATCAAATTGACATATGCCTCCGACTTCGAGCAAGGCGCCCGGATACTGCGAGAATATACATCTACAACCGCCGTCCCTGATGTTCGAGTTGGCCATGGATACGACACGCACAGCCTCGTTCCAGGACATTCAATCACTCTCTGCGGAGTGGAGATCCCACATACCGCCACGCTGCTGGGTCATTCCGATGCAGACGTGGGCTTACACGCTTTGACGAATGCCCTTCTGGGTACCATATGTGCAGACGATATTGGGAGCCATTTCCCGCCCGGAGATCCGCAGTGGAAGGGGGCCTCGTCAGGTCAATTTATTCAACATGCAGTTCAGCTTGTCACCCACGCTGGTGGTGTAATCACACATTGCGACGTAAGCCTTGTGTGCGAGAAACCACGAATAAGCCACCACCGTGGTGTCATGCGGGATTCCATTGCGTCTTTGGTTGGGTTAGACAGAAGTCGTGTTTCACTGAAGGCTGGGACAAATGAGCGGAATGGCTTTGTGGGTCGTGAAGAGGGAATCATTGCTTTTGCTACTGCTACGGCTGTCTTTCCCAATGGGCATTAATGTTCTCAATGCCAGCTTTTTCGTTATTTCGTTTTTCCAAGTTTTCAAGCGTACATCGAAAACATGATCATGGGTATTGACGTGCAGGGGCAGTCTTGAAATGCTCTGCGGTATGGAGTAGATCGAAACGACATTGTCTATAGGTGGGAAGGGCTGGAGGGGTTGACTGAAGAATGTGGCGTTTGAGGGGCCAGCTGAACTTCGCATCGGGATATGCTGAGAGCCCAAGAACCCTCTGTATTGCACTAACCGGTGGAGAACAGAGTGGCGCAATGCGACCTATCGAAAAAGACAATGCCACTTCGCCGATCTCGAACGAGGGGTCAACTATGTGGGGGAATCGGCACGCGATCACTCTGTTCCCATAGACGTGGGCGCCCCTCCATACCTATCGGCACGGTCTTTGAGAAACATTAAGAATGCGAATCTGTGTCTTTCAATCCAGCTTCGAGGAGCTTCAAGCTTCAGTCGGCGATTCACAAGAACTATGCATGAATCCGGGACAACATATCACGCAGCATGAGATAACACACAAAACGATCCACAAAGAGACGGCAAGGGCCCAAATTGATGAGGCAGTCAGCGAAGGCCATGACTTCTACTTGAATCTCATGTGGGGTACGCATGACGACTCGCTCGCCGGCGTTGATGCAATCCGATACTTTGAATCATTGAACCTTCCCGCTGCTGGAATTCAAAGCTCCGAACGAGAACAGTCTAAACAGGACTTCCTCGCCACTGCCAAGGCTGCAGGTCAGCCTCGGATCCCAGGCACTACCGAGTTTCCCTTGTTTGTCAAGCCTGCATCAAGCTATGGAAGCATGTTCATCGATGAACATTCTTTGTGTCAGAATGAAGATGAATTGAGCAGCTGCATCAAGAAAATGAACCGACAAATGCGCCCTGTGCGCGTACTGCGAGCTCAAGCGGTTGGAAATCCGGATCCCGACCTCTATGCCGATACCCTCGAGGCAGCTGGGCGACATAGCTCGGATCTCGTCGTGCAAGAATTCATCGGCGGAGAGGAGTATTCAGTCGTGGTGATTGCCATGGGAGAAACGCCGTGGCCCCTCAATCCCCAGCATGCCAAGTACAAGCAGGAGGATGGCAAAGCACCCTTCCTGACATTGGATCTGAAGTTCGACGAGGAATCGTGCTACGAGCTGCTCAACGAGAGCGACGACCCCGAGCTCTGGCAACATCTTCAGGAAACAGCAGTTCAAGCGTTCACAACAAACAAAATGCACACGAACTATATGGGCTGTGATGTGGATATGCGCATTGGTCTGGATGGGAAGGCCTATGTCATCGAAGTTGACCCCCTTCCTGTCTTCTTCTATCCTATGGGATCCCAGCTTGAGGATACTGATGTCCAGCGGAGCTTTCCGGGGAGCTATCGAGCGGTTCTCAATACGTATATCACGAACTATTTCCTCAAGAATCCCGACCGACGTGGACTCAATCGTGATGAACTAGATGGGCAGAGTGAGTCGGTATTCAGAAATGGCAACGGACAAGCCATGACAATCCAAGAAATGTCCGAGATTGCCATGCTACGATCATATCGAGGCACTTTGCTGGATATTGGTCGCCGAGATGGAGGCATCGCACGCCTTCTACAATCCATCCCACAGAATGAGATCACAACCTTGACCGGGGTCGACATATCGAGTGAGGATACCCAGACCTGTCAAGAAGACACGCCATATGCTCATGCCCATCATATGAAGCTTGAAGTTTATCTTTCTCAAATGACAGAGCCAGTCGATCATATTATCTGCAATTTGACGGTGCAATATCTTCCCATAGAAGGACTGGACTTTGCTTTGGCTCGGTTTTTCCAGCTTGCAAGAAAATCCATTACTATGGTGGTTTCTCAAAAGGTGCTTGTTTCTGGCAGCGTTCGTGGTCCATTGAATGAGATCCGTGAAAGTATCAAAACATTCCAGATTCCGTCAGATTGGACTATTGCGCCGAGAGATGGCTCTGATGGCCTCGAATGGCTGTTCTCTTTCGAGCGCAAACTCCGATAAACGCAAAGAGATTTCAATAATTCAGTTCTCGATATATAAGAGGCACAGCAGTGGAATAGGAACTCGAGTCGCATTGGGAAAATACAAGATGGCGCAAGCGAAGGTCTTTAGCAACGGTCACAACGATCTTGGAATAGATCACCGATTATGATGTCGCGATGGATTTGTGAATGTCGGTTTGGTCACGGCTGGCGCTTTGGATATGTAGTCGCAAGGGGAGGCCCCTCCGAATGAGGGAGGGCGAGAGAGACATGATCCAACATTCCACACAAAGACCAATGAATCGATCGTAGATCCAGATCAGTTGGGCTAGTCCTCGTCCCTCTCATTGTCCTGGAATTCTACCCAAGTCTCCATCTTCGAACGCACATGCGCACCATACACGACGAAGCTGTCGTCTTCTTCAACGGATTGCACCAGACAGTTCTCGCCAGGCTCAAAGAAGAACGGGACGCTCATACGACCCAGCTGGGCGGACGCATTATCGTCACTCAAAGAATTCCCAGAAGCATCGATTACAGGAGATCGAACGCGATGCATGGTAGCCACAAAACGACCACCTGATACCCTCTCCATCAAGTCCCCAATATTGACAACTAGAGACTCCGGTATATATGGCGCTGCCACCCATTCCCCAGAGGAGTTCTGCACTTCCAGGCCACCGGTGGAGTCTTGGTGCAGGAGAGTAAGAATACCGCTGTCCGTGTGTGATGTGCAACTTAGCTTCACAGACGATTTTGCTGTGGTAGATGTGGAAGCCGAGGGTATGATTGGTGGGTAATGAAGAAGTCGAAGTGTGCTCAGGGAATCTTCTAGGTACGGAGCGAAGAAATCCATGGACTTGCCCAGGGAGGAAGCCAACAAAGATAGTAGCTTGGAAGCCAATGTTTGTAATTCGACATGGAGCCTTTCCAGATCGGAACGTACAGGGAATTCTGCTTCACCCGGCCACACGTTGGCCTCGGCGAGATTGAATTTCGACGTGGGAATTGGAGATGACGCCGTACGAATTGATTTCGCGGGTCCCATTTCGAACCCTTCTTTCAAATTGTCGGATGCCAGTTCTGGTTGCGTCGGGAAATAGCTTTCGGGCAACTATCGTCAGTGAAAGGACAACAAACATATGAACAATGGGTAGTGACCCCCGATAAGTGTTCTCATTTCCCTTCTGAAAAGACCGCTTTGCGAGTCTCATCTTTTGGTCAATTGGCAGGCGAAAGAATTGGCGAGACAGATTGAACACATCTTCGTGTTTGAAGCTCAAGGGAATGTTCGTCAGATATGCGAAACCGGTTGTGGCAAAGACTTTATATAAACGTTCGCTCAATGCTTCTTCTTCCTTGGGGTAAGTACCAATGGGGGAGGCAAGAATGCCTACGTCTACCACGGGCAATGATGAGAATGTGGTAGTCATTTGGAGAAGATTGAATGAATAGAGTCCATCGCGGGGTCCTTTTTAATGGCAGCTCAGACCCCCGCTCCCCACTTGGGAAGTGATTGTGTGCTGCATGTGCCACACAGTAGGGCTTTGCGGCATGCATGATGCTACGGGATTTGGCGCTTTGTGTCGGCATCTCGTAGGAGCTCTAGGTTCGGGGTAGCGTTGGACGATCCTTTGCTTGCGATATGAACATAACACACGATCAAGACGCTGCCATGGTGCACTTTAACTGTGTGAGATTGATTGCTGTCTCGAAACCCAATGGCTTTCTTTTTTTTTCCTCTTTCTCTCTCAGCCGGAGATAACTCGGAGTGAAGAGTGAAGAGGATGGGGACACCGAGCCCACTGTGTATCTGAGAGAAACCCACAAAAAGGCCAGATGGAGCAGATAGCAGGAATCGAGCGGAAGAGGATGGCTAGAAGAAGAAGCCCAATGTGACAGGGAGTATGTACGGCGTACGGAGTAGAGAACGTCGATATGCTCCGCGATAGTTCGATGCCAAGAAACCGGCCCCGCGATTCACCGGAGAGTCACTTCGGGGAACGTCATTCGCATACTCTTGACTCACTCGGCTTCTGTTCACTGCAATCTCTTCCTTTCTGTATATTCACTCGCTGTTGCACAATCATGGCGCAAGAATCGCAAGTCGCACCCCGCTACCTGAGTGGCGACAAGCCCGCTCTCCGGGAGTTCCTGGATAAGTTTGATGTACACCTTCACTCCCAAATTTGGCCATGGCGCAATCGCTAATATCTGGATATTCAGGTCTTCCTTTTTGACTGTGATGGTCTGTTGCCCACCTTCCCTCGGACTCGGCTTTCACTCCGCGATCTTCGCGATCACCTACGTCGCAACAACCGCTGAGACAATCGTCGTTTAGGAGTACTCTGGTCCGGTGACCACCTGTTCCCGGGTACCGTGGAGACATTGGAGTTATTGCGCAAGAATGGTGTGTCTCGAAATGCAATGAGCGTCCAACAAAAGTTGACAAATGGTCTAGGAAAGCAAGTGGTCTTCGTGACTAACAACAGCACCAAGTCGCGCGCAGACTACCGCAAGAAACTTGAGGGATTGGGTATCCCCAGTACAGTGGTCAGTTCATAAAGTTATTCAAACACGGACCAGAGGACAAAGCCGCTAACATCCAACAGGAAGAGATCTTCTCCTCCTCTTACAGTGCGTCCATTTACATTTCCCGCATTCTGCAACTCCCCGAGAACAAGCGCAAGGTCTACGTGATCGGCGAGACAGGCATTGAGCAAGAGCTCCAGTCCGAGAACGTACAGTTCATTGGCGGTACAGACCCTGCATACCGCCGCGACATTACCCCAGAAGATTACAAGAAGATCGCCGCTGGCGATGAATCCCTGCTAGACCCGGAAGTCGGCGTCGTGCTCGTCGGCCTCGACTTCCACTTCAACTACCTTAAGATGGCGCTGGCCTACCACTACGTGAAGCGTGGGGCCGTTTTCCTCGCCACCAACATTGACTCCACGCTGCCGAACTCGGGGACTCTCTTCCCCGGTGCCGGCTCAATGAGTGCGCCTCTGATTATGATGTTGAACCAAGAGCCTGTCGCTCTTGGAAAGCCCAGTCAGGCTATGATGGACTCTGTTGAGGGTAAGTTCAAGTTTGATCGTAGCCGCACTTGCATGGTGGGTGACCGTGTCAACACGGATATTCGATTTGGACTTGAAGGCAAGCTTGGTGGTACCCTTGGTGTGCTCACTGGTGTTTCCTCAAAAGAGGAATTTTTGACTGGAGATGTCAGACCTCACGCTTATCTGGACAAGCTTTCTGACTTGCTGGGCTCGGAATAAGCAGTACCTAGGTATATAAATATGCATCAAGTGGAATAGACTTATTTTAGATACACACCCGTGGACACCATACTACACCGCTAGACAATCTGAGGTTCATGCTAATGTGTTTCTAAGCTATACTTGGGCATCTTGTAGATTCTGTTAGAAGAGCCTTGGAGTCGATTGCAATCTGTCTTTGGTTCGTAAAGGATACATACAGGGTGACATGCAAATGATTTCCATCGACCTTTTAAGCACAAGCCCACGGATACATCCGTGGACTGATTTCCAAATCAGCCCTAATGGGCGAAAACAACCGACTGGCCCTGCACTCCTCTCGGGTAAGAGTTATAGCTCACCCCGTCCACCTTTAGTCCCTGTTCATTCAACAGTGTAATGGTGTCCCCAATCTTGGAGAAGGCGAAGTCAGGAAGATCAAAAGAGCTAGTGCCTGTAACACCCAACTCTGCATCTTGGGGAAGTATCTGGGACTCTCCAGCGGAATTCTTGACCTTCCAATTTGAAAGCGGGATTTTATGATCCGTCATGTTTGAAAGAGTCACTGATGTGCGTCTGGTGCCGGAGGGATCTCGCCGTTCCGTGTCCAACGATGCTTCAACAATTGAAACAGAGTTCTCCAGGAGATCACCGCGTTTTGATTCTGGGCTCAGGTAGTGAGCCCAAGTCTCAGACGAGGTGGCATGACCTGTCTCATCATCTGTATGCACCGCTTGAGATGCGAAACCGAGGAAGACTCCAACCCATTGACCGGAGCTCGGGTAGTTGATCAACAAACCTCCATCTTGGTATACACCATCATCTTCTTGATATTTCTCAATGTTGCCCTGGTTCATGTGCACATTATGGATTCCAGTCCCCCCCTTCAATTGTTCCCCGAAAAGATAAATATCGGCTTCTTCGTCAATGGCTTTTCCAATTTCCGGTTCGAGTACATCGATAATATCATTGTTCTCCCCGGGCTTGTCATGAGGTAGAATTCGCCCCCAGTGAACATTGAACAAGTTGCTCCGGATGAAGTCCAGTCTTGTGGCCGTAGGGCTTGGCTTGGTGTCTTCGAGAAAATGGAAGCCCGGGGATAGGTCTTTGAGATCGTTGACCATTGGGTGGTCGTCAAAGGTTCTGTTCACCCAATACACAAGCCGGGAATCTTTGCTATCACCGGACTTAATATTGATCGCTGCTCGACATAGCCCAGGGATCTCTAATTTTCCATTCCGGCCTCCGTACGGTCCACCGTATGGCCCATGTTTTTTGAGTCCCTGTCTTGTATGGCCAAGGTCATCAGTTTGGTGAGCCCGGTGAGACTCATCAGGTTTCACACTCCGGTCTTGGCCATCACTGAAGTAGAGTTGCATATGTGGAGTGGGATCGTTATCAACGTGTTGGGTTTGATACGTGACCGGATGCGCCTTCCACACTCCGTAAGGATGCACGCCGGGGTCGCGAACTCCCATAATTGATTTTATAGTGAATATGTGGCGATGAAAATTGGACGTTCGAGAGAGTTTGAAATCGATTGTGGAAGCGAGGATCGATGCCTATGGGAATTTATACAGATTTGGCACATTCTAACCCTCAGATTCCTGCCTTCGATTCCTATATAGCGGTCTAGATCAAAAATAAAGATCTGGAATATGATATCAATGTTTCGTCTGGTTTGCCTTCATGACATCTCTATGATGTGATTGTGATATTGGCTCACTCATCGTGGCTAGAAAGGTAATGGGCTGTTACAATTACCCTCGATCTTTGCTCTTTGATGGTAATTTTGTGCACGGTGGTGTAAATAACCATGGAAGGGTTGCCCAGGCGGGTCATGTCAGCCCAGGTATGGCCTAAGTGAAAGCCACTTCCAAGGTTGCTACCTATATCGCCATGTTTCCAAGACGATGATACATCGGCATAAGGGGAGACCCTGACTCCAGAGCATCAAGAAACACCTGAACATCGCTGTCCCGAAGTTCCAAGCCTGGAAAAATGTGGCGAGGGAAGGAGTGCCAAGGTTGAGGGCCACAAGAGTCCTAGTATTACAAGGTTTTTATTGATATTTCAGAATCAATACTAAGACGCTCTTCATTGACATAATACATGGTGCTTCCTTGTTATTTGTTCTTCAGCCTTGTAACAGACACAAGTTCTCTATGTCCGAGGAGCCTGGAATTTACGATCCTTCACATTTCCCGCCTTATATCCTGGATCAGCTTCTAGGTATCATTGGGTATGATCGTAGCTCTAGGGCTCACTTCGCGTCTGAAATTCCTAAAGGAAGAGAGCTTTCTTCTGAGTCCTGTACAATTCCTACATATGAAATGGTTTGTTCCTGTATACATTGCTATTTGCGACTTTACTAAACATGCCGAAAGGGTATTCACTTCCGCAGATCAAGTTATCGAGGCTGAGACGTAGGTGATATGGTTTCCGAGAGCTCAAATTCGCCCGTGGATCTGATCAGATGCGGATCACTTATCCACCTGCCCAAGTGAGATTGAGACCATCCCGAGGTCACACACCACGCAGGGGATATATATTGATGACGGCGCCGGAAAAATCAGTCAGATTTTCCAAGTTCATTACCTTTTGAGTACCCCGGGATACCTAAGTGCTTTTAAATAGGTAACTTATTGATAGAGATCAATTGATCAGTCGAGAAGGACATAAGACTCCGTTGTACTAGGTATGAGCGGCATCCCCCCGTTGGTGGGGTGGCAAACCCCAACGTTGAAGTCATGACTGCATCTCGTATAACGCGCATGTAATGATTTCTCGTTCAACCATCCGGATGCTTTGGATGTCTATTTTGAATTGGTCATGGATATCCCGGGCTCGGGTTCCTCATCACCAGACATGCGTTCGCTCTCGGAATAGCCAAATGCAGAGCATATGGAAATCCAGACCTGGGTCGCCCTAGTGATCCAAGGCTGCTCCAAGAGTCTAGTTTCAATCGAACCATCATGCCAATACTTGGGTTTGATGGTTCATCCAGATAACCATGTCGCTATGAGATCTGGAGGGATGCCTTTCAACAGCCCGAGGAGTATATAAAGGTTGTCGATTCTCATGTCTGGATGGAATTCTTTTCAACAGCAAACCCACATACTCAACAGTACAAGAGCCATTCTCATACCTCACGGCCAATAAAGAGCGATCTCAAGATGAAGTTCAACGTCCTGACCCCGTTCGTTCTCGCCTGCCTCGCCACGGCTACTGTTGCCGAGCCCGAGAAGTATCACCATGACGAAGTGACCGTTCAACTTGCCAACGACCAGTCGGGCGCCAATGCCAACGTGAACGTCCCAGCAGATGGCGAAAAGCGGTCGATCGACCACCTCTGGGGAAAGACTGCCGTTGCAAGGAAGGGCGCTGTCTATGCGACAAGTGCGCAGCTCACCAAGTTTGAGCAAGACACCGTTTGCAAGATCTTCGGAGAGCACTACCTCGACGCCAAGCTCAATGCTAGACAGACCTGGGTGTCGTTGAAAGGTGGAGCGGTGGTGAATCTGGAGCATGCGTACATCGTCTGTCACGAGTAAAAATCTGATGATTCCAAGGATTACTAGACAGGCGAAGCAGCTTGAGCTTTTGCTTCAGACACCGTGCTTGCAATTGTCTAGTTTTTTCGTATTGCAGCTGGAGAGGGACCGGAATCTTGAAGTTGAATGTTTTTAGTATGAAGTGGATATAGTTCAAAGTCATTAGTCGATTTATATTTATCTAGTTACTTCCAAGGCTGAGATCATCACCTCGTACGCACCTGGGCAAGTAATTGTACTCACCAACGATATATACGAATGTACTACTACCTAGGTAAGATCCATCCATGGAGAACAACTTGTACTAGGTACCTGGTAACAGAAGTTTCGCTTTCCCGGAAAAGACATTGGGAATACCTACCAGGTATCACGAGCGAGTGAATGCGGAAATGGAAGGGTATCATAGTCATTCCATTTTGACAAAAGCTACATGCTGTAAATGCATCCATCCAACGCCCAAATTTGTAGGCTTTCCCCCAAACGCCATCTATTCATCCGGCAGTCTTTATTGTTGTAGAAAATCAAGATCCCAGACTTCCGTCGATGTACGTGGAAATTAGTTTCCACGTAGGATGCCAGAGATCCGTAGCGTCAAGTCTAGCATGGAGAGGTGCTCATCAGATCCATCGACCAACCGCTTGTCCATCTCCGAGAACAGCATGACAATTTTGTTTTTCTGGATGTCGGGTATAGCCTCACTGAAGACAATACGTTGATACAGCTGAATAATGTCAGAAAGTCGGTATCGAAGCAATCGTGGGTAACGCATACCTGTCCAAGAACCTGTGTAGCACTCCAGCCATCCGCCACAAGATCCGTAATCACCTTCGAAACTGCATCGTATGCGGACCCACTACCGGCAGGCTGCATTGCCTGCACAAGGGACTCGACAATACTATCCGGCACGACGCCGGCAATCTCTTCAATGCTTCTAATGGTAATGAGCCGGCTACTGCCCGCATCAGTCATTTCAGCGTCGTCATCAGCATCCTTGGCTGGGCCGCGAGCGGCCCCGACGAGACGGGCCGCACTCTGCAGATATGTAATAGCACGACGCAAGTCACCCTCACCACAACGGATCAGAGTATCGATAACACCGTCTTCAAGTTCCAGACCCTCCTGCTCGGCGATATTCGCAACACGCGAGCCCGCAGCGCTATTATCCAGCATCTTGAAGCGGAACTTGCTGCATCGACTGGCGAGCGGCTCGATAATACGCGTGACATAGTTGCACACTAGACAGAAACGCGTAATCCGACTGTATGTTTCCATTGTGCGGCGCAGAGCGGACTGCGCGTCTTGTGTCATGCTGTCTGCCTCGTCGAGGATGATGATCTTGAATGGTGGGCATGGGTATTGAGCGCGGTAGGCGGCATCAAGACCTGTAGGCTGGGAGAGCTGGGCGCGGGCGAAGTTCTTCACTTTGTCACGAACAATGCCGATACCTCGCTCGTCGGAGGCGTTCAGTTCTAGGATGCGGGAGCGGTAGAGGGCGGGCCCGAAGAGGGATTTGGCAAGCGCGAGAATGGTAGAGGTTTTTCCTGTTCCAGGAGGTCCGTAGAACAGCATATGGGGAAGCTGGAGGTATGTTAGTTTGTTGTTTCACTGGCTCGGGGTCGCGTGGTTCACATTTGAAGCTTGGAGGGTGCGCTGCAGGACTTTGGTGGTGTGTTCTTGCGCGGCAACATCGTCCAATGACTTGGGTCGGCTAGGTGACATGAGTTTGATATCCATCGAGTCTTTGTTCGACCATTGACGTACTATTTTTCAACCCATGGCTGGAGACGAGTTGATTCTTCCTTGTTGTCGCCGGCCTTGGACTTGGAGCTGCTGGACGCCGCGACCGCTGCGGCGCGGGCCTTGTTATTGAAGAAAGAGGCAGCCATTATCAAAGAGGGCCCTGATCGAGTAGAGTGAATGATAGCTCGGTGCCGGTTTGCAATGCGGTGAAGATCTCGCTCTGACGCCCTCCGCAGTCAGACGCGTCTACACGTGACACGCGCAGCACTTAAACAAATTGGCCAATCAGAGCGACACTTTCTACATCAACTGCTCAGCCCTGGGGGCTTCATTACTGTCCACGGTTGATCTTTTGATATCTCAAAGCGTTTTGTACCGTTGGTGTAGTGTTTCAATGATCATAATTACATGAGGTATCGTTATTGCACGCATCAAATTCTATAGTTCGTCGTGCACTGAGTCGTCCACCTCGGCCTCGAACATCCTCTTTTTTGGGTTGCGAGGAAGCTCTTCTTGCCTGGCCCTTTCTTCCGGGGTGACATCGTCGATATCAATTGCCCTCTGGTTTTCTTCCTCGACCATGTCTGCAATCTTATCCATCACACGGTCACTATCAACCGGCGCTGAGGGTTCCTCTTCCCATGCAGTGCTTGCGGAGGTCATCGTTCCAGTGACGACTGCGGTGGCTGTGTTCTGAATAGCCGAAGATACATCGCCGGAGAGCGACCCCGAAGCAGATTGAACGGCAGTGCTGGATAGGCCGACGGTACCCAAAGTCGCAAATGTGACTCGAGCAACGAGCTTCAAAGGCTGCCATACCAACCACCAAAGAGGTCCGTAGAGCAGACGTCGGAAAAGCAGCCAGCTGATGGTTCCAATCAAGATATAGAATGCAGTCTCAAGGTACCAAGTATCGGACTTTTGAGAACGGAGGAGAGAGTTGGCAAGACTCCGTGATGAGGAGAGAAGTGTGTCCAAGCTGCTATAGGATTCGGTGAGTGATGAGATTGCTGCCGTTGATTGGTCTAGGCATGTAGAGTCAGTATCATAGCAGGGCAAAGTCGGGTATAGATAGCCTACCAAGGGTCTCTTGGGCAAACTGGCTGCGGGAAAGCTCCGCTTGCATGAGTTGATGTGTTCTGCGCAAGGCTGATGTGACATCGTTGGAGGCACTCAGGACAATATCATCTTGGGTAAGCTTTTCAGTGGGCTGCTTTTGTTCCGAAGTAGTGGATCTCGACAGCAACAGGTCCTTCTCTTTCCGCTTCGCGAGCTCAGCATTGCGTTTCGCTTGCAACTGGGCATTTCGGAAATCGCTTCTCGTTCTGCAATGCATGATCAGTACTTGATATGGAGAGTGATTGCGAGAATTCACAGCACTGTAGCCAATATGCAGATTGCACCTCGCTCTTAGTACTTGGGCATGGTAACTAACCTTTTTAGATCTGCAGCCAATCGCTCCGCCATGGTAGCGATGCGCTCTTTCTCTGCCTCCTTCTCTCCATGCGCAGCAGACTGTCTCTTCTTGGTATCAATCCCCACACCCAAAGCCTCGACTTCCACGCGCAATAGCTCCAATTCCTGCTCCGCATCCTTCAGTTGGGAGTGTATCTCGGCGCCAAGCTCTAAGCGCGCTTCATCGCCCTGTCCAATAGATGCAGTAAATTCGTGTAGCCGAGTAACGAGAGGTTGGATGTTGCTTTGAGCGGTCGAGAGCTCTTTTAGGCGGCCTTGGAGTGCTGCCGTGGGGGACATGTTGCAATGAGTGCCGTTGATTCGGCGCTCGACAGTCGAAACCAGGAAATGATTGGAGGAGTTTTGATCGAGCAACTAATAGCGTGACGGTGTATTAGTTGCAGCAGTAGATGCAATAGGTCTTCTCATAAGAGTAACAGTTGTCCAGCGAAGTTGCCATGTTGACGAGCGTCATTCGGCCAGTTAATGTTTGCATCCGAGACAAACATGTCCGATCTCCCTCACCCGCAACTCGCATCGGAGGCTGTAGTTTGGAGAGAACCTCGGATTGACCTCGCGCCATTCTTTGTCGGACTGATCGCATATCTACTCCACTCGACCCGAATTGCTGATTTTCGCAAACCACAACCCAATCCTTCTCGGGCATCGCAACAAGCATCCGCGGCCGGAATCACCACCTTTAAAAAACTTCCCGCAGAACCTCAACTCTCCCGGTACGCAACAAAACCCGAGTCGATGCACTGACTCTCGGTGTTCGATACTTTGGCTAATACGCTATCCAGCAGATATCATTTCATCCCGCATAACCCCCCAACTCCGCCACCATGACCATCCCCATCTCCACGATAGCCACTTTCCGTACCGCCTACAACCCCTTCTCGCGCGCCGCAAGGCCCTGTCGCCTTTTCCTGGGCATGCTGCGCACTCCCGACACTATTCCTACCAGTAGCCCAACCCACATTGATATCCAGGTGAAGCAATTGCCTCGTGCTTCGACCGAGTCCCCAACCATGACCATTGGATTCAAGGGCGGCAAGGAACTCACGCTGGATGTTGGCAAGCGTGGGCTGAAGATTGGCGATATCGTCGAGGAGGTCTCTCGTGTGGGCAGAGCTCTGCAGCGTGAGGCTAGTCTGAAGAACTAGTTCTCCGGGAACTGCTGTTTTGTTTTTCAAGCTGTGCATTCGTGTATTATATTATCATTGTATCTGACGATTTTGGCGCTGTTGGGCATATGAATGTTAACAATATTCTTGACCGGTGATTGATTTCATCTTTGATCTGCTGTAGTAACCTGTATCTCTACCTACTGATGCTAGGTCGGGAACCTTCCAAGTTTCCGAGGTTGACGATGCATCTTCCAAGGTTCATATGGGTTGCAATTGTTCATACGCATAAGAATAGGAGGGATGTGTGTAATGTTCAAGTAATCGTATCCAACTTTTCGCCCTCAGGGCTATACTATTGGCTGATAATTATTTTAGATTGAAACAATAGCTTTACACAGCGGCACCGGAGATGAAGAACCACTTGTCGATGCTGCCGTCAATGGGAGCAGGGGCAAGCTCCTCGTGGCGAGGAATGCTGGCGAGCTTGCTCTGGTCAGCACGGTCGGCGGAGCCCTCGATGGAGGAGTTGGCACTAGTGACAGGTTAGTTCTGGAATCTGGGGACCACGTCGCAGAGCAAACTTACAGGCTGATGCCACCGGGGGCGGTCTTGCCGGAGATTAGCTTCTCCCAAGCGTCGGAGCACTCGCGGATGACGTCCTCGGCGTACTTGCGGTTCTTGCACTCGCCGGAGAAGGCGAACTGGTTCTCGGGCTTTCCGTCGGGGATCTTGTAGATGCGGAACCACTCGTTGGTGGCACGCAGGAGGCCAGGGAGGTGACGCTCAACATCCTCAATGTCGTTGAGCTTGGGGGCGAGAGGGTCGTTGACGTCGATGACAATGATCTTCCAGTCGGTCTCCTCCTCGTCAATCAGAGCCATGACACCGAGGACCTTGACCTGCTTGACCTGACCGGGGTAGCCGACAAGCTCACCGATCTCGCAAACGTCGAGAGGGTCGTTGTCACCCTTGGCCTTGGTCTCGGGGTGGACGGAGTTGGGGTCCTCCCAGGTCTGCGCAGCCGTCAGTATAAATTTACCCCGCCATTGGAATTGGCCCGGACGGTGCAGCACTTACGCGGGGGAAGGCACCGTAGTTCCAGAGGTAACCCTTGTGGGGGAAGCAGTTGCGGACGAAGCGGAGCTTGCCCTTCTTGGTGTCCTGCTTGATGGGGTTGAGGAAGTCGTCCTTGGAGATCTGTTCCTGGGATCAGCACATGGCGGGGTTGTACGGTTGTACGGTTGAAGGTGGTCGTACCTCCTGCTTGGCGTTGGTCCAGCGGGGGATCTCAACGACCATGTTCAAGATGGTCTGCTCGTTGTTGGCATAGAGGGGGATGTCGTGGAAGGGAGAGACGGGGACGCCATCCTTCTCAACGAACACACGGTGCTCGAGGGTGTAGGGGGAGCCGATCTTGCGGACGGAGTAAGTCATGGTGGGCGGAGTTGACGAAAAGTGTCTAGAAACTTGGGCCGCGCGGGATAAGGGAGAATTATAAGGAAAGGAAGAGGGAGGGGCAGCAGAAGTGGGGGGAGCCAGCGCTGCTGATGTGCGCCAAACACGACGGGCGGTGGAGGTCGCACTTCCCAGTCGGGCCAAGGGAGGACGAGTCATTGGCTGGTCAATATTGTAAGTTAGAGAATTAAGGTCGAGTGTACTCCGTATAGGGCTCTTACTGTACGGAGTACGGAGTACGGAGTACTACAGTCGGTGGTTCGAAAGCAATTGGTGAGGATACCCCTGGTGAATCGAGAAAAAAATAATGTTGGGTCCGAAAGTCGGCATCGACAGATCACCCGATTGACATCCCGACCGAGAAATTACTACGTCTACACCGTCAGTTATATGTTCTACTATCCATGAATACTTTTAAAGAGAGATTCATTCTCTGCAATGTCTGGACTTTGACATGTATGGAGTACATACGCTGCACCTAACCGAACACTGCATGGCAGAACCCGCTGTATGCAATTTCCAGTCGATTGCGCGTACCTTGATCCCGCCAACCTTGGAACACTTCCACTGTGACTCTCCAGGGCTGCTCTTCAGGGCTGTGAGACCCATTGTCCCATAAGTCGAGTCTTGTGGCCGTGGGTATTCGCTGTACCACGATGTCGTGATCCTTGGCAGGGATTGTGGCCCGTTGATTGGCGACAACGACTCGGAAAATGACCAGCCCAGCGACAACCCAAAATTACAGGAAATCAGGTAACAATACACAGATCAGTCACCGCCACTATCACCACGTGACTCTGGTCTCCTATCGGGGGCCTCCGAACTTCCCAGAAAAATATATTGCCTTCCCTCCCCACCTGGGCGTGCTATGTTGAAAGCTCTCCGCAAAATGACGAACACAATCGCCGCAGCAGCCTCCGCGCAAGCGGTGCCTCGCGTACCCATCCCCGCCAAGGGCGTTGACTACCGCAACAAAATCGTCCTCGCCCCAATGGTTCGCAGCGGCGAGTTGCCATCCCGCTTGCTAGCCCTAAAATACGGCGCCGACCTCGTCTGGGGCCCCGAAACAATCGACCGCGCCATAATCGGTGCGACGCGCAAAATCAATCCTCGCACCGGCCTGATCGAATTCACCCGCATGCCCTCCAACGGCGGTCGTACTAACGCCGCAGACAAAGAATCAACTATCTACCGCATCGACCCCACGCGGGAGAAAGGAAAGCTCATCTACCAAATTGGAACCGCGAACCCAGAGCTGGCGGTGCAAGCTGCGCGCATGGTGGCAGCAGATGTGGACGGAATCGATGTGAACTCCGGCTGCCCCAAGCCCTTCTCCACATCTGGTGGAATGGGCGCTGCTCTCCTTCGGACACCAGACCTCCTGGTCTCTATCCTTGAGTCACTGGTCAAAGAGGTGGGCGAGCCCTTCCAGATCGGTATTTCAGTGAAGATCCGCATCCTCGCCCAGCCCGAAGACACCGAAGCTCTCGTCACCCGTCTCGTCAAGACAGGAATCACAGGACTGACGGTTCATTGCCGCACGACCCCGATGCGTCCCCGCGAGCGCGCAATTCGCGAACAGTTGCCCATGGTAGCTCGAATTTGCCACGAGGCCGGTGTTGCATGCCTCATGAACGGAGATGTGTCATCGCGGGACCATGGACTTGCATTGATGTCCGAGTTTGGAGTCGACGGAGCAATGATCGCTACTTCAGCAGAGGCAAACTCGTCTTGCTTCCGCTCCGAGGCGGAAGGTGGTATCGCGCCTTGGAGAGACGTCGTTTACGACTACATGGTCTTTTGTCTGGACTCCGAGAACCGACTCGGTAACACCAAGTACCTCCTCAACATGCTGATCCCAGGCAAGGCCAAGGAATTCAACAAGGCCAAGGTGGCCAAATCATATCTCGATATCTGCCGTATGTTGCTGTTCGAGGATCTCCTCCCTCGGGCGGCGGCTGTCGATGTGATCCTGGGCCTCCAAGACAAGTGGACGAGCCCTCTTGACGAGAAGGCGAACGGCCAGTCCGAATCTCAGGCGGAATCAAAATCGGAGTCCAAGTCCGAAGCTGTCAAGAGCGCCATGGCATCTGAGTCTGCGCTTGCTGCTGGAGGTGGTGCGGCTCGGGTGAAGACACCGTCTCCTGCTGTTCACGGCGGAGGTCCTATTCGTCGCACTTCAGCTCCTAAGCCTAAGCCTGCCGATTCTGGTGCTGATCAAGAGTCACCAGCTGGTGACTCTGTCCCAGAGACCCAGCCTACGGCTCAACCCCAGGCCCAACCCCAGGCTGCCTAAAAACTGCTCGATCTGTTCTGCTCGCACACTCCGTTTATAATCTTCCTGCATAGCCCTTGGTGATTTTCACTTTTTGATAATTCTCCCTTTTCCGTCAATCTGCATTCTGAGGTGTTCATGATACCTCTCGTCTGTCACAACCATAGATATCTCATTGATTCCCCATACATACATCTCTACAATGATTACGAACTTGTTTCAGAAAACGCACTTGTATCTTGTTTCGTCAACAACTTTTGAGAACATGGCTTCTTTAAGTTGAATGTCTGGTCCTGTGGTCCACTTTTTGTGAGCCGATTAGTCCATGCCCGAGAGTAAGCAGCATATCTCGCGACAATATCTATGAATGTTTAGCATATAACTAGGTCTCATTCGATGCCTATTCCATGCACTCCGGGGCCCTAGATCCCTTCTCGGCGTACTACAATACCTTCAAGGTTCCATTCTGCCATCAGCTCGCCAGTCCTCCGAGGTCGTGGGATTCATCTCGCTGGGATTGATTGGAGTACCTAGTACCTGGGTAGCTAGTATGGTTTTCTTTACCTTTCCTGGTAGAAATCATGGATAGAGATATTGACTGGTCAAGTGGCTTCCAGCTTGACTGCGCAGGTCAATAGTACAACGAAGGCTCAAATAGAACAATGGAGATGTTGATCAAGATTGTGTCCGGGTTCTTTGCAGGTGTACCCCGCGAACACCTGGGCAGCAGGGGAGGCCGAGTCAGAAACAGCCGTTGTACAATAGGGCTAGGCAATTCCTAGCTGTCCACTTCCAACCTTGGAAGGCTCTACCTAGGTAGGTTGGCTGGGAACAACTTGGAACCTGTGAGGAATCCAACGTTGGAACTTCCAAGATCTACAAATACAACAGAAAAAGGCACATTTCAAATGTAGGTCACATAGATTGGTATCCCGATCTAATAAAAATAACTATGCGAAACCGAATCGCCATGATATCAAGCCACCAAACACCATGAAAAACCCGACCAATGCCATATTTTCAGCATCTCATTAAATGCACTCAGCAAACACTATCCATTTCCATTTTCATTTCCTTGTTTGGCAATCACTCCTTGTCTTCGTTGGACTTCAGCTCAGCCAACATCATCGTTTCAACCACTTTCATTCCCTGCTCCTCACTCTTCTTACCATCGCCACCATCCTCGCCGGCAACAGCCTGATCAAGAGCCAGCTTAGTTTGACCAAGGGCATAAATCTGCTCCTCGATGGTACCCTTCGTGACGAGACGGTAGATCTCGACCTCACGGGTCTGGCCGACACGGTGAGCACGGTTCTCAGCCTGCACATCCTCCTGAGGGTTGAAGGAAGAATCGAAGATGATGACCCGGTTAGCGCAGGCCAAGTTGATACCTGCGCCACCGGCCTTGGTGGAGAGGAGGAAGACTGGGATCTCGGTGCGCTCGTGGAAGGCGTCGAGAATGGATTGGCGATCCTCGACATTGGTACGGCCGTCCAGTCGGACGAATTCGATGTGAAGGGTCTCGAGGACGAATTCGAGAATGTCCATGACCATGGTGAATTGGGAGAAGATGAGGGTGCGGTCGCCATTGGCGATGAAGCGGGTGAGAAGCTCCTTCATTTGTTCGACTTTGCCAGAGTCCATCCATTCTTGGTTGGTGAGCTGGAATCGGCCTAGAGTGCGGGGGTTGTCAATGCACATGTGGTGACATTCGAAGTCGTTGTAGGGCTTGAGTTCCTCGATAATGACCTTGGGGTCGGACATGGCCCATTTTTCTTCTTTGATGCATGCCTTGGACATCCGTTGCAGGATGTCGTCGGTGTAGATGCGGCGGGAGAGGAGGGGGTGGATGGCGGCTTGGCGAAGCTTCATGAGAATGTTGGCGGATTTGGAACCGGTCTTCTTGCCAGCGGCGCGATCCTCCAAGAGCTGGCGCACTTGGTCTTTCTCGTGATCATAGATTCTCACTTGAGAAGGCTTCATGGTACACCAGCCGACCTTTGAGTGCTTAGCTGGGAGATCAATGACCTGGTGCTTCTTTCGTCGGAGAATGAAAGGCTTCATCATTGACTTGGCGCGCTCAATGCGCTGTGCGGACAGGAGAGTGGCGTGCGACTCGTCTGTGGTCTTGGCCTTGTTTGAAAACACAGACTGAAGATCCTCCTTGTGCTCTTGGAAGACACCAGGGAGAATGAATCCGAGCAAAGATGCAAGCTCCTGGAGGTTGTTCTGCAAAGGTGTACCAGTAAGGAGAAGACGGAAGCGAGCCCGAATTCGAATCAACTTCTCGTAAAGCTGAGATTGATGGTTCTTCAACATGTGACCTTCGTCATAGACACAGACAGAGAAGTCCATATCACGCAGGAACTTGGCGTCGACCTTTGCCTTGGCAATGGTGTAGGTGGTGATGACCACATTGATTTCGTCTCGTCGATCCTCGATATCGTCGCGGATCATCGCACGTTCGGCCTGGCCGGCATAGTAGGGCATCACATTCAATAGCGGACAGAACTTTTGGAATTCTCGAAGCCAGTTCTCGATGGTCGAGGAGGGAACAACAATCAGATGCGGGCCCTTGTCACCCGTCTCATACAAGTGGGCCAGGAAAGCAATGACCTGGCATGTTTTGCCCAGACCCATGTCATCGGCCAAGATACAACTCAAATCGTTCTCATACAGCAGTCTCAGCCAGTTGATGCCGACAACTTGATAATCCTTCATCACCAGATCATCAGCCATGATAGAAGGCTGTGAAATCAAACGAGACTTGCGCTTGGCAGGTACAAGGCCGTCCTCGTCGCTATCAGGCGAAGGGCGGGAAGTGGGAGTCGAGATCCCAGAGTCGTGTTCCACCTTGGGAACCGGGGCGAGGCTGGTCAGTTCAAGCTCGCCTTCACGCTTGCCGAAGGTATCCACGCCCCATTTCTTCATCTCGTCGGCGACAGGCTTGCCCAGTGTCTCGACCTCGCTCACAAGAGCATCAATTGCCATGTAGCCGGTCCACATATCAACACACTTGTCGACAATCTTGTCACCGATGGGCTTGGGCGCCTTTCCACCTCGTCTGCCCTTTTGCTTCGACTCAGGGACAGGGACAGCCACCATACGGGCCTCATCAAGATGGTGATAAGGACGGTTTGACACAATGAGCTGAGCCACATCTTCGGGAACGGAGGCCAGATCGGCGATATCAGTAACAGAAGCAGTATTCATAAACTTGAGAACCTTGGAATCCAGGCCGCCAGCGGCAGATTCCTTCACTGGAACGTCAGAGTCATCTGAGTCGCTCATCATAGCCTCGGGGGATTCAGAGCGATCAGGTGAGCGGTTCCTGCGTCCCTTTTGGAGTCGGCCCTTCTTGGGGGCGGGCTCATCACTGAGCACAATCGCACGAGGAGGCGATGCAGGGCGCGAGGCGGCATCTGACTTGGGACCTCGGACGAGTCGACGGCGCGGCTTGGCTTCATCCTCGGATTCTCCGCCCTTGAACATCTTCATTGCAGCCCACTTATCTTGAATCGTTCCACGGGCCTTGATGTTTTGCTTAGCGACGGGAGCCGCTCCAGTGGCTGGGGCAGTTCCCAACTCATCGTCGGAGGAGTCGATAACAACGGCCTGGGCATTGCCATTCGTAGTCTGCGTGTTGGCCAAGGCCTCAAGGGCAGCATCGTAATTTCCCTTAGCCTGGATAATAGCATTCATGCATGTGCGCACTGACAGCTCAGGCATAACCTTCAACACACGCTCGACCTTGATGCGGACTCGGAAATCGGCGATTTCGTGCAGGAGAATGTCGGGCTCTCCGACTGGTTGTGCGCGCGCTGGCGCATCCTGACGGGCCTTCTTCATGGCGACCCCCTTGGTCGAAGGTGGACTCATCTCATCGGCGGATCGCTTCATGGGGGCGTTCTTCGGATCGTACATGGCATTGGCCGTGATTTCGCGGAACCGATCCATTGCGGGATCGGTACGCACAGGAGATTCCATCACTTTTTCTGGGCTTCGAATTGTTCTCTCAAACGTAGAAGGCTTGATATCGGTGGTTTGAAGGTGCGAGTCTTCGTCTGAAGAGCCACCTCGGTAGGTTGGTCCGTCGTCAAGATCAAACTTGGGGGTGCGCTTCGCAGGACCGGAAGCAGGAGGACGGAAGTGAGTACCCGAAGGGGCGATTAAGGATGAAAGGTGAGCCTGGGGTTTGCGAGGGGGGGATGAAAGCGGGCCCGGAGGCGACGATGCAGCGACTTGGATCACAGTATTGCGCACTGGATAGGGTTGTCCCACTAATTGAGTGGGTTGGAAGGGAGTAGAGACTGGAAGAGTTGCAACAGTTTCGTGCTCGGGAGGAGTACTCGGGACAGTGTCTTGAGGAGCAGAATCGGCCATTGCTCACAATGGACCATTCGCCATCTGATTGTAATTCAGGAACGTTTTTTTTTTTCTGCCAAGGCGGCAACGCGACCATGGTACGCGCCTGTAATGAATTGAATCGAATTGTGAATGGTATTGACCATTCAAGTAGCCCGGATCTCTATTCAGGTAGCTTTATCAATAACATTGAAATCAATAAGTGAATTGCGCTGGGAGAACAATGCCCAGTGATCAGGTGCTGCAAGTAATCCCCCAATCAGACGTCACAGACACTAAGTTATCTCCGCACGTCACGGCGCTCCTTTGTCCGCATTGAGGTGTGCCCCGACTATTGAGCCTCTTTAAACAATACTTTATCCTACTCATTGTTTTCCTATTGATCTCTGTCAATATGTCTGCCCGTCGTCCTCACAACCAGTCCTATGCCGATGTTGCTGCGAAGCCCGCGCCGAAAGGCAACTCCGACGTGACCCCAGCGGTCCCCGCGTAAGAGCTCCCCCGGTCTATATCAAACTGCCCCGAGGGCAATATCTGATTGTGCTTTGTCTATAGCGATGTGATCTACAAGCTCCTCGGCTTTACCGCAGCCATGGTCGCTGGTCCCATTGGGATGTACTTCTTGACCGTGAACACGATCTTCAGCGGTGGGTATCCTCCTTCGTTCCTATGACAATTCTGGCATCTGACTTGACTCAGGGAGCTCAACACTCGCGGGTATAACCGCAGCCGTCACCGCCAATGTGGTCTTGTTCGCTTACATCTACGTGGCCTGGATGGAGGACCAGGAGGACCGACAAGCGCCCAAGGCGGACTCGAAGAAAGCGCAATAAGACGGACTGACTTACGAAAAACCAAGTTCTATGGCGTATTGGTGTTGTTTCGGCTTCGGGGCGTTGATCTTATTCCTGTGGCCATGACGAACCAGAAAACTATAAGCTGGCCGCATCCAATTATCTTATGAAATGAAAAGTATCATGGGTGTGTTCATGCTATCACGCTTCCCACAACCCAACCAAGCGACTCCACAGCCGTGCTATCCATGTTGAAGGAACCGCCAAAACGACCGTAGTCCATGTCCTCGGAGCCGGATGCGCCAATATGCAGTGCCAAATAAAACCCCACTATAAGTCGCCTAGCAGCTCAAGTAGGTCTACGCTTCACAAACTCCTCCAAATCCTCCTTGGTGGCGACACCCAGCACGAACTTGCGCTGCTGGTCCGTGACCACGGCAAACTGCTGCTTCTCGGCATTGGGATGGGTCTCGCCGTCGAAGAACTTTTGCAGATCCTCGAGCGGGGTCTCCATCGTGATGGTCTGGTATGTGCCGCGCTTGCGGTTGAAGCGCTGCATGGCCGCGGAGACCGAGTCCGAGTCCTTCACGGCCCCACTCTGCAGAAGTTCCCTTAGACGGGGGATGCTGAGGTATCCCAGGAGAGAGCGCTTGGTGGAGGAGATGACGGTGAGGTGGGTGTAATCGCGTTCGTAGGCGGCCATGAGAGCTGTGGAGATTGGGTCGTGGGAGGAGATTGAGAGCGCGGGGGGAGGGTCGAGATCTTCGATTGTGGCCTGGATGGTGGTTAGTATGTTGGTTGGCGGAGATGGATGAGGGTAACGAACGCCGCGGAACTTATCCGCCCAGTTTGTGGGAACTGTGTTTGCTTGGGGGGCTTGCTTCTCGCGAGTGAAGGCCTCGCTGCCGGTCAGGTATGATGCCATTTTGGAGGTCGCGAGGGGTCGGTGAGGGGCAGGTCGATTAAAGGGCTGAGACCAGGGACACAGCGACTGGTATTGCTGGCAAAATGAAGGAGAATTATACGATTGTTCAAGATTGGGCCGAATGCTGTGTATGAAGAGACCTCACCGTTGCGGGATGACTTTTTGACTCCGAGCTTGGCGCCCCCCACTACGGACCTGGCAACTGACGTTTTTGGACTTGCGACACTTGCACATAAACCACTCAGATCACCCCACGCCTGTGAATCAACCTAGATTGATGCCAATATCAGCACTGAGTAAATACTAGCAGCCTCGTGCCTTATGCTCTTTACGATACGGAGTATGCCTTCTGCAGTACACCTCCAATGCAATCGAGGTGTACGAGTACAACTCAGCAGACATGGCTTCAAGCATATGAAGAATGCACGACTTTCATCACCAGCCGCGACTAGCGCTGTCAAGTGTCCGTCATCGGAGCGCACCATATGGCCACCACTTTCACAATACAAGCCGTTGACGATATCCTGAAAGATGGATGTTGGATGCTTCGGGCCAACACTCCTACTCGGGAATCATATCCAAAACATTGATACGCATGTTACAAGGTCCTTTTTGGTTAGCTGGTGCACGCGAGCTCCCGCCTGGCGATGGAAGATACTCCTCGACCACCTGTCAATCGTTCAACTCTCCAAACGCATACGTCATTGTTGGCCCCGCAGAATCGTCTTTTCGACTCCGCATTGCGAGCTACTGTAGCTGTTGGACGTGCTCACGCCGGACTGGCTTGAAGATTCGCCACTCCCTCGCTTTCCGAATTGCCCCAGAATGCTTTCTCGGGCTAGTGCATGTGCAGTGGTTCCTGTCGGGTGTGGGGACATCCGCAATCTGATACCCCACCTGCAATCCACAGGGCAGATCAGATCGAGATACCCCTGGAAGTCCTTAGACTCCTAGCAGTGTAGCTTGTTCGTTCAAGAAACACTCCTTTCACTCCCGGGGTCATGGGCCAGCCACAAGGTTTCCAGAGGATGTAGTGCATAGTTGCCAAGGTGTAGTATGTAGCCATGATTAAATAGATGCCCGTGGACCTGCCTTGGAGCACCGTAGATCCGAATCCTCCCTATTGCCCTTGGCGTACGGAGTACTCTGTCGATGGGATGTCGATGTACTCAGGGTTCTTATCAGCCCTCATTTGTCAAAGGCCCGATGTCCCGACATGAGCCAATCGGAGTCAGATCTCTTATCATGAACGTCACGACAGCCCGCGGGTTCGTTTAAACATTCTCGCGACTCTCAAGGATAACAGTTGCTATTACTACTTCGATCGTGTCGAGGGTTCTTGATATAAACGACCCGTGGACCCCGAAATCAATATAAAGAGATCCCCTAAAGTACGGAGTATACCGGCAGATCACCCAGACATCGAACCCGCGGACTGCATCGTACCTGCATTTCTTATCGTCTCTCTCGATAAGCCTCTGCTTGACATTTGCGACAGCTCACAATACCTTCGCATCGCATCCAAAATGCCCGACAACGAGCAGCCCATGGTCTCCCACGGCCGCGGAGGTAGCGCATCAAACCCGGTTCCGATATCAGTACTAACGCAAGCTTCCAGGACAAGGAAACATTGGCCACGACAACACAGAGTACGAGACCCATCCCCGCATTCGATCAACGTTAACAAGATCCAGATACGTCGACGGCGAGATTGTCCGTGAAGGCGCATTCGGCGACCAAGGCGATGGCGCATACTCCGCGGGTGTAAGACAGTCTATACGGTCCGGCGCATCATACTAAGTACTCTACAGCGCGGCGGAGCAGGCAATATCGGATCGCCGATGGTTCGACCAACTTCCAAGGTGCCCCATGATGCGGAGATGATCCCTGAACTTGCCGTGCGCGACTCCACCGATGAAACATATCATACCGGAGTAAGTGGATCTTGATCAATTATGGGATCTATGACCCGTTCTGTGGGGTTAAACATTGTTATCTCATTGCAAGTTGCAATATATACCGGAAACAAAGCTAACATTACTTTTCCAGCGCGGCGGCCAAGGCAATGTCCACCTCGACGAAGCAGCACGCAAGGAGAAGGAAGAGCAGAAGAAGAAGGCCGCACACGAGGGATTGGCAGACAAGCTGAAGCACAAGCTCTTCGGGCGGAAGTGAGCGTCGGATATGTTTCTTTTTTGTGATTCCCTTCTCGTTTACGGAGAGTTCCCTAATGGACTGTTCCAATTGACTTTCTGCTTTTCCCTCCGAGTATGAACGTATCATGTATGGTACGGGTACCTGCAGTATCCCGTGTCACCGGTGAACCTTGGAAACCTTAGAGTTCAATGTTTCAATACGAATATCTCAAGTGCTACCTAGTAGATATCTGTCGAGCATGGGTCTCGTATCGTGTACAATGCAAAACAATGTTTGAATGAAAATGCAGTAAACAACCCAAATAGTATCCAATGTGTGTATCATAATCTCGTTACAACATGCAAATGAAAGATCAAATCAGGGAAAAACGGGTGAAGATAACACAATCCATAACGCATATCGCATATTCTCGCCGTCCCAGAAACCAGAACCAGATGAAAACAAGATAGAAACGCCTGCAATTCAAGAAAGATCCATGATATCACGATCACAAAATACACCGTCCAAGCGCAATCAATCCTTACTGAATCGGCGCTTGAACCAACTCTTCCTCTTATCACCCTTCGCCGAGGAATTCGTATCCTGGCGAACGTGATTCGGCCGAGCAGCCTGCGCAGGCGGAGGCGGGGCCGCGGAGCCAGAAGGCGTCGCCCAGGAAGGATCTTGCTGCGGGATTTTGGTGTTGCCGAAGCCACTGAAGCCGTACTCTGCCTGGGCGCGCTCGTCCATACGCTGTTGCTGCAGGGCCTGCTGCTGCAATTGGTCGTTGGAGCTGTTCATGGAGCTGGGGTCTGTGGACTGGCCGTAAGGGTCTGAGCCGGAGGTGTTGGAGACGGCATTGTCGAAGTAGCCATTTGGCTGGTAACCGTGTGGGGTGTTGACGTTCTGCGCCATGTTGGGGTAGTCAGATGGGGAGGTTGGGGAGGAGGGAGAGGCTGGGGAGCGGTGGTTGGGGCGTCTTCTGCCGTATCCGTTTCCGTTTCCATTGCCGTTCTGGTAGTATGGGTTGGGGGTTTCGGGTGATAGAGGGGTATTGGAGTAGCCGTTGATGATGCTGTCGGGACGAGATTGGGCCTGGCTGTAGTAGCCTTGGTCGTATCTATTTCCGTACCCGTTGGCGCCGTTGCCGTTTCCATTTCCATTTTGGGCTGCACATATGATTAGATATGATTTGTAGAGCGGATGATCTGAAACATACGTCCGTAATAGCTGGTTCGGCGGCTAAAATCGCCCATCTGTGATGCGGCATCCTCTGTTCCGGTCAGCGCTGATCGTGTTTTGTTGACCTTCGGTGAGATAAGGTACCTGTCCTGGCGTACGAACCACGATTACTGCGGTAAGCACCGTATATGGCGGCCTCAAACGACCGGATCGTATCTAAGGGACGCTCAAAACGTGGCCGGGTGGGGTTCGACAAGTCGGGATCGGCTGAGGCAAGGGTTAGCAACGCCCCAGAACGGAGAATGCGAGTGGAGACGAACTGATGACATTTCCAAACTGATCTTTGTGTTCGATCTCACGCAAAGAGCCCAGATTCGACTTCTGCAGAGCGACCGCGACTGGGAACGGGGGTCAGTTCGAGTTTGCGAGAAGGGATGCGACCGGCAAATTCTGGCCCAACGTACTAGGCTGCAATTCATTCATAGCGACCAGGGGATCTGCCTTGGTTTGTAGACTGCGACGGTGTTTGTCCTGCGATGATTCTGAGGGCGTTCGGTTGTGTTCTTTGGAGTTTGCGGACTTTTGCGACTGCTCGGATTTCACACTGAATCCACGACTCCGCGTGGGAGCAGGCTGGGGGGCGGCCATTTTATTAGGGCGAGTTCCACCGTCTTTTTTAGCGTCCGCGATTCAAGGCAGGTCTGAAACGGCTGGGATCTGCTGAGCTACGGCCGTTGTGGAGCGAGTGGGAACCGCCAAGAGACGATGGCACAATTGGTTCTTGCAATTTGAGACAGTGCAGGGCCGTTCGCTCTCCGATGCACAGGCGATTGTATTCCGATGGAAATGGAGTGTTTGTGGAGATTGTATGGAGTATCTGTGGATGCTATGCGCTGTGCCGATTGCTATGTGCGGTGGACGGCGACTGAATCAAGTGGAGTGTAGTGATACAGAAGAGAGTGCAAAAAAGCAAAAGCAAAGCAAAGCAAAGCAAAGCAGAGAGACGGGAATCCGATGGATTTTATTCAGCCCAAAGCCACTTTGCCTTTTTTCTTTTTTGGGCTTTGTACACGCAATGCCATGGTAAGTTATCGGTATTCAGATTTCAGTATTCACGCTCACGCCCATGGATCCTCTGCCATGAACCTTGGTCACCACGGCCATTCGCAATTGGGGTTGGCGCTTCCATTGTTTTACGCGATTGGGTATGTTCCTCCGAGTGGCGAAGTCTCGTTTGGTCATCCATACATCAACTGTAGAATCCAGACCTTTGTATCTAAGGCTCCAGGGCTGGTTTTGTATACCGGGCTGGTGCAGGCTTCCGGCATCATCCAATTGGCTGCTCTTTTTCTTCATTCCAGGTCCAACTAGACATTGTGCATACATTGTGCATCTTGCTCAGTATGCTCTTGTTGCATGAGGATGCGACAAATAACATCGAGTCGATCACGCAACTCGTACTCGTACCCTGCCGTGGTCGAGGATGGTCAGACATACTATGCACCTCGGCACTGGGATCTATACCAGCGAAATACCGAGTGAGCTAGAGAGATGTCGAGTTCTTCTTGCGCGTCAGGCATCGGCATTGTTGTGTGGGGCACGTGAAGTTTTTGCTAAAATCTATAAATAGATCCCGAGAACTGTTCCTCGGCATCGTTATCTCCATGTAGATCGGAGCTTAGTTGTGGCGGTTTACTACCTAGTATATCAGTGTTTATTTACTGGGGTTTCCTTCTAGATATCTACAGTATAGCACCATATGGTGTCTCAAGGAGACACTCGTTTGACTCCATCATTCAATCACCCAAGTACCACTCTGTTTATATTTCGCAAGCACATGAAAAGCATATTTCGGGTGTCTTATTGAATGAAAGAACTCATGAGCACTTACCTTAAAAGCACTGTCCGACAGGTTGGCCAGAATTGAAGACACACTTTGAATGTCCGTTACGTTGTCCTGGTCGTTCTATGTCGTTTCTCTTTCGTCCCCCCCCCCCCCGGGCCTCTATACTCTCCTACATAAGAACGCTATAACTCCTTTCCTTCTCCTTTCCTTCTCACATCTTTCTTCATCTCCTTACATCTTTCTCCATTTCCCCCATCTACTCACATCTTCCTCCATTTTCCTTACATCTTTCTCTATTCCCTCTATCTACTTACATCTTCCTCCATCTTCTTATATCTTCCTTCATTTTCTCACATCTTTTTCCATATCCTCCATCTTCTCACATCTTCTTATATCTTGCTTTATTTACTGCCATCTACTACTATCTACTACCCTCTACTGATCTCTCTACACATCTACTGACATCTGCTTACATCTTCCCATATCTTCTCCCCCCTGCCCCATGGTGTCGCACCTGAGCAATATATACCTGGATCCCCTAATGTTGGTCAGACTCTCTCAGGTTCTCACGTTTGAGGACAGTTTGATCCACAACACTGACCATGCAGGTCTAATCTACAGCCACATCTAGGCACAGGCCAAATCTGCCCGTAAGATTGAGTTGATCCCACCACACTCTAATAGTGTGTCCATCAAGAGAGCCAGGTCCTTCCTGCATGCAACCTTGGAATGTCTCCAGAGCCCTGGAAGTCAGCAAGGGGCATCTAGCCAAACAGCCCATACATCTCATCTTGAGCCAACCCCTACTACATACACCAGTGAAATTCCTCCCGTGTCAACTAGTATCGCCACGAGTCACTCCGCACTTACTGAGTGCGCTGAACCACACTATCTCCCCTGTCCGCATGGGTCGTGATACCAGAAATCTCCAATACGCGGGATCCCCACCCAGGGGCGAAGGAAACAAAACACGAAGACGCTCCAGCTGCCACGGCATCAATGGTCTAGTGGTAGAATTTGTCTTTGCCATCGACCAGACCTGTGTTCAATTCATACACATGCTACCAAGTTCAATGCGAAGAAGCGTGGTAAAGCGGAATATGCTTTATCCTCTAGGCAGGGGATCTGCTTCGAAAGATAGGAGCTCGTCGGTGTCAAAATGTCAAGTTTCCCACGATTTATCAACAAGCTTTGTAGCCTGCATCAGAGCACCAAAGTCTATGTGTGGCTTCATGTATGATGAGTTGTAGAGTAACGTTGCCAGGTGATCTCTCAATCGGCGGTCAATCCATCAACGTGGCTACCGGGCCCACATCCTTCCAGCGTCCATCATTCGCAATCCCACGTTTTGCGAAAAACTGTCATTTGTATATTTGAATTTTCCCAATTGTGTATCTCGCCACAGCTGATCCTCCAAGTGGACCTAGCTCTCGAGTTGGAACTGTCAACTTTGGGTGGCTCTATGTTTACGAATATTTACAAAGATCTGACAAGACGCCAATCTCCCAAGGTTTCAGAGTTTGTACTACCTAGGCAGGTATCAATCTCTCTGGACAATGGCTGAAGGGCCAATGTACTCCTTTCTTCCTTTCACAAAATACATCCCAATACTGATGATCAGAACCCCGGTGAAGATCACCACACTCCAGTTGAAGTTTTCTCGGGTGACCTCCCTATCACCAGGCCATAGAGCCCAGAACAGGGCGAAACAGGAATATAATAGACCGGTGATATTGACGGCCAGTCCCCACCGACCCATATCCCACCGTCGCGGCGGAAGGGTCTCAGGATGCCAGATTTTCCGGTAAATCACGCAGGCCATCGATATGATGTATGTGTACATCAGCGCAGCGACATTAAGTGAAATGATAGCATTGAACGCAGTCTCGGATCCGATGTTGATGAGAGAAAGTGCGCAGCTAATGATACACGAAAGCGCGATGGCATTCACGGGGATCTGGCGGCGTGAATCGACTTTGCTGATCCATTTCGCGAATGGAAGACCGTTGTCTCGGGCGAAGGCAAAGGTCTGTCGGGAGGTCGAGGCATTGAAAAAGATGTTGCTGAAGATCACGGGGAGAAGGATGATTGCAGTCAGACCGTTCACGCCTGCTACCGAGGTCGCCTGTTTGAAGACATAGAGGAATGGGAATCCCGTGGGGTCGTTCAGTGAGTCTTCTACTGACGGTGTGGCAAACAGATATGTCACGATCAATACAATGGCCATAACACCATTGCTGAAGTAACCCCAGGCGATGGCTGTGGGAACGTTGCGAGCTGCATCCTTCACCTCTTCAGACATGTGCGCTGCGGCGTCCGAGCCTGGGCGGTGGTCAGCATCATCCGAGGAAATCTTGGAACGCTTCCTGGCACATACTCAGAGAGCCATAGATGGCCGAAATTTGTCCGATCATCACACTCAGTCCCATTGTTGACCAGCCTCCTCCATTCCTCCATTCGGTGAGGAACACCGCCTCGGCAGACCTGTGAGGAGCCATAGCCCAGAGCACGATGAGGATGACTGCCCATGACAAGACATGCAGAATCATCAACAAATTGTTGAGAATGGGCATAATGTCCGACGCGTAGACATTGAATATATAGATCACCAAGACCATGGCAAAGACCAACAGAGTGCCCTGCCAGTTTTGAGGCTCATAGTCCGGGTCTCGGACGCTGATCAGGCCCTGGATGATAGTTCCAGTGAGAAACGAACCAGATGCTGCTCCGGCCTGCCAAGCTAGAACTGACATCCAGCCTGCGCCCGGATCGAGGAATACATTTAGTCAGGTTTCCTTCAGAAGACACATTGTGGCTCACCTGTTATATAACTGAGGAATTTCTGATACCGCGGCGACGACCACTCCGACACCCAATGATACTGACCACCCGATGTGGGTGCCATCGAGGCCATTTCCGAAATCGAGGCGATGATGAATCCGAATCCAACGAATGTCCATATATAGGAATAGAACAGACCGGGCAGGCCTCCATTGTACAGCCCTTCATAATTTGAACTGAAATCTGTTAGATGAAGAACATTACACAGCAAGACACTGACATTAGAATAAATTCCCACGTGGCTTGCAATACCGATGCAAAACTTAAGGCCGCAAGAGGGCGCAAGTTTCTCTGTGCGAATGTGAGATCGAAAATTATGAGCTGTTGGCGGTTGACATACCTTGAGCTCCTGGGCCTTGCCCATCCGCTGCATGTCATGATCATCCAGAACGGTTCCTAATGTTGTACCAGCTTTCTGGTCTGGCGAAGCCTCTTGATCCATTTCCCGAAGCTCCGTGTTTTGCATTTCCAACCCCGATGCTTTGGAAGTCATGGCTCCAGGTATCCCAGGTGTAGAGCGCAAATAAAATGAGCAAAACGAGGGGAAAAGACCCATGCAAGGGGGAGCAACAGGAAATATCGCGTGTTCAAAGGAAAATAAGTATTAAATTAGCCTTCAATGGGTCCGAAATCCACTCGGGTGGGGGGCTGTCGATCTCTCACTGCAACCGGACACAACAGCATGGGCACTACTACGGGGTTCTGTATTCTGCCTATCTATAAGTACATTAATATCTTCAAAATTCATGGCATCGAGAGAACAGAATTGATACAGAGTTTATATCTGGCTCTATCTACTGCCCGCAAAAGAAATCAATTGCGCGCCCATGTGGGGGATATGCATGCCACACAACCATGTCGACCTGCGATCAAACAGGCTGCACCAAACGCCCTCGTGTCACAGTCCACTTTCCACATGAAAAGCGCCAAGGACAAATCTTCTGTGCAATCTGCTTGCTTCCGCGCAAACAAATACATTGCGGCTCCCAACCGCTTGAGCCCTTGATTCCCTCACATTTCGAGGTCTTCCCGCAGGGATAAAGTCCTGATCATGGGTGCCCTATATGCAACCTGACCCCTCCCTTGGCCCCATCGATGCAATCGCACCCCTACACTCATTTACCCCCCTACATAACAAGCACAACGGGCCGCATACCCCAATCACACCTGATGCACTGTAAGCCTTGGCGGCATTTGTCTCGGCCCAACTAGGTCAACTGCCCAGGTGGTGGGTGAGCTTACCATGCATCTCTCCCTGAGGCGTCTGCGAATCCTGTTCGCCGACATTCGGGAGCCCGTCTCGCCCCCAAAATCCGGTTAACAGTCCGTTTCGTGCGATATCTGAAGAAAATAATTGCCAAAAAAAACTTATCTCACAAATGAAACCCCCTTAGCTCGGATACTTCGCCCCCAATCTTCGTAGGTACTCATCCTTGGAGGTTTATTACTTCGCGGGTTGTGTGTCGATGTTTTCACTCTACCTTGGCCCGTCATGTCGGCCTCGTCGTTACCTCCGGACGTGAGCGCGCCTCTGACGGTGGATAATCCTGATAATCACAGTGGATTGATTGTGATACTTGCGTCTTTCTATGTCGTTTTGGTGATCACTGCGCTCGCGGCACGTATTTATGCCTCGGTTCAAAGGCGGATCATACAGCAGGACGATCTATTATTCGGCGTGCTAGTGGTTAGTCTCGCGAAGAAACTCGACTTGGCGTCATGATCAAGCGTCGCTCACACTGAGATAGGTAGTTGCGATTCTCCAGGCGGCGGTTGTATTACTCCAAGTCCACTTTGGCTGGGGAATCCGGGAAGAGGCTGGGAAAGCGATAGATGACCGGATGCTCAAGGTTCGTCAGCGAATGCGCCATACTCGTTGCGACATCTGATATCGAAACTAATACCTCAAAGGCCGGATATGCAGCCGAGCTCATATCGATCCTCGTGCTGGGCCTGTCCAAGGTCTCAACATGCCTTTTCTATGAAGCGCTTTTCTCACAGACGCAGCGCCATCTGGCACGAGGCATTTTGGCTGCCGTGGTTATATGGATCATCGTTTCCACCGTACTGTTGGCGGTGCGCTGCACCTCTAGTCCGTGGGCTGATATCAGTGTAGCTCGATGTAGCAGTTTGGTATGGCGCCTGCGACATGGATCGTCAAATTGGCTGAGCTCAGAACTAATATGGTCTACTCAGTTCCCGCGATGGCAGGCCATCACGGCACTCGACATCTCCACAGAAGTCTTCCTCTTCCTATACTCCGGGATGGCAGTGCACAGAGTCAAGATCTCAATGCGCAAAAAGCTCATGGTCTTCCTCGCCCTCGAAAGCAGGGTATTGTAAGTTCGAAATATGAGTTGAAGAGCCCCGACATTCTGCTAATTGGGATTGTTCTTTGACACAGACTCATTCCTCTGTCCGGTCTCCGTCTCCACTTCATACACTCGCAGATCACATCGGCCAACCCCGTACTCATCGGCGCTTTCGCAACCGTAACTACAGAAATGTACCTCGCAACAAGCGTGCTGTGCCTCGTGAGCGCGTTCCTCAAATCCTTCATCGCAGCATACGAAGACAGCAATGGCATATCATACACAGATGGCATGTCAGGATCGAACTCGAAATCACGAAAGGGAACATTGAATACATTCACGCACCGCAGTCGCTCTCGGTCTCGGTTTTCTGCGACGGTTGATCGGTTGCGCGGTTGGGAGCGGGAAGAGGATCCAATAATTGGGTCGACTGATGCCTCGGGCGGGTTGCAGATCTATAGGACTGTACAAGTCGATGTTAGTGATGAACCGATTGAGTTGACGGAGGCCGGTAGGGCGAGAGTATAATTGTTTAATTCTAGATCGGGTTAGATGGTATATAAACACTTAGGCTGATACCGTGTACGAAGTAATGAAAAACCATAGAATACTGTACGTGAGAATTTGAACTTGTAATGATTACCTAGGCCCCGGGGGTGATGATTAGCGACGTAGCAGATTAGGTAGTGGGTCAGAGATATGTGAAGACTAAAAATAGTCGGTCCAGTTCGGTCTGTTGAAAGTGTGTACATTTTTAAAAACATGCTCGGCGTTGAGGTGAGCGGGGTATATAGTCTATCAAATAAATAATACAATATTAAAAGGGACCTTGTTGAGGTCCATGCAAAAATGCAAAAAGTGAAGATTCGAAGGTTGAATCGAAACGAGATCAAGCACTTGACTCGCCGGCCGGAGCCGTCTTCGTGTCGTCCGAGGTGACCTGCACCTCGTGGCTGTGCTCCAGTTCAGAGAGCACAATCCACGTGGGAATGACAGCAAGAATGGTGATACCAAAGTTGAGACCAATGCTGACGAAGTGGTTTGCGTTACCTTCGGTCTGCATGGCCCAAGCCACGGTCTGGCCGAGAGCCTCAAATCCACGCAGGATTCCGCAGTGGTAGGACAAAGCCGAGATGTCCGTGCTGTACTGGCCAATCAGCCAGTACAGGAATTGTTGGAAGGCCTGGCCTCCGAATTGCCAGAAGAAGATCAGCGCGTAGCTCTTGCCGAATCCGCCCTTGAACCAGTCGAAAACTGGGGCCTCCGGGGCGCTGTAGAATTGGTTCTGCAGAATGCTGGCCCAGATCCAGGTTCCGGTGAGAATGACGACGATGGAGGTGAAGGCAATCTTGGCGCGGGTCTTGATGAAAATGGATTGACGATCGAGCAGAGCGGCGAGGATGAAGGAGGAGGCGATTCCGGAAAAGTTGGTGAAGAAGGATGAGAAGGCGCGGGATCGGACGGTGAAGTAGTCGGTAAGCCAAGTGCTCATGAAGCCGTTGTAGAAGTAGCTGATGAAGAAGGCGGGCAGGAGAAGGAGGACGCGACGAGTGGCGAACAGAGAGAACACGGCCTTGAATTCCTTGGCCCAGGTTTCCTTCTTCTCGACGATAACAAGAGACCTGTCCTTGCGCTGGACCTTCTCTGCAGGGCTGAGACAGAGCGCAATAGGGAAACCCAGACACATGATCACAATGAAGACAATGTAAGTGGCAGCGCTGACAGTTCCCTTTCCGGAATGCTGGGCGTTGAGACCCAAGCTAATCGCGCCACCGACAATGGGGCCCGCAGCCTTGGCCGTTTGCCAAACAGCAAGGTAAAAGGCACGCTCGCTGGGGCTGGGGTAACCGATAATGATGGCCGCCTCTGCGGCCCAGAAGAAGCCTGCGGAGATACCGCACAGGGCGGAACCGAAGAGCATGAACCATGTCGTAGGGTGGTAGGTGTTGGTGTACAGACCGGCACCGTAGATCGGGTAACCGATCGCACCGAGAACGAGTCCGAAACGAAGTCCGATACGGTTGTTGATAGCACCGGCGGCAATACACACAACCGCAAACAGCCCATAGACCAAAGCATTAGCGGCCGACACGGCGTAGGGCTCGGCAGCGCCGCCCGCGCCAAGGTTGTTCAGAGCATCCCACATTCCAGGAGCAGTGAATGAAACACCACTGGCAATGGCGATCTGGAAAGGAATGGAGCGGTAGAAAGACCACCGAGACCGGGTGAGCTGGTGGGTATCATTGGTATGCTCAGAGGTGACCTCTGCTTCGGCAACTGGAGGAGCCATTGTTACTTTCCTCTGGACACGACGGTCCCGTTGTATATACACAAATGAATGATATAAACAAGAGAATAGAAAAAGAAAAAGAAACAAGAGCTGCGAAAGAATATCAATTGATAAAAAAAAGCAAGATAGTGGGCCCCGAAGATGTCGTGCTCAACGCCAAGGCTTTGCCAGAGCGGCAAAAGCAAAGTTTGACACATCGCCACGTTCTGCTCGCGTGTCTTCCGTTCGGGTGGTTTCGCCCATGGTTCATGGACAACCCTATTGTTCATTGGACGCTCAAATCATGATGGTTGCCACATACGGTGACTACTAGTAGTACTTTGCAGTACAGTAGGACACATCGAGTGGTATATGCATGCTCCATGCAGGTCATATAAAGTTCTCTGCAGACCCGGCTCCACTTAATCCTTTCCGCTTGTCGCGCCTCACCAGGAACGCGATCAGGCCAACACTGAGAAATTGCCCGATCGTGGTAATCAGGTTAGAGATAAAGCCAGCGCGAAAATACGGTGCAGCTGTAGCCGGATACTGGAATATCTGAGTCCAGGCCGCCATCGCTTGTCCAATAGCATTCATGCTTGCGGTGACGATCGCTCGTTCCTCGGCATCATTAGCCATGGTGACAGTGGCCCAGCTCATTGTGAGTGGACTGATCGCTAGGGCAAAAGGTTAACGTCTCGGTTATAATAACCGAGAGATACGGGTGATCGAAGGCCCGAGTCTGACTCACCTCCTTCGAATCCAGTGAGAATGAACCCCACTAGCCGTCCCGTCTCTCCAACGTTGTAGACAACGAGTAATATCACCCCAATCAAGACGGGTATGCTGGTCACTACGGACGGAATCCAGAAGTTGTGCAAACGATCCGCAGTGATGCCTGCGGCCAGTGCAGCAACCACTGATATCGCCGTTGCGATTGTCGGCAGCGTGTTCACTCGCGAGACTGAATAAATCTCCGGGTTTGCCTTGAGGTACAGACTGAAAGGCGTCGAATATGGCGTGAAGTTTTGGTCCATGAGTATCCAGTGTACAACGAAGACATACCAATGCCAGCGCCCGAAGACGCGTTTAAAGATCGCTCGCGACACCTTGAGCTCACTCGGCGCCGTCAGGCCTTTCAGGCGGGTGTTGGCAATCTCATGCTCGGTCGCAGTGAGATACCGTGGCTTTGAGCGATGCGGGACATCAGGAAAGACGAAGTATCCGCTGGTCAATGTCAGAATCCAGCAAAGGTGCGACAAAGATGGAAAACAAAAGCCAACACCGACTCACAGGAAACAGATCGGAATTGTAATAACCGTGCAAATAATAAACAACCACCTTGAAAACCATTAGCATTTCCACACCCCAATCTATAAATAACACAAACCTCCACCCAGCCAACCCATGCTTCCCTTCCAGATTCGTATACGCCGCTGCCTGCAAGTACCCAGCAAACATCGTCCCGAGAGGCGAAGCAACAAAGAAAAGCGCGACCCGCCGCGTCACCTCGCCAGGCTTATACCACGACCCAATAACGTAAATAACACCCGTGAAAGAACAAGATTCGCAAATTCCAATAAAGAACCGCATTGCGTATAGCGTCTCCAGATTGCGCGCCCACGCACACCCAAACGTGAATAGCCCCCATCCTACCTCCAGACTCGGCAGTGCGATGTTGATCCGCGTGCGCGTCAACCAGTAACAGGCTGGTATCATGGATGTGCAGTACGAGGCCCAGAATACGGCTGTTATGTAGTTTATCGCGTTGCCTTGGAGGTTTAGGTCTTCTTTCATGCCTCTGCTGGGGTTAGTTTGGGTCCGTGGTTAGGGTGTGGGGTGGACGTGCGATACGTAGGCGTTTTTTATGGCCTGTTGGTCTAGATATTTTGTAAAGAAGGAGAGACAGCCGAAGACTAGGATTTGGAAGTCGAGTTTCAGGATGAGTTTCTTTTCTGCGTGTGGCATGTCTGCTGGGTACCATTTGGCTTTTGTTAGGAATCGTAGCCATGGCCCGTCTTGTTCTGTGGGAATGGATTGGAGAGGGTGAATTTCATGATTGGAAACATCATGGTCGGTCTTCGAGTTGGGCGCAATCGAGGTTTGCATGGTTCAATTGGAACTGTTTGGGTGGACGAACGCGACACGCCAAACTCTTCAGCTGCTTGGTTTCCAGCATATTGACATTGCCCATGATACTCTTTTTATCAATGAATCGTGCGAGAGCTACCCAGGTGGTCTATAATGAAAGATGCGATGATAATCACGAGCGATGGTGTCATCTATGCCGTGCACTTGAATTGCTTGCGGGGAACTCAGAGCTTCACGGAGAGTGTCCGAGTCTGACATCCACGCTTACCCTGTCTGGGCAAGATACACATTCTCTAGATGCAATGGCTGGTGTGGCGCTCAAGGCCGAGGCTGTGTGCGATGTTAAACCGAGACGGGGTCCGAGCTTATCTGTCTAAGTGAAAGTTCATGATTGTCGAACCCGGATTGAAATTGTCATAATGTACCGCTCATGTATATATAAAAAGGAATAATGCGTGATATCACATAATGTACAGTCTCAAGTCTTGATGGAAATCTCGTACTTGGGGACCCAGAATGTGACATGGTCTTTCACATCGTAGGCCTCCGTTCCGAAACTCAGACTGCCAAGGTAGTCATCCTTAGAAGGGTAGTCATCACCCGACATGCTGTAAAGTTCGTCGATGAGAGGATAGATATCACCGGTGAACTTCTCCGTGGCATCTGTCATCCAAGGGGTTGCAACCCAAGACAAGACCATAGTACCCTGGTCGTTCTCGCCTTGGAACAGTGTGCTGGAAGAGATGGGTTAGCTGGTGGCACTGGGCACGGGGGAATACAACTCACAACTCTTGTCCCTCGACGGTGACGTTTTTCCCGGGTTTGCCCCAACCGTGAGGCTGAGCAGCCACGGAGGACATCCAGAACCAGACCATGACTTCGAACTTGGCATTGGTTCCGTTCTCAGCCTTGTCTTTATCGCTGTCCAAGAACATATCGATCGCAACGTTGGTCGAAAGGTTAATTTCAGTCAGGGCGTCCACGTCGGTGGTTTCAGCAGTCTTGTTCTTGCCCACGCCGTATGTCCAGTGGAGGTCCACGTAGAGTTCTTGCACATCGCTCATCTTCTTTGGTAGAACATCATCCACCCGGATGTTGGAGTAGGCGTGCACAGGAGCAGTGATTGGACCTTGGTCGTATTGCCAAGTAACGGAGAATTCGGGGGCAGTGTTGGTAGGGTACGTTGCGTTGTTCCACATGAGAACCTAGATCGAAGGGCGGTTAGCTGCTGCATCAAGGGCCAAGTGAAGAAGAGCCCTACATCCATACACAATTCGCCGTCGTGTGAGCCAGCCTTCACACCCCAAGGGTTGGGGTTCACTGTCGTCTCGTCAGTATTGGGTCTTGGTTCACAGAGATACTTCACTCACGTGTGTACTGCTCAGTCTTCGAGGGAGGGACAATTCCGTAGGAGATATCGCATTTGGAAATTCGTGAGATGCCATTGTCGTGGGGAACCGTTTCGCTGCCGCCGTTGTTGGAGCCGCCATTACCAATGCCGCCGCTATCCTCGTCGGTGCCTCCCGTGAAGAGAGGCTTCTGTCCCGTTGCAGCACGGTGAGCATCAATGCCCATGAGGGCTCCAACGCTACCCCCGATGGGGATGGCCACCAGGACGGCGTTGACCAACAGTCCCACTCCGACAACCATGATGAAAAGCGCAAGCGATTAGCCAGGGACAGCCAAAGAGCCAAAGAGCGAAAGAGCCAAAAGTAAAAAAATTCGAACAAAAGCGCAAATCCAAGAGTGATGGCGAAACAATCAGGATCGAGGCTGGGGTCAAGGGAAAAATCGCGATGAACCGAGATCAGCGAACAGAAGCAAAACCAGACTATCCCATGGATGACGATAAGTGGAAGAGACCGGTGGGTGCCGATGCATTTGGTTAGAACTGTTTTGGACGATCGGAACTAACAGTGCGAAGGAAGGGTCAGGGTGGGAACAGACAAGCCTGGCTAAGACGGGTCCAATGCATGCATGCATATGGTACCGTATGGTAAAGAGGCACCGAGGCCCTGAATCAGGTACCAGATGTAACTCCATCAGGGACCGTTTGATTGGGGGAGGGGCACTGTCGGGGATAGAGAACCGGGCTGTGGTTGGTCCATCGCCGGTTGCATAAAGCCAATGTCCCGAAAGGAAAGATTACCAAAAATTGCGATGGTATGGTAAAATTACACAGGTACAAATCCCGCAAGCGGAGATTTCCACTTTTTATTTTTTACCAAAACCTCGGGGAAACGCAAAGAAACAAGAAATCAGAGACATGAGCCGTTGAAAAGGGCCCTGGAGGCCCCTCTTGCATTACGCAAATCCAATAGAAATTTCCATTAAATCTATTTTTGCTAGCGTATCACAACGCCACCAAATGCGGCCAACCTCTTGGCGCACTAGTCTCAGGGCTTAATATCGTTTTTTCTATAGGATCGTCGTATGGTCCGGTTTTTGTACACGATAAGACTATTCCTCCGTTTTGCTCTTTCTTCCTTTTAACCTTCACATACTGGCCTGCTCTTTGGGCTGATCACCTTCGTTTTGGCTTCTATTCTCATCGAACATTCCAACCCATCGAGATGGATCGGCGCAATGAAGATCAGGACGAGAAGGTCGAGCTGAACACTTATCGCTACCAATCGAACAATGCCAGCTTCGATCAAGAGACCTTCTCGCCTTCACCAATTTCTCCCAGAGCTCTCACGCCCATCCGACCAGGGCATTTCCCGACCGATGAGTATGGCCAGCCGGTGTGGCTCCAGCCCGCAGCTCGGATGTCCGGCCACTCCGACTCGATAAGTGGCTCGCCGTGGAATACCCAAACGCCCTACGATTCCCGATCAGCCTCCCCAACTTTGGTAAATAACGTCAACTCCAACCCTATTGTTCCTGTGGGTCTGGATCTCGGTTCTAACCTCTCGTCTTCGAATAGTACCAAGGTGGTGTGCAGGAAAGCCACCAGAGTCTTGCTCCATTGGTGACCGCACCGGCGTCGCCCGGATTCGCCAAAGATTGGGTCAAATCGGGCTCTATTGCTCGAATCCACGACCGTGACGATGTGGAAATTTGGAAAGGATGGAAGCGTTATGTCTTCTTCCTGGTCCCGTTCCTGACACTGGCCAACACGGCCATCTACCTGTTTTACCTCGGTCTCCGCATCTTCTGCATTATCATGGCGCAAAAGGTGTCTGGAGTATCCTACGCCGGAGCGTGGGTGTTCGTGGCCATCGAAATCACCGTCGCAATCCCTTCGCTCATGCACAACTGCTGGACCATGATGGCCCTGAAGAAGCGCGGCCGAGCCAAGCTCAGACTAACTGGTAATGAATGTCCAACGGTGGATGTGTTCATCACTTGCTGCGGTGAAGAGGACGAAGTCGTCCTTGACACTGTGCGCGGCGCCTGTGACCAGGACTACCCGCGCGATTCGATGCGAGTGATTATTTTGGACGACGCCGCATCCAAGACACTGGAGGATGCCTGCAACCAGCTCGCCACCATTCACCCGAATGTCATCTACATGGCTCGTGAAAAGATTCCCGGCAAGCCCCATCACTTCAAGGCGGGTAACCTCAACTACGGTTTGGAACAGGTCACCCTCCTTCCCGGAGGCGCTGGCCAGTTCATGGCGGCTTTGGACGCCGATATGGTAAACAACACGCGGCCCGAGTTGAAATTTTACACCTGACTGACACCCTGCAGATTCCCGAACAAGACTGGCTCCGTGCGATCCTTCCCCACTTGTTGGTGGACCCCAAGATGGCCCTTGCATGCCCGCCGCAGCTGTTTTACAACACCCCTGCATCCGACCCCCTCGCCCAAAGTTTGGATTTCTTCGTGCATGTTATTGAGCCGATCAAGGACGCGCTCGGTGTCGCTTGGTGCACTGGTTCCGGTTATGTCGTTCGACGCGAGGCCCTCGAAGAGATCGGCAACTTCCCTCTTGGCTCTCTGGCGGAGGATGTCGCGACCTCCACCCTGATGCTTGGCAGAGGATGGCGGACTGCCTACATCCACGAACCCCTCCAATTCGGTACCGTCCCTGAAGACTTTGGTGGACACCTTAAGCAGCGTACACGATGGGCTATTGGAACTGTCGACACCGCCGCCAAGCTGAAGTTCTGTCTCTACGGCGATGCCGTTCGCAAGATGACTTTCGCTCAGCGATTCTCCGGATTCCTGTACGCCACGCTCAGTGTTTACACTCTGCTCCTCACTGCGTCTCTGTTCGCCATTCCCATCATTCTGCTGTGGGGCAAGCGCCTCGTCGCCTTCGCGACTGAAGAGCAACTCCGCTGGTTGATCTGGTCCTGTTTCGCCGCGACTATCTCTAACCGTCTCTGTGAATTGGCTCTGTTCGTTCCCGCCGGATACCACACCGGTCAACGAGGCTCGCGCTACCAACTCTGGATGTCGCCCTACATCGCCCTTTGCATCGTGCGCTCCTTCATCCTCCCCACCTGGTTGGGTGGTCAAACGCAAGCCTTCAAGCCCACCGGATCCCTTGGCTCCACTTTGAACGAACGTGACCCCAAAAAGAGCAAGAACATGTTCGTCCGTCTCCGCGTCATCCTTCTCAACTACATGGCCAGTTTCCACCTGGCCTTCGTCTACGTCACTATTGTCGGTGTGGTCATTTCCTCCTACCGTTGCTTCGCACAGAACTCGGGCTTCAGAGATATCATTCTCTGCCTCATTACCCACGCGTTCTGGCCTCCACTCACTTTCCTCTTTATCTGCTCTTCGCTCTGGACGCCGGTCTCCTACGCGATCCACCCCCCATCCATGCCCGATCGCGAGGAACTACTCACGCGCGACCCAAAGACCGGCGTCGCGCATCCCACCGCGAAGAGCAAGAAGATCGCATTCGGTGGCCAGGCCGCCTGGTTCGAGCTCCAGTACATGGTCGCGACAGTCGCGACCGTTCTGGTCTTTGTTTACTCCTTCATCTTCTAAAACCGCTTTCTTACTTCTGCGTGGATCCCGCGATCCACGCCTTATTCACGTGCCACATGTTCCCGATCTACACTTTCTCAGGCTCCTTTCTCATATCATGTATTTAGTTCACACACGCATCGGGCGTCGGCTGTCTCGGCGTTACATCGTTTTGCATCTCAGATATAAATACATTCAAAGTTCGGTATCGTAATGTGACGAATCTGAGCCGCCAATGAGACTGTGTAGACGCATATGTATGTACTGAAGTTGCAGTTAATCTCCCGACCCGTCTCTCGACCAATCACCCGATCGGCAAGACTTTGAAAGCCGCGTTGCCATGGACTATCTGTGACCTGTAACCTGTAATCTCGGACGTTTTTCGCACTTTTATTTAATTCTTGCGTTTCGAGCTCATATTAGCTTCCAAGGTTTAGTACTGCTTCGTGGCTGAGTTGTCCTTCCAGGATTTTTCTATGTATACGTCAACCGGATCGCCAGTGCGTTCGCAATAAATAGTTCATGTACCTGCCACCTCTTCCTTATCATCAGCCCGTCTTTCAGTTGTCGCCAGTTGACCGCTGTTCTGGTGACGTTTCTTCTATCCCGATGGCCTGGTCGTAAAGCTTGTTAAGACGGCGTGTTCACCGCTGGAGCGGGCGAGAAACTATCACGATGCAAGTGCGACAGTTCTATGGTAATTTTGAAAGTCAAGGATGTGCACGGAGATCAAGGTCTGTAGATCCATGTGCTTGGCCAATATTCCCACTGCCAAGGTAATTATTGGAAAATGATAAGGACTTGGATCTTGGAATTTCTGGAGCTTTGGTTTTTACATCGAGATAAGCTTGCGACAAGCTATTGAAAGCCTTGGAGATAATGGGGAAACTCCAAACTGCGCTAGACATAACTACCGGCGTCAACTGGTTGGCGTTATGGGGGAATCTGAACGGGCCGTCCAGATGCTTTAGCGCGTCGAGGATCTATAACTAGGACATCCCTGTCCTCATCTCCACTGATTAGCCTTTGAAAGAAACTGGGATATCGACTTTACAAGGTTGAATGTCATTACAAAAAGTGATATTTTTTCTAGCGTTGAGAGGGCGCATTGAGTACGAAAGTCACGGTTGAAGTTGAACTTCGTGCATCTCGTTGCTCCGTTGCTCACCTGAGCATGACCTCGGAGACCCCTGGATAGAGTTCGGATCTAAAATAAGGGACATGTTACCAAAATCCCCATGTAATACTCGGCGAATAAAATATGACAAGACTGGGGTTGTCCCTGCGCACCAGAGCAAGCTAAAAAGGCCGCTGTGGGTGAGTTTCAAGCACCTGGGCCGTATTAATGAGTAGAATAGTGCCCCTTACCTACTGAGACACAGACCCTACGGAGTACTATGTACATACCTAGGTACGGAGTAGATTCAATGAACCGTGAACCAGAGAAACTATCGACTGAGTGGCCTCCAATATTCCAAGGTTCTAGATTGGATCTCAAGTTTATGCCCCAGGTGCCTGGCCACCTGGGCAGCTCCAGCCTTTCAAGGGTTGGAACCTCTGAATTCGTGGAGAATTTGGGATTTAACTAGGTACTTGGTTAATCAGATGGCATAGACGGTAGAAAACTCCTTGCAATGCGAGGCTCTTCGAATATATATCACGACCTTGGAACCTCCACCGTGGACGTCCACCATGTTGCGAAATTGTGTTCTTCCGAGGTCTGGATTCGTTTGACTGATTCCAACCTTGGAATTTTCCCTTGTCTTTCTAAATTCTTGCAGAAAGAGATGTTCATCATCCCTTAACAATACCTAGGTATTTCCCATTCCAACCTTGGAAGGCTGGGGATCCTGTCCAATTCCCACATAACCCCATATGATGTCGGCGAGATAGACGCGGGAGGTCCCTGATAACCACATCGACAAAGAAAGACATATTTTCGACGAAGATCGTGCTCGAGAGATAAGGGCATCGTGGTCAAGCCGGCGGTAACGCCCAAACGTGCCGATCAAACAGATAGGGTGTGTCTCCAACAAACCCCAGATGTCTCAATGGTGCCACAAGGGCAAGCCCACTTAGAATCAAACGGAGTTCCCAAATTCTAAAATGGCACTTCACTACCGTTATCAAAGAGAATGAGGACGAGAGCAAAGCAAACAGACGAGGTCCATGGGGCCCAGATCAGTGTCGAGGTCAGAAGATCAAGAGAAAGAACATGAGACAAAGAATGGGCGTCAATCCCACAGTCAGGCAGCGACGCCACTCTGTCCAATGATATGGGGATTTTGACTCGAGTGTATAGTCACCGTGGACGGAGTTATAGTACACAGTGGCGAGTGATTGGTCTACACCACAAGATAAGCATGTGAGCTTTGGATACAGACCGATGAAAGTAGGATCTGTACGTTGTACATCCGGATGTTCTTCCAAATGCCAAGACTAGCTTACGAACCCCTGGGACGACACATGTGCAGCGACAGCGATATCTGCACTGCCAACTCCCCTGATCATCCTCATGACCACGGATGACTTCAAGCCTCAGCGGCCAGGGAGTGATTCTCATTGGAAGGACCCCGTCTATTCAACCATCATGCAGGGCACGAGTACTCCACCGACCCCGGATTACGACCGACAGGCAGTGATAAGGATTACCCTTTTCAGTATCTCTAAACAGCCCTGGAGCCGGCATCCGGTTTGGCAGCCGAACCGGAGGACCGAAACTCTTCTCGGCGCTCTGGATCGTGATGGAACCTGGGGGGAGCCAATCGTGCAGGGGTGTCGGACTCGTTCCGCTGCCCGCCTTGCCACACATTGAGCTTGGGCTGAATATCTCTCGTTTCACGGCTGTGCGGACATGCTGGTCTTTAACCAATTCGGTCCGGTTGGCCATCTACCGGTCACCTGATCGGTTGGCTTGATGGACCTCCCGCCAACTCGACGAGGAACACCGACGAATTGGCCACCGGATGGCCAGGAGCTTCCAAAGATGTCATACCTTTCGGATCTGACAAGGTATCGACCGATGGAGCTCGGTCTGGGGTTGAGCCACCGTGATCCGGGTCGAATCCTGGGGATAATGGTGTCGTCAATGGGTATATAGATGGCCAGATATCTTCGACTTGAATGCTCTTCATCAGCTTCACAGATCAACAATCAGCTTCAATCTTATCTACTCTCTAATCAAGACTTCCACCGTCTTTAATTCAATCACAATGTCCTTCTTGAGGAATTACTTCGGCACCTCTGCTCCGGCAGCACCTGCTCCAGAGGAGGGCAACACTCCTGTTCGAGCTCTCCCTGCCACTTGGTACACCTCTCAAGCCATGTACGAGCTGGAGCAGCGCTCCATCTTCGGCCGCAAGTGGCTCCTCACTACCCACTCGGCTCGCGTCCCCAACCCAGGTGACTGTGTGAAGTATGACGCTGCCGGCTACGAGTTCCTCGTGGCCCGCGATATGGAAGGCAAGGTCGGCACATACCACGCCAGTGATCTTCTCCCCGCCCACACCCACATTGACCGCAACGGCTTCGTGTGGGTCAACATGGATGCAGGCGAAACCCCCGAAGTCGCCTGGAAGGACGACTTCGAGGGCGTGGACGAGCAGCCCCGATTTCAGTACTACAACTTCGATGAGTACAACTTCGACCACACCTGGGATATGGAGGGAGACTTCAACTGGAAGATTCTCGCCGACAACTACAACGAGTGCTACCACTGTCTCGTTGCTCACCCCGACATCCCCACCATCGCCGATCTGAACTCCTACTACGTCAAGACCAAGGACGGCCACATCCAGCACTACGGTGCCGCCCGACAGGACCAGATTGACAAGGGATTCCGCATCGCAACCACCTACTTCTGGCCCAACGCCTCCTTCAATATCTCGTGAGTAATGTGAAACCCCTCCAATCACAGACAAAACTAACAATACCCAGCCCCAACTTCTTCTTCATGCAGCGCTTCACTCCCGTCAGCCCTACGAAATCCGTCATGCGCTACGAGGTCTACCGCCACAAGGACGCAACAGACGAAGCCTTCAACCTCATCAGCGACATGTACAAGCGCATCATGTCCGAAGACAAAGTCCTCTGCATGCTCTCTCAGAAGAACCTCGACGCAGGCGTCTTCGTCAACGGCCAGCTCCACCCAAAGATGGAGCTCGGCCCCCTCCACTTCCAGAAGACGGTCCGCGATGTCGTCGTCGAGCACCACGAGAAGGAGGAGCAGGCTGGCCACAAGATCTGGCCTGCTCACCGACGCGCCGTCGAGGCTCCTGCCATCGATGAGAAAGCTACTTCCACTGTGCAGGAAGTTGCTGCCGATGACTTCTCGTTCCGCACTGGTGCGGATGGTTACACTGAGGCTGATTACTCCATGAACAGTGGATTTGCGCCTGCTATCGTTGTCTAGACAACAGGCTTGATGGATTGACTTTATTTTATGACTAATGTGTTATTCGATACGATTTTGCGAGCGTTGTGACTTTTATTATATCTAGACTTTGACTTTCTTACAGAATGGATTTCTATACATTTCTTTATTTTTATTTCGGACATTTGCCTAAAACCGCGATGAGCCCTTGAGCTTGAAAATGCTATAAATAAAGAGAGTATGCCTCGATGCTATTTCTCAAAACTGGCCGCACACTCCATCGCAAAGCCAAAGCATCGAGCGTACCAGCCCTGAGACCAATGGCTCAACTCCACACAATGAGGAGCACCTTTTAGCAAACTCCCATCAACACGCACACTATTCGTAAATGCCTTGACGCATGTATCGACTTCCTCTTCGGTAGCGACGAAGAACGGATCGTCATCAACAAGAGCAAACATCACCGGTGTTGTGACGCACGGTGCCCACTTCTCCTTCCAGACAGGAAGCCAAGCAGCCGCAAACTGGCCTAGTTCCAAAGTCGGCGATACAGCATTCAAGCGCTCAGTGTGCTCCAGAATCTTGGCGTCACAGGTCCCAGGCTTGAACATGACTCCGTCCTTCGAGCCTGCGGGGAAAAGTGCATGGTCCTCGTCGATGGTGATGAATGGAGGCGCACTGCCTTTCATTGCTGTGGATTGCTTGTCACCCATACCACTTGCAATCAATCCTCCGAGCGGGTATAGTGGTTTTTCATCTTGTGCGTGTAAAGCTGCAGTGATGATTCCCGGCATTACACCCAGGCTGTGACAGAGCAAGACGATGCAATTGCAGTTATTTGGTACGCCGATCTTCTGCCAGAGTTCTGGGAGGATCTTTTGATGCAGCATCACAGCAGAGCGTTCGTAGAAATCGGTGTTTTCGGGAACGGGCAAGATCGAGCTTGTCCCGCCGTATGATGGGCGATCGATGGATGCGAAGGGCACTCCGAAAGCATTGCTTGCTACGGAGGCTGAGAAGTTGGGCGCGGCATCGAAGTATTGGTGGTCATAGCATCCTCCATGCATTGCGATGATCAATGGGCGATGGGCGAGATGTGTTGGGGATGGGACGTTCTGCACACCTGCCACGGTGCCATTGTCGGGAAGGGTATATTGAAACGAATCCATTGTGAATGAGAGAGGTAGAAAAGAGCACCGTTTTGTTCTTCTGCGTCCTTTCAAATTTGAATTCTATATACTGAAGTAGGTGGAGCCTTGATCGGAGTTAACACGGTAACACCGTTTCGGTCTTAAATCAGGGTAATCACCGGTAGAATGGAGCAAATTCTGAAGCTCCATGGGGCGATGTAGTTTTGAGATCATCTACTATTACCAATACTGGAAGCTCAGCCCCGAGTGCTATGGTTAAGGAGGCTAGGTCTCTTGGTTTTAGATTGCTAACTAGTAAGCACAACATAACACATGTGCATACCCGTGGACGCTTATATTGCGTCAATTGATCAATTGACCCGGAACAGCTCCACTAGACTAATTTAGACCGAATATGTGTGCAGCTGACATCGGCGCTTAGAGAGTGTAGACAAATTCGTGGTTCTCCCGGTCTGTCAGATCAAGCCACCTAGAGTCGTCAGTAATTTTGTTCAACAGCGATACCCAGGAAAGGAACTCACTCCTGTCCTTCGACGTGAACATAATCAGGCCGTGAGACAATCTCAGCCTTCCGTCGGTTCTCCTTATTGTACCACCACCAGATCACCAAGAGCAAAAACAAACAGACACCCCAGCAGACGATGATGACAATTTCCGCCGACACATAGCGCGGGGCATCTTCCGGGCGGAAGGTCAATGGGCCTGAGATGATTAGCAATTGCAAGGAGATATTCACGCATTCCAAGGGCTCAATTACCAATGATGTTACCCGCACAATATCCAATCAAGTATAGTGCCGCCACAGTTGTCTTCTTAGTATATCCCGCGACGTTGGAAGAAATCAGTGACAGCAGGGCCACGAATGCGGTGGGAAATGCTTGTGTCATATAATATCCAATGAGACGACCAACATTATTGTCAAGAGGCAGTGCGACCATCAGGATCACGCCTACAGTGGCAGCAAATAAACCACCGATACTAGTCAGAATCCGCTGCCCGGTCTTGTCACCAACGATGCCGTTCAAGACTAGAGCGATGACCTCCACTGCGCCTGCAGGAGTGCCATAGAGCAGACTCTGCTCGGAGGTGTAGCCGAAGCTTTTAATCTAAGCCACAAAGGTTAGCAAAGGCGGCACGAATGACGAAAAGCAACGTACAAGCTGACTGAAGAAGTTGGTGATTCCACCATTTGGAATATTGGCAATAACAGCAAAGAAAAAGAATGCCCATGTCATTGGGTCGAGAAGTGCTTCTTTGGCCTGGTACCATTTGAAGTGCTTGTTGCCGATACCCTGCTGGTTGACACGCACGCGGGCGATGGCAAGAATGCGGTCTTCCCTTTTCAACCAGCGAGCGTTCAGCTGGCTGTCGGGAACTACCCAAAGGAAGACCAGTCCCAACGCGATGGTCAGTAGACCTGTGAATAGGAAGACGATTTTCCAGGGTGCGATCAGCGACCCGTTTTTCCTGGTGCCGACGGCGATGCCGTAGGCGACTAGGCCGCCGATAATCTGGCCCCAGCCGTTGAAACTGTACCAGATGTTCACACGCTTGCCTTGTTCGTTCCTGGTATACCACTAGTACGTATGTAGTCAGCATATATTGAGGTGAGTGTTGCTGGCCAAGCTTATGACGCTGCCCAAACATACCTGTGAGGTCAAAAGAGCAAATCCAGGTGTTACGGCAGCTTCAAAAACTCCCAGGAAGAATCGAATCGCAATTGCCCCGGAATAATCCTTGGTGGCTGCGAAGCAACACAAGATGAGTCCCCAAATCAAGATACATGCGGCTGAATATTTGCCGAGCGGTAATCGTTGCAGCAAGCGGTTGGTCGGATACTCCCAGGCGAGATACCCTGGAGACATGTTAACATCTGACAAGACCCAGGATATAGAAGAAACTTACCAAAGTAGAACAAACTGCCCAACCACTGGTACTGGTCATCGATCAGATGAAGATCCTCTTTGAGACCCATGATACTAGCGTACGACAAGGTAGTTTCTGGGCTTGGTCAGCTTCGCAAGACGAGATCTCTCTGCATCGCATACTGTCGAGGAAGTTCATCGCGTAGACGAGACACATGATAGGCATGATGTGAAGGTCGATGGTTCTTACAAGACGGCGATTGGTAGCTTCGTCCAGCTCAATCGCCTCGCCTTGCAATTCTTCAAAAGCCTTCATGGCCTCGTCTGCGTTGGTCGTGTCCTTGACCAATTTCAAGTCGGTTGGGGCAGTCATCTCGATATCTTGGGCTGTGGATGTGCCCCTTGCTTCTGGTTGTGCCATGATTGCATCGATTTGTGTGGAAGATTGTGTATTGACACTTGGGATGGAGACTGAATGATCTCATGGATGCAGTGGAGCAGGTGGTGAAATATATAGATTCCCCACAGCCGGGGATGGTTAGGGTCCTGGTCGATAGCGGCTTTGAGCATTCGATCCGTAATAGTCTGGGGTAATGACTGACGTGGAGTTTGGGGAAGAGATCGGCAGAGGATGCGAAGGGCTCCCCCACAATGGACTCCCTCAGCCTATGGAAGCTTATCTACTTAGTCTCTTGGATGGCCAAGGTGATGGATGGCCAACCAAAACCCGGCTCTCTACGTGCCCTAGCCGCTCTTTTGTGCTGTTCCATGCAGTATGCGAGGAATTGGTCCGTTCCGAGTCCTCATTTGCCTCCCTTGAGGCCCTTGCCTCTACTCCACCCGATGTTATGCCATCTGGACTTACAGTGTCCAAACCGCCCTAAAGACCAAACTCCCCGAGAAATTTTCGAGCTACTGCATAGTTCAAACCTTGGAAAGAAGAGTGAAGTCGAAGTGACTATACCTGCGCATACGGAAAGAGTCCGCATGAGCCTTAACGCCCTGCGACCCGATTGGTGACCAGTCCCGACAGCATGCGAGATCGGATAGGTTAGGCTCTAGGCTCTACCGGAGAGTTCACAGAATGCGGGGTGAACGTGGCTTTCCACGCCAAGTGCCTGTGCGCCCCGACTTCTGGAAGCTTGGCCTCATCGGTCTCTGGGCTACTGGTACTTCACATCCCGGGGTACATTTCCAGGTCGAAACTTCCCTAAAGATTTCGCCGCGGAAAGTGAATCGGGCTGAGGAGGGGTGGTGACCTGATAATTTCCCACCGATTGAGTAATTTGTAGAAGCCCGTATCTCGAACCCCACACGGTTACCCACTTGGTCAAAGTGTTGGTCTCCGCAATCTAACTCGAGACCTTCAACGTGGACTCCCTATGAGCTGTAAAAGTCTGCAAAAGGGCTGAGCAATCATCCAGTGTAAGAGAACTGTAAATCTATAGTAGAATGCAGAACGCTTAATTTTCCCCAGGAAGTTCCCCATGTCTGGGCAGAAAGTGTAGATGACTTCGGAGTGTCTCGGAGTTCAGCGTAGCTTTCGGCGTTCAGCCGGAATTCGAACCTTATCAGCCATAGTGAAGGGCGTATCTGCGGAATGGATTTGTATATCGATGCCGTAGTCGAAAGTGCCACCCGCGGACTTTCTACTGCTTCTAAACAAAAGCAATTATCTTCCTTTCTTATTCTACAGAAATACACACTTCCTCTAAGCCTGAGTCTATCTACGCCATGCTTAGCTCCCCAGCTCCAACATCACCAGAGCAATGGCCTGCTCCAGTGCCAACCCCCGCGAACTCCGGGACCTCCAACAGAGCTCGACCAACATCCCCGCAGCCAAAATCAGCACCGAAACCACAACCCCGCCAAACCTCAACACCAGAGCCCCCAGCACCGCCATTCCGCAACGTCTCAGCATGCAACCGCTGCCGCCTCCGCAAACACCGCTGCGACCAACGCCTGCCCCGCTGTGAATCGTGCGAAAAGGCCGGAGTCCGATGCGTGGGATACGACCCCCTCACGAAACAAGAAGTCCCACGCAGCTATGTAGCCTTCCTCGAAAACAGAGTCAGTTACCTGACCGAGGTCCTCCTCGACCACGGCATCGACTTCAAGCCGGCCCTCGCCTACGACGAAGAAGAGACACTCCGCATGGAGGACGCGCGCTCAGGAAACGAGCCCGCGCCACGAGATACACTCGGCGCGAGGGTATCTCCCACAGAACAAGCGGAAAGCATGTCGCGCAAGAGGAAGTTGAATCAGTACGATGACAAGATTCCTGTTCGTCAGGTAAAACGCCTATCGCAGTTGAATGTGCTTCTCAAAGAACTGTTCAATGATGGTTGCGCACACCAGTGCTCTCGAGAGCGCAATCTCAGACAAATTCCTTCACGGAGAGAGCGACAAGAAATACCCGCTCGTGTTCGAGCTTCTTGGTCTCCGCAGAGCTTCCAATCCATGGATCACAGCGATGGACGCACTAGTCCTGAGACTGCGTCGCCAAGCTCATCGCATGAGCCGTACCCGTATTCATATCACGATACTAGTCCGAGACGGGGGATGTCTCTCTTTGGGGCGGCGTCGATTCTCGACTCGGATAATGCGTCTCGGGTCTACGAGTCTAGACATCAGCCGGAGGCTGATCTTGGGTTGTTGGATTTGCCATTCAATGGGTTGGATGGCAAGTCGTTTGGAAGTGGGTTCTCGGAGCAGAGAAGTTCGGGACGTGGTTTGAATATGCCCAGTTACGGACTGCCTAAAGCGCAGGAGTGTCCTCCTGAACCTAAATTCGATATTGCTGCTGATCTTCTTCGCGGGCGGAGAGAGAGGAGCGAGAGAATTGATAGGGAAAGGGCTAATTTCGATTTGCTCGACGAGTTCTTGGTTGATTGGGCTGAGTGACGCGGGATGGTTGCATAGAACTGTGTATATATGACTCTTTTGCGCCTTATTTGTGTTTTGTATTTAGCTTGCATATGAATGAATATACGGACATAAATTATGATAATTGCATTCAAGCCAAAGCCTTGGAAATATCCATGTTGCCTAGGTACATAGGTATATATCCAAGGCAATATAGACTCAACACGGTAAACACCTAACACTGGACACGACCTCGGGAGAGCGTACATTCTGGAACTTAACCATCTACCACCTGCAAAGTTTCCACCCTCGGCTTCCCGCAACCAAACAAAGTCCCAAAGAACCCAGGCTTCTTCTCAACAGTTACCACAGGCTCATCGAGGTCCGCATGATACCTGTCCGGGACCCAGAACAACCGCTTTGGCAGCCCAATGAACATGCCAAATCTGAAGCGCTTTTCGTACAGGTCACGATAGTTTACGAAGATAGTGCGCACATCAACATCGCGCAAGTTGAATTCGGGCGGGTCTTTCTCGTCTCGCCTTATCTCCATCCACGTTTTCATCTCTCCGGGATACTTCTTGGTGAATTGCTGTGCTGGTTTGAATTGATGATAATACAGAGCTAGCTCGTCGAGGTCTCGCGAGGTGAGGGCAAAGAGGGCCTGGATATCTTTTGGGAATTTCGGGTGCGCTTTGCCGGTTTCGTGGGATAGAAGGGGCCGCAGGGTCGGGGGTCTGTCGTCTTCAAGATACGCAATTGCGGCATTTTCCTCGAAAGCTTGGGCATTGCTCTTTGGTTGGAGTAATGCAAGCTGGATTGGAGGATTGATGGCTCGGGTTTGGAGAGGGCGTGAAGCCATGACTGCGACGAAGATGGAATCAAGAGCACACTGAGAGGGGATTCTATGGGAGGAAGTTTCTTGCTGGAAGACTTAGGTATAGATCCTTGGGATGCTGAGGAGAAAGGCAGTGCTTTTATAGAATTTGGAAGATCCATGTCTGCTATACTAGAAGAGTGATATAGAGTACAGACGAATCATCCAGTTCCTGCGACTATAGAGCCTCCCTGAGCCCCGACCAGTTCAAAATATCCTTGAGGTGTTTCGTGTTCGAAACAACGAAGCCACAGCGATAAATGCAGCACTCATGAGCTGTGTGTTGGCGACGAGAAGGCTGAGCCGCCTATCGACAGGGATAAGGACAGTCATGTCGTGGCTGCGAAGCGGCTCTTTGGTATGATCGAGCAAGCGCTCTCAGGAGTCCTTCGAACACGAGACGTTATAAGTCCTTTGACACAAAACTAGTATTTTAATAGTCACTACTTGGGGCATACGTCAGTTAATAGACGAGCTCAGGAATGCCTGGTAGTGTGCATAGTACAGCGATATGATCTCTAAGTGGCACCATGTGGCAGCTCATAGAGACTTGAATGAGATGTTTCCGAGACTATCGAAAACCTAGGTATGACGCATTTTCTGTCGTTCTGTGCCCATGTTGCCCAACCCAAAGCGAAAAGCCAGGGAGCTTTGAGCCAACGACTTCTCAGCCACAACAACGCAACAAGGCAACTAAAACAGGGATACCTATATCACTCATGGACCCATTAGTCTCACCACTGAGGTCTCAGGTACCTTGAGGCTCATGGTTCATTGGTGTTGACGGGGGTAGAATATGGAGGCCAAGAAGTCGGTCTAGGGTTGTGAGACCCCGTCGATGGTTGATATTCTGTGTTTGCCGCGTTCCTTTATCTTCACTCAATATCAGACAAGGCGATAGACTCTAGTGATACCCTTTTGCTGAGCATGGATTCCAAGGCAAAATTGGCGCATCATGAGTTTCATGGGAGAATGCTAGCCTGACTATACCATGTCGAATATGCTCATGTGTACTCCGTACAACAGACACGGGTTACAGAGTCAAGTATCGGGAAAAGTGATGCAAACGCTACATCAGAAAGTCGCAGACAGCATGGCTGTGCAAGAAGACATGAGGACAGCTGCAGGTCGAGAGGCTTCTTGGGCCGAAAATGACTGCAAGTTCCCACAGGTCGCGTTTGTGCTTCATATAGCCTCAAGGTTGTCATGCAGCTGGGAATATTTTGATTAATACAAACTACTGGAAAACTAAACGGGCGCTCTCCATTAGGAAACGCAATGCGCTAAGACCTACCAACAGTTGCCTTGGAGGCGCCGCTAATGCACAGTAGCGGCCGTGTCACCTCCGCGGCCAATAGTTGACTTCAGCTGTACCAACAGCGGCCGGAAGAGCCCTTGACTCAAAGAGATTTGCGTTATTAACTTTGGCTTAAAGGTATCTATGTTTCAGCACCCCGTCGCCTCCGCAGATCCAAATATTTGGCGGCATAGTCATTAGCCAAGACCGAGTCACCCGTGAGATGCATGACGGTGGCCTTTTTAGCCATCATCTCCGTCTGACCCTTGATGTCCTCGAGTTCTTCGTAGTGATCATACGCCGAGTCGATGTACCCAAGAGCACGGTTGATGTACTCTTTGCGGGTAGACTTGGAGTCACTACCCTGTAGTCTCCACAGTTCACCCGCCATCCCCATGTTGGCATCGACGAGAAGCGAGTAAGCCTGCGCGATGAGAGCACAATCCTCTGTTTCGAGAGTCTGAGGCATGATGCTCTCAACAAGCTCACCAGTGGCTTCGAACTCTCGCAAGCTCAGGAGCACCATCGCTAATGTGCAGACTGCTTCCCATAGGTCGGCGAGCAGCTTTGCACGGTGCGCTATGTTGGCGGCACGCATGGCGAGAGAGAATCCACGCTGGGGTTGTCCGGATTTGCCGAGAATCTGCGCTTTTAGGCATAGGAGCTTGACTTGTGAATGGATGTCAAAGTTCTCTGGTTGCATGGAATGGGCGGCTTGCTCTACCATTCTCAGAGCCCGACCGTAGTCCCCCTGGCGGATTGTGAATTCGATTGTGTAGAACGCCAGCAAGAGGCGCAGGTCGAAGTCGAGAAGCTGGACCGCTTGAAGTTGGGATATAATGTGTTCGACAGCCACCTTGTCATCGCTATTGATTGTCAGTCCTGAACATGCCAGTCGAGTTAGGTAGCCTTACCGACAGATTTGTCGTCGCAGTTGTAGTAAACCAGAGTAATATGTCCATGCGTTGTTGTATTTGAAAGCTCGTAGCTTCTCAGGCTCGATTTTGTTGAGCCTTGAGAACGCCTCCTTGTAATTTCCTTTTTGGACCAACTGAAAATAGGTGTCAGCATGCCGTCGCGCTTTTATAAAAATCAATCCAACGTACTATCTGGCAGTTTCTGAACGTGATCTTGACAAAGTCATCATGGGGTTGGCCCTCTGCGTAGCACTCGCGGAAAACTTCAGTGTCCAGCCACGAAAGATGGGTGGCTCCTGTTGTTTCTCAGTCAGCCCTACTGGGATACTCACTTAGAGCGCAGGGGCATCATACCTATTCGAGCATACATGGAGGCGTGTAATAACATGTATGCACCCGCAGGGGTAGCGAGTCCCTTTGTCACATTGACATGGGATGCTCGTACAAATGATTCGACAATGGACGCCAAGCTGTCACCCTGTAGATCGTCAATAACAGGGTCCATTGGGCCATAAATTACTCATACCTGCTGCATCTCCAACTTGGCTTCACTCAGTAATGTCGTACTCAGTAGCGACCACATGTCAGTCTCCTTGGACTTAGCCTTGAGGAAAGCGAGGCCTTCCTTTTCGTTGCCTAGCATGCCACTGTTTTGTACCTCTCGCATCTGCTCTGGGAAGGCTTTGCCAAAGTGATACAACCAACTCATACAGAAGTTCAAGCAGCTCATGTCGTGAGACTCGCGGGCAATAGCAACGGCCTCTTGAACAGCCGAAATTGCTTCGTTAAAACACTCGAAGTCGGCTTGGATGATGGCCAGGTTGAGAAGAGCAAATTGGTATGCACTTCGGTCAAGATTAGTGTGCATGGTGTAGTCAAAGTAGCGATGGAGATTGTCGAATGCTGAAGTATAGTCTCCGGCTCGCCAAGCATCAAGGTATCTAGGACCCTGTCAACAGTGATACGCCTCAGGAGGATCAATGTTCGAACTCACTCTAAGTAATACATGAGCACAGGAACCGAGGACTCGGAGTTCATGATGCGCCTCAGTTGATCCCTCATTTCGTCAGGGACTCTACCTCCCATCCCTGTGTGCGTTAGTCTACGGCCACGACACGCTTGCGGGCATCAACTTACTTTGCAACTCTCCAACCTGGAATTCAATCAGCCGCTCCGAATCCCTAGTACTGATTTCTTCCGTCTCATCCTCTCCGCCCTCAATGTTACCATACACAACTTGTGATAGATGACTTGTAGAATCCAGCCCGAGGTCGCGTAGATTGGCGTCAATGGCAGTTTCATCCGCCCCGCGATGTCTGCGACTCCAGTAGCTGTACGTCGGAAGACGATATTTGACGAATCCAGACCAGAGCTTCACAGAGTCATAAAATTGCAACTTTGTGTACTCCATATGAGCTCTCCGCACGAACGCGCCCAAGGGTGAGCTTCTGGACAAACGCATCCGATTCTCCGGCTCTGGGGCGATTCCATGATCTCTGTCATGGATCAATTCTTCGCGCGATTTGGCCAATAATGATGGAATCTCTTCTCCGCAGAAGGTTTCCAGCGCATCCAGCGAGTCTATGGCCCAGAGTTTGCCCAGGAACTTGTCCCACAGGGTGCGTCCTGGCACGTCGGAGTCGTGGCCCGACAGACACTCCTCGAGCTCAGCGATTGTTGGCATGTAATGCTCCTCCCATTGCTTATCGGCCGCATCTAGCGGGAATAGACCCGCCGTCAGGAAAGACAGGACGTGGATAGCTGATGATTGCGGTACGCTACCCTCGGAGTAGAGCGTCACCAGACACAGAAGGGAGATCCTCCATGGAGTCAAATAACGCGTCATTTTGCATCCGTTATGGCTGCCCCATGTTGTGATCAACCCGTCAACAATCCAGGGCGCGTTGAGGTGATAATTGATCGACACCTGAGGCCACAAGGCCCCAATGCGGGAACCCCGCCAAGGGAAAAAAAGTGACGATGACGCATAGTTCCTTTTGCACTCAATTGCATCAGACACAATGGCTCAAGCTTTGACGACTACAGACCTGCAGGGCGCCTTGCCTCTGATCGCCCGAGGCAAGGTTCGCGATCTCTACGAGATCGACGACAAGACCCTTCTCTTCGTTGCCAGTGATCGCATCTCCGCCTACGATGTGATCATGGAGAATGTGAGACCATCCCACTACAACACTACTATGCATGCTCGAGCAACACTCTGACCGATATGGAATTGCTATAGGGTATCCCCAACAAGGGTGTCCTCCTCACCCTTTGCACGCAAACATGGTTCAAAGCTCTGACCGAAGCCAACCCCGCCCTGCGCACCCATTTCATCACCCTCGATCTCCCTCCCCAGATCCCCGAGTCCCTGCGCCCGGTCCTGCAGAACCGCAGCATGCAAGTGCGCAAGCTGCGCATCCTCCCTATCGAGGCAATCGTGCGCGGCTACATCACCGGCTCCGCCTGGAACGAATACAAGAAGGCAGGCACCGTGCACGGCATCCAGGTCCCCGCCGGTCTGCAGGAGAGCCAGGCCTTCCCCGATGGCCCCATCTACACCCCCAGCACTAAGGCCGAGCAGGGCGAGCATGATGAGAACATCCACCCAGACCAGGGTACGTGATTCCGTCTCCGTATTATCGTCTGAGCTAACATTATCCAACAGCCGTCGCTATCCTGGGTGAGAAGTATGCTGGCATCGTTGCCAAGATGGCCGTCGAGCTCTACAAGACTGCTCACGCCTACGCCCTTGAGCGCGGCGTGATCATCGCCGATACCAAGTTCGAGTTCGGAGTGGACGAGGAGACGGGCGAGGTCGTCCTCGCTGATGAGGTCTTGACGCCCGACTCCTCTCGCTTCTGGCCTAAGGACACTTACGCCATCGGTCGCGGTCAGTCTAGCTTTGACAAGCAGTTCTTGCGCGATTGGTTGGTGAGCGAGGGTCTCAAGGGTAAGGAGGGTGTGCGTATGCCTGATGACATTGCCTTGAAGACGGCCGAGAAGTACCAGGAGGCCTGGGAGAAGATCACTGGCGGTAAATCCAACTAGATATATAGACAGTTGGTCTCATCTGTATTTCTATTCAGTGATGCCGAATGAATGAGACGAATGAAAATCATGTTTACGTCTTCCGGGGTTATACCATCCTCTTTCGTCCCTTCTCTGGCTCTTCGGGTGCATCAAAATGAGGTGGCCACATTCCGCAGCTGGATACTAATACTGATGGTTCAATCTGTTTTACAACTGGAATCACATTATGGGCCTATATGATTTACTCTTCCCATTTGAGACCCTTGAGACCTTTCTGCTGGGGCTCCTGGCTCTTTTGCTTGGACTCTTTCTCGGGCAATTGCTCAGATTGCTCGGTCCAGCCAGAGCGAACACCCTCATCAAGAGGAAGTGCATTGCCGCCACAGATTCTCCGCTCCTCCTCGATGTCTGCCTCACCCATGCCGTTCGTGGCCCAAATCTTGTGGATGCGCAGATCGAATGGTCCGTCAACACGGTCCGTCAGACCAATACCAATACTCTTGACCCGCTGGCGGGTCAGCGAAGTCTGAGGCTCAACGACAAATCCATAGTTTGTGCGCACGAACGAGCTGAACGGCAGAAGGACAGTCTCCCACCCGTCGGAGCCGGAGGTAGTTGTGCTGGTAGATGTGGAGATAATCGTCGACTCGGGAGGAACATCTGAAAGCGCAGCAGGCATACCACCGGGATACAAATCCTCCGCGGCATCCGGCGATTCAGGATTGCTCTCGTATGCCTCCGGCTGTTCTTGGCGCACCCGGTGGTGGCGCGTGTATAATCTGTGCTGATGGATATCCGTCTCGACGACAGCATCCGTCTGCACGTTGACGGTGTAGCGCCGACCGTCAGACTTAATTCGGAGTGCCAGATACGCATAGGGATCCACGTCCCAGTATAGCCGGCCTAGAAGCCAAAAGCCTCGGTCTTGGTTTCGGAACGCGGCATAACCTGGACTCACACAGTGGTTAGCTGATCTGTAAGGTAACGAGATGCGGTCGCTGTATCACATACCGGTTCTTTCAACGCGCCAGTTCTCGGGGAGCTTTGTCGAGATGGTACCATGGAAGCGAGCGTGTGAAGGGGTGTTCGAGGAAGGGTCCGCGGGTTCATGGTCCAAACTGGCAGTGCTGAATCCACCTACTGCACGGTCGGCCATTGTTTTACATCCTGTGGTTGTGGCCTCATCTTCGAAGTTGAGGAGGTTGTAAGGTTTGGTCGGAGTGTGGAGGGCCTCCGTGTTCCAAGCTATGCGGTCGGTTAACCTTGGAAGCCGTGAAACTGTGACTCGTAGACCATACCAATTCGGGACAGGCGACCGAACTCATCGGCGCTGCGTTTGAAAAAGCCCTGGGAGGCTAGTCTTCGTGTGGGAAACATGTTGTGTGAAGAGAAGAACGAGATCGCGGAAGCTCTGGAGCTAAGAGAACGTCGGCTTTCCGAGGTGGCGTGAGACCGATAAGATAAGATTTTGCCCTACTTCGCTGCGCTTGACTCTCGAGGTTCTTGACTTCAGGTCAACATGATGAGCTTTGCATACTGTATCGCAATTATCACAAAATATGTCAAATTATACGCCCGCAGTCAATGTCTCAGGGTTTCTAGATTTCAATATTACGCCTTTGGCATTGCAAATACACGTCGGCCGAGTAAATGCACATACATCCTTCAATTGCCGAGAGAATAGCTCCATTCACATATGACAACATAGTGATCCGTCAAACCTATCGAGAGAGTTATACTTCTATCAATCCGACACCCAGTTGGGCAGAATCGCACATTACTCTGACTGGAAAAGCCAGTTACAAGGCCAGAACTCTATTTCTATACAATATTCCTAGCTGAAGGCCATATGATTGCTCAGATGTATATAGCATAGGGAAACAACCTAGGTAGAATCCAAGCCTCGCAATCTAAAATGAGTCAAATCTCGCCGGTCAACTTGACTCCAGGGCTGTTGTTGGCTCCCTTGAACTAGTTCCACGGTTAGTGACGATCAATGTCCCTCGGCCAGGCGTCCGACGATATAAAGGGCATTTTTCCACCTCTGGTTCCATATACGGTGGCGGCTGGGCTATATGCTGGTATCTGCAGCTGTACATTTTCTTGAACATATTCACACACTAGCCTTCGCTTAGCCATCGCTATCGGGTTATCTATATCACACTTATTAGTTCGAGCCGATCGTTTCAACAATACTACGAGAGGAGAGACTACGCCGGTTCCAACTTGGGATACACCGGCGTAATGGACTCCAGCAATGTCATAAATGGCCATGGAGGCAGTACTCCTGCCAATTGCGGGAATCCAACGGCCTCCCAGGACGACGCCGCTGAGGAGAATTCCTTCTCTGATACTCTGACTGGACCTCAAAACGCCATCGCAACCGTCCTCAGTCAATTTGCAAGTACTGCCTCGAATCAGCCTAACATACGAGCCGACCTCAGAGGCAAGCCCGTAACGGAGGAGAATGCCCAAAGCATTTTCCCGTCGAGAGCTGTTCTGTTTTGTGGAAAGTAAGTACTCCAGATCCCATTGCAGGAACTATACTCACCAAACAGTCTCGACAAGAGAAAGACAGATGCTGCATTGAAAGGCTTTCTGTATGATTCATTTTCACGATATGGGCCTTGCTATATCACAGTCAGTCGTACAAATGACATGCCAGGTGGACATATACAATTTGAGGTGAGCAAACCCCCAGGCTATAAGATGGACGTGCTAACAGAAACAGACGGAAAAGGTAGCAGAACACGCATTAAATGAGAGTCGTAAGCGCGAGTTCTCTTTCGGTGGTCGGCAGCTGCGAGTGGAGGAAGGCAGGACCTTTAAGGACGACACTCGTGAGTTCTCTCTCATCTTCTCTTTCCTCCTTTCTAACCCTCCCAGGCACGGTCCACATCGGCTACTTCGACGGCAGACTCATCACCATTTCGGAAGTCCGCCACCTGCTGTTCGATCTGGGTTCCTGCATAGATCTCAAGATCTTTAGGGGGAGAGATCTGTTTGGTCACCATACTGACTACGGTCAAGCTGTCTTCGAGCGCTGGGGTGACCTTGAGAACGCAGAGCGGGTAAGTTGCCATCCCAGTTTCCTATGACTCCTCTGACCCTTGTAGGTATTCCGAATCAACAAAGAAGTCTACCTCAGGCGCATCATGGAGACTCGCCCCAACAACTCCAACAACGGGAACAACGGGAACAACCCCCAATGGCGCGGCTGGAATCCTAACCCTCGAGGAAACTCCAACCGCAGGGCCGGCCGAACGTGGGTTAATGGCAATGGTCACGGCGGGAATGGTCACGGCGGAAACGGTCACGGCGGAAACGGTCACGGCGGAAATGGAATCGGCCCTCATCCCAACGGTAACGGTGCAAACAACGGTAGAGGTGGCTATCGCAATGGCCCCGGCAACCGAGGCTCCTTTTCAACGCAACACACTTCTACTTCAAGCTTCAGCGGCCAGACTTTCCCTTCTCCAAATTCTCCTGCTCAACATTACAACCCGGGCAATCAGTTTGCTTCCGGCTTTGGTGGCAACAACTTTAACCAGGGCTACAACCCAAATGCCGCCCAGCCCTTTGGAAACTTCCCCCAAGTTCATCCCGGCAACCTTCCCCAGAACTACTCACAAGGATATCCATCTATTGGGGTGATTCCTGGTGGACCTATTTACTACACCCCAGGGCCCGAATGTCCCCCACCATTTGAGTTTCCCGTGATGCAAAACCCCGGATTTCCAGTGTTTATGCAGCCAGTCCCTTACACTCAGGCTCCAGTTTCTCCCGTGATGCCGCAGCCCTCGTCACCTCCCGGACTTCTTCGACGCCCACTCCGGCCGAATGAACCTCTTATCGTTTCAAGCCAGCCCCAGTATGATACTGATCGTCATCGAGAGCTGTACTACTACCCCACTAACCAGGAAACCCCCGGCATGAGCCCTGGTTGGGTGGATCCAGCACCTGGGTATTGCATGCAGCCAGACTATAACCAGCACCCACTCATCGCAGAGCATCAGTCCAATCAGTCCAGTGTGGATCTGTCATACTCGGGAGGCTTCGCTGGGGAAAGGGCATCAGACCAACTAACCCAGACTCGAGTTGGATCCGATGATTCGCAAGACTCTGACAGAGGAAGGACGATTGTTCGAGATTCTCACTCTACCACTGATGGGGGATTCGACGCACCACCCGTTATGCCAAGGTCCCGCAGTTTAGTTGGACCTGGCACTGGGACGGATGATACACCAAGGAAGATCAGCCTCAGTGATGCGAGGAAACTTATCGAGTCTCACCTTGAGCCAGACCACACTTCAAATGAGCCTATTGAGCCTGAGAATAACCCAAAGGATCCCCAGCCTGAGCCCAAGCTGGAATCTGAGCAGATGGAGACGACACCTGCCGACCATGTCGATGAGACCATTCATTACAACACTGAAGTAGAGTGTATGGATGAGTCGTTTAGTCGAGCTGGAGCTGGCGCTGAGACCGCAGGGGCCCAGGTTGGTGAAACTGAGCAACTGACACTTGAAATCACAAGCCTATCAAGTACTATGACATCCGATGAAGCGGCTGGCCCCCACACCCCACAAACTGACGACGAGGCGTGCCAGGGTGTCACTGCTATCAACCTGACCACACATGAAGAGTCGGAGTCTACCCTGACTGAGGTTGAGCCCGAGTCCTCTACGCCCGTCGGAGCTGGTGGGGAAACTGATCACGGCGATAAACAAGACAAAGGAAAGGCACCTGCTCAGCCAGATGTGAATGCTCAGCTTGCCTTGTCGAGAGGTATTCGAACTGTGGCGACCTCTTCTCTTCCTCGACGCAGCAGGCCCAAGCACAGAAAGCTCAAGCCAAAGTATCAACCCAAGACTGATACCGGCAAGACCGTTGAGCAGTACACCCGTGAGACCTACGCCGAGATGGTTGCAAAGGACCCTAGTTTCAAACTTCGAGACGAGAGGATTGTGGACGAGGTTATTCAGGAACTTGAAGATGAGACGCGCAAGAAAAGCCGCGAACAGTCAGGCCTTGACCCCGACTATGAAAGTGGGGATGATGCTGACGTGTCCACCAACTAACTGAGAAATTATGAGCTTGATCATATCGAGGGTGAGAACGAAATGAGGCTTCAGGTCTGAATGGAGGATTGCGAGGAACGGAGTGCGGTCAGCGTGGAAAAGGGAACTATGAGAAATTTGCTGCGACGAGAATTCCTCGTCTTTATCTTTATCTTCATCTTTATTGCTTTGATCACATACTTCTATGACATTGCTGTTATTCTCTGCTCAAGAGTGATCAGGAAGAAGTGCCCATCGGCATTCTTGAGTTAGCAATTTGACTTAATGGATTTCGTTTATTCTGTTCTATCGTACTTGACAAGTATTAAGCCTCGACTGGCGAATCTTCCCTGCCCAGGTGCTGCCCAGATGCCCAGGTGGTCAATGTGATTTCTATAGATGTAGTTAGCCCCACTACAAGGGTCGTTGATTGGCCACTCCAGGCAGACGCATCTCACCACATCAACTTGGAAGCATCATGGTTGGCACTGGAGGTCGAAGCAAAGGATGCCGGACGTGTCGACGTCGCAAGGTCAAATGCGGTATGTATTCCATCCTCGCGAAGGTAAGCCCCTAACCTATGACAGATGAAGGAAAGCCACTCTGTCATCGCTGTCACAAAGCCGGCTTCGAATGCGGGGGCTATGTGGACTTTGTCGAATTCATCGATGAAACAAGTCGAATTAAAAGGAATTCACTACAGAGACTGCCTGGACTGGCTCCAAACCCGAGATCCTCGGACTCTTCCGAGCCACAATCTAAACAGGTTGTGAGAGTGGATTTCAATTCCGATTTACATTTCCCACTCACTGTCAACCCCTCATGGAACGAGCATGAAATCATGACTACATATCTCTTTCGAGGAATGTTTGACTGGGATCTAGATTCGATATTTTCTCATGCGCCCGCGTGGGATTCGATTCTCCTTGGACAAGACAGTAACGCGGAATTGTCAACAACCTCAGTGCGCGCTTTGAGCACGGTTTACTTTGCCAAAACTAACAAGCAAGCTGGGCTCATGCGGAAAGGTGCAAGGCTCTATGCGGACGCACTTAGATTGCTGCGAGCCAAAATCCAGTCTCAAGAGGCTATTGGAGACGATGTCCTCATTGCTATCATTTTACTCGGTACATATGAGTTGATTTGCCTGACGCACCCTAGAGCTTGGATCTCACATTATGAGGGACTGGCTAAATTGGTTTGTTTACACCTGAGCCCAATGGATATGCAGGGATGTTAACATTTAGCAGATTGCACTAAGAGGGCCATATAGACACCAATCGGGCATTGGTCTCGCCATCATGCCTACAATCAGATCATGCATTGTAAGTGGCGATCGGGCTTGCTTTTATCTCCCCAATATTCAGCTTTATGTAGGCGATTGGATACATTGTCGAGCGGAAAAGGTGTTTCCTCGAAGAACCCGCGTGGAAAACCATCCCATGGGCCAAGCAAGGTCTTCATTCAAAGACACCCACCGACCTCTTGCATGATGTTCTCTGCGACATACCCGGCATACTGGAGGATCTCAGCAGCGCACTAGTACGAGATCCCAATGTCCCCGGCAACCTCGACTTCACCTCCCGATTCATCCCACGAGTCCTGTCAACCCTGGACACTTTATACTCCTGGCGATGGAATTGGGAATCGCAATTCCCAAAATCTACATTCATAACTAACCCCATCAAGTACAACGACATACCCCTTCTCCCAAGCCCATTCAAATCAATCATATGGTTCGCCAATCCCCATCGAGCAACCGAACTCATCGTCTACAATGCAATCCGACTTATTCTTACCCGGTCCCTCCAAATAGCCGGTATTCAACAAGAACACTTTCAGCCCCAGGTACTAAGTGACCCACTGCTCCCGATGGAGGGAAATAGAAATGACATCGCAACCGAGATCTGTCGAATGACAGACTATCATCTGAGTTGTTTTCGGCAGGGCTCAGCCGCCTTCTCAATTGTCTTCCCGCTCAACGTGGCTTATTTGCATCTCGATCCAAGCGCTACTGCGATACGATCTTGGCTGGAGAGCGTTATGGCGGTTATTGCGGATTTCCATGGGTTTGAGATCGGGAGGTCCGAAAATACACCGAGGAAGGCGGATGATGTGCATGGTGGTCTTCAATAGGATGTATCCCGACACTGATTTTGACTTCAGTCATTTACTTCACCTTCATTCAACTGTTCTTGTAGCCTTGACTCTTGTCCATGGGTGCTGAGGGAAATATCGTTTCTACTGTGAGGGGCTCGACGGGGCCACATCTTTAGGCCTTAAACCTGAGGTTTCCTTGGATGCAACCTTATGTCCACGGATGCGTCGGTTTCCTAAGTTATAGTTTTCTGGTTTTTGAGTTCGACTAAAGCCCGGTTCTGTCCATGGCTGTCACCGAAGCGTGATATATACATAATGCTTGGGATGATTCCATAAATACCGAAACCAAAGATGAATGCTATAGGGGCGATGCAAAAATGACCCCAGGAAAAACAAAAGAGAAGGTAGATAATCAAATGCAAATATAACGATCGAGAGATGAATTCCGTATGCAATCGCTCATATTGATGAGATGCGAGTCGTGACATGACGCGAGGGGAATCGAGTAAGAACGGAGAGGGTATTATGAGGAAAGAAACGGCGGAGAAAAAAAGGGGTATAAAAGAGACCAATCTCGGTCCACGAAGATATGTGATCATGCTCTCACACGTCTAGCGTCAAAGTAGCCCAGATTGACGGCGGTGTCATTGACGCCCAGGAAAGGAGCAGCATCCTCGAGTAACTCCCAAGGACGAACGGGGTATGGACCAAGAACGCGACCACGATGTTGAAGCCGAAGTCGGTTGGCCATGTTGTTCGAGCCGTCCACGCCGGTCGACAGTCCGGAGGCTGCTGCAACTGAATGCTGGGCCGGGGATGGTCCCACGGTGGAGAGCGGAGCGGGCGTCGGAGTTGGGGTTGATCCTGATCCTGCAGGTGAAGGCGCTGAGAATTGCTGCGTGTTTGTGGAGTATTGGTCTGTCGTGGGACCGAGAAGGTAGAGGAAGCGGGAGTCGTTCTGCATTGGAACGAAAGAAGGGCATTTTTCTTTGAAGAAGCGAGCGCACTGGTGGCGAACTTCGTCGGGGAAGATATCGATCAGAGATGCAACTACGTCGAGGGCATGTGTTTGCAATAGAACCCCGGGACAGGGACGGAAGTCTTCGGTCGCATTTGCTCGTGGGAAGTAGTCCGCTGTTGGGTAGAGGCGCAGTAGGTCGCCTGGGAGACGGGAGAGAGCGATACAGAGGATGGATGTCAATAGTCGGAGCTGGTCGTGTGAAGGGTTGACTTTCAGCACTGCGGGCGATTGAATAAAGGCGGACCGGTGAAGGACGATCATCCTCAGCATGGCGGAGAACCAGAAGGCAAGAGCACGTTCAAACTTTGAGCGGCCTTGGGTGGCTGCGCCCTTGGGGGCAGTTGGATTGCTGCCGTGCATGGAGATGACTTTGTGGAAAAGACCGTCCATCTTCTCGACGAGAACAGTTGCAACAGACGGGGCGCCAGATTCGGGAATGCTAGTTCCAAGCTCCTCGATTATAGTAAGATAGAGTCTGGCAGTTTCCAGTGAGCTCGGCTTGCCGGAGGGATTGGGTGCTTCGTCCATCGTCTCGTCGAGCAGGGGAATGGAAAAAAACTCCTTCTCCGCACGCTCGCGAATTTGTCGGACGGCATCCGGGCTCATCAGTGCGACGAGGTCCACCCAATGAAGTCGATGGGCGCGGCTGTCTGATACAGCAGTCTTGAACATTGCATCGACAATGCTGGCTCGGTCTTCCGTCGCTGCATCCGCGCCGAACAGAACCTGAAGTTTCAACTGGCAAAAGGGGAGCGAGAAGTCATCGGTCATGCTGGCAAGTTTCTCTACCTCCGAGAGAACCGATTGGCTGCCCTGTTGAGATTCGACACCCAGCAAAAGGTCAAGTGCCTTTTGAATAGTGCTCAAAGCAGCCGGGTGCTTGTTCACAAGCTTCTGAAGGCTGTTCTGTGCCATACACCCGGGGTTCCGCACAAGCAGATCACGCAAAAGCTCGACCATTGGCCTTTCCAGTTCACTAGACGCAGTCGTGGAGTCACTGACTCTGCATGAAGCAGCGTCACAGACGATTCCCAATGCTTGCTCAGAGCTCTTGCTAAGGAATTCCTGTTGTGCAAGCTGAAAACGATACGAGACCAGGTCAAACGACTTGTTTTCTTTGCTATCGGGAACGAGAAGCTGAACAAGCTCCGCAGGAAGATGGGCTGCGTTCGGAATAGGTGTCTGGGTCGAAACGCTTAGTCTCTTCGCGAGTGCCAGGAAAGCCCTGATGGTGACACATCCAACACCGATCAGCGGAGGAAGGATTCGCAACAAAGCAGTGCGATCGTCTGATCGTAGGTGACCGCATACCCAACGTGCAAGAATTCCGTCGAAATGTTTGGGGCTGAATGATCTCAATTGTGCAAGGTAACGGCAGGTGTCATTGGCAGGTAGATTGACTTTGCCACCATCGGTTTCCAAATGCTTCGCTAGTGCATTGAATATCGTGTCCAGCGTGGGCTCATCCATGACACTTCCTGATAGCAAGAGTTGATCGAGCTTCTCTCGGAAAAGAGGATCGATATCACCGAAGCTGTCAGGAATGTGATCAGATACCGGAGAGGATGCTGCCACGATTGACTTGTTCTCCATGCGAGACAGATCGTGCCGAAGGATAGACACTGCGTTGAGTTCGTTGGGAATTCGCAGGCCAAGTTCAATCAGAGAGAATATCAAATCGAGACTGGGTGTACCGAGCCTCTTGACGCCAGCATAGGCGTCAATGAGCCCCCGGAACAGATCACCCGTAGCCCCGATCACACAAAGAGAATCGAAGTGGCAGTTCGTTGTGTCGGCAACCGAGGCAAGCACTGTACTATCTTTGCAGCTGGACGCAAACTTCAACACATCTGCCAGCATTGATATGTCGCCAAACGTTTCGAGAATCGCTCGAACGTTGTAGAATTGCGTGGGAGTAAGTGCAGACACTACAAAAGCACTGTCATTTCGGAAGATCTTTGGGATATTCCTATCAAAGAGTTAGCAACCCTGCTAAAAGATTGTACGAGTGCCGTATACTCACGCTGGAAGATCGTCCCTGTGTTGCGAAACTGCGTGACGAAGCCACTGGCCAACCTCGGCTTTCACAGACCAAGGTAAGTTCGATGGTAGTGAGTTCAATTCCACCGTAACGGATTCGCTAGCACCAAATATTTCCGGCAAGCTCTGGCTGATGATGTTCTTTACATCTTCAATGGTTGATGTTTCTTCCGAAGCACATAGTCCAATCCTTGATAGCAACGTGCTGCGCAAATTTCCGACGTGTTCCGGGAGGCGACCCACAGGAAGCTGCGCTATCAGCGCGATATCTATTGGCAAATCCTCAACCTGTGTGGGGTTAGTTTTGATTAAAATCGGAGTACATTGTACAGGGCTTACCGTGAGCTTATGAGATGGGGAAGCATTTGTCACACCTCTTGCCATGAGCCACTGAAGGTAGCGACCAACCGAGAAAGTCTGTGACCGAACAAGTTCGGAGATGACATGGAAAATCGGTTCCATCCCGAGACCATCGTTGGTTCGCGCGCGCGAGAGGAATGCGAGAATGTGGCCGTCGATGTCAACACCAGCTGATTTCCACTTGCGTAAAAGTCGAGCTGCAATATAGACTCTATGAAGACCGTAACGGAAATGTGTCGAGAGCCACTCAAGGAGTTTGGTGACCAAAACAGCTTTGTCTTCAAATGCGTCAAGGTACGTAGAGATAGAGGAGATGTCATGAGCGGGGCGGATAGAGTCGAGAAGGCGGATGATGCGTTGATGTGGAGATCGTTGGGTTGTTTTGTTGGAGTGTTTTGGTCGTTGTACTCGAGCATTACGCTCAGACAGACTCTGTAACAAAGCTTGGTCTGCTTCATTGGTTAAATCAAGCGAGGAGGAAACTTGTTGGTTATACGTCTCCCAAGTCTTGGGTAAAACCATGGAGGAAGTATGCTCGCGAACAAGCTTTCTGATAAATCGAGCAAGACGGTCGATGAGAGGTTGGAGTTGAGCCACCTTAGCTTCCGTCACCTGTAAATTGATCAGTATGGTTTGAAGTGTAGGACTATCCATAGGAATGAACGCACCACCCGGAGCTTCTGGAGCAATAGCTCAGCTAGTCGGCGACCTCTGCGCCGATAGCGCATGATGCTATTCCAGTAGATACCCAGCATCAGAAGCCATATTGGAACAGTACTGATAGAAGCAGCTTCGAACGATGTGAGGAACCATTCAAGGAAATGATCATGATCCAGCAGATTCTCAAAAAACAGACGGGCAGTTAATCCAACACTAGCACACACGTTAGTGACGGTCCGTTAGGAGACAATCCAGAAACATACACATATGTCATCTTTGCCTTCCAGTCCGAGGACTTTGGAGCACTGAAGACCCCTTCAACAAACTGTTGGACATTGGTCGTCCAGTCTCGAACCCACTTCGCTTCCAGGCCAACAGCTAAAGCACCGCTGGTGCCTTTGCGCTTAAAGGCACGAATCTCATTCGCCCCCACACATTTTCCCAGCCAGACGGCGCGTGCAACGGGAATCCATTTGCCGAGGCATTGATCTAAAAGGACTTTACCGCGAATGCCGTGCGGGATGGTTCGGCTGAGACGCCGCAGCGGCACGGTCGGGTTGGCAAGGTCTCGAAGCCAAGCCTCGCGCTTGTTGTCGGTCAGTGTCACTCGAGGTGGCGGTTTGAAGGTTGACGGGGCGTGGACGGTGTTGTGTGTCTGACGCTTCTCCAATGCCGCAGCAAACACCGACGAGAGCATCTGTAGCCCCGTGCGGTGTTTGAGCTGCGCATACAACGCCGGTCGCGCAGTGTTCGACTCGTTCTGAGACACCTGTGTCCGGTCATAGTATCCCTGCTTCGCGGTCTGTTCGTTCAAGACATCCTCGGGGTGGTTTCCGGTCCATGGGGCGAAGTCGGCGGGTTCTGTAACACGTTAGCCAACGAGCCTCGGTCGTCTTGGGTTCCCTTACTGTTCCCTCGGTAGACCGGCGCCACTGTGGGAGTCTCAATGCGATAGGGCGTTGTCTGTACAGCTCCCACTGGAGAGCTTTCCCTCGACTTGATGAGACCGGGCCCGGGGGTCTCGGTCACCGCGGGAGCCTTCCATGGCTGAGCGGGGAGCGGCGGCGGAGTCGGTGGTTTCGAGCTGCTGTCCCCCCGATTGTCATTGCCCGGGATATCTGCTATGACCGCTTGGAAGGACCAGAGTGGGCGACCGCGCCACGAGATAGCAGGTCGCGCACTTGCGCTACTCGGGGTGTTTTTGGCTTCCGTCGCGCCGGTGTCCGGGGTATTGGCGGGTAATTCTAGTCTCGGTCGTTTAGGCGGCGGTTCTCGGTCCTGCGACTCAGCGGTTAAGTCGACAACGGTAGGTTGTCGGATCTGGCCCATCGCGGAGACGCCATTGAAAGTCCGTAACGGGTGGCCCCATGGTTGGCCGCCATCAGAGGAATGGTTCATCTTAGGCTCATGGTGGAAGTGAATGGTATGAAGTGAGGTGAGGTGAGGAAGTGCAGATAACGTAAAGGGATCGACAGATCTGTGAATAGACGGTGTACCCGAACACTCTAATCATATGATTGAATGGGCTGACGGTAATACCGGGCAGCTTTCCGCAACTATTTGCCCCTTTTGATCCGAATTGCCGCTCCGTCGGCTGCCGGGCGACATTCCAATTTGATTTATCTACTCGTCACTACTACTGAGAATGTTTGTATCTGATCCTGATGCAAGGGAGACTGCACATCACACCTGCACGAGATTAGACATTAGGATAGCTGGATTGCGCAATGGTACTGCCAAGCACCTGTCGGGACCCGACATTCAGCTCGAATCTCAAGTGGTCATAGGCTGCGATAGTGTCCAGTAGAATTAATGACAATTCGGGAGATACGAAGATAAAGAACGAGTCACAAAAAAACCGAGGTCGGAGCGTTCAGTCGGAGATATTCAATCCGGGGTTCTCGACCTGGGGACATCTGGCTTAGCGCGCTTCGATCTTCCTCCAACCACCCCCAATCACCATGGCCTCAAAGAAAGATATGCGCAGAGCCGATCTGGGTTGGTTCTTCCCGGTTTGTTCGATTTTCGTGTTCGTTTGATCGCTAATTCCGTCGCAACTCCAGCCATTCCCTACGTCGATCCCCCCAAGAGTAGCAGCGATGCCGACATCTCCAGTATGCGACCAGTTCCCTGAAACCCCGAACTTGGCAAGGACCGAGCTGATGAGGCTATGCAACAGGCACAATGTCCAGCACGATGCCCATGGCGGCTGTAAGTCACCCACATCTGGCCCAGTGGGAGAACAGGAGCACTAACCCTTCCTCTCTCCGTTCAGATGTTCACTCGCAACCGGTGAGTCCAGCGCATACGGTCGCTCCCAATCGTGGATCTTATTAACGGGTACGGCGCGCAGTATGATCGGATGGTATGTGCATAGTTGGGTGTCGGTGGCCTGACCGAGTTGGCTGACACGGAAGCAGGGTGTCCTTTGTCTTCTCCCTCCAGTCTTGGCTGGGTGAATCTCCAGACCAGAAGAAGAATGCCTCTACCCCGGCATACATGTCGGTTCTGATGTCCTGTTCGTGTCTCTCCCTGGTTACATCGTCTCCGTCGACTAACTTTTGACTGCGACATAGTGATGGCCTTGTGTGTGGTATGTATACCTCGCAGACTCTGGCATACCCAGCCTAACGTGCTCTCAGACCTATTTCCCTCTCTTCCTGCCCCCGCAGGCTCCTGGCGGTGTCGCCGCCGGAACCCCAACGCCGTCTCCCTAAGCGCCGGGGTACTCAACACCTCTTAATTCCATATATTCCACAATTTCCCAGCCTCCAAATAACCTTGGAAGCTACAATGGTTTACGTACTCGCAGGATCTGGTGTTCTAGGCTTAAAGGTTGTGGTTCCTTCCGTTGCACATTGTGACGCTGTATCAATATTGAGCTCGGAGTTCACCTCGCACTCACGGGCAATGGTGCTTCCCACTACCACCGTGTACTAGGTAGTCTAAATTGAAATCCATACTTTGCCACAGAGATGTACTGTATACAGATCGGAGGTGACAGGGGAATCGCTTAGTCACACACCGCCTGCCCCCCACAACGTGACTCTTGTCCTCAAAAGGCTCTGCCGCCGCTTCTCTCTGTTTCTTCTACAACCACAGCCTCCACTCCTCTCACTACACGCTCCGATCTTTCTTACAGAGATATTGAATCTCGCCCCTTGCGCACTTTACCAATACCCTTTTTAAACGCCGTTTACTTCGAAAAGGCCGAGTTTATGTCCATCGAAAACCTCAAGACCTTCGGTGAGTTCGCCACTTTCCCCTCAGGAGCGCGTGTTGGGCACCCCACATACACGCATATCCACACCTCCGACTCTTCACGCGGGATGAGATGCATATCTGGCTGCTAGATGGGTTGGAGATGTGAAACTCAGTTCACCCCCGCCTCTTGTCTCACTGAGTCTCATCGTGGCGGGGTAGAATTTCGTACTGGACTGCGGCTGACTCTCACACCTCACAGACCCCTTCGCCGAAGCCGACGAAGACACCGGCGAGACCAAACAGTCTCAGAACTACATCCACATTCGGATTCAGCGTATGTGCTTCTGTCCTCGTTCCCGGCACGCCGCTGTCGCTGTGGCTCGCCGGCGCTGATAAACATACTGACTGGGTTTCACAGAGCGCAATGGTCGTAAGACTCTGACCACTGTTCAGGGTCTTCCCAAGAAGTTTGACCAGAAGAAGATTCTGAAGGTCATCAAGAAGAAGTTCGGTAAGTCCTGCTTGCCTTATACCCACCCCGACCAAATGGCTAATTCCGTACAGCTTGCAATGGCACCATCGTCACTGACACTGAGATGGGTGAGGTGATTCAGTTGCAGGGTGACCAGAGAAAGGATGTCCAGGAGTTCCTGACCGACAAGGAAGGCCTCGAGCTTGATGCCAAGAGCATCAAGGTATGTCACTGTCAGCCTTATATCTCATGGCTCCACTTATCTAACATTCCTCTCACCAGGTCCACGGTTTCTAAGCCCATCACCAACATACTGCCTTGTTCCGGTTCCTTCTTCCCAGTTTACTTTGCCCTGTGAGCGGTGTGATAGGAAGCTTTCCCCTTTTTCCCTCATCCGCCGGCCTAACAACGTACCGGCCTTCACGTCGATCAAGTGTAATGCTTTCTCCCACTACTCTGTGCTTGGCGAGTTAGATCTGGATCATGGTCGAAACACTAAACCTGTATGGCCCTTGCCGGCCTCACCCGCATGCTTGGCTGGGCGAGCAGGGGTTCGACCAATATTTTTCGAGAACGGGATTATGACGGAACGAGGCGTTGGTAGATACCCAATTTCTGCATAGACAGACAATTTTTTTTTTTTTCCTTCCATGATTTGTTTCTCTTTCCACCTTCTCCTATCCTTGCTTTTGAACGGAGTCACTTCAGCCTGATTTGCTTATTGCCAAGTCAATCCGATGGCCAATGCTCAAGTGGCTTTTCGAGGACATCCAGGCTGAGATGAGGATTTGCTTTGTTGAACTGTTCCATCAGTCTCTACCGTCTTACATATTTACTTGTGATGGATCGTCCACTGGATTATTTCTTAGGTCTATTGCTTTGAGAACAAGGAATAGGACTACCTCTTGGACACATCCATGTACAAGGATCAGTACACCCATTGAATATGCGAGGGATATACTTGTATGTGCCAACCAATCAACAACCTTGGAATATTGAGATAAGATCTATCAAAGATCATTCAGTAGAAGATAAAAAAAAAAAGCAAACTTCCCTAGGCCACAGGGGTATAAAGTGCTCGAGCAAAGGGGAAAGCCGTCCCAACCCAAATTTTGAAAATGTGCAATGATGGATCAAGAACGCTTGTCTCGCTTGTCCAGAGCATGAAATGAAGCAATCCGTCCAATGCATCCCGAAAGTAAAAAAGAAAGCAATATCAATAGCAGGAATCAAACAAAGAATCACCTCACCTCTGGAGCTACAGTTCTCCAAGTCCAGCACGCTCATCTGCAATGCGCATACGCAGGAAAATAGCAGTAGCCCAGTCCCAAAGTTTTCGAGAAAACACAAACACAGGCACCTCTGATTCGTTTTCTCGGGTCAAGTGCAGCTGGAGTAGAAGGAACGACATGGTAAGGAAGCTCGCGACAAGGACAACTAGTAGAGATGCCGCTGTTTCGCGCTTGATCTTGGCATGGTTTTGAGTAGCGTAGTAGACGAATGTTAACAACTGGTAGATGTCAGGCTCATGAAAGTAAATTAGCGAAGAATGAAGAAAACGTACAGTTGTTATTGAGATCCAGGCTGGTAAGAGGTGTCGGGGATCAACAGATGCGCCAGACAAGTAAAGCACCCAAGATGTACTATATGCAATCAGGACGTTTGTAGTGAGCAGTCGAATAACAACAGCTGGCGGGGTGTAATTTAAAAGCCTGGAATAGTCAATACGCCGGACCAAACCACTCGATTGAGGAACCCACCATCGAGACATCAAGCAATCAGTGAAGAAATACGAAAGATATGCGGATGCGCTGCACTGGAGAGGAATTAGTATCGAATATCAGGCCGACCACGAGACATGTTTCCCAGCAGGGACAACCATATAACATACCCACATAATAGCCAATGCCACCTCCGTCACGCGGAACCTCCTCTCAACATCCCATTCCTGTCCTACGCTGCCGATAATCGCCGCCGCCCATCCCTCCCGTCCCATTCCCGGTCGAATATGCAGCAGCTCAGCCAGGAAGGTAAAGGCGCAGCGCAGGCCCCACCACGCTGAAGGTAGCGTGCTGAGAGCCCGACATACTAGCAAAGGGATATACCACTTGCGGTCGACCCCTAGGATGACAGCAACCCGCGGGTGCAGGGCTGAGGTAGCAGTATGGCCTGCATCGCTGCTGGGTGGGGCATGAACCGTGGAAGTAGGGGACGTCGGGACAGCGGCCGGAGCAGATAGAGAAGCCACCTCTTTGGTTGGCTCGGAGTGAAGAGTAGCAGGACGACTGAGATAGCTGGGTGGAGCAGCGGGTCGTGTGAGGTTCAAGTCTGGGTGTTTATTGTGGGGGGTGTATGGCGGAGGAGAGGCATCACGTCGAGGAGGAGCCAGCCTTGATTTCGAATCACGGCGTGTGCGGCCGCCTCGCAAGGAAGGGGAGGGTGGTATTGGGGATGTGGTTGAGACGAGCCCTTAAATTTGGGTGTTGTCAAGCTGTTTCTGGATCTCCTAATTGGCAGATGTCAGCCCCAGTCCGCTGGGCGGTGTCTTTTTTCAATGGTTCCGCGCAGTTTGTTTCTTCACTACACTCGTATCCCCCCATTTGTTCGCCATGGCGTCTACTCTACGATTGCCGGTGGTTGTACCACGCCATATCTCTCAGTCCGGTCTGCCTGCTTCCCAATGCCGGTCCTTCTCTCAGACCTCCCAGCAATGGGCCGGTGGCCGCGCAGTGAACTTCCGCCCTCCGAGTGTCGCGCAGCCCTCCTTCAAGACCAGAACGAAGGATATGAAATTGACCGACTTGCCAAATGACATTGGACTGCTACCGGGTACTTTCGTTCGCCCCCTGTGGAGGGATATGCCTTCGATTTTCTCGGCACCGCGCGATAGGTTGCACATGGAATGGACATGGGCGAAGTCGTTCTTCAGCAATTACACCAGGTACGTCCTTACTCTATACCAATATGTCTCGGATGTATTCTAACTCAATGGCAGTTTGCTCCAATACTGCAAGCGCGAAAACAGTCTCCCGCTTCTCCTCCGGGACCGCCGACGCTACGCCTCCAGGCTGCAAGAGATCATGTATACCGCATTTGCCGAGTAAGCTTGCGTCTGTTTCCCCGACCTCATGTATAACATACTGATCAATCCCCAGAGGCAACATTCCTGAGATCAAGCGAATCACCTGCGACAACCTAGGCCGCAAACTCATCCGACAAATTGAAGGTCGTCCCAAGAACGAAACAGTGACCTGGAAGCTCGTGAAGTACCTCCGCAGGCCCAGCACAAACTTCACCGGTCTCCGCGTCGTCTCGGACCGCGCAACATCCATCCCCGAGATTCCGAAGTCCGGTATCCGTCAGATCGTCGTGCGCGTCACAAGCCGTCAGTCCACCACTACGACCCGCACGCAGAAAGCTGGAACCGAAACCGAGATTGTTCCCATCTCCTCCAGGGAACAGGATATCACTGAGTACATCGTTGTTCAAAACCTCCGCTGGAACGGCAAGGATAACGGCTGGAGAATCTGGGGTACCACCAACGCGACTACCCTGCAAGCCGCCCAGACCGACCCCTACTTCATGCCTGGTCTCTCGGCCCTGGAGCGTATGGAGATGATCCGGGAGTCGATGAACAAGAAATAAATAAGTCATGCCTCACTGTGACTTATGTCTTCCGCTCCTCAAGCCACACTCCACGCTTCAATTCGAGGACCCGCTCTATGCCTCCCAAAATATCCTCCTTCCTGGCTACAGGACAGCACAGTCCTCTATATCATTTGTTTGTGCTCTCCATCGACCGTCCTCAAGCCATTCACCGAGACTCTCCTGCTTCCGCATCTATTCAATTTCTTTTGGCGCACGATTGCTCTAGACAGAAGCATCCACAACTCTCATGTATCATAGCCCATTCTATTGACCAAATGTTACCTTTCTATACAATCTTGTATAAACGAAATTGCATAATTGCATGTGTCCAACATGAGCGCAGCCAGCAGCTACCACTAATCCACAACGATCTACTCCGTACGAGTCGATGATACGGTTGTTTCGGCGCGAGAAGCCAAACCAAAAATGAATAGCAATGTTTGTATGTACAAGAAGGCTGAAAAAGGCTTAACGACAAAGTATCCATGTCTCGTACAGGTATCATCAAAAAACACTGGACATGAGTATGAAGTACATGCGCATGCCACAAGGGAAAAAAGGACGCGCTTAGGAATAAGGATATTAGTAGCACCAAGATGCATAAAGCCATTACTTGCCATATATCGATACTCATGTACCATAGCCAGAAGACCTACACCGTCGCAGGGTAGGTGGCCATTGATCTAATCGTCATCGAAGATTTGGAAGGTGTTGTTCAAAATTGTCTCAATGACTCGGACCTGCCAGCCGGCGTCGGCAATGTTACCACCGGAATTGGCGCCCATGAGAGTTGGTCTAAGAGAGGTTAGTGTTTGGCTTTCGGTATGAGGGTGGAGAGCACGTACCCAAAGCAGATTGCCAGATTGCCGGCGTTCATGCGGTTCTGGGTGTAGTGTTCTTGGATCTTGTTCAAATGCTGAAACGAGAATGATTAGCGTCGTTATTATTGCTTGAGTTGTCTTGAAATCATACCAAGATGATGGCGCGGAGGGTTGCATAGTGGGCATCAGGCAGGCTGTTAATGAGGGCGTGCAGTGAGTCTCGGCGTTGGATATCATCGTCAAATCCTGGAGGTGTCAGGTCCGTGATATGCACATCCACTGAAAACGGCTAGACTTACGGGCAGCATCGATGAACTGGGTGTAGTACTCTGTAGTGAACAAGGGGTCAGGAAGATCCCGGAAGAATTGCTTCGCGAGTCCTGCAACACTGTTGACGTCGTGATAGAAGTTCTCTGGGTTTGTGAAGTCGACCTGTGAAGAGTCTAGGAATGGAGGTTAGCAAATGGTCATTACTCTGATCCTGCGCCACCAACCGTTATCGAAAACAGCCTTCATGTGACTGATATGGGTGGCACTGCCCGAGAGTCGGTAGATACCCTCCATAGTCAGGCCAAATAGCTCAACGGCTTGGAAGCATTGGTACACGATGAAAGGAACTGCAGTCCCATCTCGAGCATACAGATCGTTCAACGAGATACCAAACACTGGCTTGAGGGGTGGTAGATTAGCCTGGAAGTTCTTATCACTTGCGTTAGGTCCTGCCATTGGCACCTGGATTTTTGGAGGAGCTTCAGGGGCAGGTGGGTTTGAGACAGGATATGGAGGCGCAGAGCCCGCCGGGGGCGGAGTGAACGTCTTCTCGGGGGGGTAGGGTGATTGCGGCAACCGGTCCCCAGGCGCCGGTTGCTGAGGTCCGGCCGAGGGGAGGTTATGCTGGGAAGAGAAAGCCTGCGGCATAATCGAGATACGCTTATTCTGAGGCTCGGGTTGCGAGGGTGCCGGTGCCGCGGCCACGGCGGGCCCAGTCGCACTCGCACCACCAAGGGTCTGGCCAATGGGTAAGCAAAGGGATTGGAGGAATTGGGTCAATTTAAGGATGTGGCGACATACCGGGTGGCGCGCATATTGGATCTGCTCTGAAGCGATGGCTCCAGGGTTTCCTTCATGGCTGAGAATGAACTCGTGGAGGTCCTTCTGGTTGTCGACTTGTCGCACGACCTGGGCAAGGCTCTTGGGTCCAACAGAGCCATCGTCAGTCTTCATAGGGCTGACGCAAAGGCCTTGGCCGAGAAGAAGCTTCTCGCTGAAGGTAGCTGCAAATGGTAAGCTTATATTCCATACGAAAGGGTATACGGCGCATACCAAACTTCTGCTGCTGCATAGTCAATCCAGAGTCGCACTCAGAGATGAGTTGTTGCAGGTTCAGCACAGCCTGCGGTCTGTTGGTAGAGATGAGCTCCTGGCGCGCGGCCTGCGCAGTCTGCACCTTGGACGCATAGTCACTGTCGGCATTTTGCACCTTGCGCAAGAGCTCCTCCTCATGTTGCGCTGCAGACTTGTGGCCCTTGAGACCGAACTTTCCACCCTGCTTGTCACCTGTGCGGACGCGGTCATACTGCTCGGCAAGCGACTCGTACTTCGCCTTGGCCTTCTCCGCCGAGGACTCGGCATCGACGGCCTTCTTCTCTGCGGCTAGACCGGTCTGTTTCCATTGCTTGCGACCGCGCTCGATGTTCCCGGCCAGCTCATGCAAGTCGTCGGCCATTTGTTGCAGGGAAACGGCAAATTGGAGGCCGTGGTCGACCATGCGTTCCTGGATACGGTGAATGTCCTTGTAACTCGAGCCATATGTCCCTTGTCGGTTCTCGGTCCGTTGCGACGCATCACTGATCACGCGAGACAGCTTTCGCAGCCCCTGAGCATGCTCTTCTTCTAGCGATCCTCGCTTCTTCAAGAAAGTTGAGAAATCCTAGTATATCCAATGTCCCGTCAGCGCTTGCGATTGAGGTCGCGTTTGATTCGCGATTACATACCCTGGCGGAGGCCACGCTTTGCTTGAGTCGGGTCAAAAGGGTGGTAATTCCAATCTGTATGCGACAGAATCATTAGTCGCGGTTCACAGTGGGATTTTGCCTTGACATTGGCACTGTCGGGAGCAGCTCACATCGGAGTAAATGACCTTATCCAGACGAGCTTGTAGCTCATCTGAAATGGTCTCGGAGGCCTGGGGTCGCTCGCCGGCGGGAGACAAGCCAGCTGGCGCATCGTGCGCGGGATCCATAGTATCCGACATGTTGTGAATGCAAGATATCGGAGCCCTGGAGGAGTGTCAAGAACTATTAATATCCGTGGGGTTTAGGGGCGGGTCTGAATACTGCTGCCTTTCTGCCGGTTCACCTTGGGCAACAAACGTAATGTCCGCCTCAGCCACAGTGGGTCTCTCCACGTACTGTACGACTATACCGGTATTGATCTGTCTACATACGGAGTACTTCGTATACCTCTAGGTATGGAGTATATCTGTTGACTCGGAGTATAAGGTATTTTATATTTATCTCTATGGCGTCGCTCTAAACCTTGGAACCAGGGTACGCTTGAGTTCAATTCCAACGGCCGGATGCGGACATATATACTTCAGCTGTCCAGAATTGAGTGTGGACAGACAACCCTCCAAGATTGGAAAGACTTCAGCCATAGAAAACGATGGGTGTAACCTTGAAGCTGATATTCCATTTTAGCAGATAGCTTGTTCAATCCCGAAGCACCAGCTCAGAGCCTGTTCAAGGGTTGAGTCCCCACTCCTTGAATCTCGGGATAGATTGGGATTGACTGCCATGCTCACAGCGGAGAGTCCACACGCCACCCGTGGACTGTGGATTGAAATCACATCTGATCGTGATATTGATCGCCATCATCCGAGTTCGATACTGGACATGGTGTCGAGGCAATCATCCAACTCTAAGTCTCCAGTTTTTGATCAGCATCAACTCCAGCCATGTGATGTGCGTTATACCAGCATCATGCAACACCCATAGCTCCTCCAGGAGATCGATAACCCACAAAGTCGGCACCAGACGGTTCGTGGAATACACTGCATTCAGCCTCTGCCGGACACCATTGCGCTCTTCTATATCAAACGATGTCATTTCTGCCCCAGCACTCAACAGAGGGATTGCGTGGAGATTCAGACAAGGCGAGTCAGGCGGAGTCTGCAAGATGAGATCAATGACTTCCAGCGCAAGCTGGCGCGTGTAAGTTGAAACGGCCATCGGTTCAAGAATCCCCGGGCTAGATATTCCTGGCTTCCCGCAAAAGCGGTACAGTAAAAGCAGACCGTGCTTGCGGAAAGCTTCAGTGAGCAATCTTGCCGCGGGATCACACTCAATAGACGTGTAAGAATGGAGGCTTGTCTCAGTTTCTGCTTCATACTCAAGATTCCGGTCCCCACTTTCTACCACCAGTCTGCAGTACCGACCAAGCTGCCCAAGAAGGTGGTACAAATCTATGGAGTGGGCGGTTATGGCGTGAAAATTATTGCGAGCTTGCCGTGCGTATGAATTGATCGAATCCACTTGATTGACTGGGTGGTCCGCAGGATCGAGGCAAAATGAACAAGCCATATCCCAGTAGACATAGATTCCCATGTTGAGGTGGTCCAATTCGGTGATTTGCGAATCATTTTTCTCAACGACCATCTCCGCTACAGTTCGGGCGGCCAGAAGATGCTCCCTGCCGTAGTCATCTGGGCCCATCGTTATCCACGACGAGGACATGCCCAACATCAGTAGAGCAAGGAAAGAATGTGACAAGGACCCACTGGTCTGCAGCTCCATCCGCAAGGAAGCCAATGCCTTGCTCCGCTCCTCTAGACTAGTCGACATGTTGGACTGTTGAAAATATTGTTCGTGTGCAGCGCTTACGCCTTGAAGAACATAGACCAGAGAAGGCGACGTGGAGACATATTTGAGAATTGGGAATGAGAACGGATTGTTGCTTGGGTCTAGTGCCAGTATTTGGCTCATTCCTTCGAGCCAATATCGCATTAATCGAGAATCAACTTTGGCGGTTGTCTTGAGGGTTATGAAAGTCTTGCTTTGACCAGGATCTCCCAGCCAAGGAACTTCGAGCCGCCATTGTGATGCGCGGAGGGCAGGCTGGCACACGGAGCCGCGCCGTTGGCATCTTTTGCATACGGGGAACGTCTCGTCACACTTGACCTTTCGTTGTCGGCACTCGCGGCAGCCCAAGTGACTTCGTTGGTGGGTGGGTGATGAGTTGTCGAGAGAGTTTGGCTCGGTCCTCGGCCCTGACTCGGTGTTGTGTAGAATCCCCACTTGCGGGGCAAATCGAACTCGAAATGGGGGCATTCCAGGATGGATGCAAAGGGTCGTTGACTTAGGAGTATGTGCGTCCTAATTGCAATTTTGAGTGATGTAGCGTTGGGAAGTCGTTACAGTTCCAAAGTCGGGTGGACGATGTATGTACCCGTGGACCTAGGTACCTACCTAGGTAGGTACACATAGCGGAGATAATGGACCCGATACTCCAGGGCTGTGGGGAAGATATCAACGAGTTGAAGAAACAACCAATAGCAACTTGTGTCGACTTGCCCTTTCCAGCAATTATGCGAGCTTCGGGATAAGATCACCATCTCCACCTCTCCAGCAACTTGGTTCTTATCAGAGCTGGGGGATCTGTCTCATTCTCATGTGGGGTCTAAAGAGGAATGGACGTCAATCCCCAGATGGATAGTCGGTGGTGTCTCCCGTTGATCACCTCGGGAGGCCTTGCCGATGCGTACCCCATTTGAGCATTGACTTCCGCCAGCATCAATCTTCCCCGCCAAACAGTCTACATATAAGAGATCACTCGCTATTGCTTCCCCATACTGCATATCTTCCAAGGCTGAATCGTGATTTGTGACCCCACTATGACTGAGACATCCATTCAATTCCTGGATAACCCCACTGTCTTGGATCTACTGATCAACCTCTCTCGAGAGGAAGCAGTTGGGCTTCGGCGAGTGGTCGAGCAAACATTCCAAGATTTCTCCGTCGGGGGTGAGCGTCAGTATCAACCTGCGCCGAGTTTTGTCAATCGCCCCAACGGCCATACTGCTCTGTTCAGACCTTTCACATCGAACGAGAGTGTTGGAACCAAAATAATCGCTCAGTCTACCCCCGGGCCCGATGGCAATAAATGTGACATTAGCGGTGTTATCGTGCTGTGCGATGTGAAAGGTACTCCAACGGGGATCCTTAGCTCCGAGGAAGTGACGGGCTACCGTACTTCGATGAACGCGATGGTCCCATTTTCGTGGAGGAAACATGTTGGCAAGATTGTGATCTTCGGAAGTGGTATGCAGGCTCTTTGGCATACTCGGTTAATCCTCACGCTGCGGGGATCGGAAGTGAAGGCCATCACCTATGTCAGCTCGGGAAAACAGCGAGTTGATGATTTGATTGCCAAAGTCTCGGCGGAGAATGAAGCTCGCTGGAAGTCTGGCTGTTCTTTCCAGTTCATCGACTCTACAACTTCCGACTTTCAACAAAATATCATGACTTCTTTGCAATCTGTGGACTGCATATTCTGCACCACGCCTTCCAAGAAGCCTCTATTCCCAGCCAGCTATTTGGCAGGAAGAGATGGTCATCGGCCTTTCATCTCCGCTGTTGGCTCTTGGCAGTCTGATATGATCGAGGTGCACCCTGAACTACTTCAACTTGCTGTTGCGCCCAATGCTGGTTACAATCCAATTAGCGAAAACGAAGACGGTGTCATCCTTGTTGACGACCGCGAGTTTGGCCTTGCTCATTGCGGAGAGCTACTTCAGGCCAAAATCGCCGCGAAAGATGTTGTGGAGCTTGGTGAAATCATATCCTTGACAGCTGCGCAGGAAACTAATGAATCCACGAAGAAAATTGAAAAGACCAAGCATTTCATTTCAGAGGGCTTTGTCATTTATAAAAGTGTGGGTGTGAGTCTTACAGATTTGACTGTGAGCAACGCTATTCTTCAATTGGCCAAGAAAAAATGGGGGTAATTGAGTCGCTCTTTAATACTTTGGGTCCAATGAAGAAACATCTGGGCCTTGCGTCGCGCCATACTCATCGCACTCAGGCCCACCGAAAGAGGCTGGTCAAAGTTTACGATCATACCTAGTATACACAATCCAAAGCACTCCGTACGTGATCAAATATAAGCATGATCCAAATCCAGTATACTAGGGCTGTCCTTGAACATACAAGCAATCAGAGCTATTATTATCTAGCGTTAGATCACGGATTCTAGGAAGTTGAGCGCTTATAGAGGAGTGATACCTAGGTAGGTACCTAGGTACAAGTATTGATCAAGCTGCCTCCTTCGCTATGGAATTGAGAACCAAGTACTAACTCACAGCTTAGCTGCAGGGAACAAAATCTCTTCCACTAAATCCCTCGCTGCGCGTGCAGCCCCAAAGCTGAATATGTATCCACCACCCGCAACTCCTAGTAAAGAAGTGGTTAGCTGGTGGAAAACTTCAAGCCTCAATACTATGTTTTGTTGGACCTACCGTATGCATGTACTATCTTTTGTCCCGTGCGAACCTCCTTCTCGACACGGATGCCAGATGTCCGAGAAGGTCGAAGCCCCACATTATGTCCAATAATGCGGTGATGGGACGGATCCGCCGAGAAGTGTCCCGGTAAGTACTTGTTGACTCTTTGAAGGATCTAAGATCTTGTCAGTATTTCCATCGACCACCACACGGCCTCAGCTCACATCTTGTACAATGTTCCAGTCAACGTCGGGCGAGCTGTTTAACATGTGAGCCCTAACAGCTAGATCATCCCAAATCAAGACAGGACTTACATAGTGTCTTTTTGCCTCGTGCCACCCAGAATGACCGTTCCATCCAGCCGAGGTAGCACATACGTATATGTCCTACCGGTGTCGTACATGAATATCTTGTTGTAGTTGCTCTCGACAACCATCGTCTGGCCTCGAACCATTTCAACATCCATATCTTGGACATCTTTGAGCTTGAGAGATCCAAAGCCACTAGCATTGATCAGAACGTCATGGCCCAGATCACGGGCATCAGACAGGGATTCAAGGCTCATGCGCTTGAATTTGACGCCTGTGTTCTCGAGCAGTTTCCTCATCCATGGTAAAAAGATAGCAGGGCTCAGAATGAGAGATTTGTCTGAGCTGTGCGTTAGCTTTAATCATGGAAATTTAGTAGAAGACACACAAGATGTTCCAACCTTCGCGCCTTTTGGAAGAGCTTCCCAGGGCAAAAAGCGAAACTAGAATATGAACATCAGTGTCTTGCACACCATGACATGACAGGTGTATGGTCCACTCACCTCTGGCATGTAATCCTTCCACCATATATCTGCCTCGGTCTTATCCTCATGGAAATCCTCAACCGTAATTTGCTTAATACTCGACTCCGGATACGCGATGCTCCAGCGCCACAGTTCAGCGAATGCGTCAAGCTGCATTTTTGCTTCGCGGGAGGAGAAGCAGCCTCCGGCAATGAAGCTGGCACCTGCCCACGGGCTCGCCCATTCAATGGTGGGCTCGTCGCCAGGCAGATTCTTCGCGACAATTGTGACTTGGTGATTGCGCGAGAGAATGGATGCAGTCGCCATCCCGATTATTCTAAATGAAATCAATATTTCACACTCAACAATTCACTTCAGAGTCTGGGAAGCCCGTCCATGCGGTTTCAACGTACCCTGCTCCGACAATGGTAATTTGGGCCATCTTTTGCTGTGAGAGATAGATCTTGGGATGAGTGATAGCACATCTTCCATGATGAATGCAATGGCTCTTTTAAATCGTAGACCATGGTAAACTTGGAATGTATCTCCTGCTATCATGCACATCTGCGGGGTGCTACCTATCGGATGCCAGTCCGACTTTATCTGCCAATGCAAGAACGCGGGGAAAGTGATGATGGTATGTATTTCCGATCCACAATTCTCGCTAAATGTCCATTCTAGGTAGGAACTTGGAAACTCGGACGATGCAAAGATAAGATCGGTGGATGACACGGGTCGTGAGTAGGTACACTGGGGCACACATTGTGAACATCGATCATCCATGAATATCACCTGGGCACAGTTTTGGAGGAAAATCCTGCCTAGGACGAGATGGATTTTAGGTCTGAACTCCGGAAGGTGTACAAATCGTGTTCTCCAACGATTCGTTACGCACAAAATCTTAACCTGAGCCGTTTGGACGATGATGTGCATGTATATATCACCCCGGACAACCTTGGAAGTTAGGACTCGTTGATCTTGCAGTTTTAAGAGGTAACGACACTTCATTAATTGTTTTTTTTTTCTCTAAATTTAGAGAATAAAAGTTGTTTCGGATATTGCTATGAAGTATGGACTGTCTGGATCCCATGAGAACGACCCCATACAGCCATGATCACAACAGGTCTAAGGATCTATCAGAACAATTTGAGAGATTTCAAAAAAAAAAGGAGAAAGAAGTCTCTTGCATTGAATATATGATCGAAATTTCCCTCTGAAACTAGAAAGTTAAACAACTTAGGGCACGACACTGAAGCCCCAGGCCATCAAGCCTTCATTTGAAACAATGGATCTCCCAGAAGACCCAAATCAATCTCCCCATGCCCATTCCCAGCAATCTCATTGCAACTGATTTTGCCATCATTCCCCATTCTAGATATCTCAGCGATCATCGGATGAGTCCATTCAGCGAAAAGGTCAACTGCACGCAAGCGATTCGGCGGCGTAGAAGCAGCCATCTGCAAATTTTGCGCAGTAGTCAGCGCACACCCCCAGGTATCATCAATAACCACCATCATATCAAGTGCAACTGCAGCATCGCGCAAGGTCCGTGCCTTGGTAAACCCGCCCACTCGGGAGATCTTGATATTGACACCCGTGATACCTCCAGCGTGGGCCGCGACCAGATCCGCCATGGTGAAAATACACTCGTCCAGAGTAATTGGCAATGCTGTGCGGCGACCAACTTCGATACAATCAGACATGAGTCGACATGGTTGCTCGAGCGGCACGGCGAGATCTTGCCCTAATGCCCGGGCGAACTTGAGAGCTTGGTCGAGAGTCCATCCGGCATTTGCATCTGCCCAGACTTCGATTCCGTCCGGGATAGCTTCGCGGATAGCTTTGACCCTTCGTGCATCGCTTGATGGGTCATCGCCAACTTTGAGTTGCAAGGCTTTCACCCCATTCGACACTTCGTCGCGCGCCTTCTGAACCGCAATCTCGGGCTCGACAACGCCAATCACCGAAAATGCCGGTACTTTGTCTCCAATTTTTCCGCCCAGGAGAACGGCGGTGGGCAGTTGCATGGATTTACCCATTATATCCCAGCAGGCTACGTCTAAGACTGACTTGGCCGCTGTTCCTGCCACCATGACTCGATCCATGGCGGCGTTGATCGATCCCGTGGAGCGAGGGTCTAGACCCAGGATTGCTGGGCCTAGCTCTTTCAGAGCAGCGATCTCGCTCGCAAACGAATTTGGCAAGTATGTACTGCCAAGGGGCGCTGTTTCGGCCCAGCCCTCGATGCCATCGTCGGTGCGAAGCTGAACCACAATGGATGGTTCGCCAAGGGAGACCCGTCCACCAGACATGGTGTATGTTCCCTTAGAGTATTTGGCATCGTAAGTGAAAACGGAAATGTCGGTGATCTGCATGATGGTCTTGATCGCTGGTTTAGTAGACTCGAAGGCCGAGTATGGGAAGTGTACACTTACGTGACTTTAAGTCTGAAGCTTTGAGATTGTTTGGTTATTCTCCCGCTTTGGACTTTAGAGAAAGAGCGTTAGACTCCCGAGTCTATCTGGTATGATTTGTCTTTCTAAGGTGCCAGCCTCAAACCCCTCATCATCGACGATTTATATAAAGCATGCTTATCAAATGCCACCGGGACAGCAGCCGTAGGCGCATCGGACAGAGCAGCCGGTTTGGTTTAGGGTTTTAGTTTGACAGTCCCTTGCCATCAGAAGAAGTTGCAGCACTCAATACGATCTGACTCGCTAATTCGCCCAAATAGGAAATAGTTATCATGCGGGGAATCTGAAGGCCAAGCTTGTTTCTGTCTTTGGACGGAAAAAGGAGAGCATATGTGACCCTCCAAGGATAACAAGGCATATGTCGCATAGATACATGCCTTGTATGCATCAAAACCCAAGCCAGTGAGAAAAGCCCTTAAATAGTGCGCTGGCCGCGGATTTTGATAACTGATTTGGGTCGAATATCCATATTGCATCCCTATTAACGATTTAGCTGCCCTTCTGTGAACATGTCCGAAAATCCGAAGCAAGAAGATTTGGAAGGTCTTAAGCACTCCCCACCACAGCTCGCCTCATACCAGGATGTGCATGCGGACGCCGTGTTTGGGGATATCACCGATGATGGTCCAAACTACCGTAGTGTGAGTTGATGGAGCCTCACTTGCACTTATCAAACAATGAAACTAAATCAGCTCGCTTCAGCTGGGATGGTTCGCTACTGCCATCCTCATGACCAAAACCATGATAGGACTAGGCGTCATGTCGATTCCTGCGGCATTCGACGTCCTCGGTCTTGTTCCAGGAACTCTCTGCCTCTTGGCTGTTGCAACAATCACCATCTGGTCAATGTTTGTGGTTGGAACATTCAAGCTCAACCACCCCGAGGTGTACGCTATTGACGATGTCGGCTACAAATTCTTTGGCACCCCCGGACGGGTCTTCTTCGGTGCGACATTTTGTATTTGTAAGTGCTCACTTCCTTTATTCATTAGTTCCGAGCCCGAGGCTGATACTGCATTGGATTGGATATTCGTTTCTGGGTCTGGTCTGCTCAGTATTTCAATAGCTTTGAATGCCATTTCGATGCACGGCACTTGCACGTCGGTTTTCGTTGCGGTTGCAGCTATTGTGACATTTTGTCTAGCGAGTGTTCGCACTCTGGGTCGCATGAGCTGGGTTGCGTGGGGTGGTCTCATAAGTATTCTGTCTTCTAGTGAGTCTGGCGACTGTCTAGTCTTGCAGTCTGCTAATCAATTGATGGCTCTCTAGTCCTCACCCTTACTATTGCCGTCGGTGTTCAGGACCGACCTGTAAGTGCGCCGCAGACGGGTCCCTGGAAGTCAGACTATGAGCTGTTCAAAAAGCCCTCCTTTCTGGAGGCTGTCTCAGCAATCTCCACTATGATCTTTGCATACGCGGGCACGAGTGCATTCTTCGCTATTGTGGCGGAGATGCGTGAGCCTCGGCACTATGCTCGGTCTCTGACCATATGTCAATCCATTGTGACAGCGACATTTCTCACCATCGGTGTTGTGGTGTATTGCTATTGTGGATCGTATGTGGCATCCCCGGCCTTGGGATCTGCTGGAGCGCTGTTGAAAAAGGTCACTTATGGCCTTGCGATTCCGGGCCTTCTTGCATCGACAATCATTCTCTCTCATGTGAGTCTCCGCCGGTGTACTTAAAACATGCTGGAAGCTAAGATCGGGCAACCAGTTGTCAAGTAAATTTGTCTTCGTTCGTCTACTTCAGGGTAGCGAGCATCTCACAGCGAATACTCCGCGTCATTGGATCACTTGGCTCAGCTGCACGTTTGGTGCCACGATCATCGCATATATCATCGCAAGTGCTATTCCCTCATTCAACAGTCTGGTCTCGCTGGTCGGGGCACTTCTGGGCACGCTGATGTCCTTCCAACCGATGGGGGGTATGTGGCTTTATGACAATTGGGGCCGGAAAAGGGACGAGAAAAAGCTGACCTGGTACCTCATGGTCTGCTGGAGCATCTTCGTGATCATCCTGGGCACCTTTCTGATGATATCTGGGACTTATGGTGCGGTGGTTGAAATAATCGATGGCTACAAAGACTCTGGGGGCTCAGCAGCATGGTCATGCGCAGACAATTCCAACTCGGTATAATCTCCAAGCAGCCAATTTCTGGTTAGACCCAGCATTGACGCACACAATTCACTTTTATTCGCATGGTATCGTCGCTGGAAATCAACTAATCTGTACAAACAGCCTGATCGAGTGTTCTGCTCAATTTATAAAATTGGCGGTGCAACGAAAGAGTCAGGGATGCCATCGAAGACCCAATTGAGAGAGTCGAAGACCTCCGAAAAGCCGGCCTCACTGAAGAAAGCGCCGCCTTCGTCAAACTGAGCCGGCATCAGCAAAGATGTATCCTCCAGGGAGCTATCTTGCGGCCGGTTCATGTGTCCTGACGGTCCAATTATGTCTTGATTGGCAGCGATGGCGGCAGCTGAGGGAAAATTAGTACGGAAGCGATTGGATGGAAAGTGTGCTAGCTTACCTTGCATTTCTTCCAGGCTTTTCACGGGTCGGAACCGCTGTCGCCAACGCCACACAGTGTCGTAGACATGGCTCATGCTCATCCGACAGCGAACCTTGAGCTGTAAGGCATCTTCCTCGGCGGGTTCTGTATTGGTCGCATTCCACATCTGGGCAAGAATGTCCGCGAGGCGAATGGGGCGGTCATGATCCATGACACTGATGCGGCGAATGGCTGAAATTGCACCATTGAACAGTAGCTTGCCATGGTCGAAATTGATAAAACGACTGAAACTGCTCCTCAGCAATTTCATGAGGGCGAAAGCGGCTGAGACGATCATCTGAAGGATGTAGTTGGTAGAATGACCAATGAGTTCTCCTGGGGAAGTTTCGAGATCTAGAACCCGGCCCAGGAAGGACGTGGTTGCAGTGTAGAGTTTCATGAGATCATCTGTTCGCGCATTGGAGCCCAAAAACATAAAGTATCGGAAATGTAGCTCGGCAGCACGGAGATGGATCATATTGATCGCTGGAGGAGTGTAAGTCAGATGAAAGGCAGGAGGAGATTCCAGTAACTGACCAGAAATGCCACTGCCAACGTCGGCCTCCATTTCTTGTAACTCAAGTTCCAAGATTTGCACGACTACGAGCTTATCGGCGCTGAAAAGCTCTGCGGGCTCTGGTTTACTACTATACAACGCCTTGGTCACTCTGTCGCAGAACTTTTCGATTCGCAGTCGAATGGCCAAGTCGTCTGGAAGTCGATAATCGGCGTCTCTCAGCGAAGCAGGCTCCAAGGCCCAATCGTACATTGTGCTTGGGGGTTGACCGTAGCCGGTCGCAACACTACCAGCGATGTTAGCCAGGCGCCAAGTAGAAAATTCGGAAGGGGAGACTCACTTCTGCGCGACGACGTTGCATATGACCCAGGTATGGAGCCGGTCTTTGAGAGCTTCGCCTTGCACTTCCATGCGGAAGGTGGTGAACTCTTCCGCTTGTACCGGTCGGTGTAGTCCGAGTTGCATGGCAATCTGCATCATCAAACCACTGAGCATGAAGGTTGCATCGGTACGCTGGCTGGTTGTTGGCAAGGGCCAAGTACATAGAACACAAAGAGCCTTGACCACCCGGTAGTCCTGTGGGACACTGGTGATAGTAGACCAAAGCAGCCTGCTGAACGGTCCGGATAGTGCACTGAGAAGCCCAGGCTCATGCTGAGAGCGTCGGCTGGCGACACAAATAATGGTCCACGCCAAAAGTGGGCAACGATTCAGATACACCTCTGGGGGCTTGGGGGGATTCAAAAGAGGAAGAAATGGGTGATAATAGGTGAAGTATCTAGGTTCGCTTCTGTTAGTAGTGAGAAATTGACCGAAATGGAAACGATGCATACTGTTCGTATAGTCGGATGACTCGGTTTCGAGAGAGGGATATATCCTCTAGCCTCCATGAGCCCTCATCCTGTGAGATGATGGAGCCATCTCTTTTCATGGTCAAGGGAGTCGCTATGGCTGGATGTGGTTCCACAGGCACTGAGACGTGCCGCGATTGATCCACGGCAGTAGATTCGCGGCGCGAGAACACATCTTCTGAGCAATGCGACATAGCATCGGCTCCCTGGGGCTCATGCAGCTCTCCTGTCTGCTCATGGTCTGAGTGAGGGCCTAATCGGCGGCGAAGATCTGCGATCTCCTTTTCCATTTCTGCATTGCGCCTATGGACCGAGTCAACAAAGAGGCGCGCGGAACACCACGTGGGCAAACACCACAAATGTTTACCTTCTTTTTGAGATGCGCTTGAAAGACTGCTCGACTTTACAGTCAATACCTAGCCGGCGGCAGCGTGAACAAGCCGCCGCCGGGGTTTGCACAATATCACATCTCAGCTATACGAGGTTGAGACGTCAGCGCGGTTACGAGACCGGGCGTGGGAAAGAAGGAAAATAAATAGATCACCTTTTGCTGCTTACACTCATTGCAAGCTTTGCGGCTGCCACCTCGGCGCTTGCCCGTGACAGGCGGGGTCTTCTCCATCTCGCAAGATTCCGAGCTTCTCTGCATGAAATCAACAGCCGGTGGCCGGGGTAGTGTGGGGGACCGAAAGTCGGTCGGCGGGAGTGAATAATGTGGCCCATCCGGTGCCAGAATGTTCCGGTACCCCAAGTCCATCAAGATCAGCCTGCGTTCAGCCGGTATAAAACCGCATGAAACGTGAACGAGTGCGGAGTCCGTAAATCGGAGAAATCGGAATGGAGGATGTGGAGTGGAGGTTTCTGTTGATTTGCCGCGAGGTGGGCGGGCGACTCCCGAGACTCGGCGGTTGGCCTGAGGCAGACATTCTGGAACTATGGAACTTCTCACTGGGAGCACTCAAGTCACTGTTTGATCATCCTGGAGATGAGTATCAATACTGTGTAAGAAATGCTGCTTATTGCCGTCCGCCGTGATATTCGCCAGTACTCAATACGGAGTATGATACCTCTGCATATGCCCCATGCTATATACTAGACTCTAGAGTACCCCATACGGCAGACTAGTACATGTACGGAGTACTAGTACGAGCATCTAGGTACCGTAGAGTAGTTCTCCAAAGCTTCCATCATGCTAGAAGGTTGCAGACCTGCATATGGAGTACTCCAGGTTGTACTCGCCCCACTTGCCATGGACCGAGGTCGATGTGGATTAGGATTATATGATCCGCATTGGATGGGACTATTTAGCTATCATCCAAGTCTATACTTCCTCCAGTATCTCCCTCATCATGTCCGAAATCAACGTCACTGCAGTCCTCACCCCCAGGCCAGAGAAGTTTGAGGAGGTGAGTCTACCCGGTTCTACTCCGCACTCCCGCCCATCTAATCCATCATATCTAGGTGGCTCACCTCGTATCAGAGGTCATTCAACAGGTCCAGGAACACGAGCCCGACACCCTGCTGTATTACGCCTTCCAAATCAAAGACAAGAACGAGATTGTCATCGTTGAGAGGTCAGTCAAGTCGATAGGTGTCCCGCGCGAACAGACCGTGCCTCGGCACATTCTACCGCACCATCGCACCCCCCTGTCACACTGTCGCAATCGCAGACTGATCGCCCCCAGATACAAAAACCAATCAGCGGTCCAGACCCATATCAAGGCGCCGTACTTCCAATCGTTTGCGGGCCAAATCCCAGCGTTGCTCGCCAAGCCGTCGGAGCTGAGAGCTGGAGGCTTCCTGGGCGGCTCCCGAGGCGTGTCACGGTTGTAGGTGATCTCATCTAAACGTTCCGATATAAATAGGATGCATGCATAGGGAGTGATTCGGTAGTGAGTAAACGCCGCATGTCCACTCGTGATTGAATTGTCATGCGATTGGTGCATGAACGCTGACCTGGAGGTCTGTGGTTAGGAGAAATTCAACCCTATCAGAAAGACCACGACGGCGTACAGTAGATCCAACGTGTATGTAGACGTGTGGAGACGGGAATTTAGAAATTCAATGTCACTGTTTATATTACGCTGCTTGGCTGGGAACTAGTGATCCGATCGTCTTTCCTTTTTTTTCTTCCCTTCTTACTCTGTCACCCTCTCTGTGTGTCTCTTTGCATCCTGTTTCCCTTCGAGGTGAGTGTTTTTAACTTGCTCCACACACCCCCTCTTTTCCCTAGCTCCAACCTCCCCTAGCTTCTTCCCCCTGAAGCCGAAGCTAAGATAATTTCCAGATACCCTTTCTGTCCGCGTTATCGTTGTTCCCCTTATCGTTAACCTCCCAGCCCCTGTGAGAAAGTCGGCTTCAGGGCTCTCCAATTCGATCACATTTCGCGCGAAACCATGGCCTCCGGTCCAGCGACTCAGTCCCTCAAGGTGCGCAATGTGAACCTCCATCAAGAATGCGCCGCTAATCCCTCTGGCAGTGTGTGGTGACCGGTGATGGTGCAGTTGGCAAAGTCAGTATTACCAACAACCCCCGATTCCTCCAGGGGAACTGGGATCTGTGGACTGGACTCTGACCTTGGCTTGCCCCTCTTAGACATGTCTTCTGATCTCTTATACAACAAATGCCTTCCCCGGAGAATACATTCCTACTGTGTTCGTGCCCACCTCTGCCCCTCACTGGAAACTCTATCGCGACCCGGACACTGACCCCTGTGTAGCTTCGACAATTACACGGCTAGTGTGATGGTGGACGGTCGGCCCATCAGCTTGGGACTGTGGGATACCGCCGGACAAGAAGATTACGACCGCCTCAGACCGCTCTCCTATCCTCAAACCGATGTATTCCTGATTTGCTTCTCCATCGTCAGCCCACCATCCTTCGATAACGTCAAAGCGAAGGTAGGATTTGATCAGACCACTTCAGCCCCCACCCTACTGACAAAACGTGCTAGTGGTTCCCTGAAATCGAACATCACGCCCCCAATGTCCCCATCATCCTTGTTGGAACCAAGCTCGACTTGAGAGATGATCGCGCCACCACGGAAGCCCTTCGCGCGCGCAAGATGGAGACCGTCTCCTACGAACAAGCCTTGGCTGTAGCCAAGGAGATTCGCGCACATAAGTACCTGGAGTGTTCGGCTCTGACACAACGCAACTTGAAGAGCGTTTTTGACGAAGCCATTCGGTAAGTCGGAGTGGTGCTTTTTTCCCGGTTGATCTCGTACTAATCGTTCAGGGCTGTTCTCAATCCTCGTCCCGCTACGAAATCCGGGAGGAAGGGAGTCAACAAATGCATGATCTTGTAGATGCCTTTGTTTGGCTGGACTCTCCCATTTTCTCGTATGCTATAACGAATAATATATAGTTAATACGGCGTCTGGGTAGTTAGAGGCTTTTTATTTCGCCAGCCTCTGTTTTGTGATGAAATCCATTGACCGTTTTTTTTTTGCTGGGACTGTACACTGCCTCTTGGCCGTTTCAATGTTGTTTTTCCTGGACGTTCTTTGCGACAACCTTTGGTCTTGCTTGCATCCATGAATACTAGCCCTGGCCCACAACCTTACATGAGATCCTTTTGAAAACTACATCCCGGGACACGTTCTGATAAAGAATAGAGCAATATGATTGGTATCTCCTAGCCAAGCGACATAGACAAGGTACTTTTGGAAACAAATGAAAAACTGATCGGGCGAATATCGTCATGCAGGGCTCTTGTCCGTTGCATTTTACTGTACAACGACATGCATTGGCAAAGAAAATCGTTTGCAAGAAGTGATCCAGCGACGCTGGTTTAGACACGGCCTCGGCGGCTAGGGTGCAGGCCAGCCCACTGGTCGTTGGGGTCGGCGGCACCGTCACCACCCATTGCGTTAGCGCCAGTAGGACCCTCAGGCTTCTTGTCGTACTTCTTCTTCTCCTTCTGGATTTCCTTGGCCTGGCGCTGGCGCTCCTCGTTGAGCTTCTCGTTCTTGGCCTGGATCTTTGCGTTGCGGTGCTCGGACTTGCCGCCGCCGCCGCCAGCACTAAAAAAAGTATCAGTACGTGTGTTAATTTTGCAGTTGGTCTCCCGGAACTCACGTCAACTCAATGTTCATGCGTCGAGGAGGGTACTTCTTGTCGTCGAACATGGAGTGGTGGTACAGCTTGAGACAGGTCTTCATGCGGTCGTAGTTGTCGAACTCAATGAAGGCGAAGCCACGGCACTTGTTCTTGGGGTCATCCTTGTTGGTTGCGACGCGGATTGTGGCAGGAGGGTTCTTCTCGAAGTGCTTGGCGAGAGACTCTTGGTTGGCAGAGTAGGGAAGGTTGCCTGTTACCAACATCAACATGGTCCTCAGATGTCCCAATTGGTTCTGCAGAGTAACTTACCGACAAAGCAGATGAAACGAGCACCCTTCTGGGACTGTTCGGCCTCGGCCTCAGCGGTCTCAGCAGCGGGCTGCTCTTGCGACTCGGCGGCGGACTCGGAGGTCTTCTCCTTCTTCTTCTCCTTCTTCTCCTTCTTTCCCTTCTTTTCCTTCTTCTCCTTCTTCTCCTTCTTCTCCTTCTTGTCGCCGTCCGCCTTCTCGGCCGGGGCCTCGTCGACATCCATGGCGTCCTCTGAAGCAGGAGTAGGCTCGGCTGCGTCCTCAGTGGCCTTGCGCTTCTTCTCCTTGCGCTCCTTCTTCTCCTTCTTGTCCTTCTCGGTCTTCTCGGCCTTCTTCTCCTTCTTGTCCTTCTTCTCCTTGACCTCCTTCACCTCTTCGGGGGCAGTCTCGACGGGTGCGACAACCTCGGACTCTTCGCGCGACTTGCGCTCTTCCTTCTTTTCCTTCTTTTCCTTCTTCTCCTTCTTGTCCTTCTTCTCCTTCTTCTCCTTCTTCATCTTCTTGCCCTCAGGCTCGACGACCTCATCCTGAACGAGCTTGCGCTTGTCGCCCATTGTGGTGTGTAGGTGGGATGAGTATGGGTAAAGAAGTGGGAGTGTTGTGATGGAAAGGGGACCTGATTGGGTATCGGTCCGGAGAGAGGTGAAAGCAGAAAGAAAGCAGTGGGGAAAGTGTGTAAAGCAACAAGACCAAAGCTCCAAAAAAATCGGGCGGAGAGAAAACTGAAATTAAATTTTTGCCGCGTGGTCAAAGGCGGTGAGTAGATTTGGCAATGATATGTCCCGATAAGCTCGGACCGATCGTCACTACGAACTACGGAGTACACCAGGGCAGAGTGCTGAATATGGCTTGTATCTTGTACACCATGCAATTTGATTTCGGGTTTCAAGTATTTATTAAGAGACCCTCAATGACCGAAGCCCTGAAATGATACAATATTTCGTTATCCATACTCGATATGGTCAATCAAAACACCAGGATCTTCACGCCCTTCTTGGATGCTCCATAGCGATCGCGCAGTTCCGGCCGAGTAAGCAGCTTCAGAAGAGGCATGTGCGTTTCCTTCATATCGAAGATTCCACGCTGCTTCTGGTCAATGTGCGATCCATCAATGACGATGCGCTCCAATTCGTCCAACTTGAGAGTTCCTGGTAACGGTCAGCACATTCTCCGAGTGTGATATTTATCAATAGATTCAACTTACCAGACTCAATCAAATCAGACACTCTGGTAGGAGTTCCGGCTCCAATACCAGACCGTGCGCGTGTAAGGAACTGTTTGGCCTCCTCCAACTTGATGTGCTTGGCGAAAAGTTTGCCAACAATACTTTCCTTGGTCTGGAAAGATCGAAGTGCTCTGCGGTCATATTAGCTAATGTCTCGAGGCAACATTGCACAAGCATTGACTTACCGAACAACATCGGCAGCTCGCAGGGCAGCGCCGGAGATGACAAGTGTGTGAGGAGTTCCATTCTTCTCGGACGCCTTAGATAGATCTGCGCCCTTAGGGCTGAATGACTTCAAGAATTCTGGCAGCTGCTCGAGCTTTCTGGTGGAGGTGAAGGAGGAGGTATCGAGGAATGCGGAATCTTTAGATTGGTTTGATCAATATCCGTTGTTTGACGATGTTGTATTCAGAGGGTAAGTACCTGGGACTGATAGATCGCTCAATTCCACAGCAGACAGCTCTTTTTCATGTCGCTTGGCCTTTTGCGCAAAGTGATCGCCCAGTAGCCGGCCGTCCATTTTGCCAATTGATTCGTCAATGCCATCCTTGCGCGAGGACTGCTCTCCATCTTGATCGGCCTGCTTCTTCTTGTTCTTGTTTTTCTTTTGCTTCTTTTTGGTAGTTCCCTCGGCGGGTGTACCTGCGGCTTCGGGCTTTTCCTGCTGGGGTGCAGCCTCGTCGGCTTGCCTCTTGCGCTTGTTTTGAATTTTGGCCGAAAGACCCTTGGGGGCGTTGGTATCAGTCATTGTGATCGAAGCGATTTCGGGAAAACAATTCGGAGGCTTTCACTTCATGTAAGAAATCCAGGTCGCATCGGAACTAGACCTCTGCGAAAAAAAAGTTGCTGAATCATCATTTCTTATCGACCGCGATAACGGTGACCCGCAGTTGTTGTTTCTAGACGCGACGGACAAACATCGACTTGAACACTCCGTACTGCATTCATTGTCAGATCAATTCGACTCAGCTCGTCATAACTGCAGCGCCTACACATGCAGTCTGATATATCTCGGCTGATTTAGGAGTATTGCCCCTGCGCAACTCAATCATGTCTACTTCGACCCCAAACACGCGTGGTCGTCGGTCGCCTTTTACCCCGGCCGGAGAGACCAAATTGACAGGGGTAAGGCTGAGCGCCCCTTGACGGTTAGAAATCGGCTAATCGACTTTCTGAAGCTTCAACGCCTTCCTGGCCATACACGCTATCCGCTCACACCTAGCCGGCTTGTCACCGCAGCGACCCCGGGCACCCAGCGATCAGCCTCTAGATACACACCTCGTGCCCGAGGTGCGGGGGCACCATCGACACCACATGGACTTCGCGCCCGTCAACAACGAGCTGCGAACACCCCTGGTAGGGATCGCCGACGCAGCGGCCGCGCGCAACGAGAGACGACCTTTGATATCCTGAGAAATCTTGGAAAAGGTAGGCCGAATGTCTGATGAAAATAGAGCGGAACTTACTTTTTTCTAGCGCTCGCGCCCGTATCTCAGCCTATTCAGTCGTCACCCCAAGAACAACCCGAACCCGAAGAAGAGCCAGTCGATGAGTTCGAACAACTTGATAATGAACCCGTCATTGAACCACCGCGTTTGTCACTACCTCTTCAAGCCTCGTCCGAAGAGGGCGATGAGAATAGCCCTGAGATGCGTCCACCAAGAATGTCATTGGCGCTCGGGGAGGAGGATATGGACATGACCTATCAATCGGTCGAATACCCCCGCCGAGAGACAAGCATCCGAGACCGTGAGCGTTTGTCGATGATGAGTCGAGCCACTGGTAGAATCAGCGGTGATTTCGAGGAGACTCGATTGGAGAGTGACGATGCCGAGGATACGGGAGTTATTGGCCAGGGCGAGGAAGATACCATGATGAGTGGTGGTGATTTCGATCAGGGGTGGGTATACAAATGTTGGATTGTTTATGTTACAGTGCTAATATCACAAATAGGGGAGAGACGGAGGACCTCGGCCGATTTCACTTCGACCTCAATTTCCCATCTCCTGTTGCAGCTCCAGTTGATGATCCCATCGAAGGGGGTGACGATATGGAAGACTTTGCACTTTCTACCGCGGATATTCAGCCGGCTCCGGTAGAATCAGATGATGACGCTGGTGGTGATTTTGGATTTGGAATCGAGTTCCCACCGGCGGCATCTCCCAGCATGAGCCCTGGACTTGTGGGAGGAGGGCTGCGAGACCAGGAAGCCCCAGTACAGAGCAAGCAAAAGCAGATCTCACGTCACGGCATTCCTGTGCCAAACTTGCCTGCGGGTGTAGTCAAAAAGCTAGCCATGCGCTTCGCTCGTCCCAAAGCCGGCTCCAAAGCAAAGATCAACAAGGCCACACTGGCCGCTATCGAACAGGCATCCTCGTGGTACTTTGAGCAGGCCAGTCAGGATTTGGCTGCTTATTCAAAGCACGCCGGACGTAAGACCATTGACGAGAGCGACGTGACGACATTGTTGAAGAGGTCTGTTCCACCGTGCTAACCCTTGGAGCAAAGTTGCTAACCATCGCAGACAACGCCGTATTAACAAGTCAACGACGGTATTTTCACTCGCCCAGAAACATCTACCCAAAGAACTCCAGCAGGACATGAAAATGGCCATGCCACCATGAGTGCCCGTGGCTGAACTGTCCACAATAAAACAAACACCTTCAAACGCCAATATGCTCGAGAGAGATTCAACCGCCGAGGCATCTACCAGCTTCGGTTTTGGCGAACCCGACGCATTGCCTCGTTGGGATTCTTCCGGATAAGCATCCACATCATGATGGATGTGGCGAAAGACAGACCATACCTGCTAAATATGAGCATGTTTTCTCCATACCTGAACCATGGTCAACTTACCAGGTGAAGATGTACTGGGAATGGTTGTTTCTCAGCGTGACTTCGGCAGCGCGACCAATTGGAATGCCCTTGGCCGCGCGATCATACGACTCGACCAGGTCAGAAACTATACGATCATTATTAGCCATGCATATCCAATTATATGGACAATCGCATCCTTACTCATAGTTTGCTCAATCCAGATAGGCTCGCTCCCACTGTACTCGGCCATTTGCTTGAGATCGGGGAAGTAGAACTTTCCTTCCTCGGGCTTGTTATCAGGCGTAAACATGTTCTTTCCAGCAGGCACTCGTAGTAAACCCTCGACCACCACCTCTTCGTTTGTGGTGCCCAGTGGTCGGTCTTTCGGGTCTTTGAGCTTCTTAGAAATCCAGCCCCGGTTAACGAGCACAGTGCTGCCGCCCTCTCTCTCAAGCGGGGTGATGACGGTGAACCCATCCTCGCCTTCGTTCATGCGAGGACCAATGAGCATTTCCTTGTCATGGCGGAGACGGCCGGTAGCATAGACACGACGGTAGTCGAATTCTGAGATCGCCTCTGGGTCGACTCGCGGAGGCAGCGGAAGAGGGGGTTTCACAAGTCGGTCCTCGTATTTAGCAATCAGTTTGGTCTTCCAATCTAATCGCTGCACCTGCCATGTTCCCAGGATAAATGCAGTGATTGGAATCAGAGCTGTGGAGTAGGAAAGTTCATCAGCAATTGATTCCACCTGTGGACGCATGGGTCTCACCTAGAATGATCAAGCCGGGGCCGTGCTTCTGCTTGACGCGAACAAGCTTCGCAGGGTGGTCAACGATGTTCAAATTGTCGGCTAATTGGCGCGATTGCGAGATTTGGCGGAACTGCTGTACGCGGCATTTGGCGCAAATGGAATCCAGCTTCCCCGAAATGCCAAGGGGGCGAGCGCCCTGGACAGGCAATTTCCATGCCGCAGCTGTTTTGCGCAAAGATGAGAAGATCGGCCGCATTTTGGCAATCTGGTTTGTCCTGAACTGAGGTTGGTGAAAGCAAGGTCAACGGCAGATGGAATTTCGGGATCGGAGTTACTGTGACCGCCTAGGCTTCCCCCATGTTATACTTGTACTCTCCGCACCAGCTAACCTCCTCTTTTTCTGGGCAAGCTGTTGTTACAGTGATGCAATCATGACTTTTTTCTTTCAGGGATCCCTTCAGGAGGGAATTACTGCCGCTGTCAGCGAAACCAAAGCTGTCACTTGTTTCGTCCGAGGTCGGTAACTTTCTCCCCGCACCGAGTGCCATGCTGATCGGGGGCTTCGAATATAGATGAGGAAGAATTGAGTTCTGCATGGGAAGACGCCTATTTTGGGGATAATGAAGTATGCGTACCCACCATGATCGGACAGTACTGGTATCTGACCTAAGCAGGTTGCGCAAGCACTCAACGCCAAAGCGGTTGTACTGCGCTTGACCGCAGGGTCTCAGGAAGCCGGGTTCCTAGCTTCATTCTGTCCAGTCTCGAAGTTTCCTACTGTTGTCCTCATCAAGTATGCCCCGCCAACCCGCTGGCTTGCGTAGATGGGCTCCTGGCTGACATTACGCCAGGAATGGCACTTTGAAGGAGTACATCGGGCCAGATATCTCAATAGATGACTTCCGCAGTCGATTGATTGCGGCTTTGGACGACCAAGTGTCACCCACACCCACATCAGAGTCAGTGAGCAATAGTGCTCCTCAGATCTCATCAACTGCTACTGCACCTGTGCCAGACACACAGCCCTCGCCCAAGGTGGAAACAAAGGCCAACCAATCTACTCAATTCACAAAACAGCCAGATCAAGCTCCAGTCAAGAGTCAGAAGCAGCCTGCAAAGACTTTGCCCAAAGACACGAAATCATCAAATACGATAGGCTCTAAACCACAGAGTGGACCCAAAGAACCCAAACTTGATAAGGGCAAAGCACCAATGGGAGTCAAGAAACCTGCAAGCGCTACGAAGACTACAGCTCCTGCTATGGAACCAGAGCCTAAACCAAAGGTCCCTCGAGGACCACCATCTGAATACCGGTTGCAGGTGCGCCTATTCGATGGAAGGTCGGTTCGGTCCAGCTTCGCACCTACCCAAAGTATCAGAAATGATGTCCGACCGTGGCTTGACCAGCAGATGGAAGAAGACAACCGACCATACAACCTCAAGCATATTGTGAACCCACTCCCTAGTCAAACACTATCTGTGTCCCAGGAGTCTCAACATCTTCGGGACCTGGGTATCGGCTCTACGGCAAACCTAGTGATGGTCCCTGTGTCTACTTACACTGAGGCTTACTCCGCCGCAGGCAGTCTACCTGTCCGTGGTATCTCTGCTGTCTACAACCTGGCATCTTCCGCCGCCACCACCGCGACAGGTCTGGTTGGCTCATTCCTGGGATATGGCTCAAGTGCGACGGTGCCTGAATCTACATCCCCATCTGAAGCATCCAATGCTACCCAGCGTCCCCGGCCCTCGGGGCCTAACATTAGAACGCTGAGGGATCAGCAAGATGCACGTGGGAATAGCCAACTTTACAATGGTAATCAGGTTCGTATTCCTTTCAAGGGTTGTGAGTTGCTCGTGGGGCATTTGCTAACATGGTTTGTTCGCAGTTGAACTTTGAACCGCGAAAGAAGCAGGACAAGGAGAAATGAGTGACCCAGAGGGGACCTGTCTACTTGGCTAACCATTGGTGCACTTAGTTAGATCTTGTATTTCTTCAACCCAGCGTTTTGTACAATGGCATCATGAATGTGTTTTTTTATTCTCTCCTATCTTTTGAATTTACATGACTACATACTTCAGGATCTACCTAGGTAGGAATCTAGGTAGCGATATCATATATCCAACTCAGACCTGGCAGGCCGAGTATCATATCTTAGCGACATAAGACTACACCCGATCAATGGATGGCCCCTGCGGTAACCAACCAATTCATCGGTTCACTAGTTCATTCAAAATTATATGAAAGGCCTTTACAGGGAGGCAAGGAGATGATTCCAGCCCTTGGGCTGTGATTCGATGCCAGGTGCGCTCAAACCAATACCTACCTAGGTACCTAGGTAGGTATGTAGGTACTCTTTGGTTCTGCTTTACAGAAGCGCATCAGATTGCGGGGAGCGGTGGCATCCATCATTGGAACCATGAGAGATGAGTGCTACATGACTTGGTTGCAAGATAATATGGATGCGAGAGATCGTACATTCAATTGCTGATTTGGTTGTCAAACATTGTTTTCCTTGTGAGGAGAGATGGTATTTAGTACAAAAAGGCGATATTGAAATCGCTATGCAAAAGAGGGCTGTCTATCAAAAAAAAAAGTCTGAAGATTCCCATCATTATTACTAGAAATGACTTTATCTGTGTTCCAGAACTAAGCCCTTAGTAAGGCTTAGCGGCAGCCTGGCAAGCCTTGAGCTGGTCGAGGTACCAGCCGCAGATGCCGAGGTTGCCCTGGTTCTCGTCCATGCAGTTGCGGAAGTTGCGGACATCGACCTCACAGGCAGGGTTCTCGTAAGAGCTCTGGGAGGCGTTGCTCTGGTAGAGGCCGTTGTCCATGGGCTGAGCCTGAGCGGGGGGAGCCTGCTGGGCCTCGGCGGGGGCGCTGGAGCCACCGCCGAAGAAGCCGCCGATGGCGTGGCCGATGGAGGAACCGACGGCAACACCGCTATACAGGAACAAAAGTTAGCACATCTATCGGAAAAGTTGAACTCGACCCCGGATTTTATCGGAGCAAAGCCCACACCGCCGGGTAGGAAACTTACGCTGCGGTTGAGGCCATCTGACCGAACAGACCAGGGCCGGCGCTCTGCTGGGGCATGGCAGGAGCTTGCTGGGGCTGAGGAGGGTGGGCGGCAGTCGAGTGAGGCTGCGACTGCTGCTGGGAGGGAGCGGCCGCGGGCCGAGCAGGAGCGGCCGTAGGGCGGGAGGGAGCGCTACGCGCAGGGGTAGGGGCGGCACCACGGCGTTGACGAGGCATGATGATTATGTGAGGTTGTTGGTTGACGGAAGTTGGAGGATATGCAGGTATAAGTATGAAATCGAGTGGAGAAAGAAGAAGCTAGAAGATCAATAAGTTCGGCGAGTGAGGCAAACTCCGATGCAAATTCTGTGGCTTTTGATTGGCGCCCTGGACCCGCAATGAGTCACGTGATAGATATCACGGGTTTCGCGGAGTCAGGAACGGAGTTTAGACTCGGGAGTTTACAACGGATCTATGACTTGTGCACTAGGTGGAATCGGATATTGGCTATGTCATGGCGAGTTATCTCTACCTGGTTCTGTGATCTTCGAATCCCTCAACATGAAATTGACCAATTTGTGTCAAAGTCGATGTCTCATGTTGCTACCTTCAGTACGATCATGCTCCGAGAGAGACCTGGCGATGTTGGGTGTTCCGAAGTAGAGCGAGCATCCGGTCCCCTGCTTGAACGATACTTCCATGGCCAGGAATATCTTAGTTGCGGAAGGGTATCTTGATTGTTAGAGACATCGGAAGTCCCTTGAATAGTACATAGTGCCACTCGTCGTGGTCTTACATTAGCCGACATTCATTGATGTGCAAACAGATGGTCGTAGCAGAAGCCAGGGGCCGGTGTTCCACGATCTGTTGATGGGACTCCTGAGGCGCATGGCTAGAAAGCTCACTGTGTTTCAAAACCGCCTTGCAGTCTGTCTTTGCGATCCGTTGAGGCGCAAGCGACTCACTGGGCATTTCTGGCATTTCGTTTTTCCTGCTTCTTCAACCGGCGTTGCTTCTTTTCTTCTCGCAGTGCCGCTTTATTGCCATGCTTCCTCTCCTTCTTGTCCTTGCTCTTGTGTTCTCCCTTGCTCTTATGCTTCTTTTCCTTCTTTTCGGTAGCCGGAGGCTTCATATTATCTGTCACCTTTACCCCGCCGTCAGAGTCATCGTTGTCAGAGTCATCGTTGGTTTGTGCTTCTGATGTGGCGCCACTAGCAGAGGTTTCTTGGCTTTTGCGAGCAAGCATTTCAGCTTTTAGCTGGGCGCGAGCTCTTTCCTTGGCCTGCTTTTCGGCTCGTTCGAGGTCGTACTTGTCATTGCCAGCCTGTGGGGGTTTGATTAGCGCCTATCATGATACAATGAAGAGAAATGAGACTTACAAGCCCGTGCTTGATGAAGCGGCTCGCGGCTTCTTTATCCAGTGTCATCTGGCGTTCTTCGGGCTCAGTTTCAAGGCCTTTGATCTTGACAAAGTACTGCTTCAGGCGGACCAATTCCGTGAACGCCGGGTGCTGCTGGGCATTGGTGCGATGGAGTCTCAAGTAAGCTGCGCAATAGAGTAAGCATGCTTTCAAGTGTGCTCCAACGGGAGCGGCGTACAGAAAATTAGTGATTCCAGCGCATATGTGATCTTCACATAAAGTTTCGCTTTGTCCATTACGGGTAGTTTGCTCGAGCTTTTGAGGAGTCCGCTTGCCAGGATAGGCTGAAGAACTTCTTCCAGGTCATCGACATCGTCGCCAAGCTGGTCAAGCAACGGCTGTAAATCTGCAGGGTCCATATTTGTGAGGTGACGTGGAGATAAGAAAATGTTAGATCTACGAAAAAAAGATATGACCGGCTCAACAAAGGCGGTGGCCCCGGGCGGTGTGTGCTATCTTCTGCGATCTCCGAGCATTGGTGTAGATGCGACAATCGCTTAGTTTCGGGTCAAACTGGATATTGGTGGACGCGTTGTCCCTTCTTGTATCGAATTTCTAATTCGGAGAATGACATACATCCGGATACTGAGCACACCAATCTGATACCCTCCGGCTTCGAATATCTGCCTTCGGGTCCACCGCACCGATTCGAGAGCTTCTCTATTCAACATCACAAGATGCGGTCAATACTTCAGCCTCGCTCCTTATGGCGAGCGCAACCTCTCACCACATGTCTCCGCGTTCAATTCCGAGTTATTAGCGCGCCAGGCGCCCGCTTTATCACGACGTCAAATCAAGAAGAATATGAAACATCGCTCTACGAGCGAGGCGGTTTGTCGGGACGAGTGCATATTCTTGGACTAGGAAATGTAGGGTCATTTGTTGCCCACTCGCTAGCAACAAGACGAAACGCACCACCAATTACGTTGTGCATGCACAACGACCACATTCGCCGCGATTTTGAAAGGAAAAAAGGAAGCATCTCCGTTAGCACCCATGGTTTGGACGATGTCAGGTCGGGGTTCGATATCGAAGCCGTTGACGAATTTGGGACATGGTCTCAAGTACCAAGCAAGGACTACCGACCCTCGCCATTCCAGACCGAGAAACCCGACACCCGTGTCGATGACAGTCCAATCGATTGTCTGATTGTTTGCACCAAAGCACACCGCACAGAGCTTGCTCTCCGCGACATCAAGCATCGCTTGACAAAAGACTCAACCATCTGCTTCATTCATAACGGCATGGGGGTACTAGACACCATTAACCAGACAATTTTCCCGGATCCCGACGAACGGCCAAATTACATTCAATCGGTCTTCAGCCACGGCCTCACACGGAAGGATATCTTCAAGATCGCCCACATGGGTGCCGGAACTTTCATCCTTAGCCCAGTCACATCGGGCTCACCCACGGAGGTAAATGAAGATGCATGGGCACCGTCAACGAAGTATCTCATGCGTCTTTTGACCCTCACTCCACCATTGGTTGCTATGGCGGAGACTCCCGCAGGTCTACAGCAGTACCAACTCGAAAAGCTAGCAATGAACTGTGTCATCAACCCTCTCACCACGCTGAGTGACTGCACCAACGGTGAACTACTGTATTCATTCAGTTTCACTCGCGTCATGCGACTGCTGTTGTTCGAAATCTCGGCGGTAATTTGCGCCCTTCCTGAATTGCAGGGCGTCCCGGGTGTCGAAGACCGCTTCTCTCCAGAACGGTTGCGTCGCCTGGTCGTGAACCTGGCGCGGATGACGGCCGAAAACACCAGCTCGATGCGGCAGGACATGCAGAATAAGCGGAGGACGGAAATTGAATACACCAACGGCTACATCGTCCGCCGCGGCGAAGAACTTGGGATCAAATGTGTACTAAACTACATGATCAAGCACATGGTCACAGCCAAGGTAGCCCTTGGTCAAGACAAGGAACACGGATATGTGCCCTTTGATCTCGAAAACGACATCGATATCGCCACTCACGAGCCAGGTGTCTAGGTGGATGCCACACTACCTATATCGTCAAATGCGCCTTTGTGATTGTGCAATCCACTACACCCCAAGAGCTTTAACTGTGATCAAAACTTATATAGATACAGTTTCAGCCGCATGCTCGCAGAGATTCTTGATCTGATTCCATCGCTTCAACAGAAGTTCTGCTTTTGAGCGATGTTCTTGCACGGTGGGATCGACCTCCATGGCTTTTTGGATAGCAGAGATCCCTGCTTCCGCCTCGGCCGCATATGTCAAGATCCACCTTTTGATGGTAGCTTCAGACCGAGGTTCATCCAACCCTTGCGACTGGCCTTCGAGAACATGGTTCCGCCAATCCTCCTCTGTCATATAACTCAAGCACGCGGCAATTTCTGTGCGATAGCAGGGTCCGTGGGGGGTGACTTGATAATTTCTTGTGTCGGTGTCAATGGTGAACTGTATATATCGCGTGGGAATGCGCTTGTCTTGTACAATATCAAAATAACTTACCCATAATATTGATTCAACCACAACTCCTCCTGTTGCCCGGGACTATGGATGTCCTGGAAGACGATATCGTCAAGGTATATCGAGTCTGCCTCGTTCACATCGAGGACAAACCCATCTATGATCAATTAGCGCAGCAAAGCTTTTAGTATTGATTCAGCTCTTACATTCAGCCAGTAATGTGTCATTGGGATGACTGCCGTAATTCATGAAGACCTCATCGCCTTTTTCATAGTCTTTAGTAGCGCGGAACACATATTCGTGCTCATCGAATTTGACATCCCTCTAGTTTCATCGTCAGCTGGTACATGTTGAAGTAAATGGGCGACATACGGCCACATCTGCGTGATTGAAGTAATCGGCAAAAGGTACAAGTCCCATAGCATCATTAGGGTCTTCAGGTGCTTCCTGTCCTTCACCAACCCAGTAGAAGCTTCGTGTATTAACAATCAGCCAGTGGTAGGAAAAGTCTTCCCAGTTGGTCTCTGGGTATGCAGATGTGATATCCGTCCATGCTTTGCGTAGACGCTGGCTCTGCTCAGCCAGAATATTCTGGTAGTCCGTGCTGTACTTCCGCGCCTTGGGGCCAGGCTTCAGACTAGGCCAACTTCCTGAAATAGACGGAGGAAGAAGGCTGAGATGCTCTGAATTGCGGCCGTCCTCGCTCGCGGGCCACTGCGGTCCTCCTAGAGCAGTCGGCCACAAAATCGGCATACTACCTTCAAAGTCTTGTCGACTGGGCCACGACTTGCGCCATAAATCGTATTTCGAGAGTTGTTCTGGATCGCCGTGAGTGAGATACCCTGCGAGCAGTGCTTGCACAGCGATATCTTCGGGAAGTTTCTCGGTAAAGCTGGTAGGAATGTCATCCGCAGTGAGCATCAGCCTCGTTGGTACCCGAAGAATAGCGTCTCCTTTCTGTTTTTCAATCTGATGAGCATTTTTGTGTGCATGCGCGTCGCCTTGATCTCATACTTTGATGTTTCGAGTGGCCACCATTCCGAGCCCTCGGCCTGGGAGACGGCCTGGAGTGACGGCGTCGGTTTCGATGCCACTGGAGGAAGCCCACTCAGTGAAGGCTACATGGTCCTCTCCGGGCCACCATTCTGGGCTCATACTGCACTTATGCGATGCGCCGTGGGAGGATTTGCGACTTTCTTTTCAACTATCAGTATATAGTTCGAGGGTACGCTCGGTGTCACATATCCAAATTACCTGAAAACGGAAGCGATGCGCTAGATTTCGTGGATTGCAGTTCTGCGATCTCAAGAGGGAAAATGCAAATCAAGTCTCGACTTGGCCGACGTCTGAAATTCACTCTAAAGTGTGGAGATGTTTATCGGTGATAAGCGGCGTTTACTGTATACTACGGCGGAGTGCACCGGCCACTTCTGCTGTCCGGACGATCTGATAATCGTACCACTTTCGCCGCAACTGTCCTAGACGCACGTTGTATGCACAAATTGGAGCTCTCAGATCCATGATGTCGGTTCTCGGAAGGCGTGGAGCACTTGAGCTTCGGGCATTGTATCCAAACTCAAAGATATCAGCAACTATTTCAAGATCATTTTCGGTTCTGAACCGCCCAGCACCAAACTACCCGGGCCACGTCCCCTTGACCACCATCGAGCGCGGGGCTCTCGCAATAGGATCAGCGCTCGGGTCATTGATAAATCCCAGACGGGCTGGTATGGCAATGTCACTGTCTATAGCATGACCGTACAATGGGCGACTCTAACACGGAGACTGCTAGATCTTATTGCGGCGCTGGGCGAGGCCACTGCGACACCATTCTTTATTTACAGACTACGCGATGCCATGCTCTCAGATCCGACGGGGCGCCGCATTCTCCGCGACCGTCCTCGCATTACCTCCGAGACCCTCAAAATGACCCACCTCCGTACCTTGCCTGAGAACTCCGTCGGCCGGACATACGCCAAATGGCTGGACCGCGAGGGAGTTTCCCCCGATACACGAGATAATGTCCAGTACATTGACAACGAAGAGTGCGCATATGTCATGCAACGCTACCGCGAGTGCCACGACTTCTACCACGCAGTGACGGGACTGCCGATCTTCGTTGAGGGCGAGCTGGCTCTGAAAGCACTGGAGTTTTTGAATACACTTCTTCCCATGACAGGATTGAGTCTTTTCGCTTTCGTACGGATGAAGCCAGCTGAGAAAGAGCGGTTCCTCACATTGCATCTCCCATGGGCCATCCGCAGTGGGCTGAGAAGCAATGAGCTTATCAACGTGTATTGGGAGGAGGTTCTGGAGAAGGACGTGGATGAACTTAGGGCCGAGTTGAATATTGAGCGCCCACCGGATCTTCGAGATATCCGAAAGATGATCCGGCAGCAGCAGAAGCGGGAGAAGGAACAACAGCAGGCTTCAAGCTGAGCTGTCAGCGGAATACTTAGGGAGGAAAGAGACATGTATGATTATAGGGCCCTTGTACAGAATATCACCAGTGCGCATATGCAAGGCCCAGCGCCTTCGATTCAAACCAGCTGCAAAACAAGGTAGATCTGGGACCGTAACGCCTGGTTTCAACTTTTCCCAGAGGTCCATGGATGGATATACAACGATAGGCACCCAAATGCAATAAATTAGACGATGTAGCATGTCTCAAGCATCCCGCATATCGAAATTGCAGCCCTTAGAGGTCCAGCAGGTCGTCATCGTCGTCCCAGCCACCTTTGCGACGAGAGATAACAATCTTGTGCTCCTCCTCTTCCTTGCGCTGGTTCTCTGCAATAGCTCCCAATAGATCCTTGAGCTGTTCTTCCGTCACCTTTTGTCGCAATTGTCCGGATTGGGCAAGCATAATCAGGCGGTTCTCGATATCGGTCGCACGCGATTCCTTGACAAGGCGAATTCGGCCTAGGCGATCGGCCGCGGCAGGGTCCAGAATCTGGGTCATGATGGAGGCGCGTTGCTCAGCTATAAGGAGAGAAAGTGGTTAGACATGTGATGGATGTCACGGCACAATGCCCGCGCTGCCGCGCCCAGAAAACCTACCCTCTGCTTGCCTAAATCAATTAGCATCCAATTACTCCATATCCGGGATGAGAATGCTCACTTTCTTTGCTGGGCCTGATCGGCGCCATCCTGACCAGCTGGGCCACGTGCACCCTGTTGCTGCTGGAGCTGTGCGAGACGAGCTCGTCTGATCTGAACAATCTGTTAGTCTTGCTCTGCAGTGTGAGATCCTGATCATACTTCTTCTAGCTCTGCGTCACCCATGGCTGTTGGAGTCCAAAAGTATGCGGAAGAATTGATATTCAGTGAACCCCACTTTCGCCTGAGGCCACCACGCGGGGGCAATATGCACGTGGATTGAGTACATCGACAGTACACACATTATCTACTGCTTGATTATCGAGATCTCAGGTAGCACCTAAGTCAAACATCCATTAAGTTCCAAGGTTATGGCTGTGTCGCTGCATTCGACGCCTCTAGGGCTGGATACTCCCTGTGGCTTCTATTGAATTCGCGCATATCGGATTCGGATAGGTCATAGGCATACGGCATCTGTCCAAGCCACTGCCTCGGCCCTCCTTGCGATATGCATTGTACCGCCGTACAGCTGCTACATCCGTACTCGTACTCAGCGTACACCGCGTACTCCGTAGGGATGAAACAGATCTACTGGGCCAATACCACCATCATCTTTAGCTTTAAACATCCAGCCGTGTGAGGGGCCAATTGTCTGAAATTTAGAGGAAAATACCCGAGTCGCAATTGTGAGCTTCACTCGATCTAACTAGCCATCCTTGCGTACTTTCCCAGAAGCGCCCGGGGTCTCCGGTCCGTCTCCGGGTGGCCAAATTGGAGAATTTCTCCCTGCACATGGCTGACACGTCGAAAAACCCCCAGGTTCCCCTCGAGATCATTCCATTTATACTCCGTATTCCCAACCTCCTCAGCACGTTCATTGCCGCTTGCGTAGCGCCGGCCGATCCTTCAATAGTTCGATTTGGGTGACTAAGCTCTTGAGCCCCAGTGGTCATATCTCGCGCTGCAACCCTCCAGTCCCTCCACCCTCAACAGGCTGATATCTCCGATCGGACCTGATTGTGGCGATTCGATCCTTTCTCTTATCCCCCGGCGCGTTCATTTCTGTGGCTGCTGAGGCATTTTGACCCCCTGATCAACACCCCGGATTCGACCCTCTCCCGACCTACATCTACTTGAAACCACGACGCACGCGCGGCCCTTCTATTCTTATACTGATCATCTCGGTGTGGATGGATACGGGGACGACCTGTCAACCAGAGCCTGTCTGGACGTGATATTGATCTGGCGAGTGAACCTGAACACTTCCGCCTCACATTCCTTGGACGCCTTCTACGTCACTCATCATGGCCGAGTGAGTGAACCTGCGAACACACCCGGTGGGACTCTTGGATCGAGTACTGACATTGAGAGGGACAGTTTAATTGCCTTCCAAACCTCTCATCATAGCTTTTTCTCCCGATCCAACATGATCCCTCGCAACGCTCACAAAAGGTCACTCTCTTCGGAGCACCGATCCTTGTCTCCTGACCGGACCGTCACCAAAGCCAAATCCACCACTAATCTGGCAGATATCGCGTCTTCCAACGGCAAGCCCAGTTCCAAGTTCGACGACAGCAGTTTCAGCACTTTGCAGGATCCGCGACTGACAGACGGCTCGGAGGTTTCACATTCGACGTCATCGTCTCACCATCCCGATCTGAGCAATGAAGTCGCTGCACTGTCTGTGAAACTGATCCAGGCTATCAACAATCAAACAAACCTCGATGACAGCTTAGTCGCTACCCGCCAAGAACTAGAGCTGGCCCAGGGAAAGATCCAAGCTCTTGAATTTCAAAACGATAAATACAAACGAGACCTGGAGAACAAAGTTTATATTAAGAAAGCCGATTCAGACCGCGAAATCCTGCAATTGAGAGATGCACTTGCAGAAGAAACGACCCAACGGACCGCTGCCGAAAAGGGCAAAAAGACGATCGAGCAAGAATTGGAAACTCTCACAGCGGCTCTGTTCGAAGAGGCCAACAAGGTCAGTCCCGGTGCCCCTATAAGCATAGCTGTGGTGCTAACGCCAATCTAGATGGTAGCCGCGGCCAAGATCGAGCGCGAGGCGGTGGAGAAGAAGAATGAACAATTACGCTCACAGGTCAAAGACACAGAGATGCTCCTCGCGTCGCACCAGGATCAGCTAGCTGAGCTCAAGTCTGTTATGCAAGGGATGCATGTTCACAAGGACGAGGTAGAAGCTCGCCCCGCCACCGCTCCTTCATCGCCAGCTGGGCCTCCACAGGCTCCAAACTCTGCTAAGCCAGATCCCGGGTTGGAGGCTGATTCTACCCCAGCCGAACCTAGCGAAGAATTCACGCCTGGTCCCTCCTGCAACTTCCCGCAGATCCTTCGCATGATCTGCCGGACTGATCTGCAAGCTTACGAAGATTTCCGCGATCTGCTGGTGCTCTCTCGCAGCTCCAAGCCCCCAAGCCGGGCCACCAGTGGGTCTTATGGAGGGCTGAACGTGATGGGCCTGGCAAGCTTTGCAAGTGGGGGAGTTTCGTCGGTCACCTCATCTCCCACCAAGGGATTCTCGCATTCACCTAATGGAAGCATGTCCTCCACAACCGGGTCACATGTTCCTTTGAAGGAAACTCGTTTCTACAAGCGCGTGCTCATGGAAGACATTGAACCCACTCTCAGACTCGACCTGGCGCCGGGCATATCATGGTTGACTCGCCGTACCGTCCTCAGTGGCATATGTGAAGGCAGCCTTGTCGTGGAGCCGATGCCCATGGCAGCTAAGAAATTCGAATTCCCTTGCTCCGTCTGTGGTGAGCGCCGAACAGGCGCACCCAATGAAAGAACCCACCGGTTCCGCACATCAGACAGTGAGACGGCCCAGCGCTATTCACTCTGTATGCTCTGTTTAGAACGTGTGCGCTCATGCTGCGAATTCACTGGATATCTGCGTCTAATCCTTGACGGACACCTTCGTGCAGGTGATTCCGAAGAAGAGAAGGAAATTTGGGATGAGACCATTCGCCTCCGAGAGCGAATGTTCTGGTCTCGAATTGGAGCCGGTATCATTCCATTGCACCGGGCGACTGAGCCAGATTCTCAAGTGGAGCCGACCGATATCAATATTGACACTGCTGCGGAGCATGATGATCAGTATCTTCGTCCCGTTGATGTTACCAAAATTGATGTCGACAATGACAGTGTTTCCCCAACGACGGGACATACACTCGCACCCGAAGCAGCTGATTCTCGCTCCTTGAATGAGCACGCAGTTCCTACCGGATCACCAAGGCCTCAGAGCTCTATCTACGACAAAGATGAAGATGATAATGCTTCTGTCATAGACGAGGAACACAAACGGATTTCTATCGATTCAGAGCACAGCATCTACGAAGAAGCTACAACTGAGGTCGATCCGGTTCCTGATCACAGTATTGAAACTCCCACCGTGCCTTCGATTCAAGAGCCCAGCGCACAAACCGAAGAGCCTGATACAGATCTTGTCAAACCCACTGGCCCGAGCACCGCTTGACCTCGCATAGGTCCCATGAGCGATCAATACGAGCGAGACGACTACACGGCCTCCCTAGCATTTTACGATACACCTAATGTCCTCCATCCCTTTTGGCATTGCATTGGCTCCCAGGTCATTTAATTTTTCTTCCAGATCTAGCCGTCGATAAAGGCTTCTTTGGACATGCTGCCTTCAGCTCTACCTTACCTTTAATCGCCCTTGTCAATACCCGGCCATCTACTTCTTGTGCCCAACATCTTGGGCACCTGCTTTCTTCATTCCCAGCATGTCCGTTTTGTATTATTATTCCCCTTTTGCTTCCGACTATGTATACATAATAATGGTTTCCGTTTTCTGTCCGGTTCTGCTTTTTCGTGGACACTTTGTGGTCACGGCTCCTTGCTCTGTGCCTTCTTCGGACTTTTTGAGTTGCAACCGGTTCTTTCCCTGACAAAATGCCACTGGCTGTGGTATACCGCTAAATGATAGATGAATTTGAGTCAACTTGCATATATGAACATGGCCTCTTGGCATAATTGTGGTCAAAGGTACGAGTGCAAGCTCCAGATCAGTCTACTGTATGCAAGAAAAAGCGTGATCGGACAAGATGCTTCGTGGGTTAAGAGTAAAAGGCTATTGTACAGAAAATCGAAAATAAGCACGTCATGTTCATCCCTCCCAAACTCCAAATAGCAGAACCAATACGTTCAGATAAACCCGATCTCGAAACCGCTTGAAACCGAAACACCCTGCCGAGCTATGCATGGGGATATCATTGTTTGGCAAGCTGGTGAATGTGCCTGAGCTGATCTTCGATGTTCGTGCTCTGGGCGTTGGGGTTGTGCGGGCCCTGACCAGGCGGGCCTTGCACAGAGGGATCAGCAGCCACTCGCTTGCGTCTCGCCTCCTCCTCAGGGTCCACGGGAGATGGATCGAAAACATCGCTGCGCTGACTGGCCAGACGCTTAAGGTTGTTGACCACGTCGACGGTGGACAAGTTGGTGGTGGCGCTGCGCGATTCGGCCTTGGCACGCTGCTCCTTCCAGCGCGGGTCCAGGAGCTCAATGCGAATGTGCTCGTCCAGCTCGGCGGATGGGACCTTCTGGCTACAGTACGGGCAGATTGCCATTTGAGTCGCTTGTTGGCGGCGGGCCTGGGCTCGTGGCACGTAGTCTGAGCGGATGCGCATTGGTTGCTGGCCGGGGATGGCGTGGGCGGCGGCTTGAGCGGCGGCGGCTTGATCGCGCGCTTGAGTTCGCTCACGTATGAGCTGGTCCTCTTCTGGGTTGGTGAATTGTCCGGGTGGAGGGTAAGGGCCTGCTGGGTAAGGCGAGACGGAGGGTTGTTGGGGAGGAGGCATTGGGACGGGCTGTGCTGGGTAGGCATTGTAGTAGGTTGGGTTGTCGAGGTCTGTGGGCATGGCTTCCTCGATGCGCATTGTGTTGAGAGAGATAGCGGCCTTTTGCTCCAGGGAGGCTGATTGGAGATCGTTGAGGGATGTTGGTGGTGGCAATTCCGCGTGGTCGTCGTGCTCGGTGAACTCCACCGTCTCGACAACCACAAAGTCATGCCAGTCAATCTGAGCATACTCAATTCGCTCCTGTTCACTCTTCTCTTCTTTCTGCTGCTTTTGCTTTTGCTGGAACTTGACCCACTCCGCTCGCTCCGTGGCGCGTTCCATGACGCGATATTTGTTCTGTACATTTTTCTCCAATTCGGCAATGATTTTTTGGGACGATGTTGCGTCGTCTAATCCCTCGGCACGTAGTAAGATAGTGTATTGGTCGACTAGACGGGTGAAGAATTGGTAAAGACTGTGCTGAGGTCGCAGGAAATCGAATTGGAAGTTTCGTGCCTCGCGCTGGGACAACGCAGTCATGAAAGATTTTCCCCGCTTGGCCACGAACATGGCCGTATGCTTGACAACCTCCAGATCTTGGGCATTGATAATCGGCATGCGCGCCGAGAAATGATATGCGGCCGGTTCGGGTGGCCCCTTGGGCTTGTCGGGTTCTGCGACTGTTTCGCCAGCTCGTCCTGCTGAGATAGCTGATCCTCGGCCTTCCCTGATTTCGGCCAGTCGCCATTGGTAGAAAGGCGCATATGCATCACCCGCGACGAGGAAAGAGAACTTGGGGTTGCTCTTTTCCTTCTCACGGACACGGTCTTCAAAGACTGCTCCATTGCGAGCGACGTACCCGGCAGTCTTTTCGACAATAGCTCGAATGTCTTTGGGGGGTAAGACCACACCCTCTGGCGGCTTGTTGGCCTCCTCGGGGAGTGCGTGTCCATTCGACTCCATGGTTGATGATGAGGATTGACTGTAGGTTTTGGGAGTGCAAGTGATCCAGTGATCTTGGACTCGCTGACTACGAAGCTCCAGCCACAGGTGGCGCCCAAGGCGGTGTGGCGTGGCTGCAACCGTATTCCCCCTGTGCACTTCCCCGCTGTTTACTTATTTTCTATTGACTTGATGGTGTGGATGGTCTGGAATATAAACGCATAGAAGTAGATAGATGACATAGAATAGCACGAAAAGCATCTAACATTGTACAAGAAGCACTGTGTAGGGGCCAAAAACTAAGGGGCCGCTCACGTTGTCTTTCACAGCCGCCGTCGATCTGGCCTTAAGACGGAACCGCACGCTTTCGTCCATCTGGGTTCACCTCTTGTTTCTCGACCTGTTCCCTTTTTTTTTCTTATTTTTTCTTACTCTCCCTCCAGCGACACTTTTCTTTTTCACATTATCTCTTATTTCCCTGTCATGGGGCCTTTTGCCTCATTGTTACACGATCATTAACTGGTGTGGTGTTTAAGCCATTGGTTCACAGCTCGAGGTCGAAAGCAGCTTTGGATACTCGCCGCAAGTCCATTGTAATTTTGAAACGCCTCTTGTTACCGCAAGCTCCACAGCTCGACTATTCACAATCACACTCAATCCTCTCGTTTCCATTCGATACTCGACATTCCAATTTCTGCGCCGATCTCCTGAACCGCTGACGTCGTCTCGCATCTGCATCGGACTGAAACAATATGGGTCAGAAGTCGAAAGACACTCTGGCCGTGCGGCCGCAGAGCCGCTCTGGTCGCTCGCGCAGTCGCTCTCCTAAGCCCAAGAGTAAGCCCTCGGCGGCCCCCCAGAGCTATGCCTCGGAGGGAGTGAAGAACAATGATATCTTCCAGCTCCCTGGGTCGGACTACAAGCTCATTGTCCTGGTGACTCTGATTGCTGCGGCGGTCCGTTTGTTCAGAATCTATCAACCCACAAGCGTGGTATTTGATGAAGTCCAGTAAGGGTTCCCACCATTAAGGCGAATAGCGGGTACTAACGATTGACAGCTTTGGTGGATTCGCATCCAAGTATATCAAGGGCAAGTTCTTTATGGACGTCCATCCTCCGCTGGCTAAATTGTTGCTCACACTGGCTGGCTGGCTGGCCGGTTTCGACGGCAACTTCGACTTCAAGGATATTGGCAAAGACTACCTGGAGCCCGGCGTGCCTTACGTGGCAATGCGCATGCTCCCAGCTATCTTGGGTGTCTTGACTGTCCCCCTGATGTTCCTAACCCTGAGAGTTACCGGATGCCGGAGCTCGACTGCCGCCCTTGGTGCTGGCCTTGTTATCTTTGACAACGCTTTGGTCACTCAATCCCGTCTGATTCTTCTTGACTCCCCATTGATCTTCTTTACTGCCCTCACAGCGCTGGCCTTCAACTGCTTCACGAACCAGCAGGAACTGGGTCCCGCCCATGCCTTCCGCGGACCGTGGTGGTTCTGGCTGGTCTTCACCGGTCTGTCTCTTGGCGCAACCTTGAGTGTCAAGTGGGTTGGTCTCTTCACCATGGCGTGGGTTGGCTCTCTCACAGTTCTTCAATTGTGGGTGTTGCTAGGTGACAGCAAGAGTGTCACTCCTCGCCTGTGGCTGAAGCATTTCTTCGCTCGGGTATTCTGCCTCATTGTCATTCCCGTGAGTTTCTACATTGCTATGTTTGGTATTCACTTCATGTGTCTGGTAAACCCCGGAGAGGGCGATGGGTTCATGTCCTCCGAGTTCCAGGCGACCTTGAACTCCAAGTCTATGAAAGACGTCCCCGCGGATGTCTCTTTCGGATCCCGAGTCAGCCTGCGTCACCTGAACACCCAGGGCGGATACTTGCACTCCCACCCTCACATGTACCCAACCGGCAGCAAGCAGCAGCAAATCACACTCTACCCCCACAAGGACGAGAACAACCTGTTCATTTTGGAGAACACCACTCAGCCCCTTGGCCCCTACGGAGAGGTTGAGGGTCCCTTTGCATGGGATAATCTGACCACCCCCGGTTTCGTCGAAGACGGATCTATCATCAAACTTTACCACTCGATCACTCACCGGAGAATTCACTCCCACGACGAGCGCCCACCAGTGACTGAGGCCGACTGGCAATTCGAGGTTTCCGCTTACGGATACGAAGGCTTCCCTGGTGATGCCAATGATCTATTCAAGGTTGAGATTGTCCCATCCATGTCTGAGACACCGGAGTCTAGGAAGAGACTGCGAACCATCCAGTCCAAGTTCCGCTTGGTGCATGTGATGACGGGCTGTGTTCTGTTTTCACACAAGGTCAAGCTTCCTGATTGGGGTTGGGAGCAGCAGGAAGTGACTTGCGCTAAGGGTGGTACTCTTCCTAACAGTGTATGGTACATCGAGCAAAACCAACACCCAGCAATGCCCGCGGATGCTGAGAAGGTCAACTACCGTAACCCTGGATTCCTAGGCAAATTCTGGGAACTGCAGAAGGTTATGTGGACTACCAACGCCGGCCTGGTTGAATCGCACGCTTGGGACTCACGCCCGCCCTCCTGGCCCACTCTTCTCCGTGGTATCAACTTCTGGGGCAAGGACCACCGTCAGATCTACCTCCTTGGTAACCCACTCATCTGGTGGTCGACTACTCTGGCCATTGGTATCTACTTCGTTTTCAAGGCGCTTTCAGTCATCCGCTGGCAGCGAAGCTGTGGTGACTACAAGCATGTTTCTTTCAAGCGCTTCGACTACGAAGTCGGCACCAGTGTTCTGGGTTGGTTCTTCCACTACTTCCCATTCTATCTCATGGCCCGTCAGCTTTTCCTGCACCACTATCTTCCCGCACTATACTTTGCCATCATGGTTCTCTGTCAAGAGTTCGATTTCTTGACCAACCGCATCAAGAGCCTCGGACTGGCGTCCAAGCCCGCGATTGGCAAGATCCTGATGGCAGCCTTCTTGGGCCTTAGCATTGTTGTGTTCACCCTGTATGCTCCTCTTGTATACGGCAACCCTTGGACCAAGGATGCTTGCAATAAGGTGAAGATTATGGGATCATGGGATTTCGACTGCAACACCTTCCACAACGACGTAAGTGTTCCACAGTGGAAGCCACCACGACGAGGCTATTGAACACCGCGAAAGGACCATGACTAACATGGAATATTATAAAATTATTAGTTGAGCGATTACGTTGTTCAATTTGTGCCGAACGCGTCCCCAGTGGCTGCGCCCACCACGACAGCCCAAGCGCCTCCCCCGCCACCACCTGTCCAAGCCCAGGAGCAAGTCCAAGCTCAGGAGCCAGCCCCAGCCAACGAAGCTGTCGATGCTGCCGAGCCATCTGACCCTGCTGCTGTGACCTCGCCTAAGATTCAAGGATCCATGGCCCGCGTTGAGTACCGTGATCAGAACGGAAAAGTTCTTGACCAAGAACTCGTCGCTTCGCTTCGAGCAGAGGGTAAAGTGAAGTTTGAGACTCGCTACGAGCCTGGCCACAAGATGGAGAATGCACACGAGGTTCCTATCGTTGACGGCCAGCTCGCACCACCACACCCCGATGTGCAGGGCCAAAACCCTGAGACTGGCGGTGCTCCTGAGGACTCTGTGCCTCCAGAGAGCCCTGCCTCCGTGGCTGACGGCAACGAGCGTTCCGCCGAGAAGCCGGTCTCCATGGAAGCCAAGCCTGCCAGCGAGGGAAATGAGGCTACTCAATAGTAGCTCTGTGAGTTTGTAAAAGGCGAGGAGATACTGCAATGTATAATGAGACTTCATAGAGTAGTTGTTCATTTAAGTGTGAGCTCTTTTTTTCCAATATGATAATCCCACACAACCTTTGGATTTCCAGTTACTATCTCGGTCTGGATTTCAAGCATGCTGGTTCAATCGGCCGGTAGGTGCCTAGGTGCCCAGGTGCAAATGATCTAATTCGTATGGACTTTGGGAGTATATAGATACGTTTCAGTGCATCCATGATACGGTAGAAGATGGATGATAGCGCAAAAAAGAGACTGATGCCCAATTGACTCTTTCTCTGAAAATGGATACTATGCACAAATTTCCTGCAATCCCAAAGGCAAGTTCACGCACCCCTTCTCCCCCAGTCGGAGCAGTCTTAGTATACAGCGGTTGGCCGTAACCAAACGGCACTTTGCTTCATTCAACTTCTGAACGCACTTCTTATGGCTCAGCAATGAGCATTTAGTAGTCCCACTCCTCCTTGCCGTACTTGTTGAACTTCTCGTGGAGGTCCTATCAGAGAAGAGGTGATGTCAGCATTGTATGACTAAACGACTGACTCGGCGATCATGCGATGCTCCCGATTCCCGATTCGGATATCGACGGGAGCAAGCGCAGCGCGGGAATCATGCAGCCGGGCGGGTTCATACCTCGGGAAGGGTGACATTGGGAACAATGACGGTGTTCATGGCGCTGGGAGCAGCGCGGAGGGGCTGGCTCTTGTCACCGTGGGGGTGGTACTGGTACTTGTAGACCTTGCCATCCTCGGACTGGTGCTCCCAGGGCATGGAGCTCTGGGCGATGCGAACGTTGCTCTCGGAGTTCACAGAGGTGGGCTTGCGGCCGAAGTACCTATATTATCGCAAACATCATGAATTAGCGATCGTGCGACTTCCTTTGTATTTCGAAATTGCAGGCCATTGAGAGATGGCATCCGAGTTTCAAGCTTCCCGTGGGGAACGGGACGTCACAATTGCGCAAATGGGGCGAAATGTTGATATATGAGGCGATTTAGGGTGATTTCGGGAGGGATGCTCACCATCCGGCAATAAGGAAGGCACCAGACATGACACCCAGGAGAACCTGAACAAACAAGTGTTAGACCAAATTATCCCTCATGTTTCAATGGCGTGTTGGTTCCGTACGTAGAGCTCGGGGTCGCGCTTGGGGGCCTTGTCAAGGTTGGCCTCCTGGAGCTTGGAAGAAGAGTTGAAGCGGCGCGGGGGAGCGCGGAGAAGGGACTGGCGGGTCAGAGCCCGGCGAGTAGCCATAGCAGCAATGGAGGACATGGTTGCAGCAAATTGATTGTGCGTTGGGGGTACAATTCGTGAGCGGAGATCTACTAACGGGTAGTGCGAGAGAATCATGAATGGTAGTATGATGTTGCCCGTCGGTCATGTGACTGAAATCATGTGACATCGCTGTCTTGGGTTGCGACTATTGAGCTCCCTGCGGTCTTGATTGTTTGGTTCGAGAAATCCAGGTTGCTGACGCATATACGATCATTTCCAGGGTGTTCATCTCTGTGATGCAATTGACCTTGACGTGATTGCAGTTCACATCAAAGGTACAGGTTACTCCAAGCCTCTTCATCAGGGGCTCCATCTTGGCCCTAGCTCTGCGGCGCGTTAGTTCGTGGGACTCAAGCAAGGTTATCCATATACTAACCAGGACGACAGGGCCCTCATTGACTTGTTTTTTTTTTTTTTTTCCACTCTTTACCTTTGTCTTGATCTATCGTCACTCCTTTTGCTCAACCCGCCGGTTGCCTTATTCCGCAATTTAGCTGCCCAATTCTTGGTGCAATCCCCTCCCTGTCTCTCGCCCTTGACAGCTCGGTACCCAAATATGAGAGTGCGCTTTGCTATCTAGCCGACTGTTGACATCTACCCCTTTCCGGCACCATGTCAGCCCCCTCAGATCGCCCCGACACACACGCCGCAAGCCAGGCCTCAACACAGCAACATGCTCTCGGGATTCCTAGACCCCCTTCCGTGGATGGAATCTCTTCCCGGCTGACAGACGACGATGGGGAACGAACCCCGTCTTATTCGTCGCCTCCTCCTCGGCACCAGTCTCAGTCGTCTGTTTCTCGTCGAGGTCCGCCTCCAGCAGCCCGGAACTCGATCACTAGCCAAGTGACCAGTAGACCCGGTAGCTCTGGGAGTAGACTGAGCAGGTCACATATCCCGTCTCTGACTGCACAGGGATTCTTCCGACCAATGAGCTCGCAAAGATTGCAGGCACACCGAGGAACACGACCCTTGACCAAAGGGACCGGCTCATCCGCCGACGAATGGACCCAGCAAGGCAGCCAGCACCGGGGAAGCTTGATTTCCAACAGTACAGTCCCGCAAGGCTCTCTTCCGACTGAAATGGAAGTCCCACCATCACGGGGAACAGAGTTCACGGATCCCATCATTCCAGACCGCAACACTTCAAACGCCAGCCCTATGGGCAACACAACAATCCGAAGTCTGGGTGAAAGTGTTCGACTTTTGCGGGATCGAGATCAGAAAGAAAAGCCTCAGCGTCTAAACTTGGGCGCAAACTACACAGGAAATGCTGCACAAGAGGCACCACCACCAAAATCGCCTCTCTCGTTCTTGTCATTGCAAAATAGGGGTGTCGGACACAACAATCACGACTCGCGGAGCCACCAAGGTCATGAGCATCTTTCTTCCGCCGGGTCTTCCCCGGGCCCTCTTGATGTGAAGAAACCACAGCTACCCAGAACAAAGCTGGGTAAAAACTACGAATACTTCTTGGGCAACACCCTTTTCTGCGGTGGTGGGCGACTCCAAAATTCCCGAGATAAGCCTGTCAACATTGCCACCGGGTTTTTGCTGGTTATTCCCTCTGCGTTGTTCTTTGCGTTTTCGTATGTATACCCCGGAATTTTGATGGCATCAACCGCTAACGCTTCATTTAGGGCTCCTTGGCTATGGCATAATATCTCTCCTGCAATCCCCGTCTTGTATGCCTACGTTTTCTACGTGTGCTTCTCGTCCTTTGTTCATGCATCTGTTGTTGATCCTGGGGTAAGTAACTCGGTCTCCCCTGGCACTTGGAGGTTACTGACATGACAAACTAGGTCATGCCTCGCAATGTTCATCCTATGCCCCATACAGAATCTACGGGCGACCCATTGGTCCTTGGCCCCCCCACCAACGACTGGGTAATGGTCAAACTTGCCACTTCCGATGTAGCTGCCATGGATGTACCTGTGAAGTATTGCAAGACGTGTAACATTTGGCGGCCCCCTCGCTGCTACCACTGCCGTGTGTGCAACAACTGTGTCGAAACTCTTGACCACCACTGCGTGTGGCTGAACAATTGTGTTGGTCGCCGAAACTACCGTTATTTCTTTACTTTTGTCAGCTTCTGCACGCTTCTCGCTCTCTTTTTGATCGGCGCGAGTTTAGCTCATATTTTGGTCTACATGTCCCGAGAAGGGGTATCCTTTGGGGCTGCGATCTCCAAGTGGAGAGTGCCCTGGGCCATGGTGATATACGGCGCCGTTGCGGTGCCGTATCCCACCTCTCTCTGGGCCTATCATCTCTTCCTGACTGGCAGAGGCGAGACCACAAGAGAGTATCTCAACTCACATAAGTTCGCCAAATCTGACCGGCATCGACCTTTCACTCGAGGCAATATTCTCAAGAACTGGATTGCTGTTCTTGGACGTCCTCGGCCTCCAACATACATGCAGTTCAAGGAGCAGTACCAAGACGGTGACCAGCGTCTCGGCACACAAAAACGGAAATACCGCGTCCCTGATGTTGAATCTCAAGCCATTGAGATGCAACATGTTGGTTCTCACCAGGGCTAAAATCCCGAGAAAAAAAATCTCTCGATCCAGGGAGTCATTTGTTCCCGCTGGCTTTCCGTCCGCTACGACCGATGAAGATGATGACCATGATTTCTTCCCTTCTCGAATCCCCTCTTCATATCTACCGCTTTTTAATCTTTTTTACACATACCCTTCTAGCCTCTCTGTTTATTTTGCCATACTAGGCACAGACATAATCCTTGTTCTTCCACTGATCTGCTACGATCAATCTCTTTTCATGTTTTATCTGACTTTGTGTGACAACTTGGGATTGGGCAATCCTACTTGAAACAGCCCTCTTCTACATATTCCTTCTTTATTGGAAATTATATACCTACTTTGAACCCAGGCTTTGAATACTTGCAGACGTAGAAGTGCTCGATCTTGAGACTGTAGACAAGCCCTGAGTATGGCATTCCACGAAGTCTGAGTAATCCTGGCCCGCCTTCAGCCAGGGCTTGCATTTCCGTCGCCCTTGCATTTGCCCTCCATTTATTGTGTGATAAGTCTGCATGTTGGGGGAAAATTCTGCCTAGTTTCGGTGTTCGATGTGCTGGCGTTGCACGCGTCAGACCTCGCCCTAACTTGATAAGACGCGGGTAGCTGATCTCTTTCCCCTGATATTCTCCCCATCTCAGCCGATCACGCGCGCCAGTTGTTCCAACCTCGACAGATCAAGGCGGTTCCTGGTGGAATTGTCCTTCTTTTCCTCTCGGTTGCCTCATAATGGCGCCCCGAATGTCCCGATCACTCGCGTCCGCGGCTCCCGATGCCCAAGCACACGAACCTGCCGATGACGGAATGAGCCTCGATGTTCCTGAACAACTTCTGACACCCGAGAACAGTCGCTCGGAGACATCGAGCAACAATGAGAACGCGTTGACCGACGAAAAACCCGCTGGACGGCGTAGGTCAACACGGGTCGCACGCGCATCTTTGCGGGCTGGTGAGCCTCTCGACGACACACCCGAGACAGAGGAACCCGCGACATCATCCAGCGAGGCCTATGTCGATAGCCTTGCCAAGGCGAAACGATCACACTCCTCGCTCCGCCACAGCATTGCCGTAATGGAAAACTCACTGTGGAGTGCTACGCCTGTCAGCGAAAACGCCGCGGCCGATGACCACTCAATGGCCCCCGATACTCCCGTCTCGAAGTCTTCGCATGACATCCGATCTGACGATATGAACACATCACTCCAGCAACGGACTTTAAGAAATCGGGTCGAAAAAGCGTTAACTCAAGATGGAGAGAACAGCGCGGCTAAGCCAACTCCGCCTCGAACCAGTTCTCGTAAATCTCTTCGGCGGTCAGGTCGCATCGGTCTTCTGGATAAGGCCACTGATATCGTCGAAAGGGCCAGCAGTATTCTAGGGAAGCGCACAAGAGGCTTGGTTGATAAGGATCTCGGCCGGCGTGCTAGTTTGCGACCTCGCAACACCGCCCCCTCGACAGAGGCAGTCAATGAGCCTACGTCCAAGAAGCGCCGGGTATCAGAAAGTGATATTTCTAAGCTAAAGGATCAAGACGTGGAGCCGGAGGAGACCCCAGCACCGGCTTCGCCACGACCTAAGCGTAAGATCTGGCTTTCACAGGGACTTTACACAGGCCAGCAACCATCAGACTCGCCGCCTAAACAGCGCCGCAGTAAGAACTCCAAGAAGACCGGTACTGGTCCTATGCAGCGTACAATTCTTCCCATGCCAATGTTCAAGGGCGCACGGCTTTTGAAGAACGGACGGGATTTCCAGCTACCATTCGACATTTTCTCGCCCCTCCCGCCTGGCCAACCCAAGCCAGACGAGTGGCGTAAGACCAACAAGAGTAAGGCCTACATACATCACTTGTATCATCTCACACGAACTGACAGACGTTCTAGATGTTTTTGTTGGTGATGCAGGGAGTTTCTGGAAAGCAAACAAAAACCTCGAGCTGTCACTTTGTATGTGTACTGAAGATACTGGTTGCGATGAAAACTGCCAGAATCGCTACATGTTCTACGAATGTGACAACGGGAACTGCAGACTAGGTCCTGAGTGCGGAAACCGAAACTTCGAGGGCCTCAAGCACAGAACCAAGGCCGGAGGCAAGTATAATATTGGCGTCGAAGTCATCAAAACGGCAGATCGTGGGTATGGCGTTCGCAGCAATCGCTCCTTCGAGCCTAACCAGATTATTGTGGAATACACTGGAGAAATTCTCACCCAGCTTGAGTGTGAAAAGAGGATGAGAACGGTCTACAAGAACAATGATGTACGCATCTTCCCACGCCTGAGGTTCTTGGATGCTGACTGTATAGTGCTATTACCTGATGTATTTTGATCAAAACATGATCATCGATGCTACCCGCGGATCAATTGCTCGCTTCGTCAATCACGCCTGTGAGCCCAACTGCCGCATGGAAAAATGGACCGTTGCTGGTAAGCCACGCATGGCTCTCTTTGCGGGAGACCGCGGAGTCTCAACTGGAGAGGAACTGAGCTATGATTACAACTTCGAGTGAGTCCCTTCGCAAAAAAATCCGGCCCTCCCGTACTAATATTCTATAAGTCCATATTCCAACAAGAATGTGCAACAGTGCCGTTGCGGTTCAGCAAATTGCCGAGGATTCCTTGGTCCGCGTTTAAAGGATAAGCAGCAGCGTGCCAAAGAACTTGAAGACAAACTCAAAGCCGAGGGAGGCTCTAAGAAAGCCGCTGCGAAGAAGATCGCTGGCAAAAAGCGGAAGGCTTCTGAAGAGTCTGATGATTCCGATTCTACCTCTGATTCCGATTCCGATTCTGATTCTGAGTCCGACTCCGACTCCGACTCCGATGTGCCTGCCCCGAGCAAAAAGCGCAAGACGATTACGGCCAAATCAATCAAGGCCGGAGTGAAGAAGGTTGTCGCAACTGTTCGTGGGAAGAAGACTACTAAGAAAACAACCACCGCCAAGGCCGCTGTCAAGCTGCCAACGGTCAAAACCACCGGGCGCGTCAAGGCTACTGTGCGAGGTTCCAAGGCAGTCAAGGAAACCAAAACCACCAAACCTACTAAGACCACCAAGACCACCAAGGCCACCAAGGCCACCAAGGCCACCAAGCCAGCTAGCCCAGCTAAGCCCAATAAGCCAAATAAACTTACCAAGGCACCACCAGCTTCTCCTGCCAAAACAGGATCTCAGCTGAAACGACCATCTGCCGAGACCAAGAAGAAAATCCTTGCTGCCGCTTCCAAGGGCTCCGGGGTTTCTCCTCGGAAGCCTGCTGCGCGAAAGGCACCTACTAAGAGCCCCGTTAAGGCCAAAATGCCTGCTGCCAAGCCCAAACCTGACACTAAGAACAGCCTTGCCAAGGGCGTTAAGAGCGTTGCTCGGCGATATGTGAAGGCTGTCAAGGGACAAAAGAAATGATGCAGCCTGTGCTTTGCTCAGCCATTTGTCGCCAGGGCTGCTCTTCTCAGCAACTACAGCATCTTACCCCAAGGGCTTCCTCACTTCTCAAGTCTGACCATTCTGCATCTATCGGGCATGCTTCAATTCTACGTCATAATATTCTTCTGTTCTTTATTCCAGTGATCTTTGCTTTTACTTGACTACTGACGTCCATGTGCGTTGGCTAATTCCCTCTTGGACGACACCCCTTGTTTTGAGATAGTATTTTTTTCTCACTATCTCTGCACTTCTGGCCTTCTTTTTCTCTCCATCATTTACTTTTTTTCCTCCTCTCTTGCCTATTCGTTGTTCTGGCTTCATGTTTTCTGGGCTCTGATTCGATTTATGCGTCATGGTCATGAAAGTAAGAGATTGTTCTGGGCCGATGTTGTGTGTTCAATACGCTTCGTGCGCGGGCTCGATATCGGCTTCGATTGATTGGGTAGATACCACTCCAAATTCAACATGGTTTTCCCAGGACTTGTGTCTGCTGCAAATATCTTTGAGGGTAGTTCGCGCTGGCTGGTCTTTCGAGCCTTAGTAACGATGTCTGTCGAGGTCCACGGGTCTCCCGAGTCTTTCAAGGTTATACCTAGGTACTCGGACGTCCACGAGTATGACGGGCATTTACAGATGGCGAACCTTGAAATGTATTTAGTATGGCCTTCTTCGTAGTACCTAGGTAGATCATGATCAATCAAAATTTCAGTAGAATTAAATATTAGAATCTCATGTCTTGTGTTAAATCCATGGATAAGTCGCTCCGGTCTACTGCCCCGGAGCAGATGCAATGCCCCAGTAAGGAGGGCTTTCATTAGTCTTGGGAGCCACCGAAGATATTGCTGTATCATAGCAAGGTGCCATGAGCAGGTCATTCAGGTAGGCATAATTATCCACCCCAGGGTCTGCAGGTGGGCGTGATACTGCATCTCTGGGGTTGTCGCCAAAATCTGGACAATATGGCTCATCACGAAGATATTCGGCATAGCACGGGGGAGGATTGGCAGCGAATGCATTGATGCAATCCGAATATATACCAGCCGGCTTAGTTCCTGATGGCAGGCACATGGATATCGGAAAAGAGGTATCGATCTAAGCGGAAATATATAGTCAGTATCTTAATAGTTTTTCCAAGGTTCCGATGGAACACAGATTTGACCACTCACTCGAGATATGTGCCCTTCTGGATTCTGAAGCGTGATCTCAGCCTCTAATGAGTGTTGCACAGTGACAATTGAAGTTTCACAACTCGGCAAACATGACCCCGTCCTTGCCGGCGGAAGTGTGTGTGATATTACACGCCATTCCTCCAGGTCCTCGTTTGTGATAGCCACTCCCGAAGACTCTTCATATGTAGAGCCATCGTCGACTCTGGTCTTGGATCGCGTCTGTTGTAGCGATCTGCCGCCCCAGACAGTTGGTTTCAGGGTATGGGTTTCCACGAGCTTTAGTTGAATCAATGTAGGATAGACTCCCTTTCGAAGGGGAATGTAGCGAAAGTCCACCTGGATTGGGTCTCCGATATTGAACGATCTCCCTGGGAGGCGGGTTTCGTACATGAGTTTATTGGGCCATGGTCGTTCGATGCTCTGTGTTTTATTGTCAGTTTTGGCCCTGTATCTCAATGGACAGATCCTCTCTGATATGGGAGATGGCTCACCAGTGGCTCGAAAAATGAGAGATAATCTGGCGTTCGAAGGACCTTCAGTGTTCTTGACTCTTGGATCACTCCCGATGGACAGTTGATTGCCGCTGTTACCTCGTAGCGAATATAGCAGTCCTCCATACCATCCACACTCTCTGGCATGGTGTTGTGGAGACTGATTGAAAAAGGGAACTCATAGTTTCCGGGCTGTAGAGCTGTTCTGTGTGATTCCGGAAGGAAGTTCCACACTTGGCGGTAGAAGATCACTTCTCGAGATGCTGGGATTGCATTCTGCCCAGCCAATTTTGTGGGATCTATTCTGTTTCGGCATGTTAACCACCTGGGCAGGTTCTCTCGGACAGACATAATATCGAAGATACTCACTTCGCATAGCGTTTCCCCCTCAAATACAGCTTGATATCCTTCATATAAAATGGGCTGTTCAGACAAACCACAACGGTGCCGTTCAGGTGGCCGTAGCTGGTGTTTTCATCGTCTCTGGGGAGTTTAAGGGTATCGTTCTCGAGTCTATAGTCGTGTTAATATATCCCGAGACTTCAAGTGCAATTGAAAAGACCTTGCACACCGGATATCAAAATAAGTCGGTTTAGTTGCAGTGTGGCCACTGCCGAATAGCCATGAAGCCATGGATCTTTTGTAGACTTTTAAGAGAATGGCGTATAGTATTACCTAGTGTTTCCCAATTGGTAGGTAGATTTGAAGCCTTAACTGGTATCGACCTTGGAAATTATTGCGTTCTTTCGATGTCTTGCCAATTTATTTATATGACCAAGTGAAGGCTAGTATGACTCCTGGGCTGAATCGGCACAATCTCCAATTTGGGAAATAAGCTATCCATCAAAGCTTTGCTCACCGAGAATATCATATTCAGGATGAGATAGACTCTGAATCATCGTCAAACACGCAGGGATCGGGACGTAGGGACTTGTCGGATACCTTCCTAAATAGGAAATCGTTCCGCCACCGGTGGACGCGATACGATATCAACTGAAGTACAGCGGCCTGAAGTTGGAATTTTCTTCACCGAACAGAGCAAAATTTGCACGACTAGACTATGTTGGACGGTCTTCACCGAGTCCAGATTATCATCCCGAGCTATGGCGCTTTGGCCAAGACTGGCATCGGGTTGCATTTCGGATAATTTCCAAAGTTGGTCCCAAGCAAAGGCGCAAAGGACGGGAAAGCATGACCTATCGAATTCAAGAAAAATGCAGCCACTGTTGGAGTAAGTGTAGATTGTTGATTCAAAAAGTATATACATGTGAGGAAGATGGGAGAAGCGGATCGCAAATGCGCCATGGGCTGTTCGACATAGCCGCAGATCGTAACGCCAGTCTGCAATGAGAGCAGGGTCCAATGCAATCCATGCAAATGGTAAAATTACACGAAGAGAGAGCTGTTGGGAGCCAAAGTATCCAGCCCCGACTCACCTTCTAGAAGAGGGAAGAGTCTGCGGATTCGATCTTCCAAAATGGTGTTTTCGGCCTCCCAACGCCGACGCTCCAATGCTTTGGCCTGCGCACGACGCTCACCACCATACCAAGCGCCCTTGGCTTGTTCTTTGCTCTCTTCTTCTTCCTTTTGGGCACGAGAAACCAGAGAAGAGACCATAGTTTTCCAATTCTCCAGGCCAACCTTTAGACACTGCGCGCAACGGGTTCGAGCCGCACGGTCAGCAGAGTTGCTGAGATCAACCATGGTGGACTCGGCCATGTCGACTGCGTCACGGGTCCAGGCGAGGCCGGATTCTTTGGTCGATGAAGCGTAGAGAATCTCGCCAATGTAGGTCATCAGACCTGCTTCTTCGCAGGCGGATGCTGGTGTTCGGCGTGGAGGCTCATCTCCTGAGGGGAGAGGTGCTGGGTATTCCACGGGGATGAGGACGGTTTTGAGTGATTTGAAGAGGGAGGCAAACGGATCATTGGTGGATTTGGGGGGTGGTGCGAAAGAGAAGGGTAGGTCGGAGTCCGCTGCTGGAGGAAGGTTGCGTCGGGCCTTGAGGACCGATGTGAAGAGAGAAAGGGCTGTGGGAAGATTGCCTTGACGAGCGTTGTGCACGGCAAGGGCCGTGGAGACACGGAGTATGTTTTCTGAAGGCAGGTCTCCGGAATTATTCTTCAGAAGACCGTTCTTCACGTCAATGATCTTACTAGCGTCCCCGTTCAGACCATTTGCCGCGATATCCAAGGCCCAAGTATACATATCGCCCGCTGTGAGGCCTAGACCTTTGAAGTCGAGCCAATCGGCATATGCCAATGCCGCATCAAGCTTCTGCCTTGTATCGAAACCCTTGGTTGTCAGAACCTTCATGTAGAAGCTTTCTGGTGAAGGAGACGCCCGCTCACAATCCTCCTCCTGGGGAACCTTCTTCTGGCCCGCGGGCATGGGCTTCGGGCGAGGGTTGGAGGGACCAACGACATACTCCGCCGGCGCAGAAATGCGCTGTTTGCGGTCTGTCAGCCATCCATCCAGGTTCTCTGCAGCCTTGGCAGCTCCCATAAGGGCCTGGAAATATCCGCGACGCCAAGGCTCGCTCTTCGCAGAAACATCGAGCCCGGTACGGCCAACACCCTCGACCAGGAAACCACCTTCATCTTGTTCGACGATTCCTTTGCCTTCTCCCTCCATATTTTCCAACCGCTCCAGCAGCTCACGCAGATACCCAGCAACCATGGGCCAATTGGTCATCAACTTGCCGATCTGTTCGGGGTTTTGCAGTGCCTGAGCGGACCGGAGACACCAACGACTCTTCCATGACCACTCCGGAGGCGTGGGCCATGAATGTTCGATATCCTCTTGGTAAACCCCGAGCTTGATGGCGGAAAACAAGAGAAGAATGGCGTAGAACGATATACCAAGTTTCAGACCTCGCGACACTCTCCGTTTGTAATTCTCGCGACTGGCAGTGGATACCAAGCGACCAAAGTGTTGGCGCAAATGAATTGACAATGGAGGAAGGGGGCGAGTGGGCGCAAGCGGTGATAGGAATGGTAGCTGGGGACGGCCGGGCGCTGGCGAAAGAAGAAGTAGGCGTGTGCGGTGCGTAAATGGTCGCATTTGAATATTTGACCTGGGAATCTGGGGCGGATTGGCCGGTCGAATGTGACTCGGTATTCGACCGACGGCGCTTCGTGGAGGCAACATGGTTGGGTTGCTACGAAGCTGGGGTTGTAGGATTAAGCATCGGATACATGACTTTAGTGATGGAGTTCTTGTCATGTTTGCTCTGTTTGTCATTCAGCCTCTTCGGGCAATAGCTACGAATACGAACTATCCACGGAGCACACGGTTCATTCCACCCACTAGGGTCTCGAATGACGAGCATTGCCTTCCGAGGTCATCATGGACTAAATTGTTACATTCTACACATTTTACGCGAGTCATGGATACCCTGTAAACAGTCTTGAGCCAAATCTATTGGCAGTGAACATTTATAATTATTCCTAAGACAGGGGAATCCAACAAAACGGCCTTTGAAAGCCAACCCAAGTTTCTATATAATCATAACAAATCATCGACTCCAGCAAAGCTTAAACGCAGACGAGCGGAAAGTCTACTGGCGCTCCAGGAAGCCCTGGCTCTCCAAAATGAGAATGATCTCGTGGACAATGCTGCGGACGCTCTGCTTGGAGAAGTCAACAACGAGGTCGGCCTTCTCGGGGTTCTCGTAGGTGTCATCGACACCGGTGAAGCCCTTGATCTCACCGCGACGGGCAGCGGCGTAGATACCACGCTTGTCGTTCTTCTCGCAGTGCTCGAGAGGGGTGGCAACGTGGACCAGGAAGAAGGAACCGGCCTGGCTGACGGCGTCACGGGCGAACTTGCGGGACTCCTCGTGGGGAGCGATGGGAGCGGCAATGACGGCGGCACCGGCGCGGGTAAGCTCGGTGGCGACGAAGGAAATGCGCTGGATGTTGGTGTGACGGTCCTCGCGGGTGAAGCCGAGCTCGGAAGAGAGCTCGTGGCGGACGGTGTCACCGAGCAACAGGGAGACGGAACGACCGCCCTGCTGGTTCAGGGTGACCTGCAGAGCACGGGCGATGGCATCCTTTCCGGAGTTGGCGTAACCAGTCAGGAAGACGGTGAAACCCTGAGAGGCACGAGGGGGGTTGGACTCGCGCAGAATCTTGACCACCTCGGGGTAGGAGAACCACTCGGGAATGTGAGCGCCGGAGCGCAGACGGCGACGGAGCTCGGTACCGGAGATGTTGAGGGTCTTGACGCCAGCGGGGACCTGGTCAACGGGGCGGTACTCGTCGGTGTCGGGCAGGTAGGTGACCATCTGGAACTCGACGACCTCGATGCCGAGCTCGTCCTTGTACTTCTCGACGGCGTGCTGGGCATCGTAGGGACCGTAGAAGTCCTCACCCTTGGAGTTGGAGCCAGGACCGGCGTGGTCACGACCAACAATGAAGTGGGTGGCACCATGGTTCTTACGGATGATGGCGTGCCAGATGGCCTCACGGGGACCACCCATACGCATGGCCAGACCGAGCAGACCCAGAACGGCCATGCCGTTGGGGTAGCGGGGGAGGAGAGCCTGGTAGGCGCGGACACGGGTGAAGTGGTCGATGTCACCGGGCTTGGTCAAGCCGACGACGGGGTGGATCAGGACATTGGCTTGGCGGGAGCGAGCCGCGCGGACAGTCAGTTCACGGTGAGCACGGTGCATGGGGTTACGGGTCTGGAAAGCGACGACGCGGGACCAGCCCAGCTTGTCGAAGTGGACACGCAGCTCCGCGGGAGTGTCTGGTATCGATTAGTTTGAGAGTTCTCGGTGTTTCTTGGGGAGGAACATACAGCGGAGAGCGACATAGTCGTAGTGGTTGAGCTTGTTGACAGCCTGGATCTTTCCACCAATGTAGAACTCCTCGACGGTCTCGTTCAGGTACTTGATGGCAGGGTGCTCTGGGTCACCGCCGAAGACGAGCTTAGCCTCTTTGGCCCTAAATCAGGGGAAATTCCGCGTCAGCAAGCCCCACTAGAGCACGAGCCACTTGGCTTTTAATTGCGTAAGGTCATTGTATGCGACATCCAATGTCACAGATCCAGCTCTCAATGTACTTTGTTCAAGAGAGAGAAATGACCAAGCGACAATTGAAGTCCCAATTTGGAACTGGATCGGCAATGCGACACGGGAATAATAATAATAATAAAAATGGGGGAAAAAAACTCACTTGTCGGGGCGGTAGATGTCGTCGATGGTCAGGATGGCCAGGTTGCGGTCGTCACGGAAGTCACGAAGGGTGATGCGAGAACCAGCCTGAAGCTTGTGTTGGTCGATGACGCCCTGGGAAGCATCGAGGGTGATGGGCATGGAGAAAACATTGCCATCGGCAAGGCGGTTGTCCTCACAGACGCTATGTACATTGTCAGCGCTGTACACGTAGCATATAGAATGTCGAATGTTGCATCGGAGCATGTATTCGTCTCGTCATACATACCGGTCGTAATCGGCCTGGTTCATGAACCCTGCGGAAACCGGCGTTAGCCCTCTGCCCCTCTATTTCCGAGCCTCCGCCCGTTGGACCATGGGGCGTTGGAATGGAATTCGGAGCCATTGCACATACCTTCGAGAGGCGAGAAACCACCGTTCATGATCAGCTCGAGATCGCAGAGCTGGCGCTCGGTGAGCACGACGGCGGGGAGAGTCTCGGCCTCGGCGGCGAGCTCGGCCTGGCGGGGAGCATCGCGGGCGAGAAGGTCCTTGAGGACACCACCGTGGGGGGTGTTAGCCATTGTGTGTGTAGGGATGAGAAAACTTCAAAGAGATCGAAGTCAATGAAGAAGAAGAAGAGGAAGGGAAAGAAAAAGTGGACGCGAAGGCGTGCTTATCAAGAAATTTGGGAGGGGCCGCATACAACTCCCACGCAGTCGTCAATAGTGGAGTCCGTGGAAATCTTGGCTCGCGATATTCCTTGACTCGTACGTTCGCTTGGTTTCGTTTTGAAGAGTTCCAGGCTCACTGGCTTTCAATTCTTTCCGCTACGGCCGCGCACTCCACTCTCTGGGGGGCATTCTCCGCTTCCGCGGAGGAAGATCATCGGATGTTCAGGGGGCATTACGAGTTTACGAGTTTCGGAGTATCTATATGAGTTTGGATTTCATCTCATAGTGCGACCTGTACAGCAGAATACTCCCGAGTCGTACGCTGTGAACATTCGCAACTCATCCGAAGTATAGAATCGCCATACATGCTCACGTGATGCAGCACGTCACCCCCGGGGAGAATCACGACATGGCCACTTCCTAATCGGGTAAGGATCGGTGAAAACCCTAAATGCCGCACGTTACTGGCCCTATGCAGGTTATATTATAGCGTACAGACTTATTATATTACATTCATCCTGCCTTGACCGTGCTGTTAGGAAGCGTGATGGTCAGATTCACATAGTCCACCGTGAAGGCCCCCACTTTCTGGGTGGGCCAGTCCGCGCTCGCATACGATCCAGTCAGGTAGGACTCGATGTCCTCCTCCGACGACTTTGCCGTGTCCATGGACCCAGTCTTCTGCAAAATGTACAACACCGCAATCCGAGAGAATTCCACCACGTCGTCAGGGATGCTCCCCGTCGTGGTCGAGGCACGGCCAGTAGACGTAGGCTTGGCTCCGATTCGGGTGGCTGTGACGGCCTCATTGGTTGTAGTGGCGGTGCCCGTGCCTGTAAAAGTTTGGGCACCCGAGTCATCGTACAGGATTCCGTTCATGGTGGCCTCTGCACGAGCCGCCAGGGCGGGGGTGGGCCCAGTAGTGATGGTGGGAGCGGGAACTTCTGGGGTATTGGCATACGGCGGCGTGTCTGCCTCGAGAGACCGACGAGTATTGCTGGTACTGTTGGTTTTGACATCGCTGAAGGCCACGAGCGCATTCTCCGTCTTGCAGGAGACGTCGTTCATACTGAAGAGTCCCATGATAGTCACTGGGTCGAGGGTGAGGTCGTATGTCTTCTTGGAGACCGCGAATAGAGTCGGGAGTGAAGTGCCCATGGATGCATTCTTGGTGCCAGAACTATCCTCGATCAGATAGGTAGTGCAGCTACCGTCATTGGCAATGGTGCATCGCGAGCCGGTATAGCCGTTGGAACAGACACATGAACATTGACTTCCACTTGAGACGCTCACACCTCCATTCGAGCAGGGGTTACTCTTCGCACAGGTGATTTCATTGCCTGCCTTCTCGCGCGGAACGGCCACGAGGAAAACGGGCAGAAGGACAGCAAGAATAACAATGATGAAGATCACAATGCATATCACTATGAAAAGCTTGCGGGGCATTCCGCAGCACATTTTCTTGCGACGGGGCGCATTTGGATCATCGTCGCTGGAATTGAGCGGCTCGACATTACGCAGGTTAGACCGACCAAAGAAAACCGGCCATGAGCCACGGCTTTCTGGGGTTGCCAGGCCTGGTGGAGGGAATGAGGCAAGCATGTCCGAGATGGATCCCGAGTTACGAGGACGGTGGCCTAGACATGAATTAGTATCAACGGTGCAATGTTTCTTTGCCGCGACTTACCCTTTGAGGCTTTAAATTCAGCCTCTCCGCCGCCAAATAGATCGGCTCGACTGGCGGTTCTTCCGTGATCAAGGTTCGATGCGAGCTTGGTGGCACGCCGAATTAAATCACTCAAGCTGGAGAGACTTCCTCGAGCTTCTGCGTCCCGCACCGCATGCATGTTCAGAGCAGCAGGCTTACGACCCAGAGGCCTCTTGTCGCTCATCGTTGGGGCAGATTTTGGCAGAGCACCAAATATCTCGATTTCCTTTTCAAGGCCTGTACTGTAGGGTCGGTCTTCTCGGTCTTCCTGGGCAAAGGGTGGCTTTTCGGGGTCCAGGCCTTGCAGGGAGTCAGTGGAGGCCGTAGAAGTAGATCCTTTACGCAGTTGGCTGGGTGGGTGAAGCATCTGGTTTGCAGGAGGGCCCATCGCGATAGGAACAACTGCTGTTTTCTTGGGAGACTCTCGGCTGCTAGGACCGGCTGTGTCTGGCAAAGGGCCTTCTGATACTGGGTTCGACTTCGAAATGGTGCGCATTGTCGGCTTCCCTCGTTTACCAAGACTAGCGCTGCGGACAAGAGCTGGTTCCTCCTGCGGGCTTGGTTCGGGTTGTTCGTGTTCAGATCCCATCTCGAGATATGCTCCCAAAATTTCGGATTCAGCTGGCCCGGAGCCCCAGCTAGAAGGGACTGCTCGGCTTGATGCAAAAGATCCTTTGGTCAAGCGAGAATCGAGCTTTTCTGGGATTGGAGAGATAGAGGAACGTCGAGCCCGGGAAGCGTGTTCGGCCTTGGACGGCGCGACAAGACCTGCCGTTCGTTGCCTTGGGTCATACTGGGAGGAGGGTGCCGAGTCCGGCACTGGCGGAGGGAACGGAGGCACGTCCGGAACAGAGGCCATGGTAGAAGCCGTTGATTGTCTGAAGAGGTCATCTGTTGCAATCGATATCCGAGGGGTCATATCAACGGTGCTCGTAGGACTGACAGGGGCATCCGCCATGGCAGGACGGCGCAGCTGCAATGGCGGAGGCGGCTGCAAGGATGCTAAAGATCGGGGAGGCCGTGCGAATTGGGAGCTTGTTTCTGAGTCTTGGCCATCTCTTTCCGAGTAGATAGAGGGCGAGTGAGGGACTTCGCTTGGATGAAGTGGTCTTTGCGGCGGAGGACCGCGCGGCACCAGGAACCTGGGATGGTGATTGATGGGATGCTGTGGTAGCCCGGACTCAGGCAAAGGCCATTGGGTTTGGTGTGATACATTCCTAGGGAGTGGTGGATGTCTCAATTGATGCTGTGGCAAAACTCGTTCTGGACGCATGCCGGCCGCCAGCAACTGCCTGGCCCTTTTGACAGACCCTTGCCTGTCGAGACCCTCAGAGGGCTCGGGGTTTCGTGGAATTCCGCTCATTGCGAGTGCGTTTAGTTAGCCCAAGAACAATACCGGGATAATCGAAGCACGTTGGATGATTGGCGGCAGCTTAGGGCTCAAGATACATCAAGTTAGTGTAGTGGAGCTGCAGTTGAAGGACGGTTGGTAGTAGGTCGAGCCAACTGAGACTGAAAAAATCGCCTGCTTTTTGCTGTGATGGGAATATGAAAAGAGCGAGTATGGTTGCAGGATTGAAGAGGGATAGAAAGCACGAAAAATCAATGTTAATGCCCAGCAGAAGTGGTGAACTGGACGAGAGATGAGATCCACAGGATCGAGTAGAAGTTGTGAAAGAATGAATAGGGCACTCAATGCCTCTGGATCAAACGGTCAGAAAAACCCGTTTAATTCTTCCTGAATAGACCTACCGAAGTTCAAAGCAGAAGAATAGAAGCGAAAAAAACGAGAGCAGGGGATCGCTAGTATCAAACTGGCGTCCAAACAAAGCTAGACGTGCATATCAGTCACGGCTCTTTTCAACTCGGCCAATCCATCCATTGCACTTACAGAAACCAAAAAAGGGACGAGCCTCAAGCTCTAGCAAGCATGTGTCCGCAGAAAGAAAGGAGAACAGAAAGAAAGCAATATGAGGAACACGGGGCTGGGGGCCTCAAACGGCATGGAATAATAGATTAAAAACGATAGACTACCATCAAAGTACCAATCCTAGACACTCCTCGACACTATCGACAGGCCTTTTCTCAAAATGGGCCATGCTCCGTGTAATTTTGTGAGTTTCGGATGAGCCAAAACTGACAGTTCCCAGAGATCTCTCTAAGCGACGAGCAGAGTTCACCTCAACATGAGACCCTGGGCGAATCAACCGGCAAACTCGGGCGCCCACGAGCGAATGAGATTATTCGATCTCGAGGATGTTGTGCCAGTGGAGCCTTTTCCAGGAGGTGGCCCCGGACGCTACGTCTCACATTTAGACGACTGTGGTCTGTGCGGCCAGCCTGAAACTTGAGACGGTTCACATATTATCTGGTTTTCTGATATGAGCTCAAGATCCGTGAGGCCAGCTTGGAAAGTAAGGAGTGACCTTGGAAGGTAGCAGTGAGCAAGAAAACGCATGTCGACTGCCGGGTGGAGTCGAATTCGCGGCTCGGGTATTGTGTTCCAAACGGTCCAGCGTTGCGATTGAAGGCTATGCTCACTGCCGGGGCTAGCAGTGCCACATTGGGCCTCGGACTTGGCGTGGAAAATACCAGCAATACCCACTTTGGATATTGCATGGCTACGGCAATCGATTCTTAATTATGGGACCTCAGGACCGTGTCCAATAGTGCCGGCCCATAAGCCCCATACATATATCCATGAATAGCACATTTAGTTCATGTCTCATATCTCTGCACAGTGCGCCCATCTACAGCATCTCCATTCAACAATGGAGCTCGAGGGTAGGCGTCGAAGGTACTAGACTGCCTGGGAGGTGACACCATCTCAGGGAGTCGATGTTGTGTCACCGTGATTCCCCTTATATCTGGCTGTCGACCAGCCGCTGTTGGACAGGCTCACAAACGGATTCCTTAAGGCTCAGATTCTAACTGAACCTGTAATTTGCGGATACGCTCCTCAAGAGCGCGCATTTCCAGTGTTGTACTAGCCAGGTCAGGCACCTGGTTATCGATCACAGCAGTGAACGACGTCTGAGATTTGCGTAGCGACTGAGGAACCAAGATCCCATACCAATGAATCGGATCGGTAGAGTGGAACTTTTTGCGAGCTTCGGGCTTCTCGACACGAGCCGGAGACTCCGCAGGTTCAGACGATTCCGAGCTCGTCGTCTCGGTCGCGGTGGATTCGTCTGAAGCTTCAAGTTCTGGCTTTGGGGTGGGCTCGGCTGTTTGGCTGTCATGCTCGTTTGCACCTTCGGATTCATTACTCGATGAGAGCTCGACAGCAAACGAGGGTGTAGAGCTGGGGATATCAGAGACGCCATCAATTGCTTGAGGCTCTTTCGTGGAGGCATTCGAGTCTTGTTCGAATTTGATCAACCTAGCAATTTCGAGCGGTTAATACAAGCCGGTGTTTGAGCATGGATGGGCTGACATCTTCCTGGTTGCTTTCATCCGTTCGTCATAGTAATCAGCGCCATAACGGCGGCCCGGTGGACACGTGAAGTTAGCTTGGGCGAGAGCGAAGAACCCCTGATAATTTTCAGCATATGATCTTTTTCATGGAGACCGCGAAAGCCGTACCGATGACAGATGTTCTGCCAGTTGTGTTTGCAGCTTTTGCTGCTGATCTAGCAGACCCAGGTATCGCTCAAGAAGTTCATCCAAGCATTCTGTCGAGACCTTAGACTCAGGAAACTCCGAGCCTGCTCGCGACGTTGGCGGGGTGGGTAATTGGGCCATAGCAGGGGAGTGGGAGGAGGAGAGATGCGATCAACGGGGAAGGGAGCTCGGCCCCGGTAACTCCGTCATTCCCTCCGAACACAAAAGAATTTCCCGCCCTGCGCTTCTTTCCCCGATACACGATCTAACTGCGCTTTGCAAATAGTTTTGCGATCCTCAGTTCCTTCTTTGATTCTTGACTTGGTGCTCTTGCAAAATCCTGCCCGAATCCGATTGCGCCTTGGATAAGAGTCATCGCGCCCATCGCGAATCACGGCATTCCGTCACCCTCCAGTGTCATACGCATTGGATTCTTGAATCGATCGAACTCCACTACAATACACTTTCAACACAATCCACATTCAGTGAACTCTGAAATTTGATAGTTTCACGTCTCTACTCGTCGATCCGAAAATACCCCTCACCCGCTTGTCTTCTCGAATATCATGTCTGTTGCATCTTTCAACCGCGAGACCGCCTTCCAGGCACGGTCGTTGGTAAGTGAAGCAAGGATATGTGTGCTTTGGTCAAGCGCACTCGGATTTGCAGCATCTGGCTAACGCTTGGCTCTCAGTTCCGCTCCCTGCTGCGGTATTCCGGCCAGTTCTCCAACTACAACTTCCGGGAGTATGCTCGTCGGAAGACAAGAGACTCCTTCCGTGAGCACCAGAATGCGACGGAGGAACGTCAGATACAAGAATTGATGCAAGAAGGCTTGCAGAGCTTGCGCTTGATGAAGGTTAGTGGGATATGCATGGAGTTTCGGCAGAACTTGACCAGCGCCGGACTTGAGCGAATCCCCCATGGCTCTTCGCATGAGAGAATCCACGCTGCTCTTTCAAGCTCATCGATCTTCATTTGCATCCTGTCCAGACGTGTAATGCTAATTACTTCTACAGAGGCAAACGATAATCAGTCAGTTCTTCCAGCTGGACAAGTTGGTGGTGGAAGGCCAGAAGACTGTAAGACCGCGGAATCTATTTTTATCGATTAAATGAGACTGACGCCATGCTAGGGCAAGGAGACCGGAGACCATGGAGAAATTGTTCGTCAGAAGGAGACTGGGTAAGTCGTCTGAACCCCCCACCATGGCATCGCTAACCTGCTCAAGTTGGGCTTGATCTAACACGGGATGGGAACTCTGCGACCACAATATCTTTTAATATCCCATTCTTTTTGTTTTGACGCACTGGTCTTCCGGACCTTTCTGTACTTATACACCAGCGTGGCTGTAGCAACTTTTGTCGAAAATACTTCTCCGCTCCTGACTTCTGCGAGCATCAGTCCTCTTCTAGGGACTTATATTTGTAGATAATTATAGCCTTTCCCGTCTATACCATCTCCAGCGTCACCAAGGTGGGAGCGTTTTCAACACTTTGCCAGGCAGGCCGCAGGTGTATACCGCGTCTCACGTGATGTATCCCGTTACGGCCGTCGCGGCGAGCTCAGCGCGAGCTCACCCTCCCAATGCCACTTCGCATCTGGTTTGGCGCAACATCACTATCAGCCAATTGTTGATACCTCTTTAAACAGACAAACCTCATAATCAAATCGAATTTGAGGCCGACTCCAGAGGATCACCCATAATGCCCTCAACTGTACGTTGCAGATTGCGCCCGTGTCCTACCTCATCTGGCCCGAGGCTAGGTTGACAACGCCATTCGTCAATCCCCCAGGCATCTGTATAATTATTATACATAGCTAACATAAGTTATAGTTCAGGGCGTCGCGCTCGGGGCGACACCTCGACGGGGGCCCCAATCGCACACGAACCGGCCAGATCGACCACGATGTCTTTGAGGGATTGCCAGTACGGCGATGGTCCAAGCAAACGCACACATTCTCACAAGCGCCTAAGCCCGATGACTCTGAATTCGGTGTTCAAGGTCCAGGTGGAGGGCCAACCCTACCAGAGCTTCCCATGCCACGGGACAGCGGGCTCTTGCCGCCGATCAGCCGCGCACTGCTCCGCGCAGCCCGCGCAGGATGCAACCATATTCGCCAGGGTGCACGTCCCACCGACGAGGAGGAGCAAAATGCAACAGATCCCGAGGATCCGGCCGGGGCGTCGAGTCTGGCCGATCGCAGCTTTACAACTCGCAAGTGGATGGCTGTTCCTAAGCACTTGGAGGCAGCAGAAGTAGAGTTCTTGGCCAAGCGACGACCCGGCCTCCCCTCCCTCTATGGGGCTGCTGCTGCTATTGATGGAGCCACTGCGGCATCTGGGCCGATGAGAAGAACCAAATTCAAGAAGGTCGACCCAGAAACTGGCAATATCTCTATCTATGAAGCCTGGGTTCCAGAAGGACATCGCATTGAAGGAGAAATCACTGGTGATGTGCAAACAATTGCTGAACAAAGCGACGTCCCCGTGAAACCCGAGGCTCCTGCGCCTGGAACCATTGTTGAGGGCGTGGGTATTGTCAATGCCGAGGGTGTTGTCGTTGCAGAGGCGGGATCAGCAGCCGTCATGACACCTCCAAAGAGACGCCCACCTCCCCCCAAACGCAAGGGCAAGGGTATTGGAAAAGGTCGAAAGAAGAAGGTCATGTTCGCCCCAGGCGAGGGAGCTGATGCAGCAACAGTCCACGGAGTGGGCTCTGGCGCTGGTGATAAGGGGTCCGGTCTGGATGGACAGGGCCAGCAGGATGGTTCCCAGATGTCTGTTGACCAGTCGGGTCAAGATGAAGATGAAGAAGATGGCGATGAGGGCGACGAGAGTGACGAGGGTGACGAGTCTATGATGGATGCAAAGACCCCCGAGACCCCCCAGGCTGCATCTGGTGCAGAGTCTACAGATCACCCCTCCATGGAAACACCTGCTGGGCAATCAGTTGATGCCGACGTCGACATGACAGATGATATCCCCGATGCTGCGCCTGAGCCACCTCTATCGGCTGCTAATGATACCGTTTCACCACCCCAGGCTGAGAACGAGGCACTTCAACCACAAGCTGCCGTCGAGGCGGGTACTGATACACCAGTCACGGAGCTTTCCGCACAAAAGTCTCAGGAGGACGAGAAATCTACAGTCTCGGACAATGACAAGGCGCCGGTCTCTCCTTCTCTCCAGGACACGCCGAAGAAAGAATCCGCCGAACCTTCGGCTGGAGCCGGCGAAGCTCAATCACAGGAGAAGGAAGATATCACACAGCCCACCGCCGATCCCATTGCCAAGGAAGAACCCGGCCTCACAAGTCAAGCAGACATTGCGAGCGCGGCGCCGCAGCATGCAGAGTCCGAACAACATTTGGAGCCACAGCCCTCGAACAAATCACAAACACCTGAGCAGCCAAAACAAGTAGCTGCGGAATCGGAATCAGCCCCAGAATCAGCTCCTGTGTCTGCTGAACCACAAACAACTCAGAGCATCACCAGTGAGCAAATAGAACCGCCCAGCACACAAGAGCCCCTTGCAGGAGCTCAACCCGACCAACAAAGTTCCTCGGGCGCTCCCGAAGTCGAAATGGACATGAGTGATGCAATTCATACAGAACAGCAGGATACCTCGGCGCCAGAACAACCTACAGTGCCAGAGCCACAACCTGCCGCACCTGCGGATTCAGATTCAGCACCAGGAGTAGCAGCAGAGGCTCCACAGGCTGAACCTGCCCCGGTTATCGAAAATGCTACTGTACCCGACACCTCTCTCGCAGAGCCTATTCTCACGAAAGAGCCCACGCCCAACACACACGAACACGCCGATGCGCCAACAGATTCAACAAGCTTAGATCAACCAGAAACTGCCGCTGAGCCAGAGCAGAAAAACGAGTCCCTGTCTGAAGAGCCCAAAACTGGACTCGATCAATTGCCAGATCCAACACCGGGGTCCGGGCCGCTTTAATACATCTCTATGGGGTTGGTCCAATATCGACATAATGTACAATGATTGTTCTTTTTTTTTTTTTTTTGTCCAGTCACTTCATGGACCCTGTTTTCCCATAGTATATGGCCACATTTGTGAATGTGATTTTTCTTTATTCTGGTTAATCACCCCAGGCCATGTGTAGTATCGATTCTACCTAGGTATTTTCCTAAAGGAGACCTTTCATTGCATCTATCCAAATTTTTCTTACTCCGTTATACGTCGATAGCAGGGATATTAGCATGTAGTTTCATTCGCGATATCATTACACAGTGCTCAGCAATGAGAACTTTCGGACCCAAGCAAGGCTGACTAGGGGCCACACAGAGCTCTTATGGAAGTGGGTTTTCCCAAGAAGCAAGTTTCTCGATATCGGTGGGGATCTTCCACCCATGCGAATACGAGACCCTCTTGTAAGCATCCACGGCTTCACCCACTGAATATTCCGTGCTCGACCTATTGAGCAATAAACGTGCAGGCCGAGGATCAGGGTTCAAGATCGCCATGCGGACTTGCAACAGGACACTCTCTATCGAGATTGTTGGGAGCCAGCCAGACTGCGTGAGCAGTTCCATGCACATCGCGCCACCAGTTGTGACGTGCCCACCGCCACCGTGGGAGAATTCAACAAAGCGAGGGCGAATCACTCGAACGAAGGGGGGATCCATGGGGAATTGGGCAGGGAAGCGAAGTTCTAGTACAATGCTCTGCATGTTCAGTGCCTGGAGGTCCTGTGCTAGTGGGATTTCTGGATCGAAGGAGTGTAATTCCACAATCCATTGGTAGACTGTGTTGACTAATTTGTGGTTAACGTACCAGCCGAGATCCTGAATCGGGATTTCTTGTTGGATTTTGACCGTTGCAGCCAGATGCTGCTGGAGGATCTTCGTCGCCGGAGTACTTGCATATTGCGGGTGGCCAAGCGTAGGCAAGGAGTCTTCCTGTAGGGTTCCGGGGTGAAATGGGGTTTTAGGGACTCCTCCAACATTTTCATCTTGAACAGTTTTCGGGTTGCTTTTGGGTTCCTCGTCGTCGGATAACAGGATGTAGATATCCTCAATATCAGTTCCAACGCTGGTGATGTCGTCATTCTCATCCCCCCTGTCCTTCACGATGATCTTACGCCTTTTTGGGGATATTGCACACATTCTAGCCTGTGAACCGGATTGGCAATTTTCCTGAACAATCTTGCCTCGCTGACCGCTCAGTATTGAAATTGGAATGTTGATTGGAACTTGGTGTGGGCCATGAGCAACATGGTCTGGATGCTGTTTGTAAAAGGAACCTTCTGCTTGTTTTTTGGAGCTGTAAGTTCGCAGAGGGTACTTTGCAGCAAGCTCAGGGACGTCGAATTGGACAAACAGATACCTTGTCTGGATCCAGTCAAGATGTTGCACAACATAATGCGGGTAACGGCTAACGAAGTCCTCAACTGAATTGACGATTTCATTAAGCGATACCGCTGTTGAAATTTTCAGTCGAGACTGAGGCCACTTGGAAGTGTTATACTGACCAGGGTAGTGGGTGTAGCCCATTGAGACATCCAGAAGATTTGACATGTACACGCCATTACCAAATGCACGGCCATGGAGTTGCTTCTTAAAGTGAAGACCCACACGCAGGATGTTGTGCCAATTTGGCACTGGGCTCCCATGCCACGCAAATAGAGTGGGGTGCTTGGGATTCTTGTCCAAAGAGACAGAGTTGATAGCATTGATGAAACGCTGTTCTTTGTCGGCCGCACCTTGAACAAGGCGAAATTGAACATATCCACTCATTCCAGTCACTTGATGTGACGTGTCTTGATTGTCTTGTTTGATCAAAGATCGATTTGAGGCAACAACCCAGCGTAAAAGATCCAACGCAGTGGGAGAGATAACCTCCTTCCACGCTGAGAGGAGTTTCTTCTTGCCGCCGGTTTGAATGAATGAGTACATTTCCTGGACACTTGGAAGAGTAGCAAGGATAAAAGAAATCATCTTCATCTTGAAAGGCAGTGTCAAAGTATCCAAATCCGTGTCATAGATTGTGAATTGGACTTGAAGGTAGTCATCCAGAAGCCTTTGGTTCTGTATCCGCTTTCCTTGTCGAAATAAACCGGAGAGAAAAATATGACCAGATGATGTTTCCATGTCCTCGACACGACAATGCCATTCCTCCGTGGTACCGTTTCCATTGCCACTCAGACCGGGACCGACACAGATGACGATCCAGTCACCAACTTTGAGAGGAAGTCGCGCAGCTGGCAAGAGATCGAGCTTGGCTGCATTCAACTCTCCAGCATAGAGCAAGTCATTGCCTGGGCCGGTTTGAAATAACTTCGCTGGCACTTGAAGCCTAAGACCACTTGGAACCTCTTCGAGCTGCTCTGAGACGGCTGCAGTGTATGCAAGGCTGACCAACAACTCAACAACGAGCGGCTGAGAGTGAATTTCATATTCAAGACTTGAACCCATTGCCAGCGCCATGTATTGGTACAAGCATAGTCCGCTGGAGCATACATACGGCTTCAAGGCCTCAAAAGTATCGTTGGTTTTGCAGTGGCATACCAGGCAGAATTCTGTGCACTTAACAAAATGTCGAAGGGTAAATTGCATGGCCAAAAGAGGCAACGATAGCATGGAGATATCGCGGCCAGTTTCGGCCAAATGGTCAGACGCAAGAATCTTTGGCGCTGATGTAGCCCAGTCATCTGATTGGTTATACTCTATTGGGGTCGCGTCAGGTCCACTGGCAGTTCCGCCTTGGTTGTGATTAAAGAATATCTCGCCTCCTGTCCATGAATATCCATGCTGTAGACGAATCTGAATAATTCCAAGTAGGCGCTCCTCGAGTAGTGAGTTGAGAGAACTTCCAATGAAAAGAGGCTTGAGGGAGCTCTCGTTCATGGCTTTGTTTCCACACAGACCGGGCAGTGTGTTTGTCGAATCCGTGGGGTCTTCGTCTTTTCTCTGGTCTCGTGTGCTCTGGAAAGCCTCCACTGCATGTTGAACATATGGTTTGTATGAATCGCAGATTCCAACTCGCATCTGAATCAGGTTCTGCTTTATGGTGCCACAGACCCCCATTATTCGCTGCAGATTAATGTAGGTTGGAACGTAGCGGATCAGCAACACCAAGTACTCCGAGGGCTTGACGTTCCAGGCATCCATGGCTTCATTGGAGATGCCAAGTTTAGCGATTCGACAAGAGACTGTCACAATGATGGATTTTTCTTTCGATCCCAGATGTCCCACCTTGAATCCAGCCTGTTTGGCAAGACGCAAATCACAGCGAAGATTCTTCTGCGATTCACTGTCGCTTTGAATAGGTCCAAACATATCTTCTTCCTCATCAGAATCCCACTCTGGCTCACCAGTGCTGTTTACTGACTCGCCATCATCGGGGCCAGATAGGTTGTCTTCCACCAAGCTTGATTTGGAGTTAGGGCTGACGCCGGAATGCGCGATGGTGTCCGTCAAGTTGATCAAGAGCTCATGGATTGTCAAGCCGGCGAAGAGAGATCCATCACTCTCTAGTCTGGACGTTATTTCCGAGGGGCAATTTTCGGACGTTGCGAAAACGAAGTAACTGTGATGCTTGGGATAGTTGTGGGAGTCTATCTCATTGGTCAGTAGGGCGCCAAGGTTTGCCAATGACGAAGTCTTCCTAGGACCTACCCGATACAATGGCCTGGAACTCAACCGTCAAGGCTGTCTTGGGTTCCGTGAACTTGAAAGAGACCGATCCATCGCACTCTCCTGCTCTGATATTGGAGATGCAGGAGAAGCGACCAGGAGCTGCAGCGTGCTCGAGATCTTGCAAGAAATCTTTACGCGGCATGTTGCATCGCTGGGGGAGGTAACGACAGTCCTCGGGAAAGTGAAGCGTAAACAAATGGAAGAAATGAAAGAGAAGTAGAGAGGTGGAGAGTGGAGAAAGCAGCACAACAAAGGTGATTAAGGTCAGCGGGAAGGCGGGTAGGCGTCCCCACTTGAACTATGGTTCGGTTTTCAACCTCATCGGTTACTACTGGTGCCCTGATAGCTCCACGCCAATAGCTTCATGATGAGAAAACTAGTACCCTGCAGCTTGGTGGATTATACCTGGCTTCATGTCATATCAACCAGGATACTCCAGGAGATCTTGGAAGCTGTATCACGGGGTTTGATTGCTAGCTAACCATAGGAACTATACTCAACGAGAATAACTGTCCACACAAAGAGATGGAACATAAAGTACCAGTTCGTACTTGATAGAGGGCCAGCTAGTAGAGCATGGCACTTTAAAGCTGTGGTTTGGAACACTGTCAGCAGGTCACTCGCCATACGAGCTACAATTTCTACTACCGTCCATTCCGGATCAATCCGGGAGCTGCCTTTTTTGAGCCATATTTGAAGTCTAAATGTTTCTAATTTATGGATTACGAAAGGTTCTTTGACTGCAGCGAGATCGGTAGGGCTTGATTGTAGCAAATAAGAGGTGTTCCCAGCCCGGGTCTTTGGAACTCTGCATGTCAAATCGAGCAGCTGATACATTCCACTCCAGGCTTTGTAAGAATGAATTCACTTTGCTTGATATTTCCACAAACTACACCTTTATGCCCTCAATCATTATAGGCCGATTGAACAAGAACGCCACCGTCGCCAAGGCCTTCCCGATAGCACACAACATTATAGGAAATGTCGAACTAACCTCACGCTGGGCGAAGGCACCCACAAAGCAGCCAGCAGTCAGCATAAGTAAGAACATGACTCGACGGTTTCGTAGACGGTTTTTCAGTTTCCCCAAGTTTGGGTCGATGACCACGTCCACGAATGCAGCTGTCGCCATGGCTGTAGTAATCTCCGTGACCTTCAAAGAGCGGCTCATGGCCACCTGGGCCCCAGACGAGAATGCCAGAAGGGCTATGACTCCCATCGCAGCAGGGCCATCCCTTTGGATTGGAAATGAGTACTGTACTGCAACCGCCGCAAACACCAGAGACGTCTGGACAAGATTGCTGATTAGAAGCCAGAGCCGTCGTCTTACACCAACATGATTTCCAATCTGACCCATGATGAATCCACCTGCCACAAAGAGACTGAGGCTGATCCCAATGTTGGGAAAGCTATATGTGTCGTTTGTGAGACCCGCGACGCCAATGGCAAGAAATAGTGTGTTTCCAGTCTGATTAGACGCGAAGCAGCTATAATCAGGCCAGGCAGCGGCATCTTGTATGCCAGTTGCGAACGATAGAAGTAACAGCTCGCTTTCAAGAAGAAGGTCCTCGCGGATTTCCTCGGCGAGAAATTCGCGCAGTCGTCGTCGTCGTCGTGTCGTACGACTGGCCCCATTCACTGGTAAAGTGAGAGACATTTTTGTGTTGCTCTATTCACAATTAGTGCCTTGTGCCTCTCAAAGGTTTGAAAAGTATTAGTCTCACAATTGATCCCACTGGGGATATCAATGAAGACAAAGCTTACCGTATACCTAGTAGGGTTGGCTTCCAAAGGATGTCCGGGATTTGCGAGACATGTAGGTCTGTCGCATAAAAGGAGGGGTGCAGTGCATCACTACAGGTCGAGTTCAAAGTTCCAGCCAGACCCGTTTTATATCAATGGCATGGGGCTATCCAAGCAACCTTGGAAGGTACTAGGTAAATGTTGCCTCGGTGGCATTCCATGCTGACGTTGTGCTATCATTCCGCCGAGGAATTTGGAATCTCAGAACGATCATCGAGCAAGATCGACCACGAGTTCTCAATCCAAGATCGGCATCTGTGGTCTGCTGCCAAATGTTCAACTGATATCATCTACAGCGTACAGAGCGCATCATTGGTTCATTTGGGCCCGCTGTGCTCTTGGCATCGCCGATTCTGTCAGTGATGCTGTTGGAACTTGGAACTTGCACGTGCAGCTAAGACCTTTCTTCTTTTACGTCCTCTCGTCCTCTTGAGTTCCTGGGCCCCTTGAATAGACACGGAGGTAGCTTTTGTCCGATGCTTCTGAGCCCACTGTCTACTTCGTGCCAGGGTCAGCGGCCAAAGCCGGCCTCCATGTCCAACTAAGCCAGCATTGAAAATTCGGGATCAAACAAATGAGATGGTAGGATTGGCTGCTTAGGGAGGGTGAGCTTCGCTTCATTCTGTCAACTAGACCTTCAGCACTCCAATTGAGGGACTGTGTTTGACTCCTAGAACGACAGTGCAATAGATGTACATGGAACACCCGGCCCAACAAAACTATGAGTGATTCCTGGCGGGGGTTGAAGGTGTGTCTTAATCGCAAGAAAACCTGCTTAGGTAGCCTTGTCCTTGTTGTGGTAGTTGACGTCGGAGTTCCAGCTATGAATGGTCAGTTAAGTGATCGGCATGCTTTGATGAATGACGTGACAGATATCGAAAGGGAAACCATGCAGTAGGAGCAGCACCCGATTGTAACTCGCAAAAATTGGAGATTGCATCAAAGCGTGATGTGAAGCGGGTAATAACTCACAAAATGGTCTAACGTCAGGCGTTGGTTAGCGGAGGCGGTGAAATGGCGGGGCTCGAATAACATACCTTGTCACCGTCTCCCCAGGGGAAGTTCTTGGAGCGGATGTTCTGGTAGGGGTACTCGGTGCGCTCCTCCAGAGGGGGCATGTGGGACCAGTGCTCCCAGTGCTCGGTCCAGAGGTTGTAGGCGTTAAGGCCACCGCCGATCAGACAAGGGACGATCGCGCTGCACGAAGATTAGTATTGTAGGTTAAGCTCAGCTCGTGGGCTGTCTTTGTGAGAAACATACTAGATGGACAGCTTGCGCCAGAGGTCTAGACAATAATACAGTTAGCACCGGATATACTCAGCAGCGGCCAGTTGACCAGAGAGTATCAATTGATTGAATTGGGTATGACTAACCACTGGTAGAGGCGGCATGGTGCTTGACGGCAGCTCGCTCACGGTTGAACTCGTTGTCGGCGGCCCAGGAAGGCTTAGCCTCGGTGCTGTTGGCACGGCGCTGAACGGTGGAGCGGACCGGAGCGGAACGCATCTGCTGCGACGCGCGCTGGGAAAAGCGACCGATGATGCGCTGAGAGAACATGGTGGCTGGTGGTAAGGGGTGCTTTGGTGGTGTGAGGTCCGAATGTCGTGGGTTTGCTGCAAACCGCCTTTAGCGGCTTCCCGTGATCTCCCGCTTATGTAACCTGATGTCACGCCATGGTAACGGGTAATGTATGCACCTTGATTCGACGCCAGTACATTTCTTGACGCAGTGTTAACGCGGTGATCGTTGACTTGCTGCATTCTCACTGACATTAGGTCTCAGCGCCGTGGGAAATGCTGTGCTCCAGTTGAGTACATCAGCTTCATACCATGGGATTCCGTCTGACAACATGGAATGGTAAGTTCGGTTGGCCTGTTGATAGGGATTGGTGATCCCTGTGCATGCTAACGAAGGTGTGGTTAGTGAATGGTATTCGGTATGAAGAACATCTGCAACTGGAGATCGGGACCTGCTAACGCATCGGCAAGAAACCCATTCTCCTATGAGCCATGGCGGGGGAAAAGAACCTTCGAGGTATGTGTTTCTTCTGTTCCTTCGCGAACCTCGACTCCGACTGAATGTACAGTCTATGTTCGAAATTCTGGAAGCAGATATTGTTGTTCTCCAGGAAACCAAGATCCAGCGTAAAGACCTGCGTGATGACATGGTCCTGGTGCCAGGGTGGGACTGTTATTTCAGTCTCCCACGAGTCAAAAAAGGTCGGGTTTGAAGCTTGTACTGCACATACTAGATGCTTACAATTCTTAGGATACTCCGGCGTCGTTATTTACACCCGCAATGCCACATGCGCTCCTATCCGTGCAGAGGAAGGTATTACAGGAGTTCTCTGCCCGCCGAACTCATCTGTTCCATTCCGCGACCTCCCGGAGGAGCGACAGATTGGAGGATATCCGACTCTTGAGCAGCTCTCCAGATCGAACATTACCACAGAGGCCCTTGGCTCGGAGCAAGAAGAAGATAGCATGCAGCCGACACCTGATGCCAAAATAGATGCATCGACTCTCGACTCGGAAGGCCGTTGTGTCATTCTTGAGTTCCCTGCATTTGTACTCATTGGTGTATACTGCCCTGCCTATCGTGACGAGAGTCGGGATAGCTTTCGCCTGGACTTCCTCAATGCACTCGATTCCCGAGTCCGCAACTTGACCAAGATGGGGAAAAGTGTGATCGTGACTGGCGACATCAATATCTCGAAGCAAGCCATAGATAGTGCTCACGCAATCGAGAGCATACGCAAGGCCGTGACTTCAGCCGAGGAGTTCATATCCAGTCCTGCTAGACGAGTGTTCAACCAATTGCTATCAGATGGCGTGGTCATCGGTGAGCGCGAGGAAGGCCGAGAAGACCCGGTTCTTTTCGATGTATGCAGAAAGTTTCATCCAGGTCGCACTGGCATGTATACATGCTGGGATCAGAAGCTCAATGCACGACCGGGGAACTTTGGCTCGAGAATTGACTATGTGCTGTGCGGTTTGGATATGCAGGGTTGGTTCTCGGACGCAAATATCCAAGAAGGATTGATGGTATGATTCCTCGGCGGTTTGATGTTACTCTAACTCGACTAATCCCTCAACAGGGCTCGGATCACTGCCCTGTGTATGTGGTTTTCAAAGATTCTGTTCGTCATCTCGGGAGCGAGACTAGTGTTCGAGACATACTGAATCCACCGGGAATATTCAAAAACGGCGAACGTCAACAAGAGTATTCAGGCTCATGCATACTCCCCGCATCGGGGCGTCGACTACCAGAATTTGATCTCGATAAACGCATAAGCATTAGGGACATGTTCTCACGAAAACCCACGCCTAGTTCATTGAAGCCGGAGACCGGCGCTGCCACTATGACTACAACACATAGAACTGGAGCCGAACGCTCGATACCTACAATTGACGACCCTCATAACTTGCCACAAAAGGTCATTCCAGTCACTAGCAAGAAGCCACAGCCTAGTCCCCGCAAACGTTCGCAGCCTCCCTCTGTCACACCACTCAAGCGATCGAAGCTCGATACTCCAATAACCTCTGGGGCTTCGAAGGGAGGTCAGAAGACACTAAAGGGGTTTTTCAAGCCGAAGGGTGTGGATGATGGAGAGTATGCTATACCACATCTGGCGTCTGCGGGATCAGAGGCATCACATTTCAGCTCCGGGACATCAGGCCTATCAGAGGAAACCCAAGGCACTTCTCACACTGATTCTTGGGGCTCTTCAGATTTCGAAAACGACAATTCAAACAAACGGCAGCGCGGTGAGCGTGATCAATCGGCAGCTGACGCTTCACCTACTGCAGACTCGGTCGTCGATCCCATTGTCAGCAAGGAGGATTGGTCTAAGCTCTTCACCAAGAAGCGGGTCCCATCGTGTGACGGACACCAAGAGCCATGTATCAGCCTAACCACAAAAAAGCCTGGGATGAACCACGGTCGTCTTTTTTGGATATGCTCACGGCCATTGGGCCCTAGCGGTGGAAAGGAGAAGGGCACACAGTGGCGATGCTCAACTTTCATCTGGGCCAGTGATTGGAATCCATCTCCGGCATCACAGCAATGACCTGCCGGACTTTCTGCGCCGGACCTCGTGAGTACTACATGGTCTTTGTGTGATACTGATAGAAGATAGCATACTGGAGCAAGCCGCTCGTGTCCTTCCAATAAAAGGCCGGCGAATGATCTATCTATTCTCTTCATCGTTCAATATTCAAGACTGTTTACTACCATTGATACCGCCTTACCAAGCTCGACATACTACCCAAGACCCAATGGTATTCGTCTGAAGGGGCAGGCCAGTCATCTCATGAGTGCTACCAGCCATTTTGGGCTCTGAGGTCGACTTGCCAGATTGAATCATAGGAGGTTCTCCTCCGTATATGCCAATGTGTTTCCAGGGCTGTCCAACTGGGCACGGATTTCCCATGGGCTACTGGTTGAAGCTCGGGTGCCTAGGTAACTGTCACCCGGGCATCCATAGATGGTTGTCCGGATGCCCAGGTAGAATGTGCTCTCAGGCATTGATTCCATTGGCTTCAGGTGTCTTCCTTGTCCTTCCCTGGATTTCTTTTTGTTTTACTATTTTCCAAAAACAGAATTCAAAAACAACATATTTCCTATTGTTCTTTGTTTGCTTTTTCTTATTCAGTTCCTCTTCTGGACTTTCAAATGTTTTTGTTTCCTTCTGTTGGCCTTCATTTTCTTTTCCAAAAGAATAAAAATACATTATGATAAACCAAAATGGGAACAAATAAATTGATTTTTCCCCACCAGGCAGAGGTACCTCAAAACACAAGTACTCATGACCACCGAAGTGGAAATCATGTCTCTATCCAGGTGCCATCCGACTGAACATACAATATAGGAATAGGAGATTATTCCAGTAACTTCAAGGTCAATGACAGGGTTACCCCCTAGGCGCTGTGTAACTTGCAACAATAAGGTTGCGGGGGCGGTAAGCCCCGGATCGACAGCCCTGGATATCCACACACGCCACGTGGTGCTGCCCAGGCTCTACTGTACTGATACCATACAATACACTCTCTACGGACTCTAAACATACATACATCTCAGTAGAGCCATAGCATCTTAGGATTGAGATTAGTAGACAGAGTAAGAAAACAGATGTGTGATCTGTTTTGAGTCAAGCATCCAAGGATGTACCTACCTAGGTAGGTATGCATGTTGGGATCATTGAGAAGGTACACAAGGTACATACCTAGGTATTGTGCAAGTTGTATATCCTTTCTCTTTGTCTGATCAATTCCTATTGTCCTGTGTGTCTATGTGGACTGCCTTTAGGGCTGCGTTCTGAAAGGGTATTGTGCAATTGAGAACTGGCTTTTTTCTATTGGTGGCTTTCTTTGTTCTATTGAGGCCTGAATAGAGAAGGAAGAACAAAGAAACTGAACAACATGGGACGCCTTATTGAGACCTTTCAGGGAAAAGAATATTTTCCTCCTCGTTTTATGATTGGCCCTATATTTTTGAACAAAGAAACCACAGCCCTAGTGCTTCCTTCCTCTCTCTCTCTCTTCTGTTGCCCTGTATTTCTTTGTTTACTCTCACCTCCTTTCTCTTCCCTTTCCCATCCTTCTTTGTTTCCTGCACCACACTTCTCACTGCCTCAACATCGCTCACTAATATTGTTTCTTCGGAGACAGTTTTTCGATTTGTTGCAGAAGGACTGTGGAAACTGATCCTTCCCACCTACACTTCCTTTCTTTCCCCTCAAATTCTCTTTCAGTTCTACCTTTCCTTCATCTCTATCCCCACTCTCTCCTTCTCGATTCATCATGTCGCAAGACGGTTTGTGGCAGCTGGAGGACCCCGACACCGTGTATCCCCGTCGCGCGATGGAGATCTTCTGGCTTGATGCCTGCAAGAGTCTCGAGAGTACCAATGGAGAGGTTCTCGTGGACTACGATTCTGTTCATGATCTCATCGGAATAGACTTCCTCAGGGAGATGGCCTATCGCCTGGCGTGAGTCTTTGACCTTGTATCTACTCTGAGTGATTTCGCTTGCTGACCAGACCATGACAGGGTTGTCCGAAACAAGAGGATCCATATCATCAAAGATGATTCTCTTCGGGTTTACCGTCTTACTGCTGAGGGCCCAACTGATGGTACCTCTTCCAGCATGAGTGTCTCTGACGAAACGATGGACTCAAGCAACGGCAGCCAGATCACCATCTTGTCTGGATCTACTGCTTCTTCTACCGCCTTGTCCTTCTCTTCGCCAAAGATCCCCCGGCCTCCAAACTGTTTCATTCTCTATCGCCAAGCTCACCATGAGAGGGTCAAGGCTGAAAACCCTGGCATTACCAACAACGAGATTTGTGAGTATTGTCCGCTTGTGCTGATTTCTTCTTATGCTAACTATGATTTCAGCTCGCCTCTTGGGAACTCGCTGGAAGAATGAGTCCGATCATATTCGTGCCCGCTACACTGAGCTTGCCGAAAAGCTGAAGCGTAAGCACGCCATCGCGCATCCCGACTACCAGTACGCTCCTCGTCGCCCCTCTGAGCGCAAACGCCGTGCAACTCGTGCTCGCAGCCAAAACTCCACCGTCGAGGATGACTTGTCCACTGATCAGATGTCCAATGGCTACATGGATGTGGATCCTGAGTCGCAGGTGGCTCAAGCCATGGCTTCAAATGAAAACCTCGCGATTCGTTTCGATCCTTTTGACATGTCTGTCTTCGACGAGCCTAACATTGGCAACATCAACCAGCACCCCCAGCTTCAAGCCGCTGGATTTGGCGAGATTGACTACAGTCCCATTCCTCTTCCCGAGTCCGACCCAAGCTACATGACTCTCGATGACGTTGACGAGATGATTGCGGCCTACGGCAACTAGCTTGAACCTCTCCTTTGACCTCGACTTTTTTTCTTTTCTTTTTCTTTCTATTGCTCCAAGCAGAGCCCAATGAAAACAAAAAATCCAAAAACAATTAAAAACAAAAAATCCTATCTGTTTTCGTCTCGTTTTGTTTCTTTGCTAATTTGCTTTTCCGCGTTGTGTTTTTCCCATCATTCTTATCGAAATTGCCAAGAGAGCATAACTTGAATACCCTGTACGAATAGCACCGCTTGTTTCATTTTCGTTCTGGAGTCGGGAAGTCGTCATCGGGGGGTGGAGGGGGGGTTTCTGTTCCTGCCGAGTGGTGGACTCGGATTGAGCTGGGTTTTCGTCCCCAGAGGGTTTTCCCCAGCTCAGTCCGAGTCCACTGCGTGTAGGCAGCTAGTTAGTTGAATGAAGATTTCGAAAATGCCTTTCCTCTCGTAGTCTGTAGTATCTGTCATGTTCATCATAGATCTTGTCTCGACAGACGGTCGCAGGTCTTCGTGTTCTCTAGACCTGCTTTCACGAACGTTTGTTTGCATCTCAGGATCTGCCAAGCACAGCCCGATGTGTCCCAAAACCCTCCAACCGGTCCTTTTACATCCACGATCCCTTGGCCTCGAGTTCTCGACCGTTCGCAACCGCAGTTCTTTGTCTACATGAGGTGACGTCGTGATATTCTTTGTCGTACCCGCCGCTAGTCGGCCCGATCCACGGATCTGCATGCGCCATGCTGGAGGACCCACCGGTCAGACGTGGGACAAATCTTGGCAGCGACGGCACTGCCGCAATACGACCGCGGAACGGATATGCGACCGTGCGTTTTACAAGGGTCTCCATTGGAGCCAAGGCCTGGTTAATACGGGACACCTGCAGTACGGTTTGACCCAGAGATGTGAATTACTTGCATTCGCTATGGAAATTCAAAACTCGAGACTAACTACTAGAAGATGGGACAGATACAGGTCCGAAGAGGACAAAGCGCGACGCGAGTACCACTAGATTGGAGTTGAGATGCGGAATATACACAGGCAGCCGTAAATGAAGGAAAGACATGTGCGAAAATTCCCTCAGTCCTCCTGGTAGGAGATCTTGCGCATTTCGCCGAGACGCTGGCGCGCACGAGCGAGACCGTTCTCGAGTTGGAGGATTTCGACCTGTTGGGAGGATACACATGAGTATGGGGTCGATGGGATACACGGGGGAAGGGGACGTCACATACCTGTTGCTCCATCTCGCGGACTTTGAATTCGTGTCCGCTCAGCTTACCATAATCCTCTGCGTCATCACCATCCCGGTTCTTCTCCTTGATGATGTCCTGAACCTGTCGCACAAGAGCACGGCAGGCAGCACCAACAGCCTTGCTAGCTGTCTCCAAGCGGTCTTGATTCTTGCTCATGAAGGTTGCCTTGACACGGCTGGCAGCGACAAGCTGAGCAGTGCTGGCTGCCACGTCGTTGGATGCGACAATGAGCTGCTCAGGGGAGTTGCGACCGGAGATGACACCGTCAGCAGTCTCAATCAGCGTGTTTGTTGAAGAGGCCACTGCTTTGGCAGCGGAAATCAACCCCTCCGTCCAGCGGTTGTTCTTCTTGTAGAAGGCAGTGCGAGACGAGCTACCACGACCCTCGCGGACGATCTCCTGTTGAGTTTCCGTGGCGGCCTTAATCAGCTCAGAGATTGCATTGGTTACGGCGATGGCGGCAGCAAGGATAACATCGTTGATGCGCAGCTCGTAGGTCGAGTAACCGTCGCGGGGCTTGTTCTTGAGCTTGGCGAGGCGCTGGGCGGCCGCATCAATGGCATCAGCGGCCTTGAGCAACTCCTGATCGACAAGATCACCCAAATCGCCGTTTGTGCTGATTTTGCTGTTCTTGGGAGCGAAGGTGTCAACCAGCTTCGACAGTGATTGCAGGTCACGCTGGACCTCCAGGTTGTTGTTAATGACCACATCTGTCTTCTGCAGTGGCTCCAGGCCCTCAAGGCGGAAAGACTGCAGGCCACGGAAGAATCGCACGGTCGCCTGGGCAGACTTTCGAGCAGCGTTGACAAGATGATCGGAGCTCTTATCGTCGTTGGCGAATCGAATGAGACCCTTGGTGTTGCTCAAAACATCCGAAACGGATCCAGAGAAGATAGAAACTGTGCGGATGATTTCGGCGTGAGGACTGTTGGGGCCATCGGCAATGAAGTTGTTGAACGCGGTTGAGAACTCGGTCGCAGAGGCTGATGCCTTCTCAATCTGCGAGAGAACATATGGAGGCGAGGCATTCTGGTTACCAGCCTGCATAGAAGAGTCCAATTCATACAGAGCATCATCAACACGCTGCACACCGGTCTGCAACACTGAATCGATGATATCGTTGATCTTCGCGACTGCGCCGTGGAGCACTGTGTCAATCTGGCTGTCTAGCGCATGGTCAACATCTCCTTGGTTCTAAATTCCGACATCGTTAGCATTCAGTTTTCATTCGGCGCCTGTGTGTCTCACCATTCTCAGCTCTTCGAGCTCCATGAGAGCCTGTTCCATTCCAGACTTGTAAACCTCGATCTCTTCATCCTTCTCAGCAAGAGCCAATTCGTGGTCTTCCTGGTGGTCGTTGTTTCGGCTGGAGTGCTCGTCCAGAGCTCGAGTCTTGACTCGGAGGGATTCTTCCAAGTCGGCCATCTCGCGATTGTATTTAGACAGCATGGAAGAGATCTCGGTGCCCTTTGATCGCTCTGCATTTTCAGCACGTTCGAGCGCCATGCGCAGCTCACGCTTGATCTTCTCCAACTCATCCTTGTTGGTACCCGTCAGACGGTCACGGTCATGCGTAGCACGATCACGCTCCCGAATCATGTCGGCCAGTTCCAAATTCTTGGTCTTTAGCTCACGCTCGAGCTTCTCGCGGCGGTCAATGGCCTCCTGTGCAGAGGCAGCCTTGAGCTTGAGGCTCTTTGTGGTTTGGAGGAGATCGAGATGCTCTTGTCGAAGCTGGGAGTATAGTTTGGCCAGCGCCTCGTACTTGGACCGCCAAGTGTTGACTTGCTCCTGGAGAGCTCTGATCTGCTCGTCCTTGGAGGCACTTTGCATGTTCAAGTTAGAGTTCAGGTGGTTCATCTGCTCCTCAAGATCCTTGACACGGCGGTCATATTGTTGGAGCATCAACTGGTCCCGTTCGTACTGAGCGCGAGCATTGAGGTTCTCCTGCTCCAGCTCTGCCAATCGACCCTGCGTATGGGTTTGATACTGATCACGAAGAAGTTGTTCTTGCGCCAGCCGTTGCTGTTCCGCTTGCAGGCGCTGTTGTTCCTCGAAGTCATTCTGTGCCTGCTGTTGCGCGGCAAGCTGTTGGCGTTGCTGGTCCTCCCACTGCTGCTGCAGGCGTTGTTGCTCTGCCTCATACTCCTCTTGTTGGCGTTTAGCTTCGTCGTTCCAAAAGTCGTTGATTGGCTCAGGCTCCGCAGCAACCTTGGGGGGTGGCGAGGGCTGCTTTTCCACTTCTCTCGCAGGGCGTCTGGGAAGAGCCGGGCGCTCGTCATCCTCGCCAAGCAGATTGGGCGGGTCCTGGGGCAGCTTTGGAATGGTAATGAGACCAGTGAGGTAGCGCAGGTTGGAGCACTCGTAGTAGAACCGAACGAGACGGTGGTGCTGGGCATCATACCGGCCCCGAAGTGGCTCAAGGGCTTCATCATCTCCAGTTGCTGCAGCAAATATTAGTCAGTGATCATCGAACTGACGCTCTGGATATCAGGGCTGACATACTTGTGTGCATGGCTCTAAGCATGCTAGTGATGAACTTGTAGATACCATAACTCTCCTGCACGAGAGGGACCAGCGCTGAAATCCGACATTCATTGTTGGTGCCGGACTGGAAGTTCGAGAAGACGAGTTTCTGGAAAGAATCAATTTGATCCTGGAGGGCCATGAGGTCGGTGATGGTCTCATATCTGAGAAACGCCTATGTCAATCCAGGTTCCTGCGCGTGCATTGACTGGTAAGTACATACCCTTCATTTGGATCATTGATTGACTTCAGACTGATGTATTCCTCATACTCGAACAGACCTATGATCGTTAGATCCCTTCCATTGGCAGATCCGATCGACAGTGGATAGCATACCGTTGAATTCAGGGTGATTGCGGTGAAAGGCCAGCTTCGACTCGAGGAAGAAGACGTATTCCCGAATGAGTGGCGCATATCCTGTTCAAACTGTCAATGGTCTGTCCATGCCATGCGCTAACCATTTTACAGGCACTGAAGCAATGCGCAATCTTCCCGTGTGAAGTCCGTACCTCGAATACCGTCGCCACCAACACCTCTCATCAGGCTATCGATCCAATTCGTGTGTTGCTGTGCTTCGCGGACAACCATGGGGTGGCCTTCTTGAAGAACCTTGTGTATCGTTATCAGGGCCTTGAATGTCTGGACCTCGTCGGCGAGGACAGGCTGCCTGGAGAGGACGAAAACATGTCAGTCACCTTTGGAACTACCCACGCCCTTCCATGCTCGCTGGATGCGCCAGAAACGTACACTTTCATGCCAGCCCAGAAAGCCGCCGACGATTTGTGGTCCCACGTATAGACGATACAGCTCCGCACATGTTTCCCTATAAGCGCGGGGGATGGTCAGTTCGAATCGGAGGGGGTGATGCCCAGTGCGACATCAATTGAGCCTCATAAGGACAATTGGGTATGGTGAGGACGTACGTTTGGGAGCGGTTTCCTCTGTGCAGGGTAGAATTGTCAGCTAATCATGCCCCCCTCTTGGATTGGTATCGTCCTCGGTCTCCCACTTACCGATACTGGTGGCCTTGCGGATATTGATGGCCAAATCGGCCTCGGTCCTGCGCGATTTACTATCAGGTCATATTACTGGACTTTCCAGTGCAGTCTTGCTCACCGACTCATTGTGGCCGTTGGGGTGCACTGAATATGTGCTCAGGGGGTACAGGTTCGCGTTGACGGATATCGAGGCCGGACAGCGCACAGACGCTAGAGTAAGCTTGCGCCGACCGGATCAAGCGGATGGACAGAGTCGCGAAAGAAAGAGGACTTGGTGAAGTAGTCACACGTGGGAGCAATGACGTTGATCGGAAACGGGAAAGCTGGCGCCTGTCGGGAGTCTTGGCGACGCCTAAGCTGATGCGGATTGGGTAGGGTTCATCCCTTCTACAGAGTACGCGTATATCTATACGGCGTCATCGCTGGGATTTCGCTGCGAAAACGTCGCTCGAGCCATATTCTGTGATCGATTGGGGTTTGGGAGATATCTACCTATAATAAAACCGCGCGTTGAGGTACAATCTTGGAAGAGCTGGCGCATAGCGAGTGGACGTCTGCCACTGGGCAGTACCACTGAGCCTCTTGGGCAGAATTTTCTGCATCGGCCTACATGAGGAACACTCTACAGACAATGAGCCTTGGATCTTCCAATTCGAGCTAGATATATTCCGACGTTGCGTTGAATACTGATCTATCCGTGGATCTGAGTATCGCATACAAACACAGAACATGGGGAAATAGCTACACATCTCGTATCGAGACCACTCTATGTGAAGGAGTTGTCACATGCAGAAAGAACCGGCCCTGCATGGAGCCTCCAGTCCGACAGCGCAGTATGTCCATGAAATCGAGAAGTCCAAACACCCTCTACCGTTTCCATTCACATGGGACAGCAGAATGAATGCATTACTCAATTTTCTTGAAATGGAATCTCGGTACCGCTCGATAGCAAGAACCATCAAGTGCAATCAGGATGAGGGCACTTCAGCTCTTCCAGTAGAGGGCACACCCGGGCTGCTGAGGGTTGAATCTGGCATCTGGTCAACAGAGCGCAGTGATTCAGCACCAAGAGCGTCTTGTGTTTCACTATCGGCCACGGGCTGCTTCTCTTTCAGCAAGTCGACTTTGTCGGTGCCTATAGGCGGGTTCCTCAGGGATTGATCTGATTCGAAATCACCGGGAGCGGGGCTATTAGGTTCAGAGTCGTGGAGTGCCTCTACCACAAGCAATTCATCAATGCCTTCGTCAGCATGCACTCCAGGTGCCATTGGTTTCCTGCGAGGCAAAGGTGATGGTGGATGTTGTTTGTCTGCGGTTTTAGGGCGTTCACCTGCGTGTGGCGCCACGGGCTTTCGCTTGGGAGTCGTTCCTGCATTCCTCTTCAAGGCATACTTGTCGGGACGAGGCAATGGGGTTCCAGGTGGTGGATGGGGATGCCCACGTCCAATCGGCTGATCGGTGACACCGGGGGCCTCTCGCGGTGGCTCCTGGTGAGGAGTATGGTCGCCTTTCCCAAACACGCTCAGACTCCACTTTTTAGCGGCAGCCGTAGCTGATCCAATGGTCATGGAACCAGAAGGCTTATCATCAGACGCAACGTTGGTTGTGAAGGATTTGGTAATAGTTTCAATGGTGCTGCGACGCCGGCTAGAGTCGCTGACAACCGAAGTGGTAGAGCTGCCCCGAGAGCTTCTCAAGCTGGAGAAGGATCCACTCTCCATGCGAGTGGATGAGGGTCTCTGTATTACATTATCTTTGCCAAAGCTCGAGCCTTCAATTGGGTCTACAATTGAAGATTCACGACTGTGAACCGCGATTTCCGGCATCGTGATGCTAGCCGATGGTGGCGAGCTGCCAGGGGTGCGATTCGGGGATGCGGGCGGAGACCTGCTCGATATCTCGAACATAGCGCTAGCGGCATGGCTCTTCTCCTCGCCTTTGTTGTCCGACACATGTTTGTCAACTTTTGCATTGTCAGGAGTAACAACCGGGTCCGCAACATAGGACATAGTCTGTGATCGAATGGCTCGCGGGAGCGGTATACTTTCTGGCCTTTCTATTCCTGTAGAAGTTGCAGTGGAGGTTTGTGCCGTTTGTAAATCGGAATGGCTTGACTTCAGGCCTTTACGCGGTCTTTGCTTTGCTGCTGCAGGCTCCGAAAGTGTGGGCATGCTCATTGTGCGATCATCCTTGGATTTGAGTACCTCGACTGGATCCCCGCCAGTACTCTTCGGGGGCTGAGGAGCTTCACCAGATTCATCAGGTATCTCTACCTCGCCGCTTGGCTCTTGGGAGCCTTGCTGCCAAATTCCACCGCGGAAGGCTTGGCCCAAGGTATCGTGGAACGGAATATCATCCCAAAAAGGCAAAACGATGCTTTCTGCCACCATTTCCCGAATTTTGCTCTCGATTGTTCGAAGGATAAGGCTGTATGTGATTTGCTTTGAACTTACGATGGGTTGGATATCCATTTCCATCTTAGGCGTTGTTTCGAAAGACATCCACATGCGATTGCTGGGTGGGGGTTTGAACCGAACCAACATATGGCCTTCAAGTTTCTTCAAAACAACCGCAAGGACAATATCAACCTCTCTCGCTTTGAAACGAGGACCGAGATCAATACGGACGGTCGCCGAGACCTCGACGCGGAAATTACCGGTGTATTGAAGGTCGGCTTCGATGCAGCAGTTCCCATCCACCGTCAGGTCTTTCAGCCTTGGGTTGGTTATGAACGGGGCTCCTTCGCCCATGTCGATTCGTTGTAGCCCGATTTTGCTGATGAAGTTTGGTTTGTTCACCCGGGATATTTTCTTGACGATTTTGCTCCGCACGAATGCCTCCAGCTCCGGAGACCGGTACAATGCCAGAAAGTATCTTCCAAGCAAGGCATTAATCCAGCGTGTTTGCAGCTGCTCCTCGGACGAATGCAGACGCTGGACTAAAGTGACGATATGTTTGGTTTCAAATTCTTGGGGCTTAGGCGGGCGATCGGCCGAGTCCCATAGCCGATTTTGATTCTGCAGCATGGCAATATAGAAGTCTTCCTTCTCTGACAGGTTCTCTGAGAAGAGGTAGAAGGGCGGAGTTGGCCCTCCCAGGTCTCCCAGTGATTCAAGTCGCCGGGAGAGACATATGGCATTCCTTTTAAGCCACAGCTCCCCTTCGGGAATTTCACCCTCTCCGCCATATATGGTCACATCATGGTGAGCGAGGGAGATGACATATCGCACCTCTACCTGGTTTACATCGTCATAGAGCATCAAATGACCGTGTCTGCAAGATAACATTCATTGTCAGCAATCGGTGCCCGGGCCAGGAACGTGAAGCAGAACGGGGAAATCCGCACCGAAGAACAATGAAAAACACATTTCGGGCCCGCTTGGTCGTTTTCCCATTCGCTTTATTTGGTTCAATACTCGGTGCTTGCTTTCGATCGAACAGACTCCGGTACATGGCCTGGTAAACGCTGGGGCTCTCGGCCGCGACCACCTCCCCGGCGGGGGTAGTCCTCTCGGGAGGCTTCCCATTCACGCCCCCGGGAACATATTCTCGGCATACAGCAAAGTATCCTGCTGCCACATCGGACTCATGTGTGCGGTGGAATTGCTCGGCAAGCTGGTCGGTGCCGGATTTGGGACTCAAGTCGTCATCGGTCGGCAGGCGGAGGGGATCGGATGCTTCCTGGTATGATTTCTGCGTGCGACGCGCAGTAGGAAGTGTGAGGTAGGCGTAGAGTAGGGTCAGGGACAGAATGAGTGGGATGAAGGTGATTCCACCAAGCGCGTAGACGAAGAGGAAGCTACTGAGCGAACCCATCGGGAGCCAGTAGATCAATGCGGGAGGGTCGAAAGCTCCATAGTTCGGGAGAGTGATCTCCAAAAGGTATGCCCAGCAAGAGACCTGCTCTGGAGCAATAGCGAGTGGTATAGATAATGTATTAGAGCGCACAAAGAAGATGTTGCAAAGATGTTGCAGCTGCCACAAGCACGGTGGAATGACGGAGGTACCTGGGTACCTCGGCATTACAAGTCTTGTATTTGTATTTCACTGATATTCATGGCGATAAGCCGCGTTTCCCTGGTAATTATACCTTCTCTTTGTTACATACAGTATGATTACGGGTAGAGCCGTTAGTACCCCGCCTGATTCGACCAGCTGTCAGGAACATCAAAGGAACCCTGGAAGCGTGACTGGGTCGTGCCAGGTCGGCCACTTCTCGTCATTTCGAATAGCCTACCTAGATATAGTCTCGTGATCAATTAGATAGCCTGGTCGGGTGGTGCGACCGGCCATTTGGCCCTCACCGTTAGCGCCGATCTCCACGACGTATTATACAATCTGGGGAACACGACAGTCCAGACTTTGATACTTGGAATCACTGGCCCTTCTTAGGAACCGTCTACTTCGGCCCCTTTGTTCACAACGACGAGTCAAGCTGCGGGGTATACGGCACTGTTGAAAAAAGGTGTACACGAGATAGCTCGTTGCTCCCAAGGATTTGAGCTGTCCATCAAAAGAATCTTGATATTCGTGATCATCGTTAAGCATATCCAAAACAAAACTCAGATAAAGTAGGAATAGACAGCGAGTAGACACCGACAGGTCCGAAGACTGCGAGTCTGTGGGACTGTTCGTGGTCAGTGTCTGGGCCTGGTACTTGTAGTACATTCTCAACGACCACTTTCAACGACCATTGAGAGAACCAAACACGCGGGGCGCTCTTGAAAGCGCCTAGATGGAGCTTTGGATAAGACAGCTTCAGTGCTGCGAGTTGTGGCAGGGGATGGGAGTGTGCTGACATCCAATTGTCAGCCGCCTTCGAGGTATCATGAGCAGAAAACCATACAGGAATGCGAGGGGCGTTTGACAAGCTTCAGATACAGAGCCCCCTCGTCTTGGGGAGGGTTGAGTAACTCGCAGCCGTGATGTGACCTCTGGTTGGCGAACCGGTGGCCCAGGAGCATTGGTGGAACACACCCTCGTCATGTGGAAAAGGACAATCGATGCATCCATGGTAGTCTCAGCCAACCAATCCGCCAAGATCACGCTCCATGCCAGTAACCCTGTCTTGCAGGCCTCGCTTTCTCCGCTCAAGGTCTCGGATCTCTGCGAGTTCACGCTCAATGTCCTCATCGGTGACCTCCGGTACATCGGGCTGCGTCTCAGGCGCTGGCTCGAACTCGTCTTCTTCATCTCCATAAGAGCTTCTCATGTGGTCGAGCTCTGCGCTGTTTGTAGCAACTCGGGATTCCAATCGTGCTATGGAATCAGATATCATCTCATGCCGATAGCGAAGATTGGCTATCTTTTCCTGTGCTCCAGCGACAGGACTTGAGCTGGGTTAGCTATGATTGGTGTATTTATCCGTTTTATCCTACTTACTAGACGTCGCATAAAATCTCAGCACCCCGGAGAAGGACTTCGATGTTTACCTCCCCACGAGGTCCTCGAGCTGAGGTGCCTGCGGATCGCTTGATCTCTTCCATCATATCGTGGCCCAGGACCCTGGCTACTGCAGATTGGTTGCGGTTGTTTCGTGCCGAATATATACGGCTTGCCATTGACTCGGGCTCAGACTCGGCGGGGAACATAGTCCCGCGCCGGGTCGCGCGTTTCTGGGACCCATGGCCTTTGGCCGCAGGATCAACCTGGAACAGCGCTCTTTCATGGGCCTCAGTGTCCCGGATCAACGCAGTGATGTCGTGAGAGCCTAACAACGCGGTGGTAAAGATGCGCGGGGGAGGAAATCTGGATGCTTGTGTTAGCCTTCGCGCCATAGACAAAGGATCTTATGGGGTCTGACGGTAATTCTGCAATGGCATTTGAAGAGAGCGTGATTTGCTCTAGGTGGGAATCAAGAAGCGACATGTTTGCAGGTATGCTCTGGTGATGAATAGCAAAGAGAGTGCCTATGGATGTACCGCAAGTGTTTACTCCGAGCTGCACTTGCGGCCTGAGGCACTAAGTTCGGAAGATGCCTGTGTACCGGCAACCACGTCTAATTTGACTACCTACGTACCTTACAGACAATCTGTCAACTTGTATTGAGCTCTACAATTGCCAATTTTCGAAGTTTTTACCATATTTTGAGCCAACTTTCCGGCAGCTTCTACTGCAAAAAAGAGTGCCGGGTTAAGGCCGGGTAAGCTCCTGTGGTGACTAAGCGCTCATCTGGTCTCTTGCGCCCGTTCATCCCATCTCTTGACATCACATCACCCATCCACTTCATCCATCCCTCTGCACCAGTTCCCCGTCATCATATTTGTGATACTGGCAGCTTGGCTATATTGGGTTTGCCTTTCTGCTTCATATCTCTAAATCGTGCTCATTCGCCCCCCTACTTCTTCCGGTAGCTTGGTAGCTCAGCTGAGCTCGACACAGCTTAAGAAAGATGCCGGCCGAAAGGCGCTCTCTGCGATCAAACAACAAATCTGACGCCTCTTCATCTGCTAACGGTGAGAAGGGAAACTCAGACTCCCAAAGCTCGGGTGCGAAAGACAAGGCGCCTACCACACGCGCCGCCGCCAACAAAGCCAAGTCAACCCAGCCCAAGAAGGACGCAAAGGGCGCATCGAACGGCGAGATGGGAGAGGACGACAAGTCGCATACCAATGGATCGAAGTCAACCGGGAACGGTGTGAACGGATCTGAAGATGTTGAGATGGGAGAGGATACGGCAGGTGCGCCTACATCCTCATTCAACGCCAACAAGAACCGCAAAGGTGACGAGAAGATGACTGTTGTAGTGCCCCCGACCAAGGGTTCCAGATCATCTGGCAAAGACAAGGAAGAGGATGTGACGATGGAAGGTGCGGAAGACGGCGATGCTGAGAACTCCGAGCCTGAGGTCGACCCGAGAACCAAGGCCATTCAAGGTTCGTCAATTCATCTTCCTCAGCCCCAAAAAAAACCATTGTCTTTTCTAACAAAACCGACCTCTTTCTTCGGGTTGAACTTAGACATCAAAACCAATTTCACCTTGCTCGAGCGAGCCGTTGCCCACTTCGACCCCAGATTCACCCTCCGTGTCCTACGATCGATATCCTCGATGCGGAAACACCTCACTCCGGAGGTCCTCGCCGAAGTCATTGTGGAGACCTACGCTCCATCCAGCTCCACGGCTTCGTTCCTTCTGACGGCTCTCAACCAAGCAAGTGCTTTCGAGAATGCCCCATCCAACTCGCAGATGGAGGTCGACTCGGAGAAGGCTGCCCCCAAGGAGACTCTTGCCGAGGTGGACGCATATCTCTCGATTCTCGTGCAGATTTACTTGTTCGATCAGCGGGAGATCCAGAAGGGAGCTCAATTCTCAACAGAGTTGATTGAGCGCCTGCGGACACTCAACCGCCGCACCCTGGATTCCCTTGCCGCACGCGTGTACTTCTACTACTCTCTCTTCTTCGAACAAATCGCCCCGCTTCCTCCTTCCCCAGCCGCTGCCGTTACCACCATTCGTCAGTCATTGCTGGCGGCTCTACGTACCGCCGTGCTCCGGAAAGATGTCGACACACAGGCCACTGTGATGACACTGTTGCTTCGCAACTACCTATCCACGTCTCACATTTCACAGGCAGATCTTCTGATCTCGCACAACCCATTCCCCGTCGCTGCATCCAACAACCAGATTGCTCGGTATATGTTCTACCTCGGTCGTATTCGTGCCATCCAGCTGCAGTACACCGAAGCTCACAGCCACTTGATTGGCGCTACCCGCAAGTCTCCCGCCAGCCCCGTCGCCCGTGGCTTCTACCAGGCTTCCCACAAGCTGCTGGTCGTTGTCGAGCTGTTGATGGGTGACATTCCAGACCGTTCGGTCTTCCGCCAGCCGGCTTTGGAACGAGCCATGGAACCTTATCTGTTGCTTTCTCAAGCAGTCAGTGTTGGTGACTTGGATGGTTTCCTCACCATTGTCAACACCCACAGTGAGACCTTCCGCAAGGATGGTACCTACACCCTGATTCTGCGTCTGCGACAGAATGTCATCAAGACAGGCATCCGTATGATGTCACTTTCTTACTCCCGCATCTCTTTGCGGGATATCTGCCTACGTCTAGGCCTCGACAGCGAGGAGTCTGCCGAGTATATTGTAGCCAAGGCTATTCGCGATGGTGTCATTGAGGCTACGCTTGACCACGAGCATGGCTTCATGAAGAGCAAGGAGGTTGGTGATATCTACGCTACCAGGGAGCCTGGCGAGGCGTTCCACGAGCGTATTCGCGCTTGTCTGGCTCTTCATGATGAGAGTGTCAAGGTACGTTACTCAATCTTCTGTAAGAATCGCTCATGTTGCTAACTAGAGTCCTTTCAGGCCATGCGCTTCCCCATGAACCAGCACCGTCTAGAGCTCAAGAGTGCCCAAGAGGCTCGAGAGCGTGAGCGTGAACTCGCCAAGGAGATCCAGGAGGGCGACATTGACGATGAGGATGCTGGTGGTGATCTCGATGGCATCTAAAGAGGAGGCTGCGGTTGTTTCATAAATCGATACAGTATTCCTTACCCTCCGCACCGGCCCGATGGGTCACTACCCCGTAGAGTCCGTCGATCTGTGTGTTAATTGTGCCATTTTTCTCTTGTTATGATCTTATTTTCGGAAGTGTAGGGATGTGCTGGGCTATGGGTCGGCGCGGTCTTCTGTCTATTCCACTGGATTTATTTCTTGCACTTGATACCAAACATGGTGTAGACATTTTCCTAATTAGAATGTGAGTCGTAATCAAAGATTTACTCAAAATGCTCCAGTAGAAATGCTCTGTGAGAGTTATTGCCCGAGTGGTTGAGCTCTCGCAGGGCCATGCAGCACCGGGTCCGTGCCGACCCGAGAGCTCGAAATCTTCCCGCAAGATTGTTTCCTGTCCTCATTACTCCGCAAGCACCTCGCATCCACACTGGGGGTCCTCATGCTCTCACCCCCATTCTCCATTCGTCTAATTATTTCATAAGCGCACGGCTCACATTTCGAGCATGGGAGCTCGCACCGCATCAGCCACCGGGCTGATCCTCTCACGACCGACCTCCACCTCCATCTGCTCCCAATGCCTCCGTGACGACCTCCGGCTGACGCATTACGCTCTGCAAACCCGCAAATATCATCCTACACGACGGAGGGATGCCTCGCCCTTTGGAGCCGCCGTGTCGGCGGCGCAGGCCATCTTCAAGGGCATGCCCAAAGCACCCCCAGGCGTCTCCGTCGACCCATTGAGGATGGTTGGGAAAGAGCTGAAGTTCCTGTCTAAAAATATTCGTCAATTGCTTGGGTCTGGTCACCCAGCGCTAGACAAAGTTGCCAAATACTATACTCACAGCGAAGGCAAACACATGCGGCCTATGCTTGTCCTCCTCATGTCTCAAGCTACGGCTTTAGACCCGCGCAAGCACCACACCTACTCTGATAAACCGAGTCCTGTCGATGCATCCTTTAGCGCGCCCTCGATTCTCGAAGACGCGAACCCCGAAATGAACCCGCTCGTGTCCCCGAAGGCCGAGAGCCAATACGACGTTGCAGGAGATGACAACATCCTGCCCTCTCAGCGGCGATTGGCCGAAATCACAGAGTTGATTCACACGGCGTCTCTGCTGCACGACGATGTCATCGATAATGCGGTTACGCGCCGCGCCAGCAGCTCCGCAAATACCGCGTTCGGAAACAAGATGGCTGTTCTGGCTGGTGATTTCCTTCTTGGACGCGCCTCAGTTGCTTTGGCTCGTTTGCGCGATCCCGAAGTCACAGAGCTTATGGCTACTGTGATTGCCAATCTGGTCGAGGGCGAGTTCATGCAGCTCAAGAACACCGCACAGGACGAATCGAAGCCCGTCTACACAGATGATACCCTCAACTACTACCTTCAGAAGACCTACTTGAAGACCGCCAGTTTGATCAGCAAGTCTTGCCGCTCCGCTGCAGTTCTGGGCCGTAGCGCCCCGGAGGTGATCGAAGCTTCCTACGCCTACGGTCGTAACCTTGGCCTGGCATTCCAGCTTGTGGATGATATGTTGGACTACACTGTTACCGAGGCTGAGATGGGCAAGCCTGTTGGTGCGGACTTGGAATTGGGTCTGGCGACTGCCCCGCTCCTCTTTGCGTGGAAGAGCAACCCGGAACTTGGTCCTCTGGTTGGACGCAAGTTCAACCAGGAGGGAGATGTACAGCGGGTATGTGATACTGATTTTGGAGTTTTTCGAATATTTTTGATCTAGAATACTGACCATCTATTAGGCACGTCAACTCGTCCATGAAAGCAACGGTGTTGAGCAGACTCGTGCTTTGGCACAGGAATACGCTGACAAGGCCATTGCTGCCATCAGTGACTTCCCTGACAGCGAGGCCAAGACTGGTCTCATTGAGATGTGCGAGAAAACAATGAAGCGGAGGAAGTAGGCCTGTTCCCCATGTAAACATATTATTTTTCAATTTGCGGACCCGATATTTTCACGGGTCAATGCGTTTTCCTTTAAATGCCTGTGTATACTTAGATATATTAGATGATTGAATACATATCAACACCTCATCATTATAAGTTCTTACTTCCAGATCTTGCCCATCTCTTCTCCCATTCCATGCTACCGTTATTTGGGGGGTTATGGCTCCATCCAATGCATAGAGGATATCTCTGTTGTTGAGGCTGCTGCGGCTAACCCTGGAAGCCCTCACATCCAGACCTCGGAGATAGGCACTTTATACCTGATTCGTTTACTAAAGTGATATTGAGATCAAACAAAACAATCGACTTCATGTATGTATCACTTTACTAGGTAGAACACAACCTCGGAAAGATGACTAACATTAGATCCTATTTACCTAGGTAGGTTTCTGTTTGCAATGACTCGTCGGTCTGAACACTCAGCCCTGGAGAACACCTGGGCATTCACCTCACATCCATCACGTGACCACAATGTCAGTCAATTGAATCGCGCCTGCCCGCCTTCAATAGGTGAATGAGCGACCTGAATGGAGCGATAGAGGCTATTGTAGTGCGGGGTTATAAAGAGCCCGTCAGGATCTGTAGAGCGATACTCCTCCATACCCCAAGATCGAATACTAGTAAATCGGATGCCAAGACCGAGCTCGGGCCAGGCAACCTCACGGCCAAAAGTTGCATACCACAAAGCTATAGCATCCAGAATATTCGGTCGCACCATCCCCCACAAGCACAGTCAAAAGTACTCTGTGCACATTCAACACCGCACAGCTCCTGTCACATTGTCTGACCAGGAGTTACAGCAACATCGTCACGCTGTGTGACCCCTAGTGGCTCCGAACCTCCCAGCACCGAACGGAACACCATCGCGGCAATGGATGGGTCCCAGGGCCAAGCTGGGCAACCGATGGCTGCACCACAGCAGCCACAACACTCGAACCTCATCCGGACCGATCAGGTGCAGAAACTGCCACACCTCTCTGACCAGCAGAAGGCTCAGCATACCCAGTTGGTCCGCAGCCTCTGGGAGATGCTGAACACACGCGACCCGCAGACCCACGAGTACCAGCAAGCACATACAAAGCTCTCCCAGTTATCTCAAAACCTGATGAAAGGAATGCGCATCTTCCAGCAGAACCGCCAGGCAGCAATGGTACAGCATCAAAACCAGGGCGCGGTCGGTGCGCAGCAGGGTCAGGTTCAGCCGGGACAGCAGGTTCAACAACCGCAACAGGGGCAACCAGCGCAACAGGTATCACAAGGGACACAGGGGCAACCGGTCCAGCGAACGCAGTCCAACAATCCCCAGGCCATCAACCAGCTCATTCCACAAATCCAAGCGCGAGTGAGCGCCCTGAACTTCTTCCTGCCACCAAACGTGACTCCCGAGCAAGTTCAGACATGGATTCCGGAAGCGCGGTTGCGGTATGGTATTGCTCTACAGAAGCAAGAGGTTGGGCGGGCTCGTATGGCCGAGCTGCGTTCCTCGTATGCCCAACGGCAATCACAGGGTAATATGAGCCAGGAGGAAATGCAGGAGTTCAAGAACAGACAGCTAGCTGCTGAAAAGCTCTTCCGGGAAGGTAGCGAATTCCTAAACAAGTTTAAAGAACAGCAGGAAAGCTTCAAGCTCCAGTCGCAGCAGAACCCCCAAAGCCAAACGATGAACCAGACAGGACAAACAAACCCATCTACAAATATGAATCAGACCGGGGGAGCGGCACCCCCAGCTGCGACTCAGACTGTGCCCAACACCCAGGCAGGTGCGACGAACATGCAATCCGGCCAAACCCCAACCCCAGCTCCCCACACCATCAACTCCGCTGTCAATGCTGCACGCAATCAAGCAGGCCAGGCAATGTCCCCCTCAGCCTCGCAGCCTGGACAGCCAGCCTCGACGCAATCTGCAGGAAATACCCCCGTTCCAATCAGTGCACCACAGCCCCAGGGCCAACGTCCTCAGGCACCTTCGCAACAAGGAACACCAGGCACACAAGTCACTTTCAGCCAGACTCCTAATCCTGATGGTTCTACACCCACACCCCCAGGACCTCCCCAACAGGTGAACTCAGGCCCACCACGTCCCCTCTCCCACCAAGCCGCGATCTCACAAGCCGCGCAGACATACACCAACCCCACCCCCCAGCAAGCCACAGCCATCAACCAACAAGCCCAAGTAAACAACCAAGCCCACCCCCAAGGCTACCTCGCCAATCGCTCCACCGACACCTCATCCCGCAACATCAACATGGCCATCCCCAAGAACCTCAACGTCTCCACCCCCGAGCCCGTCTCCATGCCAGCCTCTCGCCCCTCCCTCTCCGGTGGTCCCAGCCACGGCGCAATGGGCATGATGGGCCAACCCGCCATCCAAAAGCACCCAGGCTACGTCCTCGAAGGCGAAGGCCAACGCGTCCTCAGCAAGAAAATGCTCGACATCCTCGTCCGCCAAGTCACCGGCGGCGGCGAAGGCGAAATGCTCACCCCAGATGCCGAAGAGGTAAGCACCATCTGCGAATTCTTGCTCCCTTTACCCCCAGCTCACACATCACAGTTCATCCTCCAAATGGCCGACGATTTCGTCGATGAAGTCATCACCCAAGCCTGCCGTCTCGCCAAACTTCGTCCCTCTTCCACTCTCGAGCTGCGTGATCTCCAACTCGTCCTGGAACGCAACTACAACATGCGTATCTCTGGATTCTCCACGGATGATCTTCGCACCGTCAAGAAACCCCAGCCTACTCAGGGTTGGACTCAGAAGATGTCCGCCATCCAGGCTGCGAAGGTTACTCAAGGCCGATCGGAGTGAAAGTCGAGTGATTTATGTTGCCTGCTTTCCGTCTCGTGGCTTCGGACTAGTTGCTGCTAAGGTGTGATTTGGCTCATGGCAAGGATGGGGTTTCTTCTTTCTATTTTTTCCTTCGAATGTTTCTCGAGAATACGGCGTTTGTGATGAATGGGCAGGTTTCAGTTTTTCTATCCCTTATGTTTCTCCATGGATGGAACGAGGGTCTTCTTTATGATTTTCCCTTGATTCACCTCTCTTGCTTCTAGGCTCACTATTGAGATCGAATAATGAATTGCCTACTCTTGGCCTGGATTCAATGCTCAGCAGTGTAGATACTTCGATTGACAGGGGTGAGTACCTAGGCAAGCTCTGTTCTGATTTAGGGCTCAGTTGCCTTGTATCGAAGATGGTCTAGTATGAACATCAAACGGTACACTCCGTAAAGACTGTCTACTGTATACCCTAAGACCGTCGGACGTCTTTACGAGCTAGGGCAAAGAATTCACACGCTAGTGCTAATTTGGATCTCTTTCAGCGAATAGAAGCACGAATATCAAGAGTAAACATGTGGTATAGTGATTGGTACAGGGTATGGAGAGGACTCGGGCAATAGTGAAAAGAAGAAGAAGAAAAGACAGAATGCACAAGACAGGTACAGTAAGGAAATGTGTTCGTATGAACAGGTTGTGGCCGAAATATGGCGCTGGAGGATCTTGAGAAGTTCTTCGGGAACATTCTGATGAAGAAAACAGACAAAAAAGAGAAGAAGAAAAAAGATGGCCAGTGAAAGATTGAGCAATTCACTGCGGTTGGCACAATGATAGTATTGGGCTGGTGATGGGGGATGAGTATGATATAGAGAAAGTGGAAGATATGTTCGGTCGATGGACGAGGGGCGAGCTGTACATTGTGTTGCACAGGTCTTGAAAGCAGAGTTAGAGAGAGTGAAGACGTTCGAGAACGGAAAGAGAAACGGTCAGACTCGAGGTTGGGTGAAGACAATTCCACCAACACCGAGGTAAACAAACGAGGTAGCACACGAAGGGACGGAGAGACGAGTCGCTCGGGATTCAAAAGGGATTATACACATGTCACTCGTGAACATCAGTTTCTTGCAAAAGTGCAGTAGTAGTGTGGAGTAAGGGAGGACGGAAAGATGAGATGCCTCGCGCAGACCCATGATGAAACATAATAAGTGGTTCAGGCTCTATCAAGCGCAGGAGGAAGAACAACAGGGGGGATATCTCGCTGAATACAAGAAACAAGGAAAGAGACGAATTAAGAGGTATCGTCAGGATGACAGGAATCACAGGCCAGAGGCCGGATTTAACGACGAGGTGAGCTGGGGTTCAAGTAGTCATGGCGATCCACTCCCTTGCCCTTGTTGGGTGGAGGTGGAGGGGCATTGCCGGGAACAGGAGGGAGCTCCTTGTCGGCTGCTGGATGGCCGTTTCGGCTGTGCGAACTGTGGCCTCCAACGCTGCTAGCTTCGCCGGCTTCATCCACGATGGGTAGAGTCGACGTTGGGCCAGGGCCGCCGGCGTCGGCTGGGTCCCAAACGGTGGCTAATGTCCGGGGGTGGGTGATGGAAACGTCCTTGGAGGCCTCCTTTTCTGCCGCCTGCATGGTACGCTCGACGGAAGAGGATCTTGAACGACGTTTCTCGGTAGACTGTTGAGGGGCACCGGAAGCGGAGACTCTTGACTCTCGTTGCTTCTCGGCTTCTTCCTTGGACATTGTGATACCCTTAATGAAATTGATGAACCGTTCGCCGTAGCCTTCAGGTGGAATGGGCGAGATCTGTGTCCGATCGCTTGACAGCCCCTTGAAGAAGTGTTCAAGCCTTTTGGTAGTTCCGTAATGGGTCAAACAATCGATGATTCCCAGGTAATAGATTTCATCTCCGGGTTGTCCATTTTCATGTGTTGCGCGGAAACCACCATCGTCGGCGTAGAAGACATGATATTTCCGTTCATCCAAGATCTCATCTGGCATCTTTGCGGCCGCCTTGTCCAAGGGAACTGGTCGCTCGCGCTTGATTAGCATGCGCAGCTCTCTGGCCTTGCGTTCGTTCTCCAATTTGGAAGGAGTGCGCATCAGGCCGTTGGGGCTGTTTTCGTCCTCACGATCACCTCCCGGGGAAAAGACTTGCAGAGTCTTATCACGGAGCTTCTCTTCGTTGCCCCTACCACCGTCGTGTATTCCCACCAGAAGTGAGTAATCCATGATCTTAAGTTTCTGGAGTAACACCACATCGCGCTTTAACTGCTCGATGAAGAAATCTCGTTTTGTAGGACCACATTCCAGATGACGGTTCCTCCGGACCCAATTAAGGTCTTTCATGGTCGCGCGAGGATTTCTCTCAAGGTCTGACTCCTGCAGGTCACGGCCAATAGTCGATCCTTTCAGATCGAATGTCTGATGGATGTCTCGGTGTGGCGGGAACAAATTGTTCATCACAACGAAGTGGATTTTGCGGCCGTATGCCATCTTGACTCGGTGTAATCCGTAGAATTGCGAGATCAAGGTATTGGGGTTATTCTCCACATGTCGGTAGTATTCCGGGAGTATCTTCCGGAGGAGCTTGTGCTCAGAATGATGGATGGTCTTGATAATGTACTTGTAGTCCCGTGAGAAGTAGAAGAAACTTCCACTCTTACCAGGGGATCCCAGCTCGGACAATATGTACTTGCTCGTGAGGGACATCAAGTAATCGGCAGGGTCAAGGCGGAACTTGGCGCGCAGATGTCGGAATACCCAGGGAGCATAGTCCTTGAATTTGAAGTCGTATTTAGCGGAAGGGATCAATTCGTTTCCAGTGCTGCAATCGTCAGTCTTGTTCGGTTCGAGGCAATGTTAGCAGGGGAAAGGGCGTACATGTCAAAGGAGAATTTGTGCTTAGCATCAAAGTCCGCCGGAGTAAGTTCCCGATCCATCTTCGCATTGATCCTCGAGACCGTGAAGCGGATACCAGTCAACATGTTGTATGCTGTCACGTAGTTGACATGGTTCTGATCCACCTTGGTGCCCACAATGACCCGATCATCATCCTCCTCTTCACGCCTGCGTCGCACGGCTCGCTTTTGCTTAATGGCTTCGGCCCACCGGGCCGCATCTTCGTCTGGCGGCGCCTCGTCTGGTGTGATATCTTGTTGTGTGCTGGTCTTCGTTGCCCGTCGGATCAGGCCGATTGAGGTTCGCCGGAAGCCTGTTGTGGGTGACATGCGGCCGGTGCTGTAGGCCGCATCGTCGGGGTACTCTCGACTATCTCGGCGGACACTCGGCGTCCTGGGGACCTGCAAGGAGTGGCGATGTCGCATACTAGAATTCTGTGATTCGGGGCCAGGGGCAGTATCGAGCATTGATGGCACGGGAGGAGAGGAGTGGCGGTGGGGTCCGGGTTTCGCGTCCGGGGTCAAACGATCGGAGTTAGGGGTATGTCGACCATTCTCGTCGGACTGGGGGATTTGCAATAGCGAAGTTGATGGGGAGACCGATTCATCGGCGGAGGGTCGGTGGGCATCGCCGTTAGCTGTCAGTTTCCCGGGGATCGGGCGACCGTTCGCGGTGCCATTGGGTTGGTTTGACACAGAGGATGTCGGAACGACACCAGGCCCTGTTTCGGAGAGTTTCCGATCCAGCGTTGCGGATGGGCGCCCGTTTTCGCGGAGATCCCTGGCGGATCCATTGCCTATGGAGTGCATACTGCCGTCTTTGGGGTGTTGGATTTCGCGCGTGTAGGAGCCGACACTGGAGCGGGGGCCATTCAAGGAGTAGGCACTTCCGTTCTTCAGGTCGTTCACCAGATGCCGGTCATTCTGGTCGGCGTCGCCGTTGCCGTTGGGCCAGTTGGTCCACAAGAAGGTGTTCCCCACAGGGGCTTTGTCGTGCGACTTGCGGGAGGATTCGAAGGAGCGAGGGTGGGTGGCCGTGGCAGTGGCGGTCTGGTAGGAGACGTCGTTGGAAAAGGATGGCATCTTGCGGTTTGACGTGCACTGTCAGGACCGGCAACCCGAAGTGACGGCAGTCACCCTTATTGGCGGAGACTCAGGAAAGTTGGGAACGGAACCGAGTCCAAAGAGGCAAAAAAACAGGAAAAAGAAAAAGCAGAAGAGAATCAGTACATAGTCCAGAGTCAAGAGGGGAAATGGTTGTCGGGGAGAGAAGAATTACAGGAATTACGACACGTACTGGACGGACTCCACCATTCAGCTCTGCCCTATCTCCGTTCACATTGTAGACTTATGTCCAACAATACTATATGGAATACATAACACGCTGCAAATACTATCCTTTCCTACTACACTACCTACAGTACTAACCTACTCCTACTCCTAATAGTTATACCATTGACTCTGCCGTAGGCTGCGACATAAAACTCAGCACGGCTATCCTTACTCCTAACGGCCTGCGCCCCTCCAATTTCCTCCCAATGGAAATGCCCAGTTTTCCCAGTACTGTATACGATGCAAGGAGATCGATTTTCGTCATTTCAGCATGTGACCAGGCTCTTTATACGGACTTATACTTATGCTTATGCTTAAATGCCAGCCCTATGTCAAATTGCGACCCTGGGTATCCCCAGTCGACTCCCCATTACTATCCACTTCGTAGAATTCGGGATCAAATCTCTCTCGGGGCCCGGAATACATCTGAAGCGTTCCAAAAATAGGGCTCCCCATGTTCCGTGCTCCGAAATTATCAGCGCCACAGGGGCAGTTCTCCGTGGCTATGGCCAAGCTTAGGCTGGTCTTTGGGCTCATGCTCGACTAGTATACCCCGATGAGGTACGGAGTACTTTGCTGTAAATTCATGCTGGCTTATACTTACGTTAGGCATGACTATACTGTAGACGTCCAGCCCTGGAATACTCCGTCACGGGTATCTCGAGTCAGGCCCACACCCCATATACCATCAACACGAATCAATCTACTAGTACAGAGTCCCATTACAATGTGGATTGTACATATCTGCTGCTCCTTTTCTTTTCCGAATCGTGAGAGCACTCCGGCGCGGAAAATGCGCCCAATGCGCGAGATCTACAGTTTGTTTACCAATGCGCGAGAATACCCCGGACCAGTCTCCAGTCACTGTCATACCAGAGATCGAGTTCACAGAACATGGAATTGGAATTGAATCACATACAAAATAGTAAAAGAAGGCCCATTCCCCCAAAGCAAACCCCACCGCAGGACGCCATCCATTGTGGAGAAAAAGCAAAGTCATCATAACCAAGATATTCCCAAAAGAAACCGACAAAAAGCAACAAGACCGTCAGAAAGAGAGATCAATCGGCCCAAAAGAAATTACAGGAGAAGAACAAAGGAATATGGTACCAGTGGCCCTCCCCGGAAATGCGCTCGTAAAAAAGATAGGGAGAGCGGAATCTGGTCAAAAAAGAAAAGCAAACTCATCACCTATTTCTTGGTGGTGCGCTTCTTGGGGGCTGCCCGGGCTACCTTGGGTGGCGGAGCAGTAGTCTTGATGACGCGACCAGACTTGGTCGTGCTCAGAACCTTGGGCTGCTCAACGATGGCAGGGGCCTGGTATATTGATTAGTGGATTTTCCAAAGCGCAGGATCCTTGAGCTACTTACAGCAGTGCTGGTCTTGCGGACCTTGCCAGAGTTGGCCTTGGGCTTGCCGGCAGTCTTACCAGGAGGCCTACCGACAGGCTTCTTGGAAGCTGGAGCTGCCTTCTTGGCCGCGGTGGTCTTCGCTGTGGTCTTTGCAACAGCCTTCTTGGGGGCGGCCTTCTTAGCGGCAGCAGGCTTCCAGGCAGTCAGCATATGCAGAATTTCAAGATCGGACGGAATCTTACCTTGGAAGCGGCCTTAGCGGCTGGCTTAGCGGACTTGGTAGCAGGCTTCTCGGCGGCCTTTACAGGAGCCTCTTTCTTGAAAAGCTTCAAGGGTCCAGATGGGCCTGGTGAACGCGTCAGCTGACAGATCATATGACAGAAAAAAAGATGCAGGCACACAGCGAGTCTTGAAAGTCGATGGGAAACAGGGAAAATTGAGGAAGCGGGTGAGATTTGCATAGGAATCTTGAGCGATGCAAAACTTACCCTTGGGCTGAGTGAACAACTCCTTCTCAACACCAGACTTGATGGCCTTGTTGAACTGGACATCAAAGGTGCTCTGAGAAGAGACGTTGAGCTTGTTGTTCGACTGAACATACTTCTTGATAGCCTGGCGACTGTGGCAAATCCGTTAGTGACATTACTCTGACCGCGACACGGCCGAGGTCAGTCGCAGGGAAAACCGCCAGAAACATACCTGCTACCATTGCGTTCCTTCAACTATAAGTCAAAGAAAAGATCGGTTAGCCATGAGAAAAGATCAAACAGAACAACAGATTGTTGTGGCTGTGCCCAAAGGCAAAGACGTGTCACGGTCGGGCGCGACCCGAATCACAACAACCCGCGCCGGCAGTGATCAACTTACGCTGATGATAGCATCCTTGATCATATCTATATCGTTCTCATCAGCAGGTGCTCGCGACCGTAGCCATCCCAAAACCGCGTTTACGCGATGGGGTGGGCGTTGAGGATCAGTGCAGACATACCACGGTAGGAAGTGTGAGGAGCAGGCGCGGCCTTCTTCGCGCTGGTAACCTTCTTGGGAGGCATGGTAGAAGATTGGAACAGTTTATCAAACCTGGGGAAAGAAGAAAGAAGCTGGTCCAAGATGAAAAAATCGGGAAAATGGGTGAAAGCAGAAGAGGAAGAGAGAAAAAAGAGCAGAAGGAATGGGTAGGCCGCGGGGCATCCGTGATTTATAGGCGAACGGAACTGTTGACACAAGATCACCAGGGGGAAAAAGCACCTTTTCTTTCCTTGTCCTTTTCTGCTGGCAGTTTCTATCTCGGCTGTTTTAGTCTAGAGTCTCTGTGTATCTCTTTGCTCGTCGCTTCTACACCGTTACAATTGAGCCCACTGCCCAGGTGGGAGCATCCCGATTACATCGCACCCTTTCTTTGACACCCATGCATAATATTCGGACTCCTTTACTGAGGATTAATGTATTCAACATTCAAAGCTGTCCATCATACTATCACAGCTCTACTCATCATCAGATGGAACAGTGAGCGCTGAAGACCTCCAGGGCTGAGCAGCTCCAGCGCGTCGCTTTCCCCTCCATGGAAATCGCGCATAGAGAATGAACATATTCCCAGTCACTCTGGCACATTTCTCCAGAGATGCACATTCCAATGGGTGTGATGATCATCCCTCTCTGCTGGAGCCGGATCTGGCAACCCTTTGCGGAATCCAGATCTCCCGAATATGCTGGTTATACTGACATGCTGATCTACCATCAACCCATGCCTGCTTGGCAGACGGGGTTTCAAGCTTCAGGTTATTCTTATCGCTCCCTTGTGTGGGATGGACCTGCATCACCTCGTGTGGGAGTCACGTTCTCCCCGATTTTGGGGGACTGCCCAGGTGGACTTGATGATGTCTAGACTTTGGACTGGTTGTTGGGCCCTGGATATCGGTACCTAGCTTACTCTAGCTTGACTCGTTCGATTCGTAGACTTTCATGGGTAAGGGCTGTTCTACCTTGAGTGATTTCTTGTTTCTTAATGCTTCACCGTGTTTCACACGAACCTTGAATGCGTCAGAAGCCGAAGATCCCTCTTTATATATCCCTCGAATTGTGGGCAAACTCACTCCATATCTCCAATTTGGAACCTTTGAAGGCTACTTAGGTACTAGGCAAATTCCAGCATGATCATTCGGAGATTGACTTGGTGTTTTCCAAGATTATGCCCAATGCTCACATGGCCCCAATGCCAGCGACCCTGCGATATCCCAAGAGAGGGGAAACTAGGCCTGGCAACGCCACAGCATCAGAACCAATAAGAAGCTGCATGATCCCGATACAGAATTCAAGTTTATACTAGGTAGTGGAGAGAAGAGAGAACATGAGCTATAGTACTCAGTAGAGTTAGGAATATATACTCGCCAGACCACATCATTCTCTAGTGTACAAAGTGTTCATGGTCCATGACTTACACTCCAAGGCCTAGTGGACAAGAAAGTGGAATCGACGATCCCCTCCAACTCATTGGTCAACCACCTGGACAGGGCCCCGGGGAGGCAGCCCTGGAGGTCTGCACCCGCAATCGGCCAACCTTGGAAGTCGAGTCCAACACGCTGATCCTACAACACCGGGATATGCTATTCACTTCTCAGCAGGAAATTTACTTTTGGTCCCAAGTCTCTACATAAGAGTCCAACAATGAAGGATGCTGCAGTTGTGTGTGTTGAGATCATTCGGGAGTTGTTGCGAGGACCCGGATTGGCTCGGGATCTACTCCAGCTTCCAAGGTTGCGAGGTTGATCTTCTGCAACTGCAACGCCAGACTCGGGAGGGGAGACTGTCGAACTAAAAGACGGCAAAGAAAGGTGAAGACCTTTGGACTGATGGTTTTTTAAATGATTCCGTTGACCGTGGCGGGAAAGATCAGCCAGACTGGTTCCAAGGGGCCCGGCTTGATCCTGTCTGATCTCGGTGCTCAGAGGCTGGGAAAAGTTTACTGGGATGTTCCAGGGCCTCAGAGGTACCTGGGAGCCAAGTTTGCTATCGCACAAAACAATTGGGTTGTATGTTACAAGGAAAACATATGTCCTGTCCCGAGTCCGGCATAGAGGACGGGTTCTCCGACCCGAAAGCGATGCATCCATAAAATATCAAGAATTCACAAAACGCCCACGCCAGACCAGCTCATGTTAGATAGAGAATAATTTTATGTCGTCAGTTCCAGGGATGATTGCAAATTCCCAAAAACCTACCCCGCCCCGCGAGGCTTAGATTTGGCATCTTTCTTCGCCTTCGCATCATCCTTCTTTTTCTTTTTCTGCTGCTGGAGCTTTTCATCATGCTTGCGCTTGAGGGATGCCTTTTCGTCATCGGTCTTAGCGACGGGCTTGAAGAATCCCTCCAGCCGGGACTGTTGAGCGGTCTTCAGGTGCTTGGAGAGGCGCGCCGCACCGTTGCGCACACGGTCTTCGTTGAATCCCTTGTCCTTGACCAAGAAATCAATCAGGCCTTCAATGTTGGGGGCATCCCACTTAAAGTCACAGTCGGGGTGGTCTGCAGCACGGACGTCCGGATCGGTGAAAAGGTCCCGTGCATCTTGGTATGGCCAGTCCTCGGGGACGACAAACTTCTGCTTCGGGTCGTTCTTCATGAACTCAAGGACCTTCTCAAGGGACTTGTGTTCTTTGATGAGATTGAGGGCAGTGTGGGCTCCCACCTTGGGGATGGGCTCCAGGTAGTCACAACCCAGTAGAATACAAAGATCAATAAACTGTAGTGATGGTCAGTCCCCGTACCATCTGAAAATCGAGAGTAGAACAACCCACCTGTGCACGATCCATGTTCAGACCCTCCAGCGCCCGGTCCAGGTGGATTTCCTGAATGGGCTCCTTGCGCTGCTCACTGAAGGTGAGGTGGCGCAGAAGGATAGGCGACTCGAAGCATAGGGTATCCATATCCTCGGACGCAGCTCCATAAACCTTGCCTGCACGCGCCAGAACAGCGCACTGTGCCTCAGCCTCCGTCGGCGCATTGATGTAAGGGATTCCCATCAGCTCGAGAAGCTTCTTGCACTCCGCATTGTGCTCCCGGGTAACGCGGACCGTTCGGCGGGAGAACTTTTCAATGTCTTCCGCCGTACCGGTTTCCTTGGCCTCCTCGTGGGCTTCGTGAGCTTCCGCCTTGCGCGCAACACGCTTTGCCAATTCGCCAGACTTGAGCTTCGGTGGGGCACCGTCGAAAACGTAAAGAGGCTTGATGCCGTTGTCCACCATTCGTAGCGTGCGGTAGAACATGCCCATCAAGTGGGAAGTGGTCTCTCCGGACTCACTCATGAGCTGTTGACCTTCCGAGCGAACGGCGATCAGGAAACTGTAAATGCTCATGGACCTGTGCTGGGTTAGCGGCTAATGAGGTTAAGCTATCGGTATAGCTATGACATACGCATCCTGGTGGAGAATTTATGTCAGAATATAAACAGCGTAAGGCGAGCAGCACGGCCTGAGCATGACTTACAATGGCGACCTTGCGGCCAAAGTGGTTCTTGATCTCGCCCGTTTTGATCGCATCGGGGGCGTTTTCGGAGATAACCTGATACAGATCTGGCGCTCAATTAGCAAGAAGCATAACTTCGGGGTATCATTCTACCACTCACGCTTGATACCCATCTTAGCGGTGAATTTGAGGCTTTCGTGGTCAAGGTGCAATGCTGAGTAGAAAATGGAGCTCGGCCTGTCGGACCACGCGAACGCGCCTCCAGGCGCGACCTATTTAAACCCGAAGAGGAATAGCGTGGTGTAGTGTCATGTGACCGGCGGAGCTCGAAGCCAATTCCTGCCTGATTGATGCCTGGATATGCATATATGCCTCAGGCTGAAATCCGGCTTATGAGTAATTCGGTCGAGAACCGGCGCGCAGCTGCGACCCCGCCTTTCTCTTCCCCGGAATGCGCCATGTGGAGGATAACCTGGCCTTCATAGCACCATGAAGCGCAATCGCATACAGTTCGAGGCCAATGGCGAGGCTTCGTCCGCGTCCCCTCCACAGGGTACTTTTACCCCCGAGGAACGGCCTCACCACGTCCCGAAGATCTCTCGACGCATACGAGCTTGCACGGAATGTAAGCGGCACAAGGTGCGCTGTGATATGAAGGCAACTGATTCAACATGCTCGCGCTGCCAGCGCATGGGACTGGAATGCGTTGTGAACAAAAGTCTCCAAACGTTACTCGAAGATGAGGCCGAGTGAGTGTCCACCACATCTCACATAGGAGCATATACTGATGGTGGCGTGATAGTTGGAAATCAATGATCGAATCGGCAATGACAGATTTACTGAGAAAGTCTCAGCTACCTGAACTATCATACTATCAAGCAGGCGGCGGCTCGACGGAGACGCCCTCAAAGAAGCGAGACCGGAAAGCCTCAACTGTCTCAACCGATGGTAAAGGACTTACACACAATCGGGCCGCGCCAGGGGATATGGCGATTGAGAGTACATCTACTTCAGAATCTAATTACAACTTCCCCCGACAGCAACCGCAGTATTCGCTGGATCAGGAGGAAACGGGCGCCGCCTCCTTGGTCACCGCACCGATGGGCAGTCTGTACGAGGTGACGCAGCTGAGTGAGAACCGTGACAATTCACCCGGACGAAAGCTTGCCCCTGACCAGACATTGGTTACCGATTTCATTTCACGTGGCGTGGTTGATGTTCAAGAGGCAGAGGAGCTGTTTTATCAATTTGATCAAGTCCTCAATCGCTACCTATGGGATGGGGCATTACTGGCACACAAGGATCTGACATCGGCTCGAAAGTCATCATCGATGCTTTCTGCTGCCATTTTGGCTGTCACCGCACTTCACATGCCGAACAAGGAACGAACTTTTGACACATGCTACACCGAATTTGCAAAATTGGCCTCAGAATCCATGTTGGGCCATCACCATACATTAGATGACATCCGTGCATTATGTATTGGTGCGTTCTGGCTTGCGGATGTCAGCTGGAAGCTCTCTGGATATGCCGTGCGCATTGCAACCGAACGTAATCTGCACCAATTCTACCGCAAAGCCATGCAAGGCTCGCCTGAGCACTTGGAACAGGCGAGACTATGGTACCTCCTTTATGTGAGTTGAGCTGGAGACAGCTGGTTGAGTTATTTCTGACAAGCTTAGACATTGGAACACCACTTTTCGATCGCATACGGTCGACCACCCATGATCCACGAAGACGCAAGCATCACCCAACACAATATCTTTACACAGAATCCGTCAACTTCACAAGGAGACCTCCGACTTCACAGCCAGGTTGATCTTTTTATAATCCTCACCCGTATATATTTTGCATTTGGCCCTGATGTCGAATTAGAAGTCCCCGAAAGTGACTTTTCCAAGATTGATCAATTCGACATCGATCTAGGGAGTTGGAAATCTTCATGGCTTCCTCGACTTGGTAAGTGGCGTACATGAAAGACCCAAATCATCGATTGACACGCTATTACAGCGGGGAGTCGCTACGTCGGCGCATACCCATACAAGGCCGTGTACATGCACTACCACTTCTCTCGACTACAACTCAACTCGGTCGCCCTCCGCACATATCACTCATCCACTTCTTCAGGGCAGATGTCATTTGAACGCCGAAAGCGCGCCAATATAGCAGTTGAATCAGCCATTGCCACTCTCCAGGTTTGCCTAGACGAGCGTGATATTCAGCGTGCCCTTGTTGGGGTTCCGCTGTATCTTCACAGTATGATCACATTCGCCGCAGTTTTCCTACTAAAAATTGCAGCTAGAGTCTGCTCGAACGGAGCCATTCCCGGCAGCCAGGGAAAACAGACCTCCATCGCCTCAGCGGGCCTACAAGTCGATGTCAGCTATGTGCGTGTCCTTGTAGGCAGGGTCGTCGATATCATGGTGGCATGTAGCCAGCGTGCGAGTGAACGCCATCTCAGCCATCACATCGCCCGCGGGCTCCGTAAAATGCTGACTGGCTTGGAGGAGTGGGAGAAGCGTACCACTGGCACCCAGCAGTCGATTGGATCGGCTTCGCAGGACCATTCTTCCCTCTTCAAGCCCGTTACCATCCCCGGAGCTCAGATGCTCGGAGAACGTGACACTATCTTGAGCCATCCGCCTCCACTGCTTGGGGTTGCTCCGCTGTCTGCTGAACGTAGCAATGGATTTGAATCTGCCACTACCCTGGGTAAACAGGAGCCGGGTCTTTCGGAGGGCTCGGTAGACCCCATGATGGCGGACCTGTGGGGGTTCGACGAGGATTACTTCCCAACAGGAGTGTTCGACTTCCTCCAAAGTCAGATGCCAGCATGATACGTTCCGGCCTGAGCACGTTGCCTTTGGGAGCCCTCTCGATTGTTCTCTCTACACATCTTACTAATGGCCTACGATTAACGAGTACGATCGTTGCATGTAAATACATACATCCAGAGCATAGCATTAGAGCAAAGAACAATTAATACCCTGGGCGAATATTGTAATGAACATATGGAGTACAGCTTCGGCGTTTAGTATATGGGAGCAGAGGCAAGAAGACCGAAAAAGTCCGAGTTGGTTGAACACACGGAACCAGAAATCGATTGCTCGGACACTCTGTCGAATCAGATGAGCCGCAGTGATTCACAGGTCCAATCAAGGGGCTACGAGCAATGTAAGTGTAACTGGATGATCTTCATGACCAGGGCTCGGTGATTCTCTATACAAGTCAAATTGCCGAGGTCTATCTTGAGCGGTCTATTTGACTGAGTTCCCCGCAACAAATTGATACTCCATCCCTTCCCCCACAGTCTACCTTTGTCGTCCAATTCACAACCGACAATGAACCGCTCAATTCTTCGCGCAGCTACTCGCTCAGCCAAGGCTGCTTCTCCCTCTGTAGCAGGGCGCCGCTATGCGTCCTCGGCTGTCTTCAATTGGGAAGATCCCCTAGCCGCGGCGGAGCTCTTCACGGAGGATGAGCTTGCGATCCAAGATACCGCACGCCAGTACTGCCAGGATAAGCTTATGCCCCGAGTCTTAGGTATGTGTTTTGTCTGTCCCTGTCGCGAAAAGGTGATCTGACGTCACCGGATTTCCAGAGGCCTACCGCAATGAGGACTACGACCGTCGCATCCTCGAAGAAATGGGTGACTTGGGTCTCCTCGGCGCATCAATTGAGGGATACGGTTGTGCCGGTGTCAGCACCGTGGCGTCTGGTCTCATCACAAAAGAGGTCGAGCGGGTAGACTCGGGATACCGATCAGGCATGTCGGTGCAGAGCTCCCTCGCCATGACCGGTATCTACGAGTTTGGCACAGAAGAGCAGAAGCAGCGTTTCCTCCCGGGCCTGGCAAAGGGCACAACCTCTGGCTGCTTCGGACTCACCGAGCCCAACCACGGCTCCGACCCTGGATCCATGGAGACCGTGGCTCGCGAACACCCCACACAGAAAGGCATGTACCTGCTTTCCGGCAGCAAGACCTGGATCACGAACTCGCCGATCTCAGATCTCGCGCTCGTGTGGGCGAAGCTAGAGTCAACGGGCAAGATCCGGGGATTCATCGTTGAGCGTTCGCGCGCCACGCCGGGCTCCTACGAAACCCCGGCTATCAAGAATAAGAGTGCCCTGCGGGCTTCCGTCACCGGTATGATCCAGATGGATAACTGCCCTGTGCCCGCGGAGAACATGCTGCCCGACGTGGAGGGTCTCAAGGGACCGTTCACGTGCTTGAACAGTGCCCGACTGGGCATTGCTTTTGGTAGCATGGGTGCGCTGGAGGACTGCCTTGCCCGTGCGCGCGAGTACGCCCTGGAGCGCAAGCAGTTCAAGGGAAACCCACTTGCCAAGTACCAGCTAATCCAGAAGAAGCTGACGGATGCTGCCACGGACGCCGCCTACGGTACCCTGGCTGCGGTCCAGGTGGCTCGGCTTAAGGATGCCGGCAAGGCGACACCCGAGATGATCTCGATGGTCAAGCGTCAGAACTGCGATCGTGCCCTGGCCAACTCTCGAGTGTATGTTTTTTGCTCCTTTGATTTGACTTTCGAATGCTGACAGTACTTTCAGTCTGCAGGAGGTGTTTGGCGGTAATGCTGCGAGCGACGAGTACCACATTGCCCGTCATGTGGCCAACCTGTTTGTGGTGCAGACCTACGAGGGCCAGAGCGATATTCATGGTGAGTCTATGCCTTTATGCTCCATGCCTAATGACGTCGGGCTAAGACTAATACTTTCCGACAGCATTGATCCTGGGCCGTGCTATTACAGGCGTCCAGGCTTTTGTTTAAAAAAGGGAGAGAAGGACTGCTCGAGTATATAGACACATAGCATAACATAATTGTACAGGATAGGGCCCTGAGGCGATTCCTATAAAGAACCACAATGTCCTTCCCTTTCGGGACAGGCGGGACCGCATATCCACGTGACATCATGAGGGGCACCTGCAGTTTCACATACCGTTTCAATACCCGTACGACGCATAGTGCCCGGCCATTTATGATGTATCAGCCTCGCAGGTAGTTCTTATGGCCCCTACGGAGTATTGCGCGAAATGATGGGAAACGAGTCGAATATGTCTACGGCTGAGATTTCCTGTACCTTCTTCCCGAGGTTTGACTATTGGACTGTCTTATATCAAGACGTAGCCCAGTACGATGCCTGTAATGCCTGTACGCATGTACGCAGCAAGTGAGATATACCAACAAGCCACTGAACACCTGAATAGAATCAGAAGTGAGACCAGGCAATATAGTCCAACATTCAAAGGTCCATAATGGATTCTTTCAGGGCTGAATCATCAGATGTGTCATCGGGCTGTGGCGGTATCAGCCAGTAATACTGGGCAGTAAAGAATCGATTCCGCCCACTTTTCCCCTCTCTCAATAATCTTCTCCTTGAAGTTCTCTTCTCTCTTCCACACAAAGACGTAATCGTATGTTGACCTGGATTCCTCTTCCCACCACAAACTGACTCCTTCTTAAGTCCTTATTACTTTCTGCAAATCTTGCAATCTTTGCCCGTCATGGCTCTCAAGCGCATTAACAAGGAACTCACTGATCTCGGCCGGTAAGCCCATCCGTCATCGCCGTCTTCTTATTCAGATTCTAACGATCCCCAGTGATCCCCCGTCTTCCTGCTCCGCTGGTCCCGTCGGCGATGACCTGGTATGTACTACCCCCTCGCCCCTGTGCCGGCCCCCGATTTAGCGGGGTACAAGCACCCCGCCGGTTGCCTGACATCAATGAGGGGCCATAACTGACTTGTCTTTTTTCCCGTATTAGTTCCACTGGCAAGCCACCATCATGGGTCCTGTAAGCACCTCTTCACCCTCAATCTTTTCTCTGGGGACCTTGGGGCCAGATGATTCTCCCCGCGAAGGCCCAGAGAGAAACCAAACATCGCTCAGCGCTAACGCATCAACCAGGGTGACTCCCCATACTCTGGAGGTGTCTTCTTCCTCGCCATTCACTTCCCTACCGACTACCCCTTCAAGCCTCCCAAGGTCAACTTCACCACCCGCATCTATCACCCCAACATCAACTCCAACGGCAGCATTTGTCTGGATATCCTGAGGGATCAATGGAGCCCCGCTCTCACAATCTCAAAGGGTGAGTACCTGCATTTTGGCACCCACAAAACCACCGCTAACCGCATCTCAGTGTTGCTTTCCATCTGCTCGATGCTCACAGACCCCAACCCGGACGATCCTCTTGTGCCCGAAATCGCGCACGTCTACAAGACCGACCGACCCCGTTACGAGGCCACAGCCCGCGAGTGGACGCGCAAGTACGCTATCTAAATGTGAAACGACAACTTTCATTTCTCCCTTATCTCGCTCTCGCTGTCCTCAATAACCCCTCGGTCCCCCTATCTCGCTCGACCACTTTCTCTCGGTTCAAAGCCGCTCTGCATCTTTTCCGCTTTCCATTTCCCGCTTAGATTCAGTCGCGAAAGCCTGGCGTACCCGTGGTCGTAGAAACGGTGTATTTTCTCCCTCCGCCTTTTTTTTTCTTGGTTTCGAAAATTCAAATGCTGGTTCTTGCACCTTTTTCAAATCCCCTCTTGCGCTTAGGGTGTTCCATTTGTCGACAGGGCCTTTTTTCCCCTTTCATCACTTCTGTGTCGGGTGGAATTTCGGGGCCATTCTCATATCCAACGATCCTTATGACAACACACTGCATTCATGGCATCTGTTTTTTTCTGCTTTCGCGAACGCTGCAACCAGTCTGTTTGCTGAGGACTGGAAAAATGGACTTCCTTTACGGATAATTCGCTGTTTTGTAGGGCTCGGGGGATATGTTCATGACTCGGGGAGTAGACCTGACTGCAGAGATCGGCTGGGAATCGCTGCGTAATGTGTGTCGAGTGCTTGGGGTGACCGTCCTTTTTCTTTTTTTTTTCTTTTCTTGCAAATACCTAGGTAGCACAATCCAGCCCTGGAGGCAGGCCCGTCTCTGTGTTGAGAATTCTGAATCCTTTCAAGATTGTAAGTCATACCTAGTACCTCCCTAGAAGTAGTGGCGCAGAGTATGGAGGGGGTACCCGTGCCCAGGTGAACATACTGCCCAGTGGTGGTATGCCCAGGTAGGTAAGGCTACCTAGGTAGAGACTGGATCGACGTCTGGGCATCTACATTGTGAGTGGCCTCGGAGGGGGGTCGGAGAAATAAATATAAAGCAAGGGTGGTCCATGTTGGCGAACCGGGACATGCACATGGATATATATTGTCGAATCAGACTTAATTGACTTACTTCAACTCCATAGATAGGCATGACATTTCATGCAATTGGGCACGCGAGAGTATTCCCAATTCCGTTAGACCCTTAGGTCGACGGATTGCAGCCCGGGGGGCATGAGCAACAGCAGACCGCACGTTCGAAGCAATGTCAGTATGTGAGCTTGCCCAGGTGAAAACGAAAGGGCCTACCACTGGGCAAGTTTGATTCACTACTCCATAGATCATATTGCAGATTCAAGAATGCATTTCAATTTCCCAACTCCATAAATGTATGTATATATCTGTGTAAATGCAAAGCAACCCAAAATGTCTTGAACTCCGAAATCATAAATCTAATCTGTCGTATGGAAACCTGCAACCGAATCTCATACCAGACTTAGTTCAAGTCTAAGCAAATTCGGCAAAAAGAGAAAGAGAAAGAGAGGGGAGAGGTGGCCAAGTCAACCAGGCTAGCGTGTATAACCCGGCGAGTAACGCGGCGCAGATCATGCAACCTGGCTACTGCGACGACTGCCACCTACCTTGGAGCCAGCCTTGCTGCCTTCAGCCTTGACAGTGCGCTGTGAGGCCCGAGACACCTGACTAACGGAATCAGCGGGTCTCACAGCCTCATCGAACTTGGAACCGGACTTGGAGTGCACGCTCGGCTCCCGCTTAGAATGACTGGAGCGATGAGAGCGGTGCGAGCGGGTAGAATGGTGGGAACGGCCGCCAGCCTGGCTGATCGAATCATCGGGCGACACATTGGATTCAACGTCGACGTCGAGCACACTTTCGGGCAGCAATACATGACGGGCGGAGATATACGAATCCTTAGGCCCGTAGTTGTCACTGGGGCTGACGTAGGAATCCTTGGGTCCAATAGCGATGTCTTTGCTGTGGATACTCGAGCTGGAGTAGAAACTAGGTGTCGAGGTCACCGGGAGGGGGATGTTGCGCGCGGACTTGGATGACGCAACGCTGGCATTGTCCTTGTCCCTGCCGGCGTGCGAGGAGGTGCGCACGGAGCGGTGCGATTGCTGACTGTGATGGCTGTGCACGCTCTGGCTGCGGTGACTGACGGATGAGTAGCCGTCCTTGTCGTCGGAGCTGTGGCGACGTGTAGCCGAGGCGGCCTTCACGGTCGAAGCGCTCTGGGCGCTGTGCACGCTGCCTGTTGACATGTGGCGTGGCATGTCCTCATGATAGCTGCTGATAAACGTGGAGGGAGCGCAGGGGTACCGCTGCTGGGAAGCGGCACTGGCAGGCGGGTACTCGATGGCGCGGAGTGGGGCGTCCTCGTTGATGGTGTAGACCGAGCCCTCGGATGCACGGCGCATGTTGTCGCCCAGGAATTCAGTGCCCTCGTAGATGGTGCTGGCACGTGGGTTCTTGGAGGACACGCTGCGGGAGAGCGTAGACCGTGGGCCTGAGGCGCCTGAGGCGGCCGAGTAGATGCTGCGAGGTGGTGGTGGTGCCTCGATAGCGCGGAACTGCTGGGGCTGTTGCTCTTGAGGAACGTTATTGTTGTTGTTGCCAGCACCAAAGAAGGACTGAGCGGCAGCCTTGATCTGCGGGAAATCCGTGGGGAATTGAGACTGGCTCTTTGGCTCTTCGGTGGACTGTGAGTCGCCCTTGACCATTGCATATGCGATTGCCGCACCGGCAGCGGCACCAATGAGCGTACCGACGATGGTCTTGGCCGCTTTGCTGCCGTCATCGACCGGGGCCGTTGCCACGATGTACGAGGGCTGCGGCGGGGCCTGGGCGCGAGTGACGACAGTAGGAGCAGAACGCTCAACGGCTGTAGGAGCCCTGGACACCATCGTGGGTGCACGAGACTTGGCCTCAGATCTAGCTTCGGAACGAGCCTCAGATCTGGCCACAGACCTGGCCACGGATCCTGCTTCGGACCTCGGGGCGACGCTCTCTGGCTTGACGGTGCTAGCTCGACTGCTGGCCTTCGAAACCACGGATCGGTTGGAATCCTCCAGCAGGGCCATTGTTGGCCCGCTGACCGCCGATGCAGCGGACGACACTTCGGGCCGGTACACGGCTTCAATGCTGTTACCGTCGAAGTCGACGACGGCTGCACTGAAGTACCCGGAGTGCGAATCTCGCTCCTTGGGTTCCCCATGTATCTTCGCGCCTGCTTTGAGAGCGCTTATGAAGAATGAGCCGACTGCGTCTCTCGACGGGGCTGGGAAGGCGACATGAACTGCACCTGGAGGAGTTCTATATCGAAGGTTAGCATATACTGTGGCAGCACTTTCAGTTGATATCGACTCACCCAGGCTTGGTCTCAGTCATCCAGAAATCAGCAGGCTCCCCCTGCTTCTGACCGAAACCTATGTAGTCGTCGTGTCGCCCGATGAATTGGTATCCCAATGGTTGCAGACATGATAAGAAGAAGGAGGTCGAGGTTGGCAGGTGCGAGACCGTGAGGGTGATGTGAGAGACAGGCATGTTGTGTTGGATGCAAGAAGAAACGAGAGAGATGAATGGATAAATAGCTCAAGAGGAGGAGACGATTGAGCTGCAGGCAAGGAGGATATATACGGTGAGGGTGTATGGGAACTATGACACAACCACGAGGCCGAAGCTTGCCAGTGCGAACCAGCGTGTGACTCTAGCCCCGAAGTAGCAATCTCCTGAAATCCTGCCCAAGTCAAAGAACACCGCATGTTCTGAGAGCCCAGCCCCTCCAAGGTGGAACTCCCGGTTTCCTGTACGGAGTCGGGGCGAGTGGGACACGATTGGCCAGCCAGCGTCAACTCATTGTCCAGTCCGGAGGTACGCTGTACGCTGTACAGTCCCGATCGAGAGATCGGCGCCGGTTGAAACACCACTCCAATGATGGACCTTCACGAGGCGACGGATGAGGCCCAAAGAAATCCATAGGCCCATATCGGCAGTGAGGAAGGGTCTCCTGTTCCTGGCTGCTTTCGGATGCGCAGCCCAATCTCCGTTTGAATGGTGAGACGCCTGTGGCCCCGGCGATTGGACGAACCCTGCTGCCAGGTCATCGCGGGGAGTCCAAGTGGGTTCTAGTCACGGCGGATGGGGCGTCTGTTCAGGCCGTGCAGGAGCCTATGAAGGTTAAGTGGGCATCTGGCTTACTTGTCCTGCACAGAGCAAATAGCGACCTCGCAGTGGAGTAGTGCAGGGGCCAGAGGGAAATTCTTGTTCGGGGTGGGTTCCTCTGCCCCGAATGGTACCTAAACAGATTGTAGGTGTGCTGACCGCCACTGTCGGATTACTGACTGCGAGGTGCTCCGGTCCCCCGTCCTGTACAGCCCGGCACACTTGATAATGACTCAGTTTAATTTGCAGCGTACCTACATGTTTGATAGGGGTGTCATATTAGCCAATTTTGTGCAATTATGCGATGGGCAGAGGTGCATGGAACTAGTCCACCCGATTCGTGGACTCAAAGTGAGGCGTGCCACGTCGACAAAGTAGCTTATACTAGTGTTCGACCGGCCGTTGCGCTTGCGGAATATGCCTCTGATTGTGTAGCATGTACAATGACTCCATCGAGAGAAACATAAAAAAAGAACATAGACCGCTATACTGTACGTCTACAAGGAAAGAATGAAGGATAGATCAAGTAATATTGAACACAAATCCAATGTGTTCCTCGAGATCCAAATTAATGGCCCCGATCTATGTGCTGTTCACTTTTTCTGGTCAACGCATCGTAGGCGAGCCTGACGATGGAATCTCAAGGGCGCAGGACTGGCGAAAAGGAACCAAATGCCATCCGACCCGTGTGTTGAGATGGGGGAGAAGACCCGACAGTTCTCTCAACCCCAAAGCAGACAAACACAGCGACCTGGGATGAATCCCGAAGCTTGGTAGCTGCCGTCTATGTAGCATTCTCCTTAAACAAAACAAAGAGATAAAAAAAAGGCAGAGGTGGGCTTTTTAGACAAAAAAAACAACAGCCCGAAACACTCGAAAGAGTCACACCCAAGGCCCTACGTTATCGGTCACTTGGGTGCCAACTCATTCCCGCCCGTGAGCAATCCAGAGCCGGAAGGTAAAATGTGCCGTCGGCGGCGACACAGGACGCGCCCGCAGTGGGCGCGATTGCCGCTCCGGTCCAGTTGCTCACAGGATGTCCCAGACCTCTTCGGCCGCGTGGCAGAACTTACTACAGGCCACACTGGCACTGAGACTGTAGTTGCTGATACTGATGCTCTCATCCTTGAAGGTATCGGCAAAGTCATCGTGACCCTTGGCCATGGCACCGACGAAGATGGCGACGCTCTCGTTGGGCTTGAGCGACTCCAGGTAGTCCCGAGTGCGCACGAGGGGAGCCTCGAAACTCATAGTTACCTTACGGCAGTTAGGAGGCAGGTGGTCGGTGATGGGGTTCTTGATGACCTTCAGCAGCTTCTCCTGCGAGTTGGTGGAACGAATCGAGAGACGGTGGAGCAGCTGCACCATCAGACCGGCGAACCGCTTGAAGGTTCTGGGAATGCGGACTGAGGGGTTGACCTCGATCAGGACTCCCTTGGCGGTGTGAATGAAGATCTGGAGGCGACCGGCCTTGTTGACGGGCGAATCAAGGAGGGTCAAAAGGCACTACGGTTGGTTAGTAGACGTTCTGGGATTTACAATGTCTTGTGTCTGGTTTCTTTTGGTTTCAGATGACCCGGGCGATGTTGAATCGTACCTGGTGAGTGATATCGGGGCGAGCTTCGCTGATATCACGATTCATCTTGCGCATGATGCCGATGTGCTCATCGCTGTTCAGCAGCGAGAACTTCTCATCCTTGGTGCCACTACGGCCGCTGGAGACTGCCTTGTAGGTTTCCAGACTGGCGTTGGAGAGGACCACAATCAGGCGCTGGGTGTCCTTGTCATGAGAAGGAATGGCCACATGTTGCTCTGCGACCAGTTGGGGCAGCTCAGGAGGAGGGCACGACTGGGTTCCTGTAGACAGACCGTTAGACATTTGATTATGCAAAGTATGCGGGAGGGGTAGAAGCAGAAGTAACGAGGGGGATTGGCCCGATAAGTCACACACACCCACAGGCCAATTGAAAACTATTGATCTGGGAGCCAAGTATTGGTAACCCTTGCCGGAACTTGCTTTGAGTCTCCAAGATCAAGCGTAGGTGCGGAGCACATCCAAATGGCCGCCGGGTTGGGATAGAGGAAAAGGGCAATGGGACAAAAGAAGAATCATCGTAACTTACTCGCACGCTTTCTCTTGCCAGCAGCTTGCTCTTGTTCCGACATTGTGGTGGGCTGAATGATTGTGACTGAAGATGAAGAATTTTAGCAGAAAGTTTTGGGGGCAAAGTCGGGCCGGGCTGCAGAGCGGAGTCGTTTACTTCGTACCCCGAAATGGCTTCATTGCTTACGGCTCCCCTGCTACTCGTCTTTTGATTACTAGTAATAAGTAAATTAATCGTAGTCCATATGCTGATGCCGTTTTACCACGTTGGATTGAACGGGGTCCGAAGTACTAAAATAGCGAGCACTAGCTTCAGGCACCGTTGTCAATCTTCCGTAAGATCGTCTCCCAGGCCCATGAGCCAGGCATAATAGCGACAATTTATAGTTTTCTCGAAGTTCTGACCGGGCCCGTAGCGCAATAGCTGTCCTAGTCCGGAGTAGCCCCCCGCCATGGATGCTAGTCAGTGGCGTCCCAACCCAAGATGAGCGCAGCTGGAAGCCCATACCAGTAGACCCGGGGAGCTCTCTGTACGGAGTAGGACTTGACCTACTAGATCGACGAATCCGAGGATGTGTAACAGCTGCAAGCCGCGTTGGTGACCTTACACAACCCAATCCGACTGGTTCCTACCCGTCCCTTCGGAGCCCGCTGAGAGCTTTTGGTCCAGTGAGATGAGAAGTGTCAGCATGATTCCCGATGCCATGAGTGGTCATCAATCATTCTGGCAGGGTGATACAAGCGCCAGGGGGCCAAATCCCAAGCAGAAACCCCATTAGGCGTGAAAGGCCTGCTTATGTTGGATCTGACGTGAAAGTCCCCAGAAACACTGGCAGTGACGGCTTTTGACCTGGTTCAGCGACCGCGTTTCGTCGAAGTTCCGGGTGACAGGCCAAGAGCTCAGTCGCCACCGAGTCCAGTGAACTCTATGCTGTATACCCATGCACAGTGGAATCTGGGGGCCTTTCTTGTCCTCGTAATCTGCTGGCTAATGTCCCCATGAAGGCCAATCAGTGGGTGAGAACGGATGATCCTTCACAGAGTCGGCCCAATCAGCAAATCGTTCGTGTTGGCCCCGGCGGTGCGGTAAATTGGTAAATTGGAGATGCCCCCAGCAGTGGGCAGTGGGCAGTGAACCTGAACGCATAGTGGCCAGAGCAGCATCGCAACGGGAAAGAGCAGTTAAGCAGTCAATCAGCGCGTCCTTACGGAGTACACAGCGGAGGCCTTGCTGGCCACAGACAGCTTAAAGAGCGTCTGCCTTGGCACCAGAGCCAGGGGGAAAAGCAGTAGGGCGTCATATTTTAATCTCCCGGACTCCGTAGACTCTACCAAATGGCCCCATTGGCCGAAGAAGGGGGATTGGAGCCTGTTGGAATCGCGAGGGTCCGGTTTGACATTGTGCTCTTCAAACAGTGAAGTCGAATGGAAGAAAGGGGTGGCGACCAAATGTCTCCCGCATACCAAACACCAGGAATTTGACATTACAAAGAGATGGCTGGTGAACGAAGAGCTTCATCTTTATTTCTATAAAATCCCCTTACTCACACTTCCGGTGGCGAGAGCTGTTATTGTCTAGCATCTGCCCAGCCCGACCATCTCCTTAATTCCTCCCCTCCCCCATCGACTTCCCCTGATCCATCATTTCAATACACTTTTCAACTCCACTGAGAGTTTCTGCAGAGGAACAAAGGGATCTGGTGAGTGCACCGTTAGTCACCGAAACAATATGACCTAAAGGAGATTAGCGTCCCGCGCGTGCCGTCAGGTGTAAACCTGCCAATTTCTCAACTCCATCCCACCTTGAATGCCTTGAAATTCTTGAGAGTACAGGGCCATGCCGTGGACAGTGACCAATTCATTTAAGAGGTATGTGCCGTCTCCAACGTCCGTGTCCAGGAGCTAATCCCACCACAGAGGCCTTATGAAAACTTACGGAAGACCGACATGGCGCGTCTACGATGACGAGCGCGCCTCCAAAAAGCGACGCGTGCAGGATGAGTCGGATGAAGCTGAGACCAACCTACAATATGCTATCCGCGAGTCATCCGCCGCCGTGCTATCAAGCCCGTCGCGTCGCAACTCCGTGGTGTTATCAGAAGGCACCCTCGACGATATAGACGATCTCACCACACCACCATCGTCGCCACCCCCACGGTTAACCCCGCCGCCAGCAAATACGCGCAAGCCAACCTTTAACTTCATGAAGCGCAAGCATAAGGACGCGCCGGCCGGCTCGCCGTTGACGGAGGTCAACTCCAACAGTGTGCGATCGTCCGACCCGCCGAAGCAGAAGGGCCAGAAGCAGCCCGTGATGCGCCAGATGCAGATTGATCTGGGCACCGATACACGAAAGACATGCGCCACCTGTGGAATGGAATATATCCCCTCAAACACAGAAGACGCGGCATTGCATAAAAAGTTCCACGAGATGAATGCGACGGGAATCGACCTGGGGAAGGCGTTCCTACGCGCAAATGCTTCTCGCTGGATTTACGAAGCGACTCGATTCGATGAAGGGTATGTGGTCATTGTTGATCGCAAATCATCACCCAGCGCCAAGAGCCAGGCGAAGAAGGTGCTTGAGGTGGTCAGTAAGGAGCTCTCATCGCCAGAGATCGACGACGAAACTCTCTGGGCCCAAGCAGAGCCCCCCAAACATTTACAAGAAAGCTCTACAGAGAAGGTAGACCGTTACCGGGTGTTCCTTCATATGAAAGATAGCCGCTGTGTCGGCCTCTGCCTGACCGAACGCATCTGGGAATCGCGACCGGTCGCCACGGAACCAAATGGCGCCAACAATTCCTCTGTCTCCACCAAAGAGGAAGTCCACCCGGCCATTGTCGGAGTGTCTCGCATCTGGACCTCCGGATCTTCACGGCGAAAGGGAATCGCCTTGGATCTTCTTGATTGCGTGGTGATTAACTTTATCTACGGCATGGAAATAACAAAGGACCAAATCGCATTCAGCCAGCCCACCGAAAGTGGCAAGCGTCTAGCACATAAGTTCTTCGAGGACGAAGAGACGTGGCATGTGTATAATGAGCGGTGATGGACCTCGGACATAGGGGGGAGGTGAACTATCTTTTATTGTCAGGTCGGCATATCGGACTTTGAGCAGCGTGTTTTCTGTATCATATCTTCCCATTTCCTACCGCAGGAAGGGACAATCCAAATTGAACGCTATTAATATTCGGACTGATGTAGTTACAACCGGGACAGCCGGACGCCTCGATCGGAAAAGCGGCGTGTAGGAACAGAACATGGCGGGGAAACCACTCCTCTCCCCCCATCTCTGATCTCTAGATGTGATACTCTCTGCGATGGCCGGGTCAAATCCTTTTCGCGCCAGGCATCTGGGTGAGTAATTTGTGCATTGGCTCTTCCATCTCCGTCTGATCCCGAGTCGAAATGGCATGTTGCTAACGGGACCGTGAGACAGGAAACCCCGATCCAGTCTTGTCTCCTTCCAATATCGCCCCTGTTTTATCCAAGTCGCAAGTTACCCCACCAGCCGCCCCGGATGGCTACGGGAAGTCTTCGATCTCCCTCGAACGCGAGGTGGACGACTCGAGCTCCGATGAAGACACCAACCCGTTCCATCCAGATCTGTCCAGCGACAGCGATGAGGACAATCGGCGAGACCACTGGGCAGCTCCCGATGATCGTCCAGAATCGTTTGGGTCCACTCCACTCCAAGCTCCATCACCAGATGGATCCTCCACTTCCTCCATTTCCTCCGACCGCAATATGCGGTCATTAAGGGGTGCAGCCCCTGACGCGTCTCCGGACAACTCCCAGCACGCAATTCGCCAGGCGGGACAACCACCCCAAAGGCTAGAATCCAGTGCCAGTCCTCCCAGCCGCAGAGACCGGAAGCCTCCCCCTCCGCCGAAAAGCCATCATGGGCGAAGAATCAGCTCTACAACCACAGAAGCACCCCAGGAAGCCCGGTCTCGATCTTCGAATCGTCTATCGATCCATGGCTCCCCCAACAGCGTGACACCCGGTGCTTCACACCCCAGCACGGTCTCGCTGCCATCAACCGCCGACTTCTTATCAGTCTCGACGGGCGAACAGAGGACGACGGAAGCGACAAGCTCCCTCACGCGGAGTCAGTCCCAGAATAAGCGTCCGCCTACGCCGCCGCTCAGTCGACGACATAGCCAAATGCAGAGATCCAAGTCCACGCAGTCCAAACACCATCGATTTACCATGTCTTCATACGGCTCCGATAGCAACCATAGCTCTCGCCCCTCCAGCCCGGGTCCGTCCACCTCATCTCTTGCGTCCAAGCGAATCAGCATGCCTCCACCATCTTCGGGGAGTTTCCAGCCGACGGGTCCCCTTGCGGATGTTTCCTTGAATGTCTCACCTCCTACTACATCTAGACCATCCTCTCTGAAGGCCGGACGGCGAGCCTCGTCCTACGGTACTGCGGGGAGTGCAGGCTCAACCGGACCTCCTCCTCCCCCGCCGCCACGACGGACGCGAGACTCTATGATCCGTAGTAGTGATAGTATACCCGTTCCGGGTCCGGCGAATCAGCCTCCTTCGAACGCCTTGGACATCCTGGCGGATCTCACCAAGCTGCAGAAAGAGGTGGATGATCTGCGCGGACACTATGAGAATCGGAAATGAAGGAGAACAGCAGGCTGTTCTGTATACGAATGTATGAATCGCAGTAACCATACCAGGTAATCGAAATACCGTAGTTGAAACAAAGATCATTGGTCTGACACGGAACATGACGTCGGAATTAATTATTTAGACATTTGCCCTCCGCGACTCCTTTCATTTTAAAAATTTCGACTGTATTGGTGACCCTGGCGAATTCCCTCGACCTGGTGTCTCTTTTCCTCTCTTTCCCTCTCCATCTACAAACATCATGACCACCCCCACTCTAATCAACTTGCCGCCTCCCCCATCGGACCCGGTCACCCCGTCTGATATGGGACCGTAAGACCTTCAATTCTCTCCGCCATATGAACCTGTAAGGAACTTGACTGACTTTGGGTGGGGGAATCAGAGGCACCCCTAACTCCGGAACGACCTCCCTCTCCGCCCTCTCAACCACGGCCATCAAAGACGGCCACCAGGGTCATTTCCCGCAAGGTCGTCACGCCCACCATTCCTCCACTTCCTCAGCTACCACACTTGAAGCCGAGCGCGCAGACCGCATCTCGCGACTCGCCGGCCTAGAGCGTGTCGCAACAGCCCGAGCTGGCAATCAACAATCTGGCCATGTCCCCCCGTCTCATGCCCCCGGCTACTTCGAGAGCCAAGCCCTGAAAGAGCGCAGCACTGTCGGCAGCGCCAGCGCAACGGGCAGCCTTGGTGGTCGCACCACCTGGGCCAGTAGCAGTGATTTCTATGACGCTGACAAAATGAGCGAGGATCACGATGATGAGACCGACAGCGTCAGCAACGTCAGTGAAAGCAATGCCAGCTTGGTCGGCTTTGGCGAGGGCGCAAACAGCACCATCAGTGGTCCGACTTCGCGTCCCCCAGGCTTGAACCGTATCTCGTCCGGTCACGGCAACCGCCCACCTTCAATGAGCTCGAATGTCAGCCGCCCCAATGTTGTCGCTTCGTATCTGCAGCAGCAGCAGTATCATGCCGGGGAGAGATCGATGGTTTCACCTTCACCCGCAGGTTCGAGTACCCCCGAGCCTTTGAATGAGGATGCCCGCATGGTTGATGGAATGACCTTCGATTCGGGTGTTGTCGACACCACTGCTCGAACTCCGCGCATGGCTACGCCATCGGGTAGCAATGGGTTCGGCTCACCAGGCCGGGACTAGAATCTACTTTTGTGTAGTAGATCAAGACTTTTACGATGGCGTTTAGTTAGTGGCTTCCGAGTTCGATGCTGGATTTCAATCGCGTGTAATTCTAAGAGAATGACCTATGGAGCCAAATATTACCCCTGATTGAGATACCTGAGCCCAGTGCCCAGGTGAACATGCTCTGGTCGCAGTGCGCTGCAGTCTTGGTGGTTGGACCCGTTCCCCTCCACATTGCCACCTGTCTTCTGAGTACGTTGTACAGTAGTAAGGATCGTCGCAGGCCCAGAGAGACCTCACCAGGACATTCGAAGCTCATGGAGAAGCCGAGAGATTCAGTAGAAAGAGATCTGATAGATATAGATCGATAGCGAAATGGTCCTTGATTATGTAGATGACGGCATGCCGCCGAGCCACTTCACAACACCCGAATTTTCTTCCTTCACTCTTCACTCTTCATCCTCCCCCACCTCCAAACCACCCTCTTCGACCCTTTGCTGGCATTGACTTGTCTAGCAGTCTTCATTTCCGATTCAATTCCTACTACCGTTTTTTTGAACGCGTCCGCGATTTCTCGACGTTTCGATACGCTTTGTTCCACGATCCTTTAACCCGTTGTTCTCAGGTTATTTTTGGTCCTTTCAGATCGCTCTGTGACCCGCGCCTCTTTACACTGAGACCAGTCTCTCTGCGCTTCTGTTGGAATAGCATTCGATTATAGTTCATTCGGTGGATTTTCTTAGACTTGCGAGTTAAGATCAACATGGCAGCTCCTACGCAACTTGCTTGTGCGTGATCTCGTTCCCTGTGCTTTGTGTTTGACTTTTGGTCAAGTGTCGATGCCGATTTCCAACTGTCATGGAATCATTGCTGATTGTCGTACAGACCGCACGCTCAAGGGCATTGGCATCATGGATGCCGCCCCCGTATACGAGCCTCTGTCGGGATTCGCGAAGTGAGAATATCAGTGCAAATCCATGAGGAATCATCGCTGACGTGTCCGCCAGACCAGAGGGCAACCTCCGTTGTAGCGCCTACTCGCCATGTGGCCGGTATTACGCCTGGGCATCGCCTGAAAAGTAAGCATCCCATTTCGCTCTGATCTCACGTCACTTCCTAACTTCGCCTTTCGCTAGGGTCACCATCGTCGACCCCTCCGTCGGCCATGTCGTCGGGACCATCCCCGCCGATAACGTATTCGAGCTGGGTTTCTCCCCGCTTGGTACCTACGTGATCACCTGGCAGCGCACATCTAAGGATGCGAACGGAGACGCCGTCAAGAACTTGAAGGTGTGGCGCGCCATTGAGGCCGGAGATGAACATTCGGTCGTGGGCAGTTTCGTCCAGAAGTCGCAGACCGGATGGAACCTGCAATACTCAGCTGATGAGAAGCTGTGCGCTCGCACCGTCACCAACGAGGTCCAGTTCTACCAGAGTGACAACCTGTCCACTGTCTGGACCAAGTTGCGTGTGGAGGGTGTGTCTGACTTTGCGCTTTCGCCTGGTCAGACCCAGTCGATTGCAGTGTTCATTCCTGAGCGCAAGGGTCAGCCTGCTCAGGTGAAGGTGTTCATTGTGCCGCAGTTCTCTGCCCCTGTCTCCCAGAAGAGCTTCTTCAAGGGTGACAAAGTTCAGTTGAAATGGAACGCTTCCGGAACCACCTTGATCGTGCTTGCGCAGACCGAGGTTGACCGTACCGGCAAGAGTTACTACGGCGAGACCACTCTATACCTGTTGAGTGCCAGTGGTGCATTTGACTCGCGTATTGACCTCGGTATGTTTTTCTCCCGCAGTATAAAGGAGGTCTGGTTACTAACCATCAGCAGATAAGGAGGGACCCATCCACGATGTGAGCTGGAACCCCAACTCGAAGGAATTCGGTGTTGTGTACGGCTACATGCCCGCGAAGACCACCATCTTCAACTTCCGCGGTGTTCCAAAGCACAACTTCCCCCTCGCCCCCCGCAACACGATCCAGTTCTCCCCGCACGGTCGATTCGTGCTGGTTGCCGGTTTCGGTAACCTGGCTGGCCAGATGGATCTCTACGACATGGACAAGAACTACCACAAGATCACCACCGTCGAAGCCTCCAACGCCAGCGTGTGCGCCTGGTCGCCCGATGGACAGTACATCTTGACCGCGACGACTAGCCCCCGTCTGCGCGTCGACAACGGTGTGCGCATCTGGCACGTCACTGGTGGCCTCATGTACAACGAAGAAATGACCGAGCTCTACGACGTCACCTGGCGCCCGCAGAGCATCGATCAGCACCCACTTGGTGAGCCGCTGACCAAGCTCCCCACCCCCCACCCCTCTGCGACCGCCTACATGGGCACTCGCAAGGCCCCCGTTAAGCCAGCTGGCGCCTACCGCCCCCCAGGTGCGCGTGGCCAGCTTACTCCTCTCGCATTCAAGCGTGAGGACGAAGGTGGTGCTGCCTTTGTTCGCGATGGAGTTCCTGGCGCCAGCATGAACGGCTTCGGCAAGCCCCGGCGCCGTGAGATCCCCGGCGCCGAGCCCACGGAGGAGTATCTGCCTCCTGGAGCCGCTCCCGGCGGCGGTGTCGCTCTGCCTTCGGAGAACCTGTCCAAGTCTGCCGCCAAGAACAAGAAGAAGCGTGAGGCGGCCAAGAAGTCCAAGGAGGATGGCGAAAGCACTCCCCCTGCCAATGCGCCTACCGGCCCTAGCCCGGACCGCAACCGCAGCCGTGGCAAGAACGCCCCCAATGGCAACGGTGCCCCTAAGTCTGCCCCTGCCCCTGCCCCTGCTCCCGCCGCGCCTGTCGAGGACCCTTCTGCTCAAGACAAGAAGATTCGTGGTCTTTTGAAGAAGATCCGTGCCATCGATGAGCTCAAGATGCGTCTCGCAGGCGGTGAGAAGCTGGAGGATACGCAGATGAAGAAGATTCAGACTGAGGATTCAGTGCGCAAAGACCTGTCCGCTGTTGGATATGAGGGCTAAGCAACTGTACAAATGGAATGGAGATTACGACGTCAATGCAAATGGTTGCGTGCCCTCCCCTTGGATATAGTCAGGTTGAACTGCGGGTATGCAGCGGGTACTGGGACCGTTGAATCTAACATCTAAATCACTATCAATATCATTACCTGTCAATATCAATATGACCCTGAGATCTTCCAAGATGATATATACAAAGTCAAAAGCAATCATATACATAGAAAGTAACATGGTAAATCTATTCTATCAACTTTTTTTCCCTAGTCAAGTCAACGATCGAGTGAATTGGTCTTCAACGCCAGCCTTCCTCTCCCTCGCCATTCTCTCCCAATTAGCCCTCCACCACCAAATCCCCGTCTCATCGAGCCCTTGGGTCTCCCCTTCCTTGTGTCTCTCATGCCAAGGCTTCGTCGCAAATATGTAGTGCACAGCCCGCACTTCATCATCTCTCCAAATCGCATCATGCACCCCTTGCATACGCAATGTCTTCAGCGCATTATACACATACGGAAGCGCAATCCATCGCCCCAAGAAGACATCCGACAGCAGCTCCTGGTCCGGGAAATCGTACTTCTCGATGCGCTCGATCTGCTGCAGCGCAGACGTTATCTCACTATAGTGCCTGGCAGAAGGGCGCACAACAAGCACGCCACTATTGAGCATTCCAACTCCAGCCCCGGCAGGCGGTGCCGTATTCTGCGCTGTCGCCGCCGCCGAATGCTGCGTTGTGTATGCGCAGTTCTCGGGAACCCTAGACGTCATTAGGAATCATTCTCTAATGCAGAAACAACGGGGAAAGTAGCAGCACATACCAAGTAGCAGGGTAGTGAGACTTCTTCATGGGATTGCAGGCGCAAGCATGCGCCGCTGCGAAAACCCGTTCCTCGTCCAGTGGTAGTTCCATGAGCTCGTCCATGTTCCGCCGAACTAGGATGTCGCCGTCAAGGAGTACGATGCGGGCATATTCCTCCAGAGAAAAGACAATGAGCTTGTTCCATGTCTCGGCAAAGCGCGGGTCTTGCGCGTACTTTCTTGTGATGGCTGGTGTCACGGAGGGAACCAATTGCGCCGGGATGCCGCGGGCTCGGAGGACTTCTAGGCCTTCTGGTGGGAAGGTGGAGGTGTAGAGGGCTATGAATGGATATTTTGTAGGTTGGGCTGCGGTGGGCGAGGATGCTGCGGTATGAGAGTCTGGAGATGGGTGGTTGAGGGAGTGGTGAAGAGTTAATAGGCCCGGGAGATAAGAGAGGTTGGTGATGAGGGAGGCCCATACTGGTAGGGTTAGCTTGGGATTGGCATTGAGGGTTTGATACTCACCACGCTGGACTGGGGGTTTTGTCTGTGTCATCTCAGATGCGACGATTGACTGGAGTCGTGGAGAGAGAGAGCGTCAGTCGAGCCAAAAGTGGGGTGGACGGAGTGGATGGCGATCATATCACTGCGGGACTGGAGAACGGAGCTACTACGATACGGAGTACAGTATGTTCTGTTTGAATCTCTACGAAAAGCACAGAGTTGAAGTGGGATATTAAAATCAATCTATCTCTATTCGGCAATTATGAAGCCTCAGCACGATCCCCGATTTGCACGCCCCAGATTTGCCATTTCGCGTCTTCAATGAAGTCCCTCCGCAACCAAAGTCCAGAGCGGGCTTGTTCGCCTTGAGGTAACTGCTTAGACAGATGATCGCGCTCTTCGCCAGGCTGAGTGCGGTCCAGCCAATCGAACAACAAGCGAAGCTGCCAGATCCGATCACGAATCTGATCGGGATCAGCACCACGGCCGCGTGCTGATTGTACAATGTTGCGCACAGTGTGGGACAATGTGAGACGGGCGTCGACAGCTGAAGTACGTAGCCATTGCGGTGCCGAGACGAGATCGTTGGTGATCCGGGGTGAGCGCATTGGGAAAGATGAGGGGAGGACAAGGGAACGCTCGCGGACGTCGAGGTCTTGTAAAGATGGTAGGTGGAAAACCCAGTCCCAAGGGTTTTGCGAGGGTGAAGTTGCTGCGGATTGTTTACCAGAAAGCAAAGCGAGACGATTTGGCCAGGCCGAGGGGGGAGGTGCCTTGGCTGGGTTGGAGGGCCCAACGGCGGTGGTCGGGAGAATATCTTGTGCTTCGCTGAGGCCAGTCAATGTCGAAGCGAAAACAGATGTGGAAGAGCTCGCTGGGTTATAGGTGGCTTTGCGGCGAAGGTAGACAGAGGGGTCACCGCGGAGGAATTTATCGCGGAGAGTGTCATTTTGGCTAAAGTCCAAAACGAGAGGCCAGTGATCGGGCCCGCGGATCTCAATACGGGTGATTCCGCTGGGATCTGGCAGGAGACACGGGGCATTGACGGTGCGTAAAGACTCGCCATTGGATGTGATGGTTATAGGGATGGAGATTGGGCGACGAGTGTCAAGATCACGGGGGACAAGACAGCGTGGCTCTGCCGCCAGAACCCAGAGGTGCCGGAAAGCCTGGAGATGGCATTTATTATCAAGGACTGTAGTTGGGAAAATGGGATAGAAGGCGCAGATCAGTGATGCCACAGCCTGGTTGGATGTCCCAAGTGTGTAACTGCCTCCTCCCAGGAAAAGCACACCGATCGCCATATGCGCCGCCATGTGGCTGCCATAGGTGGTGTCGGCATCGATTCGGCCGTGAAGCGAGCGCAAACGGCGGAACAGAGCAATGTCACCCGTGCCAGCCATGACAGCAGTAGCTGCTAGGGCCACGACATCTTGACAGTTCCGCACCGAGTTGCGGGCGAGTCTGGCATCGTAGCTTCGAACGGGCAGTCTCGAAATGCGAATAAGTTGATCCAGATAGAACAATAACAGATCTCTTGCTTGGGCTTGTCCTGATCCAGCATGGCGCAGACCAAGTGCAAAGCAGAGACCCGCGATGATGTTGAAGAACGGCATGTCTTCACTGCACAGTCGACGTACATCAGTGAGCTGTGATCGTCCCCGGTAAACTTCAGGCAGGCTTTGGCTGATCCATTCAGCAGTGGGGTTGATGCTGTCCCACATGATGATGTGCCGTGCCAATGTTCTCAGCAGGAATAAGTCAGGTCGCACATAGTCAAAGCGCACAGTAGTGTCAGGAATATCGATCTTCTTAGCTAGAACTGCATCATTCGTCTTCATGAAAATGATCATGAGAGCAATGGTAGCACCAGCCGTGGCGCGATCAAGTACATGGGCAATGTCCACATTTTTAGTGCCCACCGCAATGGTCAACAGACGCTCAACAATGTGCATGTCCCGCATACCGCGCAAGTCGTCGCCCTTTCCAAGGTTAATGATACCCAAGGAGAATCCTGCAGCCAGGCGATATCCTTCGTCGCGCAAATCTTCTTGTGTAGCAGCTTGCTCGTCATGCTCGCTATTTTCAATCTCTGAAAGCATGACCTCGCTCATGCGACGATGCTGGGAGCCGCAGTATAGCATGCCAATACCCATGATACCAGCGGTTTGGGTCAATGGCGAGAGGTTCAGCTCAGCAGCCCCGAAGGGGAGCATTCTTGTAACGTGCACGGAAAGCAGACGTGTGATGAGGGTATCCATTGTTCCCAGGTACGAGGCAGAAAGTCCGAGAAGGAGACCAATGGATGTCATGGTGTGTTTCGGGGTGAGGTACTTGAAAGCAACCCATTTGGCCAGCGATTTGAGATGACCATTTAGACCCAAGGCCAACAGGAAACCAGCATGTCGATTTGTCAGGTCTTCTGGTTTATTGAATAAGATCCATGAAGTATCGATGCCCTTGGAAGCCTTGGAAATTGCAAGACCAGTAGACACGCCGTTGTGGAAGAAGGCCCAGCAGACCTTTTCTTCCGAAAATAAAGCTCTGTCCGCGCTGACAGTCACGTTGTCGGGCTTCATAACGCACTGCAAGGAGAATGATGGGATAGGGAGTTTCTCTGTCAACAATGGCAACCTGCCGCTGAAGTTGAGCATGGAGCGGCCAGTGGGCGTGGACAGTGTTCGGACTGTCACAAGCTGCACAATTTCTTTTTGTGCGTCTAAAAGATCCTGATCTCTCCAACCAGGCTCTGCAATGCACTCCGCTACCGGGGCCTTGGATTGGCTGAGTAGTTTGGCCGCCTCCTGGTACCGCTTGTCTTCCTTGAAGATTAGCTTGGTCACAGAGGACCGATCAGCCTCGGCAGATGCCTCAAAAGCGTTGATGGCATCAGTATTAAGCGCAGAACTGCTGATGTAATGGAAGTCACGGATGGAATCGTGAGAAAGCAAAGTTTGCTGTGGAGCTGTCACTGCATTGGCCTGGGCAGAGTTCATCGACATGTAGAGGTCTTCACGGTCAATCAGCTCCAGGAGCGCTGCGTTCCAGGACGTCGAGGCCTCAGTTTGAGATTGTAGCACTGCCTCATAAAGCGGAGCACCCACACCTTCGGGGAAGCTATCAATGACACTTTTCGTTAACCCCCAGCGTTGCAAAAGCTTAATCTTCTCCAGAGGCGTCGATACACTCTGAACCTCGGAGAAGAAGCCGTTCAGTGCACAAGTCCTAGGCGTGAGATTGAAACATTCACGCCACATTCGACCTTTTCGGGGGGTTCGTTCGGAAGCATTCACGATGTCCAAGAGGGAAATGAACGGCGAGGGATTCCGGTGAGAAGCAGCACTCATAAGGAACTCAAAGATGGATGGAGGTGGGAAGGGTTCGTCAGGGATCTTGAGCCCGGAGATGTAGGTGTTATCCTCGAATTGCCAACGCTCCATACTAGTCATCTCTGTTCCATAGTAGGCATCATCGGACCCCTTCCAGGACTCCCAGCCCAGCCAGCCGCCTAACTGGGCGAGGACTGGAGCCAGCAACCCTAGAGGTCTCCTTGATTCTTCTGAATCGCAGATAGAGAGCTTTTGTTCTTCGCGCAGTAGGTGTAGAGCTACAACGACGCTACACAAGGCAGTGCACCTTGTGTTCTCGGAGAATGCCTCTGAAATTGGGAGGTATCCGTCATGGCCAACAGCTCGAGCACCCTGGGGGCTTTGGAGGAACTCACGACTGAGGGCGATGCATCGAACCAATTGTGAATTTTGGCGATATGTTGACAAGCTCCCATTGCTTTGAGTATCAGCCTTGGGTGCCTTTGTTGTAAGGCTTTCGATTGCATCTTGTTCAACAATCCATCCCCAAGAGCTCCCCATCATCCACGGCGCTACGACGCCTGCCGGGCCGGATTCCAGATCCAGCATAGTCTCCCAGCTTTCCAGGTCCAAGTTGCCGCCGCTGCTCGACCTAAGCAGACTCTTCTTCCGACGCGTTCTTTTGGGTGCTTCCGTTGGCGGAGGGGACACGTAGGGGACTGCTAAGCTCAACAGGACAACAGTCATGGCGGTCCATTCGAGATCGTTTTCAATGTCCGCTTTGCCTCGGAGCCATTTGATCACTTCCCACCAAGCGACCATGATGCCATCCCCTGCCTTTTCGGAGTCACGCAATGCAAATTTGCAAACTTTGAGAATCTTCTTCACCAGGTCATTGCGGGGCTCAAGCTGGATCTGCAGTCGATGTCGCTGCTGATTTATGTCCACGAGGTCAATCTTCCCTCGAGAAGAGCCATGATCAAATCTGTTGAAGACTAAGCCTGGGTCGGCCATAACTCGGTGAACGCCGCTTTCTCTTGGGCGCTTTTCAAGTTTGTCGGCGGAAATGCCATCCGGCTCATATAGCTGTAATGGTAATGGGACATCCACTCTGATGGGACTACCCCAGAGGGTTTGCAATGAAAGCTCGCGGTTTTTAGAGTCGGTCTCACTGAGCGAGATGATGCGTGAGATATCTCCGTCTGTAATCCTGCAAGCATCCAGGACGTTTGATACATTCTGGATTCTTACAGCGCGGACGAGAACCGAACTTTGTCCGGTGGATTTCGCTTTTTTCTTCTGACTCTTCGACAGTGATTCTCGATCTGCTCTCAGATTCACAATAGTCATGTTTCGTGACACCTTGTCCACGATGCATACCGCCAAAGAGGCCGTGTGGCCCTTTTGATTGCCTCCATAATCCGTGGAAGCCAACGTAGAGACTTTCATTCGTTGAGACGCTGGCGCTTGAGTAGACTTTTGGAAAATGCCCGAGCTCGAGAATTGTGAGGAGAAGCTTTCCACTTTGTTTAACAGGAGTTCTTCGGGAAGGCCTGACGCAGATTCACGTAGCGCAGCATTCTCATATCCAGAAGAAAGACCATCACTGTTCAGCTCTTCAAGCAGCCTATCCACGGGGGCGTCCAGGAAACTGCCTGCGGTGCTGTAAACGGATCCTGTGCCCGGGGGCAGGGATCCTCGGGGATTGAAACCAAAGCTTCCACGTGTGCTTGCTCCTCCTATGGACTGTCTCAACCCAGCTCCGTGAGGCATGGTACTCGACTGGCTACCAGTAGCCATCTCTGAGAATGTGATGCGATCCTGGCTCGTCGCGAGGTCTGTACGGGCAAGCAACGAGCTGACTCGTCTGGATGCCTTGAGAGGAACACCAACATCACCGAAGTCTTGAGCTACCCTAGCAGCCAGATCGTTCTCGGGATCGGTGCGCGCTAGAGAGGCTTGGGCGGAGGGCCAGTCTTCCGTCCACGGCCCGAAGCTCTCTCTGGCTGCCACGGAGCGAGCGGCAGGAGTTGTTGCTCCGGTGGCCATACCGAAGTGAGAGCTTCGCCGAACTGACCGAGTGCCCCCGGTCTCTCGTCTTGCCTTCTCTTTCATTGAGCCTCCAGATTCATCGTCTCTGTAGCGCGCAGTCCAGATTGTGGAGATTCCTGTGGTCGTATTGACAGTCACAACTAGGATCAAAGGAGCCCCGTTCAGCGGACCCCGACTGGTGCCCAAGAGTTCGTCCTTTGGGGAGATGTATACAATCTCGTCCACGGGGTCCAGCACTTCTAGCCCAGAAGGCCTTCTTCTTGCACTGCTGACGCTGCTTTGGAGCCATTTAGAGCTCGGTGATGTCACTACCAGGCCCATTTCCGACTGAGGATTGATGAGGGAAAATACTCGAGGAAGGTCGGCACTTGAGCCCGGTTTTGGTACCCAGGAAGGTACTGAGTTTGATGATTTAGTCGAAGGACGCTTGCTCTTCCTCATGCTCGGGATGCCAAAAGATTGCGAAGCGCCTGGATCAAACAGCGAAGTAGTCATGAAGGAGTTGGGCGGCGCAGTTGGGGGCTGCCGGCCGGCATCATCGTCTAAGACCTTTCGCTGGAAAACAAGTCCTTTTGGGGTTGCGAAGACAGATTCAACCTCGAAAGGAAGGGGTATAGTATGACTGTTTCCCGCGACGAAGAAGATGTGAGCTTGCGATTTGAGGACCACAACGAGAGCCCTGGAAAGGGCCTCGTTAGACTGCTGGGGAGCCACGACTGCTACCCGCGCATCTCCATGCAGATCCAAAGTTGAGAAAGCTTCAGGTGTTGATGTCTTGCCATTGCGTTGAGCGGTCTTTCGCGCACCTTGTGTCCCCGTAGTTGCTCCAGGCCGACTGAGAGGTGTATTTCCCGATTGCTTGATATGGTCGGCAGCAAATTGAGTAAACAGGGCATGTCGAATCTCTTCTTTCTCAGGATCCATCCGAAAGACTCTTTTAACCATCCCTGCACGAGACCATACAACGCAGTGCTTCGTCCACACCAGCTCGTCGTCCACGGGGCCAGTCAATGCGCTTTCGTCCGTACATATCGTCCATTTGTAGAGATCTTCTGCGGGGTCGGGAGGGAGGATTTCCTCTGAAACCAGATAGGAGACGGCCGAAGGTTCGTGAACACCGAGGGAGCGTACGGAAGCCATGGTGGGCTGTTTAGCAGCAGTGGTGGCAGTGCGCTCTTACAAACAGGTTTGCGGTCAGAACTGTTAGTTTGGTCATTTCCATCGTAGCTGTTGGCTCAAGTCACGGTGTGTCGCTCAAGAGACATGCCGAAGGGTGAAATGTTGAAGTTGGAGAACGCGCTGGAACGCGGATTGGATCGACTTTCTTTGCTTCCCGACCAAAACAACTTCCTTTCTTCATCTACTCAACCACCCACTCCCCTCTTCCGACGTCACCACTTAAATTGCTTCTGTTCTGACGAGAAGCATATGACTATTGAGTTTCTGACTCGACCAACAATCTCCGACTGTTCATCCCATCCGTGGTGCCCCCGTTGGCACCTGTGCTCCAAGTACGCAGCAGCTTGAAAGCATCGCAAACAGCAGAATGCCCTCTTTTCCAACAACTCCCTTGGCCCGGGTCAGGGATGATGGCCTTCAGATCAGGTGTGAACAATGCGCTCTTGCAATTCAGGTTGGATTGTTGCTGATCTCGTGCAAAAATCTTTAGCTATCCGCTCCCTCATCGCATCCACACTGCCAAGGGCTACCCCCTTCGAGCTCCGAACGGATCATCAGTCATTATCTATGGCTACGATACTGGATTGAAAGTAGTCTGGCGAGGCGGGAGACGCTTTGGAGAACTCAAGACTAAAGCTCCGGAAGGGCGATCGAAAGGCGCCGAAAACCATGCAGACGACTCGGTTATGATCATTGACTCCGATGAAGAAAACGAACCTGAGCCAGCAAAGGAGGAACCGAACTTCGAATTCAGTCTAGAGGAGAGCGAGGTTGACCCCACGGCTCCGTACGAAGAGATTCTGCGACAGATTGACATTCCCCTTGGAAGTCCAGTGCTAGATTTGGCAGTACCTCGCGTTCTCCCCGAAGAAGCGCGCTCTCCCCTCGATCCCTTCCCACCCATTCTTAGGACAACCATTGTTGTTTCGGTTGTATGCTCAGACCTTTCGACCAAGGTCGTGACCTTGCCTCTTATCCCTCCACACCCTGCGCAGACGGACTCTAAGAGCTGGAGTGTTCAATCATCCACTGTCAATGGGACTGTGACCCACCAAGATATTCCCCGTGGTGTGTCTCTCACATTTACCTGCCATGAATTTGAGGAGGAACAGGACCAGCGGAAATCGCGTGGTCGCTTTGGAACTTACGGGAAATGGGACCTGCTTGTGGCTACCCATTCCGCCGAGGGAAGTGGTTCTCTCTTGTTGCATCGTATCCCTATACGCGAAAGTGCAGGATCATACCGTCTCTTGGATGAGGAAATCATCTCTCAACGACGGCTTCTACCCGCACCCGCGCAAACCATTTCTTTCAACCCTTCTGCCTGGCCCTCTGTCCGCCACGTCAACCTGCTCGTTGCATTCCACAGTGGGAGTGTCAAAATCTACTCTTGCTTCTCTGTCAAGAAAGCCTCAAAACCTACCCGGCGAGCTTCGCTGCCACAGGAGGAGCACGAAATTATCGATACAGAGGGTCGGTGGTTGATTACCCTTTATCCCGGATTTGAGCAAGGTCCTACTGGTATTCCCCGACGGAAAACAATTGTTGACGCAGAATGGGTGCTGGGTGGCCGAGCAGTGATGGTCCTTCTTGAAGATGGCGAATGGGGCATCTGGGACATTGAAGGTGCCGGTCCTGGCGCCGCTAAGGGTCCCTTGCACCGACAAGCCAGTATCCAAGGTGTCACTGGTGGCTCATTGACTACATATGCAGTTTGCGGCCGCATCATGACCCCGCCTTCCAACAGCACCTCCGAGGCGGAGCAGCGACCCCGATTCGCCCCCATGACTCCTTCGACGAGGCGTGTTCGGGAAGATGGCTTGCTGAAGGGCTCAACGAGCACAGCCAGCCCGTCACACCGTGGTCAGATCTCGGTGTTGCAGACAAATTCCTCGTCGGATGCTTTGCCCGACGAGTCGATTCTACTTCGTCACGGCCGTCAAAGCGCGGTAATCACAAGCTTACTGTCTTTGTGGCGGAATGCCATCAAAACTACAGGCACTTTTGATTCTTCCAATCGCTGCAGACTGTCCCCCTTCCAAGATGTAAATCTGATGGGACAGAACTTCCAGGCAATTGGTCACCTACCAGCACCAGCACGCCGTACTCGGGCAGCTGAAAAGCAAACATTTGATGTGCTCGTGGCAGCTGAGTACCAGCTCACAATTCTTGCGCCCAGACTGAAGGAGTCTGAGTACGAAGAACATCAAATTGCCGTGAAAAAAGAAGATACCGACGAAACAGATCAAATGATGCTCCGACGTGGCGAGCTTGATGTGGAGGGAATGGGTCGTCTACTCAACGGCATGGCCAATGGAACCGGCAATGCGCCTTTGCGCATGGGCAGTCCCGTGAAACGCACTCGTACCTTTGTTTAAGACAGAAAAGGACTTTCGACGAGCCATAGATGATTGTCACAAACTAATACCCATTTCTTCATCATAGGATTTTCTCTCTCCTTTTCCCTTTCCCTCTTGATTACTGCACTCTGCTCACTGTCTTTCTTCAGTTAGAACCCATTCGCGCTGTAAGGTGGAGCGCAAGGCGAGAATCATGCCTTGAAATTCCTCCTTCGGGGGTGAATAAGCTCTGTATCGGATGCGATATATCAAAAACCATCACAAACAAGTGCTACGGCACCAGCCCCGTGCAATAGAATGTTGCAATGCTTGTATCAGACTCTGGGTCCCACCTTCTGCCTTGCACTGCCAGAGGTATCAACCTGTCTCTTGACAATCCTCACGTTGATAGCTGTGGTAGGCAGAGGTTGGAGGTGGCCAAGGTAGGGTGCAAGTGAACATGGGTCAGATGGAACATTCTATCTAGCATCTTAGGCCTCAATAGCTACATAAATACAGAGCTCGCTTAGACTCGTATCGTCATTGAATTGCGTTATATGCTTATGTGTCATGCATTTCCAAGTAACTCCTGAGATGGTGATATGAAGCGCTGCCTAGTAGATGATCATGTCGACCTATGCTGGCCCTCCTTCAGTAGACCGCGATCACCACCGCCGCCCTTCTGCCAAAGCCAGACACCTTCGACAGCCCAGGCAGCGGCGCTGGCATGACGACCAACGCCTGAAGCAACAGGCATAGAGCTTCCGTTTTCCTCGGTCTCCTTCTGATCTTTGCTAGACTTGCTCTTGTTTCGGCCTTCGGTTTGACCGGCATTTCCATCCGCTTCAGAAAGCATACCGGCAACAATGTTTTCCTTCTCAATCACAAACCATAGCCCTTCGGACAACTGCCCGCCTCGTTCTCCAAACTCTGCCCGGCCAAGACGGAAGAGAATCCGACCAATTACCTGCCATGCTATACAGCGCTGTGCTGGGAATGTGGAGCGGGCAAGAATAGCCAATTCCGGGATTGTATATCCCGCAGCATGGGGATCGTCGCCATGGTGGTGCAGGCCCATGGTCGTCGGAAGGGAGAGAGAAGTTTCAGGTGCGAGAATTGTTCCCGTCAGTGAGAAACGTATCGCTGATGGTGCCAACGAAATGGCGCTGCTGGCTGGGTGGTAGGCGGAGGTTGAGTCTGGGTCTTCTTCATCTGCAGAGAGGGGCTGGAGCCAAGACAGAGTAGATGGGTCTTGGGATATCTCCGGGAAGTAATGTGACTGTAGGTCCGACAGGAAAGAAGGCGAAGATGGATCAAGCACTGGCATTGGTTTGGCAGGCTGGGGGAAGTGGAAAGTTTCTAGAGTTGCCGGATCGAGGGAGGGGCGCTGCGAAGCGGGGTGAAGGTCTTCGGGGAGTGTGGATGGAGGCCGATCTTCGTTTCCAGGGTGCGGCAGAGTTGGCTTTTGCAACGAGTGGGATTGCGCGCTTGGGACTCTAGGTTTGAACGGTGTCGGGGCCGAATCAGGAACATCGAACGAGACCGATTTCTTCGGCTTGGGTGATTTTTCATCGGCAGCAGGTGCAGGCGATTTGAAATCCTCGGCCTGATTGTCATCATCGATGTTTACTCGTCGAAGAAATCGTTGAAGAAGGTCTGGGTCCATCTGTTCCATCAATTCTTCGCGCTCTTGCTGTATCTGCACGTCCGACATTGCCGCCAGGTGCCGGCGATTTTCCTCGTCGATGGATTTCTTGTCATCCTGGGCGGTTGGAGGTGTGAGACTAGGATCTGGCACCGACTGGTTTGCTCGTCGCTGCTTGAAAGAAGACGGTTTGCGCGGGCGAGGCGCTGGGAATCCGGTCGAGGAAGGCGCTGGCAATTTGGGGGGCGGGGGAATAGCGGTGGGGGCAGCCCGTTCTTGGATCTCCCCGATCAGAGAGAAGGGGGCTTGAGAAGGGATCTTGGGTGTTCCAGAGTCATCATCCAGGTCGAGCACGAAGCGCTCTCCACGAAAAGCCATGATGGGTGATGTGAAGAAGAGAAAAAACTTATGTCAGCGCGGGGGATCCATGGATGCGGCTCCCAAAGCTAAAAAATGGGGCTGCAGAACGGACTAACCGAATGAGGCTAGTGACAGATGGCGGATGTGCTAGTCCCAATCGGGTTCCTCACATCTGTGCTGCACATCTATACAGTCCATTCTCCACTCCAGGGACATCATCGCCTCCTGGGTATTGAAAATTCTGGGGAACAATAATACTTGTCGTTGCCTGAAACAATGAGATTCCACCTTCGTCGCTGTATCCGATTTTCCACCTTGGCGTCAAGGGTAATATGGGGTGGTACCTGTCTTAAGCTTCAACGGGGATACACAACCTGAATCAATGCGACCTTGGTAAGCTTGCTCAACGTAAGTAAAGGAGGAAATCCAAAAGACGAGAAGACACATCATACCAGATACTAGTCAGACCGCCGATTTATCAATAGTGATCTCAGCCTGATCCTGTCACACTGGCTGTACGGAGTATAGAGGCATTAGTACCTACATCAAGGTACCTAACGTACGACGCTCAGTCTTGGAGGCAGAGATTTCAGCAGCCCAACAATGCATTATCTTGTTATTCAAATTGACCTCAAGGCTTGATTTGACCGTAGCAATCATTCCACCCGAGGAGACTTGGGATTGAGGTTTGAGTAATTTTCCAGTATAGAAGCTTGGACATATCGATTTGGCACTCTACTGCAACCCGTTTCAATACTCTTTTCCTGCGCTCCCCTTTCTCCCCTTCTCTTCCCTTTTTTTCCCTCTTTTTTTTCCCTTTCTTTTCTCTTTTCTTTTCCCCCTCCGGTTTCCTACCAACTGGCCCCTTTGCCTTTAATTTTCCACCCTTTACCCTTGGGCCCTCCTTTCCTCTCCCGCTTTTCCCCATCTGAGCTTTTGTGCACTTTCTTCGGATCTGTTTTCTATTTTCTGCTTTCCCAACACGTCTCCGCGACCGTTTCACCCCCAACCTCACTCCATCACCACCACGCTGTGGCTGGATCATAAGCCATCAATTTGTGAGGTTATTTGAATTGTTTGAATAATGTCAACGGATCCGCCGACCGCGGACGTCCCTCAGGCCGAGGGGCCAACCATCACCGACGCCAAAGATACAAGCGCCCGACGAGCTTCCGGTGCCGCCAGGCGGTCGCGTCGTAAGACGGGTGACGACCCTGACACAAAGACCAAGAAGGACAAGGAACCCAAGGAAAAACCGGCCCGTGCCCCTCGTCGTCCCCGAGAGAAATCAACGACAAATACGAACTCACGGAAGAAACCCAAGCTGGATCCTGCGCAACAAACTACTGGGGCTACTCCGGACGCCCCAGCCCCGTCGGCACCCCAATCTCAGCAGTCTCCTCAGCAAGCTCAACCTGCTCAACCTAACCAAACTACTCAATCTGTCCAACCCGCCCAATCCGCTCCTTCTCAGCCTTCCCCGTCTTTATATTCTCAAAGTCCACACCCTCCATCAGCCTCCGGAAGTATATATCAGTTGTCACAGCCACTACAGCCCCCACGTCCGCAATCTCAAACCCCAGTATCCCAACCTTCGCAACCACAACGGACAAGCGGACAGAATTTCGACCCGATTCGCTCTGCGTTCGATAATCCCTCTCCAGCTCCTGCATATAGCCCCCCTGCTCGCGCATTGTCCCCACGCAATACCTACCGTGCCAGCGCATCGCCTGCGATTTCGAGCATCATCGACCCGCCGACACAAAACCAGCATGTCTACACCCCCCTTCAACGCTCTTCCTCCGGACATGCTTCCGGTGTCGCCTCGCCGGCGGCGCCTGCAATAGCCCCGACACCCTCCCACCCATCATTAGCTCCGTCGCCTCTTCCCGCCTCATCTCCTTCCCATGGGGCCTTGCACACCCCACAACCTTTGGCGCATGCCAATCGCTATACTACGCCATACCCCCCTACCGAGCAGCGACCGACTCCCTCCCAAACACCAGTCCTGGAACTGTCACCCCCGGCGATGCGCCAGCCTCAACACCCCGCACAACCCGAGGCTGCTGCACAACCAACACCGCAAAAGCAGCAAGCCGAGGCAATGGATGTCGACACAAAGCCGCAGCCAAAGGAGCAGTCAGCCCCGAGTATCAAAAAAGAGAAGGGTGCAGCTACACCTACCTCCAAAGCCTCGTCTCCCAAGCCTGCTCGGCCTGCTAAGGAAACCCCTCACCTGCCCCAGGGCTCCGGGTTGATCACCAATGCGTTGTTCGGCGGAGCGGAAGAAGCGGCGAAATCTCCGGACTCGCGAACTACCCCCAACATCATAGTCCACGTCCCACTGAACAAGGGCAATCAGATCGTCAACTTTGCTCGGCTTGCGGAGGAGCAGTACGGGTTTGCTGCTCTGCACCCCCGTCTAGCAGCCCACAAAGCACGTCTGGCCCGAGTTGCGGCTGCAGGAGCTGCACTGGAAAAGAATGACAAAAGCGCGAAGGGAATCTCCGCGGGCGAGAGCGCCGACGAGGATCTGAGTATGGACGCCGGCGGTGATAGCGATGTGGATGGGGATGTTGCCATGGGCGGCACCGGCGCAGGAACCAATGGCGCACCATCCGAGGCAAGCGATGGAAAGAAAAAGCGCCGCAAGAAGGTCGAAGAATACGACCGCGATGACCCATTCGTTGACGACAGTGAAATGGTGTGGCAAGAGCAGGCTGCTGCTAGTAAAGACGGCTTTTTCGTCTACAGTGGGCCATTGGTTCCAGAAGGAGAGAAGATTTCAGTAGAAAGGTATAGCACAAGCCCCCTCCTATGCATTCGTCTGTACATAGCTAACCACTTGCATAGAGCCGATGGTACTATCAAGCGCGGTCGTGGACGTGGACGAGGAACAGGCCGTGGACGGTCATTGGCCTCACATCCTCATGTCCCAATTGCCGCCGCTGTGCCGATATCACAAGATACAGGCTTGCCATTGCGAGGACCTGGTTCTCGGGGTGGCACATCACGCCGCGCACGCGGCGCTAAAAAGACCGAAGGCGACAAGCACACTACTGAGCGTAACGGTACAACTGCTTCCGCGGCCCACGAGGGGCGTGGTGGACGTGGCGGTGCTTCAGGATCCGGTCGTGGTGGCGGTAACAGCACACGCGGTGGGAAAGTCTCGTCTGCAGCCACAGCCACAGCCCCGACTTCAGCTTCCACACCGGCATCTACACCAGACGTCGCCCCTACACCATCAACTCCGGGTATGACGTCTGCACCTCCTGGTCCCAGTCCCTTGGCTGGTCCGGAATTGATGATGAAATAGAGAGGTTGATTGAATTATCATGGGCGGTGTTATGGATCTTTATGTTTGTTGGGCTTAGGATTTCTGTCGAGTTTGGCTTTTCGCTTTTTCTTCCCTCTCTGCAGCTATCATCTTGCTTGTGGGTTTGGGCTGCCTTTTCATATTATCGATTTATTTTTGTTGGCCCTGGAGCTATTCGCTTTATTCGGCTTATGAGCTCTGTACGTATATCTTGATTTATCCAGCTGTATCTCTATGATGGTCTTGATGGCGAAGTCAGTTACGAGTCAGCTTATTTTAAACTTGCATCCATTTTAGCTACGATGTAAATCTGACCATAGTCATCTTTCGCTTGTCCATACCCAGGGGAATGCCCCAGGTGTAAATCAAACAAGCTCAAAACCCGAGGATGTATAACTTGATATCGTAAACCTTCATGTGCATTTTTGATATTGATATAAAAGATGAGGTTGGGTTTATTTATGTACGCCATATAATGCAGGAAAGCATCCCAGCAGGCAAAGGGTGAAATAAAAGATGGACACACAAAGAGGGCTGCTGCCAAATGTTTCAGTCAAAGCAGAGGAATCAAGAAGAGGATGAACTAAGGAAATGAAATGAAATGAAAGGGATTTCCACAGCTGGATCAAGGTAGGAAATTGGTATCGAGGCATATTGTCTTGGCTTCATAATCGTCTTCCATCAGAGCTAGAAACATATACCCGGTAGATCAGATAGGCCCCAAAGTCAAGCATAGGGAGACGGCGAAAAACCGAAGGACTGAATCATATGAAACACATCAGTCAATAAATTACCGAGGCACTGGGCCCGGCTGGCTGCGCCAGTTTCCACCCGCCGAAACAGGCGGAGGGGGAGGAGGCCCATTTGGAGGAGCGGCACGTAGAGGCAGCGCTGTTGAGTGCAGGTTCGTGCGAGGATTAGAGTTGTTAGAGCTCGCGGAACGTGGGCTCATGAATGGGCGGGATGGGGCATCAACAGCCGAGACAGGGTCGCGGTCGTTAAGGTGCTGGCGCATCTGGCGGCGGCCGGAGCGGATGTCGTCATCGTCATTTGTTTCCAGCGAGAGGTGCTCGAGGGATGGAGGGGGCGGGGATCGCGTGGATTTGGACGATGAGTAGTAGTGGGAAGACTGAGGGTGGGGTTGAGCCTGGTGGTTGAAGTAACGGGGGTTGGAAGAGGGATCGTTGGCAATCTTCAAAGGAATGTCCGCTGATACTTGGTTTGAGGGATATGGCGACTGCTGTGGAGTTCGGCTAGACTTGCTGATGGGAGGAGGCTTGCCAATGCCACTAGACGCTGAAGTGGGACCTGCAACGGGAGATGATGTTGAGTTCGAGGTAGGTGTCTGGGCGTCTCGCAGCGATTTCGGTGCTGGTGGTCCGAGGTAAGATTTGCGATTGTGTTGTTCCATCATGCTGACTGCCCATTCCTCCAGGTTCACAGGCGTCCGCTTGGCAGCTTGCAAGAACGCATCCTTGTCCTGAAAGATGTTAGTGCTGTATCGTTTCAATGCAAAAAATGGATGTTGACGTACATATAATTCACGGGGTGTGGGACGCTCCTCGGACTTCTTCAAGAGACATTTCCCAACAAAGTCATGCAGGATTGGCGGGAAAGCATCGCTCTTGGGCAGCTTGGGTGCGGTTTCGTGAACAATCTGCTGTAGCAGATCTAGAATACCCATTGGCCCTGCGCTGGCACGATTTCCAGCAGCCGAGTCAGAGTGATCGAAGGGGAACTTGCCAACAGCCAGCTCCATGACTGTCAAGCCCACACTCCATACATCAGATCGAACCGTATAGGCGCCTCCCTGGATTCGCTCGGGGGCCATGTATGTTGAAGTGCCGACAAATGTATCGGCAATAGAGTTGACTGTCTCGGTAGCGACACCAAAGTCACAAAGCTTGATGTTACCGCGGGAGTTTACCAATATATTGGAGGGTTTGATATCACGGTGCATGATGCGGTGGGCTTCGTAGAGGTAGACCAAGCCAGCCAGAACAGATTCTGTGATTTTCCCTAGCACATCAACCCGCACGGGACCAAAATCCTTAGAAACACGATCCAGAGAACTATCGATACGTCAGCTTATGTCTTTTACCACTTCCACGCTGATGAGCTTACCCGAGATCCATGTATTCCATACACAACACAATATCTCTCGCTTCGTTCTGGAATGCACCGTAGAAAGTGACGATATTGGGGCAGTTGCAGTCGTGTCCCACTCGGAGTTCTCGTAGAATCTGCTTCCGCACATTTTCTTTGGCTTCGACACGAATGATCTGTTACGGAGAGATGCTGGATTAGCGATGCTGGAAGACTGAAATTACAAGAAGTGGATTCGTACCTTTCGAGCCATAACCACCTTGGTGGATGCGTGCATCACCTTGGACACTGTGCCTCCATTTCCAGCACCCAGTTCTTTTAAAGTGACCAAGTCCTCGCTGCGGAGATCGAGGCGGAACTCCAGGCCGATTTCAAGGGTGTCTGTGCGGTTGCTTTCGCTGTTTCCAATCGCCCCAGGGACTTGTGCATCGCCATCGGAACCGTTGGCGGTAGGCTTAGGGGCCGCATTGAGGGCGAGTCCTTTGACGTTCTTGCGTTTCAACGTCCGGGCTTTGAACGGGTCCGCCATGGCGCCTTGGACAGACTGAGCGAAGCGAGAATGCGAAGGAAGAAAAGAAGGGATAGAAGAAAGCAGAGAGAGTCAGTCTCAGCGCGTTTCCCAAGCCGATGGGGATTAAAGTCAGGACAAGCCGAGCTAACAGCGGGGAAGCCGATATCACCTTGCGATGTTCTTGGCGACGCTGATTGGACCTTGCGGGCGCGTGGAATCGACCAACTAGACACTCAAAATATGCTCGGCGCCAAACTGCTGGTTACTGATGGTTTAGGGGAAGAGGAATTTTCCAAAGATCTTCAGTCCAAGTCTGCTACTATTAATGAAACAATTGGGGGGGTTCCACTCGGGCTGAATTGGGTTGGGAACTTGATATTCAGTCGTTTCAGCCTCTACAGGAAATGTGGTTCAAGATCTCCTGGTCCGAGGCTTTATAGATTCAGGTCAATGTACCCAATATAATAAGCCAATATGCATGGATTGAGGATCTGACTGGGCAGGACACATCTCGACACCGGGATCCCACGGCATACATCACGTGATATTAAAGTCAAGCCACAGCTGCTCCAACAGTGTGGCTGATGAGAAGCCACACTAGCATCGACCAATCACCGCCACCCGCGTCCTCCCTCGCCGATGGCCGCGATTCTTCCTTCTGACAACTCGTCGTTTCAATCTCACCATCTCCTCGCTTTCCCCCGCCTCAATACGCAAGCCACCATCCTGCTTGGAATCTGCGCCACTTAGTCTTTGATAAATAACCCGACGCTGCCTTCCCAATCCCTCCCCGGTCCCAAGGAATAGGGATCTTCACCTTCGGGCAAGATGAGTCTTCGCGACCTGGTCGAGGGTGAGGCGATCATGGACGATGACGAAAACGATGAGGAAGTCCCCGACGATTACGACGGCGAGGGTCAGGTTCATGAGGGTGCAGGCACCACCAACCATTACAATGACTCCAGCGAGGAAGAGGACGAAGAAGAAGACGATGAGGAGGCTGCTCGCGCTGTAAGTTCGGATACTCTAAGCTGAATGATGGCCACAGGTGCTGATTGAAATGACTAGGTTCGTGAAGGCTTCATTGTCGACGAAGACGAGGAAGATGAACGCGCCCATCGCAAACACAGGAAACGCCCACGCGCCGCTCGCGAGGAGGAACATCTGGACGAGGATGATCTGGAGCTCATTGGACATACCCCCAGTCAACAGCGGGGGTCAACTACAGAGGCATGTAATCTACAATCCCAATTGGTGTTTGGCTAACAGGAATTTTGTTCCAGTCGAAGTTCAAGCGTTTGAAGCGAGGCAAAGATCGCGAGAGCCACCAACCGTCTCACGGTGTTGATGACATCTTCAATTCGGACGAAGAAGAGGAAGCGCAGCAATATGCACGATCAGGCCAGCGCCGCGTCATGCGCGATGAAATGGACGACTTCATCGAGGAAGACACCTTCTCCGATGACGAGGCTCAACGTGAGCGGGATGATCTGGAGGTTGCGCCAGCTTCCAGAGTCAATAAAACTGGGCTGATCCCAACCGACACATCGGGGTTGGACGAAAATGCGCTCGAGGATATGCGCGCTGCGTTCGGCGATGGCACAGAGTACGACTTCGCACTGCAAATGGAAGAACAAGAGGATGCAGAAAAACAAACAGAAGAGCGCCATCTCGACTTGAAGGACGTCTTTGAACCGTCCGAGCTCGCCGAGCGGATGTTGACTGAAGATGACAATGAGATCCGCCTCCTCGACGAACCTGAACGCCACCAAGTTGCCCGCAAACCATATAAGCATGTCACTTTGACAGAAGATCAATTCCGGGAGGAGGCTGTCTGGATCTCAAACTTGATGCTGCTGAAGAAGCGCATGGAGCCCGAGTTGCGGGAACCTTTCCAGCGCTCTGTTGCCAAGATGCTGGAGTTTTTGATCACAGATGATTGGGAAGTGCCGTTCATTTTCCAACATCGGAAGGACTACATGATCCACGCCGTCAAGGACATGGACGATGGAGCCAACCCGGACGACGGTTCTGCGCAATATAGCATCCGCGCCGAAAAGCTTCTCAACATGACAGATCTATGGGATATTTTCGACCATGACCTCAAGTTCCGCGCTTTGATTGACAAGCGTGGCACAATTCAAAAGACATACGATAGCCTGCGTGATCTGTTCAGTGTGAGCGACTCTAACGTCGAGGATCTGCTAGCCGCCGCCGCTAGCATGGAAGAACTGCAAGACGTGCAAGACTACATTCATTTCCAATACTCCTCACAGCTACGTGATCTGAACCAGTTGAATGGTGAAGCCAACGGAGAGACCCAACGCCGCAAAGCAACTGGCCGTTCATTCTTCGAGCGTGTCCGAAACGGAAATGCATACGGAATGGTGCGCGCGTTTGGAATCACGGCGGATGCCTTTGCCCAAAATGCTTCGAAAGAGGGCCGGAGGCAATACACAGAAGACCCTGCTGAGCATCCTGACCAAATGGCGGATCAATTCGTTGACAACGATTTCTCAAACAGCTCGCACGTTCTGAAGGCCGCAAAGAGCATGTTCGCCGAGGAACTTACCGTCAGTCCTAAGATGCGCAAGGTCATCCGACAGGCCTACTATATGAATGGAGTCGTTGATTGTTTCCGCACGGAGAAAGGTCTTCGCCGCATTGACGAGCAGCATCCATACGCCGAGTTCAAATACTTGCGCAACCAGCAACTCAGCGATATTGCTCGTCGCCCAGAGATGTTCCTCCGCATGCTCAAGGCCGAAGAAGAGGGCTTAATGGATGTTCGCGTCCGATTCGAGAATTTTGATCAATTCCGCTCGCGTCTATACGCTGATATCGAGTCTGACAACTACAGTGAGCTTGCTGACGCTTGGAACCGTGTCCGTCGTGATGTCTTGGATCTTGCTCTCGGCAAACTGGAAAAGTTGATCAATCGCAGTGTCAAAGAAAACATTCGACAGGAATGTGAGAACCATGTGGCCAAGGAGTGTCGCGAAGCCTTCTCGCAGCGTCTGGACCAGGCTCCTTACAAACCAAAAGGCATGGTGCTCGGTACAGTTCCCCGTGTTCTCACTCTGTCCACGGGCTCTGGACAAGTGGGTCGGGATCCCATTCATTGGGCTTACACCGAAGAAGATGGTCGCGTCTTGGAGAATGGCAAGTTCGTTGACCTTTCACTGGGAGACGAGAGCCGTGGGATTTCAGACGGTGCAAGTGTAGCTGCATTCGTGGAGCTGGTCGATCGCCGTCGCCCGGATGTCATTGGTGTCTCGGGTATGACGCCAGACACCAAACGTTTGTTCAAGATTCTGTTCGATCTCGTTGAGCATAAGGATATGCGCGGTGCCTCATACACCGATGACCGGGATGAAGAAGTCAGTGATCCTCTGGAGGTGGTCATCGTCAACGATGAAGTTGCCCGGTTGTACCACAACAGCCCTCGCGCCAGAAGTGACAACCCTGGCTTCGGGCCGCTGACCCATTACTGTGTGGGTCTTGGCCGTTATTTGCAGAGCCCCCTCAAGGAATACGCGTCCTTGGGCCGTGACATTGTCTCCATTCAGTTCAAACCCGGTCAGCAACTAGTGTCCCAGGATCTTCTACTTAAACAACTGGAGACCGCTATGGTTGATATGGTCAACCTTGTCGGTGTTGATCTTAATGAAGCAGTGGGCGACACAGCGACAGCTAACCTCTTGCCGTATGTCTGTGGTCTTGGACCCCGAAAGGCTGCTCATCTACTTAAGATCGTCAACATGAACGGTGGAGTTGTTAACAACCGCGTGGAACTGCTTGGTGTCAACGCACAATACCCGGCAATGGGTGTCAAGGTCTGGAACAACTGCGCCAGCTTCGTCTACGTTGACTTCGAGAACGCCGATCCCGACGCCGATCCGTTGGACAACACTCGTGTGCACCCCGAAGATTATGATATTGCACGCAAGATGGCTGCCGACGCATTGGAGTTGGACGAGGAAGACATCAAGGCCGAGACAGACGAGAACGGCACTGGCGCCATTATGCGCAAGCTCTTCCGCGAGGAGGCGCAGGACCGTGTTAACGACCTGATTCTCGAGGAGTATGCCGAGCAGCTGGAGAGGAACCTCAATCAGCGCAAGCGTGCTACGCTTGAAACCATCAGAGCTGAGTTGCAACAACCATATGAAGAACTGCGAAAGCAATTCGTCTTCCTCAGCACTGATGACATCTTCACTATGCTCACTGGTGAAACGCTTGATTCACTCACACTGGGCATGGTGGTGCCTATTGCCATCAAAAAAGTCTTCGAGGATCACATTGAAGCTAAGCTGGACTGTGGAGTTGAGGTGCTTGTTGCCGAGACGGAACTGGGTGTTCCCGCCGAGATTCCCGTGCGCAACGCATACCAGCCTCACCAGACCGTTCCAGCTAAGATCCTGTTCTTGAACCGCAAGGGCTTCTCTTGTAATGTTTCCTTACGTGAAGATCAAGTCAGCCATCCAGCTCGTCGAAACCCCGATCATGGCTTTGGCGACTGGGATGACCAGCAAGAGCGAGCCGACCAGGAATCGCTGCAGGAGAAGACCCAGCGTGGCGGTCAGGCTATGCGTGTTATCAAGCACCCGCTTTTCCGGCCATTCAACTCCACTCAGGCCGAGGAGTTCCTGGGCTCTCAGAGCACTGGTGACGTTGTCATTCGGCCATCTTCTCGGGGCCACGACCACCTGGCAGTTACCTGGAAGGTGGCCCAAGGAGTCTACCAGCACATTGACGTTCTTGAGCTGGACAAGGAGAACGAATTCTCCGTCGGCCGTGTTCTCAAGGTCGGTGGCCGCTACAGCTATAGCGATCTGGATGACCTGATCGTCAACCACGTCAAGGCGATGGCCAAGAAGGTGGACGAGATGATGTGTCACGAGAAATTCCGCAAAGGCAGCAGCAAGGCTGAGACAGGTATGTTGGACATATTAACAATCGGTGAAGTAGAACTAACCTTTCCCTCTAGATCAATGGCTCGAGACCTATACCAAGGCCAACCCCCGTCGCTCCGCCTATGCCTTCTGCACCAACCCCAAATACCCCGGCTACTTCTTCCTTTGCTTCAAGGCCGGTGAGCATGCGCGCCTCCAGAACTGGCCCGTCAAGGTCATCCCGCAGGGGTACGAATTACAAAAGAACCCTTACCCCGACATGAACGCCCTCTGCAACGGCTTCAAGCTGATGTTCAGCAACATGAACCAAGGCCGGAGATAATCAGCGTCCCTTTTCTTTCGTCTGTATAGTGTACTATCTTTTCCCCCCCTTTGAAATCAGCAGAAAAAGGGCCCCCAGGGCATTGCATGGAATTTTCTTTCTAATTTGATACACACTGATGTACACAATAATATTGTCCAATGATCGACCTCGGTAGCATGTAGTGTGTAAGGCTGTATAAGAACACGAGTACGAAGTACACATGTGAGCTGGCTTGGCCTCGGTTTCAACCTGTTTGGAATTTCTTGGCTGAGCTCTCAATATTGAGTACTCGCATATACATACTAGGTACTGTATTTATAGACATACTTCTCTTCCTCAAAGACGATCTATATATAAAACTCCGAAACGCCGGATTCTGTGGCGCATCTCCGCATCGCCACGTTCAGCCGCACCGGACCGCGTCGGCTGTATATTGCTGAGGCTCTTACATTGTACAACCCCTCACTGCGCAACCATGGCGGCCATGGAGGAGCTGGAGATTCACAGCAAGGTATGCTTCCGGTATTCTTCTGGTGTACTAGACTAATCCCCCGGCAGTCATACTTTGTTCGTTGGATCAATGTCAACGCCAACCACACCATCTCGTGGAGCATCCAGCCGCACAAGAAGTCTGTCAACTTTGGCATCTTCAAACACCCTGGACAGTCGCCTACTCTGAGTTCTCAGATCCCTGCCTCCGATTCCCAAAGCACCGATTCCTCTGAAAACCTCCCCGCAACCGCATTGACGGCCGGCGCGCGACAGCAACAATCCGCCGTGATCGAGAAGCTGACCGGTATTGGCCTGAAAACCATCAAATGGACCGGGAAATGCGAGGCGGATAAGATCACGCAAGGTACCTACGATGTACCGCTCAACGAAGGGGGCAACTACGCGCTGGTGTTCGACAACACCTTCTCCAAACAAATATCCAAGACCCTGACGCTGGTCCTTCTGACATATCCGACCGGTCTACCGCCTCATACATCCGCCACGAATGCTGCCGGACGCACTCAACCCGGGGCGTCGACTGATTCATTGCCCCAGCCCAAGACTCGGGGGAGGGGTAACAGTCGGGCAACCCTCAATTCCCAGATTGATACGTCGAATCAGAATGTCCACACGGGGTTGCTGCAGAAGCGCCGCCGAAAACGCCACCAAGGCTGGGCGCGTCGATACTTCTCACTGGATTTCACCTCGTGCACACTGTCCTACTACCATGACCGCAACTCTGCCGCATTGCGGGGCGCGATTCCCCTTTCCCTCGCAGCCGTCGCGACCAACGAGAAGTCTAAAGAGATTTCTATTGACTCTGGTACTGAGATTTGGCACCTACGTGCCAGTAACGAACATGACTTTGGCGCGTGGAAGCAAGCTTTGGAGCGCGCTTCTTCCAAAGATGCTCCCAAGAACAGCACTTCTGGGCTAGGCGTTCCACCCGAGCTACGACTTTATGCGCCCTCACAGCCTTCCCCGGCGGAGGAGCATGAATGGACGCGGGTGCAGAACCTTGTGAGCCAGATTTCTGGGTCGCGAGATGCGATCCGTCGGCTGGCGAAGGATACAGATCCGAAATACCTTGCTTCTCCCACCCCAAATGTCAATGTCGACCGGCCTCGCTCGCGAGGTAGGTCTCCTAGCCCTCAGCCTAGCCCTCAGCCCGGTGCCCAGGAGGTTGCCCCAAGTGAAGAGACCAAGCGACCCTTTTGGAAGCGCAAGACCAGTGGTCAGTCACAAACTAGCACCAAACGTCCATCAGCCGTAACTGCGAATTCGAACTCGTCGCAGCTTGTGGTGCCGTCTAAGGAGACCAAGGGAAAGCCTGCCAGTATCATAAGTCAGAAAGATAACATGGATGAGATTCATGATCATCTGATGGCGGTGCTGCGCGATCTTGATCATGCCGTCTCCGAGTTCTCTACGCTGATTGACGAGAGTAGGGAGCGACGAAACCCACCCAAGCCTTCTATGGTTCCCAGGCGGAGCATGGAATCGGACATGTCGCAAGAATTCTTTGACGCAACGGATGGTGCCGGGGACAGGTCTCCCCTGTTGACCATTCAAGACAGCGATGATGAGGGCCCTGAGGAGGACCGACCTGACTCGGCCAACGCAGAAGTCGAAGACGATGCTCCCTCGGATAGTGACAGTGTCTCTGATGCGACAGCAACCTGCCAGGAGAACGGCAGTGCCTCGGGGCTGTTCCCCGTTAAACCCAAGTCGCTGATTCCGCTGCCTCTGGACACTGTCAAGCGGCGTGCAAACATTCTTGCCCCGACTGTTCTGCCTCCAAGCTTGATTGGTTTCCTGCGTAAGAACGTCGGCAAGGACTTGTCTACAATCTCAATGCCCGTTTCTGCCAACGAGCCAATGTCCCTGCTGCAGCGTGCAGCAGAAATCTTGGAATACTCAGACCTTCTCGACCAGGCCAGCCAATCCTCTGACCCCGTCGAGCGGCTGATGCTCGTGACTGCATTCGCAGTGTCCTCGCTCTCGGCCAATCGTGTCCGCGAACGTTCAATCCGCAAGCCATTTAACCCCATGCTCGGCGAAACGTACGAGCTTGTCCGCGAAGACCGCGGCTTCCGCTTCATCGCCGAAAAGGTCTCCCACCGTCCCGTCCAGCTCGCCTACCAAGCCGATAGCAAAGAGTGGTCTCTCTCGCAATCCCCTCTCCCCAGCCAGAAGTTCTGGGGTAAATCCGCCGAAATCACCACCGAGGGCCGCGTCCGCGTCACCCTCCACTCAACGGGTGATCGTTTCAGCTGGACCCCAGCATCATCCTTCCTGCGCAACATCATCGCAGGCGAGAAATACGTTGAGCCCGTTGGCGAACTCTCCATCACCAACGAATCTAACGGCCACCGCTCAATCTCAACCTTCAAAGCCGGCGGCATGTTCTCCGGCCGCAGCGAAGAAGTGTCCACTCGCGCCATGGACTCGAACAGCAATCCCCTTCCCCTCGGGTTGACAGGAACTTGGCCTTCCTCACTGACACTCACTCGCGACGGCAACCCAACCGGCAATACAGTCTGGACAGCAGGGTCGCTCGTTCCCTCCGCGCCCAAACACTACGGCCTGACAGCCTTCGCTGCAACACTGAATGAGATCACCTCGATCGAGGAGAAGCATCTACCAGCCACAGACTCGCGTCTCCGACCTGATCAGCGGGCCCTGGAAGAGGGAGACCTCGACCGCGCGGAAGAAGTGAAGGTGCAGCTTGAAGAGGGACAGCGCTCGCGGAGACGTGCGATGGAGGAGTCTGGCGAGACTTGGGCTCCGCGCTGGTTCACGCGGGCTGGAGACGAGGCGGATGGAGAGAATGCTTGGCGGTTGAAGGGTGGGAAGGATGGATATTGGGAGGAGAGGGCTAGGGGCAGCTGGTCTAATGTTGTCCCTGTTTTCGAGAACTAGACTTGAGGGCCACTGCGTGAATGCTTTTCTATGGGTGTCGTGTTTGGGGCAGGACCTTCCTCACTTTACATATAAATCAATGCATTTTCCTTCCAAAGTTGGTTGTGTATTACAGCTCTGTAGGTTGAAGAATGAGTAAAGAGACATTAGTGTGACCCAATACGTGGAACGATGGATCACGACTGTTACTGAAATTCTCGATGTATGGTGGAATTTTATTAAGTAAAATGCGTGGGAGGTATCATTTCAGTATGCACATGCAACAAGTCAAGCAGGTTCATCAGTCGAATCGGACAAAACATCAAGCGGAAACAGAAAAACGAAAGCAAGGTGGGCGTAGTCGGCCCTTTTGGTGGGAAAAAGCAAAGACACAATCAAAAGAAAAAAGAAGAAAAAAAGACAAGGAAGCACAGCAAATGAGAAAGAAACTGACGAAACCGTGGACTGAAGCCGTAGCAATCAAGTCCTAAGCATTGTCGTAACCCATGATCATAACTGAAAAGCTGAAGATATCAACATCGAAACCGAAGACCTATGTATAACCCCCTTTACTCGTCATCATCGTCGGATTGATGAGCAGTCCAGCGACGGGAGTTGCGCATCTTAGCAGCCTTCCGAGCACCTTGGCGATCTCCAGAGCTAAAGCCTTGGTCGGCCATGCGCATCATGACCGGGAGGCTGTTAAGAACAGAACGGTTGCCCTGGAAGTAGTGCTCGGCAAAGCCACCCTGCAAGACACGGCGCAGAGCAGTGAGACGGGTCCACTTCCACCAGCGGTCAATCGACATCACACCGTGGCGGCCGATCTTCACGGTCAGAGTGCTGCCATAGTGGCGGTTGGTGTTTTGGTCGATGGCGGTATTGTAGCGTGGACCTCGGCGCGGGTTCTCAACGGTAGTGAGAATCGAGGCGAAGTTGCTGTGCAGGGACTTTTTGTCGCGCTTGCTGATCTGCTTGCTGTGGATGTGCGCAAGATTCTGAAGTTGACTTTCCAGCTCCGGGGTGTTGTGGTAGGCATTGTAGCGCTTAACAAGCTTGGGGCCGGTGGTCTGGTCATTTTCATGCTCATCGCTCTCATCCGAATCGCCACTCTCTTCGTCTTCGTCTTCGTCATCTTCCTCGGGTGTGTAGCTCTTCTCGTAGAGCAGAGCAATGTTCTCACCTGAGGAGATTTGCACGTTGGCGTCGGAGCTGTCAAGCTGGTCCATAAAGATCTGAACCGCTTCCTCGCTTTCCTCCTCGAAGTCATCAACTTCAGTAGCGAGGAATCCCCACTGTTGGATAGCGGCAGTTACAACTGGGGCGTCATCCTTGGCTTCAATGGACTGTCCATCAGAGGCGACAATGTCCAGCAAGAAGGCCATTTGTTCCAGGATTCCATCAGTCCCCGCTCCTCCAAAGATGGTGCACGCTCCCAGACATTGAATCGCAGCCGCTTTGAGGACCGGGGAGGTGGAGTCACGGATGGTGCGGGTGAGCAGGGGCTCAGCGTTTTCATAGATTGTGTTGTCGAAGGCTGAGAGCGCGAGCAATTCGATAGCACGGAGACCGAGTGTCGCTTCGCGAATGCTGACTTCGGTCCGGACGCTTCTGGCAAATGAAGCCAACAACTCGTCGACGGTACCGTTCAACTCTTCCACGGCGTAGTGGTACTTGGTCAGGCGGCAGAAGGCCTGGAGAGCTTCCTCGCGGCCCTGAACACTGCTGCGCTTGCGGTCGAGAATTTCTTGGATACGGTCGCCAAGCTCTTGTTCCCAATCGGGATTTTCAGTTTCGGGGTTCTCGTCGTCCAAGGAGCCAATGCTGTACCGATCTGGTTAGCGCGCTGATAGCAAAAATTCCCGACATCATTGGCAGTGATGTCATCCCGCCACGGGTGTGGGGTGAACATCTAACTTGCGAGAAAAAAAAATAAAATAAAACAGGCAACGAAAAGAAAAGTACGCAAATTCGTGCGCAGAATATATAACACAAAGGCATAAAATAGACGGGGTAAAAGGAATAGCGCTTACCTCATGGATGTCTCGTCAGACAGGAAACCCGAGTCCTCTTCATCGGAAGGAGCTCTGCTAGCATTTCGAGAGCCTTGACGGGATGATTGTTTGGAGCCGGTGCGCGAGTTCGTGCGAGAGGCCTCGCGAGATGCAGCCTTGCGTGAGACGGTCTTGCCGCTTTCAAAGATTTGGCGGCGCAGATCAGGCATGTTGGGTATGAGATCGAATGCGATATATGATATGCGGATAAGAGAAGGAAGAAGAAAAACCAGTTAACCTATAGGAACAGGACAGTATGTGAGATTTGGTGCAAGTAGTAAGTAACTGGGCATGATATTTCAAAGAAGAGATCGTGTGGAAAGAAAGACTTGCGATGTAAGGGAGTCGACGCTCTTTTGAACTCTGCTCATGTAAGCCCACGTCATGTGCCCTTTTCTATGCAGTCGCCAATCATTGTCTTGTGTTCAATAGAATCTTCGTCGGGACTCTCTATTGTTCTATTCTATACTCGACTACAATGCTCAATTACCCTTCTGCAGCATTCGACTCAGAACAAACCTTGGAACACGATGCACTGCATTGTCTTCCACATGCAAGTGGGAAATGCACCTCTCATCATTGGCCATTGGCTGGTCGCACTCGCTTACGCAGAAGAATCAGGATATTCACATGCAAAATGGTCTACTGGGCAGCTTGGGGACATAGAGGAGTTCCATGCTCTACATCGATTGACACAGGCTAGGGTCTGATTGTAATTATTCAAACTTTGGTATCATTATCATACATGGAAGCATGTCGCACTACGCCTTCTTCCTGTTCTTCTGCTGAGCGAGATCGAGAGCGAGCAGCTGAATGATCCGCCCGCCCTTGGCGCCCTGGAGATATTCGCGACCTTCCTGTCGCCATTCATCCTCCTCATCCTCGTCATCGCCAACCTCCAGATCCACCTGCAGACTGGCCTGGTAGGCGCCAGTCACGGTCTCCTCGTCCACACGCACTCCATATTGCACCAAGACTTGAATGCACTGCGACAAACGTGCGATCTCTCGGCGAGTCTGGGGTGAGATATCGTCGTTCTGGCTGGAGTAGATCGAACTAGAGGCCACTTCCTCCAACCGAGTGATGGAGACATTTTCCGTCGTCGAAGATGCCGCATCCGCCCCATCGGTATGCTTGTAAATATAGATGTAGCCATTGACGCCCAGGATGATGTCTACCTCTCCACCACCGTTGGCTGTCTCATGGGTCCAAACCTGACGTCGAGACCGTACCACACCACCAGTACCAGATCCTCCAGGTGCGGCCAGAGCACTGCCCACTGCGGAAGCTCCCACACCCCCCTTGACACTAGAGCTGGCAGACCCACTACCTCCGGTACCCGTCACGGCGAGGAAGACACCATTCCGCAGCTTACCGTACTTCAGAGACCGCGTATGTAGTGATGCAGAACCATCTTGGTGCACGCTCTGCACTTCGGCAATAACCAAGTCACCCTCACTGAAGAATGTTCGGATCTGAAGCTCATCGGCACTCGTTCGTCGACGCAAAATACCCCCGGGCAAGTTGATCGCGGAGAGGGGGAGCTGGGCAAGGAGGGGCGCAGCAACATCTACCTTCCAGCGTTTAGATTGCACTTCGACAATCCGACCAACGACCAAATCTCCAATTTCGGGTGTGTAGCGCGCACGCAGTGGGTGCACGGAAAGTAGCTTATTTGTCTTCTGAACGTTTCCAGCAACGGTGGCGATAATGGATGTCGAGAGAGGATTCATATAAGTACCATGGCCTCTGTATGCGGTTAGTTTGAGGCAAGACGGAAAAAACGAGCCCCGCGCATTGTATCCTGCGCGGTCTCACAGGGAACCCACCTCATCCATTGTGGATCGTCGGTGACGACTTCACCCGGTGTGACAATTCCGGTGCCAATGTTTGAGTTTGCTTGTAAACGGGGGCGCTTGTGAGGTCGAGAGACACCGGTCATCTCGACGTCTTCGTCGGAGTCCACGGACATAGAATCGTCGGAGTCGGCTTGGTAAGGACTCTGGTCCTCTACCACCGGTGGTAGAATTGTGATGGCCATTCTGTGGTTTTGTTGCCTGTGGTCTAATACAGATGGCTTCGAAATGCAGTAAAGGAAGCTCACCTAGGTGAGGCCGGGCAAGATCTGAGGAAAATCCAGATCACGTGTTTGATCCACTATTAGACCGTAGACATTCCCTACTTTGACCGGTTGGAAGCACTAGGTTGGTTCACTACTGCTGAATTGACATCTAGAGAGGAAACATATTCTTGGAAATGTCAAGGTATCCGTGATGTTGTCACGCTGGTAATCAGCCCCTTCCACAAGTTTCAAACCCAACGCCCGTAGTAATACAAAATGTTCAAAGATATAGGTATCTAGTGCAGCCGAGTAGATCAAGGTTTCTTAGCCGCTTTGCTTGCAGTCGGGTTGGTGTCTTCTTTCTTCTTTTTCGACCGGCTGCTGCCTCCCTTGGGTCGATACCCCGTGTCTTCTTCACGCTTGCGCTTGTTCTTGGGGGTAGGTTGCGTCTCGGTTCCATCCTCATCATACATGTCGTCATCTTTACGCTGGGCTGGCGCGCGCTTCGAAGAGCGCGCGTTGGAAGGGCGAGATGCAGACTTTTCAGATGCACCTTCATTGTCCTGGAGAGTCTGGGGCTGGTTGCGGCGCAGCCAGTTGTAAACCGAGGCCGGGTTCCGGATGGACATATCGCGCTCACGCTCCGCGAAGGTTGGGCGATCTGGAATACGCGCAAGCTGCGCTGCTGCCGCATTGTCTCCGAGCTTGGCGTCCAAGGAAAGATAGTACTCGGTTTCATGCTCGGGCGTGAAGTATCCAAGTGCGCGCTCGCTCTCATTATCTGATCTTTTGCTGTTCGCTGCGGCATCTGGGTTGGTGTGACCGGTTTGTGACAAGGCACTATATTGTTGGGCTGGTGCAAACACTTTGTTGCGCTTGATGTTGTCCTCGATCATGCGGTATGCACTTTTGTCGATGCTTCCGGCAGCCAATCCAGCCTTGGCTTCGCTCCACGCCTGCCTTGCCAATGTTGCGTCGTTGATCAAAGGCAAGATCTCTTGTTCCGGTGCGGGTTGCAAGGGAGGGTCATTGGGCATGCTCAATTCAAACCGCATTTCGGGAGGAACGTGAAGGCTCTCGTTGAACTCGAGGAGGACTTCGAGGAGTTGACTGAAATTGTCAGAAGCTTGTCACAAGGGGTGCCGGATGTGCATACTCATTTTGTTCCTGGATGCGTTTAGACAGGTCTTCGATGCGCAGTTCCTCTCGGATGAGCTTCTCGCTTTCGCGCGTTCCCAATTCAAATTTGACCTTGAGTTTGGCATATTTCTTCCTAAGAAGGATGTTGGTCAGCATTGTGTTACGGGGCTGAGTTGGGAGGATACGTACTTGAAAGATCGGACTGATTGCTTCGCAGGCGCAGGTGCCGGATTAGGGGCATCAGGTTGTCGCTCACCCGAAGGCATGTACTCCGGAAGTTCCATCATGGTGGCCAGGATAGAAGTGGGATGAAGAGACGGAAGACTGAAGGGGTTGAGGTCCTGTGCAATCGCGCCAAGAGCTGGACCCGGTGTCACGGGCTGCGTGGGAGGCGGGTCCGGTCCGCCGTAAAAAATTAAATTATCGCCGATCTGATTTCTTGTAGTCTCAATCACTCTGTGACATTTGTTTTCCTTCAATCTCTGTTCTTCTACAATTTTCACAATGGCCGAAACAGCCGATATCAGCCACAAGAAGCGCAAGCTGCAAGATGGCCCCGAACTAGAAATCGACATCGATGCACCGGAACCGGTCTCCAAAAAAGCGTTGCGCAAAGCGAAAAAGAACAAGGGCGGTGATTCTGAGGAGGGGGAGAAGACCAAGTCTAGCAAATCCAGCAAATCCAGCAAGCCCAGCAAAGACGAAACCAAGGATCTCGAGGAGGAAAATCCTACCGGCAAACGCTCTGAATATGGCGTTTGGATTGGAAATTTGTCTTTCACAGTGACACGAGATGAGCTGCGCATGTTCTTCACGGCGAATTCCGACATCTCCGAATCTGCCATCACTCGGATTCATCTTCCCAAGGGACCTGAGAAGTTTGGAAGGCCCCAAAACAGAGGTTTCGCTTACGTCGACTTCACCAACAAGAAGGCACTGAAAGAGGCAATTGGTCTCAGCGAGCAGCTCATGACTGGCCGCCGTGTACTCATCAAAGACGCAAAGAACTTCGAGGGTCGTCCTGACAAGTCTGAGAGGGAAGCAAATGCCTCCGGCGCCGCCGCCAAGTCCGGTCACCCCCCGTCCAAGCGGCTCTTCGTCGGTAACTTGAGCTTCGATGTCACCAAGGAGGCCCTCGAGGAAAATTTCAGCAAGTGTGGAACAGTCAACAACGTGCATATGGCTACCTTCCAGGACACAGGAAAATGCAAGGGATATGCTTGGGTGGAATTCGAAGAGCTCGCCGCAGCAGAAGCAGCGGTGAGAGGTTTCATGCTAGTGAAGGAGGACGATGGCCAGGAAGACGATCCTTCCGATAGCGAATCCGACTCGGCCTCCGAAAAGAAGTCGAAAAAGCTCAAGCCCAAGATGCGCAGAGTGTGGGTGAACCAGCTCTTTGGTCGTCGCATGCGTATGGAGTTTGCCGAAGATGCGTCCACACGATACAAGAAGCGCTTTGGCAAGGATGCCGAGAAGAAAGATGGGCCCGCTATCACCGAAGAAGGCGAATCACAAGAGAAGCCTCGATACAAGAAGAGACAGGAGCCTATTGACGAGTCTCGCTACTCCAAGGAGACCGTGCAGAAGCTCAGCGGTGGAATTGTTGAATCCCAAGGCAAGAAAGTCACCTTTGATTAAGCTGATCGGTCATTTTTCCTTTCTGCCTGATGTTTGGTCCCATTGGAATATCACACACGACTTTTTGCAACATTAGATGTTACTTACTGCTTCTTATACCCTGTGGATCAGTGTATTATCTCTAAAAATTTGTCTTTCGTCTCGAATCTTGGGCATTGATGTAAATACCCCAACCATATCTACTAGCAGTCAATATTACAGGCCATCGAGTCCTTGGTGGTACAGAGGTTGTGTGGCAAGACCATGTATACTTGAGTCCAGCATAAACCACAACATCGTGCATAGACCCAACAGGTCCACGGGTACCCAGGTGCAATCGACTCTACCCGGATGTTCCCCAGCGACATCGTACCCCCCTTCGTCGTCCCCAGCAGTCAGCGGAGGTCGTCAAGATTTAGTCGGCCACTAAGAGAAATAAAGTAAATAATTCTGGGCCCCGAATTGGCAGAAACATACCGCCTGGGCTAGACCCGCCTGACGTCTCTGGCAATGGATGCCATTCTGATGTGAATCTCTCTGTGCTTCTCATCTATTGGGCTGCATCTCTTTTCTTCTTGCCCCTTGCTCTTTTCTTTTCTCTTCTCCACCTCCTGAAGTTGTCCTTTTTTATTGGGTTTGGATTCACTATTCGGTCTTTGTGTTTTGGTTACTATCGGGTTCATCGTCCTTGCTTGCTCAGCATCAGGCGCCCTCACTAGCTCTCGCTCACTTCTCTCGGTCCCTTTACCTCAAGACCCTCGTGCCGTTCAGTCAAGATCACCAACAAGGATAATTCCAGCCGTCCCAAGCACTCCCTTGTGTCTCCACCATGGCTCATCCGCGACGTCATATCGGAGCCAGCCGCAGAAAGAGACACGAGGAAGATGGCGAGGATGAGGGCTCAATGGCTGGAGACATGGGCGATGATTCTTTGAGTGAGGGCTCCGTCGACAGCAACGGAGAGGACGAGGATGCAGATGGAGAAGTCAGCGAAGATAGCGAGGACGAGGCCCCTTCGTCGACGAAGAGTAAATTGGTCAACGGTTCCAAGCCTCGGTCCGCCCGAAATAGCTCTGCCTCGCCCGAGAAGCGAGGACCCAAGACAACGGTTTCGGATACAGAGGCAATGTTGAACGGGCTGAAGGTCTCAGATGGTAACGCTGCGGAGATCCATCTCGACAACCCGAAGGAACAGCGGGAGTCTCAAATTGGCAGAACGTCGTCCGCTACTCCAACCGAGCCCAGGCAGAACAGCCTGGCATCGAGAAAACGCCGTGACAACGACAAGTATGCCAAGGAGCGAGAGCAGAACCCGGCTTTTGTCCCCACTCGGGGCAGCTTCTTCCTTCATGATAAACGATCAACGGAGAATGGAAATCGGTCTAGCAAGAGCAAGTCTCGACCTTATGGCCTTATTGTGGACGGTAACTCCCGCAGGTAAGCTTGCCGTCTCCTCTTTGGTTCCATTTTTGCTAACGTACATGGGCAGGTCATCCAAAGCTGATGCTAGTGGGGGACAGTGGGCACACGACCTTCACGATACCGTGGCCGGGGATGATAAATCTTCACAAAAGCAGACCCTCGCAGTTCCCAGTACTATCCCACCTGTTCCCACCGCACCAAGGTCTTCTCCGCCAAATCGATCCTTCTCTAGCACAACCCTAGTAGGCAGTGTACCGGTCGTCGTCTCGCTGCCTGGAATGGCCAGCCCAGTTCATTTCCCTGCGGTGCCCAAGCGACTACACACCAGGCTCCCTCAGCATCGGCCTCCCCTGCGACGCGATAAGCCGGTCCGAATCTCTCTCCCTACCCAGCCACCACGATACATCTTCCCGGCCGTTGAGCGCTCATTTATCTTTATCCCTCGCGCTTTGCGGCCGAACCAAGTCTCTCGTGGTCGAGGTGGTCGTGGTGGCGGCGGCTGGTACAGTGGACGTCGTCCTAGCTACTACCCCAACTCCTCGTACACGCCGAGCGTTGTCAGCCGCCGCTCTTCTTTTGGCATGCCACCCTCTCAGGACGGGTGGCCATCGCCTGCGGGGTCTGTCTACTCCAGACCCACCATCCCCACCGAACCGAAGCCCGTTGTCCGTCTTCCTCCTCCACCTCGTCCGCCAGTTGGGATCCCGCCATTTGGTCCCGCAATGGCTATGCCCCTTCCACATCCAGCCTACCGGGAAAGCCGGCCCGCTCCGATTCCCATGCATCAACCTCGCCCACAAAAGGCCGTCTCCGTGGCTGACATTGAAAGTCCGGTCACTTTCCCATTCCCCTTCAACCCGCCCCAGCCCCAGCAAGAACAACCTTTCCACCATCAGGTTCCTCTGCCAGCCCACGGAATCAATGGACCTGAGATGAATGCCCATGGGCCGCCGAGTCAGCCTTCGGCTACTCCACTCTCACAAATTCCGGAGCGGGCCATTCATGCCGCCCCCTTCCAGCCGTACGTATACCAGCAACCTGGATATTATCCTCCGAGCTATCCGCCCAGTGGCATGTACTACCCGAATTCGGGTCTTGAATACGGGGGTTACAACGGACCCGTGGGGCCTGGGGCCTCCGTTTCAAGCTTTTCGGGACAACAACAGATGCCCTACACGGCTGGCGAGCAACCATCTCAGGCTGGTACAGTTGCTCATGAATCTGGTGGCACAGTCTACTTCTACGATGCCAATAACCCGTATGGGGGGCCTGTCCAAGGCCCGGGAACCGGTCCCGGGGGTGTTGTTGGCATGGGTGGGATGATGACTCCACCGGGTGCAATCTACTACCCCCAGCCTGGCCAGTACTATGGGCACTGAGACGGACTTCTCTCTATCTTCTCTCTCTCCCTCGCCCTCTCCCCCTCCACTTTCGCCTTGGGACTTTCCATCCTTTCATCTTCTCAACATCTCCTTCTCTTTTCTTTTTCACATGATCTCTGGGGCCCTTTCCTCGTTTTCCCATCACACATTCACTAGCCATGCCTGATCTTCTACCCTAATTTCGTGTTTCATGACTTATATCGGCCCTTTCTAGATCTATGCATTTGAGCGTCTTCCCCATCATGTCTCCGCACCTTTTTTTATTTCTCCACATAACTGGGATCACGTAGCACACGGTTCTAGCCCTTTTCTCAATCTCGAGCATCCAATCGGGCAATGAAATTTCCATATCATTATGCATGACCTCATAATCAGCTTCCTGTTTCCTATTTGATGATCTTCTGCACCCCTCCTCTCTCGGGCGTCCAGTCACGAATAAAAGAGACGTCCAACGCCTTGGCAATCACTTTCTGACGCCATGTTCTGCACCCTCTCACCGCCTTCTATTTCGGCCCCTTCGGCAGCTGACCCCGTCTCTCCACCTTTTTCCCTTCAGTTCGACTCTGTCCAACTCCCCTCTCCACGATTTCTCTTGCTCCCATCTATTCCATCTTCATAGCTCTTCTTCTTGTATCCCTTTCGACCTTTCTCTTCTCTCACTGTAATCCTCAATACTATTTTTCCTTTCTTAAAGCCTTAAGGTGCTGCTGCCTGGGCAGTTGTATCCACTTGCATTTCATCATACATCATGGCAACTCCAGCTCCTACTCACCCGGGCCCAGAGCATCTGGTCACGGTCAAAGTCCTCTACAATGACAGCAATCGACGCTTCAAGCTTCCTCTGAAAGACCTCACGGCTTATGCCTTCCCCCGAATGGTAAGTCTCCACTCAAGCTCCGACCGGGCATCTAGTGCCGATTCCTTATCTTGATCGTCGTGATCAAAGCTAGCTCCGGTCTTCTTTGTCCATCAATTTCTCACCATTCTTCACTTCTTCATCAATTCTCACTTCATTCAATAAACTGACTAATCATTTGGATTTAGCTCAGAGTCCTTCTCGGGGTTCCCCCGGATGTCAACGTCATACTCGAACGCTATTCCGACAGCGCCGGCTCTTACGTTCGCTTGGACTATGACAACGTAGCAGTTTACAAACAGCTCTACCGAGCCGCTAAGGCCAAGTCCAAGCTTCGTATCAAGGTCTCTCCTGTCGAAAAACCAGCCGCACCCGTTCCTTCAGAGCCCACGCTGGAGTTCAATCAACCTCGTCATAGCTATCTTGAGACTGTCTTGAGCCCTGCAGCCCCTTTGACTGTCCCCAATCTCCCTATCGCCGACTCGGCTCAGACTTCTCACCAAGAGACACAGCTACCATCTGGTCAACCTCGCCTTCGAAACTTCGAAATGGAGTCAGAAAAGCACCAGTTCCCCATCATCTCCCACAACTCGCCCAACGGCATGTTCTGCATTGATTGCAACAAGTGTGGTCGCTCGATTGCGAATGGCCACTATCATTGCAGCATTTGCGAGAATGGTGACTACGACTTGTGCCCCCAGTGCGTCACCGCGGGTGCGACTTGTGGTGGCGATGGTCACTGGCTGATCAAGCGGATCGTCAAAGACGGTGCTGTTACCAACAGCACAACCGAGATAATCCCTCCTCGCGACCCCTCGACTGAGGCCCCGATTCAGATCAAGCGTGAAGTGATCACCAAGCCAGTGGTTCACGTCCCTGAGTCAGTTCAAGAGTCGATCCCTGAGCCAGCTACCCCATCGGCCTGCTTTGATGCAGCCGTCCAAGGCGAAGACAAGCCAATCTGTAACGGATGCTGTCGTGGTAAGTTCTTCGATATCATTCACTATCAGCCCTTTTGCTAATAACGAATAGAAGCCGACGAGAGCAATCTTGTCCGCTGCAATGATTGCGAAGACTACGACCTGTGCCTTCGCTGCCTTCTTCGTGACAAGCATGGCCACCACCCCGGTCACACCTTCCACCTCGGCTCCGACCGTAACTTCTGCCTGAAGAACCTCATCACATCTCGCTGCCTTCCTGGCCGTCAGTTCCGCCATGCTGCTGTCTGTGACGGGTGTGACAAGGTATGTCTCAACTATCCCCCGACGAAATGTAATACTCACACACCGCAGCGCATCGTTGGCGTCCGTCACAAATGCCTGGCCTGCCCTGACTGGGACTTCTGCCCCGAGTGCATTTTGACCGCCTCCGAGCATCACCCTAGCCATCGTTTTGTTCAAATCTACGATGCTATCGGCGAAGCTGCCCGTGAGCACGAAATCCATTATGGAATCTTCTGTGATGGCCCCCTCTGCAAGAACAAGCCCGCGCAGAGCTATATCAACGGGGTTCGCTACAAGTGCGCTGTCTGTGAAGACACTGATTTCTGCGCCAGCTGTGAAGCCCTCCCCACTGATCACCACAACCGTACTCACCCGCTGGTTAAGTTTAAGACCCCAGTTCGTAGTGTGACAGTGAGCACTGTGGGCGATGACGGCTCCAACCGTGCAGTTTCTCTGGGCGATCAACTCCCTCCAAGCTGCAGCGAGTCCACCCCCGCGGCGGAGGAGATCGTTGCGGATGAAATCGTTGAGCAGAAGGCTCCCGTTGAGAAGCAGGAGCCAGTCGAGGTTGAGGATAACAAGCCCGTAGTCAAGGCTGAGCCACAGCCACCTGTCGTCGAGACCGAGGACCCCGAGGAGGCTGACTTCAAGGCCTTCTTCATTCGTGACACCATCACCGACGGTACCAAGATTGCCCCCGACACCATGTTCCGTCAGACTTGGACTCTATACAACCCCGGCCCAACAGCATGGCCTACTGGCTGTGATGTGCGCTTCGTTGGAGGAGACACCATGTTCAACGTTGATTCCACTCACCCTTCCAGTGTTGAGTCCATTCGCTCTGCAATGGAAAGCAACAAGCTGCCCGCTCCTGTGGAAGCAGGCGGCAGCGCCGACTTCACCGTCAATCTCCGCACCCCCAGCCGTGAGGGTACCGCCATTTCCTACTGGCGCCTGAAACTCCCCAACGGCATGGCCATCGGCCACCGTCTTTGGTGTGACGTTGAGGTGCAGACTTCAGTAGTTGACACTGCTGCAGAACCCGTAACGACCGGCAGTGCCATGATCTTCCCCAAGCTGGAGAAGGAGTCGCCAGCGTCGAGCACTCTGCAGTTCGAGGCCCCTGCTCCCCAGGCCCCCACTTTGTCGAACTCTTCGGAGTGTGATGTCCTGGAAGGGGTGGAGAGCCTCAGTCTTGACGATGCTGAGACTGACGCCGGCTTTGTGACCGATGAGGAGTATGACGTTCTCGACGCCAGCGACCAGGAATTCCTGGATGCTCGGCAGAACGCGAACTGAGGAGGACACAGGTTCATGATAGGCATCCGATATGGGAATGGGAATTTGCACTTAATCTTTCGGAATGCAAGGTGTAGTCCATGAGACTTTTAATGAGATTGACATTTCTTGGACTTTCAGCGAAAACAGAAAACAAATCGCCAAAACAGACAGTTTTCCTATTCCAATGCTATTGCTATTTTCTTCTACTTAGACCTTGCCGAGGGACTTTTCGCCCGCGTCCAGACGATCTTTACTCGATGCTACAACGGAACATTTCCCAGGTTCCACAGTTAATTATGACATGGACGATGGTCGTTTCGCTGTTTTCTCTCTTCCACTTTTCCACCGATCAATGCCATGGGTCTATCATTCACCCTGAAACTAGGCCTGTTCGCTGCTTTGGTTTCTTACCTGGCCGGCCCCATCGGTCACCTTGTACAGATCACCGGAGTGTTTCTCACCCCCGTCCCGACAGTACTGGGAGAAGGCCAAGGTCCCATCTACATAGCGGATACCGTCCATTGCGAAGATGTGCATCACTACCGGCCTGCAAACTTGCTGTTCACCGCGTGTGAAGACCACAAGAGCACGCGCTTCAGCTGGTTCCCTCCCCTCGGACACATGTCGCCGCCGGGGACCCGCGGCTCTCTCCACGTTGTGGACCCCAAGGTTCGTCCCTCGGCTTGAGTGGAGCTTGCACGCTGACTGCTGTAGACCATGAAATCTACCCGGCTGGCATTCACCAACTTTGAAGGCCCTTTCGTGACCCACGGTGTTGACATCGTGGAGGATCCCAAGGCCAATGCAGTCTATATCTTCGCCGTCAATCACCTGCCTAATCCGGCCTATTTCGAAGCCGGCGAACCCGATGGCGTGCACAAAGCCCGCTCCCAGATCGAGCTCTTCCACCATGTCCTGGGGTCCTCGACTGTCCAGCATGTACGCTCTATTTATCACCCCCTGGTTGAGACCCCCAACGACATTTACGCGGAGAGTCCGGTCTCTTTCTATGTCACCAATGACCATTTCTACCGCGAGGGTGTCATGCGCATGGTAGAGGACTTCTGGTCCTCTGCAAAGTGGTCTAGCATCATCCACGTGCAGATCGACAGTCTTAGCAAGGACAGCAATGTCGAGGCCTCCGTCGCCTTGCAAGGTCTCTGGAATAACAATGGCCTCGGCCACGGACGCACAGATAAGGAAATGATCATTTCCAGCGCCGTTGGCGGCGAGCTCTACGTCTCTACCCCTCATTCAAATCACACCATTGAAGTACAGGAGACCATTCCCTTCCAGACCGTCACCGATAACCCAAGCTACTATGCGGATCCGTACCGCACGGACACCGACGATGCTAGCGGGTTTGTTGTGGCGGGTATCTCGCAAGCTGTCTATTTGGCCTCCAATGCTCGGAACCCGGATGCCACTGACGCTTCGCAGGTGTGGTATACCCGATACCTGTCGGATACTGGCGTCTGGGAGAAGAAATTGTTGTTCGAGGATGATGGGCTGCGGATTCGGACTGCTAGTGCGGCTGTTTTGGTGCCCATTGAGCCAAAGGATGACAAGAAGCTGGCTTGGTTGTTTGTCACTGGGTTTATGTCCGAGAGTATGATTGCTGTGCAGGTTGAGCTGTAGTGCCGCGCAGATGGATGTCGAGATACCAGAGAGGCTAAGTTACCTAGGTAATTGTACATCTATATAGCTAGCCTGTGGCTATATAAGATTTCATTTTCTTCCTATTATCCATTCTATGCCCAACAAATTGGTAGAACATCCGGTATGCCTGCATTATGTTGACTTGATCGAGTCCAGTCAAGGATTGAATCAAGCCGATCAGCCACAATTGGAGGTGCTCGTTCGACCTCACCATTAGACAAGAATACCATTCAAATTTCCCACCGTTTAAACCACAAGTTTAATGACCTAGGAATTGTCATGTCCACCAGATGAAAAACAGGAAGTAGACCCCGTGCACGTGACCGGCTACAGAATAACTGATTAGTAATATCGCCTCGGCATCAATTGATCAGCCCTGGAGGTCCACGGAGTACGGAGAGTCTCAGATCTGTTTCGTTGACCATGCTGATACAAAACGAGTATCGATTGGAGCGTGCCGAACAGAATGTGAAATAAAACAAATTCCTTACCATTAAATAGTACTGTGCCAAGTGCACATCGCAATTACACTGCAAATGATCTATAGAAATTATCATAGATGTATCACTGCCTACGGAGTGCTCCGTCCTCCATACGCCGTATCTAAACTCGAAATTCACTCATTACAATACGGAGTACACTCCATACAAACCCCTTTCTCTGCACTGGACAATTCCAATCAGACATATCCACATCGTCACTCGCGTCGAAACCTGAAAGTGACCGATTGCAGCCTAAGGTGTCAACCGATAAACACCAGATTCTCACCCGCGGACCCGAGCATCGAGAAGCGATCCTTCATCAACTCACAATGGCCTGCATAAGACGAGGCCAGCGAGCCCTCCCAAGCCCGCTCAACGCCAGCCGCATCCCAATCGCGCGCTACCTCTCAACAACACCTCAACCCAACAAACCAACCGACACCGTCACCATCCCCTCGAAAACCGACCTCAATGCCCCAATCAGCACCCTCCCAATCGACCTCGTCACACCCCCTCCAATCGCCCCCTCAGCAGCCCTAGCAGACAAGCTAAAGCGCTACGTCGAATTCGGCCGCACATACCTGACCTTCTACAAAACGGGCCTGAAAAACGTCTACAGAAACTACCGCGCTTCACTACCCCTACGAGCCCAACTAGGTCTCCCAGCCTACCTACCCGTTTCACCACCCCGCGAAAGCAATGCCTCACAACAATCAAAGTACTCGCAGCTTGGCCGCGGACAGTTCCAACTCGTCTGTCGATCTGCCCGCGACGTCCGCCGCATGATCCCCTTTACTCTTATCCTGATTGTATGCGGGGAATTCACACCATTGATCGTACCGATCTTCGGCTCAGCGATCACGCCCGCGACATGTCGTGTTCCGAGCCAAGTTGAGAAAGAGCGCATTGCGTCTTCGAAGCGGAAAGTCGCTGCTTTGCGCGCGGCAGGAGTCCCTGTTTCTGTTGATGCGGAGCAGATGGGGGCTTTGGCTGGGTTTGTGGATCTGGAGTGGGTGGCAAAAGCGCAGGCTGCGGATGTGTTGAGGGCTTGTGCGGTTTTTGGGCTGGTGAAGAGTCATGAGAAGGTTGGCGGGGCTGTTTTGGCGGGTTTGGTTTATCGGCCTAGGTTGGCGAGGTATGCGGAGTATCTTGCTGTTGATGATGGGATGATTCGGGCTGGGGGTGTGGCTGGGATGAGTGCTACGGAGGTGCGGATTGCGGTTGAAGAGCGTGGTGGTGTTGATGTTTCGGGTGCTTTTGATGGGAAGCAGGCTGAGGGTTTGGAGAGGCGTTGGTTGCAGCAGTGGCTTGCGTTGAGGGAGAAGAAGAGTGTACAATAAGTATAGAGTGTAGATTTTAGACAAGATTCTCGTGTATTATATCCAAAAACTTGTTTTTTGTTCTCTCTTTCTGCTACCTAGTAGAAGAGACTGGGGAAGATCACGCTAAGTAACATGACAATTTGATCGGGTATGAGAAGCCCAGATATATAGAAGAAAGAAGAAAGAAGGTAAAGAAAACCATTATGCCATTGCTTGCGCCTGCGCCTGTGCTTGACCACGAACTTGCTTGGCCCACCGCAACCCACAGCTATTGCAGAGATCACGGTTTCCGCTCGGTCCGCGCCGCCACTCTGGTGTGTTCTTGGTCTTGCACATGGCGCAGGACTTCTCGACGGAGATGGCCGTCTGCTTGCGCTTGCGCTTCTTCCGACGCGCCAGTAAGCGCTGCAGCTCATCAGATAGTGTGCGATTTTGCTTCTCCAGCTCTCTGAGCTCTATCTGCCAGCTCGATCCGCGAGTGGGGTTGAGCTCTGTGAAGAAAGTGGCCGGGTCGGCAGACGGGGAGACGTTGCGGTTGCCGGCTGGGAGACCATTCAGGCCAATGAGGGTGGAGAGATCGGGGATGCGCTGGCCCAGCGCGCCGTACTGGCTGGGTGGGAGGGGGTCGTCGACCGTGAGGGTTGAATTGCGTGCGGTGCCTGGGAGAGAGCCGAGGCTGTCGTCAGCGGCGGCTGAAAGGGCCGTGCTGGAGGGAGGGAATGATCGAGCGAAGCGGATTTGGACCACGAGGAAAGTAGGCTTGGAACCATCCCGAGCATCACCGGTGTATATAGTAGTGTGGGCGGAGAGGACATGGCCCTTCTTATGTCGCATCTGATGTTTGAAGGATGGGGCTTCTTCGTGGGATTTTTCGGTGCTAGTAGTGGCTAGGCCAGCTCCCTGGCCACGACATGCCGCCTCCAGGGCTCGTGTGATGGTGGCAGGCCCGCCAGACTCGGGTTCCATTATTTCGTGCATGCCCTTGCCAATGAGGTCGTCGGGCGTACGACCAAGTACTGGTTTCACCTTAGTGGTGATGAACAAGATCACACCGGAGAGGGAGACCTTGGCCCAGACATCATTCTCAGCCAGTGCGGCAGATGACCCCAGCCGGGCAATCTGGTCCAGTGCGTACACTGGTCGTGGACGGCCCGTCATAACCAAATGCTTTCGGCCCTGGGTCGGGTCGATGTGCCATGCACCGTGACTCTCGAACCACATGTAACCCCTGTGTTTCTGTCTGATACGATAGACAACACTCACTGGAGCGGTGGTGGTGCTCGCTCGCAGATCACGGATCACAGGACCAATATCGCTAGGGTGACAGATAGTAGACAGTGTCTTGCCAACGAGCTCGACCGGCTCGTATTCCAGAACCCGGGAGCAAGAAGGCGAAAGATATAGGAATTCACCATTGAAGGAAAGCACATGGATCACATCGTCGGTGTTATCTACCAAGATGCGATCCAAAAAGTGCCGGTTAACTTCGTTCCCTGCAGCACTGGCTGCGTTGAGAATCGCAGTCACTTCATCATGGCCGTAGCGCGCCGTGAGATCTGGCCGCGATGAATAGACATCCGGCGGGACCACATATTGGGGCAATTGATCCCGCTGGTAATTCACGCTGTAAGTGCCATCTGTAGACCGTTAGACTTGATCCCTAGCCAACAGTGTTATATGAACATACCAGGATTCCTTCGACTGACAGCGTCTGGCTTCTCAACCAGATCCACCTGGAAGCCAACATAGAAGCGATACTCGCCCGAGTCCCACTGGATGGGAATCATAGTGATGAGGTTCATAAAGGGTTGTCCACCCTTGCGATAATTAATAATACTGGCTTGGATTTCATTGCGGTCATCAATGGTTGATCGCAGCCGGTGGACGGTCTGACCGTCCACGAAGGTTCGCTTCGCGCCGGCACTGATCTTACCATCGGGTCCTTGCAGGAACCGACAGTTACGGCCGACAATCTCGTCTTTGGTATACCCCGTCAGCCTTTCAAAGGCCTCTGAGACGTATACGATTGGTTGATCCTCGCGAAGGATATCACACATGACAAAGGCGCAGGACAGATCCACAGCGCCAATGTTGATTTTCGGATTTGGCCTCATCGCCACGCGACCCTGGGCATCATTAGCATGCATTCGCCAAGGCAAAGCCGGCACGAAGCATGGTAGAGTCTCACCAGCGCACCCAACACGTCAAAGCCACTACTCGAGTAGATTCCCGTGTGTTCGGTCTTACCGATGCCCGGCTTTTCCAGCCCGGGCGGGATATCCTCTTTTTTTTTGTCGCGTCAGCGAGGGGTCAGGAGCGATGACACGACACAGGCGCACTCACCTTGAGCGGGAGCGGGTTTCTTGGGCTGGATCGCCACAGGTTGTGAGGGACGCGGGCCCGGCTGTGGTCGTTCTAACCGCCGCGGGGCCCGCGCGGGCACCTGGGAGCGGTCGCTGTTGCGGGCTGAAAAATCTGAATCTTCGAAGTTGGCGGTGGAATCTGTGCTGGTATCGTACTGTTCCCTCCTGGCGAGGGCGGGTCGGGAATACATGGGCATGGACTGTTGGAAGGGCGGGTATGTAGTCTGGTACTGGGGCATCCCCATGGTGGTGGGCGGGTAGGCAGCATCGTAGGCAAAGGCGTTGGCGGGGTCCAGATTCATGGGCATTGAGACTGCGTTGGCGCCTTCGTAGGCGAGCATGACATTTGACATGCCCGGTTGGGACCGATCAAAATTCTGTAGTGGGAGGTTCGAGTCCTGGGGGAGCATGGCCCCGAAGGCATAATTACCGACCTGGCCCGGAAAGGGCATGTAGGAAGCATCGGGCAGGTCCTGTTCGTCGGTATAGTCAATATTGAAGTTGGAAGCCATAATGACAGGGCCGATAAAGCCTCGGCCAGACGTGGGGGTGAATGCAACGCCCGGACAGAGTGTCCCAGAGCCCCGGTAACAACCAAATTCGTGGGAACCGCAACGGCCTCTCCCCACTCTGCACCGTCAGATCGTGTCGCACGCTGATTTCGAGTGCTCGCTGTGTTCTGTGCACTCCGTGTGTCCTCTGCGATTCTGAACAGAGTGCTGTACGAGTATAAGAGAGAGAGGGAAAGGCAGGGTGTCACTCCTCTTTCTCAAAAGTACAGCCTTTCTCGGTGGAGACCCGGAGGAAGACCAATTACCAATAAGCGACACCGATGATCACTGGCAGCTTCCAGGGTCGGGAGTCCCTAGGAATGTGGGAGTGTACAGTAGTGAGTAGAAAGGTGATTCGAGTGTCTCAGCGCTGTCAAGGACAGTAACATCGTAGAATCCAGAGTACGGAGTATGGAGTGTCCACCTGGGTAGAGGGAAGTGTCAAGCGGCAAAAAGGTGATGCATCACAAACATTAGACTTCCGGGACACGACGTGTCTTCCGCGTTACTTTTGTACATTGTACACATCTCGATGTATTTGGATTCTATAGAGATCGCGATTCGCGATCTGGAGATTATTCTTCGAATGTTTACATTAGATTGGTGGAAGTACTCTGAAATGTGGTTCAATCAGTCCCCAAAATAGGGGTTGGCCGATCACCCCATCCTGACGACTTAGTATGCCTCCAACCTGAAATCCTATACTTCACGGTCATGGACAAGATCTCAATCACCATCTGTGGGGATGGCGGGTGCGGTACGTTGCAGCAACCTTCTCTGGAGAAATAACCCGGCCGTGATTCGGTGCCACCACTCTGGGTTTCGCGATCGAGATCTGATCAGATCGGGACACAGGCAAATCCTCCATCACGCTGCGGCTGGTCCGTAGTCAATGGGTTCACGAGTGAGACCCCTGACCCCTGCATCTGCACTGGCTGACTCGTCGCAGATATGATCCAACGATTGGTATTCGCTCTCCCTCTCGCTGCCTGCCCCGCTAACCCGACGTGGATGCGTAGAGGATGCCTACTCCGTCACCCGCACCGTCGATGGTCGACCCTACTTCCTATCCATCACTGACACCGCGGGTCAGGAGGAGTATCGCGGACTGTGGACTGCCTCGACGCTGCAATCCGATGCCTTCCTCCTGGTCTACGATATCACCAACCCCAGTAGCCTGGAGACCCTCGATTCCTTCCTGGAGCTGATCCGCATGGAGGCCGAGCAGCGCCTCGAGGATAACGAGCGACTGCGCCAGACTAACGCCGGGCCCGGCAGGCCCCCACCAGTGATGATTGTGGCGGGCAACAAGTGCGATCTGAAAGAGGGTCGGGCGGTGACCTCGCGCCAGGGACTGGAATATGCGCGCCGGAACGGGTGCGGGTTCATGGAGACCAGCGCGCGCGAGATGGTCAATATTGAGGAAACCTTCGCGCGTATGCTCTTACTTTCATCCCACGGGAATCGTATATATTAACAGCTATCCAGATCTAGTTCGACGCGCGATCGAGGCTCGGCGAATGGATACGCGGGAAGAGCCCGAAGTGCCTGCACTCCCCGAAGCCAGTGTAACGGCCGAGCCTCGCCGTCGATGGAAGTTGTTCCGAGGGGATGGTCAGGCACGGAGACACGGGTGTGCCTGTCTGTGTTTTCCGAGCAAATCACGATGAGGGTGGATGTCATGTTCGGAAGCAGGCTCCGTGGCGACTACCCCGGACCATGCTGCTCGATCGAGCAAGATCCAGACCTTAGCCTAGCTGGGTAGTTGTTTCGGGCCAAGCTTTGGATTTGATGAGGTCATGCATTTTCACATTTTCATCTTTTGGCCAAGGTTTTACTATTGGTATTGAATGGTCACGTCATGGAATCTCAATACGAGTCATGATTCATATTGACACATTCTGACTACTGTAGTATTCCGTACTATTGTAATAAGTAGTAGTATACTCCAATAGTATAATAGTAGCGATCATCAGAATAAAGCCCACGATCGGCAGCAGTCAGCCGAATTGAACCCCTTTTATGCAATATGCAGCGGGGCACAATGAATGAAGGTCAGCGGAAGTGCAATCCACTCGGATATACATGCAAAGTCTCCGAGGGCCCGCGGATGGTCCGTCTTCCGTAAGCCAAATGCCGAGTCTTCCAGGTATCGTATGGTATTGTCAAAGATGTTAAAAAAAAAAAGAAATTAAATAGGAAATAAGGATTTAAAAGGATTTATAATAACAGGCCCCCTCTCTTGGTTATATATGCGCTGTCGCCCAAGACGATATTCTGCATCCGGTTTCCTTTATTCCTTCGTGACTCGACATCATTATATCATTGACCCCGATTGACGTCGATCAACCTTGGTCATCGCCGCATCTGGAAGTATAGCTAAAAGAGGGTCCAACCCCCTCGACTTGACATCCTCATCTTCTTCCATATACAATATAGACACCATGGCAGCTCGGCAATCAACTCCCGCCTCGGAGCATTCGCATTCCGATAGCAATGTCCGCAAGAGAGTCTGCAAAGCATGCGATCGCTGCCGTTTGAAGAAATCAAAGGTATGTCTCTATATACTTTCCTCTCGAACCCGAACTAACCAACCCCAGTGCGACGGCTCTAGTCCATGTTCACGATGTCGCGCCGATAACGCAATCTGCGTCTTTGGTGAGCGCAAGAAGGCTCACGATAAAGTGTATCCCAAAGGGTAAGCGATATATCGATTGAAAATTGCCCGAAACCAAACTGACCGACCCAGCTACGTCGAGATGCTCGAGCAGCAACAATCATGGCTCGTCCACGGTCTCCAAGAACTATACCGACGCAACATCGAAGGCGAAGGCTGGCCAGGGGATCTACTCAAGCTCGAACCCAACGGCAACCCACTCACGCACGATCTCCTCATGCGCCTCGGCGCCCTAGACGGCACCAAGGGCGAACGCTTCGAAGAGAACCCCGAGACCCTGCAGCAGGAAATGTGGCACTCAACCTCCGGCATGCAGCGACAAGAGTCCTCAGACGGCGGCTCAGATAGTCCGCAATCGCCTGCGCAATCACGATTCTCCGACGCCTTCTCGCACATGCCACCTACGCCGCCGACGTATAGTCCGCGCCAGATCAAGGCCGAGCAGATGCCCAGCACGCCGCAGTTTGCGCCGCCCTTGTCGATGCAGGGGGTGGTGAATCCGTTGGCGCTGCAGGATCCGCAGCAGTGGTCCGGGCAGTTTAATCCGTTTGATGAGATGGACTTCCTACCAACGGATTATTCCAATATGCCCTTTGACGATTCACAATTGTCGCCGATGTTCAATCGCCAAGTACAGAATGGTCTGCCGCAAGGATCATATCTGGACCAGAAGAATGATTATGAGGATTTCAACCAGTTCCTCAATCCTAATCCTACGGAGATCACGTCGATCTAGGATCTTATCTTTTTTTAACGCCGTATGATGTGCATGTATACTATACATGTTTTTTGTTTTTTTCTTTTGTCCTTTCTTTTGTCTTACGGGGTATTGTCTCGGGGAGTCTAATCTGTACAGTGACGGGGTTCGGGATTTGGCGTTCGGGGGTTTAAAACGGGGTTTCAAGGAGGCGTCCTTTCTAATTCAATTGAAGTTTGACCGTTAGATCCTAAACGGGCAATGATCTCTACTCTTCTATGCTCGACAGTTACCATATTAACTATGCTAGTACACAGCTTCCAGGTTCACCCCGGAGCGAGATGCCGGACTCCACTTTGTGCATTCGGACATAACTCGGCTGACTCAGCGGCTGTAACTTAACAGTTTCGACCGATCCCCACTGAGCCATTTTCCTGTGCTGGGTTTTTTACTGGTTTTGTCTGGGTTTGCTGGATTTTCCTTTTTCTGATTATTCTAGATGATGGTTCTAGCGCGATCTTCTTACGTGAGACAAAGGTGAGGGACTTAGACTCCGCCGAGACGCGGAGTTTTATATTCCTGATTCTCTGACTCGTATAAAGCGAATACGAAACAGGACCACGTATGAGGCTAGCAGATCGAAAAAACTTGCCTGCCTAGTTGCCAATGCTTTGGTCAATGGTCTGATCTTGGCAAATCCCCTTTCACCTGGGGTCGAAGTCGACTAAACTCCGTCCAGACTAAGTGTATAGACTGGCCAGTCGATCGTTCGGACCCTCGGGCCCCGTTTGGTCCGATCCGGATGACCTTAAGCCCGCAATGTCCGAACACCCGGAGATGTAACGGGGTATCAGTAAGTAACGTGCACGCAGTAACTATGTATGCCTAAGTCTACATGCATAGCGAGGCTGTGCTCGTATACTCTGCCAAGGCGAAAGAAGGTTTAAGATAATATAGCTTCGAGCTTCGAGCTTTTATCTCCCTTCCCTCCCACCTTAAAAGCTGAGCTCCTGTTTAGCCTATTACCCGAGCTCTGCGAATAACCAGCCCATAGCCCTGTAGAAAACACGTTCCATTTATGCTAAAGGTGTCGGCGATGGATCCCGCAGATTGCGGGGTTCCGACCTCAACCCCCTCAAAGCCGCACTCAAAACTCCTGCACTTTCGCAAATCCAAAGTAAAGAATAAAACATGTCCGAACAAGCCGCATTCACCTTCCTGCCTCTGGGCGCCATCATCCAAGAGTTCCGCGTGGGGGACAAGAACATTGTGCTCGGTTTCCCCACGCAGGAAGACTACGTCAAGCACAACACCCCGCATTATGGTGCGACCATCGGCCGTGTTGCCAATCGCATCAAGGACGGGATTATCCAAGACCTGAATGGCCAGCAGGTGCACCTGACACAGAACAACGGCCCCAATGCCCTGCACGGGGGCGAGAAGGGCTGGGGCAAACGGGTTTTCGACGGCCCGCACACCGTCAAGCGCCATGGCCGAGACGCCCTGCTGTTCAAGTACCTCCACCGGGACGGCGAGGAGGGGTACCCTGGCACCGTGGAGGTGCGCGTCTGGTACACCGCTAGCAAGGAGGGGGACGCTAAGACCGTGCTGACCGCCGAGTACGAGGTTGAGTTCATTGGGAACGAATGCGAGGAGACAGTTGTCAACCTCACCAACCACAGGTACTATTCTCAATTTTGGGGGATTTTCCCCCAGGATTTTCATTTCCAGGACTGATTAAAAATAGTTATTTCAACATCGGCGACGGCCTCGATGTCACTGGAACCACAGCCCAGCTCGCCACAGCCAACTACCTTCCTCTAGATGACACTGGCATTCCCACTGGAGGTGTGGCACAGTTCCCACGGGATGTGACCACACCCTTTGAGCTTGTGCCGACCGGCGCACACATCGATGACGTCTTCGTTCTGGAATCCGACGCCAGCAAGATCCCGCTCGACACTCGTGGCCTGCCCGTGCGACGTCTCGCGCAGTTCAGCAACTCCCGCACAGGTCTGCACCTCGAGGTCCACAGCACCGAACCTGCGTTCCAGTTCTACACGGGCAAGTACATCAATGTGCCGTCGATCAACGGCGCGCCGGCCCACGGCGAAGGAGCCGGGTTCTGCGTGGAGCCGAGTCGGTTTGTCAACGCGATCAACGAACCAGAGTGGCGTTCGATGGTGCTGTTGAAGAAGGGCCAGATCTTTGGATGCAAGAATGTCTACAAGGCTTGGAAGGAGTGAGGCATTTAGAGTGGGGACCTCGGCATCTGTATTGTAAGCAGAAAAAGGAAAGGAAAAAGAAAACGGTGCCGAGCCCGAATACACGTACTCGTATGCCGATCGGCTGTTCGGCAGCCTGAGACGTTCCGTGCCAAGTTGCCCAATCCAGTTTCGAGAACAATTCCCTTTTGAGTGTCCGGTTTGCGGCACTTTTACTAGATTGTTTTGAATGGGTTGATCCGTCGATCGTACAATATATGAGCGGGCTAGTGGACTAGTCGAGAACTAGTAAACAGATATGTATGGACTCCGTTCTGACAACCTCCGTAAGTCCGTAGTCCAGCCCTGTCGAGTCCAGATTAGACACCTCGACACCTGAGAATTTAGGCTTAATGCACGTGATGGTCCCGGGCCAACCCGAGTGCACCCCGCGCGGGGGATAAGCCTGCAGCCCATCTGAATCACTACACAACAATGGCTTCAGCACACGGGGACCTACGGCATTTACTGCCTGGCAACTACAAGCGCCACATCACAGCCTGGTTAGAAGAGGACTGTCCCAGTCTCGATTATGGTGGTTTCGTCGTCGGCGAGACAGAGGGTGAAGCCCGACTCCTCGGCAAGAGCAAGGTACGGACAAGCACCCGCAGAACCAAGAATATCTCACTAACGCATCAGCAGGGCATCGTCGCAGGCATTCCATTCTTCGACGAAGTCTTCTCGCAACTAGGCTGCACGTATGTTACCCACCACGCACTCAATCGATCTAGATAAGATACTAACACAGCCAGAATCGAATGGCACATCAAAGAAGGCGAAGCCATCACACCAATCCAACACTGCGCCACAGTCCGCGGACCAATCCGCAAGATCCTTCTAGGCGAGCGCGTCGCCCTGAACATCCTCGCGCGATGCTCCGGCATCGCAAGCAAGAGCGCCAGCATGCTTGGTGCGCTGCGCGCACAAGGCTGGAAGGGAACATTGGCAGGGACGCGCAAGACGACGCCTGGGTTCCGACTTGTTGAGAAATACGGCATGTTGGCTGGTGGTGCTGATCCCCACCGACACGATCTGAGCTCGATGACGATGTTGAAGGATAATCATGTGTGGGCGTGTGCGAATAACAGGGCCGCTGCGGACGGGGGAGTGGCGGATGCGTCGTCGATTGAGTCGATTGCGGCTGCGATTCCGCGTGCGGTGCAGGCTGCTAAGGCGACGGGGGGATTCTCGACGAAGGTTGAGGTGGAGTGTCGGAGTGTTGAGGAGGCAAATGCGGCGATTGGGGCTGGCGCGGATGTGATTATGTTGGATAACTTTACGCCAGAGGGGGTCCGGGCTGCTGCGAAGCAGCTTAAGTCGGAGTGGGCTGCGAAGAAGGCTTTCTTGATCGAGGTTAGTGGAGGACTGACGGAGGAGAATGCCCCGTCGTATGTCTGCGAGGACGTGGATATTCTCTCCACGAGCTCGATTCACCAGGGCACGGGGATTGTGGACTTCTCTCTCAAGGTGTCCTTGCGCTAGACTGTATCATAACGTGGTTCATTGACCGAGCGGATATATGGATGAACTTTGTATAAAGCACAATAAACAATATTCCATGAAAAAAAAGTTGTAAACCCGAAAAAGATAAAACGCCTCTCGTCTCATGACTCTCGTGACCATTAAACCATATGTGATAAACCTGATGCGGACGCCGGGATATATTGTACAAGAATTCACGACACGATTACACCTCAACCTCAACGGTAATGCCCTCGCCTTCACTGGAGCTATGTGTGTCATCCGACACAGGCGGGCGGTTGCGACTGCCATCAGTGATGGTGCCGGAAGGCCCACGCCGTGTGCGCTCCCGGGTGAGTTGGTCTCGAAGCCTCTGGTTCTCGGCATCGCGCTCCTCGAGTCGCTTGCGAGCACCACTGCGGTCGAGAAGGCGGCCTTCACGCTCAGATTTCAAGCGCCGCTCGAGCTCGTGGAGCCGGTGGACCCATTTCTCATCTTGACCGTCAAAGCCACTGTGAGAGCTGCGGGTGCGTGCTACCATCGCCCCGGCATTGTTAGTCAATGTACTCGATGACGATTGAGAGGGGATTGGAAGACCCGTAGCACTGCGAGTGTGACCTTTCTCTGGACGAGATCGTTCCGGGCCAATGGTGGACCCGGAGCGCGCCAGAGACCGCTCCGACTCGGCTGCTGAGGCTATGGAAGGAGAACGAGGTCCCGCCGAAGCATGACCATGCCCGCGTGAGTTGGATTGGAGCAAGTTCAACTCTGCTTTCAGAAGTCGATTCTCACCGCGCAGCTTGGACACCTCTGGCGACGAGCCCGATTGTCCACGGACTGGTCGCATGTTTCTGACAGCCTCTTCGAGGCGCTCAAGCTTCTTGATTCGTCCATTGTAGGAGATTTCAAGGGTCTGATAACGCTTGGTCAACTCGTGGTCGACGCTCTTGATGCGGCTCTTGAAGCCTGCCATGACGGTCTCCACAGTCTTCATCGCAAGTATCAAGTTGCGGCTGAAGCCTGGCCAGAATAGCATATTGCCAATGACCTCTTGGCTCGGGAGATTACCGTTGATGAGGCTGTTGGAGTGTGCCCAGTCTGGCCCGCAAAGCCCCGACAACCTGGTCCAAATGCTAAGGAACAAAATGTTTCGTTCACTCAGCTGGTCCTTGAATTGCTGCTCCAGCGAAGCATACCGCTTACGGTCCTCGGTACGCGCCTTCTCAAGATCTGTGATACGCGAGTTGCTCTGTGTGATGGTTCGCGAAGCCTGCTGGTGCGACTTGAGGGATGACTCAAAGGACTGCTTATCTGCCCGACGTGCATGTCGCTCACGGTCCAGAAGCTCGGAAAGTTTGCGGGACTCAAGTCCGTGGCTTTCTAGCAGAGCGTCGCGGTTGCGGAGCAGTGTCTCCTTCTCATCTAGCTGCGAGCGAATGCTTTCCAATTCAAGCGCGGTTGACTCGAGCTCCTTTTGCAGCTTCATGATGTTGGTGATCAAGCTGGACCGGCTTCCGCTGAGATCACCAAGTGTCTCGCGAAGATTGTTTTCCAGGTCCATTAGCCGCTCACGCCAGGTAGAGGTCTCAATTTCTTGGGCTGCAAGACTCTTCTTCAATCGTCGAACTTCCTCCTTAGAAGCGGAAGCTTCACGGTTCAGTTCGTTCATGATGCGTTGGACGTCTTGCTTCTCCTTGCTTCCAACCACCTCACGCTGATGCCGCTCGTCCGCCAATCTCTGCTCGAGCTCCCTGGTCTTTTCTTTCTCGCTGACCAGGCTGGTGTGGTAGTTCTTCAGATCAGACTCCAGGTCTCCAATGCGAATCTTGTCGCCGTCTTGCTCTTCACGCAGGAATGCAATTTCGTTCTGACTCGATTCGATTTGAACGGTCAAACGTTGTACCTTGGTATTAGCCTCAAACAGGCTCTTCTCTACAGCCTCCATTTCACGGTTGGTCTCCTGAAGCTCGTGCTGTACGGACTTGTATGCCGACAGATTGTTCTGAGCGTCTTCCTCGAGGCGAATTATACCCTCGCTGGCGGACCTCATTTCACCTTGCAGAACCTTTAGGTTTTCGTGTTGGTTCTTCAACTCCTCATTCTGGCGCTGGCACTCCATGACCTTTTGATCAAGCTCGTCACCAAGTGCGTCTAGCTCCTCTTGTGCCTCGGCGCGCAGGTCTTGGAAAGCAGCATCCCGTTCATCAGCCATATGTAAAGCTTGGTCTCGTTCTTGTTGTGCTGCAAGGATTTCCTCTTCAGCTTGATCCACATCGGCTTGGTAGGCCTTGTCAAGCGCCTCAAGTTCTGCCATGTATTCCTCAAGCTGAGCTCGGATAGCCTGATTATCAAGCTTGAGGGTCGCCACCATGTCACGTAGCTGTCCGTTTCTTGCCTCTAGTTCATCGCGGTCCATATCGCTGCGCGAAATAGCGCCATCACTAGCCTGAGATGATGGTCTGATATGGGCGCGCGAGACAGAGCGGTCAAAGATGCTATCTCCAGTCATTGATCGGGGGTGACGACGCTCCCCGAGCTTCAATTCCTCGATCTCCTGATAGAGACGCTCCTTCTCTCGGTTTCGAGATGTAAGCATGGAAGTTTGAGCACTGACTTCTTTTCTCAATTCTGCGTTTTCCTGCTTGAGAAGCCCCAATTCTACAACGAGTGTGCTGGAAGATCCGCGATCACCACTGTGGTCCGACCGGTACATCTCGCTGCGTAGGCGAACGGATTCATCTCGGAGCCGTCGATTCTCTTCTTCGGCTTGCTCGCGCGCTGATGTTTCTGCATCAAGGATGTCTTTCCACATGTCCTGCTACAAGTTAGCGCTGGTCTATCAGATTCTGCCTGTAACTTACTCGCTCCTCTCGTGCGCCTGCCTCAGATTCCCCTGCACGATTGTCGGTGAGCGACTTCACCATCTCGGCCAACCGTCGTTTTTCACTCTCCCGTGCGATGGTCTCTGACCTCATACGTTCAATTTCGAGCTCGTATGTATCAACCCGCTCGCGCAAGAAAATGATCTCTTCGTCTTGCGCTGACTCACGGTCGCCATCCTCGGACGCTTCGGGGTCATGATTGACCATTGAGTCCTTGTCCGATTGATGATCTTTCACTTGCTTTTCCAAGTCTCGAATCTTACGCTTGAGGCTTTGGTTGTCTTTCGAGAGCTTGACCTTGTCAGATTTGAGCTCGACATTCTCCGAGATCATCTCCTTGATACCTTCCTCGGATCGTTTGTTCAATGCCTCGTTCAGGAAATGAATGCGCATCTTGAGGTCGAAGTTCTCTTTGGCGAGGCGATCAATCGTGCTGCTCTGCTCTTTGAGTGTGAGATTCCGCCCGCTCTTGGCAAACGGAGTGGAAGCCCCGGCGCGCTTCTCTTGGGGCTGGAAATCTTCGCGGAACCGCTGCGCAAATGTGGTAGGAACCTGAATGCCCTTCACACGCTCCGCGATCACCGTGTCAGTGGGAACAGCGTTCTCTTGCTGCTTCGCCTTGGGTGTCGCTGGCGCTGAGGCTTCTTCTTCTGCGGCCGGGCCGGCGCGAGATTTGGGCGAGCCTTCCTCCTCTAGGGTCTGTAGGTTGCTGTCGGCACCGGGCGCATTTCTCTTCTCCGCCGAGTTTTCTTCGCTATAGCCCGAGACTCCCGATGCCATGCTACCTAGGCTGGTTGTCCTTGCAATTTGAGCGCGGCTCCCAGTGTTGAGACTACCGTAGTTGTCGGAGGTCGCGCCGCCGGATTGAAGGGCGTAGTCCGCACCTAGTGTTGCATCACTATTCGTCATCTCCGTATTATTACTGGCCATCGAGGAATGAGAGAGGCGGTGGGAGGACTGGCGGCTAGTCAAGTACTTGGGGCGGCTGGGCCTCCGACTGCTCGCCGCGCTACCCCCCTGATCACTGAAAAGTCTGGACGCACCGGGCGACAAACTGCGGGTGCTATTCTGCAGCTTCGAAGGCGTGAGTTGTGATTCGTTGTGGGCCATCGAATAGTCCGATCTGAATGGGCGCTCATCCTGGGACATCTGGTCGTTGTCGCGCGCATTCTCAGACAGCGTAGATTGGTTGCGGCGCAGCACAGCCGCTGCCGTGGATGAGGAGGAGAGGGAATCTATCATTGAGTCCGTTTGCTCTATGGGGTCGTCGTCTTCGGCGGGGCCTGCGGTCTCCGGATCCAGGTGAGACCTTGGATCTTCTTCGTTCCGCTCGTGTTGGCCGGTCTGGTCGGTCTCGGGTTCTCCAAATGACAGCTGGGAAGAGTCTTGCGTAGTATCGGCGCCATCCTCCTTTGGTACTCCGACCAGGTATGTGTCGTCTGCGCCGACCATGGGGCCTTTGGCGGCGACGTCGATCGTGGATGGCTCTGGCAGGAAGCTGGACTCGATGTCCATCAGCTTACGGCGCATCTCATGCTCTTCGATTAGCGTTTGATTGTTGACGCGTTCGTCGCCATTCTCGCTCGGTTGGAACAGGCTTTCGTCGGTGACGGAGGGAATGAAGCTGTGGTCGTCCAGGTCTAGTTGCGCCGATGTCATGGTAAATTCAGGGTCCTCTTCGGGCTCGGAGGGTTGCGCGTCATGTTCCGACCGTGTAACCGAGATCGGGGGGATCCCCCCGGGTATGTCCTCTGCCATGAAGTAGACGGAGCTGGAGTCGGCATCCAAGGCCACGGACTGATGGAATGTCGAGGTCGCAGTTGGGGGTGTTTGGGTCTCCACCTCTTCCGCTGTGATCGGCGAATGAGAGTCCACCATGTCGGACTATGAGATTGGGCTGGGGGACACGCATTAATTGCTTAGGTGGGAATGCTTAGGGGAAGATGAAAGGTGAAAGATGAAGCGACTGTTAATGCAGATTGCAGAGTGTTGGGTGAGACATGGGAAAGAGCGACCTCACTCTTTCTACTTAAGATCATCTCTATATATTCTACCTCTTGGCCCATCTCTTTGATCATTTGCAGATATATTGAGGACACAGTATCATCGAAAATCCAAACTCTCAGAGCAAATAACATGTCGGCAATAGGGACAAAAAGCAACCTCTATCATTAATCAAACAGATTGCATGACTCCTTGAGGTGTACCAAAAGCAACCCAATCAGCTCATCATCGACCACCCCTTCTTGCCAGGTCAAACCCAGGGCCAGTTGGCCATCTCGACCTGTCACGGCGCTGATCTTAATTGCAGCACTGCAGGCACTGGCGCTCTGACTGAACAGCATGTCTTCGACCTCGAAGCACGATTCTTTCCGTAACGGAGAAGCCATACCGACGTTAGATAACTCAAAGGCAGCCATTCGTTTTCGACCCAGCTTCTGCAACATCCACTGATGCTGATTGTCAATGAGTTTTAAATATCCAACAGACATGTCACTCCCTTTTCGCGCCATGGCCTGATTGATCTCCGTCTTGGTCCGCCGAGCCTCGTTCCAATCAAATGATGATCGTTGGTATACTGTGGAGACTACTCCAGCATAAGAGCCCAGAGTTGTTGATGTGACTGGCTGTGGGAGAAATCCCCGTAAAGAGACTGCGCAGTCGGCCTGAAGCCTATTATATTCCTGAGGGAGGATCGCAAAAAGGCAGCTTGCAACCAGGGTTTGAAGAGCTGCCGTGACTGATGAGCCTTCCTTCTTACTCTGGGCCGCAAGAGCATTTGTCTCGGATGTAGATAGCCACAAAGAGGAAAAGCGAGTCTTCACCGGTATAGACCGTGGGCTGCCAGTCCAGCTGTCGGTTCCAGGCTCACTGGAATTCTCCTGAGATCGGACAAATTCCTGGGATACAGGGAGTTCATATAGTTCCTCTAGCGGAGGAATCAGATCATTGGACGAAGTCTTTATGAAGTCCTGGGGGGTCACGCGGCCACAGGCACCGTTGAACTCATTCATGTGCGCTTCTAGCTCTTCGTGCAGAGAAAGCGCGCTCCTTGTATCCATTAGTGCATGATGAAATACAAATGCGATAGTGAAAGACGAAGGTATTCTCTTGCTCTCCAAAACAGCCACTCTCCAGAAAGGAAGGGCTCTATCATGATCGAGCTGGAAGGGCCAATTATGCTGTTCTTCCAGCATCTTGTCAAGACACTCCTTCCAATGTAGACCGGGGTCAAGATCGTTGCTCGCGAATGTGACGACCTCATTGAGGCGAATCTCCGGCAGACACACAAAACAAGGGTTCGAAGTCTCGATGCCGACTGGAACGGCCGACAATATCGGATGATCGCAGATGAGTTTGGAAAGGGCATGAAAGAGAATCGATTTGACTGGTGTAGATGGTTCAACCGACCATTTGTAGCGCGCGGTCAGAGCAACATTATTGTAGATTCCTAGGTGACTTCGAGTTGTCGAGTATTTCTCGATGTGGCCTACTGAGAGTAAGTGGTGTTTTAGATACAGATGCTCCAAGCCTTACCCAGCGGCCTCAAGGCAGCAAATTGCGTCTGAGGAGACTGTAGATCCATAGTAACCTTGCAGCAGTAAAAGCAATCGAAAATCAAGAATCCTCCACAGAATTTAATGATATTACAGAGCTCTTGCAGGGCTGGGAGTCGTCAATTTATCAGCACCTGGGCTAACTAGGTAGCCTCTAGGGCTGATTTCCGAGGTCCCCTCACCGGGTACTCGTACCCGAACAAGCTGTTGATCATCCATTTCAGATTGTATGTTGATTAAACACACTCGTGCTGGGCACTATTTAGTTTAACTGTGCATGTGTGATTTCCAAAGTTGGGTATACATGATCACTGGGACGGCAATAGCTCAGGGCTGATGCTCGAATATACATTGACAAAATTCCAAGGTTATTGCCAAAGCTCCGCGAATGCCAATTGAAGGTTGTAGTCCTCAAAGCCTTGGAATCAGCTAAAAGATTGATTCCAAACAACTTGGAATGTCCTTGACTGAGAGTCAATAAAACTCCTTGTGTTAAATTGGTTGTGGTCTCTCCGACCAATGAGTCTCAGGTTTTGTACGAGGATTCACCATAGTTGGTATATTTTATTTAGGTAGTAAATGCCTCCTCAAATTCTGCCGATATGGCAGCATCGACTACCGGATCAAAAGAGCGAAAGTACTCCGTACTGCCTCGACATGAAAGTACTCGACTTGTCCAACGCCCTCTAAAGGAACTCGGCATCCACCGTATACCGCAACATCAGGCACGACACCACACCAGTTGGAAATGATACCTCAAGATCGTACATACTCTTCCCTTTGGAAGTCGAAAGGTCATGGCAACTACCTAGCTCAAGTGCTGTGTCGGGGCATGATTACGTCATAGCGGCAAACCGCACACGCCCGACAGCCCTGCACGATGATTTACTACAGAAATATGGAGACCCTGGACAATGACTGAGCCAAGCACCAGAATACACAAGGGCCGACAAAAGCGACCTCGTGTACCCGATGCCCTGCGGAAAAGGGCGGCAAAAGCGTGAGTATCCGCCGATTCAAGTGTTCAATTCATAGAGCTAACTGTGTGTCCTAGATGCCTGCCTTGTCGACAGCACAAGGAAAAATGTAACTTTACACCAATACCCTGCAATGGACTTGAAATATGCATTTTCTGGGTAGCTGACCGATTGAACCAGGCGGAGGAGGCAATCCATGCACGCGCTGCCAGCAGCATCAGAGAACCTGCCATTTTGACAGTGTCGATCGACGGCCATCATCAGATAGAAGTGGTCTGCCGAGGTGAGTATCGATGGAATATCTTGGATCTCATGTTGCTAATATTAAATGAGATTGAAACCCAGCGAGAACAGCGGAGCTGAGACACAGTCGGCGAGAGAGGTCCAAATGCAAAGGATCATCAAGCACTTCGTGGGCGACACATCTTTCGATACCAGCAGTCTGCAGAAACTCGCAGACGAACTGACTCATGGTGATCAGGATCACCACAGTGATTCGACCGAGTCTCACATTGATACCCCGACCAACGATTATTCTATAGACACTCTTTCCACTAGCACAATGCGTATGTCTCCCCCCAGTGTCAACCGAATATAACTGATGGCCTGATCAAGATTACTCTGGAGAGCTATCTCACTGGAACTTCTCAAGAATGCTTGAGCGGCGATTACGAAGCCTTGGGGACCAAGTCGGACAACGTAAGGTGCGTTCACAACTTCACCGTATAGATCCCATCAGGGATAGCATGAGATTTGAACAGGACATCAATGAATTAACACGGAACAGGGCGTCGATCACACCGAGGGCTTCTTTCGAGCCACTGACCTACAATCATCGGGATCCTGCATAACCCTTGCAAGAACATACTTCCCTCCCAAACATATCGCCGAATTCTTGACCAATGCGTTCCTAAAGTTCAGCGAAACAAACTACTTTTACTTCCATGAAGGGACGTTTCGAGAGAAGTTGAACTTCTATTACACCAACGAGCGCCAACTTTCGATCCACGATGCCGGATGGATATGCACTCTTCTAATGACCTTTGCCATCGGCACGCAGTTTGCACATATGCATGCCAAATCAAGTGCCAGTGAAGCCTCAGTTGAAACCATACCCGGTGATCAGATTGGGCTCGAATTATATCGGTACGCATGTCGACTCATTCCAGATCTCATCACCGTTGCAAGTGTCGAAACCGTTCAGTCATTTTTGCTGTTGGGAGTTTATACATTCCCTATCGACACAGCCGGCCTGGCGTACGTTTACTATGGACTTGCTATAAAAATGGCTATTCAGAATGGAATGCACCGCAAGCTGATGGAGGGTAATAATATACCTGCAGAGATCATCGAAGTACGGAATCGGCTTTGGTGGACTGCCCATTCCCTGGAAAGGTAAGGACCACTCGATTTTGCCATTCTTGTCGAATTAAAAAGCTCTGACGTTCCAAACAGTCGGATAGGCATTCTCCATGGAAGACCTGTATCCGTATCACCGTCTGATATCGATGCGCCTATGCCCGTGGATCTTCCAGCCTTACAACCAGCCGACCGATATACCAACCTGCCCAACTTCACAGCAGCAATAGTGTTAACGAACCACCTAGCCAAAGCATACGAGGTGATGAAATCCCTACGACATTTCCAGAAGCCCAACAAAAAGAAATACCTCCGACAACTAGCCGCTCTACGAAGCCGACTCGTCTCATGGTGGGACAGTCTCCCCACCACAATCCACTGTCGAGACCTCACCCCAGACGGCAAATTCTTCCGATGCAACGTCCACCTCGAGATATACTACACAACAACCTTGATATTCATGGGTCGCCCATTCATCATCTCCCAAGGCGTATCCGAACCAACAGAAGCTGACCCAGGCTCACCCACCCACGAAGTCCCAGAAATAGTCAACATTCTCCGCCGAGACTCCTTCCACGCCGCAGTTAGGGTAATCGAACTTTGCCAGCTCCTCCATGAATCAGTCGGACTGGCGCGCGTCTCATATACCGAGTTCAACGGATGCCGCGTTGCCCTATTGGCTTTAATAGCCCATAGCATGAATGAGCCCACGCTCAAGATCTCAAGTACCCTGACTCAAGGCATGGGTCTCATCCGCCAGATATGCACAGGGCTGGAATCTGCGCGCTCGGAAGTCGCCGTCATCGAAGCATTGGAGCGTGCGAGACAGCGTCTTCATAGTCATTCTGCTGAGACGAGTCATGATACAGATGATGTGACGGGTTACGATCAGTTCAAGGAATGGGCTAAGCTATGGCGAGGCGATCTGATGGATGATAGTGATCCTCTTCCGTTGGATGATGTGGGGCTGCAATTTGGGGAACAACCTCATGAGGCTATTCCCCCTTTTGATGGATTTCTCTCGTCTTTTCCCAATGAGCTGGGCGAGTTTGCTGCTATCCCGGGACTGAGTTATGACTTGTCCCTGGCCCATAATTGGTTCGAGAATCCGCAGGCTGAGGGTTCTGAATGGGTTATAGATCAGTCGCTTTGATAATGCTGAATGTATGTAAAGAAGCTGGGAAGATACTAGAAACGCTTGATATTAGGCCAGGGATGCAATTCCATTGATATTCGTGGGTCCATTTGTGCAAAGTATACATGGTGAGCAGAGCCTTGAACGGCCAGGAGTAAGGCATCTGCCAACCGAGTGACGCAGAAAGAAACCAATATTTTGAACAAGCTTGTAATATCCATGGATGGGTATAATGGTCGATATTGATCGAGCGTATCACGATCAATTCCATAGTATCACCTTGATACCCCGTTGCTTCAGGAATCATTAAAAGTACAGAACCTCGGGAGGCAGGACAAGCGAACGAGGATTGGATTGTCATTTTGATAAAGTACCCCTATAAGAGGATTGTTGTCACAGAAAGCAAAGTGTGTAAGTTTCCAACGGGAAACAATAGGGTCCATCCAGTGGAAAAGAAGAGAAAATAGTCAAACCAGAAGTAACAAGTGCTTTTGGTCTCGGAGAAAGCCAAAGGACCGAAAAACCATATTTGTACATCGCATCCATCCGTTGCTATACATGGAAGTGCAGGTAGAGTACAACCGAACAACTGGGACTCGACTTGGCATCCAAAAGAAAACGAGGTCAAGAAAGAAGGCACGAAGAAACAGCCCCGGGGAGTAACTCCAAGACTCCACTTAAATTGCCTCATGATGCCATAAGATTGAACGGAAAAGGTATCCAAATTTAGCCAGAGAATTGAAAGAAAGGGTATCGCAGAAGTGTAAGGAAAGGGGAATATAGATCATGTTGAAGGGGCGTGACACCGCCAAGCAAGCAGAAATCATTAGACTGAGTATTGTTTAGCATGTTTCGATCAACATATTGGGTTGTTGGTACTTACAGTGAGCACCTCCAGGTGTCAAAGAAGGGGGTATGGCGGATTCATTGTGGGGTGATGGCCGGCGAGCGAAACGAGGCTCTACATCTTCATAATAGGCCGTGCCACCAGGGCCCGGAGGAGGCGATGCGCCCGGAGGTCTGGGAGATGCAGTGTGACGATCACTGGCACTCCAGCCAGCACGAGGTGGGATGTAGGACCTAGTTCAAACATGTTAGTCGAAGAAACGGCATGTACGACATGGGTACCTACTCAGGTCGGCTGTACATGCTTGTTGGACTCTCAAGGGGAGCATTGTAATCGATGGACAGCGCATGAGGAACACTACTCATAGGTTCTTGGCTGTCATAATGGGGTCGAGTCTGGGGCTGCATCTCAATGGCCTGGCCGACTGTTTCAGGCGAAACAGCCATGCCAATGGGCCCAGGAGAAGGCTGGCGCATTGGACCTGGGGAGGATCCATACCCATAGGGGTCATCCTGGGGAGGCGATGCGGGACGTCCATATGCCTCGAAGCTGTGGGCTGGGCCAGGTCCGTACCCACCGGGTGGTCCTCGACCTGGTGCAATGCCCCCACGGCCACGACCGGGCATAGGTCCCATGTAGCCACCCCGTGCACCCGGAGAAGGCCCCCGAGGTCCCATGTAAGGACCTCCGCGCCCACCCCGGGGTGGGTAGCCACCTCGCCCGCGTCCATTGAAGCCCGGGGGCGCTCCTCCCCTGCGAGAGCCCATGCTGCCATCCGAGTATTGAGGGCGCAATCGCGGGTCGGAAGGATTGCGCGACATAGAACCTCCGCCGTATGGACCGCCCTGGGGAGGAATGTTGTTCAGCTCATCTTGGGCGCGGTAGGGGGTGCCGCGACGGTCCGGAGGTGAAGGGACATCGCTCATGGGCGTTCGTGAGTTGAGGGGCGTGCGATCATCGTCACTGTCGCGCCTCTCGGTTTGGAAGGTCGCGAATGTTGGTCCAGAGTCAGAAGTGAGAGAATTGGACACGAAAGGTTCCTTGGGCTCGGCGGGGGCTGGAGCTGGCGCGGGAGCCGCATTGGCATTCTGTCGGTTGTAATAATTCTCCCCACTCATTTCGGCGTTTTCAGCAATGCGGCGCTTCCGTGCCTTGCGGCTCACGAGGGTGCGGCGCATTGCGCATGTGACCACGCCGCACGAGACAAGGAGAATGGTCGCCGCCAGGACAATCCATCCACCCCATCCTAAATGCGGTACAAATAGCAAGATATCAACCAGGAAGGCCAAAAGTGTCACCAGTAGGGTCGGCAACAGCAGAATCAGCAATGCCAAGAGGAAGCGCGGTGAGTGAGACGGAGCGTGGAAATGGGCGGCCGCGGCCAAGCAGAGACAAATGAGGGTGAGCAAGGCGGCGACTGGGTGAATGATCAGAATTGAAGAGAGCGACTTTCGCGTACTGGACGGAAGATTGAAGTCGTCACCGGTGCTGCTGATATCATCTGCATGAAGATTAGCCACAAGGAGGCAGCAACGAAAGGGAGAGACTAACTGCTCGTGTATCCCACGTGAATATTGGTGCAGGTATTCCCTTTGCAGTAACCAAAGACGCCATAATCGACATCCTTGAAGGTTGCCAAGGGAATTCCTTTAATGATGGGGGTGGAAAGACATGAGAGCAGCAGTAGCGCAAAGGCGATCAGCAGCAATATGGTGAGGGGTGTCGCAGGCTTGAGCAACATGATGAAAGGCGACGCAGCGCCAAAGCCTTAGCCAGGAATTAAAAACGAGTGATGGTTCCGGTGCATTGGATGGAAGAAGGCGAAGGACAAATGAGGGGAAAGGGGGCCTCAGGCATTCTCGTGCTTCGCCGCCTCCATTCCTTTGTCTCGTGCTGCCAAGATCGGAGAAATCACTCCCTCGTTTGGACTTCTCGCACGACTACTGCGTTTCAGAATGTTCATCTCCATCCTGAAACGGGATCGACTTCGAATTCAACACTACGCGCATTGCCCCACGGTCTGTTTCGCACATAGTCGACTTCGAGATTGGACAATCTCCAGGCTTCCAAGGTTTGCCCAATGCCGCGACATGGCATCTCTTACCAGATGGCGCTTGGAGATGGCGCTTGGGCCAGACGTCTGTGGCCGCCATGGCCCACCGCGTTTGCTCAATATGAAACAGGCCCCCACTCCAAAGATCTAGTCGGGCCTCAAGCAGGATCCGGGATAAGCTTGATCGCTGCTTGCTCGGACTGTTTGCTCCTGAGAGTTACGATTAAGCTCATACATTGTGAATTGTCACAATATGGGCTATTGAATGGTTTCATTTAGTCGTTTTGAGCATTTACGTTTGGGTCTTTGGTGTAGAAAATCTTCTGGTTTTCGATACTAGGTGACTCGTCAATGAGATTGGCGAATAGGGAATCAACTGGTATCGAAAACCAGAAGATTTTCTACACAAAAGACTCAAACGCAAAGAAAAAATGACTACAAAAGGAAACCTTTCAACAGCCCATATTGGGACAATATTAAGCTCAACCATGTCACAGTCCGCTTATACTCCGGGTACACACACCATTTCCGTGGATCATTTGACCTTGCAAACGCTACGCTGCGAAGTGTCCTCTTCATGACAATTGATGCTAGGGAAGAAATGAATTTAATGATCGAATCTTCTCTGAGCAGATCTCACTACCCGGGAAACCGTGATGCTCAAGGGTCGCCGAATCATGACATGGAGAGCAGAGCCTGACTGGACCTGAGCGTTACCGCGCATCCAAGGTTGTACAATGTCTGGGTAACCCACTATGTCAATAAACAGTGATCATTCATACGCAAATATTTTCTTCGACACAGGACTACTTATCCTTGCTAACCCGCCGTCTCATAATATGATTTTGCATCGCCCTCTGATTCAAACCATCAAATTCCCAAGACTGACTGGGCAAGAGGAGGAATGAGCAAACAAGTGAGTGGGCGTACCCTCAACACAAATTCAACCGACTTCACTGCGTGGTGAGAAATGCCCTGCCTCTGGGGATTGTTCAAATGGCGAAAGCGACACAGACCCGAAAAGGACGGGCGGGATCTATCCTTGGACGACCTGGACAGACAAACGCTACTTCAGTCGCGGGATAACACCCGGAATAATCAAGCCCAGGATGGTCAATACCCGCCTAGTCTACAAGAACGCTATGTCAGGTTTGGGATTGGAGGAGCAGGGAATATGCGCAAGTCAGCCTCTCCTTTCGCACAGAAGGATCCACTTTTTGGTTTGCTTGTACACGATGTCACTGACAAGGGATCGGCCAGAATCACGACGTATAACGGCCGAGAATTGGAAACTATCGCGCGCTAATCATGTTTGGCATTAGGCTGTGCTGAAGGACAAAATTGGGGTTCCAAATTGGAAAAGGGAGTGGAGTGTATCATTTGGTGTCTCATCTGAGTAGCCGGGACCAAGTGCAGTGCCTGCTCACACATGCATTCTGCAAGTTTCTTCTAATTCCAAAATGCTGGGATGATGCAATTCGAATAGCATTTCCGGGGTCTTCCTCATATCATCATCAGGTCCTCCGACCAAGTTTCCATCCGGCAAGGCGATTTTGTTGTGCTGTTCTGTATGTTTCTCCTAGTCCGAAAATGCTAGCATGGCAAGATGATACCATGTAAAGAGCATTTCCGGGTTATCTCTTTCTTCGTCATCGAGTCCTCCCACCAAGTTCCCATCCGGCGAGGGGATTTCGTTGGGCTGTTCCGCAAGTTTCAATCGATACAATTTCCATTTGTCCCACATCGGAATCCCAAGCGCTCTGTATGCCCGGCAGCTGTAGACATGCACCCAGCTTTCTGTACACAGGCGCTCAAAGGCGTGGAGATAATATTCATAAGCCAGCTAAGAATCCTCCACACAGGTTGCCGAGACGTCTTGACACCAGGGCACGAGTTTCCATACATCGTGATAAGTTGGGATTTCGGGAAGAGCCCAGCATGCTTGTACGCTCAGTTCTGATGGCAAAGGGACTGTGAAGAAGTATGGATAACGGGTTCCAATCGGTTCGAGTTTTGTGACAGCCATCTCCTCGATGCATTCCGTAATTGTGTGGATCTCTTGGAACCGTCTTCGGATCCAGTTCCACTCCACATAAAATCCAAGGAATTCGTCCAGTTCGATCCTGGACCTAGACCGACGCGATCTCGCCAATTTCTGGACGCGTTGTATTAACTCAAGATGCCAAAGTGTACGATGGGTGTGGAATGTCTCGATCCAGGAGGGAGGATGTTGTCCTTCAAACCGATAATGCGTGATGGCCAGAGGCTCTTGTGCCCATCCTCTCAACCAATCGAAAATTTCTGCCGAGTGTGCAGTTGGCATACACGGCCGAGCCTCGCTGAGTCAATTCAGAAACAGCTGCAGGCATGCACATGCATTGAGTTGTACCCTAGCGGCGGTAGCTATGACCGCTCGCAAAATCGGTGGTGGGACTTTATCAGGTAAACAAATAGCAAAGCTATCTGCATCAGCAGATACAGTTCGGATGTATTTCTCTAGTGTTGCACCACTGGAAAATTTCCATTTCGATTGAAGTTGTGAGACGAACCAGACGATGCAGTTTCTCGGGCATGTTTTGTGGTGAAGGCTGCCTCTCTGCACGGAGTACATCTAGCTTCCTTCGCAGAAGTCGACGTGAGTATCACTCTGCCCTAAATGAATCTCGCCCAGTCATCCCCACAAAATTGCCCATGTCATCCAAATACCGATACACCAGAAAACTAGACGACAAAGAAGGCTTCTCTGGGAGAACGTAGTGTATGATTTCGCGTAGGCGTGGAAATCTTCATCAATATTTGGCTGACGCCCAAGAACCGGCCCTTTGGTTGCTCTGCCGCCAAAGATGTGCGTATTCATTCGAGCGCCTGGAACGAGCGTGACCGTTTCAAGCATACGACTACTACTCTGATGACTGCACCTGGACAAAGTCTCATCCAGTGATAATAATATGACAAAATTAGCATCTAGGTGCAGTATGCGTTGTGGTAAACTTGTTCCTCACGATTTCCCCAAAGTTCAGTTCGGCATTGCTCGACACGTATGATTAGACATCCTTCCTCCTTCTCCTTTAAATGATATTGTAAATCTGTTTTATCCCTCATTTAAATGTCAATGAGCTTCTTTCTTATACTGCCTTGTCATGATGAGAACTCCCAGCGCATAGCCACCACGCATTGCACATCCTATACGAGGGTTTACCCACTTGCGAAACCTTGACTGGCTTCCGCGCATTGTGAGATGAACATTTGAGCCTATTTCCCGAGATAAAATTTTAGGTACTCGTGGATTCCATACAGAATGCTTATTCTGACCCTTTGCAAATCGGACGAACCAATCAGCTTCTACAGGTGTTGTATGGCCACAGCTACATGTCCTTACTTTCTATTAAACTACGCAACATCTATTTCCATAATGTAGATCAAATCCGATGATAATGCTGGTTCTAATGGATATTAATTTCATGCAGCCCTAGATACAGCCTTGGGTTTTCATATTGTGTTCGGTCACCCTCCCAAGTGCGGTACCCAGCCTCAAACACCAGCAAGGGAGGCAAAATTGCAACACATCACTGCATCATTAAACAAGGAACAGATACAATTGTTTGAAGACACCCTGCTGATTTATTGCTAATAGCAGAAAACCAGGAGTGCAATCGTTGGCAATTATTGTTTCAAGGGCCCTGTGTAGAAATTATGTGCAGATGTGCATACTCGTGGAGTCGTCGAGCACCGAGCATATTGCTCCCGAGGTCCGATGCAGAGAAAGTGAAACGTGATACAGAGTGTACAGGACATCTCATGATAATTCTAAGTTTTATCTCAGGAATCACTGAGCGAGCGTCGAGAATAGAGATGGGCGTAATTCTGGGTAGCAAAAAGCCAAGCTTTGGGCCGTCCGTGGATGAGCTCTTCGGGCCGCGAGTCGAACCATAGGACTCAACAAAAACCAACGGATCAGCGAATTCTAATTGGATCTCTATTTTTTGCAATCGGTGAATTGCATCGTGTCTAACTCGTCAACCCCCATGTCTCAATTATTCTTATTGGTTTGGAGGGTGCAGACCTTGCTCTGGTGGCTGGGGAGGCTGGGAATGGCCGCCCAGCACAGTGACAGCTAGACAAAAACCCACTGGGCAGCGATTGCTGGCTTTCAAAAATCCCTTCACATCGCCCGCCATCTCAAGGAATGCTTCTAGATTAAGCCTCATCGCGCGTGGTCTCAATATCCACATTCCAGTGCCAGCATGACGAGCCCGACAAGGAACTTCAGCCTGCGCAACGTTAATTGTACGTGCATATAGGAAAATCCCCCGCCTCGTTGTCATTTAAATGGCAGGAAGTTCCCGGCCTTCAAGTCTTTCAATGTCAACTAACTCTTATACAGCAAGCCGGCCTCAACTTGCCCGGACAGATTCACGACAGTCTGTTGCTGCATCTGACGACTACTATTCATTCTCGGACAGAGCTCCCTCAAGTCCCGACAGTCAAGTGACTGTTATGCGATTCAGGACTCCTGATTCTCGTCCATCTTCCAACTCTTCTTCTCCCAATATGCAACAGGAAAATCCTACTGCAGGAGGCTTTGGGTCTCCTCGCCCACCGACAGCCAGTACCGTCCGGTTTGGAGATGACCGAGTCACTCACATGCGCCCTCAATCAGAGGCGGCGCAATCAGACGAGACGGCTCGTCGAGTTCCCAGCGACTACGCTGGCCCTGCACCCACCCCAGGCCTGGACGACTCCCCGTACGTCCGCTTTGCAATCGATCAACTTACCCAGGACAGATCTGGGGGCGTTTCAAGACACGACTCTCTTTCTACCACTACGACGGGCGACTACCCAACTGACCGAATGGTTTGGGATGAAGGATTGGGTTATTTCACTCGCACGCGCACTCCTCTTCGACACGACCCGCCTCCCGTGAGGCCGTCTTACACTTCTCCTTCGCCACAGGCTTTGCCCCAACCACCAATGTCTGTGGAGCCTGAGTCTTTTATGGCCGTTGATGTACCCGAGCAGAGCCTTTTGTACCCGGCTTTGGACTACCTTCCCATTGTGCTACGTCCGTGGGCCTTGGCACTAGCCGTTTTCACCACTTTGCTCATGATTGCTGGTGTGGTCTTCTGCAATATTTGGTCCGACCGCCATCAAGGACTTTGGAATTATAATGGTCAAGGTGGCGCGCGCTACTTTGTCCTACAGTTTTTGCCTCAAATTTTGGCTGCTCTCATCATCATGTGGCTGTTCGTTATCCAAGCCGCTCTATATCGCATTGCACCTTTCTCCATGATGTCGGCCGAGCGACAGAAAGGTCTTGTCATTCAAGGCCTGCCAATGCTCTCCAAGAGCTTTGTCTTCCCTGATTTCTCACATTTCCAGAATGGAGAGCCACTGTTTGGCTTTGGTCTCTTCACGATCTGGCTTTCTAACTTCTTCGCCATTCCTCTACTCAGTTGCCTTTTCCAGGCAAAATACTATCTCATTGAGGGTGAGGGTGTCTGGAGATGGGCATCTGTTCAGTCTATTGGTTGGACAATTGTTGCTATGTACGGTCTCTTGGTAATTGGCCTGGTGTTATTATTCTTGCGATTCCTTCGCAGCAGATCTGGCCTGATGTGGGATCCTGTGAGCATCGCGGATTTGATCTCGATCATTCAGCGATCAAACATTCTGCATGACTTCGAACACTCTGAAACCGTCCCTTCAGTCCGGGAGTCTCTTGATCCTCGTGTTCTTCGACTGGGCTACTGGAAGTTGTCCAGTAAGCCCGAGGTCTTTTACGGACTTGGCGAAGTTGATGCCCCAATTCGAACACCCTCTCTTCACCAGACCGACAAGAACCGACAGAAGCAGCCAAACGGTCTCGCAAGAGTCAACTATGATATTGAGAACCAGGGCGGACTCTCCAAGGATCCCGACAACCATCTCTTCTCGCAATCCACCCGCTACCGCTGGACACCTTGGTTCCTCCGCAAAATTTCAGTTTGCATCTCTGTGGTTATTATGATTGCTCTCTTAGTTGCATTTGTTGCTGTCAGCTTCATCGACAACGGCATTAAAGGAGGCTTCCCCCCCAAGCTACCAACTCTTCCATCGACCAAGGCATTTTCCTCCTCCAACTTCCTATACAGCTTCATTCCAGCTCTGATTGGCAACGTTCTCTTCCTACTCTGGCAGCCAATCGATGTGTACTTCCGTGCCTTGCAGCCCTTTGTTGAGCTCTCTTCTCCCAGTGGCGCATCAGCGGATAACAGCATCCTCCTCGCCTACCCATCCATGTTTCCATTCCAAGTCACCATCCGCGCCATCCTCAACCGCCACTTCAAAGTTGCCTTTATCTCTCTCATGAGCATGGTATCCCTTGCCATCCCAATCCTCGCTGGCGGCGTGTTCATCGCCCTTTGGTTCCCTTCTCACGACGACATCCGCATCTCCGCTCTGATGCCTGCATTCTATGCCCTCGTCGCTTTCTGTGCTCTATATGCGGTCTCTTTCCTGGCTATCTGGCCCGGCCGTCGCCGCTATCTTCCTCACGACATTACGACCCTTGCCGATCTGATGAGCTTTATTTACCAATCCCCTCTCCTGTCCGATAAGATTCTTCGGGAGCCCAGGAGCAAGACAGACCTTGTCACACGTCTTATTGTTGCACCTCCTTCCGAACGCCAACTGCCTCAATATGGCTTTGGAGTATACATCGGTCGTGATGGTAAGGAGCACCTCGGTATTGATCGGTTCACTCGACCCGGTCGGACTGATATGCTCATTACCACTGGTTCTATGAAATGATTTACCTCTTGAGCCTTCTTGGCATTGATACCTTACGCTTTTATGACCCACATTGATGTTATTATTTGCATATATTGACTTTTTATAAGCGTGTCAGTTTACAACCGTGCTTGACTGATCTTTTCGGTTTTCAATTTTTGCACTCCTGTTTCCCTAGCCCTTCTGCATACTCGGTGTTATTGCCCATTTGATCTTTTTATGATTTGCTGTTAGAGATGACCTTCACCATATAGCTCGCATAATCACCTATGAAATAAATCTTATTATAGAAGAGACACGGCTCCTGCCATATAACAAAAGATTCGTCAACTACTATAATGAGCCTTGAAAGTTCGAAGATTACCCAGCATACGAAGACTCACCGACTACTCATACTCGGCTTTTGTTAATGCAAATTTATATGCCATGAAATTCGGACATGGAACACAAACCGGCATCGGCTAACCAAAGTATTTGACAAAAAGCAATTCCGCCTCGCCATACCCTTTTTCGGGGATATAAACGAGCGCAAACAGTCCCATGCAAAGTACAGCCAAGAGCTCCAAACAAAAGACAGGGAATTGGACTTCGAGGAGATTGAACAGAGTAGACCACGACAAGCCGAGCCACGCACTCTTGATATCCATATGTCTGATTGCCTGGCTGTGACTGATAGGGAAGGGATTCAAAGAGGCAGCAACGCGTGTGAAAATGGCGTACGCAGGAACCACGCAAACAAAAAAGGTGATTTGATAAGTTGCGAATGAAATGTAGAGTGCTGTTTTGCGAGACACCACGGTGAATTGATGGTCCGCAAATCCCAAGGAACGCAGAGCGTAGATAGTGAGGTAGAAGCAGGAAGCTGACGCCGTAGCATACAATAACGTAGCCAGGAAGACGTCGAACCAGATAGACTGGTTGAAAATGCGACGACGGAGAGAGACTTGCTGGTGTAGATTGAGTATGCCGTGCAAATTGGCCACCTTGAGGGTTGAAAGCACCAATTCAAATATCAGGCTCAGCAGGAAGCACTTGACCAAGCTGGATCCTCGCGCCGGGAAAAAGGATAGCAGCAGTATTTTTAATAATCGATGAAGCAGGATCATCGGAAGACCTCGAAAGTTTTGAGGGGAAAACAGCGTACGTGGTCCGCTGGGTGTTGCAGTTGCAATGAAGGCAGCCTTGACTTTTCCTTCTATATACGCAACCTTTGTATGGCAACTCAGCCTTTCTGTTCATTGCTCCCCTTAAATATGGGCGAAATGATAACTTACTAGGTAGAGTCCAACTGCTGCCGCGGCTAGGGCCAAACGAAGAAGCATCACCTCCCCATCAGATGGGCCTTGATATTCGTACATGAACAGACCATCGTCTTCGGCATGATTGGAAGACATCATGAGAGTTTCAGGACCGTAGACGTCTTTTGCTTAGGAGACGAAATGATGATAAATATTGCAATGTCGACAAACCGAAGTCAAGATCGAAAATCCGAGGCTCAAAAATTGACTAACATTGGGTCTCCACTGGGGCCGAGACACCACGACCCACAACCTCAACTCGAGTCAACGCATCAGGGCCATTCTGATATGATTTCCGGCTCCTTGGATGAACGCAGAATGCTTAACAATTCCATCAACTAATTGCACTTGATGATAATTTTAAGGTTTCAATTCTAGAGATATCATCGCTGGAAGTAGATGACCAGAATACGCTCGATCTGGCCTTCCACCCATGAAGTTTGCTTCAATGGCAGGCCTAGCTCCGATGATTGAAGATTCCTCAAATATGGCGCAAGAAGCCAAGGGCCCATGAGGGGTGCAACCTGATGGTGAGTCCAAGGGACCGGCCGCGTTTCGGCGAACGGATACTCAACAAGTCCGGGTTTCATGCGGACCGATTCGATCTGATTACCGAGACAATATGGAACACTGGCGCAGATGTCGTCCGCTAGACGATGTGCGGTAGACAATGCCAAAGTTGATTTGAGCCCGTTGAAATCGTGAAATGGCATCAGACGAAGACAGCCGACGATGATGAGCTGGACCAGAATGCGGCAGTCGCGGTATGTGTTCCAGGTGGTTGCGATCCACACGTCAGTGTAGCAGTCGCACCGATTATTGTACATTCCCGCATCGCGGACGGATTGGGGAATGATACTTGCTGCGACGGGGGCCCAGTACGGTGGAAGGAGGTAGGACCATGTGGCCAGGTTTCTGTCAATGTTGCAGGCTTGCTCTAAAATCGATGTGCCTACAGCTTCGTCGAGTGGCTGTGCTATCATTTGCTCCCACGAATGGCGAAGATTGACAATGTCGGATGCAGCTGTGGCTAGCAGTGTTCGGGGCTCTGGCTGGGGCGGTGGTAGGGACAATGGCCATACTTGGGGGGTTGGCACCATAGGGCTGTCGAGTCCTCTACTAGTTTTTATCTGCAGGTTCCATGAGCAAATCGTTTTGAAAGTCGCTGTTCAAAACTCACTATTTGTACTTGCACGGCCTCGTCGATCGCCTTTGATGACGGTGTCTCCAGCCGTTTTGCTTTTCTATGATTGATGAGAGCGACTGCTCCCCTCAGGTGAGCTTTCAATGGATGCTCATCATCTTTCATGGCAACAAATTCCTGGAAACCACAGTTAACTTGACAATCCTGCTGGGAACAGACATGATACTTACCTCATATGTAGAAAGCAGAAGTGTAGACAACAGAACAGGATCCAGGTTATTCTGTTCGTTCATTATGAGAGCCTCTCGTATCTTTGACAATGCGTGAGTAAAATAATGCTCTGCCGCGCGAAGTAAATCGAGTTTCCCGGTCCACGCAGCCACCGAGAAGAAAGCAACAGCTAACGTGCTGGCATGAAGATGAGATCCGGGCTTTGTATTAGAAAAGTTTGCGGGCAGGATTTCCATGAAGCCTTTTCTCGTAGTATCCCTGGGGGTATATAGATAAGAATTGAAGAAGATGGGAACAACTGTGTCTTCCATCGGTTGATACAGGCCAACAGGGCTAGGTAATGGAGGCCAGACAACTCTTGTTGGCGTTGCCTTTGTAGCAATCACAGCTCTTGACTCTGTTTGATTCGACTCTTTTCTCGTTTGCACATCTTGTGTGCTCTTGTTGGGGCTTGATCGACGACTTCTTGTAGAAGGCTTGACATTTGCATGCTTCCTGAATGCTGGCGTTTGGTCACGCAGCATCAGATCAAATGGATCTGGATAGCCTGGACAAGAGCGTTTTGTTCTCGTACAAGCTTGGCAATGTGGACGGGTCTCATCACACTTTGTTGTGTGTCAGTCTGCAAATAAGCCTGGGGACTCGGAAACAAAGTACCTTGATGTGACGCTGCCGACAAGTTCGACATCCTGTGCTTGGTTTCCCGCCATAGACCATGATTATGACTAGGCTGAGCTAGATCTCAGTCAATCATCCGGGAGCGCCGGAGTAAGCTGTCGACTCAGATTTGTCGATCGCCATCTAGTCATGCATTGGGTGCTCATAGGGCATCACAACACATGTTGTTTCAACGATTCCAAAGCTTCAACAGCAATATCATTGGCTTTTAAGTAGAAGAATTCTGCAATTCTTTTAAAATCGTCGAAAGGCAGAAGCCAAACCACGAGTACTCGGTCACGTGTAAGGGATCGGCAATGTCCTCTCCGTCTCCGCACGCATTTGTTCTTCTTGCGACAACATACCCCGCGCAGTCTTTCTCTCCTTCTACGAGCACCCTGTCGCTGAGCTCGAACTCCAGTATCACACTACCGTCCACGAGTTCTCGCAATCTGATCCCCCAAAACCGGTCATCCTCAAGCTGATTTTCAGCTCCGTCCACGGGTCTCCGCTCCGATTACAAACCCACAACTTCCATATCACACATACACAATGGTCTCATTATTCGGCTGGGGCTCAAGCCCAAAGTCTGACTCAAGTCAGCCAGCGCAAGAAAAGCCCGCACCAGAACAACCCAAACCAAAAGTACCGGAGCTTCTACCCCATCAAACTCCGCGACCTCCAATCGGGTCCAACACGAATCTCAAGCTCCTCTTCGGAGGAATGACATTCTTCGCACTGTCAGTTCTAGTGACACGGCGCGCATTCAACAAAAAGCGCATCGCTTGCATCCCACCTTTCTACACAAGCTCTGTCTATCATCAGCCCCACTCAAACTCGGCAATGGACGCCTTCGAGGCTCTCAACCTGGCCACTCTCAATGTGGTTTCATTCGGTCTGATGGCCGGTGGAGCAGCCGGGTATGCACTTAACATCAACAATATCGATGATATGCGGAAGTTCGTGCGAGCTGGTTTGCAGGGTGGCAGTGACACACCTGTGAAGAGCGATGAGGAGCTCGAGGAGGAGGTGACCGAGTGGGTATCCAAGGTCCTCGGTGACAAGTTTGAGAAGCAGCTGGAGAAGGAAAAAATGAAGAGGGCGTTCCAGCAGGCTCAGGCTGATCAGACTGCGAAAGAAAACTGATTTGATTATGGCATTGCTGTTGTATGGCATTGTTGGTGTTTATTGTTGATGTCTCTTTTGTTGCGAAAACTCTACTCATGATTTGATACCATCCTGTATATTATGCATCCACTACGAGCATAGCTTGTCGGCTACATTGGAAAGAGTGTAGTAATTGACATTAATTTCGTTGAATTGCTACCGTCATACAATACATCAGCTCTCGGGCGACATATCACTAAGTCACCCGACCAGTAGCTGGAAAACTGTTCTCCAGGGGCAACGCCGAATTTGGATAATCGAAAATCATGGATATCGTTGTTGTACAGTCGACCAGTGAACGCTCTCGGTGGATCTAAGAGTTGTTCATCTCGTCGTAACGCTGGCGGGCATTGTCCTTAGTCTTCTCCAAGAACTCCTCATACCGACCACGCGTGTTTCGGGCTGCTTCCTCGGTTGCATCACCCAACTTGCCTCCTCGAGCCCCAAGGCCAACACCCTGGGCATAAACTTCGGTGGCAATAGGCTCAATTACACCCGTTCCCTGTGCGCCTAGACCGGTACCTTCGGACCATCCCATTTTGCCGAGAAGAGAAGCACCCTTGGATGTCGACTTGGTCTGCACTGGTTCATCCTCTTCCTTTGGTGCAGGGGCTGCGGTTTTCTGAGATCCAGCGGGGACGGTAGGACCAAGGGCCTGGCGACGCTCCTTCGCACGGTCCCGGTATTCTTGGATGGAGGGCTGTCGATAATCTTCGGGTGGTTTGATGAGATCATGTTTGACCAATTTGTACATGGCGTAATCGGTTAATTCCTTGTTCTGGAGGTTGGCGCGGTGCAGTTCACTAAAGCGCTCGTGCTGTTTCAGCTTGGGTATATCCCTCAGTAGGCGCATGCACAACCAGCAGCAAACTTTGTTGTAGTCGGCATAAGACTGGACTTCTTCAGCGGGCGCATTCGCGACAGTGGTCCCATTAATGTTGTCTGAAGTTCCGTGGAGCTCAGCGTGGCGGTCACTCCAAAACTGGAGCTGAGACGGCATCGCAAGCTTCTTGGTACTTGCGCCAGCGGCGGCATCCCCTTTTCTCTTTTTGGCCTTCTCCGAGTCCTTTGTGCCCTTGACTGTGTTGTTCTGCTGGGTAGACTGCTCAAAGGCGGTATCTTCTTCCTCGGCCGAGATAGTCAGCTCCGTGACATAAGCCTCGTCGTCCCAGTACATCAGCTTCAAGAATTGATTGTTTAGTGGGCTGAATGTGAATCCATCAGAGCTAGCGGAGGGGTTCAAGACGGGGATGAACACGCCAGCATGGATGTAGCTGACCATGACCGGCTTTGATGAGATGGTGAACTTTTCGAAAGACTTCAGTCGGGTCATCGCAGCTTGCGCGTCCTATTCTTTGGTCAGACATGAAAACATGATGAACACGTAGGAACATACCATGACACCTGCAAATTCTGCAAATCCATATCCCCAACTGTCATTTGTCTTGCGATCACGCACAAGCAATACACGGCGAATGGAGCCTTCACGTGCTCCTAGGTTGCTGTCACCAGTCGTAGAGGCCACTTTGGACCCTTTCTTGGAATTGTTGGGTGCGCTTTCATTGCCTCCAGATGGACGGTACAATTTGGCAACACCCCTACCGAGGAGTTGCTCAGTGACTGAGTGATCCAAGCCACGAAACAGAAGGAACTGGGATGGTTGGTTCTCAGGAGCAGCATCATTATCGCCAGAATTGGCAACTTTGGGAGCCGGAGCTCCAAGCAGGCCAGAAGAAGCCATTTCTGCATGACAGTTAGCAAGAGTGAAGGATTGCCCAGGTGTTGTCCTTTGGCTGCGGTCACGTACCAGGTCGTGGAGCGTTGCACTTGAAGCACTTTCCGCGGGTGGAATAATTGGAGATAGCGCACTAAGCGGGTTAGTACAAGTCAAGTTGGTGTGATTCGCGCGTGGGCAGGCACATGAGCACCCCGTCAAACTTACCATGCGGCACGTCCAATCTCCCTCCCCTTTCGGACGAGACCTTTCTTCTCGCTCACGGCTGTATGCAATACGCACTTTGGTACTGCGATCGTTTGGGCCGGCACTGGGTCCATAGAAGAAGATGTTGGGGAAGTTCCTTTCCACGAACTCTCGTGATTGCTCAATGGTTGGGAAACGCAGGAACCCAAGCTGCCTCGACAGTTCTGTGGTACAAGGTCAAACGTGAACCTTTTGACTGAGGCAATTTGTTTCACCTACTTGTTTGACGGTCACGAATGACACGGACGTCTTCGAGGCCTTCAACGTGATAGGCCACCCTGAGTTCAGCAGTGATCTAAAGTGCAGACCATGCTTTGGTCAGCCATTGTCACAACACAAACATTCGATCAGAGGCTGACAAGTTGCGAAAACTCACATCATCTTCCGTCATATCCACTGGGAATCCTTCCATCATTACTTCTCGGCTCTCATTTCCAATATGGGGCTGGCCTCGTCGAGGGCTGCGACTGCGGCTGTGGCTCCCGCTTCGATAACCTTCACGATCGCGATCTTTGTATTGTTGCCTACCACGGCGAGGTGGCGACCGGGAGTCTCGGCGGCGATAGTCATCTCGGCCATAGCCTCGAGACCCCGGGCCAGAATCTCGGTCCCGAGGATAGTCGTGTCTGCGGTCTGCCGCTGCCCTTCGAGGCGAGCGGGGGCGGTCTTTGTTTGCCATAAAAATCAGATTAGCGACAATCTCTACCACATGGAGAGTATGGTCCTGTTGCTGAGATGTTTGTAGCTCAGGCACCTTTACCGTGCGGGGAGGATCTTGTACCGCCAAATGGCCGCGAGTCGTTGTGGTCGTCATACATGCGACCGTCCCGATCATCGCGGGGTGGGAATGGTCGCTGCCCCCATCCTGAATATCTGTCATTCGAATAAGGATGCGCCATTGCTGGAACAGCTCTGTGAATGGAGAGGCTTGGATGAAACAATTGGAGTTCGGAGCTCGAACGATAAGCGATAAGAGGGGGCTACGGCAATCCTTGCGATCCATCAACGCAGAATAGTTCTGTAAACATCACGTGCAATCTACCACCTCCACCCGTGGACCTGGGCAACCTTGCCCATCTGTGCAGGTGAAAGGCTGCTCCGTGATGACTACTACTAGAGCTGGATGTTTGACAGAAAATCAGAAGCTGAGGCGAAAGTTTTTCTGACTCCAAGTACTGTACTCAGAACTGCACTACTCCGTATACGCGGTTGTAATGCAACAAATCGCCAATGCATACGTTTGAGTGGGGATGACCCACTACATATCGGGGCATCTGATTCAACGTCCAACCTGCAGTCGCAGGGTCCCTGTTCAGGCATAAGTCGGCCGATCCAGCCAGTTCATTCTGGTTGCCCGATGATTCTCCGCTGCCCCGCGGTGGGACATACTATAAGTGATCGGACCTCAGTCATCTTCCAAGGTTCCTTCTGAACACATTGGACTTATATACAGAGCTATTGACCACGTCTTGAATCCCCACCTGGCATCACTTCTTACCCTAACATATCTCTCCCATTGATTTTACTATGACTGTAGCCGGAAGCTCCAATCACCGTGCTTGGTGGAAAGAGAGCTCGGTCTATCAGATCTGGCCCGCTTCGTTCAAGGACTCAAACGATGATGGCGTGGGCGATATCCCCGGCATCATCTCCAAGCTCGATTACATCAAAAATCTGGCTATAGACATTGTCTGGCTATGCCCTTCATATAAGTCGCCTCAGGTAGACATGGGGTACGATATTTCCGACTATTACAGTATCGCAGATGAATACGGTACTGTTGCAGATGTCGAAAAGTTGATTGCTGGTTGTCATGAGCGTGGCATGAAGCTCTTGATGGATCTTGTTGTCAATCACACCAGCGACCAACACGAATGGTTCAAGCAATCCCGAAGCTCCAAAGACAACGAGTACCGGAACTGGTATGTCTGGAAGCCGGCTAAATACGATGAGAATGGCAATCGCCAGCCCCCAAATAACTGGGTTTCTCATTTCCAGGGTACGCAATAGACGCCATACGAGTTGGGATTTATCTAACTTGTTGCCTGCAGGTAATGTCTGGGAGTGGGACGAACATACCCAAGAGTACTACCTCCACCTCTATGCAGTTGAACAACCAGACCTTAACTGGGAGCATCCGCCAGTCCGCAAAGCCGTGCATGACATCATGCGCTTCTGGCTTGACAAAGGCTGTGATGGCTTCCGCATGGATGTGATCAACTTCATCAGCAAGGATCAGCGCTTCCCCGACGCACCGATCAAAGACCCACGCACACCCTGGCAATGGGGTGACAAGTGGTATGCCAACGGTCCACGCTTGCATGAATATCTCCAAGATCTAGGAAAGATTCTCAAAGAGTATGATGCTTTCAGTGTGGGCGAAATGCCATTCGTCAAGGATGAGAAGGAGGTTCTCAAGGCAGTGCAATTTGACCGTAACGAGATCAACATGATCTTCAACTTCGAGCACGTCGATATTGACCATGGCACATACGACAAGTTTGAGCCTGGCAGCTGGGAGCTTACTGATCTCAAGGACTTCTTCGAGCGTTGGCAGACCTTTATGTACGCGAATGATGGGTGGAATGCCCTCTACTGGGAGAACCATGACCAGCCGCGCTCTATCGATCGCTACACAGACGCTAGCGAAGAGTATCGACTCGCCGCATCCAAGATGTTGGCTACCGCTCTTGCATTGCAAGCTGGAACTCCATTTGTCTACCAGGGACAGGAGATCGGAACAAGAAATGTTCCTAAATCATGGGGCATCGAGGAATACAAGGACATTGACTGTCTGAACCACTGGCACAGGTATTACTCCCTTTTTCCGATCTCCCCGTGTGGTTTGACTAACGTTTCCACAGACTCCCTAAGGATGACCCGAAAGCCCAAGCAATCGCACTCGGGGAGTACCAAAAGAAATCTCGTGACAATGGGCGCACACCAGTGCAGTGGTCAGCTGCTGAGAATGCAGGATTCACTGGACCTGGTGTCAAACCCTGGATGTCCGTGAACACAGACTACCCCAAAGTCAATGCCGAGGCCGCCGTCAAGGACCCCAACTCGACATACCATTACTGGGCTACTGTGTTGAGGCTGCGCAAGAAGTACCTTGACACTTTCGTGTATGGTGACTTTACTCTTCTGGATAAGCCAAACCAGGAAGTCTTCGCATACACTCGTCAGTATGGAGACCAGAAGATTCTGGTGGTGTGCCATTGGACTGAAAAGACCTTGGAATGGGATGCTGCGGCTAATGGCATCACCGGAGTCAAGGAAGTCTTGCTTAACACATATGAGGGCGCCGGTGAAGCTAAACCACGCTTCTCCGATGCTAAATGGACCCTCCGGCCCTATGAGGCTGCGGTGCTGCTCTTATAGATGGACGGATAGCCAGGACTATATACCTCCCTGAGAGATACGCAGCTATAACCTTGGAAGCTACTAAGAACCAACCTTGAGATCATTGACCTCAGTAGAAACAATGAAACAACTACTAGGTATTCCCATATTCTCGGGCATATACCCAATGCTATATAGAAACCATCGGTGCCCTCCGCAAGTCGGGGCGCTCTTATCCACCGATCCCCGCAGTCCTGGCGGCGATAAGCACCCACGGCCACTGCCACTGCCACCACTCGAACATTTCCAGTCTTCAATGTCACAATGACCTCCAACGAGCCTCTCCCAGAACATCTGGATCCAAAAACTTACCCGCGCATACATCATGACGCAGCTCACAATATCCACGTAACGCTCACCTACGACGTCCTGGACGCAAACACCTATCTCTCACAAACCTCCTCCCCCGCAGCGGGCGCAAACATTCTCTTCCTCGGAACCACACGCGATACCTTTGAGGGACGCTCGGTCTCTCAACTCAGCTATACCACATATCCACCACTTGCGTTGAAGACGCTCGCGAAGATTGCGGCGGCTGCCGTTGAAACCCATAAGCTTGAGGGCGTGAGCATTGCGCATCGGCTGGGCATTGTGCCTATTGGGGAGGCTTCGATCGCTATTACAGTTAGCTCTGGGCATCGTGGAGCGGCATGGAGGGCTGGCGAGGAGGTCTTGGAGGCTTGTAAAGAGAAGGCGGAGATTTGGAAGAGGGAAGAGTTCGTTGATGGGGGGATGGAGTGGAGGGCAAATGCTGATAGAGATGCTGAAGGGAGGCTTTTGAAGAAGGAAGAAGCATGAGTGGCATGGGCATGGTTGATGTGTTTTACAGGCCGACTGTATAGGTAAAGCACAGCTTTCTGGGTTATTTGCAGCGTGCGCCCCGTAGTCGATAGACGGGGAGACCTTTCAAGGTTAGATGTACAAGCTTAATTATATCCAATCACGAGTCCGGCTGAGTAGGGTATTCAAATATTCGAGTGACTATGGTACAATTCCTATACATACACCTCCCAGAAGACGCTTACTCGGTCTTCAATGGCTTGCCTTCGCGCTTCCAGTCATTGATATGCTCCAGGATTACGCTTGCTGCAGATTTGGGCGTATCCTGGCGACCAATGCACTCAACGAAGTCACCATCGGGATCTAGGATCAATTGTCAGTTCGGCAGCCCCCATAGATGCGGTGTTTCACTTACCCATGAGGTAGAAGTAGATGCTGTGGTCAACGAGGTAGTCCTCGCCGGGCTTCACATCCTTGGGAGTACTGAAGTACACACGGTATTGCTTGCAGACATTCTTGATCTGCTCGTAGGTACCAGTCAAGCCAACAATGCCGGTGTGGAATTCAGCCAGGTAGTCGCGCAGGACCTCAGGGGTGTCGCGGACAGGATCGCAAGTGATGAAGACAGGCTGGAAGAGCTTCTCGTCCTTAGTAGAATCTTTGACCATCTCGATGATCTCGGCCATCTTGTCCAACTCATCCGGGCAGATATCGGGGCAGTGAGTGAAACCGAAGTAGACCTTCAAAGTGAAGCAGAACAGAATTAGCAAGCATGTCTCTCAACTTTTCATTCCCATGTCCAAGGAAGGGCTGAAATCACTCACAAAGCTGTATTTTCCCTTTAATTGCTCATCCGTGAACTCCTTCCCCTCGAGATCCTTCAGCACGAACGGACCACCGACCTTGGGCTTTCCAACACCCTTGCTCATTTCCGTCATGCGCTTACGCTCCAGACGAGCCTTCTCGACTCGGAAGTAGAGCATCATACCCGCACCAGTCAACACGAACAGCAGCGCAGCCTTCCATGAGAACGGACCGGTCGTGTTACGCTGGCGCAGCTGACCCATTGTTTTTTGCTTCTCGCGAATGGCCGAGGTAGAGAAGTGGTTCTGTGAGGTGATCATGCTGCGCATGCTTTGTTCGCATCGTGGGCGCTGTGCTTGGGTGTAGGCACGGCATTGCGAGGTGTTGCGGAGAAGGCGTTGTGTGGGCGCGGATTCAATGGCAGCGGTGCGGATGGCCCGGGTCAGAAGCCCGTTTGCCAGTCTCATCGGAGCAGGCATGTTGATTGTTTTGTTTCGAGGCTGTGGTTGGAGGAGAGAAGTTGATTATCAATTGCCGCGGAGGAATTCGAGAATCTCCAGATCGACACCCAATTGGGCTTAGCCTTGATGCCTTAGGGTGTCAACATCAACTATAGAATTTGCCTGTGTTTTGTCTTCCTCCAATGTCTTGATCTCGTCTCTGAAATTCAATTCTATTTTCTAGCTATCCTCAAACGGCTATATAATTCACCTTGGCGTGACTGCCCACATGTGATCCTTGAACCATCGAACGAGCAAAATATATACAAAGCCTCACGCTTGAACAGCCTGCTCCAGCCAAGTCTTCGCCATCTGGTCAAAATCAGGTCTATAAAGCCAATCCAGATCAAAAGGCTTGGATTCAACATCCGATTTCTCAGCCCCTGGGAGTCTAGGAAGCCGCCGAGCATCAATCCGGGCATTGAGCTCCAAGATCCGGTCAACCCGTTCCTGACGACCTCGCTGCCAAATCTTCAGTCCACGCTGAAGTTCTTGGGGCTTGCATCTGTGGAATATCACTGCGAAAGTATAGACATCCTCAAATGCCTGATTGATACCTTGACCAGCAGTAGGTGGGATGGCGTGCGCGGCGTCGCCAAGAATAACTACACGAGAGTGCTTTGAAGTCCAATTTTCCAACTTGGGGACGAAATAGAAAGGCCAGATACTGACTCGGTCAAGTTCAATCTTTGACACTGCATTTTGCACGACCTCAGGAAAATCCGCGGCTCCTTGTCGAAAGAAGTCAACGCACCATTGCTTGTCGTTGAGAAGGGCAGCCCAGCCTTCACGGTCTAGTTCCGGGGCGCGTTTCTGCTTGCCGATGAAGACTTCCGAGCCATCTGCAAGCTGTGGTGCGATTATAAAAGCCCCATGTTTGGGGTTCATGATCGTCACCGGGATCTCAAATGAGTCAGGGAGATTCAATTGAGCAGTCGGCACAGCGGCATTGACACCAACAGCATTGGTGAACTTAGGCTCCAGGTCTGGATATAGGTATTTGCGAACTCGTGAATGGATTCCATCTGCCCCGATCAAGCATGCTGCCTGTCCTGTGGTGCCGTCCTCAAAACCCCAGGAGACATCTGTTTCGGTCTCGTTGAGAATTTTGACAAACTTCTTGCCGTATTCTATTTGGATTCCCCGCTCTTTGGTCGCGATCAGAAGCGCGTCTATCAACTTGTATCGGAAGATACGAAGCCCGTCATATCCGTATTTTTCTCGGTTTCCAAATTCGTATGAGTCCAAGGGGACATTCGTGCGAAAGTGTATGTCTCGGAAGTGAAATCCCTCTGGCTTGGCCTTCTCATAGATTCCCAGTGAATCGAGGATTCGCAGGGCGTTGGGGGACAACATGACCGCACCGCCAATGTCGAGTGAGGCGGAGCGGGACTCGTATACTGTGCATGGGATAGACTGCTTGTGAAGAGCAAGTGCCAAAGCAAGGCCAGACAAGCCTGCGCCGATGATAGCAATGTCCCTTTGGATCATTTTGGTAGATTGTGAAGAAGTGCACGCTTCTAGGAGCCTTGGAATTTGGGGTTGAAAGCCACTGGAGTTGAACAAATCTATTTATGAAGGGGAACCAGCCTTCTTTATACGAGAGGCATCCTCATCTCGTTTTGACCAGCTTGTCCGGCTTACACCCAAGACTCTGGCTAAACCGTTCATATATCCGGATCCGAGTCCGGATCCGAGGGGTAAACAGGGTTTCTTTCATGCGATGTGAATTGGATTTCATCCTATCCCCCTGGATGCCAACACCCATTTCTAAATTGAAGAATAAAGGTCATTTTTTCCTAGGTAGTCTGTATATTCTAAGGTTGGTCTTATTCTAAAGTTGTTCTGGCTGCGCCCTCGACTTCCCAAGGTGTGTGTTACCAGTCGATGCTTATTGCTACAGGAAAACCCTCCTTTACTCAATTGTACAAGGTCTACCTAGGTAGCTCCCGAGTTAAGCGTATAATTTCAAACTTTGTCTCAATTCGAGGTGTTATATTCGACTAGGGCATCAAGATATTATGTAGTTCCGAATTTAGCGCTCCAGTTTCACCATACCAGAATAATGTTTTCAATAACAACTGAGAATCAAACGCCACTCGCTCATCAATCAAGTTTTTATAGACATGGTCACAAATTATCCAAGGGCGCTCTGTGAAAGAACACCTCAAATAGCATCAGGGAAAGTATGGGGGTTCTTAAGCACACCGGGTGCAGAACGCGCCTTAGGGCCGATAAGATGATCAAAGGCAGGCGAGTGCTGCACACGAGGGCTCATATCTTCCAAATCCCACAAGTAGCCGAGTGTCTTCAGCACTGAGGTCGCACTGTAAGAGGACGACTCCCCGGTGACGGGATCGGTTCCATAATTCTCAATGTGGCCACGAGGAGCATAGGGAGAGACCAACCAGGTGGGCATGCGACCACCCAAGCGATCGAAGTTCAGCGTGTACTCAATGCCATCGGCAGCAGTCTCGGTATAAGTCTTGTTATCTGGGCGCACGGCGAGAGGGGGAGCGACATGATCGAAGAATCCACCTGTCTCGTCAAAGGTGATGAGAAGAAGAGTCTTGTCCCACTGTGGGCCTGTGCGGACAGCATCATAGACCTGTTTCAGGAGGACCTGGCCAAAGGAAACGTTGCCGGATGGGTGCATGGAGTTGGTGTTCAGCCCACAGCAGGATGGGTTGATGTATGACAGCTGCGGTAGAAGACCGAGGTAGGCATCTTGGTAGAAGTTTTCTAGGGGAACGATATTGCTCTTGGCGTTCTGTGCTGTCCAGTTGAAGAACATGGAATCGGGCAGGAAGTCGCCGTTCGTGCCATCATAGTTGCGCCACGAGATGCCCTTCTCTGAGGCGACCTGGAAGATGCTGGTCGTGTCAACACCGGAAACATCGAAGCTCTCGTCATTCTTGCCATGGCCATCAGCTGTACCGGAGACCGCACAAAGACGGTTCGGGTTGGTAGGCTAAGTGGGTGTTAGAATAATTTCCCGTGGACTTAGCAAGCTTGAGGCTACTCACACCAGGAACACAGGAGTGCCAATAGTTGAACGTTGTGAACTCGTCGACCAGATCAACAAGAGTTGGGATCTCATCTTCCGAATAGTATCCCATGACCTCATCAGTGGCTCGCTGGGCTGAGATACTGGGATATGCCTGCATCTGACGGTTGACAAAGCCTTCCAAGTTCGGCTTCAAAGTACCGTTGGAAATAGCCTCGTTGTCAGGATGGTAGGTGCCATAGAGTTCGAAGTTGACACCAGTGACTGTATGATCAGGGTCATGGATGACCGAATCATAATCTTTGTACTGACTGTACCACTTCTTGCTGTTGGTGTCATTAACACTCTCGGGATTCCAGAAAGGACCGTTGTTGACAACGTTGTCCAAGCCTTCTTTCTTGACTCCACCGAGGATGTTGTCAAATCCACGGTTCTCAAGAATGATCCAAACCACATTCTCGATCTTGTCCTTCATGTTGGCAACAGACTCCTTCGAGCCGGACTTGTAGCCATAGGGCTCTTGGTGGCTCTTGCTCACAGCGGCGCCCAAGGCGCTGCTGGAAAGACCCAACAAGGAAAGGATAGTGTTGGTCTTCATTGTATTATTAAGAAGTTGAAGAGACAAGAGAATGCAGAGCTGTGATCACTTCGGCCGTTACCGGGCTTTTATACCTATTCTCAGGGCAGCCGCAAAGATAAGACTACATTCCTAGTCGGGAATGTGCAAGATTCGTGCCGGTTTGGACATGCTCTTCGCAGCAAATGAGAAGTCATTATCACGACCACATGTGCAGGAAGTGAGATTTCCGGTTAAACCCGCTTGCTAGACCACTGGTTAGTGGGACATAATAGCAATTGGAAGTGGAAGTGGGTTTGATACCCTCAAATTTGATGGGTAAGGCAACAAACGCAGTTGCGACTCGCTGGGAAAGAAAATAGTTCACGTTCCCGGAAGATACGGTGGATCCGGAAGAGCTTAGCTCCACAGGCACACCAATGAAATGCTTCCGTGAGGCTTTGATTTGTGCCAAGCCACCAATCACGGCCCAGTCTTGGCGCATGCGTCGAAGTATAAAGCACATGGGCAGTCTCACTCCACGAGTGCCTGTCTGAAACAGGAAAGTGATAAACGGTAATATTGCATTGACTATTGGTACATGGATGAGCGGAGAAGCTCTCGGTGTTGGATAATTAGCACAATCCCCTGGCGAGGAAATACTCGTCTAGTCTCGATTCGACAGACAAGCCCTCGAAAATCCCTGCAATATATTGATCGGGTCGGAGCAGGTATACAGCGTTCTGGATCAAACCGGCTTCGGCGTACTGGTCGTTCCAAGGGAAAGTGAACAGCTTCGCACCGGCTTTCTGGGCCCATTGACCCAGTTGTGGCCCGGGCTCTCCATAGACGTGGACCTGCCAACAAAGATCGCAGAGAGTGGAGAAGTTGTCTTCCTCGCCTATTCGGACCCATGGAAGCCGGTCACCAGACTGGACCACTCCTGCGTCGGGTTGAGAAAGGCTGCTGCCTCGGTAACTGCATATGAGTTGAGATACACCTTGGAAGATCCGTTTGCGGGCAAACTCAAACTTCATAGCCAGAGGGAAACCCAATGGTATCAGCCAGTTCCGGAGAATATACCCAAGGACTCCTTGTGAGGTCAAGGTCGTGAATCCGGTATCAGTTGTTTGGAGGATTTTCAAAGCAAAGGCGCGCCGTTCTGATTCGTAGGATTCTAGATGTTGGTGTTTTGCTTCATCGCTCATTTGCGTCTGTTTTAGAACAGTCGCTAGCTTCCACGCTAGATTGATCGAATCCATAATCCCGGTGTTCATGCCCTGGCCACCCACTGGGCTGTGGATGTGAGCTGCATCTCCGACGAGAAACGCCCGGCCACTGCGGAATTTGTCCGCAATACGGTGGTGGCTGCGGTAGGTAGAGAACCAGTTGACTTTATTAAGTTTGATTGGCACCGTGTCTAGGATTTGGGGCCTAACGTCTTCGAAGGTAATCTTGTTGTCGTGATCAGGCGAGTCGGCATTGGGATTCATGTCATTGTTCAGGGTTGTAATCCCGACTAAACGTGCATGGCCACTTGTGTTGTAGGGAACTATCAAGTTGAAGTAGCTCCTGTTCGTCAAAATCAGGTGCGCCTCCCCATTGAACAGCTTTTCGGCTTCGCCTTCAATGTCGGCAATGTAGAAAAGTGGCTTATATGTGTCGCCCTCGTACTTGGCACCAATGGTATGTCGAACAGCCGAGTGCGCTCCATCACATCCGACGATAAAGGACGCTTCATGGGTAGTTGAGGTCTCATCACCCTCGTGGAACAAGGTAGCAGTGATGTTTGACCCGTGATCCACAAAGCCCTGCAACTTTGTACCTCGCTGTACTTGAACACCAACACCGAGAAGGCGCTTCTCCAGCATCTTCTCGTGTTCATCTTGAGGTACGCTAAACATGAAGGGGTATGGTGTCAGCTCACGACCAGAGCTTGCGATGGGTATGTTGGCCTTGTGCCGTCCATCCACCCAGACATTTGTTGCCGGGAGCTTGTAACCAAGAGCGAGGAGATCTTCGGATATTCCGAGCTGTCGATACAGCTCGACGATACGTGCATGGACGACGATTGCTCGAGACTTGTTGGCTGGGGCGTTGGCCTGGTCAACAATGTGGACCTTGACGCCTTGATGGTGAAGCCATAGCGCGAGGACGAGGCCAGTCGGACCTGCACCAATAATGAGGACATCCGTCTGAGGCTTCATGCTCATAGAAATGTCTTGTGAATTGTAGTGTAGTCACAATCGATAACTGATGGAAGTAAGAAATGTTTATGTTGGAGAAAAGGCCGGCGTGAGCGACCTTAAATAACATCATGTCTTGGTCGAACATTATTGATTTGAGCAAATAAACAACGGGGAATAAGCTGAGTAGCCCATATCGTCATTGCTCGGCCAGTTAGTCGCCGGCCCCGAAAGTCGTAATTATGTGGGTGAGGCCAAGACGTGCATACGGGATCGGAGGGTCGGGTTCCGATCGACGCGAGAACGCCCGATCTTGGTGTTGCTGGATACGAGCCCGTTTTGCGCAGTTGTTCTCGTGATCTAATAACCCATGATGTACTCGATTCGTGTAGCAGCCGACTCTTGAGTCATTGCCGTGCGGATGAAGGTCACGCCGTCGCCTCAGCCCAAGTATGTTGTATCGTCTGCCAATGAGCTCTGGAATTGATTCAGTAAATTGTCCCATTCGTTCCAATCCACTGGACTGTCGCCCATCATGAAATCGAATCTTTCCCCCTCAGGTCCATAATTCGAGGTCGCAAATTCATGGCCGGGTTGCGCAGGTGGCTCCGTGTCACGTTCAACTTCGACGGCTCTTTCAGTGGCCTGCGGTTCAGGGATACCTGGTGCATTTGCGAGCAAAGAAGCAACAATAGAAGGACAGGGTGTAGGCGCGCGGCGTTTGAGGTTACACTCTCCAATGTACGCTCGCCAGGCCTTGACGATCAAGCTTTCGATGGCCTTGTGAAGGGGCGTGGAGGCTTTGTTTCCCGCCTTAAGGGTGTTTTCAGAATACACACTTCCTATCAACTGCCAGACAGTGCTCTTTTCCTCCGGGTCCGTGCGATGTCGCAGCTCCGAGAGCATGAATATGATGGCGTCCCACGGCATATGATTCATAGTGTGCCACGAGAATCGTCGAACAACCGGGTTGTTCTGTGCATGATCTGCATATTTCGTCATCTTGAGGGCGCTCTCAAAGATAATCGATTTCTCTGACGGAGAAAGTCGAACTTTTTGATATTGATATTGTCGAGGGTGGTGTGCCATCAGTCGAGTATAATGTACAGCCGAACGCACCATCAACCTTGTCTGCATGTGGAGCGGAATAGATTTATCGCAATATCGGAGAAACTCCGATTCCATGAAGTCTTCGAGCTCGTCGATCGTTTTGTCCTTTTCTTCCAGAGGCATTGATGAAGACGACAAGTTTGCCCAGGGGCCAGTGTTGGAACTCGAAACACCGCTGGACAACCGACGCAGCCATTGACCCAGCGCGCTTCGAGCCAGTACGAATATCATCTCTGTTGGGCCCTGCTTTTCGCAGGCTGGCTCTGTCATTCGAGGGTCCAGATCACTATCATTCGCATTCATCGGCGGTTGGACGTCAATAGAGGCTGGGAGCAAACTCGAGGACACGCCGCAAGATTGGGCAGAAGTGACATCTATGATCATCAGTTGGAACCAAACGCGACGGCGCATTTCTGTTTCGAAAACTGAGAGACCATGGTTGGAACCATCGCGGTGAACTCCAATTCGCTGCGCAATGCGTGTTGCAATCCCACAAAGGGTCCAGATAGTATGTGTGTCGGAAAATGCCCGCATGCTCAGCTATGAACATTAACTTAGACCGTAGCCCGAATCGACTTTGGACAGAGCTTCGGGGAGAGGTGAGCTCTTTGGAAAAGATTGAAAACATACCAAATACAACATGAACGCCTGGAGCACCGTCAAGCTCGACGTACGAAGAAGTGATGCGTTTTTGAAGGCCAACTGGGCCCCCTGCCTATATCGTAGCAACAGTCCTCTCTTGCTTTCTCCAAAGGATCTCTCGACTTCCTCGGGCTCCATGGAAACTATGGCGATGCAGTATATCGCAAACATCAGCGTCTCAAGTTCCTTGCTGGCTTTTGGCAAGTCACTCATAGCTTCCAAAATCTGCTGTTGCACCGTTGGTACGTGTACAACTTTAGTGAGTGGATTCACATTCTCAAGAAATGCTTGCCATAACTTGAAGATATGCAGCGGACTCGGGTGAAGTTCAGCGAGTGGCTTTTTCGTCACCGGAGGAGAAAGTATCGTATACTCGTCGTCCACATCATGAGCAAGATTCTCAGTGCCTGTATCCGACACATCTCCTAACACATCCGCTGCGTTAGGAAGCTAGCAACCAGTCAGAATCGAAATGCGTCAAAAGCCAGCAAGTACTCACCTCGTTGCTCACACTCGTCCATAAGTTGCTGGTCCATAGGTCAGCGAATCAAGTCAGCCACGCAGTGTGCAATGGCAAGACTCACTTCTCCAGGTAGATTGAATTGCCATCTTTCATGATCATTCTCCCCGATCCACCTGCTCTCTCGTCACTCCGCTCTTCCCCCGCGGAGTCTCTGCGGGATGCAGTATGGCTTCCGTGGGGTGCCGCATCTCGTTTGAGGGACTTCGCGCGTTCTTGCGACACACTGCCATTCGCGTCCAGTCCCCTTTTACGGCGCGGTGGCGGAGCGCGGTACACACACTCCACATTTGCCTTTGCGCAATTGGAGCATGGCTCTTGTCTGTCACATTTGACCTTTCGCTTGTGGCAAACCACACATGAGAATGGCGTGAGTTGTTTTGATGGCGAGTCTGTTGCCCGCGCGCCATTCAAGGCATTGATCGGGCTCCCCGTATCCATGAGAGGCAATCCAGTCGTTATTCCATGTACGTGTCGGAAACAGGGGGGAAGCGATACGGAATAGTTGATCGGTAATGCCGAAGGGCCGGGGGCCGCTATGTTTCTGCCTTAGCAGCTAGGCTCCCCACTTGATTGCATCTCCACCACAGACATCATTTCAATCTCGGTTGATGCAAATGTGAAACTGCAATTGGCTTGATCTGCTCCACTGCAATTGCTTGTTCTCGAGTCACAAATTCCCCTCTTCGAAAGTTGTTCCTGTCAATGTCCAAAGTCTATTTGGTCCCATGACTGCGCTACAGTCTGGGCTTCGTATCGCAGTCTGACGCATCTCTTCATGTTCAAACCAGAGACACACCTGGAAGATCTGCATGAATCCTTGAATACATCATGGTACACTTTCTCGATCGAGTGAAAACTGTCCTCCGGAGAGGCAAACGGGGCTCGATTTATGCTGGACCCCAGGAATCAGTATGGAAAAGACTTCCCGCCAATGTCTTGGTCGACATCTTGGCCTCTTGCGAGCTGAAAGACATCGGATCAATGTCTCTAAGCTGTCGATTGCTGCATGATCGAGTTGTGAAGCTGGAATATTCAATTGCTTGGGCATATATTCAGCTCCGTAAGCAAATTCATCAACAAGGCCACCCTATTGATGGGGTTCTATCACCCGGGGATGACATCGCCTTTATCTGCGAGTTGTTTCCACCTCCACCACCAGATTACGAGTCTGCCGTTGAGGATAACGCAGGATATTCCCTGGCTTACCTCGGGGACCTGAAGCGATGCTGGAATACTTGCATTCGACTGTCCCATCACCTGGCGGATCATGTAGTGGAGCATCACTTGGAAACCGATTCAATTGCTCAGCCTATGTGGTCCTCTTCCAAAACAGAGAAAGAGCTCGTGTACAGTAGAGCCGTGGCAACACTGCAAGCCAAGCTTCTACGCCCCATGTAATGTCCTCAGATACGTCTTCCGTTTGCAAGTGCTGACTCGAATGCAGGGCCTATGCGATCTTCTTCCTTGAAGCCTTCGCCGTTTCGACCCATGATTCCCATCATGCGCATCATGCGCACCATACACACGACTCGGCGTCGTCTGTCCAAAGACAACAGTCTATTCTCCAAAAGGCACCCTTTACGGACACGCAGGTCTTCCTTTCGACTCATCACGGCATGCACCTCCTCTTCTCAACGGTGCGCCGCCTAATGGGACCGGAGATTCCCCATTCATCTGCCGAAAGCTGGATTAGTCTTCTTCTCACCACATCGACCATGGAAAGAATTGTAAACTTCTTCCTTGCAGTCGCGAAAGATGACCACAGAAAGCAGAATGGCTCACACGACTCTACATGGTCTCATCGCAAAGAATTCTTGTTGAGAATGCGACAGGATCTCAATGACTATACGGCATCAATGAGCCATGGTGAACATATTGACCAAGAGCCAGAGCTTAATCATCTATGGTTTGAAGCAGCATCGAATGAAATGGATCGACGAGGGGCAATCCCGCATACCGTCGAAGACACAGAAGTACATATTCTCCACGGTTCTGTCGTGAAGGTGGAGTGCGGGTCCTGTTATGGTCGTCATAACGAATAGTTGGCTGAACCTCCCGACCCGGGTACTGCAGTTGATTGACGAGTCAGAGCAGTTAGCCTTTGACACCTTATATCTACATGATTTGTATAAATCCATACCTAGGTATGGACCCGCAAAGAGTCATCTCGGAAAGTCCCCAAACTCGTGCCAAACCCCTAGGTTATTGTCCCTATGTAGATACCTAGGCACAACTCACTGGTATATCTCTCATTATCACCTTATCAAGTATGTCTACAGAGCACTCCGCACAATATATGCGAATACCTGGGGAAGCATCCCGAGGTCTGGGTTCCAGACCACGAAGCAACGCTCGGATCGCGGAATTTCGGGAGCCGAACTTCCGACCGACGAGCTATGATCGGGACGCTCTCGACGCTCTCTTCTTGGATACCATCTGTCATTCCGGGTTTTAAGTGAGATATTCCGAAAGTATGTCGGCGGTAAGTTCTGAATGCTCGACTCCAGAGTATTTTGCCTTGCCGTTTGGCCATTCCGGACTTCCTCTAATTGGCGATTCCATAGTGTGACCTGTGCCACACTCGAAAGGTATGTGCCACTACCCATCGAACACCAGTGAGATCTATGTTCTCATTTGAACTCACAAATACACAGGTGAAATGTGACCGCCAAGACCCTTGCGTGAACTGCACCGACGCAGGCGCAGAATGTCTTCGGAATCGTCAAGCTCGCATTCACAGGCCACGAGTCTCTCGGTGTGTGATTCTTGGCTCTGTAATACCACTTGCTGATATGTTATAGGCTAGATGCATTGACAGAAAGACTTGCAAGGCTTGAAGAATCGAGCATTCATGAGACAGAACACTCAGCAAATCGGCATGTTGCCAATAGCTTGTCTACATCTACATCACCTTTGGCTGGACTGCCAAGCATTTCCGATGGATCCAACGAGCAACAGAAGCGCCATTCAGCATATGACTCCCAGCAACAGCTACCAGCAAGCAAGCGCCATAAGTCTCAGGCTATGGCTCCGTCAAGTGCTCACCATGTGCATTCCCCTGACTCAACACACCATGCCAGTGAAGCACGGGGATATATCGAACATGAACTTCAGTGTAACCCGGCTCTGTCAAAGGATCGGCGGACTGCGCTTGAATCGGCCCGACGTTTCGTTGGTCAGCTATCCAATCCGACTTTGCACTTGGAAGAGACTGCACTCATGGATGATATTGATGTTGAGGATGATCTGGAGCCTCCGGTGCTTACACCAGAGCTTCTATATATGATGCTTCCTGGTAAGTAGTCATGAACCCACTCCGAGGTACATGGAACAGTATATTGACATTAGCAGGGCCCGACAAAAGAACAAACTCCCAGGGAACTGTTTCTTGGCCTGATCACATATCCGACAAAGTCTTGGAGCAAATGGGACTTGCTATCATTGAAAATAGTGAGTGTGAGCAAGTCCTCCAGCATTATCGAATCAATGTGTGGGTAAAGGCTATGGGCTGCATATCGAAAATGGCGCCGTTGATCACCAGTGAGCCATTGACGATACATTTTCGAACACTCAAAAAGCGATATGAAGCAGCTGCTACAGAGTTGTTGAATCAAATTCCGTTGGCGGCTGCCCCCAGTCTTCTTCTGCTCCAATCCCTGATGTCCGCGGTATGTAATTGGAATTATCTCGACGAGCTCTCACTAATGTAATGTAGGTACGGCTAATGCAATACCTGGGCAATATGTCACGTTGCTGGATGTTCACAGCTCTGGCTTCCAGAGTGATTATTTCTCTGAACTACCATAACATTACAGACGTTCATCCTGGAAGTGAGATTGAGGAGAGCATCCATTCCTGTGTTTACACATGCTACTACTTCGACAAAACACTGAGCTTACTGCTTCTTCGACCTGCGTCTCTGCCAGACCTGAAAGTGGCACCAACGAAACTGATCCATATCGACCCCGAGCTTCCGACTTCTGTTATGAAAAGAGGCATAGTTGAATATTCAGAGTTGAAGGATGTCCTATTGAACATCCTGCTCGATACAAAGAGCATAATCGACACAACAAAGGCTGACATGTTATCTGATTTGGTGACACGGGCACACATAATAAATTCCAACATGCAAAAGGTGAGACGAAGTCAAAGACATCATCGTGCAGCCGTTAATCGAACCCATAGGTTCGTGAGCGTCAGAAAAAAGAGTTCCCACAATCATGGGACTACCTGCAACGCGAGTGGCTATCGATGGACTTCAACTACTATAGCGTTCTGACGACAATCATTCAAACACGGTCTTCAGTGCTCAAATCTCGCTTGGTCTGCGAGGACTGCCTATACACGGCCCGAGAAGCACTTACCACTCTCCGTGCCTTGCAGCAGGCATTCGCGACTCAACCCAACTCCATTAACCCCTACCCTTACTTTCTCACCTGGTATGCCATGGCAAAGTCCCTATTCACTGAGTTCCTGCACTGACAACCTACAAAAGGACCATGCTTCTATTCCCTCTAGCGCCGTTCTTCGTCTTGTTCTGCAGTGTGATTGCAACATCAAACGAGAAGGATTTCAATATGATTCAGAATATCACTGATGATCTGCACCAGTTTGCTGAAGCGAATGCATCCATCGGAAAGTTGTACAAGCTTTTTTCTAGGTTTTTGGATCTTTGCGCTCCCTTGGTGAAAGCTCAGCCCGAGCAACGATTGGCAACACCATCTATAATAGAGTCTACCGGCAAGCCTGGCCAAGCGGCATCGTACACTGATTTGTTCGATCGGGCCGCGACCGAAGCCATGGCAGATGTCCCAGGGTTGGATTCTGCTGCAAAAGAGCCCACAGCTTCGCGTGCTGTAGAAGGATGGGATGATAGCCTTGTGTGGGAGCTGTTCGATAACCAACCATCATTAGGATGGGCTGAGTCGGATTTATGGAATGCCATGACGCAGTTTGGCGCTACATAGAATGGGCTGGGCTACCTAGGTAGACGGTAAACATGTTCAACGAGAATACAATATCTTGAGTCCTCTGGCATTCATTCGTGGCTGGCTGTGCCATGCATAGTTTCAATTCAATTAGTACGTGAGATGTATTTACTCAAGTAACTCTTCGGGACGCAGTCCAAGTTAACATAGAAAAGCGCAATGCAGGATAAGGAGCGTGAATGGTTAGGACATCCCAGAGTCTAGCCAGAGAGCAAAGAGGAATAGCAAAGAGAAACAGTAGCTCCTCGATGAGTGTGGACATGTAAAAGGGCCAAGTCGCCAAGCCAGACAGGCCAAGTATTATAATACAATAAAGGTGAAGAAGGGTCGATGTCATGTCTATCACGAAATCAAGACCCAGAGAAGGAAGAAAATCTAAAGTCCCAGGTTAGCAAGAAAATTGATGGGAATGCAGTCAGGGACCTTACCATCAGTACACCGAACATTTTGGCAACGAGCCAGCGATTGCCGGACACACGAGTCCAATATTTCATGAGCTCACGCTGGGCGCCTTGGACATTGTCCACGACATCCTCCGTGTTGGCATCAATACGTTGGATCATCTCGGATTGTTCGCTGACCATTTGTGCAAGCTGACCAAAAATGCCGCCCAGTTCGCTGATGGTTCGCTCGATGGCTTCGATGGCTTCGCCTCGGGCTTGAACATATGTATTACTCGACTCGCCTTCTTCCATGACCATCAGCTGTTGGTCTGATTGGAAAGATGGCCGTCCGAGGGGTGAAGGGTTCGAAGGTTCGAGGGTCAATAAGTCGGAGGAGTTGCCTTGATACCCGGGTTGTGGTGTTCGGCGCCCCGCCGGATTATAGAGAGGAGAGTCTGAGCGCTGGGTATCGAGGGCATTCTGAGACTTGGAAGATACCGAGGAAACGAAGTTCTCGGTTCGTGTTCGGGATGCTTGGATATTCTTGGTGCGGACCTCGAGCACTTCTTTGAAGCTGGCGCCTACATCGGCCAGCTTTCCTTGAAGCATAACGACAACCTAGAAAGCATCAGCAAATGTCCATATGCATGTTCTTTAAGACAGTAGCCCACTCACATTGTCATTGTGTTCGCCCTCTTGGTCCGTTTTGGAGCGATTCGACTTGGGGTGCTGCGCATGGGTGAGAGCCTGCAATGATGCGATGCTTTGGTTCAGCCCGGCAAGATCTTGCTTAATCACGTAAGTCAATTCGGATATTTCGACGGGTCGGTCATCAAAGAGAGATTTCCGTTTCGCCACTATTCAGTCATTAGGATGCCGTCGTTCGAGATCGCGCATTACGGATGAACTCACGTTCGGCCAATCGCTGCAGCTTTGCCATGGTCCCCGTAATTCCCCGGCCAATATCACGAGCTCTCCGCGCGAACTCTGATCGGGCCACCTTGGCCTCCTGCGCGGCACCTTGAGGTGACGCATTGGCTTGTCGCCTTTGCGCGTCTGTCAATAAGGCCTGGCGCTGTGACCCGACTTTCGAGGTGCCCATACGCTTCTGGGCTTGGCCCAGGATAGCGCTGAACTCGCTAGTTCGGTCTTGAATCGACGGACCGGTCATTTTGTGATGTGGTGTAGGCGTTTGAGAGCGTGGGGCCTCTGGTCTTGGAGAGCGTCAAGAAGTGGGTTTGCGCCGGATTCGGTAAACTGGGGTGTCCGGGCTAATCGATAAGGGGTAGACACGTCCGGTTGCAACAAAGTCGGAGATCAAAATAATAGGCGGACTCCTTAATCGAATGACACTTGAAACCCCCAGAATCTCCGTTGAAACAAGAGAGGCGAATCCGCAAGGCCGTCGACACGTTACGTAAGCTCTTGCACCGCCCGCGGGCCCGTCACAGCCCTGCGATCAGGGGCAAGGCAGCAATTATCTTGGGCTTCACTACGCCTTTGAGATCTTTGACCCGTGACCTTTCTTTTCTCTTATGTGATCTAAGTAAAGAGTTAATGGAATTGTGTTCTCTACGTGGATACACGTCATCCTTATACACAGTACTCTAGTGTTGTTTCCACTCCTTGGGATCGGCGCCTTGACCACCGCGGGCCAAATCGCCACCTTCGTCCTCATACTCGCACCGTTACATAGGGGAACTGTCTTGGCTTCTGCTACAGCATTCCCTCGTACGCCTATATAGGGCCGTCAAAACTGCTTGAGTCGATGCTGGTAGTCGCGCGGACCTTACCTTGACGCCCTCATGGACCTCACACAATCGCAGGGGCATGGAACCCAGAAAAAGTAAGCATTGTGTTCGCGATATGTCGCATGCTCTGTCGTACAAATACTAAGACACACCAGCCCTTCTCCCTCAAATATCCGCAGTCCGCTTTCGCCAGGTAGCGGTAGTAGCGGAACCCCGATCTCATTCCAACCGAACGTCAATCGCTCCAAAACGAAACGATGGGTAGAAGCGAGGCAATACTCGTATGATGGAGGGGACTGGGGCGATGACGATGACGACGAGGAGGAGGAAGAAGAAGCGCCTCCTCCAGTGCCTCGAGTCCCATATGCTACCCAACATAATGGAAGCTCGTCAGAGCTGAGCTCGCGTCGTTTGTCTAGCTTCGGGTCTGGGGCCGATGATACGGCCGCAAAGAAGAATGCGGGAGACCAGAAGCCCCTTCCCTTTGTGAGGCCAGCTGAACTCTACAAGCGAATGCGAGAGGAGAAAGCTGCTCAGTCCCCTGTGACCGACGGCGCTTCAACCCCCGACGCCACTGGTGCTCCCCCGCAAACCGCTCAGCAAGAACCCTCTGTTGGATTGCCAGAGGTCAAGCGAATGTCCAGCTTTGGCACCGATTTCATGGGTGACGCAGACTCCGGTCAACCGGAAAATACGAGTGCAGCCCAACCCGCCTTGCATCACAACCCCTCTGCGGGATACCGATCTGTCGTTCACCAAGCGTTCGATGTCCCAGAGACCCCTCGGTCTTCAACAACCAGCGTGGAGCGATCGAACAGTGACGGCACTTCAGTGATCAGCCCAATTATAGGTAGTCGCGCTATTGATGATGAACGGACCCCCACCATCTTAGAGGAGCCCAACGAAAGCAGCCCCCCAAGGGAAACTGCGAACGGGGGACCTGTGTTCCATCCTGGCCATCGGCGGGACCTGAGTCTTCCCAGTTCAGGCAACAGCCCCTCGAAGCGACCCCAGGTCACCGATCACGAAACACCAACCGGCGACCGCGCGGAAATATCGGTCATCTCTCCCCCAACCCACGATATTCCTCATCCAAGCCTGGAAAACCATCCCATAATGCAGCCATACCCGAATAATGGACAGGATCGGCCTGCCCCTCTCAAATTTGGGAGTGCGTCAGGCCCGGACAGCTTCCATGGCACCATTCCTACCATCATGGGAGCGGAGGAGTCTCCACAGAATACCGACAACGATCGATTGAGAGAAGAAATCATCCAATCGCTGAGCCGGGAAGCCACACCCTCTGAGGAACCCGAGCAGAGAAACCAAGCTCAGTCGCACGCACCTACTGAATCCATCCCGCAACAATTTGAGAAATATTGGAGTCCTACAGAGACTCCCAAGGCTCAGACATCCAACGATCAGCCTGAACTGATGAACCCGCAGCCCCTAGCTCCCCAAAACATATATGCAACCAGCCAGGGTAACTCATCATCTACGGTCGTTGATCAGCCAAAGATTGCCAAACTAGAACGTCGATTCTCCTGGGAATCCTCGGATGGCGAAGAACCCGCGCCTCAGATTCCCGGAAGCTATGCATCGCCCCCTCACGAAACACCTCTGGCTCTGCAAGAACCTGAGCCAATTCACGAAGACCCTGTCGAGCCTCAACCCGACGTGTCTCGCGACTTGACTGCCTCCGACCATGAAGGTTCGGATAACCCACGTTCTGAGAGACCTCGACTCTCCCTTATTCTGCCTGTGTCCGAGAACGCCTCACCACCGGAGCAGGTTTCGGGACCAGGCACCATACTCCCTCAACAAACTCAAGTCCTTTCGATTACCAAGAACCCAGCTCTTGACGAGTCTCAGCTTTTGGGCTTCCGTGACATCATCGGTATCACCTCTATCAACCAACGAATCAAGTCGTTTGAACACACGCGTGATCAGTTCGCGACCCTTGACACCGGTCTGAATCAGTGGCTCCAGTTCATGGTTAACGAGCACTCCGAACATATCGATGTGGTCCAGAAGAGCCAAACCCTCTCCCCGGCTGTGGCGGCATCTTCTCCGTCGAGAAGCAGGTTCCCCAAACTACCTTCTCTTGGCAACCTCGGCTCCTCAAACGATGGCACCCCGAATAGTGGCAGCCACATGAGGCGCCCATCAGCACACCTGGGATCTGTGATGAACAGGCAGAATGTTGGAGACAAAGGAAAGGAATTCCTTCACACTGCAGGCGCATTTAGTGGAAAGGCAAGCGGAGCAGCCAAGGGTCTGTTTGCAAAGGGCAGAAGCAAATTCCGTCCCAGTGGAGGATCCGACAAGGTAGATACCTGATTTTCTTTTTTCTTTCTCATCTGAGCGGGCTATCTGGGTACGGTGCAGACCGTTCAATTACTCCCTTTTTAATTCTGCATTTCTCTATTGGATACCACGATGTAATTCCGAGCGCCTTATGGCATTGAGCTCTAGAATGAGACACGAATGATGCTACCCTTGCTACAATCCCCCCGACCTTCTTCTCATTCTGATGTTGGTAATTGTAGGTCCAAACGAGTGCGCGGAACTCTGTCTCTTTTGGCAGTTTGCCGCTCTTCAAATCTGGAAAAGCTGGCTCTGCGCCCAGCTCTGATCCATTGTCTTTAGACGGCTCACAGGATGAAGCTGATCGCAAACATGCCCGGGCTGCCAAATCGGGGGATAAGTCCAGGTCGCACAACTCCGTCGAGACGGATGCACAACCGAAGCACCTGTCAGTATCTAACGCGAAGACTGATGACTCCGACAAGTCGGCCGCTGCGGGAGATTTCGAGCAAGAAATGAATGCTGCTCTTGGTCTTTCGCCGGAGCCTCTTCCACAGAGGTCGGCAAGCACCCCGATGGTGTTGCAGCCCAGTCAAGTCAACGGCGTGAGCAAGCCTCCCAAGGAGCAGCCACAGGTACAGAGCAAAGCGACTGGGATGCGATCAGTCAGCGATATGCCGACGAAGAGAGGGCCAATCGCGGAGAAGGGTCTGCCGGTGATTCCTACAGAACCCTTCAATGTTTCTTTGAAGACGGATAGCCAGGCAGGCGAGGAACAACGAGGGAAGAGCACTCCAAATATCACAGTCTCGTCGATTCGTCCAGTTTTCGACGAAGATGCCAACCCGCCTTCTCCCCCTCCTGAGGATTCTGGCGACGGACCTACATCCAATGAGCATTCTTTGCCACGACAGCCCTCCGTTTCAACGCTTGGACCTGACGAGGCAACCGGGAAACGCTCATCTGAAGACGACGACTGTGAAAGGGATCCACCTTCTCCCTTGCAGCCGCCACAGGCCAATAATGAACAGACCACTACCCCCCAACAAATTGTCGAGCGTTCGGTGAATGGCAATTCAGTCCCCAAAACTGAAGCCGAGCCAACTGTGGATGATAATTCACTGCCTTCTGCCCCTCTCGATTCATCCGAGCAGGCGACTTCTGCGGAAATCCTCGAATCCAAGAGGAAGTCAATCAGTGGCTTGCCCCCTTCAGTCCCGGGGGTACAGAGCCCCCTGAGGAACGAAGTCAGGTACTCTCCAGGAACTCGAAGCAGCATGTTAAGCTTTGGTAGCTTTGGTAAACACAGCTTTAGTGGCAAGGGAACTCGCCCGACTACTCCTGCCAATGGTCTAGATACTTCGCGATCAGGCTCTCCCGCCGGCAACCGGGAGTCTACGCTCGGAAAAATCGTGAGCTTCGGGAGGCGCCGACGAGCTTCGGTGGGAGATCTATTATCGAATATCCAACTGCAGGGCTCTCAGGGCTCTCAGGACTCGAAGAACTCCCAGGGTGGTCAACGGAAGCGTGCGCTCAGTAGGCTCAGCGTATGTTGCTTAGTACAACCTTTGAATGCAATTTTGCTAACTTAATTAGGGACTTTTTGGTCGACAAGAGTCGCCAAAGCCTGAAGGCAAATCTCAACATGCGCGAACTGTTTCGGAGCCGCTACAGGCGAAAGATCTCCCGGCCGTTCCATCGAACGGAAATCTAGATATTGCCTCTGCGGAAGATGGGCCGCCGGTTCTCAGAAACCCATTTGAGGCAGAGCCTTTGCCAACTCAGCCTGCTGTATCAACAGTACTGCCAGCGCCAGCGCCACCGTCGGTAGCTCTAGTACCTCCGATCGAGTCTAATCCCCTTCGCGATACACATCAGCGAGCCAGCATACCGCTTCCACCCACCTCGTCAACTAACTCTCTGCCAACCGGTCGATTCTATTCCCAGCTCCAAGCCGGAAACATAAGTGAGACACCTGTTGGTTCTCGACAAACAAGATCCCTCAGCCACCCGCTCCCTGGACAATCTCGATCTCCATCACCGATGTCAGTTCATGAAAATCGAACTGCGCAGCCCCTGTCGCCATTGGAAGAAATCCAAGACCACCAAATCCCACAAGTGGAAGCAGAAGAAGAAAAGCGACAGCCTCCACCAGCCGAAACCATGGAATCCCAACTTAGCCCACTGAACGAAAGCCAAGAACAAGAAGAGCAGGAAGAACACAAAGATCGGGTTCTCGAAGAGCGACACGAACTACACGGGGAGCCCTCTCTTCCCTCGAAGCTGCCCGGAGTTCCCAAGGGCCTCGGCGCCGAGCAGGACGTCCGATCCCGAAAGCCGACGGGCTCGGACTTCGCTCCGGTCTTTGACCACCGCGCTGTCTCGAATGTCTCTGTCTTGTCCTCGCATCCTCATCGCAGTGAGAATGAGACTCGATTGGTTAACGATACACATGAGCCGGTGGAACTGGCTATTACTGCGGATGACTCCAGTGAGGAGATTGTCATGTCCCCTACGTCTTACCCGGGACAGGAGTGGACGCCAGTTCATTTGTGAGCGATGTTTTATTATGTGTATAACGATGTATATGATATTGTTCAACTAGCAAGTCCCGAGTTCGCGGGCCGAGTTCGTGATCTTCGTTTGGTGAATGCAAGGTATGCCCAGGTGCTCTGTACCTAGGTACAGTGCCATATCAGATTTCTATACACTCCTGCAACTATTAGGTACATCTGCGGATTATCATGGCATTTCCGAGCTTTCAAAAAGCTCTAATTTCTCACAGCAGGTTTACATCTGATGATCCATAGACCACCTGGCAGGAATGGCAACGCAAATCTAGAATTGATGTTGGTCATCACGGATATATATCCACGCCCGCGGCCTCGCCAACAATCAAGGTTCCCGACGCATCTCCCCAATCCCCTCCGACGTCCCATACGTATCCGCATACCGTCCAACCATCCATTCATGAACAGTCACGGGAGGATGCTTTGCGCCCAAGACAGGATCCTCACAATTCGGAAGACACCGAATGGTGAAGTCCGGATTCCCCGACAAAAAGAAAGGCACGCTGAACCGCTCCTTTCCACTCTTGTTAATGACCCGATGCAGATTCGACAAATACCTATCATTAGTCCACTGCATCATCATATTCCCAAGGTTCACAACGTACGCCCCAGACACAGGCGTTACATCCACCCAGTCTGAGGTAACGTTATTCCAAACCTGGAGCCCCCCGTCTCGTCTTGCAGGAGCATAGTCACCGCGCCGAAGTTTGTATGGGCCCCGATTCCTACGAGATATTAGTACAGTCCATGGGCATAAGGTCGTCTCACCTCTTTCGAGATCTGTACTCCCTTCTTGGGGTGGGTAGTGTAGTAGGCGGAGGATGGAGACGGGATAGTCGTAGAAGTCGCCGAAGACACTCTTGTCCAAGCTCAGTGTTTGAGCTAGGACTTGCAGGATTGATACGCCGAGATCGACCATGAGGTCGTGATACTGGTCCATCACTCTTTTGAATTCGTCAGGCGCGGTCACTTCCGCTGGGTACTTGTTTGGACCTTGGCCGAAGCGTCCTCGGAGGACATAGTCGTCGTCTGCGGGAACGTCTTTTCCCAGGTAGAAGCCTTCTTTGAGGTCGCCTTTTGTGCGTTTTTCAAAGTTCTGTGAGCGGAGACGCTCATAGCCTCGATTGTATCCTCCGATGTCTGCTCGATATTAGGATCTCTTGTTGGATGATTCTGATGTTTGATGGTTACCTTGGTCATATCTTTCTTTGACTTCTGTAGGTAGACTGAAAAAGTCAGTTGAGTGCTTAAGCACGGCGGCTTGAATATCTGCTGGGATACCGTGATTGATCAGCTGGAAGAAGCCGAATCGCTCGCATGCTTGTCGGATCTGCTGTACAAGGTGCTCTTTGGCAACCTCATTGGCTCCGTAGAATGCTGCAGACTCGTTAGAAGCACTTCTGGACCACGCCCGGGTGCCTCACGTCCAAAATCGATGATAGGCGGCTCGTCCATCCTGTGCTGGAGTGTCAGACGAAGTGTTGAATAAGTGTCAGAGTACATAGGTCCTCTGTAGGCAGTAGATGCGGGGATTCGGAGCTCGCCGCCCCGCTCAGTAGCAATGAGAGAAGATAGTTTGATTGGCTTCACATTATCTGACCTCATTATTGAGCTATTGATGGGTACCGACACATCTATCCTTCAAACACCTCATGATTCAACTCAACACCCATATCCTTCGCCATGACTTGCATCTGAGCCTCGAGATCATCTTCCATGCCTCCCCCCAGACGCAAGAACTGGCGCACCTTGGTGAAGTAGAAGAAGATATCCGTAGTGAACAAAACCATACGGAACACGCAGTGACGGCCAAGATTGCGCATCTTCTCGACCAGCGAGAGATCCGGAGACTCAATGAGAGCGCGTGAAGCCCAAATTCCTGTGATTTTGACACGGTTCACCGGCGATCCCAGGAACTGATTATTGCCCTGGACGATGCGCAAGTTGCGGCCAATGAAGATCAACTCCTGTGGCCACTTGGTTTCGTCACCTAGGATATCTCGGATCGCTTTCCGCGCCGCCTGCTGCATCTCGTAGTGCCGTTCCGCGCGCTGGGACTTGCTCAGTCCCTTGATGCCTCGCTGGGTTGACATGTCACCGCCACTGTAGGGACGCATCAGGGTGGCTGAGGCAAAGATATCGGGATTGGTCACGCCCCAGCCTTTGACGATTTCGCCAAGCGTGCGGTTGTCGAAAGTAAGCAGCGCTTTCCAGAAGCGGGCGTATTGGTGTCGGAATCCAGGCTCCATGTGGATGTACAGGCCGTGGTCGATCAGAACCAGCTCCGGTTGACCATTCGGCTTACGGCGGATGAAGATATTGCCCGGGTGAGGATCGCAGTGAACGTGTCCCCATAAGAACATCTGTGCGGAGAACAAGTCGACCATGGTTGTCATCACTTCTTTCAGGGACAGGCCTAGGCCACCGCGGTTGTTGTTCCCTCGCCAGTAGTCACGCTCGGGCTTGAGCTTCCCTGCTCGTGGCCTGTGGTTTTCGAGCGAGCCCGGTTGGTCTAGGGCGGTCCCATGGCAGCCTGGACTGCCCTGTCGCCAGCCACCACGCCAGGGCCGTGTGATAGCTTGCTTGTCCCACAGTCGCACGCCTTCCACCCATTCTGCGGTCATGACACGACTTGAGCTCAGCTCACGGTAGACTCGGGGGATGTATACCCGGTCTCGTAGGCGAGGTTCGCCGGCGACTAGCTTTGCCATGTTTTCCGAGTTGTCTGCTTCATTCACAAAGTCGGTCTCGAGCGACAGACGCTCACTGATGTAAGGAACAAGGCTGTAGAATGGTATGTCAAACACTTTGCTGTAGATGAATGTCACAACCCTGGATTTCGGATCAGTCAATGGTCACTTCTATAGGCAAACAGGGCAACTTACTTGAAAGCCCAAAGATCCCAGGCGAGCTGCTGAACAATCTCCCGTTTCTGAATCTTGATGGCAACTTCACTGCCGTCCTGCAGCCGGGCCCAATGAACCTGAGCGACACTGGCACTGGCGCGGGCTTTGCGTTCCATCACACCTTTGCCAGACTCGCCGGTAAACGAGACCCCGAATACCTCCTCGGGAGATTTTCCAAAGTCTTCTCTGATCACTTTCTCCACATCTTTCCATTCATTCTGTGGCGCATCGTCGAACATGCGTGAGAACATGTGCTGGAATTCAGGCGGTAATATCGCCGACTGCATTGCGATCGCCTGGCCCATCTTCAGATACAGCCCGCCATTATGCCTAAGCAAATCGGATAAGCGCTCTGCGTTCCGGGCATGCACGGCCGCAATCGAGCTAGCCAGTGGCGGATTCGGACGAAAATTAATCTTGTAATCGATGGCCACAAGAAGGCCGAGGGAAAAGGTGCGCGCCGTTCGCGTCAACGATGAGGCGTAGAACTGGCTATCGATTCCGTAGGCGACACCCGTTACGAGGGATGCGTAGAAGAAGCGACGGAGCCATTTGCGAGTGCGCGTGTAGGTTTTCGCCGCGGTGGGCTTGCCTAGGGAGCTTGGTGATGGTGGGACGAGGGGCTGGAATTGAGAGGCGTGTCGGAGTTGAAAGGGACGGGATTTAGGCCGCAGAGGGCGGAAATGCGTCGCGAACGCCATAGAGGATGGATGGGATATCACTGCATGGTGCGCAGGGATATAAGAGAGGTGAGGCTCGGGTTCGTCATCACCGAGTCGGGGTCGGGCTGTCCGTTCGCGGAGATACGAGTGCCGACGCTTAATCCCCGAGAGGCGATGGGTTCGATTAGAGATGATGGACTACACGTAGATTGATTATATGGCAATTAAATAACAATTAAATGACTGTGACAGTTGGCTCTCCTCTCTCGGCGTCTCTATCACTACATATACACGGTATACAAGTACAATGGCCTCACAGCTCCTCGTGCTCAAACGGCCCCAATGAATCACACACCTTGGCATAATCCCTCATATTCTGGGGGATTGTCACCTCCCATAGCTCGTCACCCTCCAAAAACCTCAGCTGTTCCTTACACGAGTCCTCCGACGCCATGGGAATCAATGTCGGGAGATGCTTAATCGAGGCCTTCAAGAAATTCCGCTTGAAGCAGTTTCCAAAACCCGCCAGGGTCTCTGCATCGGAGCAGATGTGAGTTCCGCCCCCGAGCATTGGCCCACAGCTCTTTTTGATGGTTAGCGCGACATCATCGCCCATCTGGAGTAGTGCTTCTTCTTTGTGGGGCACGTTCATGCGGTGCATCAGACTGCGCACGGCGGGCACGAAGGTATTGTTGCGCGTCCAGAGATCCCAGTGCGGGACTGTAGGCTGGCATCCGGCGTCGCAGATTTCACTCTGGAACTTGTTGAAGAGGTGCGTGGGCCGGCCGACGAGCGCGGAGACGACTTTGAAGCATGATGTTCCGATCGCGGCGATTGGGGAGATGAAGAGGAAGATGGAGAGGAGGAGCAACTCGATGGAGAATCTCATGGCGGGAGAATGTGTAGAAGATGCGAAAGTGAAGTTGAGGATCGCAGCCTCGGGGGTTCAGGGTGCGACCCCCGCATGTGGAGAAACTCAACTTCCAGCCCATTTTGGCTCGGGCGGCTCTATATGCATCTGTTCTCTGTCAGCGCCAGAGCCACGTCTGACTGTAATCAGACCAGAGTCGTTCTTTCGACCCCTCTTTCTTTCTGACACACTCTCAGCGCAATAGAATCAACATCTTTTACTTCTCTTCTGCACCAAAATGAACCTATCCGGCCCTGAGGATCCTTTCAGGTACTTGTCGAACTACTGGCATAATAGTCTAGACAGCTGACAGTGTGTAGTGAGGCTGACACTCCGGTGGATCTAGAGGAGGTGGACTCTTTGGAGGCCATTGTCATCATCGACAATGAGCTGGATCCGCTTTCACCCCCGGCTCCAGACACAGTCCAACTCGCGGGCAACCTAGGCACCATTGGGATGGGCTCAACTCATAATCTGACTGACCGCGGAGAGGCGTGTAAGGAACTCAGGCTGGGGGACGTCTGCTGCGCCGCACATGGCTTATCAATCCTGGTGGTAAGAGAAACAGCGTTGGGCTCTCCAGACACAGACTTATAGAATGACGGGCATTTAGACCGCCACCAAAGGCGACCAGAAGCATACTATCCTGTTCGATGCTGGGCCCGAAGAAGAGGCCTGGGAGCGGAATGTGAAACGATTACGGCCTGACATAGCTTCGATTGAGGTGGTTCAACTATCGCACTGGCATCGAGATCATTCAGGTTAGCACCCTCGTGGACTCTAGTCTGGATGGTGTTCTCTGGCTCTGACGCATACTCAGGCGGTCTTCCGCGTGCAATTCGCATGATAAAGGATGCGAAGCAGGCGGAGAGTCGTTCCGAAGACCTGGTCGTTGACCTGCATCCGGATCGACCTTCTTACCGGGGCATTGCTCTGCCAGAGCATATCATCTCGCTTGAGGCTGATCCCACCTTCGAGGAGATGGAAAGTGCCGGGGCTGTAGTTGACAAGCGAAGCGAGCCTCATACCGTGCTTGACAACTTCTTCCTTGTCTCTGGAGAGATCCCACGAGTGACACCATACGAAACTGGCCTGAGGAACGCAGTGCGGTATGACCCGCATGAGAAGGAATGGTTCTCGGACGAGGCGATTCAAGATGAACGTGCCCTCTTCTGTAATCTCAAGGGTGGGTAGATATTGTGAACTCTTGGTACTGGTTCTGACATTCTCCCAGGTAAAGGGCTAGTCGTGTTCACGGCGTGCAGCCACGCCGGCGTGGTCAACGCTACGAAGCACGCAGTTCATCTCACGGGTGGAACAGTGCCAGTTCACGCCGTGGTCGGTGGCTTCCACCTTGCCACGAGTGATGCGGATCAAGTCGAAACCACAGTGAAAGATCTCAAGCGACTTGATCCCGCTGTGATCATGCCTGGTCACTGTACAGGCTGGCGAGCTAAGTTTGCCATTGAGAAACACATGCCGGGGTCCATGGTTCCTTGCACCGTCGGATCGCGGATCACTTTCTGATGGCCGTGACTCGTAAGTCGATGGACAACGCGGCTCGCTGAGACCGTTCCTTGCAGTCTCGTACATCCACGTGGCTGCAGGGACTCGATGCGAAACCGCATGGCAAGGGTTGCTCTGAGCAACAACTCTGATTAGGGGGGATTGTTTCGTCATTGGTTGTCGGCACATGTTGCCTTCCATTTCTACAATCCGGTTATCTGACATCATTTCACCCCTTACTGCATTTCAGTGAGATCGGAGGAATGCAGCAGCAGTACCTACCTAGGTAGGTATTTGTCGGTCAATATCACGATAGCAGTATGGTAATTTTGACAGCGACACATACGGGGTAAAATTCCCAGAGATATTTCAGGGCTATGCTAAACACTTGGAGTATGTCCCTTTCTGTGTGCAGACTCGGGAGCTGGCCGTGCTGCTGTCGCGCGGGCCTTGAGCCTGACCGGACGTGCTCGCGTGCTCTAGTTATATGTTCCTATGCAGTAGCTTGGGTGGCGACACTATGCACCTGGGCATGTTCTCGGTCAGCCTGGCCGCATATGATATAGGCAGAGAACTATCTAGAAATGTGAGGTGCCTACGAGGCTACGAGGTAGCAAATCGCCCGAATTGACTAGAATCCGAATGACAATCTATACATAGCAACCTTCCAAGGTTGAAAAGCTACAATTAATTCACCACACATCCATGGATGCAGCATGAGATCTGGAGTGTTTCATGCCTCATCCTACTGCATACATGGAGCACATCTAGAGATGAGACAACCGTAGACCTTGGGAACCTTGGAACCTTGGAATGAAAGTACCTACGTATTCATCCAAGGCTCTGTCAATTTTCGAAGTAGCCCAGAAGGTGCCCTAATGCCCAGATATCGGGAGTTTACCCACGTAGGTACCTAGGTACGCCTTCGAGATTGTTGCTGTCATGTATATATACCAGGATAAGTATGGTGACAAACATATACTTCTCACTACATCTTCCAATTGCTTCAAGATCGAATCGAATAAAACCTCTGTGCATATTCCTTTATCTAAGTACCGTATATGAGCTCACATTATATGTCACTACGACTTGTATCATCCAGACCAAAGCAATACTGTGTAACGACCAGATCCCACGATCACCGCCAAGCTCACCTGTACTCCGTACCCTCGGGCGTCCTCCGTCCCACGGAGCCAAGATCCCTTGGAAGGACGATATCTTCCGGATTTACAACCAGCGGGCAGCTGGGCAACCACCAGCCGTCTTGGCCGGAGGAAATCCCTCACCGTCAGTGTCAGCACCAACCTTGGAAAGCATGCGGGCACATCGGCTTCAGTATCGGCGAGTCTCAACCCCCTGGCAGCAACACAGAACCTCCGAAAAGAGACACTGAAGATGCACGTCCCTAATTTTCTGAATCTGCGTTGGAGCAAGCATGCACACTGCCCCCGCCAAGACGCAAGCGCAACAAGCATTATTCCCCCATCCTTGCGCTGGTCCCGAGGTCGCTCCCGTCTCCTCTCCACCCCCACGATGACTGACGACTGAATGCGCAGTGACTTCACTCCGATTGCGAGGGAATAAAGGGGGGGCTGGCCAGCGACTGGAATCCCGCCAAGACGATAATGTGGAAGGGATGCACGGCGGGTCTTGGCATCGGTGGACAGGTACGAGATGAGGGCGATCAGCAGATCAAGGGGGTTTGTCTCGCGATAAAAGGAAACATTACATCAGGGAATGACTTTATCGTCGCACGCATACGCCAAGCCTGTCTTTTGAATAGTGTCGGTCTTTGATTTTGGGAAATGATGCCAAGCGATTGTCCGGAGGCGCAATGTTGATCGGGATGATTCGCGTGCATTAACTTTCGACTTTGGTCGATAGTCCTGGACTCTCGCTGGTCCAATGTCCCAGTACTAGTAGTATACTCCGTGCATTACTTTGCGAACACATGTGATGTATAGCCTCAATGGAGTAAATCGGATCGACGCATGACATCAAGTCACAGTTGAGACAATTGAACGTTGCTCTTCAACGCACGGAGTACGCCGTAGTAGCAATAGATCCAACATTTGGGAAGTGTCCATTGCCCAGCCAAGAAAGTCAGTCTATCGGCTTGAAACACGGGCACGATTTTCCCCTCTCTTGGTATTGATGGTGTTTTCTTGCCAGATCTTGGCTTGCCTGTCTATCGTCGATCATGAAGTCTAATCCCGCAGATGTGGCAGTCACTGCATGCTTCCATCCACTCAGAATGAGGTTACCTATCTATGTATAGGCAATGGTTTCCCACCAGGCAGCATGGCGATCATCCCCCACGAATCCATCCCTCCCTTTCTTGGCATTCCCGGACAAGGTATCCTGGCACTGATGAGCCCAAGTATACGGTACCTGTACGTCTCAAACACAATTCAATCGGAAACACTAAATGCATCGTTTCGAGTCGATCATTCACGCCCAGATGTGTACGGTATCAGCAATAGGCTCGAATCGGCATTCGAGACCCGGAGATTTGCAACGGTGGCTATGCAGCCTCTGCCGACGCACTGATGAAGTGCATACCCCAGACGAACCTTGAAAATATATCGTAGCCTACCAGGCAGTCTCATATCATCTTCCAACAATAGTATCAACTGCAAGCAAAAGCGGCAGAGTCTGTAGCCAAATCGTCATATTCACATCACGTCGTCTCCGAAGGTGGAGCACGACGGATTCAGTATCGTGAACGCACTGCCCGAGTGGCAGTGTTCTCCTGTATAGCCCGAGTCAGAATCCATGCTGCTTTACGAATTGGCTTGGCCTGAAGAAATGAAGTGACGAGACTGCATCCTGGTTCCAGTGTTTACTCCGTACATGATACCAATATAAAACAGCCAAGCAAATAGCATGTATTACACGATTAGGCAAACCGTACTCCATACTCCATACTCGCACACATCGCACATTGGCGCGGGGAGGCAGGGAGCGTGTGCATTGGAGGTCCAACGGCTTTGGCCGCACAGTCACTCGGACTACCTACCCCCTACCATCTCGCACAGAGCACCGGGGCACGGCCATAAGCCGTTCTCAACGCTACTGTGCTGTACATGTGTACTAGAGCGACAGACACCGCGGCTAAACTCAAGATGGTAAGCAGGTCGCTACGAGGATTCAGGTACTGAGATATGCGTCAGGAAAAGGGGCGAAGACATCAAGATGACTGCATGTGTTTCTGTTTATATCTACTCCGTAAGCATCTACTACTCCATACGGAGTCGACAGCTCAAAACCGTTCCCAAGACCGGTTTTGAGCGCGCTAAGAAATGGCGATGTGCAAGGATGGAGTAGCGGGCACAAGCGCAGACGAATCCCCACGCAGTATTCGTGTGAAAGGTCACGCCTCGCCAATTGTGATGGGTTTGTGCCGAGGGAGTGTGGGGGTTGTGTTTGGTTCCCCTGTCGATCACAGCTGGAAGAGGAAGACTGAACATGTGGTGTTTGGGGGTCGCGGTCTCTGGGTTTAGGATTGGAAATTGGTCGCGTCGACGTGTTTGGGATTTAGGTTTCCTAGCTGGTTGGCTTGTTTATTCATTGCCTTCTTGGGTATGGCTGCGATGTCATTGCTACTGTACTCCGTGAGGATGAAAAGCTCCGATGAAGTCATTTTGAACCTTGCACGAACGATCTACGGTGGCACAAAGATTCCCTAATTTGGCATCTCCGTTCATTGTTACTGTTAATCCGTGTGAAGGGGGCGAATTCATTTCCCTCCAGGGCTCTAAGGGCCACTTGGGTAATCCCCGTGCAAGACCGAGGGTCACCCTGGGAGATTGATTACTGCCCATAGTGCGTCGCGTTGTCGCGGACTGTGCGTTTTTCTATTGTGTGACGGCCACTTGGATCTGATCTACACAGGGTTTTCCATGCAGCCAAGAGAAATATAATAACGATCAGGTTGGACGGCCCAGAGCATACTCCGTGCCTGTAATGTCTCTTTTATGCAGGCCATAACTGTCCCGCAACTATTGGGGCTGATACTGCTTATCGTGTCACTTGGCCAATATTGTACAGTCGAGCCGAGGCAATTTACCCGAACGCCAGAGGGAAAAGCAAACATGCATAATTGCAACTGCTAGTACTACATAGTATACCATGCCATACTATGTAGAGTCAAGAAATCCCTCGCCAAATGAACCATGGAAGTCTGGAACTCGACGTGCCGATTTCCCGCGTGCCGCGCAGCCCCATAGGCCCGATACGGGACTCCGACACCGAGAAAGTCATCGGCGAAGTGCCATGGAAAAGCCGAAACTCACCTGCAAGACAGTACAGTCCAATAGTGTAACGCAACCCCAATAATCGGACGGAGAATTTAAATTGCAAAATACGCAAAACGGGCAAGACTCTGACAGCACAGACGCGCGGGACAGGCTTCCGAAGCTGGCGATGACGACTTTCGCGTTCATATAGACAAGCTAGGACCAGCTGTCGAACAATGTCGACAATAGCTTAAGACGTGGACGGAGTATGGGGATTACTGACTTGGCAAGAGGGTTGATGCTAATTACTCCATACTAGGAGGAGTTACCCCGATGCAACCCACGTTCATCTGCGAAGGACGGGTGGACAGCGGGATCCTAGTTTCAAGACACTTTTAGAGCTACTGCAGGTACGGGAGCGGCATGATATCTTTCCTAGATCGGATCTGGGTGAAGCAATTTAACCAGGGACTAGTCAACCCGCGGGTTTTGCTCTTCATTTCCATCTCATGACTGTTTTCCTTTTCCAATGTTTTCTCCATGGGCAGGTAATCCTGGGGGTGTGGACAACGCTGGGACAGCTTGGCGAACCGGGCGTTTGGGCTAATCAGCGTTACCTTGGTACTTTTGGTTTGGGGTAATGGTATCCAGGGACTATTGCTTTTTGGTGTGCGCCGTATGCATTCCGAGAAGGGAATCTGGATGAATGTCCCCGAGCCAGACGTGCAGAAGGGACAAAAAAGACGAGCCAAAGTAGCGCCGTCAGACGAGCTCCGCGGGCAG